ATAGCCGCCTTGACGATATCGATCAAACGCTTTCTGGGCAAGACCGTCCAATCGAGAGTACGAAGCTCCTCATCGCCACAAAGATCTATACAAAACTTGAAATGACCTCTGATCATGGCATAATACGTAACTGTATTTTTTTTAAAATCCACCATATATTTCAACTTGGGCGCCCGCTCACACAGATAGCCCAAAATTGGAGCTGGGAGGCGGGCATCGCACAGTTCCAATGCTCGCTGAAGCACCGTCTTGCCCTGGGCAGATCTCAGAAGTGTAAGAGCCGTCCCATTTTCAACAGCGCGCTCTAACAGCTCAAATCGAAACATGGTGTAGATGTCATCGAAGACATTCATGTAGCTGAAGACTGCTCCAGCCTCGATCATCACCTCGATGATCCTGTATTGGGTTGCGTGTTTGTCCGGGGTGGACGGCGTTACAATGTAATCCAGAGGGTAGGCACCACTCCACCAGCCCATTTGATTGGGGTCCGCACCTTGACTAAGCAGGAACTTGACACACTCAAGCTGCGAGTGGGCAATCGCCAGAGAAAGGTACGGAATCCCCGACCATGTAAGTTTATTAGCATCAAAATCATGTTCCGATGTCCATGCTTTGATATCGGCCACTTGACCCTGCGTGATACCACGTACCATCGGATCCCAAACTGGTGGAATGTTGAACCCACCGTTGTAATGACCTGCGTCGAGCACGCAGCTAATTATTGTCTCGATCTGTTCATGCTCTTTTCGAAACCGTTCACACTCTTCGTCTTGTGTAGACAGAATTGTTCGCCGTAAGGCTAGTCTGGCTTTTTCACCCAGCTTCTTGGCATATTGTGGGTCTCCTGTCTTTTTCACTTCATGCCCCAGGCATGTCTCGACATGGTAAGCAAGCTCAATTGGGCAGTCTCCGATGCTCATCTGCGTCTTGGTAAGAGATCTGTCTTCTGCTGCCATTGTGTCGGTGATACTAGAGAACAGAATGCCTTTCAGTAATAGAGAAGATAGATCGCTTGTAGTATTGCTTCTGGGGCAGGCTGATGACATTGAATCTTGCAGTAAATTACGCGGTTTAAATAAATGGAGGGAGCCAGCTCTACAGCTACATTGGTAAGGCTTCTTCCACCTTGAAAACGAAGATTGTCTCGCAATTCAAGGAGAATTCCATGATATGGCTGGGTATCTCCGTTGATGTCTCCCTCTTGGGGGCTCAACCTCCCCCGCAGTTGTTCTTTGTACGCTATGGATCAACAACTGCGGGGAATACCGACCCCCACCACGAGGGTTGTTCCTGTCAGGCTGTCAGACCTGCAAAGGCATTCACCATACTTGGCACAGTACTGGGTACTACACTTCGGTAACTGCCTATACACATCAGGTACCGAGGTAGGGACTTACCTTAGTAGTACATAGTAGTAGTAGTTATGGAGGGATAGTCTCCGTAATCCGTATGGCACTACTAACACTAACCGCCACCGCCACCCCACAATCCGTCGCCAAACAGAACTCCGAGCCAACTAGAACCCCCACACCATCCACAGTAAAATGCTGAAAGGTGGATGGATCCTTAACGGCATGGTGCAAAGTCACTGCGATAGTAAGCAGCGGACAATCGACGTTCTGTATAGATGACATCTAGGTAGTCAGTTAGTCTGGACAGTGGTCCGGTATTCGGACAAGGAAATCTACTAGTACCAACAGTAGTAACTTACCATTCGATACTGGGTAGACCAGCCGCACGGTCCTCCTCACGCATCCCATCGTTCAGGATGCGGAAGTGGAAGCAACTTCCGGGAAGTAACCAGACCGGGACACGGGAGTTGCCGGTTGGGCGTGGGGAGTTAGTGATTAGATAGATAGCTGGTTGGTATGGAGTATCTAGATAGGTATAGTACGAACTACGAACTGGATGACGGATGTAATAAATAATAATATTGGCGATATTGGACGTAGTTCTACCGGCGCCTCCTGAGCGGGGAAACACTCGACTACTAGACTACTACACTAGTAGCCGAGAAGGTACTAAGTATGCAAGTCTCTGGCAGGTACGTAAGTCCTCCTCCGTACTTTGTGCTCCCCGAGGAGTCGGATCCGATAGGATGATCCTTATCCCTATCCTAGTCCGTTAGAACGGGCATGCCGCATCAGAATCTGCTAACTAGCAGGTTACCTCCCTAGGCACTTGTTGCGCTGAACCCCTTATATCCGGGGAAACAAAAGTGTGGAGTACATGGTACGTACAGTAGCCGGTCGCAAGTCGGCAGCACCGAAGTAGTGGTACCATGTCAGTGTTTACATGCACAGTTAGATACTCGGTTAGGTACAACTGGCCTTTAGACAATGAAGATGTTCACCGGTCGGGAACAGCGTCTAAGATGGATTTACCAGGTGCGTACCCGGTCGGTGCTCGGTACTCCGTCCAGACACATCATACTATGTGCCCATTTTGCACTTTAGGCAGAAGCTGAAAGCCATTCTTACTCCGGACTCCGTAGTCACTTCTCGGTCAGGTGCGGATCCCCTGATGTCGACTCATCGACACATCGACACATCGAGGCCAGAAATATCTCAAAACCGTGGAGATAATAGTTTCACTTATCTCCGATATCTCATTCCCAAGTCTCATTCCCAAGTGCCAACCAAGGAAACCCGAAGTCAATCGCTCCCGACCCTCGGATCGCCCACGCCTGGTAGATATCCAGGCACACAGCCATAGCGATGCGCTGAAGGTAAGGAATCCAGGACGATCGCAACGTTGCCCCTTGGGCCTTGATTGGCGGGCGAAGGATGAAATTCCCGCGGGCCATCCTGCCTGGTCCTGCAGTCGAGATTAAGATTTCCATCTAATCCAGACAAGCCATCCCATCACGTCCCTTCCGCTTGCTCGCTCGGGCTAAGCAGGACACTTCACTATGCATACTGCATGGTCCCAACAAGCCTTACGGACCGGGATATACCTGAAACGCCCACGACCCTCTGATCTGGCGCCGCATCATCCCCTGCGCGCACGGTGCGATAGATAGCAGATAGTCTGCATCCCACCTCGATAGGGAGATCCGTCCCGACTCCCACCTAGTGGTTCCCCTTGGTATCTGTGCCTGATGGGCTGCTCTACATACCAACATGGTGGTTCGCGTGCTTGCGCCCAGGAACAGTCATCTGATGAGTTGTCGTATCTCCAGCCTTGCGACGGTGCCAACAACCTCTCGCCGACCTCAACGAGTCGATAACCCCTCCCCCCTCCCCCCTCTCGAACTGGATTGAATACACTCCCGCTACGGGGGCTCTTACCTTTCCGTCCAGGGAAGGACCTCGACACGAACAATATTAATAGCCTCCATCGATCGCATCGCACAGAAGAAAGGCAGCGGTGGTGGAACTGCGGCAGACAATGAACGCTCGAGCTAAAAACGAGAACGAGGGTTGAGCGATTAGCGGCATCTGCATGTCGCTGCAACCGGAAAGCCACGGGGCGGGGTTGTGAACCACTCACTTCCTTTCTTCATTTTAGTCGTATCATACGAAGGTGCCAGCACGTGTACCACGACCTTGGTTGATGGGATGGACTATCTATCTTGGGGAGGCTGGGGCGAGCGTTCCCGAGTGGCTCACCCCGTGCGGGTTTCGTCTGCCGGCCTGATAAGCTGATAAAACAAACCATCTCCTTCCCAGGGCCCCCAGGTTGATCCCTGATTGGGATTTGGATATTTCTGCTGGATGGATTTTGGGCCCTCCGATGGCTACCGCCGTATCGGATCTTCCTCCTCGCCTTGCTGATCCGACCCGAACTGCACACGGCCTTCAGAATTGGGAGATACACCGGGCGGGATGATGGGATTATCTCAGACAACCCTCCCCATCTCGACCCACTGCGGGGTCCACGGGTTTCGGGAGAAGGAGCTTTGGGGGAACCCGCGCGCCTTCATGATCTGATCTCCTGGATGGTGATGATCTGATATCACGCCATTCCATTGTCATGTCACTGTCGACTTGACCGGTGCAGCGCTACTAATAGCAGCCTCCATCAATGGGCCGTCGCTCTAGTCCTCCCTTGTCTTCTGTGAAGCTCTTGATGATGGCTTGTCTTGCCGTGAAACAAAGGAAACAAAAACCACGGCAGAGCCACACCTAGTGGAGCAGCCACACAGTGGGGTCCTATATACTTTTGGTACTTAATACCGCTGCATAGCCTCCGAGGTGTCGCACTGCGAGCGGCGAGGATGCTTGGATATCCCTTCAATGTCGGAGAGCTGGCAGTACCTCCGGGCCGATTCGTGGTCATCCTGTGCATGACTCTGGGCAGCAGAGGGATGCTATCGAGGAATTAGATGGGTACCGTTATTCCGTACTATTTCCGTACTGTGTATGATCCGAGGACTTATTCTGATGCTTCAGCCAGGCCGACAGTCTATCAAATTGCCTGACGCCCGCTTGATCTTGTATATTTCCATCACATAGGGTAGACTTTCAAGCCATGGTATCCGCTTCTTCGGGTTCCTCGAGACCTGTACGTATAGCTTAAATGTCAGCCAGTGTTGTCCATTCAGTTGCGAAGTATGGAAGAGAGTACTCGGCTAATAGACCTGTCAGGCTTTCGGAGCTGGCTGTGTGGCATAAGACGAAAGTTATTGTCCTCCCCAGACAGCCCCTGTCAACGTTGCAATGTGAGGACACTGGAAATATGGTCTGGTGTTTCTTTGTTGCAGATAGGCGGCAATGGATGAGATCTGCCACAAGTCCTTGTCTGGCCCGCCAGTGGCAACGTCTATCTATCATCATGTCTCTCCTTGAGCATTCAAATAAGCAACGATGTATACAGACCGTTTATGCTCCGTGACATTCTTTATATCAGATGATGATAGATTGTATCACCGCATCCTGATGCTTCACATTTGTAGCAGACATGGCTTTTGTGGTGTCGTTCACGGTTCCCAAGCCACCTGCAAAATAATCTGAAGAAGTGAATCTGCCACCAGCTAACACGTTTGTCCTATGATGTCGCTGGCAATATTGCCGTGGGTTACCGGCTCTTTGATATGCCCACAGAACACGTCCACGCTTGTTTGCTTTGGCACGATCTTCTCTACATATTCCCTGGCGTGTTGATTTGCTCAGACAAGTCTTTGGCTAGACCCTCATCTTGGTTTGATTTGCGCAAGTACGATCCTTTTTCATCACCCCTTCTTGTGTTGACTTGCCCAAGCAACCTTCCTACCTCCCAAGATCTCATACAGCCCATTCCTGATTGCACGAAGACGACCCATACCCCTCTCCGGACTGCCCTTACACGTCAAGACTTCCGTGGGCAACAGCCAAGGCAATGGGACAACTTATCGTGTACTGGTTCGCCTGTAACCACTTCATCCCCCACTTCCAGAAAAAGCCTCTCGAGACGCTGGACTACCCAATAGGGGCAGACCCTCGCACAACCGCTGCAATCGTGGCACAACTGTGTCCTATCTGCTGGGGGCCCCAAGACGCGGTCAACGACGATCGCAAGAGCTTGCTCTTCGATTGTGAAGATCTATCGCTTATCCTCGATATGTCCTCAATGGACCCGGAGTTCGTCCACGCCGTGGTCCGCTTCTACGCTCGCGGGGACTTCAGACGCTGGGGCCAGCCTGAAGCAGCCGGCGCGACTTTTCCGGCCGAAGATACCTATCTGGAGGAGATGGAGATGGAGTCGATCATGAACACCACGGGCCATAAACACTACAGCACACATCCTGGCTACGCGTTTGATGCTGCCCTGGCTGAGATCCGGAGATCCGACCCAGATAACTACACTACCCTCAACTGGGCCCGGGAGAACTACTTGCCAAAGACCGAGTGTTTGTATCTGAACTTCCCAATCCTATATCCCGCCAAGGTCTCAAAAGCCGTCGCCGCTCTGATCAAGCGAGAGGAAGCTCGAAACAGCAAGGCACTGTGTGGAAACGCAACCGCATGGACTCTGCCGCAACAGGGAGACGCTCAGCTGGATCAGCCTGAGATGATGAACAGCGACCAGCCGGAGGACACCGAGACCAACACACAGCCCCAGCCCATCCACTTCGTCAATTCTGAACCAGTCAACCCCCTGGAGAGCACCGAGACCAACACGCAGCCCCAGCCCGTCCACTTCGTCAACCCTGATCCATACATTCCTCAGGACCTGCGCATTGGTACGCCCTTCGTGCTCACCGACCCCGAATTCGAAGAGCAGAACCCATTCGCCAGCAACGACCCTTCTGATAATCGACCTGTCCCGCTAAGTCTCAGCAAGTCCGTCTACAACCAGCCTAAACCAGCCTCAAACACCGCCAGCTGGCTTCGTCCCCTCCCAGGCACGGGCTATCCAGAGTTTGAAGAAACCGGCAATTTCAACGACTACATCGCACACCCGTACATAATGTACACTCCAACTCCATTGGCCTCCGACCGACGCGCCGGGAGAATCAGACGAGGCAAGCTGCCCATTCGAGACTCTCCGACTTCTGACTGTACCGGGTCCGACACGCAGCAGGAGCAGGAGCAGGAGCAGGAGGAGCAGCAGCCCACGACGCCCCCCACACTGCGCAGGTTCTCAACCCCGACCTACGACGAAGTCGAGCTCACCCCCCTGGCCGCGACTACCGATTGCGAGGACGGCGAGCTCACCCCTATTGGCGAGTTTGTTCGTCAGTACAATCGACACAGGACTTTGGCTGGGCCGGCTTATCGGACTTATACTCAGACTTCTCCGCCCTTCTTGCCTTCTGAGGCGACGTCGCCTGATGATGTTAAGGTTATTCCCAATCCCAATTTCAACCTCGATTCCCCCAGTACTGAGCCCAAAACTCCGTATCATCCCTCTGACTTGGATTATCTTTTCTTGTCTTGAGGATGGTTGGGTTTCGTGCTGCCTCTTTTGGGTGAATGTGTTGTAGCCCTTTTCTGGACTTGAGCATAGGTATGGGGCTGGAAGCGTGGCGTTGTTGGTTTTGTCTGGCTGTTGCATACCCTTTTTTGATGGGACTTTTCTATGTCTTTCTCTGTTTCTTTGGATCTTCTTCGCTTTGTTGTCTTGCTTTTTTTTTTTTTTTTTGCTACTTCGTTGCTTCTTTGCTTTGCTTCCTTGCTTTGCTAATTCGCCAATATGTTTCCTTGCTGGTTTTGGTTTGTTTCAATAATTTGCTACTTCAATGCTTTCCTGCTTTGCTTCATTGCCCTTTGCTAATTTGCTGACTTGCTGCTATGTTATCTCTCCACATGTGGTGATGATTGGATGAATCGCTGATTTGCGACCTTGCTACCTTTTGCCATGCTGTTTCTTCATTCATAACTCCTTTGCTTTGCTACCTTGCCCTTTCGCCAACCTTTCACTTCTTGCTTCGCCCCTTCATCGACAACTTTCTGGGGAGCAATGCTACCGTCTCATTTGCCAAATGGCTGGGAATATCACCGTTTGAATTTCGACTTTTTGCGTTGCAATCTTCTTCTACTAAACTTTTGATTCTCGTTTCCTATTTACATCCCTACCCTAACTGCCTACGTGACCGTGATGATCTGCTTCCTAGGGATCTATGCAAACTTGCGTTTTTGATCTGTTTGATGTACTTGTTCTGTTCGAGGTGCTTACCTACTTATTTCGGGCTTCGTTTTGTTTTGTTTCGTTTCGTTTCTTTTTTTCTTTTCATTTGTCGTTGGTGAAGGGATCTATCTATCTCTCTGGAGTTGAAAGGGGCGATGGGTGGGATTGGCGTTCAATCTGGTTTGTTGGCCATGCTATCTATGGTTTACATAATCTTGAGGTTATAACTATCTGTTGTCTCTTGGGGAAAGGGAACAACGAGAGAGGAGAGGGGGTTGGGTTGGGTTGAGTTAATCTAATATCGGAAAATGTCATTAGGCATCAAAGTTTTATTCAATGGAATTCATAACCGGTAATATATCGCCAGTAGGCTCCCTCTCTCGGTCTATATAAGTAGGAGAGGGAGAGAGGTAATTTTAGGTTTCAAGGAGCTCCAACGCGACAATCATTCAAAAGTCATCGTCCTGATCGTCACCGTAATCCTCTGATACATCCATGCCGTCCTCATCGTCATCCAGACCCTCGAAGACCATGAACTTCTCGTTCTTGGCGTCCGTCTCGTCGGGGACGACGTTTCCATCTTGGACCTCACAGTCCTTGAGGACGCTCTCACGGCCGATCTTACTCCGACGTCCGACGATTGTGCCGGTCAGTTGGCACCGCTCGCCGATGACGGCGCCGTCCATGACAAGACAGCGGGTCAGGCGGGCGCCGCTGGCGATGTGGCAGTTCGGCCCGATGACAGTCTCCTTGATGACGCACTTCTCTTCGACGGTGACGTTGGGCGCGAGCAGACAGTCGGACTTGGTGACGGTGCAGCGCTGGGCGACGCCAGCGGGGTATGCGACTTTCTGGTTGTGAGCGAAGGGGGAGGCGGCGGTACGGCCGACCTCCTCGACGGACTCGAGCTTGGCGAGACGGAGAGAGACGGAGAGGAGGAGAGCGGAGCTGTCGACGCGGCGGACCAACGGGGCGGAGGGTTTCGAGGAGTGCATGTACGCGAGGAGCGGGGGGATGGTGAGCTTGCCGGTGTCTGCGGACTCGGAGCCGGAGTCGAGGCCGGAGTTGACTCGCGAGGCGAACTGGAATTCGTTCTCTTCGGACACCGAGGTGTCGCGCGGCGTGCCGGCGCCGGCCTTGGTGGTGCTCATGGCCTTGAGGTCGATTTCTTCCTCCAGGTTGTCGCCGTCCTCGCTGCCCTCGCCAGCCTTGTGCTTTTGCTGGAAGACTTCCCGGAGTCGCAGCTTCTCGCCCAGCCCGGTTTGCCATTCGGATTTCGCCCACCACCCGACCAGGTCTTCGCTGACGCTCTCGAATTTCTCGTTCAGGGCGGCCATTCGTGAGACCTATAGATTGGTTAGTCGGGTTGTAAATCGTAAGGGGAGTAATAGGCGGCCTACCCAGTAAGGGAACACGTAGGCGTGGGCATCGCGGTAGCTGGTCAACATTTTTACTTGCGCGTGCTTCTTCACGAGGGAGTGACGGATCAGCAGGCCCTTCTGTTCTTCCATGTTCTCCTTTAATGTGTCCATGGGCATGGACAGGACCAGCTTGGATAGTCCGAATCTCAGGCCAGCAGGTCCGTCAAGCGGGTGGGATACGGCGGGGGCCTCGTCTTGTTCCAGGGGGGCAGTGGCCACGAAATCGGTCACTTCGCCCTTGACACTTTCCTCCATGCCCTTGGATTGGTAGTAAACCGCGAGACCGCCGCGACGACCTCCCTGTTCTCCGCCCATGCCGACAGTCTTCGGGCCATCCGTGTTCCACCCCGTGCGGATGGTCGAGCCGCCCAGCGCGCTCTGGCTGACCATCCATGCTTCCAGAAGAGACTCGCCCGGGATATCGCAGATCAGATCACAAGGAAGGAGGAGGAAGTCGGATTTGATGCACGCCTGGACTTCCGGGAGACGGAGCAGTTCCGCGGTTCCGGTGGTGAGGGTCAGGTCTGCCGGGGCGAGCACCGACGGTGACGGAGATGGGAGGGAGGTGAGGTGGGGGTTTTGTGAAAGGGCGGCCTCGAGCGGCGCTTGACAGGCAGGAGGGGTGATGAGCGTGATGTCTAGAGGCTTCCGTTAGATCCAGGCGCGGACAGTGGGAGCAAAGACTCAACTCGTTACTCCCATGCTATAACACCAGGAGAGCGGGTAGTAGACCATGGGGCGGTTTGCGACGGGCAGAAGCGCCTTAGGGTGCTCCTCAGGAGAGGATGTGAACGTGGTGAGGGACACTCCAGGTCCGCAGAGGATGAGGGCTTGGAAGCCCGTGGGGGGCACAGGGACAGAGTGCGGCATTGCGAAGCGATATTGATGTATATGACCACCGCGGGGGAGGGGAAGAGTCGCTGGGCAGATCGAGGCTGGATGAGCGCGTCGGCTGGAGACGAGGGGAAATGTGGGGGTCGCTAAGTTGATTATCACCGCATACCCGTCAGGATGATTGATCTGAGTTCCTGTAGAATCCGGCGAAGAAGCGATCGCGCAGTCCTTTTTCTGTTCCTGTCCTGACTCAAACCATTGTCGGACGCCATTTTTGGCCGCGACAAAAACCCACCGGCACGTGCCGATAGCATGGGATGAGTCATCAATCGCGGCCGTATGCACATAATGCAATGCATCCACTGCAAACTATGTGAAATATGCAAACTGTGCAAAGTAGCTATCTTCCCCGGCCGGGCCCGAATCGACGGTACGCCATAATACGCAACAATACCGTAAGGCCAATCCAACCGCGGAGCTGGAAGCTATCACCAGCCACATGTTTCTCCCGAGGCCAACCCGCGCCGTAGCTCCTCCTTTCTTATCCCATCATCCCCCCCTCCGCGACTCCCAGCCCCCTCCCTTTCCTTCTTTCTCCTTGGACCGGCTTGAGATGTGACTTGCAGCCCATCGCGATCCGCTTGAGTCTATGCGCCACGTCTAGTAATACCACTGATCGCGATGTCCTTCCCTTACTCCCAGGATGCTCGCCGTCGGCGGGTCGGGGCCGGAACCGGCTTCAGCTCCTCCGGCAGGCGGACCGTCCTGGGATACTGGGTGCCTCTTGCCGTGACAGTCGGCGTCGCAACGGTCGGGATTGCCGCCTGGATCTGGAGCGAACGCAGCGAGGACGATGATGATAACAACCGCGATGCCCCCCGAGACGATGAAGGGTTCCCCGCGCCGGGCCCCGATGCGGAGGGCTACCCTCGCGGCGAGTTCGAGGACGATTATGGTCGAGCAACAGGGACCGATATCCATGGCGACCACCCGGACGATGTCAGCATGATGGCGCGCATGCAGGGAGCTCTACGCCGGACACCAAGTCCCCAACAGATCTTCGACGGCGCCAGCAAGAGGGTCGCTGCGGGCATGGCGGCTGCGGGAGCTTTCGTGGGCGGTGCGCTGACATCGATCCGGGAGGAAGATAGGGGAGACTTCGAGGATCACTCGCGCTGGTCAGAGGAGGTGGCATCCAGAGCCCAGCGGGCAGAGCAGTCGACCGCCGTGCCGCCAACGATGACCGGGGCACTGCCCACTCGCGACATTGTCGGTGGCCCGATTCCGTCTAACAAGAAGAAGACTGTCGCAATCGTTGTCTCATCACAGTCCCTGCATGTCGACCCCGAGGAGTTTGTTTCTCAGCATGTGGTAAGTCACGGCGCATGATTGAGTCGAAACCATTGTGCTGATCAGTTTTACATAGTCTATTCTATCCCATCTCCCCGAACACGTCAACATGGATACCACCAGAGTCTTTATCATGATCTACGCGCCGGGTCTGAAACACGCTCCCAACCAAGGTGGCACCTCTCAATCCACCTTATCCGTTACCTCATCCTACTCCAACATTGCTCCCGAAGAAGCTACGGCTTCTGGAGAGTTGCCTGGAAGAGACTCACCTACGGAATCTCGTCAGATCGATGAACCTGAGGGCGCAACGCCGCGGTTCAAGACATTGTATACTCAGGCTCAGGCGATCGTAGAGAAGGAGAATACGATCATGCCATTCAGCACCGCCACAGGATACGTGCATCTTGTGCGTCACATCTCTCCAGACACCGTCTACGTCCAAGAATCCATGGCGGGGCGTGAGGGAGAGGCCGTCCAACACATCGCGGGATGGGTCCGACAGGTGGTGGTGGTGGTCGGAGACGAAGGCGGTCGGGGTGGTTTGATAGATAGTGACGATGAGTCGGCTCTCGCCGACAAAGGCGAGAAGTGGTGGCAGAAGGAGGGCACGACCGGCATAGGTAAACGCATTGATGTGGTCGACGTGCACCGGGTTGGCGATGACTGGCGACGGAGGGTGTCAGGACTTGACTAGGGAGCCTCCAGCTGTGTGGTGGCATCTCTCTCCTCTCTATGCTTTCTCTTTGACCTCTTCCGGGCCTCACGGGCCCCTTGATGATTATTCTATGTTTGATTCCCCTGCATTTATGACGCGTGATGTTTGATGTTTTTTTTTTTTTTTTTTTTGATCTGGATAGCTCCATGTGAATAGTGAATACGGAAGATACCTGTGTAGCAGTCAGTATACTACCTATCAGCAGTATGGCAGTAATAATACTGCCCCGTAACTCTCAGCCCCCGAACCCGGGGCTGATAACACTAACCGGAAGCGTGGGTCACCTGACCGGGCCTCCTTCACGTCGCCCGCGGCTTGGCATCATCCAAACTCCCTCTCGCAGAGCCACACACCACACCGTCGACCCCGACTCTCCTCGCCTCGAGCCTCCCCTGCTGTCCTCGCAGGCGCCTGTTCGATGGGCTTTCTTACTCTCTTTCTGTAGCGACCACGGCCTTTGTGCAAGTGTTCGCATTGTTCCCCGGCCTATCCTTTGTCGTGCGGCCCCCCGATCTCCGCTCCCCACATGTCTCGCGCTCCGGCTGTATCATCGACCACGACTTACGGCCTACCGACATCAACTCTGGATCCATATCCCACCACGTCGCATCCACAAGCCGCCGACTCTAGTCGCGTCGCCTAACACTTTCAGACACCATGGCGACCGCAATCTCCAAGCCTACCTCACACCCCCCTAAGATGAAGCGACCGCCCCCGCCTTTCGTTCAGACCGGAGTCAACGGAGTCAAGTCCCAACCACCCTCCTCCTCTCCTCCTTCCTCCGCCAAACGTCTTCCGGGCGCCGGTCAACCAGCTCCGGCAGCCTCCGCAGGCGGTCCGACGATAAATGGCGCCAATGGCGCGGCTAATCCGGGAACCGGCCCAAACAAGGGACCGCTGAACCGGCCCAAGAAGGAAGCGCAAAAGCCTGGGGACCAGGCCACGCGAACACAGAAACCTCCGCTCAGGGCTTTGTCCATTGACAATGATCGCCGGGCAGGGAACAGGTGTCCCGAGCCCTACGGTGAGCTCCCGCAAGGCCCACATGCGGAGCCCCTGTGAACTGACCATTGGATCCATTCTAGTCAAAACCTCGTCATACATCCTCAAGAAGTTCGCCAAGTTGCCTCCCTCCCTCATTCTACATCTCCACCCGACTCATTTCCGCTTCGAGCAACAAGATGGCAGCTTCCCTTATAACTCCGAGATGAAGGTCATCATCGAACATATCCGGGCCGGAACCGTTCCTCATGATATGATGGAGGAGCTGTTACGAGCTAATGTTCGATTTTATGAAGGCAGGCTATTCAATATCTCAGCAGTATCTGTGCATGTCGGACTTGGCTAACTGCTTTATAACCTGCAGGCTGCCTTATCGTTCGCGTGGTTGATCACAAGTCGGTATCAGCCCAGACCCGGAAATCAACAGCACCGTCATCGAAAGAGAGTAACACACCATTCTCAATTCATAACTACAATGAGCACGTGACACCGTCTGCCTATGTACCCTACCCGAAGCAGTCCCAATTATCCCCGGAAAAGCCGGGCGCGAAGGATACTTCGTCCAGTCAGCCCGATGCAAAGACAAACGGCGAGCAGGCCGGTCACTCTGAGAACCATGCGGATGATACAACGTCGAACTTTTCCCAACCGAAACAACCTCCGAAACCTCGAGTTTTCACTACCGTCCTTCATCCTACTCCACGTTCCCTACAAGCAGAGCTGACCCTGCTTGCTACTACACCCGACCCGAAAGCGGCAAAACAGCCGGCGTCTAGTGCGACGTCCCGCCCTCAGCCTTCCTCGTCTACGGCTCCTCCGTCCCCCGGGGCCAATCAAGCTGATCGCGGGCATGTTGCCAAGCGACAGAAGATGCTAGTTGAGCCGCAGGACTTTCTGGAGTGCGAATCCCGGCTAACAAGGGCGCTGGCCCCTCCTCTCTTCTTGGACCCTGTAAACAGCTTCGATGCTGCACAAGATCTTCTGAAGTACATGGAGAGCCCGCTTCACCGCGAGCCGCCACCGTCACCCAAGCGGAGAAAGCGTACCGTGGCTGAGCTTGCTGCCGACGAAGCGCTGGCGGCCGAGGAAGAGAGATTCATGCTCATCATGGACGAGCGACTGGAACCAACGAATACAGGTGGTGTCGGAGGGCCGAAATCCGCGGTCGTGGATGATGCCGGCGGCAGTGCGCCTTTTGAGCCGCGGTTCTCAAGGTTCAAGACGCTCGAAAACATCCGGATGCAGCACGAAGAGAAGGCCAAGCGAGAGCACGAGATAAAGCTGAAGCAGGAAATGGCCAAACGACAACAACAGGAGCAAGAAAGGGAGCGGCGCCGGGTTATCGAGCAGCGACAGGCTGAAGAGCATGCCAAGGAAGAAGCCCGGAGACAGCATCTCGCCGCGCAACAAGCTCAAGCACAGCTTGCGGCGCAGCAGCAGCAGCAGCAGCAGAATCGGCATGTTATGGCACAGACGAACGGGGTCAGTCAGGGACCGCAGTCTTCGCCGGTGGTCCGCAATCAAACCCCTCATCACACCTCCTCGCCGCAGATTGGTAGCACAATAGCAACGCAGGCAGGCGTCCCTATGAGCATGACAGCATCTATGCAGGGTGCCGGAAGCCCTCCAAGGCCACCATCTGCGTTGCAGCACGCCCATCCTACAGTTATGAGCCATCCAATGGCGCCTTCCAGGAGCCAGCAGGGGCAAAGCCGACATGGAACTCCGCAGATGACCCAGGGAACGCCGGCAATGTCCCATGCTACGCCCATTATGCGCAATGTCACGCCGACGCAGCGGATGAGTCACGCCAGCCCCAGTCATTCGACCATGGCCCCGACTCCTGTCATGAATCAAGCGACCATGATGAGCACGCCTCAAATGAGCGGTGGAATGAACTTGACGCCTCAACAGCAGCAGCAGATGTTACTGCATCAAAGACAACAACTCCTCGCACAACAAGGACAGATGGTGCAGAATCAGTTCCCCCCCAAACAACTCGCGCAGATGCAAGCCAATGCACACGCGCAGCAGAACATCCAAGCCCATCAACAGCAGATGTTACAGGCTCAGCAACAAGGTTTCCCGGCACAGACCAAGTTCTCGAATCCGCAAGCATACCAGGCTCAGATGATGCGATCGCAGCTTGCCCAGATGCAATTAGCCCAGCAACATCAACAACAGCAGCAACAACAACAACAGTCACAAGGCCAGCAACCACAGCCCCAGCAGGGACAAGTACACCAAAACAGCCCACAACTGAACACTCAGCAACAGATGCTAATGGCAGCGGCTCAGGCCAACGGAGGTCATTTGCCACAGAACATGCAAGGAGTGAATATGGCACAAGGCGTCAATATAGCTCAGCGCTACACCCAATTGTATCAACAACGATTGCTACGACTCCGGCAAGAAATGGCCAGCCGGTTGATGCCAACGTACGGCCCACCCAATCAGTATCCAGCGCAAATTGCACAGCAATATGGAGCCGGGCTTGAGCGAAACGCCAAACTCTGGGTTCAAGAGCTCATGCGACGAGAACGTGATGCTGCTCAACAGCAACGTGCCTCTCAGGCTGCTGCTGCTGTCCAGGCCCAGGTGATGCAGCAGCAACAGCAGCAGAACATGATGCAAAACGGCCGGGGGGCGTAGTTCCTATCCAACCTCTTCTCATTCTTCTATCTTTTTCTTTTTTCTTTCCATGCCCTCGGGCTATCCTCACTTTTGACTTCTACCTATTTATGATTCCTCATCATTATATTTTTTTTTCTATTGGAGTTGGACAGTCCATGGTGCTTCATTCCAACACCACACGATCTCCCATTGGTATCTTCTTTCTCAAGACTTCATTTTTTTTTCCTTCACTTTTTCTCTCTCTCTTCTATCTTGCTACATTTTGAGACTGTGCATAAGGATTTGGGACAGCCCGAGGCAAAAGAGGTTTGGCGTTTTTGTCTGATTTGGACTTTGTCCTTTTTTTTTCTATTTTCGCTCCTCTTACTCTTTTTGCTTATATTTTTCCTTGGCATGCTTTATCTGCTTGTTTTTATTTTATTTTTTCAGCTGGTTTGCGTTTGGCGATTTGTACCACTCGGGAAAGGGCTTGGTTGGTTGAAATTTAGGGGGAGCAAGGATCACACAGACTTGATACCACTTTGTACAGGTGTCCCCTTTTTTGAGTTTGCTTTTGAGTTGCTGTTCGATAACGAATCGGAGTGAAGAGTGAAGATATATTTGTTATGACAATCAATCAATTTATATGATCGTATTTGGTCGAGCTGACTATATGGTATCTGGCTAGTGTTTGTAGTTGGGTTCAATTTATATTTGGTCGAGTCTGGTCGAGTAGATAGATAGTAGATAGATAGATATGTACATGTGCATGCACATGGGCCTGGGATGAGAGGCGATGAGAGTCATCCCCAAGAGTAGCAACCTCGGACATTACGATTCATGACATGAAGCTGCTCTGAAAGAGCTGAAAATCATGTCCTTGTTATTAGTCAGCAGTGATTACTCTGATATCACGGTGTATGTGTATGATAAACCGCTTAAGTACCATAATCAACAACCTACGCACACACAGACAGAGAGGGAAGAGAAGGGAAGAGGGGGAAGGGGGGGTAAAGCAAAAACAACACGAACACCTCTAAAACCATTCTGCCAAAAAATGTTCAAAAAGGTCCTGAGGCAACAAAACCATCAACACCACCGCCATTACTATAGAACGCCAACCACAAGTCCAAACTCAGTGATTTCGACTTATCGTGCAGTCGGTCAGTCAGTAAGTCCACGTACTGTAGTAAGTAGTATTTAGATTCAGATAGATTCAGATTCGGAACGAAAGAAATATTCCAGGCAGGTTGGGGTTTCTCTCACCAAGTCGGATGGATCTATTTAGATATATATCTCTAAGGAACTAGACGATGCTGCTTGACTAGAGAATAGAATGAGGGGATAGGGAATATAGATATAGTAGATGGATACCGGCATCTGGTTATGTATTAGGTGGTTAATAATCTCTTGACTTGTAGACATCAAGGTACGAAGTAAACCCGTCTATTTTTGTGGAGAGATTGGAATATAGTAGATTCGAGTCGAGTTCTTCTTGCGGGTTGTGTTGGTGTGTATTGTCGGGGAGGAAATATGGATATAACTGATAACTGCAAGCGAACTGAAGCTCTTCGTGGATATACTGTTAGATGATGGGAATGATTATGGTAGGGTGATACTATGAAACGAACGAATCGGTCGAGAGGATGGCTATTCTTGCTGTAGTACTACTATGTTAGGATTTACAATATATATATATACTACACACATTTATAAAAAAAGGTGGATTTCCGTAAGAATCGAACATATTATCACAGAAGTATCTGCTCCTTCATATCTAATTCCCACTCATATCAGACTTTGAGTTGTGAGATATGTATGTATATGGCTGGGTAAAGAGAGAGATGAATAGACAGATGGATAGATAGATAGACGGGTTGTTACTTACTGTTAGATGCGCGGAACGGTATCGATCTATCTCTATTACATCTAACTAGTTAGCTTCAGACTAACTAGATAATTTACTACTGAATGTATCATCTGCATCTGCTATTATCTTCGAGAGTAGATACTCCAGACCAGCCCCAAAGTCATTCTACATACATCTTGTTGCAAATGACATTCTTAGTAGTATATATATAGTATGCATGGGTTGGTTGGATGAATGGATGAGTCTCATAGATCGATCGGGATACCCGTCGTGGATGATCCGACATTCCATTCCGCTCTGTTCCGCGCTGCTTTACTTACTGTACTAAGTACTAGTCCGCGCTGCTCTGCTCTGCTCTGCTCTGCTCCTCACACCATACCACTCTCCCACTGACGAACTTTTCTTTTCTTCCAAGAAACTATCAACATAGTTCCATAGCCAGTAAAACCAGCAGACAGAGAGACAAACAAATAATCCAAACAAACATACCATATCATCAACACGGCAGCATGTCCTCCGCACCATACTAAAAAGAAAAAAAAAAATCAAGATCCGAAATGAACCACGCCCACAGCCCACTACGATGATCTACAGATCTACAGTGATCTCCACTGCATACATACATACTGTACGTGCGCCATGGTCTCAATCTACCCACCTACAGGCCTACCCACGGACAAAATTATGTGGGCCGAATTGGGAAGAGAGAGGGAGGGAGGGAGGGAAGGACGGACTCCGTAGCGAAACGTAAACCAGTTCCAACTTTCCTAGACTGATGTTGAGTTTGTGGCCTGTGTCACTGTTGCATGGATGAAGCAGCTAAGGATGCATGTATGTATGTATGTGGGTGGGATTGGGGGTTGCGCATGGACCCTGAGTGGAGGGAGGAGTGGGCTAGTCCCAGCTGAAGATGCTGTGTGGGCGGGTTGTTAGTGGATAGGTTTTACTTTTCAGGTCGTCTGCACATTCCAGACAGTAGGTACATAACGATAATGGGGCTTTCTGAGGGTGGTGTTGATGTGAGATTGCACTAAGGCGGTTTGGCTTGGGTTGGAGATGCTGAAGCTTGGAACTGGCACTCGTACGGGAACTTGAACTTGGAAGTGGGCTGGCTCCTGCTGGGTTCTGGGGTGGATTGGTCGCAGGGCAGGGCAGGGTAGGGTAAGTTACTAGGTGGATATCTACTCCGCATCACATCCTGGTTTGGATTTCTCTCCTCCCTGCCTGATTCATGGGCGGTTTAGGGTTTGGTCAATCTATAGTGAGTGTGAAATCCCCTGGGGGAGGGGGGGGGGGGGGGTATCTCCAGTCATGTGGTGAGATATCTAGGAGAAGGACCCCTAGAACAATATATTAGCTAATAATCCAGGGGAGAGCCTGGAGAGGCAGGCAGGCCAGAGATCAGGTGCTGGGATCTTGATTCCCAGCCAATAGACTGCAAGTGGCACAACGCCCGAGGGAAGTCAATAAAATGACGTAGATGGGAATGGCCCACCTGATAAGAAACTGCGCGAGGACCGACTCGCACACCTTCCTTCTGCCATGCTCCCCAGACAGCCACCGCCGTTGGACCAGAACGGAAAGATAGGCGGTGTCGTGCACGAGTGCGTGGGGTTGGGGGGTGCTGCTGCTGCCGCCAATCCATAATCCAGATCAGCCGGGTTTGGCAAGCTTCCATAGGCCAAGGCCAGGAATGAGCCCTCGACGCCAATGCAATGCAATGCAACTCAAAATGGTGATATTGGTGGACTGATTGATGAGATGGTGGCAACCCGCCAATCGAAATCCATGCGCGGGTTCATTTATTGGCCGCTTCGGCAGACAAAGGGGAAAAAAAGCCTGGACGCAAGGGGTTCAATTAAGAGGTTGGATCGCCCGATTCGGATCCGCCCCTACAGGGCTCTCCACTCGCCCTCGAGAGGGGGCCCTGCCGCTGATAACTATAGGTCGTGTCTTGCATGAACAGTGATGAAACAGGAATAGAACGAAGCACGGGAGAGCTGCGCATCGCCTGAGACACGAATGAATGGGCCTCATTGTGCGACCTCGAGAGTTGATCTTGCTTCTTAATATCCCGTGGACTTTTCCCGATCGCCCATCAGCAGCCACCCAATCATTCAGATAGCCTCCAGAACAAGCTTGAGGAGGCCAGAAGAGGGTCCAAGCAGTAGCATCACCATCGGGCTCCAGTAGGTGGAATACCCCGACAACGTACCTGCAGTACCCAGCGATTGTCCTCCTGACCCTCCAAGAGCACATGCGGAACATATACTAATGATCATCCCATCTACACTGATCCTGCCGTCTCCCGGGGTGGTGGTAATCTCCTCGAAGAGCCGTGTACGGAGCTTACTGACCCGGGTTGAGAAGCCGAAGGTTCCGGGACATTTCCACAGCTGCGGTAGTTTAGAAGAAAGCAGCCGCAACTTACTCTCAAATCCCCTGTTGCGATAGCTCTGTCAAGAGAGCCCCTCTCTATGAGAAAGAGGATGTTGGTGATTCGTGAGCGGTCAGATAGTAGGTTTAGACTTTGATTTAGCATAGTGACTCTCGCCTCAACGGAGCTCTCTATTCTGAGGCGAGCAAGGAGAGCCTGTCATCTTAGATGAGCTGGATATTGCTGCCCAATGTAGTCCAGGAAACGCCATTTTCACCAGATATCTGTTCTGTTGTTGTTCTGTTGACCCTTCAGTTTTCGATGGTCTTCTCTGCCTCATCTCTAGAGGGTCGATCACTAACGAATGGAAAATATAAGTGTACCCTGTTTATGCTGAAGATAAATCGACGGACCTTGCAGAACATCAACAAAGAAACTGCCAAAAGGGGGAAAGCGTGACCAGGGCTTGAGGAGCACAGCAGGGGGGGGGGATGATTAGAGATCAAACTAAGAATAAACATCGAGTCTAGCCCATCAGCCATCAGCCTTGTCTGTGATCAGAAAAGCCTTCTTATCACGTTTACAATTTCAAGATCTAAAAAATTGGCCCGGATCCAAACAAGGGTCTGGAAGTGGCGCCCCCATTGTTTGTCTTGGCCGTTGTCTGTTGGAGACCGATAGCAAGCCAAGCTCCCCACATCCGCATTTGAGGGCCCGGGCCGCGGCTGACTTGATCTGGGTTCAATATATTGATCGGTAGTAAGAAAAGATCATGAAGGGAGAAATCATCCAGGGATCAGAGTCGTCATGGGTCTTGGCAGCATCATCAATGCAGTGGAGACGAATCTCACCGCAGGAACCCTTTTGAAGATCTCAACGCCCTTGAATTGTCCGGTTAGCTCCTTGCAACACACAGGCCCGTGCTGAAGACTTTTCGTCGTTCGGGCTACAGGGATCTGGATCTGTTTGTTTTCGCGGCGAGCAATGACGTACTGGTGAAGGATTGTCTCGGCAATTGTCCTGAGAGCCCGGTGGGTAAGTAGCTTGCATAACTGCCAGATAGATACATCTTTGCCTGATGTATCGAAGCACAAGCTGCCGTCGAATGGACACCTATATCCTCGGGTAGTGACTGGCATTCCAATCCAAGCGGTCAGAGTGCATATTCTCAGCCGCATCAATAACAGCAAAGGGAACAAGGAACAGAACTTGGTCAGGGCTTGGCCTTATTTCACGAGTCAAACCAACTATTGGACTAGGAAACCTTTTCCCGGAGAAAACCGTGGGAATTCTGGGGACCAAAAAGAGCCTAAGCTCAATTGAAGATCCGGGGTTTGATCGAGGCATTAATTATTCCTAGTCTGATAATAGGACAGCCACAAAGGCATATGTGACGTCAGTATCCCTTTAATGATCCGCCAGGATACATGGTCGCCGACCAAGATTGACTGAAACGCGGTGAGTTCGGGGTTCCATGACCAACGGAGCCCGGTAGAGACCGGGCGAGATATAGTCGTGAGAATAGGACTTGCACACCCCGTCATCGGAGTCAACATCCAGACGCGGGTAAACACTGCTACAGGTCCAGACCCGCCAGAATAATGAGTGGAAAAAGCAGTTGGGCTGCGGGATTACCTTTGTGGCTAAGCCATTGTCTATGAGCCACAGCCGTTCATCCTGACCAGGAACCATGATGGCCGGGATCATCGACGCGAAGTACCCAGCTTGGCAAGTGAAGTCTTCGAGAACTTCGAATATTGGCGATTCATGCTTGAGGTGCACACCGTAGGTCGCAAAATTTTGGGAAGGTGGTGTGCTATCGACCGTGTCTGGAACAATCTCTAGCATGACGAGTCACTAGTGGCTGAGAGCGGTGGCTCAGTAACGCTCTGACAATGTGGCTGAGCATATTCCAGTGAACGCAAGAGTTGTCGTCGAATGAGACCCTAAGAATAGCAAGAGTATTGATTATAATGAGCGTCACGGAGTACGCGCCCCCATATTGTCCGCTGTAAAGTACAACTGATATCTAAGCAAAAGTCGACCTTCTCCGCAGACTCCGCTCCAAGAGGCTTGACCCAATGGACCCGGTGGATCTGCATCCCACCATGGATCAGTGTGGGAGGCCAATTGAGCTTAATAATGTGTCCATCGCGGTTTGATACGAGCTTTGATCAGGGTATGGTCGACCAGAACCAGCCTAGTGGGTATGTGTTGGTTGAAACTGGAAAAGCGGATGGCTCGACAGGGGAGCTGTCAAAGCCCCCGACAGATGCCGTTCGTTAGTGTTGCACCGGGAGCAAACTTTCTTTCTTCGTGGCGTCAATGAGGACCCATCCCCTTTGTTCACACTCTCCCTGTCCAGACCTAGCGAGGGGCTCTGGAGGAGAATTGATGCTGAGGGAACTGATGGGGTATCCATTGTTCACGCCAAAATATTACGTTCCCTCGTATGGGTATCTTGATGTTCCTCGACATGACCACACTAATGAAGCTAGTACCTTGAAAAGGTAATCCAAATGCCGATAAGCATATTCGAATCCATGGCGCGTGGTTTCAGGTTGCAACACACAAAGACTAAGACATGGTCGTACCGTACCTTGTCTTAGGTTTGAACGTGACATTGCGGCGTTGATCGGGCCATGGGATCAAATTATCGAGGAGATCCGACCGTCCATTGAGACAGAAACATTACACCCCATCATGGGAACTCGGGTCTAGTGTACTGGAGGACGCGGTGCTCCCTTGAGTTCGCATGCTTGGAGGCCAACGAGTGCTCCGTAGTTACGGCCGATCGGTTGAGGAGCATGTCGGTTGCCGACGGTTTTCATAGAGCACCCACGATGTTCGGAAGATACAAGCGACCGGGACAGTCGCCGCTGAGTTCAGTGGCGATGCAGAGAAGATACCAGATCAGTCGAATGGACACAGAAGGAAGCAAGCAACGTGTCCAACCAATTGACTTGTTTTGCCGATGGCTTCACTTCGGCATGGCGCCATGGGGCTCATCACCAGTCCAAGCATCGGGGTGACGCGTGACAGGTCAGAAACTGCGCGGTCTCACCAGTGGGGACAGTCATGACGAGGAGGAGCCATCACTGGGACTCGAAGAACTTTCTATCACGCTCACGCCGGAGGGTGGCGGATCATACTACTCGAGCAGAGGGAGTATAGTATGTCTGCTGCCTGCTTGGGAGCTGGTCTCAGCATGAGCGCGCGACCGTTGGGAATGGACGAGAAGGAGGAGAGAGCCGGGGCCAGACTGATTTGACTGGCAGTCACGGGGGTGGCCGGACTGTACAGGTGGTACGTACGTATGTAGCAAGAGCGAAGAATCGAGACAGGAGGGAGGTATGATAAGGACGATCGTGGATGACTCTGTCGCAGTGAAGCTGGAGTCAGTTAGCAGGCTAAGAGGCTAAGAGGCTAGCAGCGAAAACCCCCACATTCCAGAGGGACCACCAGCAGAGTGCAGAAGAGAGTGCAGGAGTGCAGAAGTGCAGAACAGAGGAGTGAGACTCAGTCAGGACTAGTCGGAGCGTTCCTGGAGGACGTGAAGGGCCCGAGTGGCTCGGCTGGCATCTGGCAAGGCTGGCGGGTTTCTGATAGGTGCGGCCGGGCCCCACCGAGGCTGGGTTTCGAACCTTTCACAGGACCGGATTGGATACGTGAGACGCCGGCCACAGCCAGGCCTTCATACTACGGCATACACGGTTAGTACTCCGTATCTCTCCAAGTACGTACTCCGTATGATGTGCGTTCGATCAGGGATCGTCGGCCAAAGCGCCTCCCCGTTTCGGCGGCTGCTCCTCATGCCTATTCCAGTCGATCCCAGAATGGAGCATGGGAGGCACCGTACAGACAGACTACAACACACCACAGAGACCAAGCACTCAGGCCCAGTACCTTACCCGCCACGGTAGATTCTTCTGCGCCATTATTAGTTCCGAGACACCACCACCTACGCCTACGCAGGAGGTACCTACTACATACTATCTAGGTAGTAGGTACTAGTGATACTTGCCACGCAGTACTGGCTACTAGGTACATACTACGTATGTACTTACCGGTTCAGCCTTCTGGCTGCACTATCCCGGCATTGTTTACCAGTGAGTGCAAGGTACACTCCCGTACCACTCAATCACCCCCATTCCATGGGGGCCATCCATTTCGCGTAAGAAAGTATCCAGTTGGCTCCATGGGATAGATTCGACTGGTCTGTACGTAGGTAGTTGGCACTAGTCAGGTCATTATTAGGACCTAGTAGGTACTCGAACAGTTGTGTACAACGAAGGCAAGTCGGTCGGCCGAGAAAGGTGGTACGAGTCCTGTTTGGTTACCAGTGCCGAGAAGATATGCAAACCGGCCGGGCTGGTTGGTTCTGGCACCTACGGCGATGTAATATTCATCGTCCTTACCGTACCTTCCCTTCTTCCACCTCAGGCGGGCAGTACTGTAGTACAGTAAGTAGTACGGAAGATCGCTTCCCCTTCTCTTTGTTCTCTCGTATGCACCTCATCTCGTCCCGTCCCTTCGGATACCTACCAGGTCCTCATTACTACTACCTATCTATTCGCCAGACATTATCACTGAAGAATTGCCCAAGCGCGGCCAACCATGCCTGATTGACTGACTCAATCAACCTGCGATGTAAGTACTCAGTAGTATCTACTCCGTACAATCCGATTCTTAGGCGTGGACAGCTGGCCAGCCATCATCCGCCCGAGAACGTTCGAGGGTGGTCGGGATTCCAATCGGGATGCTGCCTACCTGCAGTCGAAAAACATACCTCGAAGATCAGGGCTCGCAGCTGCAGTTCGGGCCAGGTTTGCACAGACCCCGGTTCCAAGCAAACCAAACGGTGAATGTCGATTGTCGATTGTCATCTGGAAATAAACGCCCCCCCTTCCCCTCCAATATGCGTATGCATATACATGGGACGGTAAGCGGTAGGTTGTCGTAGGATTAGATCGATCCATGGAACGAACCCTGGGATCCCCACGGTGGGAACTCCCGAAGTACCTGACCCAGTGGATCGTCCCCGTACGGAAATACTACAATCTGACTACCAGATACCCCCCCCCCCCCCCAAACTAAGCTCTTACTAGTAAGGTAGTAGTCTGTTGTGATGTTTGCATGGGAGAGATACTACTTTGGTACTCCGCAGTATCAGGAGTATTCCTCCCGACGCCGTGGCTGTTTGCCCCCCCTCTCCCCTCCCCCCGCCTCTGATTTTACCTTTCCCTCTGCTGTCCATGACGCGAGTCAATGGATGACTATTGCTATGCGCTTTGCCTGCTTTGGGCAAAGTTCATACTGTCTCTGGTTGAGTGGAGCCATTAATCTCGACGGTCTGAACGTTCCTCCGCCGTAATGTCGGTGCCGCGGCGGTCGAAGGGCGGGTATCTGTTGCCGTTTCGAACGATGCCGTGGAGTTTTGACCGTGGTCTAGACGGTGGCGCTGGAACCAGGAGGCGATCGCTGATGAGAAGGGAAGCTGTGGCGTCAGAAGTGTACCTGCACGGCGTCCCAAACATCTCCTCCATACCATCAGGGTGTAGATCCGGATGAATCATTGAGAATGAGAGAGGATAGTGGTCGTGATAATGATAATGATACTGATGATGATGATGGAGATGTTTGAGATGATGACAAGAGCAAATACCATGATGACGGCGGTGATGTCGGCAAAGGGAAACCTGTTTTACCCTCCCTATCTCTGCCTACCAGAGCATTTGTGTTGGCCTTGGGGATCAGTATGCGGAAGTGTTTCATTGCCGACGCGAAACCTCCAGCTCCACATGGAGATTCACCAGCGATGCCGATCACTCAGGGTCTCTACGGCTTACTGATCGTGGGACAGACCCTCTCACCCCAGAGCAAGTCGGTCGTACGACAGCCCTGAAGGAGGAATGGGGGGGGGGGGAAGAAGATGTTGAGGTTTTACTTTCGATAGCCTACTTGCAGCTGGCAAGCACAGTGATACTAAGGTTTGGGATGGAGTGGGTGCGTCCTGCTCGGGGAAGATCCCGAGCATCTGGCTGATGAGGGTGATCCAATTCCATGATCCGCGTTAAGGTTTAGGGGAGGGCCCCAGTGATGTGCTGTGCTCTGACATTCGAACATTCCATCGGCGGTTCTCCTCCATCTGCGCCTCATGCATTTCATTTGTGCGTTTCTTTTTCTTGTTCTGGTCGGGAAGTGATGCTGTGGATCATGCCGGCGGGACTGGAGGGGAAGGGAAGGAACAGGGCATGACCAGCGTGGCCGCCGATGGGATCTGCTGGCAACAATCGATTGAGAGATCGGATGGTGATGATGGTTTAGTGGTTAGGTAGATAGATAGGTACGGAGTCGTACTCATTCAAGAAGCATGAGGGAATGAATCCGTAACATGACGACGATCCACTTGATCCGAGGAAGGAGGGCAGGGCAAATCGATCCTTCGTACGGGGAGTACCTATTATCTATTCTATTATTTCCGGGGGGCGAGATCACCCAAATCAAGACTCATGACGCCGGGGTTCCAGGGAAGATTCGAATGTTCGGAAGCCCGGTTGGTTCCCCAGGAATGATCAGGCCAAAATACCTCCCCAAGTACTACGACTGACTTCCGACCATAAGGTGGTATCGGTATCGGCGAGCATTGAATCCCCCAAAAATGTAGTACTAGACTCTAGCTCAGCAAACCCTATGTATTTTTTTTTTCGGGGGAGATTTTTTTTTTTTTTTTTTTTTAATTCAACGCAGAGAAGTAAATTCGAAAAGAAAATAGAAACCAAAATAAAAATAAAAACCAAGGCAAGAATCCAGCCCAATCGCGGAGGCTTAATGGCTACGTGAGGGATGTGGTGCTCTGCTGGTCTGTTCGATTCTGTTCTGGGGCTTCTTGCCGGCCGTCTCCTGCTGCGTCGCCCGAAACAGCAAATCGACGATTGGGAAAGGGTGGCCATGGCCTGAATGGGATTTCCCTTCCCTCTGCCCCATTTAACCCAATTTAAACCCATTTCAACCATTGACCATTAAACATTTCCCCATTAAAATTTCCCATTTAACCTCCCACGGACTCCCCAGATCCTCCCCTGCAACACCCCGCCAGGAACCCTCGGCCTTGGAAACTCGGTGCAATATTAGACAAATTTACGCTTTCATCTAATAATCCTAAGACATCCTGCCTGTTCACTTGCGTCCTCCTCCCAATTGTATCCAGATCCCCTTGCTGGACCAGCCTACCTTTCCTATAACTACATCCCTCCGCTGCAAGTGAGACAGGACCCAGTTCCCAGTCCACCGTCCACCGTCCACCGTCCACCGTCCACCGTCTCCAGTCCAGTCCAGTCCAGTCCAGTCGCCAGTCGCCAGTCGCCAGTCGCCAACCGCCCGTCAATCCAAGCCCTCCCTCCCCTCCCTCCCGCGAGCAAACCGCGTCTAAGGGCGGCTTATCGAAACCCTACCCTCCTCCGAATCTATCGCCATCGCGTTGATCGCAACCCTCCTCCACCGAGCCCAGAGCCCTGCGATACGACTGACACGCCCCCCACTCCCCCCCGGTGTCTTTTAATCCAGAGACAGTCGCGCCTCCTAGGAAACGAACCGCTCCGTTCCCCAATCCAGGACCGTTGCCTCTCCCAACTAGGCCTCGCCGCGGTTACTACAGGAACTCTATAGTCTACATTCCTGGCCTTGCGTAGGCCCTCCCACAAGGAACGCGACGCGCCTCTCTATTTTCTCGCCCCAGGTCTCTCGTCGGGCCTCTCCTTTGGGGAATAGCTTAGCTAGGTGATGGCTTCTGGGTGTAAGTGCGATCGGCCCTTTCTTTCCGTCCCAGATATATGGCCGGCCGATTTGTTTATTTCATCTCGCCGGCCCTCCTCCTCCATTCCCCAACCTCACATCCTTCCTCTCTTTCTTCTTTCCCTCCCTCCAGCTAGAGGTGACCGTCCTTCATTCCTTCCTTGGTGCAGCCTGCAGCACCGTCCTTCCTTCACACATTCCTACCGTCACTCTCCCTCGGTACCTCGCGGTGCCATCATCTGTCTCTCACTCTGTACCTGCATTGATCTACTGCCTCGCACTTGTACATCGCCTTTCCTTGGACCTTGCCACATTCCCTGCTATTCTAATAATAATCCTCCCGCTTGTGTCATACATCATCATCGCCTTGTGCACTACATACCACTCCTTGACTGCTCTTTGCACCATCCCACTTATCAACCAAGAGAGACTCCAACTGCCAAAGCCTCTCTCTCTCTCTCTCGTTCAACTTCCCTTACCACAGAAACTAAACTATACCTGGACAGGTGCAAAACTCGACGTCCCTTCTGCCCTGCCGCGAAAGGACCGTGCAATTGACGACGCTGAAGAGATGCGATCCCAGGGTAACATGTCCGATCGCCTTACCATCGAAGTCGACTGTTCCAACGAGTGCCCCTCTATGGGCTCTAGCTTTTCGCCGTCCGATTCCGGCACTCCTACCCCGACCAGCGTATACAGCCACGGATCCCTCGCCTCGCCCACTTGGCACGAAGGCATGTCCTTCCCCAACCAGGCCTACGGGCGACACACTGGATCGACCCCCATGCGCAGCGCCTTTCGGTTGGCGAGCATGACATCGAACGACGGCATGGGTATGCCGTACGGAAGCATGGAGGCACAAGAGCGGATGCCAATGGCCGACTTCCTCTCGGGATACGACGACAACGTGGAGCCGCTCTGGATGCCCGAAGGACCCAAGACATACGATCACGGTGTTCAAGGCTTCCAGTACCCGCAGCCCATGCACCAGTATCCGACAATGGCCCGGCACGATAGTTATCGCCAGCATTCTGCGCCATACCTGCCGGAGTCTGCGACAAACCCATGCCTGTCGCGGTCAATCTTCCATCAGTCCGAGAGAATCCCTAGCTCAATGTCGATGAGCAACATGATCCCTTGGATGGCGCCGCAAGGTGATTCGATTGCCCCGCAGACCATTGCGCCGTCGCAGGTCACTCCCGTCACTCCCCCGCCATCATACTCCGAGTTCCCTGCCCTCGGAGGCTTCAAAGCACACCCACCCACAACCCCAGCACGGTCTTGCTCCATGGGCACCGCTTCTGGGACCGATACTCCCATGAGCCGTCTGTCAGGAGGCATGGACTACCTCGACGACTTCGGGGAGTCCCCAGTCTACCGCGATGGCCTCGTCCGAGTACAGCGTCAACCCTCGAGAAAGACTGCCCGGAAGCAGTCGTCCAAGCAGAGCTTGAGCCTCGAGAACCTGCCCTCGATCATCAAGCAAGTGCAGTTCAAGTGCAAGGAGCCTGGGTGCAAGGGGCGCTTCAAGCGGCAAGAACACCTCAAGAGACACATGAAGAGCCACTCCAAGGAGAAGCCGCATGTGTGCTGGGTGCCTGCGTGCCACCGGGCGTTCTCGCGGAGCGACAACCTCAACGCGCATTACACGAAGACCCACAGCAAGCGCGGTGGCCGAAATCGTTATGTCGCGACACTGGACGAGAACAGCCCCGATTACAATCCGGAGTTCCGCGGGCAATTGACCCCTGACGGGCGACCGGTTTACAACTCCAAACTCGAAGACTCGATCTACGACGCCCGTGAAACAAGCGAGGAAGTGTTGTAGGCGTGAGCAATCCCGGAGGTCCCATGGGCGGGCCAAAACATGATACCCCTGGGCAACCAGCTTGCCGATTCCCTTTTTGGTCTTTAGATGGGCAGACACACAGGGCCGGACAGACCCGGCCGGCGCTTCGCGGCGTTCTTTGTAAAACATTTCTGGTTATATACACCGGACGATTGATTGATTTCCTTTGTTGACTTGAATATTGCATACCATTCTACTTTCCTTTTCATTTCTTTCCTTTCTTTTTTCTCTTTTTTTTTTTTTTTTTTTTTTTTTACCTTTTTCCCCTTGGAACTGAAAACATGAGTGGGGACGGGAGGCTTTTTTCCTATATTTGGATAATAATGCATTGAAATGGCCGGGCTAAAATGGAAGGCACCGCTTTGTACGATCGGAGTGAGCCGAGTGCGTTGTTTTCGATCGGATCGGTCTCATTGACTACTGAACACTATACAAGATAATACAATTGGATATCAAAGTTCTTCTGGAAAACAAGGAAAGCGGGGGGAAGAAACAAGGCAGTAGGGACTAGTCGTCCGATGCGGACTCCATGTGTCCGCTGTGTGGACGCCTATTTTTGTCGGATATCTGATGCGTCAGGTTGGTCGAGGGCTACGAGGGCTAGCGTGGCCTCCAAGATCCAGCACTCGATTGTTGAGACGTGTCACACTGTCAGGATTGTCTGGGTGTGCTGTGTGAACAGTATCGATGGCTTTACTATTGTTTACTGTCTACTTCATTCCTGCACCCCTATGCTACGGTACTACGGTACTACTGTACTAACCGATCATCATTGTCAAGACATTTCACTGACCGACGGGGATTCCCCCCCCCCCAGGCGGTGATGATGTATCAGGTACCTACCAGGTAGTACTACACAATAGTATACTACCTACCGTAGGCGAAAGTGTATCATACTGTATGTATGCCCCGTCGATCTTCCCCACCGCGACTCCCATGCCCCATCGCCCCACATTCCCAGGCAATGGCATTGTCCCTATTGGCGGGAAGTCTACCGCTTGTCAATGCCTCAGTCCGTCCAGTTTGCGGCCTGTCGATTCCGATCCCTTCTGCAGTTGCCGTGTCAGGATGCGACCAGTCGACTTTCCCCCCACCGCGAATTCCAGCAACCGGGATTCCACCTGAGCTTACTGCCGTCCCACATGCCAGGTCCCATGACGGTTACTGGTATTTCTCCCGTGGTTATTTATGGTGCCTGGAATGGTCTCATTATTACACTTACGTTACTCCGGCGAGATCTCGGATGTCTGGATGAGGTTCACCGCTCCTATACCAGTGCGATCCCCGTTATCCATCAATCAATCATGCCTCGAGTCATGCTTCGACTTCGGTGCAGAGGAGCCCGCCTCACCAGGCTCGGCTCCACTCGCTCGCTCGCTCGCTCACCACCTCCCTCCCCATAGATATGTCGTCCGATGGATCTCGTGGATTCCTGCGAATGGACCAGACCGCTCCATGGATCGGTTGAGTCTCCTGAGGCGCTTGTTCGCAAATGCCGGGCATCTACAGTGAGAAAATGGTCTATTGCATTGCCATCGACTCGCCAGCATCATTGCATCCTTTGTGCCCTGTACACTTACCTTATGGGTAGGCTGCACCGGGCTCGTAGATCTGGTCTCACCTACGTGGTATCACGCTTCATGCTCGATAGACCTATCGGTGTCTAGATCTCACCTCTTCTTGTACAGACCAGGCGGGAGGAACCTGTAGTACAGCACCTGGGATGTTGGTTGGGCTCAACGACCTTCCTATCATTCATCCGTGGCATGGGTGGTCAACGACGCAGGTGAAATTCTACACATCCTTTGATTGTTCATCCTACACACTGACGGCATTTCAATTTAATGCCAAGGAAGATAAGTCAGCGGCGATAACTACCAACTCGGCGCAGTACAATGAACTGTCAGCAGTAGACTGCCCGCTGGATCCCGAGGACAAGCTCGCACGTTATACTGCCTGTTCCTGTACAATGGCATCTCACTGACTGCCTCACATTAAGACATCATCCTTGGCCAGGCTCAGCTACGACATATGTGCAGACACCTTGTTCTCATCCATATCCCGTCCCACCCTTCCTGTTGGTCGAGCGCCCACCAACAATCAGTCGTGCAGCCGCACAGACCTTCCATGCATGCTATGGAATGTGAACACCTCAAGCTCGAATCAGATGGCAGAACATGCACCTACGGCTCTACATCGACCAGCTCCAACGGCTATCGCGCCTTATCTTGGCATGAATGCTCAATGGTAGCGTTACTTCTACTCTTCCCTTCCATTCCGTGCAGTCAACGTGCAGAACGCCTCATTCTCACCACCCACAACCTATGAGCGCCTCCAATACTGATCCATTTATCTGATAGGAGAGTAAAAAACTCAGCTTCAATGCCACATGTACCCATACACAGCATATCAGCCGGCACGCGCGGAATAACACCACCTCCCGCACGCCCGTGCATCCAAGTAGCAGTGCATGAGATCTACCACCATCAGATACCACCCTCTCTCGATCTTCAGACCCGTGAGTGGTAGGGATCAAGTCTCGGAATGATAGATAAGTCTAGAACAGCGGCAGCGAACACCAGATCTCGCGCAACTCATGCACTGCGCCACCCACGAACTACCTATAGACCTGGCCATACTTATGGAACAACTCCAGTGCTGTACTCCGTAGTGAGCATACGGTAAGACCAGGGACGTATTCCTCCTCCGATCGTCAAACTCTGTTAAATTGCTAGTACGGAGTACTGCGTATCACCTATCTACTTACCACTCGCGACCTGGTGCATACATCAGATGATGATCTCACCGACTACTCGATACAGAATAGTCGGCCCTGCAGACCCTGCCGCGCCCTCAGCTGAACATACATACTACACGCCGTTGTATGTCACATAGCGCGTCGAATCTCACATAAGTATACGATGATCGTCTCGTCCACGACAGATCGTTCTCAATAGACGTCGCATGGACTCCGTGGGACGACTGCGCTATTGTCTGGATGTGATATCGCATGCAGTGTACCAAATGAGTGGTCTTCATGGTTGTATCTCGAGTGTTTTGCGAGAAGAGTTGTTTTTATTTTCATCTGTTCCTGCGGGAAAGGTTTCCGAGAGTGAGATTTGGTCGATTCAAGTACTATCTACCTCATGATGGTTGGTCGGCTGTACTGTAGGATGGGCGTGGAGACTGTATGGGATGATGGATCTGTCATATCTACACTTGCCATCGTTCTATCTATCTTTTAGGACCCCTACCAAGCAGAAACTCTGTCGCAAAAGATCTGCATTGCGATTGAACAATTCCAAGTTTGCTCCAAAACAAGCTGTCCGCTATACTTCATGCACAAGCATAACTCTCCACTCATAAACACATGACTAAGTATAATGCACAGGCTAAATCAGATTATGTAATATCACGAAATAAATACCCGCCCCCAGCAAAATCTTCACTTTCCCCCTCTGATTCCCCGCAGATGCCGTCCGTCAGTCCTCAATCCTCAGTTGAGAATTGAGGTGGCTACGGCTACGCAGCCCGAAGCTTTGAGATGATGTTCTTGAACCGGCTTTGCATCTACTTCTGCTTGTAGTCCTCTACTCTCCTCAACTTCACTCCACTCACTCCCATGATACGATTGATATATGGATGTGGATATGGATATGGATATGGATACCACTATCCTTGCTACTTGGCTATGTGCAAGTTTAGCGCTGGCTGATTCTCTTTTCTTTTCATTATCTGTTTGTTATTGTTGTGTCTGATGTTTGTCTGTTTGTTTGTTTGTTTGTCTGCCAGCTCTCTGTCTCCATTCTATGATGACCACCCTTCTTTGGCATGATGCAGATTCATCTGCGCTGAGTGCTCCATTTCAATATATCAAGCTCAACAGTCTGAGTTTGTGAGACGGGCTGAGCTTTGCTTTGCTTTGCTTTTCTTTGCTTTTGTTGTTATTAGATAGCTGTGCGGTCATGATTGCTGTCATATACCCTGACGGGCGTGTGTATAGCTGTCAAATTCTAGGCTATTTACATTTTATTTCATTATAGTACCATGGTTCATACATTTTCATCTCATCTCATCTCATCTCGAACCCCTCACTCAACCTCACACAACACACGAGGCCATTAACCCCCAATCTTATCCATTCCACCCACCCTCATTCCAAGTTAATAATACCTACAACCCCATCCCCAAAAACACCGTCTCCTCCTCCACCGGCGTCTCATAATACTTGCCCACCTCCACAAACCCCAGCGCCTGATACAACCTCCTCGGCCCATGCATATTCCGCAACGTATCCAGCCTCACCTCCTCATACCCCAGCTCCCTCGCCGTCTGCACCACCGCCTCTGCCAGCGCCCGGCCCACCCCCATCGCCCGCGCCTCTGGGATCACGTACAGCCGCTTGATCTCGCAGAAGCGCTTTCCGGGGAGGTGCGGGAGCGGGCGCAGGGCGACGCAGCCTAGCGGGGTCGGTTCGTGTTCATGTTGGTTCGAGGGGTCAACGCTGTACGCGATGAGGAGGGCGCCGCCCGGAGAGGCGTATTTTCCGGGAAGCGTAGCCAGCTCGGTGCTGAAGTCTTGGAAGGTCAGGTCGATGGATAGCCAGGATGCATAGGCGGAGAAGAGCGTGCGGATTGCGGAGATGTGTGTGGGGGTTGTCGCGGGGAGGATTTGGTAGGTGGACTTGGGTTGCGGGGGGTTGGTCATGTTTGGTTGATTGTGTTGTAGGTTTAAGGTGTTGGGAGGTTGGATTGAGAGGTTGGGAGGTTGGTTGGTTGGTTGGTTGGTTGGTTGGTAGGTGGTAGGTGGTAGGTAGGTGGTAGGTGGTAGGTGTGGTGTGGTATGGTGTGGCGTGGTAGTGTTGTGGTTGTTTCGATATCGCTTATGCAGGTACTAGGTAATAGGCATAGGTATAGTTGGCAATCTTGGTGCGTGGGAGGGATTGTCCTGCTGTGGAGGTCGAGGGTGTATCGTGATCGTGCCTGGATATATATATGCTTCTTCACGCGCGTAGATCTGCTATGGAGGCTGTTTGGTATAGATAGTAGATATCTTCCCATTTAATTCCCTCCGGCTATCGCGCTCAACGAGGGCTTTTATCCTCGCCAGGAAGGTTGTTTGACCGGTATCGGATCATGGCGTGTATGACTCACGGAGAGCCGTGGCAAACTGGTGCTCATAAATTGGAGGCTTCTGCGCAGAAAGATACCGATGGAGATGGTCGGCGAAGGCCATCGCATGGTGCTTGTCACTAAAAGGGCGCAGGCCAGGCCCGAAAGGGGATGCCGGTTTGTGCCTGAGGTCTCAGGCCTCTGCCTCAGGTTGAACTGGTTCATGCCTCAGGTTTCAAGATGGGCTCACGGGCTCTCGACCGGGTTCTCGTCCCTCTCCTTTTCGCTCTTTTCTTCCATCTTCTCTTCTTGTGAGCTGTCTATCAATGGGCCATCAGCATCATGGGCATTGCCAAACACTTAAATTTCTTCGACCCGGCAATTGAACTTGGAGAAGGCTTGGTTTTGTCTACTGTAAGATAATGAATGCATCTAGTGTTCCACTGCCATACTAATCTTGCGCAGGGAAAGGGTTCATTCTGCTGCTTACCACAGAACTAACCTCCATTTTAAGCTAGTGGTGGCTATAATACACCTGTCCAGCTCTAGCCGAAGCTGTCTCCATCCCAGGCTCAGATTCATCAATTTTCTTCTCCAACTAGCTCTCTAAGCGATGCCGGGCTATATTCGCTTCGCTACATCTCCACTCGACGGCTTGCACCGGATCGACCCCTCTGCGGTATCAGCTCGGAGACTTCCCTGCTCTTCTGCATATTTCCTCTCTCCATGTCTGCTCGCCTCCGACCTGACCCTCAACATCAGCTAACACCAAATCCGCCATGCCATGCCATTCGTCCACTCCTCACGGACAGCGGGCTCACGAAATTAATCCATCATTAGTTCCTGAAGATCCGCCTCCTCCCCACGAATCATCTCCTGGGCTAGGGGGACCCCGAAGGCCAGTGTAACCTTCTGATATGCATGCCGAAGTTAATTGCCTCAGACCTCCTTATCAACTAGCAGGTCTTCATCCTGTACCCGCACTTCGGGCTGACACCCCGAAGACGGCGCACCGACGGATCACCCTTTAAACCGGCTGCAGAGCACGGTGTTCCCGTTCGATTGGCCAATTCGGCTCCCCATCCTCACCAGGAGGCGGGTCCTCACGGCGTCATCCGCCCTCGATTACGCCTTCCCTTGATCCCGCAAATTAGCTGTTTCTTATCAGCACATGTGCCTTCAACCACCATCGAGATACTCCCATCCTCCTCTCCAGCGATGGGGTGAGAGGGCGAACGGTATGGGGCAGCACCCCGCCGCCACCTGTCTATAAATTGGAGCCAACTGCTCCCGACTTCCCTCATATCATCGCATCGCACTCAATCCTCTCCCGGACTAACGACGCCTACGATCATCATCATCATGTCTTTCCTCCCTTCCGTGGGCGTGCTCGCCCTGGCGCTCAGCTCCGGCGTGCTGGCTACCATCGATACCTGCCCGTCTGACAGCCCTCTGAGCTGCTCCAGCTCGACCACCGAGGCCTCCTGCTGCTACAACTCCCCTGGAGGCTCCCTCCTCCAGACCCAGTTCTGGGACTACGACCCGTCTGACGGTCTGTCCGATTCCTGGACCATCCACGGACTCTGGTATGCCCACTCTCCCTCAAACCCTTACCTCACCCATCGCTAACCCCCCTCCCAGGCCCGACAACTGCGATGGCACTTACCAGGAATACTGCGACGACGCGCGCGAGTACTCCAACATCACGGAGATCCTCGAAGCGCAGGGTCGTACTGAGCTCCTCGCCTACATGCAGGACTACTGGCCCGACTACGAGGGCGCCGACGAGGACGAGACCTTCTGGGAGCACGAGTGGAACAAGCACGGTACACCCCCCCCCCCCCCTTCCTTTTCGCATCCTGGTCAGTAAACCAAAAAAAAAAAAGCAAAAAGCTGACCCATGAACCAGGAACCTGCATCAACACTATCGAACCCAGCTGCTACACCGACTACTACGCGCAGGAAGAAGTCGGTGACTTCTTCCAGCAAGTCGTCGACCTCTTCAAGACCCTGGACTCTTACGGCGTAAGCACCCCCCAACCCCCCTTCAACATACCCATCCCCAAACCCAGCATCTAACAAACAACACCAGGCTCTCGCCAACGCCAGTATCGTCCCCAGCGAGGACCAGACCTACGAACTGAGCGACATCAAGGACGCTCTCGCCGCCATCCACGGCGGATACGCCCCCTACATCGGGTGCGAGGATGACGCTCTGTCTGAGCTCTACTACTACTTCAATGTGAAGGGCAGTGCCATTGGCGGTACCTATGAGCCGGCTGAGAGCCGTAAGTTATGCCTACAATCCCATCCCAGAAGAAGAGCGATACTGATGTTGTGGTCATAGTCGAGGATTCCGCGTGCCCCGATTCCGGCATTCGCTACCCTCCCAAGTATAGCAGCAGCAGCAGCAGTGGCAGCGGCAGTGGCAGCAGTGGCAGCAGTGGCAAGGGTGGCGGCAGCAGTGGAGGCAGTGGCCACGGCGGTGGCCGCGGTGGCCACTACAAGCGCAGCCAGAAGAACAGACTGAACTAGATATCTAGATCAGACTAATCTGGTTTGGTAGTCTGATGGTTCCGGTGGGGTGATGTTTTCACCTCGCCTCTTGTGACCGTAAGGCCACTCGAGGATGACCCAGACAGGGAGTTCCCCTAACAGAACGCGCGATGTGTGATGAAAAGTTGTTTGCTGGACTGTATACAAAGATTTGTACCGCAGAATGTGAGATGATAATTGTCGAATTTCTACATCGATAGTCTAAAATTGGAAGAACCAAAATTCAGTTTCAGAGTGCAGTTGTTGTTGTTGCCTAAGTCACCTTCTTCTCGCACACATGTGCAATTCGTGTCTCTCCATTGGCCAATGGCTCTATAGCATTCCTTCCGTACTCCGTACGTGGCTTTTAATTCTATATTGCCTGCGATCGTCTCGATCAGACCATATGAAGTCACAGCATGCCCAGAGCTGACGTTCATGACACTTAGCTAGTCTAGCCCGTCCGCCATGCAGGAATCAACAGGCAATATAAGCCTGTCCAATCAACGGCCTCCCTGTCTCCCGAGTCCCGTAGCGAACCACATGCTGCGTAAGTGCAAAGCTTGGGCTGTGGATCAGCCTTACGCACGTGTCGAATACTACCTCCAGCTATGGACGGTAGAGACTCTGCACGGATACTATGCGCATTAGGGTGGGTACTTCCAGCTCCGTTCGCAGTCTAGAAAGTCGGACGTCCGGGCGGGACGGGAATTCTGGCGGTGCGGAGCGGAGACGGCTGACGATGACGATGACAATGACAATGACAATGGTATTGTTATTGTCTTCGGGAAGTTCGGATGGAGGAAGCCCCAGGCAATGACGAGCCAGTATAGGATGCCTACGTAGGCAATGGCCGATTGGTGGAAAGATGAACCCCAGCCCCAGGATAGAGTAGGTAGGTGAGTAGGCCGGTAAGTCGGACCCGGTCTGTTTGAGACGTAACCCAAACCAGACAGACAATCACCTAAAGCCCCTTCAAGCGAGCATTCCTCCTCTCCGCCTCGACCTTCGAGTCCACGCGGTCCAAGAAATCCATCCGGCCCAAGAACCCCTCCTTCGCTTTGCTGTGGACATTGAGCTCGTCCTTGATGCCCGCTTGATCCACATACGCAGCCCAGTCCAGACGCGACTTCTCCACGGTATTGATTTTCGGCCCACGCGCGTTCTCCTGTCCGGCCGTTTCTGTTGCGACCTGCTTCTCCCAGCTCTTCTTGATCGAGCCGGTCGGGTTCGGGTCAAAACGTGAGGGTTTCCGAAGCGGTCTGCGCAGGTTCAGCGGGTTCGCGTTCGTCGTAAGGTCCACTCTCTCGATCGTGGTGCTGGTGTTCTCCGACCCCTTTTCGCCCTCCAGAAACAGCTTCGCTTCCGCGGAGTCCTTCGCAACGATTTTCTCCTCTGTGATCATCTCACCTGCGAACTTGTACGTCCTCTTGATCCTGATCATCTCCGGGGAATGGCTCTTTGGTGGTTGTGGTTGTGATTGTTGGGATCCCTGCCCGGAGGGGGTCGAGCTATCGCGCATTTCCACATCGTTCTGTCCCTCCGTAGTATCTGTATCTTTTTTCCCCGGCAGGATCCCATCGGGCGCGTTCATCTTCGCCCATAGCGCGTCCACGTCCACCGTCGCGCCATCGATCTTTGCTAGCGGTTTGCGCTCTTCGCCTCTGTGGGATTCGTCAGCTCCAGTCCGAAACCTCACATCCATATCTACCAAAAGAAAAGGAAGGAGAGAATGATAAAACATACCCCCGCATCTTCATCGCCCTGGTCCGAACAAACCCCCCGGGCCCACTCTCCTCCTCATCGTCCTCGTCCTTCTTTTTCTTCTTCGCATTCGCTTTCTGGATCATCGCCTCATCCCCGGAATCTAGCCCCTCTTCGCCATTTTCGTCTTTGTTCTTCGTCCCGGTCTTGCGCCGCTTTGTTGCTGGTCCCTCTGCGCCCTCCTCGTCGTCGTCGGAGTCTGACGATACGGCAGATTCGGCATCATCTTGGGCGGCTTCGTCGATCTGGAAGTCAGAGTCTTCGGCGGAGTTGTATTGGTCCGACGCGAGGTCAAGATCTGCGGATGAGTCGGGAGGCATGTTGACGGGTAAGGTGAGGATGTATGAGTGTGAAAAGGGGAGTTGAGCGGGTGCTTCAGATGCTGAAAATAATGGGATGATGGCGGCCGATTGAGGAGGGATTCTGCCGGGCGGTGGGTGATTCCCGGGGTAGAGTGGATTAGGTAAGGTTGCTGACCAATCAGATACCAGGGATCGTGGTGGTGGACGGGGCCGAGGTTGTGATAAGATAGATCGCGTTGACGGGGATTCTCTCTCCGCGTTGAACAAGGAACAATGTTCCATGATCGTGTGTACGATTTGCTTCTTCTCAGTTCAAGGTTCAATCATCATGTCCTGTCCCAACTCCCAAGTTCCAATACCTTGATCTTCCCCGCCTAATCTGCTGAACGGGCCGACCCGCGCTCGACAAATCACCAATTCAACCGAGGATGAGCGAGACCGAGCCGATGTGACATGCCGTGCATGGCCATGCTTATAAGAGCATCCAGGGTCCAGACATGATATAGCTTTCCATCTATCCATCCATCTCGCGGGGCATACCTGAACCCGAATAACCCACCATGACCACTACCACCACCACCACCAAACCCGTCGCCCTCGTCGTCGGCGCGTCCCGCGGCATCGGCCGGCAAATCGCCATCGATCTCGCGAAGAACGGATACACCGGTACGCAGCCACCCCAGACATCACCGTTGATGAACAAGCCACAGACTAACTAACACTTCAAAAACATCAGTAATAATCGCCGCCAAAACCACCTCCAACCCGGACACCACAACCCCCTTCCCCCCGACCCCAACTCCCCCGAATCAACCATCAGCACCGTCGCCCGCGAAATCACCTCAGCGGGGGGCACCGCGTACCCTATCGCCGTCGACGTCCGCTTCGTCCCCCAGATCGAACACCTGGTGCGGGAGACCGTGCGTCTCGGCGGCGGCCGACTCGACGTGCTCGTCTACAACTCCGGCGCGATCTGGTGGTCCTCTGTCGCGAATACCCGCACAAAGCGGTTCCAGTTGATGCAGAAGGTTAACCCGGAGGGGCTGTACGCGACGGTGCAGGCTGCGTTGCCCGTCTTTGAGCGGAATGGCTGGAGGGGGAGGATTGTGGTGGTGTCGCCGCCGATTTATTCGAGGTTTTTTAGGGGGAAGACGGGGTATGCGATTGGTTTGTTGTCCCCTCCCCCCCCCTTTCTCTTATTTTCTGGGGAATGGGGACTGAAGTTGAAGGGGTTGTACTAATTAGAATTGTGGTGGTGTTGTAGGGAAGGTCGGGATGAGTGTGCTGACTCGTGGTCTGGCGATGGATTTCGTGAGACAGGGGGCTAAGGATATGGCTATTACGAGTATTTGGCCTGCAACTGTATGTCTATGTCCATCCATCTCATGATATTGGAGGTGCCTTTTCTTGTTGCTTGGGCTAATAATTTGCTTCTCCTTCGATGAAAGGCCGTTGAAAGCGCAGCTACAGAACGGAACCCCGCCAATGTCGATTCGCGGGCAAACCTGAGGAAACCGGTATATTCCCCCCACCCCACCCATCGCTAATAATAATGCAGAATGCTAATGTTGATATCAATAGACCATATTCTCTGACGCGATCCTCGGCATCCTGAACACACCAGCCCACGTGGTAAATGGCCTCCTGGCCCTCGACGAGGACTTCCTGCGCCAGTATTGCGGAGTGACCGATTTCTCGAAGTACGCTGTGGTCCCCGGGACCAGTCCGCGACGGATGGTGCCGAAGGAGTTGCCGGTGTTGGAGGTCGCAGAGCAGGATGATGAGGGGGTGAGGATGGATAGCGCGAAGGGGAGATCGAAGTTATGATCTACTTCTTGAGTAGGAGTGTGAGTATGAGTATGAATATGAATATGAGTTATGAGTTACGTATAGCAGCATATGAAGGATCCATTTCGGTTCCTATCAGGCATTGCATCCAACAGCAGCAACCCCTCCTCCCACCTCAATGAATTCTACACTGCCATCTCACCCCCACTCCCAACCCTTCTCCCCTACCCACACATAAGTACACATACACACACAATCAAGTCCCAGGATACTTCTCCACCCCACCCTCAACCCCCGCCCCAGCCCTCTTCCCTCCTCTCCCCTCCACCAACTCCAACTCCACCTCCGACTTCCCCATCCCGCTTCCCCTCTCCCTCTCCCTCTCCCTCTCCACCCTCCTCCCCACCCAAACCCCCACCCCAGCAACCACCCCCATCACAATCTCCAACCCCAACAACACCCCCAACATGATAAACGCCGCACGCGTCACATCACAATCCCGACGAAAGTGCGACGGCGCACTACTACCGGCCACAATCCCATTTCCGCTCGAGGTGGAATTAGACCCAGAGGCAGACCCAGAGACAGAGGTAGAGGTGGAGGTGGAGATAAAGGTAGCATTCGAGACAGAGTCAGCAGTCCCACCATACCGTATCTCCTCCCACTTACACGTCCACGAATGCAGGGTCTCTGTGGTCGCGAACCCGCTGGGATGGTGCGCGCCCGGTCGATAGATCACGAAGATCAGGCCGATGAGGGCGGCGAGGAAGCCGGCGAGGGAGGTGCTGAGGGCGAGGAGGTTCAGGCGGCGGATGTGCGGGTGAGGCTGGGTTTGGGGGGGGTGGGGTTAGGTTCGTTTTGGTTGGTTTCTTGGGGGGGATGAGAAACACCAAGAGGGGAAGAAGGGAAGAAAGAAAGAAAGAAAGAAAGAAAGAAAGAAAGGGAAACTAACCGAAGGAATCAACGCCACAACAACATAGATCAAATTCTGCAAAGCGATCACGGATCCACAAGCCAGGACGGCGATGGTGGGCCGCAGATCGAGGTTCAGCGGCCAGAGGTATAGCCACACGCGGCTGTAGGAGGCCGTCTGCCGGTAGTGGTGGTAGGCGATGGCTTCGCAGGCGATTGTGGGGATGGCGATGGATACGGTCAGGATGGCGAGGCAGAGGCGCGTGTGTCGCAGGGTGCGCGTGCGCGTGAGGAATTTGGTCTCGTCGGTGTCGGAGGCAGAGGGGATGTGTGAGATTGTGGTGGTTATGGAGGACATTGTGGTTGTAATTGTAATTATGATTGTATGAATATGTGGGATGGATTTTTTTTTTTGGTGATGGATAGATGAATGAATGGATAGATGTATATAGCACTGCCTAACCAGAGGCTTTTATTGATTTATTTGCTTCAACTTCAAAGATCAGGAGAGAGAGAGAGAGAGAGAAAAGAAGAGCAGACACGCCCCAGCAAAGAAATATCGAACTGAGAGAGACAGAGAAGACAGAGGGAGAGAGAGAGTGAGAGTGAGAGACAACCCTGAAGAATTCCGATGCCCACTACTTATGCAACCAGCCCATTTAACTTCTGCAGCACGCTCAGCTGCTCAAAAACAAGGAAACGGAACCAAAGATAGCATCGTCGAACGAGCGTGAAACGATCAATCAAGCCCTCCCAAACCCTAATAGCCGCCCACGGGCCCATGCGAGGCGCTCATTTGCTGTCTCCTGCAGGACCACGATCCTTCAGACGCACAAACTGCAGATTGGTCCCTCGGCGGCGCTTAGAGACGTCGGTGTCATGCAGGTTGCGAATATTGTGCAATTGCTTTGGTTTATTGGTGGAGGGCGGTTGGGGTGGGATGCTGGGACGCGCCGCTCGGGGTATGGGGTGGATGTGGATGTAGAAGGAAGGGGATTGGACTGGATTGATGCTATCTACCTAGGTATTGGGTAGTGGTTGGTGCACGGGGCCGGTGGGAGTTCTAGATTGGGCTATTTTAAGTCAGGTACATATAGTATGTCACGCAGGCGGTTAGTTAACTCGTCCTCGTCCTTGTCCTAGGTAGGTAGTACGTAGCTACTCCGTACTAAAGCTGAGGATATGCATCAACCTGCAGAGGCTTGTGTTTGCGTGCCAATAATAGAGTGAGACTGGATCAGCTGGTCATGTGTCACCATTCAGAGAATGTGTAGTATTCTCTCACATGATAAAGACGGCATAAGGGCATTAGCTGATCAATATACTCGTTCAGCAGCGAAGGCTTCGGCCTTCAATCGCCCGACGAAAAAGCGGGACATATTATGACCTCGATAGCCCGGTACGTATTTAGTTAGTAGGTGGGTGGGCCAGGCGGATTAGATCGTGATATCTGACTTGTCCACTCGGCTCGTTAGATGGTCACTCACAGGAGCTAGCATGCTTACCTCTTCCTCAGGTCTGCTAGCCTGACAGCCTTGTCAGTGTAGAGAGTATAAAGAAGTGTCGTACTGCATCCCTTCTCATCATCGACCATTTACAATCCATCATCTAGATCCCCCTCAGCCTCGTCAACACCATGTCGACCCTCCTCCGCATCTGGCCGCAACTCTTCCCCGCCAAACCCACCCTCACGGCGACGACGCTTCCGCCCCAAACGGACAAAGTAGTCATCATCACCGGGAGCACCTCCGGACTAGGCCTTGAACTCGCCCACGTCCTCTACTCTGCCGGCGCAACAGTGTACCTCGCCGCTCGCGACGAGGCCAAAGCTCAAGCCGTCATCCACACCCTCACCACTACAGCCGCAGCCACCACCTCCACGCCAGGCAAAGTACACTTCCTCCACTTGGACCTCTCGGACCTCCGCACCATAAAACCCGCCGTCTCGACATTCCTATCTCAACAATCCCGTCTCGATCTCCTCTTCAACAATGCCGCCGTAGCCAGTGTCCCCCTAATCAACCGCACCGCGCAAGGTCTCGAGCCGCACCTCGGCACGAACTGTGTCGGCCCCTACCTTCTCACGCAACTCCTTGCCCCGATCCTAACGGAGACCGCCTGTCATCCAGATACACTCACCAACAGCGTCCGTGTCATCTGGAGCAGCAGTATGCTCGTCGACGTGATGGTGCCAGCCCAAGGCGTTCCGCCCGCGGAGCTGGACTCCCCCAGCGCCGACGTCAACCACAACTACGCTGTCAGTAAAGCCGGAAACTGGTTCCTGGCGGACCGGTTGTCTCGGCAGCTGGGTGAGAAAGGGGTGATTAGCATCACCCAGAACCCGGGGAATATCTATACGAAGATCTATGATAATGCGCCCCGCTGGACGGTGTGGATGTCGACACCGGTTTATTATACGCCCAAGGAGGGCGTGAATACCATGCTTTGGGCGGGGTTTGCGCCGGAGATGACGGTCCAGGATGGCGGGCGATATGTCATTCCGTTTGGGAGGTGGCATCCGTGTCCGAGGCCGGATTTGTTGGAGGCGATGAGGGATGAGGAGGAGGGAGGGAAGGGGTATGCGAGGGTGTTTGAGGAGTGGTGTGAGAGGGTGACGAGGGAGTTTAGGTGAGACGGGATTGGGGGGGCGTGGATGGCTGTATTCATGAATGAGATCTGGGGTTTCTGTGGTTCTGTATGCATGTGATAGTGCCAAATATAAGATAATATACCTGATACCCCAAGGCTTGAGAACTTCCACCATTCATAAGGCGGCACCCCATGCTGAACGACGATATCCACTGGGTTGAACTTAGGGTTGCCAGCACTCCTTCCAGGGCCAAGGCGGCGGATCTTCCCCCGGACCTAGAATTTCTCGTGTCTAGACCAAGGTCTGGACCGCGGGGTTATGAGAGATTGCAGTATCACTCTGATATTTGAAGCCGGGTGAATCCTAGGCCTTACAGCGCAGATCTTCGCGGTTTTCCCAAATTGCTAAACCAATCACTGGCTGCAGAATTTTATTGACAGGTATCGTCTGGGAATTGCGGGCTGTTTTGGGCCCTCCTAGCAAGAATTGACGGGCAAGCGTCGTCGCGGCGTCTTGGACGGAGGAAATCGTCATCTTCCGCTCATCGTTTGAAAAACTTCTCGCTCACGAACCATATCGGAGAACACAAGTAGAGGCTAATGAGACTTCCTCCCGAAATCATTACACTGCTGGCGACAGTCGCTAGTAACTTAGAAGTTGGCATCGTTCAGTCAATGGAACATAGGTTGTTCGCGGCAGGATGGGTGTAGACTGCGTAATCCAGCGACATCACGGATTTCTTGTCCGGCGCTCACAGTGCAGCCTTTGGTACAGAAGAAGCGCTTCATCCGGGGCAACAGATGAGAGAGCATCGAGCAGACACCAGCCTGCTTCAAGTCTTCTCGCTTTCTTCACTCACACATCTTTTTCTCGTAATCCAAGATTCCCCGACCCTTTAAATACTAAGATTCATCTCAATAGTATTGTGACCTTGGTCATTGCCGGATATGCACTTTTTGCCGCCGTCCATCCAGCCCACCAGGAGAGCTCGGACCTCCTCGACTTCAAGTCCAACATGCGTCGCGGCTTGCAGAATTGTGCTGCCAAGTTTGAGCGCAATGGTCTCAGCGCACGTGCGGAGGCTCGTCGTAGAGCCTTGGTCAATCTGCACCGCAAGCGTCTGACTGCACGGGATACTATGTCGGTGCTCAGCGCGTCCCACCTTGTCACTGGGACCGACATCACCCCCAACTCTCCCAGCAGCAAGATCTTTGGCAGCAGCAACACCTGCATCCTCAGTCCGGAAACTCTGTTTGGTCCATACTATGTTCCGGGGGAGTATATTCGCTCAAGCCTCAGCGAAAACCAGTCGGGTGTGCCCGTTGTCATCGAGGCCCAATTTGTGGATGTCGAAACCTGCGAGCCCATCGCCGATTGGTATTCGGATACCTGGAGCTGCAATGCCACCGGTATCTATTCCGGCCTCGTCGCCAATCACAACGGAAACACCGATGACAGTTCTAACCTGAACAACACATTTCTTCGTGGTGTGCAAAAGACGGACACCGATGGTGTCGTCACTTTCCACACTCTCTTTCCAGGCCACTACCCTACCCGCACGATCCATCCCCACCTGGTCGCTCATCTAGATGTGACGGTCCTCGATAACAACACCATCTCCGGTGGTACCGTAGCCTACATCGGCGAGGTCTACTGGGACCAGGACCTCATTGATGATGTGGAGGCCACATATCCATACAACACCAATACCTTCACTCTTGCCACCAATGAGAAAGACCTTCTCTTTATCAATCAGACTAAGAAATCTGGCTTTGACCCCGTGTTGAACTGCGTATATCTCGGTGATAGCTTGTCTGATGGTCTCTCTGGATGGGTGACTGTTGTGGTCAATGTTTCTGCTACCTATGACCCGAGATACAACGCCATCGATACCTCAACTGGGCAGCAGCCAGTCCGCTGGTGGCGGTATCCAGCCCAGAAGAGGCCCAGAATAATCTCAAGAATTTTTTTCTCATCAGAAGACTCCGTGGAGTAGATAAGAGGAAGGCTCGTTGGAGCGTTGTAGACAGTCATGTATTGCGCTTGAGTTCGACATTGATCACAGTGTACTCGATTTGACCTAAAGTATCGGCGATTCGTTCTTTCATCCTAACACCAGCAGCTATGCCAATTGTATCAAGTCAGTTGTCTAGAGAGGTATCTTCCCCGGTCACATGATGTAAGGAGTAAGAGTAACGCGCTCTCGCGCAATTTCCTGAATCGGACTCAATTGGCGTACGAGAGACGCGTTTTGCGCCGCAATATTAGTTTCGTCTTTCAAATACACCACACAAGACATATTGTAAAAGTTTTAATAGAATCCAGACGTAGATCAGCAATGAACCGCTCAACTCTGGAATCATCCACAGAATGAAATCAAGTCCAGAGCACAGTTCCCGACTGCCGCCGCCCGTCCGCCGGAAGGCATAAACCCGTGACATCACATGCTCCTCCCCATCCCACCAGCCAATCACAGCGCAGGCGGTCATGACCCGACTCCCCCACGCGACAGAAAATTGGCGGGGAAAAGAAAAGGCCCCTGGGATTTCTGCGGCCTGCACATTGAGCCTCCGATTATTTGTTCATTCAGTTCATGCTATTACTCGCTCGCGCTTTCAAGCCCAGATTGTTTCTTTTATCCCACAGTACGAAGTTGTATCATTCCGGAATGCCTCTTTCCAAGTTGCAGGGCGTGAAGCTCCCCGCTTCGGCGGACTTTCATGGTGCGTGTGATTGATGACTGTGTACCTGATGGATGGGGGGGGGGGGGGGTTACGTTTTTGAGGAATATGAAGGCTAATTGGGTCGGGTCGAGTGAAGTGCATCTGCGTGATGGTGACATGATGGAGCTTGTTACTCCCACTATTAGACAGGGTGGTGTGAACACGGTTTTTGTTATGGTAAATTCAACACGAGATTGCCGGTATGGCTGCATTATGATGGGAACGAAGTAGTAACTTGGATTGCTATCAATCAGCCGAACCTGGTCCCCCCGGTGACTACCGTGGACCGGGCGCTCGAGTACAAGCAGCGCCTGCAGGCCATCGAGCCCAACGTCAAGTATCTCATGTCGCTGTATCTCCATGAGACCGTGACCCCCGAGACCATCATCGACGCCAAGAAGCGCGGAATCACCGGCGTCAAGAGTTACCCGGCCGGTGTCACTACCAACTCCTCCTCCGGCGTGATTGACTACACCGCGTTCTATCCCGTCTTCGCCGAGATGGAGCGTCAGGATATGATCCTCAACTTGCACGGAGAGGTCCCGTCCACCGGTGATGTGACCGTCCTGACGGCCGAGGAGCGCTTCCTTCCCACTTTGCTGCAGTTGCACGAGTGTTTCCCCAAGCTGAGGATCATCCTCGAGCACTGCACTACCGCAGCGGCGGTGGAGGCTGTCAAGAAGTGCGGTCCCACTGTGGCAGGAACAAGTGAGCAAACTCCCCGCGGTTGAAGATCTGAGATGATAGTAACCTTTCCCAGTCACGGCCCACCACCTGTCCATCATCATTGACTCGTGGGCTGGAGACCCGTTCTGCTTCTGCAAGCCGGTCGCCAAAACCCCCGCGGACCGTGATGCTCTTCTGCGCGCGGCAGCCTCTGGAAACTCCAAGTTCTTCTTCGGCTCCGACAGTGCCCCCCACCCCGCTGTGTCCAAGAGAGGAGGCGACAAGATCGCTGCCGGTGTCTTCACTCAACCCCACACCACTCAGCTCGTCATCGACGCGTTCGAGCAGGCTTGCGAAAATGGCGTCCTGAAGGAGGAAGACATCACCCCCGAGATCATCGAGGGTTTCATGAGCAAGTTTGGTCGCACATTCTATGGCATTGGTGAAGAGCAGAAGGAGTTCATCACCATTGAAAAGAAGGATGAGAAGATCCCCAACATCCTGAAGTCGAACAAGGTGGATGTTGTTCCGTTCCGGAGGGATCAGCAGACGTGGAGCGTGTCGTGGTCGGCGTGATTTTGATCGGCTGCAAAATAGATACCCACAAGGGAAGTTTGGCAAAGTCTTCTCGAGCGTCCCTCTCTAAACCGACTTCTCGTGTCCCTGCGTAAGCAATCCTGTAACAGCCTCGAGGGCTTCGGCTTCCGTAATGTCGATCTTGCGCCCGGCAACAACGGTATTACCGTCGCTGCCGACTGCCAATTGGCCGGCCCGCTCGAGGTGCAGCCTGACTCTGCTCTCAATGTACTCTCGTCTCTCGTCCGCTTTGGATTCGGTTTCCATTTTATCTCCGAACTGTGGTAGACTAGCCAGCTTGGGTCGGAGTTCCTTAAGCAGCGCTTGGAGAGCTGGAAGCTGGGAAAGAATGAACGTGGTATTAGTCGTGATTGGCGTGTGTTGGGTATTCGATCCGGTAGCAACGCCGACCCGCAGCTGCTGGGCAGCTAGACTGGAAGTCAAGAACGACAAATCCAAGTCCTTTTGTCCGCTGGCCACGAAATTGCCCTCCCCTTTCGCGGCCTTCTCAGCATCGGCCTCCTGTGCCGTCTGTCGGATGGAGCGTAGCTGTGCAATGATCGCCTCATTGCGCGCACTCTCCTGCTTCAGCGCCCGATTCAACTTCTTGGTTTCGTGCAGTTTCTTTCGCTGGGCGGAGATCGTTTCTTGGGTGGGGACATCGGCAGGAGGGTTAAGGTTGAGATTCTGCGAGCAAGGATCTTAGTTAGAACAGGGGGGGAAACCCGTACTCCAGGAGACACCGTACCTCATAATGTTTCAGTCGAATCCAGCCCATCAGATCATCCGGGATCTTGAACGTGTTTCGCAGCACGAACAGCTCGAACTTATCGAACGTCTTATCGACAGTCGCTTCAAGGAGCGTTTCTAGTTGATGCAGCCCATTCTCAATCTCCAGCTGCGCCTCCGGGTATATCACATTTCCATCGTCGTCGGTGTCGGGTATGGTCGAGCCATTATTCGCATGCCCGAATCCCAGTCGCTCCGGAGGGGTCGACAGAAGACCGGTCTCGAGACTGGAGATGGCCTGGTAGATTAGGTTGTTGATGGAGTTGATAATGTCATCTATGAGAGACTGCGACACGGTCAGCCCGGAGTTGTTTTGGAGGGGCGAGGTGCGCCGCGAAGGCGCGCGCCATACTGACCAAAGGCGTGTAGCTGAAGTGCTCTGTGAGCAGGGAAGTTGTCGCATCACTCATCTTGATGGGCCTTGGCAGGGTTCATCATCCACGTTCGCAGCAGGAAGGGGGAATGGATGCGTTTCGTGCCTCGCAGGTGGACGCGTTGCGCGCGAATGCGGGATAAAATAGTTGGTTGATGGGCCGGCACGCGAGGGGAACCGCCAGCCGTCGGAGCCAAGACTAGTTACTATGTACCTTGAGGGCGCTAGCACAGGGTACGGGGGGCAACGCGACTCAATCAATGCGCTGGCCGTTTTTTGAGTGGCGTTAATGGTAGCTTGGTACTGTCGTTCCTTTCTCTGTGATGATTTCAAAGCCAACATTATCTAGAGGCTATGAAGATCAAAGAAAACTCCACTTAGGTGTGGCTTATATTGCAGTAAACCTACGACCTTTCAACCAATTATCCGATATGGTGTAGTGGCTAACATCGCCGTCTCTCACACGGCAGCCGGGGGTTCGATTCCCCCTATCGGAGTCCAATTCTTCTTTTTGCATTTTACAATGCCTCCAGAGGGAGTTCGATCGCTTTTGATTTTTTTTGTTTTTTGTTTTGGATCCAACAACGCATGGGCATCATGGTCGTGTCATTGGCCCGTAATTATTGAGTCACTGCTGTTCTAGGGCTGCATTAGCTCCGCAATGAGTCATCCAACAGCCGAATACAAACCAACAGTAGCATCCAGTCAATATGGGGAACTCAGCCTTGTCCTTGACTCATCCGTCAATCCATATTCCATAGAGTAGCAGTGATCGAGCCTCACTTGTATACGGAGTAATCAGAGTGCTGTGGAGCTTTCAGCCTGCCAGTATCGCATGTCCAAGAACTCATTCATCTCAAAATGATTCACTTGAGACAACCAACATGCCATTTTTAGGCGCCTGTAGATGCTACATTCAGGATGTATTTGTACAATAAATACCCGTCGAGAAACATGTCCTAGTTGATCTTGAGCAATTGTTCCTTTCTATATCAAAACAGTTGAGATCAAGGCGACATCAACCAAGATTATGGCTTCAGAACCTCCCTCAGACGCGCAACAAGAAAACGCCTCGCGTAGCTCGACTCCTCAACCAGATGTCGGATCCAGAACCCCCACGCCGCTCACTTCCCCAGTCCACTGGCACACCCCAAAGCCGGAACCGGTGGAGAACAGACTCCGTCCAGCAGCAGGTGCGTTTATCAGCAAGCCTTCTCTGTTGCCACGATATTAATACTGACCACGACCAAAGACATCATCAATCGTATCATCTGGGATGATGCCCTTGATGCCTCCAACTATGTCATTGGATACGAGGATCGATTTGAGGGGCGTCTGGAGGCTGTTTTCAACTCGTGGAAAAAAGAGACCACCGACGAGGAATTTATCCCCCAGCATCGCATTCTTTATATCAAGCGCAGGTCAGATGGCGAGGTTGTGTGGGACAGGAGAAGGAGAATCGATCGGATTTTCATGAGTGGGAATTCTGCTTTCGATTATCTGGCTTTTCTTAGTTGAATTTACTAGACGTATGATGTTTAAGATGATGGTACATAATAACATTCCGACTGGTTCAAATGGGCTATGTATTGTGGAGCTTCTGTTTTTCCTACAACTCAATACCCTAATGTACGTACAATTAGTCTCTTTACTTTGCTTCTTAATCCGCTTTCTCTCCCCCGACCCTGCTGGCTGGAGAGTTTGTCTTGGAGGGTGCAAATGTCGGGGTTGGTGACTGGTATGGAATAGTAAAGATCTACAGATACAAGATGGGTTAACGCTTCATTTTTCTTGCCTTAGGCAGTCCAACGGGTTTGCGGCTGCCCTTTTCGTCTCCTCACGTACGCTGGGAGGTCCTGCCATTTTGGGGAGTTGCTCCTGCCGTGAAAGAGGTCTGGCCCCGTAGATTCCAGCGCTCCTTCGTCAAAACGACCCAGTCCACCTCAAGTGAGCTTCTCCTCGATCTTCATGCAAACCTGCACAGAAAGGTTGGCCTCCATCTTCTCAACTCCGACAAAATGACCCCCAGGCGCCACAGGATCAACTTGACTCTGCTGAGAAGACGCCATGGTCTCTCGAACACCTCCTCATCAGGGAGTCTCTCGCCAACTGTTCCGGTTCTTCAATCGCCCGTGACATTCCAAGCATTTGCGGCGGTCAATGTCTCCGAAGCGACTTTGAAGCAGAGGAGCAAGCTGGAAAGGGCACCCGTCCGGCCATCGATGTTTCTAGAGGAGAAAGATGAGGATGACGACCCGCCCATCGCCGCCTTGACTAGTGGCGCACCTCTGGATGTCAAGTCCAATCGCGCGGAGCACAAGAGCAACGAAGATAAGCCTATCCAACGATCAAGGAGTCATTACTATGAAGACGTCTTCAGTACTCGTGGCCCTTTAACCTCGCCCAGGACACAAATCAGCCAAGAGTCCGTCGTCGTCATCGAGCTAAAGGTCAACTCTCAGGTGCGTGACCGCATGGATAATACTGCTCGGGGTTTGTAGCTAACATCAGATGCAGATCAAGGACATGGGGCAGCTTGTCTCGAGCGTCTCATCACATATGGCCCGCATTTTTCAGAAATCAGAGACACTGGTGATGACTACCATTCAGCAAGATGCGTGCATTCAGTTTGGAAGATCGACTATGCCAGCGTACCTAATGAAGGTCTTCGCCCTCCCGTACCTCATAGCGCCTATAACCAATCTTCGGAGCACCATTATGATCCAAGCAGCTCTTCAGGAGATCCTCCATGTGGCGCCCAGTCGAGGAGTCATCCTATACATTCCGATCTCAGAGGAAAACTTTGCCACCAACGGGGTGACCATGATGGGTGAAATCGCACGTCTGGAGCGTCCTTCTCTGGATCATGGCCATATTAATGGTTTATTCAAAACCATATCGCGGACTATGAGTCGAAGGCTGAAGTCCAGTAGTTCTCAGAGCACACCTATTTCTGTTGCAACAACCTCGTCATGGGCTTGTAGTGGAACACAGGAACCCTCCTCGGCAGCAGAAAAAGGACTGCGGGGAAGCGAATCTTCCAAGGACGATGGCAAAAAGTCAGGTACAAAATCCAAAGGCTTTCGTCACTTCACGTCCGGTCACAGCTCGGAGCGTCTTCGACAGCCTGGAGACAAGCAGTAAGCTTCTGCTTCTCCATGATCTTTTGTTCTCAACTCCAACGCATCTTTTGGCTTTCCATTCCTCTGTATTCTCTTATAGTTTGTTCTGTTGTTCATTCACCGTTCTTACAGGAGGATGCGTTTTACCCGGCCTACTTACTGGGAACATAGAAATATGGGTAACCAGAAGCTTTTCAGTGTCAGTAGTATTCACCGTACCTATTTTCCATGAATTACATGCTCTTTTGCTTTCTGGTTCCTTTTCCCTTTGGCTCTGACTAGGTTCCTACATAAGTCCTGAGCCACTTAAGTTGTTTCTCTCACCTTCCCCTCCCCTCTTCCTCTCTTAACCATTGTCATCTCTCAGTCGCATCAAAAGATAGGCTCCACCATCGATAAAACAGTTGTGTGCACTCGAGCACGTCAATATGGAGGCAGAGAGTGCTCAAAGCCAGGTCATGGAGATCCAGGGCAATCTTTTTGATGCTCCAGATGGTGCAGCTCTCATCCGTACGTGTTTCTCTTAGTCTAAAATAAGGCAAATGAGTTGACAAATACCAGACGCGTGCAACTGCCGGGGCTACTGGGGCAAAGGCATAGCCAAGATGTTCAAAGAAATCGTACTCTTGGCCCGCCCCTTGTCTTGAAGTGTTACTTGCTGACTGGTGTTTCTGGATAGTATCCTGCCGCATACGAGGTTTACAAGGCTCACTGTGAAAGCGATGCAGCTGTACCTCAATACATCGATGTTGAGACTGATGATATATGGGGCACCATTCGATCTCCTGAGGGCACTGCTCTCATCATCCCACCTCAGGAAGCAGACACTGAGGCCAACGGAAAACGTCATTGGATCATTTGCCTGTTTACATCGCGAGGATTTGGAAGGCTTGTGAGCCCCAGCGAAGTGGTTCTGGAAAACACCGAGTTCGCTATCGCTGATATGAAGCGCCAGCTTGAGGAGCTTGAGATTAATGATGAAACTGATGGCTGGATTGGTGAGCTTTGGTCCTGTCGCTTCAACTCCGGACTGTTTGGAGTCGACTGGGCCCTTACCAGGGATGCTTTGGAAATCTCAGGACTTAAGATTACCGTCGTTAATCTTGTGGAGGATTGATTGGCATCATGATGCTTGTAGTATCTCCTCCTTTGTGAGTGGATCAGTTAAGTTGTTGTTTGTTTTGTTATGCGCTCGGGTCCATGTGTTCCAGAAATATTTAATTGGAGAGGCATCCAAAAAAGACACTGGCACAGGACGACGGATGTGATTAATGACTTTACTAGTTGCTTAATATGCCGGCACATGACAACTAGCCAGGCAGAATAATTTGATTTTCAGTCCAACCGTCTGGACGTTGAAGGATTAAAGTGAAGATAGTAACAGAGATCGAGTAGCAGGACCTCATGTAGATATGCCATCACCTGACTTCGCGTTCCCGTCCGCGACACCCCCGTGTCGCCAGCGACATCACCGGATCCACGACATCCATCCTTATCACGACGACCACCCACCTTCACAGACACCCCAGAATGCCTCCAGAGAGACAACCCGTGCATAAGCGGAGACGACTCCCCTTCAATCCTCCCAGTCGGACAACGACACCAGCAACCGCATCTGCATCCGCATCCACCTCTGCCGCCGCCGCAGCATCATCATCATCCTCCTCCAAACCCAAGCCCAAGCCTAGCACCGAAAAGAAAACCACCACCACCAAGAAGTCCACAGCCGCTGCAACTGCCTCCTCAACTTCCAAACCCTTCCACCCATCAACATCAACATCCACCTCCAAATCCAAAAGCAAAGCCAAAGACAAAGGCAAAGCCCCAGCCCGCGACCCTCCCCATCGCCAGCCCCCTCCTCCCGATCCTCCCGATCCTCCAACAACGGCACCTCATCCCCCACCTCCGCACGCTCAATGTCCTCCGACCCAGAGCCAGAGCCAGAACCAGACTTCATCCTCGCCGAGATCATCCACAAAACGCAGTCCGACGACATCCTCACCAACGACCCCGTCATCCCGCCGAAGCTGCTGACCACCCTCCTGCATCACCATTTCCAGCACCAGAAGACCAAGGTCGCGAAGGACGCGAATACCGTCGTCGCGAAGTATGTGGATGTTTTTGTGAGGGAGGCGTTGGCGAGAGCTGCTTTTGAGAGGAGCGAGGCGGTTGGGAAGGGCGCGTCCATTGGGGATGGCTTTTTGGAGGTTTGTTTTTCTTTTTTTTTTATACCCTCCCCCACCTCTTTCCCCTCTCTTCTTCTTCTTCTTCTTCTTTTTTGTTTCGTTCTTGGTTTTTGGGTTTCTTTTGTGCGTGATGATATATTGGCTGGTACTGACGTTGTTGGTGGGCGTAGGTCGAGGATTTGGAGAAGATGGTGCCGCAGCTTATAATGGATTTCTAGGCTTGGGGCTGTAGGTTGGATTATCCATGGTTGGGGAAAGGAGTTTTCGGGTTGGGTTGGTTTTTGTTGTATTTGTCTGTTTGGGATTATGATACCAGGGACTGTAGATGGGGGCTTGGCAAGAAGACTATGATGACATTTTGCTGCGTTGCAGTGATTAGTTAGGTCAGTCGCAGGTCGAAGCCGATGAGATGGAATTAAATCAGTGTAGATTGTGTATGTTATGTCTATGTGCTGTGGTCTTTTATATAGTAGTAGTATGTCTAATGTCTAGCAATGTGGACATGCTAGGTAGCTATGCCCAACTTGGGTATATAATGCTTTCCCTTCCCCGGTACTCCGCAAAAGCAACCAAATCCGAATTATTCATTCAACCACTCACCAGGGCATCTGGCGTAGCTGCTGCTGCTGCTGCTGCCGCAGCGTCACCGGACGGGGTAGCAGACCCAGAACCCTCCGCAGCAGGTGTGGATTCCTCCGTCTTGGGCCTATCGTCCTTCTCGGTGTTCTTCTTCTTGACGGTCAGAGCTCCGAGCTCCATCGCCTCTTCGGGAAGTGGTCGGACGTGGGGTTGACAGACCCAGAAGGGTCGGCCATATTCGGCAATGGTGAGCTTGGATCCGGTCAGTTCCTGGTTAGGTGGTTGTTCGAAGCGTTCCGGGAATTGCTCGTATTCCTTGAGGCCAATCTTGATGGCCCGTTCGACGAGAGACAGGACGTTCTCAAATGCGGGCATGTCGCCGGGTTTTGATTTGGCGAGCGCGTCACGGACGTTGGTGTGAACGGAGACCATGGGACGGAGAAGTTGGAAGAGATGTCCCTGCATCACAACAAGACTGGGGGAGTTCACTCTCTTCGACTTCTCGCGCTTTTGTCTCTTCTTTGGTGGCCCGTCCTCCACTTCTTCGGCTTCGATTATCTGCTCCGGTTCTTCTTCCACGGGGTCTGAGGCGAGATAGAGGGGTTTTCTGTCGGGGATGGGCTGCTCAAGCACGTATTTGTAGACGATGTCCAAGTACCGCCGCAGCATGGCGTCTATCCGGTATCCGCCCTTACCGTCCCTGCCCCGCCAGTATTCTCTCTCTAGAGTACCAACCGCAGGCGGCTTGCTGAAGATCGATGGGTCCGACAGGTTCCCCTCGGCGCTCATCACGGCATCAGCGCCCGTCGCCTCGAGACAGCGGTCTACATCTTCGTAGTTCAGGTTGTTTCCATTCGCAAAGATGACGGTGTCCGGCGGCAGGTTGTCGCGGAGGTAACGGATATAGCTCCAATCAGCCAGACCGGTGTTGTGGCCCTTCTGCTCCCTCTGCCGTCCATGTACCGTGATGATGCTCGCTCCCGCAGACAGGATCATCTTCGCGTATTCGAGGGTTTTCTCTTTCGTCTCCTGGATACGGAACTTGGCGGTGACGGGGATCGGAAGCTCGGTATGAAGCCGGTTGATCAGCCGGTAGATCAAATCCCAGTCTTCCTGGAGGAAAGCGCCGTAATGGCCCCTCCGTGCGATTCCTTGAGGGCATCCCAGGTTCAAATCCACGGCGTCACAGTAGGGGACGACATGACGAGCGGCCTCCAAGAAGTCGTCCGGGTCGTTAGCGCAGAATTGTACGAAAAGAGGTCTGTCGATTGAAGGGTTTCCATCCAGGTAGGGCGACTCGTCGGTTCCTTTGGCGGCAGCTGCGCGGGTGGGGTGGAAGTGTTGTAAACGAACGCTGGCTTGCTCACGGAACAAGCGCGCGTGGTACATGGGAGAGTATGCGAGCACCTGTTTCTGGTCCTCCGGTGCCATGAACGACCTAGTGAGCATGCGCCATGCCTCATGAAACCGTTAGTTCGGACCACAGCAGTATGGCAGTAGAGGCGAACTCACAAACTCGGATCGATCCACCATGGGTGCGACGACATACTTGGGGCTTCCGATACTCTTGTAGAACTCTCTTCCAAGGACCTTCTTGCTTGGCTCGGCAGAGGTGGTCGCAGGCGCAATTTGATCCGCGACGTTTCCCTGCGGAGAAAGCTGTGTCTCCGGTGCCGCCATTGTCACGTATGAGCGCAGGAAATTGGGAATCAAGCGCCCCAGGCGAGGGGGCAAGGAGCGAGTGGCAAGTATGGTGTCGGATGAGGGGTTGATGGGCCCTTGGGGTGGAATGGCGCCAAGTCGCAATTTGCGGATAGTCTTGAATCTGGAGTAGCAATTCATCAGTGAGGCGAATGGCGGGCGCTTTTTGCCCGACAATAATTTATCTGCGGACGGAACAACTTTGATCCCGATTATCTTATCGGGCTGGGGTAACACTACAGTCCACAGTATGCACACTTACGTAGTGGCAAGAGGACCGTGGGGGGTGCGAAGCAGAGGGAGGAGTTTGTGGAAGAACTGTGAGAGTATTATGTATATTCAATAGCTAGTATATCACTCTGTGGTGCCATCCCATTTCAGACACTTCTAGTGCTTTGGAAGATGTTGGGTTGGCCCAAAGTTGTGCTTTCATAGATCCACTTACGTAATCCACTGTGAAGGCTTGGCGCCGTTCCATAAGTGGGTTCGCATCAACAATGGAAACCTTCAAAACATCCCCCAGCGACATGTTCCTCGGAGCTTGGATGAAGTACAGCACCTAGGATGTACATAGTACCGAGAGTACATGTACTGACTCTAACTCGCGTCTTCTGTCTAGACCGCCATCACTGAAGTGTGCTGCAGCTGAGGATCAACAATGGACTCCACTGGAGCAGGGGGTGAGCCTTCACCCGTCACTTGGCTGACAGCGTTGCTAATGAATTCCATAGTCTCGAATTTGATTTCTCTGGCTGAGGATGGGGACTATGCCGTGCAGCTGAGCGGCAAGGATCTAATCATTCATCTTGACCCAGCATCCCCCGAGTTCAAAGAAGTCCAGATCATCAAACTCAAAGAAAATGGCTCGAAATTTTTAAAGTTCTCTCGATCAAAGCCGGTATTACCATCCAGCACCCACTCCTATGCAGGGGTAAGATCTCCAGGGAGACGTGTGCTTTGTGCCAACGAGTCCCGCGTCGGGATCTGGCAGCTGGATCCCTTGCAACGGCACGCAGAAATTGAAAGCATTGAGCCCGGCGCTACATATGTCGATTTCGGCGGCGATGAAAATGAAATAATATTCTTCCATGCGTGGAACACGAAAATAACCGTTTTCGCCTTGGATTCTGGCCGCAGCCAGATCATCAGGAGTCCCAAATTCTCAAGCTACAATGGATTCGGCTATCGGCCAAAAACAAGACAATTGGCCGTGCTTTTGAAGCCGGATGCCACTGATCTATTGACGGTCCATGAATTCCGATCTTATGAGCTCATCGGAAGAGCGACTCTGCCTACGATAGATGCCCAAGGGCTGAAATGGAGTCCGGATGGGAGATGGATAGCCGTGTGGGATGCTGCGAGTGCGGGCACCAGGGTTCTTGTTTACACGGCTGACGGGCAGCTTTTCAGAGCGTACAGCGGTCCGCCGGGTCTCGACAAATCCCTCGATCTTGGTGTTAGAGGGATAGAGTGGGGTCCTGTTACCGGGCAACGCGGTGTGTCTGAGCTTCTTGCCGTTGGAAAGATCGATGGGACTGTCGACGTTCTGAAGACCACAACGGTAGGGCCCTCCCCATTATTCTCCATGAATTATATCTTAGCTCGTACTGACTGCTTCAGTTCTCCTGCTCCATCTCACTTTCTCATGTGTTCCAAATAGAGGAAAATCCCCCCAGTGTCTGGCGGGAACGCTACGCAGACGGGGACCTCGAATATGCCGAAGCATCCAGTTCCTCTGCCTTTGGCTTACCTGCCGAGTCAACTGGCCCGCTCCGGGGCGTGTCGATCATGTCATTTAGTGCCAATGGGAAACTTCTGAGCACCGTCGATCAGACACGGCCGAATATCCTTTGGATATGGGACTTGGAAAGCACGCCAGTCCTGCTCTCCGCTCTGGTGCATGAGCATGCGATCAGACAGGCTGTCTGGCATCCATCCAAGATGCAGTTGCTCATAACCACTGCCAGTACTGCTTATGCGGCCGTTCGCTATTGGTCGCCATACAGCCAGCCGCTAATCGCACGCATTCCCGTTCCACGAAGCGAAACTGGAAGATACGATGTGCGATGGCTGTCTTTTGATGAGGATGATGATTCGAAGTTCTGGTTTGGAACACCAGATGACTATGTGCTTGGTCATATTGAGGGTGTCGAAGGCACACCGCAGTTCAAGGCTCTAAGTACTATTAATGGGAAGAGCAGGGCGAGTAGCTACGGTCCGAGCACGAGCAGATGATCGAATGATGGAAGATCAAGGTGTGATGATATCTATGCGTTACGAACATGCATCCCAACTACCCAGTGATAATCAGAACTGTGATGATTCACCATTTTCATGTCATTTACTACCGAGTATAATGGTTGCGAAGGTTCCGGAGGCGCACCAAAAAAGTGATGCGTGGAACGATTTAATGAGACCTGGACAACACTTTCCATGTAAATAACCAGGCTGTCTCATATAGAGACTCCTATATCGAATTGAAGATAGCCTACTTATCTCCATACTTTACTGTAGCCTGAGGCAGCACCGGCAATCCAGACCCTCGGGACGGTACCCACCCGGCCAATCACAGCGGCCTTACTACAGCCAATGCTAACCGAGCGGCACCGACAGCCCAGGGCTTAGGGTTCGCTCGCACGTGACGCTGAGTCATCCCCCACTCGAATTTCGCACTTGGGCACTCAAACTTCCGGCCGTTCGATCTGTTGTGCAGCTCTCCTCCGTTGAACAGCTACATCAGACAGACAAAATGGTGAGTATCACCGGCGCCATGGAGTCCTATGGGGTCATCAACACAGCAGGGAAACACACGATACTAATAGTTTTCGCAGGCTCCTGCTAGAAAGAAGTGGTCCAAGGGCAAGGGTACGCTATATTCCCCGTTTTCCTCATCATCACCCATCATCACCATCCATCCATCGAAGTGAATCGTCAACGATCGGCTTTCCCGAGCGAAAAGAACAAGTCTTTTTTATCGTCATCTGCGACAGCGATGGAATAGGATTGATGGGATACTTTCTCGCGCCGCACACAGAACGTTTTTATGACTGACATGACTTTTTTTTTACGATTACAGTCAAGGACAAGGCCCAGCACGCCGTCGTCCTCGAGAAGCAGACCGCCGAGCGTCTCAACAAGGATGTCCAGTCCTACCGTCTGATCACTGTCGCCACCCTGGTCGACCGTCTCAAGATCAACGGCAGCTTGGCCCGTCAGGCCCTCGCTGACCTTGAGGAGAAGGGACAGATCAAGAAGGTTGTTGGTCACTCCAAGATGAACATCTACAGTACGTTTTCCCCGCCGAGTTGAAAGATACGAGAGAAGAAAGGAAGAAGACAGTGGACTGACTGGATTCGATAGCCCGCGCCGTCACCGCCGAGTAAACGTACGATCCTACGAATATTTCCTCGCGGTCCCTTTTTTCATTGTGCTACGAATGATATCACTTAAAATTCGAAGTCTGGCTGGGCGAATGATGTATAGTGTCAAGTAAAATTGACTCTCAATCAACCTGAAAACTGTTCCATCTTTCTCAGTATGTGTAGGGTCTGCTGCCTTTGCGATGCATTGTTCGTAGGATGTCGGCGGTCGGGATTGTGCGGAGGAGGAAGAAACGACTGCCCGATGTAGACTCTAGGCCGCATGGTGTTGTCTGGTTATCTGGACTGCGGGGTCCATCTTTGGAGCAAGTATAGGAATGTTCTACTAAGGTCTCAAACAACCGGTCTAGATTCACTAGCTTATTACTGTTCCACCTGCTCGACCCGATTTACACCTACGCAGCCTGCTTGACCTACTTGACCTGATCTAGGCAATGTATACAATGCTGTTGGGGGGGGGGGTTCGTCAGCATTGAAACACATACCTAAACATGACATATTGTCCCGCCATTATGTGAACAGTCGCCTGTCACTGTCGATATTATATCATACTACCAGCTGGGATAAGTCATCATTACACACCACCCGGCCTGCAGATATCTTCACACCATCTCCCAGCATCCCATTCCACTGATTATACGCTGATTCTCGAAAACACCCTCGTTACCAGCACCTTCGTCATCCAAAATGCCGTCCTGGGTAGATCTCAAAATAGAGGAAATTACACCTCTATCCAGACTCCCGTCCTTTTCAGATTACAGAAAAAAAAAAAACGAAACTGGCAACAAGCGCGACGATTCAAATCCGAGCTGGAAAAAATCTCAGAAGGCGCTTTCTGCACCCGCGAGACCCTGGGATCGAAAGACTGGATCTATCGACATGGCGTTGAGGAAAAACTGGGTATTGCTATCCTTCAAAGACAACGTCGTCTATGGCTTCAACAGCAGCCGCGGCAGCAGCAGCAGCAGCTCGATCTCGAACAACCGAGCGTATGAATCATGTCCCTCATCCCCATCAAGTGTGCATACTCGAAAACGACCCACCATCATACATATCCTTTCAGCATAAAGCTCTATCCCTCGAGAAAGAACCCGTTAAATTACGTGAAGAATACATGAACCACCTGCTTCGCATGGAGAAGATAAGAGATGCACAACTAGACAGCTGGCATATCCGCAAGCACATGGTCTATCGCGAGTATCAGGATGACTCCAACCGGTCCTTCTACTGGCTGGAGCGACAGAGCTCCTGTGCCGATAAAGGCGGATGCTGCGGGCGTGGCTGTGGGTGCTGCAAGATAGCTCTACATGCTTACAGTCGCCCTCAGGCAGATCTGAGGACTCTGAAGACTCGTCGAAAAACTTGCTGAGGTTTATGGTCATTGCACGGTTGAATGTCCTTGCTGCATCGAAGTTTCGGGGACGATATACTCCTCATGCGAAGCTTCCGAAGCCCCTAAGTAGCAGGGATTACTGATGATGTCTCTGGTAGAAGGGGTCGAAGATGATGTCTCTGGTAGAAGGGGTCGAAAATAAGATGAGAAAACTTAATGTGGCTTGATTCTTCTTATTTTTTTTTTAAAATTATTTTATTGATGTTATTTCTCGGCTATCGTTTTCTGTTGGGCTGTGTTCCATCCAGTTGATGATAGCACCAAGCACCCCCTTGTGGCTGAATGATTATTACTATCATTTGCTTCTTCTTACATTTATTTACCGTATTGAGCTTATAGTCGAATAGAAGTTAAGTATACAGCTCTCATGATCTGCATTTACCTATACCAGAGGTACCCACGGAGTACAATTCTACTACCCCCCCATCATTGCTGATAGAACTCCGCATGTATACTTAACAAACAAAGTAACAGCAAAACAAAAGACCAAAGCTCCATAACAATCAGCCCGGAAGTCAAAACATCCATATCCATGAGTGCTCGGCAAGCCGCTCCCGAGCCGTTAGCTCGGCGACTGACTAGCCACCCAAGGCCCGGAACCCGGAAGTTCACCAGACGAGACGATCACTGGTGTAATGGGGTAAACAGACGGTATCGTGGCCTGATGCGCCGTCCCGTCCTGCCTGGTCCTCCACTCCCTCCATGGTACGGCTCGGACTCGGAGGTGCTCGGGATTTGAAATGTGGGCCCCACAGAATGCTCTGTGCAGACTGAAGGTGCTGGGAAATATGCATATGAAGTCACCATCGGTTTCAATTAGGGAGGGGGTGTTGAGGATAGTAACCTGCATAGTGATTGACGACTAGAGTAATATGGGGTAAGCAAGTACTACTTTTTACTATAGTAGAATGATGCAGGTCAGCCCTTAGTTAGGTAGCATGCAGCCATGCAGAATCCATGTGGTCCGTGCATAATGGGCGTTCGGCCCTGGATGGACGGATGGTGGCACAATATTGTGAATTTCTTCAGAACCAAGGTAACTAAACAATCAATACCTGACTCAGTATTACATCAACAGACGCTCTGATAACTATACCTACCATCCCGAAGTTAATCTGATTTGTAAGGGTCTGTTTCAGAGCTTCGTCATGGACTGTTCCAGAACTACCCTAGGGAAACCTACTAACTATCGTATCGTTCTGATGTAGTAAGTAGTAAGTAGTATAAGTAGCAGCCAGGGGGAACTTTCCTGCCCCCATGGATGTATTCAAGACATTAGTCAATTGCTCCCATCTCACACATAAAGAATCACTCACCAGACCCTCAACCCAAACGACTCTTGAAACCATGCCCTTAACAATCCACCACCTCCGCCTCTCGCAATCCGAACGAGTCATCTGGCTCTGCGAAGAACTCTCCATCCCCTACGACCTCAAATGCTACGACCGCAACCCCACCACCTCCCTCGCCCCGGACGCCTACCGCGCCCTGCACCCCGTCGGCACCGCGCCCGTGATCGAGGACGGCCCCGTCGTGCTCGCCGAGTCCGGCGCCATCTTCGAATACATCCTCGCCAAGTACGGCGAGGGTCGTCGACTCGTCCTGCCGCCCTCGCATCCCAATTACCCCGACTATGTGTTCTGGCTGCATCACGCGAATGGGAGTATCATGCCTACGCTGATGGCTGTTATGGCCGGTGGGGCGTCGGCGGAGGAAGCGGGCAAGGAGGGTAGTGGTGCTGCTGGTGGTGTTGGGGGGAAGCTCGCGGAGGTGATGAGGGATCGGCTGAGGAGGAGTTTGCTGGCGATGGAGAAGCAGTTGGGCAGGTATCGCTTTCTGGCGGGCGATGAGTTCACGGCGGCGGATTGTATGGTGCTGTTTCCCCTGGCGACGATGAGGCTGTGGGTGCCGTTTGGGTTGGAGGAGTATCCGGCGCTCGTGGAGTATTTGGGGAGGGTTGGCACGAGGGAGGCCTGTCGGGTGGCGACGGAGAAGGGCGATCCTGGGTTGGTGAGGCCGTTAGGGGCTGTGGTGACTGGGGGGAGGGGGTTGTAGGTGGGATTGGTGGTGTATGTTTCTTGTGATGGTTGTGGTTTGTGGGGGGAGGATGAGTCGAGTTGTATAGTAACTGCCCGTGTGCAGTGCAGTGTATTGTCAGGGAGGCAGGTCCTCGATAACATTCATTCCACTGTTGACAAACAGATAGAAGAACCATGAACCATTCAATTCAATGTTCAAACAAACCCTCATGATAAATTGTATTTGTCACCCCACCAACCCAACTACCTTACTTATCTTATTATATCCCCGGCTTCCCCCCCTTCTTCCCCCCGGTCCCATCCCTCCTCGTGCGCTGCTGTCTCGCAGCCAAACAAAGCTCCCTGACCTCCTCCTTCTCCTCCGCCTCCTTCAAGCCCACGACCTCGCCCACCTCGAAATACTTCTTCGAGTTGCGGAAGAAATTCTCCCAATGCGCCACCATCTTCTGGATCTTGCCCCGAGCGAGCCTGATATCCTGCTCGCGTCTCGTCTTCCGCTCCCCGGAGCTCAGCGTCTTCTCCTCCTCGGGATCGTCAATCGGGATGAACATCTCCTCCACGCCGCGCATGTCGGAGGTCAGATCCTCCTTGAAGCAGCCCGTCACGAACGCCCGGGTCGCGTCCCGCCCCGTGAAGAAGTTGTAGTGCCCGCCGGGGCCGTAGGTGAGCGGGTTGCTGGACACGTCGAAGATGTGCCCGTTCACTGAGAGGTAGATGGGGAGGGATGGGTCAGTGCCGTTGTAGAGCGAGAGTTCGGCGGGGGTCAGGTGGAGGGGGCCTTGCTGTTGTTAAGGGGGGTTGTTAGGGATGTTGGACTGGATTAGACTGTGGATGGTTCGGAGGGAGGAGGCAGGGATGAGGGCATGAAGGGAGGAGGAAGAGGGGAGGGGAGGGGGGAACGAACCACGTAGCGCATCAATACAGGCCACCGCGTAAACCACGGTCTATACCCCCAGAGAATCGACTCGGATGAGGTCATGTAGAAGGATAGTCCGCAGGACGCGATCACCAGTGTGACCAGCACACGGATGATGTCGAGCAAGCTGATGCGCACGCCGCCGCCGCCGCCGCTGGCATTCTTCTTGTTGGTCTTGTCCGTGCTCTTGGAGCTGCTGCTGTTGCCGCCCTTGGCCGGTTTCTGGCGTTGGCGGACCTCGGACATGATGGTGTGGTGTCGTGTGGTTCGTTGGTGTTGGGGTGTGGGCGGATTCAGGTACAGGCCATCGGAGTGGAAACAAAAGAACAAGCCGGGAGCTTGCACGGCGTGCGGCGCAGATATATAGGTGGGTGGGTAGTAAGGTGATGGGGGGTGGGAAGATTGATGGGTGGAAGGTGGATGCGCCCAGACAACCAGAGGGACGGCGGAGACAGCTTAGTATTTCCGCGCTCTCCGTTGGCTGTTTCGGACAGGCATGGTGTGACAGGTAGGTTATTTCTAGTTTCTACGCAGATTTAAGGGAGCTTAGAGTCAAGGTGGAGAAGATTTTGGTTTTGTGCTTTGTCATATAATTGCTTGTTCATGGTGATTGATAGGTATATTATAGAGAAAATAAAAGATACGGAAGCCGACAGAAATCCAACGAGCAGCTCCAGGCTGAATCATTGGGATCTTCGCCATGACTTCCACAAAGTCCACGTCCACCCCTCCCATCAGTTATCGACACCACCACTATGGAAATCGCAACTTCGCTGGAGTATTTTAAACAAACTAAACAAAATCTTGAATAAAATTAGCAAAGTCCAGGTCTCAAGAAAGAGCTCGAGGCAATGTATATAAAAAAAAAAGGCAATCTCGTCAGACATCCAAGGAAGTAATACGCACAGTGCCGTCTTTGATGGGTTCAAGCGACGACTAGCGTGGAAACTGCGAATGTAGGAAAGTTTTCATCATCGAGATGGGGGGGCAGGAACAGGGAAATTGTGTAGCACGAACAAACTCGTAGCGAAATAATTCGACTTACCATAGTAAATATCGCCAGGAACAGACCAAGGGTGAGAAAGATGCTGCGCAGTTAGTGTTGCCAGACCAAGCTGGTGATGCCTCGAGCCATAATTCGAGTCGCGGAGGGCCGCAGAAAATTCATTCACGCATTGCATTGAGCGTGTTGAGGAGAACTAAGCGAGAGAAAAAAAAGAATTTGGAGATGGCTTTATGCTGCGCGGGAAGAAAGTTTCGCCGGGCGGGTCTCCGGTGTTGGTGCCTGGGTGCCTTATTTGGTGTCCTGAGGATAGATAGAAGGATAGAAAGAACAAAATTTGGTAGGACAATTTCTCATTATGCTATTGACTATGCCAGCTCGAATAAAATACTATCAAAGTACTGGTCTCAACCACTGCGCATCAAGGCAGATGTGAAATCTACCGGAGCTTCACAATTCCTTGACATCATAAGGTGGAGAGTTGATCTTCGAGTTGGCAGGCCCCGAACTTTGCCTCGTTACTCGTTGCTAAACCCTGGTGGAAGGGGAAGTTGGAAAACATGTAAATCAGCGGAATGAACGGAATCAGCCGGATTGTGAAGCTGACCACCACTTAGTGGCCCGCTCCGCGCTCAGTGCGCTCGACTGCCTCTCCCTGAGCCTGTTCCTCTTCCCAGCTGCGAGAGAACACGTCGTTAAGAGCCTCCTGGAAGGTACGGCAGTTCATGTCAATGAGTCCCTTCTTATCCTTGGATTCAGGGTTGCGAATAACAGAGACGAGGCAAAGATATCTAGTACTTTGTTAGTCTGTTCCAACGCGTGGGACTTTGGAGCCATACTTGTTCATTTCCATCAGATGGATCATAGTCTCATCATGCAGAACAACGTGGCTTTCCGCTTCCTGGTTCTGGTCTCCCTTGGGCTTGCGGTCGGGGTGATCCCACGAGTAAAGCTCAGAAATATCCACGATCACGTCAATGTAGTCCGAGCACATCTCGTAGCAGGACATATCCACAGGACGGGTGTCGGAGGCAATGTAGATCTTGCTCAGAACGTCAAAGAGATAAGTCTTTTCAAAGCCGCAGTTGTTGCCAAGAGTGTTGATCAGGTTTTCCAGGGTGGAAAGGTTAGGGATCAGTTTCTGGATAACTTTACTAAACGCCTCGAAAACAGAGTAATCGTAGATCGAAGTCAGATAGTAGTGAACCGGGGCATTTTCGTATCCAGCATCACTCAGCTCGTCCGAGATGAGTTGGACAATATCCTGGAAGGTATCGGTGCGGTACTCCTCGGAAAGTCCATCGACCTTGTGGATGAACACTTCAATGTTGATGTTGGGGTAGTACTGCTGGACGGTCAGGATTGTGCGGTTCAGACGTGCCACCGAGTCCATGTAGTCATCCTGAGCATCAATAACCCAGACAAGGGCTCCCAGGCTTCCGAAAATATTTTCCAGATCGAAAGACGGCTCAAGGTACTCCAGCTGACCGGGGAAATCCCAGACCTGGAAGTCCATGAACGAGCTGCATCGACCAAGTCAGCCGGGCACCGGATAGCTGGGGCTTATGTACTCACTGAATTGAATCTTTCTGGATTCGGGTAGTAGACTCCAGAAACAGTGTCTCATTGGGCGGCATCTTGTGGAAAACAACGCTGGCAATGGAAGACTTGCCGCTCCTTCAGAAAGTCAGAAGTTGTTCTCAGATCATACAGGAGGACACCGTACCGGCGAAGACCCATCAACATCAGACGAGGCTTAGCATCCTGGGGTTTGTTGGCAGCGGCCTGACCGAACTTGGCCGAAGCCTGCTCCAGTGCCTGACCCGTAGCCTGTAGTCCAGCCCAATTATTAGCTCTATGTCACATCTGACGACAGGAGGTTCCCCGTGTAGTGACGCTGTGTCCTGAAGCCAGCCCCAGCTCGATGACGACCATGGCAGTGCAACCACCAGACATCTCGAAAAGAATGACAGGCAAGGGAAAGGGAATCCAGAGGAACATAGCAAAATGGATGAAAATTGACAAAACAATTAGTTGCTGCCACGCGCGTCACGCGCGTTCGAGGCAACAAGAGCGCGACGCCGCGACTCCGACTCGAGTCGGACCGTATGAGATCTCGCAACTCAGACTTACCTTTGCAAGCAGAGCGTTGGAAATCATTGCTTGGTAGCTCTAGGATAGCAACAGGTAGGAAAACAACAGCGATGAGGCAGAACAGGATTCTCACCAGAGGGACATATCCTCGGTCGAGTTGGGATTCAACACAGAGAGCGGGTCCTCTCAAGAGAGTGAAATGGTAAGAAAAGAATAATCCTTACCTCCATGGTTTTAATGGTGCTTTGACGCCGTGGAGTGAGCCAAGCTGATAGACACACCTTGAAAAGCAGATCAGCGCGTGAGGTTAGTTGAGGGGAGAGGCAAAAGCCTTAACGACAAGGTACTCACAGTGAAGGACAGTGACTGACAGGGCGACGCGAAGTCTTCCGAATAGGGGAAAGTAAAGAACCAACCAAGAAACGAGAGACAGCTTATGTACGGAAAGTGCAGTGAATATAACCCAGGGGGCAAGTAACCGCAGGCTCTATGTGACTGTGCGTGGCTTGCTGCACCGGGCTAGATGGTATGGCTGTGGCTCAACAGGCCATGATGCACATGGCTGGAAGAGAAGAAAGAAGTCACGGGAGAGATGCCCAATCGCTTCGTTATATCACACAGATGAGGAGGTAGTATAGGTGGGCTGGCACGGGTAGAACAGCACAGATAGAATGGCCTGCACAAGAGAGGGGGAGGGATATGAGACTAATGGTTCTCCCAGATTCTGCAGAACAGGCTGTTCGACCAGAAGGGACGTTCTATGCTTGACAGGAGCCCAATTCCACTCGCAATGGGAATGAAAGAGGAGGACTGAAAGAGATGCGGTGCGTCCAGACGATAAGCTCGGGAGTCGCGGCTTGGCATTTTGGGATGGCTGCCCCGGTCGCTCTTCCGCCTTTGTGCGCGTCTAGCCTTCTTCCGCTCGTACGCTCTTCTGCCTGGCAGCTCTTGGAGATGAAAGCCACTATACGGAATGCCATATCTACAGGTCCATCTGGTCCATGCGCTTCTGCAAGTTGCATGACCACCTCCTCGGACAATTTACAGCGATCTTTTGGAGATGACGTATGCAGATTGGCATAAATATCATGTGCCCCCCGCATAGAAGTGAACAAACAATCTGTAGACGTGTGTGGCCAATATGAAGCTCGAATGGGAGGCAAGCATTGGCTGTATAGCACACCAGTAAAGCTCGTCCTCGCAGATGAGCATGATGTTCAGTGATGGCTGGCGTGTCCGAAAGATTGATACTGCGGAGGTACTCCGTAGTCTCGAATTTGGAGCCATTGAGAACACCGATCGGCCATATGCAACCGAGGATCCAGCGGTGCAGGCCCGAGGATTCACAGCATGATGCACTGCGGACGAGAGACCCCTGATCACAAGGAATAATCCGAGAAAGTCGAAGCAAACAAAGCAGCCCGGGGGCCCGCGGCGCGAGGCGATTGGCCGTGTCGGGTCCGACCGCCTTCTGGCGTCATCTCCGCCCGGCCGCAATCGCCCGCTCTGCTTCTTCTCCAATTCAGCTGTTGACCGTCCGCCATCAGATAAGTCCAGCCTGCTGCTTCAGTGCGGGCAGCCCTCCAGATGACGACCCTCATCCCCCGCGAGCCCTACTCCCAGGTGGAGCTGGATCGCCTATATCCTCGGGACTTGAAGCTGCAATTGGTCCAAGTGGTGAGTGTTGGTATAGGAACTGCCTGTCCCTGTCCGGAGAGGAGCCACATACTTGAATAGAGTGCTGATTGACCCCTGATTTAGTTTCTTCGTCATGGTGAGGAAGCCAGGCTGTCAGCCTTTTCTCGTAATGGCTCCAATCTAACACAATGATATCCAGGAGAGCGGACGCCCGTATCTTCACGATTCCAGAATGTATGGGACAAACCCTCCCCCCAACTGAGAACCCCCCCGGGCTAACACCTTCAAGGCAGGGCTTGCTCCATGTAATGAACCCCGTCCCGACGATCCCTTTTGAGTCTCCCCACTGACTCGTCCTCTTCACCTCTGCAAAGACTGGCCGTACTGCAACGTTGCGCGCCAAATGATCCAAATGGCCTCCAGTAACAAGGACATTACATCGTGGAATGGGTTCCAATGGCGCCGGAAACTTGAGACTGTGGGCAGCAAGGACGAATCGGTAGTTGCAGTGGGCGCGACAGGTGATATAGAGGGCATCTGGCAAGTTAGAGAGCGAATGCTCAGCGTCGCATGGAAGGCTTGCTGACCGCAAACAGTCAACACGGCGAACTGACCGACAAAGGACGGGAGACGACCTTCGCACTGGGCCAGCGTCTACGGCACCTGTATGTTGATCAGCTGGGCTTCATGCCGAAGATTAAATCAGACACCGAGGACATGTATCTCCGTGCCACGCCCATTCCCCGAGCCCTCGAGTCCCTCCAGCAAGCCTTCTGGGGCATGTATCCCGCCAGTGCCCGCACCCAGGACTTCCCACCTCCAGTAATCGTCGCACGTTCTGTGTCCGAAGAGACGCTGTTCCCCAACGAAGGCAACTGCCGTCGATTTAGGCAGCTTGCTCGACTCTTTGCAGACAAGGCATCACTGAAATGTACATCCCATCCCAGCTCCCCAGCCCTCAGCCTCGTGCACAAAGAGGACAAACATCCACAAGCCCACACATGACTGGAACCTCGAAGCTTATCATTACTCTCCAGGGAACAACTCCGAAAAAATGGACTACATCAACACGCGCATATCCAAATGGATGCCGGAAAGCTCCCCTCGAGTCGCAGTCAACGGACACCCCCAACTCTGCGGAATCATGGACACGATCAACGCCACCGACGCACACGGACCCGCCACCAAGCTCCCATCGGAATTCTACGACCGCAAGCTGAGAGACTACATCGACGAGATCTCCGTCGACGAATGGTTCACCGGCTATGCCGAAAGCCACGAGTACCGCAAGCTCGGCATCGGAGCGCTTCTCGGCGACGCCGTCGACCGCATGGTCAGCACCGCCGTCGAAGGTGGCTGGCGCAGCGAGACCTCCGCCTCCGGATCCTCCTCCCCCGACCACGGCAAAGCCATCAAATTCGCCATGAGCGGATGCCACGACACCACCCTGGCCGCCATCCTGACCAGCATGGGCGCCTTCGACGGCAAATGGCCCCCCTTCACCTCCTCCGTCGCCATCGAGCTCTTCTCTCGCGCCGAACAAGACCCCACAAACACAACCGTCCCCGTGCCCAAGAAATCCGGCCTCTTCTCTTCCCTGACTGCCTCCTCATCCAGCACCACCACACCCTCCCAACTAGCCCGCACCCCTCTCTCCTCCCTCCCGGAATCCACAAAACCCCTCCTCCGCACCCACTACGTCCGCATCCGATACAACGACCGTCCCGTCCGTATCCCCGGCTGCGCCGCCAAGCCCCAGAACCATTTCCCAGGCGACGAAACCTTCTGCACGCTGGAAGCGTTCAAGGAGATCGTCGACAAATTCACCCCCCAGAGCTGGAGGGATGAGTGTCTGCAGAACATTGGGGAGGGGCTGTACGGGAAGGACGAGAGTGAGAAATCGATTGCTGGGTTTTAAGAGTTGCTTGGTTTAGAGAGGAGGGTTGGTATACTACTATTACTATTACTTACTGCCTGTCTAGTGGTGGTGTTGGGATTTAGTCTTTTTCTGATGTTGTATCTACATTTTTTTTGGTACCATGGAGGTTGACTTGACTGATAGAGAATGTGTGTGGGAGAAAAGAGAGATAGCCTATCTGGACTGGGCTAGATTGGGTTGAGTTCGCGAGATTAGAGATTTAGTGGTCGATTCCTTTTATTCATCATATACTCTTCCCCGTTACCGCGTGGATGGATAGGTGAGGGAAAGGAGTTTGTTTCAGCGGTGATGAAACCGGTCCAAAGTATATTGATTGATAGGAGTATGTATCTGTATATAGCCATTGCCCATTTTAAAGACGATTTATGCCTGTCTTCGTCTAAACGGCTCTCGACACTGATATCAAGTCATCATGGGTGCAGCAAAAGAAGCAAGCCGAAAAAGAAATGTAGTACTACATATATACGGTTTCGGGGAGTCCCGAAAAGTCTAGGGAGTTAGTTAGTTAGTTAGTTAGCTAACCCCGTCGACTGGCGCTGCGACTGCGGCTGGCACTGCCATTGCGATTGGCACTGCGACTGCGGCTGCGACTGAGAGCGAGTTTGCGACTGGGATCGCGCTGGAGCCAAGGAGAGTAATTATCCATCTTCCTCCGTCTGAAGCGCTCGCCTCCGTGTTCGCTGCCGGTGTCCCAGCCGCTTTCGCTCTCGCTGGCACTCCAGATGGAGTGGGCGGGCTCGGACACGGACTCGGTCGGCTCGGTGACGTCCATCTCAGCAGCATCAGCAGCAGCAGCAGAGGCCGAGGCAGAAGCCCGGGCGGCACTATTCTGGGCCTTCTTGGCGTCCCTGGTCTCCTTTTCGCGGAGTTTGTGGGCTTCCTTGCGCTTGACGCTCGCTGCAAAGTTCACGCGCTCCAGGAGATCGAACAGCTTTTCCACAGCCGGGGAGAGCGCCTGGGAGATGGGCATGTCGCCGACGCGGATGCGCATGTAGTCGAACGAGCCGACAATGGGAACGTTCAGCCGGGGCTTCCGGGTGACTGTAATGTTGCCGAACAGGTTGTTAGGGCCGCGGGGTCGGGGCTCCTCCTCTAGAGACTCCGGCTCTGCGTCGTCGTGGTTGTGCCTGGCGGAGGCGTCTTCGGTTTTGGAGACTTTCTGGTACCGTTGGCTGAAGTGGGTGAGGACGATGGAGCGGGCCTTCATGAGACGGCCGACTTCAAGGGCTTCGGAGACAGTGGAGTGTTTCTTGGCGATGGCGGATCCGGCCATATCGTCCTGGAAGGTGGCTTCGTGGATGAGAACGGTGGAGTCTTGGCCGATTGACACGAAGCCCGCGGAGGGTCGGCAGTCGCCAGAGAAGGAGACCTTGAAGCCATCGTCGAAGACGAGCGAAACGGCCATGGCTCCGCGGCAGTGATTTACGCGGGAAGTGAGAATATTGGAGAGGCCTGTGGCTTGGTGGAGAAGAGGTGTGAGCCTGGACTTGGCATCGGTGAAGGAGAGAGAGGTGATGTCGGGCCTGGAGTGCGCAGACTTGTGCCCGGGATATAAGCCATCGCTGCGACAGTGGCGGTAGATAAATTCGGTTTTTATGGTGTTGTTCTTGACGAAAGGAGAGGCAGTCAAGGGCACCACCTTTCCAAAACCGTAGTTCTCGACGCCTGCATACTCCTCAAGCCAACCGATCATCATATCTTCGGATACAACGAACAGGCGCTTTTCCTGTAATATCTTAGACATGTCCATCTCTACCTCGGTTGGCTCCGAGCTCCCATCGGGGTAGTTCTCCTCAAACCATGCCCTGATAACGGAAGCAAGGCCAAGATGATGGTCTGCGTGAAGATGGCTGATCCAGATGAGCCGTAAGTTCTGCAAGACCTCGCGCAGCTTCTCGGGCGTAAAGACACGCTTAAGCTGGCCGAGAGTGTTCTCGCCACAGTCGAGCAGATAGTAGCCATGTCCAGGTACACTGAGAAGAGTAGCGGAGACGTTGCGGTATTTCGATGGGGCACTTGAGCCCGTTCCCAGCGCAATGATCTCCGCGTTGGCCCCGGGGAGGCCACTTCGGAACTCCCGCAGCTTCTGTGCAAACTCCGGTCTCCCCATGCGTGTAGTAATGGCATCCATCCGCTGCTGCACGGCCACAGGCATCATTGATGACACAGTTTTGGTATCGTACGGCGGTTGTACCTCGGAACGGTTAAGTACGAACTTGGGCTCCATTTCAATGACGAGGCCGGGTTCCACAGGCTGTAGGGAAACGGCTTTGGACATGTCCCTCGCTGTTCCTGATGCTGCACTGCCCGGTTGTGGAACAGTCACATTGTCATGGACGGGAACGTGGTAGCTGTCGGGCTTTAAGATACCCATCCGGACAGTCGTTTCAGCGACACTCTTCAGAGCCAAGTAGTTTGCGCAATAATCCGGACTGGAAACGGTGTGTTCGCAGTGAGGCATCTTCGCCACAAACTCGTGAAGCCGTGGGTGGTCACCCACTCCCGGACCCAAGATCCACAGGATGGTCTCTAAATTCGAAGTCACCGATGGAGAAGACCACTCAGGACGATCAACGAGATCATCCACGTATGCCCGCGTAGGCAAATCGATGAATGCCATGCCTTTCCCTTCTCGCGAAGGACCCAGAACCATGTCAGGGGTAATGGTGTTACCATCTTCTGAGGTCACACTCTCTCCCTTGGTCAGCTTCGCATAGTCTGGTCCCCTCCGAACCTTCAGCGCCTGGGCCTTTTTGGGGTCGAACTTGCCCCGAATAGTGTGGTTTCGGACGATATAAGACAAGGATTCATGGCACCAAGTCGTAGGAGGAATCTTGTCAACGGCTGCGCCTGGCCATGGCTGGCGAACCAAAACCTTGATATTAGGAAGCGGTTCACTGCTGCCGGGAGCAGGTCCCTTATACTGCTCAAGGTCTTTCGTCACCGGATTACGAACGAACATAGTCGCCGGCATCTTAACGTCCGCCAGGTCTTGTTCATGCAGAGAATCCATTTTCCACGACGAGTTGAACATATCACCGATTATACCTTGCCTGATAATTTGATCCTGGGTTCGCGCATCAACAGCCTCCGATGAATCTTCGCGCTCCTCAAACTCGTCGAGGCTTCTCTTTCTTGGACTTCTCGAGCGGATTTCCCGAGAGCACGGTGCCGGGGATGGTCTGATAGGCATGGCCCACACCTTGATATTGCTGTCCATCCATGTGGGCTCCTCAAAAGGGTCCCCCCCTTCAGCGTGACCCGGCTTGGACATGCTCTCTGTATCGTATTCCCTGGTGGAAAGCGGCATCCCCTTTCGGAAGACAAACCTCCGCGCAGTAGCCAAGGTATGTGCGAGATTCCTGCCTCCGTGGATGGTTAAATCACCTCGTTGCGGGGCTATCTGTCCATCCGCGGCCTCATCCTCCACGCCCTTTGAATTATTCGGCCCCTGTTCGAGCTCTTGGCGACGTTCGTTTTTCTCACGGACAGAGGTTTCGACGGCATTGGCTGAGCTGGCCAGGCTATCAGCCAACGTGAGGATGACGCCGATCAAGCCCCCAGTGTTCTTCCACACTACCTGACCCGTTATGAAGATGTCGGACAGAGCGGTCACCTTCAGACCCCGCTCCGAACATGCCCGCTGGGTGCCTTCGGAAACATGGCCGAAGAAATAGCGCTTGTTCGGGAAGTGAAGCAGGACCGTTGTGCCCGGGGTATCCGCCGTCGGCGTGGTCACAACTTCATAGTAGAACTTCATTGGAGAGCTACCGCTCGGCAGGGGTGGTGGAGTGGTGTATCCCGAGAGCTTTAGGCTCTTGGGATTGTAGATAAGGTGCCTCGGATGGGGGTTCGCCCAGATTTGGGGGGACGGCACCAGACGAGTGTCGGGGTCGGATAGTGAAGCCCGTTCGTGTTCTTGGAAAAGATCCGCTGATCTTGCCTCTGCACGATAACCACGCAAATGTCGAGCGATCGATGATGAGGCAAGAACTGGAGGAAGGCGTATGGGAGGGAATGCGATCCCGCGAAAGAAGATGGCGGAAGTCGCCCGGAATCGAAGGGAAGCCAACTTGAATGCGGTGGGGGATGAAGGAGAAGATGCTAACAAGCAGGCATGTCGGAAATGCCAGTCAGAGCGAAAAGAGAGCGGCCTGCAACAGATGAGAGAGAAAGCACCGAGTCCAGCGCGGTTGTTCAAACTTCAGGACTTCCGAGGCTGGCGGATCTGGCGCAGAGCCTCCTCCGGCTAGCCTCTCCGCCTGGCAACAATTTTTTTTTGTTGTTTTTTGGAAGAGCTCCACTCACCGCCCGCCGCGCGATACGTTACGGGGTAGATAGTTAGAGGCGGAGTACATAATTACTAATCAACCAGCATAGTTGCAATTGTGCGCGTGCTACCTAATATGGTTAGTACATTCCTGACGCTAATCCCCTGTAGGAACTGCGTTCTAAAGAAAATAGTATATCTATTTTCCATCTCGACAAGTGAAGAATATTGGCCTAGATACATATATAAGTTGAATCACCTTCTTCAGGATCCGACACTCTGCTAGCAGATTTTCCCGTCTACATGAAGCACCCCGAGAGCAGACAGAAGCAACTGCGTGCAAGCTCGCGTTGAAGCTCAAGTTGCAACGAGCACCAGAGCATCGGTCGAAGCTAAACAATTTGCAACTCTAACTTGCCACCAGTCTCACGAGCCAGCCATGACATGTCAAATGCAATGTTATGATCTCACGGAATTTGTGGTTGAGCGACCGAAAACGGCAAGCTGTGATGTCTTCACGACGTATTGGGACTCCACCACACCCTTGCCACATCAACACAACCTGATGGATAACTCAGTCCTACAAATCTCAATGATGATTCTCGGAGATAAGAAATCAAAGGTTTCAAAAATGGTAAATAACCTCATCCTCGCATATAATCCATTTATTCCCACATCATAATCATAACCCTAGCAGTACACATACACCTGTATCCCAAACACACTCATAGTGAAAACATCAAAGATTCAGATCTACTCATCCGGAAAATCCTCCTCATCGATCTGGTTCTGGTTCTGGTCATAGTCATACTGCGTCCTCGAACCGCCCTTCTGCCCCGCCGCGCGGGCCCGAGGATCACCGGGCTGGAAGCTGCCGCTGGACGCCTGTCCACCCTGCGAGGCGATGTTGCGCTGTAAATAAGATCGGGATTTAGCTGTCGCGTTCTAACGCATATATCCGACAAAGCCACGCCGAGAATATTTATCTGATACAAGACAAAGACAAGGCAAGGCAAAGACAGAATAAGACAAAACGTACCTGTTTGCTTGAATCCATACTGGCGAAGCCGCCCGAGTGGCTGACCTGGCCGCCCTTCTTGGCCAGATTGGAGACTTCGTCGTGGGATCGGTTGGCGAAGTTGCCGGGGTTGGTGTTGGAGGCCATTTTTATAGATTATGAGTAGATTATATGGTGTGTTGTTATTAAAAGAAATTAAGAGGGGGGTTTGGATCGGTTGATGGATGTGATGGAGAGCGTTTATAATTGAGTTGAATATCTAGCATTTGGTACCAATACAGCTTGATATTTATAGTACATATCTCCATCCTGATGAACATGTTGCCCCCATAAATAAACCTCATGAGATCATAATGCTGTAGCACACTTGACATCAACACCTCCATCGCAATGAAACATTCGTGATGCAAACTAAACGTTCTCATCATTCTTATGTGTAATGAAAACGCCCCTTTGGCATTGGTATGGGGCATGGTAGGCTTGATATTGGACCGCCACGCGGGAGATCCGGGGATGCGGATGGGGATGGGGATCCACGGGATCGAAAGTGTTTTGCCTATTGGGTGGGGTAATTGGTCTATGGTTATGGTTATGATTGTGGTTATGGTCGTGTCGGGGTTGAAGAAATGTGACTGAGGCTTTTAATGCGTGCGATGGCGCAATATTCCTGATAGATTGGGTCGTGGATTCTAGATGCGCACTTGAAGAGTCTAGATGCCTGATGGGATGGCTACGTGTGGTGAGTGTCATGGATTAGGTTAGGTTGTAGATTGGGTGGCGATTTTGACTTATGAGGGTGTGAGGGGAATGATGATGTTGTCTGTGGTTATTTTTGGGTGGTTTGGCTGGCCTGGTGTTGTGGACTGGTTGTTATGTTTCTTTTCATTTTCGTTCTCGCTTCCCTTTCTCCCCCTAGGTCTAGATTCGAGGGGGTTGGTGTGTAATTATTTTGTATGCTGTAGGTTGAGAGTTTGTTAGAGATGGCAGGTAAGCCGGAATCGATTGTTTGAAGTTTCGTGGATTACATTGGCTTTGGGAACAAATGTATGCATACATCAAGCATTTTGATTTCTGTCATACTTATTCAGATCGGAGTTTCGGGGATATTTGTATGGAATATTCATTGGTTTCTGGCCCCCCGACGGATATCATAAATACGTTGTCGTAAATCTCATCCACATACATAACACTTCTGTCTGTAAACAGACGGCATGTACACATTGAAAAGGGAAATAAAATCTTGCATGTCAAAAGAAGGTCCAGCAGTGCAAATCCTCCAGAAGAATAGCAGCGACATATCGAAAGTAATGTCTGTGGAAGACAGGCCCCCGAAGGGACTCAAAAGAGAGGCATGTTAACGGTATTGATGTAGTCGATATTGCTATCGACAGACTCGATACGGTCATGGCAGGTGCCAAAGATGCGGTCCCACAGACGAGTCTGCTTGCCATAGTTGTGGCTCTTTCTCCAACCCTTACGGTGATGGAGGTCGTGGTCCTCGATGACAATCTCGGCATTCAGCATTTGCAGCAGCCAGCTCAGCGTCGACGGGACCGTCATGTGGATGCGCAGACCGCTGTGTCCGAAAACCTCAGCAAAGGCGACATATGCATGACAGATCCACCACTCGTAGAAGCCCATGGGCAACCCCATGAACCGGAGGCTGAGATAAGTCATCAATGGGACTCCGACCATATCGAAGAACTCCTGTTCGTGATCCGCATAGGCCGCCAGGAGTGGGTTGGGGTGCTTGGTGAGATGGTGGGTGCGGTGGTACTTCCAGAGAAAGCTAACGTCGTGCATCAAACGGTGATACCAGTAGAACCAAAAGTCGAGCACAATTCCATAGAGACCGATCTCGAGAGGAAGCCATGCCCATTGCATAGCCATCGGTGCCTGACTGGCGTTGAAGGAGAGGTAGAGCGATAGAGCCAGGCGAGAGCCGGTTGTCTTGTATAACGAGGCAGCAACCTTGCCCACACCAACGTCAGGGACGCCGTCGCGTTCGTGTTGGTCACCGTCGAGGAATCCATACGTATGGCCGAGACGACGGAGGAGGCGAATTTGGTAAATGAGGATTGCGTTGAATGCGAAAAAGTAGAAGTGGAAGAGAGCAAACGGCCCGAGGTTGTGACCTGTGTATGAGAAATATGCTTGATTTATAAGAACTGGAATGAATGCATAAAAGAGAACCCAGATATTCAGAGACAACTGAGGCATGTAAGGTATCTTGTCCTGCTTAGTATGTACCGGCACCTCCTTGTCGAGAGAAATATGGTGGGCATTGAGCAGCTCGAGGGCCCAGTGGCTGATGCTCCATTCGTCGCGGTTGGCAGTACGCCATGTGGACTTCATCGAGTCCTTCGGGTTGCGTGCGGATGCCATGGTATCGATAGTTTAACCCAGATTTTGGCCTTTCGAAATCTACCCCGCGTCCCTGTCGTGCTTTATACCATCGTTGAATATACGGGGGCCTTCTAAGGCTCGGGAAGACATGCTAGAGCATGTGAATGCTCTACATTAGTTCATGATATACAGTCACCAGGTGTGGATCCTTTTCCCAACAAAATCGCAGACACCCATATATGCATCAAGCACATCAAACATGGTGGGAGTCGTTTCCACCCAAAGGAGACAGAGGGGACCACCGGCACATGAAGACAGTTCATGTTGAGTGGTTGAGACAGAAGACCCCGCAAAATGTGCCTCGGAGCCCTTGGGCACCCCGAGGATCACCCACGAGTCGCATAATTGCAAATTCAACTCCCGGTGTCGCCAATGCTGTAAAGACAGGGAGGATGATCGACTGGTTGGGTCGGGAGATCATTATACTGGACCCAAATAAAGGACCTCGCATCGGTTTCCTCAAAGGGACTAGGCAGTTTCTTGGATCCCAACCACATTGCATGTGATTGTCCGAAGTTAAGGGTCTATTTCCATGCTAGAAATATATGTGCAATGGGCCTCAAAGCTCTTGTCAAGAAGGAAGAAGAGAAGAACACGCCTGCGTCTGCTTGAGGACGTAGTCAAAAATGACTAGCCTGTTCAGGTTAGTGACATATGTTGACACCTCAGGCGTCAAACGAACTCCCCCCCTTAACAGAGAGACATCATCACGGATCTTGTGGGACTCTGTCTCTTTGATGTCTAGCACCTCATATATAGATATTATCTGTGGCGAATTCAGCATTTATCAAATGCGCTCGAGGACAACAACCATGCTCTGTTATCAAAATTCGAATAGGAGATGTTGATCCATCAGTAATAAGGCGCGACGAGCAAAGCTGGGAACTCAATGCGGTGCAGACCACGATGAACTAGCCAACGTAAAGGTACCTAGGTTGTTCCTATTGCTCTTGCTGTCTGGAACATTAACCTCTTAACTCCTGTAATGATGCGCTTCTTCCGCATACAGACTTGCATATTTTCCCCTTGCAGCCCATGTGGATTCGGTCTGGTCCGGAACATACCCATCAATTAACCATTCAAACTCTGATCAGGGGGTTGACGGAGTCATCGTTGAGTTCCCTGTGAGTCAAAGCATGGAGAGATGTTGCCACTTCCCCAAACGGCAATGTTCAGTTCAGGGACAGAGCGGCTAGTCCCGTTTGGGACCCCGACTCTGCAGCACAACATCCCGCCATCCAAACACGATCTCGCAGATGACTCAAAGGCTTCCCAGGTGGAGATGATGATTATGGGGTACGACATCTGTACCTTGGCTTGGCCTCGAAAAGTGAGCATGTTGAACGATCGAGACATTGCTCAGGTGCCAATTACGCACAGACTTATCAGTGAAGGGCCCAGTGCTTACTTCCCCGCAGAACTATGAAAGGGAAGGATCGACTTGTCAATATCTGGACTTTCTATGAAGGCTGAGATCCAATCGGAAGAACTTTTCCCATCCTCTATTTTCGTTATTTCCGGTCTTTTTCAGATCCTCTGTGTCTTTTCTCGCTTCAGTTGAAGCAAACGCGCTCCGGTCATGACGAATCAGTCTATCCTTGCCACTTGCAAACAGACGCGCTTCCATCTCCATGATAAGGCGTCGAAGGAGGTATCATGATCCCCATCGAGGTGATCGAGGTTGATGATGATCTGAGAGCTAACGCGAGCCTTATGATCATTCTAGGTCGATGTAGAGGGTCTCACCATTGCCGTTTCGTCCACCTCGAATGAAGAGAATCTTTCAAACCCGAAGTCTAAAGGGAAATCGAAAGCAAAAGCCGAGACGAGAGAACTCATTACCCAGGGCCACCTGCGACTCAAAGAAGGCGTGTGCTACGGATTGATAGGTCGAAATGGGACCGGCAAATCGAGTGCGTTATACCATTCCAGATGGGATTGCAAATGAAGCAACGATTGATGATGGAGATTAATGGCTTTTCATAGCGCTTTTGCGGGCCATGGCCGACAAGCTGATACCGGGTATACCGCATGCTACACGTATCGCCATCTTGCAACAGACAGAGAGCAGCCTCGATGCTTGTGACAATAATACAAACAATGACAGTGGCGGAAGAAACAAAGCAGTCTTGGAGTATGTCCTGAACACCGATCGTTATAAAAATGAAGTAGTTCACAAGATTGACAGTAGGTCACCCTCCCATGGCTTCATCGCTTCACACACTTACTGGTAACTTCCTTGAAGTATTGTCGAGAAGTTTCGAGTCAGACGATCTGTTGCAGCCTGTGAGAGCGATTCGAACTGTTCGCCATTCAGATATGGAAAAGGAATTGTTTCTGGCTCAGAAGACGGCACATCTGAAGAGCGGGGCAAGGGGACTACAAGCCCGGAAGGAGTTGAAATCTGCTGAATCTAGATTGCAAGACTCCTCGGCGCTGTAAGCACCCATGGGTGGTGTTTTACGTGAGTTGACTAATCAATTATATAGGCTGAACCAGACAACGGAGTTGATGAATGCAGATGCAATTCAGGAAGACACGAAAGCTGCAATGGAGACTTTACAGGACTTGCAGTCTCAGTTTGAATCTGTGAGTATCACTACTCGAGCACAATATCAAGCGCCACTAAGCATTGCATGGCACAGATGAAAGTAAGCGACACTGAGAAACAGGCGCGTCAAATTCTTGCCGGCCTAGGCTTTCAGGAAACGATGCTCAACAAACCATTCTTAGAGTTGTCAGGTGGTTGGCGTATGCGGTGTATGTTGGCCAGTGTTCTGATCCAGAATCCAGATATCATGATTCTTGATGAGCCGACAAATTTCCTTGACCTTCTGGGAGTTATTTGGTTGGAGAAATACCTTCAACAGCTATGTGACTCTTCACAGACTACCATACTGATAGTATCCCATGACAGGGACTTTGTGAATGCTGTCTGTGAAGAGATCATCATCCTTAGGGATCAGAAGCTTTCCTACTTCAAAGGAAACCTGTCCGCGTACGAAAAAGACTTCGAGGAACAGAAGCTCTATTGGGGTCGTATGAAGGAAGCCCAGGAACGTCAGGTTGCACACATGGAAGCAACCATCCGCGACAACATCAAGATAGGGAAGAAGACTAACGATGACAACAAGTTGCGCATGGCCAAGTCGCGACAGAAGAAAATCGATGATCGGATGGGTGTCCAGGTCAGCGCAACTGGGGGACGCTTCAAATTGAATCGGGACCTTGTGGGATATCATCTAACCACACGGGCAGAAATTGAGGTTCCAACTGATGAACGTGGTGCTACCATGACTCTGCCAGATACCACCGAACTGCGGTTTCCTGGTCCCCTTATCTCCTTGGAAGGGGTTGTTCACCGATTCAATCTGGGCGAGCCCCCAGTCCTAAATGGGATTGAGCTCGTCATGCATCTGGGCGATCGTGTGGGCATACTGGGTCTCAATGGATGTGGAAAGTCAACACTGGTGCGTCTCTTGGCCGGAAAGACCTTGCCAACACAGGGTAAGCTCTTAACCCATTCAAGACTGAAACTTGGCTATTACGCACAACATTCAATCGAGGAGCTTCAAGAGCAAGGTTGGTCAGATCCCGATCTGACCGCGCTGGGATTAATGTCAAAAGATGTCAATGGGTCGCTCAATGAAGGTGAACTCCGGGGTCTCCTGTCAACACTAGGCCTCCAGGGTAGGGTAGTATCTGATGTTCCTATACGCCGGCTTTCAGGCGGGCAATTAGTGAGCAGGTCTTCTTCCACAATTTTCATTGACTTTTTACGGCTAACTATGTAACCCACAGGTCCGTCTATCACTGGCGAGAGTCGTTTGGAACTCACCACATCTTCTCATTCTGGACGAGATCACAACCCATCTAGATTTCCATACGGTCACCGCGATATCTTCTGCGCTCTCGAGATTCAACGGGGCCATTCTGTTGGTATCACACGATCGATTCTTGATCCGATCTGTGGTCGAGGGGAAGCGAGACTGGGAACAAAATATAGATGAGGACTTTGAGGGTATCGATGACGAACAGACAGAACTGTCAGGGCGAAGGCGGGACGTATATGTTCTGAAAGCGGGGAAGCTCCATGTACAGGAAAATGGCGTGGAGCAGTTCGAGCAAAGTTTAGCCCGGAGGGCTCGAAAGATGCTGCCTGTGCCCGGATGAAATGCTTATGGTGAAAGAAAGTTTTCGACCACCCGTGTGTGACCCTACATTTCCAATTTTTTTTTTCAATGTATGGTTGTTAACGAGGCGTTGGTCATGCCGCATGTGAAGATAATGGATGACAACAAGAGTGATCCGACAGAGGGGATCCGCTGTGTGGTCTGGGTAAGCGTAGAAAAGCCATCCCAGAAACCCTGAACACTAGCTAGATAGAGAAGTTCCAACCATGCTTTTAACGGAAACCCTGCGGGAACGCCCCAGGAAGTGGCTGCAGCCCTATCTGGTTTTAATTAAAGTGACAAGCGCCGAGGGACGCGGCGGGGGCGAAGATCTCGGGCCGGGATTGGATCAGTGGTCGGGCCCGCACGAAACTTTCGCTTTTTTCCCCTTGGCCGCCGCTTCGTCTTCTTTCCTCTGCTCACAAACCTCAATTGACCACTGCAACTGTTCCCACCGAAGACATGTCCGCTGAAATGGAATAACACCCGCTTTGCCCCCCGTTTTTGACCCCCCAAGCTTGCCTAAACAATCAGAATCTCAAATTCAGAAACTAGGACACTTTGTTCTGCCAACTGCCGACTATCTATCAGCCAACGACCCTTGCACCCGATATAGTAACAACGGCTTTTGCTGCTGCACAACAACAGACTAGCCTCCCAGCGCCTAGAACACCACTCTGCGTGATTTCTCTACAAGTCATCATTCCACCGGTGACGTTGACTTGGCTGCTTTTGCTGCATTTGATCAGAAGACAAATGATGAATTATCGAACAAGACTGAGACCATTTCAATTTTTGCAAAGTCCTTGTGGGTAGCGGTGTGCGCCCACACATCAGATTACAACCGCCGCCCGTCATCTTGACATATTGCACCCGACCTGGGGACTCTGATCCCCCTTCGATTATTTTGCCTGTCCGCAGGCCTAGACTCTGCTTGCTAGCAAAGCAGATCTCCTTGTCTGATTCTCGCCGCGTCGTCTAGCCGGCGCCTGTCAGCATGATTCGTGAGTCGTCCCTTGCTTACCGTCTTTCTCCACGGCTTCCCCCACCCCCTGCATTCCAGGACGGGGAGGGAATACCGCATCGTCGAGCTGTCATGGACGGAGAATCCGCGGACTGACATGCGCTTGTAGCTCGAAGCTGCCACCAACTCCTGGGTCGAGGCATAATAGCGGTACTCCCGCCATTTAACTTCCTCACGCTTCACTACGCCTACTTTCTCGCGACGCCGTTGATTTGCAGCGTCATCTTCTGGGGTTCCTCCACTCCATCGCGCAGCCTTGGCTATGTCGACTCTTTATTCATGTGTGTCAGCGCCATGACGGGTGCTGGCTTGAACACCGTACGTTGTGCTCTTTCCACCTCCAACACCATTGCACCAGTAACATCAATAGGTCGACCTGTCTGCTCTGAATTCATTCCAACAGGCTATCCTCTTCGCGCTCCTCTTTCTGGGACACGCTATTCTCATTTCCATCACGGTGCTCTTTGTCAGGAGGAGTGCTTTCCAAGCCAAGTTCAAAGGCATCTCAATTGAGCGGGCACGGAAAAGGCTATCTCTCCACATGCCTGGGCATGGCATTCCCCTCGACTCGATCAACGAAAACGTGATTGTCGAAGAGCACCAGCCAGCCAAATCCGATGATGTTGGCCATGATGGTAAGGGCAGCGGGACAGCGGAAGTCACAGCGACTGAATCCAACGGCGAGCTCCTAAATGATGACCCTAGCCAATGGGCCGAGGACGACCAAGTCACTCTTAGCCATATGAGGGCACGTCAACATCATCGCCACCGAGTTTTCCCTATGGTAGGCGTTGGAGCTCGACCGGACTTGAACAACCACCCCCGGGATGTGGCGCCGAGATTGCCTCAGGCTGATGAAGACGAGTTGCCCGCATTCAAGGGCTTCATTAAAGGAACGCAAAAGTACTTTGCATCCAAAGGATTCATTGCGCGAAACTCTCAGTTTCATGGACTTACTCCCGAAGAGCGGGACAAGTTGGGAGGTGTGGAGTACAAGGCGATTACCTTCCTGCTGGTTATTGTTACCCTCTACTGGGTGCTATTTGTCCTGTGTGGCATCATTGGCATGGGAACCTGGCTGGCAGTCAACCATCCCGATATTGCTCGAAAGAATGGCCTGTCGCCCTTTTGGACAGGCGCGTTTTTCGCTGTTTCCGCGTTTGTGAACAGCGGCATGTCGCTCTTGGATGCAAATATGGCTGCGTTCCAAACAAAGTACGGACTTCACCTCTGTTCTCTTCGGGTACAAGCATACTAACTCATCCATAATTAGTGCATACCCGTTACTTACCATGTCATTGCTCATCCTGGCTGGCAACACGCTCTACCCTTGCTTTCTCCGGTTTATTATCTGGGGTTTGAGGTGCTGTGTCCCAAACTCGCCGTCATGGGCATCGTGGAAAGTAACTTTCGACTTCATTCTTGACCATCCTAGAAGAGTGTGTAACCTAGCTACGTTCCTAACACTTGCCCCCCCTAACTCGTATCTAGGTGTACACAAACCTTTTCCCAAAGAGGCACACATGGTACCTGCTTGGTACCATCATTATCCTGAATGCGATTGATTGGGCTGGCTTTGAAGTCCTCTCTCTCGGGCTCAAAGAAATCGAAGACCTGCCAAAAGGCTACCGAGTCCTAGACGGCTTGTTTCAAGCTAGCGGTTCGTATTCCTACTATAGCCTTTGATTCTCCCCAGGCATCTAATATTTGTATCAGCCGTACGTTCCGGAGGCTTCTACGTCGTTACGATTTCCGACCTTCGTCAAGGTCTGCTGGTCCTCTATGGTAAGGATCCACCCGATATCTCTAGCTGGCACTGTACTAACGTCTCGCAGTTCTCATGATGGTCAGTTCCATAGCGACAATCCCCGTCAAGCTCCACACTAACATCCCCATAGTATGTCTCAGCATACCCCGTCCTAGTCGCCATGAGGTTCGTATCTATCCATCCCAACCGCTCACCCCCCAGACAACCCCCCACTAAGCACCTCGAAGAAACACAAACGTCTACGAAGAGCGCTCCCTGGGCATCTACGCGCACGACAACACAGACGACGAGCAAGACGGCCAATCCTCCCCCAACATGTTCATCCAACTAGTCCGACACCACATCCTCCGACGCCAGGACGTATCCACCCCCGAAGCCTCTCGCAGCTACTTCGTGCACCAGCAACTCCGCTCCCAGCTGAGCCACGACCTCTGGTGGATTGCCCTCGCCGTCCTCCTCATCGCCATCGCCGAATCATCCAACTTCAGCCGCATGCCTGTCGCCTACTCGACCTTCAACATCATCTTCGAAGTCGTCTCCGCCTACGGCTGCGTCGGCATCAGCGTCGGCTTCCCGGGCTCCAACGCCTCCTTCTGTAGCGCTTGGCACCCCATCAGCAAGCTTATTCTTGCGGCTGTTACCCTAAGAGGACGTCACCGCGGCCTTCCCGTCGCGATCGATCGCGCTGTCATGTTGCCCAGTGAGTCTCTCGAGTGGGCGGAGGAGGAAGATGCCGCTATGAGACGCGAGCAGTCGCGCGCTTGGGGGTGTGATAAGATGCCTGTTGGGTCTGTCTAGATCTTGGCCTTAAAATGCCGTGAGAAGAGTGAGAGACTTAGCATGCTCGCTATCATTTGCGGAATAGAAGCGGTGGGTAGGTGGCATAGCGTCGTCGACAAAAAGTGCTTTCCTGTTATCCTGGACTTTTCACTATGCTTTCCTTTGCTTTGGTTTCCTTCGCTGTTCTTTTCTTCGCAGGACCATTCATACACGACGGTCCAATTGCGTTTTGAGTTTCTTTTCGTCTCTTTTTTCTTCCTCCTGATTTCGAGTTATAGACTTTCCATATACATAGACCAATTACATGCAAGACCTACAGACTTCCCAATCCTACAGAGTATAGAGTGTGTGCTTTCCACTTAAAGATCAGATCACATAACATGACAGATAGGTCACAAACAGTTAAACATCCACTCACAACATCTTCTCCTTAACGTCTGTTCAAAGTAAGTCACATGATTACAAAGGTGCTCTGTATAGATAGATCTGATAAGCTTCCAGTGTTTGTTCCATTAAGTTACGAACCTACCCGACCCATCTATATCATCTCAACTTTTGTATTCACACCAGTAAATAAAACCAGAAAGAAAACAGACACGCGTGTCCCGAAGATCCAGAACCGATATAAGATAAAGTATATCATGAAAAGAGAAAAAGAAGTATTGGGAAAATTACATCAAGGAGGAAGAAAGGTAGTTAGTTAGTTTACTCCTCCTCATCCTCAAACTCAAGCTCGTCCTCATCTTCATCCTCCTCCTCCTCTTCTTCTTCTTCCTCTTCCTCGTCCTCGTCTCCATCCGAGGAACCGACCTCCTCCTCGCTCTCTCCCTCCTCCTCGTCATCATCGCTATCATCATTCTCGCTAATGACACCATCCATGACGGTGTCCCTCTTCTCCTCCTCCTTCTCCTCGGCCCGACGCTTCTCTTCCTCCAGTCTGCTCTGCTCCAGAAGGGCAGCCTTCTCCTCCCTCAACTTGCGCTGAGACTTGACGAACGCGCCCAGCGGCGTGGCCTCCCAGTCGACGTCCTTGAGGAAGGTATCCACCTCGGCGCGATTGCGCGGCGTGTAGGAAACGCCCAGCCGGCGTTCCTCGATCCAGCGGGCATTGGCCTCGACCTTCTGCACCAGCAGCAGGATCATCTGGTTGATCTTGGCGTTCTTGTTTCCGGTGGAGCGGGAGCTGGCGGTCTTGAGCCAGCGCTTCAGCGACACGACGATGGGGACGGAGAGTTCGGGGAACGCGATGTGTTTCGTCCACAGGACGAAGAACTCGGAGAGGAGCTCGGCGACTTGTTCGCCGACGCCGTCTTGGTAGACGCGGGTGCGGAGGTAGGATTTGGGCGCGCGGATGGCGGTGTTGAAGTCGAGTTGGCGCAGGGTGCTGGATTTCGGGGGCTTGCGCATCTCCGCGAGGTTGAGGACTTCAAGGAGCGCGGACGCCAGGGGGATGTAGGTGCCGGTGGCGCGAGAGAGGCGGAGGAGGGTGCGGGTGAGTTGGAAGCGGAGGGGGAGGTATTGCGCCGTGGGGATCAGACGCATCGCGCCGATGGTGATCTGCACCACGGGGTAGAGGAGCGGGCGTAGCGGGGATTGTTTGCCCGCCTTGGCTTCCGCGAGGCCGTCGCAGTGTTGGGAGAGGACGCGCGACCAGAAGTCGAGCGAGTGCACGTATTGCCAGTTGTAGACCGTCTTGTAGGATTCCTTGGACGTCGTGGTGATGCTCTTCCGGAGGTGCATCGCGAGTTGGCGGATGAAGTTGAATCCGGTCGTGTAGGAGACGTTCTGGTCGATGCCCCAGAGCTCGGCCGCAGAGTTCTTCATCAGGTTCACACCGGGGAGCGTGTGGACGGTGGTGTTGCGGCTGCCCTTGACCACGCCCTCGTAAGAGGCCTTGAGGACGGTCTCTTTCAGGCCGGCGTCGCCGATGATCATGAGGCGGCGGAGGAGAAGGAAGCCGGTGATGCGGGTGGCTTCGGTGGTAGCCACATCGGCCCAGATGCCGACGACGGTCTTGATGACGACCTTGAGGAGCTTGCGGAACTGGAGGAGGTAAGGAAGCATGGGCTCGATAGAGGAGAGGGTGAGCTTCAGGGTCTGTTCATCGGACAGGTTGGTGAGCATCAGGTGGACCGAGGAGGTGTGCGACTTGATGAGCGGCGTGAGGGTCTTGAACTTCTTGGAGTCCAGTGACACCTTGATCTTGCCGGAAGCAGACTCCTTGACGGGGAGATGGTGCGCCAGCACGCGGGGGACGGTGCTGAGGGCCGTGACGAGCACCTGGTGGTACACATCAGAGTCGGAGATCGTGTACTTCTGTTCCTGGCTGGACGCCTCGTTGATGTTGGCTGCGGCGCGGAAAGCAAGAACAGCCTGTCGCATCGCGCGGATCGAGTGCTGCTCTTCCATCAACTTCTGCCATTTCTTCACCGTCGCGATGTCGAGTGTGTTGTCTGTCTTCTCTTCCTCTTCCTCCTCCTTGGCTGCCTTCTTCTTCTTCTTCTTTGCCGGTCCTTCCTCCTCTTCACTCTCGCTCAGCTCGTCAACCTCCGCAAGATCACCGAAATCCAGCAGTTCGGAATCGTTCTCCTTCAGGTACTTGTAGAACTCGGGATCCCTTTCCTTCAGCGCTTCGAGCTGGTCCTTGTGTTCCTCGAACGCATCGGGGCCACTGGCCTCGGATGCCGCGTCGTCATCGCTAGCAACGTCCTCCTCACTTCCACTAGCCGCAGAAGCTTCCTCGTCCTCTTTCTGCTCCTCCGAGCGCTTGCGCTTGCCGATCTTGGGCGTCACGTCCTTCTTCCGCGACTTCTTGGACAAGTCCGCAGCAGAGTCTGCAATGTCGAACCCGCCCGCGAAGAAATCGTCGACGTTCATTTCCGCAAAGGCATTGTCCTTCTGGGCCTGCTCAGGGCTCTCCTGAGCAGCCTCCTCCCTGTCCGCCCGGCTCTTGGCATTTTCCGCCTTACGCTTGTCCTTGAGCTGGTGGCGCTGCTTCACCTTCGCATGTTCCTTGCGGCGTTCGAGGATGTCCTTCAGATGCTTCTTCTCGAACTTCTTGGTAGATTTTTTTTGACCGGCCATTGTGCCAGAGATTCCCTACCCGACCGTGCGGATGGGACCGATGGTGCAAAGAAAAGAAGAAAAAGAGGTTGGGGGGGGGGAAGTACCACAAGTGCTTCGCGAGAGACTCGGAAGATCTCCCAAGAAAAATCTGGAGAGGAAAAAAACATGAGGCGGCAGAACCGGGCGGTGAGCACGGATCGGGTGGGCGACCGCCTTTTCCCCTCTCGCGGGCGGCGCCGAATGTCCGTCGCAGTTCCTCCCCTCATCGTCACCATGTATGCTCAGCGTCCGTTGGCATATGCCCCTACGCCCTACAGCTACACGCCTAACCCGGCGTTGTCGGCTTCAATTAATCTGGATGAGGTAGGATGCTGGATGCCGCCACAGTTGGCTGCGTTGTTGGTTGACTGTCGCTGCAGGAAGTGAAACTAGCCTCCAGCTCGGCGGACCGGGACCTCTACGAGTCTCTGGCGGAAATCTACGGCATCATCGTCACGTTGGACGGTCTGGAGAAGGCCTATATCAAAGATGTGGTCACGGAAGCAGAGTACACGGAAACATGTGCCCGACTGCTGAAGCAGTACAAGTCCAGTTTGGGCGATGAGGCCGTTTCACGCGAGTTTGTCGATCTGGAGACCTTCAAGCGCGCCTGGGGAGTGAGTATCGCAAAGGATTCCTCATATCGTATCTCCAGAGCTGATCTTTATCTTCTCCTAGCTGGAATGCCCCCGTGCCACCGAACGCCTCCGGATCGGTCTCCCCGCAACAGTCGAACAGGCTTCTCACAGCACACCTGCCACGAACATGACCCCCGCAGCAGCTGGTCCTGCAGCAGGGGCATCCGGCAGTCTAATCCTGACGGCCACTGAGAACTTCATCACTTTCTTGGATGCGTTGAAGTTGAACATGGTCTCAAAGGATGCCCTGCACCCACTTCTGTCGGAGGTGATCCAATCCGTCAATAAGGTGACCGACGTGGATTTTGAGAACCGGGGCAAGATCATCCAGTGGCTGATCGCGTTGAATCAAATGCGGGCAACCGAGGAACTGGGTGAAGAACAGGCCCGCGAATTGGCGTTCGACATCGAGCAAGCATATCTGGGCTTCAAGGCCACATTAGGGTGAGAGATGGAGATCGGGAGTGGCGTTTGGAGTCGGAAGTTTGATACCAAAGTCAAGTTAGCTGCATTGTGTTCTAGAATGTTGCTTATTATTGCTTTTGTCTTGTGAAGTCGAAGCGTTGAAGTGCCATCTCTTATCTCGGAGCGGATCCGATGATCCGATCCGCGGAACAAACCACGCCAGCCTTTCCTATTTGGGTGATCACGACTTTTTTTTTGGCGGCCCTGCATCCGATCTCCCCCCAATCTTATTTTGCCACAGAGACGGCAAATATAAGAAGGGCGACCAGATTCCGTTCCTCCAGCTAGGCCTCCACGACGTACACGCACCGTAGTCGCACTAATCGACCTCCTCAGCGTTGCCCAACATGATCAGCGCCGACCCCGACCAGCCTCTCCACGGTACGTCCATTCTCCTCCGCCTCCCCCTGACAGATAGGAGCGATAATGGACTGATAAGGCCTCAGTGCTGGATCTTCCCCAGATTTACACAAAGCCCTCAGGCACCGAACTGATCCAAGCCCTCGACCTGCTAGCCGTTAAACCGCGAAGCTTCGGGCCCGTTGCTCATGAAGCGGTCAAGAGTCGAACCGTCGAACCGGCTGGCGTGACCCGATATCTGACATCGATCATCGCGAGCCCACTTTCATGGCTAGATACTGACGAGCTCCGGGAGGCCGTCTGGGACGCCGCTGCAGCCCGACTCAGTGAGCGCTCGGGTCGAACCGGTATACTATATCTCCGTAGTTTATTGACCATTTGATGTTGGCGGTCTTGCATCTGACATGGTGTTTGTTTTGACATAGCAATGCCCGCCATGTCCCGAGTCTTCTCCATCCCCGCCTCCTCGGGCGAAGAGTTCACACTGACCCTCCACGAACCCTCCCTCACAGCCGACAACCTAGGCATGAAGACCTGGGTCTCCTCATACCTCCTCTCCCGACGCCTCCACTCCCTTCTCGAATCCACCCCGCAACTCGTCCCCTCCGCATCCACTACCCCCAAAGTCCACCCCGACCGAACCCTTCGCGCCCTGGAACTCGGTGCCGGAACCGGCCTCGTGGGCCTCTCGCTCGCTGCGCTGCGCGGCAAATCAGCAACAATTCACCTCTCAGACCTCCCAGATATCGTCCCGAACCTGGCCCACAACGCAGCCCTCAACGTCGAGCTCCTGAACAGAACGGGCGGCGCCGTCACCACCGGCGTGCTCGACTGGTCCGTTACCCCAGACCCGCTTCCCACGCCGGAGGAACAATACGACCTGATCCTGGCCGCTGATCCGCTATACTCGCCCAACCACCCGAAGTGGCTGGTCGACACGATCACGCCCTGGCTGAGCCGGGGTCTCGATGCACGGGTCGTCCTTGAGATGCCCTTCCGCGACGCCTATCTGCCACAGATACAAGAACTCCGGGACCGCATGGGACAACTGGGACTGGCGGTGGTAGACGAGGGCGAAGAAATCGGGTACGATGACTGGGAGGCGGCAGACGGGGGCGCGCTGGAGGTTCGGTGTTGGTGGTCGGTCTGGGGTTGGAGCGAGAAGCTCTGATCTAATCCAGTCACGGTCTCGATCACGGCCACGGAGAGAAACATTATCCACGATTTCACGATGAGCAACGATACATACATACATACATACATACACGATGATAGAGTAGAGATTTAGACAAGTTGATAGAATCTCGAACGATCAGGATTGTGTTGATAGGATCTTGACGCAATGCATCTTGGCTGGAATGGTTTCCAGTACTGAGAACGTGTAATGTAGAAGTAACGAGTGACTGTCATTCTCCAATATGTAACTAACTAGACTTGATTACGAGATGTTGGCGACCACCGCTCACGTGCATCGAGTAAGTAGCACCTTCCCCATCTGCGATCCCTCCCCTTCCCCCTTTTAGGTACTCTCTCTCTCTCACCATGAATCTCCGTCTCCCACTCCAGAATCCCAGCATTCTCAAAAGCGCACAGGCAATATCGATATCACGAAAAAAAAACACCCTCAATCCCAAGACCCCATCCAACCCTACGTTGTAACCCCCTCAAAAAAGATCAGGTACAAAACCTACACCCCCATCCACAAACTGTGGTGGCACCCGGTGGCAAAAGACATCTAGAATTCCACTATGGATAGTCTGGAACAAGCCCCCACCACCCCCGGGGACCAGACTGATTAGTGCTTCGGCTTAGTCACTACTACTGCCCCAGTCAGGCTCAACAGTAAATGTAGTGGTCTGGATTTTTCTTTTTCTGTATGGCGCTGGGTATTTGGGTGCGTGGAGGGGAGGGGAGGGGAGGGATGCAGATTGATGAGGGGGGTTGGGGTGAGGTATGTATGTATCATATACGGGTGGTTATTTTGTATGTGGAGAGGGGTGGGGTGGGTTGTCGGTAGGTGGTCTGGATGGAATCATGAATGCGATGGTACGTCTGTGTAGCCTACGATTGAACGACTGAATAGAGAGTATAAAACCCTGGCTGATAATAAGAGCATCTCATTTCTGTATACTTCGTTGGAGGCATGCAAAACAATGGAATGCACTCTAGGCAAATGTCGTAGTTATACTCAGGACATCATCAAACCACCGATCATCACCCAGATCCATCGACTGCATCCATCCAATCTGATCTAGATCCGGAATACGGTGACGTTGATAGGTACCAGTATCAGGATTAGCGTTCCTGTTCTCCACACATTGTATCTGAGAAGCCATCTTATTCCACCTTGCTTCAGCCCACAGCCGACATCTGGTCAACAGCCTGGTTAGATACGTGAGCAAATGGTCGCTGCACTGAAGTTCCGGCTCCTTGCTGCTTAGATCCAGCTTCTGGAGCATACAGTCCATCGTCGATATTAGGTGGACCGTGTTGCGTACCGCCTGGCAATCCCAATCTGGGTCTTTGAGTGTCGATAGATATTTTAAGAGTGTGATGCTTAGAATCATCTGTGACCAGAAGTGAAACGGCTGGCCGACGAGTTTCGAGCAGGGGATTTTGTAGAAGCCGTCTAGCCATGACTTGATATTCTCGACGGATTGCCATAGGCACTCGAGGCGTTCGAATCCTAGTAAGATATCGCTGTCGCCTCTTCGGCCGGATAGATCGATAGGATGCGAGTCTTCGCTTATGGAATAGGCTAGTTGGTTCGTGTATAGTTCGACGTATTGCGCGTGTGTATTCAGGATATCTGCATGTTCCATTGGGGGGGGGGGGAAGTATTAGCAATTCTGCAGTGTGGATTATCTGGCGGGTTGTTTGCCTAAAATGACACTTGCCTAGCTGGGGGAGATCCAGAGGAAATGACGATCTAAGCTCATGCAGCTGCCTTCGTAAAGTCTTGATGTACAATAACCGAGGAGCTGATGCCACCGCAGGAGCTGCTCCGGTACGAACGAAATCTGTCTCCTCCTGCTGTCGGACGTAGTCTGCTCTTTGCTTCAGCAGCTGCAAGCGTACTTGAGAGACAAATAACTCATCTGAAGGACATGACTCGCTTATTGTGATAAATTGAAGGGCCTCTTCCATCTGGGGTGTCCATCTGATGGCGTCTTGACGTCCTAGATGTGAAGAAATACTAGGGACAGCCATACGTCAGTAGCTTGACTCTAAGAACAAGCACAGCAGTGGGGTTTGATAGATAATCAGGAAAGCCTTGCGCACTTGGAACTCAAAACAAAACATGCCAGCACTGCCCGCTGCCTTTCTAGTAGGCCGTAGGGTGTTTCATCATGAAGACTCTGACTATTTTCTTCAGCCCGCCCCTGGGTAATAGTCATCATGAGCTGCACATCCGTTGAGGATGGCTTGAACAACCGCAAATCATATACTAATGAGATGGCAAGCATCATGAGGCGAGAAATGAGGTCTGCTCTTCCAAGAAAAGCGTCGTTGCTCCATGCTATATACGTGAGCAATCCAAGAAGCAGGTCGATATTCGACTGGACTTTGATCAGAGCAGACGTAAACAGCACACGCTTCAGCTCCTCAACTTGAGACAGTCTCTCCTGTGTTGAGAATGTAATTACGGTGTGGATGGCTTGAAGTAAGAACGGCCTGTGCTGGCGAAGATACCGGCTTGTCATCTCTGGGGTGAGGTCGATGAAAGGGAAAAAAGGCAGCATTCGGGATCGGAAGAAACCAAGCCGCTCATCTGCTTGGCTTAGTGAAGGGGCAGAAGGATATGGCGAACAATCCTGAGACACAAACAACGGGTTTGTATTCGGCGAAAAGGATTGCATCGCAGATAACAATCTATCCATCTTGTCTTCGAGCTGAGCGATTCGTGTACCGGACTCTTCGACAGTGTGCGCATTGCGCCTGCGAACTGACGCTGATGGCTGACATCTCTTCTTGAGCCGGAGACATCTAGAGAGCAATTAGCTGGATGTGATGTATAAGCGGGTCTGTATCATCAGTTAAACTTTCGCAATTAGCGTTGCTTGAGGCACGCACACACCGGCACTTGGCCTTGTAGCACTGCGTGCAAGCTTGGCCATAGGTGCTGGCTTGGTTCAGAGCTGCGTTCGATCTCTCCATGGTATTGACTGGTGAGACGAGCTATGCCAAAGGATCGGGATGTCTCTGTTGATGGCATGTATCTGCTCATCGCCCACCGGGGTTATCTCCGTGTCATCCCGGCGGATTTGGCCCCCGAAGTCCGTCTACGGATTCAGGGGGTTGGTTTTCTTGCCTCCGTGTCTCAACATATATTTTGTTAGTTTTCCGGGCCACTGAGAGAACGCTCAAGTATATGGTTGGGTCTAGCAGCCGTGGCGAGAAAGAAGAGAGGGTTGTGAGGAAGGGAGGAAAGTGACTGTCTGTTGAAATAGCGGAAGACGGGTTTCCGCATCTGGAAAAGCAATCTAGAGGCGTATGCACTGAGAAAGTGTTGTTCATAAGTGCTATTGGGGGATTATCCAAGTATGAATACATTATATCAAGCTCATTCTCTATTAGACGTACTATATCCCGCAGCTAAGGTGAGGTTGTTATTAGAGAACACGGGCTATGTACTACACAAAAGCTCCATATGTTGAACATGAATGAATGATACAGAAAAGTTTCTTCTAAAGGTTCCCCTCTTGAACGCCCCTCAAACTCACGCAGTATCTTCAAGAAGTCCAATTTCACCGAGAGCCGAATCCTTGTTGATCAGAGAGATAAACAACCCGTAGGGAAGAAATGTATTGCAGAGCCAACTGAGAGTCGAAGCCTGTCCGCGTCGAATAAAAGCGCTGTCACCCTTGATAACATCTTCAACTACATTCTTCGCTGCGATGTCGATGTTCTGTTTATTGGGGTGTACCATGGTCTTCTTGTGGCGATCTATCACCGATGTTATCTTCCGATAATACGAATCCGGGGGCAGCTCGAGGTCCGGGATATTGGCGGGATCGTTTCCGCTTGTCTGGACGCCGCCAAGTATGACTGTGACGACTCGCACGCCGAGAGGCGCCATCTCGAGACGCAGCGTCTCGGAAATTCTCGTTTCGGCACACCTAGAGCTGCTGTATACACCTGCATCGGAGTCAGCATCAGCGGTTGGAGGAATCTTCAGAGATGAGAGTCAGGACGTACCCGCCCAAGCAAAAACCATTTCGCTCGAAACTGAGCTGATGTTGCACATCGTGCCTTTGGCCTCGATGAGCATGGGCGCGAATGCCTGCGCCATGGCAACAATGCTCCAAACATTTGTGTCGTACACTTTCTTCGCGTCGTCGAGGGATGCGTCTAGAAGCGGCACTATGGCGTTGACGCCGGCGTTGTTGACCAGGATATCGAGTGTCCCTCCTGTATGTTGCGCAATCACGTTCGCGCATTGGCGGATAGATTCAACCGAGGTGACTTCCAGTTCGACAATCTTGATTCCGTCGATTTCAGCCAGCGATCCGGCTTTGGCCTGATTGCGTAGCGTCGCGAAGACCCGGAAGCCTTTGGCGTGGTAGACCTTTGCCATTGCTGCCCCGAGTCCTCCAGCGCTGCAGCCGGTGACCAAGACTGTTTTAGACATTTCAGCGATTGTCAGTGCGATGAGAAATTCTCGTAGCTGATTTCGTGATCGATACTATGGGTCGAGTCGGCGACATAGCTGGAGACAAGACTTCGTTTATTATATGGTACATGATAAACGAATTCCGGAAAGCAAATCCGTCGGAGTGTCATAATGAGAGAAGCACCACAATGCTCAGTCAGCAAATCCATACCATGAAAGCTACGGAGCGGAGGAGACAGAGGGGATTCCATCGGGTTTCGCCCATTCATTTACCGGTGAACTGCACGATCATGATGAGAGCATTGGGCCTATATTTGGGTTATCGGCATCTCTGTGAACAGTCAATAGTGTGGGGAGCAAATAATAATCCCAGTCATTATAAGGCATCATATAGTCCTTCCTATCATCCCGGAGTCTACCTCTAAGACTCTGCAAATAGTAGTATAGCACCGACTGCCTTCAAACGCGTGTCAGGTGTCTTGTGTCAAAGCAGTAGTGTTTGTTGGGATCTGAATGAATGAGACAACACATTAAATATACCGAAGAAACCCCATGATCTCATAAAATTCGGTCTAGCACCATGCAGCTCAGCGGACATCAATGTACTATTTATTGCATAGAGATGAAGTTGAATCAAAACATCTAGGTAGATAGAAGAGGCAAGGCAAGTGGGTTGTACGCCGTCCAGGCGCCGCGGATCGGAGAATTACATCAGCCAGGCAACAACCAGGCATCAAGGCAAGACACCATTCCTCATCCGGCGATGACATATGACGCAGCTTGGCGCCGCCACCGGGGCGATAAGTGGAGGAAGAGGAGGGGAGAGGCCATCACTACTACTACTCACTGCCCTGACTATATTAAACTGCCTTATTACTGTCCCAAGCTCCCCAGGCATGATCTCATCTACGTCTTAGCTTAGTTGAAAATCAATATCTCTTCTCTTTAGCTTCTTGCTTCTTTCCACAAATCGTCACATACAAAGCAAACTCCCACTGCCACTGCTACTGCCACTGCAGCAGTAACCGCCAACATGGTCATCGGGCTCCTCACAATCACCGCCATCCCCACCGTCACCGGCGCCGCGATGGCAGTGAGCGAGCAGCGCAAAGCAAACGAGAGAAAAGCCGACGCTCTGCGCATGATGAAATTCAATATCGATCTTGCGCCGCCGCCGGGGGAAGAGCCCGATGAAGATTTACATTCACGACGGGTGGTGTTGAGGGATCAGAAGGTATGGTTGTTCCGATGCGATGCGCGATCTGGTTCCTACTGGTTGGTTACAAGCGACTAACCGATGCGTGTCAACACCCACAGGTATATATCGACGATCGAATACCCTCGAAGCGACGAGTCCCCGCACATACCGCCGCAGCGTTCTACATCGACTACCCCGAGCCAGACCACATGAAGGGTCTCAAGCGGGGGTTTGGGCTGGCGACAACCATCTCAGATAACCCGCCTATGTTGGGGTGGATATATGTGGATGTTAACACATGTGAGCTGAAGTACGGGAACCGGACGCAAAGCTGCGAGCATATCGTTGGGCCGTGGGATTGGGAGGATGAGGAGACAACTGTGACGCTGGAGGGGAATAGGAATTTTATGGCCGTGCAGGAAGACGACGGCGCTTGGGCACTGTACCTCGATCTGGATGGTGATGAGCTGGAGGACGTCCTGGAGGAACAGGGGAAAGTTGATAATGACTTCCAGCCGCTACGGTTGAAAAGGAATCTGATCGTTGAAGAGCCGGTGCAACAAAATAAAAATGACAACTCCTGATCTATATCCATGTGCTGGATTGGGGAATCGTAGGGTAAATTTTGGTTTAATCGTACAAGAAATATTCCGTAGATTGGACATGCATTATGCTCATGCCAACCTAATCCTGAAGGCCTGCCCAGCCGTCGTCGCTGTCAGCGTCTGCACCAGGCTGCGGTTGGGATTTCCTGTTGCGGCTCGCTGCGATCAAGTCCCTCTTCTTGTTCTCCATGCGTCGCTCGTATCCACTCTTCGTGCTGATTCTTGACTTCTTGTCTTTATTGTCATCCTTGTCGCCCTTGGGCGTCTGTCTGGCTTTGACGCCATGCCTCTTGAGCTCCTGCTTGTTCTTCTTGGTGAGGTCTGGGAGGGCATCCAACAGCCACTTCTGCACGGACTTCTCCTCGGATGTGCCTCGGAGCTTCTCGCTGACATCGATGACATTTGCAATGCTCTTGACGTAGGGAATATCCTCCTTGGTGTAGTATGTGACAGCAATTCCGCCTTCGCGACCGGCTCTGCCAGTCCGTCCCACGCGGTGGACGTAGACTGCAGCGGAATTGGGGATATCGTAGTTAACAACTCCATTGATGCCTCGGAAATCAACACCACGGGCAAGAAGATCTGTTGTGACAAGAATCCAGATTTCTCCTTTCCGGAACTGCTTCATGATATCGGACCGTTGGCCATCCGATAGATCCGAGTGGAGAACGGCGATACGTGAGGAACCACCGGCCTCAGGAGGGATGTCGTAGCGCAGTTCGGAATGTAGGGCAACCGCTCGGGGAATCGTCTGGGTGAAGATCAAGAAAGGCGGACGGAGGCGCACATCCGTCGCTGACGCTGCGGCGGGATGAAGGAGCTGTCTTAGGCCCAGCAGCTTTCCTTGCTCGGTGGCGGCATAGATCAGCTTGTGTTTGATGTTGGGGATGGCCGAGTCCTTCAGCCCGACCACGAGACGAAGCAACGGGTAAGACTTGGTTTGGCTCGAAGCCTCCTTTCGCTCCTTGATCGTCGACTTGGCGAAGTCTTCGACGCTTGATCCCATCGTCGCTGACCACAGGCTCGCTCGAAGTTCGGGATGTGTGCACGCGCGCCAGATGTCGAGAGTCTGCTCGCGGAAAAGGGGATCCAAGAGAACGTCCGCTTCATCCAAAACCAGGTTCCTTACCAGAGGCATGGTCCCCATTGGCTTGGTCTTGTTTGCAGAAAGCGAGTTAACCAGAAGGAGTGGAGTCGTTACGATAATGTCGCTCTTGGTCACAGGTGCCTGTGCCTTGCTGGTCGTTTCGGCGGTCTTTTCATCATCCTCGGATTCCGAAGACCCCGAGTCATCTTCATCCAGAACATCTTTCTCGTCATCATCGTGGCGATCTACTACCCGCATTCCCTTCTTCATCAGCGTGATCTTCACGCCGGTTCCCACGGCCAACTTCCTGCCCTCATTAACAATCTGACTGGCAAGCTCCTTGGTCGGGGCGACGACGACAGCGAAGATTCCACGTTCTTCGGACTGCGCATGGTGGTGTCGGACAATCTTGTTAATCACCGGGATCATGAACGACAGCGTCTTGCCACTTCCCGTGGGCGCGACAGTCAAGAGATCCGGCTCGATGCTCTCCTCGGTGCCAGACTTCTGGGAGAGTGACCGATCTCCCAGCAACAAAGGGAGACTACCCAGTTGAACTTCCGTAGGGACAGTGAAACCTTGCTCAGCGATGTTCTCCGCAAGTCGCCGGGAGATCTTGTACTTTGACCGCAGCTCCTTGAAGGACACCAAAGGCTGTGGAAACAGCCGACGGGCTTTCTTCTGTTCCTTCTTAGTGAGAGCCTGAACGGGCTCTTCCTTCTGCTGCTTTCTCTTCTTCTTTTTCTTCGTAGACTCTTCATTCTGAGCTTGCGGTTGCGCCGGCTGAACTTCCTCGAAATCGCGCATATCAGTCACCTTGATCTTGTGGGAGTTCAAGATCGTCCGACGCTGCACTTCATCCATAGACTCATCGTCTTCCGAATCAGATCCATCTTTCGCGTCAACAGGACCCTCCTGTTCCTTTTTCGACGATGCGCCAGCCGTCGTCGACTTTTTACCTGAGCCGAAGAAGTCTAGTTCCGCGGCGTCGCCATCTTCCGAGTCTGAATCGCCCGCTGCTGGGATTCTCTTCCGTTTCTTGCCCAGGGTGCTTGCTTCCAGGAGCTCGGTCTGAGAGTCGCGGAAGAGCTGGGGGTTCTCCGCCTTGCCTTTGGACGGCAGCGTGGAGGACAGGGAACTACCAGTCTTGAACTTGGTGGACCTCGTCAGCAGTTTGAACGCATCCATCTTAGTTTATGAGGAGTGCCGACCCATGCGACCAATTTAATATTAGACGGGTGCTTGGGGACCAGCTATGGATGGGTGTCGAGTCGCGTTGTCGGTCTCAATGAGGAAAAAGTTTCGATGCTGAAATTCTTTCCCGCACGGGCCAATCAGAGTCAAGCAACCCTGCCTTGCGGTCCAGAAGGAGTGGAGGGTGCCAGCGTATCAGATTTATTTATTCCAAATTTATACGGGGGAACAGAACTATTTGAAGGGAAAATATACAAGTATTTCAAAAAGATCACATTTTGTTCCAGGCATGAATAGCAACGGAGACGTCCTATCTTCACATCCATCATGTGTCGATCCCGCCACTGTATTGCAGCCATCGTAGGCATCGCTATCCTGGTAGCATTTCAGATCCATCAAGACATCCTGTGAATCAAGGTGTGAAATTGGTTTAATCCACTGCACAGACCACATAGCCAACACTCTACGATGAGGATGACTGGAGAGAAAGTCGTCTATATATCTCAACGATGGCACCCATCAAGTTCTATAAGACTTTCCAGCAAACACCCAGAACACAAAGATCGTCCACAAGCACCACGGCGTCTCCGACTTTTAAGAAGATGAAGTATTGAAAGTGACCAGACGTACGCAATTGCCCCGTATTGCACAACCTCAGACAACAGTTTATTCCATCGTCTATCATACAATAGTACAGCACACAAAGGAAAAAAGGGAGGGGGGGTAAGAGAAGGATGACAGGCTAAGGCACGACGGCTTGGTATTTATCTAATGGTGGTGCTCAGCGTGTCCCCGGTAGCCGACGATGTTCATCCGGCCGACGATCTCACCGACGGTGAAGAAACCAATGACCTCCGCAAGGGTGACACCAGCCAGAGCGATCTCCTTCTTGTTGGCGTTGCGAACACGGGACAGGATGGACTGGGAGGAGAAGCCGGCGTTCTTGAGGGCGGCAGGGTTGCTGAAGACGTTGATCAAGGGCTGGAAGTAAGACTGGAAGGTAACCAGGTTCCTAGGGTCGGGGGTCAGTGATTTGTCGCTCCTGTGGCTAGATGGCCTGGAATCGCTTACGGGGGAGTCATGTTCTGTCCACGGAAGATCAGACGGCCGAGCTCGAGGCCGACCCGCGAGTAGTAGAGGGTAGGGGGTATCATGGCTGGATTATCACGCAGATGGTTAGCAACGACTCGAGCAAGGTAAGAGATCACGGGCGTCCGGAACTGGGTTCCTTCACGATGTGATTCAATGATAGCAGCCATTCTTGCCACTACCACCGCACCACTCGATGAACAAACCCAGGACGGATTGCAGGGTGAATATCATGGATTGTCTGCTTACAATCGACAAAGGCGATGACTTTTCCGGTTCTTCCACCAACCTTTCTCAGGGCACTGCCGAGGCCCTGAGCGGCGTTCGAGAGGGCAGGGCCAGCGGTCGAGGAGACACGAGACAGACCCTCAGACGCCTTCGAGGCAGCCTGGCCGGCCTTGGAGGCGGCTTCTGAGGTGGTAGAGGCGTGTCTGACCGCGGTCCTGCGGGTCAGGAACTGCGATTGCCGAAGCACGGCACGGGACGCCGTGGCGGACATCTTGAAGACCACTGGAATGGATATAACGCTAAAAGGAGAGAATGACTCTGGGAGGTCACTGATGGAGGACAAAAAGGTCCAATGGCGGTTGGGTCAAGAGCCGGTGACACTGGTTCGTCGCGCAATTGCAGGACCAGAATCTGAGATTTGAGGTTCGGGAAGTTCAGGGAAGAGCCTCCACTTCCGTGTCACGTGAGCCCGTGCCATGCCTTGTTTATCTCCTGCCAGGCAACTTCTCTGCTCCCTTTGTCTTCGATTTATCTTTCACTCAGACGGTCGCACTTTGATATCCTTCTGGATTGCCGGCGAAATTAATTTTTTTCCAGCTATAAACGATCCCCAAGATATCTGAAAAATCCATGCGAAGCCGATTGTTTTGTTTACTATTCAGCAGCGCTGACACAATCCAGCTCACTTACAATGACAGTCATTTAGTTCCTACACTGACGAACCATTCCTATGAAATCGAGAACGACCCAATGCAGCATCAACGTCAAGTCTACGACTAGTCACTCCTAGTCTTTGACCGTGACCCTGATCCCTTACCGAGATCCACATGCCCGTTATGGCTTGGAAACAACAACAAGAAGGGACCTGCCACTAGGTGGCTCTGCACGTGCATGGATATGCCACGTACTCCTTTCAGGCTTCTATGATCCCCTGCTCTGGACTGCTACCCTGGTCGATAGTTGATAGCCGATAGTCGTGCAGTGCAGATAATGAGCGGTGGCATACTCAAGGGCTCTGTCAGAGCTACACGAATCCAGCAAAACGTCTGTCAGAGATGCATGGTGCTTTTTCCATGATAATGAGAGCTATAACTGGACTTCCGCGCCAAACGGGCATCACAGCGATGCGGGCAATCTTGCCGTTAGCGGATATCCGATAACGTGTTTCTGGACTCATGGCTAGGCGTAGAGATGGCCTTCTAAGAGAAAACGTGCCATTGACTTGCTTTTATCTACGAGCATCTATCATCGCCACGGAAGATATCCAGCGCACAGGCTGGCGCATTAATATGGAGCAGACGATGCGCCTGATTGTTGTGGACGTCCGTAGGGGCTTGATATGGGCTGTCTTCTATGGCTTACTAGAAAGCGATGGTTATTATCAATGTCAAGAATTCAACCAATGCAGTCAACCCTATACCAATGGTGCCAATATCAAGTCAGCTTGGTTACGGGGCACGTAGCACAAATGCCCTTTCCTGATTGGCCATCTCGGCTACTCTGATTAACGCCGACAAAAATATAGCCTCGTGTTCAAGTCAGATACTACGACACAGAGCATCTACCCAGACATTAACTTGTTTTATTAACTGGTAAGATTATCTGTTGGATGTGCCCCAAGGCTGAACCGTGCGGTATAAAGGAGTACACGTTTTCACTTTGAGATTTCTTTAGTCTATATCACTTTCTGTTTTTCTCCACAACTGGCATCAATTATTGCCAAAGAAAAGCCCCCGGCAATAACACAATGATCGAAGCTCAGATAGAGATCGCCGCCTCACCATCACAGGTGCGGGAAGTCGTACGTACCAGCGCAAATCATCAATAGGGGTCAGGGTGCTGACCATCCTTACCAAACGATAGTTGCTCGACTTCTCCAAATACCCAGAATGGCATACGAATTTTGTCAAGCTACTCGAATCAGAAGACAACACCAGGTCCCTTCAGTCCCTTGAACCAGGAGACAAAATCAAGTGCGACATTGATGGGATGCAGTTCACCGCTGAGATCAAGGTAGGTGAAACCTGCCAACCAAGTCGACCTCCCCGCAACCCTCGTATCAGAAGAAAGACAGAGAGCGGGGGTGGCCAAAGCTGAAACTGACTTCATTGAAAAGGAGAATTCCGACTCTTTATACCAATGGCAAGGACCTCCGGTTTTTGGCTTGATTGCCGGTCTCCACAGTTTTCACATGGAATCCGCCAACAACGGGGCGTCGACGATCTTCAAACAGACGGAGAAATTCACAGGCCCTATCTCGTTCCTCATGACGCCCACGTTGCTGGGGAGGAAGATGCTAGGCCAGTACAATCAGTTCAATCGGGATCTAAAGACTCGAGTGGAAGCGATGAAGTGACCTGGAATTTCGGTTGGACTATTTAGTATTGATGATCGATGAGCGAAGGGGGGTCTCGGAGATACCAATCCACCTAGGTCCGCTCTAGGTAGCAGCTTGGTAGCCATAGCCGACGCTCGGCAGATGCCAGTCCAATCTATCTTAATAATAGGGGTTCAAATGCCTGCCTGCCTGTGCTGAGCACGTAGAAATGAAGGACCGATCCATGGAAGGATCAGGCGCTATTGAATGTCCCTGGCCCGCCACGTGACTTGGGGCCTGCCTGGCGGGGCGCGAATCCCGCTTAGTCAACGCGTCACCGCTCCATCTGTCTCGCGCGTGTCGAGCCACGAAGCTGCTGCACTTGCAAAAGCTGCAAAGCGCCTTGCTGGTGCGACCCAGCATCGTCTCTGGTTGTTATCCGGTACAGCAAGCCCAATCCATCCTATTTTTACCGGGTGGTTGTGGCGCAGAACTTCGATCCAGATCTCTAAGCCTTTCAGCCCCAGCGCCGGCACAAGTTTTACCCCCTAGCCAAGCCTTAAGGTTTTGGCAGCTGAACTTGCTGAAGATAATGCCGATGATCCTTCAGATGCGCCTTCCCACTGAAAACTGCCCGGTCGATCTTTTCTTCGAACCGCAATCGGCAGCAAATTGAGTTGCTCTATCGATTTGGCCCGGCACCGTCGGGTCCGGGCTACTGCGCACTATCATAACGGCCCCAAATTAGACTAGACTGCACCAGATCTCGACCGGTGAAACGCACAGCTTGAACGAGGCACTGCTCCTGTCGAATCCTGGTCGATTGCAAAACGCAGCGCTCAGCCACACACGCCGCATCACATAGGGCACATCGTCATGAAACCAAAAATCCTTGCGCTGGTGTTTGGTGAGGACGAATTGACTGCCTGACACGTGTATACGTAACGCTCATTGAAGCCAAGATCAGTGGGTCTCCACATCGTAGCCCATGGTCCAATTCTAGAATCTCAAAAGAGAAAGACAACTCATTTGATTGGACTCTCTAACTATTCACAGTATGGCTCGTTTCATGGACAATGGTTCTGAACGGATGGTACGTAGCCTTATATTGCGGATCCAGCTTTGGGGCCCTGGGCCTTCTTAAACCGGGTCTCTCCCTGTCCCTGCGCTGCTTTCTTTCTTCAATTGCATTCTTTCAGATTAAAGAAGAAACCACTTCAATCCCCTTTCTTATAAAAACACTCCATTCAAAGACACAATGTTTGGTGAAGGCATCCTGAGCTGGTTCCGCTCCAACAAGGAGTCGGCCCCCGAGACCACCTGGGACGCTAACACATTGACCATGACCCAGCCCCAAAGCCCGGCTGGACTTCCTACTGAGGGTGTTGTTACCGGCCAGCCTGTATGTTCTCACTTTGACCTCCCTGAGACGATTGAGCATGGCACTAACATGAGACTCCTAGATGCCGAACAACAACATGGAACTGAGCCTTCGTGGTGGTGGCCCTCCCCCCGGACCCGGTGATGAGTGAGTAGTCACTACCCTACCTTCATATCTCTCCAAGTATGATCGTCCTAACACTTTATCTCTCAATAGCTGCTGCTGCTGCTTCGACTGCTTTTGCTGCTGTGGTGACTGCTGCGGCCCCGATGGTCCCCCCGGCGGTTTCGGTGGCCCTGGTGGCCCTGGTGGCCCTGGTTTCGGCGGTCCTCCGGGTCCTGGTGGTCCTGGTGGTCCTGGTGGCCCTGGTGGCCCCGGCGGCCCTGGAGGCTGGTGATAATATCCAGCAACGATCATGTTTTGTTTACTCGTTTTATCCGCCACGCCCGAATTTGATACCACTATGTTGAACATGCTGTTGTGGCGCAACGAGAGATTGCCTCTCTTGTTTGCGGGATGGACTACTTCTGGAGTGTTATTGTGTATAAGGCGCAGGATGGATACATGCTTTGCGCGCCTATTTCTTGTACAAATTTATGTCATTTTTGTTGAAACCGTTCGATCATACTTCTGCGGGAAGGAACTACTTTATCAAGGACAAACATTTGTTTCTTGCCTGTATACTTATCAATTGTCAGGCCTCCTACTCCGTATAGTGTTTGTTCGCCTTTGAAGCTACATGGAATATGTGATTCGAATTTTCAATTGTTCATCTCACATACCTAACTTGTTATCTGTGGTGCTGACAGATCTGATAGCTCCAGGCAGATCGTCTGATATCACCTGATTGCGCGGCATGGAACATAATTAGGTCGCGAACAGCCGGTTTCCACTTTCCAGTCGCATCATGCTTACCACTTGGACTGGACACGTTCTGGACTCACCACTTACAAGCTTCTCCACTTTATATGTAACATGATGGGCAACCTCATGCATAACACCCTGCTGACATCTCCACTCGAAGCAGCGAGTGCATCTCCGGTCCTATCACCAGCGACTACGTATCGACCCCCTTGTCGATGACCGAGCTCCTGTAACCTCCCGTCATGGCAGCTGCGTCCAACACACGAGTGAGACATGCTTGGTGGCTTTTGGTCGAGGCGGGGAAAATGGCGGGGGAAAAGGCAGCCAAGCCATTCATTGGGTTTCCTCTCTTCCGGCTCGGCATCCCAGGCCCGTCTGCCTCTTTTGTGATCGATCTCCTAAATGGCCACCCACAGGAATCCCGGGGACTAGACCAATAATTCGGAATCCATGCAAGGCGTCCAGCTTCTGAACTAAAGTCCCTGCATCAGCACGACCCCTATAGTGGCGAAGATCTCCGATAATTGACCGAGATGGACGGGAAAAAAAATAACAAAGTCACGTTTCCCTGTTCTGGCCTGGGAGTCCATTCCCAATCTTGTCATCCTTGACCTCGTGACTGGTTCTTTCATTATTCACATCGGCTCCTTCTGCCTCTTGCCGTTCGCCAATTTTCAACCCGACCAATGCCCGCGTCAAAACACACCTTAAGTTCAATACACGCATCGAAATGACACTGCATTCTGAGCTCTGTCCCTGTTTGTGTTTCCGTGGAGCTGTCATACCTCAGCGCCGCCACATAATGATGCGCTTTGCTCAACCCGCCATGCACTTGAGGTCGGTCATCATCCAGACCAATGCATCGCCCCTGCCTAAACACATATAAACCCTCCGTGGCCTCCGCTTACTTCCCACGCAAATACATGACCTGTGAGCATCCTGGGGTATCCTGTGTCTGAAACCATGATGCTCCGGTCTTTTCTATTCCTCATACCCCTTGCGGGCGCTGCCGTCACTGGGACTCCAAAAACCCTCCAGGAGTGCCCGGGGTACAAGGCTTCGCATGTCAAGCAGAATGCCACATCCTTGACGGCGGATCTGACCCTCGCAGGCAGTCCCTGTAACAGCTATGGGACAGATCTGAAGAATCTGAAACTGCTGGTGGAATATCAGACCGGTAAGGATCCCTCTTTTCAAACATTGAATGGTAAATTAACTGTCATGACTAGATGAGCGGCTACACGTCATCATCTACGATGTCGACGAAGAAGTCTATCAAGTACCGGAATCCGTCCTGCCTCGTGTTGACGGCGGTGACGGAACCAGGAACGATTCCGCGTTGACCTTCGCCTACGTGGAAGCACCATTCTCCTTCTCCGTTTCGAGAGGGGATGATGTACTGTTTGATACTTCTGCGTCCCAACTCATCTTCCAGTCTGAGTATCTGAATCTCCGCACCTGGCTTCCTAATGATCCCTATTTGTATGGTCTTGGGGAACACTCCGATCCTATGCGTCTGCCGACCAAGAACTACACTCGTACACTCTGGAATCGCGACGCGTATGGCACCCCTAACCACACCAACTTGTATGGCAGCCACCCGGTGTACTATGACCACCGTGGCGAAGCGGGTACTCATGGTGTCTTCTTCCTGAATTCAAACGGAATGGACATCAAGATCAACCAGACGGCCGCGGGTAAACAGTATCTTGAGTACAATGCGCTTGGGGGTGTCCTCGACTTTTACTTTTTCACCGGCTCGACCCCCAAGGAAGCCAGCATTGAGTATTCGAAGATTGTTGGGTTTCCCGCGATGCAGAGCTATTGGGCTTTTGGTGTAAGTCTGCCTTCGAAGATGTTCCTGGATTATTCTAATTGTCGCCAGTTCCACAATTGCCGATATGGATACCGTGATGTATATGAAGTTGCTGAGGTGGTCTATAACTACAGCCAGGCGAACATCCCGTTGGAGACCATGTGGACCGATATCGATTACATGGACCTGAGAAGAGTTTTCACTCTCGATCCGCAGAGATTCCCCCTCGAGAAGATGCGAGAGCTGGTGACTTATCTGCATGACCATGACCAGCACTACATTGTCATGGTCGATCCGGCTGTCAGCGTGAGCGGTATGTAAACATCTGTCGTTCTCCGTGCCACTGCCACTGACTTATGCCTCCAGACAATGATGGGTACAACGATGGCGTGCAACAGGGTATTTTCCTCCGTGTTCAGAACGGGAGTCTTTACGAAGGTAAGTCGGCCCCTGGCTTATTTAAATCTAAGACTAAACCAAACAGGTGCTGTTTGGCCCGGCGTGACTGTCTTCCCAGACTGGTTCAACTCCGGCACCCAGGACTACTGGACCGGGGAATTCGCTCGGTTCTTCGATGCAGACACAGGAGTTGACATCGACGGGTTGTGGATCGACATGAATGAAGCGTCCAATTTCTGTCCATATCCCTGCACAGATCCAGCGGCATATGCGGTATCGGATGATCTTCCACCTACACCACCGCCAGTGCGGTCCAGTGCCCCACGGCCACTGCCTGGATTCCCTGCAGACTTCCAGCCTTCATCCAAATCAAAACGAGCACAAGGCGCCAAGGGAGCGAAGGTCGGACTGCCTGACCGCGACCTCCTCAACCCGCCCTACACAATTCAGAACGCCGCAGGCGTCCTCAGTATGAGCACCATCCAGACGGACCTTATTCATGCGGGTGAAGGGTATGCCGAGTATGATACACACAACTTGTATGGGACGAGTAAGTACCACAGTCGAACTAGCCTCGCAATGCATACTAACAGAACCAGTGATGAGTGCAGCCTCCCGCGTGGCCATGCAGTCCCGTCGTCCCGACGTGAGACCCTTGATCATCACCCGCAGTACATATGCAGGTGCCGGAGCACATGTCGGACACTGGTGGGTTAACTATCCGCTCGTCCGCTAGTCTATACTGACCGCTACAGGCTGGGCGACAATTTCAGCGACTGGGTGCACTACCGAATCTCCATCGCGCAAATCGTCGCCTTCGCATCCATGTTCCAGATCCCCATGGTCGGAGCCGACGTGTGTGGATTCGGCGGCAACACGACCGAGGAACTCTGTGCTCGATGGGCGTCTCTCGGCGCGTTCTACACCTTCTACCGGGACCACAATGAGATCGACTACATATCACAGGAGTTCTACCGCTGGCCCACGGTTGCCAGCTCCGCCCGCAAGGCCATTGACATCCGGTACCGGCTCCTCGACTACATCTACACCTCTCTATACAGACAATCCCAGACCGGCGAGCCGTTCCTCCAGCCCCTGTTCTACCTGTACCCGGAGGACAAGAACACGTTCGCGAACGACCTGCAGTTCTTCTACGGTGATGCCATCCTCGTCAGCCCCGTCACCGAGCAGGGCTCAACCACGGTCAATGCATACTTCCCCGACGACATCTTTTACGACTGGTACACCGGAGCAGCGGTACGCGGACACGGTGCCGACATCAAGCTCAGCAACATCGACATCACCCACATCCCTCTCCACATCCGCGGCGGCAACATCATCCCCGTCCGGACATCCAGCGGGATGACAACCACCGAGGTGCGCGAGAACGGATTCGAACTCATCATCGCGCCCGGGCTGAACGGAACCGCGTCCGGTATTCTCTATCTCGACGACGGAGACTCGCTCGAGCCGTCCGACACGACCGAGATTGAGTTTGAGTACAGCGGTGGCGTGTTGCGTATCCAGGGCAATTTCGGGCAGAGTTCCCCGGCCACGGTGGAGAAGTTCACCCTGCTCGGCCAGTCCGGACAATCTGGGGGTAATGTGACGATCACAAGGAGTACGAGTCTTGGTGGACCGACGGAGGTTAATCTGAAGTGAGGGAGTGAGTACGCAAAAGTAACTAACTAATTCGGACGTGGGAGTGGGAGTCTGTACCGAGACCGCGCGAGCAAATAAGCCGCGATTAGTGTTTGTTTCAGCAGAAGCGTTGCGTTTATTTACTTGCTCCGCTACTCCTTTATATCTCTCACCATCCCTTAGCAAACACCTCGATACTCAATACTGGATAAGCGTCGGACAAGCACTTCCTCCCTCCCTCCTTACAAGCCGGAAAGAGGGGAAGGTCCCATCAAGGGATGAACGAAGTGAAGGGATATCCCTCATAACATATACGATTGACCCATGGTTCATTCCATTCCTTTTGCGTATCAAAAGAGTCTCAGATAGTTAGTTACCCTCTTAATCAACCTTCTAGTCTAGTACTGTTATCATCCAGCCCTCAAATAATATCTGTTTCAAGACCGCATTGAGCGTCTTTGCCACATAGCATAGCAAGCATAGCATCCACATCCTAAACTCATTTTATTCTCTTCCACCCTCGTCTCGTCCAACCCGCTACTCCGAACATACCACCCCCCACCTAGATGCCGGCTACGCTCCGCCCCACGCAAGGGACACCCACCCACTACATACATACATACATACATACATATCTCGCGTCCAAGGGCAACCCTACCTACCGTAATCTCCCTCCCTAACACAGTAACACCCCACCCCACCCCCTGCCGTAAGGTACCTACCGTACGCACCTTGCCTAAGTACAGAGTACCTGCATACACAACACGCACAGGCTCCAGGCTCCAGGCTACAGCATGCATGCACCCTTCCGCGACGCGCACGCAGTATTCTTCCCGGTCCCGGGGTACATAGCTACATACTTCAAATAGACGCCATCCCACCCCCCCCTTCAGCACGCAACTCCCCATCCATCCTACCACCCATCAAATATCATCTAAACCCATCCATCCATCCATCCACAAGCAAACAAACCAAACCAAACACCAAAACAAAAGCTACAGAAAACAGATACAGATACAGACACAGATACAGGAAAATGAACCTCAAATCCCTTCTCCTCACACTAACCGCCACGGCGACGCTCGTCGCCGCAGACGGCTTCTACTGTCCCTTCGCGCAGGACAACTCCGGCATGATCCAGAAGGCCTACTGCTGCGATACCTTTTCTGAATCGAGTGGGAGTTCGCCGGCGAAGATTGGGAATGGGTGTATGTTTTTGCCCTTTTCTTCTTTTTACTCTTAGACAATTGATTCTTTTTTTTTCTCTGTGATTGTTTGGTTGGGTGTTATCTGGTCATTCATTCATTGTGCTAATGTGGTGGTTGAACTTTTGATGGATATAGGCAAGGCCATGGGCAATGACTACGTCGAGAGCTGTCCGAAGGGGGGGAGTGTGAAGTGTTGTTATTCGATTGTGAGTGTTCATTATTTGTTCCCCTCTTTTCCTTTCTTGACTATATGGTTGGCTGGTTGGCTACTGGGTTTGATTTGTTGAAGCTGTGCGCTAATAAACTTCTTTATTTACTACTGCAGGATCCGAAGATCATTTGCACTGCTGAGGCGTCTGCGGGGGATGGTTAGATGTGTCTACTCGGGTTAGGTCTGTTACTGTTGATGATGGGTGGTGTGGGTGTGGTGGTCATAGGTTCATTATCTAGTAGTTGGGTGATATGATACACACACCCCTACAAAGACAAGCATTGCTGATGCGAGCTGCATATATATATAGATATAGAGATATATAGATATCTATATATTTACGGCCGTCGGCGACTCGGAAAGAGTCCCATTGGGTGCTGTCATCGAGTGTAAGCCAATCAATTTATCTACCTATCTATCTATCTATCCATACAGTTAGGTAAGGATATGTATTCTATGCTATGCTGAGTTGATTTAGGTTTGGGTTAGACTGACTGGGTCTGACAATTGATTGTGTACTCGAGGAGTGGAATACATGTATTAATATATGATTATTTGGGGGGGGTAAAAAAAAAAAAAAAAAAAAAGGGAAATAGATATTATTCTGCTTTGCTTTGCTGCTTTTCCTTTTCGAGTTGGAGACTTAATAGTATCTAGTGCCAGTGCGACTGATGGAGTAGTAATAAATCATGCGGAGAAAGGCCGTGAACTGTGGAGAGTGGAGAGTGGAGAGGGCGTTTGACTTTGGGGCTGGAACTGGAAACGGAAATTCAAAACACTTAGTAGGATAAAGTGCTGACTGCTGACGAGTCATGGAGCGAGCTCTGATTCGGGTGGAAGGGAAGTGGCTGGGATCCTACCCTGCATAGTTAGTGCATGGAAGGTCTTGGATTAAGTGGATTGGGGGTTGTTGGCGGTATGTGCTGTGTAAGTATATACTACTATGGAATGGTTGGGGATTTTAGATTCTATGTATCTATAGTAGATAGATAGATAGATAGATAGATACTATTTTTGGATAATAAATAAATATATATATATATAAGTACCTATAACTCCGTCCTCTATAACTATCAATAGTTCTGCCCCTGCGAGTCAGAAACCAGTCTAGTCAGATCTCAGGCATCAGTTCAACCCATCGAGATCGAACCCTTCCTGATATTAATCAATAATCACAGACCAGACCAGACCACTACTTCTACATCTACTTCTTTTTCAATAATTATGTATCCGACCCATGGCTTCCCCAAGCCACGTCCCGACAGCCCGGCTGTTCCGCGGTCTCGCACTACTTTGTACCACTACGACTGCCTTTACCATTAACCATCAAAATAGGCAGCACAATACGCAAATCCCCATTGGACAAGCCCCTCCACAACTCAGCAAATACAGCCGAGAGAGCTGATCAGATCAATCAGATAATCATTGAAAACGGGAATTTCTTTTTCCTTTTCCTCGGTAAAAGGGGGAAAGAAGGAAAAGTACTCCGTAACACCAGTACCGGACTCTGTCCGAGTCTCCGAGACTACGTAGGAAGTCTCCCCGGACGGGATTACTATATCCGTTGATCCGCTCCGGAGGCAGGATTTCTCTCCGGATTGTTGTCTGCGAGGGGCGTTTCGTACTACAAGCAGTTCATGCATGAAATGGTGAGGATAGTGATATTGCCAATTCACATCCATACTGTAACTATAGATATTACTGCTAGAAATGACCGACAAAATAGTATAATAATAATATCTGGTCAACTCACGGATTTGCCGATCCCACTGGAGCCGACGTCTCGGCAATCCACCGTTCAACCGATGACTAACAAGTCCTGTTAGTTAGTTATCGCACCACCTTCGGAACCTGGCCGAGTCGGACAGCTCAGTCGGTTGGTTTCAAGATCCTACGGAGCGCTGCCACGTTGGGGGTTGATTGGAAGGGGAAAAAAAGTTTTGACATTCGCCAGGCTATTATTGATTGTCGTAATTCGTGAAAATGTGTGAGTGTGGGTGGTCAAGGCTAAAGGAACAAGATAGACAGGAAACAAAATATGCGCAGCCGGGCATATCTCATGCCCCCTGCAACATTTCTTCTGCGTTCAGGTGAAACACCCGTTCGGCCAGTCCAGGCTCGTTCGCACATAGCCGTAGGCATAGTTCTGTGAATGGCTCGATGTTGACGCCGGAAAACCGGGTGTGCGGCCAGTCTGTCGCGTAAATCACCCGGTTGGGAGCTACCCGAATGAACTCTTGGGCCATCGCTTCCAGATCGCGGAATTCTTCGTCCTTGCTGAGACGATAGGGGGCGGAGATCTTCACGTAGGTCTCCCCGGCGCTGAGAAGTGAGATCAAGGACGAGAAGCCTGGGAGGCTGTATGGATCGAAGGGGGCCCCGTTGTGTTTGCCTGTGGTGATATCCGGGCCGCCAAAGTGGTCGATGCATAACTTGACCCCCAGCGGCGCGACGACCCTCTCCAGCATGGGAACCATATCCAGAGATACGTGCAGCTGGATCGTCCATCCGAATGGCCGTATTAATTGAGCGTGTTGTAACAGCGTTTCTGCCAATTCAGATTCGACAGCCACCTTTCCCACTGACTTGAGGTTGATCCGCACTCCACGCACACCCAACGAATGCCACTCTGCCAGGGTTTCGATGTCTGTGCTGGTGGGATCGATCACCACCACCCCTCGCCCGCGAGAGGGTCCAACGTGTCTGAGTGCTTCGAGCAAGCATGAATTGTCGGTCCCGTAGATGGATGGCTGCACCAGAACGATGTTTCCGATGCCGAGTGAGGATTCGAAGGCCATGGCTTCCTCAATGGTGTGTTTGGCGGGCTGATAGACGGCGTTTGCGGAGACGGGGAAGCGCTGTGGTTCCACCACATGCATGTGTGTGTCCCATGTTCCTTGGGGGACTCTGTGCTTCAATAGGCTGGGTTGAGGGGCTGTCGTTCCATCCTTGTAGCTTCGTCGCTCCTTTTTCCGAGGAGTGGTGCTGAAAAGGACCCGGGGGTTCTCAAGTAGGCCGGGTCTGGACTGACAACTTGTCAGCATGCTGGGCACGGGCGACGAGAGCATTGTAGAGATGTCATAGGCTGCAGGCTATGGTGAAGCGAGAGGTGAGGAGTGTAGGTAGGTAGGTAAGTGTATGCCGGCGTCGATGCAGCTTCTCCAGGAAAACCAGCCAGAGTGGACTCACAAGGGTACTGGGACGCAGAGTTCCCACAGCTCCTCTTAAAAGACATTTCTGCAGAGACATCATATTCTGAATGGGGCTAGGTACAAGCCAGGGGACGACCCGTTCGGTCAAACTGTGGAATCGGCTTCCCGAGTATTATTTGACCGGAAGGGTTCCAGGCAGGCAGAACGGTCGAGGATTGAAACGAATCAGTCCCTGACCCACCGGATACGGGCTGGTTATTGTAGGTGGAGGGCGAACCGGGATAATGAGGTCGGAATCTGGCCGGCGTGGCCGCGGGGGGGGCAGAGCCATGTGACACGACATTTTAATCGATGGGTGATTCTTTGACAAGGCGCCCGTCCCCCTTGCAGAGGACCACCGGGGATCGACACGAACGTTGGGCGCCACCCACGAGGGAGGAGGTCAACCGTGGAGGCCTAGATATGCCGTATGGCTGTCCTGATGGAGCCGTCTTCCTGCGCCGGAATTATGGAATTATTCACAAGCACATCGGATGTTTAGTCAGAGAAGTTAGTTATGTACGACGGTACACGCATGGTACGAAGTGAAGTGGCTCCTGGGTGGGTGCGATGTAGGCGGAACGAGCCGACGGATCTGAGATTCCCACAATGTCCGATTCTGGAGGAGTTTGGTATAGAGTATCGAGTATAGAGTATCGATATAGGTAGAAGTAGTCCATTTCCTCCGTGGTCTGTATCAATCGATCGATAGGATCAATTCTGATGCCCCGATGGCAGTCCGTGACAAGATCTTCTGGAAGGATGCATGAATGATGAGCCAAGAAGGAGAAGGACGGAAGTTGACCGAGCGGCGAAGTCACGCCCCTCCCGGTCCCGTGCCCTCACCGGAGTGGATATTTCGAAACCCCCTCGACGCCCCTCGCCTCGCTTCTCCGTCGGCTTGTCCACTCATCTCGCTTGACTCGCCGTGTGGCTTGCTTGTCAATCATTCTACCCCCGGGGTTCCGGATAGCGATCTTGAATCAAGGCAGCAGCTGGAGCCTTCCCCAGATCCCTCGTCTTAGTGCTTAGTACCTCGTTGCTATAGTGCTGTTATCTTACTCGTTTCCTCAAATAGCAACCTGCGACAGTGCTGCCCCCGGTTCCTCCCGTTACACCATCATGGGATGGGCCGCAATTGACTGGTCACGGTGGACCACGAATCCCTATTATGCTTTAGTGGTCTTTATTATAGCTTGTGGGAGCATCCCTAAAGGTAACGTCATCCCTCCGTCAATGCGTCCGATGCGGTGTGAGCGAGAATCTGACAGGTCGGCCGGGCTGCAGGATACGATGAGGGTGGCTACAGCGCCAGCGTGAAGCTCGAATCCTTCATGATCGATTTCAACCTCATAACCTCCCATTGGACCCACGATGAGACCGGCCTGGCCAACCGGAAGGCCAACATCACCTCTTTCAACGTGCTGGGCGCTGCGTTTGGCGCCCTCATCTCCTTGGATTTGAACGACCGTTTGGGTCGGGTACAAACATGGCGTCTGTCCTGTCTGGTCTGGGCCTCGGGCCTCTTCATCCAGGTCTTCTCCTGCGGCATCTACGGTCTATTGCTATTTGCCAGAATCTGGAGTGGCTTGGGTGCTGGAGCACTGACGGTGACCACGCCTCTGTATCTTTCTGAGATTGGTGAGTAGATTCAGGGGGGGAGCACGTGCACGTGCAATAATCGTACTGATATCATGTCTAGCGCCTGCGCGGACCCGTGGCTTAGTCGTGAGTATCTACATGGTCATTTTGCTAGCAGTGTTATCCATGGGTAAGTCATCTCCAATAAGAAACCCCAGCTTCATCCAGTGGAGTCACTAACTCGTCTTATCGACAGGGTTCTTCATTAACTATGGAGCCGACTTGCACATGGCTCCAACACGCGAACAGTACCGCCTGGTGCAGTCTATCCCGTTGATTCCCACAGGGATTGCCTTCTTTGCCTCCTACATTGTGCCCGAAACGCCTCGCTACCTGGTGTCAAAGCAACGCCCTGATGAAGGGCGTGCCGTGCTGGCTCGTCTTCGCGGCAAAGATATCTCCGATCCCGAGATCGAGGACGAGTTCAACACCATCGATGCCCAGGTGCGGTCCAAGAGGGCAGACCTGGAGTCTGTCACTCACTGGCAGGCCTTCAAAGAATCCCAGGTGAACCCTAACTACCGACAACGGTTCTGGCTCCTGATGACCATGCAAACCATCGCCCAATGGACCGGAGGAAACGGCATCACCTACTACATCTCGAGCATCTTCCAGTATGCCGGCATCACTGGAAACGCCGAGTCCCTCATCTCGTCAGGTGCATACGGCATCGTCAAGCTCGTCTTCACCATGGCCTTCACCTGGGTCTTTATTGACATGTTCGGCCGACGCCGCTGCACACTGGTCGGTCTCGCCCTCCAACTAGCCGCCCACATCTACATGGGCGCCTACATGGGCCTCCAGCCGGGTTCCGGTGACAACAAGTCGGCCTCCAACGCGGCCATCGCATCCGTGTTCATCTACGCCGTCGGCTGGTCCGTCGGTCTCTGCACCATCCCCTACCTCTATGGCACAGAAATATTCCCCACCCGCATCCGCAACGTATGCTACGCCCTCAGCATGACCCTGCACTGGTTCTTCCAGTTCGCCGTGGTGCGAGTCACCCCGAACATGTTCACCTCTCTCGATGTCTGGGGCGCTTACGTCTTCTGGGCATGCATCTGCTTCCTGGGCATCATCATACTCGGTATCTGGATGCCCGAGACCAGCGGCGTCCCCATCGAGCGTATGGGCGATCTCTTCGATTGCCCATGGTACCTGCGCTGGCGTGCCAAGCCCAGAGACGTCGACTCCTCATCCTCCTCCACCACTGCCGGAGAAGGTGACGGTGCTGGCCGTGTCGACTCCAAGCAGGTCGAAAGCAGGAGCGAGCCTCTATAAACTATAAACATTTTAGAAAGAAAGATTGTTTCTGTTCTGTCTGCTACGCTGCATTGCAGAGTTTATCCGCCTGCTCGCATATACATGCATACATACATAACATACATTTTACTACATTTACCTTTTGGATGAGATACCCATGTCTTCGTTCTGGTGGTTTGATATGAATGGTGATACATTATTATTATATTAGTGTTAATGGTTGGAAGGGGGTGGAATGGCAGGGCTGGATATTGAATATCAGGCCGTTTGTGTCGAGGGGAACTCAAGTGATAAAAAAGACTTCGTTTCTAGTGTGATGTGGTGGAATTGCCTGTCCTGTCGGGCAAAAAAAAAATAAAAGTTCATGTCTTTTTCCTGTTCTCTGTGCTGTATGTAGAACCTACAAGTACAAAGGTAGAGGTAATCACCGATAATATCTGGGAAATCAACCAACACCTTGCTTAAAATCCACAGAATCAGGGTGTTTTTTTTAAGACACTTACCCGGCCTGAGGCAACTGAACTCACAAGAGTAATACTAGTAGCAAGGCTCTAAGGCCCCAAGGCCCCAGGGCACCCAGCCCAACCCACGCGATCATGCTCCATACACGGTTAGACAGCTCAGCCCAGCTCAGCTCTAACATGGAAGAACAAAGTGTAACTGACGTAACACCAAACCCTACCAACAACACAAATCAAGATTCAAGATCAAGATTTACTTTCTCATCTCCGCTAGAACCGAAGTACGGAGTCCTTTATAGATCTACTACACGGGTCTTACACAGGCCATCATCAAGCTACTATAACACACCACACCAGACCAAATACTAATTCCACGAACGAAATACGAATATATCTGTCCCACGGACAAATCATCAAATTGTAACATGAATCCTAAATATAATTCAATTCCGCTGCATATTTCCCCCCTCCCCCCTCGCCAAACTAGATAGGTAAGAAGTATAAATATAAGTAATAGATTAATGTCTCTCCCATACATAATCGACCGCGGGCGTCATGTTCGTCGTGATAGGCTCGGCGTACGAGAACGCCTCGAACACTTCCGGGGTGATCTCGTACGAGCCCGGATTATCCAGCGTCATCACGGCGTTCGGCATCCCGCCTAGGAGATGAGTAGCGGCCATCTGGGGCATGTTGGGCTGTGGGAGTTCGAAGTCCGCGACAGGTGGCTGGAAGGTGTATCCTTGGACCATGGGGGCGGGGGCGGCGCTTACGCCTGCGGGGTGGATGGAGGTTATGGGGTGGTCGGGTTGTGGTGGTTGTTGTTGTTGCTGTTGCTGTTGCTGCTGTTGCGGTGGCTGTTGCTGCACCGGGGAGACACGACGGGATGTGCTAGGAAGGCTGACGGGGGGCGTTGAGATGTGGTGTTGGGAGGAAGTGTGGCTGTGGTGAGATTGGGAGTGTTGGAGAGGTGGAGGCTGAGATTGAGAGTGGGTTTGGCGTTGGGATTGTTCGGGCTGCGGTTGGGGGAGTACAAGGTGCACGTCGATTTGGAGCTTTTGGAGCTCCTGGTAGACAAGACTTAGAGCTGTGATGATCACTGTGAATTATGTGGTTAGTTTGGAGCCTCGTGGTGAATTTGAGATGGGGGTCATACCGGGATTCGACCCTTTGACTCGCTCGAGGGCATAGACGCAATATTTGAGCTTTTCGAGGGTTCCCGGAGCAGCGTATTTTAAGGCCTGGATTTCGAGCAAGAATATCGACGCTGCGGTGTACACACTGTAGGCGAGAGAAAGGACCACATGGCTGTCCCCGAACGTGCGACGGTAAAGATCAAAGAGCGACAGTATGGTAGTTGCGGAGGTCATGCATTGGACGAGATGACTTTTGTCGTAGGACTCGCGGTTTGATTTGGAGCAGAGAATCGGGCGGTGGAGAAGGATGTTGACGGTATGGTAGAGGCAGCTATAGAATGGCGTCAGAGACCCGTTTGGACAATATGACGAATCGAGAGGGGTGGGGATAATACTAACTTCAAGGTCACAATGTGGCTCGGCGGAGCATACGGGGGGATTTCCGTAGCCTGCAGCTTCAGGTAATCGGGCAACTCGTCCCACCACTCAGCCAAATTTGCAGCCTGTTCCTGAATGCAGTCGTAGAACTCTGCTTCCGACACCTGTCGGAGAGGATCATAGATGTGGATGAGAATCTGGTTAAGAATCTCTGCTAGCCCGCACATCTTCATGAAACATGACGTGGAATGAGCCTGGGTGGGTGGGTAGTGGGCGCCGTCGGGGAATTCGACGCCGTGGGGAGTCCATATCTCCACCTCAGCTGTGTCATCTAGTATCACCCTCGGAGGACTGACTCGGGAGTGCTGCATTGTCGGGGATCGACCGAAGTACAAGGATATTAGTTTATCCCAGAAGTAACAGCTCCAAAAGAGGCGGTTTCTGAGTTCGATATCTTCATCGGTCAAATGAGCGCTGTCAGAATACTTGCGACTGTCGATGGATATGCCAAGATCATCCAACATCCGGAATGCCATTCCGCTGTACAGCCATGCCTGGGTCCGATTGCCTCGCCCGCATTCCTGAGCACTGAGGAGAAGCAGCGTCTGAATGGTCGGGATCCCGACATATCCGGCCTTTAACGAGTCAAACAGACCCGACACGGCACGATGAGAAAATTGCGCTCCGCCCTCAAACGAATCTAAAATCGGCCCAATCCTGGGCTCTGTTTTGCACCATCGTACCGAGTGTGAGAGAACTGCGTTTAACAAGGCATCGGAATAATAAGGACCGTTAACTTTCATATCACCTAAAATCGGTCAGTCTTTCGCATTTCGCAGCCGACAGTGGAACACGAACGAGTAAAAGTAGGCCGATAGACGAAGCCAAAGAGTGGCTGGATCCAACACCAGTGCGAGTCGAGGAGGTACTGAAATGGTTCCTAAACAAAAGCAAAAGGCTCGAATTAGACCCTGTGCTCTTCTTCTAGTTTATCCGGTCGGGAAAACTCACAGGCATAGTCGCCATCTGCTCAAACGCCCGTTCCCGCCACGCATTGTTGATCAATCTTTCCTTCCGTCCCTCCAGCTGCATGGCAAGATGGGATGACGTCGAGTTCTCGTTTAGGAGGCCACTTGGGAGCTGGAATAAGCTGGTCGGGCCGTGGAAGGATATCCGGCCATCGTGCTCGACCTTGAGACCCTCAAAATCGCCCGCGAGATCCCGCTCGCTGTCTTCCTCTTCTTTGATGCGATTTCGAATCCCCGGGCTGGCGCTGGACTCGCCGGTGGACGCCGGGGAGGCGCCCTTCCGACCCAGAGTCTCGAGGGATTGTTGGTTTCGGAGCTTGGAGAGGGCATCTTCCAGCTGCGCGACGCGTGTTTCTAGTTGTTTTGTATAGGATAAGGTTGGAGCCCTGGAAATAGAGTGTTAATGGTGATCGACAAATTGCCGACAGGGCGTGTGCAAAGCGGGTCGGACTGGTGGGGGAACGAGACAAGAAGCGAGGTTGAAGCCAAGGGGAAATACGCCACACTCACAGACTATAGACGCACACTTCTCCGCGTGCCGCACATCGCGAACATGATGGGCTGGCCCCATTACATTTCACCTGGAGGCTCAGGTCAGCATCGTCAGCTGAGCGAAGGGGATCGCTCGAGATTTTAATCTCGGAAGTCACCCGAGTCAGGAACGAGGGAGGGGGGGGAAGAACCCACCTTTCGCTTGCGACAAGCCTCGCAGGAAAAGGCGCTTTTCCGGGGAAGGCTGGCCTTGGATGGCACGTCGGCCATGCCCGGCTGATTGGATTCTACGACCATGGAATTGGGCAATCCAGAATGGCCGTGGGAGACGGAGCAGGACTTGCGACAGCCTCCATGGAAGAGAATTTCACGAACACGCGAAGGAAAGAGGAGAGGAGGGGTTTGGGGGGGGGGAGAAGCAAGGGGAGAGAGGGAGACGGAGGGTCGCAAGTGGGGGTGAGAGGGAACCAGAAAAGTGAGACGATGGTCACCCTTGGCCTTTAGGGGCGCACTTTATTCCAGAAGGGGGACCATTCCTTGGGTGCCCTTGGGTGTCCTTGGGTGTCCTTGGGTGTCCTTGGGTTAGAGGTTGTGGGGCGTTGGAGGATCGGAGAGGGGAGGAAAGCTTTCGTGGGTTCACTCACTGTCAGTGGCCGCAGGGTCCGATGCCGATAAGGGGGAGGGAACGAGCTAGAGCTGCAAACGCTCCCAGCCATCTGAAAAATTGAAGGGTTTCGTGGGCATCGTGGACATCGTGAACCTGGTGTACTGGGAGGGGTGACGCGCCCGGATCGGACGATCTCACCCGGGACCGGGACTGAATATTGATGGCTGATGCAACAACGGAACATGACGATATCTCGGGCGAGTGCGACGCTGTTGGGCCAATCACGCGCCCGACACCGGAGGGGCTGGCCCTGGGCAGCCTCAGCGGTCAGGCAGCACGGGTGGCTTGGCGCGGGTGTATCAGGAATTTGATTAAGCTTAATCCGCCCCCCCCCCCCCCCCCCCGTCACGAGACTTGCCGCTACAGCTATTAACATATTATCATACAATATCATACAAATCGCCTCTCTAACTGAACCAGCAGGTCATGCACATCATCCACCGGCAACGGCACCGCCCGGGGGTTCTTCAGCGCCTGGTCCCCCAGCCGCTGGGTCAGGAGCTCTTGCAGCTTCGGCACATTGCGCTCCGGTTGGCTCTGCAGTTGGCCAGTAATATCCACCGTGATGCGGGACGCGGCCACATCCTTGGGGCCCAGGATGAAAATGAGGTTGTACTTCATCTGCTTTGCCCGTTGGATCTTCTTGCTCAGTGACTGACTACTGGTGTCCACGTCGATCAAGAACGTCGAGTCAACGGATGAGAGAGGCTGAGGAGCAGCCTCAGTCTGCCCCGGCTGCAGAGCGCGGAACCCGGAAATCTTCGCGGCGGCTTCGTGTGCCTGCTGCACGACGGCCTCGTCTTGGTTGACCGTGAGGACAATGCCTTGGCGAGGAGACAGCCAGAACGGCCAGCGACCGGCATACTGTTCGATGAGCAACGCGAGGAACCGCTCCAAAGAGCCGAAATTGGCCCGGTGGATCATCACCGGTGTAGCCTTGCCCGGGGTCTCAGGGTTGTAATCCTCCTCGCCTTCCGCGACCTGGTATTCCAGCCCAAATCGCTGGGGCAGATTCATGTCGAGCTGGATGGTAGACAGTTGATGATATTTGCCGGCCTGGTCCTGGAGTTGGATGTCGATCTTCGGGCCGTAGAATGCGCCATCGCCCTCGTTCATAGCCCACTCGCGCCCAGTGTTGTCGAGCGCCTCCCGCAGCTGGGTTTCGGCGCTATTCCACAGTTCCAGACTCCCAATAAAGTCCTTCTCGGGCCTCGTAGAGAGAACCAGGCGGTACGGTCCTAGCCCAAAAGTCGACATGACCAGATCCACGAACCCAAGCGCAGAGGCGATCTCCCCCTTGATCTGCTGAGGCCGACAGAAGATGTGGCCATCGTCCTGGTGGAACCGGCGAACACGGGTGAGTCCGCTCAACGAGCCAGAGACCTCGTTCCGATGGAGAGGGCTGAAGTCGGCGTAACGGATGGGAAGCTCCCGGTAGGAATGAGTCTGCGATTTGAAAAGCAAACAGTGCCCGGGGCAGTTCATCGGCTTCAGGCCGTACGACTCATCCTCGCCCATCTCGCCCTCCGTGTCCCCAGAGGCCCCTCTCCCGCGCACCTCGTACATGTCATCCTTGTAGTTCTGCCAATGGCCAGAGACCTCCCAGAGAGGACGTTTGTAGATAGTCGGAGTCAGGACTTCGCGGAACCCGTATTGGAGGTACTGTGTGCGGAGGAAAGTGATGAGTTTGTTGACGATATGTGTGCCATTGGGGAGGAAGAGGGGTGATCCGGGGCTGTACACTGATGTTGTAAAAAGGTCCTGGGAGGCTCCCAATGCGCGATAGTCGGCCGGGGTCGAGGACTGTGCTTGAGGCCGGTCGGGCTGCGGATCAGAGCACGAACAGGGCCGCGACGAGGTGGATGAGAGCCATTGCGCTCTGATCGAGGGCCAGCCGGCCAGCCGGGCACCGCTGGGAGGGGTTCGAGGAAGCAAAGGCTGCCGTAGCAAGGGGGATAGCCGGCGCATGGTGGAATACCGCGGACAAGCAGACGGATTGTGTTCTGTTTGCTGGAGGATTTTCGTCGGCCTCCCGTGACTCGACGCGACCCGCCCGATTGGGCATCGCGTTCCCGTGATCCCCCACCTCCTTCCAGGTCGTCGGGTGGCTGGACGCGGATCTAGATTGACGATTCTCCCCTCTCCCTCTTCACTCGGGACCGATATTCTGCCAGAGGTCGGTGGGTGATCGGCCACCTACAGTGCTTGAGGAATACACGGGTCGCTATCGTTTGGGAATCATGTGAGTGCCCTCCCTTCGTGTGAAGAGCGAGATCCCGCGTCTTCTCCGCATCTCCCTCTAGCGCGATACGGCAATTAAATTGATATCTCTCTAATCATTCAATAGATCTAGAGAATATATATAGCGATCTTCAAGCAATTCACCTCTCTGTCACACAAACCATACATAGCTCAAACCGTATCCCTTGCTTCCTCTGCGACGCGCCCATTGTTTACTCTCTCAGCGCCAACGACTCAGAAAACTCTTCGACTGAACACTTCCACACGCAACGCTGCTATTGACTTAATGCACAGCCATCACCACTAGTATACATGTCTACAAACATATCCCGACCCCAGGACAGCTGTATCCTGGGAGAATCCTGGGTTGTGGCGTCACCTGATGGGGAGAACGAGCCACAAGCCAACTGTCAGCCATTTGACCCGTCGACTCCAACACCTCAACCTCGACCTCGACCAGCGAGAAAAGCCCGCAGCTATGGATCCGAATCGATATCCACCTCCACCTCCTCCTTGGGGCCGGAACTCATCATGCCATCGATATACGAGGCGCCACCCTCAGAAGCATCGTGGGTTGCGCCAGCCTCACGATCCAAGCGCTCCCTCAGGCAAAGACATCCCACCGAGCCCAGGCACTCAACGCCAGAAAAGAAACAAACATCCCCTCCGCGCAAACAAGACAGCACAACCCCTACAACAACCCGCAAGTCACCCTCAAACAAGCCCACACAATATCGCCCATGGACACCCCCTACCATACCCTCACTAGAGTCCTCCCTACGCGCAATCCTCAACCTTGTCCTCATCGCAGCCATCACCCACATGCTCGTCCTCCCCGAACTAGTCCAACAATATCAAACCCTCTGCTCCCTCGAAGCCCTCGCAACCCTATACCCATCCAGCTGCATCCCACTCTATCCCCAAGCACACCCTGTCCATCACCAACCCATCCCCCAGGAGGACAAGGAGACTGTGATATCCTCACAAACACGCCTGGAGTCCCTCTTCAACGCCACACTCTACGACATGGCCCCCCTCAGCACGACGCTCAAGCACAGCGAATCCAAGCTCCGCGACATCCACCACGACCTCAAGAAAGCCTACCCGGGCAGCAAGCACGAACTCGACCTCGAATTCACCGGCTGCCTGCAAGCCACACGCACCGCCGCCAGGAAATTCGACTCCCTCCAAGCAGACATCCGCTCCGCAGTAGACAGTCTGATCGCCACAGGCGACGCCCGGACCCTCGTCCACGACGCGCGTCTCTCCACCCAGATGGCCCGCCGCGAGCAGTACCTGGAGCAGTTGACCTCACGCATGCATTCCAAAGCCGACTCCCTTTCGAACGACCTAGCCACTCTAGACGATCACCTCGAGTCAATCGGGGGCATCGTAGACCGGGAATCAAAACACTCACCATCACCACAACCACAATCCAATACCGACACCCCCACCCCGCCCAATTCCAATTCCAACTCCCCTCAAGAACCACCAACACAAGACCAACAAGAAAAACACACTCCCCGCCAACTTAACCCCTTCTCCCTCCTAGGCCTCAACCTCAACCTCCCATCCCTCTTCCGCCCCTCCTCCTCCACCACCGAACCCAGCGAAAACACCCTCATCACAAACCCATCTCACCACCACCACCCACTAATCAAGCTCTTCCGCGACGCAGCCACCAATCACCATCCAGTCATCCGAGTAGTTCGAAACATGTCGAATCAGCTCCAGACACTTCACAAACGCAAGAACCCTGTTTAATTACTATTTATTCATCCTTGGCTTTTCGGCACGCACGCCGACGAATGTGGTATGAGACATGCATGCATGGGTGGATTACTCGCATATTATGACCTGAATTGAAATGAAATGAATTGAGATGAAATGAGATGACTTGGGATTGGATGACTTGGGATTGGATGACTTGGGATAGGATGAAAATGACTTGGGATGGGATGACTTTGGGATGGCGTTGATGGAGATTGCGGGGGTGTGATGTGGCGTGGCGCTTTTGTGGTTACACTGCACGTGCGCGGTGCTTGTTTGGTTATTTGTTTTTGTTTGGGGTTACACAGGCATAAGGTACAGATGTACATGAGTATAAACCTAAGGTACTTAGGTACGGAGTACAAATAGTAGCTAGAGGTACATAGGGCATAGGTACTATGGGTAGGCTGTAGACTACCTACATCTACACCTACACCTACACCTATACCCACATTTACAAAGTACTACTATCAATCGCGTACTTCGAAACGAACATCACAAACCTAAACCACCTCAAAGACATCATCAGTAGAATACAAAGTATGCCAATAAGTAGAAAGATGGTTAATATTATTAAACTAATTCGCTAAATCCCCAAATTGACCAGCAAGGAACGTACGTTTCAAAGGGAACAAGACCAGATTTTTTTTAAAAAAAAAAAGAAAAGAAAAAAAAGAAAGAAAAAAAGGACCCTAACTTCATGAGACCATCGTGCGCAAAAATCAAGAAACATGATATCCATATCTCCAAGTTAAATTCCAACAGAAGCAGTAAGATAGGGAAAGAAAAAGGGAAATCAAGCAATTCGATTATTCCTCTGAGCTCTGAGCCTTCTAAGGCACCAGACGACAAGACAGACTCCCTCCTCTCAAATATGTACTTGCGACTACATTTCAGATAAGCTATGCAATGAAAGCAGCAAAAAAGGGGGTAGGGACATGCCCTGGGAAGGAAAGAGAAAATGGAAGAAGAAAGAGACAGGGGGTGGGGGGGGAACCCGCGGATATAGTTAAAGGGCTATATCAACGACGGTGGTGGGAATTTACAACAGCATGGCGGCAATGACACCGGCGAACAGACCGGTCACGGAAGTGCCGACCTGGGTGGCGGCGCCGGTGTACACGCTGCTGGCGGAGGCGCTGGCAGCAGCAGAGGCGGAGCTGGAGCTGACGGCGCCGGAGCTGGAGCTGGAGCCGGAGCCGGAGACGGTGCCGGAGCCAGAGCTGGAGCCGCCGGTGCTGGAGCCGATGTTGGAACCAGTGTTGATGAGGGCACCGGAGGAGCTGGCGGCGGCAGCGCTGGTGGAGCTGGAGCTGGAGGTAGAGCCGGAGCCGGAGCTGGAGCTGCAAGTGCCGTTGTTCACGACAATGCTGGTGTAGTCACCGCTCTCGTCGGAGTAGGTGTAGGAGCAGCCAGGGTTGTAGTTGGTGATGGCCACGGACTGGACAACCATGATGAAGGGGACATCGGCGAAGTTGGTCTCACCACCGGCCCACTCGATGGTGCCAGCAGCCTCAGACGGGTCGCCAGCAGCCCAGACACCGAGCTTCAGGCGCATGGGGGTCTGGGGGTAGCGGGTGCCGCTCTCGGCATCGCTGTACTCGAGGGTGCGCACGACAGTGCCATCAATGCTCCAGGTGGTGGTCTCCTCGGTCCACTCGACAGTGTAGGTGTGGAAGGTGTCCTGGGGGGTGGACACGGTCGCCCAGGTGGCACGGTCGTAGGAGGAAGTGTCACCCTTGCCGAAGTAGTTGGTCTCAATCTGAGTGGTATCACCACCCAGAGCCTCCTGTAGATCCCAATCTGGTTAGCCGGGTTCGCCCCGTGCATGGTATGGGCTGATAGGGTGGAGAAGGTCGTGCATGATAGGGGTGGCAGGGGAAACGGAAGAGAGGGGGCTGGAAAGACTTACCCAGTCAATCTCGTCGAGGTCGTCCGACTCGAGCACGATACTGCTGCAGATACCGGTGCCGTTGGCAGCCTTCATCACAACTTCGGCCTTACCGAAGAAGAAGTAGAAGTCGGTCTCGATGGTGGGAGCCACGCCCTCCTCGTTGATGATAAACTCAGCACCCTCCGAGGTGAAGGTAACATTTTCAGCGGTAGCAAGCCAGCCATCGAAAGAGCCCGTTCTGAAATCAGTGCTGAAGGTCGTGGAGCTCATGGCCGTATCCGCAGGGCAGGTCTCTGTTGGTTCGATTAGACCTGTATGGACTTGGGTGAGAGAGAAGGGGGATGGAGCTTACTGTTGAGGGGGTTGCAGTCCGTGTAGGTCTGCGCAGCAGCGAAAGGAAGCGCTGCAGTCAGGGCAGCGGCGGCATATGTGAGAAACATGGTGTCGATGTGGTTGCTGAACGCTACTCTAGATAGTAGATAGAACGAGGGTGGAGCAAGAGACCAAACGAAGGAAGACTCTTGATGGGTTGACCTGGGGAAGAAAAGGCGGGTGTAATTGGGGGGGGGGGGCCTTATTAAATAGTGATGAAGTAAAGATGGGATCACTGGGGTGGTGAATGTGCACTGAAAGCGAGAGACGGACCCAGGAACCAGGGCAACCGAGAAGAGCACAAAAAGGGAACAGGGAAAGGATTAAAGTTCTGGTACTATGGAACGAGAGGCGGGCAGGGTAATAATAAAGTAGTGAATGATGCTAACCAAGTGGGTTGTGCCGCCATGGAGACAGGTTGTGTGATATTAATACTCCCCCTGAGAGAGAGACATGGACTACAGCTCGTAGCGCGCGAATAATGCCGCGCCCGCTATGGAGCAGCCCTGGAGGGCCAACGGATCCAAGGATGGGATTTGGGGGCAAAAGGTTGCATCCCCTGGTTCACTTGGTTCGACCTTGGGAGGATGCTGGGCAGGCACTGGGCAAAGCCTGCGTCACGGCTGAGGTGGTCAGACACCATGATTGAAGGAGGAGCAAAGGACGACATCGATCGAGTGGAGCCCCGACTGGAGCCGGCCCCGGTACGAGAACCACTGACGGACCTTGTTCATTGGCGCGAATTCGTCTGTGAACTGGACTTGAAGGCTGGCGTTACCCACACGTCGACGACTCGGGGAAAGCAACGAGGGCGTGCGTACTGCCATCCTGCGTCCACGCTGCGAAGGAGACGAGGAGGTATACGAATGCAGATCAAGAGGGAGAAAAGCTTGTGCCTGCCGCGTGTCTCACACACAGGTACACAGGCACACAGACCAAGCAACACGCTGCTGTCGGGTTCTTTTCCCCTGCAGCCACCTTCGTCCTCCCTGCCATGGGTTGTGAATGCCATCCCGTTGTGCTTCCTTGTCCTTCGTCCTTCTGGGCTCCTGGGCTCCTGGGCTCCTGGGTACTACCGGGGCTCCCCGACGGGGTCCATCCAAGGGTCGGAAAGGATCCAGGGTGTAATTCGCTTACAACGGCGCGGGAGGGGGGTGGATTGGGACTAGATGCTAGTACAAGGTGGTATTGTGTCGGTCATCTTTAGGCAACGAGGCTTAGAGAGAGTCCGAGCCAAGGGGGCCAAGTATTTAACCACCCATTTTGCCACGGTCGCGTTGCGCACGGGAGTCGGGAATATCCCCCGTAGGCGCGCGGTGGTGACCTGCAGGCGTCCAGTGGGCCAACTGTTGGTTTTTCTTTTTCTTTTTTTTTTCTCCATGCAATTGAGGCCAATAATGGATGCGAGCCATGGATCTGACACCGGTCGACCTGTGGCTCGCCATGAGAATGAACACACAATGGAAACCGGGACCTCCATGGGGGCAGTCATAGTGTAATAGTAGTTGCGGGGATTAAAACCTGAAACCGAATGCAATAATAATAATAATAATAATACGGAGTAGTCCGTCACTGCCGAGGAACATTATCTATCTGGTAACAATTAGTACACAGTAAATGCAGTCACCGGTGGATGATTCCAAAAAAAGATCTTCTAAGCGCTGGATCGGCTGGCCCAGTCTTTTGCAGGTCAGAAGACCGAGCGTACAAGTAAGTGCAGAGGAGACAGTGACAGACAGTGATGTCTCACCCGGATAATGGTATAATCCTCGCACCGTGTCGGCCACTATGGACACAGTCGAGCCGACCTGAATAAGAAGCGATGTGCATCAGTCATGAGAATCACACCAGGTTTCCCCACTTCCACCGGTCAATCAGCATGGATAGCCTGATAGGGAGACGCATCCGGGACGAGGAACCGAAAAAGCGGGCGATTTCCCTCGAGTTAATTTCATTTCTGGAGATGAAAGGGGAGTGGGCTGGACAGGCCGCTAGGAATGTCGAGCGGTGCAGAAGACTGCCATCGCCGTTCAGTGGTTCACGCCGGCCCCGGGTGTCACTGGCATCAGCCTCAATGTGAGACAGACAGGGGGATGTCATTTATGATTTAATTTAAAAACATCCCCTGAACACCAGGGAGGTCATTGTTGCATTCCGCGAAGAATGATGAGGGGCCAAAGGATCAGGAAGACCCTGCGTCCGGCGCTTCCTTCCTCTGCAGGGTCAACGAGGGATGCCACTTGCGCTTGTAATTTCACCCGACAAAAGGAGCAAAAGGATGTCTTGATGCCTTGATGCCTTGTCTGCCTTGTCTGCCTTGGTGCCTTGATGCCTTGCTGTCTTGCTGCCTTAATGCCTTCTGTCTTTCTGCCTTGCTGCCTTACAGTAGGTTGGGGATGATGGCGAACCTGAGGAGTGAGGCGTGCCGCCATCCCCTCATCTTGTTGGGCGATCGACCAACCGCCACGTTGGACGTTGATCACCCGATCCTCGTTTCCCCTCCTTTTCCCCTTATCTTCTCTCCCACCCCCCCCCGTCTTCTGAACAACAACAACACCCCCTCCCCCTCGCCAGTCCACTCCGGTCCTGCAAGATTCCACATCCTTGATTTGCATTTCCCCTCGGAACTCAGAATATGGTTCATAAACCCAGCAGGGCTTCTCCTCGCGCTAATCTGTCTCGCTCTGTCGCCGGCGCCTCTTCTTCTGCTTCCCCACTAGATCCAGACATGGACCGGAAAGTCTACATCCCGCTTTGTTTCTGTCTGGTCTCGTTTGCCGTGATGGTCTACATCAACTAAGTCGAGGCCCCGGGAGATCATGCCGTCTTCCCACTGCGTACATCATCAGCTCACGGCGCCCTCGTCGCGGAGTCGTAAGGCCATCCATCACATCGGTCCCTTTCAACCCCTGCGGCCCTACGAGACCAACCACTCCGCGCCCCACCTGGAAACCGCCCGCCTCGGTATTGGCATCCCAACATCTCATTCAGTTGAGAGGCCCCCGAGAACCACCCATGCAACACGCATCGCTCGCTCCTCTTCCAGTCTCACCACCCGTCCCCAGCCTCAAAACAACCCATAAGCGGAAAGACCACGTATAGGGTGGCTGGGAGAAAGAAAGGACCCCGGGTGATCCGCCACGCAAGCCGAAGAACACCACCACCATCACGCACCCCACTTGCGGAAGGTCTTACCGCACGATCAACAACTGATGCCGCCAACTCTCGTGCTCCTGCGAATGCTATCTACTACCAACCATATTTCGCAGTCCCACCATCATCTCAGAATAAATCCGATCTGACGACTTGACATTATTATCATTTCGGCCCGAAGTCTTCCTATTATGATTATTATTATTATTCAACGCCAAGCAAAATCTCTACCTGCATAGTGACGTACGTACATACGTACGCTGGACCGCCACTATAGCTTGTTTGTTTACTGTTTTCTTTGGTGCTATGCCTGTTGCCCCGCATGACGGACAGCAACAAACAGGCTAAATAGCGACCAGTCTTTCTTTGTTTATCTTTTCCTATGTCGATCTATCTCGGTATCTTTAGTTATCTGCTAATGGCCATTGCATGGCCCGCCATTATTATTATTACCTAACCAGGCCTATCTATATACCCGAGTCTTGACTCAAATCCGAATATCTTCATCCTTCTTACAGGAAACAAGTGAAACAAGTTCATCCGAATCTCTATTAAGAACGTCTATTAATAAACCCTAGCCTGACATATCGCGTATCGAGTCCACCCGCCAGATCTCAGTACCGAGAGCACAATGAAACAACCCTTCCGTAGTCCTTTCACAGCCCAGCCCAAAATGAAACTAGTCACGAAATTTTTAAAACCGACACCTGCAACTATCTATAACCACCATCACCACCACCAGCATCCGTCAACCCAATCCTTCTCCACGGTCCACAGGACCACAACACACCGAGATAAGACACAACCACCCAAAAATAGACCCACGTTGTCGGCAGAAACCCAGATACTATTTCTTGACACCACTGACAGAAACACATTTCTACCCATCACGTCATCACGTTCGAGATTTCGGTTTAGTTTGGTGGTCCTCGTGGCAGTGTCTCAGTACTATCCAACCTTACTGAAATAAATATTGATTTCTATACATAAAGCCAAGCAAAGCAGAGTAGACTGTACTCCGTATGTAGAAGGGGAACTGGTTCTGGCCCATCTCCATAATAGATAAAGTTTGATATGATGGATGGATGGATGGATGGCTAAGCCACACTCGCACCTAAACGAGACAGTGGGGGGAAACTCCCCCTCCCCCCCTTTTGATTTCTCTAATCAAAGACCCAGGTCTATTTTTTTTTTTTGAGTTCGTACCGGTAGAAATTCGGTGGAGATAAGATTAATTATACAAAGCTAATTACATAACACAGTATACAAGATACTAGGCAGATGTATATAAACTCCGTAGATATCTAGAATCTTGAATCTAAAATCTAGGTACCAGCCCCCCGGCACTTCATTCCCCAGTCTTCAATTCTAGCCGGGCTTCTGGCGCTAGGGTTTCGAGAATTGGCTCCGTAGCCGATACACTATGGACGAGAATCGTCATATCAGCGATAGCAGAGAACTTAGACACAAGAAGCAAAAAAAAGGAATCGAATCAGGTCGTGCCCGGGATCGAACCGGGATTGCTGGAATCAGAATCCAGAGTGATGACCATTACACTACACAACCTGTGGTGTTGGAGAGCGGGGTGGGTTTTTGTTACATGAGCCTGTGGAGCGGGTCTTGCGGCGTTGCGGCGTATCAAGGTGGAGTTTGGGGGGGGGGATTCGCGTTCTGTGTACTCCGTACCACAGAGTCAAAAATGTGGACAGAAAATATAAAAAGGATACTTTCTGGCATTTTGATATCAGAGATAGTCAGTTGATATTCAGTATAATTTTGTTGGTCGGGCATAATAAAATAAGTATGTATGTATATCCAGTAATACCCCAATAATCTCTCCCAGCGCCAAAAAGAAAAAAGAAATCAAAAAGGTCGTGCCCGGGATCGAACCGGGATTGCTGGAATCAGAATCCAGAGTGATGACCATTACACTACACAACCTTGTGATGTCAGAGCGCGACGACTTTTGGCCTGTTGAGCGAAGGATAGAACTTTCCAGACAAAAAGAATTCGTGCTAGAAGATTAGGTTTTGGGGCTTTTTCTAGTTTTCTGGGAGCGGTTTCAATTATGGGTTTTTGTAATGGTCTATCTATTCTTTACCTGGTTTATCGCCTCAGATGGCGATGGTCGATGGTCAGCGATCGATGATCGATGATCTGATCGGTGATCTGGAGATTGTGATGTAATTGTTGTCTATCCTTATTGGATATCGACGTGCTTCGTTGCACAGTGTCATTCCTTCCTTCCTTCATGATCGATCGATCGATCAATCGATCGGATCGGGCCAGATCAGATCAGATCAGATCAGATCATAGCAGGTTCAACTCGTGGCGAGTAGATCGTAACTCCAACCCATCCAGATAGTGATACTTTGCAGTGGCAGTCTAGATGGATGGATGTACTATGCAAGTAGCATACTCTCTCTAAGGTACTGCCAAAGGCGGTGAAGAGGGGGGCGGATCGAACCTGCCATAGCGGGCAGTTCCCACTTACGATTGCTAGTAGCCTACCTAGATAACCTACCTCACCTACAAGTCCTCACCACCTAGCCAGTTGCAATAACATCGTTTTTACCAGGATCTTGCTATTCGCGAATAGCTTCAAGTATCATTATCAAAAGACAAGGGGCTGCTCACCTGCAGCATACCATAGCGCCACAAAACATCCTTACCGCCTGGCACCATAACAGTACATCTTTCCTCTCTGTATTTCTAACAGTAACGATAAACCCCTCAAAACATACAACATAAAAGTAAATACATAAGGTAGGTAGGCCTGGATCGCGCCCCAACCAGTACATAAAAATAGCCGAGGCCAGACAGGCCTTTTCCCACGCTTATTCGGTACGGTGGGGGGGGAACAGCCCTGGCCAGACATTCACGCATGGCATGGATCCATGTACTTTGTATACAGAAACCATGGTTGATTCGGGGTTGTCGCGGAGGGCACTGCTTCGTTTGGGGCGCCAGTTGGGGAAGCCCGGTAGTAGCTGCGGACAGGCCTAGACTCTCGTGGTTGGTGGCCTGCTGGCAGCCGGCAGTTGGCATGCGGGCTGGGGTTCTGCGGTTCTGGGTTCTGGGTTCTGGGGTTCGTGGGGCATGTATACTAGTATTGACTACCAGTTCTACCAGTAGTAGGCTAGCCACTTGGGCTATTTGGCGGTTTTTATTTATAGATGATCGTATGTTCTGTTGTCTGTATAGTAGTGTATGTCTTTCTGGATGATGTGCTAGTAAGGAATGTTGCTTTCGTTGGAGCGGGGAGATGACGAGGGTGAGGGTGAGGTTATTCCCGATACAATACTACTAGCTTGCGGACAATCTTCGATGTTGTCGTAAAAAAACCCTATAAATTAATGTGAATGATAAATGACACGGGTAAGGGGAGAAAAAAGGGGAAGAAAATGCAGGTCAGGTCCAGAATTCTCTAGGTTCTGCGGTAGAAGAAGCCCAGCACCTACCTACCCTACCTACCACCGCACCACCCGCCACACGACCTTCTCAGCAGATAGCATCCATCCATCAACAGAGAGCCCCATCATCATCCTCTATATAAAACTCATATCTCAGGCATCATTCATTCATATAAACGGATAAACAAACCCTCCCTCAAGCCAAGGCGGGGGGGGGGGGGGGGCCAGAGGCCCGCACTAACCGCTGCACTACTGCCCACGCTCCACCGGGAATGTGTTCTGGTTGGTTGAAATCCCTCCCGCGCTTACCGTGAGTGGCTTAGAACTGTTCCACATGTTGCTTTGGATGGTTGTTATTGGTAGGGTTTTTTATTATTGTATTAATATTTGATGTGTTTTTGTCCAAGTGACTTGGTTCATGTGCTCTATCCAGTAGTGTAGTTTTAGTTACTGTACTTTGCCGCTGGCAGTAGAAAGATGTAAGTAGATACGGGTACGGAGCTGGCAAAGAAAGCCGATTCGGGGAGTTGGGGATCGGTTGTAAACGAAAGGTGAGTAACTAAGTACTTACTTACTAAGGTAGTAGCTATCAAGATAAGTTTCACGGTACTTAAAGCGGGTTCCATACAAAATAAAAGCATCGACTCGCGCGACAAGTACTCTGTTTTCCTACGATAGATACTATAAAGGCACATACCCCCAAGTCAGGCCCAATCCAAAGCAAGACATATATGATATCCCATGGACCGTTCAACTACGCCCCCCCCCCTTCAGTAACTCAATCGAATTAACACCATCCACCGCCCGCAGAGACAGACATGTTGTCTCGAATCCTCCACGAGAGTACAAACAAAGCTATTCTATTCTTACCCATGTGAGCCTATCCTGGACGGGAGCAGGATATCTTGCTTATTATGCTGTAAGCTTATAGATTCTCAATGCTGACAAACCTTCAACAATTGGTTGTGTAGTGTAATGGTCATCACTCTGGATTCTGATTCCAGCAATCCCGGTTCGATCCCGGGCACGACCTTTTCTCTTTTTCGTCTTCCTTTTTTTTTCTGGCTCTCACTCAAGCTGTATTCATAGCAGCCGGTTGTTCATCAATATGAGTTGATTTAAGAATTTCTTTTTCATAATTTCCACATCCGTTTCTCCGAGAAACACGATAATTTTACGGACAACTGCACGTGTAATAGTTTGAGCATTCCGAGTCATGATGACAGGTCTAGCTAGCATATTATGTCTCTACATTCGTTATACATCAATAGTCGAAACGCATGAATGGCATCAACAGCTATGATCCATGTACCTCCCTGAAAAGCAATCAACTGGAAAAATCCAAGCTGCGAGATCCACCGGACAACGGGGCCCGTGTCACAGACAGCTTGGTTAGGAGGCGCCAGCGCCAGCGCATGTCCCTTCCTCATGCGTGTGCATCAACGCACGGTGGAAGCAGACAGTAGCACTCTTCCGATGAATAGTCGTAAGGTATTCAGGATGGGGCGGAAAGAGAGGAGGGGTCGTCTAGCAGGGGACTACCGGGAACAGCGTCCAGAGCGACGGCGTGCAGCGCAGGCTTGTCCTCATCTTGTAGCAAGCCCCGCTCGCGGAAGTCCAGTCGCTCCTTGACCCATGCGGCCACTTCCTCATCCTCTGTCGTTGTAGGGGCCCCCTCCTTTGTCGAGCCGTTCGTCGCCGCAGAGGGATCCTCTTCGCCTTCTGCGGGAGGCTGCATCAATGACGACAGCCAGGGATGCCGAAGGAGCGTGTTATATGATGGGCGGTTGTTCGGGTTCTTGTCCAGGCATGCGCGGACAAAGGCGTGTGCTTCTTCAGAGTAGCCAGTTTCCGGGAGGGTCGGTGCATCTCCGTGAACGATGGCCTAGGGAGGGGTCAGCTTTCGTAAATAATGAAGCGACATAGCAGCAATGGTACTTACGTGCAGTTGGCTGAAGATGTTGTTGAAAGTCTCGGGCGGGTACGGGTACCGGCCAATAGCACACTCAATGATGGACAAACCCAAGCTCCAAACATCACTCTGTACACTGTATGTTCCGCCACCAGTCGATCCCGACTGCTGCATACCACCACCCGCAATGCGCTCGGGCGCCATGTAGCTTTGGCAGCCGATATTCGTCTTTGCAATACTTGCGACCAAATTTCCACTCACACCAAAATCGCAGATCTTGATCTGTCCGCGTGAGTTGACCAGGATGTTTGTAGGTTTGACATCCCGGTGGATGATGTTGTGATCGTCTTTGAGCGTCTTCAAGCCCATGACGGTGGAGAGGGCAACCTTGCGAAGGATGTTTTCGGGCATTCCGTCTTTATAAATTTTGTCGATCGAACCGCCATCCATATACTCGACACAGATGTAAACGGCTCCTTCCTGGAAGAAGGCACCGTAAAAGTCGATAATGAACGGTGAGAGACAGCGATGGAGAATCTCCAACTCCATGATAATCTGTGCAAACTTGTTTTCGTCCAACTCCAGGCGAATCTCCTTCATCGCCATGACAATCCCGGAAAGTTGGTCCTGCGACTTCGCCGCCGCATCCATGCCCTCGGCCTCAGTACGACTGACAATGCCTCGCAATCCCATACCAGGTTTCCGCATGTGAGGACGACTGTGGCGAACCTTGTAAACCGTTCCGTAGTTACCCTTGCCCAGCTCGTCTAGACGATCTACCTCGTCCAAAGAGATATTGAAACTATGACCCGACGAGAACTCGATGCCGCCACCGTGGAGGATCGCCTTGTTCTTGAAATTGAGGGTGCCCGCCTTCGTGTCGATGAACTCCGAGTATTTACTGAATGCTGTTTCGGGGGCACCCGATCCGTTGTCAGATGGCTGACCCGGGGAGGGCCCGTTGAGACCCGAGGCATCTGACAGCTTCAGCCCAGGTTTCATGCGCTTCGCGGCCAAACCGCCAGCAGGCTTTGGAGAATTAGGGACCGGAGAAGCTCCATGAGGCACATTAGGCGACGACGCCCAATTTTTGGTTCCCGGCCGAGCAGCGCCGAGAGGAAGACGACCCGCGAGCGGTCCTGCCAACGGGTTGATTGAGCCAGACTGGCCCGACACAGGAGATCCCACGGGAACCGATGGGGGGGACTTAGGCACCAGCCCGGTGGAATTCGCATGTGCCAGGGTCGGCGGAGCTCCCTGTCGGGATAGGGAAAAGGCCTTCATCTTCGCCAAAATATCCTGGTTCAACCCCCCGGGCTGTGCGCCGCTCATTGAGGGCTGTGGCCGAGGGGGAGTCCCGGCACCGCGCCGTGCCGCATTAATCTGACCCAGATGCGTCGAGGATGGGGTGATCTTGGGTTTATCGAGGGTTGGGCGCAGAGACGGCACCGAAGCGTACGATTGGGTTGTGCCCAGGGAGGGGGAGAGGTCATCATCGGTGGTATCGGATCGACCGTCGAGATCCGACATGGGCCTCGAGATGTCGGCAAGAGGTTCCCCTTCTGTGGCCATGGCTGAAAGCGAGTGCGAACGGGAGAATTGGCACTAGCAATTAGGGGGGAGGGGGTTGTGTCACGGTCCGAGAGTGTCGTCAAAACAGTCTCACGGACGCAGGGGAACGGGGGAGCATGAACGGAGGAGAGGTAGGTAGGTAGGTTCGGAGCGGTCGGAAAATTGAGGCGACCGGACCGGATGGGTTGGAAAGCGAGAGATGGTGTTAAAACCCGTTGCGAAGAGAATTTCGATGTAGGTGGAGCCAAACGTTTACCAAAGGCGGAGGTGGAGGAAAGCAGGTTTCGTTGACGCGGGGCTCTCAGTCAGGTCAATCCCGAGGAGGAACGGACAGATAACAGGGCACGGGGGGGGGGTGGGAAGGATGGCGCGATCCCTCGAGGAAGGATTGGTTGAATGAGACCCGGAAAGGGACCAGTGAGGGAGCGAAGCGGGATCAGTGGAAAAGAGCCGGAGCGAAAGTAGGAGATAGTGAGAGAGAGCGGGAGAGCGAGAGTGCGCGGAGGAGAAGCACGAGGAGGGGTGGTTGTAGTAGTAGTGGTGGTGGTGGTGGTCGCGGGAGGAGGAGTTGAAGGTAGTAGAGATGGTGGGGGGGAAGACGTAGTAGTGGTAGGCGGTGGTAATACGGAGTCGTCGCAGTAGAGGATGGAAATGGAAGAATGGATACGACCAGAGGGAGAGAACCAAACAACGAAGACCAGACCAACAGCGAGAGGGAGAACAGAGAAGATAAGTACGGAGTATCATTCTATGAGATAGTCATTTAGCCATTAATCACCCAAATAATGCCCCAAAACTGGATTGCCTCCCTGCGCGCGCCGCACGACTTGAGAAACCGGCCAACCCGATCGCCTCAGGCTGCTCAGGCTCTCCAGCCCGACCGCCAATCAATCACACGTGCCCCGGCCGCACCTCAGGCACAAAGTCAATGTCAAGATCCCACTCTAATCTCGCAGCTTCCCTCCTCCCAGGGATGTCCCCAGCTCGTCCGGCTCGTCCGTTCGTCTGCGTCGCCGCGATCGTCTGCCTCACGCTCTCCTTTCAGCAGGACTTGGGAAATTGGCTCACGCAAGCATCCGTGGTTGTCGACCGGCCGGCCGTGGCGACCAGCTCCATTTCTGCCTGACACTCGCCACCTCTCCGGCCGATGGGGGATGGATCACCGATGGAGTTGCTCTCCTGGGTCGGCTTAGTTTAGGGACCTACGCAGGATATCATCGGACTTGGAGGAGATGAAGGCTGAAAGGGCACACAGACAGCCCTGGTGTTATCGACGCATGTTCCATCCCCGACCCCCGACCGGGGATTAGGCCAGGATCGGGATGTTGTTGGTCATATCATGACCCTGTAGCGCCTCGTTCACACCGTGTAACAGGGCTCCCAATGTCTCCCCTTCATCCCAACTACACAGGAAATCATAGGGGATGTTGGCCCTCTACCGAACCTTGAACATGTCCGACTATTGCTTCATCACAGTCGGGTCGGACCACAGCCAATGGGGGCCCCTCCCGGGCCCATCAGGCCGTTGAAACTTGAATGGTCGAATGGTAGACATCATCAGTGGGTGTCAAACGCCCTATCGGAAGGCAGATCCCATCCTCGCGGCGGACCGGATGGGCCTGTATTTAGTCAGAGACTGTCCCAGCTCCCAAGAAATAATTATGGCAATTATTCCGCACGACATAGATAGCCACAAGGTGATCTGATCAGTCAACCATATTCCATGCTCTTTCGTTCGCGTTTGACTTTTCGATGCATTTCCCCAGTCTTGGCGGGCCACCAGTAAGGCTCAGTCAGTCTCATTTTCCCATTCTCATTGTTGGGCGTGCATCCGGTTCTGCCCCTGCGAAACCCGACAGAGATTGTGATGAATCACCCCCCCCCCCCAAAAGACATACCATCCTTGCTTCTATTCCACAACCCAATAAGAGGGCGATGGTTCACGCCAAGGATGCTATTGTCCAACCCTGGGAGAACAAGGGCAAGGAAGCCTAGCTACTAATGGTTCAGACCCAGGATCTTACCTCCGCTCTCACCCTCCGTTCTTCGCGAGTGTTCCACGATATCAAAAGTACCAAGTCTTCCCCAGACTCTATTAATAACCGGGACTACTGTAGAGTTTAAGCAAGATAGGTCGTTGTTTGGACCTCCAGCCTGAGGCCGGCGCAGCTAGCGGTGTCGATCCTCGGCACGGCGGGCAGTGGAGGTTGCGCAATGCCGCATCGCGAAGAGTCATCCCATCCTCACACCACCCCTCCATCCCATTGATTAAGCTCCGGGATCTGGAGAAGTGGCAAGGTTTCGTGGGGACCGAACGGCTGTTTCAATATTTCCAGTGGCTGTGGCCAGGGATAAGGTTCGCATGGGAACGGAAGTCGGGGATACAGGACGACAAAGCCGAGTGATATCAGCCTGCATTATCATTGGCCGTCGATCATGACGTTGGTTTCATCATCATGATTGTTGCTGAGACCCGGCGCATCGAATGGTCGTCGGCGGGTGCTTAGTTGAATCACATATACCCATTACTTGTGTGTGATCCATCCAGTCACCGCCATTCGTCTTCCACGCTCTGTTCTCCCCCGTACAACAGCCCAGCTCGGATAGTGTCTCTATCTATCTCGAGGCGTCGCCGGTGTTTTCAGCCCTCTCGCGACTCATCGCAGAGAACCTGCGGGGGAATCCGTGACACGTTCGATTCTGACCCCCTTGCTGGGAACTGTCTCGCCTCAGCTTTGAATGTGTGCTCATTGTTGTCTATTGATTATCGCCAAGAGGACGCCATGACTTCACCGCCGAAGGGGTTTGAGGCTGGCGATTTTCGTGTCGCGTTGCCAAGCATTGCGGTATTGGGGGGGGGTTAATCTGAAGAGAATGGGTCCCGATGGCTTCATGAGGGACGGGGTTGCGTAGATGAGGAGACTGGGATGGGAACTGAGATGGAAAGTGGCACCTAGCACAAACCGGTGTTCTGACATCTAGCATAGCATATGAGTATCGTAGCTATCCCTGTGATTTGGTCAGGGAGTTCAGGGAGTTCAGGGAGCTGGAAGTGTAGACGACTGTTGCCAGCCTAAGGCTTGGCGGGTCTGGGCGCAGTTTGGCCGAGCGGGCGGGCAGCCTATCGGAGGCGCGTGTTGGGCGTCTCGCCGTCCGAAACGGGCGCTGAAGAGCATCCGGCTTCATCCAGCACGCCTCCCTGTCTTGAAGGAACCGGATAGACTGCTCTCTATTACTCGGGCTTAAAACCAGCTGGCTCCTCATCGCCTTCAGGTTATCCGCTTCTCTATCTCCTACAAATAACTACCTCGCACTAACCAGAGGTACTTCCCAGTAGTTTCTGCGCCAGAGTCCAATCGTGCCGTCCGTCTGCCCCCGGCAGCGTCAACTCTAAATTCTATTCGCCTACCGCCTGCCTCGTTATCTATCGGCGTCATCATCATTGTCGGAATCGCCCATCGCCGCATCACCTCCTTCTCCGCTTCCGCCTCCTCATCCACCCACCTTACCCATCCATTCATCCCTCCATCTACGTTCAGGGTCGCGTCATCTCCTATCGTCTTCCCCGTCAATCCCTCCAAAGCCACCATTTGATCATCATACCTCTGCCACGCTGGCTGCCTCCGACTACCCTCCTGTCGATGGCCATTTTTACTTCCCCTAGGTCCCTCCAGAATGTCTACTCGCCGCAATACGTGACCCAGTCCCAAATGGGCGACGTCTTCCAGGATGCCGGTGCGCATTCAAGCCACCCCTCCTTCCTCCATCTGGTGCTGCTGGTCTTCGAGGCCGTCCTCGAGGTGATCTGCGTCAGTTTTCCAGGCTACATCGCCGCCAAACAGGGCATGTTCGATGCCGAGGCCCAGAAGCTAGTCGCCAACCTCAATGTCATGCTGTTTACCCCGTGTCTGAGTAGGTCCAATTAATCTTGTCTCCGCCCCTTCCGGGCCGCACTGACTGGTGTTAGTCTTCACGAAGCTCGGATCACAGCTCACGGCGGAGAAGCTCACGGATCTGGCCATCATCCCGGCCATCTTCGTGATCCAGACTCTCGTCTCCTATTCGTGTGCGTTTGTGGTATCGCGATGCCTGCGACTCAAGAAACGCCCATCAAACTTTGTTGCGGCCATGGCGGTAAGTGATTCAATGGGTTCTTCTTCTTTCTTAGCCTTCAATTTGGCTGATGTCTGGCGGCCTCGTCTCTAGGTCTTCGGGAATTCCAACTCGCTCCCCATCTCCCTCGTCATGTCACTTTCGCAGACACTTAAAGGCCTCCACTGGAGCCGCGTCCCGAATGATAACGACGACGAAGTGGCTGCACGCGGCATTCTCTACCTGCTCATCTTCCAGCAGCTGGGACAGCTTGTGCGCTGGAGTTGGGGATACCACGTGCTTCTGGCTCCCCGGGAACGGTTCCTGGAAGAGGGAGCAGGTGAAGAGGATGATAATACCCGCATTGGAGAGGGTCAGGAGCGATACCTGGATAACCCGGAGCAAACCGATCCAGACGAGCCATTGGTGCGGACTAGGAACTCCGAAGAACTGTCGTCGTCTTCTGATGACGAGACTGGCGACTCAGATCGGTTCACTTCGGGTCAAGAAACCCCTGTGACGGCACGCGACTATTCCTATGCGAAGCTATCGCCCCGTAGTGGAGGTGAAGGCGATCCCAATGATCCGGCGCTGCTTGGTTCGCCCCGCGGACCGTTCATTCCCCGACAGAGCTCCACTGGCGACATGCTGTGCTTCCCGAACGTCGAACAGACAGCCCATGCCAGCCACGGGAAGGGCTTCGTCGGGCGAATCAAGGGTTCCGCCTATCGGCTCCGTAGTCGCGTCGCGAGCGGATGGGAGAAGGCAACGGGAGCAGTATTCCGGTGCTTGCCCACCGGCATCCAGAAGGTACTGAAGGTCTGCTCGAGAGGGCTCACGAAACTCGTCTATGGGGTGTGGGAGTTCATGAACCCGCCTCTGTGGGCTATGCTGGTCTCGATTGTGGTCGCATCGGTGCCCGCGCTGCAAAGCCTGTTCTTCGACGAAGGAACCTTCGTGCGCAATTCCGTGACCCGCGCCATCAGCCAAAACGGCCAGGTCGCGGTCCCGTTGATTCTGGTCGTCTTGGGGGCGAACCTGGAGCGGAACACCCTCCCCAAGGAAGCGCTCGAAGACACGGATCATCCCAGCGAGGAAAAGAAGCTGATCATCGCGTCGCTGGTGGCGCGCATGGTTCTCCCCACCATGATCATGGCGCCCATCCTCGCCCTGCTGGCCAAGTACGTGCCTGTCAGCATCCTGGACGACCCGATCTTCATCATCGTCTGCTTCCTGCTCACGGGCGCCCCGTCGGCCCTCCAGCTGGCGCAGATCTGTCAGATCAACAACGTCTACGTCAGCGCCATGTCGAAGCTCTTATTCCAGAGCTATGTCGTCTGGTAAGTACTTTTTTTCCTTCTGGCTGCATCTCAAAGGCAATCGCTAATTGCGCATAGGATCCTCCCCTCAACCCTCATTCTCGTTATGTGTGCATTGGAGGTCGTAGAATGGGCCTCCGCCTCCTAAAATCGGGTTGGTTCTTCTTCGCATTCGGTTCATCCTGCATAGGTGGTATATTGTTAATTGGTGCCTGGCGTTGCATGGTTTTCTTCTCTCTCTCTCTCTCTCTCTCTCTCTCTCTCTGTGTGTGTGTGTGTGTGTCCCTTACCTTCGTTCTCCTTCCCTCCTCTTCTGTCTGTAGTATTATTGGCAATGAATGGTCTTGACGCGCATGGATGGTACGATACCAAGATTGGAACAGACTAAACGGGGGTTTATGTCTGGGATGTGTTAGCTAGCAATCGATGATTCCAAACCCTGCTCTCATTTTGCATTCAGTAGACATCGTATAGGGTGTTGTGCAGCACATGTTGGATGGTGATTTGGGCCAGTCACTTACCAAGTCCTCTGCTCACCACCACCCTTCTTGGGTACAGCAAACCCGAACATCAGCATTCCCCCTCCCCCTTCCCACCCCCCTCTTTACCTATTTCTTAAAACTCATATCATCGTCATCACTTCAAATCTCAACCCCTGGAGAATCATTCACAACCACCCACCACCAGTCACAGACACAGACACAGTCACAGATAGACAGACACAACCCCAACCCACAATCCAGCACCGGGGTACATCAGATACAAAAAAATAAAATAAAATAAAAGACCAATAGGATCCTGTATCTGGTGGGGTTGGGTTCTGTACGGAGTATATAAGTAGGTGGAGTGTTGAAAAGTATGGAGGAGCTCGGGTGTTAGATTGGTTATATTGGTTATATTGGTCCGGGGGGGTGGGTGGATGGGTGAGTGGGTGGATGGGCGGATGGGCGGATGGGCGCGTGAGCGGGTGCATGCATGCATGGATACTACCTTACCTCAGGCTACTACTCTGTACTGGATATGGATATGGATATGGATATACGGAGTATATGTGGCTGATATAGTGGACGTATGTTTGATAACTATGGGGATGGGGATTCGGGGTTGGCAGGTGGGGGGGTTGATTGGTTGGTTGTGTTTGTTACTTATACATAGTATCCTTTGTATATCTTTTCTTTTCCCTTTTTCTTTACTAGAGTTTGATTTGACTTGGGGCTGAGGGTATTGGCGGGTGATGGTAATGGTGATGGTGGTGTGTATGTATAACTACTAACTATATATATACAGATGCATAAGGTGGTTGGTTACTTGGGTTAGGTTAGTCGGGATGTTTGGTCGTGTGCGTTGTACTACGTTGTACGTTGTACGTCATGTGGCCTGTAGGTAATAATGACATATTACTACGTACCACGGTCGGAGACCACACCAACAAGGATAATAAAAAACAAGAAGAAATAGACAACAAAAACCAACCCATATTATACCCAAAAACCAAAAAGGTCGTGCCCGGGATCGAACCGGGATTGCTGGAATCAGAATCCAGAGTGATGACCATTACACTACACAACCAATTGTTGTAAATCAGGCTACAGACTTGTATTATCAGTCAAGCAGTAGTTTGGACATTAAAACTCGTGCGATGCGGAGGGCTTATGTTCAATCTATATCTATATCTATATACAGAGGGGAAATAGACAAAAGAATAAGTTCATTTTACGTGGACAAGCATTGCCATTCCGCTGGCTGAGTGCCACAGGATATGGCAGTGGAATAGCCACACACCCGGGTTGTCGGCGCGGAAGCGCAGTACGGCGTATCCGCGTCGGGGGATGTGCACTGTGTCTCTGAGCTGGGCGCGGGTGAGGTCGTAGGGGGTGTTTGGTATATTTGTGTCTGTGTCTGTGTCTGGCTCTGTTGAGCTTGAAGCGGTGCTGGTGCGAGGTGGAGGTAGGCCGGGCGGATAAGCGTCTGTGAAGGGGTTGTAGGCGCCCCAGCCAATGGGGGGCTGGTAGACGTTTAGGATGTAGAAGTGGTGGCCGTGCTTTTTATTGTTAGTATTGTCAAATACAGGTGTGGGGGCGGAGGGGGCGTACAAGGTGGAATGGATGGCCATTGTCATCTAGGTTGTTCACGACTAGGTCAACCCATGTAGCGTTGTCGGGGCCTGGTGGCGAGATGCTTGGGCCCGTGGACATCACGAGCTGGTTCTCGTCCCATTGTTCCTGGGGGAGCTGGATGAGTGGGTTGCCGGTCTGTGGCTTCCATGACGTCCGGTTGAAGAATCCATAAGGTATGTTGTGGTTCCGGGAGAGCTTTTCGATTTTGGTGTATACCACGTGGGTTTGTTCGGCTTTGTCGGGGAGGGCGGAGAGGAGGGATGGGGCGGTGGCGACTTCGGAGAGGGATATCGAGGTGTATGGTGAAGATGATGAATAGGAATGGTCCAGGGGGTTGGAGTTGGGGTTGGACGAGATAGGGAAGGTTTGAACGGATGTTAGAACTGGGTTAGGGTATCTGAAACACCTGATTATCTGATTAGCTATCGCATTGTGCATGTGAAGGGTGTGACGTACTCTTTGTCGAGGTGTATTGTCATTGAGTCTGCCTGTTCCCGGTTGCTTGGACGAAGGAGTATGTCCATGCGCTGGCCTGGGTAGAGTATACCGGCGGAATTGGAATCTTGTGGCACCACGTCAACACTGTCTACCTGGACAAGCTTAAAATCTCGATCCTGGAATTCCAATGTGAATCCTGCCAGAGAGCTGCTCCGTGTTAGCTTTGTTTGATGAGGCGAGCTTATGACGTACCCTGTGTTGACTATGCGTATTCTGGATGTACTGTGCTGGGTATCCAAAAACGACAAATCCATCTTCTGACCAGTGCAGTCTACAGGCCGTGCCGGAGCCGCCATGGAGCAATCGAATTGGCCCCTTCCATTGACCAGCAATGAATCGGGAACCGGCTGTTGAAGTTAGTGGTTGCTCATGTCAATGCTGCGTAAAACCCACCTCGTTCCCAAATGACCCAGCACGCATGTACCAAGCATAGATCTGATCTGCTGGACGGTGATACCAGTCCCCGACCAGGAGGAGGAGATCTTTAGTGTAGCCATCCTGCTTGTAATCATCCGCACGAGCCATAAGCCCCCGAACCGTGGATTTAGGTGCAGGCGCATGCACGATGAGCCCCCCGTATAGTCCATCTGCCCTGGAAAGACCGGCATGAGCATGGTACCAGAAGGTCCCGCTCTGGTCCATGGGGATGGTAAAATTGTAGGTGAATGTAGTCCCTGGAAGAATGGGTTGCTGTGTGACTCCTACCGCACCATCCATTCCATCTAAGGTTTGAAGTTAGACTTGAATTGGAAGGATAAGAGCTGTAAAAATACTATAGCCTACTTTCGGTATGCAGACCGTGCCAGTGCAAGGAGATAGAGTCATCCGGCACGGAGTTGATGACATTGATTATGAGACGGTCACCGGAGCGTGCTTCGACTGTAGGGCCAGGGAAAAGGTCTGTTTGAAGGATACAATCAGCCCGTGTCAGATATAATGAGTAATGAGACTCACTGTTGATGTGAAAGACCCGTTTCAACACTCCATCTGGGCGTATATTGTGGGCAGTCACAACCCAGTCGAGATGTTGTGTCACCGGTTCGCGATATACATGATTCTCAGGGTGGAGCTCGATTGACGGACGTGATGTGTCTGGGTCATGATTTGATAGGATTGTACTCTCAGGGTGGATTGCAGATGGAACTAAAGAGTGCAGAGGGGTTGGTGCTGATAGTTGCTGGAGGAATACCAGCAAAATCAAACCGCATATTGTAGCCGGGTATAATATCACTCCCCACGACCAGTGCTGCACTCGCATCGTCGATGACCCTTCATCCTCTGATTGTACACTGGAATATCCCTTCATTGTGATGAGCTTCCTCTGCAACTGGGGTTTCTGTCCCTCGAACGTTGAGCATCCGATGGATTGTTATTGTAGGTCCACGAGGGCCCGTGAACCGATCCAGGAAGGCGAGTTGTTTGTGATTGGCGCGGGTAAAAGAAAGACGATCGATGTATAGAGGCGAGATCAGGGACCGCCACTGGCCTGTGTTTCGGACCTGGAGGCAACCGTGGTTCGGGGCGGAGACTAACTTTGCAGTGGAGGCTTCGCGCTGTCTGCTCGGACGATAGAAGTCAACAAGGGCTCAAAGTTGGTACCTGTTGCATCAGGTCCAGGCACGTCAAGGTTTCAATAGGCCAACCGTTGGCAACAGCCGAGAGAAGTGTGGCCATTGTGGAGATGCCGCTCGCATCCACCATGCAGACCGCCACCGATCACTGTCCCTCGATCACAAAGGGGAAAACTTAGTTGGGAGAAGGGCCAGAGCCTCCGAAAGACAACCTTGCATTGTCGCACAGTGTTGAGTGTTGTGTGTCTTGGAGAAGATTCGACTCGGGCGGTTTCCGCGTCGATTTGCCCGCCTGCCGCACGTGTCGTCTTCGGCCGCCCGCCGAAGACTTTCACTTCTCTTCCCTTCCTTTCCCCCCTCCAGGTGTCATACGTCTCTCGAAGACCCGTTCTGGGTTCCAGGTGGGTCACCTTCTTCAGTCCCTGAGCGTGGACGATCCTGCCCCTGGCACTACCATGTATTATGCCTCTTAGTGCCCGTCGACTCTGTTCCACAATGTCCAGCACGCTCCACGTTACACCCACAACATGGGCAGTTGGTCCCTTGATCTAGGCCTCAAAAGGCTGCGTCGGCAAGCATACGATGCCGATTGTCAAGCAATGTGGGACCAAGATTGCCCCAGCCGCCCTTTCCACCGAGATGTCATTCTTATATAAGGCCTCCCGGGGCACCCTGGTCTTTACTCCTCGATCACATTCTCGAGAAGTGCATTCTCACCATGCTTCTACTGGGTACTACACTAGCACTACTCCTTGGGAGTAGACCGGTTTCCGCTGGCTCGCTGAAAGACATCAAGCATGTTGTGATCTTCATGCAAGAGAATCGGTCATGGAACAGTGTAAGCATATCTGTCAGTGATTTCAGGACAAGAGACTAACAATCTGCAGTATTTCGGCACCATGGCGGGTGTACGAGGATTCAACGACCCAAATGTCCAGGTCAACTCCGATGGACTACCTGTTTGGTACCAGTCAGTACTTCCAGGACACCGCGCAGTTCACGCACTGACAAAAACAGACAAGTCGACCCTGATATGTCTACCGACACGAAGACTCTGCTCCCATGGTATCTTGGCTACCAAGGGGGAAACTCGACTGATGCCATCCAGTGCATGGCGGCTGGAGACAATGGCTACACGGACAGCCATGCAGCACTCAACGATGGATTAAATAATCACTGGGCGCGCAACAACACGCCATGGAGTTGGGGATATCTGAAGAGAGACGATATTCCGATTCAGTACGCCATTGCAGAGGGCTGGACGGCGGGTGACATGTACCAGGTGGGTAGTTAGTATTACACAAACAAGGAATCTGTCTAACTCGCTGCAAGGAATCACAAGTCACCTCGACGAACCCAAATCGGGTCACTCTGGTGAGCGGCTCGGTCAATGTGCCAGGTGGCCCCCAGAGCCCGGACCAGGGAGGGGTCTACATTGACAATAACGTAACCCCAGGGTGCGACAGCTACAACATCAATTGCTACCCACTCAAATGGAAGACCATCTTCGAAGTCTACGAAGATGCGGGTGTTTCGTGGCAGGTGTACCAGGACAGAGACAACTTCGACGACAACCCTCTGGCGCGGTTCGAGCAGTTCCAAAACGCTTCATCTTCTTCTCCACTGGCGCAAAAGGGCTTGTCATATCTGGGACTGGAGGGCTTCTATGAAGCGGCTGCTAATGGGACCCTTCCGGAGATCAGCTTCATTGTCGGCCCTGCAGAGCTGTCTGAGCATCCGCCGTACATGCCCAAAGATGGAGGCTGGCTGCAAAAGCAGGTTGTGGAATCGGTGATCAACAGTCCTGAATACTCGTCCACACTGCTCATGATCAGCTACGATGGTAAGATTTCCTCCGATATTCCTTTCCTTTGCGCATCTAACGATCTCCCAGAGTCTGGTGGTTATGGAGATCACGTGGTTCCTTACCATTCGCCTAAAGATACCCCTGGAGAATGGATGGAAGACCCGTATGGAATGTTCGGAAAGGTCTTTGTCGGACCAGGTGAGACTGCCTTCCTATCTTCTGGTCGAATCTGGAGCTGACTGTATAATCTAGGTGTCCGCGTTCCATTCTACATGGTTTCGCCATGGACTCGCGGCAACCGGGTGTTCACCGAGCGAGCGGACCACAATTCGCAGATCCTGTTCCTTGAACAATGGCTAGAAGCCAGGGGTTACGATAATGTGCAAACCCCGGAGATGGTCCACTGGCGTCGAGAGCACATGTCCAACCTGGTGAACGCATTGGACCTGGATAATGTACGCCACCCTTGACATGATTATCTCGTGCTGAACTAATTGTTGTACCATAGCCCGACTACAGTCTCCCCAAGCTTCCAGACGCAGAGAAACCCGGAATGTCCGATGGTTCTTACGTGGGTACTTCCAACTGCGAAGCTACATACACCGAGCCACGCCCCACTGTGCCGTATGGGAACCAGAACGTCTCTGATTCCTTATGGTTTGAAGACGGCTACAAAGAGTGCGTGGGATACCTGACCGAGGGCCGGTATCTCGTCTTCGAGAAGTCTGGATACGCTCTCACCAACGGAGGAAATGACACCGGGCTGAGCAGCAGCTCAGCCAACGAAGACCACAGCGACAAGAGCCAGCGATGGGTTGTGCATTATTCCAATGGCGAGGAGAGCCAGATATTCAAGATCTCCAGTGCTCTGGATGGCCAGTGGCTCGGAACAGACGGAACCCTGCTGCCGGCCAGCGACCGCGATGATGCCGCAGAGGTGAAGGTTACCTTCCGTGGAAACGGCAAGGGGTATGATTTGCAGTATGTCAACTCAACTGTCATTGAGTTGGATGGCGACGGGACGTTGAGCACGAATGCTACCAATGGCTCCGGACCTGGGTACAAGGTCTGGAGTGTAACTTATCACTAGGAAGACTGATAAGTTTTAGATGGAAGTGTTGAAACCAGTCATGGTTTTTTTTTAGAGTTATATAGAGCCACATTTGTCAAACTAGCAGAACTCAGCCATATCATCAAGAACGACTTATAGTACCTCAAATCTCAGCGAATGTCGATTAAAGCGATAATCTCCCGGAGTAGTCATAAAACAATACCGCTAGACATGACATGCACACTTCCCTCTTTTCTCTTACTGTGTAGTTCTTGCCGATCAATCGATCAATCGATCGATCGATCGACCGATTCATGCCTTAGTTATCACAGCTCTTTCCGATCGCCGCCGGCCAACACGGCCATTCCGAATGCTTCCAAGTCGGAGACTTTCATTGGCCCCAAGTACTCCGTGGAGCACTAACCTACATAGTTACATAGTGATTGATAGCTTAGACGGAGATCATCTGACTGACGTATCGCCGTTATCATAGGGGAAGTAAGTCGAGGGAGGGGAGGGGAGGCTTTCGAGTCATCATCTCCCATCCCACTCCTTCCGCACACCATCTCAATGAACAACTCCAAGTATCTATCCTATCTACCCATCGCGACCTTTTTCCCGAGTGCGGCATCTAGAGTGGGATCCCCGTGCGACAAGCGTCAGCACAGCCAATGGCCACAGTCCCTGATCTGGATGTATTAGATTATCCGAATTTCAAAAAAAAAGCGCACGAAGATAGTATTAACACTAGAATCCGGTTTCTTATATAACAGACCAGGCTCTGGCGTGTGCTTCAACTCTGTCTAGTGGATTGAGTGGGGTATTACACCCTATACAGGCCAAGAGAGCCGGGATAGAGAAGGCCGGCGTTGTTGCCTTTGTATATAGCCATGCCATGCCATGCCATGCCATGCCATAGCCCAGCCATAGCCTAACTAGTCATGCGTATGCGTCACATATCCATCCACTACGTAACACTCAGATATCTACCGCCATCTACCTCCTCAACAACTTCCTCTGCGTCTCCTCCCTCGCCTTCCCGACCCACTCCTCAAACGCCCCCTCCCCCTCCCTATCCTTCCCCCCCACCACCCCCTTTAACACCTCGCCAATGAAGCCTACAAAATTCGACCGGCGGAGGGTATTCTCCCACGCCCACCCCCTCCTCTTCCTCTCCTCCCTCTCCAACGCCTCCGCATCACCAATCTCCCTCGCCGCGACCCTCAGATCCCTCACCACGGCCATCAGATTGAACCGCGTCTCGCCCTCGGGGTACCGCGCAATCCGCTCCCTCAACACCCCAATCACTTTCTCGGGGAACTCGTCCCCCGTGCACCCGCCATGCGAGATGGGGTGCGGCTGCAGCCCGTCCAGCTCGTACAGCGTGCCGTTGACCGGCGTGTACGCGATGAAGTGGTAGACGTCGCCGCCTTCGTCGTCTTGGTTCTGGCGGGCGGTTTCGTCGACGAAGGGCGATGAGCGCGCGAAGGCGTTGTGGGCGGTGCGGATTGGTTCCGAGTTTGAGAGCGCTTCGCCGAGGAGGTCTGGGGGGAAGCCGGTGGTGAAGTCTTTGAATGTGGTGAGGGAGGGGCCGAGGGAGATTGGGGGGTGGTGGGGAGGTGGGGGAGGTGGTGCTGTGGTTGAGGATTATGGAGAGGATGGCTTGTGTGCCGCAGGCGTTTTGGATCGTTTGGTTCGCGAAGAAGAGGCTTGAGGGCGGGGAGGTGTCGTAGGTTCCGCTGGGGGGTTGGGTGGGTTGGGAGGGCGTGGTCGGGTTGGAAGGAGTGGTGTCGTGGATCCATTTGAAGAGGAAGATTACGCCGTAGACTGGGCTGGGGGGGGCTGTTAGTAGTTGGTTGTGGTGGTGGGGGAGGTTGTGGTAGAAGTGGTGTATGGAGAAGGGAGAGGAAGAGGGAGGGGGAGGGGATGGATACCTCAGTGACCGGATCGTATCAGCATCAAGAGAAATGAGTTCTTCGAATTGGACATCCTTGACCCCCAGGTTCTCGATCAGGGAGGTGAATACGCCCTAGTGGTGGTGATGTTAGCTTTGGTGAGCTGGATAGAGTGTCATGTATGATGATGTACCTCGTCGGACTCGATCGTGCTCCAGCCTCCGCCGTCGGCCATGGTGTCTGTGTCTGGGATCTAGGCTATGTGATATGAGCGCTAGAAGAGAGCGCGCCTGTTGAAGCGAGAGTCAAAAGAGAGAGATTGACGGGATAGAAGGGTAGAGGTAGATAGATGGCTGTTGCTGGCAGGATGTGATGATGTGATTTGATTGATGGTGGAGACGCGCATCGGAGCTGTGTTTGCTCGGGATGCAAACAGGACATACGTGCAAACATTATGTCATTCATGCCTGATATATTAGGTACAAGTTTGCGTGCCTGAGATGTCGGGTGTTCATATGCATGTACAATTCTCTGCCTGAGGTATCAGGTGTCTGTATAGTACCTACCGCTGATTCTGGTTTCTTCACTCAGATGTTAGTTCTGGAAAGGGTTAGCTTGTGAATCAAAGCTGTATCTTTAGCAAAGAGAGAGATGCTTTTTTTTCTCTTCTGGTGTATCACTTGTCTTTGTGGGGTTTGACATAAAAGTTCTATCTCACTGCGCTTGCTACGAGGTTGTCTTGTTTCTACATGCGGAAGAAGAATTCAAAAATAGCAGATATTCTATCTCAAAAAATGGAAAGAAAGAAAGCAAGGAAGTGCACAAGTGACAGGCAGACTCACCTGTCTTTTCAAGTCCACAAGTCCACACACATACATACATACATACATACAATCAATTACATTTCGAATCATCCGACCACCATAACAACACACCAACAGAACCACCAAACACAGAAACAAAAAGGAATCAGCCCTCAACCCAGCACCACCTCCTAAAACCAGAGCCAAAGATATATATATATATATATATATATATAAAGAATTACTCAATCGTGCCATCCCCCTCACACTTCGGCAACGGATACGTATCGCCCAAACAGGTAGTCACCACGCCCTTGACCCACGCCAAGCTTCCCCCAGAGTACGAGAACGTGGCATCATCAAACGAATCGGCCTGATAGTACGAGAACGTGCCACTTCCCGGCTCGCCCGTAAAGACATAGCCCCTCTTGCGATGCGTCAGCGGGTTGCTGACGATCGCCCCCCACCTGTTCTCGGGGATCGTCATGGTGACCGTGCCGGTCAGCGTGCTGGTGGTGGTGTCCTGGTAGCTGGTGCTGGTGGACACGGACAGGAAGTCCTTGACCAGGGTGAAGTCGGCGCTGGTGCCGGTCGTCACGCTGTTGGCGATCATCTGGCCGGCCGCGATGGCGACGGTGGCGGCGGCTTCGTTGGCGTGCACGACCGTCGACATGCTGACGTCCCAGCCGAGGAAGTCGAGGTCGGAGAGCGGCACGATGAGGGTTGTGCTGGAGCCGCGTTTGGCGTGGGTGGTGTTGTTGTTCCTGGAGGGGGGGGAGTCGGTCTTGATGACCCGTGGGAGGGCGCTGGTTGCGTTGGCTGGGAGGAAGTTGAGCCCGTGCAGGTGAGAGGCGAGATCGGCTTTTTTGACGGTCGTCGAGGTGCCGTTTTTCAGGAAGATGACGGCCTCGTCCGGACCGCAGAGGGAGGGATTGGCTGTCGCGAGGGACAGGGTGGCGGACAGGAGGGGGAGGAGTTGGGTTATCTTCATGGTGGTGGTTGGGGTTGAGCAGAATGACTGGGGATGAAGGTGGGCGGCTTGGGGGTGTTTGTGGAGGTCATTTCGAGCAAAGAGTCGCGATACTTATATATGCGCGCGCGTTGGATGCTCCTCGACGTATACCACTGCCAACCCGTCGTCAAAACTGTGGTTCTGGTTCTGGTTTGGTTTGTTTGCGATGACAATCCTCCTCTTGGCTCGGGATGCAGAACCAATGTGACTGAATCCATCGCGAGAGAGAGAGGGAGAGAGAGAGAGACAGAGAAAGAGCGAGGCGTCCGGATGATCACCACGAGGCAATTCCGCCGAGAAATGGCCGAAACAACGAAGGATGGACGAGGGATCGGATGCGAGAATCGTCAGGATGGATCGGCCGGATTGAGTATACCACACGAACCGGAGCCCTAATCGAAGCCCCCCGGATCGCGCCGTTGTCCAGTCAGGCCGCCACGCGGGCCCACTTAGCGAACCTAAATAGATGAGGTTGTTTCCCCCCATCGCAATCGGCTCAGGGGTCTCGGGATTGTTCCCCCGAGCGGCCGCTGAAGGATCCACCTTGGGGGTTCAGCTTGAGACATGCAAGTGCGTCGATCCGTGGTGGGATGTGAGACTTGGGCTATCAGCTCATCCCGACGACGACCCTGGATTTCCCGTTATCTGTCAGGCCGCCTGCGTGGACATTGGGATCTTCGGCCTCATCGGTCAGGTGCACCTTGGCGATAGATTCATCGTGAAGATATCTGGTGTGTCCAGTCGTTGTGAAACCGTCTGCGGAGGATTGTCGGGCATTTGGCCATGGCAAAGGATTGTTGAACTTAAACGTCGAGATGATCACAAGGGACCGTTGAGATGGAGGAACAGCACGGAAGATGATATATTGGGGGAATCCCAATGCATCAGTTGCGGTATCAGACAATCATCACCTTCGATCCGTCGTCCATCTTTGATTCTCAGTCATCTCCTCATAAACTGCATCCCCAAGACAAAATGAAGCAATTCATCTCCATGATCGTGGCTACCCTAGCTACCGGGTACGAACTCCGCTCACAGCCTCCCAGACCCCAACGTTAACATCATGAAGAGCTCTAGCCGATCTGCATTATACCGGACTCTGCTACGACTCCCCCGGCCAGGACGTGGTAAGTCCGATATCCCTCTTACCCGCTCGAGCTTCTCTAAACTCGACACAGAAAGTCTTCAACCAAGCCGCAACCCAGACGGCCTGCACATACTACAAGAACCGCAACACGGGCAGCAAGCAATGGGACCAATGCCCGGACTGCACCCTGCTGAACGACCAAAGCATTCTGTACTACTGCCAGTCTGCGGGCCAGCACATTGGGGGAGACGAATTGTCGTATTATTGTGGCCTGGCTGGAGCGGATGGCAGTTTGGCCTGGTGAGGGTTGTACACACATACATACAATTTAGACTGTCTGGGAGTGGGTCAGACATCATTACATAGGTAGCATAGCGGCTGTGGAGAGCCGCGATATACATATATACATACATACAACTATTTAGCTTTCCAACCAACAAACCATCGTCAATCTAGAGTTTAACCTGAATCGACACATTACCACATACCATCCACAACAGTCAACGCCATGAGTCACCCCATCCCCCCAAGCTATCTCCAAGCAGACAGACAGACAGACAAGCAAACAGCCAGCCGGCCAGATCGGCAAGTCTCCATCCCACCCAAGAAAGGCATATAACCATCATACCCAAACCAGCCTAGACACAAATCCTTCAGACCCGGCATCCACCCCGTCGAGACTCCAGACTCCTCCAGAACGGCCGAACGCACAACCACCGAAGTTCTCCCACAATAGATTAATTCCACCAAATTAGATTCGCAGGCCGAAATCTGCCGTAGCTCGTGCAGATCAGCCACCAAACTAGGTTTTCCGAGTCCACGCGACTGCGCATGCATGGACTTTTAGCCTATTACCTTAACCATATTTATCTAGTTTCGGAGGGCTTTTTGGGCACCAATTCAGCTGGATATCTATCTGGCTAGTCTACTTAGTACCTTTTTTTTTTCATCTACCTAGTTGACAGTTAATGAAACCAATGTAGGGGGTGATACACCTCCCCCAGCTAGACCATTAGACTAATAATTTAGTCTACTCACTCCGGCCGAACCAAACATTATCCTTTTTGTTTTGTTTTATTTACCCTACCTCCCCTCCCTCACATTTCCCTCTTTCTCTTGTGAGAGGAAATGTTGTTCACATCATCAATGCGATGATTAAAACCTCCCCCGCCGCCCGACCACGACCACGACCATGTCCAATGATACGACAACGACAACGACGACAGGCGAAATCGCGCCGCCGGCAGGCGTGACGCCCGACTTCACGGACCCTTCGCGCTACCTGCAGACTGCCAACCGCGTGGTGGTTATTGTGGGCGTCACGGCTAGTGCGATTTGTTTGTTGGTCAGGACGTATACGCGCGTGGTTATTATGAGGAAGTGGATGTTGGATGATGGTGAGTTTATTATGGTCGGTTCTGATTAGGGTTGCGGATGTATCCTCACCCAACTTGTTTCTGTTTCGGATTCTTCCCCCCCCCCTTCCCGCCTCTCTCTGACTGCGGCTGATTATTGGGGTTTGCAGGGGTTATTTTGGTTTCGTGGGTTAGTAAATCGAGCAATCCAGCAATCACTGGATGATTGAATGGATGATTGGAGAAAAAAATTCCGTCTCGAGTGGAAGACTGATGTTATTGGATCTCTCCGTGGTATATAATTATAGATTTGTGCATTGGTCACCCAGGCATTATTGCTCTGTGAGTACTCCCATCCACCGGTATCATTGAAAACACACTTTTAACATGAAATCCAGATGGATACACCGACGCAGGCCTCGGAATCCACGAATGGGATCTCACAGCAGCCGAATACAACAAATCACTCCGAGTATGGCCCTCCCACCCCCATCACCACCCTCACTTTCACAACCCTAATTACCCCCCCTTTCATCCCCCCCACTAACCACTTCCCCCATCTTTTCATAAAAAAATATAGATCCTCCTCGCTGGCGCCATAACCTACATCCCCGCCCTGGGCCTCTCCAAAATCGCACTCATCATCCTCTACTACCGACTCTCCGACATGCAACGGCGATGGAAAACCACGCTGTGGACCATCAGCAGCCTCGTGGTGCTGTACATCCTGGTGCTGGACTGGCTGCTGATCTTCGGGTGCAAGCCCATTCACAAGGCGTGGAACACGACCGTCGAGGGCACCTGCATCAGCCGCGCGGGCGTCTTCATGGCGGGCGCGTCGGCGAGTATCGTCACGGATATTGTGCTGTTGGTGATTCCGTTGCCGATTATCGCGCGCCTCAAGATGAAGAGTCGGAAGAGATTCGGGTTGGCGTTGATGTTTGGGTTGGGCGGGTTGTATGTTTCTCCTTCTCCTTCTCTTTTTTTTTTTTTTCTTTTTTCTTTTTTTTTTACATCATTTTTGAAGTATTTGTTGGTTGTTTTGAGGAGAGGGTTGATTGGATTGATTGATTGACTCATTTTGGACGTGGTATACAGATCCCTCATAACAAGCGTCCTGCGTCTCGTCGCTATCGTCCCCATGCTCACCTCCGAAGATCAATCCTATTTGCTTGGGCCTGTATGTCTCTGGATGTGAGTATAGCCCCCAAACCCTTTCGCCCTACCCCCCAACTTTCATCACCATACTCTCTCACCTATCCTCTCACCCCCAGTCCCCAACCCAACCCAACCCAACCAAACCCACCTCACCTCACCCCGCTAACCACTTTGCTTTCTCATATACAGCAACGTCGAAGCCAGCCTCGTGATAATATCCGCCTGCATCCCCTCCTTCCGCCAAGTCTTCCGATTCCACGCCTCGGCATCCTGGAACGACAGCAGCGGCCGACGCGATCGGGCGTCCAGTCGCTCGAATCTCCGCAGTGCGCAGTGCCGCCGCGAGGGCTTCACGAATTTGAGTATTGATGGCGAGGGGGACGTGGAGTTGGATGGGAGATCGGAGGTTGAACTTGCGGGGCATGGGCATGGGCATGGGCATGGGAGTGATGGGAGTGGTGGGAATGGCGGTGGGAATGGGGGTGGGGATGGGAGTATAGAGGAGATAGGAATGGCACTGGGGAGGGAGAGGGAGGGGGAGATAGGGGGTTGTGTGTGATTTTGTTTTGGTGTATGGTATGTACATTATATTACAGAATAGAGAAGATAAGGTGCTTTGGAACTTTGGATCTTTGGTAATGGGTTTTAGTGGGGATTGGGGATTGAGTATAGTATTGGGGTTGGATGGGGTAGAGTGGAGATGTGGGGAGAGTAGAGATGGGGAGAGTAGAGAAGAGTAGAAGAGAGGAGATGGATGCTGGATCTGGCTCTGGTGGTTATTTATGCTGTATTCGGTAATCGAGTCGAATCAGCTTCCTTGTCTGTACTTGTATGGTATGCGGTGTGGAGGAGCCTGTGAGAGTGGAGCTCGAGCGATGGTGCCAGGGATGGGAGGTAGTAGATGGGCCTGGGGAGCTGTCTATCAGATGTCAGCATACAAGTGGAGACTACGTATATTCCGTGCAGGACTTCTTATTTCCTTGAACTTTCATTCTATTATGAAATCAAACAATCTGATGGAAGACCATTTGCGGCATTAGAAGGACCCCCTCCTGGTCCTCTATCGATCTCCGACTCAAGCATGTATGCATATCTCTGTAACCCAGATATGTAGTCATTTTGTGTGTCTGCATCGGAAGTCGGAAGGCTTGGGCGTGCCGTTGAAGACGATGCGCTGCTTGCGATGGGACGGGCCCCTTGTCTTTTTGCCTGTGTTGGGCCCCGGTCATTCCTATTAGGCTGACCTATGACTGCTGGGACGCGAGCTGTCCGGCATGAGACACGACCGTCCGAGTCTGGCGCATCGCTCGCACGTCTGCATATCCTGGATAGGCGCGCACTTCACTTTAAGCTGGATGCATCGGACGCATGCGTGTCGCGTCACAGGCTGTGCGGGCTTCATGGCGGACCGCGGGATTGAGGCGCGACAGGAGAGGGAGAGTTGGCGCGGAGATTGAGCCATGTTGGCCAGGCCCTGGGCTTAAGTAGCCAGGCAGACTCCGTGGCAGCCAAGGTGGTTGGGGTGGTCAAGTGTCCGACTGCCCGCATCCTGGTGCCTTCCTAAACTAGTAAACTAGGGCCAATCACCGCCTTGGACGGGCGGGGCCGGAGTCGGAGTCGGAGTCGGAGTCCCACGGGGAGCCCGCCAATCAGCATCTACGGAACAATATAGTGGTAGAAAGCAACTCTTTCTGTCAAACCTAGTATCATTCAGTATCACGCCTACTTAGGTGTCTGGACACCTTTTTAGTCGAGTGGACGGTATCAAACTCGTGAAGCTTGCGCCTTGCCTCATCACCGTCCCTCAGCGAGACGATCCAGCTTCGAGTCAAGTATGTAGGAGCCACATAAGCTTTGAAGATGAAACTAATCACGATGCCAAAGTTGGTCCCTGCTCCCTTGATTGCCCATAAAAGCTCAATTTCGTTTCTTGGACGTACGGCACCGACCGGCCAATGTTGGCTTGGAACACAGCCGATGCAGAAGACCTCACCGGATTCCACACTGATCATCACGGCCCCGACAATCTGGTCGCACGCGAGCCCGTATAGCCTAGCCAGGTGTCCGATGCCGTCTTGCAGCCACAGCCCGGCGCCTATGCTGGGACGGGACCCTAAAGGCACGGTCACCCCGGCTGCCATGGACTTGCGGACAATATCACCAGTCTTCGACCCGGCCCCGGCAACAACTAAGGAATCAGCATCAGACCCAGCCTCTCCTTTCCATTCCCCTACAAGGACATGCACCTGGTCAAAGGCAGCCATATCCACCCCGACAACATTAGTCCATAGACAGTGCCCGCTATGACTCCCAACAACGACTGTCAGGCCAACCCCGTGCTCGAGAGCCCATTGTACACACAGCTGAACATGTCGAACCGTTTCCGGCCTTACAATCGCAGCAGAATGATTGAAACGAGCCTCGCAGTTCTTGATCCTCCTTCCTTCCCTCGCCAACGGCACCTGAGCCACGAGCCCTGGCAACGCGGTCGCATGTCTGGTAAAGACCACCATGATCTCGGGCGACCTGAAACAGATATAATCTGGGTGCGTTTCCTCACGACCCCCCAAGGCGCGGCACACGTTCCGCCACTCAGCTCGGGTAATTCTGTCTGCCTCGATATCCTGCATGACGAACCCCGCGATGAAAGGCGCAAACTGGTCCAACGCTTCATCGGTATCTGCTATGCGAATGACTCCCTCAGGGAAAGACGCCACTCGATGGGCCACCAAGCCTTCCAAGCGCAGGGTCCCGTCGCGGTGGAAAACAACCACTATTCCGCCTTCAACTAGCATATCCAGTGCCCGTGCTATGGATCTGGCTTGGTGTTCCATGCCATACAGACTATGGCAGAATAGGATGATATCTAACTTCTCCTCACTGCCACTGCCACTGCCAGAATCACCGACACGGGCACCGCACCCTGATTCACTGTCCAGAACAAACGGAACGCGATAAATATCATGCGCACATTCCAGACCAGGCAGCGGTGATTCCATCTCTTCGGTAGCACCGAGCCATTCTTCCAGCCTCGTGACAAAAATACTTTTGGGCTCGAATGCAGCGTACCTTCTGACCTTTTGTCGTAGATGGCTGGGCAGATCTCCGAGGATGCTTTTCGGGCCCGGTCCGATTTCTAGCACTGAGATATTGGCGCGCGAGTTGAGGAGAGTGGCTATGAGTTGGGATAGTTCCGGGATGGTGAAGTCTGGGTATGTGGTGCTGTGGTGCAAGAGTTGGCATCCGGTGCTGTGTTGTTTGGAAGATAGTGGCTGCTTTGAGGATGATGACGTGCTGAGTTTTGGGTTGGGGTTGGGGCTTGCTGTCTGAGCGCCTGTTTGAGGGAGTCGAGGGTGATCATGATGGTTGGTATGAGGAGGGAGATGGGAAGACAATTGAGTAAGTCTTCTGGATTAGGAGCAAATAGTGCTTTAGTTCTTGGCTGACAGGCAGGCAGGCAGAGAAGAAGGGACGGAGTCCCCATGGCCATATTTGGGGCACTTGCAAGTGCAAGTGCTGACCAACCCTCCCAGTGAACGCAAACAACAGCTTCACTATTCTGTGATTCACTGGCAAATTACTGGTCCCACAACATCCCCTGCTAATATTAAATTTATGTTTACCAAGCCTCATTGGGCCGGATGTTAAAAGACATACAGCAGCATTTGATTGGCAATCAAACAGAGAAACAGGTCCTTCCTAGCTGGAAGGTTGTCAAGACACCCTTTAAGTCTGGGGGGTGTCCTCTTTTTTCTAACAATAAAACATACAGGAGCACTGGACTGATACTCAAAATGGTTAGAAGGGAGGTGACAGGGAAAAACGACAGTATACAGATCCTTAAAGATGAGGTGGGCAAGAGCATAATGATGGAATTGCGAAACAACACTAGCTCTTATTTGGTACAAAGGCTTTGGGAGCCTGAAGACCCCCTCGATCGCCTGGATCAAGCCAAAGAAGATGGTGAGGATCAAAACCAAGATGGCAACCCAGAAGTATACCACTGGATGCCGTCCCTCCGATCCCACCACCACTGCAACATGGTCTGTGGACGGGACTCATCGAAGGCTTGCTTCAAAAGCACCAGCCGGTCCCTCCAGAATCTAAAGTTGTCGATATGGCGATCATCGTACCGAAGATGGCCGCATTTGAGAAGCCGCGGGTCGACTCTCAGGGAGTGATTCTTTTCGATCCACGTCCGAGTTCCCGGATCGTTTGGAGGGAAGAGAAACGAGAGGGTCTGGAGCGTCTCTTGGATCAGCCCGGGAGGCAGCATTGTGTTACTGGGAACCGAGGGAATTAGACAGAAGTACCACCAGCAGTGATTGGTAACGATGGCGATGCTTACTTCAGCTGGCACTGCAGGAAGGTGACATGATGGAACACAGCCACCTTCCTGTCACCACCCATCATGCGAAGATGATCCACCACGTTATCAGTCCACACGATATCCATCCCCGCCACTTGTTCGATATTCCAAGACATGAACATCCGCTCCAGCTTGATCGGAGTATTCACCAGCACCGGCGGCGCAGAGAAGTGCTGCCGCACACAGTCCGCAAGCGAGCCCTCCGTCCAGGACAGATGCAGCCTCCCGGAGAAGCTGAAAGGCAAACGGCCAAAGTCACACATGAGAAGAAGTCGGGCTGCGAGGTTGATCGACACATCTTGTTTGGACTTCGAGCCTCCTCCTTCGCACAGGTTGACCAGTGGCGCAGACCTCTTGATGGCATCCCGTGTCCGACCATCGCGAAGCTGCTGGGCAATCGCCAGAAGTTGTTGACAAGTCCGTAGGGAGATGTATCGGCCCCCTTCATGAAATGCAAGCGTGCGCGCCTCCGTGCATAACTGGATATATGCATACAGGTTGGCGTCCTTCGCCCTTTGTCCGTTGTCAAACCGCGTTTCGGTGGCTTGGGTCCCCCAGAGGCGCTCAATAGTCTCTCGTTTGGCTGAGTCTCGGAGCAGCAGGTTCAGAAGACAGCTGTTCATGCAAGTTATGGCTCTATGAAGTACTGATCAGGCACAAGTCTAGACATTGGGAGGTATTCTGCTTATAAGATTCTTTGATACATCGGTACGGCCTTGGCCAGGGATGTCATTTTCTCTTGTGTAAATCCCTCAGCTGCATGCACCGCCCCTTCAGTGGGGGTGGTATTGGCTTGTTGGTGAAGCCGATTACGAGCAAGCCGGCCGAGACGATGGCTTCCAAATCTCAGCGCCCATCTTGTTCATCGTCGCTAAGCGGGCACTCCTCTTCATGTGTATTCCAGTTGACAACCACACGACTGGAAGCGATGGTGCCTTGAGCCCCGATTCTGTCCCATCCTCCAGGAACGATGCGGAGACGAACACAGCTCAGGATTCCAGCAACGCCACGGATGAGAACCGACCCCCATGGAGCTTGAAATAGAAGAAGCCCCAGTGGCCGAATCCCGAGGCGTCCATAGGATGCTTCCACAGAGATATCGGCAGAGACAAAAAGTGCTGGGGAGCAAATGGTTTTGCACGGGAGTTGTTCAGCCAGACACTAAGGCCCCTCATCCAGGAATTCCTTGACAATTGCATCGAACCTCGCCCGCCCCATGTAATGTGGTTCATCTACATGATCGGGCGAAAGCCGGAGACCGCCGTTCCCTATGTCTTCTTTTGCTCCGTCGATGAGCAGGCACGCGAGACGGCCATACGGCACGGTAGAATCCTCGACCCATATCCTGGCATTCGAATTGCACACAGCTCCATTGCCCCTGAACTCAACGGTCCCATTCATCTGCTGGCACAGACCAGCGAAAGTCACCCTTTCTCGTCATCCAACAAGCGAACCGTCCTTGTCCCCCCTTTCACCTTGAGTAAAGGACTGGAAGTTTACGTCCAAGTGGGGAGAGCACGGGGAATCTCATCAAAGCTACAGTTGGCGGGAGCATCTGGGTCTCCGACCGCCTCTACTTTCTGACGGTCGCCCACGTCTTCAACAGCCATGGCTTCTCGCTATCTTCCGAGCCCGAGGACGCGGACTTCAATATGTACTTGGATGACGAAAGCGTTAATGATTCCGGAGTTGAGAGTGATGCCGACAACGATAATGAAACCGAGCCCCTGCTCGTATCAAGTGCTAATCCTGGATACGCTATGTCGCCAATTTCCTCCGCCGCCGCCGCCGCCGACAGGCCAGCCGAGGGGGATTCCAAGCATATTACCGAGAAAAATCCCCAGGATACCAAACTATTTACAATGCTACCAGCCACCACGCACACCTGCAAGTCTCTGGACTACGCGTTGATTAAAACAGACGACATCATCAACCGGCTATTACTATTAACACCCAGAAAGAACTACCTACCAATGCTAGAAACCTCTACTATGACAAAAATGGGTACCATCGGCCGCGAAGATGAGGACGTTCTAATTGTCACAGCATCGACCGATCCCATCCAGGGTCGCCACTCCGCTACACCGTTCTTTCTCAGGCTCCGTAAAGATACATATACCAGCCCGTTCAAGAGAGTGTACCGAGTGAGCCTCGACGGCCAAATCCAACCCGGTGACTGCGGCTCATGGGTCGTGAACCCCCAAACCGGGGACTTTTTATGGCCATGTATTCGGTGGACGAGCCCGCTCGGATACAGCGTACATCATTCCTGCGATGGATTTCGCTGCGGGGCTTGGCTTGGGTCACGGGGAATGGGAGAAAATGGTTGCGGTGCCATCGCTTGCAGCGGGGTCTTGTCCACGCGGATCTCGAGTCTATGAATACGCGCTCTTGTGTGGTGTGAGGGGGCTTATGGTGATGATGATGAACAGGAACCCGCGCGGCCCCTGGTTGTGAAGTGTAGCTCGGAGCCTTCTGACCTTTCTGAGTCGGTAATTGAGTGTGGAGGAGTTGAAGAAATGGTATTATCTACCCTGGATGTCTCGTCGTCGAAATAGTATGAGTAGGAGCATGATTAACAAGACTTGCTCTTGCTTCCTATCTTTTTTTAGGCATTTTTGTTTAGATTCAGTTTCATCATGAGTTAAGTACAGCTGTATATTCTTTAGTATTTAGCTGAATAAAGCCAAGTAAATAGTGAAGCCTTGGCTGCTTTTCACTGCGGGGGGTTGGCCAGCGCTTGCAGATGTCCCCATATTGGCCATTAGCACTCCGTCCCTTCTCCACCTCACTCTTAGCCTCCGCGACGTTCCACAGACCGGACATGGATTCTAAATGACATCTGCCAACCATTCTTACGCAAACTTGACTGGCTCACTGCCAACCCCTGCAAGACTGAACCAGTGGCGCAGTCTGACACGTCATTGGTGTAGAGACAGCCGGAGGGGCTCCAGCGAGTCACTCAGTATTGGTGAGGCTGTTGACCTTCGGATGCCAGGCTTGGATGGAGCACGAGGCTGGCACACCCGCGCGCTTAAATGGAATCTCCAGCCTACCCGACAGAGCGTTCAGACGAGGCTCCTGCCTCTCCACCATTTCTTCTCCTCAGCCTTCCTCCTCCGAAGCTCTATCTCCTCCAAAGCATTGAGTTAGTGTGGTTGCCTCGCCATGGATCCTCTAAGTCTCACCGCCAGCATCATTGCGGTTGTGCAAGCCGCAGCGAGTGTCGAGCATGGCCTTGCGAAACTACTCGCCGTGCGAGGTGCAAACGATCACCTCTTGCAGACGATCAACGAGGTCCTACCGCTAGAATCTAGCCCAATATGCAGAAAACTGACTGTGACAGGTATCCGACCTTCGTGCCATTCTGCACGACATTCATGCGACAATCAAGTCTCGAGATGAGTGCACGATGGGAGAATCAAAGGCCCTGGAGACGTTGCCCGCGCTTTGCACAGAGATCCAAAGATCGATACAAGAGCTTGATACTCTTGTCGCCGGCTGCATAATATACGAACCACGCGATGGCGAGACACCGTGGAAAGTGAAACGCATCGCATGGTTAAAAGCCAATGAGAAGATGAAGGCCATCCAGAATGAGCTGCGAGAGAGTCGGCTCAAGTTATCGACCGCCATCGCGTCCATGCTTTCGTGAGTGGCTGCTATAGATAATGGGACATTGCAATGCGCTAGCAGTCTAATGCTTACACAGACTGGACCTGCTTCATGTTCGATTGACGCTGCGTGAAATCTCGGCTGTTTCGAGCAGTAAAAGCGGGAGTAGCGATCACTCCGAGGCTTTGATTAAGATATCGAAGAGGTTCGATGGATTGACGCAGATACCTGACCAGATCAGCGAGATCTTGTCCATCCTAAAGCCGGTATCATCTGCAGAGAGTTCAAGCATGCTCATTCCAGTCACCTCTCCCGGCTACGGGGAGAAAGACAGATTGGTTACTCGCCATGTTTCCAGCGCAGTTCAACCCGGTAGTCGACTCACTGTGGATCGGGGTATCATTCGCTTGAAATTTGGCGAGCATCCTCACCGGGCTCGTGGATGTGCATGCACCTGTCACGGAACATCCACTGTTGCGTCCTCCCCCTGGATCGAAGGTGTCGTGGGCCGTCTTTTCATCGGGTATAACGGGCAGATTGCGTCTTTACGACCCTGCATGGAATGCCCATGTGTCAGGAACAGGAACACCAAGATCTCCTTCACATACTACTTCCCCAGCTGGCTACTCTCACGCTCCCTGGAAGCTGTCCTAAATGTTACCCGGCTAGGAGGCCCCCAGTTCGCACTCCGTGCGTACCGCTCAATGCCGGATGAAACACTCCTGTTCCACCTGGCTCGACAGGGTAATATACCGGAAATCCAGACACTGTTTCGCGATGGACTTGCATCCCCGTTTGATATTAGCGCCAAAACCGGTCGGTCCGCTTTGCATGTAAGGCCATCGTCACCCGTACTACACCCGAACACACAGCTAACACAGAAGGTGATGAAAGTTCGCCGTGGATTTCGGACAGGAAGAGACATGCCATTTTCTTCTGCGACAGGGCGCAGATCCTCACTACGAGGATAAGTATTTCATGTCTCGTCCCAAATTCCCCCATTGGTTTTAATCTAAGCCGACTGACCGACCGGGTTTTAGGTCACCTTTTGACATAGCGTGGGAAAAGAAGTCCGAAGGACGACCGTCTGCACCCACCACGGCATTTGGCCTTGCAGACAACTCATACGATATGGATCTGTTGCAGAAGCGTGGACTTTCCTCACTCCACGGAGCAGTGATCGGCTTTTCCAGGGTCAAGGTAGTGGATCAGCTAAGTGTGTCCTGGAACGAAATCAACCGCCGCGACTTTTTTGGTCGAACGTGTCTCTCATGGGCCTCGGGGTGCGGCCACGAGGGGGCAGTTCGCACTCTTGTCGAATGGGGGGCCGATCTCACCATCACCGACCAGGGCGGCTGGACTCCGCTTCATCACGCCGTACGCGCCGAATCCCCCAGCTGCATCACTCTACTACTAGAAGCCGGGGCTCCTGTCGACACCATGAACAATCGGGGGAACACACCCCTCGCCGTCGCCTGCAGCTACCGGGATAGCCCAGACCACGTCCTTCCCCTCCTCCAACATTTTGCAGACCCCGCAAAACCCATGAGTTGCGGCATGACACCCCTAGCCATTACGATGAGACAGAATTATCTGGATTGCGCTCAGCTCTTACTCGACTTTGGGGCGTCAATCAACGGAGTCGAGAACAAAGCGGCCTATCCGCTTCACGAGGCCGTATCGTGCAACTCATATGACGCGCTGTCATGGCTCCTAGACAAAGGTGCCGACGCATCTGTGGTAGATGAGGCGGGATGGTCGCTGTTCCATCACGTCGCATACTCCTCCGACATCAAGACGATATCTCTTCTGACAGAGGCGGAACTGAGCAAGGCTGGCGTGTCGGCCTTTTTGCCCCTGATGCAGTCACATAACGGGGAAACAGCCAGTGAGGTATTCTCCCAGAGCCGTCGGACCAACCTCGGCGAGAATAAGGTTACATATGAAGCAGCGCTGGATGCCTTTGGGGCGCTTCTGGACTCGGTTACACAAGGAGATGACGGGGACTTGTCTTTGCCGATTGACGGACCGTCGTCGCCTGAATGCGAATGGTTTGATGCGAAGGATACTGCCTTTTCCAATACTGTCTAGTTCATTTGTCAAATCAGTTATGTCCAATGTACGTCCGAATCTCCCAATTCGTCCAGCGATCAATTTCTCGAACAATGTTTGCATAGCGGTAGAACTATCATCATGATTCTTCAGACCCCACCAGCTGCCTAGTAAAATATAAAAATAGAAAACATAGAAAAACCCGACAGAACATCCACCCCCCTGCCCCTGCCCCTGCCCCTCCACTCCCAAACCTACGACTTCCACTCCCCCTCCACAACCCCAATATCCATATCCACCCCCTGCCCCCCTCCCCGCACCCCTATCTTCAAAGGATCAAACACCGGATCCCTCAACCGCCTCGTACTCTCCTCCAACACCACACACGGATTCCCCGCCGCGACCACCCTCTCCGGAATATCCTTGGTGACCACACTCCCTGCCCCAATGACGGACCCATCCCCGATCGTCACCCCGGCCATGATGATCGCCTGGCCCCCGATCCAGCAATCCTCGCCCACCGTGATCGGCTTTCCGGCTTGCGGCCCGTGCGTCCCGGCCCGCGTCTCGGGGTTCAGGGGATGGATCCCGCCGTAAAAGGACACGTTGGGGCCGATGAGCGTCCGTGACCCGATGGTCACCGGGCAGGGGTTCAGCACCGTGCAGTAGGAGTTGATGAAGACGTTTTCGCCGAGGATTACGTTGTATCCGTAGTCGATTTTGATGGGCGGTTCAATCCAGGGTTCGTTGGGGAGGGATTCTTGTTCTTCTTCTTCTTCTTCTTCTTCTTCTTGTGCTTTGATGGGTTTTTCTGGGTTGGGGGTGGGGTTGTCCGTGATGCTGGGGATGGGGGTGGTGTTGTTAGTGTGTGTGTATGTCTTGAATGGTAAAACAATGTATTTGACAGAAGGTGGGAATGATGATGATGAGGAGGAGGAGGAGGAGGAGGAGGAGGAAAGAAAATACCTTCTCCATAGCTCAACGAACCGACGACGAGAGATTGCCCCGGCCGTGTTGAATTGCAGACATGCCGCGGCGCATCTCTGGCGATCCTGAATCAGATCTTGCGTGAAAGCCCAGTAGGGACGGCCCGCGATCATGTTGGCTTTGTTGGAACATTCATCGAATCCATCTGGGAGGAATTGGAGGGAACGGTGTTCGGGACGCATTCTCATTTGATGCTCAAATGGAATGATTTGTGCAAGAGTTCGGCGCAAGAACAACACGAGAGCTTGTTCGGGATAGAGTTTCGGTGGGATTGAATTGGGTTGTTCGATGTTCCTGTTCTTGAGCAGCACGGTCCATGCTTGTAGTTGACCTTAGGAAAGAGGGGTAATTGGTGATTAAAATAGACCTGGCGGGGTTCGGACTGGGTCATTGGAGAGTACCGTCTATGTGGTGGGTTAGGGTTGTTGGATGCGTGGCTGCTACTACACCCGTCACTTGGAGTCTGGGACCAATCCATATAGAGGATCACCCTTGTACGGAGCACTCGGCAGGTGCTTATCTGCAGCCCCAGTCGGGGAAGCGGAGGGATTGGCCATGTTAGCGCCCTGGTGGAGGCCGGATCCACCCCCCTTCAATGCGTTCTTAGTGGGGGTTGGAGCGGGGGTTTTTCTTTCTGGGTGCGTTATCTACCTGTCGTTTAAGAGAAAATTAGCGATGGCCGTTTGGATTTAGAAGAGCTGCTCAATACTTTTGCTTTCAGCTTTGTGGCCTCTTCTTTCCGATGTCGAAAAAGCGCTCGATCGTAGCCTGGAATTGCTGCAGTTGGATTATGGTCGGTGTCTTTCAAATACTGTGCAAGTTCTGAAAGATCGCTAATCGTCGTGAAACTATAGTCGACATATATTTGATGCATTGTATGAGCAAGGCTTTCTGATCGCATGGACCAACATCACTGAAATCTATATACAGTCCCCCATGCCTACCGTGCTGGTCCCGACAATAGCACATTTCGCCATTCTAATGGAAAGGCAAGTGGCGTCTGCGTACTACAAAATCAATCATCTACTGACAATCTCACAGCCGGTTATTGACCACCTATTATCGCGTGACTATCCATCAACCTGGGCAGCCATGGAAAGGCTTGTCGATAATGGCAAAGCTAGATCGATCGGTATGAGCTTTTACTGCCACCATCGACGTGTACTAGTACTTATCCAGCAGGTGTTTCCAATTTCAACGTTCTCAAACTGAAGAGACTTCTCGAGACGGCTAGGATCCCTCCAGCAGTAAACCAGGTCGAGCTTCATCCGTAAGTACCTGCACGGCGATGATGGGTAAACTTTCATCCATACGTTGCCCTAATTTCTGGTCTGCAGGTACCTGCCGCAGTCTGCACTCGTCAAGTTTTGCAACCAAAACGGTATCCATGTTATGGCCCATCAGCCACTAGGAGGGAAGCCCGTGGCGGTTGTGAGCCCGAATGCCGATCGACCTGGCCCTCTGGATGATTCGGATGTAAGTTTTGTCCGTCACCTGCTCTTCCATAGATACCAGCTCTCATACACTCGAGAAGATTGCAAAAATAGGTGCAAAATACCGGAAATCTCCCGCACAGGTTATTCTGTCCTGGATTGTCCAGCAGAATATCTCTGTCATCCCGAAAACAGTCCATGGATCGCGAATGTTAGAGAATAGAGATCTACAGAAGTTGTCGGACGAAGACATGATCGAGATCTCGAATCTGTCGAAGGTGAAGGGGGAAGTTCGCTACTTGGATCCAAGAAACCATATTGGGTTTGATATTTTTGACGAGGGTCATGATGAGCCGGTACATGGAGAATGATGCACCGTCTTTTGAGCGATGCTATCCCATTTTATTTGATAAGTATGCAACAAATACATAGGAGTTGGTATTTCCTGAAATTGACTTGTCGGTAAACTCTTCCGTAGGCTTCCTGCTTATCTTCCATTCCCTAGAGAAGGGGTATACAGTAAATATTTGATCTTTAATTTAGTCAAATGTAAAGATACTGTGAATGGAGCCTGTAGTCCCGATCATACAGCTTCCATTCCCCGAATCCTCAGTTTCACCCCCTCAATATTGGTGCATATTCAAAGCCAATTCACATCCTCCCAGCCCCATTTCATTCCCATTTCCTGCCGATAACCTGGGCATTTATACCCCATCCTCTCCTCTCCTCCACCCTCCACCTCTCTCCTTCTTCTCCCTCCATCCCAAGCCCCAGTCATCTATCATTCCAGAACCAACATCCTTGGGCACGCATCCCTAAAGTGGTTAATAAACCAAAGTCTATATATTTACTGACATGCCTACTAGTCGACACAATGTCTTTGCTGGGCTCTGTCGGTTGATATGATACATTCGAATCATCATCCCTAGTACTACCACTTTCATTATCCCGGATTTACAACAGTATCAAGTCCATTACACTCAGGTCAAATACAGCAAGCGGATATTCTTATTAGCACAAGAATGATTCTATTTCATTATCTCAAAAGCATATTCTTGCGAACATAAGCTTCCATGAATCTTATGAACCTGCCCCTCGACGGCAATTCCCAGTCGATACTATACCAGTGATATACAATATGTGGTTCTTTGCACTCCACGCTCCAATCTCAACAAGAAATCTCCAGACAAACGAGAGCTTGAAAGTAATGGGTCGCTCGAGATGGGCTGGTGCCCCCCTCATAGCCTTATCGAAACAGCGAGGATACATCCTTGTCGCTCCAACATGGCATCTGAGATTGAGATGGTACTTCCGACAGCCTTCGCATACCAGGGGCAGCCCCTGTCGGGTCGCGAGAGGCGCTGGATAGCGCGGCCGGTGCTGCGATCTGAGCCCTTTACCGGGTGCTTCCCTCGCGATCAGGTGTGTGGCGCATGCCGTGACCCTTCGGGCTCGAAGGCGTTCGCGGTGTGTGTCATCCGTCATCTACTAGTTAACTATCGCTACCTCGGGACCACTAGCACAGAACCAGTGTCAGAGGCCAGAGGCTGGGTCAGAAGGGATATGTTCCGCTTTTACAGACGACACAGAGCTCTTCATGGAAATGTGTGAGACGGCACAATCGGAAGCTTTCCTCACAGCATCTGGCACAAAAAGTCCTGGTTATATGTCGAATTTCAAGTTCCTTATACGTCGCGACGCCACAATTCTTCTCAGCGAGCAGGCAGCCTGGTCCGTCCGCTGTGGGCGTGGACAGCGTCACCGAGAATCATTATTACTATATCACTGTGCTCTGGTACATCAACCTCCTGCTTCCTCCTTTCCTTCGTACACAACCGCATGGTGGCTGCTGACAGGTGTCTTTTCCCTTGCGCCTTCATGAGGATCCTGCCATACCCCTGGACGCCTACGACCTTGCAAATACTGCACCGTCTTGTCTTCGACCGCAGAGAAAGTATAAGTGGATATATATGTCCGAATCAGTCTCCTGGACGAGCCAGGCCGGCCAGCGAACATACAAGGAGACAGAGCCTGAATGTGATGGCTGCCCCCCCCCTGCTTCCCTGGAGCAGGCGACTCGGAGACCTGTACGCACGGATATTCCAAGAAGCAACATTTCTGTCCTGAATAGGTTCTTTTCACAGGCTTTCCCTTAACACTGGGCTTTGACAGTCACCTTTGCCGTCGGGAATTGAGTCCAGAGCTCCAGACATCACCACCGTCAAAGAAAAGGAAACGTTGGAAGCCATTCCAACATGGTTAGACCTTTAGACTGTTCTTAAACACAGACTATTTTTATCCACTTACCACAGATGTCACTGCCAGAGATCGAAATGGCTGCCGCGCAGGAGGTATCCTTCAATCTTGTTTACAGTCACTAGTACCTTTGACAGAAGCTGACATCTCTTGAGGAGATCTTTGGAAATACAACAAGCCAGCGGGGTGAAAAGCATACTCCCAGATATTTGCCACAAGATAATGCTTTCTACAGACCTACGGCGGTGGGTGAAAGCTACAGGACCACACATCCAAACTTACCCAATATAACCACCAGCTATGGGACGCGTTATCTCGTGTCACGGATTTGGGGTAACGCGACTGGGATCCTGCAGGGTCCAACGAACACCAGGCCTATCGCGAGACGATTCGGCTGGATCTACCAGATAGGAGCATATACTAGATAAATATATGTCTATTAGGGCATTGTTACCACGAGGATATAGATACCAAAAAAGAAACACCATTACTTCAGCAAGACAGTATAAATCGAGCAGGAAATACCGATATACCCATAACCAAGCAGTCATGTAGCCCTCTACCCCTGGGCGACACCCTCCGTATATACGGGGCAAGCCCTAAGCCAAGCAGGACTGATCAGATCCGGTGCTCCGTTAACTCCGACGATAAGATCGATGACGTTGGAGCATCTCCAACTATAAATTCTCTCTCTCTCGCACCCACCATGTTCAACAACCATCCCACAATCCACAATCGCATCAATTGCACCATCAAATCAACTACCACCAACGCTACACCCACCTCAACAACCATGCTCATCGTCCACCACCTCCAACGCTCGCAATCCGACCGCATCGTCTGGCTCTGCGAGGAGCTAGGCCTCAACTACGAGCTCCGAACCTATAAACGCTCTCCCTTTCTCAGTCCGCCTGAGCTTCAAGCCCTGTACCTTCCCCCATCCCATCCCCTCCCATCCCCTCCCATCCCCACCACTAACACCACCAGCCACCCCACCAAAGCCGCCCCCATCATACAAGACGGCGCCATAACGCTGGGCGAATCCGGCGCGATAACCGAATACATCCTGACGAAATACGGAGACGGCCGACTGAGCATCGCAGCCACGGCGCCCAACTACGCCGACTACCTGTACTTCCTGCACTTCGCGAACGGGTACTTCCAGCCGGCGCTGATGCGGTACGGGCTGGTGCTGAAGGCGGGGATCTCGGACGAGGTGCTGAACGCGAAGCTGGCGCGGCGGGGGATGCAGCAGTCGCTGCAGATCCTGGAGGACCGGTTGCGCGGGAATACGTGGCTCGCGGGGGAGGAGTTCACGGCGGCGGATGTGATGGTCGTGACGACGTTGACGACCATGAGGTTGTTCGTGCCGTATAGCTTGCAGGGGTATGAGGCGATTATGGCGTATTTGGGGAGGGTGGTGGAGAGGGAGGCGTATCGGCGGGCGTTGGAGAAGGGGGATCCGGGGTTGGAGCCGGTGGTGGGTGGTGGAGGTGGGGAGGGATTGTGTATATAATGGGTGGGATATATATACATATATATATATTGTACTATATGATTGGTATGGTGGATCTGAGATCTTAGGGCTTGGCCGGATATTTTCATACAATCTGGAAAGTGCATCAGATAATCGCATGAACACTATCAAAACGGGGTGTAAGGTGTGAATCTATCTTCTACTCCGACACTATAATAAAAATCTACATGAGTAGTGAATCACATGTAATACGAAAACTACATATAGCATACTTGAGGATGTTCAAAACCTACAGTACTACAATGACATCAACATCTTTAGTATACAACAAACCAAAGACATCACAGAACAGAATGGGGATCTCTGCCCCCGTAATCTAATCTCGAAATCCGAATCCGAATTCGATTCCGATTCCGAGGCCCGATTCTTCCCTAAGATTTACATCCTACATCCTACATCCTATACTCCGGTGTCGTTTCATCCCTGTACCCCAAATAGATTCGCTAACTAGCTACCAACCTAAACCAAGACTCCCCTCGATTCTCAACCTCCAAGCTAAATCCATACCACACACACCGCTCCAGACAGCACAGTGTTGAACTGTTGGTTTCCAACGCCCAACCTATCAAGTACGAACCCACTAACTAACAGTCTATCCCCCCTACACACCCCTGTCACCCCAACCCAACCTAAAACAACCTCAGTCTCTAAGTGATCTCTCCCGCTTACTTGACCCTAAGCGACCACTAAGCACCTACTTCCACCCTAAGCGAGCAGCCTTGGTATGTTAGTTAAGTTAGTGCGACTAGATACGGAGTCCTCTGCACCAGATCGCCGATTACTACCCTTACCCCCTGCCCCCATGTCCATATCCACACCCGCACGCCACGCCCATCCAAGCTAGATAGTCTCACCTTACACGCCGACACCGACACCAACACCCATGCCCGTTACCCATGCCCATTACCCATTACCCATGCACCCTCACCACTACTCACCACGTGTCCATCCATGCATCCATGCGCCATGCCCTGTATCAAGCGAAATAACATTTTTAGCCGGTCAGTCAGTCAGGCTAGTTAGGGTTAGGATGGATTAGGTTAGCTTAAGTTGGTCATGTCTCATGTCTCACATCCAGCCCCGGCCCCCCCCCCCCCCCCCGACCTCGTGGCCCCAAAAGTAAACCAACCCACCCCCATTCCATCCCTACTATACCCCCTACCCCCTACCCCCTACTTATGCCATGTGCCATGTGCCATGCCATGTGCATGAGGGCATGCATGGAACTAAAACTAAAACTAAAACTAAAAATAGGATGAATATGATGATTACTCAGCCCCTCGCAGTAGTTAGCCTAAACGCTACTTACTACCGCTAGCTAACAGGCTAAGATGGGTAGTAGTCATGGGTTAGTAAGTTGTAAGATCCAACATAACCCGGAATGAGATGATGGACTCTAGATAGAAAGAAAGAAAGAAAGAAAGAAAGAAAGAAAGTATTTAGACAGAGCTATCAACAGTACTACTTACCCCTCGCGCACGTGTGTCGCGTGGGGGGTGGGGGCCGTGCAGATCTCGATTCCTTCCTTCCTTCCTTCCTTCCTTCTTCCATCTTACGAATGTCCGTGCTTGTGCTGCCCACTGCCCACTGCCCACTGGTGTCCGTGTCCGTGTCCGTGTCCGTGCCCTACCCTCACTCCCGGTTTTGTCTCTCCCTCGACGGAGTACGTCTACCTATCACGAAATCACGAATCTCACGCTAAACCAAGTAGACAGGGGGTTGTACATGTCTGTGTGGGAGATTCCGACGGAAGAGGGATTCTTGTGTACCTGTCCATCTATCCATCCATCTATCGAGTTTTCTCTCAGGTTGAGTTGGATTATTACTCCTGCTGGTTCGAATACATGATGTGTCTGAGCGCGGATTATACATTTAGTCTATCGTGGTTTAGCATGCATTTGCTGGGCTTACCACTATTGGCGGGTATAGCTATGACACATGGCGCATTTTGAGGGAATAAGTGATGATGAGCATAGTGGTGATATCGTCATGGCTATTCTAACTCGGTGCCTGATAGATATCTGGTAACTACAAGTACTATATAGTACGTATGCAGCCACTTAACTACCTGCCTAAATAGGTAAGTAGCTGCGTAGCTGACTGCATATCGAACTACCGAAACACTACGGGCACTACTAGTAGTAAGGTAGATAGGTATGTAGGTACGTGTCTAGTGAAACTGCTCGCCGTTTCAGCCTTCTATCTAGTATGTATGTATGTATGTATGTACATGGCGACACAAATTCCCCCCTTCCCCTCAATGCCTACCCCTCACCAGCAGAAATGCTTGCAGATCGTCTTGCAAAATTATCTCAGGGGACTGACTAGTCGTGCATCATCTCGTCTAATCTCCCCCCCCTAAAGTCTAGTCGTTCGATTTCGTCTTACTTCAGCCCGATCATCCAATAGAAATTATTTCATTATGATATTTAGTCCAAGTATTTCGATCTGGGGTCGGACAGAGAACCAGTCAGTAGGGAATAGGTAAGTCAGTGGTGAGTAACGCCAGGGTATATACATCCATCCATCCATCCATCATCGAGTTGAGTTGATAGAGTAGTCATTCATCGCATCGCCCCACTTCTTGCATCGGCAAGCAAGATACACGCGCACCATGAACAAAAACAAACAAGAGGCCAAACCAGAGTAAATCAATCATATCGCTAGCATAGTAAATAAAACAAGCCACGGCCATAACCATAGCCAAGCCAAGCCATAATGAGAGTAGAGACAATCGCAAGAAAGCAATAAGCACACCCTCTATCACCCAGCCCAAGGGTAAACTAAACCAAAACTCCCAGTCCGAATCCCACCCACAATCCAACCAAACCCAGCCAACCAAGCCCGCTGTATGCCGTTTTCCGATCCGATCGATCCGATCCGATGATGATGATGATGATGACGATTGTGAAGAAAAAGAAAAAAAAGAAATGCATGCAGATACGAGATGGCCCTAAGATAGACAAAGGGGGGGGCTAATGCCATCCCGGACTGACGGCGGGGTGATATCCCCCCACCAAAGCGGGTGACTCGTACAGCGGCATATTCAGCCCCAACCCGCTGCTATCTAGTCGCGACAGTCCCCCGCACACGAGATCGCCCAGGTACGGGGGCGGAAACGCAGGGGAGTGTTGCAGCGAGCCCGGATGACTGTAGTCCGAGAGAGTATCATCGCGCGGATCGGACAGGAGGCGCGGGGATGGCGGGTAGAGGGCTTGGGATGACGCTGGTGCGGTCACATAGGCTCCGCTGACGTCGAAGGGGGGGCTGGCGATGGTGACTTCGGGGGGTGATTGCAGGGGTGGGGTGTAGGGGCGTAGGTGGCGGACGCGGAAGATGGCGAGGAGGACGAGGCGAGGCGGTAGTCGTGCAGGCTGTGGTAAGGGCTGGGAGGGGCGGGTGAGTAGTGGTCGAGTGAGGTGCGTGGCGACCACTGGAGGCGGCTTTTGTATTTGGCGACAATGTGCCGGGGGAGGTCCATGGCGGAGAGGGCGAGTTGGGCGTCGGGGTGGAAGGGGTCAGCGGTGCTGCGGGCCAGCACGACGCGGTAGATCTCCTCGATGGGGCCGATGGAGAGGGGGCCCAGATAGGCGCCCCCGAGGTCAGGGAAGAGGCTGTCGAGGACAACGCCGACGCCGAAGAACTGCGCCAGCACGGCGAGCGAGCCCATGTCGGCGTCCTCGGGTCGGAGCATGGCCGGGGGGAGCCAGAAGAGCCAGCGTCGGAGCGGTTGCATGCGCTCAAAGGCCTGCTCGGGAGTCTGCGATAGCAGGTCGCGCTGGAAGTGCCGCACGAACTCGAGCAGTTCGCCAATCCGACGGTAGTGCTCGTGGTTGTGGGCGACGCGCTTCTGGATGGCCTGCAGGGCCACGATAGTCTGGTCCAGGCTGGCCAGATCCTCGTCCTGGAACTGGTAGCCTGACATGACCGGTGTGTTGGTGCATCCAAGATACCGCTGGTTCTCGAGGAAGATGGCCAGTTCGGATTCCTGCTTCCACAGGGGGTGCATGGAACTCAAGACCTGGGGACGTTAGACGCGTCTCGCTTGGAGTAGAAATGCACATACCGTTGTCAGTCCCTGCTGCAATGACGCCCAGCTCTGCCATTCTGACGCCTGCCAGGACAGAATGATGGAGGCTGCGAGAATGGCATCGCAGTTGTCCTTGGAGAAGGCGCCAATCGCCTTGTGCAGGCCCTGGATGGCGACGCCGCGGTGGTGGTATGCGAGTTGTTTGGTCTCCTGGTTGCGGGTGATCCAGGCGAGGTGGGAGGCGGACATGGTCAGGATGGCGCTCATGACAAAGTCGTTGGTGAGGGCAATAGTGAGGAATCTGCCAGGGTCAGAAAAGCTCCCGCAAGATGATCCGATAACACTTACGCGGGCATCTTCTGCGCCCAGATGGTGCAGTTGCTGAGACCTCGCCGGTGGAGGTCGATGGACAGACCGATGATATGGTGGATCAGGCGGAGATCCGTCCGAGACAACTTGCTCCAGCTATTGCGCGGGAACTGCATCAGCTCGGGGAACGGGGCGACGCCCGTGATGTGCCAGTTCTTGATCTCCATCTCGATCTCGGCGGACATGAGCAGGTCGGGTACGTTGCGGATGGACGAGGCCTCCTCGTGCACGGTGGCCACGTCCATGTAGTCGCAGCGACAGTTGTGCTTGGTGCAGTTTCGACTGCTACGGTCAGCCGGATCCCATCCCATCTCGACAGACAGACAGAAAAAGACCTACCATTGGGGAAAGGTCTCGTCACAGCGGATGTGTCGCCGCTTGCACGTCTTGCAGCCGAAGCGGGACTTGGTATGACTCTTGCGAGGAGGGCCACCACCGGGACCAGCCATCGTGTCGAACAGGAGTGTAGTAGACAAGCGGAAGCAAAGACAGTTGGTGTTTCTGGTTCTCAGACGAGGTTCAGAGACGATGAGGCTCGAGGGGAGAGAGGGGTCGGTGGCGGGAGGTGAGGAGAGATGGGGAGAGACAGGATGCGGAGACTCAGAGGGACCAGGCCCGGTATCATATAAGAGGGACAATAAGGATTAACCTAATCTGATTAAGGTCGCAAATGACAGCCCACGGTTGGCTCAGTAAATGCAGCGTCCAAAAATAACCGCGAGCCGCAGCGCCAGGGAAAAGCAGCACACGTGGGGAATACGAGAAAACGGGCGTTTTCTTTCCTCCTGTTGATCCCGGCCGAAGAGGAGGATCGAGGAGGATGGAGACAGGCCAGCTCGTCAGGCAGGATGCGGAGGTATAAGAATAAGAAATAAGAATTCGGATGAGGAGGCAAGCAGGGCAGCAAGTAAGTAAAGTAAGTAGGTCAGGACCGGCCGGCCGGTAGAGAAAGAAGGGCTACCGCCACCTATGGCTCCGATGCGGGTCGATAATTTAAAAAACGAAAATGAAAACGAAAATGATAATAAGATAAAATAAAAAAGAAAAAGTAGTTAATAATAATAATATTTGGACAAAAAATAATAAAAATAATAATAATAATAATAATGAGTACCCTTAAGGCTTAAGGAGCTAAGGAGGGAACAATCGAACTAGACCAGCCGTGCTAACGCGATAAATAAATAAACTCGAACGGGTCGAATCTCTGGGGTTCGGTTCGCCTTCGCAGAGCCAAGATGTTGAGCGCCACGGTACGACCGGTCAGATGCTGATCTCCAGACGGGCTGGCCTCCAATTCCCAGACCGTCATCGATGGATCCCACGGAGAGAGCGAGACTGGCAGAGAGGGCAAGCATAAGCTGTTCAGGTGGGGGAACCAAAGTTAGGGGAGTGGCAGGAGAACATCAGAAGGAAGAGGAGGAGGAGCAGCAGGAGGATCGGACGGTGACCGCAGGTGCCAGTACCAGTGCCAGGACCCCAGGAAGACAAGGACAGGGAGGGTGATGATTTCACCTGCATGGCCTCGATGAAGAACCGCCAGCAATTTCCTTTTTTATTTATTTTATTTTTCCTTTTCCTTTTCCTTTTTTTATTTTTTTACTAAAATTCTTCTCCCCCCCCCCCCCCCCCTTCTTTTCTAGAGCAGAATCCCTCATCCCTCAGCATTATTGATTTTCTTTTGAGGCTCTCGGCCCAGGGTGGCTTAGCGCGGGTGGACCCTCCGGATCCACATTCTGCTTTGGGGAAGCAGGACGAGCGTCAATTGGCCGCTTCGATAACCCCCGGGTAGGCAGGGCCAATGAAGACAAGGGCACGGGGCGGCCACATGGCAGCATCACCGCCCAGTGAAGTGGTGCTTGGGCCATCCGAAACATTCACTCCCATTCATGCTGACTCTTGCCGCGCCAAACTTCTGCCTCTGCTGCCTCCGTGATGACTGAGCCGCCCGGCAGGATCCCGGCGCGATGGTATCATCGCTGGCTGACTCTGATCACGCCCATGTCCATGCCCATGCCCATGCCCTCTGCCCTGCCGGCCCTGCCTGCCCTGTCCTGTCCGCCCATGAACCCGATCCACATCACCCATCCACACTGCTGGGGATCTCCTGGTGCTTCCCGTCTCATCCCCCCCCCTCTCCCCAGTGTGCCCAAGTGGGCGGGACGGGATTCTAACTCATCTCCCTCCCAGTTCCCTCCCCTTCGGTAACACAATCCTGTCTAAGCCTCAGGAATCTGGAGTTCATTGTCAATCCAATCTCCATCAATGGATTCCGAAACTCAAAACTCAAGAAGAAGCAAAATAACGGACCCCCCTCTCGCCCCTCCCCCCTCCCCCTTCATCGCGAGCATACGCCTAGACCCCGAATCCCCTCTCATCATACCATACCATCCCCGAGAAGTAGAAGAGAGAGAGAGAGAGAGTATGTGTGTGTGTACCACTGCCACAGCCCATCTAGCCCCCAGTTTGGTGGTGGCGGTCAGGGTCCGAGGAATGTCAGTCTACCAATCTACCGATCTACCAGTACTACCATCGACCAAAACTGCCCACTCCGGTAGCTTTTAATTTTTTTTTTTCGGGTCTGGTACTGTTCTGGACGGGGTCTGCGGAATCCTCAACCCAAAGCAAACCCAAGCCAAAGTTCTGGCGGGATGGGAAAACGCAAATGCTTGGTTCCGAGGGCAGCTTTTACACTTTTTGTCTCCCTTCCCCGACCCATTCTTCACGCGGCGATTGGTGGGGGGGATTTCCCCAATCCCAGCAACTCATCCCAGACTCTCGGCGCCGCGGGTTCTATGGTACCGGGGAAGTTAGCCATTTGGCCGCCTGTTGGCTGGACGCGCCTGGATGCCTGGGATGCCTGGGATGCTGGGATGCTGGATAGGGACCTTTGTTCAGGACGCGCGATTGGCCGCGGCGATGACACACAGGAGACCTGAGACAAGACAGTCAACCTGTCAGGCCGGTGGAGTCGGTGTCCTTCCCATCAATCCATGGCTATCATCCGCCCCGGCTTCCCCGTACATTCCTTTGAGCGCGATACTTTGGCAAGGTGCAGGCGAGGCTTCGGGCTGACATCTGCTTCTGGGAAGTCTCCGGTCTGGATCTCCAGACTGGGGACTGCGTCCGGTACCTACGTATGATGTACGATCTGATCTGATCGACTACTAAGATAGTAGTATTCTTATTCTGCTGTAGTCAGTCTCCAGACCCAGACTCGATACACACAGATACTAGAGACAGAAACAACACAGATCCCCCACGGTCAGTAAAAGCAACCCCGATTCAGACCCGCCCATGTCTCACTCCTCCTCCCCGCCTCCTCCCTAATCTCTATATACTTAGTATTACTTACCCCCCCGTTCACCGTATACACTCCGACTCAGGGCGGATGCTAATCGGGGAACCACAACCAAGATTCAGATTCCAGATTGAAAACCACCGATCGTACCGTTTCGGGAGGATGATCGTTATAGTTACGAAGCGAAGCACCGTGTCCATGGCCCAAAGCAGAACAGAGCAGAGCAGAGCAGAGCACACTCAGAGCAGAAGGGTGTCCGTGCCCTTCCAGTTCCCACGATTCTAGAGCGAACGGAACGGCACTTGACTGTTCGGGTCTTATTCGACAAATGACCATCGATCATCCCGCGAGCCTGAGCCAGGGTCTGATTAAACCGCCAGCCAGCTCCGTCTTCTTGGTATACCGGGGGTTACCAGCTTACAGCGATTGGACCACACATATACTTTTAGTATGGTAGATGTACCATTTTACTCCAAGTACCATAGGCGAAAGGAAGCGACAACCATAACCATCCATCCATCCATCCATCCATCCATACAAACCACCCCAACCCATCATCTCATTGGCCCTCCCGTAAAAGAACCCCCCTAATCCGGCGCTGCTCGCGACCGCTTGCTTTTTCCGTCTGTCGCTTTGCTTTTTCTCTACCTACTTTTACTTTTCCTTCCCTGTCCTATCTAGACTACTCTGCGGAGTAGTCTACCCCTCAAACTCAGTTCCTAGTAAAGTAAACGACGGTCGGTCCTTAACTTTGGGGGATTTTTTTTAGGTACGGTAACTAACTACAGAGAGTTACTACTTAGCTAAGCATCTCGTGGAAATGTCAACTTTCGTCCGGCGTCCGTCCACCACTGACCGCCAAGCAACAACAGCAAGGCAAGGGTCCAGTTGGAATGGGCTGGGGAATGGTGGAGGGGAGGGGATGGGGAGGGGATGCATCGCATTCGCTAACGACTTATTCGCTCACCCTCACCGAGGGTTTTGCCTTGCAGGGTGGAAGGGCGACCTGAGCGCACCACACCACGGGTGCGGTGCCTGATTATCTATCCGGCTTCTTTACTTCTCTCTTACTTACTTGCTTACTTACTTACCTACATACTACCTAACTACCTATCTATCCAATCCCTAATCTACTGTCCCAGTCCTTGTGTGTTCTACAGAGTATAGAACAGACAAAATAACAGAATTAGATATCCACCTTATCTATTACTCACCGACAATCCCAGGTTTATGAATGGATGGCCGACTCAAGGAACGGACGGAACAACGGAAAATAAACAAACTCCTTATCCTTAACTATAGCTAGAGAGTACCTAATCACGATATTTGACTGGGTAATTACCATGACACACTCACAACCTTAACAAACCACCACCAAGTAACTAACTACCAAAGTACCTCCTAGGTAGGGACCAACTATCTACAATCTAGTAGCTACTCCGTGGTACAGTTGCAGTTTGTAACCAGTTTTCTGTGCCCGACGGCGGCCCCTGTAGTTTACGGAGTACTGCTCCAGCTCCAGCTCCAGCTCCAGCTCCAGTTCGTCCTGGGCGCTCCTGGCCGACTCGCGGGCCAAGAACCAAGAACCAAGGAATGGATGGGGTGTACCATGAAAATCCAAACCCCCCCGATCAACTCCGAGATCTATCCACCATTCCATCCACTCAGCCACCTATATCCATAGTCACACGTCCATCTCATATCTATATCATAATCCCACAGAGTACGGAGTAGTACGGAGTACTATAGTACACATCGAAGTGGGCGTGTGGCACAGCAGTTTAAATTCAATAACGGATTGCGGATTGCGGATTGCGGCGGAGCGGCGGCGGCGGCGGCGGCGGCGTCTGAGACGTCCGACTCCGACTCAACTCCGACAGGCAATAATGAGGGGTTTTGAGACTAGGGGGAGGGAAGACTAAGGGGGAGGCGCATGCGGGCGCGTCTTTTTACTGTGTAAGTATCGACCACAGGGGAGGAAGTAGGCAAACGGTGGACGTCATCAGCAGCTTACATGTACATACAGAGAGAGAGAGAATGAGAGAGAGAGAAAACAGCCGAGCGGCAGATGCAGAGGCAAAGGGTACAGGCCACTTACCCACTCACTACAGACAGGCTGCAGATACTATCTACTACTAACACACTGACACTGCAGACTCATAACTACTCATTAGATACTCTCTCTTTCTCTCTCCATTCCTCCTCTTCCCACTATACCATCTATAGTAACAGACCAATCTATTCCATCCCCTCAACCCCCATAGTCCATACTACATAATAAAAACAAACCCGGCCTAATATCTCCAAATTGATTAAACATGGAACATGGCATGGCATAGTCTAGCATGGAATGAATGGATGGATGGCCATGGCGCTCGCGCCGCCAGGAAGGTTTTAGCTCCGGCCGAGCTAAAAACTCTGAGATCTCGGGCTTGTGGGCTAGCGGGCTTGCGGCCAGCCCCTCCTACTTATCTGGTGCAAGTTCGAGAATGAATGAAACCGGCCTAGATAAGTGAAAAGCCACCACCACCACCACTAAACAGATAGATAGCCGATAGTTATTGTCGGGTACTACGGAATAGTCAGCATGGTAAGCATGGATGTAGTTAGTAGTGTAGTATTCCGTAATCTAACTACTTGGATATCTAAGTTATAGCGTGCGCCCGCCTTCCTTTCATAGACATGATGGAATAATGAGCTGACCTTCTATTGCAGCGAGTGGGGCCAACGGGGACTGGGATTGCATTAGGGATCATCATCAGCAGCAGCACCAGCACCAGCAGGGTGAATGATTCGTTTCGCTCGGCTGTTGGATAGTGGAGGTGGGTGGGCACGCATCATAGCATGATTCATGTCTTATTTCTTACTACTATTATCGAGACTACTACTACTACTACTACTACGGAGTACTTTGCTTTCCTATCTAGATAGATAGATAGAGACTTGCCAATTTCCAATTTCCAACTGGCGATCCAGAGCAGACGAAGGATCGCGCGAGGTAGGACCATCCTGGTTGGTACTATAAGGTAAGGTAAGATGGTAGGTCAGAGTCTGGACACATGGACAAGGAAAGGACATGGCCATGGCCATGGATGGCCATCCATCTGTCCGTCCGTCCCACATGCTCTCCCTCCATGCGACAACTGCAAGATACAAGGTGACACGGTTTCAGCCTCGAGAGGCGGAAATCCCGGCCTGCCCGTCGTCATTGTCCGTGTCCGATCGTTCCCAGCCCAGCGGATGAAACAACGTCAGCTGTGTGACGCGACGCGAGCGCGACAGACAAACCCATCTCTCTCTCTCTCTCTCTCTTCTCTTTTTCTTCTGACAGGATTAAAGAGTATGTATGTAGGCAGGGACAGGGGGTAAATTAGGAAAGAAATGAAATTCAATTATAATAATAATAAAAATCACATAAGATAGGCAAAGCTAGGATGACTACAAACAAAGGAAGCCTAAATCAGCAATGCTGATGATGATGATGCTGCTGCTGATGATGATGATGGTGGTGGTGATGAAGCTGAATGGTGATGATACCAACCATGAGGGTAAAGTTAAACTAGAATAAAGCTAAAAGGAAATCTCCACGACCGGATTTGTCCCCCCCCCCCTTCTCTGTCCCCCCAGAAGAAAAAAAAAAAAAAAAAAAAAAAAAAAAACAGAACGGTAGAACTAGAGAACCCCTACTTAGGTAGTTAGGGGGGAGCCCTCAGCCTGGAGAGGCCTAGTCACAGGTATCTATCTAGTGGGCTGATTGGGAGCCAGGATTATTATCATCATCAACACAGGTCACAGACAAAGTCGCACTAACAAACAACAAACCCGATTCTTGCAAAAAGTCGGCCAGGTCGGCCAGAATGCTCCGTAATTAGATGAATAGTCTAGAGGCCCAGAGGGATGGGATGGGAGGAGGGGAAGGGGGGGGGGGGGGGTGGTGGCTCCACTCTCGAACCTTCAGGAAAATCCCAAGACTCCAGGAGGCCAGGACTCCCCCGGCCGCTGGCCGCTGGCCGCTGGCCGCAGCAGCGGGCACTGGCAGAATAATAAACCAAGGTTGGCTGAAGATGACCGACCGACCGACCGACCGGACCCAAAGGCTAATTTAGACAAGTTCTAGTTAGTTCGACCGTAGTTTGGAAACTTAAGTGGTGCCAAACCATCCGGGGCGGCGGGCCGGGTCCATGGTCATGGGGAGGCTGAGACTGCCAGAGCCAGCCCGGCCAGCCAGCGGACAATCAGCAAAACTGTTGCAACAACCGCACCGGCACCGCACCGCAGCAAACTCGGTCAGATCGGCGGTTTGAGAGTTGAAACTTTGTTACTACCACTGCCCACTGCCCACTGGCTACGGAGTACTACTGGCTACTTTACTGGATTACTGATTGATTGTCTTCTCTCGCTCCACCCACCGCGCCAGTCAGTCCACTCCGTCCATCTCCATCTCCATCTGACAGCGGCAAGGCTCTCGACCTGCAGCTCAACGACTCCGTGCTAGACGATGGACACAATCAAAAATAACTAAGTAAAAAAAAAAAAAAAAAAAAAAAAAAAAATTATGAGTGGTTGGTTGGTTGATTGGTTGCATGCATCCGTTGCACAAAGCCTCATGCCACGTTTTTTTTTTTTTTTTTTTTTGCCCCGGAGATCGCGCTCCCAAGATCCCAGACACAGACACAGATACTTACACAGACACTCCTACTCATACCCCCAATCCCCATCATCCATAATCCATGTCCATGTGACGAGATGCCGAGGAAACTACTAAGTAATATGTGAGAGGACGGCAGCAGACAGGGAAGGAGAGCGCGAGGCAAGCAGGCATATGCGCTCATAGCCGAGATGGGATCCCTGTCGACCTGTCATGTCGTGGTAAGTCCGTACTTAGGTAAGTAAGTAAGTAGTAACTATGTTGAGGATCGCTCTCGGCCGTGAAATTGGATTTGCGCGACCTCCAGCGCCGTCCATGGGTAGGTAGATTGGAGGGGGGATACTAAGAGGATGGATAGAACTAGATTGATAGATAGGATTTGATGCTACAGATTACTAAGTAGGGGGGGGGGGGGGGGGGGGAAGGTGGCACTATCTTAACGACTTAGGTAGATACTCCATAGTATAGATAGACAAGACACATGGATGGATGGATGACACTGCCAAAACATCACGGGATCATCGAGGGCCACTTCAGACTAACCCCTCCGCGCTAAGCCACAAGCAGTAAAACTGTTCGGTCCTAGCCGATCCGACCAATCAGCCTCCCGCGGCCATTCTCCGCATTGGACGGCGTAGTCCGAGCGGACCAGTCAGCGGTCGGCGCTGGTTCGGTAGATCCGGCGAGAAAGCCAATCGCGAATGGAGTGGTTCAGCTTCTCGCCAGATACCTCCTGATCCGGTTAGTGTGGGTGGGTTCTTTCCCTGCTGGTCTTGTTTGGGTCGACCAACTTTATTATCCAGTCACATCCAGGATGGGGATGGGATGGCCCTGTCCCTCAACAATAATATTAAATCAGATTTTCTAATTTCTGGTTTCTGATTATTATTCTGGGTTGGGGTTGATTACTTATTCAAAATAATCGTTTAGGTTAAATATTTTTCTTTCTTAATTTATATCTACATAGGTGGGTAAGGTAGTAGTACTTAGTTACTTGGGTACTTCCAGGGACAGTAAGTACTTAGTATACTATGTACCCGTATCTACATGCATATGTAATAACTAGCTCATAAGCAGAAAATAAAGGAGGTAAGTACTACTAGACAGACTCAGCCAGCCATAACCTAAACCCTGGTAAGTGCAGCTTCCCTCCGAACTGGAAGTCCCCCGAGTCCTTGAATTCCTCAGTCAGTCCTGACCTGGACGGGTTGAAACTATACTACTTGGTTAGTACCCAAAACTAGCCCCCAAAAAAAAAAAAATCCCACGCCCCAGGATCAACCATGTCAGAACTCAGAACCCAATAACTTGCTGTATGGCATGGCATGGCATGGCATGCCTCGTGGCCTCCTTGACGATTACCCATAGGTTAGATAGGGGACGGGATACCCACCCTGCATTTCAGCAGGGAGGAGGGAGGAGGGAGAGGGGAAGGATCCAGTCGGGCGGATTCTGTCCGTTGAAGTTGACTCACAGCCTCATCCATCTTCGGCCGGGTTCCCTCGACCTATCTACTTACTTACTACCCATCTATTTACTTCCGTGATACCTACTGGCTGGGTACTGACTGGTTGGGGGCGCGTGGGTGGGGGGAGGGGAGGGGAGGGGAGGGTCACAGACTCACAGACTCACAGTAGCCATGAATCAGTGCCGATGTTTAAATTAATTAATGATCTCCTGGGATAGTAGGTGGTAGTCTGATCCTGTAGATAGTTAGTAGGCGTGTAGGTGTGTAGGTACAGGAAGTAGGTGTAGGCAGGCAGACAACCTTGACACGTCCAGACCGCGTCCGCCATCCCCACCCGCCAATCAGATGTCTCCCAGCTCACCCGTCGCATCGCATTCCTGATGCGGCTACCACCTCCTATCACGTCCATCCATATATAATAAGAAGTCTGTTGGTGAATACCACGCTGCTGCGACTGCGACTGCGACTGCGACTGCAACTGCGACCATGCTGAGCGACCTTACAGTTGCCCTGCATCAGGGATGCAGTATACTGAGCAGGCGAGGCGTATCCACTTAGGATTATTGATTATCTAACAGTGAGTAAGTCCGTCAGCTCGGTGACAAATCCACAATCCCGGTCTGTAACATGCATGTTGGGTTTTCTAGAATCTTGGGCTGACTGCGTCGTGTTGCACTGTGTAACGGCTGCGTCATTGGGGTCCGTCATCGCTGAGTAGTACTTGAATACTTGGTTGGTTGGTAGCGAGGTAAATACTAGGTATAGGTGCTGGAGACCGACCAGGGTAACGTGGGAGGTAGTACAACTAACTAGTAGATAGCCTGCCTGCCTGCCTGCCTGCCTACTTACTTACTTACCTGGCTGAGATAGAGAGATAGGAGGAGTAGGAGTACAGAGTACATACGTACTACCCACCCATATTCATATTCCCTATTCCCTGTCGATAGAATACTTAACTTTGGTGTACGGTACTACGTAGCTAGTAGGTAGGTAAATAGGTATCTCGCCAGAAAAGAAAATCCTCAGTGCAGATCCATCCACCCACCTACCCCGGTCAAAGGCTAATCATGAGTGTCAACCCTACGCTCTCCATATCCGGCTGGTGCGGTCAGGGATCGAGATCGCCTCGCCTCGTCTCGTCTGGTCATCTCGTCTATACATCCAGCCACCATCTCATCCGTTCCAGATCACGGTCGGTCGGTCTGGACAGTATCTGCATGTGGGTGTGGATATCGGATCCGTCAGTGTCAGTGTCAGTGTCAGTGAGCGTCAGGGTCAGGGTCAGGGTCAGTATGTCATCTTCTTCCACCAGCATCCCATGCGTATTATCTATCCCTACCACTATCATCATCATCATCATCATCATCCAAGACCTCGAATCTAGACTATCCATCCATCCATCCATCCATCCATCCATCTATCGCAACTCAACCCATCTCATCTAGACCACTCCACGGACTAATCAGCCACCGACCTGTCCCTACTCCCTACCCCCTCTGAAATAATACCGGGTCGGGTGGGTGGGTCGGTCGGATCCCGGGGTCGGGCGTTGGGGAGATTAAGTTATGGTAGTCTGGTAGAGAGGTGGGTAAACCAGTGAGTGTTGTTGAGAGAACATGTCATGTCATGGATACTCACTACCCAGGCTGACGTAGCGTTGGTGTGGTGTGGTTTTATGTCACGCAAGCCCAGCAGACACTGGGATTAGGGATGGAAGGGGAGAGGGATCTGATCCTATCAGGGGAGACGAGGTATTTGCTGTTTTGGGTGGTGTGCTACGTACGTACATATCCATTTACATTACATTTACATTTACATTTACATTTACATTTACATTTACATTTACATTTACATTTACATTTACATTTACATTTACATTTACATTTACATTTACATTTACATTTACATTTACATTTACATTTACATCTACATTTACATTTACATTTACATCTACATTTACATTTACATATCCATTTACATCTACATCTATACATCTAGGGTATCCCACCAGTACCTACCTACCAACCTACTCACTAAAGCGTGTTACTCATTGAACTACCCACCTACCTACCTGGTAAGGAAGAAAGAAACCATGTCCATGCTTTGTATATTGTGTCTGGGTGTAGAATTTATGTTGGTATGTCTGGGTAGGTAGGCAGTGAGTGTATCTTATGGTGTCTGTCTCTCTATCTCTAGACAGTCAACACACAAGATGAGACGAGACGAAACAAGATCCGATACATTAAACACCCATTTAAACAAGCAAGTAACCAGGTAAGCCAGTAAGCAAGTAAACACAAAACCACTGCAGCTTCACCTTCACCGTCACCGGGATATAAGTATAGTAGTTAGAGTAGTATGGAACTGAAAGAGTGGAAGAGTGGAAGAGCAGACTAGAAGGGAGGAGGGGTATTTATTAAGTTCATTCTTTGTTCTTCTACAGATACTAGTACTTTACCTACCCCCTTCCCCATTGGGCATGATCAACATGATGATCGGAAGAGTGAGACTTGAAAAAGAATAATATCCATTTAGTTGTGTAGACGGGCGGTATTCCTCCTATCTTAGTGCTTCGGTGTTTTAGCAAGTAAAGACAATGATGTTTCTATATACTATGTATATAGTATAGTATATGTATGGAATGGAATGAATGAAATGGAATGATATACAGATGGGAACGGAGGGAGTAGATGTTTATTTATACTACTATCTTACTATCTTACTATCTACTACCACCTACCTCCTACCAACCCCCATCAAGGACAGGACAGTCACAGCACCCATCATAAAATAAAATATAATAAAATCAATCAATCAAACCATAATTCACAATTCAAAGACGCCCAAACTCTTCCATCCCATGCCATGCCTTTACCCATCCCATCCATCCCATTCCTAATCGCATGCAAGCAGGCTGCAGGCTGCAGGCTGCAGGCAATCATGTATCCCCCGCCGAGAACAGCAGAGCCAAAAGAAGGCACACTATCTAAGGTTACTAATCTACTGGTCTATCTAAGTTCACAAGCAGAATGCAAGAAAAGAAAGATAAAAGGAAAGAAAGAGGGTAAGTAAGTAAAAGAAAAAAAAAGCCAAGAAGGAAGAAAAAGCAGTACAGATCTCATCAGGCATCATCTCGTGCGTGTGTGCGAGGCCGTTCCTGCTAGATAGGCAGGTCAAGGCAGGTCAAGGCAAGTCAAGTCGGTCCCGAGCCAGACGGGCAGGCAGGTATGGCCCCAGGGAAGAACGGAGGGTTGGGTTGGGTTGGGCTTTTTCAGTTCGTTGGTTGTTCATCTTTCAAGCAACAGACAGATTCAACATGTCAACATGGTATGATATCTTCTTCCTCTTGCCATCTTTCCCCATTCCTTCCCTTTTACTTGTCCAACTCCTTCTCTTTCATCCATGCAAACAACCAGCCAGACAGCCAGCAAGTCCCGACAGCGATCCACGCAGTCAAAGACTCAACGCAACGCAACGCAGCGCAGGAAATGAAGCAAAGCAGGTAGGTAGGTAGTAAGCAAAGAAGAGAAGAAGATGAACCGGGCATCAAACAAAACAGCGGACAGGCTCGCACGCCTCGCTTCACCCATCCACTCACCCAGCCATACTCTTGCTCTTGCTCTTTCTTGTCTTGCTCGCTCTTACTCCGCTTGATAGATCCATGATACCGACCGTCAATCTGACTCATCAAAATAAGAGAGAAAAAAAAAGAGAAAAAAAGAAGAGAAGAAAACCATGATCTGGAAGAAAAAGAAAGGAAATGCAGTTTTATGCGCCTTTCGCCATGGAATTTTGCTTTCAAATGGTGGAAACATTAACATGACATGACAAAAAAAGATCAAATATAGAATCTAAATCTGGTATACAGAACGGAGTTTCTGGGCAACAGGCGCCGCAAGTTGCGACAGGAATGAATCGAAGTTGGGTATCATATTTTTGTATCCTTGCAGCACCTGTTATAGTTAGCAAGAGAACGAAAGAGAGAAAAAGACGGGTGGGGGGAGGGGAAGAGAAGAGAGGGAGAAGAAAAAAAGAGAGGGAAATGGAGCATACCTGGTCAAACGATGTCTGAATATCACGATAATCCTCCTGGTTCATAGACTTGCTCGGGAATGCCGCAATAGCCTGGAAGTACTCAGCCAGACACGACTCCATGGCCTGCGGGTTCTTCATGACGACCTGGTTGAAGCCGAGGAACGCCGACGCCTTCTCGCGCGTGAACTCGATCTTGCTCATCGACTTGAGGAACACCCCCGCGAACTCGCCCAGCCGGGGCGCCAGCTGGTCCGACGAGCAGATGCCCAGCCGGCCCAGCGCCATGGCCGCGTTCTCGTTCACCGAGTCGATGATCTCCTCGTTGTTGATGATCACAAACAGCCCGTGGTACAGCTTCTCCGTGTACGGCGAAAGCGCCGCCTTCTCATTGACTGCGATCTCACCGCACGACCAGCAGGCATTGTTGAGCACGCTGAATCCCGTGTGTCGGTCGTCGTCCCGGATCAGGTCCAGATCCAGCTGCTTGATCAGCGTAGGCAGAATGTTCGGGATGAACGGCTCCAGCTGCGGGAAGATGTTGATCGCGCAGTCGCCCAGCAGCGCGTACGACGACTGCCGCACCTCGTAGTTCGGGTCCTCCATGCAGAAGCAGAGTAGGTCGAAGAACCGCGGCTGCGAGTTGGCCACCAGCTCGCCGCTCTTCTGCGGATCGATCGCCTGGATGATCGCGCTCAGGAGGTCCAGGCTCGTGACCAGGAAGTCCTTGTCGGGCTCCTCGATCGCTTGGTTGTTGACCGACGCCAGGTACTCCTGCAGGTTCTCGTAGATGATCTTGGTGCACCGCTGGAAGAGGGGAGGCGCGAACGGAGCGAAAGCATCGCCGTACGCCGCCGCGATGTACCCGAGACACTCGAGGAGTGGGAACAGCTCTCGCGACTGGTCCAGCACCTTGTTGTAGCGGTCGATCAGGGCCGGCATGAGGATGTCCACCAGCTGGGGCTTCGCCAGCTCGCCCATGACGGACTCGGCGAGGGTCTGCACGCAGTCGTACAGGATGTACATGTTACGGTCCTTGTACTTGTCGAAGCACTGCACGAACTGGCGCAGGATGGGCTCGCAGTACGGGACGAGGTTGGCATCGGACTTCTCCTCCAGGCTGGCGAACGCCGAGGCGGCCGCCTCCTGCACCTTCTTGTTGCCGTCCAGCATCCGGCGCAGGATCCCCTCCATCATGGGCTCGAAGAAGCGCGCGCGCTCCGACGGGTCGGCCAGGTGTGACGCCCACTCGGAGTACCGGCCCAGACACCAGCAGGTGATCTGTCGGACCACGGGCTGCGCGTCGTTGAGCAGAGAGATGAGATACGGCACGAGTTCCGGCAGATGCGGCGTGACCGCGTCCATGCAGCCGTCCGCGACGGCCCCCAGGGTCAGCACGGCGGCCTCCCGCTGCGGCCACTGGTCATGGCGGAGCGTCTCCTTCAGATACGGCAGGATGACCTCGAAGATCGGCTGGTGGTAGACGTTCGAGAAGACGTCCAAAGCAGCCGCGGAGCACTTGCGGAGGGTCCACTCGTCCTCGGGGTCGTCTCCGAACTCGGAATCTTCGATTTCGCCCTCGCTGAGATCATCGTCGTCGTCCTCCTCCTGCTCAGGCGCTCCGTTGCCATTGGCCTGCTCCGGCTTGGAAACGTCGAGCCGACCGGCCTTCGACTTGGCGAACTGCGGCTTGAGATCCTCGGCGCGATCCTCAACCTCCGCGTCGTCACCCTCGCCGGTCAAGCGGATGGCCTCGTCCTCGTCATACACCATGCTCTGCAGCAACACGGGGACGATCTTGGACATGTGCGGGGCCAGGGGCTGCTGCAGCTTGATCTGCTCACCAGCGACCAGCCAGAACTCGGCCGCGTCCAGCGCCAATTCCGGGTCCTCGCGGTTGTGCTGCTGCATGATGATGTAGTTGACCAGGCCCTCCATGTGGGGGATGAGCTTCTCGGGGGCAAAGTCGACCAGCTGGGCGAAGGTCTGGCAGACGTTGCGACGCACGTCGGTGCTGGAGTCATTGGCCAGCTGGAACAGCTGCGACAAGAACAGGTCCATGGAGGCGATCAGAGACTTGGGGCGGTGGGGCAGGAAGATGTGGATGGTGCCCAGGGCCATGGAGCGGACCTTGGGGCTCTCGTTGGAGGTGAATTCCAGCAGCTTGGGGATGATGACGTCGAGCGGGCACTGGCCCTGGTAGTCACGGTCGAGAATCTTGCGGTTGTCCTCGCAGACCTTGGCGAGGGCCGACATGGCCGCCTCCTGCGCCATGAGCGGAACATCGCCGGCGGCGTTGGCCACGAGGGTGAGCAGCTCGTGGAGCACGTCGGGCCAGGCTAATAGACCGGCCTGCGACACCAATTCTGTGATGATTGTACCGGCGGAGTTGCGCACGTGGGAGTTGGCGTCGCGCAGGCCGAGCAGGGTGGCCGATCGGATGAAAGTCAGGGCGGGCTGGGGGATTGTGTTATAGGCCACGCGGATCTTGGTCTTGAGGTTCATGGCGGCCGCGAAGCGGACCATGTCGTAGGTTTCCGAGTTCATCTCCAGGACCGGAGAGGGCTGCGGGGTGCAGAACAGGTAGGTGATGTAGTTGACATAATCTGGCGACGAGGTGGCTTGCACTAGCATCTATCAGACAGCAAAAAGCCGAGGCACTTCGGTCAGCGATTTCTGAAATTTTCACGGCGTGCGCAGGATGGGATTTTGGGTCATCGCGAGGGAAAGAAGACTGCAGAGAAAATTTGTAGTCTCCGGAGCGAACCCTGGCAGCGAATGTAAAAAAAAAAGAAAGAAAAAGGAAAAAAGAAAAAAAAAAACCAAACGAACAAGAGCGGGGGAAAGAACGGAAGGGGGGGGGGTAGGAACATGAACATACCTGTTCGGCCTGTTTTTGGGCTGGGCGGTCATAGGGATTGAGAGAATCCCTGAGGCAGCAAGCCAGCTGCCTCAATGGATCGTCTTGAGGTTGCCACTCCATTGTAATGTGAGAGGAGGGAGAGAGGAGGGAGAGAAGAGGGAGAAGAGGAGGGGGAGAGGGAGAGTAGAGAGGGGGAGGGGGGGGGGGGGGAGGAGAGAGGAAGAGGGAGTAGAGGGAGGGAGGGGAGGGAGAGGAGCAATTGCGGGAGGAGAGGAGGAGGGAAGGGCGAGCGAGAGAGAGAGCAGCACCGTTGTGTAGCCCAAAGAAACCAACCCCGCCGTTGCTCTGGCTGTCTGTGGCTTTAACCCCTTCTTCCCCAGACAGGTTAGGGGGGAGAAAAGATAGCAGAGAAAAGACAAAAAAAATGAGCTGGAAATGACCCCAGCCAGAGAAATGCAGGACAAAATCGCAGACAAAGCAGACAAGACACACGGGGGGATTGCAACAGCGACGAGCGCACAAATAAAGGGCTGGTGGTTGGTGCTGCTGAGGGCTGTGCTCTGGTGACGACAAGAGCGACAGTCTCTTTCTTTGGCTCTGCAAATACCAAGCACCAAGCAATAAAGCCCGTGCACCGGGGGAAGAAGTATAACCCTTACACCCTGCGACCAGATGGACAGATAGTAGCAACAGCAACAGCAACAGCAACAGAAACAGCAACACCAGTATAGGAGTGATAACACAGACTGAAGTTCAATCCGTCGAAGTTGATCAACCCACTACATCAGTCCTGTCCTGGGCAGACACACACACAGACACACACACACACAAATACAATACATCAATCAATACGTACCTTACAGACATGGCCCCTAATAACCTAATAAATTTCAGAGGTCTGGCGCATGCGGTATGCCACCAAACCGTAAGATACCGCTCGCCCCACTGCCGCCCGCGCTGTCTGCCGTCCAGTATCGTATGCTGGGCCGCGGGTCAATACCGTCCGTGACCGGGTGATACCTGCCTGAGAAGGAGGGGCGCGGACGGTTGTGTAAGTATAGTATATCTGTGTATGTGATGTGACCGGGACTTGGGACCTACTACTACCAGAGAGGTACATACTACATACTATACATACTAGGAGGTACTAAGATCCTTTGCTCTACAGCAGCCAGACCAACACACCACTCTTGAGATACTTCGGGCCTGCTGTGCGTTTTGGCAGTTTGGTCCCTTCTTCGTAACTATAGTAACTGCTACCACTTAAGCAACTGCTGAGTATATACCTCCAAGTACTGCAGTTGTTGTGCTGTACACTGACTACTTATCTGAGTAGGTACTAGGTACTAGGTACTAGGTCCACCACTACAACGACCACCGTGCAAAGCACCTCGTGGTGCAAACACCATCATGAGACCTGTCCTGTCCGTCGGCGATGATCCAGCCCCAACCCCAGCATGACCTATCAGACCCAGGGTCCCTCGTGCACCCCTACTTCCATCCATCGTCCGTCGGAGCTATCCCAACCCCGGAATCAGATATCATCGCTAGCAAGCACCGAACCGTAGAAGTAAGATTTAAACACCACGTCTACTCCATACCGTATGTACACCCTATACACCCTATACACCCCACCCATCCCGATAATCTACGCCCACACCATCTTTTTCATATCATAGACCAGATGCTCCAGATATCCCGTGCGTTTCTTAGCCTCCTCAACGGAGATGATATCCGATAACTCGATGATGGAGGGTCGGGCGGCGGCGTCCTTCGAGTTCGCGGATCCTTGGCCGGCACCGGCGCGGATGGCGCGCTCGATCTCCTCGCACATGCTGCGCACCCAGTCGGGCTGGCTGACCGTGGCGCTGCGGGAGGTCTGCGGGAGGGCTTTGAAGGCGATCAGCCGGGTCGTGGAGTGCGAAGACCCCTTGAACCAGGAGTACATGCTCCATTCCTTGCTGGGGCGGGCGTTGTTGTCCAGGGTCTCGGGGGCGACCTGGCTCTGGAGGGAGCGGGTGTTGACCCGCAGGGCGTTGTCGTCGCCGGCGCTGTATTCGATGACTAGGCCGACGTTGTTCTCGGCATCGGTTTGTGCTTCTGTTAGTACCGAGGTGATGTAGGTGCCGTAGTTGATCCGGGTCACTGAGTGTAGGTCGATGCGCTCGTATGAGAGGACCTTGTCGACGTTCCAGTCGAACCGGCAGCTGTAGATGGCGGCGTCCGTCAGGAGAAGCACCGCTTCCTCGAAGGGTAGTGTGCGCAGAGTGTTGGGCTGCCGAGGGGTCAGCATCGTCCAACCGCCTAGGAACTCTTCCGACTGGTCGCTGATCACGATCTTGCAGCTGGCGTCGATGGCATTCTGCCGCAGCTTCTGTACCGAAATCCCGGGGTCTGTCGTCTGCATCTCCACCGCGAACTCCTGGAATACCTGGGGAGAGACGTTGCCCAACAGGTAGTCGATGCACGCCTGGGAGAAGTAGTCGTTCACGATGTTGTTGTAGTAGCGGGACAGCGTCAAGCCGAAGTCATTCAAGGCGCCTCGGTAGTCCCGCTTCCGGGTCCTTGTATAGTCCCCTTTCAGGGCCGCGGTCGAGGAGTATTGCTTGGAGATGGCGTCTCCGTTGTCAGCCCACAGCGTATTGAACCACTGGGTCGACGAGTCGCGGCCCAAGTCGATGTTGATGCCTTCGCGCTTCAGCTCCCGCTCGAGAGCCCATTGACCAAAGGCGCACTGCGCGACCCCGGTGCGATCGAGGCAGTCCATGCAGTTTGTGCGTACAATCCCGGTTTGGTGGTTGAGAACGGCGTCGTTCCGCACCACCGTATCACCGAATTCTTGCAACGTCGCATTCAAGCGGTCCACCAGCCGGCTCACGTTCTCAAACTTCATCCCCCGGCATTCGTTGTGGAAGTCAAACCACTCTAGCGCGAGCGGCACGCCGTCTATCCCCCCCGACTCATTCAACGTCCTGGCATACTTCTCATATTGCTCGCCAAGTTTGAGCTCGCCCGCTTGTTTATCGATGAGCGAGACCCCCTGAATCTTTCCATATCTCCGGCTGAAGTTGCGGAAATGTCTCTCGAAGGCAAGCTGGTTGGTTTCGGCGGAATGATGTAGCACCGGCACAGGCTTGAATGCATAGGGTGACTGAGAGAAGTACAGCGGGATCGATCCGCGCACTTGGAGGTAGGAGTAAGCATTATGCGACGGATCCCAGTCAGGAACCGAGAGGATCTGCTCGGTTTCCACCGTGTTGGCAGTATTTCCGTCGTCATCGACACCGCGACGCAGATACCGCAGGCCCGGGCGCTTGACGGACCGCCGGGATATCAGAGTAAGTAGATAATCGCGTTTCTTCTCGCTGGTCTGCACAGTCCGAGCCTCTTGTTTCTCACCCAGGATGCGACCTTCCGGCAGCTTCTCCTTCGGCTCTTCTACGCCAGAGGGGCGAGGGTCCGGGGGAGTCCCAGAAGCCCCGACAGTGAACTCTCTCTGGCCAACGAACCCCTGCATCAGGGGAAGAACAAAGTGATGCGCATCAACTGCGATGAACGGGTTCATGATATTACGATTCCAGAAATACTAGATCAGTCAGCAAGGTCACTTCGCCCAGGAAGAGAACGATATCGTCATACCAGCTCATCTACAATCCGGTGCAATGGAAGGTGGTTCACCAGCGACGGGTCCTCCTGGGCCCCAAAATGTCTGGTGAGATCGTAATCGTACGCAAAAAAGAAATTTTGCGACGAGAAGATCATCTTCGTATAACGCAGCAGTTTGGGCAGCAACTCCATCGTCGGGTCGGGGGGGAACGGCTCGCCCAGAGTCTTTGATGGCGCATCATTATCCTGCGCAGGAGAGGGCAGGATCTGTTCGTCTGCGCCCTTCGCCTTCGACTTGGACTCCGCAGCGGTGCCCTCAGCATCGCCCACGAAGGGGTCTGTATTTTCCTGGTTGACAGTCCCAAGCCCCGGCAGTCCCAGAGTCTTCCTCGACAGCCAATTGGCAGCGAAGCGTCCGAACCGTATTCTCTTGCCGATCACGTCTTCGGCGATGCTACCAACGCTGCGGGATCGGGAATGGGTGGTTTCCTGCTCCGGAGACGCTGGCACAGTGCTGATCTCGGTGTCGCCTCCTTCGGTGTCTGTGTCTGAAATGGCGCTGCTGTCATCCGAGGCGGTCTCGCCCTGCCCGCTCTCGCCCTGTAAGATGCTTTCCTTGGCTTGGGAGATCGCGCGAATCGCATCCGCTTGCGACGACGTCGGGATAACTGCGACATTGGTGACGGCGTAGATGGGCTTGCCTTGGATTTGGGCCACTTGCTGTCGCTGTGTGATAGAGATGAGGAATGAATATGACGCAACAGTCAGGAGTCCTTTCATTCGGGTTTGCGGTCAGCAACGGACTACTTACTGTCGGCGTAGATCGAAGCAAGAGACCGAATTCAATGCAGCGAAAACACATGATAAATCCAGTGTAATTCTGCCCCGAAAGCGCCGAAGGAGAGAGTGCTTACCGACAAGACCATACGCCTCCAAGCCATGGGAGTCTCTCTTCTCCCCCAGATCTGACACGGAAAGGGGAAGCGAAGAGATCTTATTGGTTTTGTAGTCTATGCAGATCGAGAATTCATTGTTGTTCGCATGTCTTGGCCCGTTTCCAGCGGACTGCAGGATAAGTCCATCGGCGGCCGCGACGATGACCAGCTTTCGCAACAAGCCAGGCATGGCGATGACGGTCGAATTTCGCGGGGTTGGGAGGATGCGATCGGGAGGGGAGAGGGGGCGATCAAGAGCTCCGAGGTAGGAGGGGAGGATTGGGGAGGGCTAGAGGGGGGAGGGGGGCTACGCGGCAAAGGTGAAGCTCACCAGCCGGGCCATGTCACCAATTCCTGCATTGCGTGTGAGGCGCGTGACGGAGAGAAGAGAAAGAGCGGTGATGGTGGTTGGTGATTGTTGTTGGGGGGTGTTGTTTGCAGCCGGGGTTGAAAAACGGGAGGAGTTCCCAGGCGAGCGTCCTCAGGCGACATCATCGATCCCCATGCGGACCCCACTGCCGGCCGCCCAACCAGCCCGATCGATCGTAAAGAAGTTGCCCGGTCTCCAGCTCCTTTACGTCACCTCTACCCGTGCAGCAGGGAAGTGCAAAAATAAATAGTAAAAAAAAAAATAAGAAAAAAAAATAGCAAAATCAGACGGGTGAACAATCAGTCCATAGTATGAACAGCCATGTCCGCAAGCCAACGCACAAGATTCTATCCTGCAAAATGTATCCTAGGGCCTATATACAGTTCGGGTATCTCGCAGGGTTTTCGCCTGCGATGTATGCCAGGGGGAATGAAGAAGAAAAAGAAAAGAAAGGAAAAGAAAAAGGTAACGGACGCAGAACAATCCTAATGCACATCCAAATCATTCAGGGCATCTCTTGATCCTCAGCCTGGGATTCTTGCGCTTGAAGATAAATAAAAGTACAAGGCATCCAGAAAGCGGGTACCGTTCATTCCATCGACAAACCACTGGGGGAGTAGTTGGGAGAAAAGAGGAGAGGGGCAAGGCCCGGAGGCAGGAAGGAAAAGCAGGAGGGACACGCAACGGGGAAAGGGAAAACGTAACAGCAATGTTCTTGGTCGTAAGTGCAGCTAGCAAGCAAAGGAATTCCAGCCAGCCATCATATCGTACTATAGCGTGCTCTGTTTGTTGGGTGGACGGGACACGCGATCTAGCTCTCCACTCCGTTTATAGGTAGGGCCCGGCTCGCCGTCACTGTCGGCCATGTCGGCCAGCCCGAACGCCTGGTTCTCCACATCATAGGCCCGAATGAGCCCCTCCCGGTCGCCATGGCCGTTCATGTACGCCCCCGACGAGCTCCGGCGGTGAGGCTCGTTGCTGCGACGGGACTGCATGGACCGCCGCGTCTGGTAGCCCGCGATCCCGTCCGTGGGAATCCCTTCATCGTCGAGCTTGTAGTTGAGCATCTGCCGTCCATCTGGATCGTGTCGGGAGAGGTTCAGAAGATACACGCCGGAGAAGATGATCAGGAATCCACAGAGCAGGGAGATGGTGTTCACGGCATCGGTGGTGTTGAATCCCTTGAAGAGAATAAAAGAAGCGCACAAAGTCGCAGTGGTGAAGGTGACATAGTAGAGGGGGTTGACACTTCACAAGAACAGTTAGCATTTCCAGGCCTGCGCTGCGCAAGCGCGTCGTGCACTTACATCGATGTAGAAAACTGGTTCAAGGCCTTGTTGATGTAGTTCATCTGCGTCAGAATGCAGAATCCCGTGACGATCATGAAGACATAGGTCGAGGCTTGGGTGAACTGGTTGTTTCCGCCAAGCGTGAGCTTCACCGCGATGCCGAACGCCTTGATGGACATGACGGAAACCGAGCCAACGGTGGAACAGATGGAAATGAAGATCAAGGGGTTCTTTTTGCCGTAGACGGGCGCGACGCGGTAAATCATGACGGTAGAGAAGATTGCGACTGCCAGACAGTAGATCAGGAACCCTTGAAGCGAAGGATGTCAGTATATTAGATCCGAGGCTGACAACCAGCTGGAAACCTACCGGGTTGCAGCGCATAGCCCAGGATTTCGTCAATCTTCTCCACCGGCTTGTCGGGAGGCGCATGGAGAACGATGACAACCGATCCAAGCAGACACATCGCACACCCCAGTTTGCCCAAAACGCCCAGTTTTTCCTTGAGAAAATACGATCCAAGAACAGCACTGGAACATGTCAGCGTAATTGCATGGAGACCGCCAGCAGCACTGCAACTCACCCAATCAGGACACTCAGCGCACCTAACGGCGTCACAAGAATCGCAGGTGCGAATGCATACGCGGCGAAGTTTGCGATTTCTCCCACAGCCACTGTATTCTCCGTCAGCTCCTGTCACTCCTGCGACAAACAATTGCCGGCCGTACATGTAATAACACCGCCCCACCAGACGGGACTCTTCAGATATGAGAAACCTTCTCCTTCAAATCCATGACGCTCCGATGCTTGCATCAAACCCTGTATAACCCATCAGTCGGTGATTCGCGGCGGATGTGGATGTGGACGGTAGGAGGCAATTCCGGGAGGAGTCGGCGGCGATTGGGAGACAACGAACCTTTTTCGTGATGACGAAACTCGTACCTAGGAACCTGTCAGCTCGTCCCAAGAATTGTCACAAAAGCATTGTTCGTACCGATAGCCATTGTTGACGTAATGGCCAGAATTAGGCCGACATACCTGCCCCAACGGTCAGTTTTCCATGATCGGGAGGGCCGTGGCGGCGGCCACACGCGGGCGGAGGGAGGGGGCGACGGCATACTTGTCTGAAAGCATTGTGAGGGTCTCCGTGGAGCGGATTGCTCCTCGCAATTGAGCGACTTCAATGCCGATGAGGGTTGGGAGGGGAGCAGTCCGGGTGGGACTTGACTGGCAAGCAGGACGGAGGAGAGGCTGAAGTTGGACGGACGGACGGACGGGGTTGGGTTGGCTGGGATGATGCGATGTGATTGATGACCAGCGACTGACTAACTTAGCCAAGCATTCGGAGGGCGCCAACAATACTACTGTGTAATGACCGGCTGTCCAGGAACAAGAACCACGAACGACGACGCTTGGGGGATAATAGAAGGAAAAAAAAAAGGTTTGGTGGCAGAAAGGAGAGAAAGAGAGTAAGCCGGGACTAGCCAGGGAAGATGCTGCAGCCTTGATGCGGCGCGGAAGGTCTGGGGGTCGAGAACTCCTGCGATCGAGGGAGAGCTTGGTAGTGACCTTGTCTGATCCTAGAGGCTGGCTGCCTGCGCTCGTGCGGTGGGGTTTTTCCCTTTCAGACGGAACCGGCCCCGATCTGGACGCGCGTAAGTGGTTGGAAGCGAGTGAGGGCGGCGACACCTGGACGCTTGGGGGAGGAAGGCTGCAGGGTGATGGGCGAGGACGGGTTGGAAAATCAGCAGGGGTTGAGAATAAGCATCGATAGACTGTGCGGAAGGAGGAGAAGGAGGAAAGAGGAAGAGAGAGAAGAGAATCGACAGAGTGTGAAGAGCGAGGGAGTGTGACGGGGTTGGCAGTTGAGTTGAGTTAGTTAACAGCTGGTGTTGTCCTCGGCTGCTGCCACTGCAGCTGCTGGTATTCCGGCTTACGGCCTTTAATTAAACTTACCTTACTGTACGCAGTACACACTGTAAAGCGTCACAGGGCAACGCACTGCGCACTTCCACTGTTCCACTATATTATTTAGCAGAGTAGACTATCTCCAGCCCTCCTATCCAAACTTCTAAATATCCTCAAATCTCCTCCCTGAATCCTCAATACCCCGTCCCGTCCGCACTCCTCCATCCTTGCCTCTGCCCAGTTGCCAGCCAGTACCTGCTTAGCTAATGCCATCCACCCCAGCTGGGCATTCCAACGGTAGTACCCATCCATACTCCGTACCGTGGCCTGAAAAAGAAGGGCAACGGTGGCCATTCCCAGCGCCCAATCACACCGGCCCCCTTAGGGACCGCTGATGGTTTCAGTATCCGATCGGCGTTTTGAAACGGAAGGCGCCTAAGAATAACTCTCGCCTGGGCGCTGGTTCCGGGGTCGACCGCGCCCGTCCGGGCTTAGTGCCGTTACCGTTCTGGTAATAACGTTGTATCATCCCACAAGTCCACCACATCCACTCTCGCATGGACAGATAGTTCAATGCTTGTTCCATAGGGAAGATCCATCCATCGGGTTTCCCCATGCTTCCATCTCTATCCCCATCTTATCGCGTTTCGGACAGGTCTCATCTCATTTTCCCGATCCTTACTTTAAATGTCGATGTCGGGACTGCACCTCGAATACTTACTACCTACTGTACCAATTGTGTGGCAGGCAGAGTAGGCAGGGTAGGTAGGGGCCAAGCTGAAGATCGCGATCGACTAGCACGAACGAGCCACGGAGTAGATACTTACAGTCAGTAGATATGTTTAAAATTGAGCAAGGCCGGAATGTGCTCGGAATCATTAGCCCTTTGTAATACTACTTACTACCTTTCAGCTGCTCAGCACTGCCGCTCTACTTACCTAGTTCACTATTTACTACTCCGATGGAACTACGACTACTGCGGTTACCCTCCAGGCTACCTTCAATCCCCACCGGGGGTCGGACAGAGGCTGTGTTATGCTGGACCAGACCCAATGAAGCAGCTAGACAAATTTACAGTCAACGCGGTCCCACCATCATCATTAACAGACCACTAGCTAGCAGCATGTAGCACGACTATTTCACACGAAGGACCCTTTTTGGTCTTACTCCAAAAGAGTAAATACTACCACCAGTCCGTGCCACATCCCTGCCAGTGCATATCAAAATCAACATACAGATGGATGGTCCGGAAAGGCGGCATATAATAAACATGCCAAGGGTCCCGGAAATGAGAGAAAAAGAGACAGAGAGATAAATAAGGGTCAAGAAAATGTCATTTCGCACCTCCCAAGGAGATTAGAGCGCAAAGTAGGTCACCCCGTGACGCCAGCGCGGAAACTACCTGGGAATATAACAACATCACAACGCCCCGTAGATCGACCACAATAGAAGGCAGCAACATACACGCCTAGACGCCCACGAACGACCATCACGGGTGGTATCACTAAGTCCAAAAACGAGGGAAGAACACAGGGAGGGAAGAAAGAAGGAGGAAATGGGCGCGTGGAGAATTATCGTGTACAAACCTGGTTTTACACCCCGCGGGTCGAATGCCCAGGACGACGCGGGTATCCCCGGGCAGTATACCCATCCGGTAAGGAACAATGGGGGCAGAGGTGAATCGAAGTAATACGTACCTGTGTGAATTAACAGTACCTGTGAGTCATGAAGGCGGATTGGGTGACATCCTCCAAGGTTGAATCATAATTAGTAGTCCGTCGGGTGGTGAAGTCGCTCCAGGAAGCGAACCCCATGGCCAGCACGGTTTGTGCATACTGATTTGTTAGATACGGCCAATCCGCGAGATGGGGACGGCAAGAGAAACGTCTAAGGGTATGATGATAGAAGGCAAGTGGTGGGCGGGTGTAAACATGGAAATCACGAGGACCGAGACCGTTTGGCATCCGGGGTTGGGATCTCCGTCAATTCAAAATCGTCCTCGACTTCACGGTGTCGTTTCGCAGGAGCGCGGCTAGGTGACTTGGCGAAATTATCTTCATCGGCGGCGCCAAGTCCCTCCGGAATGCCCAGATCCAGATACTCCTCATCGTCGAAGTTCAACTCTTCGACGTCCTCGTGGGCTTCGTCAAGTGAAGGGGCATGTTCGTCATCCTCATGGATCTCTCCTGGCTCATCTTCATCCGTATTGGTCTCGTCATCAACTGGTTTGGAATCTTTGCTAGGGCTTTTTAGCAGATCTTCCGTAATACCTAGGGAGTCATTCTCCAGCTCTGAGGCAAGCTGGGTCCTGATTTCTGGGATATCCTGGGAGACGCCATTCGGTGCCGGCTTAGTGGGGGTCTCGTCGCTGCCGTCGCCCTGTAGGGCTTCGCCATCAACGTCCTCATGTTCATGGGGATCGGCATGGGTTGTGGCATCTTCAGGCTGCGGTTCGTCTTCGATTTCCGGTAAGGCCCCTTCATTGGATTCTTCCGCAATCGGTTCCGCTACATCGCCATAAAAATCACCAGCAGCTTCTTCAGCTTCTTCAGCGTCATGGTGAACATCATCTCCTTCGGCCTCTCCGAAATCAATGGCATCTACATTAGTCTCCTCTCCATGGTACGCTTCATCGTCATCGCCTTCTGCATCGTGGTATTCGAGTTCAGGATCATGGCTGACTTGGCCGTCAACAACATCAGTAGACTTGTCAGCAATCTCCTGCTCGTCCGCCCACTCAGTTTCAGGCAGTTGGGTCACTGTAGCAGTTGATTCCGAATTCTCCTCTGAATCATAAGATTCTTCGTTCGGCTGCTGCTGGTCGCCAGAATCCGTAGGCTCGGCCTCCACCAGATTCTCTTCATGTCCACTGCCGTCTACAGCATCGCCGCCTTCCAGAACGTTACCAGAAGAGGCTTCTGCGGCGTCGTTGTGGTTCGAAACCGGGTGGACTTGGTCCTCCCGGTCTTGCTCGACTTGCTCGACTTTTTGGTCCTCGGTGGCACCTTGTGCTTGAGGAACAGATTCAGCCTCATGAGCTTGGTCAAGTTCGCTGTCATAATCATCCTCGGGTTCCGAAGAATACTGCTGAGTATGGTCAGGGTTGAACTCTTCATAGCTCCCGTCCTGGATGCCCGTGAAATCATCGTCGGCTTCAGCGTAACCGATTGACGATTGAATCTCGGACAATCCTTTCCCTTCGTTTGCGGCTACGAGAAGATCGGACATCTCCGCGGAAATTGTTAGTTTGGTGCTAAGGGTGAGGTAGAGTGCCTCCGGCTCATTTACTCCGTCATTGTGACACAAACGGAGGTACAGATCAACGATTTCGGATAAGGTCACCTTGCTAGTATGTATCGAGTCCTAGGATTATGGTTAATAACTTTTGATAAGCAATAGTCGGAGTTGACGAACCTCTGTTAGTTGGATATTCAGAGCCTCCACATCGATAACTAAAACTTCACCATCCCCGATATGCTCGTGCAGCACCGCATGACACGACGCAAAAAGCTTATCAAAAGGCCCATAGGCAAGACCCTCATCTTCCAAGAAGAACATCTCCGAAGAGTCGCCTTCCCTAGGAGGGAAGAGAGATATCTCATTCTCCTGATAGTAAACCTTTACTGGGTATAGAGGCGCCCGTTCCGCGACTGAAGATTCAGGTTTAGGCAAATGTTCGACAGCTTTCGCATCCGACGCATGGGCCTCTTCTTCTTGAAGTTCTGCCACCAATTCTTCTCCAACGTTTTCTTTTCTGTCATCGTCTTTCACCTCCCTTTCTGCCTCTGCAACTTCCTCTTGTCCTGTCTCTGCATGTGGCTGTGGCTCCTCGCCTATATCAGCTTGCGGTTGAGGCTCGACAAATTCATCTTCCTGAGTTTGAGCCGGCTGTGACTCATCCACGTTTTCCTCCCGCTCGCCGGTTTCTGCAGATGTGGCTTCTTGGAGTGGCTCGACGGGTTCATGGGGAGAGCGTGCAGGAGGCGGCGATCCGGCCGTAGCGACATCCGGCTGCTGGTTGGTGCTTTCTTCAGATTTTTCAACGTGTTGTTCATCGTGCTGCTCGGGGTCCTGGGGGATATTGTGTTCGTGTTGCTCGACAGGCTCAACTTCTTGATTCGGAGGAAGCTCGGCGGCAGGCTCGTTATTATTCGGTTCGATGATGGCATGATCCTCTGAGTTGTCAGGTCTTTCTGCCTCCTTAGGCTGGACTTTCTCCGACGGTGCTTCTGTGGCTTCGATCGCCGGGGCGTCGATGTCCTCATCGTAGTCGTCCTCTAGCATTTCCGCCTCGTAGGTCCGTTCCGTTCCATCTTGCATCTCGACCGTATAGTCAGCTTCGTTGTAGTGGTCATCGGCATCGGCCATGGTGGGCTCTGCAACATCGTCGATCATATCCGCATCGTGAGCGCCTTCGTGGTCGAAGTCCAGCCCATGTGACGCGTCCAAGTACTCGTCAGTTCCCATCATATCCTTGTCGGTTGTCGAGGCCTGATCTTCCATGATATCAATATCGATATCAAAATCATCCGCATGCCCCTGATAGGGAGAGGCCATCTCCATATGGTCGTCGGTCAGAGGAACCTCCATGGTATAAAAGGCGAGCGAAGAAGCCGTTGTCATGGCATGAATGGGCGACAAGAGAGTGAGTGATACACGAGGTTAGAGACAAAGACGCGAGAAAGTTTCGGCGTGGCGTCACAGGCGAGGACTATGCCTAACGAGCAGCCCAAGGCTTTGGACCTGGAGGGTTGCCTTCGCACGCAGTCTAAGGAGGCTCTGGCAGGGTACAAGTCAAACTAGCTGTCTCCGGCAGCAATAAGTCCGTCAGGGTCCGGAGAAATAAGGCGCGTGTGAGGGAGAGAGAGGGAGAGAGGGAGGGGGGGGGGGGGGGTGATGGATGCAACTGGTAGTAAGAGTAAGAGGAGGGTGAGGCGATGAAGAGAGAAGCTTCTTGTGCTGCGGTAAGCGAGGGGGTAGCGCGGCGCACGGGCCACCCGGGGACGAAGAGAACAGCAAGCGACTCCCGTGGCTTCGACGTCAAGTCAAGACACTAGACTTTCGACCTGACCTCGTCCCCTCCGACAACCGTGCCATTTGCGCGTTAGCTGTCACTTGCTCATTCTACCCCTCGACTTCCCCAACCATGGTATACCTCCAATTCTGCGCTCCCCCCCTGCCACTCGCTGACAATCGCGCACAAACAACAGGTCGTGCTCGCAGCGTCCATATGCACCCGCGGGGGCAAGGCTGTCCTGTCGCGCCAGTTCCGCGACATTGCTCGCTCCAGAATCGAGGCTCTTCTCGCATCCTTCCCAAAGCTCGCCGATTCCGGAACCCAACACACCACTGTCGAGCAAGACAATGTCCGCTTCGTCTACCAGCCTCTGGACGAGCTATACATCGTCCTGATCACCAACCGCCAGTCCAACATCCTGCAGGACATCGACAGCCTGCACCTTTTCGCCCAAGTGACCACCAGCATCTGCAAGAGTCTGGATGAGCGGGAGATCCTGCGCAATGCCTTCGAGCTCCTGAGCGCCTATGATGAATTGGTGACCCAGGGGTACCGGGAGAACCTGTCCCTGACCCAGATCAAGACATTCCTGGAGATGGAGAGTCACGAGGAGAGAATACAGGAAATCATCGAAAGGGTACATGCTCTCCTTGCTCTCCGGAGGTTACAGCTGGCTGACATGGCATGTCTAGAACAAAGAACTCGAAGCCACCGAGGAGCGCAAGAGAAAGGCCAAGCAGCTCGAAATGCAACGGAAGGAGGCCGCCAAAAGCGGCCGTGCGATGGCCCCCAGGACTCCGTCCTACCCCGTCTACACTCCCCCGGCTCGTCCTGCTGTGCCCGATACCTACGATACCTACGAGGCGGAGAAGAAGAAGACGTTCGCCAAGTGAGTTCCGCCTTTCCCTATCTCCGCGACCGTCACTAATGTACCCCACTCAATTATAGGCCGTTACCCACCCGCGGCAAGGGTATGCAGCTCGGCAAGAAATCCAAGACTACCGATATCTACGAGAAAGTGCGCGGCGATCTTGGCCCCGAGGTGGAAGAGTCCAGCCCGTTGGTGACCCCACAAGTCGCAACCCCGGTCGGCGAGAAGCTGGCCTCCGCTCGTGCTTCGCTGTCCACGGACCGGGAGCCGGTCCACATCACCATTGCCGAAACCATCTCCGCTACGCTTACTCGGGAGGGTGCCCTGAAGTCCTTCGAAGTCAAGGGTGACCTACAACTGCGAATCTCCGACCCGGCTTTCACCAAGCTCAGGCTCGATCTCCACGCCATCCCCACACACGGTGCCCAGTTCCGCACCCACCCCAACGTCGACAAAGCTCTCTTTACAAGCTCCTCCGCCATCCAGCTGAAGGATACCTCGAAGCGATTCCCGGCCAACAACGCGATTGGTGTGCTGCGCTGGCGGGTCGCTAGCTCGGGGTCGGACAACGCCGAAATTCTTCCCATCACATTCACCGTGTGGGTGAACAAGGGCTCTGACTCGACCACCGTCACCGTTGAGTACGAGCTCACCGGCTCGGATAGTCTGCGTGATGTGGTCGTCACCATCCCATACGGCGCGTCTGAGCCAGCGGTGTCCAGCTTCGACGCCGTCTACGAAGTGTCCGGGGACAGTCTGGATTGGAACATCGGCACTGTGGACGAAAGCAACGCCTCCGGTAGCTTCGAATTCGAAACCGTGGATGACGGAGACGAGAACGAGTTTTTCCCCATGAACGTGCAATTCTCCAAGGCCACACCTTTTGTTGAGGTCGATGTCAACGACATCACCCTTTTGGAAATGGAGGGGCAGAGCACTGGGTTCTCCAAGGATGTGAAGAGCGTCGCGGAAGCATATGTCATCGAGTAAACCTTTCTCATTTCTTCGTCGTTTGGGTGTATAGAGTACTAATGACGTTCGGACCGCCCTTTTGAGGTTTCTCTGCGAGTTATTTTTCTATGCCTTCTGTCCAGGATCTCTTTTTTTTTTTTCTTTTTCTCTCTCTTTTTCTTCTTCTCTTTCCCCCCCTGTTTGATTCTCCAATTCGAGCCTATTGCGCATACTTGTGTCTACTGCTGGCCATTCCCCGTTTCCTATCATTCGTGTTCACCTATCACCTGCACACGAAATGTGACCCGAATAGAACCAAAATTCCCTTCTGATGCTCTTCCTTCTCCTGCACGGGGTGCTGGCTGTCATCCCCGTTGGCTAGTCAAATCCGCTCAAGAACTACGGTATCCCAGGAGCGCCAAGGCGTCGTGGACCTTGGGAAGGGTGCTCCTAAGTAGGTAATGTGCCTCTTTACAGGGTTGCCAACGTAACTACGACATAATGAACGGCAGCAAACTTTGCCACAGTGCCACAAGACCGAGACAGCAACCGCCAGGTGTTTCCGTATACTGCATCCCGGCGGTGGTCGGCCTGGAGGAGGGAGGGGAGAGAGTAGAGGAGAGAGGAGAGAGTAGAGAGTCCCCCTTCTACTGGTCCCCCTTCTACTGCCGCCGCTTTTTCGTCCTCCCTTTTCCTCTTTCTTCCTTCCTCCTCTTTCCTCCTCCCACTTCCTACTTATCTTTTTTCCTTCTCTCTCCTTCTTTCACATGCCTTCAATGGATTACCCGAAGATATCGGGCCCAGAGTAAGTCGGGATGCTAATCATCATTACCATTGGTGAACTGTGAGTCTATGTTGCAATCAAGGCGACATGTCTGCATCATATCATTCTTATCGCCCTTGTCATCTTCTTGGCACCAGGTGAATCTGCCCAAGACGGCAAGTGGGAGGGCCACCATGATGATTCCGCGCACCCTGTAACCACTGAAGCGTCTCCGGCATGGCTGGGGGATGTCCCTGGTTCTTCACGACGGTTTGACTATTCCCACCAGTCTGTGGTTACGGCTGCGTCCGATCCCCGGACCCTTACAGCCTGCCACTTCCACAAGCTAGGCACGTCCGGCTGCTTCGAGGTCTACCATGGTCGTTTCGGGCCAGAGCTCCCAACCCAGCTCCTTCCCAACATCCTGGCCAGGTACACTGAGGATGGCTCCCAACCGTCTTGTCAGGCTACCTGGGGTTAAATCACTCATATAGAAGGAGCTTACTTTTTTGAACTTATCTCACAATACTTCTTGTTTGCGCGTCTCAAGCCAGGACAAGCAGCACCCAATAAGACTGAAGTCGACCATCCTTACAGTTGCGGTAAGAGCTTGAAGCTACCGGCTCTTCATGATAGCATCCAGTCAGGCGCCACCGACAGGAACCCGGGTAGCCATTACCTTGACTTCCTCGACCAGCAAAGCTTCGGCACCAGGTGTCTAGATCCAGACGAACCACGCCAGTTCCTCTCTGCTTGCAAAAGCAGCCACAAACCACTAGGGCCACCGCCATTTCCCTATTTAAAAGGCAGTCAGTTTCTGCTTGGAAGACGTTTCTTTATCACTTTCTCATCAGCTTCAGGGACCAGACTTAGGTCTACCCTTCGTCGGACTATTTTTAACATTTGAGAAAAACGACCTCTCTGCTTCTGTTTCTTTTGTTTAGGAGATGTCCTGACTGTAATTTGACCCTCAATGTCGACCACTACAATACTCGGCACTTCCGAGGGGTACTGACGGGAACATCTCTATAGATATAGTCTTTTCTCATACACTCAAGTTTTATAGTTCTTTTCTCAACTCTGCGATGGAGGCTCCAGCATGGGCAGAGCACCCTTCTCTGAGAAGATCCTCGACTGAACCGAATGGCTACAGCAATGTGGTGCGCTATAGGTCGTTAAAATCGTGACAGGTGAGGAAGCTGACCGACAGTTTCACCGCACAGAATAGCTCGGCTCCCCCCCTTTCAGCAACCGAAGCGGATCGTATTTTCCCGCACAGGAAGATGGCAATACCTCGACTGACCGACGGTATGGAGTCGGCGTTTACCTCTCCAGGCCGGTTCCACCGTCGCCACGTGAGTCGAGCCTGTGAGTCCTGCAGGCAGAGGAAAACAAAGTGCACTGGAGATAAGTCGGGCTGCCGCAACTGCCGCGAAGCGGGTATCATTTGCTGCTATACAGACGGTAAACGCGAGAAATCCAAGAGGTGTGTCCTCCAAGTCATGACAGACAATCCGTGCTAACATATGCAAACGGGTGCAAAGACAACTGGCCGGCTTGGAGGCGAAGATACAAGTCTACGACAATATTATGAAGAAGTTGAGCATTCGATTTGGTATGCCAGAGGACCAACTGATGGCCTTTGCCTTAGCTGCGGTGCGAATATGACGCCTTGCGTGGTCTTTGCTTCTCTTGTCGGTCATTTGCTGAGTATGTTACAGGAAGGGACTGCCAGTCAGGACTCACAACTTGATATGTGCACCCCTGATTCCAAAGCCAGGACGCCCTCGAGTGCCTCCCATTCTGAGTTGGCGTTATTTGCCAACTCATATAACAACTCTGATTACGTTGAGGAAGATTTCAACAAAGACGAAATCTCTCAGGCCACGGGTTTTATCGGCCAAAGCTCAGAGATAAGCTGGCTACAAACGCTAAGCAGAGAACTCGACTGCAAATCAGAGCCCACCCCGCCAAGTGAGGTTAGGCTGCAGTTGCCCGAGATTGATAGAGGCTTGATATCCGCCCTGAATTACTATCTGGACGATCAAGAAATGTCCTGTCCCAACCAGCTTGATGTTTTCAGTCTCCCGCCGAAAGACGTTGCTGCTAAGCTCTACAAGACTTACCTGGAGTGGGTGCATCCCTCTTTTCCAATCCTCGGTACCACGCCTTTTGGGTCACAGTTCCAGGCGTTTTTCAGCAACCCATCGCTGCGGCCGGGTAACAAATGGCTGGCGATCCTCAACTTGGTGTTTGCGCTTGCTGCGAAGTACACGTATATCTCGGAGGCAGATATGAAACTCGACAGAAACGATCATTTTGCATACTTCTCAAAGGCTAGAGTCTTAAGTATGGACGACCGACTCTTTCATCACACGGACCTGCAGCAGCTACAAGTTGAAGGATTAGCTTCCCTTTACATGTTAGCATCTGGTCACGTAAATCGGTATGTCTCTTTTCCTGTGTATTGCCGAGTTTACTGCCTCCGATGTGCTCACAAAACTGTAGGGCTTGGAAACTCTGTGGCAGTGCTATTCGAGGGGCCTTGGGCCTTGGGCTGCATCTGCGAAACATGGGAGAGTTTGCGTCTGACGCATCCAGGGAGATCAGATATCGTGTCTGGTGGTCCCTGTACATGATTGATCACCGGCTCACCATGATAACTGGACGGCCTTCCTGCATAGATGATAACGTTTGCACGACACCTCTGCCAGTTCCGTTTGATGAGTGTGATTTCGGAACAGATGAAGCGATTCTCCAACTCCAGCACTCCCCCGGATCAAGCCCCAGCCGGCTGGAGAAAGATGCTAGCTTAGCTTCTGATCTCCATGCCAGAACTCCGACTGCTGCCCCAAAAGCCACGGATACAATGGCTTTCCCTTCATGCGGATCACTATATTTTCTTCATCTGATTAGGCTTACGCTCATTGCCAAGAAGATGACTACTAAGCTCTACAGCCCTACATCGACGCCTTCCCCTTGGCTCAGCATAGAGTTCGCAATACACGGCCTCGTGACCGACATTGAACGCTGGCACTTGGGGCTTCCTAAGGATTACGACTTCACTTCTACGCAGTCGTCACAAGTCACCCAAATCACAAGTCATCAGCGGATGAACCTTGCTCTCCTGTTCTACAGCACAAAAATGAGTATCACCCGTCCATGTCTCCGCCAGCTAAGCACCATCAAGCACGATGAGAAGATGCATAACTATTGCAAGAAAACAGCGGCTGACTGCGTGGAGGCGGCCTGCCATATGCTCAGGTTATTTCCGGAGGATTTGGCTGCAGCAACACTGTACAAATACTCGCCGTGGTGGTGTATATTGCACTTTCTCATGCAGGCAACGACCGTTCTCCTACTCGAGCTCGCCTTCAATATGGAGCACGCGCCGGAGAAAGCGTCCATGATCTACAAGGCGGCTGAAAAGTCACAAAAGTGGCTTCGTATACTGGCCAAATCCAACATGGCATCGGAGAAAGCTCGCCATCTGTGCGACATGTTGAAGCATCGAATCGAAAACCGTGCAAACATGGGTATGCATAACATCTCACACATGGGTGCCACCCCTCAGAACTCACCAGAAGACGACGCCCACGTTCTCGCTGCAACTGGGGTAGTGGTAAAGCCACCTTCGCCTGACACTCCGCCCTCTAGAATGTACAGCGATATGCTTCCCCTGCTGGACTCCACGGGCATTATCCATGGTCCCCCACCCACATATCACCCGCAAAGTCCAGGCAGTTTCAGCTCTATGGAAACAGACCCGGAGTCTGGTGTTCCCGGTGGTTATGACAGCGGCCTTCCTTATGATCCGAGCACGGGGCAGATCACGACGTCATTTTTCCCCGGACTCGACCTGGACCTGGGTGACTTCCCGGGGGAGTTTTAGTGTCTGCCTACACCCGAATACACCTTCTCTTCTTTGTAGCACTTCTCTGCCGCTCTATCCTTCTAGCCTCGACCGACCCCGACCCTATCGTCTTTTCCTTCTTACTTCTACATAGAGTCATCACCCACCATCCACCATCCACCTCCCCAGAATGTGCTGTAATGGCAGGAAGTGACTGTTTTCTTTCCTTTACGTTGGAAACCAAAAGGTCTTCATTTTCCCCCCGCTCTCGTCTTTTTAGCTAAGACATGAGCGTTTCTTAATACGATAATTTCTAATGGCGTGTCATGGTCTTCCTTTTTTTTTTTGCTTACCGACTCTCCCTCCCTCGTTCCCCGGTCGTTTTAGCTATTTTTTTTTCTTTCGAGTTGAAGACCCGGACATCAAAGCAAGCAATCAAGCAGTCAGACAAGCAGCAATTCAATTTCGTATTACGGTTCGAGTCGAGTAGCGACAAACAACTTTGTTTGTTTAACATCACATCACAGCTTAGATTACTAGATAGAGGGTGCTGCTGCTGTTGCTGTGGCTGTTTCTGTTGCTAGCGGGTTATCACATCATATTCCATAGGTACTTTACTGTATATCTCCATGTTATCTGTATATGTATGTATGTATAAGCGTATATATCCAAGACAAGACAAGACAATAATCTCTCTCTCTCTCTCTCTCTGTGTGTGTGTGTGTGTGTGTGTGTGTGTGTGTGTCTGTAGTTTAGTGTAGTGTTGCGTAGTATAGTGTAGATGTTGTCCTTCTTCACCTCCTTCCGTGATAGTAACCCAACCCATCCCATCCCATCCCATCCCATCCAACCCAACCCAAGCAAACCGACCAAACAAGCCAGACAACCCTGCACTCTCAGCCCAAAAAGATAAATCACATCCATCATCCATCATCCATCATCCATCATATATGTCATGTCATGTCATGTCATGTCATGTCATGTCATGACAGACATAACATTGTACATCTCAGCACGCATCAGCGCCACAAATAAACAAAGAAACGAAGGGAGGGGGGGGGGTGAAGAATAAATGAAATAAATGGGAAAAGAAGGTTGAAGCTTGAACCCTATTCCGGTATCTGGTCCGGCCGAACCAGGCCCTAGGTTACCTGTTTACCTAGTTTACCTAGTTGGCTAGTTTACCTATTTACCTAGGTAGTTTTTACTTACTCAACCCAACCCAATCCAAACTTACTTACTCAGCGCTTCATCTCCCCGTCCCCTCTTTTTTTTTTTTTCCTGCTCTCTTCGCTTCTCTTCTCCTCTCTTCTCTTGCCCTCTTCTCGCTGGGCTACCAAAACTGAAACTTTAATCTGCCCCTCCAGCCGTCGCCAAGAATTGGGCTTGCGGAGGTCCCTGGGACAGGGACAGGATGGCCACGGGGATATGTCTGGATCTGAATCCGAATTTGAATCCTATGGGGGGATGTAGCGGGTCTCGGCGAGGGGAGGGGAGGGGAGGGGAGGACTCAAGGAGAGGAGGTGAGAGGGGGAGGGGAGAAGGGGATGGGGAAAAGGGATGGGGGGCTTCAAGCCTCCCAGTTACGTTTCTTGGCGGTGAATAGCAACCGGGCGTTTTCTTCTTGTGAGGGGGAGAGGCGGGGGGTTGTAGATGTAGTTGTATTTCTGGATGTGGATGTGCCGCGGGAGAGAAGAGGGATGGCGTTGATTCTGGAGAAGCGGATGTCGATGATGTGCGCTCGTGGGAGGGTGCGGTTTGTCCAGGAGGTTGGGGTTCTATTGTTGGGGATGGGGATGTTAATGTCGTTACTGGTGTTGTTACTGGTGGTGGTGGTGGTGGTGGAGGAAATCGAAGGCCAGCTCAGAATATCAACCCCCAGTAACCCCCTCCCATCACCCACAAAACGCTCGATACAGTCCAACGGGGGCGTGAACCTGCGCCTCACGCCGCAGCCAATATGGTTCGGGTCGATCTGGTAGTCGGGACATTGTTTGAGGGCGGCCAGGATGGCGGTGATGTCTGTTGGGGGGTGTTGGGAATGGGGATCTGAGTCGAAGTGGTCCGGTTCATCATCCGAGTCATCATCAGAGGGGTCCAGGGCGAAGTCGGGGTCGATGAGGGTCGAGCCTAGGAAGATGGTCTTGGTGCGGAGGGAGAAGAAGCGCGTCATTTGGCCGAGGTGGAAGGCGTCGCAGGCGCTGGAGTTGCCGTAGGCGTAGCGGCATTGGAAGAGGCGGGGTTGCAGCGTCGTAAGGGGGACTGACAGGGACGGTTTGCCTGGGGCTGGGGGTCTGGGCTTGGGGTCTGGGTCTTCCAGGCCCCCGTAGGCTCGGAGGAAGTAGGCTTGTAGGTCGGTGATCGTGTTGAGCACGCATTGTCGGCGGAAGTAGAGTTCCTCTAGTGGAGGTTAGTATTTCCTTCTTTTTTTCTTTTTTTTTTTTTTTTTGAAGGGAGAGAGAGAGGTATGGGTGTATGCACGTACCTTCTATCCCATTAGACAGATACCGCCACGGAAAAACAGGACAATCAGGCCGCTCAACACCATTGACCCAGGCCTTAGACCCCATAACCAAGAGAGCGTGTGTCATGACCTGAAAGATAACAGGCTCATTCAAGATCCGAGCGACAAAGATCGTCTGCCGGATGCGATCCTCGCTCAGCTTAAGCAGGGAGGGATCGAACTTCGAGGGCGTGAACTTCCCTTTCCCAAACGCATAGCCAGCACGCTTGAGAGTATCCCGGACAACAAGCGGAGAATTGAACGCATCCGCCAACTCCAGCAGTCTGGCGATCAGCGAAACAGGCAGGACCTTCAGCTTCGCGTTGAACTGGGCCTTCAGCTCTTCGTCAAACGACCGGAAGCACAGGATCTCCAGAAACAGCTCGATGGCATCTACCCCCAGCTTTGCGGAGAAGTGTTGACTCGGTAGTGCGATGACCGGGAGGTACTTGACCTCCGGGTCCGGGGTAAAAGGAGGAGGGCTTTGCTCATCGTCGAAAGCATGTCCATTACTATTGCCCGGCTCAGACGTCAAACCCCCTCGATGAACCATCATCTTCCGCTGCAGAAACTGTCTCCCCTCTCTGAATTTCTCCGGGTCGAGCAGCGCCCCGAAATACGGGCTGTTGCGCATCAGTTCTTCGCTGGAGACTCTCCAGCGACGGTTGCGAACCGCTGCTTGTGTCTGTGTCTGTACCGAACCACCCACCTCCCGATCCGAATCCGAACCCAAATATTCAACAACAATATTCCCCGTCTTCAAGATGACTTTATACGGGGCATCGGATTGGTCGAGATCGGGCAGCAATGGCGCGCCCTCCTCGACCTCGGGGTACTCAAACTGGTATTCCGAGCCCATCACGAGCACCAGCACGAGCAAAGTGAATCTCCGTCAGAGTCAGACGATGGAGCTCAGCTCCGCCAATGAATATGACCTCTATCTTGGCGACGGATCGCTTTCAGACCAGGTCAAGTCAAGTCAAGGCAATGTTATCTTAAGATTGCGGTTGTGGTTGTGGTTGTGGCTGTGGTTGTGGTATACCCGCCACCATCCACCAACGCTCCGTCACTCAAAACCCACCACGCTCAAACACCAACAACAGCATCGCATCGCAGCATTTCCTCAGGATGATAAAAATATAAACATATATTATTCCCTTCCCTTCCCTTCCATTCAGTATCCGCCCACATCCATAGACCCAGAACGGGGGAAAGATGAACTGGCGCGGTGCAAAGACGTTAGTGATGATGGTGGTGTTGTGGAGAGTAAACTAACTTAACTTGCCCGTCGAAAGAATTGCCTCTTCGGGCGATTGTATCACGTGACATTGTGCTAGTTTGTGCTTTAGTTAACGTTACTTTACTTTACTAAGTACTTAGAGTGGATGAGTCGATGGCGCGCGGATGTGGGGGCGGCGATTCGGTTCGATTCGATTCGATTACCGCGGGGGGCTGGCTATTTTTGTTTTGTCTAGTGTCTGTCGTCCGGGTCAGGATAGGGTTTGAGCTATATTTTACAGGGTGATTAGGCTATTTAGGTGGCTTAGATGGGACGTTAAGACGGAGGATGGATGGATGGTAGGATGAGTTGTGGATACGTGGTGGAAATACACATAAGTACAGTACATGCATGCATACATACATAACACATATAGCACCGACGGAATATCGACATGGATGTTGTTGAGGATGATGATGATGATGATAAAGGCACGGTTAAATCCAGCCCGGACCTAAAGATAAAAAGTAACCAACTAGCCAACTAACCAAGCTACGTAAGTAGCTGCGCTATTGAATGTAGCTGCGGCATAGTCACATGCGTAGACGCCTCAGTGCTCTTCTCTGTTTTGCTCTGCTCTGCTCTGCTCGAATACAAGAAACGTACTAATCCAATGCAAGCGTCGTTCCCATGGGCCGACGCCCAGGTGATGGAGACAGCATGCACGACGGAGCAAGGAGGATGCAACTAGCTCATCTCGCCGTCCGGGATGACGACGATGCGGATGGGCTACGATCGACCCCCTGTCCGCAGGTGGAGATCGGAGCAGTGCAGTGCAGGGGTTGAGACAAGGGTAAACCTAGAACGCCAGTTCGATCTAGACGCCATCCTAATGCCGCCGTTGGGCGTTAGCCCGGCCTCTTTTTGCCCCGATTGGATTGTTTACGTGCTAGCGGCTGCTGGTATTTGGAATCGCCTCGTCCCCTGGTGCTGACCGATGGCGGACGGGATGGACAAGCGGATGGTGGTGTGTGATCCTCATAGGTTATATTTCGAGGTTTGCGGTGTGATAGTGCAACTAATAAAACAAAAACAAAATTGCGGTTTTCATAGCGCTCAACTCCAGGCCCCCAGATGTGATAATGTGGCTGTTAAAAGACATAGTAGCGAAAAAATATGTATGTATGCGAACAGAAGAGGTAATTAGTCGGTCGAAATTCAATGCAATAAACTGGACATATTGCACAGAGATAGAATGGAAGAGATGGCTGGCTCTGCTCTAAGGCAGGCTCACCAGCGGGATATGGAGGATCTGGCTGTTCTTGTTCCCGGACTTCCCTCCTTCCAGGCGGGAGGATTCACGGAGCTTGAGGGCCTTGCCGGCCACATCGAAGAGCTTCGCGGCCAGTGGGTTCAGGGAATCAACGGGTAACGACGTCTCGGGCGAGGCGGAGCCGGCCATCTCATCGTCTTCGACGTCCTCGTCCTCATTCGCAGACTGGCTGTTCATTTCCGCAAGTCGAAGAGAGACAGCGGAGAACATGGCAAAGCGTGGTAAGGCTTCGTCATCGTCCGACGAGTACGGGCTCAGTTGCTGCTGTTCTTCCTCGTATGCAAGCGGGCCCATCTCGAACAGATCGCTTTTTTGAGAGACCAGGTGCCACGGCTCCCCGGACAAGAAACCCACCACGAAATCTTGGTTGGCGCGGGCAGCTGCGATGCAACTTTGCCGGTAGGCGGGCGTGAAAGCAGTGTCGGCCATGGAGGGCAGGCAGAGGACCAGGCCGCGGGCCAGCAGAGGGGGCGGAGGGAGATCCTCGGGGATGGCGGATGGGCTCAACGTGCCGAACTCAAACCCATGCCGCTCGTACTGCGGCGATTCCAGAGGGTAGTCGGTTGAATCTTCCGTGTGTTGTGAGATGGTCTGAGTCAGAGAGATCGTGGAGGCTTTGCGGGGAGGTCCCAGGCCGGAGTGGTCGACGGCGTACTCGGACAGATGTTGGGACTGGGCGTCCTGGTCGCCGCCAGCATAGTAGTCACTCGCCAGATTTTCCGCGGTGATTTCGGTCCGGATGGTCTGCGCCGTGTCCGCGACGGCCTCGCGAGCGGCCGCCTTCAAGGTGGGGATCAGAATGTCGGCTTCCTGGTTGTAGACGGCGGCGCCCGAGGCCCAGGCGGTTGATAAACCCGCCCACGCGGCGGGCTTCACCACGCCCTTGGTGTACTTCTTCCGGATCAAATCCACCACGCCGTTCCGCAGCTCTCTCGCCTCGGCCTTCTGCCGACCCACAACATCAATGGTGGAATTGAGGACGCGACCACTCTCCCAGATCAAAAAGCCGTGTTTGCGGGCCAGCGAGACCAATTGGCGCACCGTCTCCTCGGACCAGTCGTCGATGATGTCTGCGTGGACCTGGAGGATGCTGATGTGGGGCCGACGGAGGCGGCGAGGTGGAGGAGGGCGTCGGTGGTGGTGATGGTGTGCGAGGGCATCACACTCACGGGGAGTCCGTAGGGTAGTTCGGTTTTGGTTTTGGCCAGAGTTTCGAGGTAGGCAATGATGCGATTGCCGGGGAGGCCGTCGACAGACGGCGAGGAGGAATCCATTGTTGGGGGGGGAGGGGGGGAGGTTGACGAGGGTTGAGGAAGCTGATGAGGAAGCTGGTGAGGAAGCTAGGTGGAGGAGGGGAGAAAAGTTGAGGAGAGAGGAGAGGAGAAGTTGAGAAGAGGGTAGGATGGGGAAGGAGATGGGGAAAGGAATAGTAATAATGGGGGGGGAAGGGAGGAGGGACAAGTTATGTTCGGGTTCTTTGTTTCCTTCCCTCCACCACTTTCCTGGTTCAGGGAGGAGCTCCTCCTCTTTCTCCTCTCCTCTCCTCTCCTCTCTCCTCTTCTGCTCTTCCCGTTGAGCTACTACTACGACTTAGTCGGTGCTGGGCCACTAGCCTAGCAGGCAGATGGTGGTAACCCACTCCCGGTCCCTTGACTGGTCGACTCGGTCGAGACACAATGATTGACAATTGAACACCGTCCCCACTTTTTCCGACATTTAGTTCGACATGATCAGTCGACAGGGGTTAACTTGGGACTGGGAGGAGTGGGAGGGGCCCCCGTTCGGATGTTGGTTCGAGTGGTTTATCGGATGGAAGCAGATCTTCCTGGGGGAGGGGGGAAACTGATTATTCGATAGATGCATATTCGTTCCCACAAGAACCAGAACGGAAGAGGACTCCGTGAGGGAGTGTAGATAATACACACACACACACACACACAGATACAAAGTACTCCCCCGTTGTACTCCTGGATAACTTACACACACAAGCACCGTGCTAAGAAACTCAGACAACCCGAACGGAGAAGAGCCGCGAGTACCGACTCTCAGTCTCACTCTCGGCGGAAAGCACGGAAAGGTACCGCCGTACAGTACGGTACTGTATTGGATCCGAATTTGCCTCTCTCGCAGTCTAAGATCCCCTTGGGTTTAGAACCAGCCTTCAACTCCACTTGGATGATCTCCAAATGATTCCCACCCTGGGAGATCGTCCTCGACGCCGGTTTTACGATTGATTGTCATCGGAAGGAATCCTCCCTCCGACAGCGCCCATCCATCCGCCATCCAATAATAAGAATAAGAATATGACGGGGAGGATCTTCAGCGCCCCCCTCCTCCCCCCAGCCTATCTATCTCCATGGTAGGTATACTGACTGGGTACAGTGCAGTACTTTGTACTTTGTACGGTCTCTCTTCTTGTCTCTGACTTTAGGGCGTCCCAGCATCTGAGCATCCCATTCCCAGAACCTCGCACCTTTCCCCATACGGTCAGGGGTCATCCAGCCATTCATGTCGTGTCGTCGTACCCGCCTTGTCGGGAACCCGCGATCCGGCATAGTGGGCGAGTGGGCAGGCAAGTGGAATCAGCACGTAGAAATGTTACGCAACAGGCCTGTATACGGACGGGTCCTGCTCTCCTGGGCGGGTCAAAGTAGGCGGCGGTAATTTCACCGTGCCCGACTGCGGAATGATTGAGGGACCCCAGGGAAGGAATTATTCTTGTCCCTGGCCCTGAAGGTAAAAAAAAAAGTTAAAAAAAAAAAAAACGACTCGGCTCGAGACGGGATGTCTGATCATTTGCCATCTGCTATCTATCTACGGAGTATTATCTCTGCCATTACAATATTATTTGCGCAGAAAAGAGTTCTACAAGGCAGATTCCCGGGTCTGGTTCAAGTCAACCGTTCTTTGCTCGCTTATTAGCGCTCGGTTGCCCAGCGCCCGCCGCACGCCTACAAAGTAAATTAATTCCTCGCCGACCCAACCGTCAAACTAGTTTCTGAGATGCCGATCGCGTCCCGAATAATATTTACCCCAACCACGACGTCGTGAACGGTGAATCGCTATCTGGATAGACTTGGACCTGACTGCTCTAGCAGCCGATGCTAGGGTCATTTAGGTTTATAATGCCTTTCTTTGCGAGCGGCCCTGACTAAGTCCTGCCAGGGCTGTCAGGGCCGCCTCGGCCAGTCGGCCAGTCGGCCTGCAGCCTCATTTCTCAATTTCGGTGCCCAGAGACCCAAAGACCCAGAGAGAGCCCCAAACGCCGCCCTATGATACATTACATCCCACTGCCGAGTGTCTGTGTCTTGTGACGAGTCCCCCTCTCCCCGATCTGCCCAGTGCCCCCAGCGTTCAGCTCCTGTGGTACGGCCCTCGGTAGCACCGACGCTTTGACAGCCCAGCCCAGCCCGGTCCCGAGAAGAGAGGCAAAGATGGCAGAACAGTCTGCCATCTTCAGCGTCCCTCCCGTTTCAGGCCGCAGGAATAAGTGATCAATGCTCGCTTGGCTGGGGACCGCGAGTGACCAGTGCTCTGCTTCGTTACGATCCCCACGACCCAAACTCCGGCCGGATCCTGGTCCTCGCAGACGCGTCCCAACTTCCCAAGCAGGCGAGGCAGGATCGCATGCAATCCTGCGAGATCCCCTGTCATTGGTCACCTGGACCGCTTAGGTGAGGTATCCGCGGGTCGATCAGGCCATCACTTGACGGATATCAGGGAGTGGGTGCGGAGTACAGTATCCAGACTACTTGCATAGTACCTGCCCGTCTGCCAGTGAACAAGAACCAAAGTACCAGCGACCGACGGATGACGGAGGAGAGAGTACGACAACGGTGGGCTCATGTGATCGGGCAATTTACGCAGTATCATACGTGTGACTCCCTATGGGGCCAACAGTGGCTCCATCGTCGAACCGATCCTGTCTCTTCACGGCCTGCAAATTGCAACAACAATAATAATAATGCGACGATTTCTCCCAGTAGGTAGTTACGGAGTAGATAGACCACGGCAGCGGACAAATATCAGTAGCATTCACTCGCTGCATATATATCCATCCGATAAGCAGTGCCATCGCCTAGATAACTAACGGTCTTCAAATCCGACAATATGGCAGCATTAGCCTCGACGGTGCGACCAAGGAGTCCGCGGTAGTGTGCACTGTGCAGCCTAGCGCTATACTATATGCGACACTAATTGGAATATTGCTGCAAGCGGTAGCTAAATGGGCAAGAGCTCCTGATTAAGGGCGCGAGAGTGCGCGCATTTCTTCTTCTCCGCTTAAGACTTGAGGGAGTCCTTCTTCTGTCCGAATCGCCGCCGGCGTTGCGCTGCTTTCGCCTTCTGCTTCGGGGCCTGAATTTATGCCTCAGGCATCAATGTCATGTTACCCGCTGCTGACTCACCGTTGGGGCCGGCCACTCAGGGGCAAGGCCCAAAGAGGCTTAGCGGCCCTGGAGGAATCCGCAACAATCCCCGACGCCGTGGCCGAAGAAGCCATCCCGACACTCTCGGTTTGCTCGAGGAAAGGCTCATTTCTTCCCTGCATATACCATCTTGTCGGATAGCGACACTTGGATTGGCCCTGCATCATCTGGTGTGATTCTCTTGTCGTTGTGCTGTCCCGTGCGATCGGACCAGCGAAGTTTTCCTCCGGAGTTTCGGACCCGCGATCCTTGCTTGATATTTTGAAGCTCACGCCACTCCTCCTCAGCCATTTATAGCGCATCCCACCCCAGCTAATCGCACACCGTCCGACGTCGACGTCTCTCGCATTCAAGCGCCTGTCAACTTCTCTCCTGATTGAACAACTTGCGATCCAGGACCTGCTTCTGCCCTGCGACCACCATGCCTGGACGAATTCTCCCCAGTTTCACCCCGGCTGAGATCGAGACTCATAACAATGCCAAATCATGCTATGTGACCGTCGGCTCCAAGGTCTATGACGTGACCGACTTCATCGACGGCCATCCCGGAGGCGACGACTTGGTCCTGGAATATGCGGGCCAGGATGTGACGGAGATCCTGCGCGACCCGGCGTCCCACACCCATTCGGACTCGGCGTACGAAATACTGGAGGAGTGTCATATTGGGTTCGTTGCCTCGGAGGCGAACGGGAAGGCTGTCAATGGAGATGCTCCTCAGACGACAGCGGTAGACGCAGACAGCGCTCCGGTGTTTGCTACGACCGGCATGTCGCGCGAGGAAGATCTCTCCGTCGACACCGACTACAACAAGGACTACCAGACGCATAAGTTCTTGGACCTCAACAAGCCGCTCCTTCTCCAACTCTGGAACAGCGGATTTACGAAGGAGTTTTACCTGGACCAGATCCATCGCCCACGCCACTATAAAGGAGGCGAGTCCGCGCCCCTCTTCGGCAACTTCCTCGAACCGCTCAGCAAGACGGCATGGTACGTCGTGCCCATGATCTGGCTGCCTCCCATCACATACGGAACGATTCTTGGGTTCTCCGGTCTGGGAAATGTCCCCGCTGCGGCTGCTTATTGGGTCGGGGGTCTTTTCCTCTGGACCTTGATCGAGTACCTGATGCATCGGTTTTTGTTCCACATTGATAAGTATGGCTTCTGCACCTGTGTCCCTGGAGTCTCTCGTGCTAATTCAATATAGGTATCTCCCTGACAACCGGGTCGGACTGACTCTCCACTTCTTGCTCCACGGCATCCATCACTATCTGCCCATGGACAAGTACCGGCTGGTCATGCCCCCGACTCTATTTGTCGTGCTGGCCGCCCCGTTCTGGAAACTGGCCCATGCCGTGTTCTTCTACAACTGGTATGCCGCTACGACGGTATTCTGTGGCGGTGTCTTCGGCTATGTCTGCTATGACCTGACCCATTACTTCCTCCACCACCGCAAGTGAGTTGATCCCCCCTGGACGGATCTTTGAACCCCGACTAACCCTGTCTCCACAGCCTGCCCGCCTACTACAAACAGCTCAAGAAGTACCATCTCCAGCATCACTTCGCGGACTTCGACAACGGATTTGGTGTCACTAGCCGCTTCTGGGACCAGGTGTTTGGCACCGAGCTTGTGATGCCCGTCCCCAAGGAACGCAAGTCCCAGTAAATGGGACCGGCTGATTCTTGATTCCTGTCGTCTTCACGTTTGAGACTGATCCGCGTCTCAATCCCTTCATCTTTATCACACGACGTTTTAATGTACGAAGTAATGCCGTGGCAGACATGTTGATTTTCTTCTCATCGGGCCTTTCGGAGTTGGGCTTTGTTGGTTTGCTTCTCTTCGTGTACAAATCATGGTCATGGTCGTGTTACCGGGCTCATTCCCTGACATGTGACTATGACGCGTTTTCTGTGCAATTGATGTCTAGTAGTACTTACTGTATATGATAATTTAATACATAATCCTCATCACGTTATTTCCACATTACTTCCACGTCACAGGTGATGTTTTTTTATAAACAAGTGCTGGCAATAATATATTTTCAGGTGTAGAGCTGTGTATCGAATATACTACTAGACTGGTTTTCTACACAAGTTGTCTATACTATAAAATGATAGCATAATGCATGCTTCTTATTAGTTTGTCTTTATGTCACTTCCATGTCACTTCTGCGTTATTTTCATGCTACAAGCGGCATTTATCGCAATTCTAAGTTGGCAATTGTATATTTCCAGCCTAGAGTTGTACATAAGACGCACGAACCATCTGTACTGTAGATAATAGTATAAAATTATTTTCACGTTACTTTCACTCACATCACTTCTGCGTGAATTCCATGGTACAGCCGATGTTCATCATAGTCAAGAACTGGTGATTGTACAAATTCCTTCCCAGTGTAGAGCTCTGTACAGGATATGCCTGATCCATGGGTGGATGGCCCTGCAAACGGCACGCTTGACAAAGAAAAAAAGACACGGAGGCAAAGACGCCAAGCGCCACGTGACCGGGTGCTGGCGTCGCCCTTCAGCCCCATCCCGGCGTCTTCTCTGCAGCCTTATCACCAGCACGCCCATTATTAACTGCCCCATAAATCGACCCGCATTGCCCCCCCCCTCCATCCTCTCCCTCTTATTTACGTTTACATCCACTGTGACCAGAGTCAAGGAGACAGACAGTCTGCAAGGATCCGGTTTGAAACAGAAGGGTTCGCTCAAGTCACGCCTGACTCGCCATCACTCTCTCTAACACAGCTCCAAGTGACCTCAATCCTCTCCGCGCAATCTCCCTTTCTCCTTTCTGTTCAGTTCATCCAGGAAAGAGAAGACCAAAAAAAAAATCCAGAAAGAAAGAAGGGAAACAAATACCCCACAGCATATAAACAAGATGTCAGGTCTCGACGTTGAGGCTCTCCTCGAGTCTACAGCCGCCCCTCCGTCCCAAGACCCTCCACGCTCTCAGGACCCCGATGACCGCTCCAAAGCCGACAGCAGCGAGCGCCGCGACCGCGACCGCTCCCGAGACAAGGACCGCAAGCGTCGGGATCGCAGCCGGGACCGACGCCGCGAGCGTGACGTCGATGGAGACGAGGACATGAAGAGCCCGAGAAGCGAACACGGCAGTGCTAACGGAAGCCATAGAAGCAGGAAGAGGAGCAGGAGTCGCGACAGCGAACGCCGTCGTGCCCGTCGTGACCGCAACGGCGGTGGTGGTGGCGGCGACGATTACCGCTCCGGCGGGGACTTCTACCGCGGTGGTGGCCGCGCTCGCACTCGCTCGCGCTCTCCCTATGATGATCGCTACTACCGCCCCTCGGGGGGTCGCTCACGTCGCGATGAGCGCGACGAGGAACGCCGCCCTCGTCGTGACCGCGAGGGCCGTCGCCCCAGCCCTACCCCGAGAAGTCGTGAGAGGACGCCCGAACCCACCGAGGATGAGCGCGACAGACGCACCATTTTTGTCCAGCAGCTGGCTGCCCGTTTGAGAACCAAGGAGCTGATTTCTTTCTTTGAAAAAGTGGGACCCGTCAAGGAGGCTCAGATTGTCAAGGATCGTGTCAGCGGACGGTCTAAAGGGTGAGTGATATCCATCTCGATGCTGGGGATTGGAAATTGCCTGTGCTGACTTCTGTCTTCTAGTGTCGGTTATGTCGAATTCAAAAGCGAAGACTCCGTTGCGCCGGCGATCCAGCTTACAGGACAGAAACTTCTAGGAATTCCCATCATCGCACAGTTGACGGAAGCGGAGAAGAACCGCCAGGCTCGGAACCCTGAGGCGAGCAGCGGCAACAATCACGCTGCTCCATTTCACAGGTTGTACGTGGGTAATATCCATTTCAGCATCACTGAGAGTGACCTCCAGAACGTCTTTGAGCCCTTTGGCGAACTCGAATTTGTCCAGCTGCAGAAGGACGAGACCGCCCGCAGCAGGGGGTACGGTTTTGTGCAGTAAGTCGTCACTGGTCTGTCTGAAGCATACGTCGCTGACTCTCGCAGGTTCCGCGATCCCAACCAGGCTCGGGAAGCTTTGGAAAAGATGAATGGCTTTGACCTCGCTGGTCGCGCCATCCGTGTTGGCCTTGGCAACGATAAGTTCACCCCTGACTCGAGCGCCCAACGCATTCAGAGCCAAGGTGCAAACCAAAGTAACTTCCAGGGCTCGCTGTTCTCTGGTTCCGGAGGACGTGGTGTCCAGGCTGGCGGCAACAACAACTTCGACCGTGCTGGGGGCCGTGACTCCGAGAAGGGGGCCGGGGCCAGTGCCCTGGACGACACGGATGTCGCCGGAGTAAACTTCAACAATTACAGTAGGGACGCGTTGATGAGGAAGCTTGCAAGAACAGATGAACCTTCCGAGCCTGCTGCCGACGACCAGCGAAAAGTGCTGCGGCCCAAGACTGAAGCCAAGCCGCTGCCCGTGAACGTCAATATGGCGAGCCGGTGTGTCTTGCTCCGCAACATGTTCGACCCAAATGAGTAAGTCCTCACTGTCTAGTTCTACTGCCTAAGGTCTGCCGTCTGTTTCCCGGATAATCTAACTGTCTACAGGGAAGAGGGCGAAGTCTGGATCAAGGAGCTGGAGGATGACGTTCGCGCTGAGTGCGAAGACAAATATGGCCATGTTGTTCACATTTCCCTAGATCCCAACTCCCAAGGCGACATCTACCTGAAGTTCGACCGCGTCCAGGGCGGCGAGAACGCCATCAAGGGGCTGAACGGCCGCTTCTTCGGAGGGCGGCAGATTACCGCGCAGCCCGTCGTCGACGCGGTGTACAGCAGTCTGTTCTCGCGAACCAAAGCCATCTAAAAACCCATCACCATCATCATCGTTCTCCCGCGGGTAGGTATACCATGATCTAATCTTTCACCAGGTGCAATCTGTGACGGCAGGACCACACTTTGACCTTGAGCTGGTGAGCGTTGCCGCGGCATGCATGTGGGTTGGCTGGGATGCAGTGACATGTGCACACCCTTGGTAGGTGCCAGTCTTCTTGACATCTTACTCTCACGGTTGTCGACGGGCCAAAAGCCTTGCGGAATGATCTGTTTATAGGGATTTGTACGTGCTTAGCGCCAATATTATTCGTAACTTTTTTTTTTTGCCGTGGTTTGCTGTGGTTGTAGAAGAGGGTCTAGTAGAAGGGAGGAGGGAGGATTTAGTCGTACATATCATCTCGAATTCAACTTGCTGTGGCCTCCAAAGCAATGAAATAACAGCCTATCTCTACCCTCGCCATGTATTCTGCCCTTGTACTCTGCCCTTATACACTTCCTTGCCTATGCACCCTCACTATACAGGGCTATCCAGCCACAAAAGCATCCACAAAATATCCATCCCAACTTACCAACATCTTCCTTCTACTTCTTCTTTCTACCAACAAAGGAAAAGAAAGTACTCCGCCAGCCCCAAAAGCTCAACCACAGTCGCAGCAACAGTGCCAGCAACACATTGACATTCATATTCACTACCCTGCCCCCCTCTCTTTCCCTTCTTGTCTACACGATCACCCCATTCCTATTCACTATCAAATTCACTGTCAAATTCACCATCAACCCCCCCCCCCCCCCCCCCCAACAAACCGGCAAACTGTATCAGTGCAATGTATTTCGCAAACAACTATTTATACCGCGCCGCGCCCCTTCTTATCCTCTTTCTCCTCTGCTTCTCTCTCCCGCTGGCATCCATCTCTCAGTACTCGTGTCCACTACTACACTGATCTGGTTTACGGAGATTGGAAGAAGGTTTGTTTTTGCTTTACTTTGGGGGGGGGGAGTGTTATTTATCTATCTACTGAATTACCTGCCTGCATTCTAAAGTGCACAGTACGGCTTATGGCAACGCAGAGTCTTGATCTGCAGTGATAAGACGAGACGACGACATCATCACTAGTATCTTCATCACCATGAGTGACAGAGTAAGTCACCCCCCTCTCCCTTCCCTTTCTCTTCCCTCTCCCCTCCCACCCCAAACAGTCTAACACTTGCCAGCTCTCAAACAACGCCAACGCCAACAGCAACAGCAACAGCAACTTAACCCCCTACCCCCCCGTCCCCCCTCCCCCCCGCTCCGCCTTCATGGAGCAACTATCCGCCTGCCACGCATTCATAAGCCCTCACCCTCACCCTCACCCTCTCCCAGGCCGCAGCCGCAGGGACGCTCCAACCCCAAGCTCCGTCTTCAGGGAGGCCTCCGAGTCTCAGAATCAATCTCAGTCTCGATCCCAGTCCAACGCAGAACTGACGTCCCTGCGGACCCGATACAACGTCGCCCGAGATGAGCTCGTCCAGGCGCACGCCCAGACCGCCCGCGACGCTGAGATCATCGAGACCCTGCAGGCCAAGATCGTGCAGTTGCAGCGGTTCGTGCTGATGCAGAGGGGCGCCATTTCGGAGATGAGGGGGGTTATTGGACGGTTGGAGGGAGAGGGGGGAGGGGGTGGAAGAGGGAGGGGGAGGGGTCGGTGAGGTGGCTGGTTGATGGGGAGAATCGGGTTGTTTGTCGGATTGGGGATGGGGGTGATGTTGGTGTTGGGACTGGGACTGGGACTGGGACTGGCAATGGCAATGATGTCCCCCAGAGAGGGGTGTTTGAGTCGTTGTTTGACGTGCCTGGGAATGTTTCTGTACCGGCTTCTGTGCCTGCTTCTGCACCTGCTTCTGTGCCTGCTCCTGTGCCGGTGAGAGGGGAGGGCGAAGAGGTAGGGGATGCTGCTGCTGCTGCTACTACTGGCGATATGGAACGAATTGCCCATCGATGCCGTGATCTGTTCAAGAAGGTGATGGTGTTTGCAGAGGCGCGAGCGAGCCGGCCCGGGTTCGTCCAGGACGTGACCATGGCGGAGCCCGTCAAGGAGTATCTGGGGACTGTCAGCGGGGACGAATCTCGCGTTGTGTGTCTGTTGGGCAAGCCGACGACCCGGGCCGTGCTCCTCGCGAAGGCCGTCAATTACTTTCTTGTTGGGGAGGTTTTGAAGATCACCGCTGCTGGCGGGTTCGAGGATGAAGTTGATGCCTGTATTGGGATTGGTAATTATTTTTTTTTTTTTTCGTTTGTTGCTGTTGTTCCTGTTGAGTGTGGTCTTTTGTACTGACTCCGATAAATGTAGCAGGCACCGCAACCGCCCGCACAGCATCCGTCATCCAGACAGCCACGAAGAGGCCCGAATTCGCCGACTTCAGCCAGCAAAAGGCCCGCGCCCACCTCTTGAAGCTATGGGGACTCATCGTACCGCTCACCAACGACCAGAGAGCCGGCTACGGTCAGACTTGGACTGAGCTTGCTGCCATCGTGTCCGATGCCCAGACCCTTGCTGTCGACATATTCTCGCTGCCCTTGGGATATCGCATGGACTTTCCGCAGATCAATGACCCTTTCGACCCCGTGACCATGGTCAATCGCGACTCGTTCATCAAGGGGGATCCCCAGGCGTTGAAGAATAATGGGAACCGGGTCGGATTGGCTATTACCCCGGCTATCCGTATCCGTGAGCTTCCTGGGGAAGAGAGTTGCTTGGTGTATTTGGCTGAGGTGCTGTTGCTGCCGTCGCCATCTGGCCGTTAGGATAAGACTTCCTGCCTGTTAATATCAAGTGCTGGAGGGAAGGTGGTTGGTGGTGTTTACACTGGTGGCGGTTGATTCTGGTGATGCTGGGGTTGATTCTACGGGGGATGGGTTGGCGTTCATTGGTTTTGGTGGGATTGATCTTTGCTCAATGGAATTGATTATTGGCAGAAAATAGGGTGACTGTTCTAGCGGAAATTGGTTTCCAGACCTCTACTCATAGCGGTGATAGCCCGAGAGCAGACAGGGAGAGGAGCTTAAAATAGGGGAGGAATGGAGAGTTGAAGCCGTCGAGACGGACTGATCACTGTCACAGTAAGTGGACGCGTCGATCCGACCAAGGGGGATCTCAGGTACGGTCAAACCGGCCAGCGAAGACAGAGCCCAGGGGGACATGATGCAATGCACCGCTGCAGTGTGACTTAGTCTTATCCTGTAGCCTGTAGGGAGTAAAGAGGATGGGTTGGCTGTTGAGTCGCTCGGCCGGCAAAATCGGCGGCGCCCCCGCGGATGCCCGATAAAAGGAATCCCAGCACTTTTCCTCGCCTCAGTCTGGCTCGTCGTATTCCTCCCAAGGTTCTCTCTCTCTCTCCTCTCCCCCCTCTCCCCTCTCCCCTCTCCTCCTCCATCAACCGTCCTTCCAATGCCCCGTCATTCATGATTGGGTCTCCTGCTCAGCGCCTCTCCGTCCAGGTCCGGACCCTGGCCGACAGCTATCGTGAGTCTTCCTCTTCCCTTCCCTTCCCCAGATTCTCCCGCCGCCCTTATCGCCCGCGGCTCGCAAGAGAGCGAGCATCAGGACTTGCCTGGTCGTCGTGCATTCGAGCCTCCACGCGCTAACCACCCTCTTTCTAGTCTCGCGAGCATTGTCTCGGCGTGCTTCGAGCCTCGCCCACGCCGTCCCCGACGATCTGCGCCCCGTCAAGCGCCGCGAGTTCCACGACTACTTCGTCACCCATCTGCCCTCGTCCTCTCTGCATCCGGACGCCCGAGGCCCGCTGGCCCCCTTCCACAAACTCCCCCGGTCGGAATCCGTCCCCCATACGGGCCAGATCTCGCATTCCCCGACCTCATTCCAGCCGCTCGTCGACCGCGACACCACCGTCGTCCGCATCCCGCTACGCAGCGCCAAACACCACTTTGGCGCCCACTCCTCGCGCGGCACCCGCTCCTACAATGAAGATACCTACCAGGCCGGCGTCATCGACCTGCCCGCCTTCGCCAAGCGACCCCCGGCCTCCCTAACCATCCGGCGACGGGCGGGCGAGCCGGAGCCCCGCGAAAGCCGTGGCCGGGACACCGCCAGCGGCGATCCGCAGGTCTTCTACTTCGGAATCTTTGACGGCCATGGCGGCTCCGAGTGCAGTACCTTCCTGAAGGACTGGCTCCACGAGTACATCCAAGACACGGCCGCCGCGTTCGAGCTGCGGTCCAGTCTGCAACGCGACCACGGCGGTCAATTTCCCTGCGGCGCCGACCCCGCGTCGGGCGCCCTCCCCATCGTGCAGGGCGGCAACGCGAAACGCATTGCCGAGCTGGAGAAGATTCTGGTGAAGAACTGGCGCACCCTGGTCGGGGGCTACTTCAAGCGGTTCGTACCGGCTCACTTCTCGCACATCGGCAAGAGCGTCTTGCCGGAGGGCCAGGGCCAGGGCGAAGGCGAGTGCGAGAGCAAGGGCGTCACCATCGAGGAGATCCTGGAGTATGCGTTCCTACGGACGGACCTGGAGTTCGTGTCGGCGCAAGCGGCGCGCCGCGACGACGAGTACATGAAGGTCGGCGAGCTCGTCCACCAGGACGACATTCTGTACGGGACCAGCCACCCGCGATCGCTGAATCTCGGCGGCGCCAGCCGGTTCAAGGGCGGCAGCACGGCCAGCGTGGCGCTCATCTCGACCCCGACCCCGATGCCGTTCTGGCACCCGAACGCCCCGTCCAGCCTGCTGGTGTCTCACGTCGGCGACACGCGCATCCTCCTGTGCTCGACGGAGACCGGGCTCGCCATCCCTATCACCTCGAACCACCACCCCTCTTCCCCCATCGAGGGCAGCCGACTCCGGCGCTACGCCGCGACGTTCGTGACGGACTCGTTCGGCGAGGAGCGCATGAGCGGGCTGGCCAACACGCGGGCCTTTGGAGATGTGCAGTCCAAGCGGATCGGCGTGTCCGCGGAGCCCGAGATCCACCGCATCGAGATGGCGCCGGCCGAGTACTCGTTCCTGGTGCTCATGACGGACGGGGTCAGCGGCACGCTGCTGGACCAGGAGGTGGTCGACATCGTCAAAGAGGCGCGCACGCCCGACCAAGGCGCCCGCGACGTCGTCAGCTTCGCCACGGAGGTCACCCGCGAGGGCGACAACACGACGTGTCTGGTGGTGCGGCTGGGCGGGTGGGAGCGTCGGCAGGAAGGCGGCTTGGGCAGTCTGGGGACCAAAGAGTCGCGCGAATGGCGGAGACAAGAAGCGACAGATCCGCGCCGGTCACGGAGATGATGAAGATGAGAAGACTTTAGATAGAAATTGCCTTGTATATACATTCTTATTGATTTGATGAAGCTGGGATGGATGGATGGGATGCGTGTGGGAGGGATTGATTTTTTTTTTGTGTGTACATATGCTGTCGTTGAACATCTCCATTGTCTGGATTTTAGTAGTGTGTGGTACATACAGTAGATTGCCTTTGTGTAGAGCTCTAGATCTGGATCAATACATACATACATTTGGTGAGGACGGAAGTCGGCGGAGCCTTGCATTCCAGGCCGCAAGCAGAGCTTCTCCTGATCGACTTTCTTTCTTTCTTTCTTTCTTTCTTTCGCTTGCCAACAACCAACTCTCTGTTCAACTTCCCACTTTTGGGTGACTAGTTCTCGTTCACCATTAATTAATTAATCCTCCCTCACACTCCAGTATGTTCCCCTCATGCCACTCCCATCCCACCCGAAACGTGGCCGTGGTGGTGAAGGGAGCTAGCTTATCGACCAGCTTATCCGATAGCCCAACCTCACACATGGCCACTCGTGATTCTTGCCTCGTTCTCCTGACTGACTAACTAACCAACTAATTAACTAACTGACCTCCTCCCAGCCCACTCTGATCGCCCTCAGTCCTCCCCCACCGCTGTCCCTGCAGCTGCGTCCCCCCGATCCTCATTCCCTGCCTGCCTGCCTGTCTGCCCTTTATTTGGCAGCGCGTCGCGAGGTACGTCCGTCCACTCAGACTCAGAGCTCAGAGCTTTCAGGAGATTCATTCCACCACCGCGCGCCCCTCCCTCCTCCTCCTCCCTCCTCCCTCCCTCCCCATCCATGAATCTCTAGTCTTTTATGACAGAGTGCTAACACCTCTCTCAGACACAGCTTCGCTTCTCTTCTCCCTCTCATTTACCCACTTATTTCATCCCCCCCCCCCCTCCTTTCGAGCTCAGATACAGACTTCTTCTCTCCTCCGCTCGACTCGCCGCCGCGGATCCCTCGGATCGAGCTTCTTTTTTCTCGTCCGCGCGACGTCCTCTCCTTTCCTTTTCTTCTCTTGACTCCACACATCAAATCGCCATCATGACTCCCCGAACCAGAAGACAAAAAGCCGCCGCCGAGCTCGAGGCTACCGACCCCTCGCCCGCTGTTAATGGCACGCTCCGCGAGGAGCCGAAGGTGCCTGCCGAGGAGGTCCAGGAGAATGTGTTTCTGTTTGTGCCGAATTTGATTGGTGAGTTTTTTCGGTCCTCGTGTTGTTTTTTTTTTTTTTTTTGGTGGTGTCGATAGTTATTTTCTGGCGTGTCAGCTAACGCAACCAGGATACGCGCGCGTGGTCTTGACGATGGCCTCGCTCTACTACATGCCCCTGCACCCCCGGACGTGCTCCCTCCTCTACAGCGTGTCGTGCCTGCTGGACGCCCTGGACGGATACGCGGCGCGCTACTACAACCAGTCCACGACGTTTGGCGCGGTGCTGGACATGGTCACAGATCGCTGCACGACCGCGTGTCTGCTGGTGTTCCTGAGCTCGGCGTGGCCGCGCTGGGCCATCATCTTCCAGAGCCTGATCGCTCTGGACATGGCCAGCCACTACATGCACATGTACGCGACGCTGAGCATGGGTGGGTCCAGCCAGAGCCACAAGAAGGTGGAGGCGAGCCGGAGCTGGGTGTTGTATCAGTATTATCACAGCCGGGTGAGTTTTTTTTTTTTTTCTTTTTGCTTCATCTTTACAGCGCTGACTCTGGCCGCTCCCTCCAGACCGTCCTGTTCATCTGCTGCGCCCTGAATGAGCTCTTCTTCATCGGCCTGTACCTCCTGTCGTTCTCCTCGCCCATCCTCTCGCCCTCCCTCCTGCAGCCCGCGTCGGACGCCAGCCCGTGGAGCGCGGGCGCGCTGGAGCAGGCGCGCGCCAACAAGATCGACAGCTTCTGGCCGTGGGTGATTACGGGCATCTCATTCCCGGTGATGGCGCTGAAGCAGTTCATCAACGTGGTGCAGCTGGTCAAGGCGAGCAAGTGGCTGGTGGAGGGCGACCTGGCCGCGCGGAACGCCCTGCGCCGGGGAAGAACTAGCTGCATTGAGTAGGGTTCAGTCATGGCCCATGTTATAATGCCCCTGTTATAAAGCCCACGGGCTTATTTGTCTGGGATCGAGATCGGCAACGGGCAGCGACGTTACTTCTTCTTCGGGTCGTTTCGAGAGATGATGATTAGTATTAGTATTAGTATATGAGGGGCACGATACGGCAGGTGTACAGCGAGTCTGGACCGACTGATGAGGAGTCTGGATGGGGATGGATCTTCTGTTCGTGTGATTTAATTGGCGGGTTAGCATTTTAATGGTCTGCTGCAGTAGAGATATCCAGTAGACTGTAGGCAAACGCAATAACACAACCCGGGTAAAACAACACGCGGCTAACCGCGGGCAGTCTAGGGCCGGCCGCGGCGCCGGTGTCGGCGCGGGGAGCTGCCCTCGAGCCCCGCCGCCCCGTATAATAATCATCCTTATACTCCCTGCGCTTCTTTTCCCTTCCCCTCCCATTATAATCATTACTCATACCCCTTCGCTGTCATCATGCCTGCCTTCAACGTCGTCGTTTTCGCTGGTGACCACTGCGGTCCCGAGGTATGTCCTGTCCCTACCTCCCTACCCCATTGACAATTGGCCATTGACTGATGTAATGAATGTATTGATTGGTATAGGTGACCGCCGAGGCTCTCAAGGTGCGCTGCACTTCCACAGTCAGGAATCAGCTGGAAGGATCAAGACTAAGACAGCCATGATTAGGTCCTCCGCGTCATTGAGAAGCGTCGCGATGATATCTCCTTTAACTTGCAGGATCATCTGCTTGGTGGTGTATGTTTCCTCTTCTTTCTTTTCTGTTCTGTTCTGGTGTTCTGCTGTGTCCGATGACGCACTCGATCTGGCCTATGTCGGGGGGGGGGGAATCTGTGTCAACACCATGGTGATTCGCTTTGATTGGATTGGTAAGCTAATGATGATGATGATGTGAATCATGATATAGGCCTCGATTGATGCTGCTGGCGTCCCTCTTACCGATGAAGCCCTCCACGCGGCTAAGAACGCTGATGCCGTGCTTCTCGGCGCTATCGGCGGGCCTGTAAGCCTGCCTGCCCCCCTTCCTTCCTTCCTTCCTCCCTAATTCCCTCGCGATACCTAAACATCCACCCTCCCTCCGGCCGTCTCTTCCAAAATCAAAGATCAAAAAAAAAAAAAAATGAGAGGCAAGAAATAGAGCCATTTCTAACCAAGAGAAACAAAAAACAGAAATGGGGCACTGGCGCCGTCCGCCCTGAACAAGGACTCCTCAAACTGCGCAAAGAGATGGGCACATTCGGCAACCTGCGGCCGTGCAACTTCGCGGCGCCGTCTCTCGTCGACCTCTCCCCCCTGAAGGCGTCCGTGTGCGAAGGCGTCGACTTCAACATCATCCGCGAACTCACGGGCGGGATCTACTTCGGCGAGCGCCAAGAAGACGACGGCAGCGGGTTCGCGATGGACACGGAGCCGTACTCGCGGGCGGAGATCGAGCGGATCACGCGTCTGGCGGCGCACCTGGCGCTGCAGCACGAGCCGCCGCTCCCCGTGTGGAGTCTGGACAAGGCCAACGTGCTGGCCACCAGTCGGTTGTGGAGGAAGACCGTCACCGAGGTCATGGCCAACGAGTTCCCCCAGCTGAAGATCGAGCATCAGTTGATTGACTCCGCCGCCATGATCATGGTCAAGGAGCCCAGGAAGCTGAATGGTATCGTCGTCACGAGTAATCTGTTCGGCGATATTATTAGTGATGAGGCCAGCGTTATTCCCGGTTCTCTGGGCTTGTTGCCCAGTGCTAGTTTGAGTGGCATCCCTGATGGGAAGACTAGGGTTAATGGTATTTATGAGCCTATTCATGGTATGTTTCTCCTCTCCCCTTTTCCCTCTCCCTCTCTCTTTCCCCCCCAAAAAATCACTCTTCCCTTCCTCATAACCATAATCACCACCTTTCGAGACCGTGTTTGTAACAAAACTAATACTAATAATAATAATAATAGGCTCCGCCCCCGACATCGCCGGCCGCGGCATCGTCAACCCCGTCGCCGCCATCCTCTCCGTCGCCCTGATGATGCAGTACTCGTTCGGCCGGTTCGCCGAGGCCCGCGCCATCGAGGCCGCCGTGCGCAACGTGCTCGAGGCGGGCATCCGCACCGGCGACATCGGCGGAAAGGCGACGACCAGCCAGGTCGGAGATGCTGTTGCGGCTGAGTTGGAGAAGTTGCTGTGAGCGGCTTCTTTTCTTTCTGTCTTTCTTTCTTTCTTTCTTTCTTTCCTTTTAATTAAAGAATTTGCCGGGGGGGGGGGGGGAAGGAGATGTGTAGGGAAAAAGTGTGAAGGGGAGGGAGGGGGGTTGTATAAAAGCAGTAGCGTAAGGGGGAAGTGATGGAGATGAGATGAGATGAGATATGACCTGACAATTAGTAATTTTCTTTTGGTTGGTTATCGTATATCGTACGTATATTGTATATATGGTATATGCTTCAGTTTGTAGTTCATGAATTCTTGTGTGGTTCATGCATTCTTGTGTGGTTCATACACTCTCTTACGTAGTGTTAGTGTTAGTTTAGTGTTAGTGTTGCACTCTCTTATGTACTAGTTTATTGGTTGGATAGTAGGTAGTAGGTAGTAGGTAGTAGAAGTAAAAGTAGAAGTGATAAGACTTAAGACTGGAATAATCATATATGGGTATCTACCAACTCCATCCATCCATCATGCATGCATGCACCATCATAACCTGCTGAACCAGGTCGAGTCGAGTCGAGTCGAGTCGAGTCGAGTCCGAAAGAGAAACAGAAACAGAAAGTGAAGTATCACCATCCAGGCACCTAACCCTGCAAACACACCCATCCCTCATCCCCAGTAAAAAAAAAAAAAAAAAGAGAGAGAGAGAGAGAGAGAGAGAGAGAGAGAGAGAGAGAACCCTCATCCCCATCCTCATCCCTATCCCTCGCAAATCCACACAGAAGACAGAAAGAAAGAAAGAAAGTAAGGGGAGGGGAAAAAGAAAGAGAATCACCGTATAACAGGCTCCCCCATCCAATCCGGCTCCTCCAGACTCGTAACCACCTTGGCCCTCTCCCGCTCCTCCATCTCGTCATGGGTACTTCCCCTCAACGACCTCCTGGCGCTATGTCTCCTCACGCGGCCATCCGCCGACGCCGACGGCGCATTGCCGGCCCTCTTGCGCTCGTCGTCGCGCGCAAACACCTGGAACCCGCGCACGTGCGTGTCTTTCCCGTTCTGGTGGTTCTCGATCACGCGCATCTGCACGACCATTGCTTTGAGGACGTTGTTGGCGTAGGGGTCGGATATATCATCCTCTTCTTCTTCTTCTTCGTCGGAGTCGGAGTCGGAGTCTGCTAGGACGCCCAGGTGTATGTCGCTTCTTCCCTTTGCACGTCCAGTTCCAATTCCAGCTCCAGCTCCAGCTCCAGCTCCACCACCACCACCACCAGCAGTAGATCTAACCCAACCCCCTCCCCTCCCCCCCACCCCCTCAAGACTCACATCCACCCACCCCCCGGGACTCTCCCCCTCCCAACACGCAAACTCCACCAGATCATTCCCGCCCATGCCCGCCAGAAACGTCATCTTGGTCGGCGTGTAGCTCTCGTCCATCTCGAAGTCGAGGTACACGCGGATGCGCACGATGGCGACCAGCTTGAAGAAGTGTAGTGTGAGGGTGTGTGGCTGCGGGCCGTCGGACTGCCAGTATTGCGTCGGTGAGGGGTGGCGGAGGGCTGAGACGCCGCAGCCGGGTTTGTGGGTGCTCACGGTCCAGGAGGCCAGGGCGGAGATTTCGCGGTGGGTGGAGGGGAGAGGGGGGATTTTTCTGGGTGGTGTTAGTTTTTGGTATATTCGGTGTAGGATTGGGATGGGGGTAAGAGAAGGGGGAGGGGGAGGGGGGACATACCGCGCTCGTTCAGGATCTCCGAGTCGGATATTACTTCGTCTTCGTCTTCGTCTTCGTCCTCCTCCTCCTCCTCCTCCTCCTCCTCTTCTTCTTCTTCCTCTTCTTCTTCATCTTCTTCGCCTTCCTCGTCTACCTCTTCGTTCTCAACTCCTGGATCCACCTCAACCATTCCTTCCACGTCCCCTCCCTCCACATCACCCTCCATATCCTCCTCCTCCTCCGTATCATCCTCCCCATACTGCCCCTCCCCCTCCCCCTCCCCCTCGCCTGCTGAGCCTGCCCCTGAGTCTGACCCTGACTCCTCACCCGCGACCCAAACCGCCGATAACTCCCCCTCCTAACACCCTCATCCACATCCTCATCCTCCACCTCCAAACTCTCCCCCTCCCCCCGATAATTATCATAATCCCTCTCCCTTCCACTCCCCCTCCTCACCCGCCCATGCACCCCCCTCCCAAACAACGAAAACAGCGCCGCACTAGCCCCAGTTCTTCCCCCGGACCCGGAGCCGGTCCCAGACCCAGACCCAGAACCAGAGTGTTGGCGCTGGTGTCGGTGTCGGTGTTGCTGCTGCGGCGGCTGCGGCTGCGCGTAGTGTCGTCCGCGTCCATGGTTATTGCTCTGGCCATGGCCATAGCTGTATTGCGAATGTCCGCTATGTAGCGGATGGTCGGGGTCGATTGGCCCGGACGACGGGTGGAGTTGCGGGATGCCCATTCCCATTCCCATGTTCAGGCTTCCGGTTCCGATGCCCGTGCCCGTGCCGGGGTCGCGGGTTGTGGGAGGGGTGAGGAAGGCGTTTGGGTTTGGGTGTGTGCTTGTTTGGGAGTGCGAGTGCGAGTGCGAGTGGTGTGGGTGGTTTGGGTCGGAGGGCGAGGAAGTAGATGGGTATGGGTATGGGGATGGGTCGGGGTTGCGGCGGAGGTGGTGGTGGGGCATTTTGGCGGTGGGTGTAGCTGGTTGTGGTGGGTTGGTTTGTTGGTAGGGGTAGGGGGTATTTGGAGAGTGAATGGGTGGCTGTTAACCGGACATTGTGAGGTGTGAGTGAGTGAAGGAGGAAGTTGTTGGTGTTGGTGGTGTTGTTGTAGAGGGAATGTTTATCAGGTCACGTGCACATTATCGCGGTCATAGTTTTTTAAAAAAAAAAAAAAAAAAAAAGAGGTGGATAGATTGATTGTACATATAGTAAATGGATAGATAATATTAGAACAGCATTTACAGCTATATTACACCCCGCCCAGCGAGTCTAGTGGTCGGCATCCACATATCCCAGCTTCTGGCCCATCTGGATGCGCTGCCCCTTCTCGATCGTCCAGTTCCATCCGCCCTCACGCGTTCCTTCCTCCCACCCCGCGTCAAACGACTTGCGCGAACCCACCGGCGCCTCGAACACCAGCACGATCGAGCTGCCCAGCTGGAACCCGCCCATCTCCTCGCCCCGCTGCAGCGGGTGTCCGCCGAGCGTGCGACTCGCGTGCAGGTACGTCGCCTCCGCGAAGCCCGGGTACTGCTCGCCGCGCTTGGCCGCCTCCACCGCCGCCAGATCCGCCGCCGTGTCGGTCGTCAGGCTGTTGGTGCGCAGCTCCGCGTCGAAGTTGACCTTGATCGACCCCACGTTCGTCGCGCCCACCGGCGTGTAGCTGAAGAATCCCCACCGCCACCGGCCCAGCAGCACCACGCGCTCGTTCAGCGTGAACAGCCCCGGCAGGTGGCGCTGCAGGTACGGCGACACCGAGAACAGCTCGCCTGCGAAGTGTCGCCGGCTCTGCACCACCCACGGCACCGGCGAGTGGAACCGATGGTAGTCGCCCGGCGCCAGGTAAATCACCACGTAGTGCAGGGCGTTGTTGGACGTCGGCTTGGGGGCGTACCACGGGGCACCGTCCCCGAGGGCCAGGTCGGCCTTCACTTCCTCCTCTGCGGACTCCTTGGGGTGCGTGGAGGCGTCGATCGAGGTCGACCGCTTGCGGGCGCTCTGCTCGCCCGCCAACAGGGTGGGCAGCGTGTAGGAGATGCCGTTCATCTGCGCGAACTCGGCGTCCGCCAGCATCTTGGCCTCGTTCTTCTGTGCCGGCTCGTCCTGGTGGTCCGTGAACTTGTCGCTGTGGTCGGCGTGGTTGGGGGTCGCCGCCCCCAGCAGCGCATCCAGACTGTATGTGACGCCCTTGACCTGCTCAACCTCGCCACGCTCGATCAGTCCGAACTGCAGGATGCGTCCGTCCGACGGGGCGAGGATCGCGCGCGTGTCGGGGTCCAGCGGCCGGACCCCCGGTTTCAGTTTGCGGTAGAAGAAGGCCGCCAGGTTGGGGTAGGTGTGCAGGTCGGGTTCCGCGACCTCGCTCAGGTTGACGCCGAAGATCCAAGAGTAGAGTTTAAATCCGGGGACGCGGAGGTAGTAGGGCAGTTCGATCTCGTTGAAGCGTCCCCACAGCCGCGACATGGCCTTCAGCGGCAGGGTCGACATGATCTGGACCTGCCATGGGCCGCTCAGGCGGACCTTTGGCCGCGGGGGGCCTTCTCCGGCTCGCCGGCCGCCTCTCGCTCAGCGCGCTCCCGTTCAGCACGCTGGGCTTTGTAGAACTGTAACAGGCCGATCAGGCCGATGCCCAGGCCGATGGGGATAGGGTACCATTCGACCTTGGTGTTGCGCAGGGCGAAGCGCAGACGGGAGCCAAAGGTGCTCCGGGGAGGGGTTTCGTGGGACTGGTGTTGGTTTTGTTGCTGTTGGTATTTCTTGCCGGACTGGGAATAGGGCCTCGCACCGGTGCGACGACCAGTAGCCCGCAAAGAGATCTCCATCACTCCTCCAAGCGTCTCCCCATGGGGGGGTGCGAGCGTCCGGCGAAACAGAGCAGAACGACGGGACAGGCACAGGGCCATCATGCGGTTCGACTCGAGCCAGTCATCCCAGAGGGGAGGGGAGCACTAGTGCGAGACGGGTGCCTGGACAGGACAGGTGTGGTGTGGTGTTGTGGTGTTTGTGGAATTAAAAGTCGAATTGCAGGACTTTAAGATTGTCGCAATTTCGGCCATCCCCGAAAAGCCAGCCCTCACCGCCCGGCAGAACCTGGTCGCCGTCCGCGCGGCTGCGTGTCTGTCTTCTGGCATTGCCTTTGGACACGCCGTTTGTCTTGAGCTTGTCGCTTTTCTGTTGCGCGACTTTGCGTGGACTGGCGTGGACTTGCGTGGTGGTGTGCTCGACCCTGTGGCTGACGAAAAGGACACCGTCACCTTCCTGGCTGGCTGTATACTTCCTTCCCCGGTGCTGACCCGATAACAAACATCTCCACCTCCACCTCCACCTCCACTCCACCACCCACCGGTCTGTCATTGCAGTCAGCACATCCCATGGCTTCTGTCGAAACGCCCGAACCTCCGCGGAGCTTCGTCCTCCACGTGCTGTGCCCTTCGCTGCCTCCTCCCAACAAGTTCTCCCTCGAAGGCCTCTCCCCCTCCAGCACCGTCGCCGCCCTCAAGGCTCGCATCTCGCAGACCATCCCCAGTGAACCCTCTCCTGAGTCCCAGCGCCTGATCTACCGGGGAAAGCCCCTGATAAACGATGTCGTGACGCTGCGAGACGTGCTGGAGCCGGCGAATGTGAGTCTCTCCCCTCCCCTCCCCTCTCTCTCTCTCCAACGACCCACCTAACAGCTTCAGGAATCCGAGTACTCCATCCACCTCGTCCTCCCTCCAGCTCCAACTCCCCATGCCTCCAGCTCTGCCAGTGCCCCAGCCACAACCCCGGCACCGGCACCAGCCCCGGCCCCGGCACAAGCACAAGCGCCCCGAATCCCAGGCATCCCCGTCTTCGCCCACAGTCCCTTTTCGCCCACTCGACTCCCACCCCAATTCCCAGCCCATGGCCAAGAACTCAGATACCGAGGCCCAATGCCCTCCGCTCCTCACGAGGCGGAGATCGGGCTGGCTCTGCGCCGGAACATAGAGGCCATCCGCCGACAGATCGATATGCAGGAACGGGGCGCACCATTGGGCGGCGCATCGGAGGGGCCAGGCACAACTAGTACTCATGCGACCACTACCAGCACCTCAGTCCCTGCACAATCCGCATTCCCCGAATGGCCCCAGGACACACAACGGGACACCTCTCCTCTTCGTCCGAATCCACAGTGATCTCCCATTTCTCCACCACCACCACCGGCACCAACAACCTCCCCGAGGAGATCCGAATGCACCTGCAGCTCCTCCGCCATCAGATCTCCTTCAACGAGGACCAACTGAACCGCGGCGTCGCGCCTCCCATGGACCACATCATCCGCATCCGCACGCAGCTGTTCACCCTCCTCGACGAGCAGTACCAGAACCCACTTACGGAACGCGACGGCTCGATCGAGTCGCTCCTCACGCGGGTCTTCAACATCTACACTCGCGCCGATCAACTCCGCGTCTCCCACGCCCGAACCACCCTCGCCCCGTCCGTCCTGTCCGGCCCGCCCTCCGTCCCCGTCCCCGCCCCCGGCCAAGCCCCCTCTACCTCCTCTCCTCGCCAACCGGCTACCAAGCCCTGATCGCCACTCCCCAAGGCGCAGCAACCATGCAGCCATCCCTCGACGCCATCCGTGCCATGCACGCCTCCGCAGCCGTGCCCCGTCCCGCCGCCACTGCCACCACCACCGCCGGTCCAGAACTCCACAACGCCAACGCCGTAGTCATGGAGAACATGGTGCGCCAGGCGGTTCTCAACCAGCGCGTCGAGAACAACGGCCAGTTCACCTTCGCGCGCACCATCCGCCGCATCTGGCTGTTCGTCCGGCTGTACTTCTTCTGCTACATGTTCAGCGAGCCCGGCACGTGGACCCGCGTGCTGTTCGTGGCCCTGGCCGTGCTGACCTCGCTTCTGTCCGAGACCGGCGTCCCGCAGCAGCTGTACCGCGTGTTCGTGGCCCCCGTGCAGCAGCATCTAGAGGGTCTGGTCCATTTCGCCCCCGAGCCTGCGCCAGCACCCCATGGCACCCAGCCGACAGACCGAGCGAACGCACCACCCCTCGGGTTGCTCTCTGGGGTCCGACACCAGATCAGACGGGTCGAGCGCTCGTTGGCCCTCTTCCTGGCTAGCTTGGTCCCTGGCGTGGGCGAGCGGCACGTCGAGGTCCGCAATGCCGCTGAGGCGGCCCGTATCGCCGAGCGCGAGCAGGAGGAACGTCGTCAGGAAGAGGCGGCCCGGGATGGGGAGGGAGCTGAAGCTGTGCAGGCGCAGGAAAACGGAAATGCAAATGCAAATGGAGAGAGACCGGTCGAAAATGCAGCGCATACACCCACCGGTGAGAATTAGCTGCGTTGGCGTTTTCAAGTACAGTACATAGCTTGGTGTTGGCCGCGCGTTGGCGTGATGATGTATGATAGTGCAGTTGCATTAAGCGTATCTCAATACGTGTCTCTAGGAGAAGCTGTTCTGTGTGTGTTGTAGTGGTTTCGTGTATTGTAGTTTCCATATATCACATTCGCTTCCGTGTATCATAGCAGTAGTTTATATATCACAGCAGTAGTTTATATGTCATAGTATAGTAGTAGCATGTCGGTAGGTAGGTCTATACCACAGTTATCCCATTTATACCAGCCATCAGATCTATGATCGTAATCGTGATCAGAGTACTCCGTGAACTAATCACAGTTTACTCCCCCCGTCCACCCCCACCTCCACCTCGGCCTTCGTATCCAAACTCGACGTCGGCAAAGCCCCAGACCCAGCCATAGCGCCGGTATCAAAATCCTCTTCGCCATTGAAGTGCCTATGCAGTATGCGACGTTAGCCCAGCCATCCATCCAACACCTTGCTCCTCAAACACAAGAACTCAACCCTACCCAGCCAAACCCAACCATAATCCAAAAAGAAAAAAACGAAGGCAAAGAAAGAAAAGAAAAAGAAAAAGAAAAAATAAGATAAAATGGGGAAAAAACATACCACCCCCTCTCCCTCCCCTGACTCAAAAACCCACAATCGCCATTGCTCACACACTCCCATCCGCCCCCAACCCCCCTCCCTCCCCTCCACTCGGGAACCACCAATTCCAATTCCCCTCCATCGCTCTCTCGCATGCTCCTCGTTCCGGGGGCGAGATGCCCGGCTTCGGTGCCGCCGTAGCCGGCGTCTTTGGGGCCATACTTCACTTCTACTCCAACTCCAGCACCGTCAAATGAAGGTTGTCTACGTCTGACAAAAGTACTCACCCCCGCCGTAAACACCGCGAAATCCTCTTCGGCCGGATCGTCGGGCATACGTCCGGTGAGCACCCGGCCCATGGCGATCAGCGGCGCGGCGTGCGAGCAGATCAGCACCGCTTTGCTGGTGCGGCGGTGTGGCGGGAGAGAGGATTCCAGGGCGGTGATCTCGGTGTCTAGGTCGGAGAGGAGCTGGGAGAGTGTGGTTGCGAGGCGGTCGTGCAGTTGGGGGATGGATTCGCCGGTTGGGGAGGGGGTTAGGATTTCTTGGACCTTTGGGGGTTGGGGGGAGGGGAGGATGGAGGGGAAGTGTTTGTGGAGGGTGGAGAGCGAGGCAGGGGAGGGGTGCGTGAAGAAGGTTGTTGGGCCGAACCATTCACTATTTGTCAGTGTCAGTTAGTCATTCTTCTTGGGAGGATCATGTGTCTGTGTCTGTGTCTGTGTCTGTGGTCTGGAGGGTGGGAAGGGGAAGGGGAAGGGACAGGGGGGGGGGGGGGGGGCGTAGGTAGGGAGAAATATAATATAGAAATATAAATATCCATGAAAAAACCCCCATATATCAACAACAGCCAACAACAACAACAACAACAACAACTGAAGAAGAAGAAGAAGAAGAAAGAAGAAAATACGCACCCCAACCCCGACTCAACCCTCACCCCAAAGTCCGCATCCTCATCTATATCCACACCCAGAATCCCCATCCCCATCCCCATCCCCATCTTACCATCACAATCACCTATACCCCCCTTCCACGCCTTCTCCCTCCCCTCCAGCTTCAGCTTCAGCTTCAGCTTACTCAACCCCTCCACAGCCGGCTGAATGGTCTGCAAACAGCGATAAAACGGACTCGAGTAGACGCGGAACGGCTTAGGGGAAACATCCGCGCTGACGAAATGCGCAGCCAATTCATGCGATTGGCGCACGCCGTGGGATGTCAGGGTGGGGTCGGCGGGGTTGCCGGTGGGCGTGGGGAATTGCGAGTGGTAGGTGCCTGTTTTGTAGTCGATTGTCCAGTTTAGACGATGCTGGATTGTTGTTAATTTTTTGTGTTGGGGTTTGGTGGTTTGTGAGTATACTTGGGGGGGGGGGGGGGAGAGGGGGAGAGGGGGCTGTATGATATATAATGATGTGTGGGGTAGGGAGTGGGGGGAGCGGAGGGAGGTGGCTTACACCGTGGCGGGTGAGGTAGATTGTGTCGAGGGGCATCTTTCTTCCCTTGATCTGGATGAGGATGACTGTGACTGTGTAAGATAGCGAGAGAAATAGAGGGAGAGTTAAAGGTGGGGGCAATTGAGGTGGTGTTGCTGTGATGGAGATGGATAAGGAGATACTTACTTTGCGGGGAACCTTTAGGCGGGCGGCCTCGGGGGCCTAGGCGGTCAGGCCTTGGCTCAGGCTCACGGTCTACAATTTCTACCACTCCACCAACTACAACTACAATTCAAGCTGAGCTTCAGCTTCAGAAAAAAAAGAATTGAGAAAGAAAATGACTGGTTATTGCGAGATCACTCGATCTATACTATCTAGGCATTTCGGCCGTATGGATCCCAACTCCGCCAAGACAACGAGAGTTCATCCCTCACAAGTCTACCAGCCACTCACTCCCTCAAGTGGTGTGGTAAGATGGTACTTTTATAAAAGGGAAACCTTCTAGTAGAAGAAACCGAGGAGCTTGCCAGCAACGTGCTTGCGACGAGCCTCCTCGTGGTCCATGATACCAGCGGAGGTGGTCAGGACGACGAAGCCGAACTGACGGGAGGGGAGAAGCTGGGTGGTCCACTTCTCGAGGTCACGGAGCTGGACGGGGTAACGGGGGTTGATGACACCGGTCTTGTTGAGACGGCCGTTCAGCTGGATGACGATCTTGCCGGAGCGGTGGTCGTCAACCTCCTCAAACTCGCCAATGTAGCCTGGACAAGAAAACAAGAATTAGTGGGACTGTCGCGACGATTTAAAAATCACCCAAACACGGAAAAGAGAAAAGTTCCAGGCAACTTGTAAGACCCTCGCAGCTTTTGTTCGAAAACAATGGCTTAATTTATCGGGCACTTAAAGGGCGGACGTTGTGGATCACGCGAAACAGACGCCTAGTTATCAACCCGACTTTCTCTTTTGGTCTTTCATTTGTGTTATGCGTTGGTCTCACAAGCCAGCCGAGGAACTCTTCTCTTCTCACACCTTGTCAAGACAGAAAAAATAAAAATAAAGAACATACCGTGCTTCTGCATGACAGACAGGAACTTGATGATGACCTTGGAGGAAGGACGGATCAGGACCTGACGGCGACCGGCCTTCTCGGCGTTGTTGATGGCGTTGAGCGCATCGTTGAGGACGGAAGTCTTGACCATTTTGGCGGTATGGGAGTCGAGATTCTCAAATCGAGGAGTTCAAAGGATAAGAGGTATCTAATGAATTACAGAACCACCCCCAAGTCCTCACACTCAACAGTGCGAGGATTGTGGGTTGTACATCGGTCAGCCGCCAGTAGTCCAGAGCGCAAAGAGTCCCCTTAATGCATTTTTTAAGGGTTCTTCAGCCCGTGCCGGATGGGAGATGCGTATCGCAGACATGTGGCCGATGGTTTTATCCATGAGCCGCTGGCCTGCGATTGCTCTCCCAGACTAGCTGTGAGACTGTTGAAGAGGGAGACGCAACGATTGATACATACCTCGAGATTGTCGACGGCGTCGGTTGATCGGTGGAAGGAAGAGCGGGCGCGGAGGAGGTGAAGAAGTTTTCACCGTGTGCGGCGCTAGGGCTGCCGATCCGTGCCCTCACGGCACGTGATTACATTGATGCCCGAGGCAGGAAGGGGCACCGCGGCAACCATTCGTTGCAAGTGGCAACATCAGCCCGCTTTGCTGGGGGCTGTAAGTAGTTATTATGAGTGCTGTTTCATTCTCGTAAGTCTCCACCGTCGAACCTCAAACCTCCAATATGTAACATGTATCAAGCAGAATAGCCTATCAAGCCACATTATCCCCATCCATCACTAGCAATCCTAGCAATAGATCACAACATCATCCAACTACTTTCCTCCATACTCAACTCAAATCCCAAGGCAGATGCGTAAGCTTGTAACTTACTACCCACCGCAGCGTCCTGTCGCGTATCCAACTAACAATAGCGCAAACCCACGATACAAAAACCGATAATCTACTTACTGCCCATATTCAGGCCATAAAATCTAACACGTAAGGACAAGATCTATGACATCTTGAGGGACATCTCAGAAACACCTAGGCACTGGCACACCTGGGCACACCAAGGCAACATCCAGACACATCCAGGGTATCTCAGGGCATCATCAAGCACATCCCAGTAATAACCCAGACAACTCAAACAATTCAAATATCTACACCATACCAGTCATAGTCACAGTCACAGTAACAGTCAGTCACGTCAGTCAGTCATAGTCTACTACTCATCCAAATTTTATCATTCTCTATACAGGTCTTTTTGGTTGATTGATCGGATACGTTCAGCAGAGTCAGGGATTCGTGATGATGATAGTGATAGTGGTAGTGTTGTCTGTGTTCCAGGGAGATGGGACGTGATTGGATTGGATTGGATGTGATGGATACATGACTTCTCGGGCATACATGATAAGGCTAAAAGAACCTCTGTCTAATTAAAATCGATGATGGGGGGCGCAAAAAGGTGAGGGCAAAGTGGATACTGGTAATAGTAAAAGGAGAAGAGGAGGGATCGAAACAAAGCCGGGGGGGAAGAAAGTGCAAACATGCATTGCGAGATGTCATGAAAGGGGTCCGAAAGCAGGGGTTCGTGCCGGACAGAGGGCCGAGTGCTGGGGAGGGGGTGTGGGTGTGGGTGTAGGTGTGTGTAGGGGAGGGAGGGTCGAAGGACTCATACAGCGGTGCTAGGTAAGGGGTCGTGCAGGTGGATAGTGTAGGGGTCAGTGAAAAACTAGCCCGGTCCGCCGTCGCTTGACACAGCTTGGTGATCGGTGGTTGAAGCGATCAGTAGCACGGCTTGGGTCCGGTGCGGATACCACTCAGGACGTGACAGACTCGCCGTCACGCCGGGGTGCACCAACGGATGGCGTGTCTCCTAGGGGCGCGGTTGAAACAGCAATCGAGTTGCAGTCTGGCGATGATTACGCCATGGCGGGAGTGGTCGACATGGTGATCTGGCGCTTGACCTGCTCGCGGGTCCAGCGAGCAGTGTCGATGGTACGAGGGCCGTACTCGCGGTTCGTCCTCGTCTCGCGGACCAGGCCGGTGACCCACTCGTTGCGGAAGAAGGCAGCGAATTCGCCGTTGGGGAAGGTGTCGGCAAGATCACTACACAGATTAGATACAGTCCACTGAAGTCAAAACGTGACAACTTACCCAAGGACACCCATGGCCGCCCGCATCAATCCCTCGCTGCGGTTGAAATCCTGCGAGATCTTGTGAAGCAGGTCGAAGATGTGTTCCACGAAAGGCGAAAGTTGAGTGGCTGCAGCGGCGTTAGTACGAACTCGACAGAACACGAGGTGGATTACATACCCTGAGGCTTGCCCTTGTAGGACAGGAGAATACCACCCCAAGCGTCCATGATACCCTCACGGAGCGAGACAATGTAATCCTGCATGTCCGGGGCCACATCGTTGCTGGCACTCACGGCGGAGGCCTGGTGAAGCACCTGCGCGACGACGGGCAGGTAGATATCGAACTGAGTGCCAATAGCCTGGGCAATGTCTCCGAAGGTCTCGAGGATAGCGGGCTTGAGCTGGTTGGTGCCGGTCTGGAAACAATTAGCTTGGAACATCCCTCCGGGAATGATGTATCTTACCCTCAGAATGCTGAGCAGGCAGTTCATGAACCCGTCGCAGAAGGGCTGCACCTTCTCGTTCAGCGCACGAGACAGGTCGCTGACCAGGCCGATAGCCATGGCGCAAAGTCCGGGCTCTTCCTGGTTCTCCAGAGCCTTGAAGAGGAAGGGGGTAAAGCTCTGCATGTACTTCATGAAGTCGTCCTCCAAAGCGCCGGCAATCGCGCCGATGGTGGCGAAAACCACATCAGGAACGCTGGACTTGGGGGGGACACTGTTCAGGATGTTAAGCATCACTTCCATGATGCTGTCGGCCTGAGGCTTGATTTCGGTCTCAAGACGTTGGACGATGGCCTAGCTGGTCAGAACAAATACATCAACTATAGAAGCAGGACAGCTTACCAGAATCACACTAGTGACACTAGTCTGCAGCTCCTCCAAGCTGATGCGGTCCTCCACACTGACGACCTGCGCCTGCATGGCGACAGTCTGCTGCAGGCGCTGGACCGAGTGGGTAGAAAGGTTGGCAACGATGGGGAGGCTGTCATTGGCGGCGTTGGTCACGAAGGAGTTGAGAACCTCATAACCGGCAGTGCGGAGCTGGTTGTCGGCATCGGGTCTGCACATATTAGAAACTGTCTGCAATAGATGACGTTGGGAACTTACCTCTCCGTGAGGCCAAGAAGCGACTTGACACTGTCCTCAAAGTGCTTGGAAAGAGGGTTGGTGTGAGCACCAATGTCACCGGCAAACCGATCCGCAACGTTCATCAGAGCCCAGCAGCAGGAGCTGGCAATCTTGGGGGAGCTCGCCAGACCGTTGAACAGGCAGGTGATGAGAGGCTGGAGGTGGACGTCGGGGTCGAGGGTCTCAGAGCAGAAGTCGCAGACACGGCCAAGGGCATACGCAACGGAGTCGCGGACCTGGATGGAGTTGTCCTGCATCATGCCGACCAGGACAGGCAGGGCCTGCTTGATGAGAGGCTCCAGAGCCTTGGGGTCGGGACCATCCATGATGGCACCGAACGCCGCGACAGCGGCATCCCTGCGGCGCCAGTCCTCGTGGCGGATGCTGCTCTCAACGAAAGACAGAACAGGGGGCATGACATCACCCTGGACGCACTGAGCGTACAGCTGCAGAGCCTGGTAAGCGGCACGCGCGACATTGTACTCGTCATCCGTAGCATCCTCATCCTGTTTGCACATAGCCTCGAGAAGGACGGGGATGACCTCTTTGCTGGCGACGCGCGCAAAGCCAAAGAAGGGGCGAACCTCAGGGAGGCCTTCTGCTTGGGCCTACAAAACTATTAGCACGATCTCGCCGTAAAAATGGATAGTTTCTCGTAAAGACGGATCAAAACATACCGCTGCGTTGTCATCCTCGATAGCGTATTCCTCCTCACAGACAGTGCACCAGAACTCGATAGCCAGCTTGGCGACATCCTCCTCGTCGCTCTTCATGCCCATGATGCTCAGACCGAACAGAGCCTTCTCCATGTAGAAGCGCATCTTATCGTAGTAGGCACCCATGATACGGTTCAGGCAGCCGAATGCGCCCGCCTGGACGCGGAGATCGTCGGCCTGTGTGGCCTCGCACACGACCTGCATGATGTAGTTCCGCTCACCCTCGTTCTCCATGTTGGACCGGACGAAGTCGACGGAATCACTGAGGGCCTTGATGGCGGCGAAACGGATGTCCATGTTGGTCTCCTCGCGGCGAGCACCCTGCACGACGGCAGTGAGGATGGCGTTGGAGTGGGCAGCCAAGCTCTCGCGCAGCTCAGCATCCTGGGATTCGCAGATGAAGCCGATGGTGACCAGGGAGGCCTGCTTCAGTTGATCAGTGCCGGTAGCGACATTCTGAACGAGGATGTTCATCAACTCCGGCCATTGGCCCTGGGGGAGCTCCATGGCGGCGATGGAGACGATGAACTGGGCGGCGGACTGGCCGGCCCGACCATCTTTCGAGCCGAGCGTCTTGAGGCCAAGCTCCTTGACCTGCGCCTTGATTTCTGGGGTAATTTGCTGTTGCCATTTTGTTTGAACTTCGTGGAGTTTTGCCGAATCTCTGAAAGTGAACGCGTTCTTCAAAGCGATACCGGCCGCGCTTCGAACGTGGGGGGCGGAGTTTTCGTTGGCCAGTTCCTGACCGAGGGCGATGAGGTATTGAGCCTGGAGGGGGGCGAGAGCACGGTTAGCCTTCTGATACAAGACCTCATCTGATACAAGACCAATGATATCGAGCGGCAGGGAAGCAAGAGGGCGGAACTTACGAAGTCAACCTCCGCCGCGTGGGCGAGCTGCTGTTCGGCATTGCTACGGGTCGCCGCATCTATAGATCCGAACGAAAAAAACCGTCAGTGACACCGTCGCTCGGCCGCAAAAGCAGACAGCCTGGAGAGAGAACATGGAGAAGATGCGACGTACCGGGCGAGAGGGTGCTCTCCAACACCTGAGTGACGTTCATGTTGCCGTATGCGGAAGACAGAAGAACCCAAGTCACAAGCGAAGGGACGAGGAAAAAGAGAAGGAAAAAGAGCCGAGCCCGGTTGTCGAGAAATCAGGCAGAGCAGACAGCCACAAGTATAAGACCGTCCACAACAAAAGAGTGTTGGAGTGGACAGAAGAGAGATTATTTGTGGGAGGTGAAAGGTAGCGGATGTTTTTGTGGATTATGACGAGGCATGCACCTGGTCTTCCGGGGGGGGGGGGGGGGTATGGGGGGTAGTAAGGTAGGGTCGGTAGGTAACGGTGACAGACGAGAGAAAAGACGGCCGTGGTACAACGCCAGGACCAAGCAAATTAGACGGTAGAGAAAACCCCAAGGTCGATAGGATAAACACGAGGGGGGGGAGAAGGGGAGGGGGGAGGATCAGAACAGAGAAGTGTTGAAGCTGTTCAGGCGGAAGAGGGAGAGGGGAGAAGGGGATGATACTGGGGGAGGAGCAGAAGAAGCGAGAGGGAGAGAGAGAAAGAGAGGGATCATAATAATAATGTGAGGGCGGATTCCCTTGGATTTGCCCTTCCAGCAGAAAGAATGGACGAGCACCGCCCGTCCGGCTGATTGGCCCGTCCCGCGCGGGCTTGCACGCTTAGTCATGCCACGTGACCCGGCCGGTCGGTGACGGCGAGGCTCGTCACCCGCTGGGATTGGCGGCCGGAGAAAAAGAAACGCTCGGGGAACCTCTGGAAGGGCTGGTCTGCATCTACGTCTATCAATAGCCTGTGCTCTTTGCTCCCGGGGACTCTTTTTTAGGGGGGGGGGATATCTAGGGCGTGTGTCCGCTGTCTGTGGTGTGTGGTGGGCATATCTGGCTACAGCCAGACTGCGGTAGATAGTTAGTACTTAGGTAGTCTAGAGTCCTTACGGTGTCTTGTCGTCACCACTGGGGCTACCACCCATTATTACCAGCGGATACCATACGGGTAATGCTGCCTGAGGAGCCCCTCCCTTTCCTTTCCTTTGCCTTCCCTTCCCTTCCCCTTCAAATTTTCCCAATTGCCCCCTCCCCTCCCCTCACCTCACCTCACCTCTCCCTCCCTCTTTTGCTTGTTTTGATTTTGCTGCTTGAAGAATCCCTCTTGATCCACCTGCTGTGGCCCCGGCGACCAGCTCCATCGCAGGGCGTCAACCCCCCAACGCACAAATCACCGCTTTTGCTTTTTTTTTTTTTTTCTTTCCGACTAAAGTAGTTCCACTGTTATCCACTCACAGTCCCGGTGTGGTTGGACTTCCATCGAGGTTCTTTGGGATTCTCTGTTTTGTTTTGTCCGGTTTTGTCCTGTTTTGTTTTGTTTTGTTTTCTGCCACTTGTGTTGCAGGGCAGGGCAGGGCAGGGCAGGGATCGCCGTCGGGCCAACCACGATCGATCCGGCCATGGCAACCGATCAGTGCGTCCGTCCGTCGGTCGATGTGATGATGCATGCATGCCCCATGGATGGATGGATGAATGGTGCTATTGTACCTACGTACCTACGTAGACTTTCCTGCAAGGCGGTAAAATCATGGTTGGTTTAGACGTTGTGGTCGACACAATCATTGGTATTGTTCGAGGGAAAGACTCGGTTTCCTCGTCCTTTTTTTTATTGTCATGGTGTTCGACAGTAGTGAAACCGATCCTGAGACATGACGTAGATCGTTGCGTCGTGGCCTGTGGAATAATAAACAATCAGACTGGAGGGGGGAGAGACGAAGTTTTCTGTACTCCGTACTCTGAGCCTCTCCTCTGAACCCCCTCTATTCCTCTACGTACTGAATAGATACTCCTCTACTCCAAGTCCTCGAACTCATCCTCCTGCTCCTCCTCCTCCTCCTCTTCCAGCTCCGCATCCAGATCCAACACCTCGTACCGCATGGCATCGCCATACACCACGCAGATCGCCCGGCGACCGCGTCGGCCGTTGACGTCGATCCGTATGGGCCGTGCCTTCCCTTTATCACTGGGGAAGCTGTGCTTGATAAGATCTGTATACGGGGAATCGGGAGACGACAGGTCCACGCTTGTGGCAGAGGTTACAGGGTCGGGGGAGCGAGGGTCGTGGATGCCGTAGTCGACAGAGAACGGTGCCAGGTCAGGCTTCGCGGGCGACGCAGCCTGGAAGGGCAGACTGAGCAGGTACGAGGCTCCATCTGTAGTCCCTGTTAGCGACGAAGCAAAAGGGGGCAAACCAGGCAGAGAAAATAGCGTACTGTCTTTTGACCATAGCACCATGACGGTATTGTCTTCGACGAACTGCACCTGTCGGATTTCGCCTCCCTGGAGATCGAACGCTCCGGTTGAGGTCTTTCGTGTAGAGCTCACGCCGTTTTCGGAGTCTAATTCAACGCGGTAGAAACAGACTGGCATTCACAAACATTAGTATACCGCGAGCGGTATTTGGGTAGATGGTCTTACGCAGATGCTTCTTCTTGGCCGATCTGGTGGCTATGTAGATCACACAAAGACTCTTTTCTGTGTCCTGTACTCCCCGTGAGCAACAATGCTTTCGCGATGCATGGACGGCCGCTTACCTCACAACACATCTTAATATCAATAACGTCTTTGTCGCAGTCCGGATGGAGAGTAAGAGGCGACCGGTGGAGAATTCCTCTGCGCTGCGTCAACGCGATCTGCCCAAAGACCCTCTCGAACTGCAATCCCAGCCGCTTCGTCAAGTCGTTGATCTTGGGGAGCTCCGCGGGTTGGGCTTCGTCGGGGGTTTCACTCTGTTTAAGTAATTTCTTGAACGTGTCATAGAACGACCTGTCATGGCCGGTTGGAGCCCATTTATCGGACGAGGTCGGTGGCGGTCTTGCCACCCCCATCATCGGCAGTTGTTGGATATACCTCCGCAACTTGCTCTTGGTGAGAGCGCCCCTGATGTACTCCAGCGTCTGCGGGTATTCAATCATATCTGTCTTCTCCATCAGCTCTTCGAGAGTCTGGGACATGGGCTCTGCACTTTGCATGTCTATCTCGTGACGGAACCACCGGGAGAAGGAGTTGAACTCGACCAGTTCCTCATTGGCGTGGATGATAATACGGTGAGCCAGAAGATGAAGACAGTCAAGCGTCTCCACGATCGCATTCAAATCCGAGGTCTCCAGCCCAAGCACCTCGCTCAGTTTGTAGAATTTCGACAGCCCAATCAGCCGGCTCAGCAACACCTCGCACCTCTCCAAAGCAGGAAGAAGACATTCGTGAGTCAACCGACGAACATTCTCGTAGCCAGTCGACACAGCCTTCTCCCATCTCTTGTGTCCCTGTCTAATGTCAGCGCCCAACCATCCCAGCCAACGGGGACGATAAACCAACCCTCTCACCAACAATATCCACCAGAAACTCCTTTAACGGCTCGAAGCAATCCCCAGTCACAACCAAATGATACGCAGCCGTGACAAAATCACAGTGGCATTTCTCCTGCAGGTCCTCGGTGACACTGCGCATGTATCGCGCCGGGAGCTCCTGCGCATTCTTCCACTCCAGCTCGATCTGCTTTTGCACCTGACCGATGTACCGCAACAGGTTCTGCAGCTGCGTGGTCTTATGTGCAAGGAGGGAGAGATACCGCCCCGATCGTGTGATGAAGCGAAGATCAAGTGTGAGGAGGTGCAGCGGACTGGGGGAGCCCTCGGGCGCCAGCGCCAACAACGCATGAGTGGAGCTGAGGGGATGGGATGAGTGACGAAGGATTTGGCAGGGACCCCCGTTTCCGAGGGAGGTCCCGATCTGGAGAGAGCCGATCTCGAAGCAGTCGAAGATACGCAGGTGAACAGTCCCGTCGTCAAATCCGACCAGCATCACATCGACTGCGTCACTCGTACTCTTGGAGATAGAATGAAATATCGCATCAATGGATGCCCGGGAACTGAACACATCATCGCTAGGTCAAGTCAGCACAACCGCATTGCGACCCTCTTCCCGGGCAAAAAGGAGAGAAACAAAAGAAAAAAAGAGAAAAGCTTACTCGCTCCCCGTCGCCGGCAAAGTACTCAACTTCGGCAACGAAGACTCAATATCCAGTAGGGCCAGCTCCCTCGGCAGATCTGCCTTGAGCAAGGCAGCAGCCTTGGAGGGATGGGTATCCGGCGACAAGAGGTCCTCGACAGAGACCTGACCGGCAGCCTCAAGCAGATGTCTCTGGGTAGCTTTGCTATCGGTGAAATTGACACCCCAGCCCAAACAAGTGACCTTGACGACCGGGCGGGCAGTGGATTCACCGTCAGGCTGGTAGGCCGGGTAATGGTGGACGGTTTTCCCACTGAAAGCGCTGATGACGCGGATGGTGTTATCCGCACACGCAACCGCGATTAGATGGCCTGTCGACGCGTTAATATGTCATCCAGAAATGAATTGAATTGAATGCGGACGAAGATAGAAAGAAAGAAAGAAAGAAAGAAAGAAAGAGCAGGAATGTAGAGGAAAGGAGTATAGTAAATACTATAGTCCCATAGACTCCAGCAGCTCAATCACAACATCCACATACCGGTAGTTTTCCACCTCAAGGCCCGAATCTCACCCCTCCCATCATCCTCATCCAGATACGGATCCCCCTTGAACGAGCCCCCCAGGACCTTCTGGCCGTTCAGGCGGAACACGCGTAGCTCGTCGTCCTCAGTCACCAGCGCGATGAGATCCATCGTGGGGCAGTAGGTCAGGGTGCTGGCCTTACATCGCGCCGGTAGGGACTTCTCCCCGACCGGCGTGAGCTGCGGCTCATGGGCCGGCTGAGATCCATTGTCGTCAGCCATGTTGCTGCGGCGTCTTAGCCCATTCTATTGGAAGAAAATGGCGGAAACAAGAGCAACTGGCTGTGAGGATCAATCGCACCCCCCTTCCCTTGGTGGTGGTGTTGTTCGGGATGGATTTCTGGTGGAGAGCGGGAGGTCTTGGCGGGCGGGTGTTTGTCGCGTTGGCATAACTACAGTAGTTATTGCAGAAGAATACAATCCGGATGATTGATCGGACTTTTGGCATTTTTATTCCTTCCCACCAAATAGACCATTGAACCGTAACACTATATACGACGTCACTAATTACCGTCCACTTGCCCATCCCCGCGAAATATTGTACAGTAAACATAAATATTTATACATCCAGTACCTCCGATCCCACTTAGATCGATCAGATACTGGACCCGGATTCAATAACTGTTTTCAGATAACTCAGCTCGTCCATCATTTCGCGCATCGCGGCCGACTGCCCCACGATCGAGAGTCTGCTGAGGCGGTCGTAACTCTTGCGGGACGTCGCGATTCCTTCGTCCGCTTGAGCCGCCACGTCACCCCTCACACCCTCGGGAAACTGCAGCGTGGTCGGATCCGGACTCTGCAAGAGACCGAGGCCTCTGATCGATTCATCCGCCCCGAAAAACGCGGCGTGGCGCTTGGGGTTGCTTTCCACCTGGCCCTCGTCGTCGATGCAGAGACCAGGGATGTCGAGATCCGACGGGGACAACGAGATCGTAAGACGAGGGAGCGGGTGATCCAGCAGCGGAGAGTCGCCCGCAATCGAGGTCGCCGTGGATTTTGAATTGACGGTGAGGTGGGGGGTATCCGGATCGCTCATTTCAGCAGGCATGGACGTCTTGAGGAAGTCCATGGTGCCCATTATTTCGGGAATATGCGGCATCGGGGGGTGCTGGTTGAAGGATAACGAACATGTCATCGACTCGGGAGACACCAGATCTGTATCGGTGCTCCATTCGGAAAAGTGGCTTCTCTCGCAAACCGAGCTGCCGGGGACAGACTCGGTATCGGTGAAATCCGAGAAATGGCTGCATAGGGTCTCGGGATCAAAACCATTCTCCCGGGCATCGAGTTCTCGTAGCGCTTCGTCCATGACCGACGAAGGTGTGTTGGGGAGTGTCGGGAGTCTCTTCTCGCTGAAGGTAAAGTTCGTTGGCGTCGTAGCCAATTCGGAGGACCCGGGGGACATCGAAGGTCCAATGGCGGTGGGCAACATGGAAGGGGATTCCAAAGGGAGGGATCTTCTGCTTATATTTAGATACGTCCCTTGATTCGCGCGGTTTCCGACACCTCCATTTTCAGGGCTCGAGTGCAGGGTCAAGGGCGGTCTCTGCGAGGCGTGTTCCGCCAGCTTTGCGTTCAATGCACGGCGGTCTTGGATCGTCAAGGGCATTGAGCGGCGATCCACGGAAGTTGCGGGTCTCGGGAGAAGGGAGTCAGTGGTGTCTAGGTGCTCTTTCCGATGATCAACGGACGAAGGATGCTCCAAAGCAGTACCCGGATTGCTGCCAAGCCGGTGGTGATGCTCATGAGTCTTTTCATGACCATGAAGCAGCCCTAAAAGCCCATGCGGTGCAGCGGGCTTGGCCGCCTGCCCATCCTGATCGCCCGGATCGCCCAGGTCGGGTGAAGATGTATTCCAATGTCGAAATGCAGCTCGAAGGCCGCGCGATCTTGGAGGAGACACAGAGCGAGCGGTCTTGCTCCCTGATCCTCTCGGCGCATCTAAGCACTTGACCTTGGGCGTGGCGCTGGTAGGCTGGGACGCCCCTCGGTGGGTGATGATGCCGAGAGGGGAAGTACTGAAGGACCACGCCGGCGCTGGTTGCTGTAATAGCGGGGGAGACGTGCGAAGACGAGGAAGCTTCGGCTTCGGGGGACGACGAGGGTTCATATATTTATCGTCAGGGTTCATAGTCCGCTGATCCGCTTGCTGGAAGCTGGGGCTCCTCGCGTGGGTGAACGTCGGAAGTGTGTCTGGAAGGATAATTGGGACATGGAGAACGTTGACAGGTTGGCCCGGAAGGAATGGACAATGCGTAGTCACAGGCTCCGCCTCGTTAAAGTATTCCATATCCTCATCCAAGAGATACTGTCTATAGTTAGATCCAATGCCTTAAGATAGGAGCCAGGTAGCACGAACATAATACCAGTATGTGCCGCCCATTTTGAGCCCTCCGGAGCGCGCTGGAGTCATATGCGTCGGCGAGCCATCACACACGATGTTGGTGAAGGTGTGACATCCCCTCCACTGGCCTGCGCCAACCCGCTTGTCTCTTTGCATGATATAGGGCTGGGCGAAGTTGTCCCATGACCCCAGAAGCTTGACAGACTTGACATAGGGATTGGTGGAGCTGCACATGACGTATCAGCAGATGCGGAACCAACTTCTTCAAGATCAACTCACAGTAGGAAGGTCATCAAAGTTGTTGAGGCCATGATTGCGGTATCGAGACGACAGTCAACAGTTGTACGGAAGATGAACGGATCAATAAGTGATTTGCAGACGGTGAGCTGAAGGGGTAGTTCAAGCGCGAAGCGTATTATATAGTTGAAAGCAGATAAAACGAGGCAGAGAATCAAGTCCAAGGCCAGCTGGGACGAGTCAATGTTCGAAGGAGCGTCTAAGGTTTGGCAGGGAGGGAGAGCCTAGTCGGGCTGATTTTGGAGGAATGGAAAATCGCACGGTTGCGCCTGGCCGCGCGGTTGAGCGGACAATATAAGATGTGCGAGCAGAGAGGCTCAAAACCGCCGCGCCATAACAACCAAGGCAGGGGTGGGGGATTCTGGCAGCAACAGTGGACGATGACAGTTGGAGATCACAGTCTCAGTAGCCGCGGGGGGGGGGGAGCAAAGTTAAAATTGGACGTTCTTGGTGGGAAATTGCGCAGTGAAACCACGGCCAATGAAGCCGGGGGAGGGCAGGCAGGAAGCGCCGACAGGGCGGAGACAGGCCCGGCGACGGCGATGAGAGGCACAGGAGAGAATTTTCGAAGCGCTTGCTGCTGCAGTCGGATGTTTCGACCAGGGCTTCTTAAGAAATTCCACACACGTGGGCCAGACGGGTCGGTGGATGACAGACAGGCGGATCGATCGGCCTCAGGCGTGGAGAGTGAAAGGAGAGACGGGAAGGATGGTATAATTGTGTTATAATCAGCACCAAACAGCGCAATGCATGTTTCGACAGGCTGGATCGATAGAGATGGATGGATAGTTCGTTCGGTGGTAAGTAAACACTTCAACAGCGCGCTTATCAAGGATCCACTGGAGGGTACAAGCACCACGTCACGGAAGGGATCACCCCTGCAGGCGAGGGAGGACGAGGGAGGACTCGAGGAGGTTTCATGGCAACAGGAGAAGAGGGACGGACGGCTAGTGAAAAAAGGACGCGATGAGATCCAAGCATGGTTCCTGGACGATGTGGAGGGGATGCTGATCCCTGCTGGCGAACCAGCATCGCCTCAGGGACCGCTAGGCTGCTAGTCGGAACTTAAGTGGGGACCGAAAGAAGCCCGAGTGCTTGGAATTGATGGATCACAATTCTGGTGTACAGTGTACAGGGTGCAGGGTGCAGTGTGCAGTGTATCTACAGTGTACACAGTCTGTCAGTTACAGCCAGCCAGCCACGACCCCGATCCGAGTGATTGACAGACTTTGGACTCGAGTGATTGCTTGGAGACGATGTCGATGCTTTTCCTCTTTGTGGGGTGGGGGGGGGGGGGGATCATACGATACCGTGTTCAGCATCCTGAATGTCGTCACTGCGAAAGGCAATAAATAGAGTTGAATCCCCTGCTCCTGCTGGTGGTGGTGGAAGGAAGGGTCGAGTAAAGACTTGACTCGAGTCCCTTGAGTTGACGCCTGAAGAAAGGCTGGCTGTGACTGTGGAACGGAGAGAAAAGTGAACCTCCGCCAGGGCGACCCAGAACAAGGTCCAAAGGCTGCATGGCCTGACCGGGCCTGACCATACCAATACGCGCCGATCGCCCGGTCCCCCCCACGTGAGAAGCCCGCAGGTGCGAGGGCCGGTACAGTACCGTATCCCCGTCACCCTGTCACCCCGTTACCCCGTACGCTTCCCGTCTGCAGGCGGCCATTGTTGATGCATCTCGCCTGCATCTTTCCGACCCATTGTATCTCTACTCTGACCTGACATTGACAGATGGCAGACAGAAAGACAGACAAAAGGCAACACTCAGACCAATCAACCCAACAAAACATTCCCCTCATCCAACCAACTAACTTACAACCATCATTCATCAAGGGTCCTCGGCCTCGGGCTCGGAGGCTAGGATATGCCCGCCCGGGCATAGCGCCAGCTTCTAATTCCAATTCCAATTCCTGTGCCTGAATGTATGTATCTACGCGCCGCCAGGGGCAGGCACAGCTACTAGCCTGCTACCACTGCCACTATCACTAAGTACCTACCTACCTACCTACCTACCTACCAGCCAACCAATCAATTCCGAACCGGACGGCCAATATTAATAGTAATAATACCCAGTCACAGCCATAGCCATAGCCATAGCCAATTTGTGCGCCGTACGGAGTACATACTCCGTATAGTCAATTAATCGGTAAGTACTTAGGTATAGTTAGTAGACTGCGCCCGGGCGCCTCTGCACTGTGTACACTTGTGCGACCAGTCCCGTTTCCGCGGGTGCTGAGCCTGAGCCTGAGCCTGAGCCTGCCCAGTGCCACAAGGTTCGGACAACGAATACATAGATAGTTACGGAGTATGTAGATAGTCTGAGGTTAAGAAATTAACACTTATTGGCACAGTTCAGCTGTTCAGCTGTCGCTCCTCGGGTATTCCCGCCAACTTGACTGCCCCTTTTCGAGCAATGGGTGCCGATTGGCCCGGGAAGGGACGGGGGCTGGGAAAGACAGCTAGATATATCATGCTACGATGCTACTCCGTACAGACGTTGTCGTTTAGTGTCCAAAGTGTCCATCCCATGGGCCCCGCTAATCATTGCCCTTTGCGGGCCTACACATGCAGAACAGAAAAAAGCAATGAAAGTCCCAGCACAGCCAATGGAATTAGGAGATTACTATCACTAAGAGACTGACTGACCAGTCAAAAGTCACACGGCACTGCCATGAGACAAGTCCTGGTGTCGACCGACGACTCGGGGAAGCCGGCGGCAAGACGGCGCTTGCTGCTGCGCGTTTCATACTCCAAGCCCCCCGCGCTGTTACACAATCGACAGGGTTGACACGATCATCACGATGAAGGATGCAGTCTAGACTCCAGCCGCAGCCGGACGTCCCGGACGAAAGAGAAGAACAAGACAACGAGCGTGGGGTGAAGGATAAACGAGACCGAGACCGAGACAAAAGCAAAAGAGAAACAACCAACCAGGGTAACGGTGTAACCCAGTCCAGCCCCCCTGACTTCACTGAAACGCGTCCCGCTTATCGTATTTCTTGTGCACAGCGCCGAGAACACACTTGAGGATGCCATCCGCACTCAGCGTCTGCCCCTGATCACCTCTCCACGGCACCGTATCCACCATATCACGCAGATGGTCCTTGTGCTGCATCTCGGCCAGACTATCATCGAGCTCCTGCAGATACCGCGTAGCAGCGGGATCATTTCCGATCTGGAAGAACTGAATGCCAACCTGCCAAGGCACCGCGCGACACCTCTTCCCATCCAGCCTCTCCGCCACATTCGCGATAGTCGTCTCCGCATCATCCGTGAACGCGCCGTCCGTGATCGCAATGATATTCAACGGCTTGACGAGCTCCGACGATGTCGACTCGCCCTTGTCCTTGGCGATCGCCTTCTCCAGATCCCGCATATACGAATCCAGGATCTCGTACAGCCGCTTGCCAAACGGCGTCGGGCCATGCGGATACACGCTGCCGAAGATCTCGCGGACGTCGTCGGCGGTGGTGATGTTGTTATATCCCCCCTTGGACTTCTTGATCGTGTCCCGTCGGTGGTTCAGAAAGTAGATGTCTATCCCGTCCTCGTCGTACTGCGTGCAGATCGGTGCGATCGCCGCAAGCGCATCCTCTGCCTCTTTCCACCGCTGGCCCCGCATGCTTGAGCTGTCGTCCACGACGAAAATCGTATCGAAATCCCGTAAGAAGGCGTACGGCGTGTCGTTGCTCGACGTCTCGGCTGACCGAGTCGATTGAGCCGCAGCCGCAGCCGCTGGCGCTGGCACAGGAGCAGAAGCCTGATACGGCGGCGGCGCCCATGGATCGTTCATGTGCTGCTGTTGCTGCTGCGTAGCCTTCCCCGGGCGCATAGACCCCATCGTAGCGGAATTCGAATGCGTATGCGAGTAAGAGGGCGAGTGCGAGTGAGAGTGGGGACGCGAATGCTTATGACCCATATCACCTGATGACGAAGAAGTAAAGCTGTATCGACTATCCGCTGTGCCTGTAGCGTTATACTGACCACCTAGATCGCGACTCTGATCCTGACCTCGGTTCGATTTCGATTTCGATGTCGAAAGCCGACGTCCAAAGGGCAGTATTTGTAGGAAACCCATTCACGCGGCAAGAACGACCAACGAGGAAAGGTCCGGTGCTATGACGAGAGAGGTATGCAATCAGGAGCAGCGACAGTATAGGTAGTAGTGGTAGTGGTAACACGGAGGAATCTAGATACCTAGGGATGATGTAGATATATGCAAAGGGAAGAGAAGGGGTTGAATGGAAAATAAAGTTGAAGGAAAGTAAAATGTAGAGCACAGCCCCAGGCAGATTCACTCTTCCCCGCCTGTTCCAACGGCAGGGAATGAAATGAGATGAAATGAAATGTTCCGAGCCCCGTTTATTGATCCTTCACCAACGGTCATACATGGGTAGGAGGTACTAGTAGTAGTACAACCAGGGTCTGGCCTTGTACGCAACCCAGCTAACCTATTAGATCGCAAGTGGGGGAGTGGAGTGGAGTGGAGGGGGAAGGGAAGTGAATCGGAGCGCGAACAAGGCAGAAAGGAAGCGATTGATTTGGTTGGTTACCACCTGATCTTATGTAGAAGAAGAAGAAGAAGAAGAAGAAGCCTCAGGCAAGACAAGACAAGACAGCAACCAACCAACCAACTCAGCCCTGTCATAGCATATTACTCTACCCTACATCACTACCACTACTCAGCAGTCCCCCGTACCAATAGTAAGAAGCTCAAAAGATCCTCATCTTCTCTGCCTTACAAGGATGGATGACTTAACTAGCTAGGTACATACCTAGATTCCTGCATCACATCATGCAGGCGTGGTTTGACATGTACATACCCACCCTCCAAGCAATCGGAATTCGCGGAGAGGAGAAGGAAGCGAAGCGAGATTAAGAAGAGGGAAGGGGGCTGTGTCAAATATGCTGCTATGTAATGCTATAAGGCTAAGAAGTAAGAACCACGGGCGCGGTGCGGTGTGGATGAAAGAGCCGAGTGATAGTCTGCACTCTGCAAGTCTGTGGTCATAATGTACGGTAGAATGGGCAGTGCACAGGTTATGTCCCTGGGTTATGTCATGGTGTGGTGGCAGGTAAGTAGTAATCCTATGACGGATCGGAGGGCTTAGACCGGCGTTTGTGGTTTGTGGTTTGTGGTTTGGGTTTGGGTTTGGGTTTGGGTTTGGGTTTGGGTTTGGGTTTGGGTTTACCCGGGCAGGGCACAGCACAGCCTCGTTTGTTCAACATTCAACGGTGAAAGTATTTGTCTATTTGCAGTGGGGGGAGATGAGATCAAAGGAGGATAGGTAAGGGGAATGATTATTTCAATTTCTTTTTCTCAATGTAGTGATGGTTTTGTTTGTCATATACAGAGTACTTATAACTAAGTATTCATAATGCTGTCAGATATAAACAGAGCATAAATTATGTAGACTATATACGGGAATCACATAAGAACTATATACAACCAAAGAATCCACGCTCGGCCCCTATGCTTCTCTTTTCTTCAAGGCAAGTCTGAAACCACCGCCGCCCCATAAATATCAAGTTATTGTCGTGAATGGAAATTGTCAATGATGCGGGAACAAAGACATGGGTATGTCCATGTAGACTCACGCCTGGTGAGTCGGATATGTAAGTAGGTAGGTATGTACCGGACCGGAATTTATAACTGAATGCCAACAGATCAACCAACCAACCGGCCAAACAGCCACTACACTGCGGTATATCAATTCTCATCATTGCTGCACTCATCTACCACCAAGGCATCCACATCCCTGTTCTCATCCGACAGGACAAAGGTATCATAGAAACCATTCCCATTTATCAGGATGTCCATCACGGCCAGGGCCTGATCGATGCCCATTCGACTGCCGATCATTTGGAGACAGTGCAGGACCCATTTATGCAGCGAATGGCTTTGATGGCGTACCGCACCGGCGATGGCCAGCGGCCAGATGAGGATCATGCCGCGGACGAAGCCATGCTCGAACGGGATCATCTGGAGGGAGAGGCTGCCCGATTGACCGGTCGCTTGTCTAATGGCGTCATCAGTGAAATGATACGGCACGCTGGCGCAGATATCGGCCGCGAGTTGTCGGGCGGAGCTGCGGATCTGCGCGCGATGGGCGGCGAGTTCGGGGGAGATGGCCATGCCGACGTTCAGTTGTCGGATGTATGTCAGGATCATATCGCTGACCATGATGCGCGCCACCCGGTATTGGTTCCACGTGTGGCAGATCCAGAGGTCCTCGTAGATGTGGTACCTGTTGTTGTAGGGCTGAATACCCCAGCTAGGCGGTTTGGACGAAGTGTCTTCGACAGTGGTGTAGAGAAAGCTTTGTGGCAGAGCCGCCAGCCAGGCTATTAATTCGCTTTCGATACCGTAAGCAGCTGACAGAATCTCTTTCTTGTCGGTGAGGACTTTTTCTTTTATATCGGCTCGGATGTTGGACAACCGGCCCATGATGGTAATTAGGCAGTCGCCATAAGCCTCAGACTGCGGTCGTAGGAACATGGCAACCTTGGCGCATTGCAAAACGGACGGTGGCACCCGCCTGTCTTTTTGTAGACAGCTGATGATCTTTTTTTTTTTTAACATTAGCTGGGTTTTGAGTATAACACCACGGATAACATACAATTTGATACCTCAACTGGAGGAAGAGTCTTAGGCCATGATCGTTTTGTAGCTGTTCTACACCTCGCAACTCCAGCAGAGCCACAGCGCCGGTGATATGGTTCGTCCAGTTATCGATATCTTTCGGCGCCCTACTGCAAACCACCTTGGAAACACACACATCAGATTCTATAAGCATCGACACAGACTGAGGATGTCAACTTACCTCAAAGATAGCCAACGTCAACACCGCAGCCAGCGTTGCGTTTTCCTTCGCCTGCTGCTCATTCCTGACAGCCGAAGTAACAAGCTGCAGGGCCTGACCGTACTCCTTTTCCGCGGCGTGCTTCATTCGCGTGGACTTCCTGAAGCGAGAGAGCATCGCCGTTCCAACGCAGGTCAAACTAGCCATCATGGCCCTATGGCTGGGCGTCGCTAGCATTTGCCGGCCGTCCACCGTCGACCAGAAGGACCCGATCCAGGCATTTTGCCCGAGAAAGAAGCAGACGGCTTCATCTGTGTTTGGCTGATACGAGGGCTGCAAGGCCAGAGACTGTTCACGCATCTGCTGCTCCAGAAACTCCGGGTCTAGATCCGCGAGGTCAGGCAGGTCAAACGACCCACTCACTGTCGACCATGCAGAGTCTGGGCTAGTGGTAGTAGTCACAGTCGTAGTATCACTGTTCCCCGGGGACTGGGAGGCTGTCCGGCTGCCGGGGCCCGGTTTTCGAGAAGTCTTGGCCTTGCGGGTTGCAGGGCCGGTCCGCGCCTTCCGGATGACCTGCTGACTCTCATCGCGAAACATGAGAGCCAGTTGGTCGCGGTATCCGGGGCAGTCCCGGTTGCCCTTGGTGCATTGTGAGCAGGCCGGAAGGGCTTGGTCGCAGCGGATCTTGCGAGATCGGCATTCGCCGCAGCCTTTGCTGGGCTTGCCGCAGAAGACCATGCCAGGCGAGCGGGGGGAGGGGGGGGGGGGGGTGTGCACGAGATAGACAGGTGGCGTTGTCTGATAGACCGTAAGTGGGTTCAAGGGTTGAGTATACAATCGCCCGGACAGTTAGAGCGGGGAGACCGGCGCTGAAACGGGTAAGCAGTGCGAGACACGAGGTGCCAAGGGTTATTATAGCCTCTGCGTGGAAGACTCGTATGGCTAGTGCAGGACAACTCGTCGCCAGCCAGCTAGATGGATTCCTTCATGGTAAATGATCCTCTGATGGACCAGAGTCAGCAGGTTAAGAATGAAGAGGGGGGCTTCGGATGAATGAGGATGATGAAGGGCCGGGAAGCCTGAGGAGCCTGAATGAGGCTGGGTTGCCTGAGGCGCAGTGCTCCGTCCCCGTGCCTCTAGCCCGATTCGGCAGTCTCCGCGATCGGTGGGTCTAGCGCTTACGGAGTACTACTGGCCGATGGAGTCATGGAAGGAAGACATATTAATGGTTTGCGAAGTAGACAACGAGCTATATATTCCTCAGCCCTGGCACACCAGCCTGTCATTCGGTTGTTGCTTGCGCACCAGTCTCGGTAGTGCGTGGCAAACCAGCTAACCCCAGGGCATGGTCGGAAATGAGTTGCTAAGCCGAACAAACATTATACAGATAGACAACAGGTCACGTCATTTATCACCAAGTCCCTGTCAGTTAGCGCCCGCCTCGATCCGATACTTCTCAGGGATCACGGGCCACTCGTCCACACCGTCCAGAATCGCCAGCGCCATGCCGCCGCTAAGATGCACCTGAATGTGGCAATGGAGCAGAAATGCGCCAGGGTTCACAACCTGGTATCGGAGAGCAAGCCAGGTGTCCTCAGTCACTGATACCGGAGTGGTAAAGGTGTCTCGGATCTGGGGGTTGATGAAGTTGAAGCTACCGGGGATATACCGCATCGCTTCCGCCACGGAGGAGTAATTCCACGTTCCGTTGCCTTGACCGATCACAAAGAATTTGTTGCTGTGTTTGTGGATCGGGTGAGGGGGTTGGATCTGGCCCTGCACGTGGAAGATCAAGTCTACCCACGATCCGTTGAGCGTCGCGATGGTGAGATCGGGCTGGGCAGTGGAGGGGTAGAAGAGCAGGGGCGATGCTTCCTCCAGGGAAAGGGGCATACTGGAGTTCCCCATGGTCCAGCGGTAGGAGGCATTATAATGGCCGATTCTGAGGACATGTGTCTGTGCAACCTCCAGGGATGGTACCTCCACAGGGAATGGAATTACAGTGGTTTCGTCCAGGAGAGTGTAGTTGGAAGACACAAGAGCACCGTGGATATCAATCGTTGCTATCGAAGGACCCTGCTGTGTTTTGATCGGGGTGTCGTATGTCAAAGTCGCAGTCATGTTCAGGATCTGGGTGAGCCCAGAGTCTGCCAGGCGAATAGTGTAGTCACCGGCTGGCTTGTCCAGCTTGACGAGGACGGAGAATCGGTTTGAATTGGGAATGGTGATGGCGTCGACCAGTTTCGGCTCGATGTAGCGTCCGTCAATGGCATACACATACATGGGGTGTTGATCGATTGCGAAGGTAAGCAGCGCGACACCGGCCGCGCTTATTAGATCGTAGCTGACGTATTTGGCAGATGGGTCAACCAGGAAGCGCTCACTTCCACCGTTTCCAGGCGTACAACCATAAAACATGGAGGGCGGCATAGCATTGTAGTTGTGAGGGAAATCCCCTTGTCCGGAGACTAACGTTGGAGGGAGACATCTGCCTTTGTTAGATTTTCCAAATGAGCACGGAATCAGTTTGCACATACCCAATGTCGGTCATGCTCATGTTGCCCAAGGTTTGTTTCTGTTCAGCGGTAGCAAGATCATTGTACGCTTGTGCACCGGGACAGATAATGGACCCCTTGCCATTAATCAAGAGCGCATTGGAACAGTACGCGTCCAGTCCTGTGGCTTCCTCGGCATGCCAGAGCTCTTCCGACGTCAACTGACGCCAATCAGCGAGTATCACAGGGCTGGTCTTCTCCTCAGCTGCCCGCATGGCTTGGAGCTCACTCGTGCTGTTGGTGATTAGGTTAAATGGCTTCTCCACGGAATCATCCGGACGTATATATATCGGTCCATAGAGCCCATCTTCGAGCTGACCTCTGGAGTGGGCGTGGTAGAAATAACTTCCATACTGCAACGCGCGCCATTTATACAGGAATCGTCCACCGGGAACAATGGGTCTCTGCGACAAACCAGGCGTTCCGTCGGACCACGGAGTATCGAGCTGTTCGATTCCTGGACATGTGTCAGACCATCATGGGCCATCTTACAGAGCGATGGGGCATACCATGGAAATGAACGGTAGCATTGGCAGGAGTATCGTTGATCACCAGGAACTCGACATCGTCTCCTTGCCGCAATTCCAGTGCCGGGCCAGGGAATTGGCCGTTCATGAGGATCATCTTCCGAGGGACGCCTGCAGGAGCCCAATCCTCCCACGTCAAAGTGACATTGAAGCGCACTGTATTCCCAGTGGACCTGACACGGAGATCACTGCCATTGGCCCAGGAGACCAGGCATAGGATCAATGCCAGAAACACCAGCCCGCAGCGAATGGTAGGCATACTGGAAAAACTTCAGGAACTTCAGAGAAAGGTGATGAGGAGAGAAAGTTAGTTTCCCAGTGCCTGGGTGATTCGCATGAACTTATAGCCACATTCTGTCCAGACATCCAGAAAAAGGAAAACAGAACAGATTCGGGATTTGAGTTCTCCAGCATCTCCAGCACATCGCTGTCCTTCATACTTATGATCCATCTTGTGGCTTGCTCGATGCATGTTTACGAGAATGCCGACGAATCGCCAGGGTATTCTGGAAGTGCATAGCTTGGCGACCAGCTCAAGGGACAGAGGCCGATCGACAAACAAAGAACCGAGAAGGTGATAGTAAACGGATTGGTTCGATACCGGGGGCTAAACTGGTTTCCAGCGTCAGCAATTGTCCTGAAAGGAGGAAGAGTTGCAGCCGAGGCCCACACGGTCTTGCCATGATCACCCTGGGTCAGTGGATAGTGGCTTGGCCCCCTCGCGTTTCCATTTTGAGTTAAAAAAGTATGAATGCGCGGTTCGCGGGAAAATTTCAATCCCGATCTGAGATTAGGCCGTGGAATTCCTCGGGTCATGCCGAATAATTCGGGTGGTAGATGATCCACGCGATGTGTGTTCAGCCAGATATCCAGTGCCATCGTCATCGGATGACTTGCGAGTAGCGAAGTATCGAATCTACCTGCAGGACCGAGGATGGTGGCGCGCAGCGTGGGTTGGGCTTATTGCCATGACACGTCGATCTCATTGCCCAACCCCCCTGTTTTGCTTTTGGTTTCTGAGACTCGTTGCATTGTTGTCGGGCTAGTAATGAATTGTCCGAAGCCTGTCAGAACCCGAGGGGGGGGAGAATGATATGGAGAGGAAAGAAGCAAGCAGGAGAAAGCAGAAGAAACCAGCGAGTCACGCTGCAATTAATCCCTGCACGTGGCCTGGGGCATCCAGCCCTGTCGGGAATAGCTTCAGACACGCCTTCCGGAAATGGCAGTCTCTCTCGACACGCGAAGAAGCATTCCATGTCATTCGTGCAGTATAGATCCAGTGAGGTTATCGCAGCAACAGCAACAAGACTTCCATTCAGCTCACCGCAGCACCCTTGGCAGGCCAGAAACAAAGACTCAGGCCGGACAACCTCAGTCCACAACGCAATCAACCACTCAATACATGGCCACGACAATGCCTTTCAAACCAGACCCCTAGTCATACCCTCGCCACGACAATGCCTTTCAAATGAAACTCCAACCCATGCCCTCATCACGATCTATCCCAGACACAGCCGCATACCAACAACTCAAATTCCCAGCCCACCACCACATGCTCACTGCGCACTATAGCCGCTACCAGCACCGAGCAGTCAGCACAGTCCAGCAACTCTTGACAACCCCACTTCGGGGAGAAAAGGAACAAAAAGAAAAACAAAAGCAGCAGAAGCCGAAGACGAACAAGAGGAAGAAGAAGAAGAAAGCAAAAACCTACCCATCCACCACCAGCGCCGACCCATACATATAACTACTCATGGGAGAGAGCAAGAAAACAATGGCATCAGCCATCTCCTCGGGAACCGCGAATCTCCCCAACGGAAACTTCGCTTCTTCCCTCTTGATGATCTCGGACGGAAGGGCCGCAACAACCGGCGTATCCACCGTCCCAGGACAAAGAGCATTGATGCGGATGCCGAGCGGCGCGTAGGTGAGGGCATCTATTTTTGTGAACCCGACCACCGCGTGCTTTGCCGCCGTGTAAGAAACGATCGGCAGATCGCGCGAGGGGCTGACGATGCCGTACATGGATGCCAGGTTGACGATGACGCCTCGGTTGGAACGTGGACTGCACCGTCACATGAGAAGAAGTTAGCAACATAAATGCACGCACGGCATGGAATAGAATAGACTGGGGATGTCGGTGGGTGGGTGGTATACAAACCTATCATCCAGCTTCTCCTGCGTCAGCATAACCCGTATTTCCTCGCGACTGCACATCCACACGCCATGCAGGTCCACATCTATGGTCTTGTGCCAGGCCTCGAGGTCATGATCGGATGAATACGCCATTGATCCTGGGATTCCTGCGCTGTTTACGGCGTAGTCGATGCGGTGGAATCGGGCGACGGTCTGTGTGATCGCCTCGTGGATGGCATCGGGGTTCGTGACGTCCAGGGCCAGGGCGAGTGCTTGGGTGCCAGCGAATTGCGATTCGATGTCGGATGCGACTTGCTGTGCTGCGGTGAAATTGACGTCTGCTATGGCGACCTGACGGACTCCGTGTTGGACGAGGGCGTACGCGGCTGCTTTGCCGATTCCTGTTCGTGGTCAGTCATTTGGGTGAGGTTGATTAGGAAGTTGGAAGTTGGTTGGGAGGGTGAAAAGGAGGAAGTATGAACCTGATGCCGCCCCAGTAATAAAAGCCGCTCCGTTGAGTTCGGACATTATGATTTGACCAAACAGGATATCTCTCTCTCAATCAAGTAGTAGAAAATAAAGTCCCAATGACTTCTAGTAAGTAGTATCCAACTACTAATATTTCACTTATATAGAAAACCTAATCGCAACAAACAACTCCCTTATGCATCACAAGCCAGCAAAATACCCAGTAACAAGACTTAGCTAAATAGCACCGATAGCAGTTACATGACGTCAGACCAACAGGAATGTACAAAGACCTGATGTTAAATGAGGGAATCAGGGATAGGCAGGTGGTATCTATCGGGTTGCTTGCGTTCGCCCCCCCCCTGCTTAAAAGACCCCATTTAGTTCGACCTGTTACTATAACACCCCATTGGCCTGTAGAGGGCTTAGTGTAACCCCTTTATACCAATCAAGCGCTACAGCTAAACATATTACGGTTTCTAGTACTAGCTTACCAGGACCTTACATATGCCAGCAATCTGTTTTCTATGTAGGACTTGGTTACTGCAGAGCAAAGAAGTATACTATACTATTACTCTGGCTTTAATCTTTATATTTAGTACTTATTATTATTCCTAGCAGAATAGAGAGCAAAGCGGTGACGTATTATTTGATTTCAGCGCGCAAATCAAACGGCTGGTGAAGTGGGATCTATATTTCTGAAATTTGATTACTAGTACGTATAGACATGCAGAGCAAAGCCCGGCAATAATGTAAATTTAACAGACTACTAATACATTTACTTATATACCTTACTTATATTTGCTAGTATCCTGGCTATAGAGCACCTACACACCATCAGACTCCACCTAACTCCTACATCCTCATCATCAACCCATAGATATATAGGTTATGGTATGTAGGTGGACGGGTAAGTACACCCCACTATCAAATTTACCTTCTTCCCATACATTAGTATATTTGCGGTACCTTATCCCTGCGTAGTGGCACAGCTACTATCTACCTCCCTCCCTCCCTCCCTCCCTCCCTATATACTAGATCACTTGCCGTGCTTACCAAAAGTTCCCACTATCTAGATAAAGTCAAGATTCCACGATATCGATATCACATTCCCAGCTATTACCACAGGTACTCTGTCTCCATGCCTAGATTCATTATTCATTACCTCATCTAGTATTGTTTACATCATGACGTGAGCTGAAACTACTACTACTACTACTACTACTACTACTACTACTACTACTACTACTACTACTACTACTACTACTACTACTACTAATACTACTACTACTACTACTACTACTAGTTGGGTAACATGCATGCCTGCATGTGGCGTGAGCCAAACAGGATGGGATGGGATGGGATGAAGGGATGAATGGACGGATGGTGTTACCCCTCAGCGGAGCAGGGGTACAGCACCATGAGTGGTACTATGACCCAACCAAGGTACTCCCGGAGTCGGATCTACTTCCGGGGGTCAGAACCACGGAGCCATCCATGTTGTAAGGTAAAAGCTTAGTCCGAGATCAGTGCCTTGGTAAAAGGTTGATGCCTGCGATCTACCTATATTATCCTGAGGCTTATTCTACGGAGTGGATAGAAGGAAGGGAGGTGGATGTCGACTATTCTTACCAGCGCATAGATTATCCGAGTTCTATCTAGCGAGAATAGTAACAATAAGCAAACATGGAAGAAAGCGACGAGAAGCCTAGGTAGCTCCAGCTCCAGCTCCGGCTTCAGCTCCAGCTCTCGAAACAACCAGAACCAGAACCAGAACCAGCAAAAGCAGCAAGGCCCAAACCCAGGTAGGTAGATACTGGGTATTCAACGTCCCGCGTGATGCGTTGTCCCAACAGGCTTGAAGAACCAGCACTATCCATCTCCAGAAGAGAAGGGAAGAGATAATAACAAAGCATGAATTCACACCATCAGCAACCAGTAGTCTACTCCAAAGCACCACCATGCAGTCACGTTCAACAAAGATCCTGAACCCGGAAGGACGATGCTTACCCCAGCCAGCCTCACAGATTGTTGCAGACCAGCGGACACAGCTAGGTACTGCTGACGATCAAACGGCCACTGGTTCTCTTGTGGTGAGAAGAAGAGGAGCCGTGGAAGCTTTTTCTAGGGATGAACTCGGGGGCGTCACCACGGAGAGTGCTCACGAAGACGATGCCAGGGGCGACGTTTCCATTCTCTCCGGCTCTGAGACCCTGGGCTCTCCCTCTCTCATTGGGTGCGAGTCCAACAGATGTAGTCGCGGACGAGACGACCATTGGTCCGAATGTCTCCGACATGGGGTGGGTTGGTCCGTACGGCGCTGGGGGGGCACGGTTGTATGACGAGACGCCACCGCGATATTCGGGACCGGACTGGGAACTGTTGGGGGTAAGACTGGGTGCTTCGTACACCTTAATCAGACGTCTATTAGCATCAACTCTCGTCTTGAGTCAAACCTTCATCAGTGATGTGATGGGAACGTGAAGGAGCTCACTGGCTGAATGCCCGGGAATCGGTACTGCTCAATCTGCAATCTGGTCCAGTTCTCCATCTCCTGTCGCTGTTTATCCATCTGCATAGCCTGCGCAATAGCAGCCGGGCCCGCCTCGACCTGGGAGGAATAAGGCGGCGTCTGCTGCTGCTGGTGCTGCATCATGGGGCCAGGCGCAGCGAATCCCTGGGCACCCGGAGGACCAAGGTGCTCAGGGCGTCTGGGGTCGAAAGGGTGCTGAGCCGAGTCTGCCATGGTGCTAGGATTGGGCTGCATAGGACCGGGCGCCGAGGGATACTGGGAGCGATGGATATAAACAGGCCGGCTGTGCTCGGGCACGAAGAAGGACGCGCTTTGCTGTCTGCTGCAGTTCTTTTTCTTGGGCATGGCTTCTGCGGCTGCGAGAGCGTCCTGGAAACGCGACAAGTTAGCGCGTCTCGAGATGAATGGCTACTCAGGGCCTGGGGTGAAGACCCAGAAGCGGCTGCCAACCTGGACGTCTGGGAATTGGTAAAAGGACATGATGGTTTGAGTGATACGCGCGTGGTGAGATGTGGGATACCACGAGGGGATGACAACAGAAGGAAGGCAACAGAGAGTGGCAGTCAGGGGGGAGGAGAAGACCCTTGACTGGGGGTGTGGAGGAAATGGAGTCGAGGTCACTGACCTGACGATGTCAAGGCTATCAGAGAGGCTCCGAGCCTACCAGGGAAGGAGCTTGGTCGAAGGTGTCAGTGTAACAAAGAAGAGGCCCATCCTTTGTGTCGAGAAAGAGCTTGTCTGGGACTCTCGGTTTGCCAGATGGACGACTTGGACCCTCACGGACAGGCCAGACAGTTCATGCAACCCCCATGCCTGAGGCGCCAGTGGTATTCACTCGCGCTGCTTGTCTGCTTTGTCTTGTCTGGTTCTTCTACGCGTTGCAGGCGCCGCTCTTTCTCTCCTTCTCCACCTCACCTCACCTCATCTCACCTCACCTCCCGTCGTCTTCCCTCTTTGTCTCCGCCTCCGAGACCCTCTCCTACGCTTGTTTGCACTTGTTCTTGTACTGAGTAGAGAAGCTTCCATTATGGCTCTCTGGTGTTTTTCTTCTACCTTCCGTGGTGCTTTTCTGTTTACTCTTGCTCGCAGAGTCTGTCCGGGCATGTAAGCCCAACTGACAGAAAAGAAAGGGAAAAAAAATTGAAAACTACAAACAAGAAAAAGAAAACCTACGGTGAACAAGCGGGGAGTTGAGAATGTTGAACTGAGACAGACCCTTTCTTCTGTGGTTTTGTATTTTTATCTTTTTTTGTCCTTGTCTTTGTCTTGCCCCCGACACCAGAGGCCGAAAGCAGTAAAAAAAAAAAAAAGAAAAGAAAAGAAAAAGAAAATGAAAACCGAAAGAACAACGAGCACGAGAAAGGAGACACAGAGAGCCAGACTGAAAAGCGCTGGAGAGTCCTGCTGTCCGCCGAGAGATGGCTCTGGCCGGCGATCCTCGGAGTGAGGACCGGGGGCGCTTGCCTCAGCGACGACCCTCCGACTCTTCCTCCATCATGGCTTGGATCTGGCGGGACCTTGCCCATATGGCGTTTTCGACGGCAGCCTTGTAGGCGACCTTTTCGTTGAGCTCTGCAGTTGCATCGTGCACTGCCTGCTCCGAACGACGTAAGTTGTCGACTTGCCTCTGCATGCCGAGGGCCAACTAATAAGATTGTTAGTTATTTGCGTGCGACCTATGTCCAACTACATCACAGTGATAACCCTTACCCGAAGATACCTGACTCTTTCAGCGGGTCCTTCCGCGCCCCGGACCTTGTCACACGTGGCGCTGATGATAGCGTCAAACTGCACATGGCTGGCCAGACCCGAGTCCTGGCGAGGTGGCTCGGTCTGGATGGCTGCATCTCTGACGGTGGCGTGGCGGGTGGCTGCGGTTCTTGACTCGGGACTGCCCATGACACTCGCAGGGAGAAGACTTCCAGACGTCGCGGTGAAGATGGTATGGTCCCGTCGAGCTAGCAGGCCTGGTTTGGCGGCCTTGGTCTGTGTCGACACTGCTTGGCGAGCATGCTCTGGAGTCGGAGTGTCTGGCGCCCCCATGTCCATCCTGTCGAAAGGAGAGCGGCCCACCAGTGGGATGGGAGATGAGATTGGCCCAAGCGAAGTCTTGGGGGTACGTGGACGGCTGAGAGTCCAGCTCGCTCCGGGTTGTTTTGCCTTGCTCGTCAAGGTCTTTTTTACCAAATCACCGGGAATGCCCTCCTCCTCTGTTGGCTTCACGGTGCTCACGGTCCGATCTCCTGCGACCTCTCTGTTCTTGTGAAAGATGTCGCGGATTCTGAAGGGCCTGAGGTTGCTGAATGGCGTTGGAGCTCTAGTATCATCCTGAGGCTTGCCGTTGTGGCTCTCGGCAGCCCCCTGTGGAATGATGTCGTCGAAAGTGGTGTTTCGACTTCGACCGTGACTCTTCTGCTCATCGGCCTCCCCCAACGCTGCAAGCTCTGGCACAGCTTGCATGGAGGAGGACCGTGGCGGGAACCGGTCTGTGGCTCTGGCGCTCTCCGCAGTCTGGAGGCAAATCTCGGACATGGTTGTTGCAAGTGAGGCCGGGGGAGAGTTTTCGTTTCCGGTGCTTGTTGGCGCCTTCGCGGACAATTGTGGTCTGTGTACAGACCGTCTGGGAAGCACTGGTTTGCGGCGGGCTATTTCGCATCTTGGGGTGGCTTCCTGAGGGATGCGTAGCCGGCTGAGATCCCGAGTCACCGGCTTCTGAGCAGTGGCTCGGGGTTCGTTGTGTTTGGGGACTCGGGGTTCGTTGTATTTGGGGACTGGGGTAGATTGAGAGGAGCCGGAGGTGTCCCCCTGTCCTCCGGACTCCTGTGCAGGTCGAGCCCTCTGGGCAACGTCATATTCAGAAACAGCCTTGCGTCCCATGATCAACTCCTCGGCTGAAGGAGAGATTCTCAGTGTGGGCCCATATGGGAGTTTTCTGATGCGTTCGGCCAAAGGAATACGATACTCGCCTGTGTAGATGGTGGGCGGCACGATTGGTTCATCCTCACTAGAGCTCCCATTGACATCGGCTGATGACTCGGGAACGAGCTTCTTTTGCTCCTCCGGAGCCCTGCGAACGCTTTCTGGGATGGGGGTGTCGGGGTTGGCTTTCTTGGCTGGGGGCTGAGATCGAGGCGTACGAGACGCACCTGCAACCCTGTCGCCCCCAGGAGATCCTCCGACTGGTGTGCCCTGTGAGCCCCCCAAGTTCATCATACTACGTCTATAGGTAGCGATGGGAATTGCGCTGCGCGGCTCTGAGGCATGGGCCCTTCTGGCATATGGAGAGATACCTACGGCCTGTTGTGGGGAGTATCCTCTGGGGATACGAGAGACGAAGGTGTTGTCGGATCGCTGCATGGCAGCTTGAGAGACTGGAGTTCTTTGCTCCCTGGGTCTGGCGCGTCCAACTGCTCATGGGTTAGCTTAGAGACCATGGCAATCAACGGCAGTCACGTATGCTTACTCCGACTGGAGAGATTAGGGGATGAGGAGGGTTTATGGATGGCGTGGGGGGATGAGAGAATAGGTTTCGTTCCTGTGGGGTAATAGTCAGTATCTGAGAAAGATACAATAATGATAACGCGTCGTGTTTGGTATTGCTCTTGAGCCCGTATACAGCGTAGCAACACAGCAGCCGAAAGCATGCGTAGGTGTCAAGCTGCGGCGTCACTTCCCCGAGGACGCTCGTCACAGAGCATAAAACAGAATCTCGAGTATATACAGGATCGGTGAAAGAGGTTCTTACCTGACGAGGCTTCCATGCTGTCGCTGTGTGCGATGCCGACCTCACGGCCTCGGACATCTGAGGTATCCGCAGAGGGACCCTGAGGAGAGACCTCTTCAGAAGAATTAGAAGAAAGGAATGCGGACATGTTTACGATGTGAGATCTGCTAGGACAGAAAACAAGTAATCTGGTGCAGGAGAAAGAAAAGCGAGAAGAGCGAGGATAGCCAGAATATCTTTCTGATATCGTATCGTGAAAGATGAAAGTGACGTGGAGATCCGGAATGATGATTTGAAGAAGTGAGAGGAAGCGAGAATGAAGATGGGTGAGAGGAGAAAGTGTTTCTGGGGGGTGGAGGTCTCGCGTTCTTCCTTTTCTTCTCAGTAGGTGCTGGCCACGCAAAGGGGAGACTTGTGTTCTTGGCTGACAAAAGACTGGCAAGGCCGAAAAGGGTACCACGCTTATTGGGAGCATTCACTCGGGTCTTGTGGATTTCGAGTCCTGGAAATCTAGCAGGTGCTTGTCGACGCTGTTGAGTGCCTGGGGCTGCACCGGGGTCAGGACTTCCTCTGAAGTACTGAGCCACCGGTGCCTATCCCACAGACATCAAGCACGTCTGGCAATGACAGCATTTTCCCTGCAGGACAGCTGAGACTGACTGAAGAGCTTGTTGAGGCCGGATCATAGTACACTTTGACCTGCCATTGTTCGTCCAAGCTGGAAAACTGTCCCTGGGAGCACGACAAACGTCCAGGCTGCCCCGACAAACGCGGCCAGGCTCCACACCATTGTCAAAAGGTTACAGACAAGTAACTCTCTCCTTTCTTATGACATCTGGTCGAGGTTTTCCTATCTTTCTGACACTCTAGGTACGGCTCGTGCTCATCAAGCGTCAGCAGTCTTGAGATTTATCCCACCCCAACAAGTGATCGTCATGGGTTCCATGCTCTGGGCAAGTTGAAAGGGACCAGCCATATCAACCGGGCAGGAATGAAGGCAATATCGAAGGGAGAAGGTTCAAGTTGTGGTGTAGACGCAGGAGATCCCCAAAGACTATCACATGCTAACGTTTGATGTCTCTAGGGCTGATATCCTGGTTGCAGATCGTACCGACATAGGGTGACATGATAGGGACGAAGCTGGCTATGGTAATAGTTCGAGCATCGATCTCTCTCACTGGACCATTCACATACACCTAGGCACCAGAATTATGAGAACAGAGAATCCGATGCGGAAGCCATGCTGGAGGTCTTGAACTATTGTTCGAGGTCAGCATACGTGCTGTATCAGGTATACAAGGCTGTCAGGGCACCAGAAGAGCAGACAGTAACTCCTGCTACCCAGAAAAGGGCACAAGTAGCACCTCCCTCCCCCAACTCATCACGCGCGCTTACCTGATTCTGAGAGACACGATGCCCTTCATCACCAGAGACAAAGCCTAGACCGACAAGACCACGGCGGTGTTGAGACTCAAACATGAACAACGAAATCACAGAGGGTGGTTGTGACCCCCCTCACAACCACCCTCTGTGTCTTGGGGAAGGGAGAAGAGAGGAAGAGAAGAAGACAGGCTCAGTGTTGTGAAGCAGACAGCCGATTTGTCCTCTCTTTGGAACTGGCAACTCAAGCGAGGCGATCCCTAATTAGGAAGTCGAGGCGCGTGATCTTTGGCTCATGTTTGGGTCCAGGTGGTCCGGTGGATTTTCCCTGGGGATTGATTCACTTGCTTGTCTGGTCTTGTGCTGAATTTACTGCTTGATCGCTAGGCTATCTTGTTGCTATGGCAGTTGTTGGTGCTGGGATTGTATATCCGCATCTAGACAAACCTAACTTCGGAAAGTCAAATGGATACATAACTACATTAAGCCTGATTCTGAGATAGAGAGCAGCACAGTTGCAGTTGTAAGAACAAAAATACATTTACATCAACCATTCAAGATTGATAAGTTCAAAGTATCACTGATATCCCACAATGTACTTCATCTCCACTCCCACAGAATATCATATCACCATGGATAGGACGGCGGTGACCCAACGACACCTATTCAAGATAAAACTAGGCATCCTCTACATCCGTATGCTGCCCACGTTTCCTCTTCCCGGCCGCCTGCGTAGTGGATCCCACCTGCCGCCGCGCACCCGACTCACCACTCGTCCACTCAGTAACCTCCCACTCAAAAGAAGTAGACTGATCATCACTAACCCCGACACCGCGTCTCGTCTTCATCAGTCTCCCCAGCCGACTTCCATCGATCAGCTCCTCGAACCACGGGATGCCACCCAGCGTGCCGTGCCTGTAGCTCCGCGATAATTCCGTCCCACGCGGAATAACCACATTGGACGGAGGCACGTCCTGTGAAGCCGCCGCCGGAGTAACAACGACCTGTCTTGCCCTTTTCGGTCTCCCAAAGCCCTTCTCCTCATCGTCCTCTTCTTCTCCCTCCTCATTATCTTCGTCTTCCTCGTCATCACTGCCCTCGCCTTCCTCCTCTGCTTCCTCATCAGACGAAACCGAGGGCGACTCCGGAGGCAAAAGATCCAAGTCCTCTAGCATGCGCTGATCATCGCCATGTAAACTTCCAATAGAGACAGACATGTACTCCGCCTCCTCGCGGGGCTCATCCCTCCAGTACGTGAGCGGGGTGCCGCAATACCCGCAGAAGACGCGCTGGGTATGAGGGGCATGGTGGGGGGAGAAGATGCGACGGATGGTATTATGCGTTTCGTCGGGAAAGTACGATTGGGTATGGGATTGGTACCAGGTCAAGGGAACGCGCAGCCAGGCGGTTAGGGGAGAGGCATGGAATCTTCCTATGAACATGGGTCGTCAGTGGTTTGCCGTTGTATCGGGGAATATGGAATTGGTGGAGTGCGGTTGGACGTACGGTTGTCTCGGCTGGCATCGAAGTAGACGTGGGCGTGATCAGTCACGTCGTCTGGGAGGCGGATTTGGTACTGATTTCGCCCGCATTGGCAGGAACCGCGCAGGGGTTCGATGTCGGTCATGTTTGGGGGTGTGGTGGTTGGATTTAGGGTGGCTGTCACCGTTGCTTTCCCGCTAGTTGCAGGGTGAAACAGTGCTAGTATGAAGTCATAGATCGGAGGGGACGGAACAGTCAATTGAGCACCAGGAAGGGTGATCGAAAGGCCCCGGGAAGTAAGGACAAGCAGTCCGAGTGGTCGGGACGGGGAAGGGGAGCAGAGGGTCGAAGAAATAGCCACGGGGACGGTGGAGGCCCAAGTGGCATGGTGTGAGAGCGAAGAAATCTAGAAGCAACCTGAACGATCGATGACGTTACGGGAGGCAGCGGGAGACGCCGAACGGAGCAACGACGACTCGCTCAGGCACCCAGGCACAAACCAGTTGGTGCAGACCTTGGCCCGAAAGCGAGCCTAAATCTCCAGGCGACCAGGCGACCCGGCCGGCCCCTCCCCGCCTTCCTAATAAATGGGCTTCGGGTCCATTGGTCCAGGAGCTTCAAGCCCGGTCGTGCCCCTGGTCGTGCTGGAGTCGAGGGCAAGTCGTCTTCCTCCCTCTCCCTCTCCTTCTTCGCTTGTATATACATGCATAATACATACGCACGCATCTTGTAATCGGTTTTTCATTCGTTTCTCTCCCTCGCAGTCTCTCTGTGCCATTTCATTTCTGCTACATTCTGCATCTGCTCTTCGTCTTCCCCGCAAATCCTATCCTCCCACCAACGCTGTCACATGAAAATCCCGCCCTCAGCGAGCACATGATAATCTCCGCCCTCCCATATGAAAGTCAACAATTGCAATCTCTCGCTGCCCACCCATATATAATCCCAGACGAACCCACCATGCCATCCGCACGACCACCTGCGTCTCTGGCATCCAGCTCCTCAGAACCCTCCTACTCCCCCGTGGCCACTGGCGCTCCCAACCACCCGGACGATCGCGACGACCGTTCCCCGTCCAACACCCCCACCGGCAACTCCTCATCCAAGCCGGTTTCCGGCTCTTCCGCATCCAACGCGCAGGACAAGGAAAAGCCACGGCTCACGGAGCAGGAAAAGAAGAACAATCACATCGCGTCCGAGCAAAAACGGCGGGCCGCGATCCGGGAGGGCTTTGATCGCCTGACGGAGCTGGTGCCGGGCCTGGAGGGCCAGGGTCGCAGCGAGAGCATCGTGCTCCGGAAGACGGTGGACTTCATCCAACTACAGCTACAGGAGAGGCAGGAGTTGATCGCCGAGATTGAGCGCCGCGGAGGATGCATCGATAAGTCGCATCGCGGCTGATGCGCGGGCCCTGCGGGCCTAATGTCCGAGGTCTGAGGAGACGTGAGATGACGACTATGATGATTATGAAGGTGTGGGATAAATGACATTAAGCTATCCACGTCATACGACTGCAGGAATCGGGATGGCATTTTGGACGGGAGGGAAAAGTCTGGCGGTTTTAGGTCTTTCCTACGTTCAATGGGGACAGCGACGACACTGGTTCATCGCATTTTTGGCTGCCTACTGGGCGAGAATAACGGAGGCGGCGATGGTGGTTTGATTACTGGTTGATACTTTGTTTCTGCTTTCTGCTTTGGCCTCTACGGGGGGGTTTTTTTTTCTGTTGCTTTTGACACGGTGTCTGGCGTTGACTGATGATGGGATACATAAGGACGAAATGTCCGGGTGTTCAAGGGCTGCACTTGCTGCATATACACCGAGGACTGGGATGCTGCGACAACAGTGAGAGAGCACCCAGCCACTTATTATTATTTGATGCCACTGAAATAGGCACTACTATTTGCAGACATACATCGCGTAGGGACCGATGAAAATGGAATATTTCTCCTGCGACCAGAGCTTTGACTGGCCACGAAAGACATCATGTCGATCTGCAGGCGTCGTAAACACGTTCCCATGCCAGATCGCACAGCATAACCACGCACGACTCTGTATGTATCACGTAAGTATCGATCACATCCCTATCGGATCGGACTGCATTATCAACAACTGCCAAGATTCACCGCCCGTCTATCAACCCGTCCGAGCTTCAATTTTATTACCACAGCCACTACTACTACCACTGCAACTACACCAACAGGCTCCCAAATTCCACAACCTCTCCAAACCAAATCAAACCAAACCAAGTCTCCCTCCAACCAAAACCAAAAACCACAACCACAACCACAACCACAACCACCACCATCACCTCACTCCCCCAAAATGTCCGACTCCAAACAAGCCCTCCTCTCCCAGAACAACGACCCCTCCGACCCTCCCCCAGCCTACGACCAAACGACCACCGCACCAGCCCCCAACCCGAAGCGCTCAACGATGCTCCTCCCGCGCCCACCCCCTCTCTCCCTCCCGATCCTGAACAACCTACGCAACAAACGATTCATCCTAGCCTCCGCATCCCCACGACGGCGCCAAATCCTCTCACTCCTCGGCCTGCCCAACGTGGAAGTAATCCCGTCCAACACGCCCGAAGACCTGCCCAAGACGATGGAACCCTTCGAGTACGTTCTCGCGACGGCGACGCTGAAGGCGCAAGCGGTGTACGCGCAAGAAATCAACAACGAGGAGAAGGGCGAGCCGGCGATCATACTCGCGGCCGACACGGTGGTGGTTGATACCGGGTCCGGGACGATATTGGAGAAGCCGCGCTCGGAGGCCCAGCATATTGCCATGTTGAAGGGGTTGAGGGATGCGGGCGATCATCGCGTGTATACGGCCATGGTGGCTATGGCGCCGTTGGCGAGTGCCAGACAGCCGGGGTATGCGTTGGAGACGGCGCTCGAGGAGACGGACGTCCGGTTTGATCGGAATGTCACGGATGAGTTGATCTTGGCGTATGTGAGGACTAGGGAGGGCGCGGATAAGGCGGGCGGGTATGGGTTGCAGGGTTTGGGGAGTATTTTGGTCGAGAGGATTAGTGGGAGTTGGGATAATGTCGTCGGGTTGCCGTTGAGGGCGACCTTGAATTTGATTGAGAGGGTCGCCGAGAAGGCGGATGATGAGGATTTGTTGGATGGGGAGGGGGAGGAGTTTGAGGAGGGGAGTGAGGAGGGGGATGAGTGATTTTTTTTTTTTAGAAAAAAAAACTTTTCTTTTGTTTATTAAAGAAAAGAGTCACTTGTTGGTGAGATTTGTGTTGATGGAAGGGGAGGGAGGGGAGGGGGTGGTCTACGCTGGGCGTTGGACTAATTCAAGTACTGTAGGTAGCCATAATACCTATCATATATGTAGGCTATAGAAGGACGAATGGGTAAAAGATAGCGCATGGATATAATATTCAGTCAAGTTACACTCTTTTATGCTCCAGGACAAAGCACCAGTCGAGCTGGTCTACCAAACGGGAAGGTAGGGGGGGAAAATCAGCATGTACAGAGGCAAGACGCCTAGACAGGAACCAAACAGGAAAAAAGAAAACCGACAACAGCAACTCTATGCCTTCCACACCCGGCGGAGAGCCTCCGTGACACCGACGTCGTTCGTCTCGAACTCGTACAGACCGACCGCCGTGCCGAGGGTGAAGGCACGCAGCAGCCAGTTCATGAAGGTGTGGGTCTTGGGAACACGGCGGGTGGGGAAGTAGTCGGTGATGGAGGCGCTGTTGATGTTAGCTTGTACGTCTTTTTTTTTTCTGTGACCACCGAAGTCATCCGGGGAATGGTGATCCGGGGAAGAAAGAGGGAGGACGTACTGAAAACCAATGTGGGAGTGGACGACGATGGCGGAGCAGATGACGGCGTCCATGACGGGGCTCATGGAGCCAGCGGCAAAGGGAGCGATGCAGAGGGGCACGAGAGAGGCAGACACGAGTCTAGAGATGACATATCAGCAGTGTCCAGGCAGCAATGGGTCGACATTATCAACGCACCTCTCGAAGGTCCAGTGGTAGCTACCCTCCGTCGGGTGAGACTCGGGGATAGGAGCAGGGTCGTTCACTAGAGACGACAGTCAATATCGAATCCCCAACAACACAAGCCCGTTATCTGAATGCGGTCGTTGGATTTCAAGCATTCGCCAAGCGCAACCCCATCTATCCATCCATCCATCCACCCACCGACCGCATAGACCAAAAACCGGGGCATATATAACGGGGCAAAATCACGTACTCGTTCCCTGAATCGACTCTATTCCCAAGACGTTAGCACTACCCAACAACCCGATTTTTCATCCCATCACAATTCCCATCCCCACCAGCCAGAAAGAGAAGACATCACTCACGAGGCAGAGGCGGCAGGATCTGCTTCTTCGCTGAGGCGTGGAAGGCCACGGCCTGCGCGACATTCTTGGTCGCCCAGGGAGCGCGGAAAGCAGACAGGCAAGACTGCCGGAGGAGGGGGTTCTGGCGCGCGATCGAGGCCATGGTTGCTGATGTGGTTGTGCGGGCGTGAGGGAGGGAGGGGGGGGGGGGTATGGAAGCCGTGACCGCGATGCGAGCGCTACACGAGACGGAAGGTGAAGTTGAGATGTGCTCAGGATGGAACCTCGGGAGTCCGATCGGGAATACGGTCATCATATTGTCGCGCCCGTGATTGGTCCGCGCTGCTCCGCCCAGCCGAAAATGGCCGACACCCGGCAAATGCAATATCATCGCGGGTGACTTGGGGGGGTTGGATCATGGGGGTTTGCTTACTGGATGTAGGTTTTTGGATATGTTTTTGGAATGAGTGCGATGGGTTTGATTTGTCTCTTTGGTTTGCTGGGTCAGACACAGTGATGGAGCTGGTATATCTCGCCGTTGTCGTTCTTCTTGCCTCAGGCACTGATATCCCGCATCCCGACACCCGTAGCGACCCGTCGACTTCATGCAACACCCCTTGTGTTCTGTGACGCCCTCTGCTGCCTAGGATGGGTCGTTGATGGTCACGTGAATTATTACATTGCATACAGCCTGTCCTGATTGCGGTTAGCCCATGCGTCGTGATAGCTTCAATTAATCCAACCTGTCTCTGAGTAGGAGAAGAGCTACCAAATTCAGCACATAGCAATTTCAACCCGCCCGACGCATGAAGTTAGCATGCCTATATGCTCTGAATCCGTTAGTATAGATACAGCCACCTCTACCTGCGAGTGTAGTCAATTTTGGATAATTGACTACTCAGGGGGGTGTCGCCAGTTCCCTATTTTGTCAAGAAATGGTCATGCCTTTGCTGCGCTAAACCAATACGGGAATCAGGAGACGTCTTAGTAGCGATAATCGGGTGTGGGTTTATTTATACACGCCCTTTATCAAACGACACTCTCTACACAGGCACTATCGCCCTAGCAAGACACAAATTGAAAGCAAAATGAATTTTCACGAGACCTGTACTCTATGTGACCAACCCATCCTTTACCGTCTACCCGTTTAGGCAGTTCATCAGATTCGCCCATATACACACAAAACACATACAAGGAATACAGTTCCCGACGCGGCGGGTCTGATCGGATATTATAGCAAGAAAGAGAGAAAGAAAAGGGAAGGAGAGAGGGAAGGAAAGGGGACAGACAAACCTGCTCTCTCTAAGATCTAAATAAGATTTTCTTTTTTTTTTATAAAAGAAAAAAAAAATCTACCCAGTCTGGCCTGACTGACTGACAGAGGTGAGTGAGGCGCGCGCACGCAGGCTGAGCTTTACTCGCGGCAGATCATGTGGTCGCGGGCAGGACCGGTACCGATCCATTTCACGGGGACGCCGCCGAGGCCGCGCTCGATGTACTCGATGTAGGCGCGGGCGTTGGCGGGGAGGTCTTCGTACTTCTTGACGCCCATGGTGTTGCTCTTCCAGCCGGGGAGGGTGACGTACTCGACCTTGACCTTCTCGAGGACCTCCGGGTCCGCGGGCATGGTGTTTTCCGTGCGGGTGCCGTCGGGCAGGATGTACGCGACGCCGACCTTGATCTCGTCGAAGTCGTCCAGGACGTCCAGCTTGGTCAGGTTGAGGGCCGTGTAGTGGTTAATGGCCTGCGAGTAGCGGCACAGGACCATGTCGAACCAGCCGCAACGGCGTCTACGGCCGGTGGTGACACCGAACTCCTTACCGACGCCCTGCAGCTTGTCACCGTCCTCGTTCAGCTGCTCGCTAGGGAAGGGACCCGAGCCGACACGGGTGGTGTACGCCTTGACCACACCGATGATGGAGGAGATGCTGGTGGGGTTGAGAGACAGGGCCTGCACGGCACCGCCCAGTCCGGTGGAGGAGGAGGTCACGAAGGGGTAAGTGCCGTGGTCCAGGTCCAGCATGAGAGCGTTGGCACCCTCGACGAGGGTGTTGGGGGCGTCCTTGTACTTCTGGAGGAAGGCCAATTGGTCGACAATGTAAGGGCTCAAGCGTTGGCGGTATTCCTGGTTGTGTTAGATGCTCCCAAGAAGTGGTTTGGTGTTTCTAGTCTAACTACGTATGGGGGCCATCCTACCTTGAAACGGGCAAGTTCTTCCTCGACGCTGTACTCCAGCTCGCCGAAACGGGCGGTGTATCCGGCGTGCAGGGAGCGCAGCTTGCGCTCGAAGAGAGCCTCGTCCAAGATCTCCCCGACGCGGACACCGCGGCGAGCAGCCTTGTCACTGTAGCAGGGACCGATACCCTTGCCGGTCGTGCCGACCTTGCGACCACCCAGCTTAGCCTCTTCCAGACCATCGACGACGGAGTGCAGGTCAAAGCAGACGTGGGCACGGTCGGAGATGAAGATGCGCTTTCCAGCGCTGTTCAGGCCCTTGGTCTCTAACGAGGCCAGCTCCTTGAAGAAACTGGGAACGTGCACCACGGTACCCGCGCCAATCAGGTTGACACAGGCGGGGGAGACGAGACCGGACGGGAGGATGTGGAAGTCGTAGGTCTTGTCGCCGTGAACGATGGTGTGACCCGCATCTATTCATCGTGTTAGAGCTATCCTAAGCTTCTCATATTTATGTGGAGGTGGTGTGGGGGGGAGGGGACTTACTGTGGCCGCCAGCGGCACGGCAGCACAGCGTAGCCTGCTGCGCAAGCATATCGGTAATCTTCCCCTTTCCTATTCAATTGAAGCATCAGCATACCGAAACCCAGATGTCTGATCCCAAGAAGGACAGGAGGTGGGGGTGGGGGAAAGGCCAAGTGAAAGCCGCAAGAATCAACCCCATCCGTACCTTCATCACCCCACTGACTACCCAGAACAATTGTGACACCCATAATTGCTAGTATGCGGTAGGTTCAAGAGGACAAATATATCTCAATTGTCTTTAAAAGCAGTTGCCAGAAGATCTCAATTCGCAACCACACGAGAACAACCCAACGAAACAACCTATGGGGGGGAAATTGAATGTTAGTTGGAGGACGCGGGGCAGGGAAAAGTAGAGTGGGTGGGTAGTAGTAGCGGGTGACTCAACGGACAGTGACGAGGGAGAAAACGGAACAAGTAAGCCGTATGGGATAGCTGGAGAGCAGAAGAGTGGAGTGTATGTGGTAGAGAGAATTCAAGAACACCAAAGGGATCAATCCCAAGCTCTAAAACCCGAGGTGACTGGAGCAGCGGCGAAAATGTTCGCGACCGTCAAAGATCCAAAAGCCGGAAAAAGAAACGGAGGGGAAATCCTGCGGAGGCAAAGACGATATATGCCCTGCACGCTACTCGCTGCTCGCCGCCCGCCGTCCTCCGCCCTCGTCTGTCCCCTCAGTTCGTGACTCGGTGACTCTCCCACTGCCCCTTTTACCATACCGTACCCTCAACCCGCGCACGAGCCCCCTCCCCGTTCCCCATTCTCCCGTATTTCTCGGTACCGTCCTGTTCCCCACGGCGGGGTCAGCCGTATGCGGCAGTTCGCAGCCTGAGGTGGGGTGCGTACCTGTCCGGTATCGGAGTAGGGCTTGGGGCTTGGGGCTAGGGGCTAGGGTCCGCGGGGTCACGAACGGTAGAGGATTAGCTAGTTAGTACTCTACTCATGGATGAAAAGACAGCGAAATTGTACCTCTGTCGAGTAATATTTATCTGAATGTAATAATGACTGCGAGTGACTATGATACACAGGTTGCCATCATCCAAAGCCACGACTAAAGAACCCATGCGCCAACGCCAGATCCCATGCAGAAATTCGGCCGTCATCAAACGCCACACATGCCATGCCCGCGCGCTCCTCTATGCCTTAGATCAACTTTCCACCGTTGCGAATCCATTCACGAACATCGTCAAATTCGAGTATGCATTCTCGGTGCCCTTCTCGTGCTACTTCCAAGTGCTTCATGGCCTGGATGTCGTCATCCAACCCAAAGAAATAGGCCCGGACCCCGGCCTTCCCACTGCCGGCCACCATACGATAATCCCTTGCATCTCCATAGAGCTCTTTGTCATCGTCGTCGTCCTGATCATCGGGTTGATCAATTTTCAGTTGTGTCGAGTCGCCAATAGCAGTGGCCCAGTTTGGTGCCATGCCCGTCTCGGTGGCCTCCTGGTGCTTATTGTAATACTCCACCATCCGTTTGTTGAAGGCCTTCCAGTCGTGCATGTAGGCACTCATCTCTGCGGCATAGCGCTTCCACGCAGCCCGAGGCAGCCCAGGCTCTTTCGAGCCTGCACTAACAGGGACCAGCGGCGGTTGACTCGGCCGTTTTGGCGGGTTCGGGAACTTCAACTTGCGCGGGCGGATATCGCGCAGCGATGTTCTGGGATACTTCGCCCGGGACTCGAATGGAAGAGAGGCACTGATATCCTGCAAATCGTCGATGCCGCCACTGTTGTTTTGAGTGAAAGGGGCCGTGCTACCAAGGTCATGTAGATCGAACAATTTCGTACTCTCATCTGGCCCTGCCTTGGCAGAAGACGGCCTCGATTTGGGCGGTGGCATCTCCTTTTTGTCATCTTTATCAGCATTCGCCGGCTCTGTAGTTTGTTCGGCACTCCTAGCAGGCGGGGTATCATCAACATCCATAGCCTCGACATCAACGTCGTCCACCTTGGCTGATTTGGGGCTGTTGTCTGCATTCACGGTAGTCCGCGCCTCCTCGGCTTCTGTCGCGACGCTAGCAGGTTGTGGTACAGGTCGCGATATCGTTCCCGACCTCGGCTTCCGGGGACTCTTCTGGCGCTGTGACGTGCTTGTCTGCTTTTGCTGGGAACCGTCACTGGTCGGGATAGCCCACGACATGTTGGAAAACTTCTCGGACCATGCGTCCGCAGAGAACTTTGCCTGGGCAAAGGGGGCAGGCTTTTCTGATGAAGCCGACTCCGGGTGGGCGGGTTGGGGGTCTGTGGTAGCTGTGGTTTGCGAGTTCCTTGTCGGACGATCGGTTCCTGGAGCTTGCCTTGAAGGGCGGCCTCGTCCACGCTTCTTCGGTTCCTTATCTGACTGCGCAAAGGAAAAGAAATCTGCATCCTCCCAGCTTCTTGCGGTGAATGGTTGACGCAACTGTTCGTGACTGCTGCTCTTGAAGCTTCTGTTCGGGGTACTGTATTCTGTTTTTTTAGGACTGCGAATTACAAAGTCAGCCCTCACTCTTGAGGTCGCAGATGGAATCAACATACGACTTCAAAGGACTTCCATCCCCAAAGAAAGCGGACGTATCGAAGGGATCCTTGGTCTGTCCGGTATTGTCCGGTCCAGAGCCTTAAGTAAGCATTTGTTAGCGATGGGACGAAACTGAGTCGTCAGATCGACCAAGAATAACACGTACCACTCTCAGGTGTCGGGTTCGCCGTCTGCTCAGCATGAAACCCATTAAATTTCCTATGCGGGTGCAGTCTACTCTTCGGAACGGCCTTGGGCTTGCGGGCAAAAAAGTCATCCTCATCCTCACTGGAACTCGTAGACGAGTAATTCCGATTCTGATCCTTCTTCAACTTAGGACTAGCACTGCGGTGTCGACCGGTCTCAGGCGGGGAGGGGCTCGGAGGATTTGTTCTCGGACGGGGTTTAGGACTCTCCGTTGAATCGCGAGTGCTGGCGGAGCGTCCTAGTCCGGTACTGGAGAAGAACGTTCGCTCTCCCCCGGTACTGGCGTACCTACTGCTCGATCGTTCACGGTCCGGGGTACTCGAGTTTTCCGCCCGCTTCTGGCCGAAAGCTGCGGCCTTTCTGGCGGTCGGCGAGGGAGCGGCGCCGAAGAAGGAATTCGGGGTCTGGGAGCGTTCGGCTCGGGGGACGTTCGTGTAGGCGGATGTGTTTGTGGCCATGGGTTCGTCGCCGCCCGCGGCTGCTCGTGGGGCGAATCCTGATTTCTTCTTCGCGGATTGCGACCGCGTCGGTTCTGGGCTTGTTGCTTTGGGGGACTCTCTGAAGTACTCGTACGCCGATTTGGGCCTCGGCGTCTGTCCTTTTCTCGGTGCAGTGCCAGAATACCCGGTGCGGGGATCAAAAGACGACCACCCGCCTGGCGCGTTGCCCTTCATCTCCTGGAAGCCCCTATAGGCATCGGCCCTTGTCTGCCCCTCATCCTGCATCTTCTCCCACGGTTGTTTCGGGGCCGCTCGGGCATAGCTCGCGTAGCGCTGGGCGCCGGTCGACGGGCCATTATGGAAGGACTGAGGACGGGTCGAAAACGCCGCCGGCTTAGCGGGCTGAGGTTTCGGAGAATAAGAGGAGGCGTAGGGGCTCGCGGGAGTCTTGCGAGGCGTATTGGCTTTTGGCGGCGGACCGTAGAGCTTTCCGTACCCAGCGCGCAAGCGATCCGTATCGTACCTGAGACGTTGTTGGGGGTCGCTCAGGATCTCGTTTGCAGCCTGGATGGCCTGGAACTTGGAGATGAATTCGACCTCCTTGCCGGGATTCCTATCCGGGTGGTATTTTAGAGCTAGGCAAACGTTAACAACGGGGACTCACTCGCGTGACCACGTTTTCCTTGTACGACCACCGCACCCCCTCACCTACCTAGTTTTCGGAACTGCTTTTTGATATCCTCTGTTTCCGCACTAGGGGTGAGACCCAGGTCTGCATAGTAGTCCCTCCGCACGTCTGCCTTGACCATTTTGAGCAGCGAGTGACGGGGGCTGCTAGGATTGTTTGTATCTGGTGGAAAGAAGGTGGACCGCGCAAAGGTTCAATTGTGCTGTCCACATGACCTATTACGGGAGTGCGAAAAAAGGGCGCGGCGAGTCGGAAGGAAGGAAGGGAATGGCGTCCACTCTCGACGGGGGGAAGAGAAATCCCGAGATGTTTGTTGGGTACGGTAGGGGACGAGCGAACGATCGGGACCGGTCAGCTTGAGGAGCTGCTGCTGCTGCGCTGCGCTGCGGAGAACGAGTACAAGGGACGAAAAGCAAGGAGCGATCCGATTTCACTGGTTGGCCGGAAATGTCCTGTTTTAAAAAAGCACGCATGTAAGCCTAGCCCGTGAGCCATATGAAAACAGTTAGAAAAGGGTAAAAAATCACATTCAAGGGCCCTGTTGCCGGGCTGGTTCGAGCGTTGCCTCGTGGATTGTTTGTGTGGGTTGCAGGAGCTCTCGACGCAAAACCAACTTTTTTTGTTCCCTACCAGACTGCGCGCAAGGAAATCAACATGACCGCATCGTTTTCTGGCTAAGTACAGCCCAAGAGAATATAGTAATGCCCCACGACTTAAGAAAAGAGGGAAGGGGGGAAGAGGGGAAGAGAGAGAAAGTGAAGTAAATATGAAGTTGGTAGGGAAGAAAGAGGTAGTAGTAACTAGTAGTTGTTACCTGACTTACCAGGCATCTTTCCAGCCGGAGGTTCGCGTGGCCCAAGCGCCCCGCCGATTGGCTGGTTGTCAGCCTCGGCGGTTTCATTCGTTTCTCGACCTTCTTGGACGATACACTAGACTACTTACCTTAGCCTTTACTCCATCTCCCCTACCTTACCTCACTTCGAACGGAACAACAGAACAAGAACTGAGACTCCAGAACAAAGCACGGTTCCAACCTGCATCTCTCCATCGAGTCCACACCCCCAAACCCAAAACCCAAAACCCAAAACCCAAGCATGGACCCGACAGAACTGACAGCGACAGCGGGTTAAGGTTCCTGAGCTCAGGCAGGCAGGCTGACGGATCGATTGCGTTTGCGTTTAGTCCGTTCAAGCGAAATGGCTCTTGCTGCCCAATTTGGAATCGGTCCTGGCCTCACCTTTGCCTTTGCCTCTGCTGGGCACGGCTGATGTTCGTTATGCTTGGGATTTGGCAGACCCAGACCCAGACCCAGGCAAAGGCACAGGCACAATTGGGAGAGAACAGAAGGGGATGATGATCCGACCTGCTGTCTGTCTGTCTGTCTACTCACTCAACCCCCAAGACCACGACCACGACCACGACCACGACCACGACAACGACAACGACCTCTAGACAAAAACCTGGCGGACTTGACTGACTCCTTCAACGACCAACTAACTCACTAATTTACTCTGCTTAAGCCCTTCTTGAAGGTCCTGTCTCCCCGCTACTAGCGTTCGATCCTATCCTTCATCCCCCACCCCACCTTAACCTCATCTCTAGCCTATGTGCCCTGACGGTTCCGCGAGCGCTAGGACTGACGCACCTACTTCCTCAGCTCAGGAGACAACCGAACTCCACCCACCAGACTACCGATGGGCCGGGGAGAGGGGTGTAGGTGTAGGTATCGGTGGGGGGTGAACTGTCCTCACAGTGCACTATGCAGACCATCCGCGCGTTCACAAAACCAACCCATCCCTCCCATCAAGCGCAAACGATGGTGGCAGGCAGATCAGACCGATCGTCATTCTTGCCCGCCACGAACTACCTCGGAGTCCCCATCTTCCTTACCAAAATCTGTCTTGTTGTCTCATGACAAGCCTGTCTTCTACATGTTTACGTGTGGTTCTGGGACTAGCCTGCCGTATTGACTGACAATCGATACAGATACAAAAGGGTGGTACCTACCACCAGGCACATCTGAAGGATATATAGTATAGTGTAGTGTAGTATATAGTAATATGATACTTGGTATATAAGATATGACATGAACATGTACACACACATACAGGCTGATTCGATGCGATCCAATCTAATCTGATCCGATCGATCTTCATAAATCATGCATCTCATTCCATTCCATTCCATCCATCCATCCATCCAGCCAGCCAGCCCTTTTCTTCTATGTATTTCCAAGCCGCGAAACAACGGAAGAACGCCAGTTACACTTATAGACAAGAATAATAGAAAAGAAAGAAAGAATCAAAAAAAAATAGATAAATAAGGACTACTATATAAGTATCATTATCCCCCCACCAGTTTGATTGATTGATTGAGTGATTGATAGATTGATAGATTGATAGGTAATCTGATCTATTCCTCACCAGGCGGGCCATTTCCGGCACCACCGAAAAAGTAACCTTCGAGGATGTCGTAGTTGGCGTTCTCGCGCCAATCATGTTGGTAGTCCATCGCCATGCCGAATCCGAGGTCGATCCCGACGCTATGACCAGCGCCATGTCCTAACGAGGGCATCGCCTGGAGGCCGTATTCGGCGTTTTCGTCGGAGCCGGGCACGTGGCCGTCCGCCGCGGTGGGGTCGTAGTCGAGAAAGTCCATGAGGGCTGTCGGCGGGTGCTCGTTGTCTGGGGTGTGGTATTGGGTGGGGTTGGGGTTGGCGCCGACGCTGTTGGGCGATGCGCTTGGTTGGGGGGAGTTGCCGTAGTAGTATTGTGGTTGTTGCTGGGGGGGTGGGGGCTTCATCTGTGGAGAGGCTGGGTGTTCATAGGAGTAGTATTCCATTGAGGGCGTTCGTTGCGGGTGTGGGCGCATTGCGCGGTCAGAATAGCTGGGCGCAGAAGAGTCGGGCATGTCGGATCGGACAGGGTACGGCATTGGCTTTCGAGGTCCGTTGTTTGGTCGGTCTGCTGCGGTGCTGCTTTCGCCGAATAGGTCTCCGAGGTTCATGTCGAATCGTGGCACCGGGCGCGATGGCCGTGGTTGGCCTTGCCGCCGGGCCACGCCAGAGGGGGCGATCTGTCGATGGTCCATGGAGTGTCCTCCGTATTGTCTTGTTTGGTTGGCCTGGAAAGCATTGGCCTGTCGTTGTGCTGCCGCTTCGGCCTGTATCCGGGCTAGGTCGACCTGGGATCCGAACCCAGTTGTAGACAGACACATCTGGACAGTCGCTTTGCTCATACGCTCGAAAGCGTCGCGACATGCCTCTGCGGGTGGGCATTTGTGCGTGAGGTCCCCAAGAACAGACGTTGCTGCAAGTACAGTGAAGTCCACTTCATCGAGGGTCTGTAGGCGATTAGAAAAAGTAGCCACACGGCAAGAAACTAAAGGGTGTCATACCAGGCGGCTTCTAACCAGGGCAGAGTGCCAGATTGCATATAAAAACGAGATGCCTGAAATCATTAGCCAGGTTATACTCAAACGATGGGACCCGTTCACTTACCCGCCATGAAAATGTGGTGTGTAGCCAGATAGGTATAGTTGACCAGCCGCACTCGATGCATTTGACGGTAAATGCGGATCACCTTTTGACCAGCTTCTGCGACCTTGTAATAGATGTCATCTTCGTCTTCCGCCTCATCCACGTTGGAGAATGATGGACTTGAAACATCCTCCGCCGGCATCATCTCGTCTGCCAGTTCCGCGGGCACCGTCAAGCTCTGCTGGTAGAGCATGATGACTGCCTGCCAGTAGTTCAATTCGAGGAACTCGGGAGGAAACCTCACACCAGTATCACGACGTGTGGGTGCACTCTGCTGCCACTCCACCAGCCGCCTGTGAATGTCTATGCGCCAGGATCGGAAGGAATCGAAGCCTTGAAGGAAGGGGGATGAAATATCGGGACGTAGATGTCTCCTGCTCCCATACGGAGCTTTTTGTTTTATGAAGCGTGCTTGTTGATATTGAAGCACGTCCTGAATCTCGGATTGCAAGAGCCGCAATTTGAAGTAATGGTGGGCTGAGTGTTTGTAACTCGGAGCGCCGGCAGGGGGCGTTACTATCCCCGACTTGGTGATATACTTATCTTCCACCAGGGAAGGGAACTCGGTACTGATAGCCTGGTCGCTGATGCCGAAAGGACGGCCAACACAGCAACTGACTAGACGGTCGAAGCTGTATACGCACCACCACAGTCGCCGGCGAAGATCACGGACCCATTCGCGCCGCCCGAGTTCGCGAGTGTCGATACGCATCTTGGACTTACCCGCACTCTTGGCTGGTGTGCGATTGGACCCCTCTTCTCCAGGCGTATCAAGGTCCGTTCCATCTTCATAGTGAAGTCCAAGGTCAACAGCCAGTCGCGTGGCGACACCAACAATGTACCAAAGCCCAGGCGCCACAGGTCGAAGAAGGGCAAAACTAGCGAGAAGAAGCACGGCCTGTAGCTCTTCCAGAGCGCCCGATCCATCTCCGGCGGCAGTATTACCCAAGAAAGACTCCAGGTGAACGATAGCGGATGCATGGTACTCTTCCGGTTGGTGCTGGTGGCTTGATAACCGAGGCCTTTTGGAAGTGGACGAAGACGGCGAGTGGTCGCGATCCTCCTGCTTGACATCTGAGGACGGTTTGTCCTCGAAGATGATGCCAGCACCGATAGCAAATACAATATTGAGAATGTAGAGACTGCGAGGGGAGCGGTTATTTGCATCTAGCGAGTATGTACGATCAAGCATCTCCATGAAATCAGTCCGGTGAAGGATGGGCATTTGTGGATTGGCGTGTTCAAAATAGAGATTGACCAGTTTCTCGGCCAGGTCTCGGTCTGGGAATGCCGCGCATTCCATCATTGGTCTTGTTTGCAACCCAAAGAAAGAATCGCGCATGCTACTCCCACCTGTCCCCGTAGCACTATGCGGCAGCCGTTCATTAGGGCGCATTGGCGCGCGCTCAGCAGCGTTTCCTGACACGGAGCTCTTGACGGCAGCAAAAACCACGCGAGCGAAGGAGATACCAGACGTCGAACCCAGGTATCTCGGATCGGACGTCCCTTGCACGGACACCATCCCTATGTTCGATACCAGGTTATGTATCCTCCAATTGTCTTCCTTGTGAGGATCCTGGTTGTTTTCCGAATCCTGACCACTCTGGTTGCTCTTATCTCTTCTTTGTAGGACACCATCTTTCTCTTTTTTCACCCATCCTTCACTTCCATCCACGGCCTCCTCGCCACCCGCAGAACCCGAGCCTTCCGAGTTGACTATCGGAGCTTTAGCAGTGTCCAATCCGGCCTCCACTCTGACAGCCTCTTCCTCGTCAAATGCGACCGGGTCCTTGTACTCTATCTCATGATCCAGCAGGAGTTTTTCTAAGTATGCCACGCGAGACTCGAGGAAGTACACGTAGCTGCGGGGGATTTCGCGTTTCGTTATCGGGTCATATCCAACACAGCGGACGCCAACCTTCTCGCAGGACTGACATCGCGGGAGCCGTTGGTCACATTTGTTCTTCCGTAGGCGGCAACGATTGCAGGCGGAAACATTGCGGAAAGAAGAGGAATTGGAGGCGGAGGCGGAGGCAGAGACAGAGGTAGAGGGAGCGGAGGGCAGCTTCACGGGGCCATCGCTGGCAGGGGGCTGCTGGGATTGCGCCGACGGCTCGGACGGGTTTTCAGCAGGCTCAGTGGACGGGTGTGGACGTTTTCTCCCCAGGGAGGCCGGGGATGGCGGAGAATCCGGGTTCAGCATGGCGAGAAAAGTACGAGGGGGGAGCGCGCGGGCGTGCGACCATGTCTCGAGGGGAGGATTCTGCGATCGGTCGAGCGAGGCGGGGAGGTGGTATACCGGAGATCCAGGAACGAATCAGCATTCATGATAAGTCATGCGCTATGTATTCCGTGCTGGTCTCTCTGATCGAGGACGGACTTATCCGCGTCGATATCCGGGGACAGCGATTCGACGGAGAGCTGGCTCGCCAGTGCTGTCCCGATGGGTTCCCGAGCTGATAGGGACGGCAAGCGATATTATCTGGACGACAGGGCACAATCGCGGCGCATGACGGAGAGGGCCTGTCACGACGGAGGGACTCGAAGCGAGCGAGGCTGGGGCGGTACCGGGCGAAATTATGGACGACTGACGGGAAGGGAGGAGAAAAAGCAAGCATGGAAGTCGAGATAGGGCAAATTCTGGTGGAGTTTCTGGAGGGCACTTGGGTCCGGTACCTTAGGTTGGAGCGATTAGTATCGTGGTTAGTGCCTCCATCGCGGCACTAGTAAGAGGCGTACGTACGTCAGTCGGAGCGGCCTTACTTGGGGAAGCGAGGTTATGATGCATTGGCCTGAGGAAGACAGCAATCGAGACACCGTGATAGATCTGAAAGATAATGACGGTGACCTTCAACCGATCCCGATGCTCCAGAGGAGCAGAGGATCAGGAGAGCAGGAGGGCAGGAGAGATGATCAATTGAGGGCGTTGGTGGGCGGTGGTGGGCGGTGACAATACCGTTACTTGTCACCGCCACTTCACGTGACACCTTCTGGAGGGGCCGAGGCCTGATTGGCTGTCGATAAGCTGGGGCGCGGCGGTAACTAACTAGTTAGTTAACAGTACTATGGCTTTGTCATCCGAACCATCGTCAACAACAACCTTGAACCTTGCCGATGCAGTCAGTATAAACTACCTAGCTAATACTTGGATATTCGATGAAAAGCAGCAATGGCAAGATAATTCCATTGCGCTCAGGTCACTCCCCGCGCTTGCAGACTAGAAGAAACATTGACGCAAGCTTAGCCCACCTAAACCATCCCTTCAGGATTCCTCCGTCCCAACCCGTTCAGAAGTCACGATTGATTGGTGCCTCTCAACCACCCCCGGTTGATCCCATCTGCACCCCCCGCACTACCGGCCCTGCTACAGCTGGCATGTCTGCCAATCTTGACTGGTTGGGGGAGAGAGGGGAGGGGAAGGTCGCATTGCTACCCTTCGTCAGACTCGGCGAGGAATTTGACAACTCAGAGTCAGACTCAGACCAGATCCCACGATCGATCGAACCGAACAAGAGGGGGAGTGAGTCTTTCCGATCATCCCATCGGTTGAAATTATTCTTTCCTTTTCTCTTTTTCCCTGTGGAAGTCCTACAACCGCTTAGGGGAAATACAATGGACCAAGATATATATGTTGTGTCTCAAAATGATGACAACAAGGAATCCGGGGAGGGTAATCATCATGATTGATGATTGTCCCCCGCCCCTGCTCCAGCAATGAATTCTGCCTTCCGGATATTTCGATATAACAGTAATGACAAAGAGCCTCCCAGATGCATGAAAATCATGTATGCCCAATGAACCCCCCTTCCCCCCGACAGTAACCCCAAAACAAAAGACAGACAGTGCCAACCCCCATGCTTTTGTCACAGATGCATCCGGTCTATATACTGCGCCATGACAACCCAATCTTGAAATCATGATCTAAAACATAAGGATAGAAAGAGAAGTTCATCGCGAGAATGAGCCAAAAAAGAAAAGGAAAACAGAAAACAGAAAAAAAAAAACCAGCAAAAAAATCAGGCCAGTCCACCGGGTTAAAATGATAAATGAGCAAGATATGGCGAACAGAAGAAGTAGAGCGGAGAAAAAAAGGGGGGGAATAATAATAGGAAAACGCAATGCGAGCTTCAGAGAGGTATAAATGTCGATGAGGGAGAAGGAAATATAGAATGGGAAAAAAAAAAAAAAAAAAAAAAAAAGAGCAAAAACGATGAGGAAATTCAAACAATGCAAGAGAAGTCAATGGAGACGTGATGATGACTTCGGATAATAAAACATGGAGCTTGCTAAAGCCTAAGCCTGGTTGGATTTGTCACGCTCGGACTCCGAGGGCGGATTTGTTTGCAGTAAATCCACGTTGGGGATGTCCAGGTCATCGATGCTGGTCCGCGCCGAGGAGAGCAATCTCCGCACTTCTTCGGCGGTGCCGTCTTCCTTGCCTGCAGTAAACGAGCCCCGCAGAGGTTCCCGGTTGACGGACAGGTCATCGCACTCGGCCTTCTTCTCCGCCTCCTGCTCGCGCTCTGGTTCTTCCATCCAGAAACTCTCGATGGCGCCAAGAACGCAAACGAATCCACACGCCCACCAGGCAATCACGGAGTATCCACTCTCGAGACCCTTGGAGTGAAGCAGGCCGGTGACCGTGGGGCCAAAGGCACGGCTCAAGCTGGCGGTTGAGGCGGCCGCGCCATTAATGGACCCCAGCACTTTGGACGACGGGGCAGCGTTGGCGAGGAGGATTGCGGTAGCGGGGAAGGCGATGACGTGCAGCGTGATTTTAGTGATCAAGGCGACATAGGCGGCGGCGGTTTGGAGCTGCTCGGGCAGGAGGATAAGGTAGGGGACCATGAGATAGAGCGGTGGCCACACAAGCAGGACGAAGCGGAACACTCTCAGGGTCCCAAAGTGACGGACGACGAATGGAAACAGCCAGAGCTGGGCGATCATGGAATAGACGCCTTGCACCGCCAGCATGAAACCGATCTTCTTCGTGGCCAGTCCCAGGCCACCGGTGAACTTCAGAGGCAGGATGACATCGCCGTCGGGCTTGGGGGTGCTGAGGAAGATGGGCATGAGCTGGTCGAAGGAAACACTGTGGCTGTGTTGCGACCGAACGTCAGTACAGGACAGGAGGGGCGGACAGGAAAGGAGGAGAGGACTCACTATGCGAGGATTCCGTAGGCGACAATGTTGAAAATGACTTGCTTGGTGAAGGCCTTGGGGGTGGCAGACGGCTGGCCCTTCATCTGCCCCTCAATGTCGTCATCTGCGGACAGCGGAGAGTCGGACTCCTTGACGGGGCTCAGGCGGGGAGAGCTCTCGGTGCTCCTATACTCCGGGGGAGGAACGGCGTCGTAGTCGAAGTAGTCGTCGTCTCCGGTTGCTTCCGCTTTGGCGTCAGTAGCGTGGGAAAGCTCCGCGGGTGAACCCCAGACTTTCGCAATCAGCCAATTGCCCAGCGCCAGGCCAGGGTCGCGGCGGTGCTTCTTCTCCGGATGGGTCTCCTCCAGAAACAACAGGCCCACAACGACTCCGGACACCAGGACGACGATGCAGACCAAGTTGGGCAGCAGAAACGGGAACCGGTCGAAGATGGTGTCACGCTGGAATAGCCAAGGGTAGTTGTCGCATGGTTGTGCCAGCGCACCACCCACAGCGGGTCCGATGATCGACCCTAAGCACCAAACGAACGGCATGATGGAGTATGCCCGGGGTTGGTGCTCCTTGACCGTTACGATCTCCGCGACGGTAGTCTGAAGCACGCCAATGTTGCCGTTCAGCAGTCCTCCTAGGGCTCGGGCGACCATGGCGGTAGCCAAGTTGGGAGCGAAGCCAAAGACGACCATGCTGATGGCCGTGCCAATCAACCCCATCACCAGGACCGGCTTCCGGCCAATCCTGTCGCTCATGCGACCCCAGAACATGCCTGCAGAGAATTCGGCGAACGTGAAGGACGAGGTGATCATGCCAGCATACAGGGCAATCTTGCGATCGTTATCGGTCACGTGGAACGATTCGACCATCTGGTAGACGTAGGGGAATATCGACATGAACGCGATTGGCTCGCAGATGCGGCACAATGCTAGTATAACCGTCAGTCGTCATTGGGCGCGCGCATGAGAGAGAAAGGGGGCAGGAGAGGTGAGGGGGAGGGAAATTAAATGAATCATAAACGAAAAAAGACCCGAGAGCAAACAAATCCCAATCTGCCAGTCCCGGAGGGAAATTGGGCGCGAAGAGAAGCAGTCAAGACGTACCTAACACAAAGAGCTGGCGTACAGGAAAGGCGGTCCAATCACCAGTGTCCTCGCCATGCCGCCGGCCTTGTAAACATGACGGTCGTTTGAACATGTTGGATGAGCGGTCACCGAGTTTGCGCACTCGCTCAACCAAGAAAAAAAAAATTCGGGGTTCTTTTCGAACGCGAGCAAAAAGGGATCAAGATCGGGCTGGCACTGTCTCTGGCTAATATCGAACTCGATCGTAGCAAGGCGATGAGGTGCCAAAAGGTTCAGAGGGGGTGTCTTTCGTTCGTTCGTTAGTTGGTTCGTTCGTTCGGCGGGTCTCTCTCCACCGTTCACCGAAGGGAGGGAATGCTATGGCGATAAGATCGTTCGTTGTATTGAAGAAAGGAGGAACCGTTGGTTAAAGGGGGTTCAACATTTCTTCCCCCTGTCGCAAATCGCAAAATCGATGCTGCCAATCCTTCGTTCTTGTTTTTATTTTCCGTTGTGTGTTCCCGAGAAACGGCTAGACTGTGTAACTGCAAGGGAATCCAATGACGCAAAGTTTGAGTTGAGAGAAAGCCCCAGTCGATACTGAAAGAGGCCACAAGGGAATGGGTGTGAGAGTGGGAATGGTGGTCAGTAATCGATGTCCAAGTCCAATTCAATTGGCAGGAGGCAGAAGGATAGCAATGATGGGTTGGTAGGTGGGCTCAGGTAAGTTGGTTGATGGTGGTGGTGATGGTGGTGGATGGCTGGAGGTGGTAGTAGGGTAGGGCTAGAGGGAAGGAGAGGATGAGGGTGTAGATAGATATAGAGCTGGAATGGGCAACTTCGCAACCGATGGAAGGGGAAGAAAGTCCCGGAGCCCAAGGAGGAAGTGGATTGTATTTAAAAAAGCCAGCGGAGTGTGGGAAAGTCCCGAAAGGAGACTCTGGACGGGCAGGGGATTAAATGATGTATTTGAAGTGGATAATCTAGATATGTGATCAGGCGAAAAGACTAAAAACGTCAACGTTCGAGATAGTAAGTATGGGACAATGGAGCAAGCCCATTTTGGTCACAGCTGTACAAAAGGATGCAGGATGCAGTCGACAGCAAACAGCTGAGGAATAACCGGATCCACTTTGGTTAATATTATTATTATTCTTGATATTATTATTATTTCGAGAATATTTTTTTGGGGTATTTTGAAAGTCCAATTTTTTCGATTTTAATTATTTTTTTAAGGTATGATGCGGGTGGGCTAGCTACCACCACAGTACGCGGAGGAGGTAGGGGAACGAGAGATGGATCGGAACCATCTGACACGGCCGTCAAGGCAACAAGCCAAAATAATGGGGCACCACATATTCTTAGGACCCGTAGGCGGAAGGGAGAGCAGCAGGAAGAACCGGAATCCAAGAAATCTAAGAAAGGGGTGCAACCAATGGCAGGGCCGAAGACACACTTTCAGGTACCTACCTACCAAACTACTCTGGGGGTTGCTACTACAGAGTACGACGACCTACCGGAATACGCACAGCACAGTACGCAGGAAGAGCAGAGCAGAGAGGGGGGAAACAGCCCGGTTACCTACCTCGACGTAAGAGCGGTATGGCCTTCGATTCCTTACAGGACAGAAAAATCAGTCAGCGGTTTTGTCCCAGTTGGTACTAATAGTGAGAAAATAATCGACCTCGTCGAATCAAATAAAGATGTCATAGGGGGAAGATCAGATTCAGATCGGTGCTGGAAATGTATCCATCGACCAGACCTACCTACTGTCAGACCACACTAGAGGCCAAAAGGGAAAGGGGTTGACAAAAAAAAGTGGGAGAGGACTACGGAGTAAAGGTAGACTGGGGGGTGGGAAATACTAAAAGGAAATTTAATTTAATTAAAAAAAAAAAAAAGAAAAAAGAAAAAAAAAGAGAGAAAACACAACAGGGAAAAAGTCAGAGAGAGAGAGAGACAGAGAGAGAAGGGGGAAAGAAAAGAAAAAGAGGAACCAGAGGGTACAGGGGAAAACAAAAAGCGACACAGAAAAGAAAGAAAGAACAAACGAAAACCGCAAATTGCCCCATTCCAGAGCCGCCGCCGCAGATTGACCGGTAGAAGATCCATGGACCTGAGCCCCGGGCTCCGGGGAACAGTCAGCTACGGAGTAGAAGCGCGCTAAATTGGCCCGTAAGGCAATGATGATCGGCTTTCCAGAAGTCTGGTTTTAGTGTGACTTAGTGAGATGATAGATCTAACAGCACCTCCTCCAGCCCACCTTCCGTCACAGAGCCCTTTCTTTTCCCCTCCCGCCCCCAAATCCCAATTAGGGGGAGGACCATGAGTAAGTGGGTGAGCAAAGGCGACTGGCTGTGCGCACTACAGAGACACAGTAGTAGTGTCTATCTATCTATCTATCTATCTATCTACCTATCTACTACTACTTTACACAGTACGCGCACACACACTCAGCTGTCCCTCCCCTCCCCTACCGAGAAACTGGTCCACCGCAGCGGAATTCTGGAAGAGCTAGCCGGGTGCCCACTCTCCTGCTTGATAAGTCGACGGAACAGGTGAAAAGGGGATCGGTTTTTTTTTTCGAAATTACAAAAATGTATGTATCAAGAGGGCCAAAAGCTCCACCACAGGTCGGCAGGTGGTCGCACTACGGCCCTGGAGGTTGGACAAACAAAGACACCAACGATAATAATGACAGCATTCAACAGTCAGAAAATTACTCCCGTCCGACTCTCCAACAGGAAAAATTAACCAACATAAAAGATGGCCCTGATTGGGGGGGGGGGAGAAGAGGAGTGCGAATAATAGTACCTAAGAAGCGGTGAATTCGGTACGGAAAACCACATTGAAATAAAGAACCGAGCAGGACGGGGGGAGGGAGTGCTACGGGAGATGCTGGGTAAGGTAAGCATCGGTACCGACGTCGAGCCAAGAAATCCCAAGGCGTAGAGTCAGACGGAATTGAGGCTGGTGATCTGATATGGATGGATCGGGGAAGGGGGAGGAGGGGTTGGGCAAGTGCACAAGTGCAAGTACGGATTACGGAGTAGGGGAAAGGGGATCTCAGAGAACGAGTAGAACAGATAAAAGATGAAAAGAAAATCAAACAGGGAAACGGAAAAAGAAAAAAAAAAAAAAAAAAAAATTAGCGGGCGGAGACAGACAGACAGACAGAAAGAAAGAGAGAGAGAGAGAACACAGGGCGACAGACAGCAGTATCATCTCTCTCCGTTTACCAAAGTGGGACTGATACTGGGGTTGGCGGCTAGATGGAGGTGAGCAATCGACCCCCCAGCCCTTACGGTGAGAAAGGACGCTATTATTCCATCGCCTCCAAAGTTGACCTGAGGTAGGCCGAAACGGGGTGATCGGGGAGAAAAAAACTGATTGACATCTAGTACGATCACCCTGTCAAAAAGGAGAGGAAACTGGAAAAGTGCATACACGGGCAATACCATCAGGTTCAATACCGCTGTACGGACAGTGTATCCAATACATACAACCAGCATTAAGGGAAGCCGGTCAGAAAAGTGGGATGGTTCAATGGTTAAGAAAGAGTCTCCAAGTTAATAAGCTAATGGTAATCTTCAATCCCCCAAGGGACCTTATCCATCCCTAGAGGCCTTGTATCTAGATAGACCGTATGTTTCTAGTATTACCTCCCTGGAGCACGCTAGAACACCAGCAGACCGTCCTCATTAACATTGCTAGCCTCGATTGACCATGCTAATGCGAATGCTAATGCTACAATGGCCTCCCGGCTCCTAAAGCAAAAGCTCCGGAACTTTAATGCGATCCCCAGCTCCTACTGAGTACTCCAGAGTCCAGAGTCCAGGCGGAGGAGGTCATATTAGCCTCGTCAGGGGAATGGTTGGTAACCTTACGGTACCTGGAAAATTCCGGGGAGGGGGGGGGGGATGGCTAGCAAGGGCTGGCTTTTCTTAAACTGGTGAAGAGAAGAGAATCGAAGGCCCCGAGAAGCGAGGAGGGCAGGCGGCATTGCAGCCGGTGGATGATCAAGGATGCTTGATTGGCGCTTCAGGACGAACTTTATCGTTTCTGCTTCTGTTGATGGCCGCCAGGGTCCTGGCGTAAGTAGGTAGGTGGGAGTACAATAACATTCAAAACCCAGTCCGCTCATTTTCTCCACCCTTCGTCGACGAACTGGAGATACCTACCTAGGTATTAAGTATTACTCGGTATGAGGTCGCGTCGCGGGCAGTCGTCGGACGATTCTTGTTGTGGGATCGATCCATACTGCCTCGGATTCCTTTGACGTCATTTCCATCTGCTAGCTAAACGGCTAGCGTTCGCGGTTTCCCCGTGTTGCCTGGATCTGTTAGTGTTCCGACCTGAAACAGCGGGTAATGCCACAGTCCGTCCGTTCCTGATACATAACTTACTTACCATCAGGTATGGGCCAACGAGACTGACACCTCCCGTCTCCAATTATTACGGGGTAGGTATCTAAGGTAGTATTGTTGCCGTTTCCTCCCAATTGCGTGGCCATCGAGTAGGGCTCCAACATGTAAAACATCAACCTAAGAACTAAGTAGGTACACCGGTTTAATGCTCTTGTCATTGGCCAAACGCCGTCCCGTCTATCCAAAACGTCGGTACTACTAGCACCAGACCAGACCGGAACCTAAAGAGCGCTCCACCCGAACACAAGCAACGCTAAGGGCGGGCGGAGGTGGGAAGGACCAAAGGATTGGAATCTGTTTTCCAGATCCTCTGCTCCAGTCTTCCATCTCGGCACGTTACGTATGGTACGGTGTACAGAAGGGGGAGGGTAGGTACGGACTACGGAGGACTCCGGGACGGGCAAAGAGTCGGTGGTGGTGGTGGTAATACACCACCGCTGCATAAGGTAATAGTACCATGCTGTGGATCTCATAGTGCCTGAGTTAGCGCGGTTCAGATCTGGAGCCACGCGAGCCAAACGAGGGTCAAGAAGAGGGGAAGAAAAACAATGGAAGGTTGCGAGCTGCAAGTGATCTTTTGACCACCATAGTGGGTGTATCACCATCTGCGAATAGCCAGCCCGGTGGGGCACTCTTGATACGGGCGATCGACCATTAGCATCCGCCCTTTGCCCAGCGAAAACCGGGGGGGTGGAAGAGTCCACGGCATGAAGAGCGGACAATAAACGCGGTCAAAGAGAGAGAAGGCTGGGGGGAGCGGTATACGACGTCATCGTACTTTGACAACAGTGACAGACAGCTGCTGAGCCGGCCGACGCGCTAAGGGATCATTGAGGAGACCAATGGGAACAGTCAGCGACCCCGACCGTTGAATGGAAACCTGATAACCCGACAGGTAACTCCAGAGTATGGGATGGGCTCCAGGGTATGCCGAGGAGGGTAAAGTGCAACCAACGACTCCAGGTAAGGCGGGTTAGGTTAGGTTAGGTTAGGTAGGTAGGTACATGCCCTACACCACGCGGAGGGATGCAACCTAAAGTCTGACCCTTGGGTCCAACCGTCCAAGGTTCCCTCCTATCCGTGGACACGGCCATGTCGTAGGCAAACAACCGAGACAGACAATCCCAACGTGCAGTCGACCGTCGCAAAATTTATTGTCTCGGACGGGGGGCGGGTGATTGCCCCCCGGGTTGATGCGCACGAGGGAAATGTCGGGTCTCAAGGCCAATACCAGAGCTTCCCTGGGGGACCCGATTGGTTTGCCCAGGGATTTCTGCGACGACGTGCGTGCTGTCGAAGGATTCCCTCGACTTGAATGCATTTCTTGCATTGAGTGGAATGTACATGGCTTACCCCTCTTTTTTTTTTCTCTCTCTCCTCTTTCTTTCATTAATTGGGGGTCTTATTATCATTACTATTTGACAGACAAAACGGGGGATCGTCTTTGGGTTTCAAACATCCGCAGTTGACCCAAACAGCCCATGATTTGGCGGTGTCTGCATGACGTGCTTCAAAAACATCATACATGGTACCTGGGGAACGAACGGGACTGTGTACCATGGTCAGCGGTCTTAGCTCGAGTGACCATGGTCGTGTCCAGCTTGATATCCATTCGGACGTTTCGGAGGGAAACAGGAAAATGAACGGTGAAATGTCATCGCGACGCGACTAGCTCTTATCAGGTACGTACGTGCTGCTGCGCATCATGTGAGAGCGTGACCCGTCGCAGCTCTGCGAAACACGGGGCGATTGGGTGATCAAGGGGGACCCTGAGAGGATTAGCTGTTGCTAGCTGCAGGCGCTGCTGATGACCGCCTGGTCATTGGCACTGATGTGTTGTTGGCAGAATTATCCGGACAACGCTGGTGTGGTGCCGGTGCCGATGCCCTGCAGGTGCAAGAGCCCTCTGTGGCCGTTGAATGGGTTGGATGGGTTGAATGGTGGGGAGGGAGGGGGAAGCGTCGTGGATCGCAAGGGCCCGGCAGTAAGCGGTGAAGGGGGAAGGAGGGGCTTGCAGTCATCTTGGGTAGGGACAGCAAGTGAAGGAGTGAATGTGACTGCATCGATCCCTGTCTACTGCGGGACAGAGAGGCTGTTTGGCAACGTCTGTCAAGATCCCGGCTTGTTTTACCCTGTTGGCTGCATCGCCCGGGTGTGTTTATTTCACCAGCGACCGCCCTGATAGGCCTTTGGGGGGGGGGGGGGGGGAGGGGGCACTGCTCTACTGCTTTGGGCAGAAATCGAATGGCAGGCCGTCGTGGCTGCTTGACTTGAATCATGCGTGCCTGCCTCGGCAGTGTTCACGGAAAGGGCCCTGGTCGGCCTTGCAGGGAGCGACGAGAAACATACGGTGAGCGCAAGCCAGCAGCACCAGCACTCCCTCCAACCTGACCCAACACAGCCACGATAGGACTAGGTAGCTAGCAGGAGGGCAGCAATCTTCGGAAAGCGGTTTTCCGTTTTGACAGCTGGGCCATGATCAACTCCTAATGCAAGGCAGTTTGATTGCTACCACCTCTGACCTACATGCGCCTCTGGTTATCGCACTGGCGGGGCATTGGGCTGCCCCGCGGTACATCGGTTTTGCTGCGGTGTACAGAGCAGATGGGGGTCAGAGCCAGGCTGAGGGGAAGGAACAGTAACATCAGCCCATGATGCCGTCGATAATCCCTCTCAGTCCGACAGGAAGATGCCGGAGGCTGCCTGTCAGCTTGGATAACGAGTCAACGACATATCGTGCAGGTATCATCATCATCATCATCACACCTGCGATGAATATACTGCCGCCTGCGGAGTACATACACCCAACATGATAAATAGACTATAGTACTATATACTACGTCGAGGGCAAGTACCTCTCAAGAAACAGACGCCTTCTTATCGCCTCGTAACCGTACTACCTATTCTCCGATTCGCCCAAGATCCTGCAACAACACTCAGCTGTGAGCTCTTCATCACTCTGTCTATCTAATCATCGATCCATGCCTTACTGACGCATGACGCTCTCTGTCTGCCCTCTCTCTGTCGTCTTTCCCTTGATGCCCCTCCTCCCCTCCCTCCCCCTCCCCCTCCCCCTCCTTTTCTCAGTTTTTTCTTTTTTTTTTTTTCCGCATGTCACTCATTTTTTTTAATTGCTGCCGCGCTTCCTCCATCCATCTATCTATCTTATCGTTTTCACCACTGTCCACGGGACCCGATAGCTAGCCAGCTATCTTTATTCCGGGCACGGTACATACTATTAGCAGCTGGCAGATGGCCCACCTGAAAATAATCAGCTGGGGAGGGACAAGCCACCCGCTTCCTGTCTGTTGTGGAGCGTTCTACGGAGTACAGGCGCAATCCCCGCCCAGAGTGTCGGGTCCGCTGCCTGTGACGTCCGCCTCTACAGTCAGTCGCTCAGATGCTCTGGGACACTGATGACTACCCTATACGGGGTGAGAGTACCGTCTGCCAATCTCATATTCTCGCGCGACCTTTTGTCTCAGCCCCTCCTCGTTGATTAGAAATCTGTCTAAGTTTCGTTTCCCATATCTCCTGTTGCCTTACTACACACTCACCACTCTCGAGTCGCCCGATGTGTCAGTGCCGTCTCAGCGTGTCTGGTAAGTGGTAACACTAACCGCTTGCCTAGTAATGGCGGTGGTGTATCGTCCACGTATGGACGCATGTTTCAAAGTAATTAAACTAGGCGGTATGTAATGAAATGGACGTGCTCAGGTCGCGCGCCCTCCTCGGGCGGTCCCCCTCCACCCCCAATACAGTTGTTTACTCCGTTGAGTAAATGTATCGAATCCTTCTAGAATCCGGCACTATGGGGATCAATCACTGACGGGCAGCGTAAGTTATTACTGCTACGCTATCAATCATGCCACTACCGGGTCCTCTGGCGACAACAATTCGGTAAGGGTCGATCGATCGGCGGCAACAGCAGCACCACCCAGCACCAGCAGCAGCAAGCAAGAGCAACTGTAAGTGCGGCTGTGGCGGGTCAATTGCTTACACAGTTACCGTGTGTTCCCTAGTCGACTACGTACGTACCTACCTACCTACCTAGTAGCAATCGTGGTCCATTTTTTGAGATCCTTGAAGGCCCTTGTCCACCGTCATGATTACGGACATGATCCGGTCAATTGTGGAGTACTACTATGTATCATGCAGTAAGCCGGCAGGAAGGCTGATGAACATCATCATCATCCTGAAGTCCCTCCGGACTTGCTTAGTCTTACTTACTGCTGCTTTGCGATGGCAGGGTCAATTCGACGCATTGCGTTCCATTCATTTGTCGCGGGTTCTCTCGGTGATATTCCGTTCGCTTTTCGTGCTAAAATATTATGTCGAGGACGGAGTAGATAGATAGATAGATAGATAGTACCGGTAGATGCCTACAGCCTACACCTACCTACCTACTTTCGCCTTCCATTTTTCCAGGTCGATTCGAGTCAGTGGCACGAGCTAAGTCCCAATCCAAGGAAAATTTCAAGTTAATCAAACAAACAACACGAGTCTTAGCGAAGGAAGAAGTAACTACGGAGTAGGTACGTTAGGTAGGTACCTAAGTAGGTATCTACGATAATAATAATAATAATAACCAGACCCATCCATCTTCTTCTGACCGACCACCTTCCGTTTCCATCGACCTCATCATCAACCTTTACCCCATCAGTAATATTACCTATTTATCGCCCAACGTCAGGGAAGTCGGGACTATGGATATACTTTTGAAACGACCCAAGGTACGGAAGTCCCGGGGAGTGGCACCCGACGAAAAGGTACCGTAAGCGAAGAAAAGAGGTACGAACCCACCGGCTACCCTACCTGAACCGCAGGTCTTTGTACACTGGAACCGGCTGCGGCTCCCCGAACCAATAAACGCACCCAGGCCGGCTCCAGTGGATGGGCACATTTGTTGGATGTGAAACCATCGCCCTTCTTTGTAGAGTCATGGCCGACCACCTACCTACCTACCTAGATAGATAGTCCGCCTCTTCTATTTCTTTGATTTGTTGCGTCATTCGACACACACACACACACACACACACACAACACAACCAGCCGCTGCGCCGCCGGCTCGGCGGGGAAACGAATGGGCGCGGCAAAAGAAAAAAAAAAAAGTACGGACCGAATAAGTACTAAAGTAGATGGATAGATAGATAGATAGATAGAGATAGATAGATAGATAGATACTTACCACTCACTACTCAGGTGACCTGTTGACTTCCTGTCACTAAGTACTCGCTAGACTAGCCACTGTGGGTAATATATCTATCTATCTATCTGTATCTAGATACGGGATCGCAACGAGGGAGGAGCTGGGCAACAAAAAAAAAACAAGTCCTTCTTTAGTCTATCTACTTACTCCTCCTTTGGCTGCTCCAGGCTCCACCTCAATTCCAAGAGCGAAGGGGGAAAATGACGCTCAGATCGGGTTAGCTCAATCCACTCGGCAGGGACGGGATTTTCAGGTCAAGTATCTACCTACCTTAATTAGTGTCATACGTCGAGCAGGCGATGGGACGGGATGGAAATTGAAATTATTATTATTATTATTGTCGAGGCGTGACCGCAAGTTATCTACTTGTTTGGATGCGAGATAGAAAGGGTTGTCTGCGCGGTGATTGGCACGCGTTTGTCCTACTTTTATTTTATTTTATTTTATTTTTCTCTTACAACTTCCGGGCCGACGGATCATGTAAGGCTCATGCCTACTAAGATACGGAGGAGCGACACCCTACATAGTACATACTAGATACATACTTACTAGTAAGTACTTTAGTGATGATTGAGCGTGTCTCAGTTTAAACCACCGGCGGTGATGTAGGTGAGCTCGATTAGGTAGGTAGATGTGTTACCGGGAAATTGGATCTCCCAAAATGGATATAAGGATGTAGGTATACTATAAACAGAATAAGGCGGCAGAAGTTGCTTGTCGCCAAGTATCCATCTATCCGAAGAAAGAATCACGAATGAGGCAGGTAGCAGCATGATGATGGATGTGGATGTCTCTAACACGTGGACCGACCGGACCGCAGCAACATAGGTAACTGGCTTCGCATCTAGCTAGTCTAGCCTGTATTCTTATTCTTAGTCGTGTGGGATCTGGAAGATACTGTTGGCGAGCGCTGAGATTTCTCTGACGCTAAGCTCCTGGAGGGCTTGGAGAATGGCATCGACAGTGGTCTGGGGAAGGCCTTCCTTGTTCCGGGAGTAGATGTCAATCCCGGCCGGCGTGAAGTGGGTTTTGGCAAAGAAAGTAACAATCCACTGGTTGTCGCTATCGTCGTCATCCGCATGACCGAAGCCAAGACACTCCCAGTGTGAGCTCGCGATCATCAGCCACCCTTTGCCTCGCCAATCCCAGGCCCCCGGATCACCGGGCGTTGGCGTGTCCACGCCGTGGACGGACTTGATTTTCTCAGAGCCGATCGATTGATACCTAACAATGTCGTTGAGCTTGATCACCCCGGACGAGTCGATGGGCAGCAGCTCGTAGGTGATGTTGACGTTGCGCTTGTCCTTCCAGAGCGGGAGGCTCGAGTGGGTTACGTGCCAGGTCCCTAGGAGAAAGTCGTTGGTCGGAGGGACGCACTTATTCCCCTTGCCGGCATAGATTCTCGGGAGTCCGATGAGGGGAGGGGAAGCCATGGTTTTGGCTACATCCGCATGATTATGATATCAGGAGCTGGGTGGGGGGGGGGGGAAGGGGGGGGTGTTGCTCTCCGGCTGAGGGAGCTGAAGGCGGAAGGCGGCGAGGAACCCCGCCCGCTTTGTGCCTCAGGCATAACACCGCAATACATATGACACTGAGCATAACACAGTGGTACCTACTACTACTCCGTACCTCCTACCTACTCCATACTTGGATATGCTCTACGGAGTGCATCAGCGCTATATTAATTATCTTATATGATCGCGCCCTCCCTCTCTCCTGGTGCCAGTCCAGGAACACTAACTCTGACTGGCTTGCCCTGCTGCTGTCGAAGAAACAGACAGGGGAAAGGAGGGGAACCTGCGAACCGCCTTTGGCGACGCCATAACCATCCTTCTCCGGCGGTGGCAAACTTGGTCATTAGATACTCGTCGTCCACCTCCACCGTCTGATAGATGATAGATGGACGAAGGGGACCTTTGTAAGCGGACAAATTAGTCGACCTCCCGGAAGTTAAGTCCAGACCTCGAAAAGGAGGAGGACTTTGGTCTCCAACGGGATGTCGGATCCGGTGCCGCGGTGACGGATAACAATCAAGGACCATGGGTCTGATCTCCAATCACGCCCGACTGGTACTAGTCTTGACTTTGGTCTGATGGATGGATCGCGTCCTCTACGGTCCTCTACGGTCCTCCTCCTCTTTTGCCGGTTTCCCGCCTTTTGACTTTTTCCAGACGGCGCACTATTTGCGTTCCAGCTCCGCCCCATCTTTGAAGGCTTCGCCCATCGGACTAGTCTTAGTCTGCTTTGCTGCGATCATGTGAGCTGCAGGGGAATTCCATCCTCCCCCTTCCGGCGGCACCAGGAACACGATCCCATTCGCTCAGGCCCCTGCGACGCTAGCTGGATCCTACATCCGCTCCACTGCGGAGCCTCAGGCCAGGTCGAACGGCTGTATATACTCTATCAACTCTCAAGGATGCGACGGGCTAGCCATCCATGGAGGCGTCCAGCCGTCGACATGGGTTGGAAATGATGCGCCGCTGTCGCGAACTGGTCTCCCCCCTCCTTCCCCAACGTGCGCATCTCCTCGGCCTTCCATCTACACATCCATCAACCGGAATGCATGAGTGTCCCGTAACATCCGACAGGGATGTAACAATGGGCTCTAACCTTAAAACACACTATAGGCCGGTAAGGAAGTCTACCCCCCCTCCTGGTACTTTGGACTAATTAATCAACTAACCAAGTAGGTAATTAGCTAGTGAACATAGCACAAATGACTAATGTTCGCGGATCGAAAACGTTGATTTGCAGGCGTCGTCTCTAGTTTGCTTTTGTGACAGCCGAACTACTGCATCCTTGTTCACAACCGTGGGCCAATGGCATTGTCATGCAGGTGGCCTGCTGTGAACACCGCCATAGTCTCAAAACAAGATGGACCAGTGTTACGCCTAGACTCCACGTCGATCTGTCACTCCATCGACACCCGAGACCGCGCATCGGGCGCGCGGTGTTGGGTGGTCGAGGCCTACTTAGACTGGCATTATAGGAATGATCTTCCTTGTCTCGACCCGAATGTTACGTTTCTGCCACCACTTGCAGCTGGACTGTCGTGGAAGCATGCTCTACAGAGCACCCCCTGATGGGTCTGGGTGGCCGGACGAGGTTGACAGATCCTGCATCCATGCAGATATGTATATGTGCGTTTCATCACGTCCATCGATCCAGAATGCCTACGAAGGCATAGATATACCGGTATAGGAAAATAGTTGGAGGGGCCCACTACCGTGCGACTGTGGACACACATCAGGATGCTGGTTGGGTAATCAAGCAATGTCACACAGCTTGTGCCACAAATGCGGCACTCAAGCCAGTGAGCCCACTTGTACGCTTTAATTAGACACCACCTGACCAGCTTCTTGCTGCCAGCATCTGATGCGACAGGCACCGAGCATGACGGTGTCACCGTGGCTGGCATTAGTACTGCGTACTTTGGACCTTTTGCCTATCAAGGAAATTATTAGTCCGTTACGCAGCCTGGCAGGTAAACGCAGGCTGGCTTGATCGCGGATGATTGATAGTAACGTGTAACCATCTAGCGTTGCTTCGGATATTTGCCTGGAACAGTTACAGCTGTCAGCGCTGACCGCCGAGGAGGCAACCGGAGAACAACACGGCAATCGCACAAACGAAGCAACCGTTTTCGAGACCGTTGGGCAAGGATAAAATAAAGCAATCAAACAACGGAATTCAAAAAGCAAAAAAGAAGATTTGTGCTCCGATAGGGGGAATCGAACCCCCGGCTGCCGTGTGAGAGACGGCGATGTTAGCCACTACACCATATCGGATTCTTGTTGAATAACGGCCCGAAATTTACCTTGATGAACTTTGACTAGCCCTCACCCTATCCATGATGGAACACCGATCATGCAAGTAGCGCTGCAGTGTCATTCGAAGACTACGAGGCCCTGTTAGGTAGCTAAGTTGATGCTACGAACGCCCTTGTTGAGAGTAAGACAGTCGGTGCCTGAACGAAACACAAACCCCCCCCACCACCACCACGCACTACCATACATAGCCTGCCTCTCTACCTGTCGGTATGGCTTCCAGCCCGTTGGACATCGCCGTCTTCCGCCGAAAGCCAGCTTCCCGGGCACCACCTGAGTTGCGCCGCCTGCAACTGCGCGCATTTCTATGTGCTGCCTCATTGCAGTCCTAGGCCGAACACAGCATCGAACCACAACAACTTTCTTATGGCGGTGACGGCAACAACAACAAAGACAAATGAAAGAATGCGTTGTCCCATGGTAGAGTGTCAGGGCTGGAATGTGCGGTCCGGACCCTCCCACTCCGAAAAAGCATATCTAGGCCTTGCAAGTTCGCAAACTCGTGCAGGATCGACGCATACTCCATGCTTGTCATTTTTCTCCCAACATTGACTCACCCGCGATCCTATTCTAGACCCCCCCCTCCCCCCCCGGGAGGCTGGCCTTCTGTTCTCCCGAGCGATGCAGTGCCTATCTAGTATCTCCCTGGTTCCTTTTTTTTTTTTTTTTTTTTTTTTGGATCCGTATTTCTAATTGGAATTAGAACCTGGATGGTCCAGACCTCCTCCCTCCCCGAATCCGAGATGCTGCATACACGTCAGGTGATCGACTCAAAGTCCGGGCTGGAACCCGAACCGAAATCTATCTACGTACATAGGTAAATGCGTACTTAGGTACATACATTGCATCCGCATCATCCAAGATGAGGCGGCCGATAAGCTAGCGCAAGCTCGACTGGACAGAACCGACGAGGTCGATCCTTCGGGGCAGGGGGGATTGCTGGTCGAGCAAAAGTACTTACTACGTACTGGGAATTTCTCGGTTTTGGCCGAGCTGAACCCCAGGAGGACAGTTAAAAGAAAGGGTAAAGGCAGAAAACTAAAAAGTCAAAGGTTGAATGAATATTAATGAAAAGGTGAAATGGTAGTTACTAGTCGGCCCGATTCGGACACTAGGCATCCTCCCTTAACTGACCTAACTACCTACTGACTTAGCCCATCTCTAATGCCTACATACGGAGTAGTTACCTATCTATCTAGTAGGTAATAACTACTTTAGATAGGTACTCCGTACGCGGGCCAGAAACTCTACCCAGATTTAGGTTCTGGGACTTTGATATATCAAGGGAATCGGGGATGTCAAATCTCAAATCTCCACTTTTTTTTTTTTCTCATCCTCACTCACTCCCGGGAAACCCCTGAGATGTCATGAGATGGATATCTGTCATGATGACATAGATACTTACCTACCTAGATACCTAGGAGCCCCAAAAATACTAAATATGAAAATCAAGAACCCCGGGCTAGTCACTCGCTCTATCAGGCTAGGTTCAGTTCGTGTTCCTTTTTAGATAGCCCTTCGGATATTCGATTCGGGAGGATGACCGGCGGGCGGCACAGTATACACAGTAGTAAGTATATTGAACCCCGACCTTCGTTGGATGATGCCCTAGCCTAGGTAGCCTAGCCTAGCCTAGGTAAAACTGACAAGTTGACAACCACAGTAAGTAAGTAATTGAATTGAATTGAATTGAATTGAATTGAACCACCCAGGTATCTACAGAGCAACACCTGTGCCTGTCTGTCTGTATATGTCTAGTGCATGCATGAAAAGTCTTATCCCCACTTGATGGGATAAGTATAATTTTAGCGCCAAATCATCCGGTTATTGTCCCGCTCTTTGCCTGATAGACATCTAGTCCCCGATGATGAATATGACACGTCCAGAAATCAGAAATCCTTCGACGCCCGCCGGGGGGTCATGATCTCCACAATCTTATTGTGGCTATTAGCTATCTATTTGCCACCCTGGGGCGAGCGCGGTCCAGATCGCAAGCCCGCTCGCGAATCTCGATGGGTTCGTTCGGTTTACGGTACGGACGGAGTACTTCGGTGTCCCCCCGTGTGGGTACATATTCCGTACTATGTAGATACTAGGTAGATGGTGGATGGTTACCAAGGGTTCCCATATTGCGTCTACACACTAGATACATGTGGCTTTGGTGCTATGGTGCCATGGGCCCGGCTGTGGCGGGCTGGCCACATTAGTTCTCAGGCAGAGAGACGACTGACTGTCTGCTGTCTGCCATAGTAGTAACCCAGACGACCGTCACCTACGGTAGCATGTATGTATGTAGTAGGCAAGTGCATCCGGCCCGGTCAGCGAAGCTCTCCTCTCCGCTTGAGCGGTCTGGCGACATTGCATCATCATCCTGCTCCCCATGAGTCATGGCCATCTACATGGCAGGATTCGAATGCTGTAACGAGTATGGACTTGGATGTAGGTGATGCAGCAGCTGTTGCCTGACTCAAGTGAAACCAGGTTCCGACTCCTTCAACTGTCATCTCCCACGCACGTGAGCATAAACTAACTTGATCGAAGCATACCAGCATCACTCTCATTACTTTCCCAAGTGGGCATACCATACCGTGCAGTGCAGTGATTTGCGCTGCACACCGTCTTCATCCAGGAACCCGAACCCCCTCCCTTTCTTTCTTTTTTTTTTTTTTTCTTCCCTGCTTTCTTTCTACAAACCGGACATGGGGACCAAGCAACGCTGCCTTGAATCCGATACTGCAAGACGCTGCACCGAGCACGCGAAGTATAATCCCCAGTCCCAGTCCCAGTCCCAACCCAGGGATCCCGTGTCTCCGTCCCGCATCAAGGAAGATGCATGTTTGAACTTACCCAGAGCAGTGTTCTGGGTGAAGATCCAGCCCGAAGACCCCCTCCCAGACGGCGCGCAAGCAGGTTATTGTGAAAAGATCCGGTGTGGTGTATGTATATTCCTACAGATGGCGATCTTCCTTGATGGCCCAAGCCAGGTTGTTGTCTCCAGCGCGTGCGAGTGTGCGAGTGTGCGAGTCGAGTCGAGTCTTTCCATTGACGAGTCGAGAGGCCGCGCAACCAAGTCCACTCCGTGTCATGGTTCTTTGGGTTCGTAGCAAGACGGGATGGCTTCCAAGGTTCGGGTTGCATAAATCGGTGAGCAAGCCCGGAGACACCGATGGAGTATTCCCCCAATCCTTTGCTGTAGACAAAGCAGGCTTATCAAGGTTGCATTCCCGACGGAGGTTCGTGGCCCTGTATGATGATGTCGAGAGATTGCGCGGGATGATCAAGGGAGCGGAAGAAGGCCATTGCGGTAGCAGAGTTCCGGTATCGTTGCGAAACCGAGGTGTAGTATGCGAGCAAAGTAGAGATGAGATGTTAGAGATGTCCAGAAAGGCAACAAACAAGGCAAAAGGCGGAAGCGGAGAAACAAGCAGCAGCCTTAATCGTCAGGTGCTGATAACGTCACGTGTCGGTCGGGTTTGCTGGAATGCGACATGGAAGTCAAGTAAGCGATGACATCGTTTCCAAGTAGTCAGTCAATTGAACACTCCTCTCGCTCCACATTGTTCTCCGCCGGCGTCTCTCCTCTAAGATGAATCTTAGCTGAACGCTAACACTGCACATACACACCTGGACCGATCCCTCCAGGATGAGCAATAGCTAGGCCCGAGACGAGACGTACATCATGGCAGCTCAACGACCCGGGCTCCTACGCGCATTCCCTCGCATCCTTTCCCAACATTCGATCCGACCACACACCCCGGCAAGGCTACGAGCCGTACCGCTCAGAATATGCGCTCAGCGCTACAGTACTGGCGCCGAGTCCAAGCGACCAGCACCGGCGGACCAATCGCCCGTTCCCGACCATCCCTCTGAATCTTCACACCTCAACCCGGCCCCCGACGATTACTCTCGCTTCATCTTCCAAGACAAATGTCGCTCGACGATATATGCAGGCTCCGGCGGAAACGGCTGTGTTTCGTTCCTGCGCGAGAAGTACGTCGAGGAGGGTCCACCGAATGGCGGCGACGGAGGTAGTGGCGGGAGCATCTACATCCAAGCCGTGGAGGGCCTCACCAGTCTGCATAAGCTTGCTCGAAGGGGGATTATCAAGGCCGGTCGAGGTATCAGCGGGCAGGGCAAGAGCAGGGGTGGTAAACGAGGGGACGATGTCCTGATCCAGGTTCCGGTCGGCACTGTGGTCCGTGAGGTGGACAGATACGACCCGGTCGAGGAGGAGATACAGCGTCAAAAAATGGAGGCCAAAAAGGCTGCAGAAGCAGCGAAAGCCGCGAAGGAGGCGGGGATGGTGGAGGGAGTGGAGGGAGTGGAAGGGTTGGAAGGATTTGAGGAGGTTGATGAACTGGATGAGATGGGTTTCTCGTCGATTCGGCACGATCGCTGGGTTCTCTATCCCGGCTCTAACCCGTCCGACTTCTTGATGACCGCGTTCCCGAAGAACCCGCCTCGCAGACAGCACATCGCGGCGATGGAACCAAGAGCGCCTATCTACCTCGACCTTTCACACCATATGGATCAGCCGATTTTGCTGGCTGCAGGAGCCGTCGGGGGGCTGGGTAATCCGCACTTTGTGTCTCGTTCCATCAACCGGCCGAAGTTTGCGTCCAGGGGCGAGGGTGGCATGCGTTTGGAGCTTGACTTTGAATTGAAGCTTCTTGCGGATGTCGGGCTGGTCGGAAAGCCTAATGCCGGGAAGAGCACTCTGCTTCGTTCGTTGACCAACAGTCGCACGCGAGTCGGGAACTGGGAGTTTACCACACTTGAGCCTAGCATCGGTACTGTGGTGATTGATAACAACAAGGGGAGACCTCTGGTCGAGATTGAGGGGAAACCCCGGCGCAAGAACTTCACTATTGCGGATATTCCCGGTCTGATCGAGGGCGCTCATCTTGACCGTGGCCTGGGCCTGGGATTCCTACGGCACATCGAGCGCGCCGGGATCCTTGCCTTTGTGGTGGATCTCAGCCGAGGGGACCCCGTCCAGGGCCTTAAGAATCTATGGCATGAGCTTGCCGAATACGAACGGGTCCGTGAAGTCGAGGAGGCCCTGGCGGATGAAGAGGCGGATCCAGAGGAGGATGACTTGACATGGACTCCGCCCACGCATGGCCTGCCTGAACTTCAGTCCGCAGACACCAAGGCCCGGCATCATCGCATCGTGTCCAAGTCCCAGTCCCAAGAAGAGCTTCCTGAGCTCCGCCTTCCGCCGATTCACACCAAACCGTGGTTCGTCGTGGCCACTAAGGCCGATCTCCTAGAGACTCAAGAGCACTACAAGGTTCTGCGCGACTACCTCGCCGCTGTCGAAAAGGGAGAAGCTGAGCACCCGGGCGGCCATGGGGGCGGGTGGAAGAAGAAAGTATGCGCTGTTCCTGTGAGCGCCATCCGGGGCCAGGGTGTCGAACGTATCCCTCGCCTGGTCATGGAGCTTTTGGATTAAAGGAGTATTTGGTTTGTGGTGTACGGGAAAAAAATAAAGTCTTTGTAAAATAGGGAGGGCATAGGGCGGGTGTTGATGGACTTGGTTTGCTCTTGTGGCTCTCTTGTGTAAATAATGACCGGGAATCTGCCTGCCCATTCGACTACAGAGAATCAGAATCAAAATATTCTCAACTCTAATTTTATGTAAATATAAACCATGGATAGGACGTTGTTGTCCTTCGATCTTATCGTCTCCGAATTTCCCCGCATGACGTCGTACGATCGCTTCGAATTTTCGGAGGGGAAAAGACGCGATAACAATTTCACCACCACCACCACCACTTTCTCTCTCTCTCTCTCTTTCCCTCTCCAACTCACCTCACCCTCTCACTCTTCAGCAACAACCACCTCCCCCCCTCGAGCCTCGACAATCGACATAGTGATATGCCCCCCCACCTCCCCCTCCACGAAACCATCCCATGGGCACTCACCTCCATCCTCAACCCCGCAGCCAACGACCCCATCCTCCGCTGCTATAACCAATCCATCGACGCCCTGCACGAGAACCTCCTCCCGGACCCCCATGCCGCCATCCAACTCGCCGACTCCCGTCTCCGCGTCTTCCCCTTCAAGGACGTCGACGACTGCTGGCGCCGCTTCTACACCGACGCAAGCATCGTGCAGGCCTGCGTGACCATCTACGAGAATAGCGGCATCCCTCACCACCACCACCACCACCACCACCACCGCGACGATGAAACTGGGGGGAGGAAGCGAAAGAGACAGCCTCATACGGAGTATATTTCTCGGATTATTGCCGATTTTGAGAACTGGGGGGATGGGAATGGGGATGGGGCAATGGAGCAAGGGGTGACGGTTGATGGGGATGCGGATGCGGAGTGGTTGGAACAGACGGTGCATTTGCTTGATAAGGCGCTGATTATGACGGGGGCGCCGCTTCGTGAGGCCGTCGTGGAGGGTTTGATTGATTCGTTGCAGGGTGCGATGAGGAGTGGGGGTGGGTCTGGGTCTGGGAAAGATACAAGAGGTGATGTGAAGGAGGGTCAGGGTGAGGAGCAAGGGGAAGAGAAGGGGAAATTCACCCCGCTGTTTTCACCAGACGCTGCACCCACGCCGGAGATCAAGTTCCCCATTCCGCGGGTCTCTGCGCCGTCGTTCGAGTACATGGAGCGACATATTCGGCTGGCCAGGACTCCCGTCGTGATCACCGACGCCGTGGGCCATTGGCCGGCGCTGTCGACGCGGCCGTGGGCGTCGAGGGAGTATTGGTTCGATCGCACGTTCGGGGGGAGAAGACTTGTCCCCGTGGAGATTGGTCGGGCCTATACGGATGATGACTGGGGACAGCGCATCGTGCCTTTCGCGGAGTTCGTGGGGAAGTACATCGACGCTGATAGAGAGCAGGATGGTCCGACGGGGTATTTGGCTCAGCATGATTTGTTGGCTCAGATCCCGGCGTTGCGGAGGGATATCTCGATTCCGGACTACTGTTTTGTGGATCCGCCGGGTCCGGAGAGGGATACGCCTGTGTATTTGGCTAAGAGGCGGGGGGAGGAGGAGAGGGGGGCAAGACGAAGACGAAGACGAAGTTGGAGGTGGGGGGGCAGGAGCAGGGGGTGGCTAATAAGACGGGTGAAGTGCGAGCACGACAACTCGGGGAGGAAGATGATGATGGGGTGGAATCCGAAGCGTCAGACTCCGAGTCTGAGTGCCCTTCTACAGGCCCGTTCATCAACACCTGGATGGGCCCTTCGTGGACCATATCTCCTCTGCACCATGACCAATACGATAACATCTTCGTTCAGGTTGTCGGCGCGAAGTATATCAGGCTGTACTCGCCCCATACACCCGCCTCGCAGATCTATCCCAAGGGCAAAGAAACCGTCAATCAATCCGCCAAGCCACCGTTCGAGGGCGAAGAAGACCACGATGATGATAGTGAAGAAGAGCACGAAGACCAAACATCTCACACCCCACCCAACCACGACCCAGACACCCAACACCCATCCACAACCATCCCCTCCAAACCCAACAACCAACAACAAAACCCCACCCTACCCACAGAAACAGAACCCCCCCACCTCATCGACATGTCCAACACCTCACAGGTCGACCTAGCCGCCATCGAGATGTCCCCCGCCGAAGAAGAGCAATGGGAAGACCTCTGGCCCGGGTTCCTGCAGGCAACGTACATCGAGACCGTGCTCCGTGAAGGCGAATGTCTGTATATCCCTGTGGGATGGTGGCATTATGTTCGGAGTTTGCGCGGTGGTGTGAGTGTTAGTTTTTGGTGGGAGTAGATTTGTCTTGTCTTGTCTTGTACATAGAATATGAAATATGAATGTAAATATACACATACACATACACATACACATAGATATACGTATCCCCCTCGGAAGATTTCTTTGCTCTAGAGCAGACTATCTAGTACTCTCTTCCACTTACTTACATTCATCACATCCATCACATCCATAGATTACACATAGGTAGACATATATAGACTTAATATGCGAAAGCCAGCACCACGAGATTGCTGGCGACGCTGGACACCACCTCTGTCTCTGTACTTAAGTTTATTCACCAGCCTAAGGAGGAAGGAGCCAACCATGCTCTGCGCTTTCCGTGGATGTCAAGGAATCGCGAAAATCCACTTTCTTTCTTTCTTTCTTTCTTTCTGTAGCTGGTGGGGCTGGGGACGCGTTTGACGTGTTTGGTTTTATTTGATGGGGGGGTGAATGGCTCGGTCAGTAAGTAGGGAGAGAAGAGGGGAAGGGGCGTGTTTTGTTGTGTGGTGTATAGCTACCTCTAGCTAGCTATTAATACAAATAGAACGTACCCCATACGAAGGAAGTTCCCATCGCATCAAGAAAAACTCTTTCTCTGTATGTATGTATGTATGTGTGTGTGTATCAATTCTGCATCCCCCTCACCAGCGCCAAAGGCTTCCCAGCCTCAATCGAATCCCCCGGTTGAACCAGGACTTTCTCCACCGTGGCCCCGGCGGCCGTGGACTCCACTCGCACGACAATCTCCAGCTTCATGGCTTCCAGGATCACGACGATCTGGTCGTGGTCGAGCTTGTCGCCTTCTCGGACTTCTACTTTCCATATGTTGGCGTTGAGGGGGGCTTCAATGGGGGTGATTCCGGGGTCTGTGGGTGGGGAGGAAGGGGTGTTAGTTGATTTTCTTTTTGCGGGTATGTATGGATGGAGGATGGAGGAGGGGTGGGGAGAGGGGGGATAGGGGGGAGGGGAAGGTTGTTAATATATGTGTGTGTGTGTGTGTATGTGTGTATGTACCTTTTAGTAGACTTTCAATGGTGTCCATGGGAATACCCCGTTCTGCTTTCTCCTTGGCCCATTGTTCGAGCAAGGCTGCCTCACGCTTGTCCATCTCGGCCTGTGCGTGTTGCTGCTTGGATCGGATAGTAGCGACCTCGTCCTTAGTGTCGTGGAGGAGCTTGTTATGCTCGGCCATGTCGAAGAGGACCTCATCCCATTGGTATTCGTATCTGCCGCTGTTGAAAAGGGCGAGTTGTTTCTCGTATTCTTCCTCGGACACGCGGTAGAAGGTGATCTGGTCGAAGTCCTCGAAGAGCCACGGTCGGTTGGCCTCGTAGCCTTTCTTGGATCCGAGAATGTCAACGCCTGGGATGGTCATCCCTGTCATTTGGTAGCCGCCGGGGGAGTCGACGTTGTATAGTCTGTTTTGTGTTGGTTAGATTGGGCTGGGGGGATGGTGAGAGTGGGTGATGGCTCTTACGACATGCAACTGCCACCCCAGGCTATTGACCCAGCCGGTGTGTATACTCTGCTGGGGTTCATCTTCGGGCAGTTCATTCGCTGGCGCGGGTCGACGGGGAGCGCGAGCGGCAGAGCAGTGAAGAATCCAACTGATATCACCATAAACGCGGCGGTTAGGTAGATGTTCTCGAACTGTTCTCTGCTGAAGGCATTGTTCTTCGCGACAAAGTCCATGTTGTCCGGCAGGTAGGTGGCGTAGGGACGCTGCGTCTCCATGTACCGCTGGATTGCATCCTTCTGTCTCTGGCTCTCGAATGCGAGGGGTAGCTTGAACCGTCGACTGGGGAATTTGGCTTGGCTGAGATCGCCAAGTTTTGTCTCAATGTTGCAGAGGTAGTTGAGAAGTTTCTTCTGTGGAATCTTTGTTCCGTCGTAGGAGAGCATCAGGGCTACTGAGTGTCAGTATATCATGTTGACAGAATAAGAAGGGGGGGGGTTTACAGTTTCCGCAGCCTAGCATTGAAGTCAGTCCATTGGAAAAAGTGATGTCCCCGCTTGCTTCAGATAAGGCCTTCTTGAGAGCGGTCACTCTACAACGATGGTTCAGATCAAACAATCCGACACCGTAGTCGATCAGAAGATAGTCATCACCGGCCTAAACAGACGATATATCAGAGTTGTTCAGCTCGGAGGTATTCAGATAGCTTGGCTTACCTGACGATACGAGACGAGCGGTTGGTTGCCGCTCTCTTGGATCTGATGAATAACACCACTCCCACGATCCGTTGCCGTCAATTCTGCCGGTAGCTCACTTTTTACAGGTGATATGCCACTGAGATCTCCTTTCAGACAGCCTTGAACCACTTCATCGATGAACCTTTCCACGTCCCTGCGAGACGACAAGGCATCTTCCAAAGACGTAGCCCGATACTTTAGCGTATCGCCCGCTTTTACTTGTCCCAGCTTCCATAAATCTGCCTTGCAGATCGTATGGCTGGTGACAAATCCCCCCAAGTCGGGTGCATCCGCAGGAAATATCACGGGGTCATCACCCGTCCAGTTGAGAGAGCCTATCGCATACCCATACTCGATCAGATTGGACGGGTGCGCACCACCCTCTCCGCCATCTGCACGAGCCCAGGTAGGTTTCGGACCAAGAAGACGGATGCCGCCACGGGCCGCGTTATGGGATACTTTCCAGTTGGTGCTGTATAGCATATCGATGCTATCCGGGACAAGGAACCCTTGATCGTACGGACCGGGCATGGCCAGAATCTCCCAGTGGCTGGGATACTGGGGGATAAGATGCTTCGGTAGGTGGAGGTCTCCACTAACTTCTGGTATCTGTGGCGTGATTGAGAGGAGATCGCCAGAAGCAAGTTGTCTGCCTTGATAGCCTCCTACTCCAACCATTGGCGAGGTGGATTTTGACCCAAACCACTCTGCAACATTCAAGAAGCCCCCGTATACACCCAGATAAGCCCTGCAGCCATTACCAGTGGTTTTTCCAATCTTCAGCCGCTGACCAGCAGAAACCTTGACCCTTGACCACATTGGGACGGAGGTGTCATCAAGTTTGGCCTCGCTCGGTGCACCGCATAATGAGATAAGAGCCGGTCCTAAGAATCGGAGCTCTGGTCCGCTCAGAGTAATCTCCAAGGCTTCCATTCCCACTGGGTTACCAACAAGTGCGTTCGCAATGCGAAAGGCTGTTGGATCCATGGGGCCAGAGTGGCAAAAGCCCCTTCCCAGCGTTGGACGGCCGGGAAAGTCTTCGATGAGAGTATAGGCTCCGCCAGAAATAACATCGATGGCAGACAGTTTGAATTTGAAATCGTCTAAGAACTTGGTCAATGTCCTACCGGCAACAAACTCGTTGTCTGCCAAAATTTCAGCCAAAAACTCCAAGTTGGTTGGAGGGCCGCAAATTCGTGATTCGGTCAGTATGGTCTTCATCCCTTCAATTGTTTGCTGTCTACTTGGAGAGTGGAACATGACCTTGGCAAGCAAAGGATCTTTTTGACATTAGTATGCTGCCTTGTGCTTGTGGTAGCTGAAAAACATACCGTAGTTCGCTGACACTTTGACGCCTCGATAGATCCACGTATCGATTCGAGATCCCGGGAGTTCTTTCCATTCCACACTCTGTAGAGTTCCAGGACAGGGAGCGAAGTCCTTGACGGGGTTTTCGGCATAGACTCTGGCTTCAATAGCGGCGCCGGATGGCGCATGCACTGGGATGATATTTGTTAGATACGCCGCATCGACACCCTTCTTTCCAGAAAGTTGAGCATCTGCTTGTTTCAACATCATTTCCACTAGGTCAACCCCATAACATAGCTCCGTTATTCCGTGCTCAACTTGCAGACGGGTATTCATCTCAAGGAAGAAGAACGCCCCAGTCTCATCATCCACAAGATATTCGATCGTTCCAGCCGATCCATAACTAATCGATTCAGCGAGACGAACGGCAGCATCACCCAGCTTCTCCCGCAGCCCAGGATTCCTGGTAACAAACGGACTCGGGCACTCTTCTATGACCTTTTGATGCCGCCTCTGTATCGAACATTCACGTTCGCCAATGTATATGGCATTGCCCTCTCCGTTCCCGAACACTTGCACCTCAATATGGTGGCTTGATGGATAGTAGCGCTCGATAAAAATCCCAGCGTTCTTGAATAAGGCTTCACCCCGGGACTTGACTGTGGCAAACGAATTGCGGACTTCCGTCTCGGTGTTGCACGTAAGTAGACCCATTCCACCACCGCCAGCCGTGGCCTTCAGCATTACCTAGAACAATGTCAGCCTTATCGCCAAAGACCAAATGGCCACCACCAAGACATACCGGGTATCCTAGATCTGTTGCTATCGCCACGGCTTCGTCTTCGCTTTGCACCAACCCCTGCGAGCCAGGCACGATGGGGACCCCAGCCTTTGTGGCAAGATCGCGAGCAGTATGTTTCAGCCCAAACGCTTCAATGCTCTCTGGCGATGGGCCAACGAAGGCTATCCCCGAGCTAGCAGCAGCTCTTGCAAAGTCTGCATTTTCCGACAAAAACCCGTACCCCGGTATGATAGCGTCGACATTGTTCCGCTTGGCGATTCCGATAATTTGTTCGCTGCAATCCTAGGTTAGAGACGAGTGATCGGTTGAAGAATGAGCCTTCCTACCTATCAATGTATGCCCGGGAGGGCGCACCAGACAGAAGAACGGCTTCATCTGCCAGGTGAACATGGGTCGAAGCAGCATCTGGCTCAGTGTATACGACTATTGTTCGAAGATTCAGTTTCCTATTGGACGTTAGTCGCTGAATGTGAAAGCCATCACGACAGTACATACTTTGCTGTCTTCAGGATTCTGACGGCGATTTCGCCACGATTGGCGATCAGTAGTGTCTTCAGGGAGTCCATTGTAGGTGGGTGGCGCCAGGTGAGGGGGTGGTGGTTTCGCAGACAGGGAGAGCCCCTGTGGCATTTAAATGGGCACGATAGACTATCGTTTGCCCCTGCACGCGTACCCGAAAGCCATGATCGGATCCGATGATGATAACAGCCATCTCTGATAGGTATGATGTAGGATCGACGGCCGTTGGAGACTTGGAGAAGTGCGGAGTCGGCTCATAGTTCACTGATAAGCCAGAACCTTGCGCGCCCCTCCTTGAAACGAATCCTCGATGGAATGCCTATGCTGCGCAAATCAAATGCCAGTGGCATTCGGCTTGGCCCTGTGCATCTATATTCCTGGTTTGGACGCGACAATCGTTGTTATGCGAGTACGATCGCCCCGTCATCCAGGGTAGCGGAATGGTTCGGCAGGTTTCCAATTTTTGGGATGCCTCTTACTCTGATTTTGAAATACACTCGGTGATATCTTTGGTTCTGGGTTATGACTGAACAATCCGGCCAGTGGTTGTTCGTCGTCGATCGGGGGGTTTGCAACTTTACCCCGCCATCTGTCGGCCAGCTGTAAGGTAGTAGTTTCTTTTCAACGGGCGCGGCATTACAAGCCTTGATGATCACTGGGCTGGCTCAAATGCGATCGGATGCTTGGTATTGCTGTCCAGATAGAAACAGAAAAAAATGCGTGTGTATGATGTGATGGAGGGAAGAAAAGGAGAGAAAGAAAAGATACCCCCCCATACATCATGTCCAAATGAAGCTATAAGGCTGATGTAAACCCCGGCCCATTACACTGCAAACAAAATGTTTGTTGAACATGAACATGTTCTTTTCACAATAACGACACCATTTATATAAGTCTGTCTCCAGTAGATAATTTTAATAAATCTCCCGGGCGCGACTAATATACTCCATGCAAGAGAAATCCCCTCCCTATCAAGAACTTATATATTAATCTTCCAAATTAGGGGCCAGTCTACTCCGTACAATCTCCTGGGAGGAACTGAGGAGGCATAGAATACCAACACTGCTACCGCCGATGATACTCTTCATGATGGTCACAGAGCAGGAAAGAGTTCCGAAAAGATGGCCTTCAATCGCACATGAAACAGTACTAATTACTCAATCAGCATTCCGACACGCTCATGGAGCAGTAGATAGATCCTCCGTCTTATGCAGAAAACCTCGGGATCCTCGGAAATCTCGGAAATTGAAGGGTGAAATTGCAAGGGTTCTTCCCATGAGAGATGATGCCTATGGTCACGTGCCTGTGACTCACTTTGGGACGACCGCCCTGCATACTGTTTAAATTCTGCCGGTTTTATTGCGGGGTTGCCTGACTTGGCCTCTTGCCATTTTCTTTTCCCGTGTCCTCCCCTCACATTGTTGACTACGTCGAAGCCAACAGCCAATCCTTCACAATGGCAGCCTCTGCAAAGGAAAGATTCGATCTCATCCGCGAGAATCTCGGCGAGATTCTCAACCCGGAGCTCATTGAGAGCATCCTCGCCGAGGGGCGCAACCCCCGTATCTACTGGGGTAAGGACTGCCCACATCTCCATTGCCTAGCATGGTCAACTGACATGATCTTTGTGTCCCTTCCTAGGTACGGCCACGACTGGAAAGCCTCATTCCGGATACTTTGTCGCCGCGCTTAAGATCGCCCAGCTCCTGGCGGCAGGATGTGAGGTGGTGATTCTCCTCGCCGACGTGCACGCCTTCCTGGACTCCATGAAAGCGCCCCTCGAATTGGTCGAGAACCGTGTCAAATACTACCAGAAGATTATCACGGCAATTCTGGAGGCTGTCGGTGTGTCGACGGAGAAACTTGAGTTCGTGCTCGGAAGCTCCTACCAGCGCAACCCCGACTATGTGATGGATGTTTACCGGCTCGCGGCTTTGACTTCCGAGCATGACTGCAGGAAGGCTGGTGCGGAGATTGTGAAGCAATCTACCAACGCTCCCCTGAGTGGCCTCCTGTACCCCATCCTTCAGGTTCTCGATGAGGAGTACCTCAAGGTCGATGCCGAACTGGGCGGTACTTTTTTCATATACCCCATGTGTCTTTACTATTCCTAACGGAACATAGGTATGGACCAGCGGAAGCTCTTCGTGGCGGCAACTGAGTGGCTGCCTAAGCTTGGATACCGCAAGGTAAGACCATTCGATATCTAGCCGCCGGGGCTACGTGAACATTTCTAATCGCATTCAACTTTTAGCGCGCTCATCTTATCACGCCGATGGTGGCCGGCTTGAGCGGAGGAAAGATGAGCTCTAGTATCGAAGGTAGGCGGAAACGGTATACCTTTCAACACGGCTCTTGCTAAACCCAACACAGATAGCAAGATCGATCTCCTTGATCCCCCGGAGGCGGTTTCCAAGAAGATCCGCAAGTCGGAAGCGGCCCCCAAGACTGTCGAAGGCAATGGCATCATTGCCCTGGTGGAATTTGTCCTCCTCCCCGCCGCCGCTCTTACGGGCAAGAAGGAATTCCGCGTGGAACGCCGGGATGCCGAACCCCTGATCTACACCGACATCCAACAACTCAAGGATGATTACGCAAACGATGTTGTATGTTGCTGATTTACTACGTGACCGAAAGCGGCACACGCACTAACAATCGTGTAGTTGACCCCCCAAATCCTCAAGCCTGCGGCCGCAGATGCTCTGACCCGCCTGATGGCGCCTATCTACAAATCCTACCAAGAGTCGCCCGAATGGCAGGAGATCACCCTTGCCGCTTACCCGCCCCCGGTTGTGCAGAAGAAGCAAAAGAAGGTCAAGGATAAGGGCACCCGCCACCCCGGAGCTACCCAGGAAAAGGAGCTTCCTGAGCGCCCGAAGGAGGCTTAGGTATATGTACCCGAAGTCATAGCCTCTGGGATTCAAAGTATCTCTCGATGATTCTTTCGAGAGAACTGATAGATGGTGATGAATCGATCGATAGATGGATAGAAAGAGAGGAGAGAGAAGAGAGAAGAGAAGAAGAGCTATCTGCAGGGAGGTCTGTCACTTATACGATGAACAAGTAGATAACATTCAAATTGATTGCGGGTGTTTTTGGCGATTTACAGCAGAAAGACCCTAAAAGTTCATGGGATTTCTATACATCAATACATCATGGTTAGCAATAGACGAAAGCAGCAATAAGTAGTACTTAGTTATTGGTACATACTAACTAACATGAGAGAATCAATATCGAGTGAGATTGGAGTCGTCTTTATCTGAGACATGGTATTCATTCAAAGCATAGTTGAACTTTCTTTCGGAATCAGTGGAGCGATTCGACATCATGCTAAGGCTTAAGCTTTCACTGTTTCATGGTCTTGCTGGATTTTATGCCTACTGCAGTGTAGGAGTGTACTAGTATATATCCTGAACGTGCACCACTCCCCCACAAAGACAACATATATATCAACTACTCGGTCTTACAAGATTTAGTCATGAACTAAACTATTAATACAAAAAAGATATTCCACTCGTGGTAGAAGAAAACAAAAAGAAAAAAAAAGGGGAACCACTCAACACAAAAACACACACAATGTACCCTCGATAGCAACATCGACCCGGGGGGAATGAGGAGGGAGGACTCAGGCAACGCACGGCGAGACAGAACGGCTTAATTTACTAAAACTTGTTTATAATAGCAATCTTTACATCACTATTCAACAAGAATCCGATATGGTGTAGTGGCTAACATCGCCGTCTCTCACACGGCAGCCGGGGGTTCGATTCCCCCTATCGGAGCTCATATTCTTTTCGCTTTCTTTTTGTTCTTCCTAGCAAGAAAGATTGTATGCTGCTTGCTTGGTATTCATTGATTACTCTTTCTTGTTTTCTTGGCTTGTGCTTCCTCAGTTGATTTGTTCCCATACTGCTCTTCTGTTGCAACGAGTTTACTTACTACCATCCCTAACCTAACCCAACCCAACACGAATCGTTCCATCTTAGACTTTTCCATTTTCATTGACATCTGAAACCAGATTGGTCCGGAGAGAATTGGTACGATCATCGCCATCGACTGAAAAGGAATTTATTAATTTGATATACTATCAAGGCAGCGATTCGATGACCCTATATCTCTATTTAGTACTCCGTACTATTTGCACGATGATCCAACCGCCAGATACCCAATCAAGCAGCCAAAGCCCCCGTCCCCCCCCCCACCAGCACGATCCCCACATCTCGTGGCCACTGTTATTATGGCGGACAACCACTAGATAAGTAGATATAAATAACCGAGCCCCGGAGTCTATCTCCCTAGTACACAGGACGTCATAGATATCTACCTAGAGGTACTAGATAGGGAGCTCAATTGGTAGGAATGATTAACTCGACACAAGAATAGCTAACTCACTAGCTGCCCGTGGATCCGTTCTCGAAAATACAGCCGCTCTTAGTAGATAGGCAACGGGTATAATAAATAGCACCCGGCCGTCCTGCATACTATTAGACTACTCCGTATTTATAGAGCCATAGCGCTCGATCCCGACACCCTCACTGTTATCTAGTTCAGCTGTAGCTCAACCAATTGGACGTAGAAGTGGCCCAACGGTTCTAGCACTGCCGAGAAAACTTGCTGGTTTCTTTTCTTCCTCCTCTGCTTGTCTGAGCGTGATCATTGAATATACCCATTACTCATGCCGGGACCGATAATAGTTCTAGTATAGTGTGTTGTAGTGTAGTGCATGCAGGGTGCGAGGGGAGCGGACTGACATTGATCCTATATCGGAAGTGGCATTGTGGTCTGACAGTGTTTTCAGCGTATTGTTAGCCAAAGTATCAAAGGTCGGGGTGGATGGAGGAGGGGATGGGCCACATCATCCGGCTCCATGTCTAGGCAGTATGCAGTATAGTCTGACTGTGCTCGTTGGGGATCGCCAAGGCGGCCATGGAGTAGGTAGGTAGGTATCTAGTCACATGGGTATGGTCTTTTGAATGCGCAGGCGGGGCATATGTGCGAATATTCGAGATGTATGAGTTATTATACCCAGTAGTCTTCCCGCATGGTTAGAGCACAGTAGAGTTGATAAGCGCAGTGGAGCAGCCGTGGTCCGATATCGTTTGCGATGAATCATGCTTGCCTGTTTGGGTTAGCCGGCGCGCCCAGAGGCCCCCCCGCACCGACCACGCCGGGCCCGAAACGGCAAAGCGCTGTCAACAGAAGGGCGTACAAGGCGCGCGGTGATCCATTTTTTCCTTCGGTTTGGCCTTTTGGACGGTGGACCACGCAGGCTTCTCCGCCGCTCCGGATATCCTCAGTTCCTCACTGCCCGGGGCTGGCGCCAATCGGTTATGCCGTCTGGCCCGGATACGACGACCATGGATCAATCATGGATCAATCTCTCCCGCGGAAATCTGCTCAGTGGCTTACTGGGAATCCCCCCCTCCAGAGGGGGGGTCCACGAAAGGCGCTTTCTGTCTAGTGCCCACTACTGCTCACTGGACAGTGGAAGATGCTAGCAATCCTAGCCCATCTATCTACTATCTAGTGTGATCTAGCTAGCAGGGGTTCTCCGTTCCGGCATGCTTTTGATACCCCAGACGAAAAACATAGTCTACCTCCGATGCTGGCGCCGCTGCTGCTCCCCTTGATCCTCCGTCTTATTTGATTGTCCATCACCCGGCTTCCCTTTGCTTCAGCCTGAGGGGAAACCACCATACCACACCGTCCTACTCCTGTAACCCTATAAGTCAAGATCGCGCTTTTCATTAAACGTTAGATTGAATTCCCGACCCAGTACCCCACACTGGGATGGAGTACTTCGATTTCGATGAGGCCTCCTGCGGCTCCCATGTGCGCGAGGATGACGTTGCGTCGGACAACATCGAGCTCGACGAGGAGAATGAGGCGGTTGCAAACTACAACTCGCTCCTCCAAGAGCAACCCCTAGAGTTTTCCAATGACCTGCCGGAGCAGGATATTGACGGGCAGCAGCTGGAGGACGCGCCTGATCCGGCGCTGCACAAGGGTGTCTACCCCATGGGCCGCTCCAAACTACCGTGCGACTTTTGCAGACATATGAACCTGGACTGCTTCGTCGCAAAGAGTGGGGTCATGAACCAGGGCAGTTGTACATGTTGTATTTCGCTCTACCGAGAGTGCAGCTTCACGGTCGCCCCGGCGCCCGGAAAGTTCCTGGACACATTGCATCCAATCTCCGAGAACGCCTACATCCCTACCGGCGATCTGACGGGGAAGAAGGCGCTGAAGTCCCTTTCCTACATCACCGATGTTGACGGCCGTTCGAGGAAGAGCAATTCCCGATTGTCGCGGGAGGCAACCCGTACCCTCAAGAAATGGCTCCAAGAGCACGGGGAGCACCCGTACCCAACCGAGCAGGAAAAGGATGAATTACAGCAACGCACGGGGTTAAATCGAACGCAGGTCTCGAACTGGCTGGCGAATGCTCGGCGCCGCGGGAAAGCTCGTCCCGCTCCGCAGGGCAGCACTTCCGCGACTGCAATCAACATTCCCGGGCAAAAGCGTCTGGACGTGGCTTACATGACGCCCATTGAGCGTTGGAAGCACTCACCCCCCGAAAACGAACCGGCTGCCACGTCCGATATTCTGCGCGCTTTGGTTAGTACAGACCTAAATCATGACCGACAGCGCTCGTCCCAGTCAGGTCACGTGCGGTCCCATTCTCGGAAGACTGGGTCTAGCAATGACTCAAGCCATGCCAACTCCATTTTGCTTCGAGCTCCCTCCGTGAGTAGTCATGAGACAAGTCAGTCGGTCAGTCGCTCTTCACTGTCCGAGTTCTCCTTTGCTTCTGCCTTCTCCCACCGATCCTCTCTAGGGTCCTTCGGTTCCATGGAGCGGAAGGAACGACGCCGTCGTCGCAAGCCCTCACTCCCCGTCAACACCTTCAATCAACAGAAGGCACGAAGCGCTCGGATATACCAATGCACATTTTGCACCGACTCCTTCCAGACCAAGTATGACTGGCAGCGCCATGAGAAGTCACTGCACCTGGCTCTGGAGAAGTGGACCTGCTCGCCGTTCGGGGGCGTGGCCGTCATGGACGGTGCCAAGCGCTGTGTGTTCTGCAGAGCCATTGATCCAGACAACGACCACCTTGAGTCTCACAATTACAGTACCTGTCAAGAGAAAACCCCCGCCGAACGATCCTTCTACCGGAAAGATCATCTCAACCAGCACCTAAGGTTGATGCACAATGTGAAGTTCGACCAATCAATGAACACATGGAAGAGTACCATGACGGAGCTGAAGTCCCGATGTGGTTTCTGTGGGTTGGATCTCACCACCTGGAAAGATCGAGTCGACCATCTGGCCCACCACTTCAAGAATGGCAGTAGCATTGGTCAATGGCAAGGGGACTGGGGCTTTGAACCATTTGTCCAGAACCTGGTGGAGAATGCAATGCCTCCATATCTCATTAGCACCGAACAGAAGACGCTAAACCCTTTCAGGCCCAACGTTGCCGGAGAGGTGACAGGCCTGATAAGGCCGGAAGACGCCAATTGCTATGGTCGTCTGCAGAGCGAACTCTCCGCCTTTGTGCTTGATCATATGGCTGCCGGTGTCATGCCCACCGACCGGATGATCCAAGATGAAGGCCGCCGGATCGTTTACGACAATGACGACCCCTGGAATCAGACCTGCGCCGATAACCCCGTCTGGCTCAGCCTTCTGAAACGAGATACCGGACTCGAATTGGTCCCCGGCTCAGAGAATCTCCAGTTCTCCGACCTGGGCATGCAGCCACCATTTGCTGCCGCTGATGGGTTGAAGCAGCCACCCACCGAAACCAATCCGCACGCGCGATCTATTTGCTCCCAACAGCGGACGTTCAGCCCCGCACATCCCGGCTCTGGCTTCCAAAGTCCCGTCTTTCCCGGGTACGGTCGGGCATCTGCCGCTGCAAGTGCGCCCGGGAGCTCCAGTGGTAGCTATGCCGAAAGCTCTGGCTTTATCCCGGCTCGACCATACTCTGGGCTGTCTGCCGACTGGGGAAGCAGTCTGTCTGCTGGTGTCGCATCCCTCTCGACGCCTCACAGCGGATCCGTCGATCAGTTCGTGCAGATGGGATTCGATCCCGAATTCCTGCAACAGCTGAATGAGCGGTATGATGAGTTGCCTCTGGGGGACCTGCAGGGTCTGAGCTTTGACGAGAGCAGGCGCGCGGGCGGAGTTGAGTTCGGAAACGGCAGGAGACATCCAGCAGAATCAGCTGGTAAGCCGTTGCCCGTGTCCAGCATGGGATCGGCGCCGATTGCCATCCCCAGTCCGAAGAGTGCCGATGCGCTGATGCCCGACGCGGTTCCCGAATAGAACCGTCCGGGTAGGATTGGGGTATGGCGTGGATAATGGGATTGATGAGATTGGTTATGTGGCATACGTGCAGCGAATGTAGATAGTTGTTGTTTGGTTGAGGTCTGGAGTTAAAAGTTGTCTGTCGTTTCCCTCACGGTTCTTCTTGCAAGAACTACTCTCATTTCCTTTCGAGCGGTTGGGATCCTTCTTCGACTGAAGGGGATCCGAAGGCGATCATTTGCCGGAGATAGCGACGTTTAATATAGGGAGCTAGACATACCCCTCTCCAATAACCGTGAGTCCGATTATCAGAACACTCAGCCGTAGTCTTTTCACAGGGCGTAGACAAGTAACCCCACGCCACCGCCTGATTGGGCCATCCGACCCTCGGGCGTGCGAATGAGCAGGACGACGAAGCGACCGAGTCACGGGCCTAGAGTTGGCCCACGAGGAGAGGCTAACGTCTGGCCGAAGTCTGGTTGGTCCCTGCAACCAGTTCCTGGAAAGTGAGTAAGAAAAAAGAGGGTGGCGGCTTATCGGAGGGGCTGACATGTGAAAGCCGAAGCCACGGCAAAGTTAGACCACCTCCGAACTTTTCCCAACCCATCCATGCATGATGCATCCTGATTCCCAGCTGTCAGACGCAGCCATGTGCGCCAGGAAAGGGCCAGACGATCACCGCCACTACCACTAGCCTGCCCTCTCAGAAAGCGAAACGAAACGACTCTCCCCTCCGCCCTCTTTGCCCGCCAGTGCCCCATATCCTGCGTCACGAATACGTTGGTTGCATGCGCCCATCGCGTCTTTTGTTCCAGCCCCCTACAAAATGGACAGAATGGACGACATAGCTACCCTGGGTGATACAATGATCTTCCGCCAGGCGTTTATTGTCTTTGCGCAGGGCGTTCAGGCCTCCGTTCGACGGCGGCTCCAACTTGCGAGATCGGAAGCCCATCCCGGCGGCGCCAATGCAGAAGCAGAAGCAGATTCTTTGGTCGACGAACAGCGCCAGAGTAGCGAGAAGCAGGACAGGTGCAGGCCTTCTTCTTCCGACTCGGAGTTTGATTATTGGCGGTCAATGCCTAATACGCCTCCGTCTGGCGTTGGGGCTGGGACTGGGGCTGGGACTGGGACTGTCTTCCCGCGCTCTAGCACCGCAAGCAGCAGCCCGAGCACGGCGAGACACTCGTACAGCTCGTCGATGACGGGAAGATCGCATGAGGAGACTGATGCTTCGAGCTTCGAGGATGGTAGATCTGTCGATATGTTCGGGCCGAAAATGTCCAGGTACGAGGTGGGTTCGGGGCTGCGGTGGAACCGAATAGTGCCTGGTTTGTTGAGCCACACCCCTGCTTCATCGTGGCCTGTCGTTGCCGTTTGCATGCCCAGAGGCAGACGGGGTCCATGTGCCAATTGGGCAGAGACCTGGCTAACATGATATGATCTCAGCAACGAATCTCTTCCAGAGCGCATGCCGCGAAGCCGAACAGCCCCAATCCGATGGCGCCCTGGCCCGTTCGTTGTGCATCAATGCCATAAGCTATTGCCTCGGTGGCCTCCCAGACAACCTGACGCATGAGGAAATCACAGAAATCCGACGCAGTATCCCCTCCAGTATCATACCACCTTTGTCCGATCGAAACCCGCCCGTGGCCGCACTCGCCGGCCTGCTTCCAGGGGCGGGATATCAACCTGAGCGTGAGCGAACTCTTGTCCATCGGGCCGTAGCGTACATCATTGTCGCATTTTTCGTCGGCCTGCAGATGCTCCTGCCCTTTCTCAAAAGGCTTGCTGCTTATCTATACGAACTTGAACAATCATACCGGCCCATGCAGAGCGTCATGGCGGGAACAATGGGCATTGTTGGTAATTTTGGCAGGGGCGGTCAGAATCTGGGCTATGCAGCATTAAATATGCGCGCGGGGAAATTCGGCGACTCTGTGCCGTATTGGATCACGTATTTCGTGGAAGGCACTGCCGGTGGATTCTGCGAGGGCGTCGGCGAGGGCATGGTCAGGATGGGAGTCTCGTTGCCGTATGATAAGCTGGAGAGCGCCCACATGCGGTATTCGGGGCGGTGAGATGTGCTACGACGACGCATCTGACGGAACAATTTGCTACATAGATATGATGGTCACGCGACATGAGATTGAAACTGAAATAGAAATTGAAATTGAAGACTCCCCGGCCGGAGATAGCGGACATAAGACGGGCAGCTCCCACTCGAACTTCCTTCACTCCGCCGCCGCCCCTGACCATTTCCCCGTCCCGACCACACTTCACCATCGCATCATGTCGACCTCCCGCCTCCCCAACATCCCCGCCCTCAGGAAACAGCAGCTGCTTCTAGAATTGTGAGCTCGCCCATATCGCCTGACCGACAGAAGAGAACAAAACAGACCAAAGCAGGAACCATGGTGCTGACCGCTCCCGCAGCGCAAGCTTGCAACATGCCGCTCCTCCGGGCACGTACGTGAGCCTCAGCCCCGGCGATCCAACTCTCTGGCTGGGCGTCATCTTCGTTCGCTCCGGTAACCACCCGTCTCTGCATAGCACACAAACACCCCAAAATCAATGCATACCATACCTAGAACTGGAGCGCTAACGTGCCCCCCTTGCATAACCCGCAGGTCCCTATGCCTCCGCCGTCCTCCGCTTCCAGATCCGCTTCCCCGCCTCCTATCCCGACATGCCCCCTCTGGTCAATTTCGCTACCGACGTCTTCCACCCCCTGATCGTGCCCCTCACCACATACACCTTCAGCACTGGTGCGTCGAGCGAAGACCCCGTCAGCGCCACGGACGACGAGCGCTTACCCCCTGGTGGGTTCAGTCTGCGGCATGGATTCCCGCACTGGTTTGGACGCGCCAAGCGCGCGGGGTTGAATTCGAATGCTTCGGTTAAGGATACTAGTGGAAGGAATTCGAGTGCTAGTGGTGGGGTGCCCGAGTCTCCGGTTAAGGACAATGGGGTAGATGATAATGTTCCCGGTTCGCCGGCGGAGCAGTCTACGGGTGGAGGTGAAGGGGAGGGCGATAAAGAGGATGGAGAAAGAGATAGGGATGTGGATGGTAATGGGGATGGGGAGGGAGAGAGAGAGGAGACGGAGGAGGTCCTTGTCGTACCCCCCGTTGACAAACCGGTCGAACCGCGGAAAACAGTCCCGGCTTCGGTCTTGTTGGATTACATTCGGTCGACGTTCGATGATGAGGCGGTTCTTGACTCTTTGCCGCTCGAGGCGGCAGGCAATCCCAGTGCGTGGCATGCGTGGAAAGCACACAGGAAGGAGAGCAGTAGCGCTGCGTCGCTCAGTGATCTGAAGAAGGGAAGCCCGCAGGCCAGGCTCCCGGGTGATTGGCACTGGGATGGGATCTGGGCCAGACGTGTGCAGAACGAGATCGAGGCTAGTAGCTCGGATGCAACGTTGTTCGGGAACGTGGCGCGAGGGGGCGTGGAAGAGATGGTAATTTTCCCTCCTTCTCCTTCAAGTGAATGATGTTATGGGTTTCAATCAGTTGCTGACTATGACCTGCAGATTAGGTTCTCGAGACTCGATGATACTACGTTAACCTCGATCAAGGAGATCATGATCCCGCGGACGGGCGAAGTGCGCGATTAATTCGATATACCCATCAATAAAAGTTCCCGGGGATTCCAGTTGATCTGATATACCTACCTAATACATAATTAAATTATGGTTTCAGCGGCAGCCAAACCACCATGACTCTCATCCGCGTGTCTGGTCATCAGTCAGGCGCGCCTGCCTAACTGTGACTTTCCTTCCAAGCAGAAGCCCCCCATCCTCCCACTACCATACACCCCACAGTCTCACACAAACATACTCCACTCCCAACCTTCCAAGCAACCTTACCCCCCATCTCCATCAATTCCAATTACCGTCCCGCATGATAAGCCAACATGTCTAATTGGTATTCACACTACAAGACCTCCGTCACCGTCATCCTCCTAGTCCTCGTCCCCATCGTCGTCATCTGCAGCATCCTCGCCGTAGCCCTGGCCTGCTCGGAGTTCTGGAGCTCGCGCCGTCACCACGTCACCTGGGTCTTCTGCGTCAAGCCGCACGATCGCAAGGGCAAGCGCAACTCACCGGTTGATCTCGAGCAGGGCAGGAATTCGCCGGTCTATCGCGCTCCGCCGGCGTATCAGCAGCCGCTGAGGAGGGCAGATCAGATGTAAACCGCTTTTCGGGCTGCTGGATGTTCAGGGGTGGAGTGGAGGCAAGGTCAGCAGGAGATAGGCGAGCAGAGCATGAGATTTGAGTTGCTCGTCGCCTTGGGATAGCGACTACATCTACGATATCGATATGGGATTTTGGTTCGGGAAAAAAACTGTCAATGAATGGATGCTTTGGGTGTTTGGATTCTTCATGATGCAAAGAGGACGAGTGGATGGTCAGCCTCCCAACGCGGAGGGATGTCTGGAAATACGAATCTTCGAGTCTTGTGTGTCAGCGGTTCTTTTGCACATGCGCTGTCTTCGATTATCGAGCAGATGCGATGCTACTGATGCAGCTGGTCATCGATGACCGGATGTCTGGATGCTGCGGGTTTGGAAACCCGGACGCGACAATTGGTTTCGGACTGTTTCAAACTTGAGGGTTGGACCACCTGACTAGTCTATATCCATGGAGAACGACATGTCTACAACCAGTGAAGAGAAATTGCGCCTGTCTGTCATAAACAACTGTTGATGGATATGCGCCTATCATGGATGATGCCTTTGGCTCCAAGCGGATCTCCCGGGACTTTGTACCTGTTCTCGATGATGGTCTATGGCCTTATACTTCCTGTTTCCGTCACACTGGTTTGGATTGCAGCTTGAACGTGCTTCGTATATCGCAGGAACAGCTCCAATATGAACAGCTTCAGCCTAGGTCTGGCCATACGCCAGTCTGCCATCCATTTTGGGCGCATGGACGAACCAAGCCCAGCATGCTATTCATACCAAGAGTAAGGTTGACTATTTATGTACCTAGAATTCAGCTTCATATCATTCCGACAGGAGTATTATCCCCTAATGATACATCATTGACATGGTATAGAAAATGAGTAAGCAGCATTTATTAACAGGGTATCATGTGCTATAGACATCCAATCCTACCTACTTATATCCCCTCCTTCGTCCTGTGGCATTTTGCCTTCTTCATATTTTCTTTCCCTACTCTTATCCTCTTCCCCCTTTTCATCTCTCTCATCGCTTGCCCCCATCTTATCGCCTTCCCCCTTTTCATCTTCCTCCCCCATCTCATCACCCTCCCCATTCTCATTGCTCTCCCCCTCGCCCTTCTCAGCTTCCTCCCCATTCCCATCCCCACTCTCATATCCTCCCCCATCCTCCTCAACAAAATCCCTCAACCTCGGCGCATCCCCATCCCCCTCCCCCTCCCCATTCCCATTTCGACCCCAAACCGGCTCCCCATCGCCATCAAACTCCGCCCATCTAAAAAACCCACACCCCTTCCTCCCGGGCACGAACCCCGCATAACACATCCACATATACCTGCCGCGATTCTCCCGGTTACTGGTGCGCTGCGCGCACCGCAGGATCGTATGCGCGCCGCACCGACACCGCGGCGTGTTCCGCGGGTGCAGCGAGCTGCGGTACCACCGGTACGTGATGTTTATGCGGCGGTTGCCGGATACAGGGTGCGGGGAGATGGTGGGGGTCGGGGGGATGGCGTGTTTCCATTGTTCCTGCATGGAGGCGTGCATTATGAGGAGGGTGTTGTGGGGGAGATGCAGGGATATTTGGCCTGAGGGGGTGGATGGGGGAGTTGAAGGAGAGGGGAGGTGTGAGGGTGAAGCTATCTCACCATCCTCGGGAACGATTCTCCTCACGCGGAATTCGCGTTCCACGCCGAGACTCAAACTGCCAATGACGGCCTGAGGACCGAGATAGGTCAATTCATCCGAGTGAAAGCCGACACTCTCCGCGGGGCCATCGTAGCAGTTCACGAACGCGGCGTTGGGCTTCCACTCCTTCGAACTCTGGTATCTGAGCCTCTCGCCAAAGGGGTAAGTATCGCGGATCCGCGCCCTGATGGCCTCGTTCACGGTGTCCTGCACCTTGGGCGCGATGGCGCGCATGAGCGGCGTGATTTGCCGCACGTTGGACCGGTACGTGCCCCCGTACGTGTATTCGGAGGTGTGCTGGCGGTATTCCTCCGGAGTGGAGACGTACACGCTCGCCGAGTGCGGGCTTTGCACCGTGCGGTCGAAGAGCTGGAACTTGTACCGCGAGAAGTGCGGCGACTCGTTGAGGAGTTCTACGAGGAGCGCGTTGGCTTGGGCGGAAGGGAGGAAGTTGTGGATCACGGTGCAGGGGGTGTGGAGCGCTATGTCGGTGGGGGAGTAGAGGTGGAGGGTTTGGCCTTTTTTTGTGAGAGTTCTTTTGGTGGTGGTGGGTGTGAGTGTGAGAGTGGGTGGTTGGATGTGGGTGGTTAGGGATGTTTGGATGGCTGGGGTCCCTGGTGTTGCGCGCTTCTTGTTCGGATGGGCTTGGACGGCGGTGTTTTGGGCCGTGATCGTGGACGAGGCGGTTTCAACACAGCCGCCGCTGGAAACAAGGATCTCCATGAGTGTTTCTAGGGCCATCTCGGGGAATAGTGACATCAGCAGGGCGAGCTTCATGTCCGTGGCGTCTTCGTCTGTTGGTGGTGGGGGTAGGGGCGAGGCCGGAGGGCTCCGGGGCCTCTTCCGTGAGATGAATCGATCCATGGAGAGGCATCCAGTTCGATCTGAGCCCTCAGGTGGATCTGGTGGAGAGTTGATGAAGGTTAAAGTTGAAGGAAACCGGCTGGCACAGAAGATAGACATGACACTAGTCTCGAAGCAGCTAGCAGCACGTGGTTGCTCTCGAAATGGCCAATCAGGTGGCTGCGCTGCCAACAACGCGCCTCGACTATCGAATGTGGAATTGTGGATCGATGCGGAACGGAGTACTAAAGAATGACAACCCCCGCAGCCAGTGTCTAGTCTAACTTGATGACTCTGAACTTTACATGCCCGACCCGTCGGCTCCGTTTGCAGAATGAGAATAAGCGGACGATCAGAGCTGTCAGCCTGGCTGACATATATATGTGGGCCTTAACCACACCTTCATGATGAATTCCAGTCTTGAAACTCTCGCCCTTTACGAAAGACGGATTTTCGTGATGATCATGATGCAGCACCACGAAAAGCGAGTTGAAGTGATCGTGGTGGGTACAGGTATGTCAGCTTACGATGTGTCTTTCACTCCCTTCTCAGGGACTGACCGCTCCCTCCGACCGAACAGGAATCGGTGGTCTTGCAGCAGCCAAGACGTATCTCGAGCTGGCACCACAGACAAATCTACTCTTGCTGGAGGAGGTATAGCTCCCACGGCCATTCCCCAGCATCGGAACTAATACCTGCTGGCCAGCGAGCGGCCCTAGGCGGCGTATGGGCCGATAACTGCTACGAAGGCCTCCACACCAACAATCTCTACGGCTCGTATGAGTTTGCGGATTTCCCACTCGACCAGACCAAGTACAACGTCAAAGAGAATACCCACGTCCCGGCTCATGCTCTCAGACAGTACTTCAGCGACTTTGCAGATCATTTCGATATTCGTCGCCGGATTCGATTCAGTACTCGAGTACACAGGGTTGAGAAGATCGACGGAGGCTGGAAGGTTAAGACTGAAGGGGTTGATGATCCTGGTCGCTCGATTGTATACACGTGCGACAAGCTCATCATTTCCACCGGGATTTCCTCGAGACCAAATGATGTCTCTATCCCAGGACAGGGTGTTTTCGGGAGACCCGTCATGAACCATTCCCGGCTGGGGACGGAGGGCACTTCCTTGGCGCACGACCCACGGGTCAAGTCTGTCACCGTGATCGGTGCATCAAAGTATGGACACGATGTCGTCTATATGATGGCCTCTCAAGGAAAGCATGTGGACTGGGTCATCCGTAAGTCCGGAGGGGGTGCCGTGTGGATGGGCACCGCATGGGTGCCGTTTGGATGTTGGCGGGCAAAGAGAGAGGCCTTGACGACCACACGGTTTGTCACCTGGTTCAGTCCCTGCATATGGGGATCTTTTGATGGCTTTGGGTGGCTGAGACGGTTGCTTCATGGGACGAGGCTAGGGAGGTGGCTGGTACACCTGTTCTGGGAGAAGATGAGCGCAGATGTCGTTGAAGCTAATGGTTACCGAAAGGAAGAGCCGTTGAAGCATCTGGAGCCGGATGAAAGGTAGGACAATATCAAGCACATTGAGATTCGAATGCTCACAAACCAACTTACAGCTTTTTTTGGACTGCTCGTGTCGGGATCCTCACGTACCCCACAGACATTTATGACTTTGTTCGCTCAGGGCAAGTGAGAGTACTAAGGAAAGACATCTCCCATCTCTCCGAGGGTGGTCAGGTACATTTCTCCGACGGAGAATCTCTGCAGACCGATGCCCTTGTCCAAATAACCGGCTGGAAGCTGGGCTCGTCGATAAAATACGAGCCAGAGGGAATGGATGCCAGCCTTGGGATCCCAAGCAGCAACCTCAGCCCGGGAGAAAGATGTCTTTGGAAAGAGTTAGACAGTGCTGCAGAGAGCGAGATCCTGAATCAATTCCCATATTTGCGCCAGCAACCAGCAGCGAAGGCCCCATACCAGCCGGGCCTGAGTCCCTTCCGGCTCTATCGCGGTATAGCACCGCCTGGACTGACTGCGCAGGGCGACAACTCTCTCGCATTCATGAAGATGGTCCACAGCCCGAGCAACCCCATTATAGCCGAAATCCAGGCCCTTTGGGTATACGCCTATCTCAACAACAAGGTCTCGATTGCTCGACAGACTGTGTTCCATGACACCGCGCTGCTCAGCCGATATGGCAAGCTCCGGTATCCATGCGGCTTCTCGTCGTGGTATCCGGAGATAGTCTTCGACTCGATTCCCTACGTTGACATGCTTCTAACGGATCTCGGGCTCAGAAAATGGAGGAAAGCAACCTGGACTCGGGAGGTTTTCGAGGGATATACTGTTCGTGATTATCAGGGGATCAACCAGGAGTGGGCCAGAGCACAAAAGGGGGTGAGGCTCCAATCTAACTGACAGGTTCGATGGCACCGAATGAATCGCATCAATTCACTGGCATAAGCCTGACCAGCCAGGCAACCCACCTCCCCTTTTCGGACACGCAACGGTGCATGTGGTCCTACAACCAGGTCTCCCATCACCCACCCGGCGCGAAGGCGTAGCGGACAACAGTCTGCCTTACCAGCAGGCTCCTTCAGCCGGGGTTTCGAAGCCGGTCTGGGGAGGAGATACTCGTGTCACCAGCGATGGATGAACACTCATTTCTCTGAACGAGGCTGGCCTAGAAACAAGAGGGTCCTTTTTTATTTAATTCCCAAAGCTGTAGTGTTTTTTTATATAAGAAAGGATCTCAATATATAGGAGAGACGAAGGGTCGTTCAAACGATCATTTGCTTCTCTTTGTGCTTTGTAGCTGAGGCTGTGGTGTTGCTATCCGGATGCGCCTTTGGATAGCGGATGTATGGGGGGCCGCACACCAACCATATCTTAACACCCACCGGCTACCGGGTGGAATGACGTAGATATATTCTATCCTACTTGCTCAAACAGCTAGAATATCATCCCAACATCACAGCTGTAAATCCAATTCTTTTCTGTATACGAGCCAGAGAGGATGTATATATAACCCACTTACCTGCTGCCTTACCCATAAGGCAGCACACCCTCCCTCCCCCCTTCCCGCTTTCCGCCTTATACCCCAGGCACTCCACAATTCCTTCCCGTTCGCGCCCCACACCACCCGTAGTGCCTCACCAACAAGGCACCAACCTTCCTCTTTCGGAACCGCAATTGGAGATATAGATTCACTCTTCGCCTTTCCCAACAACCCACCCAGGCGCCGTGGCGCAGCGGTAATCAGTCTTGTGCTGCAGCAGCTCGGTTAATGCGTGCTGAGCTCACACGGATGCTTAGGGATTGGAATCCGAGTGCGAGATTGAAGACGGAAGTCGTCTGAGGCCCGCCCCCCTATAGGGGAGTTGCTGATAAAGAGGTACCGTGAATTCGAGAAGCCTAACGGACTCGGACTGGGACTTTTTTGGCGGGTTGAATAAATGGCCTGTTTGTTTGTTTGGTAAGTTTTAGCTTGCTTGGTGGGATTGGTCGGGGGGTGTATTCTTTTTTGGGGAAGGGGCTGTGTTGCTCTATACAAACGCGATTTCTTCGAGGGGATGCGCAGGTTGTGGCAGATCCGTCGCACCACACACATCAAGACTTGTCGAATCTAACAAGATTGGAAGTTTTCTTGCGCATGCACTCTATCTACATAGTATGTGCTTAATAATGCTGTATATTTTATCTTTATCTTTCTTATGCCAATCCCCCTTAAGGTTTACATCGTCCATCCATATCTGAGGACAGATTTACCCAGCTTTTTACCCCGGAACAGCCAACCGTGGTAAACCTTCTACGTAGCCGATAGATGCTGCTAGATGTAATCGTAGGATAACCTTGATGATGTGTTCCATATATTCGTTATATCGGTTGGGTATGGGAGGGAGAAGGCCCTGGGGTATATATATATGAAAGCGAGTATATGGGTTTTGTTGACTTAATTGATTGTGGCAGCTTGTAAGCGGTGGTAGAGATAGCGTCATAGTCCAGATCCATCCTTAGTACTCTTCATTTAAACATGTACTGGAATAGATCACCCGATATCAACAAAAGCCCTGCAGGAGCAGTCCTGCACCAGAAACACCATACCCAAGTCCGACAACCCGCCCATAAACCCCCATTTTACATCCCACCAACACCCCCATGCACCCAGCCCAATGCAAGAACCCAAAATTCCGACAGATCAACTCCACTGCCCGTTTCCAGTATACAACATATCGGGCCTATGATATCTCTTCAACCCACTCGCATCCCTCAACCCATCCATCACCTCCACCACAGCCGACAAAGCCACTCTCGTCCAGCCAGGGTACTCATGATCCGCGGGATTCGAGTCGCGTCTTCTCCGATCCGGGAAGTTCTCCTCCACCAGGATCACCGGACAGCCTGCATACGCATCTCCATCGTCCTCGATCGCCACCCTGCGCTTCACCTCCTCCACGGCCTGCAAAACCCCGTTATCAACAATGAGACATATCCTCAACCGCACCGGCAACTCGATCGACGGCAATGACAGATCCGCCCGCTTCCAATTGTGGAACGCCCCCCGGATATACTCCACATCAGCGCCGGAGTACTGCGTCTCGATGCTGAAGACCTTGGCCGAGTAGGTTGTCTCCAGCAGACGGAGGTGCTTGCGCGCACCGGGCAGACATCGCGGAATCGCTTTTTGGATCTCCGTGTTCAGCGCCCGGAGGAACAGGTGCACGAGGTGAGGCGACGACGACGTGTAGCTGGTCAGGTAGATGATCGGGCCCCAGGTGAGGGTCAGGAAATCGCGTTCCGGGCTGGGAGGGAGAGAGCGCAGGCCGGGCTGCGACCCCGTTTTGTAGATCTCGGTGGCGAGGAATTGCCAGGCTGGGGTGGTGTCTTGGTCTGATGCGCCGGAGCGCACTGTGCTTTTGGTGTCGGCGGACAGCATGGTGAGCTAGCTTAGTAGCTAAGCTAAGCTAGCTAGCTGTGTGAGACAGACATCTTGTCGCGACGGACCGGGTTACTGATTGATAGCGACGGGACTCGGAGACTTGGCGATGGCGTCACCGTGACATGCTTGACCTCCGGGAAGGGGTCTTTGTTGACATTGTGATACGAGATGCGAAGCATCAAAGAATTACTACTGATCGGGCTATCGATGCAGCATGTTTCAATCCAGTCAACGTCGACAGTTGTAAAGAGAGAAAAGCGCCGGCGATGTGGAGGACGCCCGCGAGGACGCCGATCTGCACGAGCGTGACAGCCAATCAACCCCCGAACCTCGGCACTTTGGCTGTCTCGCTCTCCCCGCACCGCAATTCATCAACGATCCGTCTTTCTCTCCTTCTCCAACCCTCCTGCCATGACATGATACACCTGTCCAACCACCCCCCCCCCCCCCCTCTTCCCTCTCGATAAAATATAATAAAATAAAATGCTTCACTTCCGCACCGAAGGCTACAACGGCAGCGCGGTCAAATACTCGCCCTTCTTCGACAACCGGCTAGCCGTCGCCTCATCCGCCAATTTCGGCCTGGTCGGCAATGGACGTCTCTACATCCTGGAACTGACGCCGAACGGCATCGTGCCCATGAAATGGTACCTCCCCTCTCCCCATCACCTCTTCATAAAACAGAACCAAACTGACAAACCAGGTTCACCACCCAAGACTCCCTCTACGACCTCGCATGGTCCGAGATCAACGAGAACCAAGTGCTCGCGGCCTCCGGCGACGGCAGTATCAAGCTGTTCGACAGCGGGGTGAACGAGTTCCCGGTGCAAAACTGGAAAGAACACAACCGCGAAGTGTTCAGCGTGCACTGGAACCTGGTGGCCAAGGACCGGTTCTGCTCGAGTAGCTGGGACGGCACCGTTCGCGTGTGGTCCCCGCACCGGCCGCACTCGCTGCTCACGCTCCCCACCCACAGCTGCACCTACGCGGCGTCGTTCTCGCCGCACTCGCCCGATATCCTCTCCTGCGTCACCTCCGATTCCTACCTGCGGCTGTTCGATCTCCGCACCCCTGCCTCCGCGTCGAATCACCTCACCCTGCAGATTCCCATCCATGCCGCCCCGCCGCCGCTTCCCGGCGTTGGTGCTGCCGCAGGTGTGCCGCACACCGTCTCGCCGCCTTCGGAGGCCCTCACCATGGACTGGAACAAGTATCGCCCCTCGACGATAGCCACTGCCGGCGTCGATCGGACCATTCGCACCTTCGACATCCGAGCCCCGCATCAGGGCCCGCAGGCCGTCATGCTGGGTCATGAATACGCCGTGAGGAAGTTGTCCTGGTCGCCGCATCTGTCGAATGTCTTGCTCAGTGCCAGTTACGATATGACATGTCGCGCGTGGAGCGATCAGTCTGCGCCCGGCGCTATCGGGGACGTGGATCTCATGCGCGCCGGCCCCGGGCCGAATATGGGCGTCGAGCTGGGTCGCATGGGTCAGCATACCGAGTTTGTGACCGGCGTGGATTGGTGCATGTTTGGCAGCGAGGGGTGGTGTGCGAGTGTGGGCTGGGATGAGAATTTGTATGTCTGGGATGTGAGGGCGTTGATGGGGTAGATTGGACTTTTACTGTTTGTTCTGTGGCTTGGCTTTGCTTTTCCTTTTCCTTTTTTTTTCTTCTTTTTTTCTTGTATTGGATATTATATTAGACTGCATGATACCATTGCTTGATGCATCGTTATGATTATTTGATGCTTGCCGGGGTTCCGAGGCATCTGGTGATATTTCTTTCTTTCTTCGTTTTTTTTTGTCTATGTATAACCAGTTCTTAAACTTCAACCAAGCCAGTCTATCATAATTTCATGGGACCCGATCGACCGTCAAGTCCCGGGCTCGAGGTACAAGAATCGACATATTGATGTCCCTGGACCACTCTATATAACCTATACCGTGACTTTCATCGCAGTTTCCACCCATTTTCCAAGCCCAATCCTCCCAGATATCATCATCATGATCATGAGCATCAATCTATCACATCACATCCCATCCCATCAGTGGGCTCACAGAAATAAAAAAAAAAACAAAACCAAAAACCCGGGTATATAATCCCCCCCCACCCCCAACCCCCAAACCACTTTCCAAAAATAAACAAATCATTTCGCCAACCTCGCCTCCATCTTCCTCCTCTCCGCATCCCTCACCCCCGCAATCTCCTCCCGACTCGCATCAAACGCCACATGCACCTGATTGAACGGATTCTCCTCACTCTTCTCGAACTCCTTCCGCACGAGCTCGATGCGCTGCTGTCTACGCAGGCCGGGATTCTCCGTCTCGATCTCGGGCAGCCTCCGGGCCTCGAACGCCGCATACGCCGCCTTGAACCGTCTCTCGGGGTGTCGGTCGACCTTGCTCGCGTCCTTCGAGCCCGTCAGCGACAGCGCGTCCAGGGCGTTGTCGATTCCGGACGCGTTCAGCGCCGTCGCCTTGCGCGACGCCGGCGTCGAGTCGTCCAGCTGGCTCAGGTCCAGCGTGCCCCGGCTGGGTCCGGCGTTCTTCTTCGCCGCGGATTTCGCCCCGCTGTTCTTGGGTTTCGAGGGCTGGGAGGCTTCTTCGGCGGCGAGCATCGCGTCGCGTTCGGCTTTCTTGCGTGCCGCATCGGCCTTTTTGGATTCGGCGTCTTCTCTGTTTTGGGGAGGGGGTTAGGGGGTGGGGTTGCTTTGGAGGGGGTGGTGGGGTGGGGGTTTGGGATGGGTGGGATGGGTGAAAAGAGGGTAGAGGGTAGAGGGTAGCGGAGGGCAGGGAAGAACCTACTTCTTAGCATTACTCTTCGAGCCCTTGGCCCATTGCTTATCCTCCTCGGCAGCGCGCTTAGAATCCTCCGCGGCCTTCTTGGAGGCAGCGGCGTCGGCCTTCTGTATTTTTTGGGAAGATGGTTTGTTAGTCGCGGGGGCGGGGTAATCGGGATTTATTCGTATGAGGAATGACGTACGCGGGCCTGGCCAGCTGCCTTCTTGGAGTTCTCGCCGGCGGCTTTCTTGCCTCCCATTTTATGTGGTATGATAGAGATGAGATGAGAGGGGATGGGAGAGAGGGAGAGAGGGGAGAGAGAGTGTGTGAGCAAAAGACAGAGGGGGGGAATAAAGTGGAAAGAAGAGGAAGAGAAGGAAATGGAAGAAGGCGAGGCGGCAAAGGATGTCATCCTATGGCGGGAGGTGCTGGGCCGGCGGTGGAGCGATGACTAAGAGGATCCATTTACTTCCATTTACGGTTGAAGCCCTGTTTGTTTTATATGTATTGAGTATCTATCTAGCCAGGAAATATGAGAGGGAAGGAGAATAGTAATAACTAATAATTACGTGTGTAAAAGTGTAAGTGAGTGAAGAATGTGTTTCTCAGAAACTGCTGTTTTTGGTATTTTGAACTTTCCAGTAAGATATATTAAGTACAGACATCATGTCGTGTTGTGTCAGGTGACGGACGGACGGTGTATTCATTCAACCCAACCCCTTCACGTCCTCCCTTTCTCAGTTCTCAGTTCTCAGTTCTCACTTTTTTTCTGGGACCCTCTGACTTGTCTCGCCTCCCCTGTCAGGCTGTCAGTGTCAACCAGTTCTCTTTCTTCTTATTCTTACCCATATCCCTATCCGTTTCTCGAGTCGTGTTCTGTCGCTTGGGACAATTTGATATCGTGACTGGCCATACCGATCGAAAGGGGGAAAAAAGAAGTAAAAGCAAACTTTGAAAAAAAAAAAAAAGAAGAGATAAAAAAAAGGCCAAGCAGAACAAGAGAGAAGAAAAGCCACCACCTCACCCCAAGTCCAACTACAATCTCATCTCCCAAGTCCCCTTCTCCCACATCTTGATTCCCGAGATATCCTCGATCTTCAGATTGACGCGCGTGTTGACCTCAATGCCGATCATGATCCCGACGTCCTCCTCCCCCTCCGCCATGCTGAAGGCCGTGTTGGCGGGGAGGTAGTCGGTCAGGGTCGGACTGCCGATCGCGGCCTCCTCGACATCGAGCACGTCCGCGTCGGCGAGATGGGCCACCCGTCCCTTGATCTGGATGGCGGAGTTGGCAACCGGTCCGTACATGATATAGCACATGGCCACGTACTCGATGCGGAGGTGCGAGAAGTGCAGGATGCTGTCGACCAGGCTGGACTGCACCTCGCGCAGCATGCTCGAGCACATGTCGGCGCGGTGCCAGAAGAGTTGCAGCGCTACCAGGGAGGTCATGCCGCCGATCTGCTGGATGATGTAGTGCTGGCAAGGGTGAAGGTGAGATTGTGGTGACTGTGAGGGTTGGGAGATCGGAGACTTACAAGACTGTTCGTGCAGATGGGAAGACCCAACTCGATCAGACTGGTTCCGTGGTGGGTGATCAGCTGGACGCTTCGCGCATCGGCGGCCCAGTTGTTGGTGTCGTCGTTACGGATAACCAGGCGACGGAGGTGGTGGATGTGTCTGGCCAGGATGTCTTTTCGGATGCTGACGATCGTGATGGTCGATTTGGCCGCCAGGGACTCGACCTTAGAGGAGCTGCTGCGCTCGAACAGGAACAGTTCGGTGATCCTTTCCATGCTGCCGACGAAAGACATGAACGCGGGCGTGACGTTGTCCGTGTGGATGGATGTCAGCTGCAGGGTACGCATCTGGTTGAAGCGCTTCAGCAGAACCCACAGGTGGCCTTGCGGGCCGACGTTGAGCAGGGACAGGTGTCGTAGGGCGAACATGTCCACCGCGTGGCTGAGCACGATGGGAGTCACCGGGATGAGGTGGATCGACAGCCGCTCCAGCGGGATACCATGAGTATTCTGGATGTACTCCTCGAGGGTCTTGTCGAACGAAGGCCCGGGCTCCTTAGCCAGACCACCGCGGACTGGCTGCTTCCCTTTGACGTCTTTGGGGATCTGCAGCTTGCCTAGTTCTGCGGTGGCCTGCATCGGTTTCTTACCCTTGCAGTCCTCCACCGGATGATAAACCTCCGCATCGTCGTCCAGAAACTCCTGGTCCTCCCCTTCACTCTCGATGACATCAGGATACTCCATGTCGATGAAATCCGTCGGATCCGACTCTTTCTGCTTGACGCTCGGAGCAACGAAAGGGTGCAGTTTGCTGCTGCTGGCCAGAGTAGGCTGAGGCGGAGCGTTGAAGTCAGGAACCGATTTGTTCTCCAGCGCCGCGTCAGACAGTGAGGTCTTCTTGTGCTGAGGATGCCGTCCAAGGTACTGGCTCGTCGCCTTATCCAGCTTGGTCAGCACCTGGAGAATGCTCGTGCTTTCGGAGTTGACGACCATCATTCTCGGCAGGATGCGCGACAGAGAGCGCAGAGAGCGGACGAACTTGCGGTCCTGCACCTCCTCGGGCATGGGAGTGTACTGCGTGTACGTGCCTTGGAACTCGCTCTCCAGAGCCTTCTCCAACCCCATGTCCTTACGACTCGAATCGCACACCTTGAAGATATACGACAGAACCAACTCCTGAATGAGTCGTTCGCGACGGATAATCGGATCGGGGGGGAGGGGAGGGTTCGCGGGCGCCACCGGGGACAACAGCTGCTCCAGGGTAGTGTTTGAGAGCTGGCCGTTCATCATGAACCCTTCTTGCGCGGAGAGTTCAACGTGGGCGGTGTTGCCCAGGGTTCTCTTGCGGGATCTCTTCGCCAGCTCGTCCGAGAACGACAGCTCCAGCGACTTCAGCGTCGACGAGCACTGCGAGATGCACTGCGAGAGCTCCAGCAAGACTTTCAGGTCCTCGATTTCCAGCACCGCGAGACTCTTCAGTCCAGAGAACCGCGACAGCGTCTGCGTGTTGCGCGCCTGCCCGAGTTCTCGCAGGATCTGAGCCTCCACGGTGGGGGAGATGTTCTGAGACAGCGGAGTGGGCAGGTTGTTCTCGCTGAAGTGGTAATGCGCTGCCCGCAGCATCTTCCCGATCACGAGCTCTGCAGATGCGACTCGCTGACGCACCGGAAGACGAAGACGAACGTTCGTCAGCTCAGGAATCTTGCCGAGCGCCCTGAACACGGAGGGAGTGAGCTCGAGACGGATGTCCCAGCTAGAATGGGTGAGCAACGACCAAACCAACCGGAACAAACAAAAGGAGAAAGAAAGAAAGAAAGAAAGAAAACTCACTCAAATCTTCTCAACCCCCCCGTCCTACTAAGTGTGATCGCCACCAAAGCGCCCAAAAACCTGCCCGTCTCAGACGTCTGCTCCGGCTTCTTGCTCAAAACGGGCTGTTTGTCCGACTCGAAACGCGGGATCTGCTTGACCGCGAGCGTCTTGATCAGGTCCCCGTACTTCTGGTTGCTGCTGTTCACGGCCTCCATCATGCCGGTGAAGCGGGCCAGAGAGCGCTGGGTCAGGATGGGGTCGTCGTGGTGGATGACGTGGAAGAGACTCTCGTACATCACGGCGGTCGCGAGGCCATGGAACTTCTTGCAGACACTGGAGAGGTTGTAGAGGCTGCGTTCGCCGGTCTGGGAATGGTTAATGAGGTGAGATGAGATGAGGTGAGGTGAGGTGAGGGTTTTTTTTTGTGAAGCATCGAACAAGGAGCAAGGAGCAGCGGGGCTAACTTACAATCTCAAAGATAGTCACCAGGATTTCAGAGGGGAGGCCAGCGAGACCGGGCTTGGATATCTTGGTTTCGCGCTGGGGGTTGGCATTGGGTTCGGGGTTGGGATTGAGGTTGGCATTGATATTGGCGTCCATCATGACCGCGCTTTCTCACTTGAGATCTCACAGACCGCGGCGACAAGATCAGGATAATAGCGGTTACGCAAGATAGTGAAGATCCAAGCAGCACTTCACACTATCTATCCGATAGATATACCGCACGTTGCCTTGGTATCAATTGTCGAAGCAGATATAACGCGTGGAAACAAAAGAAGATAGATTGATAGTAGAGGAGACAAAATAAATAACAAAGAGGAGGAAGAAGAAGAGGAAGAAGAAGAGAGAAACAGAAGAAGTACTTCCTCGTACCAGCGGATTTCAGCTCAATCCATTCACTGGGGGTTCCCGAATTGGGATTGGCGCGAGGTCTACTTATCTTCCAGTTTGAGTGAGTGTACTCTAGAGATGCCATTCACTGATTTGGAACTTGATTGTATGTACAGTATGTTTGGAATTACTTACTTGCTTACTTACTTACTTGCTTACTTACTTACTTGCTTGCTTTGTGTGTATGTATGTATGTCACTGTAAATAGATATTCACGGCTGCATGGAGAATCCAGGATGTTGATATTATATTCTATTATATTCTATTATGATTATACACAGAATAAAACCCCGACCCGACTGACGATATACAACACAACCCCCCCCCCCTTAAACCCCCCCGCCTAACCCAACATACCAGCCACCCTATACACTCCACCTGACAGATCAAAAAGACCACTCGGCTAAAAAGGTGTCCAGACAGGTACGGTGGTACCTAAGTAGACGTAATACTGAATGATGATACTGGGTTTGACATCACCGGCCACTCATCCACCCCATCCAAGACCGCAATGGCCAACCCCCCCGAATGATGCATCTGAATATGACAATGCAGCAACCAAGGCCCCGGATTCTGGACGAAATACCTTATAGCCAACCAAGCGGGACCATCCACGGACGCCGGCGAAACAGCCGTGTCGCGCAGGGGCGGATTCACCAGGTTGAACCGCTCGGGGATAGACCGCATCGCGTCTGCGACGGACGCCCAGACGAAGGGCTCGGTCCCGGAGCCGATGACGAAGTACTTGTTGGAGTGCTTGTGGAAGGGGTGTTGCGGCTGGCCGGCGGTGGTGATGTTGATGATGATGTCGACCCAGGTGGAGTTGAGGGTCGTGAGGGCGTATTGCGCGGGGATGGCGCTGAGGTTGAAGAGCTCGGGGGGACTGAGAAGGTCGTTGTTGGGCGAGTAGCTCGTGTTGCCGAGGGTCCAGGTGTAGGAGGTGTTGATGGTGGCGACGTTGAGGATGTGGGTTTGGGTGGTGTCGGGGGAGGGGGTGAGGATGGGAAAGGGGATGATGGCGCTGTCGTTTAGGAAGGTGGTTGTTGCGGTGGCGTTGAGGGCGGATGGGGTGATGTAGGGTTGGGAGGAGGAGGAGGAGGCCTTGGAGGAGGTGTTGTATGAAAGAAGGGCAGTCCCGTTGATGAGCTGGTTGGCGTACGAATTGGCCGCGCGGATGGTATATTCTGTTGTATCTTCTGCAGCCAGAGGATCCGACTTCAGCTTCACCAGCACCGAGTACCGCGCCCCGATGGGCACGGTGATTGCCTCGACAAGAACCGGCTCGACGTAGCGGCCATCCACGGCGTAGACATACATCGGGTGCTCGTCGATCGAGAAGACCAGCGCCGTGGACCCGGCCATGCTGATGAGGTCGAAGCTGGCATATCGCGACGCAGCCTCGACATGGAAGACTTCCGTGGGGCCTTCGCTCGGCGTGCAGCCCTCGTAGTAGCCCCGGGGCGCTTGGCTGAGGTCGAGCGCATACGCCCCCACGAAGGATGCCGTGGGCGGCATGCATCTGTGGACTCCCCGGTTAGCATGCATTGACAACAAACCCCTGGATGATATGATTGATTGATATTCAGGATATTCCTCTCACCCCATATCCGTCAACTCTCCCCCCTCCAAAAACCCCCTCTGCGCGTCGGTCGTCAGCGCCTGAATCGTCTCCCGAGACGGACACACCACCGAGCCCTTGCCATTGATCAACACCGAACTGGCACAGTAGCCGTTCAGCCCGGACGCCATCTCGATCTGCAGGAACTCCTCCGACGTGAACGCCCGCCAATCCGTCAGCATGATGGGTTGCGTCTTCTTCTCCGCGTCCCGCATGGCCTGTAGCTCGTGGCTCTGAGCTTGATTCGTAGCAATGAGATGAAACGGCCGCTCGACCGACTCCCGAGGCTCGATGTAGATGGGTCCGTACAGCCCGTCATCGATCTGAGCCCGCGTGTGTGCGTGGTAGATGTACGCGCCGTAGTCGGAGGCCGTCCACTTGTAGAGGAACTGATCGCCCGGCTGGATCTCCGTCTGCGAGAGGCCGGGGACGCCGTCGGACCAGGGGGTGTTTTGTTGTTGGATGCCTAGATTAGATGATATTTGTTAGTATAGCACTCTTACTTCCTTCCTTCCTTGGAGGGTATAATATAATAGCGAAACAGGATAGGAAAAAAGAGGGGAGACAACAAACCATGAAAATGCACCGTCGTCCCAAACGGCAACGAATTATTCACCAAGAACTCAACCTCATCGTCCTGCTTCAGTCGCAACGCGGGGCCCGGAAGCTGTCCATTGCTCAGGATGGCCTTTCGCACGGCCCCGGCCACTTCCACGTCTTCCCATGTGAGGTCCAGTTCGAACTGGACGACTCGGCTGGATGCCCAGGGGATGAGGAGAGAGAGGGATAACAGGAACAGGGCCAGCCTGTTTCTGGGGGGGAGGATCATATTGTTGGAAGTTGGAAATTGCAACCAGGAGAATATGATAAGGGAAGATGGGAAATTTATACAAGAAGGAAAGATACACCAGATATCAGGTCAAGGGGGGTATGTACAGGACCTTTCCAGATGCTGGGGTTTCATTCTAGCGTCTACATTGGGGGGGTTTTATACCGCTAGACACAATTGAACCGAGGCTATCGGTGACGACGACAGCAATGACGATGGCAACGATGGCGGGCACGGCTGAGGACAAGAAAGAACGAAAGAAAGACAGAAAGAAGAAAAGGCAAGGGATACAAGACCCATTCGATGCGGCGACAACATCGGGCGATTCCATAGTACCTACTATAGATACTATAACTAGTTCATGGGTCAGAGAACCGGATCTATCATATTCCTGTGCAGAAGATTCGGCATTACTTTTGATATCCGTGTAAATCCCTCGCATCTTGCAGGAACGGGCAACGAACTTTAACTTGCCTTCTTAGTACGGGGAAGAGCACGGCAGCAGCAGCATGCATGAAGCATACCGATAGGTAGGTAGGTAGGTAGGTAGGTAGGTAGGTATAAGAGGGGTGACAGACATGTACCTCCTACTTACCTCACCTATAGGCGATTTAGAGCACGGAGACGGGTCAGGTGCCCTGCATTTTTTCATCGATCTTGGAGACAGCTTTTCGTACGGGCTTGCATTCATGTTGGGGTTGAGCTGGAAGATAGGATAGTCGGTGAGAGTGTAAGAAAGAAAGAAAGAATGGAATGGGGAGGAGATCGACGGGGCAGGATGATTTATCGAATCTTATTCAGTGAGTCCGAGTCCGAAAGTGTCTGTGTCTGTGTCCGGTGGTAGGTAGATAGGTGCTGTGACTTGTCATGTCATTATCACTCGTGAGATTTTGGGTTGGAATCAAACTGGATACCTAGTAGTTTATGGACATATCAAGAGGAAGAATAAATAAGGCTATATCAATATAGAATTGGGTTGGTGGTAGATAAGTACACAGGCTGAAAAAGAAAATAAAAATAAAAAACACAACACGACAAGAATACACGCGCGAAAAGCACAACCGCAACAAAACCAAACCAAACCAAAAAAAAAAAAAAAAAAAAAAAGCAAGCTGGTCAGATAATCGTCTCATGTCTGTCGTATCGTAATTCGAACTCGTCGCAAAATTATAGCTCGTGTTCACTCATGTATGTCGTTCATTGTTCATTGGCCCATATCATCATGATCATGGCTTGTGCCTAGGACGTCCACTGCAACCGCAACTGCCGGGCTGACTGGTTCGACGAGGACCAGGCGCTCCAGTGGATCTTCCATCTTGATGATATCTGTGACTGGTGGTTCCGTCGGACTCAGAGGAGTCTGGGGTTCAGCTGCCGCTAGGAGGCCTTCTACTGGAGCAGGAGAGCTTATGCCGGGTGCAGGGGGTGGTGGAGATGGTGGTAGCTTCGGGGGGTCGTGCGTCTCCATTGCCGTCTCCGTGTGGGGGAGGTCCTCATCCTCATGCTCATGCTTCTCCTCGACCTCATCCTCATCCTCGTGATCGACCTCAACCGCCAGAGTCGACGGGGTCGGGGAGCTGACTCTGACCGATCTTGAAACCGGAACCGATGGACGACCATCCTCGGATTCAGAAGCCGATGCACGCACCTCGGCGACACGCGCAGTTTCAACAGTGTCAGCAGTTTCCACACTCGCCACCACACAACTAGCAGGCATATTCCAGCCCGTAGAAGAAGCAGAAGAAGGCTGCACCATCGACACCCCCGCTCCCGACGAAGTCCCAGAAACCGAGGCCGGTTCCAGAATATCACTGGGAAACGGCCTCAGGGCCGACTGATTGGTCTGGGGCCCAGAATGGACGGCCAGGAACAGGACCAAGGTACTAAGAATAGCGATGGCGACGTTGCGTCGGTCGCTGGCCAGCACCCGGATATAGTTCACCAGCAAGGTCTGCAGGTCGATGTCCTCGCTCGACCGCGGGACGTAGATAGGTTCAGCTTCGGGCTGGCGTCGCTCCTTCGGTGGTGTCTCCTTTTCAGGAACCGGTGAAGAGGATGATGGTGGTGGTGGTGCTTTGCCTTCGATCTGCTCGGGGGTGAAAATGGGATGTGGATGTGGTGGCGCTTCAGTTGTGGGAGTCGGTGTGCACGCCTGCAGAGAACGGGACTGGGGATGGACCGCCATGTCGCTGTCGTTCTCGTTCTCGTTCTCGTTCTCTGGTGCCTGCAGCCGCGGCACCTGCAGTCGCTGCTCCAGTCGTTTCTCGAAATGATGCATTTCATCCTCCAGCAGCCGCTTCTCCAGCTCCCGTCTGATCTCCGACGGAAGCCACAGACTGACTTCGACATCCACCTTCTCCATCTCCTTCCAGGCGGCCGCCCACGCCCCGGCCCTCATCAGCCCATTCGCCGCGAATACCCTAATCTCCCATTTCCGGCCCGCGTTGTTATGCGGAACCACCCGTCCGCCGCAGTCCAGACACTCCTCGCCTTCCTCCTCGTCCGTTGCGCTCTCCTCTCTCTCCCTCACGCATAAACCTTCGCAGTCATTCTCGTCCCGTCCCAGAAAATGCCCATGATCCAGCCGCGGGCGCTGCAGCTCCAAGCTCTCCAGAAGCCGCTCCTCCAGCAAATCATACAGATCTTCCGGATGAGATATAAGAACCCCCCGCTCGCGCAGCACCCCAGACCCGATCTTCTCTTCTAGTAGCTTCCACCGTCTCCAGTATTCCGACGGCAGGACGTCTTTCAACACCTTCTGGTTGATATATCCCATCGCTGTGGGGACGGGCAGCGACGGCGGAAGCAGATTACAGTGTAGCAGAACGAGCGGATACTCCTTCTTGACCTTCTGTTTTGTCGCGGACCCGGTGGGCGAATAGAACTGGGATTTCCGGAACGGGGAGGAACCTGTAGACCGCATCGACACATCTGAGAAGCGCTGCCCGCTGCGACGCTTGGGGGGAGTCAGAAACTCGTCATCGCCTTCATCTTCCGTGTGCATCTGCATCGCTTTCACTGAGCTGGGCTTCCGGAAGATGGATTCCCGCTGCCGGATCGCGGGGAGGGTGCGTAGCTGTCCTTCCATGTTGGGATTTACCCCGCGGTCGTGATCGTCCCATGGACGCGAAAGCATGTGGTCTTGTATATCCGCCAACTTTGTTCCGTCCGCCATGTTCGTCAGAACCGAGGCCGGGATCGAAGACACCGAGGAGCGGCTGGAAGCTCGGGAGCTCACGCGGCCGAGGTCTTCATCCAGATCGCCGCCGCTCAGGATATCGCTCGAGTGTTTCGCCGAGGACCCCGAGGAGTTGTAGCCGCAGTCTTGAGCTAGCATCGGTGTGTCTTCGTGGAAACGGTCGGGGTCGTCATGATACTCGTATCGCGGCTCGATTTCTAGGTTCAGGTTCGTAGATCTCGGAGAAGTGGGCGATTGCTCGTAGGCAGAGCCTGGAGAGACGCTGCGTTCCTCTCCTGTAGTAAAGTCCGCATCATCAGTAAACTGGGAGTTATGAGGATGGTCGTCCATGGAGGTTGGTCCCCGGAGGGGGCTTGCCAAAAAGAAAAGTATATATGATGTCAAAGGAAACGGTTTCCCACAGCTAATCAGAGCACCCCGGGAGTGGGCTACAACGCGATCTGGTGGGTTTCAGGAATGTTCTGGGCTTGGATTGACCACACTAGCAGGCGATGAGAATGCACACCAGCGCGCATACCATCCGCTTGTCAGGAGAGAACAAAGATGCTGGCGATGGTGAATGCTTTGTTGGCGGCGGTTCACCGCCCGGGTTGTGCCGGGCAACGGGTCGCGCCGCATCCCTGCCGCCCCCTCGCGCATGGGCTGATCCGTTCGATCGATCCTGATCCACAGTGGACTCGCAGTGATCAGTGGTAATCAAACAGCTGGAACGGGTAGATAGAACCAACCATGGCACAGGCCAATTCTTTCAAAGTACAAGTACATCAGTCATTAAGGGATATTTGATCACGATCACGCTCACACGCATTGAAATTGCAGACCGCCTCCTATGATGCAAGAACCCAGGAACAAAGACAAACAGGAACAATCATGCTAATGCAACACCCCCAGGGACATTAAGGAATACGCAAATAATCATGGAACTGGGGCCTCTCTACTTTCCATCGCGGTATAGTGACCGGTGCCCCCGGGCGCTAGAAATGCCTCCAACCTAATCATAATGAACAAGGACCGCCGAGCGGTCAAGTGAAGTCCACACAGCCAGACATTTCAATGAGGAGCCTGGGCTGCATCATCATCGGGACTCATCAACGGGTAGTTCTGGTGTTCCCCAAAGTAGTTGAGAACATCCTGTGGCAGGTACTCCAGCCATGGAAGTATTTCGCCGCTGAACGCAAACGGAAGCTGGTCCTGTTGTTGGAGAGTAGCCATGTCGATGTCTTGACTCTCGATAAACACGTCATTGGAGTGGATATCAACACCAGGATGAAGACCTGGGGTCCTCGGGCCCATATGACTGCCGTTGGGCTGGAGCTCGCTCGCGGCGGGTAGGCTGTAGTTGAAACCCGGGGCCTGAGGTTCGAGCCTGGTCGACGAAGCAAGGTTCTGGGCGTAAGGAGGTCGATGGTTTTGTGGACGGGTGCTAGGATTTGAGAACGATGTGTTCAAGCCAAGGAGCAGGTTTGCATCAGAAGCTGTGACCTGTCCGGCGGTCGCGAGGGGCGAAAACCTTCCAGAGCCAGGTGCCATTGACGCACTGGGCGTTGCCTCCGCGGTCCTAGACGGATCCAGCGACTGTGGGTAAGAGTGTGAGTCCTGCCCCCCGCTGGAGTGCACCGGGAGGTTGGGATAGCTATGGCTATACTGGGATGAGTATGTTGGCTTGTCCGACACGGACTCCGGCTGGGCAGGCATTTGATACAGCAGACTCAGGTTGGGTTGAGACGAGTTTGTCGCACCAGTCAAAGCCCAACCAATAGCTTGGAAAGAGATGAGCCCATGCTTGTGACCGCGATGGCAGAGAAACTTACCTTGTCCCGTATCAATCTTGGGCGACCGCTTCCCATCCAATGAAGCATCTACGCCCGCCGCATCGTCTTCCTCGGAGACCACCCCTGCAGACGCCTTGGTGGCACTCCACTGTGACGCAGTGTAGTGTTGAACCGGAGGCACATCGGCTGCGTTCTCCATTTCTTCCACGGTATATAGGAGGGGATCGACGATCCCCTTGGCCTTTTGATCTAGAACCGTAAGAATATACCGTGAACCTTCCCAGTAAGTCTCAAGCGCCTTCAAAGCTTTGTAGCACCGCTGGTAGTTCTCCTTTGCTGCAGATGCCAGGAGAATATGTTTAGCGGTAGGCTTCCGCTCCGCTCCGTTCGACGGATCCATGTTCGGCATCACAAAACCGCTCGTTTGGTTTGTTAGTAACGCCTGGGTGGGGGGCGAGCCAGATCTGGAAGAAGGCGAAGAGTAGTAGGCGCTCTCCATGAGAAAGGCGCACGCCGCAATGTACATCGGCTGGCTTGTAAACGGATTACCAATGAAACTCTTCCCGTCCACGAGCTCTGAAAATGATAAGATATCGGCGATAGTTTTGGCCGAGGACATGGATAGTTCGCGGCTGTTCGGATAGAGATGCTGGATGGTTCCACCGAACGAATTGAGGAGCGTGGGCTGGTGGAGTAGAACGATCAAGGTATGGAACCACTGCATTGTATTAGTGCCAAGATTAAACAGGTGATAGCTGAGTTGACTTACAAAATGGAGCAGGATGAAATTCGTCCCTTCCTTTGCCTTGACGTACGCCTGGAAGTTCGCCGCATTGAAATGCAGTCTAGGGGATAGACGCTGATAGATACCTGGAACCGGCCACGGTTAGACCCGCCGGTCAAAGATGCTCTGGGGAATTACCTGTCAAGTCGCTCTCCATGCCAGCCAACCTCTTCAAAGTTTCTGTTGTTACATGATTGACGTCTTGAATCCCGTTGATCAGATCCGTCACTCGGCCGTAGAGGTGGATTATGCGGATGAGCGGAGGAAACGGCGCTGGCCAGCCATTGGGCAATCGGGATTCCGACTGAAGCGGAAAGCAGACTTCAATATCCTCGTCACGCAGGGTCACGGGTCTTCCGGTGCCGGAAGATATCACCCGGTCTAGGAAGAAGATACTCCAGAAGGTATCCACTCTCTCGCGTTCGCAAGCCCGTCGGCCTTCGCTATCTTGCACGTCCTTCGTCGGACTGGGAGAAATCTCAGGCTCGTCATACTGATCATCTCTCAGCTTCCCAGCCTGCCCAGTCATGACTGCGTTTGGGGTCACGCCGCTCAGGCCGTAGTTGAATTCCAACCCCTGTATCTTTTGCATGCCAAGGTCCTGGGCCATCCGTATGGATATACCCAGATACATCCAGAGACCGCTATCGTGGTTCGAACCGAACTCCTCATAAGCTAGCAGCAGGCACGCTTGAACACCAGCAAGAGTGGGGCATGAGAGTGAGTACACCAGAGTGCTCATTGCTCTATGGGCAAACGGCTGCCCGCGGTTGGAATTTTTCATATCGACTTGCGGTTCGGAGCCATCGATCGTTGGCGCTTGAGGCGGGCTCAGCAGAGGGTGGGGAGAAAACCTCGCCGACAGTGCACAAACAGCATCCACGAGCATGGTATCCACCTTCTTGTCTTTCAGGTCGCGGAAGAATCTATCCCGCTGTAGGAACGGGAAGCTGCAGCCGAGATGTACGAAGAACAAGTCGCAAAGGTGTGTCACCAAATTGCTGACAGGAAGGGAATCCTCGCGGTCATAGAACGGGATGGTGTTGTAGTCACGGCTATCACGGCTATCCGGCAATGAATTGAGGTTGGTTAGCCCGACAACTGGATATTTCGGGCTTCGGAGAGGAGATAGCGACTCTAAGTTATGGTCAGCCGGCCGCACCGTGGACAACACAACCATTGGGGCGCAAACCTGATGACAATGACGGATTGCTTTTGCGCGAACCTCGTACCTGGACGACCTGTAAGGAGTTAATTAGTGCGCATTGCGGCAACATCTGTCAGGGCGTCGAACCATCTGCTTGAAGCCAGGCACAATAGCCGTCGGTCCAAAGTATCTGAAGTAGGGAACATGTGTGCGGGCGCTGGAGCTTAGTGATGTGCGACCTGCCCGGTGCGGAGACTGGTCAGTATTGACGGTGCCACAAGCCGGTCTGGGATGACCCATGACATACTACTTTCCGGGCTTTCCCCCGTGGTCTGCTGTTCAGGTTCTTTCGTAGCTCTCGAAGAGGTGTCCCGTGGCAAAGATGCCTCTTTCGACTCCAACGCCTTGCCCACGTCCGATGGCTTGCCTTTATCACTGGGTGGCACTAGGGCTCGGTGTGCATAATCCGGGGAACTACTAGCGACCTTTCGAGGGGCGCGAGAGGACATCGCATCATTGGGAGCTGGAAAAGAGGCAATTGTAGGGATTCTTGTAGTGACATCGGATTGCGACCTGGTATGGGTGGACGTCTCGCTGTACCCTTGACAGGCATGGTTGTAATCGGAGCATGTTTTGCACACTAGTGACCAGAAGGAGAGAATGGGTAAGATACTAGCCATAATCGAGTTAAAGATGCGCTTCTACTCACCTGGTTGCTCTCCTGAGCAGCGTATCTTGCGCTTGCGACAGGTCAGACACCTATATGGTAGCGGAAAAGGAGCGTGTTAGTTACGGCGGAGAGAACACGGTGGCTAGCAAGGGACCATTCTGACTCACGCGGCATTAACTCGCCGCCGTTTCGTTTGAGGCTGCCCATCTGTCGAGACGAAGCGGATCTGCCTGGGAGGAGGGACAATATTGCCGCCGTTCTTCTGGGGAGAAGGGAGGCTCATGGCGAGCAGGTTATCATCCGGGGTCAAGACACATCGGGCACCCGATTCACGGCTCTAGAGCTTAGGGCGATCGATCGTTACCAAGGATGAGACACAAGGGAATGGCAGGCGGGGAGTGTAGAGGGCGAGGGGCGCGGCGGTATGGAAGACCTTTGGAGAGAAGCACCAGGTAGAGAGACAAATCCATGGACGTGAGTTGGATCCCACGTTGCGTCCGGTGCAGGCCGTCGTGGGATAGAGGAAGGGAGCGCCGATGCGGATGAGGGGAGGGAGGGTTTGGTCTCTTTTTTTTTGGGGGGGGGGTATGTTTTTTTAATTCTTTTTTTTTCCCCTTTCACTCCTGTTGGTTTAATTAATATCTGCCCTGCCCATGGGGCGTCAGTCTTAGCATCGACAGGGAAGGTGGTAGAAGACAAGACAGTAAGCAGTAAATTTAAAGGCCAGGACTAGTACAGTGCACTACCAACGTGCCTGGTCACGCCAATAACATAACAACAGGCATGTAGTACCGGGCCTGAGGGATGGACTGACTTGTTGGGTCTTGGGTTTCCTCTCCTGCCTGAACGCCGTGTCGGAAAAATAAGCCACTCCAAAGGGAAGACAGAAGACAGGCCCAAATGATTCTGGCCTGACCGCCCAGAAGAGTCGGTTGATTTGACGGGGATCTTTGGTTTCCACCGCGCAGCGATCACGAGATGAGACAAGCCAGTTGGATCGGTAAGGATGATCGGGTGCCCACCACGACTAGTGGTGTACCTTGTCCTTCGTATTCCGGGGGGGGAAGAGGATGGGATTGGAGTATCCAGATGAATCAGCCTGGAGAAACGAGGGGAAGCGCAAGAGGAGAGGGGGGAAGAGAAACAAGGGAGGCCATCCGGTTGTCGCGACGGGGCCATGTGACTGTCCAGTATTGACGGTACCAGCCCATTACCGGACACTGGCAGGCACAAAGTGACACACGTCTCTGGCTGGTCTGACTGATCGACTTCAATCAACATCACCAGGATGTAGTTTGGTTTAGTTCGGTATACTCAGGATTTCCCCCCCCCTTCCGCCCCAATCGGGAAGGTTTCTGGTTTCTGGTTTCTATTTGCGGCGCCGTCCGACCTCCCTCGTTTCAACCGGAAGCCCAGATTCTCAATGTTCCAGGCAACCGGTTCCAGATCGCCGCGAGCCCAGACTCCAGAGTCTGGGGGAGCAAAAGTGGGCTCCCCTCCGCCTACCCACTAACTACCCACTAACCCACTTTTCGGTTTTCACTCCCCACGCCTCAACCGATGCCGATGCATGGCTGAAACCCAGTGTCGGTCTGCCTCGTACGAACGAATTAAGTACCGACGCCGACTCGCAGTGAGTGACAAATGAATTGTCAACTGCCCAATTTGTGCGGGAAATGCCGTGTGCTGTGCTGTTCTGTCCATCTACGTCTACCAATTTCTGCCTAGTTTCGAATTCTCGGCCCAACATTCTGCAGCCGACCGATCTCTCGTTTCTATCTATCTCTATTCCATCTTCTGTCTATCTGAGGTAGTCTAGCGGGTAGTAATAGTCTACATTATTGTGTATATATATAACTGGTACTGGCATGGCGCCAGATCAGCTGCCCCGTAGCATTCCTCAACATGCACCACAACCTCTTGCCACTTCAACCCGGGGTCTAGAACTGCGGTCTGGGGATCTCGAGCGCGTCGGTGGTCCGGCCGTACGAAATGCCTCCCAACCGACTGATCGGCTTCAGCACCTTCAGGTCGACAAGATTCTTCTCCTCGTTGATCGCATCATCCCGCACCCAGAACCGAACGCCTTCGACGATCGCCAGCACCCCGGTTTTCTTGCCCGGGGTCGTCCGGCTCTCGAACTCTTTGGTCTCCACCAGCTTGGCCTCAATCGACAGGACGGACTCCTTCACGCGGGCCGGCTGAACGATGGAGCTGGGCGCTTGCGTGAGCCCGGAGACATCCCATTCCGACACGCCATACGGCGCGTTGATGGCAGTCGCATTGGCAGCCTCGACGAAGTGCTCCGAGATGATGTTGATCACGCACTCCTCCGTCTCCGACAGGTTCTTCAGGGTGTCCTTGGCCTTGTCGAAGGAGCCGGCGAATCCCACCACGAAGAGCGGCGGGTCATGGTTGATGACCTGGGAGTAACTGAAGGGGGCCAGGTTTGTCGTCTTCCCGTCCTTGGACTTTGTGCTGACCAGGGCGATTGGCCTCGGCACCATGCCTGAGATCAGGAGCTTGTAGTTGAAGGCCACCGGCCGCCCGTCTTCGTGGGGGTCAATCTCCACGTGGTCCTTTTTCAAACTCTCCCCTCCGTCGTTCGCCCCATCGCCTTGTTTCCATTCGGGGTTGGGGGGCTTCGAGAAAGTGACCGGCACGTCATGCTTGAAATCCGGCCGAGAGGCTTGGATCTTTTCGAAATCGTCGCCGACTTTGAACATGGTGGACGTTTGGCTGAGGGTTCGATGGCGACCGGGGCCTAAAATAGGGCTACGGCGATGGGAGAGTGTCTGACAATTACTGCATGAGGGTTAGCAGCGCACAACACAAAGCTAGGGGGTCGTGGCGTCGGCAGTAGAAGCCGTTCCAGGCGCTGAAGCACCTCGGACAATGTCTGTGGAAGCATGGTATACCGGTGTACTCAAGTACTCACATGGAATTGAAAGAGCGGGGAGTGAAGGAAGAGGAGCGCGACAGGTTGGACAAGATCGAGCGACGCATGAAGACGACAGGTTTACTTTTCTATCTGGACGTTGCGTTAGTTGGGCAGGCGAGTCCAGCTTATCCGAGCCAGGATGGCCGAGATGTAATTCCACGGCCTGGCTGAGTGACTGCTCCTTAATGCCACCGGCAACGTGCAGGTGAGCGGGGAGCAAGTGCGTGGCACTGAACCCCCACTACCGAGTCCCGGGCCGATAAGGGTTTGTCAGCGCCGGAAACAACCCCGCAATGATGTGTCCTCGGCTTCGTTGCACGGCTTCCGCTTATCATCTTGACAGTCTGGATTTAGTCATCGGCTTCACGAACTTCACTGGAACAGCTGCTGTACTGATGCTTGTCATTCAGACCATAGACTACTGAGACCATCCTTAACCGCAGCACCATGAGGAGGCTATTTGCATTGGGGTGAGCCTTGGCTAATATATACTCCGCGGAAGCGCAAGTAAAAGTGAGACCACACCGTTCCGCCACAAGTCGGAGACCACTACGCAACCTCAGTGAACTGTCTTGATTCAACTATGTGTGCTGACTGGGGAACACTGTACATCTCAGCGGCGGACCGAAAGGTTCGAAGATAATTTTTCTTCCAGTCTCATCCACATCACACTGGATAGATAGGACACTTCTTACTGCTTTAGGTAGTATACTATCAGCGCTATATTTTAAGCCAATCCGAACTCCAACTGCCGCATTCTGCCAGCTGCGTATGGGTTTCGCCAGTTTCTTCAGACTCATCATGATCCAGATAGATGGGTAGAAACTTGGCTATGCAATGAGGCAAAACGAAGTAAAGTACATCGCCATGTGTTTAAACCACTGCAAAGCCATATCAAGATAGCCCCGATAAGCACCCCACTCACCTGAAGGATGCGATAAGACACACAGCAGCAACTCCCTCCCTCTCTCGAAGCCGAAAATCCACGGAGGAATAACCGATAGATACCTTCGCGGAGGGAAGATGCCTACAAAGTAATGGTGTCCGATTGTAGCCGCCGTGTCACTCTCTTTCTTGGGGAAGGTTCGCGCCGCCATTGATAAGCAGCGCTGCGTCTTCTCCAACCGCGCGCCCCTGCCGGCATCCCATCACCCCCCATCCTGACAGCTCAGTACCTCGCAAATAAACCCCAACCCTCGCCCTTCTTAGAATTGCTCAAAGATACGTCGCTACTTGCTACTTCCGTCTCATCTTACACCACTCCAGGCTCAGCATGGCGCAGCAGGAATACGAGACCTTCAAGCTCGGAGACTGGGAGCTCCAGAGCGGGGAAAAGCTGATGGATGCTCACATCGCATACAAGACCTTCGGAGACCCCGACTCCCCCGCAATTGTCTACCCGACTTGGTTTTCGGGGTGTACGTACCGCCCCTGAGACCCTGGGATAAGAACACACCGTCGGCTATGCTTGGGCCCTCTAGCTAACAGCAGACATGGATCGTAGTGCTCTCTGACAATTACTGGTTGATTGGGGAAGATAAGACGCTCAACCCCAAAAAGTACTTCATCATCGTCCCCGCGCTGTTCGGGAACGGCCAATCCACCTCGCCTTCGAACTATTCCCAGCCCGGGGTCTTTCCGAAATGCTCGTTCTACGACAACGTTCGTGCTCAGCATGAGCTGGTGGCGCAGCATCTCGGCATTAAGCATGTACGGGCGGTGACCGGGTGGTCGATGGGTGCAGGCCAAACCTTCCAGTGGGCGACTCAGTACCCCGATTTCATGGATTTGGCGGTGCCGTTCTGTGGATCGGCGAAGACTTCTCTGCATAATCAGGTGTTTTTGGAGGGCGTGAAGACTGCGTTGCTGGCGGCAAAACATATCCCGTCCGCTGGGTCGGGGGCTGGTGGCTTGCTGGGAGCCGAGCAGTCTTTGAAGGCGTGGAGTGATAGAGAGAAGGACGTTGGTTTGAAGGCTTTCGGCCGGGGTTATGCGGGCTGGTGAGCTACACCGGTCCTTGATTGTTTAGTATCTGTCTGCCGTCCTAATGCATGCTGGTTTAGGGGATTCTCGCAAGCCTTTTACCGCGAAAAGTTGTATGAGACCGCGCTGGGGTTCAAGGACCTGGAGGACTTTATGCAGAACTTCTGGGAGAGCTGGGCGCTTTCCAAAGGTCGGTTGTTATGGGACATGCCAGGCTGCTGGGATTCCCGCTGACTTATATCCAGACCCGGACAACCTCCTCGTGATGCTGCAGACATGGCAGAATGGCGATGTGTCCCAGCAGGCGCCGTACGACGGCAATTTCGAGAAAGCGCTGGGCTCCATCAAGGCGAAGACCCTGGTGCTGCCCAGCAAGACGGACCTTTATTTCCCGTGAGTCATCAAGTCTCGTTGTAGGATTGAAGCTGATAGCAAGCAACATAGTCCCGAGGACTCGGAGTATGAAGTGTCCTACATGCAGCGGGAGATCGGAACTCTGAAGGTCTTCCCTTCAATATGGGGACGTACGTATGACCCCGCCTGAGCATCTAGGAACGTGCTGACGATTGCTGTCGCAGATTGGGCGGGTGGTCCCGGTCAAAGCAAAGACGATGTGAAATGGCTTGATGAACAGCTGGCGGAGTTCTTTGAGAAAAATTGAGGGATTTGGTGTAGTGGATTTCCCCGCAGATAAGCTGGCAGCAATGTGTTTAGCATTCACCATAAGAGCAAGAGCTGTGACGATCGGTAGCTAGCCCGTAGGCCACGAATGCGAAACGCGTGCGATCCGTACCCACCCAGCGTCACTGTGCAGACCACTTCACCGTGTCGGTCTGAGCAGTCGTAGTAGTCACAGGAACAGGAAATGCCAGCTTCCCTCCGCCGCGTAAATGCTCCTAGAAGCGGAGCACGTGACCTGCGCAGACGGGGCTGAGTCAGCTTGCGCGATCAACCTTGGCTTTTCGGGCTCTCGACGCCGCCTCCTCATTTCCATCCCCGATCAATTCCAGCAGCATCTGCATTCCACCGCGCCGCCCTTCTTAATTTCTCTTTGGCTTTATTTTGTTGCTTTTTGAATTTTGCACTTCAGACCTTGTCTTTGTTTAGCCGGTGCCTCCTTCCTCCGTCGTTCCTTTCCCTCCCCCCCCACCGGCCTCCGTCTCCGTCACTTCTTGTCCGCGCCTAGACGGCGCAACCGCATGCTTCTGTAACGCTACCAGTCAGACACTCACCCTCACCATGGCGACCCCCCCCGTTCGACAGTGGGGAGTGACCCCTCCGATCTCTACTGTTCTACCCACCTCAGATGAGCTTGCTGCAAATGATGACTTAATCACTGAGCTAAAGGTGCAGAACAACTTCGAGAGTCCTGCGGAGACGGACCGAAGGTAAGATGGAGCGCTCCCCCATCGCGGACCGTCTGGGTCGACTCCATCGGGCGCTAACCACTGGACCGTGATTTAGAAAGCAGGTATTGCAGCTGATTCAGCGTGTCACCCTCGAGTTCGTCAAGGTCGTCAGTCGCAAGAAGGGTCTCTCCCCGGCCGCAGTCGAGGCCGCGGGAGGGAAGATCTTCACCTACGGAAGTTATCGTCTGGGAGTGTACGGGCCAGGTGAGTCTGATGGGTTGTCGCAAATCAAACGACGGACACTGATACGTGCGGGCTCGCAGGATCGGATATTGATACATTGATCGTTGGACCGAAGCACGTCTTGATTGACGACTTCTTTTCGGACTTCCCTCCCGTCTTGGAAAAGATGGCCGCGCAGGGCGCAATTGAGAAGATGACTCCGGTTCCCGATGCGTTTGTTCCGATCATTAAACTCGAGTTGTCCGGCATCAGCATCGATCTGATCTTTGCTCGTTTGATCGTGCCTGCAGTCCCCATCAACCTCGACCTGAAGAACAATGATTACTTGCGGGGCCTCGATGAAAAAGAGGTCCGGTCGCTCAATGGAACCCGTGTTACCGATGAGATCTTGGAACTGGTGCCCCAGCAGAAGACCTTCCGCCTTGCTTTGCGCGCGATTAAACTCTGGGCCCAACGTAAGCGGCCCTCCCTTGAATCGTTGCACCAGGTCCGCTAATTCTGGCGTATTTGAACAGGCCGAGCTATCTACTCGAACATTGTGGGATTTCCAGGTGGTGTTGCCTGGGCCATGCTTGTCGCCAGAGTGTGTCAGTTGTACCCCCAGGCTACCGGGTCGGTAATCGTTGGCAAGTTCTTCCGCATCATGAACAAATGGGCTTGGCCTCAGCCTGTTCTGCTGAAGCCGATTGAAGATGGGCCTCTGCAGATCAAAGTCTGGAACCCAAAGGTAAGCCAATTCGAAAGGGCTGTCACAATGTGAACGTGGTTATTAACGTGGTTAGATCTACCACGGCGACCGCTTCCACCTGATGCCGATCATCACTCCAGCATATCCCTCTATGTGCGCAACACACAATGTCTCCCTGTCGACAAAGATGGTTCTTCTTCGCGAGCTGCAACGTGGTGGTGACATTGTTGACAAGATCTTCTTGAAGCAACTGAGCTGGAGCGATCTGTTTGCGCGACACACCTTCTTCACTCGTGATTACAAGTACTACCTCAGCATCACCGCATCCAGCAGAACCAAAGAGGCAGAGTCCGTGTGGTCTGGACTCGTTGAGTCTAAGATCAGACATCTTGTTGGAGCTCTGGATAGGAAGGCCACCATCGCGGTTTCTCATCCTTTCCCGAAGGGGTTTGAGCGGGTCCACCGGGTCTCTTCCGAGCAGGAAATCGAGGCTGTCAAGTCTGGGTCCACCAAGTACCAAGATAAGGGGACCAAGACCGAGACCACTGACGAGACCAACGATGCTGCCCACCAGGCTGCGGCGCTGAATGGTGCTGAGAACACCGAAGTCCCCGCCACTGAGAACAAGGCCGCTGATGATACTCATGTCATGTACACAACCACTTACTACATCGGACTGGAACTCAAGCCCCTAGAGCCAGGTATGTAGGCCCATCCTTCTTCATGAACCCACTGACTGTGACAGGCGCCTCCCGATCGCTCGATATCTCGTCCGATGCCCAGATTTTCAAATCGACGTGCACCTCGTGGCCTGGCTACCAGCCTGGTATTAATGACTTGGCCATCACCCACGTCCGCAAGTAAGTGGTCCATTCCATGATTGCGATGGCTGCATTAACCCTTGGCACAGCTTCGACCTGCCGGAGGATGTTTTCCAACCAGGAGAGAGTTGTCCTACCCGCCCCAAGAAGAAGGTCGTCAAGAAAGCGGAAATCAGCGGACAGAAACGCGGCATCGAATCCTTGGACGTAAGTGCACGCAAACAAGCCAGAGTAGCTTACGAGCAGCGAACCGGCTACCATACGGAAATCGAAGCTCGCACGTCGTATAATGCTAGAAGTTCTCATGCGTGGGTATGACTGATATCGACGTTTGTACAGGACCCATCCCACCCCGCCGCCAAACGCCAGGTCACGGCCAACGGCGTAGCCAACACCGCGATGCCCGCATGAACAGTGTCTAAAGAAAACCGAAACATAGCAAGACCGCAAACCAAGCGCGCCGGGGCAGGTCCCCACGTCCGAGAGACAAAACATAACAACAACAGCAGAAATCGGGTTTGACACCACACCACGCCAATCCCATCAAATTTGGATGACCATACATTAATGATACCACACCTAATCCCAGCTGACTCTGACCATGTCCGCAGTTGCTCTGGTATGAACCGCCCCACGTGGCGATCATCTCGAAAACTGGAGGTCGAGTACAAGGTTGGTTTCTTCTTTCTTGTTCTTTGATCTCTCTTCAAATTCGCTTCCCCTCACATTATCGTCCGTCGTATTCCCTTGCTTCCTTCCTTCCTTCCTTCCTTGTCCCATGCCCGCCAGGTATGTTAGAAAAAAAAAAGTACCCGGCCCGGCCCGGCCATGATCCATGATCCATCCATAGATACATGGCCAAGGTAGTGCGTGCGGAGCTTGTCTTAGTTCTATGATCGGCGACGCGGAGTTTTTCTTTTTTCTTTTCTTTCCAAACTTCTGTGGTAGTCTGAGGATGGGTCTCACTGAGCTTGCGCTTGGGGATCGTTTCTTGTGGCTGGTCGGTCGTTCTGCTGCTGTACATATTTCCGTTTCCATACTGCTTTTGACTTAGGTTCTGGTCGAAGGGCCAGTTAGGTCTAGTTGAATGAAGGTTTTCGTATTCGTGGCCTACGGGTCACTTAATTATTATCCAGTGTCTTAATCTGTATGGAGGAGCAGTGTGACATTTATAACTTATTGTTGTGCATGAGCTGTAAACCATCTAGATTATAATCTATAAATGGAAGATACTATGTACAACCATAGCCACAGAACCACGACCACTACCACTTATCTAGCATGTCCTAAACCAACCAACCAGTCCGTCCCCTCCCTCCCTCCCTTCCCATACCTACCGTATATTATACTCCCCTATCTTCTCATATATAGAAACCCCCCCCCCCCCCCCCCCCCACAATAACAATTACAATAACAATAACAATAATATAAGAAAAGAAAAAATCATCTCCACCCCTCCACAACCCCCCAAAGCGTCTCCTCCCCACCCACATTCCCCGGAAACACGACGAACGGCACGCCCGGATGACGCGCCGTCGCCTCGTCGCACCGCCACAGGGGCACCCCCGGCGCGGCCTGTCCGACGACCAGCGCGCGCTTGATGTTCAGGCCTTTTGTGGCGGCGTCGGAGGAGGTTATTCCGCCCTGTTTGTTTGATTTTTTTTTTTCCGATTGTTAGTGTTGGGTTTTGGTATCGCGTATCGTGTGACGGGGTTGTGTGATGGGTTAAGTTAAGTTGCTTTTGAGGGAGGGGGAGGGGGAGGGGGTAGAATGAAGGCAAGGAAGGGAAAAGGAAAATGAAGAGCGGAATGGAATAAATAGAACAGACAAATATATAAAGGGAATGGGGAAGAATAAATAAAATAAATACACACCTTCGCAACCACAAACCTCGGCCTCACCTGCACCCCCGCAACAACACCCACCAACGCTTCGGCAACCCGACTCCCGATCCTCAAGCTGCCCAGCTCATCCTCCCCCCTCACCAGTCGTCGACTCGTCATGACCAGCACATCTCTCCCATCCAACAATTCCCGCTCTACATCCCGCACAACCAGACCAATGGTCTCTTGGACTCGCTCCGCAGACGCAATTATATCCTCGACCTGGAGTTCGATGATACAGAGGGTGTTGGTGCCCGTGGGCCCGCATTTGTCGGTGAGGTATTTCAGCTGCGCGGTGGTTTTGGGCACGTAGGAGCCGGCGATTATTAGGGCGCCGGTTTGGCGCGGGAACGGGAGGGAGAGGGACGGGTGCGAGGCGGGGAGGGGGGCTGGGGCCGGATGGCGAGCGAGGTGGAGACGAAGGCTGCGGCGGTGCGGTAGATGTATTGTGTTGGGGTGGAGGTGTGGGATTTTGCTGTGATGGTGGTGGTGGTGGTTAAAGTGGTGTGGTGTGGTGAGGGTGAAAGGAAGGTCGGATGGCAGATGGCTGAGTAGGGGAAAGGACATACCGAGAAGCAGGCCAGCAACGAAGACATGCATATCCGACTCAGCAGCAGCATTAACAATAACAACGCTTCCCTTCGGAAAACGGCGAAGCCTTTCGCAGACGACACTAGGACCACCAGTCCGGATATCCTCAATCGAGATCGAATGGATTTGATCCGCAGTAAACCGACCAGGGGCCTTCTCCCTCACATAATCACGCAGATTCGAGCTCTTGAATCCAAAGGTCGCATCCTGCGCAAACTGAGTCTCACCCGCCGGAACGAGTGAATCGCCCTCGGCAACATAATGGACATCGTTGATGGTGAGACGGCCGCCCTGGAAGAAGAACGGGGCGAGGATGGTAGCCTGTGCGGGCCCGAAGACCGACTGCGCGACGTCGGCTTCGAGCGGGAAGTGCCCGCGCAGGGTGCTGTCGCCGCGGAGGACAATGTCGACGGTTTGGCCGGTCAGTTTGGCTGCTTCGAGGACGTTCTCGCAGATGGTGCGGATCAGGTTCTCGGCCTCGAGTGGGGGGTGGGCGCGTGAGTTGGTGAGGATGAAGAAGCCCCGAGAGGGTTGTTGGAATTCTTCCGTCAGGGTCGGGACGTCCCAGACTGTCAGGACGGTGATGTCGTGGCAGGTTTGGGTTCCGGTTGGGTCGTCGTCGAGAACGACGAGGCGGCTGAGAGAGGGCGAGGTGGAAAGTAACTCGGAGATCTGGTCTTGTGCGTCGAGGGGGTATTCGGGGGGGAGGTGGGATAAGGTGCTCTGACGGGGGAGCACGGGGTATTCGAGGGAAGTGGCCATCCTGGAGCTGATGCTGATGTGCGTGGGGAGGTTGGCAAGGCCGTGAGGGAGTTGAGCTCAATTGAAGTTGCAGGTTGTGAGATGGTGGAGGTGGAGATGGAGGTGGAGATGGAGGTTGAGGGGAAGAATTGGAGGAAAGTAGAGGGTCGGAGAGAAAGCCGAGATGAGACCCGCCATGCACATCAGATCAAAAATCAAATCATAACCAAAAATCTTGTCGATTATCAAATGCAACTCATGTCTCGCATGCTATCCACAGGAAGATCTAGCCATCAACAACCGTATCGCAAACCATGCGGAACCCCAAGCGCCGTGACATGTGCAGATGCAAGCCCATCATCTCATTGCGAAGGATGCGGGAATCCAAGCAGAAAAAAAAAGCAGCAATGCAGTAATGCAGCAGCAACAAAAGAAATTGAATGATCGCAGATGTTTTCCAATCCGTCATTACACATGTCCTCCTTGATCCCCTCCAGTAAAAAAAAAGAAAAAATAAACCACACACAAATAGTCCCGTTCCCGGCACTCCTCGGCCTGGTCCCTCGCAAGTCCATGAAACGCACAAACAAACCACCCTAAGCAGGACATAGAAGAGAGAGAGAGAGAGAGAGAGAGAGAGAGAGAGAGAGAGCATTAGCAGGCACGTCGTAACCAACGTAGAATGTAATGTAGAGCATGACACAAGGAAAAGGGAATGTCTGTAGAAACTTATAATCGGCCGGGTCGACGGTTAACCGACGACACTGCGGAAGCTGAGCGCCTCGAGAAACCCCCCGAGGTCTTCCTTCTGCACCTCGACCACGCAGTGCTCGAAGCTGTCGATGCGGACGCGCGCGCTGGTTTCTTGCACAACCTCCTGGAACGCGATGCCGAACCGGTTCCGCAGGAGGTGCTTGTTGCTGCTCACGTCCTGCTCGTCCTCGGATTCGGACTCGGACTCTGACGATGATTCTTCTGTTTCATCCTCTTCCTCGTCATCGTCCTCATCCCTTTCCGCGCGTTCAGCGGCGCGTCTGGCTCGACGCTGCTCCTTCTCTTTCCTCTTCGCATCCTTGGCTTCTTTCTTCTTCCGTCGCTCTTCCCGACGTTTGGCCAAAGCGGCGAAGTCGACCACTCCACCGCCTCCGCCAGTGCCCACGACCACGTAGAGGCCTCGATCCTCGTCCAGCCCAGCAAGAACCAGAGGGGTGCCAAGGGCGCGTCGGCGGCCGATCTTGACAGTCTCGCCTCGTTCCCTTTCTTGTACCCGAATGGCCTCGGCGACCCACAGGGCGAGCTTGGTCAATGCCCCTGGGTTGGTGAATAGCTTCACATCAGGGCCGTCTTTCACCACGGCGATGCGGAATGCTCGCAGATGGCGGATCTGATGCTTGGCAAGCAGAGAGGTACCCGTGCGAAGGATAGCTCGGTGGAGGTGCTGAGCAAGAGGTAGCGAGGCTTGGAGAAGCGTCGGCGATTCTGATGTCAGCGACAGGGCGTCATATGCGCTCCAGAACCGGGGAAGGAGATGGGCCAGGTCGGATTCGGTCGATCCATCGGCACTCGCGTCCAGTGCAGGCCTTGACGCGCGTTTCGCGTCCCACATCCCATGGGCTTCCTCGGGCCCTACCTCCAGGATTGCGCCGATGATGACGCCCACGTCGGTGGCAGAGAGACAGGCCTTCCAGCCCCAGCAACGGACAAACCCCCAGCCCTCGCGAGAGGCAGCATGCCCCGACGCTTCGGCGGGGACAAGTCCGTCCAGCCCGTACATAGGCGCGTACTTCAGGAGGCGTTGTCGCAACACTCGCTTCAGCTCCATGTCCATGTGGGTATAGTTTTGGTGGCTCTGGTTCAGACTGATGCCCATCTTCGCCAGCAGTTTGTGTAGTCGCTTTCGTCCGTTCTCCGTCCAGACATGCAGCCTCGAGGCCAGGTACGGGCTGTGAAGCATGCTGTCATAAAGCGACCAATGTCGTACAAGGATGAAACGAGGTTCAGGGGAGAGACGGATGGACTTGTCTGTCGGAGACCGCGCAGTCGTCTGGATGATGCCGTTGATTTCCCCGCGTATGTCACGATCTCGTTCGTAAGGATCAGGCGGATTCAATCGCAGGACCTCATCTCGTAGGATCTGCCGTATTCGCTCTCCTCGCTCTCCGCCCCAACCGGCCGACCCCCCATACTCCAGCGCGTTGGACACGCCCACTCCAGACATCGTACGACCACTCAGTTCCAAGCTCGCGACGCCCACAATGGCCAGCCACAGTAGATCGTTGTCTTCCCGACCGAGCTCAGAGGCAAGCGAATACACCAGCGATGCGATCGGCTCCGAGTATGACGTCCCAGAGGAATAGTATCGCTGCAGGACCGCCTCATGCTTCCTCTTCATTTTCAACAAGCGTTTTCGTAGCGTCCTCGCGGAGGGGGGTTTGGGCTGGAGGGGCGACGGTGAATCCGATGTTGGCGTGACCGATCGCGAGGAGTTGGAGGAATCATGCGCGGTCCTCCGCGGACGCGACGGCGAGGAGATAATATAAGACCCCTGCAAGACAGATTAGCACCAACAACACCATCCATCGAGTCAAACCCACCGAGTCACTCCTCCTCCGCTGACGGGGCGGCCCATCCTCGTCCTCCGACTCATCCTCGTCATCCTGTCGCGACCACGACTTGCGCTTCTTCGAATCCGAACTCGACGGATGATCCGCGTCCTCCTCACCCTCACTCTCCTCCTCCTCCTCCTCATCCTCCTCACCCCCCTCATCCACCTCCGGCATAGCCAACAACTCACAGTACGCCTCCCTCTCCCTGGCCATGTCTTCCTCGACATCCCCATCATCAAACACCACAATGCCGCCATTCCCCGACGCATAAGCGCCAGTCAAACAGCCTCTCTCGACGCCGCGCATTTTCCTCCTCCCATTGCCATTCCCCATCCCAAGCCCATTCACCCCGTCACCCTCCCCCGCCGGCCTCCCCTCGCCCCCGAACACATTCGCCAAGTTCCACGGCCTCCTCGCATCAAACACCCAGACCTCCACGCCACCCATATCCTCCTCCTCCTCGCCGTCCTCCCCCTCCCCACTCAGACACAGTATCTCGCTCAGATCCACCAGCCCGCCCACACCCAGACAGATGACCACGCCGCCGCTGCCGCCGTTCGTCGTGCGCATCGGCTTCACCAGCTCCTCCCCCGCGCGAGCCAGATCGCCATACCCCGCCACCGGCTGGATCTTGTGCGGGATGTAGTCGCGTTTCAGCAGCGCGGTGAGGATTCGGCACGCGCAGAGCGCATCGGGTTCCAGGGCCACGAGGATCAGGACTGGCGGCGAGAGCGGGTGGTGCGTGCGGAGGAGTTGTTGGTAGAGGTGCGCGATCAGTTGGCGTGGGAGATACATCGTTGACGCCGACGCCGCGTGGGTGGTGGGTGAGTGGGTGGGTTGGAACGCGGCCGTCCCCCCGAGAGAGGAATGGGATGGTGATTTGTGGTTCGCGCGTAGGTAGATAGTAGGGTATATGTATTGGTAAAGGTATCGGTATAGGTCGGTAGGTAGGTAGGTAGTTATAATTCTCGATCTTCAGTCCGTCCGTCAATCTGCTCGCACGAGTAGAGTAGCGCGGTATAGCGTGGTGGTGGTGGTGTAGACGCGGGTACGGTAGGTTCGGTAGGGTAAGTAATGATAGGGACGAGCGTAAGTCTGCACCCAGGGCCCTATTTTTTTTTCTCAAAAGCAAACAGACAAACAAGAGACCCTCTTACTCTATACAATCAAAAGAATAAGACACTAGCGACTCTAGAGCCCAGGATGGCTCAATCCATTGTGGAACGAGAGAAAGAAAGAGGGGGGGGGGGGAATGTTATGATGGGAATTGGCAAAAGGACCAGCAGAGGAAGGAAGGACTGACTACTGCCCTCCAGCCAGCCCGGTCCCGTTCCGTGCAAGTAATCACCAACCGGGCGCGCGCTTCTCCAGCCCGACGCGTCTGGCACGTGCGGAGGCCGCCCGCCAAGCCCGCCTCCTTCACTCGGTTCACTTGGTATGTTCCGGGTTTGGTTTCTATGGGGTTGGCATGGCATGGGAAAGGGTACGAGGAAGGGTGTTTCCCTCAGGGGGGTTGTGTAACATGTTCAGGCTGGGAGGGGGGGGTTCAGAGAGGGAGGTAATTAATTGTGTCACTGCTAATGGTCGCATTTGTCAAGAATCGGCTGGATTAGATGCTCTATACGTACAGGCCAGAATTGATAGAGAAAAAGTATAATAAAAGAAAAAGAAAAAAAAAAAGAGAAAAAAAAATTAAGGCTGAAGAAGCTGACACCTGAAACGCCATCCCTGCGCTATCCTGTAAATACGTACAGAGTCTAGGTGCTGTGCTCTATGACACGTCTAGCCAACTGCGAAAACACCCGGCAACAGAAAGATACAAGTCACAAACCAGAATCAAGCCGAGGGCCCGCCCAACATCGACCCCGTCAGCCAGACAGCCGCGCAGACACCCAGCACAGAAGCCCCAATGAACCGCTTCTCCCAGGTAGATTCCTCGGACATCTTCGCCGGCCCGACCTTCGTCCTGACCGTGTAATGCGGGGACGATTCCTGAGCTTGACCCCGGTGATGGTCCTCCTGCACCAGCGACCCGTTCTGCCCGGCGAGATATTCCTGGTCTCGCGTGCGCCATTTATCCACCAGCCGGGCAATCTCGATCAGGTCCTCCATCAATGAGCCCGGGTCGGTCATATTGGCACTCTCGACTTCGACGTTCTGCACATTCCCGAAGAAATCCACCACCGTGCGGAGACGGCCCTCCTGCTCGCCGCCAGGGAACAGGTCCCACCGCACCCCGGGCTGGGAATGGATCTTGGACTCGTCGTACGAGTCGAACAGGTCGCCCAGCGTCAGCTTCGAGTTCGCACTCGTCACCTGCGTCTCCAGAAACTCCAGCACATAGTATGTCCACCGGTCGATGACCGCCACGCCGACGTCGTTATCCGCATGGTGCGAGTAGGACGACTGGTCCAGCGCGCTGGAGCCGGTCGCGATGATGTTGGGCGAGTAGAAATGCGTGTACATGGTGTTGGCCTGGCAGGTGTCGATCATGAACAGGAGCTCGTGGTAGCGCTTCTTCTCCCACATCTGGCCGAAGGCGTCTGCCAGATCCCACGCCCCGATCTCCTCGGAGTCTTGGAACTTCAGGAACTGGTCGCCTCCGTGGCCGGTCATGTAGACTAGCACGTTGCTCCCGGCGTCGGAGCCCAGGCGCTTGCTGCGCGGCACGTCTTCGTCCAGCCGGTCGGTCAGGAGGCGGATGAAGTTCTCCACCGTCACCTCGTAGCCTCGGTAGTCCACTTCGATGTTGTCGCCGTAGAGGTCGACCGCGCGGTCGGCGTTGCTGTACACGGTGCCCGGGAAGGCGTTGCGCGGATTGCACGCCATGTCGTCCGGGAGCATCAGGATGATCTGCGAGTCGGGGATGCCCAACCGCTTGACGGTGCGGTATAAGGAGAGGACATTGGCGAGGTGGCGGTAGTTGAACCAGAATCGGGAGGTCGAGACCAGCACGGCCCAGTTGGAGGTGTGTTCGGCGGAGACGGGGACGGTCAGGAGGAGCAGGAGAAGGGGGAGGACTCGGAGGAGTCCTACGATTGCAGTCGACATGGCAGGGGAGGGCGTTAGACCATTATTCTTGTAGGCAGACGCAGCCAGTCGAGCATGATGCGATGGCGATGATCGGTCATCCGCCGCTCCTGAGGCAGAAAGGCGGAGACGTGGAGGGGCGCTAGCCGCGTTGGGAGTAGTCCGGATCCGCGTCGGTGACGTATTGTTACGGGTATTGATCTGTCCGTCCCTTTCGATTTCTGTTCTCCTCCAGATGAGTCGACTTTCTGATCTACAACAATGCATGTCGGAATCATGACACCAGTCTGCTTCTACTCAATATGTTGTGGTGGAGGGGTACACAAAACGACGAGGGGAAGAACCCCTCCCAGGGACAAAGGAACCTTAAAGCACCGAGTGTAACCAACATGTGGGGTTGAATCCCCGAAGATCACGACAAGAACTGTTTAAGACCAGGTGTCGAGACACAATGGGCTATCTACCATACTAGGTCGGACTATTAGTGTCCTGACCAACAGACATGGGGGGTTAGTGCACAGCCTTGTACTAACTACTAACCAGCAAGGCTCAACACAGACCACATACAAGACATCCATGCGAAACCAACAACCACCACCACAGCCACCACCACCAACATGTACCCCCCCTCGCTATCCGAGTCTCAAGGCCTATGGCTCGCCTCGCAAATCCAAGACTGGGAGCTCAACCACGGCACCATGCTAAAGCGCATCCACACGCAAACAGCACACAACGTGCTTTGTTATCCCGTCGCCGCGACGATGTTCCCCACGCTGTTCCCGCGAGTCCAGTTCGACCGGGCCCGGGAGCTGCAGAGCATCTACAACGAACTGTACTGTGTCCTCGCGACAGAAGAGCAGTGGATATACGATAACATCAAAGACCTGTTCCCCGTTGATCCCTTCGCCGCAGCCCTGTGGGAGATCCACGAGAAAGTCAAGGCAAATGGGGGATACGTGCAAGATATCTCGGCTGGGATCTTTCGCTCGGACTACATGCTGCAGGGCGAGGGGGTGGAGATGGGCGGGGATGAGAGCTTCGATCCCAGATCGGATCTCGAGCTGAAACAAGTTGAGTTCAATACCATCGCGTGTGCTGGGGGGTGTCACGCGAACAAAGTGGTCGATATGCATCGACATCTTGCCCGGACAGGCGCGTACAATTCCCTAACTGACGATAACCTCATCAATCTGCCTGTCCTCCCCCCCAACAACAACATCCACTCCCTAGCTACATCCCTAGCACAAGCCCATGAGGTCTACGGCCCGCCCAAGAGCAATACAACAGAAACAGCTATCCTCTTCGTCGTGCAACCCAACAACTTCAACGTAGCCGACGAACGACCCATCGAATACGCGCTCTGGGACAGCAACATCCCCGCCTACCGAGTGGAATGGGGCAACGACGTACTCAAACACACCTCCCTAAGCGCCACCAAGGAACTCCTCTTCCACCCCCCCTGGCAAACATCCGCCAAACCAGTCGAAATCTCCGTAATCTACTACCGCGCCGGCCACGAGCCCCACGAATACGACCAGACGGGCCAAGACCTCCGATTCCGCCTGGAACAGTCTCGCGCCATCAAATGCCCTTCCATACTCGCCCACATCCTCACCTTCAAGAAAATCCAACAATCCCTCGCCGTCCCCGGCGTTGTCGAGCAATTCCTCCCCGCTGACAAAGTAGCCGCTGTACGAAAAACCTTCGTCCCCATGTATCCCCTGGATACCTCAGAGACAGGCCTGCACGCCCGCAGTCTAGCCACCGATCCTGACCGGTCGGAGAACTATATCCTGAAGCCCTCGCTGGAAGGCGGAGGCCATAATGTCTTCGGGGCTGATATCCCGGCCTTTCTGGCCACCGTTCCGCCGGAGGCCTGGAGCGCGTATGTGCTCATGCAGCGGATTGCGTCGCCTCTTGTGGGGAATATGCTGAAGTCGTCGCAGGGGATTGAGGAGGCGGCGGCGGTGGTTTCGGAGTTGGGCGTTTTTGGGGCGTGTCTTTGGAGGTGTACGCGGGCTGGGGAGGGGGAGGTTTTGCGGAATGAGACTGTGGGGTGGTCGTTGAAAACGAAGTTTGCGGATGTGGATGAGATGAGTGTCGTGAAGGGGTTTGGGTGTTTTGATACGCCGCTGTTGTGTTGACAGAGTTGGGTTTTGGGGTTGATGTGGTTGATGTGGAGGATCCATGGGCTTGGATGAGATATGGGTTATCTTACTTATAGACGAATGAAATGAATGAAATGAATGAAATCAATGTGAATAACTTTGGTTTACATAACTCCTTCTCATTAACTACCCAGGGCAGTTTCCATACATGTTTCAAACCATATCCTAAGTAAAAATTGGGGAAGAGACAAGTAAGCCCCCCCTTAATTCCCCTCCCGACGGCCCCATGACTCCTCGCCTTACACTTACTCCTTATAAATATCCTCATCACTACACCAAAATCAAAATCAAGTCAGCCAAACCCACCCCATCCCCATTCCTATCCCCAAAGAAACAAAAGAAAGAAAGAAATAAAGAAAGAAAGAAAGAAAGAAAGAAAGAAAGAGAGAAAAACTTACAACTCCCCCATCCCCATGTCCATCCCCTCCCTCCCCTCCGCCCCCCCATCAACCCAAACACTCACACTCATCGCCCGCACCACAAAATCCCCATAGCCATATTTATCAATAACCACCGTCCGGGGAGCAGTGCACCACCCCAGAATATCCGTCCAGTGTTCATGCGCGTGGCGTCGACCAACGTACATCCGCTTTTTGGCGGGGCCGGCGTTGCTCATTATGCAGGCGAGGCCGGAGGGGTGGGTGCGATTACCGTGGCGGGTGAAGCCTGTTTGTTTATTCATTTTGCGGGGGGTTGGGTTAGTTGGGATGGGATGGATGGATGTGTGTGTGGGTGTGTGTAAGTGGGAATATGGGTGTATAGGTATATAGGCATATAGACATATATAGTATGTGGGGGTAGAGGGGGGGGAGAGGGGGAATTCTAACCTATGCAGTTCGGCTTGTCAAAGTAGTCTTGTTGCAGGCCGTAGGCGTATAGCTTGCGGGCGCGTGTGAGACGGGGAAGTGTGCCGCCGCAGGAGGGCGTCATGGGGTGTTTGACGTCGGAGGTGAGGCCGTAGAGGTCGCCGTAGAAGATACATGGTTGGCCGTGTTCGCGGAGGAGGATCAGAGCGTAGGCGAGGGGTTTGAAGAAGGGGGTTATTGGGCCTTTTGGGGGGGAGCAGTGGTGGTGGTGGTTAGGAATTGCATTGCATTGGGGTGGGAGATTTGAGAGGGATGAGTGGTATGTACCTCGAGGGATTGGCCTGGTTGCTTTGCGGGGGTTTAGTATTGGGAAGGGGGGTAGGAATCTGTCGGGGGGATTTGACTTACGGTGTCGTGGTTGGTGACGAATGTCTTCTGGGGTTAGTGATCGGAGTCGAATGTTGGGAGGGAGGGAGGGATGTGCTTACGACGGCATGCTCTGGTTTCTTTTGGACCAAGGTGTCGTGGAAGATGGTTCGGAGGTCCGCGCGTCGTGTCTGCGAGATGCTGGAGAAGCATCCAACCAGGGGGGCGTCGAACAGGGACAGCTTGTACTCCATCTGCTCTAGATATTCGAGCAGAGGCTTGGTCTCACCCTTCCAATATTCGCCCACTATGAAATAGTCTGGCCCCATCGTCGCGCGAACATGATCGATGAACTCCTTCTGGAAACCAGCCGAGTAGTGCTTGACGGCATCGAGCCTCATCCCACGGAGAGGCAATTGGGCGTTGATCCACAGTCCCCAGTTCAGCACGTCGTTGCGTACCTCTTCGCTAGACCAGTCGAGATTCGCGAACATGAGGTAGTCGTAATTCCCGTTCTCGGAGGACACATCCCTGGCCCAATCGTGTCCTTGGGTTTTGTAGATGCCCTTCCTTTGACGCACTTGGTCCCAATCAATACCGTTGAAGTGGTGCGAGTGATACTTCATCGAGCTGTACCGGTCACCACGTCCGGGGAAGTTGAACCCCACCCAGCCCTCTACTTCTTCTGGAGAAGATATCTCCACGTTACGGTCTGGTGATAGAGGTCAGCAACCATGTCGGATTTAGCATGATCGAGCCCGCCCTACCCTGGGGGTCAACCCTGACAGCCGGGAAGCGTTCTGTGAAATCAGCCCCGGCTTTGTGGTTGAGGACCGCATCCCAGTAGATCCCCATCCCAAGATCTTGCGCGTGGGCTACAAGAGACTGCAGCTCCTCTTTGGTGCCCCATTTGGTAGCCCGCGATCCTTTCTGGTCGAATTCTCCCAGGTCATACAGGTCGTAGACATCATAGCCATTGCCGCACGGGCTCATGGCTTTACTTCCGGGAGGAATCCAGATGTTGTCGATGCCGATGTCTTTGAACCCAGGTAGGGCGCGTTGCAGACGACGCCAATGGCCCTGGTCGGCGGGTACATGCCACTCAAAGGCCTGCAGCATCAACACATTGTCGGGAGCGTCCCATGATGGGAGCTGATCCAACTTGTCGGCTTCTTCTGCTCGGAGTAATCGCGTAAGCTGGAATACTACTGCGCATGCGACAGCTTGGGGAATTGCAAGGGGCTAACCTTCGATCTGTCGCCATAACCGCCGCTCTCGCCTCTTTCTTGGAAAGCAACACGAGAGAAGAGATGACATGGAGGGTTTTGCAGGCCAAGCTTTCAATCTTGCCGAAGAATTCAAAGAGGTGCCAGGACTGGACAGAAGTAAATCTTCCGACTGAGGGATATTATTAGAAGAACGCGCGTTCCGACGGTTGATTTGGATTGAAGATGTATCATTTCTCTAGCCTGTGCAACACGTCATATTGCCGATTCTAAGATGAGTATATAGGAGGTTTCGGCGAAGCCCTATGTCTCCAGGGCTGTCCAGAGGTATTCTATATAGATTGCGGTTTGGCCTGCAAGGAAGTCAAGGAAGTCGACCGTACCCCTGATGTGCCGTCTGTTTTCTTTGGGCAACCCCTTGGGTTTTATACCAGAGAACCAGGGGACCCGTGAAGTGATATGTAGAGCCCAGATCCCTTTGATCGCCAGATATTGAACAGACAGACACAAGTAGGAATCCGATGATGCTGCTGGATGTATCTACCAGTCGCATCGCTGCCAACCGACCAGATCGACCAGATCGCCGTCGGCTTCCCGTTCACCGAAAGGAGAAATTGCGCCAATCAGACGGCGCGCAGAGCGGCTTGGCGGCATCCCAGGGTTGGCGCTGCGATTCGCCGAACCAAGCAAACACCAACTCTGTCGCGATGATTCGGAACATGAAGGGCGATGATATCGATGGCGACAGCACACGGCATTTAGCCGACCATCACCCAGCAGGCTCATGTGAAGCCAACACCGACCTCGCCTTGGGAGTGGTCGAGGCAGGTGTCTGCCTGAGGCGTCACCGGTCGCATCCTCGGTCGCATCCTTGGCACGGAACGGAGGCCTCGGCAGTCCAACCTGCTTGCTACACGGAGTACTGTCCTGAGACATCAAATGCTGGCTTTCATTTCAAGAATGATGTAGGCGCTGTCCTCGCCTTAGATATGTTGATAGCGGATTGGAAACTGCGCCATTTCCCCTCTCAAGGGTCCCGAATCCGCCCGGTGACCGGACCCTATCCCGGGACCGACAGCAGTAGACCACTAACTATCTAGTCAGTAGGCGTCCGGAGGAAATGGTCAACAGTGCAGATGACCGATCCTCCAGGCATCACGAATCCGCCCCTAGCCTTGACATCGACAACACAGCCGGATATCCCAGTGTCCAGGAGTTCCGGCACTCCGTGACGCTGTGGCTGGTTGACCGGGCGATCGGAGTTAACGGTGGCAAGGAGAAGCGGCCACATTGGCCGCGAAAAGTTTTCGGGTTCGGGTGCCGCTAGTGCCAAAGAGAAAGCAGGGCCGCCCATCCCTTTCAAAGCCAGTCCTTTTCTTCCCATCCCAATCTCTGCAAAGCTTCAATCGCTTCCCTCTCTCCTCCCCCCCCCCCCCCTCCCCCCAATCTCCACACTCTCCTCTCCTCTCCTCTCGGTTTCTATTCCTTCTTCATCTCCTATCACATACACAATGGCCGCCAACGCTAAGGTGGAGGCGCCTGCCGCCCCCGCTGCTCCCCAGCTCTCCGGCCTCCAGCTGTACTCCAGATTCGCCTTCGCTGGTGCTGTCTGCTGCTCCGTCACCCACGGTGCTCTCACTCCCGTCGATGTGTAAGTCGGATCATCATGCCGCCTGTGTCGCTACTCGAACGCGCCCTGTTCCGCCCTCGTGCGCGCTCGATTGCCGCTACCCATCGACTCTCTCAAGCCCGTGCTGACGTGCCTTTCGTCTCCAGCGTCAAGACCAGAATCCAGCTTGACCCCGTCACCTACAACCGTGGTATGATCGGTGGCTTCAAGCAGGTCATTGCCAACGAGGGTGCTGGCGCTCTCCTCACTGGTCTCGGCCCCACTGCCGCCGGTTACTTCCTCCAGGGTGCCTTCAAGTTCGGTGGTTACGAGTTCTTCAAGCAGCAGTGGATCAACCAGCTTGGTCTCGAGACTGCCTCCAACAACCGCACCGCCATCTACCTTGCCTCTTCCGCCGCCGCCGAGTTCTTCGCTGATATCGCTCTCTGCCCCCTTGAGGCTACCCGTATCCGTCTCGTCTCCCAGCCTACCTTCGCTACCGGTCTCGTCAGCGGTTTCGGCAAGATCCTCAAGACTGAGGGTGTCGGTGCTTTCTACTCTGGTTTCGGTCCCATTCTCTTCAAGCAGTAAGTGTCCTCGGCCACGCAGACCGCGCGCCCCCCTCCCCCGGCTAATCTGTTCCCGCAGGGTCCCCTACACTATGTCCAAGTTCGTCGTCTTCGAGAAGGCTGCTGAGGCTATCTACGGCTTCGTCGACAAGGAGACTGCCAGCGACGGTACCAAGACTGCTATCAACCTCGGCTCTGGTCTCATTGCTGGTTTCGCTGCTGCCCTTGTTTCCCAGCCTGCGGACACCATGCTGTCCAAGATCAACAAGACGCCAGGTGAGCCCGGCGAGGGCACTATCTCCCGTTTGGTCAAGATCGGCAAGGAACTCGGCCTCAAGGGCTCCTACGCCGGTATCGGCGCCCGTCTCTTCATGGTCGGTACCCTGACGGCGGGCCAGTTCGCCATCTACGGTGACATCAAGCGTTTGTTGGGAGCCACAGGCGGCGTGGAAATCTCCAAATAAGCGCCGAGAGTGACTTCATTTGGTGTATTATAATGCTCACTAGATTTGCGTATACCGTTTCCAATAGATTTTCCTGTTAGAAGGAAGAGTCTGATACTATGTGCCGTGATTTAGACCGAGCAAAAGAATGATATCCTTGTTCTCAATCTTAATCCTTTGTCCCTGTGGGGTTCGTGTAAAAGGCCATGTTCTGGCAGCTACTACTACTAGTATTGGCGCGAAAATCGATACCCTTAAGTTGTTCGGTTGCAGTCCTTTGTTCTACCGCGCAAATAACTGTTCACTTCAGGGTCTTCGTATATGATATATATACGCGTAGTACTTTATAAGAAGATGCGTGGCTAGACCACCGGGCGATGCCCAATTATTCTGTCCAGTCACGCGTACAGCAAGAATAAACCACGCATAAGAAGACCCAAGTTACCCCCCCCCCAAAACACTACGCACTCGTCAAGACGGGAAAGGCCATCGTCCTCTACAGCTCTTCCATGTACTAGTTATATCTTAGCTGATGCCTCGGCAAAAGGTACATTGAGCACAACTAAGTCTCTTCGCATCCACGATAATAACAATCACATAGTACATACACTTTTCATGCTATCTATCTACCACCACCTGCCCCGATCTCGGCCTCCCCCGTCTCACCCCCAATTTATTACCCTTTTTTTTTATAGTCAGTCCCTCTTAACCCCCACCATCCCCCCATTCCTCAACCCCACAAACACAACCACCAACACCGTCGCCGCACTCGCAAACACCGTCCAGAACGCCCCCCGGTACCCCTTCATCAGTGCCTGCCTCTCGTCCAGCCCCGCGGATGGGGACGTGGATGTGGACGTGGACGCGTTCGCGTGCTCCGTGATCGACGCCGCAATCGCCGCCGTGACCGCCAGTCCAACCGAGTTCCCGAACTGCGCGACCTCGTTGAAGACGCCGCCCGCCAGGGACTGGATGTCTGGGGGGAAGGCGTCGGAGATGACGAGGTTGGAGACGGTGAAGAGGACTTTTTTTTTTTTTCAGCAGAGTATTTATTTGATTGGGATTGCGTGGGTTTGCGGGAAGAGAAAGGAAAGCAAACGAAAGGAAAGGAAAGAAAAGCAAACGAAAGGAAAGGAAAGCAAAGGAAAGGAAAGGAAAGGAAAGGAAAGGAAAGGGGGAAAGTACCATCCGGGTTCATGGGCGAGAGGAATAACGCCCAGAAAGGCGCGAGCCAGAAACTCTCGTCGATGCGTACGGTGGCCATCAGGATCGGAGCGATCAGGGTGATTAGCGCGGAGACGGTGGCGAGGATTTGGATGCGGACGCGTGCGATCAGGATCGCGGTTATGATGTTCACGGATACGCCCATGATGACGTGCGGGAGGAAGCGGAGGGAGCTTTGGAGGGCGGAGAGGCCTTGGATGTTTTGGAAGCTGGGGGAGGGGGGAGGGTGAGTGGTTAGGGTTAGGGCAGTGAAGTGAGGTGAGGGTTGGGTTTGGTGAGTGGGTATCTTGATGGAAGGGGGTTGTTGACTTACTATAGGGTGGCAAAGTACTCGAGGCTGTTCAGCGAGGCCCAGCAGAAGAAGACCGAGATGCAGATGGAGGTGAACGAGGGGTTTCGCCAGAGCTTGTTGGGGATCAGGGCTGGTCGGGAGTGTTTTGTCTGGTGGTGGATCCAGAAGGGGAACGCGACGAGGAGGGAGATGGAGAGCACGAGCAGGACGATGTTCTGCGCCTCGCCGATGTTGCGGTACGACGAGGTCGTCATCGCGAGCACATACATCAGAAGACCGAGGCCGACGCTGATGAGCACCGCACCCAGCCAGTCGACTTCCTCGATCAGACGGCGCTTCCGGCTTTTGCTGGACACGGTGGGAATCGACGGAAGCGACCAGATCGAGGCCATCGACAGGCCGAAATTGATGATCGCCATCATATAGTATGCCCATCTCCATCCCACGGTGTCCGTGAAGATGCCCCCGAGGACCAGACCGAGGGCATAGCCGAGAGGCTGGCCCATCCCGTTCATCGCGAACGCCGTGTTCCTCCATGGCCCCCGGGGGAAGGTGTGGGTGATCAGCCCGACGGCCGTGGGCAGACACATGGAGATAGCGATGCCCAGAAAGGTCCTGAACAGAATCATCTGGAGGCCCGTCCGCGACAGTCCGATTGCGAGGGTGAGGACGACATACAGGAAACTCCCAGTTACCCACAGCAGCTTGGCGCCGATGATATCGGCCACGGCCCCAAATATCAACAGCAGGCAGCCTGCCGCGAGGGCGTAAACGGCAGCGGGCCACAGGATCAGGCCGTCGGGTATGCCGATATCTTGTGCGATTCGGGGGAGGGCGGCGATGAGAATGCCCGAGCCCATCGTGTTCAGGAAGCTGACTCCGGCTAGGGTGACGATCACCGTGACACCCTTGGCTGTCGATACTGCGCGGATGGGTGGTTCCGAGGAACCGTTGTCTTCGCCTGAGAGTCTGAGGATTATGGGAGGTTCATCTTGCTCTTCGAAGCTGTGATGGGTTTCGAGAACGATGGTCTCCGTCCCCGTTCGCTGTCCCTGGAACGATGCGCGTTGTTCGACCGCGAACGAGCTGGGGTCTTTAGAGCGACTGCTTGTGGACGCCATTTTGAGCAGGAAAGATGCCTCAGACGAAGGCGTTGCTGATGGATGTCGCAACTGTCGACTCTGTGGGCCATTCTCGGTGGTATATTTAACTCGTGTCGATTATCAACCGATGATCGGTAATGTCGAGATGTCAGCTTTCGACCGCCGCGGAACAAACCCGTTCTCGACTGGGAATATGTCAGCGCCAACCACTACCTAACCAAGGCATCTTTTGGCATGTAAGCTTCCTTGGCGCAGCTTTATCTTATCGGAAGCAAGATTACTGGTCGATCGAGGAGTATGTCAGACGGCGACACTGGTTGGTTGATACGTGTAGGGCTAATTTGCTGGCTGTTTGTGATTGGCATAGAAGATATAGGCGGAGCTGCTGTCTTAGGGCTTCGGACAGATACACTGACTCGCTATCGTCATCAAACTGAACAGACTGGTACAACGTTGCCTTACAGCTGGAAGACGTTGCATGTTCTACATTCAGACAGAAATGCAGAATGGTATATGATGTCTTTGGACTAGGCTGCATGCTTTTTTGGCAGTTGTCTTATTCCATCCGGTTCGCACTATTTGTTCCCGGTTCACTACTTATATCCAGTGACTCTGATCCATACCTTCCAGATATTGATATCACATGGCTGCATCTTCAAGTTCATACCATCGTCTGGGCTGGCTTGAGTCTATCTGTTTGCTTCTCCCCATTCACTTCTCACCTTCTACACGATTCCACCTACACACCGCACTCCCACCCCTCGAAGTGAATATCATCATGTTGCCTTTGTTTCAGGCTTCATGTCTTTGTTCCCCTCTAGGCAACCGATCCAGGGATGAGGATAGCTTCAAGCATTCACTATACATCTTAATAACTCTCGCCTATATAAAGGTCCTCCTCGCCCCCGATCCCTCCTCTCTCTCTCTCCCTCTCTCTCCCCCTCTCTCTCTCCCCATCCTGCATCATCTTCCTGCGCGTGGATCGTTGACTCTCATCTTCAACCATCGAGATCGATCGAGTATCGTTCCTGCACTCCCACAAAGCCACCTTCCCAATATCTCTGAGATCTCCAATCCTTCAGCTTCAAAAGCCCGATCCTCTCAGGCCCGAGCGGGTCTTCTCGCTCTTCAAATCCACCTCCACATACCCACCTCATCATCACCTCCCTCTCCACCGTTCAAAGCAGACCACCAGCTCCCGCGCGAGCTCCAATCGATCTCCCACCTCAGAGACATCCGCAAGCCCCATTCCACTAGATCAAGCCATCAGAAATAGTATCCAACCTAGGAATCATGAACAAACTCCCAGTTGAACTGGCGTTGATGGTCGGGGAGTCTCTCAGAAAGCAAGAGGACGTACTCTCGCTGATGAAAACAAGCCACCGCTTCCATAGCCTCCTTGAGCCCACCCTCTTCTCCCACCCGATCAGTATCCGTACATTCGCAGCTCGACACCTCCCCCTAGTCAAAAGCCTCTGGCTGTGCCCCCATCTCGCCCGACGCGTCCAATCCCTCTGGATCCACGTCGGCCAGCCCCAGGCGAGCTCAGTCCGCTACGCCCCCCTACTCTACCGGGGCCGACTGAACGAATTCATCGAAAAGGTGACCACCACGCTGACCACGGCCGACGAATACCGCAGCCGGGCGACCTGGACCAAAAAGCTGAGATCTCTCTGCCCCGAAGCCTGGCTCGCCGCCATGGTGGTGCCGCTCACCAACCTCAAATACCTGACGTTCGGCGGCGGCGCAGAGAACCCCTATTTCCTGCAACTCATGCAGAAGGCCGCGCTGCGCCGCCGTCCGTTCCACGAGGACCCTCCGTTCCGGCGTCTGGAGAAAGTCGTCGCGGTGCGGTATGACTGCGATGACGAGATCGAGTCGCACGCGCTGGCCCCGTTCTTCTATTTCCCCGCCGTGCGCTCCATCGCCGGACGCCAGATCCACGAGTCCCCCAGCGTGGAGTTCGATACCTCCCTGGTCCGGCATGCCTCGCGGCCGGTGACCCGCATCGAGGCCCTCGAGGTCAACGAGTGCCGTGGTCTTTCGCACTGGTTGCACGCGTGCGACAAGCTCGAGTATGTCCATGTCGAGGTGTCCGGGGCTTCGGACGAGTATGTGCCGTTCAATGGGACGGAGTTCTATAATACCCTCTTGCCGTCGAAGCGGACTCTCAAGTATCTTCATCTGGAGTATGACACGTTGTTTCAGGTCGAGTTGAATATCGATCACGACTTGGCACTGGAGGATAACCTCCCCTTTGGCACTATGAAGGAGTTCACCGCGCTGGAGGTCCTCTGTGTTCGGCATGCTCATCTGCAGGGCTTCGTGGAGGAGATTGATGATGACGACGAGGAGGCGTTGATCAACAAGCTGCCGAGCTCGTTGAGGAGTCTGATGATTTATGATGTGGTGGATCATTATTATCCGGAGCTGTTGGCGGGGCTGCTGTCTGTCGTGGAGAATACAGAGTCGTTCCCCAATCTGGAGACTCTCATCCTCTGTCGCAGGGATAAGGATACTTTTATGGCCAGGGCCGTGAAGCGCGCCTGTGAGAAACGCGGCATGCAGTTTGAAGTTAGGTTTTTGTAGTTGCTGGGTGGATGGGATGTTTGGGGATTTTTAGTGTGTTGTTGTTGTTGTTGGGTTGTTTTCGGTTGACGCGGTGGAAAGAAGGAAATTGGATCTTTATCGTTGGAAGGAATGGTTTGGTGTTAAAGAAAGGCTCTGTGTGTTGAATGATGCTCTGGTTTGAACAGTTGCTTTGGCTTTGCTGTTGACGGAATGGAATGCTTTTCTTGAACCAAATCGAGACAAAGAATGTATCCTGGCAAAAGGATGTATGTACCGGATTGGAGACTACCATCTCTACTCTCTACTCCCTATCACTACTACTTACATTAGTATCAGTCTGAACAACCCAACCCCCTCCCCTCCAACCCACACACATCTAATACCCCCCCCCCAGTAAATAATCCACACTTATCCTCTTGTAGTGTAGACAAACCTCGTGTCCTGTACAACCCCATCCATCCGTCCTTGTCAGCAAAGCCCGTCCGTGTCCTCCAACCCCCGTATGTGTCCCACCGTCGAAGCAACCGGGTTGGCTAGAGAGAGTTTTCAAGCTGAGCTTGTTGTCTGCACGATGATGAAGGTTCTGACACTGACACTGACACTGACGCCCTTTTGCCATCTAGCGTCCTGGCCAATCTTGTTTCGGGTTGTGCGGGGTTCGCGTGAAATAGGTGGCTGGAAATGGTATTTCTTTCCTGTGGCCGGGGGTTGCTTGGTTTGCTTGGATGGGGAGAGTTGGGTTGGGTGGGATGTTAGGGTTAGGGGTGATCTTTGCTCGTCCAGTTTAGATATCATCCCCAATGGGAGGGGGAGATTGAGGGAGTTTTGTATGACTTCATCCCAGTCTTTCGGATGTTTTGGATCTTAACTACCCTGCTAACTACCATGTTATGTCGTGACGGGGATGGTGCAACTTAGTCTGGGGTGTAGTTGGACGATGCAGGCAGGGCACGCTGAGAGAGAAACGAGCATATATACTACCCCCGCTTGTCTCCATCAGGGCCCTATTCCATGGCCCTATTCCATCGAACTCATTTATTCGTCCATCCAAGTCTTTCGTCAACTGCGTGTAAACCTCAACCCCCTCCTCCCAAACTAGACAGCTCATACATTCCCTCCCCACAAACACAACGACCACCAAAATGGACCCCTCAACCCCCCGCCCCCTCAAACACGCCTTCGACGCCGTCACCGCCGGCGCCCCAGCCCGCGAACACACGACCTTCCACTTCCTCGCCTCCTCCATCCCCGGCTTCGAAGCCTCCCACACCCTCGACCCCCAGGAACACAAAGTCCCCTGGAAGACCGCCTTTCCGGCGTCGCTGCAGTCCAAGCACTGGGCAGCAGCCGAAGAGTCCGCCCGCGAGCTCATGCAGGCCATCCTCGCCGCGAAGGCTGCAGACGAGCAGGGCGTTCTGCCCCGCGAGTGGCACGCGGATACCGACGAGGCCAGCAAGAAGGAGATCGAGCTGGTCGATACGGCGGTCGCGGCCCCGATTAATATGTTTCCGGCGGCGAGCGAGGAGCGCATGCGGATTATGGCGAAGGCGAATTTGTTGATTTTTATGCACGATGGTGTGTATTGTTATTCTTTCCGGGGTGGTGGGATACTGAGATAGTGTGGCTGATGTGGCTGATGGTGTAGATGTTATCGAGTCGCATATTTCGGATGTGGTGAGTGAGTCACTGTCCTGTTGAGTGTAGAGAAAGAGAGTTGATGATTTGTCTCAGGGAAACACGATCATCGACGACGCCCTGGCCGACTGGAACACCGACGCAAGCGTCCCAGACGACTGGCGGAACCAGCTATTCCGCAGCCTCGTCCGCGAGGCCGTGGCAAGCGACGCCCAGAACGGCCGCGAGCTGGTCGAGGGCATGCTGACCTGGGTGCGACACACGCGCTCCAAGCCCATGCGCGAACTGGCCTTTGACTCGTGGGACGAGTATCTGCAGTATCGCGCGGGCGACTCTGCAGTCGAGTACGCATCCATCCATCCATCCATCCATCCATCCGCGTAGTATAAAAAGGCACAAGAGAACAAATCTAACAACCCCTTCCCTTCGCCCTGTATTGTAGGTTCTGCACCGCTGCAGTCAAATTCACCTGCGACGTCAAGATCACCCCGGAGGAAATGAAACCCCTCGAGCATCTGCACAAGCTCTGGATCGCGCATTTCGCCCTGACGAACGACCTCCACTCCTACCATAAGGAGATCCTGGAGACACAGGAGTCCGGCACTGCGCTGGTCAACGGCATCGCCGTCCTGCAGCGCATCCTGCGTGTGTCCGCCCATGGCGCGCGACGTGTCCTGCGTGAGATCTTGAATGATGTCGAGCATCAGATTGATCGGGAGTATGCGGCTTTGCAGGCTGCCGGGCTAAATGAGCAGCAGGAGCGGATGGTTCGCGGCATGATTGTTTGTCTGGCGGGGAATGCGTTGCATTCGGCGACTACGTATCGGTATGCGAGGGCTGTTCCGGGGTCGGAGAGGAAGGATTGATTGATCGTTGATGAGATGGGTTGAGAGGGTGGGTTTGTTGTTTGTTGTTTGGTTGTGAGGTAGGGCTTAACATGTCATGTCGGACCTTGATTCAACATCAAGTGTCTTTGGGTGGACGGTCTTGTTTTCTGGGCTGTTTTCAGTGGAATATTATTACTATTATTGGCTTGCTTAATTTTGAATAAGACACAGCTGTCTGGGTCGTTTGTTGGGAGTATTGAGCGGGAGTTCTCCCTTTGTCTCAGTGGTCTCCTGTTGTCATCCTTGCAGCAAGGCCCATTCCAAAACCACCCGACAAGAAAAAAACACCGGACATCAGTCTTACGGTGTTTAAAATCTCACCAAGAGCCAGGTTCGACCCAACGTGACCACAAAGAAAACATGATGCCTTCTAGGTTTGCAGATCATCCGGCATCAGAAGACTCTAACAAGAGATAGAGAAATCACTCTCACCGATATTCATATCCTCGATACGAGTCAGTGCAAAACAAAGATCAACAGACCGTTGAAACTCCGTAGAAAGGATTGATCTCCAAGAGGCACTTTACTAACCATCTAACACCCCCTCCAACCAGACAGACAGACAGACAGACACCAACCCCCTCGGCAAAGTGGCTGGCAGGCTGCAAATCCGGATCCTTTGGACCGTCAGCCCAGCTTATCTGCACTCTGCAGAGTGCAGGCTCATATGACCGTGCCTGTGGCCTGTGCTTTTCCCGCTAGGCATCCATCATTGGCCCGCATCGCCCAGCCATCCGAAGTTTCATCGTCGGTTCTGATGCGACGACAGTCCAGAGATTCGTGGACCGATCGGGGCAGCAGGATTCGACTGCTAACGGTTTGACCAGACCGACCATCCATCCTTCCTGCCATTGACCGCCGCGGATAGAAATTCGAGACCCTGTGGCCCGGGGTGTTGGCCCCTATTCGGATCCTTTGCGAGGTGGGGTGGTCTTTGCTCTGTCTGATCCGACCTTAATGCTCCGTGTTATTATGTTTCTTCACCCATTCCCTGTGACTGATCTAATCAATTCGACCGACTAATAGTCAGTAGGCATGGCTTGGCGCCTAGGACTAGTCTATCTAGTCTGTCCTTAGTATAGTAGTCAGTTAGTCAGGCAGGCTTGCTCCACTAGTCGGTCGGACTCAGTCTTTTTCAGCTGGGTTGCCAGATTCATGAGCTCTCGAAAGCTGACTGGATGAGGGGGGAAGCAAAGAGGTCAGGCACACACGTGCGGAATGTTTGCCTGCAGAAGCCCGTGGCGGAGCGATGCGAGGAAGCGAGGAAGCGAGGATCGACGAGGTGTTCGGCCGCAGACTAAAAGCCCACGCAGGAAATGAAGGACCCGCGACGGCCCCCCCCATTCGCCCAAACCCGCATTGCTGCCGCCCGTCAGCCTTCTTTCTATATTTGGCCTTCACTTCCCTCGGCCTGGACTCCGACTTTGTCTCTTCATCATGACTTCCCTGTAACTCCATCCTTCAACCGCAGTCATGAATATGCGGCATATCATCACCACTCGTTAGATCCGCAATCGTGATCATCGCTCCGTCCTCTCAGTCTTCACACTCAATCCAGATTAGCACCACCACAACAGATCGTCTGGTGTCTGTCGCACACGAACACCGCAATGTCGTATACAGTCCCCTCCACGGTCTCATTATCCACATACGGATGGGAGCCCACTCCCACGCCCTCCCACCAATCCTACATCCCGCCCCCCGTGTCGCAAGAAGAACAGACCGACGAAGAGACCGTGAGCGCATTGTGGAGATTCCTCGCGGCGTGTTCGTCGCATCTCGTGCTAGTGGGGTGTGTCCCCCCTCCTCCCCCACCATAACCATGAAGCAAAAAAAAAAAACAACCTCTAACCAAACTACAGATTCCTCGTCATGCCCATGGCATTTGGACTCGAAACCACAAATTCGCACATCGACAAGGTATCCACAACCATCGCCGCCTCCGTCCTAATAGCGATCGGATACACCCTCTCCCTCATGCTTGTCTGTTTCCAGCATCAAGAACAGCCATATCTTCTCCATTCTCTTTTCCTGTATGTGCCACCATCACCACCACCCAACCCTCCCCCAACCCTCCCCCAAACCCCCACATCTCCCTTTCTAACCCACAACACAAGACCATGCATAACAACCAACCTCCTCTCCCTCCTCAACCTCCTCCTCCACATCTTCACCCGCAACCTCCTCCCCCTCGGCTCCCTCGAAACCGCCAGCCTGAGTCTCCCCGCCGTCTTCACCATCCTCTACGCCATGGGCGCGCTCTGGACCTCCGTCACCGTCACCATCGAGCCCGCGGGCGTCCGTGACCGCGACCACGCAAGCCCGCTCCTCACCGAGGAGGAAATGCAGCGTCAGCAGCTGCAGCGGCTCTTGCTGGATCGGAAGTCCCGCAAGGGTCCGAGTCCGAGGATCGCCCAGAAGACGTTTTCCGTAAATGCCCCGGAGAGGATTAATCCGGGCAAGGGGTGGGATACGTTTACGCCGGATGGCAGGGATGAGGGGGGGCTCTGGCGGAGGTAAGGGGGTGGATGGATGTATCTATCTATCTATCTAGCTGATATCTATCCATGGTGGATTTGAATCCATAGTCCCCCCTCGTGAAGGAAACGAAATATCGGCTTGCTTAGTTTATATATATATACCCCTGTTCTAATTACGAATGATATCAAACCTGTCTGGATAGATACCCTAGTACGGAGTAGATGGGATATAGCTGAGTCGAGTCCTAGGAATTACATCTCGTACTTAGACTTAGTTGATTAAAAAACAGCTTATATTGTATGTACGTATGTATGTAGGTAAGTAACGAGGGAACATTCTCCACCTGCCGGTGGGGCTTGTGCAGACCCCGAACGCCTCGGACATTAACTAAGCTCATCCTACTGGATACTTACGGACGGAACCATGGTTGCACAGTTGGGTAAAACTTGAGCAGCTGGCTGTCTGTTCGGGCCACGACACGGGGTGGTACTAAACCGTATCCACACATATCGAAAATAATAAAGTTGGAATTCTGAACCCCCCAATGCAGATACTATAGATATTCTTCGGCTCCTGGGTAGAAGCAGGGCCAACGCCATCATTCTAATCCAGTAAATTCGGTCATGGGTGTTGCACGGAAACGGCGAGATAAGTAGATGCCTCTGCACATTCATTCTCTGCAGGATTGCGTCAAGGGTAGATAGAGCATGCGAGGCCCAAAGCAGGACATTGATTGCTGTAAGACCCGGAATACCCCGGATAGGTCCTCCTTCTGGCAATTGCAACACACCCCGAAAGATTAAGATCCTGTGGTGTGAGTATATGCAGCTTGGCGCAAGTCGGGCTGGGTTCTTCATCCCCAGCTTCTTAACGCGCTTTGTCATGATTATCATATGGGAAGTTGTCTGTTCTCTCCTTCTTCCGGTATAGGTATACAAGGACAGGTTTGTTCCCGCGGTGTTTATAAAGACTTTCTCCATCTCTAGCAGACATCTAGTTCATCGACTGCGACTGCCACGAGATCAAAAGTCCGTGCGAGAGATGAGATAATAATCGGAACGTCCTCGCTGGCATCGGTTAACGCGGAGTCCAAAGCCGGGTTGTAGAAATGGTATTTGATGGTTTGGGTGGGAATTCCGCTTTGTACGTATAGTAACTAACGGAGGGACCGCAAAACAGGCTTCCCTGATGTTCTGCAGGTGGTCGCTTCCCCCCCCCCCCCCCCTGATTCAAGTCATGAGAAGTGTTTACGCCATTCTCCATCCTAGCCAGAGATATAAATATGTCGCTGTATTCTCTCCATCCTTGCGAAGATGGAGATGTAGACTTCGCATCCATCACCGGATATAAGAATGCGAATATCTCGCCAAGTACTGTCGGGTTCATGACACTGGATTTCAAACTCGAATATGCACGATATCTTTGTCCAGAATAGATGAAAAGATATTCAAATACAGTGCATAATATAACATATGGGATGGATTAGGTCAAAGACCTGAGCGAGGGGTTCGGGCGTTTTTAGGAAGCCCTTAGTGGGAGTTCTCATTTTGCCTCGGCGGTCTTCTTGTCACATTAACTCTCTGATAAAGAGGGCTGGTCGGGTTGACTGCCGTTGTTGTGGTCTGGTGAGGGGATGATGGAGGAGGGATGGAGAGGAAGGTTGAGGTTGGGGAAGATATAATGGTTGAGATTAGCTTAGAGTGACTATGACTGGGGAAGGTCATGTTCATTGGATCCTTGAAGATCTTCACTGTCTTTTCCAGGAGATGATATTCAATACTACTGCTGGAATGAAATATCCGATTATACTAGCCATCCCATCAACAGTGAATACTACATTATCCGATATCTCAGGAAACATACCTTGACAAGTAAGATACATCCATAGCATAATTATTTTTACCCTCATATCGCATCAAAAACACCCACACCAATCCCATACAATATACACAGAATACAGCCCGCCCGAGAAAAAAAAAAAAAAAAAAAAAGCCCTAAGCCTTCCGCAAAAACGCAATCGAATCCAACTGCTTCGCCTCCCCCACACTCAGACTAATCTCCTTCAGCTCCTCCAACTCCCTCCGAATCTTCTCCACCTCCATCGAAATCATGCCATACGAATCCGCGCCCAACGGCACCCGGATCGGGATGCGTTCCCCGCGACTCACAAGGCGATACAACGCCCCGGCAACAGCCTCCGGCTCCGCCCACGAGCTCCGACTCTCCGGCCGGCTCTTATACCCCAGCAGCATATTCGTCGGATAGCTCGGATCCGCAGCATACGCGGGATGTCGCCCGTTGGCCATCATCTTCGCACTCGAAGTCGCATAATTCGTCTTGACGCCGCCGGGCTCGATGTTGCACAGGTGGACTGCCCAAATTAGTTAGCACCTGGGATCCCTCCTCAAACATGGAAATAATGATAGCAGCTTAGCAGCTGGCTGGCTTACTATTCCACTCCGCTGGCATCTCCTTCGCCACCGACTCCGTCCACCCCTCCATCGCAAACTTGCTCGCATGGTAAAACGCACTCCCCGGGAACCCAATGAACCCGCCCAGCGAACTGATATTCAGGATCACCCCGCCCCGCGCGCCACCGTTTCGGGAGTTTTCTTCTCGCATGATCCCCAGAACGGGTTTCGTGAGGTTCACCATCCCCCAGAAGTTCGTGTCGAAGAGGGCTCGCGATTCTTCGTCTGAGGCTACTTCGGTGTCGCCTTCCAGTGTGTATCCCGCGTTGTTGACCAAGACGTCGATTCGTCCGAACTGGGTGAGGGTGGCGGTGATGGCCGACTGGATGGAGGGGAGGGAGGTCACGTCCAGGCCGAGTTTGAGGATGTTAGGGCTGGTGGGGAGGGTTGAGAGGGAGGCTGGCTTGCGGGCGGTTGCGACGAGGCGGTGCGGTGTGCGTGCGAGGTGTTGGGAGAGGGAGTGGCCGATGCCCGAGGAGCAGCCGGTGACTGCAGTGGGTGGGTGGGTTTAGGTTAGGGTTGTGGTGGGTTGGATAACTAGGATAGGATGGGGGGTGGATGGTGTGTGGCTTACTGAACCAGACCGCGTCGGCGGGGAGGTGGTAGGGCTTTGTGTTGGAGGCGTCCATTGTGAGAGTTGCGCTTCGATGTATATTGTTTGAGGATGATCGATTGATTTCCTCGACAAAGAACAGACCGTCGGGTCTTTTTATATACGAGAAGACAGTCGGTTGGTGGCTTACTGGCACTCTCCATCCGTCAGCCACGGGGACTAAATCCGGCCCGTAGCTTAAATCCTTCTAAACCCGACGTCAGCCACCAAATACGAGGGCTGTCTCTATTTGCCTCTATATTTACAGGATATTAGTCCCTGGGCGAGCTGCTTTGTTTTTTCTAGCCGAATCTACTTTTGTCCATCTGCTTACCAAGTTGCGTGGTATGTGCTTTAGCTTGGCGCTTTGGATGTCTGGATGTCGAATATGAGGCTACTGCTGGATTCTGATCACTCTGTTCCGCTGACATCAAGAACAATTATTCTGTAGAAAGCAAATGCCTATTCGGAGACAGAAGCTTGGCCAATAGTTATTTTTGAGTGATCTGGTGACGTCCCAATAATTGACACACCCTTATTTCCAGGCCGGGAAGGTAACGATCATGTGACTGTATTTACGGTACACCCCACCCCGCACACCGATTCAAACTAGCCAGCCTGCGCGCATGGTAAAGGATGTGTATCATTTCTTGGGGTGTCTCATATCGTTCGACTTCGGCCAGAGCCAAGCTTGTACAGGTGCTGGTGTTTTTATTACTAGCGATGAGAGTATCTCTACGCTACACTGACATGTTTGGATTATTCAAGTTCAATCATTGGAGACAAACAAATTTCAAAACTAACTTCTGCTGAAGAGATCCAGTTGCTGGACAGACACATCGACTACGAACAAAAGGAAAACTGGCAGATTATCAGTGAAGGATCTAAAGGGGGTACTACCAACTTTTTGAGATCCCTAGACAGTTCCAGCCGAAGCTGCTTATCTTTTTTTTTTTTTTTTTTTTTTTTTTTTTTGCACCCCTGTACTACAGTCCCATACGGGCTACTCAAAAATTCCGTTCTAAGCCACTGACATTCTCCAAATTCACAAGAAGATAAAAAGAAAAAGAAAAAAGAAAGAAAAAATAGGGGGCAAGGATTGAGAAAATGCATCTTAGTATAGGAACATGTACATTAAATCATCATTGCCATTACTTAGCCAATGGGCAATACCATCGAAGATCCGAACCATGCTCAACTGCAAAAGGGGCAGGCAGTAGTACAAATTTCTCCGAACCGCTAAGAGCAGACAAGCAATGCCAAGTTTTTTTCTGACAGCGTTACTTGAAAAGAAGGGCATCCCTAGTTATCTACTCCGCAAGGACTTTTTCATTTCTAGAATAATAACATGAGTGGAATCGAATCCGCAGGGCGTACTTTGTAGTATCAACCTATGAGGTCATATTATCACCTCCCTGCAAACGCGACCAGGTCCCATTCTTCACACTATGAGGACGACTAACAAAACGCAGAGCCCTCATCACTCACACACACACACACACACACTAACCAAGCATTCCCCCCCCCCCTGTCATAGTAAGTTCAAACAAGCCCCGCGGGCCGCACTGTGGGGACTTGGAAACTGGAAAGACCGGTTAGGGCACCCGGAGATAGTGGCGGATTTATGGCCATGGCCGATGGTCGCCCTCCCTCCCTCTCTCCCTCTCTCTCTCTCGGGCTTGTTCTCGGCCTCCGGTGGCCTTCCAGCTATAAAGTAACTCCCATCAAACTAACCGATGACCACCATAGCAACCCCAAGCAGTCGAGAATCAATCAATCGATCAGAAAAAAAAAATCATAATGTCCTTCCCAACCAGCCTCTCCTCCCTCCCTCAACGCGAGGCCATCGTCGACGCGCTCTACCGCTGCGTCCTCGCCTTCGATACCGCCGATCTCCCCCTCCTCGAATCGGCCTTCTACCCCGATGCCACTTTTGACATGAACGGAGCCGTCATGGCTGGCGTCCCTGCCATCCGCACCGGCTGTTACGACAAGGTCTCCAAGCTGGATACCACCCACTTCCTGAGCAATGTCCGGGTGAATCTGGTGGAGGGTGAAAATAAGGCCAAGGTGACGGCGTCGGCGCTGGCGCAACATTATCGTCCCGGTCAGGGGAATGAGCCTGGTGCTACAAGGCTGATGAGTGGGAGTTTGTACTTTGTTGATGTGGAGAAGGATGAGTCGGATGGTGGATTGTGGAAGGTTAGGAGCTGGAAGATGAAGTTGGTTTGGACGGAGGGGGATTGGGGGGTCATGACTGAGAATTAGAGTTGGGGGATTAGATTTGCAGGTGGATATCGTGATGACAAGGTTATATAGAGGAGGGAAATGCTTGCTATTTGTGAAGTTGAAGAAGAAGATAAATATGAGACATTCAATGTGGACAAAAGCCGTCCAGGGGTTAGATTTGCTTCGCAAACCTAGATGACTCGGATCTACTCTGGACAAGATCCTCTGTTTAAAAAAGAAACCACAATCCAAATATCCTGTCCATCTCCCTTGAATCTACCGCGGATTATTCATCCGGTAAAAATACATCCTTCGCCCAATCCCCGGCCGAGGACCTCCATCCCAGACTACCAGCCGAATAACCTCATCCTGACATCAACCCAAACCCTAGCAAGCCATAACCAAACCCCTCCACCTCATAATTCCCGATTCATCAATACAACCTCCTATTTCCATTCCTCCACATTTACCCCACACTTACCTCCTTTTCTCTCTCCCCCCTCCTTCATCCTCCCCATCCACCATAAGCCTACAATCCCACACCCACACAACCACCATCACCATCACCATCACCGCCATTACAACCATCACAACCACCACCACCACAACAACAACAACCCCAACCAAACAAAACATACTCAACCCACCCAAATGCCCACCACAACCACAAACCCCCCCCACGGCGGACCGGGCGGCTCCCCCTTCAACACGCCGCACAACAAGCCCATCCGAGCGATCCGCACCTGGACGGGGCCCAAAACCGACGACCACGTGTCCGTGATCAAAGGACTGGAAGTCTTCTGGGACGACGACGACACCGGCATAGCGCACTTCGTGGTGGGCACGCGGCGCGGCGAGCAGGACACCATCGAGTTCGACCACGGCGAGGTCATCATCGAGATGTCCATCTGGGCCGGGTCCAGGGTCGATTCGATCCATATTCGCACCGAGAGCGGTCATACCTTTGATGCTGGCGGCGCGAGTGGCACGTGCTATGCCCAGGAGAAGTTGGGGAACGGCATCCTCTATGGGTTTTTGGGCAGGTCGGGCGAGGATGTGGATGCTTTGGGGACGTATTTTCATGTTTAGGTGGGGTGGAGGATGAGGAGAGATAATGTTTGCGAGATGGGATGTGATGGGGTGGGTTTGGCGACAGGGGTGCGAAAGAAGAGGATCATACCTGTATTCTTGATGCGTGCTGCATAGGGCTCTGCGAGAGAACTGCTTTTTAATCCATTCTGCATCACACAATTTGCCAATACTATACTTGATATGATCTTCTGTCTCTCTGCGTAGCATTTGGGCGGCTTTCAGACACTAAGATTGTCAATGCATTGCTCTCTATATTGCAAGGCGAAAGACCATCTATCTTTATCCCGCAATTTCTCCCCGGAAAAGGATGGGCCTCCACTTCATGGTGAGCAAACTTATCGAATTCAGAATTTAGACACTAGAATTAATCATAGGAATGGCCCGTCCGTAGTACAGTACTCTAGCTAACCTCGAAATGCCAAAACCTCTTCAACACTTTCCTCACGCTATCGTGAGTCTTTGGCGCTCCAGCCGTTTGCGGGCAATCTTACGGAGCTTTGCCATCTCCAAGTAAATCACAACATCGGGATCCTGGTCTTCAAGTATCATAGACCCCAATATCAACCCCTGCGTGAATCCAATCCGATCTCTAGCAGGATCCGGGGTTGGAACGGGCTCGGGGAATATCACCTAATGTCTTCAAGTTAGCTCCAGAACTCGGACAGAAACCAAAATACCTACCAGCTCGTCATCCAGGACCGCCTTTCCCTCAAGCCGTCTCCAAACCTCCGCAACCCCTTGAACTTTATCATCTGCTGTCTTGGACCATTTCAGCAGAATGACGATATGCGTCGAAGTCGTACCGTATATCCATAGGTCTTTGTCGGCTTGGATGCGAGGCCATGCATTTTCCCAACCACCTTCGACCACGAGCGGCGAATCGCTGTTAACAGTAATGTGTCCATCCGGCCTCTTACATGATTTCAAGTAGGGACCGGAAAAGCCATGGTGCGCTGTGAGTAATTATGAGCACAGATCAAATTGATGACAGAAATAGACGTACTTGTTCCGCGCCCAACGTATATTAGACACCGGTCCCACATTTTCTCGCTAAGGAGATCCGTCTGCCAGAGAGCATCTTGCATCCATTGCGTCTGGACAGCAAGAGGGTTGAAAGCTCTGACCCAAAGGGCTTTGGTAACAGAATTGAAGTTGATGCTGGACCGGAACATGAAACGTTAGTACTGTATTCCTTTATCATGCACGCAGGGTGAACTCCTTACAATGCTCTCTTCGATTCAACCTCACCCGTGGATAGGAGAGAGTGACAGATCAAATCTCCATCGTCGGGTTCAATCCCTTCGTACACCCACTCTTTAAAATCATCTAGGGTATGAAGCTGGTGCACAATCTCATCATATATCTCCTGTGGTGAAGGGGGAGATTTCTCGACACTCGCACCTCTAAGCTTTTGTCGTGCGGAGTGAGTTGGAGGAGGCATTTTGGGAATCTAAACGACTATTAGTGTGCAAGGTGCACATAAAGCAAGACTAGAACGGACCTTATGTGGGAAGGTTGAAGAAGATATCACTGAAGCTTCGAAATGAGGAAGCACCTCCTTCAGCCCGTTTTCCACCTGTCGGATCTTGCTCAATATCTGCCGACGACAGACCATTCCTGGCGTCTGAGCCACGGACTCAAGCCGACTCCATACGTATCCCCAGTCTATGTTCGCGTCCCAAAGCTCCGTCACCTCGAAATATTCATCCAGTGGTATCTTGGATCGCCAGAACTCTTTTTTCGCTCGCCAGCCCATTGCCTCTTCCGTAGCAATCACATCCCCCGGCGCAAGAAGCTCCAGAAGCCTCAGTCGTATCTCAACCGGAAGAGTCAATAATCGGGAAGATTGCGAGCAATCTGGGCTGTCACCATGGACTCCATCTTCCCCACTTTCGTGAGCGCTTTCGAGCAACTTTAGAAGAGACTTTGGTCGCATTGGATCTGTACGAAACAAAGAGAGTCAGTCTCGTTCCATCAGTTCCTCGATAATAAATAGGGGGATGGATGCTATACTTTGAGCATGCCATGGGAGCTTTTTTGCCTGTTCAAAAGTCACATCGGCATGCTTCCGAAGTATTTCTACAATGGTATTCAGGTGTGTCTCGGCCACAGAGTCGCCAACTCGCTGCGAGAGGAGTCTCCAGCAGACAGCGTGAACGGGATAGCCCCCAGGACCGGATAGTTTGTCAGGATCATCGAGGACGCTCATCATGGGCACTTCAAGAATCCCCCAGCGAGGGTCTAGGACGTCATCCCTATCCCTAAGGGAGACCTCCAGCATAAAGCCAGCATCTTTATCCGACGGAACCCAAGCTACCTCGTCTTCATGGTGATGTCCTTGGGCTGCCCCCGAGATCCGGCAGGTCCCGGTGGAGGGATTTTGAAGAACTATATCTCGTAATAACGAGTTAGCAGTCAAACCAGTGGATGTCTGGCACATGGATGCTGGAACTAACTCATCCGATGCACTGTCTGCCATGCAGGTCTCCTCCAAAGATCCATGGCTTCCAGTTGTGCCGCTGAAAACTGACACAAGTCCTCCATTGTGTCGCGCTTTATCGTTGTAACGAAATCATAACCGATATGTTCCCTTGCTACCATGCTACTACCACAGATAGAGCATCCCGCATCGTAGTCGAAATATTCTTCTTCGTATTCGATCTGAAGAACGGGAACACGGTCGTAGAAGGAAGAAGGCATCGTGGTATCGTCCGCTGGCAACTTGGAGTTTTATGTTTGAGTGGTAGGATTGTTGTCTGAGGACAAATAAACAGGAGTAAAGTCAATCGCTCGGATTTGAAGATAAATATACGATGTTATTCGCTTTGGACCTCCAACAGATGACGTCTCTTGTCCCAGCAGTGGATTATTATTGTTATCACCTCTTCTCGTGATGAAGAAAACAAGCACTGCAAAGATTCCAGGAAGGGGCAGGAAGACGAACTGGGAAAGACAGAGCAGCTATGGATAAGAATAATATGAAGCAGGTGAGAGAATGGAAGATAGGAAGTGGCAGGGAGAGGAGGAGGAAGAGGAAGAAGAGGAGGAGTAGCAGGAGGAAGAACAAGAAGAAAGAGAAGAAGAAAAAGAAGAAGGAGCCACCATCTGCAATCACCTGACACGCAGTCAGTCACCAAGGCACTCACCGATATGGAAAAGATCTATTTACTATTTAATAGTGTGACCGACCAATCTCGACCTTCTTAGCATCACGATCAAATCCAAATATCAGTCTCTGGTATTTGCGCATCCCTATACTTACATATGCTCCAAAGGACACCATCATTCTGCGCACACTACCAATCCAATCCATTACACCTACACCACGCGCTTCTTTTCCAATTTGGCAGGAGGCATGCGCACCTCCCTGACGACCCTATCAACATGCCGCTTCACCCGCGGATACACATCCTCGTACGCCGTCGAGCCCATCCAGGCATCCAGATGGCCTCTGCCCGTAAACACCTCCCGTTCGTACCATTCCCGCCCGTGAGCGTTGCAGAGAGTCGTGTATGATATGTCCGTGTTCTCGGCCGTGAAGACCATGTTTCCAGTACCGGACAGGAACAAAATTGGAATGCCCTTCAAGCGATCGATGTTCTCGGGCGTCACGAGACTGGTGTATGCTGGTCCGTTGGCTGCGACGTTTTCGAGCTGGCCGGTTTTCATGAGCCATTGCAGGGATCGCATCGAGGTGCCGCCGAGGAATCGCTCGAGTTGCGAGTGCGTGGCGTCGTTGAGGTTTGAGTGGGTCCAGAGACTGGGATTTGTTAGAGATTGTTGTTGGAGAGATGGCATCTAGGGGAGGGAGGGCTTACCGGCCAAAAACAAGCTCACTTCTGTGACAGACAACTGATCGACAGGACTCGCGGGCCTCGCCTTGAGGGTAAAGACGCAAAGCCTGGTTCAGGAGTGACTGGAAATATGTGTCGTTGCGGCTACTGGTGCAGTCCCAATAAGGACTAACCAAGTGTTCATACAGTGATGTTGGGAACCCGGACAGAAGACTGTCAACCTTCCCGAATTTGGGGTTCATGAAGACCATGGAGGCGGTGATTCCTTGGATCCATTTGCTTGGAATAGTCCCATCGAGAAGACCGCAGGAGAGAGCCAGCGAGCCAGCACAGTGGGCAATCACGTATACCTTCGGGCTCTCGTTCGGGCTAGTGGTGCTGGCCATTTTGCGGATGTGCGCCAAGGCAGCGTAGACATCCCGTCGTGCATCGTATGGAGTGTAGCCTTCTCGGGCCACGGCAGCCCGGCCGACTCGATGCGTGACGCAGTAGATGCGGTATCCGGCTTCGCGGAAGTATTCGACCGCGTTGTATTCAATGGTGGGGAGGGCGAAGATTTTGTGGTCGACTGCTGCCCCTGGGATCATGAGGATGATGGGCGCCGGCCCTGAAACCTCCTTGCCATCGGAGGAGATGGGGTTCCACATGACCATCTTGGTGGTGACCCCGTCAGATGCTGTCAATGGTACTGTCGAGGACGGTGTGACCTCCCTTGAAGCGTAGTTGAGTCGTGTACCCGGCCATTGGAGCCTGCCCAGTGCTGCCAGGAAGGGAGTAGACAAATGTCTGGCGAAAAACGCGAGGAAGCTTGCTGTGGATGACGCTTTTGACCAGAATGATGGCCCACTTGCTACCAGGGTTCTGAGCTGGCACGCGAAATCATCAGGCTCAATGTGTAGGATACCGCGGCCGACTACTGTGCCTTCAGGCTCGGTGATGGTCACATATAGAGTCGTAGTTTGTCTGCTGAGTTCCAAAGGATTCAGGAATGATGCGGTGTTAATGACCTTGTAGCCATTGAAGTGCAGTATCCGTCCTCCAGGTGAAGTCATATCAAAGTCGTAAGTCAGATTTGCGGTATCCGGCTGTCGAGAGTCATGATTGAACATTTGGAAATGGCCCCTGTTGACCATGAAAACACCACCGAGACTATTACAGGTGAACGTCCCAGTCATGTTCGCTGGGTGCAGATGACTATTCACCACTGCTAAGGTTAGCTCAGCACTTCGAGGTGAGTATATCTTATAAGCTTACATTCCTCGGTACTCCAGGACTTGACGCTGAGGAAGAACCGGGCTGCTTCACAGCGACCACGAGCAAGCTTTGCTGCGACCTCGAAGTCTTTGACATCAGGGCCAGTATATACGTGGCCGATCATGATTTCAGTGAACTCTATGCCGGCCGTCTGGTTTTTGACGGATTCTTCAATCCTGATTGCAAGCCTCTCTCTCCCTGTATCATCCTGTGGGAAAGGGAATGAGGGTGTGTTGAACATATCCAACTGGCCTAGGAATCCGTTAGCCCCGTATGCCGTATGCGTATATCCATCCCCATACACACCATTCTTCGTGTCATAGTCAATGTCAATGTTGTGCTTCTGTGCAACTAGCTCAACCGATCTCTCGGCAAAGGCAGTGATAGTCGCAAATGGATTGACCCCAACAGCTGCCGGCAGAACAGTGCCGTCGCACACTACCAAGCCTTCGTGTGTCTCGTTCCCATGGCCTTTAAGTAGCTCACCCATGTGGTTAACCGACCCATTGTTGCCAGTATTGTCTTTGCTGATACGAGCTCCGCCTCTATGATATCTGTTAGATGATCAAACAACATCGGAAGGTCACTCAATCAGACATACATTGGGTGGACGGTGATCTCCTGTCGGCCCAGCGTGCTCCAGACCGGATTAGCTATGAAGTTTCCTCCGACAGCGGCGGTCATCTTCTCCAAGACATCATGGATGCGAGACACTGATTTTGAGCGACCCACGCCAGAGTATGTGAGCATGGGCTTGTCGTTCTTCAAAACCATCCTGCCTTGGCTACCTGGACGCTAATAAGTCACAGCTCAAAAAAGTGAAGCCGAATCACGTTAGCACTCACTGTCATGGGACATGATCAAATAGACAGCTGTCTTCTGCACACTACCCTCAGGGGCGTATGGTCCAAAATACTTGGCTATGTCCCGTGTGACGCGCTTTTCTGTCTTCTCCACAATGTCGTATTTGGGACGTATCATATCTGGTAGACGTTCTAACATAGAGAACATCAGCGGAGCAAGGGCATGTGGCACCGCACAGTCTTCAACCACGTATCCATCCAAAGGGTTCTTTTGGTCCCGTCGATCAAGAACCGATGTTATACATGGCCCCACTGGTCTGTCTGAGGTAGGCCCCGGACGAGCCATACAGTTCGCTTCAAAGTCAGTGTTATAACTGTTTCACCATATCTTAGTTCAGGCCTGCATCGTGAAAGAAAGAAAGAAAGAAAGAAAGAAACTTACCCGAAGCCCAGCATGTCCCCATTGCCACTCATCTCGGTTCCAAGGTCGTCACTCAAGTCCAATCCCATCTGTTTGCTTCGGAGCAAGATCTCGGTGGTTCCGATGCTACCAGCTCCAAAGAAAACGAGCTCCTTTGCATGCACCCACATGAGATCTTCGTGGAAGATGGGAAACCGCCCTCGTCCACAAGAGTGCCAGGCGAAGTAGATGATGTACCCTTCCCTATCTGGAGCCTTAGCTACATAACGAACCTCGCACTCGCAGAAGATTTCCGCGCCCCAGTTCCATGCATCGCTCAGGTAGTTCACCAATGTGGTGGATTTGCTTCCGTCGTTGATTCCAGTAGCATCCATGCCCGTCAGCTGAGAAGCTTGCATATACACCCCGGTGCTGTTTGGGCCATCCTCGAATCGGGTCGTTTGCGGAACCCGGTAGAAGTCATCGCCCCAGCTCATGAGCTCGGATTGCTTTTTGAGAAGATCGGCTTTATGAAGGCTCGGAAACGTGACAGGGTACTGCGCAGGTTCCAGAACACCCTTCGCGCGGTCATAATCTGTGTCCCGTTAGAAAGGAACTCCATCGGATTGACGGGCGCTCTAACACTTCTTCCACGTATCCTGCCCTTTCAGCTCTCCTGGCCATATTCCCATATCCAAAACCTTTCGGTGGGCCTCCAGAAACACATTGGCGTTCAGAAGGCTCGTCCCACCCAGACCATTGCCCATATACACGTTCTGGCCTTCACCCACCACAAAATGATAGAGGCCGTTCGGGTTTCCTGCATCGATCATGGTCCCAGGGAGGCTTCTTCGATCTCCCGGAGCAAAGTCGCCGCTGATATGGATCTCTTTCATCGCGTCATCTAGCTTCTCAGGAAACTCACCCGGCCATCGCTCCTTGCCTCTCTCAAGGACACAGACGCTTTGTCCCCCCCTCGCCATTCGACTGGCAGCCACACCTCCTCCGTACCCTGAGCCTATGACGACCACATCATAGGAATTTCGCATTAGTTCAACCGGTAGCGAGACCCGAGGAAAACGGCGCCTAGATCGCTCCTCCCTCTCCGTCCCATCAATAGAAGACTTTCGAGACCTGTCGGAAAATGTACGGTCGTGAAATGAAACTCCATCCCGATCTATATGCGCGCCATTGATCCCATCCAGTCGGGGTGCTGGAAAGTCATGGAGTTGGTTGTGTTCATCGCTGGCTCCATCCATTGCAGCGTTTCGATTGTAGAACTCCTGCTGTAATTATTCGAAAGAAGGCCGAACTGTGACCCGAGACTGATTCTGCGCGGGGTTTCCAGTGAGGGCTCTGTTATGTTCCGGACTCAATCCTCTGGAATCCAACCCAGGATCCATCGGGGTCTAAATCGGTGCGTCCTGACTCTACATCCCCCATTCGGCGAATCCCTTACCCCAGTCCATCACATGCTGCAGAGGAATATCACGCTCACCGTGGGCCCATCGAGATGTTTCTGGCCCCGGGTGGACAACGCCATTGCGGTAAATGGCTGAGCGGTAAGTCGTGCCCCAGGGAGGAGAGCTCCGAGCATCCATTGTGTTCCGCACAGCGAAATCCTCGGGGAATCAGGAATTGACTTTGTGGCTTCAAACGTTCTTTTGACATCCGAATCCAAATGCTCAGGATTGGACCCGTTGTAGCTCGTGATTCTTCGTTTCCTTTGATGCTTGACTCGCCACCTGCTTCGTTAGACCGGTTTCGGCGACTTGGCTAGGTAGCTTCGGATAAGTTCGTATAGAAGTATTATACTACTGCAACGTTAGCAGGTTTCAAGTTCGTCAGGTTGAGTCGGTGCCATACCTTCATCATGCCTTTTACGGCAGAGTTTGGTGCAGCCATTGGGCAATGTTCGGCGCCGGGAGTCGGGCCCGTGGGCCACCAAACTCTAGATATTCCTATCTCCACCCTCTTTTCGTCATATTGAGGTATTCTACGCAGCCACAAGCAGCGATCAGCTGTCAATCCACATGCTTGTCATGCTGTCCTGTCAGATAGGAAGGTCGAGACTTTCTCGGGCAGTTGGGTGATCACGATCTGATCGACCCAGATGTGGTATATCTAGGAAAGGCTGAAACCGACCACCTCAGCACTCCGCGGAAGGGCGCAAATCGAAGTCTTTCAGTGCCACAGCTGCTACCATGTCTGCTTCGTCTTATCAGGTCTATGGTTCGATATTCGGCGAAGAGCCGGACTGTCACCCGAAATACACCGGGTCGCCCATGCTGTTGCTTCTTGCCGACCTAGGGCTCTTCTTCCGCAATATTCTTTACCTGCCGTGTATATTCCTGCCTCCCATGCCATGGCCCTCTGGGAGTCTGGACGAGCTATCTCCCACTGCAGCCAATGCATTTGACATTTGCCTCCATTCCTTCCTATTTGTCCTCCAGATTGGCTTTTTATTCTCCTTGCCGTTGCTAATTTACCTTCCGTTTGGCTTGTATGTTTTGTATGTGGCAGGAGCGCTCGCTTTGAATACCTTGATCTGCAGAATCCTGAATCGCGGGATTCCGCCCGACGGCCTCAAGTCAACAGAAGACAGCTTTTCCCGAGCATGGGCTCGACATGACGACGAGTATTGGATCTTCCTTAATGGGATTTGTGTGGGGTAAATAGATTCAACTCGTGACAGAGCTTCGACCCGACTGACTGGCGGAACTAGGAAGCACTGGCTCCAGAGTAATATCGATCGCATATCGCGCACATTTCACCGCCCAGTCGTCGGTGTGCACAACGAGACGTAGGCGTGTCTTGTCATGCTATTGTAAAGAGTGGTCCTGATGCTATTAGGTCCGGTGTCATATTCGACATTATTCAATGCCTCATCCAGCGTTCCATGTTGTATGCCACTGATGATATCCGCCAATGCTACGTCTTGATCAAAAAGGCACTTTATAAGCCCGAGGTCAAGAAGGTGGTCCTGATCCTGCATTCTCAGGGTGGAATTGAGGGTGGTATGATCCTGGACTGGCTTCTCAACGAAGTGCCTCAGGATCTCATCCGGCAGTTGGAAGTCTACACCTTCGGGTGTCTCGCGAACCACTTCAACAATCCCTATCGCGACATGGACTCATGCAACACAGACAACCACTACTCCCAAACTGGCGCAGTCACAGGGCGAATCCACAACCGCGTCATCTTGAATATTGAGCATTATGCCAACAGTAGAGATTTCGCAAGCAGGTTCGGGGTCCTGAACTTCGAGCACGATAAGCCCAGAGATCGTCGCGAGAACCGCTTCATGGGCAAGGTGTTCGTGAATCCCGCGTCTGGCCACCAGTTCAATCAGCACTATCTCGACACCATGTTTCCACTGGACCCGACAAACCGATTCACGCGAGACCCGGAAGAAAACGATTTTATGAACATGGATGTCGCAATCAGTGGACGGGAGAGGCCTGGGGAACGGCCTGCTACGGTCTTTGATGCTGCAGGGTTGTTGAATGCCATTTCTGGGGAGGTTGATGGGATCAGTCCGGCCTTGACTTTCACGAGTGCGGATCGCGATCCGAAGAAAGGAGCAGGCTTGAGGGTGAAGATGCAGAAGATGAGTCGCTTGTGGCTGTATCGGAATGGAGGGCGTCCAATTGGATAAGTTATCTGAGGCCAAGGTGATGATGTTAGTTTGGCATTGATTGGGTCGAGGTAACTGGTGCTGTAGATTGTATCAGGATATGGAACAACACTATGGTCTCTTCCGATGTCTGGTCACCTGTTTATTTGAGTGGTATTGTTGGAAGTTATGAGCCCGGTGCCTCTGAACCTGAGCGAGTGAATACCCTGGAGCCCGAAGTGCCACGCGGTCGAATCCCACGAAGAGCGATTCATAAGCAGGCGGGCATAGTTAGGATACATGCTCTGGAAAAACCTGGACAAGTTGACCGGCCGCTAGGATAAGGAAGTGCTGATGAAAAGAAAAGCATGCCGACGCAGCACCGAATGGTAGACGTACCATATCAGAAAACGTGCCGACCTAGGGGGGTACTTCAGATAGGACATGCTACCACCATGATTCAACATTCCATCCTTTGAGGGTGTCTGGACATTTTTTTGTTTTTTTTTTGTTGAGTGGTTTTATTTGACGGGTTGTTTATGAGATTATATGGCGAACAGTGAGTGAGTATGGATGGCACGGTGAAAATCTACAGCGAGAAACACAGAAACGATTCCGATGGAACAAATCTGGTTTGCATCTCCGTGGCCTGCTGCGAGTAGATGACCTCGCATAATTTGGGCATAATCCTGCATAATAATCATCGGCTGTTGCATAATGTGATGACCGCATCGTTCATCCCGCTAGTTAGTTAACTATTCCGGCATAACTCAATTCGTTAACTAACCTCGGCGATAGTTGACTAATCAATGTTCCTTAGTTGACACAATAAGAGCCGGATGCCATGTGCCGAGAGACCCTGGCCTAACCGCCTCGGCTATTGCCTCAATGGGATAGCCCGTGCTCCGTCGATCGGCGCGTGCAGACTCCCTCCTCGTCCTGAACCAGAGTTCGAGACTCTCCCTCGCTGGAATCTCCTCTTGGGCGCCAGACTCGAATCTTCCTCACAGCAGACCTCGAGATGGCCAACTCTGCGACTCTTTTCGCTCCTCCGCCTCTGGATTCCTCCAAGGCGCCAATTGAGAATGTGTTGGAGTTAACTCCGGTGGAAGACGTGGGGAAAGTCTGTCTCTCCCCCTCCCTTTCTCCCCTCTTCTGCTCCCTTTTTCAACTCTAACGCATTATCCTCGCCCAACAGGATGTCTTTACCAATACGCGACCCCTTTGGCACCCTCCCGGAGCGCGAGGCATCTATGGCGGCGCCGCGATCGCCCAGTCGCTCGCCGCCGCGATGCGAACCGTCCCCGCCGACTTCGCCGTCCACAGCATGCACTGTTACTTCGTCCTCGCCGGTGACTCCGCCATTCCCATCCTGTACCACGTGGAACGGGTACGCGACGGAAGAAGCTTTATCACACGGACGGTACAAGCCAGGCAACGCGGCCGACCCATCTTTACCACGACCTTGAGCTTCAGCAAGGCCAATAGCGGTGGCAAGAAGAAGCTCGAGCATGCATCATCCATGCCGTCTGTCGCACTGCCGGAGGAGCCCTTGCCGGGGTCCAAACGCACGTTCGATGAATCGGGCGGTGGGCCGTTTGAGACGAAGAAAGCAGGGATTGTGAACCGTCAGTCTTCACCGATGATGCAGATGCAGCTCCTGGGATCCAAGCTGACAGCCACAGGCAATTCCCCGCCCCAGGACAAGAGGATCAGACGGTTCATGCGGTCACGAGGACGACTCTCCGACGCGGGCGGTCACCATGCCCATATCTCCGCCCTTGCATACATCACCGACAGTTTTTTCATTGGCACTGTGTCACGGGTCCACGATGTCCCCCGGTTTTCCTCTCCGGCCGAACTCGAGAAGTTGTTGAATGCGCTCAAAAACCCCTCGGATTTAGACGATGAAGACATCGCGCGCGCTCTCAAGGAGTTGAAGGAGGAAGAAACTGCTGATCTGCGCCGCCGCTTGCAGGGAGCCTTGGATAAAGTGGCCAAGGAAGGGCCCCAGGAGCATAAGGAGGTTGGGATGATGGTCAGTCTTGACCACTCCATCTACTTTCACAACCCTTGGGCTTTCCGGGCAGACGAGTGGATGCTCACGGAGATGGAGAGCCCTTGGGCTGGGGAGGGAAGAGGACTGGTCCTGCAAAAGATTTGGTCGAAGGATGGTATTTTGATCGCCACATGCACGCAAGAAGTATGTTCCCTGTCTCTTCCCCCCAACTTCCACGGAACCGATCGTGTCTAACGTGGTCACTCAAACAGGGGGTTGTGCGGCTCAAGCAGGATGAACCGCCTCGCTCGAAGCTCTAATTTCTGACTGCTGCAGCCCAGTCCGAGCAGATATACCCTTTTTTTCTTATTTGATGATATCTTCTTAATTTACATAGATGTACATACGGCCGAGAACGCCCATTCAGGCCACTTTTACCTTCTTCTCTTCAGGGGGTTCCACTTTGCTACTGTTTCTTCCCGGTACGACAATCTATTCAGGCTGATTGTTATGGAATAAAATCTTTGTTGGTTCGGCTTCCAGTTTCTTACAGAACAAACCTACCTGTTCTATACAAACAATAAGTGCACACTACCTATATGCAGTAATTCTTTTTGTATAAACGTCGTAAACATTAGTTTCATTAATCAGTACACAGCAGAATAGAATAGTTGAACAAGCACACAGGAGAAAGAAAACCACAGGACCGTTTCAATCAGACCGCCGCCCACCTGTTTTGATGGCCCAACGCAAGAAATGCTACAGAAAAGCCTCCCATGCTCTTCCCCCGCCTTCCCTTCCCTTCCTCTTTTCTCCGCCTCACACTTCACTCATCTTCTCCTTCTCCTGTTCGTACAACCGACTCCTCTTCTCGCAGAACTCCAGCGCCTTGGCCCCCCAGACTTCTCGTCCTTTATACTCGCCAACATACTCGGGCCAGCTCTTGATTTCCTTCGCCAGGTTTTGCAGTTCCTGCATCGGCAACTCGTCCAGTGTGGTCAGGGTGGTCTTCACTCCAAACACAATCGTCCCCGTGCGAGGCAGTCGACGGAAGGTCTGCCTTTCACGACGGATGACGATGTCCTGCGGCGCTGGGTCTGGGTTGTCTTCCGACAGTGAGGTCGGGCGATACAGGACCTCGAATAGATCTTCATCGGGTCGCTTCACCTCCACGAAATAGTTGGATCTTTCCATGGGCGACTCTGGGGTCAGGCGGACTAGGAACCTGGATAAATGGGTCAGTGTTGTGTTTTGCTTATGGTGTTGACCTCTACCAGGGGCAACTGGGTACTCACTTGCTGACTGAATTCGCAACCTGCTGGTGCCACAGAGGTACCGGGTTGTGGAGCTTAGAGATCGTCCATCCAATGCGCTCCTGTACCGTCCATCCAACTGGGAAAAGGCTTGCGCTGGCGGCCCTGCACATACTTGTTAGTCACTATACCCAGATTTTGGGGGGTTGTATGGTTGACTGACAGATAGTACTCGTCATCCTCGTTCTTCATCAAGATGCTCAGGTCTTCCATTGTCAATCTCACGGCAACTTCGAGTGGATCCACGTCCTTGTTTTCTCCTCCGAATTTGAATGTCTCCCCGGTCATCTTGTTGTGGATAACCGTCTCCTCGCCATTTTTCTTCTGCTCAAACACGTTCGAGAACCGCTGGCACAGGAACTCAACCACCTCTTCTAGTGCCTCCAAGCATGCGTCATACGACTCAGGGAGACATTGGAGGACTTTCTTCTTCTCTTTTTGCAATAATTGGCTCCTGACCACATGCTCATCCATGTAGTTCTTGTCGACAGTGAGCCAGTTTGCAACATCCAACCTCCGGACGTCCATCATGACCCGATATCTCTCCCTTCCCTTGATGGGAGCGGCTGGGTATGGAGTCATCCGCTTGAGGTCATTGCAGCCTGGCTGTTGGGCACTGGGACGGCTCCATCCTGAAGAGAGACTCTTTCGATATCTAGTGGCAATCAACGAAAGGAGAAAGATTGCAAGCGCAATGCAAGACAGGGTATTCATCGCCTTGGAGAGTGTCAACGGAGACAAGGAAACGAGATGGAAAGAAAAAAAAGAAAAGAATATGATCTTAAAAGAAGCTTTTAGTCTTCACGCATTCAATATTCCGCGGCGCAGAACTGACAGAGGGGGCAAACGAAGAATTGAAGATAGCGAAACTCTTTCCCTCGGGGTGAGGACCATGGCTCCAATTATATCTGGGAGAGTAAGCCATAGTCCCAACGATCACCACTAGAGTCAGACGATTAGCTACTAGAGGACCTCGACATTCCGGATTCAAGGAGCTGGGTTGGATTCTGATACGTTCTGCCTTTCCCCGCAAAAGCCGCAATTCGCCGCCCCGAAAAAAGAAATGAGACCTGACAGCATCCACATGATCCCACTAGACTTCTCAGCGTTCGGTTCAAGGGATCTCCACTGTGTCTTTTTGGCGAACGCGGGGAGGAGGATCCGTCAGGAGGCGAACTCTATGTGGCTGAGAGGCCTAAACGATGCGCAGGTCCGACTGCGCCCTGGATCCGCAGGCAGGCCATGGACTAGCTGCTGGACGTCACTTCAATTACAACGGGACCAGGGCTACTGGCCCGCCTTGCCCGGAAGGGTGTGACACTAACTCAATGCGCTTGCTCACATACGACGCCGGAGAACTAGGATGGGGCAAAGTCCGTGACAATAATACCTCTTTGTGATCTTCCCTATAGAATCGTCAGACGGAAACTCACGCGTATCCCGTCCGTGCCCTTCCATTGGTAGACCGCGTGAGCTGAGACCGATCGGATTCTAGGGGAAATGAGTCCCCTGTCCAACAGGTTCCTGCCGTTCCGCTCCAGCGGTATTCGTCTTTTTTCCCCCGAGGGAGATGCACGGAAGAGGAAACGGATACTCGATGACACTACAAAAGAGAAAGAAATGGCGCACTCCGGTATGCTGGGACCACCACCGTTGAGAACCGGTCAAGCGTGTCGCCAGACCGGATTGCAGGACCCCGTACATCATTACCTGTACGACAGAGGGCACGATGGCCGAGGGGAAGCGCGTGGGATGCTGCGTGGGCCGACTCGCCTCCATCTCGGCATCGGTTGGTCGTCAGCTTCCAGCGCCATCGCCAATAGTCATCATTTAGGCGGCGATGAAATTCTACGGGGTCTGCCTATCATGCTGGGGGGTGGGCAGGGGAAGGCACCGCTGGGCCTCTATCAGTTTTGAGTGACGTACTGGCATGCTAGTCCCCCGATCCGCTGCGACTGGTCTGTCGGCGATGGGGCAGCGACGACTATGGGACACTATATCGAGACTAGGTTGTTAAGAGAAAGACTCGAGTCGACACTGACGTACTCTGAGGTGTCCTTGCAGGCATGCCAGGCCTTTGCAGCACAGCAGACACTGGCGCCATGCGCCCACTAGCGGGAATCGATGGGTGTGCATTCGCCGGCCTGCCGTACATACTACGGGCGTCCGACTAATCGAGCGAAGCGAGCGAGTGAGCTGAGCTGCTGAGGTTCGGCTGAGCAAGGCAACAGATCCACCGCCGGCACGAGTCCAGATTCTGCCTTCCAAGACACCCTCGCTCCACTTGTCCCAACGGAGCCATCCGGGGTTTTGCGCGCTGCAACCGCCCCCAGGTCGCGCAAAGCGCGCTTGCCGCAGGTCCAGTCAGGTTAGCAAGTCCGTCGCTGCTAATGCTAGTGCTGGTGCTGGCTGGCGCTGATGCCGGTGCTGCTCCTGCTGCTCCTGCTGCTGCTGCTGTTCGCAATGTGCGACAGCGGATAGCGGTGTCTCAAGGAAGAATGCGTCTTTTTTCTCGAGTCGGTCCCTCCTTTGAGTCTTTTTTACCCTTTTACTCTTTTTGTCCGGCCGTTGCTTTTCCCCCGTCCGGGGCACTCTTTTTTTCTCCTCCCCCTTCCACCAGACTTTGGCTAACCTCAGATCCCCCGCTGTCGGATCAAGTTTATTCTCTAGATTTTCTTTTTCCTCTGCCCTCTTCCGGCCTGGCCTGAATCGTCCACCGAGGGACCCAAATCCTCCGAGCGACCAAATAGTCCCCGGGCCGATAAAATGACATTGCTTAAATTGCTTTTTTGTGACAGACAGCCCGTGAATGGTGGCGATAAGAACCGAAGAGCGATCGCTCCTAGTGCTTCTACTGACGTCCGACTAAGAGGACTAGACTCCGGACGGTCGTTGCCTTCTGACGTGATCAGACTCATCGTGAAGCCATACCGAACCGGGCCACATCTCATTGTCCAAGCCTCAGGGAAAGATACACCGACGCGTGGGAACGGCAATGGCCCCGTCGGTGGTCATCAAATGAGTGACGGAGGATTTGCAGACCCGGCAGGCCACACGGCACTATTCCGTAGCGTTGGGTTGATCCGAGAGCCCTCGAGGCGTCCTCTTCTGGACCCCGGCAGCAGGGCGAGCGGACTACGAAGATAGGAGGAGCGCGATGCCGTGCTGGGTGGGACGCGACTACTAGGCCACAGATGGCTCCCAGAGGATCGACTCGCCGTGCACGGACGGTGATGCCGGTGCGACGATGGCTGGTTCTCCACGATTCTCCGCATGGCAATGGTACTAAGTTTTAGGTCGACTGCGGTCTGGGTACCACAGGCCGGGCCTGTCTCGTCGAGGGAAGGGAAGGATGGAGTAGAGTAGGGCCAGTGCCTCGTACTTGTGGCCACTGGCCACTGCCCATGCCGTACCCAAGCTCTGGGTCCAGCAGAAGTACCCACCAGTACGAATTGGGTATAGCCGGGGCGTTTCTCGAAGTAAATATAGTGCGGACATGGCTGCTCTCGTCATAATCTCCCTTTGTGGATGGGGCTCTAGTGCCCTGGTTTTCCAAGGCAGCTGGACATGGCGCATCCTGGATCTTACCTAGTAAGATGACGGGACAGCAAGAAGTCCGAAGAGGACAGGGGTGGTTGGGGGGGTGGGGGGGGAGGCTGGGGCTGAGGCTGGGGCTGGAGACGCTCGTAAACAAGCGAGTTTGGCGCCTGCAATTCGGGAAGTTGCTGGGATGTTGCGATCGTGGACTGTCATTCATGGAATGGCATCTGCGCCATCCTGGCCCGATGCTTAACCTTCCCAATTGGGCCACTCGCGCCGGCATCATGTGATGGCATCATGTGATTGCCCAGAAGGGAATTAATTGTCTGCGGCTTCAATATCCCCTTCCCTTCACTCCACTTCCCTTCCCTTCATTTCCCTCGCTGTCGCACCCAACCCGAGCTTCCGGGGCGTCTTCTTCTTTCTCTGCCATGGATCCCAGATCAACCCTTCTGACATGACGTCTTTGCGTCACTGTTGCCGAGACCTTCCCCAGGTTCAGCTCTGAGAACGAAGCCTTTCTGGTTTATCATCTTCGTCGTCGTGGTCATGAGCTCCTCCTCTATGCCCATTCACTCCCAGCATCCCCTCTCCCCGACGACCCAGACACACCGGCAACCTTCCAGAGCTGGCACGTCTTCGACCCCTCTTCTGATCGCTGGAAGCCACAGCAGACGGCCCCGATCTCCACCACCCATGAGACCCTAGTGCAAAGCACCAGCGAGTCTCCGGCTCAACGGCCTCCCCTCACCCTCGTGACATGGAACGTAGACGCCTTTGCCAAGTTCCCCGATGAGCGAATCGCAGCCATCGTCGCCACCCTGCGCAACCTCACCCCCACGCCCAACATCCTCTTCTTCCAAGAAGTCTCCCGCGCCACGCTGAAACACCTCCTCGACGATCCCTGGGTCCGCGAGACCTGGTTCTCCAGCGAGGGCAATTTCAACAGCTATGGTGGTCAAGCCTTTGCAACCATGACCCTCTTGTCTAAAGCTACCTTCAGTCCAGCAGACACGAATACCGATAAGATCGCCATCGGCCCCGTCTGGCGCGTTAAATACCCCAGCAAATTCGAACGCGACGCTCTGTGCTGCGATATCTTCCCCCCGTCATCATCATCATCATCATCATCATCATCATCCGTTTCACGTGCTTATTCTCGTGTTCGTTTGATCAACGTGCATCTGGACTCCCTCCCCACCCAGCCGAGCCGCCGCCCCCGCCAGCTCAGATACATCGCTGACAGCCTGCGCCTCGCCGGACGCGGGTTTGTGGCTGGTGACTTCAACCCCGTTCTGCCGGAGGATGATGCTCTCGTCGCGGGCAACGGGCTGGTCGATGTTTGGGATGCGTTGCGTCCGGGCGAGTCTGGCTTCACTTGGGGCATCGATGGGAGGGAACCCTTTCCCCCTGGAAGACTGGACAAGGTCGCTGTGCTGGGGCTGGAGGGGTCGGAAATTGAGGTGCTGCATCCGGACGCGCTGCAGGCTGGGGGGGAGGGCCCGTTCCGTCGTACTTTGGACCCGCCTTTGCCTTGGAGTGATCATTCGGGGTTGAGGTGTTGTTTAGGGTAGGATGTGGAGGTAGGATGCAGGGAGGTTGTGATGCCGAATTGGTTGAAGATAGATCGGTACTCCGTACATAGTTGGGAGTTTCTCCTGCTCCTCGATTCTACCTACCTACTTACTGCAATCCATTTCCACCTAGGTACTCCGTAGGTATATGGTCGGGAATGGCTTTATTCTGATAGATGTCATTTCTCGGCTAGATTTCACAACGATCTATCAGATCTCCCCACCCCACAGCCCGTCAAACCAATCAACTCATATCATATCACACACACCACATCACATCACATATCATAGCATAATCCTCCCTCCCACCGCCTCTTCCCTTAAGTAGCTAGGTACCTACCGGTAGGTACAGTATGTACATGTACTCTCCCGAAACCCCTTTATGGCTCGATATCACACAACAAAGACGACTATACGGAGTACTACCTACCTACTTTATCTTTACTATCATGCAATGCAGTCAAACGAGTGGGAGTCTTGCATTAGTTGCCATCGAACTGATAATTTGGGAAACCCACATATATACATCTTACTACATACTACATATTACATATTACATCCCTCTTTCTCTATTTCCTTCCGAGAAATTCCCTCTCCCTCTTCAGTTCTAGGTACATAGTACATACATATGTATATATCTACATACTACATATATCCCTCGTTCCACCCCACGACTGACACATCCAATCAAACCAAACCAAACCAAACCAAACCCCCGTCCGTCAGACTTCAGTTCCGTCACCTGCAATATAGTTCAAATTATCAAAAAAAAAAAAAAAAAAAAAAAAAAAAAAACCCCCTCGGACATAAGTAGGTATATGTACGAGTAGTAGGTATGTGGGTGGGTAGGTAGGTAGGTAGTAGGCCTAGGAATGATCCCCCGCGGTCCTAAGCGGTCTTTACTCCGGGGGACCGCTTCTGCATAAATATACCAAGACCTTCTCTTTCAAGCTATATAGTTATTGAGTTAAATATAATTACCAATCATGAATAATTAGAAATAAAAATTTGTTATTTTTTTTTTTTAATTTTATACTGTGAGAAGTAATCAGCTGATTTAAAGTGTCGATGATACCGTAGTTGAAACTGAAGTCTTTGTTTGTGACATCTCCCTCAGTACTGACGCTTCGGCTTAGGGTCTACATATAAATTAGTAATTGTTCTTCGGTTCGTTTCGATTATCGAGAGAAACTCCAAAATACCGTGACATTTTGAACACTAAAATTCATTCCCTTGTCGAAATCCCCCTGCCCAAATGGAACCTCAGTCAGTCACCAAGATCTCGATGAATGTGAACACCAACTTGAAACTTCCCCCAAAGACGAGACTATGGTATGTCCACGGGACCACGTGTTCCTTGGGTCTAGGTCAAGAGTCTGACATATAATGGCCTAGGGAAGTTACATAGAATATATTTGAGATGAGTGATTGTTAATTCCGTCTGTTAGGGGAACGATTGAATTATGCTAATCCAATGGTTGACTGTCGATACAGAAGGAATCGATGATGAAGAAGAAGAAGAAGAAAGAAGAAAATAAGAGTGTTCATTTGGAGGGTTCGGACGAGAACCCCATAACAACAATAAGTACTTCCTTCCCTACAGTGCGGGCAGATCGGCCCTGACACGTTCTAGCCAGTCCATCACTACAGTACCTATAATACCTCCTATGCCTACCTCATTCGGCCATCCTTCCCTTTTCCCTCAAAAAACCAGGCCATGAAATGATTGCCATTCTAGAATAGGCTCATTAGAATGATGAATCAATTGATTAAATAAACTTCGTCAAAGCTCATCGGAAGGTAAGTAGGTTGGTATCCAGGGGAATAAAGGTAGAAATAGAAATAAAGTCAAAAGAAAACAAAACAAAACAAACCCCCTATTCAACCCACAAAAAAGCAGGAGAACCTAGGGGGAGGTGGGGGACTCATAAAAACAGAACAAAAAAATGGTAGTAGTAGAATAGAAAGAAAAGAAAAAGAAATCTCCAAGATTTGGCCCGTACAGACACAGACACGATCTCAAGCTCAATCTCAAGCTCAGGAATGTTAATTGAAACGTAAACGCCCTCCCAGTGCAGTGCTGATCATCAATTCAGTGGTGTATCTCTCAAATGTCGGGACTGGATTTCCGCCCTTCAAACGGCATGTCTTTTTTCTTTTTTTTTTCTTTTTCTAGCCTCGTTTTTTTTCTTTCTTTCTTCTTCTTCGTCTTCTCCGTCTACCTGAACTTGGCTCGACACCGACCCATAACTTCGCCTTGACAGACCAACTCGGCGCTGAATTCACTGCCGTCGAGGGTCAGGTAAATATCAAAGTATACGCGGTAGAACGTCCCCTGGGGCGTGTCCATGCGCTCGAAATCAGTCTCCAGGTTCTTGCGGGACAAGTCCGACGTGAGTGTGACGACCTCCTTGATGCCTGCAGCAACGTTAATACCAGTGGCCAGGCGGATGGCAAGGGGGGGCAGCTTACGTGGATCTTTCGTGTACTCCGGGCACACATCCTCGTCACAAGCGTACAGGATATCCTCGTACATCAGGGTTGCCCCCGGCGCAACCTGGCGGAAGAAGCTGACCTTGACCGGCTCACCGATCTTCACCCGCTCGCCCTTTTGCACAAAGATCTGTCGCGTGTACTTGCACCGGTCGCGGCCGTCCAGACTGGGGACGCGGTACTGCTCCGGGTGGTAGCCTTCCTTGAAGGGCTGCAGCGTGGCCATCAGGTAATGGCGTCGCGCCACACGGTGGGTGATCACCCGCTCGGTGATACCGGCCGTCACGGCTCCCTTGACGATGGCGGCGACCGAGTCCATCGGTCGGACCACCTTGGTTTGGTACTGTGGCGGAACGTGAAGCTTGATCTGCTGGAAAAGATACTCCGAGGCACCGAACCCACCGACAACCAGGACGTTCTACATCGTGGTTAGTACGCTATGCAGACCTTTTGATTCGCACGGAGACATACCTGGAGCGACCGGTTCTGCGCTTGGATCGCGATGATTTGGTTGCGCACCAACTCGAGAATCCGGTTGACGACCGGCTCGAAACACTGCAGGATTTCCTCGTTGGTGAACGTCATGTAACCTTCCTCGATGCCGGCATCCGGGAAGTCAGCTTCGATTCCGACATCAACCGCCCATTTCTGGCCGTTGTTGCGGAAGTCGGCCTTGATCCGGTTTTCGAAGTCCATGATGCACTTGGCGTACACCTTCCCGGCGGTCCGAGAACCATCGGGCAGTTTCATCTTCCGGATCTTCGCCCGCAGGATGTTGCTGAAGTTGCGGTTGAGAGCGGTCGACCCGCAGGAGTCTCCCGAACCCGCCGTGCATTCAGCGACGCTGAACGGTTGCTCTTCTTCCACCTCATACGCGATCAGATCCACGGTACCACCACCACAGTCGACGATCAGGATGGCATCGCCGATCTTCAGGTTGAGCAACCCGGTCTTGGCGCAGAACAGGGCCGCGGCCTCCGGTTCCGAGACCAGCGTGAGGCGGTTGTCGTTCTCGTCGCGCAAGAATCCGGCTTGGAGGGCGGCCGCGCGGGTTGCTGCCTTGCCCGCATCATTCCAGATGGCGGGTACGGTGAGATAGTAGCGGATGTTGCGCTCTTCTCGCGTGAACACCTCGCCCAGAGTCTTCTGGAGCTGCGCCCGCATCGCCTGTCGCAGCTTGAAGAGGTAGTCGGCGGCGACGTCGATCTCCGACTTGCCCGGCGGCAAGGGCGGCAGGTTGATGGGGTCGATGTAGGTGTTGCCGGAAAGCATCAGCTGAAGCTTGAACCACTCGACCTTCTGCACCCCTTGCTTTGGATACCCGGTGGGGGCCAACGCATCCGCAATGTCCGGGCCCCAGCCCACCACCTTCTGGTATTGATCGTAGTACAAGACGGTTGGAATCTGCGAGCGTCACATCACGCGGTCAGCATCCGGGTCATCCTCAAATATTTTGGGAGGGGGGGGAGAGGGGGTAGAGGGGGTAGGGTTGAACCCACCTTCTGTTTGGTGTGCGTTCCGGCGCCAGGCCACTCGGTGATGATATCCTCTCGAGCCTCGTTGTTAGTCGCAAAGGCAAAGGCGACACCGGAGAAGGTAGTGCCAAAGTCAATGCCGACGATCAGCTGAGCCTTGCTCCGGCCGGCGCCTTCGACTTCGACGGCGGGGTTCCGCATGCCGTACTGCGGCTGGTGTAGGCCCTGGTTCATGCCGGGGGCGAGCTGCTGCTGTTGCTGCTGCTGCAACGGGTATCCGGGAGGAGCACCCATGGGGGCAACGGCGGACTGCGGGTAGGGGAGGTTGGTGTTCAAGGGCGGCGGGTGGTGCGCCATCTGTTGAGTGGGAGGGAGCGGGCTGGTGGGACGGCCAGCGGTGTTATAGGTGTAGCTCGGGGGCCGCCCCAAGGAATTCTGATTATTCATGGGGAGGCTGGCGGTGGAGGAGGAGTGGCCGGAGGGAGGAGAGCTGGGCGAAGTGGTGGAGGAGGAGGAGGGAGGGGCGATGAGGGTGCTGGTGGATGGGGCCGAAACAACGGGCTGGGAGTGCTGGACGGGCGAGGGTGAGGGCGAGAGCGAATGCGAGTGGTGGTTCTTGTTGCGCTTCGTCCCGAAGGTAAACGATTTGAAGTTCAACCGTGAGCTCATCAGGTCGATGTGAATGACCGATGATGGTTCAACGGTGGGAACAAAGAGGGGGGGAGGAGGAGGAGGAGGAGGAGGAGGAAGGTCAGAACAGAGAAGGGAAAAGGGAAGAAAGAGAAGAGGGAGAGAGAAAGAGGGAGAAGGGAGGGAGGGGGGGGGAAAGACGAGAGAAGGATGAAGAGGGGGGGGGACTAAAGAAGGAGTGGGCGAAGTCGAGAGGCAGTGCCGGGGAAGGTCTGCGATGGAGGAGTGAGATTGAGAGAGTGAGAGTGAGAGAGACAGAGAGTGGGGAGGGGAAGGGAAGGGAAGGGAACGCAGAAGGACAAACACGAGGGCGAAACAAGACTGCGGGGGATAGAAATGACAGTCAACAGAGCAGGAATCCCAGGAATCCGGCCTGGAATGATGGATGACCTCCGGGGTATCACAATCAGACTGCCACACCGCATCTGTTCTAATCTCCGCCCGTGTCTTTCAATCAGAATCATAACCATTATTACTTACTTCTTCTCTCTATTAGTTAGTGTTATTGTGATGTCCTTCTGTGTCTGTGTCTGTATTTGTACCATACGGTTCTATACCGTATGGAGTGACCGCCATCTCCCACGGGCCCGACTCCGAGCCCCGTCACGATCCGTCACGATCCGTCTGACCGGCGGGGCTTCTTTCCTTCTTGCGCCCGACGCCTTGTCCTGCCTTCTTTCTCTTTACTCTTTGCTCTTTCTCTTTCTCTTCATCTCTTACTTTCTCTTTTCTTCTTCTTCTTCTTCTTCTTCTTCTTCTTCTTCTCTTCATCCGTTCTTTCCCATTCTTTCCTACTTTTTACCCCCTCGATTTACTCTTCCTCCATCGCCCCACCGAAGATGTGAGTAGTCTTTGTTTTGTACCTGAGCCACGGGCCACCCCCCCGAATGGCCCCAAAGAACCCACGCCGCTAAGCCTCGCGACTCCCCAGCCTTGCCCGGTTCCCGTTTTCTTTGTTTGGTTGGTTGCGCTGCGGCTGAAAGTCCTCGCCGATCTTCCGTCTGTCTGTCTGGCTGTCTGGTCCGGTACCATTCTTTACCATACGATAGATACTGTCAGGCAGCCATATACACCACACCACACTACACCACACACCCAGAATCACTCGCAATATCATAGATTTATCTTCTTCCTCGCCACCCAATGCGACGGCCGGTACAGCGGCACCAGCATGCTATTCGGGTCTTGAATATACCCACACCACGGCCGCTCATGTCCCGCCTGGCGCTTCTCGATCGCAAATCCCATGCGCTCCACGAGGCAAAACACTTCTGTCTCCGTCAGCTCCACATTGCCCGGCTCGCCAATCCCCTGGTCCTGCGTCTCATCGCTGCCTCCGTGGCTGCGGTTGCTGCCGTCCTCGAAATGCCACAGCAGCGGTCCGACGTTGATCCAGATGCCCCCGGGCTTCAGGCAGTGTCGGATCGCCTCGATATACCGGATCAGATTGGGCGCCGTGTCGATGAAGAAGACCGTGGCCACCGCGTCGAACACCGCCTCGTTGCTCGGGTTGCTGTACAGCACCGTGAAGTCCGCCGCCGACATGCTCATCTTCCCGAACGGCGTCGCGCTTCCCTGCGCCTCCACCATCGTCGTCCCCGGGTGCGTATCGGGGATCTGCACCGTCTGTAACTGCTGGTCTCGCGACAGCAGATTCGAGAAGTGCAGCGCGAACGGATGCAGCGTGTGCTGCCGCGCCCCCGTCGTGTGGTTCAACACCCAGCTACTCGCCAGTAACTGATGATACGAGATCTCGTTCCCTTCGGCCGCGAAGCCCGCCGCGCAGACCTCAAACACCAGTCGTCCCAGCCCCGCGCCAGGAACAAGCACCTTGACCTCATCCTCCTCGGTCCCGCCAGCCCGGCCTCCGAACTCGTTGCGCAGGTCCTGCAGCACCGGGGCATAGCACGCCTCCCGCTCCGACTGCCCTTCCGCGCTCCAGTCCCGGTAGAACTGGCGCAGGGTCGAGTGCGCCTTGTTCACGTCCGCGGAATTGGCCGTGCCGTGCCAGTTCTGGCTGGGGTCGGCGGGGTCCGGGGTCGCGGGGAGCCCGAACGAGGCGAGGCCCGTGGCGAGGATGGCGTCGGCGATCTCAGCGTTCACGTCAATCGCGTCGTCGACCCGGTTGAAGTTATCGAGGATGGAGAACGGCGGCTCCGCGAGCATCTGCCAGTGGGCGGACGGGAGGGCGTAGAAGGCCTGCCGCCGCCGGTGCGTGGTGTTCTGGTGCGCCGTTCGTCGGTATTGTCTGTCGTAGTCAGTATTCGTAGTTTATGGCCGATAAGCAGCGATCGACATCGATATACGACGCGCGACAGCACCCCGCACAGCAGGTCGCTGTAAAACACACGCACCGAAACGAATCCAAGGTCGCAAAGAGCACTCTCCGCTCGTCGTGGTCGGCCAATGGGTCGAAATCGCCGGACCAGCTCCGGATCTCATCCGGTTCGTCGGGCAGGTCGGGCATGTTGGTGTGGGTGTGGGTGGTCAATTCAGATGGATGCGTATGTTCAAGAGCATATTAATCTGGATGGCTTCTTTTTACAGGCCATAAGTCAGGAATGTCGGGTCTAGTCGACTGTCGAGAAGGTAGAAAGTGACTGAAAGAGCGGACAGAGTAGAAGTAAGTGAGTGAGTGGTTGTTGGTTGTTGGTTGTGGACCCGCCCGTGTTTGTTTGGCGGGGAAGCATCCAGAAGCGGCGGTTTCTCCCACTGCCACTGCCACTCCCTCTCTCTCTTCACACAAACTCCCCTCATTCCCCCTCATCACATCAACCAACATCATCACCATCACCATCACCATCAACCCCCCCCCCCCCTGATATCTACTTCCAAAATACAAAATACAAAATGGCCTCCCCAGCAATTGCAACCGCACCATCAACAGCATCCCCCACCCCCCAGGAAATCTCCTTCCCCCTCCCCCAGGCCCTGCACACCACCGCCCACATCCACCTCACCCGTCTGGCCACCTGCGCCACCGTGTTTCTGGCCTCCTCCTCCACCCCCGGCGATGCGGCGGGGAGTGGCAGTGGCAGTCTCAAGCCCATGGGGAGTTTGGTGTATGCGATGCCGGATGTGAGTGTTCTTTTTCTTTTTTCTTTCCCCCCCTATTTCATATGATATGTTATATTATATTATATTATTATACCATATCTCCTGTCTATTCTGCTCTGTGCATGGCTGGGCTGTGTACACGTGTGTGTGTGTGTGTGTGTGTGTGGCGGTGGTTGTGGTTGTGGTTGTGGCTATTTCTCTTTCTATGTTTGTTTTATCCGGGCTGTGGAGTGATGGTATATTGTGGTTGTCTGTCTGTCTATCTACCTTCGATATGAGATGGGTTGATACCTACTTTATATGACAGGAGATGATATGATATGATATGATATGATAAAATCTGGGTTACTGTGCTGAGTGTTGATGGATGGAGCTTGTCTTGCCATTATCTTGTATACCCTTACCCTGCACTCGATACTCTACCCCCCACACTCCTAGATCCTACATCTACATCTACACCACCGCATCCCCTCCCCTCTCAATCTCACAACAACTTGATATCCCCCCCCCCCCCAAAAATCTACATTTATTAACAAGGATGCAGCTCAAAAACCCATCCCAACCCCTCTCGACAATCCTCTATTCCGCCCCCTCAAGCGTGGAATACACGACGCGGGTGGCCAAGATCCTGGCCCGCCGGATGCGCGTCCCCGTGTACGTGGGCTGCAGCATCGACCCCGTGGCGCTGGGGCTAATGGTCGAGGAGGAGATGGAGGGGGTGAGGCGGGTGGTTGAAGTGGTGATGGAGCGGTGGGAGAAATACTAATATAGTAGTATTGTATTCTCTGGGGGGAGTTGTTGATTCATGGATGAATCTGGATGGATGGTATCGAGTGGGGTTGTTTAGGGATTGGGTTGGATGCATGGGTGGTGTTTGTCGGTCCGTTTCCTATTTATTATTTGTCTTGAAATTGGGGCTTGGGTTAGGTTTGTCTGGGTTTGAGTTAGTCGGTGTTATGGGTTTTGTGATGTGATTGATTGCATGATGGGGTTGGTAGGCGTTGAAGTCTTTGTTCCCATGTTTCAATTTCATCTTGCTTGCTGGAAGTAAAGTAAGCAAGGCCTGACAGGGAAGGAAGAAGAGAACCCCTCCATCAGCTGATGATATGGCCGAGTCAAGTATAATCCACAGCAGCTGCATGCTCACGCGAGCAGCTGCCCAGTACTTACCGATACAGCCAGCTGACTGGCCCAACATCCTCGATCTAACCACCCCTCGAATACCCGACATCCTGACATGGACATCCCTTTAGCCCGGCATGGTCACAGTTACACCAAATCTGGATCTGGATCTGGACCTGACTGGACCGGATCTAGCCATCAGTCAGTCATCATAATACGAGGCAATAATATCGAGCTCATATCCCGGGATATGAACCCATCGTCTCGATCACCAATGATCGCATGCGCCGTCTGTGCGGGCGAGACTGGGCTGTCAGCGGAACAGCCAGCTCCGTGCGGCCTCGACTAGGCACAACAATGCAGCACGCGGCGCCGACTAAAAAAAGCATGTATGCACCCACGACGGCTCGTTTCCGACTCCAATCAGGCTATAGGCCAGACAGCCAGGCTGCCGTATCCAGCCTTCGAAAGGCAGAGTATTTAGGTAGATGAAACGCAACGGCGAGCCTCCGGACGGCTATCGGAATCAGCTCCGAGCGCCCGGCTAAAATGTGGAGCTGCTAACTTGCCCTCATAAGGTAATTAGACGTGCTTAGTTCCCAGCGGTCTGTTTTCGGCCGGAAAGGAGACAATGGCTCAATCCCATTGTGGTTGTCTGCCAGTAGAAGCCAGATTAAAACAGATTAAAGTGGTGTAGGACTGCGTAGCTGACTAGATATCGGTGCCTGCGACTATTCCCCTTCTGTCGTCATCGCATAACCGAAGCACGACACCGGTTAGATCCTTGAATCCGTGGCCATTGGTGTTCACATCAGATAATCGGTTGGGGCGAAGGTGGGTATGCTGCGCATCTCGGACATGCGTCACATTGCCCGGACCTGGGAGAAGCCGGCTCACTCGGTCGGATGCCTGCATCTCAGCTCAGCTGCCATGGCTTGATGCGGATTGGCCCAATGACAGGTCAAATCCCGACCTGATCTCGGATCTGCTCCGTCCACGAAGGGGCGTGAAGCAGGAGACAGTGGCCCGGTCGGAGTATGAGGGAGAGATTTCTTCCCGGTCATGCAAAGATGAGGAGTACTCGACTCAGCCAGACGCTAATGTTGATGGGACAAAGGAGAATGACCACAAAGTGCCAAGGGCAAGGCGCTGGCTGTCTGCTCGCAACCTTGGCCGTCGATGGGCCACCAGCAGAGCCTGCAGGCCCTTTGACCGGCTCGTGGCGAAGCGGCGCCGCTAAGCCTAGACGACTGCCATGCAATCTCCGACTCAATCCGTCAAGCGCAGGTTTGCTGGACGCGCAGGTTGTCAGGTACAGTGCAGCATGCTTGATCGGGGTCTGCTGCGTGGTCGGGGCAGGGATGCTCTCTACGATGGGATTTGGCCAGACCGCGGCACGGCTGGAATTCCGTGAAACAATTCCGAACCAGGCCTCCCAACCCAATCACCTTCATCGAGAAGATAAGATAGCGAGTCACTTGCGGCACGAGCCCTGTTGCGCACCGCCTGCTCGCCTCGCGGGGCCTATGAAAAGTCTGCGGCGTCTGGCAAATTACGACGACAGGGGACAGACAAACAGAGTCAGACAATAGCTCCTGCCATTAATATCGTCATGCAGGTAGGTCAATGCATGGCCCACGTGGACCGTTGTGCCCTCGCCGGCTCGCCATTGGCCCCAAGGCAGCGCTCCGAGGGGGAGGGGAAGAAGGGAGGAGGGGGCCAGTGAGCGATGGCCATAGATATTAGACAGACAGATGGGCCAGCCATGAAACAAGAGGCCGGCAGACCCTTGTTGGCAGTGGGCGCGCGGATAAGCACGTATTGGCCTGGGCGAGGGTGGGTAGAAGGTTAGTTCCGGTGACGGAACTCGCCGAATCGTGTCAAGATTGACTAGTCCGGTGGGAAGTCGATGCTTCTATGGGACGGGCGTCCGCACTGAGCTGACCGGCGGGGGCCCAGGAGGCAGACGAAAACCCCTCAACAGGGCTTCCTGACTCGTGACAAGCCACTCCAAGGCCATTAGCAGCACTCAGCAGAGGCCAGATCCAGAATCCAGAACCAGGCTGGCCATCACCACCACCGATCAACGACAATGGCAATTAGAGGATGGGGTGCAGCGGCCGACTGTCACGGGAAGGACCACATGGGGCCGGACCCTGGATGCTCCAATAATAACCGGGCCACTAGCCGGTGTGTCTCCGGGCCAAACCTCCAAAGGGATCCTTTCCCGTCCGGCTGCCGGAACGCGACGAGGCAAAGGGTTGCTAGCTTCAGCTACTGGTTGGCGGGCCTGGAGCCTGGGAGGGGCCATGGAAGAGATCCGATGGCTGCACGACTCCAACGACCCGAGCACCGAACAGGTAGTAGGTCGGTAGGTCAGGCAGCCTACTGGGTCAGCCGTCAGTACTAGTTGGCACCTACTAGTCCTGTGTAGTGAGTAGTTAGTAGTCTGTAGCCTCCCTGCTATTATCAATCCGCAGGGCAGGAATCCGGATTACGGCGCGCTTGGGGTTTCTTTGTTCCCCGTCCGGGTGCGCAGGAACAGATAGGTCAGAATCCATGTCCGGTCTAATAGCAACCGAATCGCCCAGCGTCGCTGGAGATCTCGGTAAGAATATCCGGACATGGTATGTTACATCGTACCTGACCTCTCAGACATGCAGTCACTAGCGGTCCTTAGTTGATTGAGCCTGCCGCTCCATCTCGGTCCATTGCAGCGGAGATGAGTGGGAGGGGTTTTTTTTTTTTTTTTTTTTTTTTTTTTTTTTTTTTTTTTTTTTTTTTTTTTTTTTTTCGCTCGTTGCTGACACTTCACGAGTCGCAAGATGTTGGGGCTGCCTCCACTGGCGGACGATACTATCAACAATCTGGTGAGTGCCTAGCCTCCGTATGCGGCATCTGATCGCAGAGCTGGTGCGGGGACCGATTCCACGACGGTCTCGATACGAGTCTAGAGCCCAGGTCCCGAGTCGAACATCCAGCCAACCCGACCATCATGCAACCAACCCACAGGGGTCCAAAGCTATCTCTCCGCGGCGTCACGACCTGCGATGTCTGACCGGGCAGTGCAGGCAGACCTCGAGGGGTCAGTGGGCCGTGGTCCAGCGTCGAGGCCAAGGCTGGGTCGGGAAGGGGACAGGGGAAACCTGGCTGACCAACGGTTCGACAAGTCGGCAGAGTGTGGGAGGGGGATGCGTAACCCGCGAGTAGGAGTGACGACTGACGAGGCCGGCGCCCAACGAGTAGCTAGCTAGCTAAGGGGCGACGGATGGAGTCCGTCTGTGCGAAAGAGCCGACCATATAGGCTGGGGATATCATTTCCGCTCCCCCTCATGTGGCCCCGGGTGGGCAGGGCAGCAAGGAAACCGGAGCATCATGCAGGATCGGTGATGCAGCTAAAGGTCGTGCTTCCCGCCATGCCTTTCCTGCGCAGGCACAGGCGGCCATAGTCGGACACTCGGTGGTGGATGAAGTGGATGAGGTGTGGTATGTGGATGTCGTATGCACGAGAGACTGAATCGTAGGACGGAACAGCCCGTGCTGCCTGTCGGCAGATGCAGCGTGAACGGAAGAAAAGAGCCGGAAGTTTAAGGAGGGTGGTGAGGAGGAGGAGAGTGTACAGAACACAAAGGACAGGGGATGAACAGATAGATAGAGGAGAGGACAATCGAGTGTGCGATCGGAGGTTGGAGTTGTACCGTTCCTGCCAGACCAATCAGGCAGGAAGGCAGACAGCCTCGTTCCTTCCTACTTTGTCGACAATCAGCCAGCCATGACGCCTTCCCGATTGGGATACCATGCCTTCTCTCTCTCTCTCTCTCTCTCTCTCTCTCTCTCTCTCTCTCTCTCTCTCTCCCCTCTACTCCGTCCTTCGTACTTCGTACTTAATGTTGATCCTCTCTCATCATTTCTCCTCCTGACAACACCCCATGGACCCTGTGCCCATCCTTTCCCTCCCTTCATTTTCGATCGACGCCGCCGTCAGCCGTCAGCCGTCCACCGTCATACTACAGAGTCCTACCAGGGTGGAATGCGATGCCAAGTTGACTACGGCCCAGTCTCGACCGAGGCTAGCTAGATACACCCTCTGGCACTCTGCATCCGCCATCCGCCATAGCAGGAGGGTGAGACTGGACTGGACTGCCGGGTGAGGCCATTATCATTGGCCTGCTCCGTCCTACGCTAACCGATGGGACGGCGAGTCTCGATTTGCTGACGGGCGATGAAGGCACCGCGGCAGCCACACAAGCCTCAAAAAGCCTCGCGGGACAATTGCGAGGGAAATGGCGCCAAGGAGAAAATCTCGGGCCATGAGCAATAGCGATTGCCGTATTTCTTACTGGCAAGGGTGGAGTAAGATGGGGGGAATCAAAAAAAAAAAAAAAAAAAAAAAAAAAAAAAAAAAAAAAAACCAAAAACCAAAAAGAAAAACCGAAAAAAAAAAGGAAAAACCAAAAAAAAAAAAGGAGCCAAGGAAAGTCTTACTAGGCCACATTTAGTAGGAGACGATCCCAAAGCTCGTCGGATGCCAGTCATCATCCCCAGCAGCAGAAGCATCAACACCATCATCCGATAATTATAATAATTCGCGAACCGATCTGGTCGGACCAGATAAATATGGGGAGGCCCGGAGATTTTTCGCTGCCGCCGTCCACCCGGGCGGTTTTCTCCGTGTTTCGTCCGAAAGGAAACCAACTCAGCCACGGTGAGCCAACGCCATCGTCAGCACCCGCTTGAGATTCCGAGTGTCAGGTGTGTCTGATGGTGAGCATACGTACTACGTACTATCTACCCCCCCCCCCCCCCCCGAAGATGAGGTGGTGGTTATTCACCATCGCGTAATGCGCAGGATTCGCGGTGGAACTGCCCACGGTTGCGGCCTCGTGCTTCCATGTGGCTCCTCCAATGGTCGCGATCCGGAGGCGGGATTCCGAAGTCGATCGTCAGAACGAGGTTGATGATGTTGCCTTTGTCCCGTCGGAGGGGAAAGGGAGAAAAAAAGTAAACATATCTCCCCCCCCCCCTCGCTGGAGGACGACGTATGGGTATGACATGATTGATTGCCTTCCGGAGATACTGTGTATGGCGTCGGCACCCTACTGGCGGGAATGCGCCTCCGAGCAAAACGAATGGATCGTCTCAGGGGAGCAGCACGGACGCCATCCTCGTTCTCATCGGTCATCGGTGAAGAGAATAAGAATAGCAATAAGATCCTCCCCGGACGTCCAATCAGGCCGTTGACCCTGCTGCTCGTTGACTTTCAGATCCCGTCAACCGCCAGTCATCGCCAGTCATCCATCCGTCACTGCTGGGGAGCCCAACCCAACCAAACCGGAAGCCCTCCAGGCCCGTAGGCGCTGAGGTTGCCGTGATGATCATCCGCGAACCACGGCTTTGCGGTATGCGAAGGATAGCCAGGCCGTCTGCCGGTTTGCCAGCGGGCAGCGTCACAAAGTAGGACTGAGCCGGCGACTGCAGGCCAGGATTTAAGCACGGAGTTGCCCTCCGTACGGCCATGTCAGAACCATAGTTAAATCCCCTCCTGGGTACCAGTCCCAGTACCTGGGTTCGCAGGACCGACAGGCTAGGTTCCTATCCGAGGCCGTGCTCCGTCCCAACGTGAGGAGCGCGCCCTCCTTCCGCCCTTTCCTTTCCCTGGGTGGGCCCGCGGACCATGGGTTAAAAAAAGGACTCGGACGACAGACACGTCGTGATCCCAGGGAGTCGTCGCCAGAGCCAGGACACTGCCACCGCCGATCTCGGGATGCCTCCCACCTAGTCAGAGGTCTGATCCTCTGCTAACTTGCGAAGAAACCGCGACCGCCCACTGGAGGGAGAGGGAGGGCGCGATAGCAGTCAAGTCGACTTACGACGGTCGAGGCAGGAAGGCATCCAGCTCGTGGGCGCCGTCGCGAGCCCAACCCGGAAGCTTGAGCCGTAGGGCCCCCGACACGACGGGCCGTTGACCACCAGTCAGAGGTTCGTCAAGGGGAGAGCGGATGGGGATTGGGTCAGATCCGGCCCAAGGAAAGCCAAATTACATCGAACGATCGAACAAAGAAGAGCGAATCCGCCCGGAGAGACGGTTCCGTAGGCTGTCGCAGACTGTCGCAGCAGCCTGTAGGGCCCTGCTAATTTACCGGGAATTCCCCCCCCATTATTCTCCATTCTCCAGGCCCCAGGGCTGGCAGGCAGACAGGCAGACAAGCCATCAGCATCGGCATCGGCATCGCATCCATCGTCATCGTCATCATCTCCCCCCCTCAGAAAAAGAAAAGGAAGGGCAATCCACCAGTCAGACCCAGACAAGCCCGGAACCGGGGGGAGGGCAGGCTTGTCGGCAACAGCTTCCTAAGGATAGACTTCTGCAGTGGGTGACGGGCGCTGATTTGCTGGCCCCAGCTGCACCCGCGCCCCCATCGATCTGATTTGAGTAGGCGATGGCGTCGTTTCAGCCATGTTTTTCCTGCTCTGTAACCGGGGTCAGCCGAGAGACTTTCGGAGTCGTTTCCTGGACATGGGAAGACCCTGGCGCGGGCGCTGCTGGGGCGCCTTCCGAGGCCTGGTCGCCTCGCCGCATGCTGATTGCTGGGCGGGTTGGATCTCTGTCGCGGGGCGGGGGCGACGTGGTCTTTCTGTTCGAAGAGGATGAAGAGGGGGGTGGTGTTGAGAGAGGAGGATGGTTTAGGGTCGAAGGGCAGTAGTGGCAGTAGAAGCAGTAGAAGCAGTAGTCGCATCGAGACAACCGCGAGGGGCAGAAACCATCTTCTCCAGAATAAGCATAGTAATAATCATGATAGAATAAATCGGTCTGCCCCAAATAAGATAAAATAGGATAAAATAAAATAAAGAAAATAAATAATAGCTGCGAGAATAATAATTACCATCAGAATCATCACCAACCAGAAGAAACAAAAAAGCAAAATAAATAATCAGAACGGCCCTGCCCGAACTGGAGGCTCCAAAGGCCCTGAGGATGCCAGATTGAGGGCCGAGGGCCATGACTGCGCACGCCCGTCATTCCTCCTACTGACTGTTCTGCTCTCTATATTCCTCTCTGCCCTATTTACTCCCTCCCTCACTCTTCTTCTGCTATCCTCCTTCGACTATCCCCCCTCTCCCGTCTCTTTCTCTTCCTTTTCCCTTCTTCCTCTTCCCCTCCCTTCCTCCTTCCTCTCCCTCCCTCTCTCTCTCTCCCTCTCTCCCACTCCGTCCCTGATTCATTTCTCCTCGACTCTCCCTCAACTCTTCCCTCACCGTGTTGTGATACTTCCCGACTACTTTTTGTATGGCTTCAACGGCGCCGGTCCCCTCCATCCGTCCGCGCCGACTACCGCAACATACCCGCCTCTAGATGACCCCACGCCTCCCCGTCGTCGCAACTCTATTCCGTGGCTCAACTTGACTCGACTCTCGGCCGGCATTCTAATTCCCTCTCTCTGGTTCTCTATTCTCCCCCCCCCCTCTTCCCTCCCTCGTGGTTATCGCAACAACCAACGGCACTAGCGCCCTGAGCGTGACACCCCAGAGGAAGAAGCTTTCCCTCCGTGTCCCTGAGGGGATCCTGCTTCTTCCTCGCTTCGTCACACATCTCCCTCGATCCGGACGAGCGGGCATCGTCGTCGGCACTCCCCTTCCCCCTCCCCCTCCCCTGCAGTCCTCGCCATGCAGGCGCATTACTATCACCCCTCGACCAGTCCGGGCCAACCGGGAGGATCGTATGAGCTTCCTCCGGTGCACACCGTGACCTCGCCGCCAACGCCCTTCCATCCCCATCCACACAGCCATAGCCATGGCCACATCCACCATGGCCCTGGCCCTGGCCCCGGCCCCGCGGCTCCTCTTCTGTCCGCGCCGCCGAGTCGCCCCGAGAGTGGGTTGCGCATGCCCCATCTCCTGCAGCCGCTGGCACACCCTCCTCCTCCGCCGCCCCCCCCTCCACCACCACCACCGCCCCAACCTACTCGCGATCATACGAATCCAGCGGCTCCCCCGCCGAGGGTGTCGCCATGCTCCCCGATGCCCCGTCACTGAACGGCCCCGGGTTGCTGCAGTCGCTGGGCGGCGGTGCGGCGGGCCCGCACTCCCACTCCCACCATCAGTCGCAGCAGCCGTTGCAGCAGAAACGGGCGTATCGCCAGCGCCGGAAGGACCCCAGTTGCGATGCGTGTCGCGAGCGCAAAGTCAAGGTACGTTACGCGACATCTCCGTCACGCTGGGCCTCGCATTGACCACGGTGGGCTCGTCCGTTTAGTGTGACGCGTCCGAGTCCTCCAGTTGCACAGAGTGCACCAACCGCAAGGTGCGCTGTCAGTTCACCAAGGAGACTAACAGGCGCATGTCGTCGATCAAGTTCGTGCCGTGGCCGTCTTATCTGTGGGAGTCTTGCCGTTCTAATGAGACAGTAGGCAAGTCCAAGACCTCGAGAAGCAGCTGCTGTTCACCAAGCAACAGCTCCAGCAACTGCGATCGGGCATGCTGCGGTCTGACAACCTGATGGACCTGGACATCGACGGCGCCGGACAACCTCAGCTGAAGCTCCCCGACCTCGGATACCAACCCCCGCGCCGACCCAAGACCCCGGTGATGCAGGACCTGACGGAGGCGCGCGCCAACCTGCGGAAATATGGGAAGGGCATCCTGCGCGTGCCGCCGCCATACCGCCAGCAGGGGCCCAGCTCGGTGCTGTCCACCGACCCCCCGCGACTGCCCCCGAAGGAGGTCGCCGATCGGCTATTGGGGCAGTATTATGCCTGCATCCACGCCGTCCTCCCGGTCATCCACTGGCCCACCTTCGCCGACCAGTACGAGAAGGTCTACCAGGCCGGGTCGCTCCTCGGGGTGCCCCGAGAATGGGCGGCAGTCCTGTTTGGCGTCTTCGCCTGTGGGTGTCTGCACACCCTGGACGCGAATCGGGAGCAAGAGGGGAAAGACTACGTGAAGGTCAGCTGCGGGGTGATCGACGTGTGGCAGGACAACTTCACCCTGGACCAGGCCCGGGCGGCGCTGCTGGTCAGTATTTTCCTGTACGAGGTGAATTCCCAGTCCGCGAGCTGGGTCTGGATCGGATCCGCCATCCGGGTCGCCCAGGAGATCGGACTGCACCTGGAGTCGGGGCCGTGGTCCCTGCTGGAAGGCGAGATGCGCAAGCGGGTGTGGTGGGGGATGTACACCTGGGACAGGTATGTCTTGAGGGTGTGAGGATGTGAGGATGTGAGGACACTGGCTGACGGACTGCAGACTGCTCGCCTTGGAGATGGGGAAACCGGTTCTGATCAACGATCAGGACTGCGACGTCGACCTCCCATGTCCCATCGACGAGCAGTACCTCCTGGAGGGCGCGATCGTGCCGGACAGCCCGCAAACATCGCCGCTTCTTGCAACGATCCACGTCGTGCGCTCGATCGGGCAGCTCTCGCGCACCTTGCGCAGTCCGACCATCAGCTCCGGCACCCTCGACACCTTCGAGCGACACTTCCACGCCTGCCTCGCGACATTCCCGTCGCAATACCAGCCCAAGGCCGAACAGTACCTCGATCCGCGGACCCTGGCGCCGGTCCTATACCTCCAAAACGCGCGACTGCTTCTACATCGCCATAATATCTCCCCTTCCTGTCTACCCGACGCGCGAACCTCCGCCATGGACTACTGTGTTTCGATCTGCCAGGACACCGCACACCTGGTGTCGCGCTGCATGCGGCCCCCGTCGGGCGGGTTCGCTGGCGATGATGACTGGAGGCCGCTGTTGGCCTCCTCAGCCGGGACGATGCTGTGCCTGCATCTCTGGCGCTGCACGCTCCTGCTGCTCTTCCGGCAGGAGTTCGTGGCCGCCCTGGTCTGCGTCCAAGCCAGCGCCATCGTCGGAGATTCCCGCGCCGTAAACGCCGCCTGCGGCCGCTACGTGGCCTTCTTCCTGAAAGTGCTCCTCGACCATCTCCGCTGCAACCAGGCCACCCCCCTGTCCGAGCGCGACGAGGAGCTGCTCGCCTACGTCTCGGGCGACATGCAAAGCGCGGCGGAGGGCAGCTGGGTGTGGCAAGGCAGCGAGACCGGCTCGCAACTCGAGGAGATGTCGCTGTCCGCGCAGACCAGCAGCCCCGTCTCGTACGCTCGCTCCGACACAAACGACCGCATGACCGACGCGACCGACTCCTGGGAAGGCTGGGCCTGGGTCGAGCAGACCGTGCAGTATCTCAGCGAGCACCAGCAGGAGCAAGACCTGCAGCGGCAGCAGCAATCCAAGGCCGTCGAACCCACCACCTACCTCGGCCCCGACACCACCACCACTACGACCTCAAACACCAACCCCAGCTCGGACGCCACCACGCCCCAGTCCAGCACCTCTCATTCGCGCATGACTATCGCGAGCATTATTTGATATGATACCAACCAGGCCGGGCGGGCGCGCTCCGATGCCGAACCCTTCGCTGTACTATCTTTAATCTGTATTATTGTCCAGGCGATTCTGTGGGCTACACAGGCATGTGAGATGAGATCATGGATAACGAATGATTGTTCTTTTGCGTTCGTAGACTGAGACGGTGCTGTAATCTAGCTACACTTCCCTTTACTTTAATTCTGTTATTTCTCCGTGGAGATTGGCGAGTGTTGCTGATACCCACCCATGTTTTGGCCATCTTCCATCTAATATTCATCTTTCCTTCCATCTCCCATCCATCTATCTATTTATCTATCTGCAATCTTCGATTCGACACTCTGTATTCGATAATCGTCTCATCGCATCGACTGACTCCTTCCTCAAGTCAGATAAGATAGATAGATAGATAGACCCTTGATCCTAGAGTAGACTCATCGAGTTCCTTCCTCTATTGATAGTAATATTCTAATTGCCACTTCCTCCATGGGTAGATGCTAGGTAGCATCTACAATGAAAGTAATCCACAGCATCAGTATTACAAAGGATATCTCAATCTCCCTTCCCCATAGCAATATCCTCTACGGAGTACCCTCTCCCTAGGTATGAGTTACCTGGTTACCTTGTTTATATGTTTTTGTAGATAGTCAGATAGATAGATGGATATTTACTTACTTGCTTGCTTGCTTGTTTGCTTGTTTACTTACTGACGTAACCTAGTAGTATCATCCCTCTCTATCTCAGCTTAAATAATCTGTCTACTATCTGTCCATCTATTTATATATCCATTTGTTTATTCATTCCTTGTTTCGATATAACCACACAACCAATCATCCAACCACTGCACCCCACCATGTCCATCCCATAAGCAGTAGTCTTACATTACTATAGTGATTACCCCTTAACAACCACCAACCACCACCCCATCACCGTGGACTTTCCCAGCTCCCAGCTTGATAGACAGACAGCCAGCCAGCCGAATAAATAGACAATAAATCCATGAATAACCCAGTTGATTGAAGAAACCTAACAACGACTAAGTCTCCAGGTTAATACTCCGCCCGAACCGCGCATACAGCGCCACCTTCAGCCCTTGCAGCTCCTCGCGCACGTCGCTCAGCTTCTCCTCCAGCTTGCCCACCTCCGTGTCGATTTCGTCCGTGGAGGTGGAGAGAAGCGCTTGCGCTTCGGTCAGGGGGAGGTGGAAGAATGCGTCCCCGATTTTGTAACTTCGCTTCGTCAGTATTATCGTTAAAGGGGGCGCCGGGGGGTGGGGCGGTGGAAGATGAGGGAGGGGAGGAGGGGGTGGTTAAGAGGTGATGATAGGATGGGATAAGAACATACGGAACCAATTCATCCTCATCGGCAAGTTCCAGCTCCGTGGAAATTTCTTCGAGGTCTTCTTTATCTTTCTGTTTTTTTTTTTTTTTTTTTTGTTAGTTTTCATCCATTCCATTCCATATGAACGCGTAGTGCAACCCCCCTCATTTATAAAAAAGAACACACACATAAATAAAACAGAAAAATCAAAACCCAGAGCAAAATTAATGGAAATAAAACATACCTGCTTCACCCCCAACATCTCCTCCAGCAGCGTCTCGCGCTGATGCAGCCGACTGAACCGGTTGATCTTTTCCTGGTCCTCGCGCCGGACTTCGTTGTCCTCGCTGCCCGTGAGGGCCTCGTCTTCTTTGGTGAGCTGCAGGATTCGTTAGCAATTGCTGAGATAATTCAAACATTGGGGATGGGGATTGTGATTGTGTTGTGGTTGGGTGGGGTGGGGGGGGGGGGGGACTGACCATGCGATGTTGCATCATTTTGGGCGGGGTGGATGCGGATTGTGAGGTTGTTGATGCGGTGGGGATGGGATGGGATTGTGCTGGAGGGGAGGTGGGATGGCGGCCTGATGTTGGCCTGATGTTGGCCTGATGTTGGCCTGATGTTGGCCTGATGTTGGCCTGATGTTGGCCTGAAGTTGGCCTGAGGTTGGCCGGAGGTTTGCGGTGCCCGTTTGGTGGGTGGGTCGGTTAGGTGCCTTGGTGCCTTTATGCCTTAAAGCCTGGCTGCCTGAGGATGGAGTAAGGGTGGATGACTTGTCTGGATGTCTGGATGTCTGGGTTAAGGTGCTTGGTTTACACTGTGTATAGAACATTAAAGCAGGGAGTATATTTGGGTCTCGTGAATACTACTGTTCGCTGTACTACTCTACAATGTGTTGTAGATACGGTTGATAGTATCCATAGTGGAGACAATGCTAGTAACCCAGAAGCAGGTCGTGTCATTGCCATACCATACTATAGCCATACTACAACCATGGCTATTATCACCATGCTACTCCGTACATACATCACCTCTGCGCTGTCCGCTATTCTTCCGTGTCAACTCGTGTGACATCATCCGTCAGCTGCCTCCGCATTGCCGATCCCGTCCACGCTGCCACGAGAACTCGAGCGATCTGGAGAAAGTCCATCTACTGCTTCCCGGTCATCCTGTCTCTCACTGTCTTCTGTCAGGTGCGTGGTGCAGTTAGATATCGTGGCCGTGGTTGGGATATCCGCCTTGGAGTGCGCATCACCGCCCCGGAGAAACAAGGACCGACCGCCGACCGCCGGCCACCGCATCGGCCATCGGCCATCGGCCATCGTCGCATCTCCATCGGGATAAGCCAACCCAGATCAGATCCTCTTCACTTTCACATCCCCAGACGCTGACAGCTCTGTTCCGCTACCTCTCAACTCTCAACCGTCGAACTGAACTGTAACTGTCGAGCTGAGCTCCGGTGATCACCACCCACCACCTCCTAACTCCTTCCGCTCATCCCTCCGCATCACTCTCCACACAGCAACCAGCAACCATGCGAATACCCTCCAGCCTCTCCTCTCTCCTCCTCCTCCTCTCATCAACCCTTCTCCCCTCCGTCTCCGCCTCCGGCTTCGACTGCGAACACATCAACGTCAACTCCGTCAAATACGACCTCAGCGCCCTCGGCGGCGTGCACACCCTCTACGACGTCGAAGAAACAGACAAGTATGTCGTCAACACGACCTACGTGCTCAACGTCTGCAACATCCTCAAGGGGGCGTCCATCCGCGGACATTTGAAATGCGGCACTTCGAAGAATAGTGCGTTCTGCTCCAATCCCAACCTCAGTCCTATCCAGTCCCACTCCCACTCCTACTCCCTGTTTCAGTCCCCAAAGCCTACCTACCCTTCTCAACACCAACCCAACAACACCAACAAATAAACGCTAATAATAATAATAATAACAATCACAGTCTGCGGCTTCCGCTACAACACCTCCCTCACCAGCACCGAAGAATTCAGCCGGGTATTCCCGATCGTCGGCCTGGAACACATGGGCCACGGCTCCAAAGACCCCGAGATCACGCGCCTCAAGACGCTGGATTCCTCGCGCGACGGCCTCCTCGTCAAGCTCTGGGGCGGCGAATACGACGTCAATGGGAAGACGAAGGACGCCGGCGCGGCTATCGAGTTCGAGTGCGATCCCGACCGGACTGGGCTGGAGGGGCTGCGCACGTCCGAGGATGCGAAGAGGCGGCGTGATGAGGTGTCTTTGGGTGCTGCTGCCGGGGATGGGGATGCGGATATGGAGCGCAGTCTCCAGTTCAAGGGCTTCGGGCCGTCGGATCAGGACGGTGATGATTCTTATCTTCTCAAGTTGAATTGGCGGACGCGGTACGCGTGCGAGAATGTCGATGGCGTGCCTGGTGGTGGTGATGGGGCTGATCGTGATGGTGAGAGTCATTGGGGCTTCTTCACGTGGATGATTATTCTGTATGTTTCCCTCTCTTTCCTCCCCTTACTCTCTGTTTCTTATCCTCTCCCCCATCCCTCTTCCCATCCATGCTCTCCCCCGCTCAAACGAGCTCCTGTTTGCCTGCCTCTACTAATCGATGGATGATGATAATAACAGCCTCTTCCTCGGCATCGCCGCCTACCTCATCTTCGGCTCGTGGCTCAACTACAGCCGCTACGGCGCCCGCGGCTGGGACCTCCTCCCTCACGGCGACACCCTGCGCGACGTGCCCTATCTCTTCCAGGATTGGTTGAAGCGCGTCGTGAACACCCTGCAGGGTACGGGGTCGAGGGGGGGATATAGTGCTGTTTAGATGGTTTGGTCTTGTTTTGGGTCTTGTTGTTTCTGTATTGGTGGTCTTTGGATTTAGGGTTGACTAGCACTGGTAGCTGGTATTGCTGGTATGTTGCTGGGGGATTAGATTGCTGGGAACGCTGTTTGGTTTGGTTTGGGAGGGGTGGTATGTAGTATGTAGTATGTAGTATGTATACAGGTTGGATAAGATGGGATGGGATAGGATGGGATTGATAGGATGGGATCTCGCTCGATGGCATCGGAGATAAATCATATCATATCGTCTTTTTATTATCGGCATCTGACATCATGAATGGTGTAGTTGAAGAGTAAATGTGGTGCGTTGGAGGTGCAGCGGTTATGTTGTGGTTGCGTGGCCAGTTGTAGGCTGTAGTAAATTACCTTACTATGGGGTGGTGGTGGTAGTAGTAGTAGTAGTAGTAGTAGTAGTAGTAGTAGTAGTAGTAGTAGTAGTAGTAGTAGTAAAGCGGTGATAGATTCAGAACACAGTAGGCTATCTATACATATCTGTAAAATAGATAATACAGCACCTACCTACATAATAATCCCACCAGACAAAGAAAGACAGACAGACAGACAGACACATACACACACAGAAATATACCAGACCTGACCAGACCTGACCTACAGGCGGTGTACCACTACCTCACCACCACACCAAGTACTCATACTGAATAGTTAATCAAACCAAATCAAATAATCATGAATATTCCACCAAATCAATCTCCCATCCGTATCAATCATCAAACATCAATCAAATCAAATCGCTACACAAACACAAACCCAACACAACACAACATAACATAACATAAATAAATAAGATAGACAGACAGACCATGCTGATCATCAATCACATCAAATGGCGTCATCAAAGCTAAGAATTCCTCACATCACCCAGCATGCCAATTGTCCCAAACATCTCAAATCAAGTGGATAAAAAAGGGGTCCTCTTCCCTTCCTTCCCTTCCTTCCTTCCTGTACCCCTCTTTTTGGGTGAGTTAAATTGGTCGTCTTTCCTTCCTTCCTTCTTTTATCCCTTGTTCTTCTGTTTCTCTCTTTCTTTTCCTTTCTGATTTTTGATTTTTGATTTCTGGTTTTGTGTTCGGTCATACTTCATCTTGGTCCATTTGTTTGGTTGTATTCATTCCTTCGTTCGTTTATTTGTTCATTTGTTTGGTATTCTTATTTCTTCTTGTGTGTGTGTCTGTCTGCCTGTCTGTCTGTTTTCTTACAGACAACCTACACGCGCATGGCGAACTGCTTCAGATACAGATAATCGGCCATGTTGGCGTCGACGGCCGAGCGGATCAGGGCGGCGCCGTCCGGGCCGTACTTCTTCAGCCATTCGGCGTCCCACTGAGCTTCGGTTTTGACGACGGGGGCCTGTGATGGTTCTGTTAGCTTCCTGTCTTGCTTTCTTGCTTCCTTCACTTCGTGTCTTCTGTCTTCTGTCTGTCTGCTGGGTTGCCGGGGATGCAGCTCTACGCAGGCAGGTGTGTGAGAACTTACATGCTGTCTAGCAACCAGTCCCTTCGACTCGATCGCATCATTATGAAAGCCCCTCCACTTCTCGAACGCCTCGCACGCGCACTGATGATCCTCCTCGGTATCCCAGCACAACATACTCGGATCATACTCGAGCCCGACACTCCGACAGAACGCCTCGATCATGGGCGCCGGCTTCTGCAGCATATCGTCCGCGTCGACGACGCAGATCTCGGCCCCGGCCTCCTTGGGGAACCCGTTGACGGCCGGCTTCAGCGAGGAGTCGATCTCGTCCGCGTCGCGCTCCAGCGTCGCGATGTGCGGCCCGACCAGCCGCACGCTTCGCAGGTAGTCGAATAGCCGACGCAGCTCGTCATACCCGGCCTCCGAGGGGTCGTAGTTGTGGAATCCTGTCACCGCGTCGAGCGGCGGGATGGTGCACCGGTAGTAGGACGGGACACTGTGGTGGGGGTCGCGGATCAGGAAGGCGAAGTGGAAGGAGGACAGCAGCTCCGTGGGCATCACGGTCGGGTTGCCTGGTTCGGCCGCCGTGTCGTACGGGTACGGCGCCCCGGTCGGGGTCGCTGGCGGTGTCACCTGTGCGAGGTTGATGCCGTTCGGGGGCTGCTGCTGGGGGGCCTTCTCTACGCTCTGCTCCGTCCCCACGCCGCGCTTGATTCTATGCAGCGACGGCGCAATGCTGGCCGGCTTGCCGTATGGAGGGAGCAGGTAGTGCATGATGTCTTTGATGAAGACGCGCTTGCCCTGCGGTTGGTAAGTATCTCTCTCGTAGAACCGAGTCGAATGTAAAGAAAAAAAGAAGAAAAAATGGTAGAGATGAGTTGGGGCTGAGATCCGACGCCATCTGGACGATGAGTGTCACAACACTCGCGAGAGTATATGCATGCAGGATACCGATGCGGATGCAGGTGCAATCCTCAAGATCAACAGGGGATGGATGGATAATGAGACGTGATGTGATAGAAAGTAGATGTCAGTCGGTCTCCTGCGCTGCCTTGGAAGAGATCATCCGGCAACGCAGTACGACGCGACAGGAACGGCGAAAAAAACGGCACAAGGCAGAAAGGAAAGCAACGCGACCAGAAAGAAGGGTCGGACCTCAGAAGATTCGCGCTCGATCCTATCCAGAACGGTCTGGAACGTCGACTGGCTGAAGCCGCTATCCAGGCGAGCCTGCTCGTCGCCGGCAAATCTGCCCGACAACCGCTCGGGCCCGTAGTAGAAGGCATCGCCAAACGGCTCGTGGATGCACTGGATGCTGTCCCGACGAGTCATGAAGACCTGTTGGGTCGGTGATTAGCAGAGGGAGAGAGAGGGAGGGGAAGATCGAGAGGGTGAGTGAGTGAGTCGTACTCGTTCAAAGGCCGTGGAGCATGCTCGCGGATGCGTGGCCACGAAAATGGGTTTCTGCGACATCGTGGGCGATGGATGAGAAGAGGGAGGGTTGTGATGAACCGTTTCAGATCCAACGAGTTGATCAACTGAGCACTACTGCTGACCAGGGAGTTTCACCACCGGCGTAGATACTCGTGCCAGAGGAGGAGTGCCAATAACTATGGCAGCTTTTGAGATGGCAGGCAGGCAGGCAGGCAGGCAGGCAGGCAGGCTGGCTGGCTGGAGAGAGACAACGCAGACTGAATGAATGCAGGCGGAGGAAGGGAAGAATGCGAGGAATGCTGGTCCACCACTAGTAACGTCCAGCAGGACAGCAGATGCAGATGCAGATGCAGATGCAGGCTTTTATAGCAGGGCTCACGCGGAGGGGCATCCGGGAGATCTCCACGGGCGAGCCAGCAAAGAAATAACAGAAGTAACAGAAATGAATAAAAATATAAAAATATAAAAAGAATGCCTGGCTAAACAAAACAGGGAAGTTGACCCGTGGTTGAGCCCGATAAGAAGGGCCTAAGGGCCTACGAGCCTACGAGCCTACGAGCCTACGAGCCTACGAAGGAGTGACTGCATATCCACTCTCGTCAAACGGCCCTGGTCTAGTCGAGGGGCAAAACGTAATGGCTTGCTCGAGGTCGGAGTTCGCTTGAGGGGAACGATGAATCCATCCATGAATCCATTAATCCCGCATAGGGAGGGGGACCTGGGGGCCGGAGATCGATGCTTATTTTGGTGGCTGTCGAAGTGAGAGACATGTAGGTAGGCACGTATCTCCTCCGTATGTCATGACGTGCACGGCTGCGACAAAAGGGATTTCGACCCGGTCAGTCTGATCCCTGCGACAAAGGAAGGGAATTACGATCTACACTTGATTCCCCTCGGTCAGATCCGGGAAGCACGCTGCGAGTAAACTGCCGGATAGCCCGTCCAGGGTCAGGACCAGGGCCTGTCTGAGTCTGAGTGTCTGACTGCTGTGAAGCCACCGGAGGCTCTCCTCCGGGAATAATAATAACGACCGGTCGATGTGGAAGGGCGCATCAGGGAAGGCTGGCCATCCCGGGGGGGTTAAGAGGGGTTCCCACTGTTTGACGTCACGCACGGGCCTGGAATCGTGGAAGGATCCGCCGTGGCTTGCGACCATCGGCGCAGAATCAGCGGCGCCCAGATTGGCTGGGAGGGGCTGAGGCGGGGAAACCAGGAGGGCGCAAGAGAATGATTCGGAGTATCTAGTCTCATGGACTATACTCATTGCAGGTTGGAAACTGGAGACTGGAGACTGGAGCTGAGACTGGAGATAGACGGAGAGGGGATATCTGACTGAACATCCATCACGGTGCGCATCGTGAAACCATCGTTGTACTTTGCCGACAGGGATGGCTTCAGCCTTTCCCCTGAAGTAAGTGGTAAGTGTATGTGGCAGGAAGTGTAATCCCGTCCCAGCGCTGCATGCCAATCAAGGGGCCGACTGCCTCAACGTGGAGATTCTGGAGTGCCTGGCATCGCTAGCGGCGGACGAGCAGAAAATCTCTGCGAGCGTCGGGGGGCTGCCGAGTGGATGGTCGGATTGTTTGCCTCTGAGGAAGGAGGAGGCGACTGAAGGGGCGCTTCTTCAATGGGCAACTGGTCAGTGGTGATCACCTGACTGGCCCGGTCATGCCTCAGGTCATGAGGATTATGGCCCGATCTCTCAGGCAGTAATATTTCAGGCTCCAAGGCTTTAAGGCTCAATTTTTAGGTTCTAAGGCACCCAGGCACTCAGGCATACATATAAGGCAGCCACATCAGGCCACCCAGCCACGAGACGGTGCGGGTACCCGCACGTGATATCTGGGAAGGTCTGGCGGCGGCGGGATAGTTCTGGAAGGCGGTGGAAGCAGCTCGTGTCGTCATCGGGAGGGCCAGCCGTGCAGTATATTATCCGCCCTCCGAGTCCCCACGAGACTTCCCCTCCATCATCAGACATCATCAGACATCCTCACCCTCTGCAACAAGCTTTGCACCTGCAACTGCATCTCCCACGAGACTGGTTTTTAAAACCACCCTCTCTCCTACTCCACCACCCTTTCTCTGGTCTTTACGCTCCTCATTGATCTTCCACCACTCACAACACTCTCACACACCCGCCCACCATGAACGGGGCTCAATTTACAGACCGTGCCAACAAGACTCTGCTGGACGCCAGCAATCTGGCAGAGCAATACTCTCACTCGCAAATCCTCCCCATCCACCTCGCTGTCTCCCTCCTCAATCCCGCCCCAGATGAGTCCAAGGACCAACAGGCCACCGCCCACCCCTCCCACGACACCTCCTCCGCCCCGCTCTTCCGCCAGGTCGTTGAACGCGCCCATGGCGACCCGCAGCTCCTCGAACGCTCCCTTATGAAGCTGCTCGTCCGCCTCCCCAGCCAGGATCCTCCCCCGGAGACCGTCAGCGTCTCCCCCGCCCTCGCCAAGGTTCTCCGCGCCGCCACCGAACTGTCCAAGACCCAGAAGGACAGCTTTGTCGCCATCGACCACCTCATCCTCGCGGCCGTGCAGGACTCCCAGGTGCAGCGCGCCTTGGCCGATGCCAATGTGCCCAACGTCAAGTTGATCGACGGCGCCGTGCAGCAGATCCGAGGCACAAAGCGCGTCGACTCGAAGACTGCCGACTCCGAGGGTGAGAACGAAAACCTCAAGAAATTCACCATCGACATGACCTCCCTGGCGCGCGAGGGCAAGATCGACCCCGTCATTGGTCGAGAGGAAGAGATCCGCCGCGTGATCCGCATTCTCAGTCGGCGCACCAAGAACAACCCCGTCCTCATCGGTGAGCCGGGTGTCGGAAAGACCACCATCGTCGAAGGGCTGGCCCGTCGGATCGTGAACGCAGACATCCCCGCCAACCTGGCTCAGTGCCGGCTGCTCTCGCTTGATGTCGGCTCGCTGGTCGCCGGCAGCAAGTACCGCGGTGAATTCGAAGAGCGCATGAAGGGCGTCCTGAAGGAGATCGAAGATTCCAAAGACACCATCGTTCTGTTCGTCGACGAAATCCACCTGCTCATGGGTGCTGGCTCCAGCGGCGAAGGTGGAATGGATGCCGCCAACCTCCTGAAGCCGATGCTGGCTCGGGGCCAGCTCCACTGCATCGGTGCAACGACTCTGGGCGAATACCGCAAGTACATCGAGAAGGACCAGGCCTTCGAGCGTCGATTCCAACAGGTGCTCGTGAAGGAGCCTTCCGTGAACGAGACTATTTCCATCCTCCGTGGTCTCAAGGAGAAGTATGAGGTGCACCACGGTGTCAACATCCTCGACGGCGCCATCGTTGCGTCGGCCAACCTGGCTGCCCGCTACTTGACGGCGCGTCGACTGCCTGACTCGGCCGTGGACCTGATTGACGAAGCCGCCGCTGCCGTCCGAGTGACCCGCGAGTCCGAACCCGAAGCACTGGACAACCTCGAAAGAAAGCACCGGCAGCTCCAGATTGAGATCCACGCGCTCGAGCGCGAGAAGGACGATGCCTCCAAGGCTCGCCTGCAGCTCGCCAAGCAGGAAGCGGCCAACGTCTCCGAGGAGCTGCGGCCGATGCGCGAGAAATACGAGAGCGAGAAGGCCCGCAGCAAATCGATCCAGGATGCCAAGATCAAGCTGGACTCCCTCAAAGTCAAGCGAGACGAGGCAGAGCGCTCCGGAGACACCCAAACCGCGGCCGACCTCGGGTACTACGCCATCCCCGAGACCGAGAAACTCATCCTCAGGCTGGAACACGAACGCGCCAAGGCTGACCAGGAACGCCAGGCGCGCCAGGGCGATGAGGGCGAGGCCTTGCTCGCCGACGCTGTCGGCCCCGATCAGATCAACGAGATCGTGGCCCGCTGGACCGGTATCCCAGTGACGCGGCTCAGAACCACCGAGAAAGACAAGCTGCTACACATGGAGAAGTCCCTGGGCAAGGTGGTCATCGGCCAGCGGGAGGCCGTGGTATCCGTCTCGAACGCCATCCGACTCCAGCGGTCCGGCCTCGCCAACCCCAACTCGCCCCCAGCTTCCTCTTCTGCGGTCCCTCCGGCACCGGTAAGACCTTGCTGACCAAGGCCCTGGCCGAGTTCCTCTTCGACGACCCCAAGGCCATGATCCGCTTCGACATGTCCGAATACCAGGAGCGGCACGCCCTCAGCCGCATGATCGGCGCGCCCCCGGGATACGTCGGCCACGACGCGGGCGGCCAGCTGACCGAGAGCCTCCGCCGGCGGCCCTTCTCCATCCTGCTCTTCGACGAGGTTGAGAAAGCCGCCAAGGAGGTGCTGACCGTGCTCCTCCAACTCATGGACGACGGTCGCATCACCGATGGCCAGGGCAGAATCGTCGACGCCAAGAACTGCATCGTGGTCATGACCTCCAACCTGGGCGCCGAATACCTCACCGGCCCCCCCACCAAGGACGGCCGCATCGACCCCCAGAGCCGCGAGAATGTCCTGAACGCCCTCCGCAACTACTTCCTGCCCGAGTTCTTGAACCGCATCTCCAGCACCGTCATCTTCAACCGTCTCACCCGGCGCGAGATCCGCAATATCGTCGACCTCCGCCTCGCCGAGGTCCAGAAGCGTCTGCAACACAACAACCGCAATATCACAATCGATTGCTCCGATGAAGTCAAGGATTACCTCGGTGAAGCCGGTTACTCGCCAGCCTACGGCGCCCGTCCGCTCGCCCGCATCATCGAGCGCGAGGTCCTCAATCGCCTCGCTGTGCATATCCTGCGCGGCAGCATCCGCGAAGGCGAGGTCGCTAGCGTGATCATGCACGATGGTCGCATCGATGTCTTGCCCAACCATACCGAGGCGTCGGATGAAGACTCCGACATGATAGACGATGAAGATGCCGTTGCTGAGATGGAGGACGGTAACGGTGATATGGACCTGTATGATGAGTAGACGGCCGGTCGGGTCATCTACCGTCTATACAGACACAAAAGTTGATCATTTTTGGTGGCGAGCTAAGTTATGACTGATGATATAATGATTTGCTGATTTTTCTTCTTTTTCCTGTTTACTTGCTTCCTTTCTGTGTTTGTTTCTTCAGCATATGTATCCCTTGCATTTCATCTTGCGATGAATGAATGACCTGCACAGTCAACAAATCATGTATGTACATGCAATGCGCCTTTTGTACATTCGACTTCGCACCCTGCTTTTCAGCTTTTCAACTTTGCGGTTTTCTCGGCATGTACATATGTCTTTTGTACAGTACAGGATAGTACAGTAGCTAAGTCAGATAGCTGGCTAGCTGGCTAGTTAATTAATAATGTTGCTTCAAAGAAACCGAGTTTTTCAAACTTCTCACACTCGTAACATCTCTCTGCACCTTCTAATCCAATTCCGACTCACCCCATCTACACCTCCCAACCTCAACTTCAACTGCATCGCTGTACCCAGTAGCATCGAAATCAACCCCGAAACGGCAATTCCCCCCCCGGCCCACGTGACCTCGCGACACCCGCGCGCGTCGCGCGGCGAAACCGAACCCGTCAGTCAACTCAACTCGCCCCCCGACAAGACAGGACAAGACAAGACAAGACAGCTCAATGTCCTCCTAACAACAACCAATCGACCATCACCGCGATGGTCTTCAAGCCCTTCAAGCCTCCGTCTCTGAGGAAGCCCCTCCAGCCCACCGTCACCGCCTCCCGACCCGCCCCGCCAGCAGAGGCTTCCGACTCCGATGCCCCCCGACGAAGAAGCCGCGTCTGCAGCCTGTGCGTTCTGCGGATATCGAGAATACGAGGCCCTCGATAGGGCAGGCGAGAAGGTCGAACTTGCAAGCGCAACCGCAAGTGCAACCGCAATCGCTGCATCGGATAGCGAGAAAGACAGATGGGGATGGGGAGGGTGATGGACTGGGCGGAGCAGGAGGAGAGAGACACTTCAATGTCCTTTGGTATGATCACCCTCTCGTTTGCCGTACCATACTACACCCCACCGCTTGCAACATTCAGCCCCCTCCCCCCATACAGAACGAAAGAAAGAAGGAAAGAAAGAAAGAATGGAGTACCCAGAACTAACGTAAAGCAGGCGCAAAATCACCACGAAGAAAAACAAAACCTGGGACGGCGACGGAATCCTCTCGACCCGCGGCGACGGCTACCTCTACCTACAGGATATATCTGGGAAGGACATGGGGCGAACGAGGGAGAGGTCTCGGCTTGAGGCTGGGGTGATGCTGTCTATGTCGGGGAAAGAAGTGGAGATTGATGCGGAGATCTCGAGGAAGGAGTTTTTGTCGGGCAGGGCGTTTTTGAGGGGGGGTACTGGTACTAGTGCTGCTGGTGATGAAGGGGGGGAGGGGGAGGGGGCTGAGGCTGAGGCTGAGGTTGTGGAGGTGGCAGGCCCGGAGAAAGTGTTCGTGCCTGTGTCTGTTCGGGGAGGGGCCACGGCTGTGAAAAGCCAGGTGCAAAAGCCTGCTGCGGTTGCTGCTACTGCCGCTGCGCCGTTGGCGAATCCTGCTTCGAAGAAGAGGGGGATACTGGGTGGATATAAGAACCCGCTGTTGGAAGGTACGGTTATACCGGCGACGCCGAAGGAGAAGCCTGTGCCCAGACATGATCCGACTCAGCCGGGGGCGCTGGTCATGAAGCGGCCGGAGTCGGTGCCCGCCGGGAAACGGATTGTTGATGTCGTGGTGGATCCCTTGCTGGCGAAGCATCTGCGGCCGCATCAGCGGGAGGGCGTGCAGTTTCTGTACGAGTGTGTGATGGGGATGAGGTCGTTCAATGGGGAGGGGGCGATTCTGGCGGATGATATGGGGCTGGGCAAGACGTTGCAGACGATCACTCTGTTGTGGACGCTCCTCAAGCAGAACCCGATATATGAGAACTCGCCAGTGATCAAGAAGGCGCTGATCGTTTGCCCGGTCACGCTGATCAATAATTGGAGGAAAGAGTTTCGCAAATGGCTCGGGAATGAGCGCATCGGGGTGTTCGTGTTTGATGACAAGAGGAAACGATTGACCGACTTTACGAAGGGCAAGGCTTACAGTATCATGATTGTGGGGTATGAGAAGCTCAGGACGGTCCAGGAGGGGCTGGCTAGAGGGAACGGGGTCGATATTGTGATTGCGGACGAGGGCCACAGGCTGAAGACGCTTCAGAACAAGAGTGGCCAGGCGATCCAGTCCCTCAACGCTACGAAAAGGATCATTCTCTCCGGCACCCCGATCCAGAACGATCTGAAGGAGTTCTTTGCTGCCGTGGACCTGGTCAACCCGGGTGTTCTGGGGACGTTCAAGTCTTTCATCAAGGAGTTCGAAGGCCCGATCGTGAGGAGCAGACAGCCCGAGGCAACAAGAAAGGACATAGAGAAGGGAGAGGCCAGAAACGCGGAGCTACGAGAGCTCACCTCCAAGTTCATGCTACGCAGGACGGCCGATATCCTCGCCAAATACCTCCCTCCCAAGTCGGAATACGTGCTGTTCTGCAATCCCACACGCGCACAGGCGAACATCTACCAGAGCGTCCTTGCGTCTCCCATCTTCCAAAGCTGCCTCGGGAGTTCAGAAAACGCCTTGCAGCTGATCACCATCCTCAAGAAACTATGCAACAGCCCGTCTCTGCTCTCGCCACGGAACGTGGACGAGGCACCCAGCGAAACCATTGCCGCGCTGATGTCTTCTCTGCCCCCCAATCTCCTCCGCCACTTCTCCCCGGCCTCCAGTGCCAAAATCCGCGTCCTGGACCAGCTCCTGGACGGCCTGCACAACAAGACCTCGGAGAAAATCGTCCTCGTCTCCAACTACACCTCCACCCTGAACCTCCTCGCAACCCTCCTCACATCCCTCTCCCTCCCCTTCCTCCGTCTCGACGGCTCCACCCCGGCCGCAAAACGCCAATCCCTCGTCGAGGACTTCAACCGCCTCTCCCCAGACCTCTGCTTCGCGTTCCTCCTATCCGCCAAAGCGGGCGGCACGGGCCTCAACCTAATCGGCGCCAGTCGCCTGGTCCTCTTCGACGTGGACTGGAACCCCGCAACCGACATCCAAGCCATGGCACGCATCCACCGCGACGGCCAGAAACATCCCTGTCGGATCTACCGCATCCTGCTGAAAGGCAGTCTGGAAGAGAAGATCTGGCAGCGCCAGGTCACCAAGATCGGACTTGCCGACAGCGTCATGGAGAAACGCGACAGCGTGGCGCAGTTCTCGCGCGACGAGCTCAAGGATCTGTTCCGACTGGACGAAGAAAGCAGATGCCAGACCCACGAGCTTCTGGGCTGCGACTGCGGGGGAACCGGAAACGGACAAACTGTGCAGTCAGCGGATGATAGCGAAAACGCCGACGAGAAGCAATCCTCAGTCTCAGACGATGATGATGATGATGCCCTCTCAGAAGAAGAAGACCTCCCCGACCTGCCCACCCTCCTCAAAGCATCCCAGGTAGACATGGAGAAACAAGAACGTCTGATCCGCGCCGGACTACCTCGCAGGACGAGTACGTCCGCCAAGGAAGACGAAAACGGGAAATCGACCCAGAAGCACCGCATCCAACAATCCCTCGCGCAGTACTGCCACATCGACCCCAGTCACCTCTCTTCTTCTTCTTCTGCTGGTGATACTGCCGAGGCGATTGAATCTGCGATTGACGACGACGTCCTTCTTTCCCTGTTGAAGGACGAGGATAATCGCATCGGGTTTATTTTTAAGAAGAGCAGCGCGGCGGAGGCGAAGGAGCCGGAGTCAGTGCCGCAGCGTGGTGCAACTACGACTGCGCCGTCGGAGCCGGTGGTTATTTCGATTGACTGATTGGTTGATTGGTTGATTGACTGATTGATTAACTATTGTTGATTATGGATGATGGATGATGGATAGAGATACCTACTTACCTACATTAGATTTCGGACCGTGTTACATATATATATATATAATGAATTAGAAAGATGCAGCGTGTCGAATAGAGATTCATTTCACTCCCGAGTCGATGAATTACCACTTTTAGTTCTAATTGTTTCATATATAGATGTAACTATAGGTATCATACCTTAGGTCAAGGTGCGATATGCAAGTGCCGTGTATCAACAGATGAGAACTTAATGAGATTGAATCCCTGACTGACTGAGTATAGTATCTAAATTGTCCTAAACAACCAACTGCAGGATGATATTGGTTACTGAATCTTTTTAATATAATATACTGAACAAACTGAGAAAATCGAAACACCATCACTCCGCGCCCTCAACAACCACCACCTTCCCATCGCCATCCCCCATAGGAATCTGAGTCGGATCAGGCCCGACATACGCCCCCTTCTTCCAGGCCCACCACGCGGCGACAAAAAGCGTCAACCCGCCGGTCAGCAGACTCGCATAATTCATGCTCGCGGCATCCGTCGGCAGCGCATAGGGGAAGCAGAAGATCACCACAAACGCAAGGATATAGACACAGCTGAGGGCGTTGATCAGGTACCCGGGCTTTCCGAGCCAAAAGGGCCCGGGGGTGAACGACGACCGGCGGGTGAGGATATGCGGGAAGATGGCGGCGAAGTAGGAGAGGGAGGAGAGCTGGACGAAGCAGCCGATGAAGGCGTTGAAGGCGGTGGTGCTGCCGACGTAGATGCAGGCGAGGATGGTGACGAAGACGCCGCAGACGAGGGTGGCGTTGAACGGGTTGTGCATGCGCGGGTTGATGGCGCCCAGCCAGCTGGAGAACGGCGTGGCGCCGTCGCGGCTGATGGTCCAGAGCGTGCGGCCTGCCGTGATGTAGCAGCCGGAACAGGTGATGACGGTGGGGAGGAACGCCACGATGAGCAGCCCGAGCGCCCCGGCGCGCGTGCCCGTCGCTTGGTAGTAGATCTCCGCTAGCGGGAAGCCGTACACGCTGTTGATCACCGCGTCGAGGTCCGTGATGCTGTAGAAGAGCGCGATCATGTACAGCACGCCCGTGATGAAGCCGACGGCCATCTGCGCGAGCACCGCTTTGGGGATGTTGCGGCTCGGATGGGGGATTTCTTCCGCCAGGTGCGATGCGCAGTCGGGTGTCCCTACGCTGTACGCCCCGTTGAGCATCCCCGCCACGAACACGAACCCTTGGCTGCTGTACCCCGTGTCGTTGTCCCAGGTGCTCCAGACGGACGTGGACGAGGCGTACGCGCTGCCGTTGACGTGCGGCATCGCCGCGCAGACGATGATCGTGATGAGCACCCCGGCCAGGATGAACAGAAGTCCCAGGTTGCCGATGTGCGGGAGGAATCGGTTCATGAAGAGCACGATGCTGCAGCAGAGCCACGTGCAGATCACGAAGCTCACGAATATGTGCCATGCTTGCGGGACGAACCCTGGGTGCATCAGCGCGTACATCGACACGGTTTGTTGGCCTAGGATGGCCGACATGGACGCCGCCCCCAGGATCCATGCCAGGCAGTTCCAGAACCCCGCGAAGAACCCGCATATGCGTCCGTATTTGCCGGCAGTGATGGACGCCCAGTGGTAGACTGGGGGTGGTTAGTCGGTTGGAGGGGTGGTTGGGTGTGGTAGGAGGTACGGCAGGACAGGACAGGGCAGGGCAGGGCAGGGCAGGGCAGGCGTACCTCCGCTGGCAGAAGGCATTCCAGATGCCAACTCGGCTATCGAAGCCGCAACGAGCCAGTAGCAGATGGATACGGCGATACTGGTGAGGGTTAGCAAGTGTTGTCTTTGGTATTGTGTTGGGTTGTGCTGGTGGGGTATACAATTCATAGATCACACCCGAGGGTCCTCCGTTGCTCAAGGCAGTTGTCTGTTCAGACTATCAGTTCCATGGTTGTATGGGTTCTTCGATCTCGACTAGCATACCACACTGCCTCCCTGAGCGATCCACGTGTTTCCAGTTGTAACGGCGACGGCACAGATACTCAGCAAGCTGAAGTTGCGTTCGACTTCCTGACGGTGGCCCGATGCGTTGACGACTTCCACCGAGGCCTGATCGTCCGTAGCCTCCACTCCCACCTTCTCTGCTGACTTCCCCATTGCTTCCATTTCGATTGATGACATGGTTGGTTGGCGTAGGTTGCGTTGCAGTAGACGGGCAGGCGTGATGGAAAGGATGCGTTGGATAGGATAGAGGTATAGGCGAGGGTCTGAGTCGACTCGAGTAGATGGGAGATATGTCTCCTCCACTGGCGTAGACGATTCGAGAAGACAGTGGCAGTGGTATATGCGCGATCGTTATCCTGTAGGCGAGTCGAAGAAGGAATGACGGGAAGTTGGAAAGGATCGAGTTATCAACCAGTATCAGAGACAGGATGGGTTCAGCGAGACAGATCGAACATGGCTTCTTCCACCAGAGCCGTGCATCCACACACAGAGGATGAGCGAGAACAGCGAGGGAGAGCAGCAGGGACGAGCCAGCAGTTTATACCACCACCGGGCAGGCCAGCAGCTTATACACCTGAGAGAGAGAGAGAGAGAGAGAGAGTCTCATAGTACTTCCCTTCCAGGACGGGTGGGCCAAAGGGAGGGCGGCCCGCCAATCAGGGAGCCAGAAAGGGCCCTGGTGGCGGCCAACTGCACGGGAGCGGGGCGGGAGCGGCTTCTGACTGGCTCGCGGAGGGGTGATGTGCAGCAGCACGCGGAGAGGCGCCTTACCGGATGGGGGAGCTGTAGCAGATACACCTTCACGGGCGGCCATGGATCCCCTCACCACGGAGGTTGAAATTAGGTGTGTGTTCGCGAGAGGGGATCGGAGGGGGACTCTGGGTGCGATGGAGTCGGATCGCAGTCAAGCATGTTGCCTTCCCCACAACGGGGGAATAAGGCTTCATCTGTGCTCTGACAGTACCGGATCTTGAACTCTGGATGTTGTATGTTGATATTGCACTAACGGGGCATATTGTCTGAGTAAGTCAGGGCAATGCAGGGTCGGATCCTGCAGAAACATCGGCAATCCTTCGTCCTGGAGATTGATGGAATTTTCGGTATTCCGGAGATAGCTGCACAGTGCACACAATCAAATCTAACCAACCCTTTTACCCCGCGAAGTGTTCTGTACATCCATCTTATAGTTATCTAGTAGACTGCGTATATCTAGTAAACCTAATCAGTTCTACTATACTTCACCACTCATACTCCATGGAGTAGTCAGCCGACAGTACTAGTCCTATCGATGTAGTAGTCCTGTGTCTGTGTGTGTGTGTGTGTGTCTGTGTGCGGTGGATGGGAAACCTTACTGCCACAGCCAAGCCTGTCCAACCACGACAGCACGCTGCCGCTAAAGGTCTTGGCGCAACCCGGTCCCTCGCAGCCAATGACACGGCAGCATCCCTCTATCTACTGCGCATTATCCTGACCAATTATTCATGGCTATCAGCGCGGTTTTCTCACCAACCGCCAGCAACGAAGATTCAGTTCTCTCGGACTTTCACAGGGGCGGAGACTTTCCTACGACCATCCCAGTGATGTGGACTCGGACCAGAGTGATAAACCTGCTATGCTTTTGACTTTGGGTCTGTAGGTTCTGCTATTCGGCTTTCCCGACACAAGCACCGACGCGTGGGTTCTTCCAGCCAGAGACAGTAGGCACAGCCCGGCTATCGCAAAGCTACTGGTAACACTAACCCAAAGCTCCACCATGATACCATTTCAGCTTCGAAGGACGGACTATCTAGTCCACCGACCGGGTCGCTAGCAATTTCCACCCTCCACCCTGTCTTACACGGTCGACTGTGGCGGACACTTTGACTGACTCACACAGTATACGAGTACGGAGTGTTCTCCTGTTTGATGCCTGGCATGTCTCCCACGATATGGCTTGATTTCCGGCCCTCTTCACCTTATATCATTTTAATCAATATATCTCGGGGTACTCCGTAGCAAGAATGCCTTCCCTTTCTTCCCCTGTTCCAGAACACGGATCAGCCTTTCAACAATGCGGGTTCGTGAAACAACCCTCTCAGCTAATCAAAAACTCAGATCGGACTGGTCGGTCTGACTGGACAGCGACCAAAGTCTATTATAGTACTCCGATCCGGACTACGATCTAGCCTGCTTCTCCAAACTTTCCACGCCTCTATCTACTAAGGATCTTAGGATGCAGGGGATGCCATCGGTCGGGGGGGAGGGGGCCTCGGGGGAAGTGCCTTTGTTAGAGATAGTCTGTTTGAGAGCGCGTTAGTAGCACTGTTAGTTAGTGTTAGCTGTGAGTTGTCTCCGCGAATCAAAAGCAGTATGCTTTGCTAGGGCTGGCTGGCTATCCGGGCAGATTCCGAGTCATGCTGGCTGTTAAGACCCTGCGGAGTATATAGTTTGTAGATGGTAGATAGTGGAAGGCAACCAACTATCTACTAGATACGGCTATTTTTGTGGTTTATATGGTTTGCGCGGTATTCGTAGTCTGCAGCGTAAGTGGCCCGTCTGCCACCTGGATGTCCCAAAAGAGACAAATATACTTACTTCCTCGGTGTATATTCCGTAGCACTGAATCATGATCCCCAAATGTTATTGTTTCTTTGTCCTTCAGGGACGAATCTGGGCGCGAGTCTAGCTGCATGACTTGCAGCTTGGCCTACAGTCATCGTTAATATATAGCAATTAATTAATTACTTCCTAGTCAAGCACTAACAGCCATGCAGATATTAGAACCACGAGGCCCCGAGGGTCTTCTGAGTGGTCTAAATAAAATCCTTTAGTCGTACTCCCACGAGGTAACTGTTGCTAGTTATTGATCCTTCGCCCCCTGACTTCGGCGGTTATCTACTTACTCTCTGAGTCTGGCAAGCCGCAACGGTAGTTAGTTGCCATTCGCACCAGACTGCAGGGTTGCCCTCGCTTGAGTCGAAGGATCACGCCGCTTCCACAGTAGTCGCGTTCCAGCCCACGGTGTCGGGTCCGAGTTACAGTATCGTATCTAAGCAACAGGGACTGGGGGACCAAGGAAACAGAAAACAATAGCCGGATGCCCACCCATGATCCATTGTCTAGTTATCCATCCATTCGCTGTTAATTTTATTTAATTATTCTCGATCGCGTTGAGTGGTTTGGAATTAATGAACCGAATAATTACTTATGCGGATCTCCCACTTCACTTCCTACTCCTCCACGGGGGGGGGGGGGGGGGAAGGGAAATATTGGGTGGATGGGGCTCTGACACAACCTGACAGGCAGCTCTTTAGAAGTTAGATCAGGATCGGGCTTGAGATCCGCTCACGCGACCAAGGCAACAACGGGCGGGACAATGAGAGAAAAAAAAATTCAAACCACAAGCAGAGAAAAATAGACTGTTGTGCGAACGCTTGCGAACTCGCTTTGCAAGGGGGGAGTTCGACTAGCTGATGCTTAATCTTTCTTTTTTTTTTTTTTTTTTTTTTTTTTTCTTTTCACTTTTGCCTTCCCCCCCCTCTCCCTGCGACATGTATGGAGTGGCGGTCCTGATCCGTGAAACAAAAGAGGCCAAGAGTTGCTACTGGCGCGCAATATGGAAGCACTGGGCGGCAGGAGATGGCAGGCCGATGACTGGCTGGGGAGAGAGTGGGGCAGGATTTAAGTTTCTGGCTAAGTGGGCCCTGATCCAAATTAAGTTGCCACTAGATATCCGGGAGGGCTGGAAGGGGGGGGGAGGGGGGACAGTCTGGGAGTGGGTAACTAGCACAAGTGTATTGTTGTTTTGTACTGCGTACGAAGTGCGCAGTAAGCCAATGCACTAATGGCTGTCGGGTCCGCAGAAGGGCGATGTCCACGAGCCACCCAGGCTGGACGTACGTATGCGATGCCGGAGTGGAGAAGCCGACGATCGCTTCGTTGCCTCTCCTCCGAGCCAGCAGCCAACATTTCTCCATCATTCTGCCGGCGATGATGCTCTGCCTGGGTCCGGGCATGCACAGCTGCACAACTGCACAACTGCAGTTGCAGCTGCAGCTGTTCCTGTCCCTGAATCCGCGGGAGATCGGACCATCTCATAGTATCTACTGGGTGGCAATTACTTGCCAGGTGCGCTCCAGCTGCACCCGCGAGACCCGCTCCCTCGGGTTCAAGGCTTGCGAGTCGCGACAACACAACAGCAGGTATATCCCCGTCCACAGCTGCAGATAACAGGTGCTCATGGCCTATCGAAGCCGACTAGAAAGATTGATACAGGACACCGAACCTTGGGCGCGCAAAGCTAGTCGCATCCTGGACTCTTGTCGTCGTGGGGCAGCCTCATCCATCCGGAAACAGCAGACCGCACCGACCAAGAGCCTTCGCTGGTAGATACCTTATGGGCGCCCCGCAGCTCTGTCTGATTTACCTTCGGCCTCGACTGCTTTCTTCCCCTGCGCGGCTACGTTCCTGCCTCGCTGCTTTGGTACTAGCTGGTTCTTTGTCCGGCCCTACCCCGAGGGCATGCAGCTCGCCCATCCACTCCCACCGCGATACGCATCAATCTACTCACCCCCCCCCCCCCCCGGCCTTCCTGGTTCCTGGTCTCTCCCTGTCTACCTAGACGTCGCCCCGGTTGGACTCGACACTCGCGGATCCGGCCCGCCGATTGATTGACCCAGACGCATCATCCTTCGGCCTATGCGCCGGTCCTTAAACCTTATCGCTGCAAGATGTGAGTAGGGTCCTTTATATCTACTGGCCCATCGCCCTTCTTGGCCCCTCGCAGACCGTGCTGTGCCCCTCCGGTGATCCTTATTGACAGGCCTGTCTCCCGTGCCACTCCAGGTTGAAATCCAATAACGAGATGGCGAGTCTGAACGCCTCCTTTGCGGAGGCCTTTTCCAAAGAGACATGGGCCCTGTATAGTGTCGGAGTCCTGGGTGTTGTGCTGCGATTGTAAGTTGCCTGCAGAGAACCCTTCCCCCCTCACAAAGCCCACTGACCCGTCCCCTCTCCGTGTAGCGCAGCACGAATACGCCGTCTCGGCTGGCAGAACCTCCAGTCGGACGACTACGTGATGCTATTCGCCGTCGTCTGGTATACGCTTCTCTGCGTCGCACTCAATCAAGTCGCCCACATAGGAGGGTCCAATTTAATGGACGAGGAGGATATAAAACTGTTAACCCCGTCCATCAAGGCGGACCGTATCCGGGGAAGCAAATGGGTCTTCTTCTCCGAGCACTCCTTCCTGCTGTGTGTGTACTCGCTGAAGGCTTGCATGTTGGTGATCTATGCCCGTATCACGTATGTTTCCACCAGCAGTCAACATACACTTTCTTGTACACTGACCATTGATGCCAGTGAGGGACTCCGCCAACGCTCATGGGTCAACTACCTGTCGATATACACCTTTGCCGGCTTCGTTGGCAACGAGCTGTCGCTCTTCCTCATCTGCCGGCCCTTGTCCAACTACTGGGCGGTGCCTACCCCGAACGGTCAGCTCTGAAAGAACCAGGTGCAAGTCTCAAGTCGCAAGCCAGTACTAACTGCTCGACAGATCAATGCTCAACCTACCAATACTATGAGATCATCCAAGGGTGCTTCTCCATCTCGGCAGACGTGTTCATGCTGCTCATCGGACTCCCGCTGATGGTGCAAGTGCGCGTGCCCATGAAGCAGAAGCTGATCCTGCTGATCCTCTTCGGCATGGGCATCTTCGTCATCGTGGCCGCCGTCCTGAACAAGATCTACTGCCTCGTGCCGTCTCTCATCTCCTATGTCTACATGAACTGGTACTTCCGGGAAGCCACGGTCGCCATCCTGGTCACCAACCTGCCGCTGATCTGGTCTCTCCTCCGCGACGTGTTCCCCGCCCTGAAGAGCTGGACGGGAGGATCGCGCCGCCAGACGAACGACCGGTACAAGACAGGCCCCTGGACCAGCAAGGGGGCGGCGTACCGCAACTACGGCCCTCACAGCCAGCTGCGCTCGGGCGAGTTCAGCATGCACGCCTACAACCAGAGCACGGTGGTGACACCGCAGAAGACCATCTCGGACGTCAGCCTGGAGCCCAGCGAAGATCGCGAACTCAGCGACGACGGGTCCGAGCGCGCCCTCCGCATCCGCCAGGACGTGACGGTGACGGTGGAGCGAGAGACTCGCCCGCCCGACTTCTGGGAGGCCGGCCAGTCGTCCCCTCCGGCGCATAACAACTTGAATCTTCGCCAGCCCGAGCCATGATCGATTATTATTCTTGGGTGTCTGCAAACAAAAAAAAAGAACTTCGACTACACTACACACTCTCTTACACATTCTCTTGAAATTTTCTTTTCTTTTATTTTTTTTTTCATTTACCTTTCTTCCTTCTATTCTTGTACATATAACTCTTACTCGGCTGTCCCACTGATCATCGGGGGTTGTGGGGGGCCATCCATTACGACGACGGTTTTGGGATTTGGGATTGGGATTGGGATTTGGGATTTGGGGGGAGGATTGATTTCTTAGCGAAGATAGACAAAATATCTTACTACTACTACTACTATTATTATTATTATTATTATTATTATTATTATTATTATTATTATTATTATGGGAGAGAATCCAACACGGATCGACAGGTTCATACTTCCAGAAATAATGTCGAATGGTAAATCTCAATACGCGGGCTTCGTCCCGGCCCCGGCACGTACCCGCCAGAACGGTATTATTGAGTGTGCCCGGCGACAGGATGTGTAAGAATGGAAATCACCTGACAGTACCAGAGCATCGTCCACCATCCTCCATCCACAACTCGCATCTCAACAGGAACAAACCTCACCTCCACGTCCGAGCTTCCTCTCCCAGGGGTTTCCCAGGATCTCAATTTGGGCTCGACTTCTCCAAAACCCCTACCCCCTGTCCCCTCACGCCCCCCGTCTGTTGCCCAATACGAGCAGGGACCGCGTCGTGGACAAGTCCTCGTTTCGAATCGACTCGTGATTGAGTTTCCGGACCAAGGATGGATGGTCTGACAGGAACCGGTTCTTTACCGCGCCCAAGGCAGGTGCCGTCCGAAGCAAGCATAGACTTTGACTTGAGCTGATGACTGACTTGAATGCCTTCGTACTCAGCAGTACGGTAGTCTAGGTAGCAACCTTAAGCCCCCCGACTGTCTCCACTCTCCACTCTCCACCATCCATCCACATCCAGGAACCAGCAGTTGCGTTTCAAGGGAACAAAAACCTACTGCTTTGTACCCAGTATCTACCAGGCACGACAGCCAACCAACCAGGGCCCCTCAACGGATATCGGATGCGATGGAATGCATTGCCCTGCCACCATTGGCCGCGTCTCCAGCAATGGTATCTGGCGTGCGTGTTGTTCCACGGACCAACTTCCCACTCTCTCCACTCGGCAACATCCACTTCAGGGAATGATCTTGTGCGTGCTGCTGAACTACTCCATCTTTCTGTCCACGGGTCCGTCCCCTTTGGATGCTGATGATTACTGTGCGGTGCCGTGGACTGTCCTTGAGGCTGCTTGTGTCTTTTCCCGCTTACTGCTACTGCTCCTGCTACGATGATGTTGGGGTCCGTGGAACAGGGCCTGGCAGCGACGCACCGGGATACATCCCAATGACGATCACCGATGACCGATAAACCCAGGGATCGACGTGCGCATGCAATACTGTCCGGATCTCCAGGTCCGTCGTGGGGGAGTGATTATTCTGGAGACGAGACCTGTCTGCTCTGTCTAATCAATAAGAATGGGTCAGGGGCTCATTCTCGCCACCCCCTGGTTATCCTACCATACACTCCGAGAGATGAACGTCAAATCTTCCCGAGTCATGATATCCCAATCCCACGCGCAGTCACGACCCCCGGACTCTAGGTATTAATATTCCAGCCTACGCGAAGAAACTTTGGCCTTAGCGGTTTGACAGGAATACTTTTCGCGGATAATCGGCGCTTTGTCAAAGTTTGCCGTTGAAACTAAGCGCGGTCTTCCAAGGCTTGACTTGCTCCCGTCTGGGACGATCAACCCGTCACGCCTGGAGAGTTGAGTGCTAGACTACTAGCCTCGGAGGAACCGAAGTTTAACTATGACTAGAAGGAAGAAAAAAAAAATCACGCACTGGCTTCTTGCTTTCCCACTGGGAACTATCTGACCCCTCGATCAGGGCCTGTGGGTGCAGTGGTGGTTTTCTCCTCCGGAAGTTTACTTGAGGATCTATGACCAGTGCGTGCATGATTAGCCTCTGCGCGACGATTCATGCAGTGCTTCAGCGCGGTCCCCATCATCTTTTTAAATCTCTTTGATCTCGTGTCGAGAGAGCGCCACGCAGCGCCACAGAGAGAAGTATGGTATGCCACCGAGCATATTCGCGTGGTTTAGGAGAATTGAACAAAGTGTATCTCGAAGTATATGTACGGGGGTTGGCTTCCTCTGTCGGAACGGACATAGATAGATACTAACCCGATGCTCAAGGCTGATGCCTATCCCATTGCATAAGATGCCTTGGGCCCGCATTCCGCATTCCGCATTATCCCGCCCTACAGCCTCGGCTTTTCCATTACCCTGGCTTCAACGCCAGCAGGTGGTGGTTGCCGATCCACGTGGCTTCTTACTTTAGCTCGAGCGTGATCGAATCGATCATCGCTGCGCTGTGAACCACTGCTACAGTACGACTGAACTGATGAGAATTCTTTCAGCACTACTGCCAGCTAGTCGGCCTAGCTCCTCCGTCGATGACGAGTATTATTCTCCTAGCCCCGTGCTAAGCGTCTTGAGTGAGCCGATCAGCACCCAGATATGAATCACTTCCGGTCAAAGGATCCCTTCCGTCCGAGACATGAGAGGCACCGCCGAACCTTCTTCGCGGAGCGGCTCAATCCCGTCCGCCCCGAATATCTACCGGGAGGCAATAATGATTCCGTATGGGTACAATTCAAAGCAATAACAATAAACAACGAATGGGGACGGGGGAATGTAAGGACGGACACTATCTATGTCGCTATGTCGCTGGCTAGCTGGCTAGCTGGCGGAGAACGGAGGGCCTGCCTTTTATGGGTTGCGAGTCTTTATTCACACAGTTCCCCGTTCACAACTTCACACGGGGTCCATCTGGCTCGCGATAGTCTTGCTTGGGCTGGTGACTGTGAGATCGATAGATTGCTCGATAGATTGAGCGGCAGTCTAGACTGCGTGGATTCGGCCGAGATGATATTAAGGGGCCCTGGTTTATCTTCTTCGTTGGTGATCTGTTCGCGTAATACCAGGGCACGTGACCGGGCGGGGACGACATCAACTGACATTATCATCTAGACATCATCTCATTCACTCTACATTTCTCAGGGTGATTCAAACAGCTTGGGTCTGTTCAGCCCGATCACCGCCATAAGCAAAAGAAGCAGCCATCCTGCACGGCAGCGAAGTAAGCACTTGTGCTCTTAGTCTTGGTCTATCTCTCATCCTGCCAGAGGAATGCCGGATCTGTAGACTAACCATGGGACTAGTTTAAGGGTTCGGAATAGCCGCCAGCCTGTCGTAGTCGGATCGGTATCTGCCATCTGCACATCCAGGCCAGTGACACGATGTGTGGCGGGTCAACAACGGCAGTGTCCTTCCTGGGACTGGAGGGTCTCCATGTCTTCATCACGGGGGCTGCCGGTGGCATAGGGAGACGGGCGGTGCAGGAGTTCTTAGGTAGGTCTCATCGAGATACAACTCTCATCCCAGTCAGGAGTTCCCTCGAACTGGACATATATGCCCACGTAGTGCCTTGACGAGATCCAGAGTGATAGCCATCGTACGGCTATCCATTGATGGTCGATGTTGTTGCTTCAATCATAATATCCATACACGCCTGTCGATCAACTCTGTTAATCCACCAATACTAACACACCACAGACCAAGGATGCAACGTGACAGCACTTGACCTGCAACCGCTGGAGATCCCCAAATCAGCCGTCGGAGAAGCCTACGCCAGACTGCACACCCTGCAAGGCGACATCGCCGACGAAGAATCCATCCGGTCCAGCATCTCCCAGGCCAACAAGCGCTTCGGGCCCATCAACATTCTCATCGCCAATGCGGGCATCACCGACGAGAGCAGAGACTACCCCATCTGGGAGCTGCCCCTCGAAACATGGGACAAGACCTACCGCGTCAACGTCCGCGGGACCTTCCTCACGATCAAACACTTCCTGCGCGCCGCGCAAACCGCCCAGCAGACCCAGGGCAAGGAGCTAGACAACCTTGCCATCGTGGTGACCGGAAGCGAGACAGGCAAATTCGGCCAGGAAAACCACGCCGAGTACGCGTCTGGCAAGGCCGGCTTGCAGTACGGACTGGTCCGCAGCGTCAAGAACGAGATCGTCCGGCTCAACAGCAAGGCTAGAATCAATGCCGTTGCCCCGGGGTGGGTAGACACGCCTTTGATCGAGGGCAGACTGGATGATCCGAAGGAACTCTGGGCTGAAGCCCAGGCAACGTACGACGACTTCCTTATCCCTCTCTGATTCACCGCACATCCACTGACTGATCGGTCCAGCGTCCCCCTACGGAAGATCGCAAGACCCGAGGACGTCGCTCGAACCATGGCCTTCCTCGCCTCCCACCGCGCAGCCGGACACATCTCGGGCCAATGTCTCAGCGTCGACGGCGGCATGGAAGGCCGTCTCATCTGGAAAGAGCCTGCCCAAGCAACCATAACCACCCCAAACCCACCACCCACAGCCCAAACCCTGGCCATCCCACGCACCCTCCCCGCCCCCAAACGCAACAAAATCCGCATCGCCGTCTCCATCGACCTCGATGCTGTGTCCGGCTGGCTCGGCACGAACCACCACCCAGACAACATCCTAGCGGACTACTCATCGGGCTTCTTCGCCGCCAAAGTCGGCGTCCCGCGTCTCCTCCGCATACTCAAGAAACTCAACCTCGCTGACCGCTGCACGTGGTTCATCCCGGGACACTCCGCCGAGAGCTTTCCCGAGGAGGTGCAGCAGGTGGTTGAATCGGGCTGCGAGATCGGGCTGCATGGGTATGCCCATGAGGGCGCGTACCAGATGACGGTGCAGCAGGAACGCGATGTCTTGGTGAAGTGTATTGAGGTCGCGACGAAGTTGACGGGCACGAGGCCTGTGGGTTATCGTGCGCCGCTGTATCAGTTGAGGGAGTCGACGTTGGATTTGTTGGAGGAGTTTGGGTTCGAGTATGGTATGATTTTCCCTCTTCCTTCCTGTCATTTACCCTATCTATCTATCTATCTACCTACCATGTCTATGTCTTCCTGCACTCTTTTTTTTTTCTTTCTTCTCTCCTCTCCTCTCCTCTTCTCCCCCCTCTCCTCATATCACACACACACATACCCCTCCCTCCTTATATTCAATTCAAATACACAAAACCACCCCCCCCCCCCCCCCATCCCCCATCCTGCTAACGGAGGGAAAAAAAAAAAAACAGACGCCTCCCTAACAGACCACGACTCGCACCCCTTCTTCGCCCCGCGCCGCCCCCCATCAACCCCATCGACTTCTCCCTCCCCGCCTCAACCTGGATGCATCCGCTCCCCTCCTCTTCCTCTTCTTCTTCTTCCTCCCCCCCGACCGCCGCCCCCTCATCTGCATCCCCTGCAACTGGTACATGGAAGACATGACCCCGCTGCAATTCCTCCCCCACGCCCCCAACTCCCACGGCTACACGGACGTGCGCGTCATCGAGAACATGTGGAAGGACCGCTTCCTCTGGATCAGGGATAACGAGGAGGATCCCGTGTTTCCCGTCCTGATGCATCCCGATACGAGTGGTATGGCGCATGTGATTGGTATGGTGGAGAGGTTTTTGGGCTGGTTGAAGGGGTGGCAGCAGGGGGAGGACGGCGAGGTGGAGTTTTGTACGAGTGCGGAGGTGGCGAGGTGGTGGAGGGGGAAAGAGGAGGGGAGGTTGGTTGGTTGAGTTGGGTTGGGTTGGCCTCTTACTACTTAGTACCAGTGGTAATAACAGTTTCTGTTGGCATTTAATTCATTCATGTTCTTTCGTTCTTTCTATCAGAGTACTGTATTAAATAGTATACGTATTTACTGGTAGGTAGTTGGAAAGGGAAGGGAATATTTACCTGCCGAGGAAACAGTTCGTGCAGACTACAGAGAGGAATTTTTTCAAGATAGATAGTTATCAACAATCGGTCAGTCAATGAATGAATGAATGAATGAATGAATGAATGTATCAATTAATAAGTAGTCTGCAGACAACAGCCGCACATGACCATCGTCTTGTTCTTATTCTTGTTCTTCATATACACATAGCAAAGCTTCTAGACATCATGATAAACATACTCGGGACTCAGGTGTCAACGTTAAGAGAAATAGAGAGAAAAAAAAGAAGAAATAAAAATAAGCAGGAAGGGGGTATGAATATACATGAAATAATCAGTAATGAATAATCAATAATCAATAATCAATATCACTCGAGGGTGGATGGAAGGAGGGGAATAAACAGGTCAATGCTGCAAGAAATTTCACAGTATAACAGTAGCAAACGCTGAAGAAAGAACAATAGAAACCACATGACATGGGGGTAAATCGATAAGTAAAAAAGAAGTGAAGGGGAAAAAAAAGGGAAAAGAAAGAAAAGTCGCGAATTCAAACAGAAGATAGACAGACAGACGAATGCAATCCTCTAGATCAATCAATCAATCAATCAGTACTTGGACTTCCCGACAAGCCCAAAGGTGTACGCCGCCTCAGCTTCGCTCTTCATCTGGATCATATAAATCCGCGAAGAGCCCACGGTCACGCCGCCTTTCTTGGGCATGGCTCCGCCCTCGTTCTCCTCCCACACCGACACCGCGATGCCGGTTCTGGCGACGCGCTCAAAGGAGCTCTCGCCCAGACATACATCGAGCAGGACCTCGTTGCGGGTCTTTCCGCGCACGAGAATGCGTTTCTCGGGCTCGATGCCGCGACGGGGAGAAGCGGATCCGGAGCCCGGGGGACTGCCGCTTCCATCGAGGCCGTCGGCCGTGCTGCCGGGTCCGCTGGCGGGGTCCGACGATACGGGCATGATGGTAAGCCTGGCGGCGCCCATATCGCGCCACTTGGACTGGGTTTCGCGGAGGTAGAGACGGATCTTGGCGTTGGAGAGGCCGATGCCGTCGACGCCCTTGATGGCGGCTGCGATGCGGCCGATGCCGGAGGAGGGGTTGGATGCGGATCCGATGGAGCTGGAGTACAGGCTGTCTTCGTTTTGGCCGTCGCGGGAGGTGAGGGACGACCGGGAGATGTTGAACATCTTGCTTCCGGCGCCGAAGCGCTTCAGGGCCGAGAAGGCGCTGCTCATGGTCCCGACGCTGCTGTCGGAGTTGTCGGCGATGGAGCGCGGCGAGCCCGAGGCCCGGTAGCTTCTTCTGCGGCGCGGCCAGCCGAAGAGCCCGCCGTCCTTGCTGGGGGTTTCCATGGGGGCGGGTTGGTCGGCGTATGGGCCACGGGCGTTTTGCAAGGCGATGTAGGTGGGGTTGTTGATGCGGGCGTGGTTGATCAGGTTGTACAGCACTTCGCATTCGTCGGCGTTGCGCGAGCGGAACATGATGTTGTTGCTCCAGTTGATCTTCGATCGCTTGGTGGGCGGAGACCGGATGCTGATGTCGATGGCCGTGCCGCGTCTGATGGGCACAAGCGGCGTGAGTTCGAGGGCAATCAGCGGGCGTATTCGGCTTGCGCTGGTCTCGTCCTGCGGCCCAGACGGCGCATTGGCCATGTTGTATGCTTCGATCAAGCCAGGGCTGACCAGGATCTTGCAGTCGTCGGGGAAAATGCTGTCCCACGAGCCCTTGTCGGACCAGGCGAATACGGAGGCAATGGCAGCGGACGATTTGCTGGGCTGCGAGGGAACGGACCGGTATCCACCCTGCGATGCGGAATTGGACAGCGACAAGGAGCTGCTGGAGGCTGGCTCCCGGGCTTTGTGCTTGGGAGGGGCCTGCACCTCTGGAGCTGGAGCTGGAGCTGGAGCTGGAACTGGAACTGGAACTGCAGATTCATCTGCAGACTCGTCCGAGCTGTCAGAGTCCGAGTATTCTGACCCTGAGTGAACGTCGTAGCGGCGCACAGTCGAGGTATCCGAGTCCGAAGCAGAGTCCGACGCCGTGGATGGTTCGTATTCGTGTTTCAAAGGCGAAGAGCCCCGACGTTTAGGGCGCACGGCACTGGGACTCAGGACGGGGGTATTGGGGAGGCTCGACCCGGTAGAGCTCGGGGACCGAGAGTGCGGTGGTGGCGCCGGGGGCTCTTCCTCGTTCGTGTGGTCTGAATCCGAGTGGTCCTGAGAGCGTCTCTTGTATTTCGTAGGGGTCTCTGGGATGCTGTCCACGGCGTATTCGTCGTCCGACGTAGACGCGAGCGAGTCGGATACGTATGTCTGGCTGCTGCCCTTTCTCAGCTTGGGAATAGCAGGGAGGTCCATTGATGGCACTGAAGACACCCGCGGAGAGCTTTTTTCTTGGACGGGTGTCTTGGGAATCTGCGACACCTTGGGCTTCCTCTCCTCGGGACGTTTGGTCTCATCATGGTCTCGGGCCCTGCCTTTATCTGTCGGCGTAGTAGGACTTGAGGGAACGATCTCGCCATATCGCGAGACCCGTTTGGCCTTGGACCGTTTGAGGCCGGGCCTTTCGTCGCCCGTAAAGCTCTTCCGTGGCGCTCTCGCATGGAGGATCGAATGGGATCGTGGCGAGGACTTTTCCGGCGACTCCGCATCCCCTGTGGCATAGTCCGACTCTGGCGTTATCGCGGTTTGCAGCGAACTGCGCGACTCGGTGGCTGAGGATTCGACCGCGCTCAGGTCCGACATTTCGCGAGGCGTCAAAGAACGTCTCAAGGCACGGGCATTCGCCTTCTCCCCGATGGGAACATTGACATTCGTAGGGCTGGGCGGTGCCTTCTGTGCCTGCGAGATCTCGTTGGCGGACGAGATTGTCTTTGCTCGTTGCCGTTTGGCTCTGTCGATGAAGCTCTGGGTGCGGCAAATGACCGGTGGGACAGGAGTCGTACCCAACATCTGAACCCATTCCTTTCCGATCTCGTCTTCGTCAATCTGGAGCACGAGCAGTTCTTTCCATGGTTTCGCCTGGTCCGGGGCACTTCGTAGCATGACCACGAGCTCGCCCTTCTTGTCACCGTTGCGAGCAGAGACACGCCCGAGCTCCATGGGAGGGAACAGCAGCCAACGATCGGTCTGGTCAATCTCACAGATCAGTAAATCCCCCCCTGCTTTGTTCCCGGCTGTGCTGTCTCGCAGCAGAAGCTCGGTCCGACAGTCGATGATCTGCCCACTGGTGTGGTACAGGGACAGGTCGAAGAAATCTCGGGCCCGAACGCGTTTACTTCTGTCGACGGTAACTCCAGCGCCTCCAATGAGCGCTCCCAGGGTCGCAGGATCTCTAGCACGAGTGGCATCGATGCAGGCCGCAGATTCATCCTCGAGCCTTGCTCTCTCTTCACGGGCCCGCCGGCGGGCCTCCGTGACAAGGCTTTGGTATGCTGCAGCCGTTTCTTCGGCTTTGGGAGACGACTGGAGCGTCTTGATTGCCTTGAACGTCTTGGCTAGGTACTTTAGACGAACGAGGGGCCGCTTCAAGAGATATGCGACATCAACCTTCTCGCCGTCACTGTCCACGACATCCCCGTTCTCATCCCTAGCCATGCCCTCGTCTAAGCTCTTCGTGTCGGTATTATCAATGCCCTCGCCTTCTTCAAGGGGAGCGAGGTTGACAATCACATCCTTGAAGCCCAATCTCCAGGCTTTGAGGTATTCCCGATACACCCTCTGTGCGCCATTCGCCCAGTTGAGCAACAAATCCACGTTTTCCTGCGGAATTCGCTTGTGCAGAGTCTTCAATCGCTCGATAGCCACCCCCATATCCACGATCGGCTTGCTGAAGTTTATCTCATCCTTCGGGTCGGCGGAAGGACGAAAAAGCCCAGCCGCGATCGCCGAGTCGGACTTGGACAGCACGCAAGTCAACAGAACGGGAATCACACCACCAACCAGGGTCTTGAGCTCGCGCATATATTTGACCTCATCGGCCGCTAGTTCCTTGAGGATATCCGGAATAGACTCGGTCTTGACTCGATCCTTCGACTTCAGGCTTCGGGCCGATCGGAGGCTCCTGCTCCGGGTGCTTGGAGACGACAAGACCGATATCAGATCGTCATGGGTGGTGAGGCGTCTCTTGAGCTGAGAAGAAACCACGGGGAGCGAATCGGGGTCGAACTGGTCCCTCTTCTCCTCCTCGTCCAGCTTCTCCTGGGTTGATGTTGGGTCAGCCGTGCCAGGTGTCGGGAAATCGGTGGTGGTGCTCATTGTTTCGACAGAGGCGATGGTTGAGAGAGAATGCGCGCCCGTGCTGGGAAATGGCCTTCGTCGACCAAGTGGTTCGGGCGCATTGCTTGCAGACACTTCAGAGCCCTCCGATAATGGCTGCGTCCCCGTCTCGGATGCACTGTCCTTGCTCTCGCGGGCTCTTTCTCGTATGGGAAGTTCGTCAGCTTTGGCAGGCTCCTTCTTCTTGGTCGAGGACGCCGGATCCTTGGGAGGCTCTGGGGTTACTTTCTCCTCCTTGGGCTCCATTCGTTCGCTTCCAGACGAGCCTTCCTTACTTCTCGCATGGCGTCTCGTCGCATCTTTCTTCGGTGTCCCGCCATCTGCAGGATCAGCGTCGCTCCCAACAATATCCTCTCCTTGCGCAGGGGACTTCTTCCTGCCTGCCCTGGTATTCAATGGTGCAGGTATCTCAACGTCAGACTCCATATCATCGACGAACGGATCCGGGGTTTCCGAAAGCCATGCCTGGATTTTGGCGCCCCGCGGTGGAGCGGCCTTTGGGGGATCCGGTTTGGTGAACATCTTTCTGGACTCGTCCAGCATGTGCGAGAAGATGCCGCCCTTGGGGGGCTTCAAAGGCGTTCGTCCTTTATGCGCAGGGCTTTTCACTGCAGCATTCGGGCCTCGTGCACGCCGTCTCGAGAGTTCGGAAAAGTCGGCCTCGCTCGTCGCCCATTCGGAGTCGTCATCCAGCACCGCTTCCTTGTTCTTTGCAGTCTCCGGCCGCGCACCTGCATTGGCCTTGTCTGCGGTGGTCGGTCGCGAAAGACTTTTGGACGACCCATTGTGTGACGCGCGCTCCTCTTCCAGTCGGCCCTCTGGTATGGAGTCGACGTCGCGGGGTGCTCTCGACTTCCTTCGCTCTCGTGTCGCAAGGTCGGATGCCACGGCGCCCCTGCCCCTTTCCCTGCTACGAGAGGGCGAAGGGCGCGGCTTGTCATCTCGCTCGCTGTCATCTTCTCCGGCTCGGGGAGACCGTACGGGTTCGTTCGTGGTATACTCGGAGATGCGTTTGTTGGGGGAAGGGAATTTGGTGGAGGCGGGCTTCTGGGTGGTGGCAGTCCGGTTCAGCTTCCAATGCTCGTCGCTGATGACGCGTCTCCGGGGTGTGCTTTTGGCTCGTCGTCGTCTGCCAGAGCCATTGGAGCTGCCCGAATCCTTATCGTCGGGCGGCTTGGACTTGGAGTCGGCGGCGGAATTCTCGTTGTCGTCGTCGTCGTAGCAGACGCCATCGTTGGCCGCAATTACCCCGCCTCCCTGCTGCTGCCAGATGCGGACCTTGGATCGCACGGAATTGGTGTCGTAGATGCCCAGGGGGACCCCGATGTCCAGCGGTTTCTGTTTGGTGGGCGATGTTTTGGGGCCTCCCCCACGGTTGGAGGGGCGCTGCGGGTTGGCAGGAGATGGCATGGGAGTCTGCGGTCGGGGACGGGCATTAGCATGGCTTTCCGGGGTCGCAGGCAGGGTTCGAGCTGTCCAGCACGAGGGACAGTGAGATGCGACCGCGCAGGAAGTCTGGTTTTTTTTTTTTGTTGGTTTCTTTTCTTTTCCTGTTGTGGTCGAGGAGGGAAGAGGAAGAGGGAAGAAGCGAAGGCGGCCGCCCGCCGACGTCACCCGTTGTTTGTTTATGGCTCCGAGGGGGGAAACTCACTCTCTCTCTCTCTCTCAGTCAAGTCTCCAACAGCACATACCCTGGTGTACGGCAACAAGGGACAGACACAGTAATGGTGGGCGACAATTGGGCACCAGGACACAAACAAGAAATCTGGAAAGGTCCAGGAACGACAGGGAAGAACAACAGGCGGTCAAATGCAGATGGAGACTGGGGCAGCAGGCAGCGCAACTCGCTAGTCAAGAGGCACGCAACAGCAGGATGACGAGCCACGAGGACGGGGACGGAGGGGAAGATCAGCTGCTCGCAGGCTCTCGCAGGCTCTGGCAGGCTCTTGCCAGACCCTCCGAGGCCTCCCTGAATCCCTCCAGCCCTTAATCAATGGCCAGTGTCTGGAATGCGAGCAGCTCTATACCTCCGTGCTCCGGCACGAACCTCTTTACACCTCGACTGCCGCGGGCTGCCCGGGAAACCAACGCGATCAACTCCCGCCGCCTCGAAACCCAACCAACCCATGGCCAGAATCCCTCAGATCGGGCGCCCAATCGTCGCGCATCCGGCCAACAACATTCCATCCGCGATTATTCTGGTTACTGTGTGTACGCTGCCGTCCAGGGCCGCTGATTCATTCCGCAAGTCTTCCATCAGGCACGGTCCAGCGAGGCCACCCGCGCTGGAACCTCTCCTGCATTTATCTCGGGACCCCGTCGCAAGCTTATCCTGCAAGGTCATGGTCATAGCTGCCGGCTGATGATATACACATGGGCAGGCCTTGTTCCACTCTCCTTCGTCACGCACCCCGTCCTGCAATATCCGTGCGCTCGACTCGACCAGAACCGACCACGTTCGGACGTCCACAGTAATTAACAGCCACTCCTACGCTCCGTCGACGAGGTACTCGGTATCTATGTACTCTGTACTCCGTGCTGCGTATGTATTCCAGGCCTGGATGCCGGAGCAGTAATGCCTGAATCGACCCATGGGGGGCTAGTCTACGCGTCACAGGGTGGGCCACAAAGGAAAAGCATTCTACCTGATCCATTCCGCTGCGTTGTCATGCATCCAATGTGCTTATTGCTTTTCCCGGTCGGTGCCGTGAGCCGTCGACCCTCCAGATCCGATCACCCAGAGGGCTGAGCGAAAAGGGTGGCAGCGCCGGCCGAAACGACGATCCCCTGCGGAGATGCCATCTAAATTTATACTGGCATGCACCATAGGAGTTGGGAGGGACTCTAGGGAGAACGGTCGGGATGTCTGATAGGCACCCCCTCCCAGGCTATCGCGACTAGGCCGAAGACCCTCCCCAGGCGTACCCCTCATCTGAACGGCGCCCGGGTTGGGATGGGTGACATCATCCTGGGCGTTTCTTTTTCTCAGCGACCCTTGCGCTGCATCGAAGCCTCTCCCAGGGCCTTGAACGCATCCGAGATTGCCCGCACGCTCTGGCAAAGATAGTCTGTGCTCCTCGTCAGTCTGGAACCGGGACCCAAGCAAGGGGCCCCTCGGGAACTGGCACGTACAGAACGGAACCACAATCCAGATGAAATTCATGAGAAAGTAGTAGACCCAGAAATAGTAAGGCTCGGGGCGGCAGTACGATCGGTCATGGGCGTAGTGGTCGAACAGGCTCGTCGCATAGTACAAGGCGTCGCCATAGAGGTGGCTCATGCACACGATGATCTGGAACGGATGGCGCAGAGGATGCTGGGAGAGCACCAAGGCGGCCACCACCAAACACAACGGGCCCCAAACAAGCTGCTCGTTCCAACTCTTTAGCCAACGGCATCGGACGCGATGGGGCCACACCGGGCAGGGATGCCGCAGGCGCGCGGGTGAGGTCAACCTACAACGGTGATGGTCTCCATGCACAGGACCAGGGTGTCCGAGGTCATGTACCGCGAATCGGACAGGGCGTACTCCTTCCACAATTGCCCGAAGACATCTTGCGCCGAGGCCATGCGATCATGGTTGACCATGAAGTAGCCCTCGAAGAAGCAGTGCAGCGTGCCCGCTGGGGAAGATCGGATCACGGATCTTGTTAGCAGCCATTTTCTTCTTCCCTCGTCAGAACCGGGACATTTCGGGCGGACTTACAGAGGACAAACCAGAGGATGGCCAATTGGTCCACCGTCCGCAGACTTGGCCGTATCACCACTCTGACCAGAGCGAAGGTCCCTCCCAGGACGGCTGTAGCGCCCACACTGGCGGTCATCAGGATGGAGAGGAGAGGGGCCTCATTGGGTAAATATCCATGGATCGGGGCATCCAAGGGGTAGTAGGGATGCAGAGGAGCGTGGGGATCCATGCCGGCTCGGTTTGATGATTATTGTTAGTATTATTATTACTGTCTCTGGGGAAAATCGACGGTCGCAGGTTCGATGGATGGTCGTCGGGGGGTTCGAGGAGTTCTCCTGGGTTATGATGATGTACGGACGGTATAGCATGTCGGGCTCGGAGTATATTTTGTTTTGGGGTTCTCCAACTCGGGAGGAGGCTGAACGAATTGCGACCAACAGGCTGGGACTATATGTCATAGTATACACAAAAACATTAATTACAGATGCCAGTTATCTACCAAGTAATGATCTCGATCAGTCTTATCGTCAGAGAAGCAGCCCTGTCGCGATGCGATGCAATAGTAGTTAGTAATTAATCAGCAACCAACCCGATCGGCGCGGGATCTCCCACAACGGGTTAGAATGGGACGACGCGACGCTAACCCAACACGGCCCAAGGCCTCTGCCTCTGCTCTGCCTCAGGCCTCCACAGCTTCTCCGCAAGATGGTGCCCCAGGCCCCCAAGGGTGCCTCGCTCGACGGCCTCAAGTCCCCGAATCCGCATCTCCTCCCTCTCCTCCTCCCCGACTGATCTGATCGCGCTTCCCTCTTCCCTCGCTCATTCCATGGAGACTGTCACCTCCGATTTGTACGCGCTCTCCGGCAATGGCTCCTGGTTCTTTTAAACGGAAGCCCCTGGGGCTGGACGTGCCCCGCACCGCCGCAGTCACCGAGTCGCCGCCTGGCATTGCGGCCCTCTTCGTCATTCGCTTCGATATCAAGGCCGGGTGAGGCTTTCCATGTCGGGTTCCATGCCGCTTATCCAACCGAGTCTGCTTGCTGACGGTCGGCCCGCCGATCTAGATATGTGATATCCTGGAAACGTGCTATCCCCGGGGGTGAGTACCACCACCACCACCACCACCACCACCACCATCCCACACCGACTACGGCTCCCGCGTGGCCCCCGTCCTAACCCGTCCCGATCGAGCAGTTGAGGTGGAAGGCGCCGTCGAATACAAGTCGCTGCCATCCGGTCTGCATAATGTTCCAGAAGATCTGGTGTACGTCTACCCCGGTCGCAGCGCCCCGTCCGATCGCCCATTATACCTGCTGACAGTTGCTACCTGTCAGATACTTCGTTCACGAGCAATATGCTGGCATCAGTGCATTTGTCAATTGGCCCGCAGAGGAGGCGGAGCGCAATGCAAAGATGTTTGCCATCGGCGTCCTCGTCCCATTGAGCTCGGGAAGACTGGGGAAGAGCTGGAGACACGCCCCGAAGCTCAAGGAACTGGCAGGGTGCGTTACATCCCAACACGTGTCGTGTGATCCCATCTGATGTCCTCGCCATCGCCGCAGGAATTACGCCCAGGATATGTCCGATACCCACGCGTTGTCGGACTACTGGGAGGCCTACGAGATCCGCGAAAGCGACGCTTCGAATCTCGCACCCGACTCCCCCCTCGAATCCCCACTCAGTCTCCGGCTCCGGGCCCATGGCGATCTGAGAGATACCGTGCACCGCAGCCGTGCTTTTAGCGATGCAATCGTGTTGGAAACGCCCAGGCCGGCCCTGACGCCTTTCCACCCGGCCTCCTCGCTGCCCGGCTTCCTGGAATCCTTTGGCCCTCTCATCTTCCCGCTGTACAGAGCAGCATTGCTGCGCAAAAGGGTCCTTTTCATGGCCGAAGCGCCAGTTCATATTCCCTGTAGCTATGGTACAACCCCCCCCCCCCCCCCCCCCCTTCCGCCGTACCTCAGACACAACTAACGGCCAGTCAGTGTACGATTTGTCCTTATTGGCCTCGCTACCTAATTCTCTGCTTCCTTTGCTTCCTCTGAACGGAATACCCCCTCCGCGCCCCCGCCCCTTGTTCAACGTGGGCATCCATGACATCCCTTACCTGTCTTCTTTCATCGGTGCCTCCCCCGATACCGACCATGATTCGGCCTGGATCGCCTGCAGCACGGACAGCGTCCTGACCATGAAGCCCGAGCTCTTCGACGTCCTCGTCACCCTGCCACCCCCTCATTCCAAGAGCGCCGCAGAGAAGGTGTTCCCGACCATCTCCATCTTCCACACCCAGCCCGCAAAGGGTAAAAAGCCCTCTCAGCCCATCGAACTCAAAGCGACTCAGCGGGACGCACGCCGCTACTCCACCCTCCGGAAGGGTCTACGGAACGTGACCCAGGACGAGGAAGCCGAAACCGCCTCGACCGACCCCGACGACGATTCCGACGCCGCATCCACCTACTCCTCCAGCCCCATTGTCGAACCCCTCTCCTGGACCCGCTTAGCCTACACCTCCTTCATCTGGTGGGCCTCCGCCGGCGAAAAGCGCGACGGGCTCTCCGAGGAAGAGGAGGAAGAGCACCAGATCGAGCAGGACACTCGACTCCTCACCAGCGTTGAGACCCTCCCCAGCCCTCCGTCCGGGTCCGTCGGCCGTCGCAGCCTCCAGCCACAGGAGTTCCCCTCCCAACAACCCCCCGAAATCGCCTTAGTCGCATACTTCCGTCGCCTGACCGCCCAAATCTTCATCACCCTCTCCGACGTCGTCGCCCGACATGACAGCCAGAACTCCCCTGACGACGACGACGACGCCGACGATGACGACAGCCTCCCACCGCAGGGCCCCTACGACGACAACGACAACGACAACGAGCCCGAAGACGACACCATCGCCATCGGCCGCCAATCCACGACCCAAGAAGAGGAAGACTCGCCCTTACTGCAGGAATCACCCACCGGAATCTCCTACGAAGACACCGATCCCGTCAAGATCACCTCCGAGGATCTCACCGAGATGGGCCTGGATATCTGGAGCGCTGCCGACCGCGTCTTCGTTGAGGAGTTGGTGCGGCTCTGGTGGGGGAGGAAGGCGCGTGTCGATAGCGCGCGTATCAGGTGTTGTGGGATTTCGATCATCTAGATATGATACAGATACAGTTCTTCGTGCATGTAGTAGCGTAATCTGGCAAAATGCTTCTTTTCTTTTCATTCCTTTATTGGCTTTTTTTTCCCTTCTACCACCAGACCAGCATTATCATCCACCGTCATATCAGTACTTTCACCGCCATTGTTATTGTTATTATCACATCCCCATCCTATCCTCATCACTATCATTATCAACAGCAACACCACCACCACCACCACCACCATCTATCTACCTACCTAAATCACAATCTGTACACAAGGTATATTCTATTATATCATATTATATTATATACAGTCTGCCCCTCATTCTCAATCTAGGAAGGTACAAACCAACCAGCCAACCAACCAACCATTCATTAATTCATACATACGTACATACATACATAGACAGTGTCTATCTATCTATCTATCTATCTATCTATCTACCCACCCATCTCATCTCATTACTATATCACTTACTACTTACTCACTCTCACTCTCACTCATTCATTCCCCACAACTACAAGCAATTAATGAATCTCGTCTTCAGCATATAAGAAAACTCTCAAGCCTGAAGATTAACTATAACTATAACTATAACTATAACTATAAATATGACTATGGTGTTATAATATCAGATCATGTCATGTCACAATATTATTTTTCCATATCCTATCCTATCATATCAATTTTAGCCATCCAAGCTCCAGGCAAGCAAGATATAGGATCAAGCAAGCTATATCCTATATCCTAAATCCTATACCTTGGAAAGAATTCAGGGCCGTAGAAGCCAAATAAAGAATAGAAATAGAAATAGAAAAATAAATAAATAGATAAATCCTATATCCCGGAAATATAATAAAGGGGAAGGAGGAGGGGAGGGAAGGGGGAAGTGGGGATGGTGGGGATGGTGGGGGGAAAAAGGTGTTAGACAAAGGAAAGATTTTGGAGATTGGGGAAATCAATGGAATAAATGAGTGGCGAGGCATTGCATATGCCTGAGTTGGGGAATTGGGGTGAAGAACAGCAGGCAGAAATCAATGATGATGATGGGAGTGTAAGCAATTCAAAAATCATACCCATAAAAAGCTGAGATTGAAACTCAAACAAGATCACCAATAGAATCTAGATAGATGGGTAGATAGGTGGCTCCATTGCGTGCGGCCCTCAGCACCCACCTCCCTCAAAAACAAGCAGCAACAAATAACACAAAATAAAACCTAACCTAACAAATAAGCAAAAATAACGCCATTCCACTCAAAACACCGGGGGTATCAAGAGAGAGTAATAGTCGGGTCATTAACCAAAACATCAGGTCAGATCGGCACAGCACAGCAGCAGCAGCAGCACAGGACAATACCAGACAGGACCAGACGATGGAGTTTGTCGTATCTCCGATGGCCAGGCAGATTCATCTTATCTCATCCACCTAGACCTTTCGGAAAGCTTTCAAGCCGAAGGATGGGCGTAAGAATGAATCACTGATGGAATCTTATTGGCGCACTCATATCCCTACGACTCCGCACGGACCCATCACTCCTAGCCTCCGAGTTCAGGACGCCGGGGATGCGTCTCGCACTGCGAACTGGAGTAACACCCATACCTCCGGAGCGAAGAACGCTTTCGCTGGCGCTAGCAGAGCGCTTCATGGTGTTTGTTCGGCCTCGACGGGCACGGATCTGAGCTAGGGCTGCTTCGCGACTGATGGGGGTGCCCGGGACATCCGCGAAGGGGTTGGAGGCTGAGTCGTCGGTGCGCAGAGGGATCTTGTGCGGGTCGCGGTGCTGCTCCTCGGGAGTTGGGGTGCGATGGTGATCATGATGATGCTCCACGGGCAGTACAGGGTCCCAGGGAACGTCAAACACGGCGGGGGAGGGACGGCTTCCTGGGGGGGTTCGGCTGCGGGATTCGCTCTCCATAATGGAGTCGAACAGTGGCGTCTGGTGCCGGTGGGATGCGTACTTGGGAGCTGGGCTGCCGGACATCGCCTGATCGCCCATGTCGTCTTCGGCTTGCGATCCGGGGGAGTGGATGGGGTCGAGCACGATCTGGTGCTTCCGGGGCGATGCGCGAACAGGGGAGGGCATGGTGTGGAATGTCCCCGTGGCGGGAGAGAAGGTGATCAAGGGCTCCTCTGGAGGCTCGTCGTCGTCATCGTCGTCAACTTCCACGATCTCTTCCTCGTCCTCAACGACTTCGTCAATGTCGTCGTCGATGTCGGCATCAAGGTCCTCGTTCGGGTCTTGGTCAAGTTCGGCCTCGTCTTTTCCCGCTGAAAAAGCGGCAGGCTCGCCTTTGGGAGTGTGGGAGGGGCTGGCTTCGCGGGTTTCCATGACAGTAAGATTATCGTGGTGTGTCGTTGCGCGCTCCTGCCCTCTCGGTGCTTCCTTCTCTGCTGCAACTGCTCTTGGCTTGTCTTGGACACGGTGGTGTTCACGAGGTTCCGGCACCTGTCTTGATCTCGACACACTCTGCGGTTCGTGGACGGGTTCGGTTTGACGAGCTTCGGGCGCCTCGTTTGATGCCTTCAGACTCTGCTGTTCCTGTCTGTGGCTAGTTTCATAAGATTCCGACACCTTCTTCGACTCCCTCGCACTCCTCTCTTCATGTTGGTGGTCGACTTCGGGGGCTTCTGACACCTCTCCTGCCTCCTCGATGGTTTCCAGTTCATGAGGATGGCCCGCGCCATGGCCTTCTGTTAGGCAGTAACAACCGTTAAAGTAGCACTCCAACTTCAAGAAATGCAGCATTTCCTCCGCATCAACTCTGAGCTGACGCTCGTACACCACCGCCTCCTCAAGGTCGCTGATAATGATGTTCTGGATCTCGGTCGTAGAGGCCTCCCGGCTCTCCTGGCTCTCCTGGCTCTCCTGACTCTCCTGGCGCGGGGTGACATCCGATAGTCGTTGTCTCTTGGGAGGAGTGTCCTGGGCCGGAGAAGGCTCGGGTACGTTGGCCAGGGGCGAATTGACCGACTCCTCGGCCGATCGCTTCGGCCTCCGTGGGGCAGGCGTTAATAGGAGATTGAGGTCGCCTTCCGCCAGTGACATCCGCGCCAGGTTGTTTCGTTGGAAATGCTGGGCGCGCACTTCCAGCTTCTTCGAGTGGATGTTGGATTCCGCCGCGCGTAGTTGTTCCTTGAGAACCTCCGTCTCTTCCGTCAGGCCGGCAAGTGCATAGGCGCGCTCGAATGCCTCCTGCTTGGCCTGTTCCTTCGCTGCCCGCTCGGCCGCGGCATCTTCTTTGAATCCCTTGGCCTCCGCCCTCGCATGCTTCAGTTCCTCCTGGGTTTTTACCAGGACGGACCCGGCGCGGAAGGCCTCCTTCCGAGCCTTCCGGATCTCCTTCTCGAAAACTGTTCTCTCGTGGGCTTGACGTTCCTTCGTGGACTGCAGTTCTTCCAGTAGCGACTCAAGCCGCTCACTGATCCGACGCTCTCGTGACTGGGCTTCGTCGAGGTGTGCAGAGACATTGGCGAGGGCCGACTCGGCCTCCTCGCGCCCGAGGATGGCACGTTGCAGAGCGGCCGTCGATCCGATGGATTGGGAGCCATGCGCGGGACTGTTCCCTCGCGACAGATTGTTCAGGAAGGCGACCCGGGATTGCACACCCGACACGCCTTTGGGCGTTTTGCGGTGGAGGTTGAAGATATCCGATGTTAACGAGGGCGAATTGGGGGGAAGCTGTTGATTGATTCGTTCTGGCGATAGGGGATTGAGAGCCTTGGTTGGGCTCGACATGGCGCTGGATGGGGAGTCCATCGCGATGGAGACGGGTCTGCTGTTGGGTTGGGTTAGTTGCGTCGTCGAGGTCAAGCAGAGACAGGGACGAACGCCGGAAAATCACATCCACTCCCCTATCGGTGACGCACCCACAATCGCTACCGCTCTAGTCTTGTTTGTTGCGCGCCTGACCCCCACGTGACCGTTGCCCGGAGCAACGCCCCTTGCCGGATGCGGAAGGCGGGGTGCACGTGCCGGTCACCTGTCCGCTAGTCCCTGATAGGAAGGCGTTCTGCCGGGGGTCCGTGCGTTTCTACTGTGATGCCCATCATCCATCCATCCATCGCATTTCTGGAATAACAATCCGGTGAAAGAGGTGGAAGACTGCGATTCATCTCTTGTGGGATCTGCCCCTTCCGATAGTTAGTGGACACCTGCATATACTAGTCCATAGCGACAGTGAGACCCGTCATAGCACGCACTGAGTCTGCATATAAGTATATTTGCTCTCCGGCAAAATATATATCGTTGCGGCACGCACATCATGCATGAAATCATCTCCCTCCAGCTCGGCCAGCGGGCAAATTACCTCGCCACACATTTTTGGAATTTGCAGGTCGGTAATTCCCGTCACATCGCCATGGCCCCCAAGCTAAAACCTATCTAGGAATCCTACTTCACATACACCGAGGACGAGGAATCCCCGGTCGACCATGATGTCCATTTCCGACCCGGGGTCGGCGCCGATGGGTCCGAGACTTACACCCCGAGGACCGTCATCTACGATCTCAAGGGGGGGTTCGGTACTCTCCGCAAGTACAACCCGTTGTATGAGCTGAGTGAACATGTGACCCCTGGTCAAGGCCTGTGGTGAGTGCCCCTCCCCCACTGGATGCTCTCCCCGGTGCTGATGCCATCCAGGGACGGGAGGGAAATCCTCCAGCAGCAGACACCCATCCCCCAGAGTGACTACCAGAAGAGCCTTGATGCGGGACTCCCCGCTCCCACTCTCGCCTCCGACACAGTCAGGTACTGGTCCGACTACAACCGACTTTTCTACCATCCCCGCTCCATTGTGCAGCTCAACGACTACGAGCTGAACTCCCAGATCATGCCCTTCGAGGACTGGACGATTGGCGATGAGCTCTTCCACGATCTCGACAAGGAGCACGACCTGCTCGACCGGGACGTCAGACCGTTCGCCGAGGAATGTGATCAGCTGCGAGCACTGCAGATCTTCACAGGCTCCGATGATGCCTGGGGTGGGTTTGCCGCCAAGTATGTGGATCGCATTCGGGATGAGTATGGCAAGAAGGCCGTCTGGGTTTGGGCCGTGGAGAATGGGAAGAAGGTCGATCGGGTGAGTCTGCCTATCCCGATATTGCTGCTGGTCGGGACTTACGCTGTCACTCTAGCAAACCCAGTTCAAGCGAGACCTGAACAAAGCCCGCTCGGTCCACGCCATCTCGCCCCAAGCATCACTGTACACCCCCATCATCGCCCCTCCTAGCCGAATCCCGAAGTCAATCTACATCCAACCTCAATCGGAATGGTACACCTCGGCCCTGGTCAGCTCCGCCCTGGAGAGTGTGACGCTCCCGACCCGGCTGCGTCCGTACCACGACTTTGAAGCTTCCTTGGCCGGTGATGACAGCATCCACAAGATCTTCGAGCTGCAATCTACGATCGTGACGGATGAGGGACATGCTGACCAGCGGCGGGCCAAGCCTACGAGCGACATCGATGGGGAAGACGCGAAGTCGCAGATCCAGACCGAGTTCGACCTGGACTTTACGTATGATGGAATAGACAGCAGAAAGTCGCATATTTTCAACCAGCTCCAGATTTCCCGAGGCATGGATCCCCGCGAACAGGAAGAGCCGATCGCCAAGGAGGAGGAGGCCATGCTCCGCAGAAAGCGGCACTTCAATTCGGAGCCGATGTTCCAGAGGTAAGGACGTGGAGCGAGGTGTAAAGGTGTAAAATGCAGTTTCTAACTAGAACCAACAGGTTCCACTCGTCATTGTACTTCCCCGTGCTGGACAGTTTCCCTCGGGATATGTTCCCCCTGCTGCAGTCGAAGGGGAAGATCAGCGTCGTGGCGGCCTTGACGGCGTCGTCGCGGACGGCGGAGAAGATCAAGGCGTTTGAGCGGCTGGCGGGACGAGTGGCGGGAGTGGATGAACGCGAGAATCTGGTGAACGGGCTGGGGGAGATCCGGGAGACGTACGAGACGGGGTGGATGAGTGACAGCGAGTTTGACGATGAGTAGGGAGGAAGGAGATTGCAGAAGATATCAGAGCATTCAAGAACGTCAGAACGTTTCCCTGTAGAGATGCTGCAGACCCTTGAAGCGACCCGAAATAAGCGCGGCGATCGGGCCGGCGATCGACGGGGCCAAACAGAGCAAACAGAGCAAACAGGGCTGGGCGCCAAACGTGTCCACATCCATCATCGCGACTCTCTCTCTCTCTCTCTCTCTCTCTCTCTCTCGCTCGCTCTTTCGCTCTGCATCGTCTTCCTTCCTTCCTGCCAGGTGGCCCGTAACCCCCGACAGATGGCTGCCTTGTATTAATACTCCTGACCTTACCACCTTCCTCCGTATGCGTCCCTCCCCCTCCCCTGCAGGCCGACTTTCTTGCAGCTAACCCGCGTCATACATAGTTCACGACAACCAACTACTATCTCCGGACTCCGACCGAATTCCTCCCTTTTAGATGTTTCGATAGATTTTCACGACAAATACCCATCGCCCCATACCCCCCCATTCATAGAGCTCCTTATATGCGGAGGTTCGCATCTTGGAAGCCCACAAAGGTATGCGACCGGCCCCGGAGCACACTGGAGAGGGGGAAAAAAAAGACGATGATTCATTGACACCGTCGCAGCATTAGAATCACATTTACATAGACCATGGCTCTCGGTGGCCGGCAACGGACACATGGCTCGCTACAATCGCTCTCATCCTCCCCCATCCTCTCATTCCTGCTCCTCCCCTTCCTGCTCTTCCTCCTGAGCTTCCCCGCCCCAGCCGCCGCTGCGGGCTCCGCAGTCCTCGGCATCGATGTCGGCACCGAATACCTGAAAGCCACCCTCGTCAAACCGGGCATCCCGCTGGAGATCGTTCTCACCAAGGATTCCAAGCGCAAGGAGTCCGCCGCCGTTGCCTTCAAGCCCACCCGCGAAGCCGATGCCCTGTTCCCCGAGAGATTCTACGGTGGCGACGCCCTGGCCCTGCAAGCTCGGTACCCCGACGATGTGTATGCCAACCTCAAGACCCTCCTCGGAGTTCCGTTCGACGCCGACGATGAGCTGGTCAGCGCGTACCACAACCGCTACCCTGCCTTGCGACTGGAGAAAGCCCCCGGCGATCGCGGCACGGTTGGACTGCGCAGCAACAGACTGGGAGAGGCGGAGAAGAAGGACGCTTTCCTGGTCGAAGAAATCCTGGCCATGCAGTTGAAGCAGATCAAGGCGAACGCGGACAACTTGGCTGGAAAGGGTTCCGACATCACGGATGCGGTCATCACCTACCCGTCGTTCTACTCGGCCGCGGAGAAGAAGAGCCTCCAGCTGGCGGCGGAGTTGGCGGGTTTCAACGTCGATGCCTTCATCAGCGACAACCTGGCTGTCGGATTGAACTACGCCACCAGCCGGACCTTCCCTAGCGTGTCGGACGGACAGAAGCCCGAGTATCACATCGTGTACGACATGGGCGCTGGTTCCACGACGGCCAGTGTCATCCGCTTCCAGAGCCGCTCGGTGAAGGACGTTGGACGATTCAACAAGACTGTCCAGGAGGTCCAGGTTCTGGGAGCCGGCTGGGATAAGACCCTCGGTGGAGATTCCTTGAACGATCTGATCGTCCAGGACATGGTCGCTGCCCTCGCCGAAGAGAAGAAGCTCAAGGATCGCGTCACCCTGGCTGATATCCAGGGCAACGGGAAGACCATGGCCAGGCTCTCCAAGGATGCTGAAAAGCTCCGCCAAGTCCTCAGTGCCAACACCGAAAGCGGCGCCTCGTTCGAGAGCCTCTACGAGGAAGACCTCACCTTCAAGTACCTTCTCACCCGGACCAAGTTCGAAGAGCTTGCCGAGCAGCACATCGCCCGCGTTGGAAAGCCGCTGGAGCAGGCTTTGGAGGCCGCTGGACTGGAACTGAGCGACATCGACTCCGTCATTCTCCACGGTGGTGCCATCCGTACCCCGTTCGTGCAGAAGGAATTGGAGCGGGTCTGCGGATCCGCCAACAAGATCCGGACGAGCGTGAACGCGGATGAGTCTGCTGTGTTCGGTGCTGCTTTCAAGGGCGCCGCTCTCAGTCCCAGCTTCCGTGTCAAGGACATCCGCGCAAGCGATGTTTCTGGCTACCCGGTTCTGTTGAAGTGGACCTCCGAGTCCAAGGAAAGACAGCAGAAGCTCTTCCCGGCCACCTCCCAGGTTGGACCCGAGAAGCAAGTGACTGTCAAGAACCTGGATGACTTCGAGTTCAGCTTCTTCCACCAGATCCCCGTGAACGGCGACGTCGTCGAAGCGCCCATCCTGGGCGTGAAGACGCAGAACCTCACTGCTTCTGTCGCCAAGCTCAAGGACGAGTTCGGCTGCTCGGCGGCCAACATCACCACCAAGTTCTCCATCCGCTTGAGTCCCGTCGACGGACTCCCGGAAGTTGCCAGCGGTTCCGTCAGCTGTGAAGTCGAGGCTGCCAAGAAGGGCATCGTCGACGACGTCAAGGGCTTCTTCGGCCTGGGCAAGAAGGACGAGCAGGCACCTCTCGGAGAGGACGGAGAGCCCACCGAGTCGATCACCCTCGAGCCCGAGGAGCCTCACGCGTCGACTGCTTCCTCCGCCGACGACGCCACCTCCACCACCACCGCCAAGGAGAGCAAGAAGGCCACCCCCCAGACCAAGGTGGAGTCCGTTTCCATCAGCTTCACCTCCTCCCCTCTGGGTCTCCCGGCCCCCACGGCCGAGGAGCTCGCGCGCATCCAAGCTCGCCTGGCCGCCTTCGACGCCTCCGACCGGGACCGTATCCTCCGTGAAGAGGCCCTGAACGAGCTGGAGTCCTTCATCTACCGCAGCCGCGACCTGGTGGACGACGAGGAATTCGCCAAGGTGGTCAAGCCCGAGCAGCTGACCTTGCTGCAGGAGAGAGCCTCCGCCGCCAGCGACTGGCTGTACGGCGACGGCGACGACGCGAAGACCGCCGACTTCCGCGAGAAGCTCAAGTCCCTCAAGGAGATCGTCAACCCGGCCCTCAAGCGAAAGAAGGAGAACGCTGAGCGTCCCGCCCGCGTCGAGATCCTGCAGCGCGTCCTGCAGAACGCCGACTCGGTCATCGACCTCATGAAGCAGCAGATCCAGCAAGACGAGGACCTCCACTCCTCCAGCCTCGCCTCTTCCTCTTCTTCCACCTCCACAGAATCCTCCACCACCACCACCTCTACCACCACCTCATCATCCACCACCACAACCTCCCCCATCGACCTCGACGAAGACCCCTACGACACCACCTCCTCATCCACCACCACTTCCACCGCAACCAGCACCCCCAAACCCAGCGGCCCCAAATACACCGTCTTCCAACCCTACGACCTGACCAGCCTCTCCAAGACGTACGAATCTACCAACACGTGGTTCGAAGCGCAGCTCGCCATCCAAGAGACTCTCACTGAGACGGATGACCCGGCCCTCACCGTCGCCGAGATTGATTCCCGTCTGAAGGAGCTGGAGCGCATCCTGAACCGGATTTACGAGAAGATGGGCGCGGCGTCGGCGAAGAAGGAGAGTGGAAGTGGCAGTGGGGGGAAGAAGGGGAACGGGAAGAAGAATAAGGATAAGGAGGGGAAGAAGGAGAAGGAGGAGGCGAAGAAAGAAAAGGAGGATGCCAAGGAGAAGGAGAAGGATGATAACCGCAAGGATGAGCTGTAGTTGTGACTGTGACTGCCTGTAATTTCTTGAGTAACTACCTTAGGTACCTATCTTAGGTTAGGTTGTATGTTATGTTATTTTATGTTATGTGTATGTGTATGTGATATGTATGTATGTTTGTTAGTATGTACAAAGGTGCTCGATGCTCAGGAAGAGGTGTGTGCGGTATAAGAATGTGCAACACAAAAGCAAGAAAGAAAGAAAGAAAGAAAGCAAAAAAGCAAAACCAGGCCAGAAGAACAGAACCACCCCCCTTTTTCCTCCATCCATCCATCATCCATCATTAACTGTCACTGTCACTGTGAGTCACAGAACCCGCCGTGACTAGAGAGACCCATCGCGAGTTCTCAACCAAGCCCATAACAAGACCATCAAGTAAGTAAGACACGCCTGCTAAAGTACAAGTAAAAGATATAAAAAAGAAAAAAAAAAGAAAAAAAAAGAGAAAGCACAGACAGACAGAGAGAGGGAGAGAGAGAGAGAGAGAGAGAGAGAGAGAGAGAGAGAGAGAGAGCGACTGAGAAAGAGAGACAGAAACTCTACTCTGAGATTCCGCCCATCTCCACCTCCCCCAGCCCCATCCCCAGCCTATAATCCAAATCGACCTCCTCCCTACTGCGCAAGAAAGCGGGTTCCTCGAAATCATCATCCTTGTCCACGTCCATAGAACCGGTAGCAGTGTGCTTTTGCAGCGCGACGAACCGCCGTCGCTGCTGATTCAGCTTCGGAGAGAGGATCGTGCGGCCTGTCATGGTCGCAGCCGTAGCGGAAGCAGAATGAGAACGAGAGTGACCCGGAATGGGAGTCAGAGGATTCATCCCCAAAGGATCCTGCCAGATGTGCATGTTCATGTTCACGGCATCGTATTCCTCCCCGCTCTCCTCATCGAGATCGAAATCGTAGGATCGCTTGTGGCCACCACCACCACCACCACCACGACTGCTAGGCTGAGAAAACGCAGAGTCCTGGCTACTAGATGGGAGAGAGAAAGCGTCGTTATCGTCCGTGGTTATGACGGCGTTATTGTTGGGGAAGTTTGAGTGGGCGAGAGGGTTAGGGTTCGGGTGGACAGCAGAGCTGTTGTTCATGCCGGAGAGTGCAGAGGAAGAGGAGACAGGTTCCGAGACGACAAGCTTCTTCTCGTTCAGATGCGTCTTGTATCCGTCCGCGATGGATTTCCGGACGCGCATGCCGACGGACAGGAGAGAGGCTTGCACCTTAGCGGACACGATGGGGGTGGGGGAGCAGGTTGAGGCGGCGTAGTGGTTGTAGGAGAGGTGGGATGTATGGTTGTCGGTGGAGGCAGGGTTCGAGGTGGAGGTGGAGGTGGAGGTGGAGGTGGAGGTGGTGGAGAAGAAGCTGGTGATGGGGGGTTGGAAGCGGCGACGCTTGTCGGAATGGGAGGGGTTTTTGAAGGGGAGTTGCGTGGAGGGAGACATCTTGATGTAAGGTATATCGAGATGTAGTGTATGGTGTGGTGTTGTGTTGTAGAATAGAGGGAGATGGACGGTAATTGGTCGGGGTGGGGAAGGTTCTTCTGAATGCTATGGGTAGACCACTCCAGTCCAGTCCAGTATAGTCCAGTCAAGTCAAGAGAAAGAAAGACGGCGTTTGATTTAATGCGGGGCCTGGATCTAAGGCAAGGGATGTAGTGTAATTGTAAAGAATGCAGCGATGGCGGTGAGAGGAGGAGGGGAGGAGAGGAGAGGAAGTTGAAAAGCCGCAAAATGAAGAGGCTGGGAGAAGAGAAGAAAGAAGAAAGAGAGGGACGCGTCGTGCCGAGACGCGCCCGTGAGCCCGGCACGTGTCCGCCACTTTATCCCTTTTGGGCACTCCGGCAGCATGCGATCATTGGGCAGATGGTGACATATAACTAGTAGTAACTTAACTACATGTATGTATGAAACTACAGTAATCGATACAAAGAAAAATACGATGGCAATGGCTTCGTATGCAGAGCACGCTTTTGAACATCCATAAAACCAACAAAATCCAAAAACCCTCGAACTCAGATCGGCTACAGGGTATCTATCACGGTATATCCCTCATATCCCTCATATCCCTCATATCCCTCGCTCACATCCCAACGTTTCCACGTCGGCCGCCACGCTTGGCCCGGTCCTGATGCGCCTTGAGGACCGCCCGCGTCTGCACCAAACTTCTCTTGTTCTTGCTCTTGGCCTTGCCCAGCGTCATCAGGAAGTTCTTCTTGCGCGCCTTCTCCTTGTTGGTCGTACTCTTGCCCTGGTCCTCCTTGCGCTCCTTGCGCTTGGCCGTCACACTCTTGTGCTGCTCCGTCTTGCCCTCCCTGGCGTGCGCGATACGCTCCTCGCGCGTTTGCTTGCCCGCCGACAGAGCCGCCAGACCCTCGATCTCTTCCGCGGTCAGGGGGTCATCGCGATGCCGAGTGACGTTGGCCGCCGCGTTACGTCCCCGAGCTCCCGGGACGAGCGCGTTGATGGCGGCCTCCTCGCGTAGCTCCTGGAGCTTGGCCAGATCGGCCGGCGTGAGGATGCGAGTGGTGGCGAGCTTGGAGAACTTGGCCTCGGCGCTCTCTTCCTCCTTTTCGGCCGGGGCATCATCCTTCTTGCTCTCCGCGGACTTGGCCTTCTTCGAGGGAGGCCCGTCCTTCTCATCCTCGGAATCGCTGAAGTCGATTTCGACGTCACTCTGCACGTTGACCCAGTCGCCGGAGCCATCGCTGTCCTCATCATCATCCACGTTCCAGGCGGCCCAGTCGGCCTCCTCATCCTCTTCCTCGTCATCCTCGGCATCGGAAGGCAGACCCAGCTCGGCCCTCTTCTTGCGGCGCTCCTCCTCCTTCCACTTCTCCAGAAGCTCCAGACCCTCGATGCCACCGGCGGACTGCTCAGCGAAGCGCTTCTCCTTCTTGTCACCCTTCTGAAGACCGATCGAAGCATCCTTGCCGCGGTCTCTTCTCTTGAGCATCTCGGGAGCAACGTCCCGGAACAGACTGAGCAGACCGCGACCGGCCATCATGACACCCTTGTCTTTACTCTTGCGGTACATGACCAAATCCTGCAGCAAGGTCTCGTTCATGGCGAGCGGCTGACGGGCGCAGATCTCACGGATGGCATTGAGACCAGCCGAAGCGACCTCGGCGGCCGATGCTTCAGAGACGAACTCGTTTGCGATCTTCTGCACCAAAGGCTCGAGATCATCGGGAGGAACCAGATCGTGCGACGCCTGGGCCAGAGAGGCCAAGAAGGAGGTGACGGAGGGCTGTCGGGGGGTGAGGTATTTCTGGAAGTACGAGTACAGGTGCATGATGTGAAGCTTGTGCAGACCGACCAGGCGAGTAATCAGCTGAAGCACCATGAGCTTCTGGTCCAGGTTGAGTTTCGACTTGGTGTTCTGCAGGTGCTTCGAGAACAGGGACTCGGCGTACCCCTGGGGGTCGTGGAGAAGATGCAGAGCGGAGAAGTTCAACGGGTGCGGTTGGTTCTTCTTGCGCTCCTTCTTCTTGACGGCGGCGCGGGCCTTGGCCACGGCGCGGGCATTACTCCTGGTCTTCTTGTTGATGCCGGCCTGATGTCTGACCTGGCCCATATCAATCGCCTCCTCGTCGCTGCTCTCGTCCTCCATTTCCTCGCGCTCCTTGTCTCCACCCAGGAAGAACCGGACACCACCGACGATGACCTTTTCATTCTGCGCCAGACTCGCCTCCTTCATAACATCGACGGCCTTCGCATCGGACCAGATTTGGCGCTTCCACAGCTCGCGCGTCAGCTTGATCGCCCACAGACCCTTAGAGGAGGTCCGGTCCGAGGTAACCAGGTTGAACAACACCGTCTGCATGGTGCGGTTGAGTTTGTGGTTCGTAGCCTTGGCGTTGGACGTGCGGAGGTCCATGAGGATCTTCTGGAAGACGAGAGCGCGGAGCGTTTTGCTGGGCGTAGAGACCAGAATAGGGAACAGCGTCTGGAGCAGTCTGCAGCGTAGTCCCCCAGTAATTAGCATCCAGTTCAACCAGTAACACCACTGCAGAGTGATATGCAATAAACATACGTCGCGGAGTCCAAAATCTCCTTCTTCCTCAACAGCACCAAGCTGCCGACAATCTTCTCGCGCAACTCCGGCTGCAGAATCAGATGGTGCTGGCTCAGGATATCCATGAGCTGCTGGGGAAACTCCTTCGTGATATCGGGGTAGCAATGGGCCACGTGAGCGATGAAATCGATCAATTCCCGCAGCGAGATCAGCCCCGTCTCCGTGGTCGACGAGGGCGCCGCCATGAAAATTTCCCGGTGACTCTCATACTGGTAATGCTGGGCGCGGAAGTCTTCGATGTAGGACCTGGGCCACGAGACAGCAATTAGCATATCGATGCTAAGCAACGAGACGGTCGCAGGGGGCAGAGGAGCTTACTTGGGATCTCTCCGGATCTTCTGCTGCAGGTTGGGCCTAGAATGCGTGTTAGCGATGGGGTTGAAATTCTCGGTCGGAGCAGAATTCGAGGGGAGGAGCTAGAGTCGCAGGGAGAGAGGGTCACGTACAGGTCAGCCTCGACCTTTTCCAAGGCGCCCAACTTCCGCTTCACCATCTTGCAGACTGGTTGTGGTGAAAACCTCGGTGGTGGAGGGGGGGTGGTGGAGGAAGAGGAAAAGGCGGGTGCTGGAGTTGGCGGCGATGGCCGATAACAGAACCAGAAGAGCCCCGAACATATTTTTTTTTCTTCAATCCTCGCGGCCACCGGGACGGGCCTATCGATAAGCGATCACAGCGACACAGCCTTGCTGGTCTCTGAGACTGTGCGAATTCATCGATGTCTATGAGAATCTAGAATTACGATTCGATTCAAACAATATTCTCGGTGCTACTTGTGGGGATTTCCCCAAGTCTACAGTACAGTGGTGGTGGCGGCACTTCAATAATGGAAAATGGACCGTTTGAAACACTGGGAAATCTTTTTCGTGTAATAGATAAAAAGGTATTGACTTGCCGGCGAGAAACAAGCCAGAGGTCTTCATGATCGCATCTCATCAACACTACTTGTAAGAAGAAAGCCGTCCGATTCTCTCATTTTTTTTTCTTCCAGGATCTCGCGCTCCCTCCCCGTGACTGTTTTCAAGGTATGTACAGTCGCGCAGGTGCAAATGATGCAAATCGACTGAATCCTTTCAATAGGAACCCCCCGTCCTTCACTCCAGTACACGCAAAACCAGGGACCAAACGGAGAATACGCCCAAACATAACCACTTTACCGGTTGCTCTTGGCAACACGCTCGAGCTCGTCCTTCTTCTTGATGGCGTAGGAGTTGGAGCTACCCTTGGCGGCGTTGATCAGCTCCTCAGCCAGGCACTCGGCAATGCTCTTGATGTTGCGGAAAGAGGCCTCACGGGCACCGATGGTCAGGAGGGCAATGCTCTGGTTGACACGGCGGAGAGGAGACACATCGACGGCCTGACGACGGACGGTACCGGCGGAACCGATACGGGTGCTGTCTTCGCGAGGACCGCAGTTGACAATGGCGTCAACGGCGACCTGGAGAGGGTTCTGGTCGGTCATGATGTGGATCTATAGCCAATCTGATTAGTTTCTGTCTCCCCGAGTGGTGTTCTGCGCTGACAGCCCGGCTGCAGGTTTAAGGTGGACGTACGATCTCGAAGGCGTGGGCAACGATGCGGACAGCCATGAGCTTCTTTCCGTTGTTGCGGCCGTTCATCATGAGGGAGTTGGTCAGGCGCTCGATGATGGGGCACTGAGCCTTGCGGAAACGCTTGGCGGCATAACGACCAGCGGAGTGAGGGAGGTAGACAGGGGAGCGGATCTGGATGTAGTCGCTGTGTGTGAATCCGAGTCAGCAAACATGATCATCATCATCGTTCTGATCATTCGCGATTATTTTTTCTTCTCTCCGTGTCTGGTGTTCTTGTCTCGCATGTGTCCTCCTCTTCCTCCTGCATTGGCTTTCTTCTTTTTTTCTTCCTCTCATTTTTTCCGTCCCTTCCTCCCAATTCCAGTCGACGTTCCCCTTCCCAATCCATCCTTTCCCAGCCAGCAACAACCACCCCCTCGTAGAAGAATCAATCGCGATGAGTGAGGGGAGCACCTACGTCAAGGAAATGTCCCGGATCTCAACATCCTCGTAGCTCCACTTGTTGAAGAGCTTCACGGATCCCATCTCCGCGATAGCCTCCTTGGGCAGGACCTGGAAGGCCGCAGCGGGGTTTTCGACCTCGACCTCGCCGTGTTCAGACATGTTGACGACGTATGCACCTGTTGTCGAGGGAGGGATACGTGAAGGTGGCGGACGGTGTCGTTGGGTTATACGGTCGGTCGGCTGAAATGTGTCGCTGAGCGCAAGGAAATTCGAGGTGCGCCTCGCTTAGCGAATGGGTGGGTGGGTTAGGGCAGGCCGGCCTGTCCGCCAATCGTTCCGCCCCGGTCATGTGATGGGGCACGCCGCGTTTCTGCCGCCCTAGCCCGACTCGGGACTAGCCGGGGGCGGTCGCTCCTTCCCTGACTATCTAGTTAGTAGTATGCAGATGTGCAGATACCCTGACCCTTGTCCCGGGATCTAGTATTCTTGAGTATCTAGGCTTTTTATTGAAGGCTGCTTGGGGACTGTGTATGGGTTTCACAGCCTGGCATTGCTTTTCCCATGTTGGGATGTACTACTCCGAAGGTAGTTCATGCGTCGCATGAACGCCACCTGTGACTTTTAGTACTACTTGGACATCTAGGACAGTCAATGACCGGATCTGTTTTTTCTCGATTATCATGTATACCAGTGATACTGGTCGCGGAAATTGAAGTAACGCGGTGACAAGCAGCAGACAGGTCTGCCCAAGAAAGGAAAGGCGTGTTTACGAGAAGCATTTAATCATAGAGATACTCGGGAAAAGAAAGAGAATAAGATGCAGCAATCCTCTCAAATAGATTTTATGAACTGTCCAACTATCCTATCCATGGTATCTGATTGTCAGCAGCTAGTTCGTATGTATGTAAAATGCATAATGGTGGGTGGTGGACTACACGAGGGCACTGGAAGATGCTTGGTGTGAGAGCATTGGTCGGGGTGGGCTGGCCAATTATTGAAAATGCGCCTTGAATGGCTCTGTATGGCTTCAAGGTTTATGTTTTGGGGAAACTGGGAGGGCGGGCGCTGGAGTGGTGCAGAGTCAATAGCCAGGACTGGCATTCAACTCTCCAAGCCAGCTTGAAGATCGGCTTGCGGGAGCCTGTATAGCTTCAACGCTTCCCGAACGGGAAGGACGGGTTTTGAAGATAAAAAAAAAAGAAAAAAAAAGGGCCCGAAACCAAGCTACTTAACTCAGGGGTACTCCGCTTTCGTGCTTGAGCCAGGATGACCGGGCACTCATCCCTCCCTGCTGGCCAGCCAGGGCCGCACAGAAATGAAAGCTATACAGAATGGCCTCGACAACCCTGACGGGATTCGAACGAGCGCAACACAGACGGGCAAACTCTGAGCGTTCCGTGATACATTCCTGAGCGCTTAGACCGCTAGGCCATCGGCTTTCGCTTGGTACCAGGGAAGGGCAATAAGTGATGGGAATGGGCCTGCTTTTTCTGCCTGAGGTTCCCCACAGAGATGCCTGGCGGGGGCAGCAGGTGTGGGCGAGGCAGTGAATGCTGGGGAAGCGCGCGGGGAGAAGGGCGGGGGTGGCCAGTGAGCGGAGGAGAGATGGTGGTTGGAACCGACACCACGAAGCATTCCGACCCTCAAGTCGGGACCTCCAGCAACTCTCCATAGGAGACTGATAACGGGGCTGGGTAACCGATATGCCTTCTTCTGGCTAGACCAGCGAAGATGAAGAATATCGTCATATCCTCGTCTGCTAAATGAGAGCACAGGGTTGCGGTGTTGGTCGGTGCACACATCCCGAAGGAGACTTGGCTAACCGCAAGCTTATAGATCAGGCTGACGGATATCAATGCCCCACAAAAGACAAGGAATCTGGAAGACGCGGAGGACAGTCCAGTGCCACAGATCTGTGATCATTGTTATCCCTTCTGCACGGGCCAGAACCCACAAGATTTGTCCTTGATTCGAATCCATCGCCACTTTCTTGCGCTATATCAGAATGCTGCCTCGCAGGGAGAGAGATACAATGGCCCGTGAACAGAGCGTGTGAAGTGTGAAGACAGCGCCTTCCATCATCAATAAAAAGGAGCCGTAACTGTTCCCCTGAAAAGGGGCGGCCCTCGACGCATCTGGACGCCCAGGTGCATACTACAGGCGTCCCTTTTGAGGGGCATATTGAGATGTAGTTGATGAAACACTGTATGTCGACGCAGCAGGAAGGTTGCTGTCCTTATGAGGCGCCACGTGTTGACATATGATTTCTGCTAGATCCTGTTGCCATGCTCGTTTCTTCTTCTCTATTCTTCATTCGTTGAACGCTCTCAGTTCCGAGACAATGCTTCAAAGAAAGGCGCCGACAAAGCCCCGTTTCAGCTCGGATTGGTCAACGTCTGTGCTCAGGGACTTGCGAAATTTGCGTCCATGTTGCCCAGACATGTGGAGGACGGGCATCGAGTTGAACTTTGGCTTCCTCAATCCGATGATGGAGCGGAAATGCCCTTGTTACTAAGGAAATCAGTCAGAAACACACAGTTACTATGGGATCGGCACGAGGACAAGCCCGAGCAGTCTTCCTCACCGGACGGTTCGTGCGCAATGCCCGCGATTGAGGTTCTTCGTTCTTGCCCTACGTCGATGTTAAAAGATCCTTGGCGCCGAGGCCCAAACTTTAGGTGACTCCACCCACAGCAGGCAGGCCAATGGGAGCTCTACTCGGGATTCCACAACTTCTGGCGTCGGATGTGATCGTTCTACGATGCTGGGGATGGAGATTTCTCCTGTGTAGCAGACCGGGTGGACTCTGGAGGAGCAGAACGTTGTTGCCTTGGTCTGCCTGCCGCTCGTTTGCCGAGCAGGCTGAATATCTGGCGGAAATCCCATCAGCCGCCGAGATGCGGTGGCATTAAAGCGGCGGCATCCGAACTCCATACTATCTAGGTACTCTATCTACTAGTCGTAGTCCTTCCGATCTCCCCCTCGTACCTGGGGAAAACCGTAGGGACTTAATATCGCTGGTAGGCTTAGAAGAATCCTCGTCCTGCTGCATGATGGGGACTCGATAGATACACAGAGGGGTCAGAAAGTAACTGCGGATAATTCGAAACGACTGGGAACCTCCGTGAGCAGGGATTCGGCTAAATGGATTGCGTGGCACAGGGTCGTACAACCCCCTTTTTTTTCGGTTTTGTGAGGGTTGGAAGATTGGAAGGCACTCATGTTCGTCCGGCGGATCCTCGTGCGGTTTGCTGCACCTCCTGGCGTGTGGCGGTGCACCGCATCTAGCCGATCTGATTGGCCCAGCATTGTGCGTGCCCGGCCCGCTTCACCGGCCCTAGCCGCGGCGGCAGGTGACGTTGTGGCTCTTCAGGCGCGGAGAAGCGACTGAACATCTCCCTCCAGACTCCCAAGGACAGCCAGCCCACCATCACTTCGCGAGGGCCCGCACGAGCCAGGGAAGCCTCTTACTTCCCTTCTGACATCCGTCCAATCTCGCCCAGGGACCCTGCGATGAGGCTATCATTGGCCCTTTCCGCCCAGCCTCACGCGCCCTCGAATGAAAGCCCCTCGATCTGTCCACCTGAAGTGCCTCTGTGAGAATGGCGGACGACAATCCCGAACTGAGCGCCGCTCTGCGGGAACTCGACCATGAATTGGAGGTACGATGGCCGTCCTGTACTCTACAACCCCTCCGGAGTCCTCCGAGTGTCATGGACGCTGTCAACTAACTTCTCGCCGCTTACCAGGAGGGTGACATTACGGAGAAAGGGTAAGCAATCTGTCCGGGTCAGGGCCGGGCCAACGGATGGGCTTGGGGCCAGAATCCTGCCGTTGGGAAGGGGCTTATATATGCCTTTTGGGATAGACGCGGAATACTTCTTGGAATACTGGCAGACGTTCCGGGCTAACCCGATTCAAGTTACCAGAAGCGGCGCACCGTTCTCCTTTCGCAGTACTTCGGCCCTAATATGGCACTGGATTTCAACACGCCCCCGTCAGGAAATGCACCGTCGTTGACAAGTGCGACAAACCCTCCGCAAGCCATCTTGAATGTCCGACCACCAACGGCCGAGTCTGCGAGCCAGGGGCCTTCGCAGTCCTTTACAAATGGACGGGAAAGCTTCAACAACGGAGGCTTTGGATTTGAACGGAGGGTCAGTGGGGATACGCAGGGCTCGTACGAACGGGATAGTATGCTGCTACCCGGTGACCGAGCCCCTTCGGCAGCTTCCTACGATTCTCTCTTCCTACCGAAACAGCAGCCCCCCCCTCCCCCTCCCCCTCCCATGCAAGAAGGCTCCAGAACGGCCACGCTTCTGAGCCAGAACTACGCCTTTAATCCCGGCGTTCACCACGAGCATTATGAGGAGCCTGTCGGAGGTTATGAATTGCCCTCCGGTGGGGTCACGCGACAGTCGACCATGCTCGACTCGCAGCAGGGATATTTCTCTGACTTCGCTGGCCAGCAGCAGGATGACTATAGGGATAGCTACGGTGGCGGGTTTCACCGCTACTCCCAGTCGGATACGTTCTCTCCTACTGCGAATATGGCGCCGCCGCTGATCCCTGCCTCTGAACTCCCTCATGGACCGGCCCTCGACCACCTTCAACCGCTGGAGCCTCGTGACATCCCTTTTGCTGTACATGACCCACATGATAAGAATACGCCCATGTCTAATTTCGACAACATCCCTACGGTTCTTCGGCACCGTGCTCGAGTGCATTCGAAGCAACCGGCCTATTGGGTCTTGGACCAAAAGGGCAAGGAAATCGCCTCCATCACATGGGACAAATTAGCGAGCCGGGCAGAAAAGGTTGCGCAGGTCATCCGTGATAAGAGCAATCTATATCGTGGAGACCGTGTGGCTTTGATTTACCGCGACTCCGAGCTCATCGAATTTGCCGTTGCGCTGATGGGTTGTTTCATCGCCGGCGTGGTTGCTGTTCCCATCAACAGCCTCGAGGACTATCAGAGCCTTAACCTCATTCTCACATCAACACAGGCGCATCTTGCTTTGACGACAGAGAACAATCTCAAGAATTTCCAGCGAGATATCACGGCACAGAAACTGAACTGGCCTCGTGGAGTCGAATGGTGGAAGACCAACGAATTTGGAAGCTATCACCCTAAGAAGAAGGATGACACGCCACCGCTTGTGGTCCCCGACCTGGCCTACATTGAATTCTCACGTGCTCCTACGGGCGATCTTCGCGGTGTGGTCATGAGCCACCGGACGATCATGCACCAAATGGCCTGCCTCAGCGCGATTGTTTCCACCGTCCCTGCATCTTCGAGCATGGCTCGTCCACGTGGGGAAACCATTGTCAGCTATCTTGATCCTAGGCAAGGCATCGGTATGATATTGGGTGTGCTTCTTGCCGTATATGGTGGTCACACGACTGTCTGGCTTGAAGATCGAGCAGTAGAAACACCTGGTCTCTACGCCCATCTCATTTCAAAGTACAGAGCGACTATTATGGCTGCCGATTACCCCGGGCTGAAGATCGCTGCTTACAACTACCAGCAAGATCCGATGGCGACCCGGCATTACAAGAAGAACTCGGAGCCCAACTTTGGAAGCGTCAAGCTTTGTCTTATAGATACGCTCACAGTCGATCCCGAGTTTCACGAAATCCTGGCCGATCGGTGGCTGAGGCCAATGAGGAACCCGAGGGCTAGGGAAATTGTAGCCCCCATGCTCTGTCTTCCTGAGCACGGTGGCATGGTGATCAGTGTCCGAGACTGGCTGGGCGGCGAAGAACGCATGGGCTGCCCTTTGACACATGAAATGGACCCAGCCGAGCGCGAAGATAGCAGGAAGGAAGAGAAGAAATTCGAGAAGGCTGATACCAACAGTGGTTTTGGCAGTAGTTTACTGGGTGGTGGCTCGGTTGCGCCAGCCCCTAAAGAGCAAGGAAAGACGGAGATTGGCGAGGTCCTTCTGGACAAAGAGGCCCTGAAGAGCAACGAAATCGTTGTCTTAGCCATGGGTGAGGACGCCAGGAAATTTGCAGGAGCCATGCCTCATGCTGTGCGTGTTGGCTCGTTTGGCTTTCCGATCCCTGACGCCACGCTTGCCATCGCGGACCCGGAGACGAACTTGCTGTGTACTTCAAATGTGGTCGGCGAGATATGGGTGGACTCGCCATCTCTTTCCGGTGGCTTCTGGGCGTTGCCAAAACATACGGAAGCCATTTTCCACGCGCGGCCGTACAAGTTCGAGGACGGCAACCCGACTCCTGTTCTGGTTGACCCGGAATTCCTTCGAACAGGTCTTCTGGGATGCGTCATCGAGGGTAAGATTTTCGTTCTAGGTCTCTACGAGGATCGGCTTCGCCAGAAGGTGGAATGGGTAGAGCACGGGCAAGAGATTGTTGAACATCGTTACTTCTTCGTCCAGCACATGATCGTCAGCATCTTAAAGAGCATACCTAAGATCCACGACTGCACCGCCTTCGATATTTTCGTCAACGATGAACATCTCCCGATCGTTGTCTTAGAATCTTATGCAGCATCAACAGCGCCGACCACGTCAGGTGGTCCTCCACGGCAGTTAGACTCTGTCCTTCTTGAATCTCTGGCCGAACGATGCATGGAAATTCTCTATCAGGAGCACCACCTGCGAGTGTATTGTGTGTTGCTAACCGCACCTAACACCCTCCCCCGTGTCACCAAGAACGGAAGAATGGAGATTGGCAACATGCTCTGCCGCAAGGAGTTTGATGCTGGTTCCCTGCCTTGTGTTCATGTCAAATTCGGCGTGGAACGATCAGTCCTAAACCTACCCGTTGGGGTTGACCCCGTCGGTGGTATTTGGTCTCCGCTCGCCTTGATGTCAAGGCAAGAGATGCTGGCCATGCAAGAGAAGCAATATTCAGGCGTGGACTACCGTGAGGTGGTCATGGATGATCGCACATCTACGCCACTGAACAACTTCTCGACTATCGTTGACCTTCTCCAGTGGCGTGTTTCTCGACAAGCCGAAGAGCTGGCTTACTGCTCCATCGATGGACGCGGAAAGGAGGGCAAAGGCATCACGTGGAAGAAGTTCGACTTGAAGGTTTCTGCCGTAGCGATGTACTTGAAGAACAAAGTGAAGGTCAGACCTGGAGACCATTTGGTCCTGATGTACACCCACTCAGAGGAATATGTGTACGCTATCCACGCATGCTTCTGCTTGGGCGTCATTGCCATCCCTCTCGCTCCTATCGATCAGAACCGTCTCTCCGAAGATGCCCCCGCCTTCCTGCATGTCATCAGTGACTTCCATGTCAAGGCGATCATTGTGAACAGTGATGTCGACCATGTCCTGAGGCAGAAGCTTGTCTCCCAGCACATTAAGCAGTCTGCGCAGGTCCTCCGGATCGGAGTGCCGGCTATATATAATACCACAAAACCCGCCAAGCAGTCGCATGGCTGCAGAGACCTTGGGTTCACCGTCAAGGATACTTGGCTAAAGGGCAACCAGGCTGCTCTGGTGTGGACCTACTGGACTCCTGACCAGAGAAGAATATCCGTCCACATCGGTCATGATACGGTTATGGGCATGTGCAAGGTACAGAAGGAAACGTGCCAGATGACCAGCTCAAGACCAGTTCTCGGTAGTGTTCGCAGTACTTTGGGTCTTGGATTCCTCCACACGTGTTTGATGGGTATCTATGTTGGTAAGTGTAATGAGGGCTTTGTATGGCAAACACGAGATTAACAGAGACTCCAGGAGCACCAACATATCTTGTCTCACCCGTCGACTTTGCGCAAAACCCGATGACGCTTTTTGTCACACTCTCACGGTATAAGATCAAGGACACCTACGCTACTAGTCAGATGTTGGACTATGCGATGAGCACGATGGCTGGAAAGGGCTTCCAGTTGCAAGAGCTGAAGAACTTGATGATATCAGCTGAGAGCCGGCCGCGGGTGGATATCTGTGAGTTTCACCTCCATGTCAGTTGAATGCGAACTAACACGATTGTAGACCAAAAAGTACGCTTGCACTTTGCTTCCGCCAGCTTGGACCGCACGGCCATCAACATTGTGTATTCCCATGTCCTCAACCCCATGGTTGCCACCAGGTCATACATGTGCATTGAGCCTGTCGAGCTATGGCTCGATATCCGGGCGTTGCGCCGGGGACTGATCTGTCCTGTGGATCCCGACACCGACCCGACTGCTCTCGTTCTTCAAGACTCGGGCATGGTCCCGGTGAACACGCAAATAGCCATCGTGAACCCAGAGACCTGTACCCTGTCCCATGTTGGCGAGTACGGTGAGATTTGGGTCCAGTCGGACGCTTGTGCCAAGTCGTTCTACGGCTCGAGACAGGACTTTGACATGGAGCGCTTCAACGGTCGAGTTGCGGACGGAGACCCTAATGTCGCCTACGTGCGTACCGGTGACTTGGGTTTCCTTCATACGGTTACAAGACCTATCGGCCCCAACGGCCAGCCCGTCGAGATGCAGGTGCTTTTCGTCCTTGGAGGCATCGGGGAGACGTTTGAAGTCAACGGACTGAACCACTTCCCAATGGACATTGAGTACTCCGTCGAAAGATGTCACCGCAACATCGTGTCTGGAGGATGGTAAGTAGCCAACCCAGCAGCCACAGTCTCAAAACGCACTCACTAACAGCCCCATCCAGTGCCGTCTTCCAAGCGGGCGGTCTGATTGTGGTCGTCGTCGAAGTCACAAGAAAGGCCTACCTGGCGTCCCTGGTCCCTGTCATCGTCGACGCTATCCTTCACGAGCACCAGGCCGTTGCCGATATCGTGGCATTCGTTTCACACGGCGATTTCCCCCGATCTCGCCTGGGAGAGAAGCAGCGTGGCAAGGTATTGGCGTCGTGGGTTACGCGAAAGCTCCGGACAATCGCGCAGTTCAGCATTCGCGACGGCGAGGGACCCGAACATCCGTTTGCCGAGGCCCCCCAGCATCGCATGAGCAGAAGCTCCAAACCGGGCAGCATGATGGGCAACAGCATCCGACGGTCCACCGTTATCCCCGACACCGATCTCATGCCTCGCTCCCCAGCCCCCGTCCTGGTCGAACAGTCGGAGGCGACTTACCCTCCTCCCCTGACGGAATCCATCAGCAGCCCTACCGGCACGATGCCAGAAGGAGGAGCGCCGTCCCTCCCGCATATCTCGGAGCCTCCACACCCTCGACCGGAGACTGCCTCGACCAACGGAGCGCCGGGGCCTACCACCATCGGCAACCCCGACTTCGGCTTTGACTTCGGCGACTTTGCCAACTCGGCCTCCGCAGGCTCCATGACCGATCCCAACGCCGCCGCCGGTCCTGCCTCTCAAACCAACTCCCTCGCTTTCCGCAATCCCCCAGCCATCCCCCGCCCCAGCCCCCGCAGCGCGCCCCCAGCGGCAGCGCCGGTGGCGGTGGCTTCCCGGCGCGCTCGGACTCGTACAACCGGAAGCCCTACGCCGACATGGAGGGAAGCACCGCCGACTGGCCCCAGGAAGCTCTCATGTACCAGGCTAATCTGGGTTACGACGATCCCCACAGCCAAGGAGGAACCCCTCGCGCCCCACTCTAGCTCTAGTACGTATGCTCCTGCTTTGAGGAGCACAATAACTTCCCCGAGGCAGTCAGCGCCTGTCCCATCCAAGACCAATCCGACCGGTCGGACGGCTTTGATCGCGACGAGACGAGCAAGACGAACAAGACAAGACGAGACGGGACACTGGCAGTCCCTTCCCCTCGACATATCTTCTTCTTTTCCCTTCCTCTCACCCCCATTTTGCATAGCCTGTTAAAAAAGAATTTACCGTCCACTTTGCATCTCCCTCCATCCCTCCCACTCACCCACCCATCACCCTACCTACCTCCCTACCGTTTACATCCCACCATTCCTACCAAGCTACCCCGTCCATGACATTGCGATATCATATCCGTTATTTTCTATCATATTCTATTCTATATCATCCTCTTCTTTTTCTTTCTGAATATTCTTTTTTCTTTCTCTATATCTCCTGAAATCTGTTTTTATCTTTTGCCGCTTGTTAAACTCTGTGTGTATGTTTTTATGTCTGAGGGAGTGTGTCTGTGTCTCTCTCTCTCTCTCTGTGTGTGTGTGTTTGTTGATAGGATGTAGACAGATTTACTACTTACTTACTATTACTTACTACCTACCATACCAGTCTATGATGAACGAATGACTTATTTATATTTGCTGCTACTTCTATCGCTCCTACTGCTACCACTCCTGCCCTTACTACCCGATGCTACTTATTGCTACTAATCCTATTACCACTACTACAATATTGTTCTTCCTGTACATACATACATACATACATACATACCCATTATCTCTCCATCTCTCCATCCCCTCCTGATCTATCCATCTACTATCCATCTATCCATCTTGATCTGGCAGTTCGCGTTTTGTGATAATCATATAACATACCCACCAAGAAGATTTTTCCAGAAAAACGAAATAGAAATAGATAGTAGTCTGTAAATAAAGAAGAATTAATATAATAAAATTCATATCATGTCATTCCTAATCTGTACAATCAATCAATTTCCTTCCCTTTCCTTTCCTTTCGATCGTTCCTTCCTTGCTTTTGCTCGAAATGCCAAATTTTAGTACCCGTTACCCGTTACCCTACCCGTCTTTCTTGTCCATTCACCTTCACCTTCACCTTCTCGGAGACCGATTCTCTCTTTCTCTGTCTCTCTCTACCCCCAATTTGTACCCCCAAAAGCAATGTATACTTTTCCCAAACCCCAATCAATGATGTACCACAAATGTACCACAAAAATAATAAAAAAAAGCGAAAATGCAAGATGATATCGTAGATAGACCGAAAAAAAAAACAGAAAAAAAAAAGTAGAAAAGATTCAAGTTATATGCCGTGCTGTGCCGTGCCGTATCGTTTCCCTTTCGGTTGTACGTTACGGTTGACAGTTGGTTAAATGAGGTGGTTGGGGAGTGGTTTACTGGCTCTCAGCCTGCTGGGTCAAGCCGTCGATGTCGACCTTAGGCTTGGGAGGACCGGTGAGCATTTCCAGGGCCTGGAGGTCTTCGTCGGTGAGGGTGTTGGAGCGAATGGGGCGGAAGGGGGCGGGGGAGCCGGCGCGGCTGGTGAGGAACTATTCTTGGGTGTTAGAAATGGACTTCAGGGGAAGGGTGGGGGGGGAGGGGTAGTTATAACGAAGGAGAGAACGTACAGAGCTGGCGGCGCTCAGCAGAGCGATCAAACTGGCTTGGACCACATCCTGGTGGATACCCACACCCCACACCTGCTCCTTGCTGCCGGCGGCAGTGCACTGGATGTAGGTGGCGGCCTTGACGTCACGACCCAGACCGATGGAGTGCTCCTTGTAGTCGACGACATCGAGGTCAATACCCAGGGAGGACAGGGCGTGGGCCAGGGACGAGATGGCACCGGCGCCGACGCCGGTGATGGCGTGCTGGACGCCGTCGATCTCGATGACACCGGTGAAGCGACGCTTGAGGTTCTGGGTGTTGAGGGCCTTGCCGGGCTGGGGGGGCGCGGGCGACGTCGAGCGGTCGGTGGTGATGTTGTAGTCGATCAGGGTGAAGCGGGGGTTGGTCTTGAGGTGGTAAGCTTCCTCGAAGAGACCCACGATCTCGGTGGGGCGCAGCTCCCGGCTGACTTCCTCCGTCCGACGCTGCACGATCTTGCTGAACTCGACCTGCAGGGTGCGCGGGAGATCCAGCTCCAGACTGCGCAGGATGATCCAGGCGGCGCCGCCCTTGCCGCTCTGGGAGTTGACCCGGATGACGGCCTCGTAGTTCCGCCCGATGTCCTCGGGGTCCAGGGGGAGGTAGGGGATCTGCCACTGGAGGTCTTCGGACTCGACACCGGCCTCCTCGCGGAGCTTGAAGCCCTTCTTGATGGCGTCCTGGTGACTGCCGCTGAACGCGCAGACCACCAGCTGGCCGCCGTAGGGCCATCTCTCGTTGACGGGGATCTTGTTGCTCTCCTCGACGACCTTGATGACGGCGTTGATGTCGGAGAAGTCGACCTTGGGGGAGATTCCTTGCGTGTACAGGTTCAGGGCCAGGGTGACCAGATCCACGTTGCCCGTTCTCTCACCGTTTCCGAACAGGGTTCCCTCGACTCGCTGGGCACCGGCCATCTGGGCGAGCTCGGCGGCGGCGACGGCGCAGCCACGGTCGTTGTGCGGGTGCACGGAGACGATGTACTTCTCGCGCTCGGTGACGTGGCGGCAGAAGTACTCGACCTGGTCGGCGAAGACGTTGGGGGTGGACATCTCGACGGTGGCGGGCAGGTTGAAGATGATGGGGTCCTTCTCGGTGGGCTCCCAGGCGGCCTTGACGGCCTCACACACCTGTGCGGCGAACTCGGGCTCGGTGTCGGAGAAGGTCTCGGGGGAGAACTCGAAGTGCCACTCGGTGCCGGCCATCTCGGGGTCGTCCTTGGTGATGGAGCGCGCGTACTTGGTGCAGCGCACCGCCATCTCCAGACTCTTCTCCTTGTCCATGTTGAACACGATGCGACGGAAGCAGGGGCTGGTGGCCAGGTAGATGTGCAGGATGGCCTTCTTGGCGCCCTTCAGGGAGTCGACCGTGCGACGGATGAGGTCTTCTCTGCAGGGGGACAGCACCTGGAGCCAGACATCATCGGGGACCAGGCCGGGGGTCTCGACGAGGCTACGGGTGAAGTCGAAGTCCACTTGCGAGGCCGAGGGAAACGAGACCTCGATTTCCTTGTAGCCTATGTCGCGCAGCATCTTGAAGAAGCGGAGCTTTTGCTCCCCGTCCTGGAGTCATCGCCGCATGTTAGACAGGAAAAATCGCACAAATGTCGCGGCATTAGCGTGATTATTGTGAACTCACCATGGGGTCAGGCAGACTCTGGTTACCATCTCTCAGATCGGTGGCCAGCCACCGAGGGGGGTTGTCGATGGTCTTATTAGGCCATTGGCGGTCGGGCAGGTGGAGGGGCTGGAAGCGCTTATATTTCTTGGAGGGGTCTTTGAGCCTGGGGGGGGGGGAATTAGTGTTGGTGGGGGGGATCCGGGAGGTTTGGGAGCTCTGGGAGCTCTGGGAGCAGGGGGAACAGCTGGAAGGCCGTGCTCCAGCAAGAAGCAGCAAGAAGCAGCCAGAGCAGCACTGGGAGCAAAGAGGGGGGGGGGGGGAGGGGCACAGCGAACGTACATGGGCATGGTGATGGAGTGGGCGGGGAGGTTCCGCAGCGGGGACGAGAGGGAAGTGGGAGGGAGGGAGCGAGAGACCAGGATAGGGAAGAGAGGTAGAAAGGAGGAGGGAGGGGAGAGATAGAAATTAGCAGTAATAGATGACCTCACAGCGAGGGGTAGTCGGGATGATTTGAAGAGAAGCTAAAGAACTGGAACGGGGACTGGAGGCGGTCTTAAAGGCTAAAGGCGTGAGTCAACCCGCGGGGAATGACGAGCCACCGCCCGCAACTCGAGTTTTTGCGCCGACAGCGGATGCGCCAAGCAGTGCATTGGGTAATTGGACCATCTGCATCCTTCTACATCCCCTCAAGCCAAACTAATCAATCGCCGTGCAGATATTAGCAATTAGCAATCCCTCCCATCGGATCCTCTCCACTCTGCCTCAGCCATTGAGTCGTCCGGCATTTCATCGCCCGCCGCCATAGGCTCGGACGGCGTTGCTGTGCTCTCGGTCCGCCGCGTCCGCCGACACCGGAGGCGCCGCCCCGAGGCCTGGCTGCCTGAGGCCGTCGCCGACCCCGTCGCCGACCCCGTGGATAGCCGCGTCCAGCCGATATCTTCTTATACAAGCAGGGAAAAAAAAAAAAAAAGGGACCTCAAAATCAATACACAATTGGCATGGTACATGGGAATAGATACAGTAATGACTCACGGTGTCACGGTTCACAGTTCACGGTTCACGGTTCACATCGGCTAATGCAATTCTATTATTCACAGCAACCTCACCCTCACCCTTATTTCTTGCCCTTCTTCTTGGTGTTGGCCTTGGGCATGCGGCCGTTCTTCTGGACCTCGCGCTCGGTCTTGCCCTTCTTCCAGCCGCCGCCCTCCTCCTTCCGCTGGCGCATGTCGTCCAGGCGCTTCTTGTCCTTGTTGCTGAGCTTGACCCTCTCCTTCTTGGACTTGCCAGCATCGGGCCCGTTCAGCTCGGTGGCGCCCAGCTTCCGCGCCGCCTGCTTGTCGCGCTCCGACTCGAACCACGTCCGCTTCGGCCGCGACTTGATCTCCGCCTCGTGCCGCATCAGGTTCTCGCCCTTGGCCACCTGCATCTCCGCCTGCGAGAACTGCTTCTCCATCTTCTCCTCCTCCAGCACCTCCTCGATCTCGTCCGCCAGCGCCTCCGCCTTGGCCGCCCACGAGTCCGCCACGTCCGTGTCCACCACCCGGCTGGCAATCTTGGCCCCCTGCGCCCGTCCTGCCTTCACCGCGGCCTTGACCACCTTGCGGTCGGGCTCCGCCGCGATGGTGCACGCCCGACCCGACCGTCCAGCACGCGCCGTACGGCCGACACGATGCAGGTAGATCTCGTGGCTCTGCGGCGCCTCGTAGTTGATGACTGTCTCGACGCCCTTGATGTCCAGACCACGAGACGCCAGATCCGTAGCCAGTAGGAACGCCGCCTTGCCCTCTCGGAAGTTCTCCACACTTTTGATACGCTGTAATCCCATCAGTTAGCCCTCGCTAGTCTATTCCGATACGCGCAGCAACATACCTGTTCTTGACTCAAGCTACCGTGCAGCTCGGCGGCCTTCAATCCGAGTAGCCCGAACACAATGCGCACCCGATGGGCCTCGCGCTTCTGTCGGAAGAACACAATCACTCGGCCCGTGTAGACCTGCTTGCAGAGGTAGAGAAGGTAGCCCAGACGCTTGTCCTCGCGTCCGGGGCGGAGACGCACGAATTCCTGCACCAGGGTCACGGCGGTGTTCTTCTTCGCGTCCACCATCAGCCGCACGGGGCGGTTGAGACCGACGCGGATCAGCTTGTCGACCGTCTCGGTCATCGTCGCGGAGAAGAGCATCGTCTGGCGCGACTTGGGGATGGTGGTGAGAATCTCGTTCAGCTCGTCCGCGAACCCGTCCTCCAGCATGCGATCGGCCTCGTCCAGAACCAGAATCTCCAGCGTGTCCACCGTGAAGCTGGCCGAGTTGCGCATGTGGTCGATGAAACGACCGGGCGTGGCGATGATCACATCCGGGCGCTTCTTCAGGATGTTCTCCTGCTCGCGCAGACTGAAACCACCCACCAGCTGGCAGAACGTCACGTCCGTGTACGTCGCCAGCTTCGTCGCGACATTGTAGCACTGCACCGCCAACTCACGGGTCGGCATGAGGATGGCCACGCGACTGGTCGGGACCTTGCGCGGCCGGAAGAGCAGACGTTCGAGGATGGGCACAACGAAGGCCGCCGTCTTTCCGGAACCGGTGACGGCACTACCGACGATGTCCTTGCCGAGGAGAGCCACGGGGATGGTCTTCTGTTGGATGGGCGTCGGGTTCGAGAAGTTGACTCCGGCGAGACCACGGAGGATGGGTCGAGAGAGGTTGAATTCCTGGAAGGACCGCTTGGGGCCGGCAGATGTCTCGGGGGTCTTCTCTTCAGGCGCGAAGAAAGCCTTGCGCTTCTCTGCTTCTTCGGCGTCGATCTCGCTCTCCGCGTCGGACTCTGGTTCGGAGGCCACCTCATCGTCAGGGTGGCCGACAGGTGTCGCAACCGAGTCGTTATCTGAAGCCGCGTCGTCGTCGTCGTCGTCCTCATCCTCATCCGACCCTTCAGCATCACTGCCCTCAGCCGCCTCCTCATCCGAGCCCTCCTCCGCATCAGACTTCTCACTCTCCACCGCGTCGCCATCAACGCCCATGCCGAACCCATCCTCAGCCAGGAGCTCATCGTCTCCAAAGTCCACGGACATACCACCGTCGGACTCATCGCCATCCTCCTGCTCACTCATCTCCTCCGCCTTCTTCTGCTTCTTCTTCAATTTCCTCGCCTCGTCCGCCTCCTTCTTCGCCTGTCTCCTCTCGATAATATCGTCGATGTCCACAGCCTTCTTATCCCCGCCAGCCTCCTCCTTGCCCGTCTCCCCCCACCCATCAAACTCCGTCACCTCATTCCCGGCGCCACCGACATCGAACTCGAAATCCAGATTCAATGCGCCGTCATCCTCGGCCAGATCCTCCTCCTCATCCTCCTCATACTCCTCATCCGCATCTGCATCCTCCTGCTCAGACACCTCCTCCACCTGCACGCCCTTCTTCCCCTTCTTCCCCTTCACCTGCTGCTTCTGTTTTTGCTCCTGTTTCTTCGCCTTCTTGTTCCCATTATTCTTCCCCGCCTTCACCGTCTCCGCACCCTCCTCTCTCTTGCGCTTTTTCGTCCCCCCCAACACATCATTCTCTTCCTCCGCCTGGAGCTTTTCAAGGGTATCGTTGTCGTCGTCCGACAGTGTAAACACGAAATCGTCCTCGTCGGCCGCACGGCGCTTCTTGCTGATCGGGGCCATGGTCGTGGCTGTTGGGTTTTCCGGAGGGTATTTTTTCCCGGGGGGGGGGGGAGGGTATCTCTCTTTTGGTATTTGTGTTTCTGTCAGGAATGTAGGGTATTGTGTAAAGTTGCGCACAAAACAGTCCAAATCAGAATGAAGTCAAGGAGATTGAAAACACCCCCAGACTCAATTGCACGAGTGAGTCGTGAGTCCTGGTCGGGGAAGACGCTGGAAAAAAGTTTCAAATTTCGAAGGCGGTGGCGGGCGTTCTGCCGGCTGATGGGCGGCGGGGGATGCTGATTGGCGGGTGGGGATGTGGTACTAGATAGTACTAGTATTATTAGTATTATTAGTATTATTTAATCCACCCCGACCGATAACTAAAACGCTCCTCAAGTGCTCCTCCTATCAGATCAAACAGACCACTCGACTAAAAAGGTGTCCAGACGCCTAAGTAGGCGTGATACTGAATGATACTAGGTTTGACACCTCCAGATCTCAATGAAATCAGAACATGGAGAACTGGCTGGTCAAGTGCTTTTTCAGGCTTGCGGAGGAGATCCAGTCCGATACGACAGTACTGGAAAAAGGCTTGCTTCTTAAGTATAGGCGAAACAATGCACACCTGTTGGTTTCCAGGATGATGGAAGGTTTCAACGACGAATGACAATCGTCGACTCTTCGAATACACATCTGGTCGATGGATGTGAGTTTGCTCAACGATGCCCTGCCCTCTGCTTCCCAGCTTTGAGAGCTTATACAGGTAGATATACAACGAGGACATCCGTCTCGCTGAGCGCCATGGGGAGATCAATGTCGATGCATTGAAAAGCGCCGCTGCTCAGTCGCTCGAGAGATGCGATACAAATATCAAGAGCCTGTCGAAGCTGGCCGATTGCCATATCCCTCGACTGAGCCAAGGCAACTGGCGGTCGCGAGCGAGGTGGGCGACCTTGGCTCTCCTTCGGGCTCATGGTCTTCCTGTGCCCCGTGTGTATGCATCCTCCACAGATGCTACGAATCCTGTTGGCTCAGAGTGAGTATATCATCATGGAGAGAAGCTACCAGGAAGACCACTGGGTGATCGGTGGTTCGAGTCATCCGATCGAGAATGTCTGAAGGTGCTTCTGCAGCTTATACGGCTAGAAGCAAAGCTTCATGCTATTGAGCTTCCCGCGAGCGAAAGCAAATACTATTTTGTTTTGTTTTGTTTTGTTTCCAATGACCCCTCTTCTATTCTAGTACCTTGGCTACTACGCCACTCCCGCATCCATCTACAACCGGTAGGTAGGTAACACTAACACCCAACCCATCTACGCGCCCATCTACGCGTCCACTGTTAGTTCCACTCCAAATCATCAACCGATTTTCAAACTTTTTTTTGGCATTTTCTCGCTATCCTAGACGCCAGGGGATCTCGTCCGGGGGTCTGCGGGACGTCGATTCTCTGGTCTGGGGTTCGGGATAGGATAGTTAGCTATATCTAAGAACACAAAAGAGAAGTATGACAAAAGTAGAAGCAGAAGCAGGAACGGAATAGCAATAATAATAATATCAACTCGCTTTTTGCCCAATCTTTCTGTCTGTCTCCTTTTTTTTTCTGTGTCCGTCAGAGACTTGTGAGTTTGGTCGGGTCTGGTCGGGTCGAGTCAATGGCGGTTTGAGGTGAGTAGGAAGACGGAAGAGCAGGCAAGAATGAGATAACGTCATAAAACTAAGTAACTGATCAGGTAATAGCTAGCGGTCCAGCCGGGGAAGATGGGAGATTGGTCATATTGGCAGATACAACAAAGGAAAAGAAAGGAAAATAAGAGAAAAGAAAAGAAAAGGGTGAGAGGTTCTTCCCAACGCCTATCCAGCTCGTGGATCCAAGTGCTAGGCTAACACAACCTTCAAGACGCTTGGTGGCTCAGTAGTAGCTGCTCAAGATAAAGAACGATTTCCGAACGAAATAGTTGACGTCGAGGCTGTCACGGTTAGCAGCTTGATCTCCGACTCTGGAAAGCAGAGAAGACTTACAATCGTTGGTCCTTCACGCGAGCCCCCTTCAACTGGCCCTGCAGTTCGAATCCGTGCTTCGCCAGCCAGTCGCGCACCCACTTGTACTTCGGGCGATCCTCCGGGACGAAACTCAGGACTACCATGAGCCGTGCGAGCACACGGTGTCCTCCAAGGCCGTACTTATGCTTTTCCTCGAGACTGACGTCGAAGAAGTACCCGGCGCGGGGAGTAAATGACGGATCGCAAATCTCCAAGATCTTGTCCATGAGGCACCGGCCAACACCGAGGTGTTGCTGCGACGGGATCACGAACATCTCCAGCTGGGCCGTGTATTTGCCCGAGCTCTCGGGTGTCAGGTAGTCGCTGACGAGGGCATAGCCATAGACCTTCTCCGGCTGGCTGTCTTCCACACCAGGGGTCCGATGCTCTCTCCGCTCCACGGCCAGGATGAATGGCAGCTTCGCATCTTTGGCTTTCTGGATCCGCTCGCGGACGTCTGCGGGCTGCACCTCGTTGACGTCGGTGCTTACGGTCGAGTTTTTAGCGAAGTAATTCATGACCGGGAGGAGCTGGGGGACGTCACGCATTTCCGCTGCGCGGAGGTAAATGTTCGCCTTAGGAATGTTGGGGTTCTTCGCTCTCTCGCGGAGATACTCTTGGTACGCCTCCTGCGCCTGTCTCTTTCGTCGTGCCACGATCTCCTGTTCCTTCTTGTGGTGGAGCTCGAGGTTGTAGCAGTACCCCTCGATGGTCTCGTGTCGGTGAAGAACCACCTCCTTGTCTGCTGGGTCGGAGATGGTGTCATGCGCGGGCAGGTTGGGGAGGTAGAATGCGCGCACCCCATCCGGATGTGCCGTTCCATCGAAGAACGACGGGTGGTATATGTCTGCGTAGCAAGCCATGGCGACGGTGCTCAACATCCATCTGCGGAATCTGCGCTGCCATGCCTCGGCATGGTAATCTCCATGAGGCACATAGCCCCAATCGCAAAAGTGTGAGATATTCCAGTCTTCCTCCGGCTGGATGTCGGGCACATCATTCAGGTTCTGTAAGGAGTGCTGGTGTTGGCCGAAGATTCCGAGCTTGGGGATCATCTCCTTCTGCTCGTCGTCCGGCTCGTCAACCAGAGTCACCTCCCCGCAAACAACTCTCGGATAAGCAGCAGGGGTGTTGTCGAACGCCTCCCAGGGGACAGCAACCTTATCCTTGTGGATCCGTCTACTTCTCAATCCTTCGAGATCTCCCAGATCATCGTCCGACTCGTCGTCCTCAGCCGGGAAGGGGAACGCGGTAGGCCTCTCTTGAGACTGCCCCTCCCGCTGCTCCGGACGAACCGCTCGACGCAGTGAGATTTTTCGAAAGATAGGCGCTTCCACGTTCGTCCCCGGCCCATCTCGGCACTTGGCCAGGATCTCGGGGTTTGCGGTGGAGTACTCGAGATCTTTGGCGCGGTGGGCCTTGTAAACGATCTCCGTCTGCAGCTTCTTCAGAAGCGCGCGCACCTCCTCCTGCGGCAGACTGTTCAGCTCCTTTACCGTCAGCTTATTTCCAGTATCAGGCGCCTCGGGCTCCGGGGCATTGCTAAAGGTCACTCGCGCGGAACCGGGGGTCCTGTAGCGGCCCTTGCCCTGCGGCGCCTGATCCGAATCGCTATCCTGGTCTGAGATGTCGCGTACAGCCTGTTTTCCTTTCTTGCGGAAATCGTGAAGAATGATCTCGTCGGAATCAGTCGTCGACATGCTGGCGGGTGGAGCCGGCCTTTCCTGTTCTCCTTCTTTTCATTTGTCAGTCAATATCTGCTGGAATCAGATTGCCACTTCAGTATTGGGTCACTTACCAGGCGAAATGACTTGGTTCTTGGGGCTCGTAGATTTCGGGCTGGATGAGCTAGACGCTGTCTGTTCAACCTTCGTAGGCGTAGGAATGGGAGTATGAGCAGGAGTATGCGTAGGAGTATGAGTTGGAGGAGACGCAACGGGATGAGCAGAAGCAGTATCGGTCACCTCTGGACCAGCACCAACCGACCCCTGAGACGAAGCCGAGAGAAGAGGTGCGGGAAACTCCTGCGCAACCCGTCTCTGGAATCCGATCTCACTCCCCAATGGCCGGCCACGGGGAGGAAGAGTAAAGATCCTACCTCTCAGACCGTGGGGCCGAGTCTGACCCTGTCTCTGAGTCTGAGGTGGAGTCTCAGCCTCGGTCTGAATCTGACTCTCCGATCGATTCCTCAACCTCGGCGGGACATACAAATTGATAGACGGCCGATCTCGCAAACGACACGGAGAAGTCGGGGTATCAGTTGGAGAGGGAGTATTGGTGGGAGTAGCTGAGGCAGGGTGCCCAAGCAAGAGAGAGGAGAGAGGAGGAGGAGGAGAAGGTGAGGGTGAGGGTGAGGGTGAACTTGGAGATACAGAAGAACTATCGTGTTCGTGGGCCTCGGGGTTCTCACCCTGGCGGGTCTGCGAGTCACTGTCTCCCTGGGCAGAGTGAACGACAACGACTGGGATGGGGGTGGTAGCAAACACGGGCGCGGAGAGCAAGGTCCTTGGTGTTGTGAGTGCGGCATTGTACGCTGTCTGAGACGCCGTCTCATTCTCGCTCACGGCCGCCAGGCTGGCGCTCACGGGATTCTGCGGTCCCGGCGCCGGCGTACTGGTCGATGTTGCTGCTCCTGTCTCCGCTCCTTCTACCGTCTCCTGCGGATGCTGCTTCGGGGCGGTTTTGGTGGGGGATTGGAGTCCTTTTGTGCCCTTCATCTTATTCCATAATTCCAAGATGCCATCTCCCACGGATTTGTATGCTGGGTCGGCCATTTCTAGAGATGAGCAGAGGTTAGAAATATGGTATTTTTTGGGGAGACAGCCCTAAAGGGGCTATCTTGGCTATCTTGGATAGGTTGGATAGATTAGCTGGGCTTGGGGCAGACGTACTGGTCGAGGATAACCTCTAAAAAGCCGGCATAAGGGTGCAGACCCTTTGCCTGATGCTTTCTTTGGAGACTTCTGGGAGATACTGGGGCTTTTTTCCTGAACGGCACCAAAAGAGATAAAATTGGCGTAAGAATGGCGCGATGTGGATGAAAGAGGACAGTATGAGAGAGTGGGTTACGGACAGAGGGGGGATTCCGTTTTATACACCGGTGACTTATCATTTGCGCCATGACAGGAGGTGAATATAGGCAGTGAATAGAGTAGAACAGTCTGTTTTGAAGCTTGGATTGGATAGTGACTGCATAGTTGGCTGGCTGGTTGGCCAAGGGACTTTTACCAGTGCTATACTGTCTAAATTTGTATTTTAAAATAAAGACAAAAAGGCTTTTAGAGAGTACAGACAGTGGTTTTAGATTAGTGAGGATATTATGGCTTTGTGGTGTATGTATAGCATTATAGGGGCAGGAAACACACCCTCCTATACTCAACTGTTGAGGGAGTATACATCGCGGCGGTGGAAGGTTTCTAGAATCACAGCAGTCCAGCCCGGCCCATCTTCCCTCACTCACCACTATCACTCCCCCAACCAAGGACCGCACACACGGCAGGACAAACATCAGTGAAGATGCTGTCCATTTTAAGGAAAGCCCGGCTGAAGGACAAAGAAATGCGTATCTTGATGCTGTAAGGCCCAGCCCAGCATTATTTTCTCTCTTCCCCACTAACAATTCAATAGAGGTCTGGATAATGCCGGGAAGACCACCATCGTCAAGCAGATCATGAAGGAGGATGTCACGACTGTCAGCCCGACCTTGGGATTTATCATCAAGACGATTGATTTTGAGGGGTATCCCCCCTTTTCAACTAAGTGGGTTTGGGTGCATTTGACTGATCCTTGCGTAGATACAGGCTCAACATCTGTAAGGACGTCGACCGGTGATGTTGCCTCTGCCGCAAAGCCAACCCCACTAACCGAATACCGACAGGGGACGTGGGCGGCCAGAAAACCCTGCGATCGTACTGGAAAAACTACTTCGAGAAGACCGATACCCTGGTCTGGGTGGTTGATGCGACCGACCGACTCCGCGTGGAGGATTGTCGCGCTGAGCTTTCGGGTCTGCTGCTGGAAGAGGTTCGCCGTTCCTTTCTCCTCCCCTCCCGCGTCCCGCGCCCGCCGGGAAAGGTCTACACGGGCTGGACTGACTAGAGCCATCGCTACAGCGTCTGATGGGCGCCAGTCTGCTCGTTTTCTTGAACAAGACCGACGTGGAAGGGTGTATGGATGAGAATGAAGTGCGCGAGGTAAGTTTCCAGCATTGAATGTCTTTTTCGTGCTCTTCCCTTTCGCAGATAGCCGGGTCGGGAATTCACCCGCCCACCACTGACGGACTGACGAATGGCTTTTGCTGCAGCGCCTTGACCTCGATTCCATCAAGACACATAAGTGGACGATATTCCCTTGTAGCGCGATGACGGGGAGGAACCTTCACGAGGGTCTGGGGTGGGTTGTGCAGGACGCCAAGGACAGGCTTTTTCTTTACTAACTACGGTACGGTAACTAACTACTCCCACTGGTACTGGTGTGCCTGGCAGATCTGAATGATCGCAGGTGGAATGTTTCTTCAGGGGGTTTGGCTGTAGCCTGCTTGGTTGTGAATTTAAGATTGCGATGGCTAGATTTATGCATTCATGACATAGGAAATACTACGAATATTTTACGGATGTTTAATCCAGGCGAGATAGTAACTCTGCGGCTCTGATATATATTCCCGTGCGGGAGAACCGCACCAGCGACCGATTGGTGGCTTGGCTTGTTATGCATACGACTATCTACTTATCTGAATATGCCTTTTCTTATTATTTTCGGCTGGGTTCTTTTCTTTTCTTTCTCCCCTTAAAGCTTCATCAAATACGTGTGTACTGAATTGTCCTCCGACACTGGCCCGAGAAACCTCCTGGTGAGTGCCCGATGCACCATGTACTGTGTAGTGGCAAGACGGAACCGACCATTCATTCAGGGTCCACGAACACTCCGATGGCCCTTGTCGAACACGGTAAAGGCCAGGTTGCCTGCAATCGATGGTGTTCCCACTAGTAAACGGCGCCTGGTCGATGTTAATTTACGTCAACCACGAGTTCCAGCAAGGATTGTCGCCCGGGTGGGTGGAATGCCGTCTGCCTGCTGTCAGTAGTAGATAGATAGTCCTCTATCTATCTTCTGTCTGTCAGTGTCAGTGTCAGTGTCAGTGTCAATGTGCCCTGTCAGCACTCTGTTGTTGCCGTTCGGCCATTCCATGGGTTTGCAGCTTCGAGCCGAGTTTGACCCAACCGAGGCCCCGAGAAAGCAGAAAGTCACACCTCGCAAAAAACTGCTGCCCGAGCAGAAACCAGGAATGATTGCGTACTGGATCGCGGGGCGGCAGAGCGACTCAAGATTTGCTCCACCGCAAGAGCCGAACCGGGAAACGTAAACAGTCTTCCGTGTAGAGCAACTCCCAAACAGTGAAACACGCACCACCGCCGGTAACATGGCGGACGGTGGGAAGAGCTCGTCCTTCTTGTGTACTTTCTTCCACGATGGATGGATAGACGGTCTGCCTGCCTGCCTGCCTGTCTGCTAGGTAGTTAGTTATCTAGAATGATGAAAACCGTTTCCTGCCAGCTGTGGTACGCAAACAATGCGCGGTGTCCAGCCGGTTGGGCGCCTCATCCTCTCTAATTTCCTCTGGGCTTCCGGCGGTGGGGCGGCCGGTGATGTGCGTCTAATTTGACGCTGAGGGGAGCTGGATGACTAGACAATTACTATTCTGGCCCTCACGGCGCGCAGTTGGCTGGTGATTACGGGCCCACCGGCAAAGAGGGCAAAGAGGGCAAAAGGTCAGGCGGAGACGGAGACGGACGCAGAGGGAGGCAGCAGTAGAAGTAGTAAAGTAGTAGTTAAGTGGTTGAGGCACAACGCCCATTCCTGAGGTTCACGTCCGATACCGATTCGGCCTCCTCTCCTCCTCCTCTTCCTGCTAGTCAGTCGCTGCGCCGACTACTACCGACTACCCACCAGCTTCTATTCTTATTCTCTTCCCTCTTCTCCTTCACGAAAACACCTTTCCTCACGAACTCCCTCTTCCCTCTTTCCCTCCTCCCTCCCCTCCCTCCCCTCCCCTCCCCTCCCCTCCCCTCCTTCCTGGTGCCTCCTCCTCTTGTCACACCCCACCCTTCCTGGGGGCCCTGGTCGGTGTTTGCTCGGTTTGAAGCACCACCGTTTCTTTTTCCAGTCCTGATAGCGATCCTCTTTGCTTTTTCCTCCTTTGCATCGTTCGGACTGATCGATTCAGTGCCAAAGCGGCCATGTCTCCCACAACAGACGGGGACAGCACAGAGGACGTCAATGACTTCCTCCTGCGCATCCGTCAGCTCGGAGAGAAGCGCGACAAAGAAGACGAGGAACGCACGAAGAAACTAGAGGAGGAGATTTTACAAGGCCGGAAAGAAAGGCAGGCTCGAAGAGCGGGTATTTGATTTCCCTTGCTTTTTTTTCCCTCTCCTCTTTTTTACATCCCCTTCAGCTCCAAGGCCCCAAGGCCCCAGTGTCGGTCGTCGTGACTCACGGACGCCTGACCTGAACCGAACCCCTTTCGAGTGTGTCGATATCCAGAGAAACTGACGGTGTCGGGTCCCCGCGACCCAATCTAGAGCGGGCACGGTCGATTTCCCCCACGAAAGATTCTCCCATACTAGATCCCACTCGCTTCAGCATGTCGTCGCTCAGCCAGCGGGCGATTGACCCCCCCGAACACCTCGAGCCCACTCTTCACACCCCATCACACGACGCTGGCAGCCGGACTGAGTCCATTCGGGATGATGCCTCAATAACCACAGATGGCAGTCGGAGAGGATCCGCGTTGACGGCTGACGGAGAGGCGGCTTCCAAACCTCTGTCACCCTTACGGAGCAGAACCGGAACGCTGTCGTGGCAGCAAAGGCCTACATCTCGAGATAGTAACCGGGCGTTCTTCTCCTCTTCGTCTCCGACCCGTGAGGGCCGCTTCCGAGGCATGTCTACGACCTCCAGTGACGACCACGGCGCGTTCCGCAGTCGGAGTCCGTTCACCTCCTCCCCCTCGTTCAAAGACGTGCCGTGGTCGCGCCCGACAGAGGGAAGCGCCAGTTCTCCAACTCGCACAAAGAACGCTGAAGAATACCTACACCATACGCTGGCCCCCGACACGGACACCAAAGAAGAGGAGACGGATCATGATCACACTACAGAACCGGTGAAGGAGACAGAGCACCAAGAGGTGGAAGAGCGATCGCGATCCCCGTCAAGGGCAAGCTCGACGGTCGCAGAGAGCAGCTTGGGACACCGCTATTCGAGCATTTCCTCTGTGTCCACGGCCACCGGGCTGGGCTCTCCCCTACCGTTGTCGGGCATACAGAAACTGGAGCCCACCAAGGCTGAGGAGAGTGCTGACGACCAGACATCGTCTCCGTCCTCCCCTAGGCGACTGTCTCCAGAGCGTTCCACCTCTCCTACCAAAGGGCTCGGGGGATTTGTTCAAAGCGCTATGATGAAGCGATCGGACAGTGTATCCAAGAGGTGGAGCGCTCAAATTCCTTCGGGACGTAGTCGAGGCGATTCTTTTGCTAGCAATCGCAACAGCTTTGCTGCGCCCTCTGGTTTTGACATCTTCTCCACGGCGCCTTCGTATCGGGCCAACCGGGAAAGCTCAAGCCTCTCGCCCTCGCGGCCCGGCTCCAGCCACCGGCCCGGATCCAGCCACCGACCAGGCTCCAGCCACCGTCCTGATTTCAGCAATCGACCTAGCTCTAGTCATAGTGAAGCGACTGTCGTGCACCCTACTAAAGACTTCGAACGGCCAGATACCCCTCCCGTTCCTAACATCAACGACGCACGATTGGACGAGGGAGTTGCCAGACCGTCTCTGAGTCTCCATACGAGGTCTGCCAGCTCGGTTGAAAAGGGCCCGGAGTCCGGTTCCCTTCCCCCGACCAGCCCGGCGGTTTCGAGGACCATGGATCCGAAGAGATGGAGCCCGACCAAAGCCACCTGGTTGGAAAGTGCGCTAAACCGCCCTGATTCACCCAGACATAAACGGCAGCAGTCCCAACAAACGAGCTGGGCCAAGGATCGGCAATCCAGGGCCAGCGTTGACCTAGGCCGGACCTCGAGCTTCAAAGAAGTTACACCCGTAGGTCTGATGCGGACTGCAATCCCTAGCGCTCACTCGAAAACATCAAGTGTTTCTGGCATTCCGGATATATTCGCCAACCAAGAAGCTTCGAAGGTCAAGGAAGAAGAGCCCGAACCTTCTTCCCAAATGTCGGATCTCAAGGCCGATTCCACGGAGAGTGACCCCCCGCCTGTCGAGAAGTCCCCCGAGCCAACTCCTTTGGAAGAGGCGTCTCCTATCAAATCAGAGGCTTCTCCCACCAAATCAGAGGCGACTCCTACGAAATCGGAAGCGGAGTCGGAGAATGTAGACGATGACTCTGCGAAGCACAAGCGGACACCGTCGACCTTGAATTCCATCACCAAGACGACTCTCGAAGCCCCCTTGCCATCCCCTCGCGATCCGCTCTTGAACAGGCCCAAACCTCAGTCCCCGGTGATAGATTTCCGAGCCAATCTTCGACGACGAGAGATTGTCAAGGACGACGCGCCCAAGGCCGAGCCGGAGTTCAAGAATATCTTTAACAGGCTCAAGAAGGCCGAGTCCTCGACATATGTTGCACCAGACAAGCTGAGAGAGAACATTCTGATGGGCAAGGCAGCACTCAATGCGACAAACGGTCCACTGAAGTCGACGAAGGTGGATGAACTGAAAGATAGCCTCTTGAAGCAGAAAGATGCGATCAAGGCTAGCGGAGGATCGCTGAGGCGCAACACTCTCGGGGAAAATGATGCCCCCGTGAAGGCTATTCCAGAGGCGATCGCAATGCGGAATAGCTTGGCCAGGCCTAGCAGTATCAAGAGCAACCGTTCGGTCGCTGATCCATCGTCGCCACTTTCGCCTAGGGAACCGGATACGCCGAGAAGTGCACAGGATATGCCACTGCCATCCCCGCTATCCGCTGGTCAGCACATCGAGGAGCCCGAGGCAGCGGAGCCGTCCAAGCCTGATGTTAGTGAGCTCCAGACCGCGGTCCCAGAACCTGATTTGTTGAGCGACGAGAAAGAAAACGAGAACGAGACTGACTCGAATCCATTGGAAAAGGCGGACAATGAAGAACAGCCGAGCGAGGAGGCCATCAAACCGGTGCGTTCTTTGACATCGGGGGATTCCATAGAGACTGCAGGCGTGCCTGCTGTAACTGAGAGTCCTGCTGCTAAAGGTACACTCGCAGGCCGAATAAACCCTGCCTTAGCCGGCCTTTTCTCTCGTCCGCGTGCTCCAATGGACGAGTCATCCAACGGCTCTTCCATCAACGGCGCTGGTGGAAGTCGCTCCGAGTCATCGGAATCTCAGCCTGCCGCACCGCTCACGCATATGACGAAAGACCGAGCAAGAGGTCCCAAGAGACGTCTCCCTAAGGGTACCACATCGGAAGGTACGAGTTCACTCTCAGAGGAAAATAATGATGCCCCAGAGCCTCAGCCAACTCCTTTGAACGAACAGAGACCAGAATCCATGTTCTCGGAACTAGACAATAGCGATGCCCCGCAATCTCCACTAGCGTCCTTGAATGCACAGAGGCCAGATTCCACTTTCTCAATACCAGAACAGGCATCCATTTCAGAGCAGACCAACGATGTTCCGCATTCCCCACTAGCGCCCTTAACTTCCCAGAGACCAGAATCTGCCATGTCCATTTCTGAGCAGGCCGATGATGCTCCGCTCGCGCCCTTGACTTTCCAGAGACCCGAATCCACGTCTTCCATCGGCGAGGAGCTCAACAGTGCCCCGGAACCTCCGCTCGCACCCTTACATTTTCAGAGACCAGAATCCACATCCTCCATAGGGGAAGAGTTTAATCATGCTTCGACTTTTCTTCAAAGGTCCGGGTCTGTGTCTTCTATCGGTGAAGAGACCAACCATGCCCCGGAACCTCCATTAGAACCCTTGACCTATCAAAGACCTGCTTCTTTTTCCTCCTCTACTGGCGAAGAGATTAACCACGCTCCGGAGCCGCCGCTAGCGCCCTCGGCTTTTCTTCAGAGGCCTGAATCTACTTCTTCCATCGGTGAACAGGTCAACCACTCCCTATCACCCTTCAAGTTTCTTCAAGGGCCTGAATCTACTTCTTCCATCGGCGAAGAGATCAATCACGCGCCCGAGTCTCCGGTAGCGCCCTTGTCTTTTAATCAGAGACCAGATTCCCCATCTTCAATCTCAGAGGAGACCAGCCATTCTCCGAAGCCTATACTGGCCCCCTTGACTTTCCGACCGGAGTCTGCGTCCCCCATCTCTGAAGAGTTCAACAATGACCCGGAGTCTCCGCTAGAACACTTGCATTTTCAGAGACCGGAGTCTGCGTCCTCCATTGGTGAAGACTTCAACAATGCTCCCGAGGCTCCCCTGGCACCTTTGGCTTTCCAGAGACCCGAACCTACGAGCTTCCAGCGGCCAGAATCTGTGTCTTCTGCTGCGTCTTCTGTCGACGAGGAGTTCAACAATGCCCCCGAGGCTCCGCTAGAACCGTTGGCTTTCCAAAGACCTGAATCCACACCAGTTGCAGAGGAGACCAACCAATCCCCGGAGTCTCCGATCGCCTCGCTGCATAAACAAAGGCCGGATTCTACGTCTTCTATTGGCGAGGAGGTCAACGATGCTCCGGAGGCTCCGCTGGAGCCTTTGAATTTCCGGAGACCGGAATCTCGAAGTTCTGCGTCTTCCATTCCCGAGGAGCATGACCAGGCATCGGAGCATCAACCAATGTCTCTGAATGGACAGAGACCCGAGTCCATAACATCGAGTTCTGAGAGTGACGAAGATCCCATCGCGCAATTGAACAGGCTTAGACAAGAGTTTGAGTTCTCTTTCCCAGAAGAAAATGACGATCGTTCCAAATCTCCATCGTCGCCTCGAACAGAGCAGAGACCAGAATCTACATTCTCAATCCCAGAGGAGAGCGACAAAGCTCTGGAGTCACCGATCGCCTCGCTCCATATGCAGAGACCAGAGTCATCATTTTCTACTCCAGAGGAAGGAAGCGTCACCCCTAAATCTCCACAAAGACAGGAATCTACATTCTCAGCTGTAGAGGATCATATCCAAGCCTCGGAACCCCATCCTGTGCCTCTGGATTTACAGCGCCCTGAGTCTATGCACTCAAGCATTGAGACAAACGAGGCTCCGGAGTCACCGATCGCCTCCGTGTATATACAGAGACCTGAGTCTGCGATTTCAATTCCGGCGGAGAATGGCCAAGCCTCAGAATCTCAGCCAATGCCTCTAGGTGTACAGAGACCTGATCCCACTCCCTCTAACCCTGAGCATGGTGACTCGGAGCTTTCGTCAAGGCCATTCAACTTTCAGAGAGCATTGTCTGTGTCCTCAGATTCCATGTCGGAATCAGAGGACGAGATGCAAGAGTCCAAGCCGCCTTTGAATGTACAGAGACCAGAGTGGAATTTATCGGACCCAGAGGATGATGATGACGTACCGGATACTCAGCCACCTTTGGATGTACAGAGACCACAGTCTGTGTCTTCAGATTCGGAGGATGAGGTGCTAGAGTCTCAGCCACCTTCGGATGTACAAAAACCCGATTTCATGCTATCAAAGCCCGAGTCTACTGATACCCCAGAGCTTCAGTCCACCCCATTCAATTTTCAAAGACCAGAGTGGGATTCCTCGGACTCAGAGGGTGATGAGCCGGAGTCCGAGCCGCATGTAATTGCACAGAGGCCGCAGTCTATATCCTCGGATTCAGAGGATGACGATGATGTGCCGGATACCCAGCCACAGCCAACTTTAGACTCACAGAGACCCGATTCCATGCCGCCAAATCCCGAGTCTCATGATACTCCGGAAATGCAGTCAACTCCTTTTAATTTCCAGAGACCAGAGTGGGATTCCTCGGATTCAGAGACCGATGAGCCGGAGTCCCAGCCACCTTTCGGTCTGCAGAGACCACAGTCTATGTCCTCTGAATCGGATGATAATGACTCGCCGGAGCCCAGGCCATCTATGGATGCACAGAGACCTGATTCCGTATTATCAAAACCTGAAAATACCGACACACCGGAATATCAGTCAACCACATTTGATTTTCGGAGAGTTGAGTCTGTGTCCTCAGACTCAGAGGATGATGCTGTGATGGAGTCTCAGCCACATATAGATGTGCAGAGACCTGATTCCACGTTGTCGAAGCCTGAGCATGCCGATACACCGGACCTTCAATCAACCGCATTTGATTTCCAAAGGGCTGAGTCTGCGTCCTCGGATTCAGAGGACGATGCTGTGCTGGAGTCACAACCATCTATAATTGTGCAGAGACCCGATTCCGTGTCATCAAAGCCTGAGAATACCGATACCCCGGAGTCTCAGCCAACCCTATTCAATTTTCAGAGACCAGAGTCTGTGTCCTCGGATTCAGAGGATGACGTTGTGTCGGAGTCTCAGCCGCCTTTCGATGCACAGAGACCCGAGTCCATTCTCTCAAGCTCAGAGGATAAAGAGACCCCGGAGCTTGCAACACCATTTAACTCTCAGAAGCCAGAGTCAGTGTCCTCAGATTCAGAGGATGATGAAGTGCCGGAGTCTCAGCCACCTTTGGTTGTAGAGAGACCCGAGTCTATGCATTCTCACCCTGAGGATAGCGAGGCCCCGGAGCTTTCAACACCGTTTAATCTCCAGAGACCGGAATCTGTGGCCTCGGATTCTAGCTCAGATTCAGAGGATCATGATGTGCGGGAGTCCCAGCTACCTTTGGTTGCTGAGAGACCCGAGTCTATGCAGTCACACGCAGAGAATCATGATGCCCCGGAACTTGCGATGCCATCTAACTCTCATGGAACAGAGCCTATGTCAGACCTCGAGGATACCGATGTGCCGTCACAGCCAACACCGTTGAATGCACAAAGGCCTGAGTCTGTATCGTCAAAGCCTGATGAAAATGATGCCCCAGAGGTGTCGGCGCCATTTGATTTTCAGAGACCCGAGTCTCCTTCGGATTCTGAGGATAGTGATGTTGAAGAGACCCAGCCAACGCCTTTGAATGCCCAAAGATCTGAGTCTGTATCATCAAAACCTGATGATGTTGCCAAGGAGATTGCCGCACCACTCGATTTTCAGCGACCAGAGTCCCCGTCGGATTCGGAGAATAGTGATATCGAAGGCCCACAAAGGTCTGTGCCTGTATCGTCAAAACCTGATGATGCTGTCCAGGAGGTTTCGGTGCCATTCGATTTTCAGAGACAAGAGTCTCCATCGGATTCGGAGGATAGTGATATTGAAGAGTCCCAGCAAATGCCTCTGAACCCGCAAAGACCTGAGTCCATGTTGTCAATCCCTGAGGACAAGGTTCTGGAGTCTCAGCCAACACCGTTAAACCTACAGAGACCTGGGTCCATGTCTTCAAACCCCGAGATGGGCGATGCGCCGGAGTTTTCGCCAAGACCTTTCAGTTTCCGGAGACTAGATTCCATGTTTTCAGACCTAGAGGACCCTGATGCTCCGGAACTCTCGTCCATGCCATCTGAGCTACGAAGATCCGAGTCCATGTTTTCAGACCCCGAGTATAATGATATGCCGGACTCACCAATGCCCTTGAATGCGCAGAAGCCAGAACTCGCGGAGGATAAGGGTCTAGAGTTCTCAACATCACATACACAGAGACCGGAATCTTTGCTATCCACTCCAGAAAACGATGACTCTTCAGAGGCTCTGCCAACACCGGTACCACTGGATGCGGACAACAACAAGCTTTCGGAGCTTGCACCAACGTCATTGGATGTACAGAGACCAGAATCTATAGACTCGGAGAATGATAGCACCCGGGAGTTCTCAGCACCTTTGAAAGCACAGAGACCTGAATCCACAAGCTCGCTCCCAGAGAGTCATAGCACCCTGGATCTGGATGAGAAGCCTGAAGCTACACAATCAGCGACAGAGGAGATTAATGTTCCAACGGCTCCGGCACCTCTGGGTTTACGGCGACTAGGATCCATGAGTTCAGTCTCAGAGAGTGATAGTATCCTAGACCTGGATGCAGAGAAACCTGAGACCACGGCTCCAAGACCAGAGCTGGATGAGTCTTTCAAATTTCCAGTACCTCTTGATCAAGAGAAGCTTGACTCTGCAACCTCGGTGCCGGAAAGCCAAACCACCATCACTCCATTGCCAGAGAATGGTGGTACTCCAAGGTCTGCAGGATCTCTGGGTGCGGAACCCCCCCAGATTGTAGCTTCAGCGCCAGAGGAGCATGACACAGCTCTGAAGCCCTTAGCTACTCCGCCGAAGGTGCAGGAACCAGAAGCAAGCTCTGTGCCCGACCAAAAATCTGTGGGTGTCTCCAGCGGCTGGCCTCTTCCCGACACCGAGATTAGTCCCATTGCGGAGTCACCAACAGTCCCGGGCAAGCCTGACTCACCAGCGATCGGTAGGCCCGTGGAGTTCAAAAGAAGCATTCCTCGATTGGGTGAGAGGGAGCCTGTGCAGAAGCCCCGGGCAGCGGTGGATCAGTTCTCTCCTCAGAATGGCGGGAATGCAAACGAATATTTGAGAAACCTGCGCAGCTCGCTTACGTCCAAACCTCCTCTGCCACCCAAATCTGCTCCATTGCCACCGATCCCTACGCATAACCAGTCACGGAGCTCGCCAATTCATTTTTCGTCGCCCTCGCCCTCGCCCTCGCCTTTGAGGTCCAGCTACAGGGAGAACCAGAACACGCCTCCAGGTCCAGGGCAGAGAGCCTCTTCATTCTTCGCTAGTCTGGGAGCTAGGAGAAACTCATCGCCTCGTGACAAGGCCTTGCCTTCTCCCCCGGTCCCGCCCAAGGGGTCCAGGGCCTCGGTGAGATCATCGGTATCGCTTGTGCCCCAGGCCGACGAGTCATGGGACGCCATCTCCGGTTTCTTCAAGACCTTCCCAAATTCGAGTGATCGTGTGGACATTGACACCCAGTTGATGTTGGAGGACAGGAGCGATAAAACGAAAATTCGGACTGTGAAGAAACAGATCTGGGAGATTACCGGCGACGGAAAGAAGCAGGATCTTCCAGTAAACCAGGAATACATCATGTATGAGGGGAGCATGTACTTGTGCACGCACACATTCGAAGCCGATGGCAGTACACGCTCCGAGGTGCACCTCTGGTGCGGCGACGATGTTCCCGATGCAGCCGTCGACGATGCTCTGTCCTTCTCCCGCAAAATCGCAAAGGAAAGCGGCTGCAAACTCGAGATCATCAAGCAAGGCAAGGAGCCTGCTCGCTTCATCCAGGCATTGGGTGGAATCCTCATCACTCGCCGCGGGTCCAGCTCCCGGTCCAGCTCCTCCGCCATCTTCATGCTCTGCGGGCGCAAACACCTGGGCCAGATGGTGTTCGACGAAGTCAACTTCTCCCCGAGCAGCCTGTGCTCCGGCTACCCCTTCGTGATCTCCGCGATGTTCGGAAAGCTTTTCCTCTGGAAAGGAAAGGGCAGCTCGGCCGAAGAAATCGGGGCCGCTCGCCTGATCGGGATGGATCTGGGCCTGACGGGCGAGTTCGAAGAAGTGGCCGAGAACGAGGAACCGGAGAGCTTTTTTGAGGTCTTCCCTCGGTACGAACGAGAGCCGGGCGACAACAGCATGGAGTCCTGGCGACTGAAGTCCAACAATGGGCGCTATCGCTCGCGCCTGTTCCGCGTCGACCACGAGCTCGGCCAGCGATCCGGATTCTGGCTGCGTTCGCCATCGCCGGTCGTCCGTCCCAACGACACTGTCCAGGCCATTGAGCCCTTCTGCCAGAACGACATCACCCCCAAGGGAGTCTACGTTCTTGATACCTTCTTCGAGATCTACGTGTAAGTGCCCGTCCCCCCCGTCACTCCTCCCTTCCAGTCCCCGATCTAACATCACCCCAGGATCGTCGGCGAGCAAGCCTCCAACCGCCCAGCCGAATTCGCCTCCGCGGTCTACCTCGCCCACGAATACGGCATCCTCGCTGCCTCCCTCCAGGACCGGCCCTTCATCCCCAAGAGTTTCTTCTCCCTGGGTGGAATCCCGGAGGCCTGCAGCAGTGCGTTCCGGAAATGGGTCCCTGGATCCCGTCTCCCGCAGGTGTTCCCTCTCAATGCGGCCATTGAAGCGATTCGGTCCACGTAGAGTGATTTCGGTTTATTTTTTTATTTTTCTCTTTCAAGATTTTGTTTATTTCTTTCTAGCTGTCCATAGCGTTTTCGCGATCCGATTGTGCATAGACTTGTTGGGCCGGGCTGTACAGAAAGGGTGCGTGCTTGCTGACTTCAAGTTCTGGGAGATCATCCACGATAGCCTGACGGGCGAGGGTGAAGGTGAGGCTGGGAATCCCTTGATGCATTGCGTGTGTGTGTGTGTGTGTCTGTATGTATGTACATGGGAGTTGGGTGGACATATGCTTGTTCGTTTCGTTTCGTTTCGTTGTTTTTCTCTTGTTCTATCTCGATGGGGATCTTTGCTTTCGTGTTCTGTGTATGATATTTTTTTTCCTCTTTCCTGTCATTCTAGATGAATGGGAACGGCCAGTGGTGGTGAACAGTATCTACTATATCTATACTACTAGTAGTAGTCGTGGTGTGACTCGCTCGACCCACTCGGCAGCCAACGCCATCCGCGCCCGGCCTTTCCTCATTCCCTCCCGCCTTTTTTCGACATGCTCTTCCTTATCTTCCCCATCTTCCAACCAATTCAACTCTGCACTGACTTCTGTGGCCCTCTGTCTGCCCTCCGTCTGACTTGTCCTCTGCCGGCTTCAGCATGCCTTGATCTATCACACGCGATTGTCTCCTCTCGATCGGATCCATCACATCCTCCGTGCATCTGCAGAAAATGGACCCCGCCGTGCTTCGCGAGGCGACCCGAATCGACCCCGCCGTGCCCTTCCGCGCGTCCTCCGACCACCTCCATCACACTTGGGCGCAGACCTTCTTCTCGCGGCCCGAGCTATACGTGCGCCCGCGCTCCATCGATGAGATCCGCAAGCTGGTCACCCTCGCCCGCCATTGTCGGCGTCGCCTCGTCACCGTCGGCAGCGGCCACTCCCCCTCCGACCTGACCTGCACCTCCTCCTGGCTGGTGAACCTCGATGATTTCAACCGCGTGCTGGAGGTTTCGCCCGAGACGGGCGTCGTGACAATCGAGGCGGGAATCCGTCTGCGCGATCTGGGCGCGCGGCTGGAGGAGCATGGCTTGACGCTGTCCAATCTCGGGAGCATCGACAGTCAGTCGGTCGCCGGGGTCATCTCGACCGGCACGCATGGCAGTTCCCTCCAGCATGGCTTGATCTCCGAGTGCATCCTGTCGCTGACTCTGATGCTGGCTAACGGGCAACTGGTCCGGTGCAGCGCGACCAACAACCCCTCCCTCTTTCGAGCCGCGCTTATCTCCCTCGGGGCGCTCGGCATCATCGTCGAGATCACTTTACAAGCGGAGCCCACGTTCAAGGTGGCCTGGCGACAGACGCGTCGCCAGCTGTCGAGCGTTCTGAACGAGTGGACGTCGGGACTGTGGACTTCGCACGAGTTCGTCCGGGTGTGGTGGATGCCTTATGAGAAGAGTGCGGTGGTTTGGCACGCCGATAAGACCGACCTGCCCTTGCGACCCCCGCCACGGCTGTTCTATGGAGAGACCCTCGGGTACCACGTCTATCACAACCTGCTGGCCCTTGCCAACTACTTCCCTCGGATCTTGCCGTGGGTGGAGTGGCTTGTCTTTGGCTTGCAGTATGGCTTCAAGGCGGAGGCCACGGTGACCGAGGCGGTCGAACCCGCTCGCTCGGGTCTTCTCATGAACTGTCTCTACTCGCAGTTCGTCAACGAGTGGGCGCTGCCGCTGGAAAAGGGCCCCGAGGCCATCACTCGGCTGTCTGCCTGGCTGAACGGCGACCCGGCGACTGCGCGCATCCCCTTCTCCGCTGACGGCTTGTATGTGCATTGTCCCATCGAAGTCAGAGTCTCGGACTCTACGCGCAACCAGACCCCTCGCCCCTTCCTCGACCCTACCAGCCCCAACGGTCCGACCCTGTACCTCAACGCGACCCTCTACCGCCCCTACCTGCGGGACCCTCCCTGTAAGGACCAGTACTACGAGGCGTTTGAGTGGCTGATGCGCGACCTGGGCGCCCGCCCGCATTGGGCCAAGAACTTCCTGTCCACCCGCGCCGAGCTGAAACATCTGTATGGCCCCGACATGGATGAATGGCTAAAGGTCCGCCAGGATGTGGATCCCGATGGCATGTTCCTTGGGGAATGGCACTACCGCACCCTCGTCTTGCCTGGCACCAGCAGCGATGAGTCGGATCCCTCTTCTACGGTAATGGCCGCCCTACCGCTTCTCGAGCGCGAAAAGACCCGTCGGAAGGCTGACGTCCGGGGCGCTGGTGACGGCATGGAATGGATTGGGGACAGGCGCTGGGAGACAAAGGAGGAACTAGGAGATCAGGCTGCTGCTCATGCTGCTGCTGCTGCTGCTGCTTCTGCTGGGGCTTCCGTGTCCGCGCTAGAGAAGGAGAAATCCCACCCTTGGCCCGAGGCCTCCAGTCTGAGCCCTCCCACGACAGCAACCAGCGAAGAGAGCTTTGATCTTCTGGCCAGTGGTGAGGCCAGCATCGTCCTTCCCGAGTACGACTCGTGGGTGAAGGAATGAAATCAGATGAAATGAAAGACGGAACGGTTGTTGTTTCGAGGGTAGATAGCAAACAAATTCCTTGGTGGGGGGAAAAGGGGGGGGGGTTGGTTTCTTGTTTCTTGTTTGGCTGACGATCATCCATCCAAGTGACCGACTGACAGACCCTGTGGAGTAGGTAGTGTACTCGTCTACTTACATTCATACATTCATACATTCATACATTCATACATTCATACATTCATACATTCATACATTCATACATTCATACATACAATACTGCAGCCCTCTCTACTTTTCTTTTCTTTTTTTCTTATTTCTTTTTTCTTTTTCTTTTTTTTTTTTCTTTTTCTTTCTTTTTTTTTCTCATTTCCAATCTCTGTCTTACATACATACATACATACTGTAGGGCCAACCGAATGGTGATTGATGGATTGATGGATTGATAGATTGTGATTGTCAGTCAGGCTCATGTCCGACTTCCACTTAACGTCCTTCCTTCTCTGTCTCCCGATCCTTGGGATTCCGTGAGATCTTTTTGATTAGCCGCTTTTGTGTCTGTTTGTTTGCTTCTTCCGCTGGTTTCGGACGAGTAGCAATGGACCCAGCAACGCAACGATCCCTCTGGGCTTCGCCCGTTTGTCCCATTGGGCGCAAGACCGTCATCGTCGTCGTCGTCGTCGTCCTCATCGGAGTATTGGCGTTCCGCCTGGAATATATCCGCATTTAACTTGCCATCAATCCGAGGATGATACTTCAGGCTATCCACATCCATATCCTCGGTTCGGGGTCAGTGACTGTGACTGGGATCGTGACCGTGACCGTGACCGTGCAATCAATGTGAATGAGGGAGGGTCCCTGTCATCTGATGATTGATCTGATGGGACGGACTACAACACACATCCACATCGGGCTACATACGTCGACGGTGGTATTGCCACGGGAACAGGAATGGGAAACACCAGCCTTCGTGGCGACACCACAGGTGGGAAAACACCCATGTTTTATCCTTCCATTCCATACATTTATTACCCTCCGTGTCGTGTAGTATACTGTAAGTCTGACAGTTCAGCGTTGTTGTCGCCGCCCATGCGGGGCGCGCGCTTTTCCGGGTGAGTGAGTGAGGTTGGCTATGTTATGTTGGTTGCCTGTCCCGAACGACAGTGACAGTAACATCAGCAAGATTAACCAAGACACTCACTCACCTTACTTACCTACTTGAATTTCTGGCCCTGCCATATGCGCCTTTCCCTTCCTGCCATACATACGTATATACATAGGTAGAGTTAGTATGCGAGAGCCCTCTCATCCTTGCCGCTCATCCAGGCCAAGAAGCAGCGAGAGACTCGTTCCCTGGCCCTCCATTGGTCTGTCTGTCGATATGTAGGTATTCCGATCATGCTAGTTTATGTCATGCAATGCAGGTCATGCCGGGATACCTGGGCTTGTGGCAGAGGGGAAGAGGGATGGGCGTTGGAGTTGGAGTTGGATGTAGAGAACGGATGCGATGCATCGAAGAAAGGTCGGCCTCTCTGTCTGTCTGTCTGTTTGTCGGTGTGTGTCATCATGGTGATCATCTGAGTCTGGTCTGTCTCTGTGCACGGTGTACTCCGTACTCAGAGGAAGTTGGACCTCGGTGACGGGGAAGGAGACGGGGAGGGGGCTATAGCAGTTTAACTCCATGGTCATAATAGAGAGGAGAGGGGCGGGAGGACGAGGCGAGAGAAGAAGTTGACCACAAGAGAAAGTCACGTTGGTTGGGCTCCTTCCTGTCCCGGCCACTGACGCCCTCGTCCGTCGCGCCTTCCTTTTCCGTCTGCCGTTCGCCTCTCAGCGTCCGTCCTTGTCTTTCCCTTTCCTTCTCTCCTCTCTTCCTTCGTTCCAAGTTCTCTCCTTTCTTCCGTCATCTCGCTCCGTTCTCAATCCTCGGCAACCCAACCTCCACGGTACATACATACCTACGGAGTAGCACCTAGCTAGTATCTGGCTGCCTGCGCTCGGATTCCGTGGCCTCTACGGGTTCTTGTTGGCCCTGGAAGATCGACGACGACAGCATGCGAGTAGCATTAACCTTCGGCCTCGCCTGGAGAATGGGAAAATAACCTCCCCCCCTTCTCGGGGTGCCTGCCTCGCACCTGGCTGGCCTGTCTGTCTGTCTGTCTCTCTGCCCGCCTGCGCCACAGCAACCCCCCCCCCCAGCAGCAGCCTCCGTTCCTGAGGATACACGGCAATTAGATGTATGGGAAGATTCTGACGGAAGTTAATTGGGGTTACAGCCCAGGACGCTCGGAGCCCAGCAGGCGGGGGACCAGCCAACAAGAACAACAAGTCCACAACACAGACCCAACCGACCCCTCCGTGGTTGCGAGGGCCCTGCAGGTGGACGGGCCTATTCCTGCACGCAACCCGTGCGCTTGACTGACTTGACTTGCGCCCTCCCAGGTTCCCAATCCTCGAGCCCCTCATTCCAGGCGGGAAAAAAAAAAGAAGAAGAAAGAGGGGAAGCCCGATGGGAGGGACCGCCCTGCCCCTGCCCTGGCTATGGCTCTTAGTCCTCCGGCTATGAAGTGAGGGGTGTTTTGTCATGCCACCATCTATCTATCTATCTATTCATCGGTGTGACTGGGGTCGCATCAACTGCCGGGGACTGGTGGCGGCTCAGAAAATTTCTACATACGTACATTGCCTGGGCTATCTACTACATATCTATCCAACTAGCTGGCACTAAGCGTGATATGATGACATGCATGGTATCCACCCTCTCTGACAGACCAGCAAAGTGATGATGGTCATGGAGATGCTTTTTCTTCCCTCCAGCGGCTGGTCCGCGGGCACGGCTTCTACACCAGCCATTATGCACGGATGCATCCTTCGAGGGATCCGACCTGTGCAGCGATAGATGCAATAAGCAGCACAAGCCGTGCAACCCCCTCTGCACCTCCCCAGTTAGTGGCAGCCGGCTGAGCTGATGCTTACTCAACGGATGGTCACCCCCCATGCCATTGGCATCCCAACCGGCCGTCAGGTGATCTCCTGAGACATGCGCCTCGAGGGCTCAGATTATCGTGTCTCTGTCATCTTCGACATGCCAACGGTGCCCTACCGTCAAACGTGGTCAGATAGGACCGGGGTAGGGATTTAGCAATAGACCCCATGCCCTCTTTTAGACACCCTGCGTTTCAGCGCCTGAAGAGCTCCCGGCGATGACTAGTCAGTCACCCACGACTAGCTCTCCCGAGGAAGAACAAAAGCATTATGCGCTTTTTGTTGACTGGATCGAACCACCCGAATTTGCCGCGGTCATTTCTTGCGACTGCCGGACGTCCTTTGCCTGGCACTAGGCCCAGTCAAGCAGGACGTGCCTAGTGCAGGTGATTTCCCTATAACTTTGCCGGGAAAAAAAAAGAAAAATTCAAGAATAAAAAAGGAAAAAAGAAAAAAGAAAAGAAAAGAAAAGGGATCGATCACCTTGGCGTAACGCTGAACCCAGCGCAAAAAGCACGCGGTCCTCGATTACATGGCGGTAGTCAGGGTGATATGATGCTGGTCAGCCGTATGCCAATGACAGCCCTCGAAACGTCCGATAGGCGCCCATGAGGCATAAGCTATCGTCCATCTTTCCTCACCGGTTCATCGACTCCCCCCCCCCTGCTCCCTGCTGCCCTGACTGAGACCACAACTCCGGTCTTCCTGTCTCGCGACAACACGGTCTCACCAGCAGCGCAAGACAAAGCCGCGAAGGGACCCGGGACAGGCGTAAGAGGGGATACGGGATGCAGCAGCCGGAAATTGTCGCAAATCGCAATTACGCGATGCGGCAAGTCCTGCCTAGCAGGACGGACGAGGGCTGCCACTGGCATCGCGCAACAGGTCAGCTTGAACGCTTACGCTGCGTTTCGCTGCCCAAATGGACCAGGGTTATGCCCGGTTGGTGCCGATGAGCGGTGCTATGGGCATTCTCTGGTTCTGACGGCTCGGACCGTCGCCAGGCATGACTACGGGCGTGTCTCGAGCCAGCAAATTGGTGTGGTCACCTGTATCAGCCGGCGTGATGGACTGTCAGGCCAAGCTATCTGTCCAGATTTGCGGATTTGCGGGGGCCCCCTGTGGGAGGAATGGGGATGAGATGGGCGATGGATGGATGTACCTGCCAGGCGGCCACAGCCACAACGGCCTGAAGGACCTCGTCGAGCGACCGTGCCGGTTGATATCGTGACAGGCCGCGTTCCACGTCACCATCGCGTTCCCATGCGATGCGATATACCATACGTCGGGGTGGGGTAGGATGGGAGTGTCACTGTCGACTGGATGTGCGGGGCATTCTCTCACTCACTCGCTCGAGACGCGGTCCTTTTCCCGATGGAAAATGATATCAACACATGTCCACACTCTCAGCCTCTCTCGGTCCTGTCCCTTCCCAATATCTCGCACCCCCACCTGCTTGCTTTCCCTGGAGCAAATCTGACATCTACCCCTCCCCCTCCCTGCCAGCGACCCCCTGCCACCCATTAGTCAGGGCCCATATCATAGTTATCAGGCTCCCCCCTCCCCCTTTCCCCCTCGCCTCGCCTCGCCTGCTCTTCTTCTTCCGGAGTGTGCGCAATTGCCCTATTCCTCTCCTCTGTTGCCATCCCGACTGCACCTGCCAACCCTGCACAATGTCCCGCCAGCCAAAACTGCGACCCAAGTCGCATATTCCGGGCTTCCCAGACGCCATCTACAATCTTGCTGCAGTCTCATCCCTCGCGCAGCTGGAGTCTCGCGCAGGGTTGGGAGAGGAGAAGCACGACCAGCGCGTCTTTCGGGTCAAGCGCAAGCATGTCCTGAAGGCGTGCGATCGCTGCAGGGTCAAGAAGACCAAGGTTGGTGAAGCGCTGCCTCCTTCTTCTGTGCCTCTCTCTTGCGTCTGCCCGGGCCTTGGCACAGTATTCGGTGGCCAGCCATACTCATTCATGCTAGTGTGATGGGAAGCAACCATGCAACCGCTGTTCTGCGTACAATCACCCTTGCCTCTTCCGCGAAAGAAAGGCGACGCAAACGAAGGTGTACTCTCGAGGGTAAGATCACCCCCACGTCCCGTGCAGCGCGCCCCGAAGCTGACTGTTAGCCTCGCGTGTGGACAGATTCGTCGAAATGCTGGAATCGCATCATTCGCTGGTCGTGAAAGCCCTCCAAAGGCTCTACAAATTATGTGTCGACAAGGAAGGATTTCCTGGAGAGCCTTTGGCGGAGGGCTCGGATGGCCATCCTCTGACGCACACTATCCTGGATCGACTGGGGTTGATCAAGCAGGCTGAGGAGAACCCGGATGAGCCGGACGAGGACTCGGAGGACCTGCAGTACTTGCGGTTTCTGTCCACCTCTACTGACTGCAGTGCTACGACCGATCCCTCCCCCGAACCTGCCACTCCCCCGGATCCTTCTCCCAGCAACTGCAGCCCCATCGTCCCCTCCCTCAAGGGGAATGATCCCTGGAAATGGGAAGAGCTGCAGCCAGTTCAGCCCCTTCACTCTGGCCCATACCACGGCTACCCCCACCCGGGGTACCAGGCGATGGCCATGCCTCGACCGACCTTGGAAACCGGTCTTGTGGGCGAGGCCAAATGCCCAGAACTCGGGCCTTCGATGACTGATCACGGGCATCCCATCTACTACTACATGGGTGCCAGCTGTAATGAGGGGGCCCCGAAGAGCCGCCTTGTCCCCGGCGTGACAACCGGGCCAGGATCGCAGCACCCTGCGACGGCCTCTGCGTTCCCCGTCATGATGGGCGACTATAACTTACATATACAAGACCATCAGCCCATCTATCCGGCTCTTCCATCTGGTTGGGCGTACCCGTACGGGTAGCCATGGTGGAATGAACCCACGGAATGCGAGCCCCGCGGCCCCCGGTCCTTAAGGCCTTCTCTTATTCCTCCCTGCCTCATTCCATTCCGGGCAGGCGTTTGCCACCCACCCTCTCATTCGTTCTGCGTTGCGCACCAGACAGGCTGGCAGCCACCCTTGCCCACCGTTCGCTTCTGTTAGCCCCTGATCTTGTTGCACTCGCTGTCCTAGCTATCCCACCGCACGCATCACTTTGGATGCCCTGCGAGCTCTCAGTACCTAGCCTTTATTTACCTTACCTACTCTTACATACATACCCAGCAAGGCGTTGGATTGGATTGTTGGATGACCACGCGGTCCCACACACATACAGACACACACACACATACAATGACAGAGAATCAACTGACATATACAAAGTATAAGCTGGAAGCTCAATAGTGGTTAAGATCTGCCCTTGACCATCTTCGACTTCCTCATTCGTTTAAGAAAGACTTTACTTGTCTTGTTTCGGTACATCCTTATACCTCGGACAGGACAGAATACTCTTACTCTTACTTGCTACTTTCTTCTACTATCTACTATCCACCATCTACCATCCGCCCTGATTGATCTTTTCTTTTTGTTTCTCTCTCGGATATCCGTCTCAGACAATCAATGAATCAATCAAGAAATCAAGAAACCAAGAAATTATATTCGGGTGGGAGGGATTATTACTACTTACTTTCTTACTTACTCCTTACTTGATACCTACCTACCTACCTACCTATACACGTACTACTGCGTGCCTCTACCTACCTACTGCCTATTACATCGTCAATAAGCAAATAAACTTGGCATGAGAAAGAGACAAGAAAGAAAAAAAGCCAAGACATCACAACACATCTACATGAGCCATCGAAAATAATACTGTATATCTATCATATTATATCAGACACAGAATAATCAGCTACCACCACCACCAACAACAAGAAGAAGAAGAAGAAGAAGAAGAAGAAGAAGAAGAACAACAACAACAACAACAACAACAACAACAACAACAAAAAATAATAGGTTATGTGGTAGCATGACTGCGTGACTTACTTGGCTGAGTTTAACTTCCTATTCTTGATTCATGGAACATATTACCAGAGGTTAAGTTCATAATCAGCCAACGACTTATAGGGATATAGCTCACTTTAATATACATGCACACATACACACATACACACATACACACATACACACATACACACATACACACATACACACATACACACATACACACATACACACATACACACATACACACATACACATACACATATACATACATACATACATACATAATTATGCCAAGTGTATAGTAGTAGGTAATAGATGAGCAGATTCAAAGATAAATTTAGGTGGTGGTGGTGGTGGAGGATAGATAGATAGATAGATAGGGACGAGGACGGAATGAGAGATAAACTAACACACAATAGAAATACTCCAGCAAAAGTTGAGCATGAGTAGGATAGGATAGGATAGGGGGTTATCAGTATGGCTACTCTAGCTATCTATCATTTACTATTACTATAACTTATTTTAGCTATATATCTATCCATCCATCAAGCCCTGCAAATCAAGCTACCCACAACTACGCGCAGAGTGCAAGCCCAATTTATCTATCTATCTATCTATCTATCTACCATTCTAGCAAAGGTCTGGGAGACTATTAAGACTCTGTGAGTGAGTGAGTGTGTGTGTGAGTGAGTGATCTGGATCAAACTTAACTCAACCATGAATATAATACAAGAAAGAAAGGAAGAAAGAAAAAACAACAATCAAACAAATATATAACGAAAATGGTTATAAAGGAGAAGAGAAGAGAAGAGAAGATAAAATAACCCGAATCAATATGCAATTTCTCTGCCCCATCCATCCATCCAAGCCAGCCAGCTAACCGCCCATGCATGCATGCAGAATTTATAGTTAGGTAAGACAGATAGATAAACAAATAAATAACCAAATCAATAGATAAAACAAAAAGGCGTTGTTGAGAGAGAGGAAGGGAGGGAGAGGGAGAGAGCGAGGTATCTTTGTGCGAATGTGCGAATGTGCGAATGTGAGTCATCCGAATTAGTAATTGAACTGATTGAATTGAATGAATTGAATTGAATTTTCTTTATAATTTTTCTTTAATTTCTTTCTTTCTTTCTCGTCTGGCCGGAGACCGACTTTGCCAACGATACTTTGGCAAAAGGTAAGTTAGGTAGTTAAGTTTAGTCATCAATATCGGTCTCCGTGTTCGTGTCGCTGGTATCTCCTGCATCTCCATCGGTATCACTCTCGTCGTCACTAGAGTCTGCAGCGGTGGGCTTCTTCGCCTTCTTGGGCGGCTGGCCGGTCTTCAGGGCCTGCATTTGACCGGCTATCGAGTCTGGAATGTTCGTTAGCATTAAGTTTGACCAATAGGAAGAAACAGGGGGAGAGCGGCGGGCTTACCCTCATCAGGCTCGCTGATATCGTCCTCTTCCTCCAAAGCGGCGGCCTTGGCGGGGTCGTCAATGTGGAGGGTGATTTCCATCTTGGTGTCGAGACCCAAGTAACTATCGCAGAGCAGGTGGAGGACAAACGTGAAGTCGCCGACCTGGGGAGGGGCCTGGAACTGCATCTTGAGGGTCTGGATGTTGAAGGTGGGCTTGCCGTCGGCGTCGAACAGGGGCTTGTCGAAGGTGGTGAAGGTGAAGGGGGGCACGGCCATCTTGCCCTGCTTGGCGTCGGAGAGGAAGATGTTCCACCGGGGAGAGTGGTCGCGGGCGAGGTAGGGCGCGTGAGCCAGGGGAGGCTGGATGGTCTCGACCTTCTCCTCGACCTTCTGGCCGTTGACGAGCTTGGTGGTCTTGTTCTTGGCGGGCTTGCGGCCCATGATGGCGTCGAGGTCGTCCTCGTCCGGGTCGATGTCTTCCAGGTCGAGAGCCTCTACCTGCGGGACGTTGGAGGAACCGGGGGGCACGAAACGAGCCTTGACGACCAGTTGCACCAGACTGCTGGGGGTGATGACCTTTTCGCCCATGACCTTGAAGAAGGCACGGGACACTTCGAGAACGGGGAGTTGCTTGGCGACGGAGATGGCGGTGTTGTACTGCTGTTCGGACAGGAGGCCAGCGCCGACGGTGAGACTGCGCTGCTTCTCCTCGGGGATGCTCATGAACTTCTGGACGGTGTAGTGTTCCTTGGCGTCAGCGCCCTCGACAGACTTGACAACCTCATCGGTGAAGTGAGGCAGTTGTAAGAGTGGCGATGACCCCGGGGCAACAGCCTGAATAAGATGCTGAGAGGTGCGGAAAGAACCGATGATTGGCCGGACGTTACCGAATGCAAGTGCAATGGCAGTGAAGGCTTCGTTCAGAGACAACGCAATTGGGGCAGCTTCGTACTTCTCTGTAAACAGATGCGCATTAGCAAATTGACCTGCACGAGTGGCTAGGGTCACTTACCGCCGTCGAGGGTAGTGTCGTCCAAGTCGGTGCGGCTCAGGTAGGCCCAGAGCAATGACAGCGCCTTGCGTCTACCGGAATCATCTAGGGACTTGATAACGTTCCGTTCTTCGGGCGACAGGATGGAGTCCTCAGCCAGGATCTTCTTTTCGAGCTTGGCCAATCCGGCATCTGTTTGAGCGCCCTGGAGCATCTCCTTGAACTCAGCGCCAGTGGACAACGCGTTGACGATTCCACCGTCCGTGATATCCTCCTTGTACTCGCGGAAGATGTTTCCGGCACTTGCGACGAGAACCCGCTCCTTCGTGTAGCGCTGAGAGCCATACCACCAGCGACCAACGATGTAAGGCAAAAGCACGCCCAGAAGGGCGCCGTAGACCAGCAGCGTGTACTTGGAGTTTCCCTCGGAGACAATGAACGTGGGCAGAGCAATACCGATGCTCATGCTCTGCTTGCCGTCGGGGTGACCGTATTGGATGTAGTTGTTACGCACTTCCTCATCAGTGAGGGCCTTGTAAGCCTTTGTGAGCTCGACAAAGCGGTCGTTCAGCATTTCTATCGTTTCATTCTTGGCGGGGTCCGGCCGGATCTTGTCCGGGTGGTAGACAAGAGACATGCGCTTGTAGTGTCTGGAGATAGCTTTCTCGTCGGCGCTCTAAACAACCATCCCACCCCAGTCAGCAAGCCCGCACATTTATTGAAGCGCGTTCCAGGCGCAGACAGGACAGCTCACCCTCGAGACACCCAGGATGTCATACGGATCCCAGATCTTGGGAGTAGCCCTCGCCGTAACGATGATCAGATAGGCCATGTATGCCATGACGGCATAGCCCACTATGACGGTGATTATGCGCTTTATGCGGCGCTCCTTGCGCAGACGCTTGCGCTTCTGCGCTTCGATGAGTTCGGCATGTTCCGGCTTGAACTCTGATTTTATCCGGGGAGCAGTGTTTTCCAGACCTGCCGGTGGATTGGACGCGTCAGTACACCCTCGGTTGAAAGCAGACCTCACGAAGGAGGTGTGGAGGGTCTATACGAACCCTTGCTCGGCCGGAGGAGGTTATATGTGAGAGGGAGGGTGACGAGACTGGTGAGGGTCAGGACAAAGAACGGGAAGAATTGTCCCTGGAGAGAAGGATTAGCAGCTGTATCTCGTGGGCTGAAGACCACGACCACGCGGAGCAACGCACCTTGTCATCATAGTTGTAGTCGGTAGACATGATGGAGGAAAATCACAATGGACACGGTCGCCCGCTGCGGGCAAGACAAGAAGAAAGAGACAACTCCCGGGACACGGCAACACGCTCACTGTATGGATGGTAGATATGTCCAGCAGACCAGAGACCAAGATACAGGATTAGAGGGATGGATTCACGGGGAGGGGTCGGGGAGCATTATCCCTCGGGGCGCAACAAAAGAGTGTTGGAGGGGAGGAGGAGGAGAAGGAGGTGAATGGAGGGACGAGAGAGGATTATCGCATCGGCATCAGGCGTGCCTTGTGATCGACCGTGTCCTTTACGGGGCAGCAGCAGGGGTCCTCACCGCCTGCCGCATCGGGGCTGGCGTGGCTGGAGGACCAATTATTCAGACCGTCGGGGTCAGGAGACTCGGTCTGACTAAGATGGATAAGGCTGGTCCTTGTGGCTTGATTATTGTGATTGATTATGTTATTGTGAATGTTTGCTTCGCTGTACAATCATGGATAATACATCCAGTCTATCTACCGATGAATACTAATTAAGGGCCTTCTATTGCAGGCATACAGGCATTCGCGTCCCAAGCTTCATTTCCTCATAAAACTGGTATCCCTCTTGTTTTTTTTTGGTCTCTTTGAATGGACAACAAATAACGCCAGCCCAAACTTTTGATTCTCCTAGTTGTAATTTTCCTTTGGTGTCATCTCCTCATAACGTTGAGCATCAGAGCCCAGCTCTTCTTCCAATTAGCGGGAGGAAAGAAGTCCCCCACACGCAACTGCAAAACGGAAATGCTGAAAGGGTTGCGCAAAAACAACGAGGCGGGCAAACTGATCCGCCCGACCGGGGAATTCAAGTGTCTGGAATGGTCGGACACGAACTTCAACCCAGCAGGCGGAAAAGGCCCCCCTCATCGCGACGAACCCTCTGCTCTCGACGTCGCAAGCGTGCGGGATTCCTCCCTGCCAGAGTTCACATGGCCAAGTCTTCCAAAAGACCAATCCGATCCGCGCGCGCGCGCTCGCTCACTTGTTACAGCAAGATGAGACGACGGGGATCTTCATTGCTACAAGTCACTGAACTTGGTGGTTCCATTGAATCTGGTTCTCCCGCGGGTTGTCGGGGTGCTGGGGAATTCAGGTTGGGGTTTTTTTTCACTGATGTCGGATTTCATATCGTCGGGATGGGCCCGCTGGCGTTTCGGCTGAAAGGGGGTGCGGTGCGTGCCATTCGGGGTTGTATGCCTTTGGTCCCTTTTTTTGATTTCTGGTAAAAGATTTTATTTTTCCACCGCCTGGACGACAATTGTTGATAAATTGCTGAAATAAAAAAAAAAAGGCCAATGATATCTGCATGACGAATCATCCAGGTAGTGCGTTCAAGGACTGCGGACTGTGTGTGACGATTAGACTAGGTAAAACGGATTGGAAAAAAAAAAGGAAAACTCACCAATTGATATAATCCAGTCCACCGAAGTACTCCAACATGCGATAGCACAGGCCTACATCGTCACCGGGTTCTCCGCCAAAGAGACGACATTGCTCGGCCTCCAGTGTCGAAGCCTCCATCCTTAGCGCACGGTCACGCTTCTGCCATATCAAATGCCCATAGTGCCAGGTCGGGGCGGGTATATCAAGACAGTCGAATGCGGAGGGGACAGCGGAGATGCTCGAGTCGACAGGCGGGAGTAGTCGAGAAGACGGCGCGAATGCGATGAGATCGACGCTGCGGTTGCGAGATCGGGGTCGAGTGCGTCGTCGGTTGTGCCTCTGGCCCATTCTCCGTCCAGTCGGGGAGTAGAAAGATAACTTTTTTTTCTTCTTCGTAATGCTTCTTCTCAAAGGGGTTGGGGGTTGGGCAAAGACCGGAGTCTTGTACCCAGGTACAGTCCGTATAGCGTTTTATAAGACGGTAAGGAAAGGAGTGACCATCATCCCGGGGAAGGATGAGATGAGGTAAGGAAGGAAGCAAAGGGAAGGGGGATCAGGAGATCGGACGAGGCGCTACGGGTTATATATCTCCAGCTTACTATGGATGAGGTACAAAGCAGGAGCTGTGGTGTGACTCACTAGCACCGCAGCACCCCCAATAAGGTTACGGAGGGACGAAAAAAGCAGGACGAAAATCTTCACATCCGGCCCAGGGATCCACTCCCCATCCCCTACTTCGGGAGTGCCAACTCCACCCGCCTGCAGTCTAGAAGCAGGAATACCTAACCCAGCTCGCCGATGGTGAAATTTGCCTGCCCTCATGGCGAACTGGAATTGCGTAGTGATTTTGTGCGGTTTTGGATCGTCCCTAGGTAGCCAGCCAGCCTATCTAGCCTAGTGGCCCTGCGGGTTACGGTACGGAGCCCACGGCCGACTCCGTAGTCACCGATTTTAGTTCTGTTAGGGTTCTCCTGAGTCACTATCTACCTTACTCTACAATCACGCCTTTCTTTCTATCAGAATTCAGGCAAGAAAAGTACACGAGAAGAAAATTCTGTCTCAGCCTGGCTGCCTAACCAGCCATCCGGACAACCAATTGAGTTTATTTTTGGGCGTAGAACACAAAAGACATAAAGAAAAAAAAAAAGAACTCGAACTCGGCCACCACGGTACTACAAACCGGGATATAGGGGATAAAGCATCAGGAGACGTTAACCAAGGGCCGACTCCTCTCAAAAAAAAAAAAAAAAAGAACACAAAAACGAGCAAGGATGTCGAGTGGTCTGACGCCATATGCACAACCCAAGGTCGGCCCCGAACCACACTAAAGCAAACATGGTCTAGGTAACTTAATAATGATGTGCTTGGGTTTTCCCCTGGGTTTACCGTACCAAACCGCTCCGATGCCGTCGCTCTGTTGCTCAAAGCGGTGGCGTGCGATGGAGGCCGTACGGACCGGGCGGGTATTGTGACGCAGGGCCAGGGCCAAAATTACCTAAGAACAATTGCTGCCGGCGTCAGGAGATGACAACATCCTCCCACCACGGCTGGTCCGGCAGGCATCGCACACTACGGGGAATCTCGGGACATGCCGTCCGTCAACTTACTTGTCGGTTCGTTAGAGGTTGGTTAGATAGAGGTTGGTTCTGTCTGTCATTATTGTGTCCGCTATAGATATAGGCCGAACGTGGGGGTGTTGATCTTTTCAGAATCTATCTAGGTATTTATTCCTATATTTCTTTTTTTTTTTCGCTGATCATCAGGTTAATAGACAGATAGATGAAAGCAGACGAATAGGTTTCCGACGTGCCTCAAACCAGGACCCAAAGGACTGAAGGAGCCACAAGGTGCTCAATAATAAAATTAAAAATTAAAAAATAACAAAAAGGTTAAGTATAGTAGCAACTCCGTATACGGAGGGAAACATCGGAGACGGACAGACAGACACCTTGTGGGATCGTTGGGATTTCATCCTCCTCCGCCCCCCCCCACAACACCTTGGAGGCAGAGGTGACACAAACAATATTTCTGCACATCCCAAGCGAATCAAATCCCATAAGCAGGGTCAAGGGGAAAAAAAATTTCGCTGCCTCTGTCGTGGCCTAATCCTGCTATGACACATGTCTCTTGTCCCTGACGAACCCCGTATGTGGACAAACTACATACCTAAACTACACGGCCAACCTAAGTAAGTAGGTGCAGGTCGCAGTATGTAACTATATATGTGTCTACTACAGAGTACATACAGAGTGCAGGACAAACACATGTGTATTGTGCATCGCTAGTGGCATCCAGCATGCCTTCTACCCGGGGTAACTACTATAAGTTGCAGGGGGAGGTGTGGGAGGGTTCCTAACGGTCTATTTTAATTTTATATTTACTTTATGTAGCTAAAACGTGGCCCGCGATAGACCCTAGACCTACTACCTACTAATATATACACTGGCACTAGATACAAGTATACTGGCTATGTATATTGGACATTGGTAGATGGGGAGGGAGGTGTGGTTTGCCATCAAGCAAGTTTGCAAACTGCAATTGGTACTACGTGGTTCTACTCCCTCCTGATGGCCTTCACCAAGTCTCGAGCGCTGTCTTCTGACTATCTACCTATGGTAGCTTGCTCACCACCACCACCCACCACTTCAGGATACTAAGATGCGGCTTTCGTCGCCAGGCCAGTCAGATAGATACCTCCCGAGTCCCGACGTGCCTGAAAAAAAAAAAAAAAGAAAAGAAAAAACAACGCACTTATTCCGGCTTCGCTTCATCCAATATCCATGCCCCGCAACCCGAACGGAAGATGGAGCCGGGTGTGCTAATTACCATTCTCTCCAGTTACGGATCCTAATTGTGGGTTTTGTGCGCCCCCTTTATGGAGTCTGGTGTAACTAGATGCCAACTTGGGTAGATATCTACTTGCTACTTGTACTTCCTACTTGGGTCTTGGTACCTTTCGGCCGTAGGGTAGGGCAAGTTCGCATCTTTGCCCCGGTCTCTAACTACGTATGTACTACACTTACCCCTTTCTACGCGCAGTGTGGAGTTCCGGCCGGCTCTGGAAACATCGTGGACCTTCTGGGCCCGATGGCGGTTATTTGCGGCACTTACCGGGTGACGACTGGCGAGGATGAGAGCGGGTTCTAGATTTTGCTTCGTCGTCTGAGACGGTCCACGATTGTGGGTTGTGGGAGCCGGTGGTGGCTGTTGTGTCACCAAGCAGGGATATATGTATGTATGGGCTCTGGTCGTGATTGGAATCGGCTGGTTTTGTTTGCAACGCGGCTTCGGCTGGTTGGGAATAATATGCATGCGCTTCGGAGGTATACGGTACATGTGGTATAGATGCTGATGAGGTTGGTCTAGATACTTATCGTCCAGTGAGATTCTTCGCCAGTATTGAACGGGCAGGAGCAAACACGGTTGCACAGGTATGGGAGCCTGGGAGGGAATCAAGGCTGATGAGCGAAAACCGATGATGGCAGTGGCACATTATTATTGTTTGGACCCGTTGGCATTATGGAGACTGCACAAGAGATCAAGCCGTTCGGCAACCAATCATGGTGTTGTGCAACTCGGATAACACAACGCTCCACCCATGTTAGGGCCTAGACTGGCTATGTGATGATGCTGCGGGAATTGTGAAACGAGCAGCTGTGACCGCCAAGAAACTTCGTCATGACGGCCCCGGCTAATTGTCGATCCCGCAACGGATGATCTCCAGCATTTCCTCTCCTCGCCTTTCGGCGCCGTGGTCAGATTCTCACTTCGAGTGCCAATGGCCAGGATGTCGTCCTCGATACGCACCTTGCCAACAGGGAGGTATCTTCGGGCTTCGTTGGAGCTGATATCCCGCGCCGATGGGAGCTTCTCAGATTGAGCAGTGGCCAGAACAATCTCAAGAGAACTACCCCAGCGCTGGGAATGACTGGCTCCTTGCAATGAAGTCAGGGGTGTGACGTCCCTTGGACCACTCCAGAGCCGTGATTGGCTTCTCGGATACATCGTGGACTTCAAGTCCAACGTCGTGACCCAATTCCATGGGGATAGGAAATAGCCGACGGCCCAGACTAACGGGTTTCCTCGCAGGTGCCGTCGTTGAGGACGCTAAGCTGCTGGAGGCCCTTGAAGCACCTGCAAGTCGCGAAATCGCAAACTGGGTTTGATTCGCCGAATACTTACCTGTATCTCTTCTACAACGTGGTATATGTCGCTGGCGTGAGTTCGGCCAATCCTCCCCCCCGAGGAACTGTCCGAGTCACATCGCTCGCGTAGCACCCTCACTCTGCACCTGCGTCCAAACAGACCGGTGGTCTCTCTTCGAGGGGCTCGTCGTTCTTGGGGCGTCGCTGCGTTGGGCCCAGAGCCGGCAATGATCTCGTATGATTGATTCTTGGCTCCGTACGATATGGATATGCCCAGGGAGCCTTTGATCTGGGCTTCATTGGCCATTTTGTGGATGTTCTCGAATACTTTCCGATACGCCAACGCGGAAACCTTGTTCTTTCATCACTCGGGCAGCGTCCATCGCGGATAGCAAGGGCTTGTCTTATATACCCAGGCGTCTTGATATCTCCGGTTGTTGGGAGTCACGAAGGATGTAGACCGGGGCCGAGCCGTTGTTCTGGTGTGCCCAAACACGGATGTCGCTTTTTGAGGCCGCATCCCGGCGCACCTTGTCTACGTCAGATCGGTGTCCTTATCCTGACTGCGCAGTGCAGGCCAAAGTCTGGAACATAAAGGACCAGCAAATCCCGCTTGATGTGGTAGGTCAAAAAGCAATGCTCCTCGCGATCCCACTAAGGGCCGTTCTTGATCCGAGTCCTCCAAGTCGATTGTGGGCGCCCCGGAAAGAACCTTGCAGGTAGGCATGCTGTTTCGCTGGGCCGGTCTCTTTTGTAGCCGCATACTTCCCAGAGGGGGCGATGAATGGACGGGAGGAGAAAGGGGATGGGTGTATAGCGGGGGTGGTGGTGTTGCGATAAAAAGTGGCCAAAAAGCCCCGCGATGGCAGTCTTCCATCACAGATTAGATTCCTGATCCGTCTGAATTAGTCTGGTCAACTTGTGCCCTGCGTCCTACGCTCTCATTGCGTCTGGACTACTCCGTACAGTCCCTCATTGCTACCTCGCTAACCGGATCCCGACCAGCTGCCGCGAACAGCAGGATCGTGGTCCGTGGGAGCCATTGGCCCCAGACTCGAGAAAAGATGGAGCAAAAAGGCAAAAATAAACAGCATTAATGTGCTCGACCGTGGGATCCTATACAGACAACGAGAGCACCCCCTGAGAGGGGGGCAGCGATGGGACGGAGGAAGAATGGCAAGAATGGGAAGAGCGTGGAGGGATTCGAACGGGGGACGGCGGGTGTGTCTAGTGGCTCTCTAGTGGCTCGACTGGACGGGATCACGTGAGCCCCCCGCTGGACCACCGCGACGGGCGCGTCACACTTTTCACGTCCTCGAGGCGTCGCGCCCACTTCCACTTCCACTTCCACTTCCACTTCCTCCAACTGCCATCACCTGCATCATACATCTCATATCCTTATTACCACTGACTCCCTCCGATTGTCTCGGGCGTTTCGTGTGAATGCGAATACCTGGCCATTCTCTTTCTTCCCCGTCAGCTCTCCTCTCCCCCTCATCCCCGCCTCTCTTTGATCAGGATCCCTCCCCTCCCCTCCCCCCTCACTTTGCCTCTCATCTCCAATCTTGCCCTTTTCATCCGTTGCCCACTCACCGTCCTTACTGCGGCTTGGATAACCCCCCCCCCCAATATATTGGACCACGTGCATCGAATCTGTTAGATTTGGAGGGATGCTCAACCCAGACCTGATCGTTTGAGCACCCCCTTTTCTATCATTGGCCCGACTTCGCCAATCTTTCGTCATCATCACACACGGTCACCATGTCTATCCCGAGGCCGGGCATGCGTGCCCCCATCCCTCCCCGAGGCGGCCCCCGGGCACCCATGGGAAGACTGGCCAGTCTGAAGCCCCCAAGTTCCACCCCGATCAGACGCCCCCAGCCTATCAATCGGCCTCAGCCAACCAGGCCAACCACCCATCCCAAAACCACCACTTGCCCTAATCCAGGCTGTCCCGCCCCGCATATCGTGGAGGACGATGGCCAGAAGGTCTGTTCCGGCTGTGGTACCGTCATCAGTGAGTCCAACATCGTCTCTGAAGTCACCTTCGGCGAATCCTCCTCCGGTGCCGCCGTCGTTCAGGGTACCTTTGTGGGAGAAGACCAGTCGCACGTCCGCAGCTTTGGTCCGGGTTTCCAGCGTGGAGGAGCCGAAAGCCGCGAGATCACCGAGGCGAACGGCAATCGATACATCACCCAGCTGTCTCGAGCCTTGACCATCCCCGAGAGCGCCATGAAGGCCGCCGGGCAAGTCTTCAAGCTCGCCGTCGGACTGAACTTCATCCAAGGTCGAAGGACCAAGACGGTGGCCGCCGTGTGCCTGTACATTGCCTGCCGCCGGCAGGACGGCAACACCGTCATGCTGATTGATTTTGCCGATGTGCTCATGATCAACGTGTTCAAGCTGGGTCGCACCTACAAGGCCCTGCTGGATGAGTTGCGCTTGGGAGGCAACGTGTTCCTGATGAACCCCATCGATCCGGAGAGTCTGATCTACCGATTCGCCAAGCAGCTCGAGTTCGGGTCCGCTACCATGCAAGTGGCGAGCGAAGCCGTGCGGATTGTGCAGCGCATGAACCGCGATTGGATGACGACGGGTCGTCGCCCTGCGGGTATCTGCGGTGCGGCCTTGATTCTTGCCGCCCGGATGAACAACTTCCGTCGTACCGTTCGCGAGGTGGTCTATGTCGTTAAGGTCACCGAAATCACCATCAGCCAGCGTCTGAACGAGTTTAGCTCGACGGAGAGTGGTGAGCTCACGGTCGACCAATTCCGCTCCGTGCAGCTGGAGAATTCACACGATCCCCCCTCTTTCGCCAGAGCCCGAGACGGAAGGAAACCCTCTCGCTCCTTCAAAAGAAAGCCCGCAGAAACCGCTGCTGAGATCGAGGGCGATGCACCGGAGCAGCCCCGACGCGTCGACTCGGATGGCTTTGCCATCCCCGATCTTCCGATTGACCCGGCGTTGATGGCGGCCAGCAGCGGCCAACGCCGCCCGTCCACGGCCTCCGTCGCCAGTGAGACGATGTCAGAGGCGGACGACACCGCCAAATCAGCCTCGAAGGGTTCAAAACGGCCGCCCCCGACCCCTTCGGCGGATCAGCTTGCGTCTGAGGAGGCATTGGAAAACGAGATGACTGCCCTGCTGACGAACGGGTCGGGCATGGTTGAGACTCCCGCCCATCCGCCCAAGAAGGTCGTGTCGGACAACGCAGAGATTGATGCGGCTGAGTTTGAGTCTGATCCCGAGGTCAAATACTGCCTGCTCTCGCCCGACGAGGTGGAGATCAAGGAACGGATTTGGGTGCATGAGAATAAAGACTATCTCCGGGCACAGCAAGCCAAGGCGCTGAAGCGCGCTCTCGCAGAGGCTGACTTGCAACCGGGCGAAGACGGTCGCGTGCAGAAGCCCCGGAAACGTCGCCGCGGCAGGCTTGGAGACGTGACTTATCTCGAGGGCGAGGGCGAGGGCGAGGACGGACGGAGCACCCGCGCCTCGACTCCCGCGGAAGCCACCCGTCGGATGCTGGAACGGAGAGGATTCAGTAAGAAGATCAATTACCGCCTCCTGGAGTCTCTTTTCGGCGAGGAGGGCGCCGACGAGGCCTCCAAGGCTAAAGAAGAAAGCCTCAGCCGGAGTCACAGCCGCAGCCAAAGTGTGTCCTCGCGACGCAGTGCCAGCATCGAACCCGAGGCCGCCTCCCGGCGTGCCAGAATTGGGACTCCCACTGTCATTAAACCCGCGGTGCCTCCTCCGTCTGCTGCCGCCCCAGTGCCTGGCCCAACGCAGCCTTCTGCCCATCCTGCAGCCCCGGCTCCAGCTACAGCAGGGCCGAACGAGGAAGTGCTGGGTCCGGCCATCGAAGCCAAGAGTGGTGATGAGCACGAGGATGATGACTATGACGATGACGATGACGATGACGATGGGGATGATGGAGACGGCATCGATGCAGCATTTTCCGGACACTACGGTGACTACTACGACGAAGGGAGCGATTATGACAGTGATTGAGGTTGAGGTTAAGGGAGGTAGCAGAACTCTGAAGCAAGGCATGTACATAGAACCCAGCGCCAAGTGGACAGGAATCAGATCGCCTCCATTCCAGGCTCCATGAGGAAGTAATGTAGTAACAACCAAAGTAGAATCGGGTCTGCCCGGTGACTGGCCACCAACCATCTTTCCCAGGAAGGAAGGACCCATCACGTGTGGCTGTCAGGCCGCCATCTCTGCCTGCATTTGCATCTCTCCATCCCCTCCACATCCCCTCTCCATCTTCTCTCCATCTCCCCTCCATCTCCCATCCCCTCCACATTACTGGTCTGATTACCGGGATTTGCCCAACCCAATCTAAAACAAACCCGCTGTATAAACTGTCACCACGGCCAGCATGCTAGCATGTTCACACAAGCCAGAATGCCGTATCTACCGAGCTATTAATAGCGTCTCGAACGACCTGCTCCTACCCCGGCATTATCCAGGCAAGGGGGTGTCCCCGTTCTAGGCTCGATAGACTGAGGTCGTATCCTCTATCCCCGACCTACATCTCACGAGGCTCCAGGAAGACCGACAAACCGGTTCCTTCGGCACAGCCAACCTAATAACGACCATCCCATCCGTCAGTAATCGTCACTACCCGTACATTTCCGTCCGGTGATGCTCGTTTATCCCGGCAATGATGGCCCTCCGAGGTTCTTTTAAACCTTCACCACTCACTCCCCTCCGGCAATTGACCCTCCGCAGCGCTGAGGAATGTACAAGGTAGGGCTCTACCGCAACATAGAATGCCCCGGACAGGCAAGTAGTATCGTTGAATGCTACCATTTCGTCGTCTGACTAGCTTTCTCCAGTTATCGCTCCTCCGCTGCGGTATTTCTGGTATCACCCCCCGAAAGAAACCCCCCTGGTATGGAGGGTCCATAATGTCGATCGAATCGATACGTTACTATGGATGGCTTCAGATATCCCATGAGCACGGCTAATCATGGGGGGAGGCGGATCCGAAACTATCCTGCTTCTCTTCTGGGGTCTTGGGCTCCAAAGTCGGTGGCCGTGGATCCACTGTCGTCCTTGAGCCCCTTCTTCCCTTTTTTTTTTTTTTTTGGGCGCTGCTGCTGTCAGTGACGGGGTTGGGAGCGTGCGTGCTTCTGTTATAAATACTCTTATGTATACTACTCCGACTTGACGTTGCGTTACTGCTTGCTTGCTGTCCATCTATCTATCTGCATGCTTTGCTTCTGCCCGCTGAAGATGGCTACCCTCAACATCTACGGACGAGGACTCAGTCTTCGGATGGCTATTATGCTCACCTGCCAGGTAGCATTCATCTTATTCGGTCAGTCAATCAGATACATCTAGATCCCTTTTTCAGATCGATCGTCTGGGAGTTGCGTATGCAGACTGCTGACTGTCCCTTGCCCCCTGCCAGGTTACAACCAGGGCATATTCTCCGGCATCGTGGGGAACGAGGAATTTCTGCGCGTCGTGGACTATCCCAGTTCTGCCGTTCTCGGGTTCATCGTGGCTATATACAATCTGGGCTGTCTCGTCGGCACGGCGGTCTCGTTCATGACGAGCGACAAATTAGGTTTTCGCAAGTCCATGTGGCTTTCCATGGCTGTGATCATGGTATGTGGCTGGGATGCTTTCTGGCTGATCCATGCAGATTGCAGATTGCAGACTTGCTGATGGCGTTTTTGTTTTCGTGCAGATTGGGGCCACGGTCCAGACTTGCTCCTTTTCCAGAACCCAGATGCTCGTGTCCCGGCTTTTTACGGGTATTGGCACCGGCGTTATGACCTCCATTGTGCCCGTGTATCAATCAGAGCTATGCGAGGCCCGCCGGCGCGGAATGTACGTCTGTAGCCAGCCTCTGGCTGTCGGCGTGGGCATTGTCCTGGCCTACTGGTTCGATTACGGAATGAGCTATGTGAATGGTTCAGTGAGTTGGAGACTGCCTATCGCTTGCCAGATGGTGTTTGCGCTTATGGTGGTGGCGATGCTCTTTGGGTACGTGTAAATTTGGTGCAGTGCATGCTGCGGTCAAGGCAACAAAAACAAACAGCTGACGGATATCCAGACTCCCGGAAAGCCCTCGCTGGCTATGCCGTCGGAATCAAAACCAGGAGGCCTTGCAGGTCCTGTGCGACTTCTATGACCGCCCAGCCGACGATCCCAAGGTGGTCCAAGAGGCGGAGGGCATCTTCAAGGCCATGGAGTCCGACGCCGGACGCGGAGAATACCAGTGGGCCGAGATCTTCAAGCGCGATGAGCTTCACACCGGTCGACGCGTCCTACTGGCGTACGGGTTGCAGTTCATGAATCAGATGGGGGGTGTCAATGTGATCGTCGTAAGTAGACCTCCATCCTCCATGATTCAGTCAACTGCTAATCATCAGCCCAGAGCTATGTTACCACAGGTATATACTGCCGATCACCGCTGTCCATGTGCACTGCGATCAACTCTTGCTGACAACACGCGTCATTAGTTCTGGAGTATAACGTGGGCCTCGACGCCAAGTTGAGTTTATTGCTCGGTGGAGTGATCCAAATGATGTTTGTCATAGGTCTGGATCTCCTTCAGTACTCCATACTCACATAACAAACCGCTGATCGTCCTCCCTTTCCTAGGATCTTTCTATCCCACCTTCTACTCCGATCGACTGGGGCGACGAAGCCCCATGATGTGGGGATCTTTTGGTCTGTTCATCTGCATGCTGATGATCTCCATTCTTCTGTCCTTCAAGGGTAATCTTCTTCTCCACCTGTTTCCAGCCATCCCCTCTAACAAGAATTAATATTCTAACAATTGAAATGATCAATAGGAACTACCCTCGAAAAGCCTGCCGCCGCTGGCTCCGTCGCCTTTTTCTTCCTTTTCATGCTCATCTTTGGCGCCTCCATAAACTGCATACCGTGGGTCTACGGCCCGGAGATCCTTCCCCAACACGTCCGCGCAAAAGGGTAAGTCTTCATTCCTCACCTCCATCCCACATATAGTCAACACACGGACCTTGCTTTGCCTCCAATAAGCAATAAGAACATTTCTACTTTCTAAACCATGGTTCTAATGTATTGTGTGTGTGTGATAGTCAAGCCATCGGCATTTCAGCAAATTGGCTCTGGAATTTCTTCGTCGCCATGATCGCCCCGACTCTGATTCAGGATCTGGCTTGGAAGGGATATCTTATCTTCGTGGCTTTTAATTTGGCGTTTGTGCCGGTTGGTCTCCTCCCTTCCTGTCTTCTTTCTAAAACCTCTCAACTTATACCCCCTCTCGCTCTCTATCTCTCTATGTGTGTGTCTTCAGATACTGGTGTCAATCAGTATAGAACTGGATTGGATAGTACTGATACTGATACTGATACTGGTACGACACAGCTCATATACTTCTACTATCCCGAAACTGCGAACCTCAGTCTCGAGGAGATAGACTCGCTGTTCATGAGTGGGAAGCAGCGACAACAGGGACCACATGGACATGGACAGGAACAAGAAAAAGAACAGAGACAGCCGGCTCTGGTGCTAGAGGAGATGAAATCCACCACTACCACCTCCTGGACGGAGGTTCGGTGCGTGTCGGGATGAACTGTTCTGCCGTTTGTGCCGTACCGTACTTGCATACCTGCCTGTCTGATATGGTTGGGTGCAGTGAGGGGTGTATGTCTATCTTCTTGTCTTCTCGCTCTCTAATATTCATGATTAAAGGGAAAGAGGGAGGGAGGGAGAGAGGGAGTGGTTGATAGTAAGAGGATGGGCTGGTGGATGGATGGATGATGGTCTCTCAACACGATAAGTATAACAGTGGTAGTGGTTGTGGTATAGCATAGGTACAGATATAAGATCGAGATAGGTAGAAAGATAGATAGATAGATAGATAGATAGTGAATGAATAAATGGATATCTAGTATCTATTTATATGCCAGTCTTTCTGTTTATTGTTGAGTCTATACTCAGTAGATAGGGAGTAAATATGCTAAGTACGAAAGAAATAGTCCGGCTGACTCCCGAACAGTAAAACCTCGGCTTGACCGCCACTTTGTACTTCTCCCTTCCCTTCCCTTCCCTTCCCTTCCTTTCCCCTCCAGACCCTCCTCCAACCAACCAACCAACCACCACCACTCACTCACTCACTCTTACTTACTACTGCTACACTACGGAGTACTGCTACCAGCTAACATAGAATTCAATTTAAAATTTCTTTCCATTCTTTGTCTTCTTTTTTTTCTTTCTTTCTTTCTTTTCTTTATATAGATATGGTATGATATCTCGTGATACGAATGATATATCAAAGAATATGTATCGACAACGAGAAAAAAAGAGAAGAGAACTGAAAACTGAAATCAAGAAATCAAGAAATCAAGCGAAACAAAACAAAACAAAACGAACCCATGACTGATCCCATCCCATCCCATTCCATCCGACGGTCCATCCATCCAGCCAGCCATTCCTTTGCGCCGAAAAAAAAAAGAAAAAAAAAAAGAAAAAAACAGAGCAGAACAGAGCAGAACCCCAAAGCAGAAGATCAAATCAAATCAAGCCAAGTCACCGAGAGAAAGAAAGAAAGAGATAAAAAAAAGAAAAGAAATATTCCACAAACATATATGATATGATATGATATAAGTCCGGGATGAATTACGATTCAAGATGAGAAGATCTGAGGATATGAGATCTGAGACCTGGAAGTTTGAGGTTCAGTTCAGTTCAAGTTGAATGATGAACACCCCGAGACGGACGAAAGGTAAGAAAAAATAAGAAGATGATAATGGAGAAGGAGGAGAAGAAGAAGAAGAGGAAAGATAAAGAGGCTTTTGGTGCTGCCGAAAGATGATGATGATGGTGGTGGTGGTGGTGGTGGTATCGTTCGGTCGAATCGAATCGAGTCGAGTCTGGTGTGGTATCGGTTTCTGCGTCTTTATTTGATTTGATTTGATGATCGGTTGGTTAAGTGATTGTGCATCCGTTGCTGCTGCTCCAGCAGCTAGGCATCGATCTCCATGCCCGTCCCCATGCTTGCGACGCTAGAATGGACGGTATTCAAGCCCAGATAATCAGGAGGCGGGGGAGCCGCGGAGAGAGTCTGGAGGAGCGGAAGACCCGAGTCAACGGGGTTCGCGCCGAGGAGGTTCTGCGTGCCCATGGGAACGCCCATCACCGTGGTCCCCTTGGTCACGCCGTCCGCGGCATTCAGAATCTGCGCGCCCTCAAACACAATCGGCGACGCGCGCAGATTCATAAGACACGCCTCCCACGACGACCCGACCAGCTGCGCCTGAGTGAGATCGTCGTTGAACAGATAGAAAGCGTTCTGGGCCTGCGCCATCCCGACCGGCGTCACGGGCTTCGCCGTCACGAGATACGCGTTCAGCGCGCGGTTCTTCATGAGGATCTCGCAGTCGCTCAGGTACGACGCGAACTGGCGATCGATGTATTTCTTCCATCCGCGTACGGCGGCAGCGATGTCGCTGTCGGCGCTCATCTGCTGCCAGCTGATTCCGAGGAGACGGGTCGCGTCGTCGACGGTGGGTTCTTCGGGCCGGGTGCCGGTGTTCAGGAGCCGACGGGTGTTGTCGGCAGAGAGACGGCTCTGGAGGGAGGAGAGGGCGATGTCGTCGATGCTGGGGGCTGTGGGGTCGAGACGTTGCGACTTGCGACCCGATAATGAGGGTTGTTGGGAATGGGCGGTGGTGGCAGCGGCCGTGGCAGCGTTCTCGGCCGTCTCTTCGTACCATGTCCCCGTTTGGCTATCGGCGGAGACGGCCATCTTGGTGCGCGGATTCAGCAGCACCATGCCTTCGCCGTAGATGGGTTGTTCTGGCACGGCTCGTGCGGGCTTGGAGGCAGGCGCAGGGGCGGACACCGGGGTGCTGTTTCCGCCGTTGATGGCTTCCTCGAAGGCGGCATCGTCACGCGATCTCTTCCGCGAGGGTTTGGAGGGCGGCTGGTACGCATTGAACCCGTTGGAGTGGTTGTGGTGGTGGTTGAAGAAGGCTGCTCGCGTCTCGGCGTTGGTGGAGAACTTGGCCTGGCGAGGGAATTGGGCAAAGGCGTGGTCCTGGGGAGCGGACAGGACCATGGCCGGGCCATCGGAGAGACTGTTCAGCAGCATTGGGCACATGGTGGTGATGATTTTCGCGCGGTCGACTACGGGGGTGGGTGGGTCCGACCTGTTCTGTCTGTCCTGTGCCTGTGAGCTAGAAACTATAAGGCGAGAGCAACCTGGGGATCTCGCGATCCGAGCCGTTGAGATCTGGTCTGGGGGAGGACCGGGGTGGGCGTTCGTCGCGAGGCAGGTGAGGTCAGGAGAAGGGTGATATGAGAGGGATGAGATGGGGATGGGTCAGGAACGATAAGAATGAGATGGATGGATGGCTGATGAAAGCTGAAAGGAAGGATGGATGGGGAGGTAGGCAGGTAAGCAAGAGGAGAGGGAAGAAGAGAGAGGATGGGGGGGGGGGGGGGGAAAGAGGAGAAGAGAGGAGAGAAGAGATGGAAAGACACGAGGGTCGAGGGCAGAAGACGAGGCGTGATGCGCAGCCAAACAAGAAGCGAACCGAACCAAACCACGGGAGAACCGGCTAGGAAGGGCGTGGAGAAGAAGCAGAAGCAGAAGCAGAAGCTGACGGATGCGGACGAGTGATGGCCCGGCAAGGGCTCGGAGCTTCTTTCGATGCGCCGCCATGCGGAGAGCAGGATTTGCCTGCCTCCATACCGTACATTACACCCCGTCCGCCCGGGTTTGGCCCAGCTCGACCCATCCTCAGGCGTGACGTACCAGAACGGTACCGTATGAGCTGACGGCTCCACCGGCTCAGATCGACCGGTAAGGACTCTGGCATTATTGGTCAATGACGAATCGCCCCGGCAACGATGCGGTGGGGCTGGCCGCTGATGCCCGCTGATGATTGGCGTCCCCTGCAAGCCCAGTCCGCGCGTCAACCCTCACAGGAGCCCCTGCCGACGCCACCACCGGCTCCCATTGGCCGATCCGCAGAGCACAAGCCCGAGGCTTTCGGGGCTGCGTGATTGGCTCGAGTCTAGGGTCCTTTGCAGGCGGCTGACCCGGCCAAGGAACTTACACAGAACTTACCCGGCCAGGCTAGAATGTCAGACAGTCAGACAAGTTTGTCACAGACCACAGACTGTGCGGGAATTAACGGCAATGGAAAGTGGGAAATTCTATTTTGCTGGAGAGTTACACTCGTAGAGTTTAAAAAAAAGGGAAACCTATAGTAACAAGAGAAGAAGTCGAAAGTCAAGGGGAATATAACGAGCAGGAAATGGCGAGGATCTTCCAGTCAAATTGCAGGCAATACATCGACAAAACCTTGTAGAGCTCAGGACACCATGACAATCAAAAGAAGATGGAAAAAAAAAAAGGTCGGACGCAAAGATCCAAGTCGTATCAACCGTGTCCACTGGGCATAGGCTGCATTTCCTGCATGTGGCCGGCCCAGCTGCACCCCGCGTCCAGATTCGTAAAAGAGCCAAGCCAGCGAGAAACATTATCTTTTAAAAGGATATAGGGCCACACCTCCCAGTGTGGCCGGAACGCAGGGTGTTCGGTAGAACGTTTCACCCTGAGACCTCTGTCCCACTCAACCATGCATCACCACCCGCTCCACTCACATCACATCATCATCACTCCACACCCAAGACCACGTTCGTAGAATCACTCAGGCGTTTCCAGCAGCGGCTCCACCGAGCATTCCCTTGACGTTGGCAACAGACTCGGGGGCGTAGCTGGGGGCCATGGATCCCATGAAGAGGAAGAAAATCAGGAGAACAGCACCGATCACAATGAACTTGCGCTGGGCGGGGTGGGTAGCACCGTACTCGGCCCAGGAGCGGTTGGCGTGGCCAGCATATTCCTTGATCTTGTCACCGCCGAGCTTGTAGTAAACGAGACCGATAAGGGCGATCGAGTAGCCGAAGAACTGGGTGCCAGAGACGGGGGTCTGCCAGATCATCATGGAGGCGGCGACCAGCAGGATATCCTTGAGGACACCGCAGAGAGTCATGACGAGAGAAGAGGTCTTGCCGATCTGTATCGTTGGGTCAGCACGCGGATCTGCAAAGCGGCCACAGGGTTCTTACCAAGAAGACAACGGAGACGTTGAGAAGGAAAGCGCAGACGGCATTGGCCAGCAATGTCCACACGCCAACGTTGTAGATGTGGCCCATGGTCAGGTTGGGGACTTCAAGGAAGAGGGCAGTGACACCGTTCATGACAGCGCAGACGGGCGCAAAGTAATACAGGGAAACGAGAGGGTCCATCTTGTACTCGGCAGAGCTGAGCAGGCGCTGGACCATGACCAGACGAGTGGCCTCGAAGACAATGCCACCCAGCTGGAACATGAATCCAATGAAGACGAAGCGGATCTCACCGAAGGAGGCGATGACAACACCAATAACGATGAGACCAACGTTCATGAGCACCTTCAGGTTGACGGGGGCCATACCCATACCCCAGGTGGCGAACAGGACAGCGACGGGAGTAGTGGCCTGGAACAGGTGAGCAACAGCGCAAACATTCAGCCGGGTATAGCACTGACCTTGAGCATCTGGATGAAGGCAACACTCAGATACAGATAAGTCACATTACCGCAGATCAGACTGAGACTGAAGAAGAGACCAATGGGGACAATAGCGCGGAGGTAGACACGACCGGTCATCTTGACGGTCTTGCGGCCATCGAGCAGAGTGGTGGTGCGCGCGAGAACCTGGGTCATGAAGGTAGCGAAAGCCAGATGCCATGTCGTAAGAATGATCGCTAGAGCACGTTAGAAGGAAGCAATTATGACGGTATCAGAGGGGACATACGGAAACCTAGAGCAAGAGACGGTTAGTTTCTTGGATCAATAGTTCGTCATAATGACCGGGTCAAGGCAACTTACGGAATTGAGCGTAGTCGAGGATGTGCTTGTTGAACAGAATGACGCTGGAGCTCAGGGTGATCCAGACACTGGTCCTCGTCAGTACACCATCCCAATTGCTCGCCATGCGCCCATCTCGATCACTCACCCGACATAGACGGCAGGGTGGAATGCAGCCTTGGGAGGCTCGACCTTGTCGACTGCGGGATTGACAGTGGGCAAGGTAGGCTCCGGGCGCGAGACCTCGCCAGAGGTTCTCGCCTTTTCGCCGTCAGAACTCATGGTGAATGTGCGTGTTTGGTCAGAAAGGAAGCGTTGGAATTCAAAAGGTCGCGGCCGTAAAAGGCTGCTTTGGCCGAACTTCGCAGAGGCCACGGGTGACGGTTGTTACGAAGTGAGGGAGAAAAGGAATGGGCGGAGCAAGCGATAGTCGGTAGCCAAAAAGCCTAAAAGTCTGAAAAGAGTGAGACAGGAGTTGGACAGACAGAAACACGAAGTGAAGGAATGAGCAGGTCGAGGTGGACGAGGAGGGGAGAAAGAGAAGGAAAAAGGAAGAGGGGAGAAGGGAAGGGATGGATGGATGGATGGATGGGGATTGGGGTAAATTTGACTCGGGTAAGCAGGGTTCGGGGGGGGGGGGGGGGGACGGAACGACGTACGGGATGTTTGACTGGATGGAAGGCGAGGCGTTCAGACGGGACGGGAAGAACAGTAAGATTATTTTAGGGGGAGAGGAGGGGGGAGAGGAAGAGTGGAAGAGTGGAAGAGAGATGGAAGAGAAGAGGGAGGGACTCGAGGGAGGAGGGCTGAAGGACCAGAAGGACCAGTAGTACGGAGTAGTACACAGTGAGCAGCAGTAGTGGTCGCTACAGTGAGTGTTCTACAGCGAAGACGTCGAAGAAGCTTACTTTAGTCTCACTACACTACTGTACTGACCGGACCTGAAGTCCCCAAACTTTAGCGGCAGGTCCCAGGTTCAGTGCCGCACGCAGTCGCCATTGCATCCTCATAGGTGTTCCGACCTCCGACCTTACCGTACGTAACCCTCTGCCCGTCTTGAAACAGCACCAGACATCGACATCGACGGAACCAGCGTTGCCTTGCTGTGTGTGTATCAGCTATACTCCGTATCTAACTACTACCTAGTACCTACATGTGCAGCTTGATGGGCCCCGCGGGTACCTCTCACTGTCCGCCGTCGGTCGGCTGGTCGGGCACTTTTCGGGACGCTAGACCGCTAGGGATTATAATTAGATGTTTTTAGATACCCCATGGCCGCAGCAGCATTGAAACGCTCCCAGTGGTTCTGACGGGCGGTTTGGCGTTCTAGGCTGGCTGGCTGGGAGGTCAAGGCCTGGTCGGACCGGGTGGAGGGAGAGACTAGGGAGGGTGGAGCGCCACAGCGGTGGGAGGGGCGGAAAATACCACCCACCCGTCACATACCATACCGGTCAGGAACCGAACCTGACGGAACATCGGGAACTGCCCCCGTCGCGGCTCCGTTTCAAGGCCGGTCTGCGGGTATGCGTCCGGTACGGACATCGGGGGTAAATTACACCCGATTCATGTTATTATCCATCGACCGGTACCTTGACTATCTCTCTATCCATGAACACGCCGCTTTGCCATGGATGCATTCCTGCCGGTGTCCGAGGGATGGGCCTTATCAGACCCTCATCTTACTTAAATTATATTAATCTACGGAGTATTATTATTGCTGTCTTATTTCAATCTGCGAGCGGATGGCGTCCTTGAAACCAGTGCGGACGTGGGGCGAGGCAAATGTTCATCACTCTCGTGGCGACCGGCGCGCGCTGGTGGTTGGTGTCAATCTCCAGGTCTCCACCGTCTAGTCGATGGTCGTTTGCCCCTTTTCCGTTTGTCCTGCTGCTGGGCCCCCGAGTGGTTTTCTAGGGCAACAGTAGGCGATGGCTATTTTTCCCTTCTCTAATCTCGCACCTGAGAAATCTCTGCGTGGGCGCGCAAAACCAAAGAAACGAGAAAAAAAAAAAAGGGGGGGGGGGGGGGAACAGAAGTTGCAGTCGTGGATTTTAGGTGGCTGATTAATCGGAGACATCAACTTGCCGTCGCTACTGAACAGCCGACGCGATCCCCCCGACCATGAAGTCCAGGCGTTTTCCCCGAAACAGGCCAGGGTTGATCGGATTGTGTCAGATAAGAAGGCGCACAGCTGAGGGAGGGAATGGGGCAGAGCCTGCGACCGCTGCTGTTGATCAAAATTAACGCCAGCCAGCCTGGCGCTGCCTGCGTTACGCAAGCAGCCCCCGCCGGCCAAGCACTGTCTTACCCGCGTTCAGCGGCCACTTGTCCATAGCGCCGCCGCAAAGGTCCCTTGCCGGTGGAGAATGCGGCGATCTGATGGCTGAGCCTGACGCCATCGCCATGGTTCAATCAAATGGCGTTCGAGGGAAATGGTACGACGGTCCCGGCGTCGGTTGCCCGTTCTCTCAGGGACCCCCCTCCCCTTCCCCCCCCCCCCCCACGAGGCCCCCCCCGATGGTTCGACGCCTATGGAGTTCCGCTCCGAGGCCGGTCGACCATCCATCCATCGTCGGGACAATGTCCACAATCTGGTTTGTTCAGCTGGCGACCTCGCGTGGCCATTCCATGTGTGCTGCGGCTGCTGCGGTCAGGGTCGAAGGTCGCATCATGGTTTCCTTAATATCGGTCGCTTGCGCGTCCGTCAGAAATAAGTTCCTTGGTAAAGAGGGCGAAAAGGAAGGTACAGGGGGCGAAAAATGAAGCTTTTGCTAGCGTCTTTGGTCCCTTAGTCGTCCCTTAGCGATTAGTCCCTGCTGTTCGGATCCCAGTCTGGTTAAAGTGATAACCGTTGGATGCGCGTTCTGGAAAAGATCCCCTGTGTCTTTCCCTTATGGGCAGGGACAATCAGTGGGCCCCCGAGTGTTGCCCGGCTCATGTGTTCACCTTAGATGGCGCTGCCCGAATCTATCCTGATTCCTGACGTGACTGATGGATCGAATAGGGATGATCATGTTGCCGATGTTCACTGTCGACATCCCCTTGGCCAGTTAAACCACTGCAGCGCCGTGATTGACATCCACCTGGCGGAGAAGGTAGTACCCGACAGACCCTGTCCTCTGTCGGTGTACGTACACAACCGTTCGAACGGAGACAAAGATCCGTTGCGAGCTGCCATCTGGTACTCCGTACTCGCCGGCAGTGATCAATCACAGGGACCAACGTGCATCTCCAAGGCCTTGGAGGCTTGGAGCCCCAAGATAGAGCACCAAGGACGGTACGTGGTACCCCGTCCAGGGTCATAGGCACTCCGGTCTAGCTGCGAGTCTCCCTTGGTCCCTGAGTCCACTCCATGTACTCCGTACGGAGGAGAAGGCTTCCCCGTTCACCCTGGATCCATAGGCCGGTAATATCCTAGAGGGCACGAGGAACAGGATCATCGCATTTGATTGTATTTATATTGGTGGTCTCCTATGGAGTCCTCCAGACCCGTTCAGGAAGCTGACACAGTCCCTTAGCCACAGTATGGAGTCGGGACCCTGGGCCAAGAAACAACAAGCGTTGGCAGCATTCCACTGCCGCCCCTGGTAGGCCGGTGCCTGCCGAGAAACCCCATGGATCCCATCCATCGGTATCCAGATTAAAGGGTATCTACGGAGTACGACAGGCGACGCGGGAGCTTTGACGGTGAAGGCGTCTGCATCGAGATTTGAGATATGAAGATAAGCAACGCATGGGGCCAATCGCAAACAGCAGGCGGAAGATTCTTTCTTGCGCGTTTTGGGGGGGGAGCCAGGCCTGGCTGGATGCAGACGGATGCTATTCTTAATTTTCTTATGCATTCGTAGGCCCGGAATGGAACATCGGGGGGGGAGGGATCCAACGAGATGGCAGGACTCGGCCAGATGGCGCCAGGCACCGCATATCAATGGATGGGCGATACTCGTAGCCTGGGTCTGGGTAGCTAACCGTAATAATCAAAGTACTTCCCTGAAATGGGCAAATGACGATGTTTCTGGCGAGCGTACCAGATAATTAAGATGAGGATGCATTGAATTGATTGGGGTTTGAAATTAGCCTCTGGCCGGCCTGCCCCTTTTCCACGGCTCCACGCCTCCACCACCCATCACTGGAGCGGGCCCTTTTCGTCTGTTCCAATCGGGCGACACACGTATTTTTACGCCGTATTATTGCCTAGGGCCTAAACTTGAAACAGAACGCAGCCCCCCCCCCCCCCACAGCCTGCTTGTCACGTTTCGCTCTCCCGACCGGCGGCGACCGATACACCTATACCTTTCCCGCCTCTCCCCTTCCCATCCTCACCGTCTTCTTCTCCATCTCCCCTCCTCCCTCTCTCTCTTATACCACTGCAGTGTCCCCCTCTGCAGCTTCACGCTTTCTTTTCTATGCTCAGCCTCGCCCGCAAGACTTTGAACCGTGTCCCCAGCTTTCAGGATATTCTACAAGGCAGGATGACCCACCCCGACATGTAAGGAGTCCCCGAACCCCCCTACCACTACCACCCCCCTAAGACCCCCTCCATCGAGAGGCTTCGTGGAGCTATACTGACATGCGACAATTGCTTCAGTTCCGTTGACGTTCTCGTCATTGGTGCCGGTCCTACCGGTCTCGGTGCCGCTAAGCGTCTCAACCAGATCGTACGAATACCTTCTACTACCCCGCCAAACGACAGCTCGAATACTGATGATTTGAGTGCAGGACGGCCCCTCTTGGTTGATCGTTGACTCCAATGAGACCCCCGGTGGTCTTGCTTCCACCGATGTGACCCCCGAAGGCTTCGTACGTGGTTTCCAACAGTCCCCCGCGCGGTGACGATCTGGCGACGACATACTGACCGCACTTGCAGCTCTTCGACGTTGGTGGTCACGTTATCTTCTCCCACTACAAGTACTTCGATGACTGCATCGACGAGGCCCTCCCCAAGGACGATGACTGGTACAGCCACCAGCGTATCTCCTACGTCCGCTGCCAGGGCGAATGGGTCCCCTACCCCTTCCAGAACAACATCTCCATGCTTCCCAAGCACGAGCAGGTCAGATGTATCGACGGTTTGATCGACGCTGCCCTCGAGGCTCGCACCGCCACCACCAAGCCCAAGGACTTTGATGAGTGGATCGTTCGCCAGATGGGTGTCGGTATCGCCGACCTCTTCATGAGACCCTACAACTACAAGGTCTGGGCTGTGCCTACGACCAAGGTAAGCTAGATCGTACCTGTAATGCTTGAGATTGGATGTGCTGATGGGTCTAGATGCAATGTGCTTGGCTGGGTGAGCGTGTCGCCGCCCCCAACGTTAAGGCCGTGACGACCAACGTCATCCTCAACAAGACCGCCGGCAACTGGGGCCCCAACGCTACTTTCCGTTTCCCCGCCCGCGGCGGTACCGGTGGTATCTGGATTGCTGTTGCGGACACTCTCCCCAAGGAGAAGACCCGCTTCGGCGACAAGGGCAAGGTCCAAAAGGTCAATGCCAACAACAAGACCGTCACCCTCGGTGACGGCACCACCGTCGGCTACAAGAAGCTGGTCTCCACCATGGCCGTCGACGCCCTTGCTGAGCAGATCGGCGACCAGGAGCTGGTCGGCCTCACCAAGGAGCTCTTCTACTCCTCCACCCACGTCATTGGTGTCGGTATCCGTGGCGAGCGCCCCGAGAGAATCGGTGACAAGTGCTGGGTAAGCGCGCTCTTCTAGCATATAGATGGATTTTTTTTTCTGACCGTGTCTAGCTCTACTTCCCCGAGGACAACTGCCCCTTCTACCGTGCCACCATCTTCTCCAACTACTCCCCCTACAACCAGCCCGAGGGCTCCAAGAAGCTGCCCACCCTGCAGCTGGCTGACGGCTCCAAGCCCAAGAGCACTGAGGCTGAGGAGGGACCTTACTGGTCGATCATGCTGGAGGTTTCCGAGTCTTCGATGAAGCCCGTCAACTACGAGACTCTCCTTGCCGACTCGATCCAGGGTCTGGTCAACACCGAGATGCTGAAGCCCACTGACGAGATCGTCTCGACCTACCACCGCCGCTTCGACCACGGCTACCCCACCCCCTCCCTGGAGCGTGAGGGCGCTCTCACCAAGATCCTGCCCAGACTGCAGGAGAAGGACATCTGGACCCGTGGCCGCTTCGGTAGCTGGCGCTACGAGGTGGGCAACCAGGACCACTCCTTCATGCTGGGTGTTGAGGCTGTGGACAACATTGTCAACGGCGCGGTTGAGCTGACGCTCAACTACCCCGACTTCGTCAACGGCCGCCAGAACACCGAGAGGCGCCTGGTGGACGGCGCCCAGGTCTTCGGCTCGAAGCAGTAGAGGACCGGCAGGGGGGGCACTTATAGAACAACATTTTAATTTTGAATGATTCCAAGGGGCAAAAGATTTTAGAGATCCGATTACGGGCAAACGGGAGCCAATTTCTTCTTTTTTTCTTTTTCTTTACCTTACCTTTTTTTTTTATTATAACTTATTGACCCATTTTGAAAGCGATGTATGGGAAGAGACTTGCTGGGACCTACGTTTTGCGTGATGTCTATCACCGACTGCAGTTTTGCTCGAGATTCCAAATCATGAAGGTTGCGATCTATTAGACATGGATAGAGGTTGCTTTACTTGGTACGCGGTACTGAACACACTGCTTGCTGACAGTATTTCTTGCGTAGTAGACCGATACATTAAATATTGGTGGTGGTATCTCCTAATTTACTTTGGAAGCGCTCCCTCGTAAGTACTACCTGGGTAATCAGGTAAGATACTTACTACCTAGGTAGTAGATAGTAGATACGTACGTACCACCCACCAGGTGGATCTTCGACCGAGAGAGCCTGACAGATGATGGCCGATGGACAGATTTTCCGCCGACGCAGGTTGTTCTATTTTGGCTACAGTTAGATATATGCCTACCTACAAAGCATATAGATCCTCCATCCAGGCAGTCACAATCTGACCTGTGACCCGTGTGATGCAGTTCTAGATCGGGAAGAGTCTCCAACTACGTAAGTAGCCCGGCTAAGGATTCGATCCATTGACATACATCGTCATCAGAAACTGGCCATCAGAACAGTGTGTGTGTGTGTGTGTGTATCAGATAGAGAAAGAGAACCTGCCACCTGTCCACAATGACACTAGATACTCAGTACGTACGGAGTGAGTAAGTAAGTTGAAGATCTCATCTCACCTCACCGACTAGATAAATGACGGAATGATATGTGATAGATAGATACTTTAGTTACAGTGAGACTACGTGATGGATCCACCCACTCGGCTCGTAAGGCTGAGTGGGCACAGGCTGTGGTGCCCCTGCGTGCCACCCTGGTGTCGCTGCGCAATATCTATCTATTCTATTGACTATTAATATGATCGAGGTGATAATAATAGATGGGGATGGGGCGGCCGCCGCCTGTATGAATCCACTGTGTATATTAGTAATTAGACTGTATTGGAATAACTATTTGCATTCCGGTGACGGTGAAGTGGGATGATTGTGGGGGGGGATATAGATTTTAGAGGACACTGTATCTATCTATCCTGTATAGAATATCGATTGATATACTCCATACTCGATAATACTCCCGTAGAGTTGATGGGATCTATCCATCCATGATCTACCTTTGTATCGAGATACTTTTTTCTATCAATCAGTTTGCCTGGTCTAGTCTTTTGAGACTGCTTACTGCTGAGAATTCTATGCATGCGTCTATGTAGTTATGTCTGTGCTATAGAATTACATCCATACTATCCATCCAAGTAGCGTATGTTGAGTACCTAGGTAAATATAGTAGTTTGTAGATAGTAGAAAACCAGATAGATATTGGTCCATCAACAACAAAACCACCACCCACTGATGGATACTTACTCCGATAGCTTAGTACATACATACTTACATACAAAAGAGACACCCACACCACACCCACCACCACACCCACCACCACCATTCAAACACCACCATCCATTTTGTACCTACCATCTACATTCTACAGAACATCTCACAACCAGATAAATCCTCCATAGACAAACACCAATACCATCCCAAACCACGATAAAAAAAAAAAAAAAAAAACGAAAATCAAAAAAGGGCACTACCTTTACCCGAAACACCACAGCAAGTATAGAACAAGTAGATAGATAGCCAAGCCGGGACCCCCCGCGGGCCTAGCGCTCTGGGTCTCTGGGACCGAGTCTGGGTCCGTGACGCGTCATCCTTGTCTGGCCTGGTCTGGTCCGGCGATGCATCTATCCATCCATGATGAACGCGATGGCGAGCGTTGTGGTGGTGATGACGATGGCGGTACGGGGTACTCTAGTATAATCTGTGATGGATAATTGATTGATAGATGGACATGGAGAGAGGAGGAGGGGGGGGGGGGGTGTTTTATGTAGATTGTAGATTGTAGATTGCCAGTAGTTAGTAGACTGTCTGTGTTGGATTTCGATTTTACTTAGGATACGGTATGGTATTGTTTATACAGTTTTGTTCGTATGAATGTAAGGATGAGGGATGGGATGATGCATGGACGAACGGGCATATCTCTCCAAAGTACATGGATAGCTAGATACTACTTGGTCCCAAACATATATCTATCGAGTTCCTTGGCTTCAGTTCAGCCTTATCCTCCTCTCCCACGCGGGCGAAGAGGGTCGAATTTTCGAGGACGGCTGCAGTTCCAAGGAACGCCCATTCGGGGGACAACATTTTGGGTTCGCCGATCGAGGAGGTTCTTCGCGGCCGTTGTACCGTCGGGTAGATGATGGTTGGCCACAATAATGAGGAGGAATAATGAAGATGAAGTCCCTAGGATCGTGCTCTACGGTGACGAGTACCGCCCCCGATAATTGCCGTCATCGGTGACTGCGCCCCCGGCTTTACGTCCCCGTCCACGCAACCGCTGAGGCAATGTTGGCCCTGCATATTGTGCTATCCTATCCGATCCCATGGATCGAAGTCGTTGACAATTGACATACAGACAGCCCAACCCACCTGACAGCTAGCCAGTCCACAGACCCAGACTTCCGGTCGCTTCGGAGCCCCATTGGCGCGGAACTTACTTATTCTCCGCCGCAGCCATGAGCAAGGAGGTCTGCGTGTCATCATCCACCTTCCTATCTTGCAGCAACATCATCTGTCTCTCCGATGCATGACATGCCTCTGTCTACACCTGGTCAACCGCTCATCATTGTCCGTTGTCACCGTCACTGACCGCGGTGCGGCTGTCTCCCCAAGGCCATGTTCACCCGCTCGCGCTCTTCCTCCAGAGTGCGCTCGACCTCCTGCCGGATGAAGCGGACGTAATCGTTGAATTCGATGGCCTCCACCACGCGTGGGTGGACTTGTCTTGCGGGTGGAATCGGCCCAATCTGGGCGTTGTCGGCGGTCATGCTACGCGCGGCTGTACGTACCTCTCTGGATGGTTCGGCGCGGCGGTCGGGTGGAGCGATTATGCGTCCCGGGGCGTTGGCAGCTGGCATGGCAGCAGCCACGTTGTCGTGGATAGCATCGTTAGTCTCGCCCACAGGGCCCTCTCGAAGCAACCCGGGAATGGAGGGCGCCTCCCGCACACAGGGCTTGCTGAGGGTTTTGGGGGCTTCGGTGCCTTGGGTGCTATTCTTGACGCGGTTGTTAGAGCCCTCCAGGATTCTCTGTGGTTTCCAGCGTGCATCAGTCTACCATCCTGGCTACTACGTGAATGTCTGCACCGACCTTTGCCAGGGTAGGGCGTGGAGTGATTGAGTTTTGAATAGCTTGCGCAGACACTGCCAATCGGATAAGATCAGTCTGCGTGCCGCGTGAAACCCCATCTTCCGAAATCTGATGGCTCATTAACATTGAATTCATATCTTCAGGTGCGGTGGCTTTTACCATATGATCGGTATTGAACTGCTGAGCTGCAGTGGGTCTTGGTCCAGAAGCATGCCTGGCCGGGTACAGCGCTGTGTCCAGCTCGGTATCAGACTCCTCGCCAGCGCGATTGGCAGGAGGCACGGCTGCCGAACGCTGGCCGCGTGCCTTCTTGTTTGACTTCTTATTATTTCCGGCCATCTCAGTTATCTGCAGCGTCGGGTTGGCACTCTGAGAGGTGCGTAACGCGAGATCGGCGATCTTTCTGCTATTTACCAGCGAACCGATATCTGTGGACCCAAGATCGATCTCCAGATGAAGAGTTGCACCAAGCCCCTTGGCCTCCGCCCGGGCTCTCAGGTACGCCTGTCTCAAGTTCTCTAGAAGGAGCCGGTCAGCCTCACTGTCAATCTGCGTCCGTGCTTTGTTTGGACTCACCGGTTTGCCTCTGTTGATGCTGCCTGTGGGGAGTGTCTGTGAGAAGCAACGGACTAGTCGTGACCACCGAACTCAGAAGGCCGGCTCCGTGATCTGACTCCACGGTCTGCAAGAGAAGGGGGTGAGAGTGAGAGAAGGAGTGTTTGTGCGGGACCCAGCTTCGACGCGCCTTTGTCCAGGCCAAAGAGAGGGGTGGGTCAGCCTCTATGCTGGCAGCGAGCAGTGAATGCCGGGGGGACACGCCCTGACCCTCCTGGACACCGCGAAACCCCCGCGCTGCCGGGGTCGGTGGCCGCGGGGGAGCCCATTTGGCCCCGGTGCTGGTGCTGGAGGTTGAAGCCCTGGGCTCGGTGCTGTCTCGGTTGTAGCTGGCCTGCTCAAAGCCTTGGTCGGAAAAGTAGGCCTGGTCAGAGCCACAGAACAACGAGTCAGAGGAGGAGGGATCGGGCGAGGAGAAGGGGTCGGAATCCAGAAAGGCCGCTTCGTCGTCGCTGTAGCCGGTCTGGTCGAGGTCCTGTTGATGCCACTCGGCCATGTGCGAATGGCGCGACAACAGCCTTTCCAGATGGTACCGGAGATCCTCCTCTCCCAGCGAGACCCGCGTAGGCTTGTATCGAAGCATGGCTAGATGCGATCTAGCGAAAGGGGGGGGGGGTGTTTTGAACTTGTAAACTGTAGAGCTGTAGAGATAGTGATGGCGATCAGAGTCTAAGTATATGGGGGGTTACGATATGGTAGGTAGGACTATACAGAGTCAGACAGGGAAGGCACCAACAAGGAAAGTGCGATCGTGAATTTATTTTCTATTTGCCAGCAATGGAACAGCATTTATAGACGCAACATTGCTTTTTACTACCGGTAGCGGTCCTTTTTGCAGACAGAATAGCAACCAGATCATGTAGTGAAAAGCACCAGACATGGTGTAGAGACTGAACATTATTGTTGCTACTAGCTTACTACTTCATACTTCACAGGACAACCATCACCACACCGGGATTATTAGGGACTGGGGCAGAGGAATGGGGGCAAACGGGGGGCAATAAATAATAAATACTAATGGATTGGGGGGAGGGGGGACCCAGAGAAAGAAAAGGCAGGCATCGAATAATAACATCATACTAGAGGGAGTGACATTTGGATCTACATCTCCAGCGAACCCGATGGGCTGCTGCGGGCTCCATCCGCCAGGCTGCATTGCCCGGCAGTTTCTATTAGTATATATCCCAGGCCAAGGGAAGAAAATATAATAATAATATAAAAATAATATCCTCCCTCGTCATCCAAAAATAAATTCATTCTGCGGGTTATTATTCGCAGCAGTGGCAGTAGGATGTCAGTAGCAGTAGCAGTAGCAGTAGCAGTAGCAGTAGCAGTAACAGCAGCATCTTCCTCAGGCTGCCACGGCCTCGTCGCCGTTCTCTTTCTGCCTCTTCCTCTTCCTCTTCCTCTCCCAACTTCTCCTCCTCAACTTCCTCCCACTTACTGACTACTAACGACTCAACTCCTCCCTCTCTCCCCCTCCACTTCCTCTCCTCCTCCTCCACCTCCATCTCGCTCCCTCCCCTTTATCCCTTTTTCTGTCCGTCTGCCTGTCCGTTGTCTCTCTCCGTCTCTCCATCCGCATTCGCCTGTCTGCCCTCCGCATCGACTCTCCTTTTCCCTCCCTTTCCCACTCGCTTTCTCCCCTCCCCCTCCTCCTCTCTCCTCCCTCTTCCCCCCCCTCCCCCCCCAACTCTCTTTATTTGGTCGTTGGCCGTTCCATTCCCCCTTCTGCGTTGGGTTTGTTTCAGCGAACCCCTCGACTCCGCCTTCGTTTCCTGTTAGGCTGTTCTCCGTACCATGCATCATCCGCTGCTACTCCGACCGCCGCCATAGTCCGTCGGCCACCCCTCTCTCTCTATCCATCCATCTGGCTAGCTAGCAAGCTTCTTTTCTTCCTGGCCTTTTCTCCCTCCTCCTCTCCCTTCCCTCTTCCTTCCTTCTTCTTCCTCTCTTTCCCTTCCCTTTCCCTCCGCAACCTTTTTCCTGGTGCCACCCGTGGTGCCTTACCAGGTCACCACCCAGCGATCCGATCTCCGTCCTCGCTCCTCCCTCCCCCCCCCCCCCCCCCCCAATTCTCTCCTCATCGCTCCCGCCCGCAACCCCCTTTGAAACCCAACCCCCCCATTCCGCTCTGGAAGGTTTGGACCCCTCCCAAACCACCTGCTGTCCATCATGGATGGGGATCTGAGTCTGTCCCAATCCCTGGGTGGTCTCCGGATCGCGAATCCAGATGACGCCTCGTTACATTCGTCCGAGGATGCCACCACACCTGCCGCGAGTGCCGCTGAAGCAGCAGAATCCGACCTGGTGCGCGAATACACCGTGTCCGACCGACCAGCCAGCTCCCTATCCTCCCAGATCCTCAGGCCCTCGGGCCTTTCATCCACCACGGACCTCCACGCCGCTCCTGCCCCCGAGCCCGCGACCAAACCGCTAGACAATCGAAGCTCCATCTATTCGCCATACGCCGACCTCTCGCAGCAGCCGAATCCCCAGTACTCGCCCTACATCTCCCAGCAACCACACCCGGCTCCCCAATCCTCCTCACGCCCCGTGTCCGCCGCCTTCTACGCGAACGGTTCCACATCGACATTGGCAGCTGCTCGGGAAGGGTCCTACCGTATTCGTACCGACTCCGCCGCCTCGTCCGCCTCCGAGAATCAGGCACGTGCGGAATCTCGCGGTGGCTCCGCAGCCTTCCAGGCCGGGGTGCCGGTGCGCGACAACAACCACAACGATCGCTCGTACAGAACCGCCCAATTACCGGCAGGCAATGGACCGGTGCTCATGCGTCAACCGTCTCGGGCCCACGCGCGGGGCGGAGGCGCGTCACAACTCGCGGGATCTCCATATGCCATGGAGAATGGGCCTGCGGCGAGCAGTGAGGACTGGCAGGATCGTGGTGCAGCGGTGTCGGTGAGGCAGGAGATTGGTGCCGACGGGAAACCGATCGCGCGATTTATCAAAAAGGGGGTCCGGGACTTCTCGTTTGCTCACACTCTCGGAGAAGGATCGTACAGTACCGTGGTGCTCGGAACCGACCGTCAGACACTCAAGGAATATGCCATCAAAATCCTGGACAAACGCCACATCATCAAGGAGAAGAAGGTCAAGTACGTGAACATCGAGAAGGACACCCTCAACCGACTTACAGACCACCCGGGCATTGTCCGACTATACTACACCTTCCAGGATGAGCGGTCCTTGTATTTTGTGCTGGATCTCTGCAAGGGCGGTGAATTGTTGGGCGTATTAAAACGCATGACCACATTCGACGAGGAGTGCACACGGTTTTACGGCGCTCAGATTCTAGACACGATAGACTACATGCATAAACGCGGGGTGATCCATCGGGATCTCAAGCCAGAGAACGTTCTCATGGACAGCCAGATGCACATCAAGATCACCGATTTCGGAACGGCAAAGATCCTCAAAGGCCCGCGGAAACCCGCCCAGAACGCGAGCGGGATGCCCCCACTAGACTCGACGGAAATCCCTGAGGAGGAACGAGCCAGCTCGTTTGTCGGCACGGCGGAGTACGTGAGCCCCGAGCTCTTGACGGATAAGAACGCATGCAAGGCAAGTGATCTGTGGGCGTTTGGCTGCATCATCTTCCAGCTGTTAGCTGGTCGGCCCCCCTTCAAGGCTGGAAACGAGTATCAGACGTTCCAGAAAATTGTTGCGCTCGATTATGAGTTCCCCGCCGGATTCCCGGCCGTGGCTCGCGATCTCGTTGAACGGCTGCTGGTTCTGGACCCGGCTCGCCGTTTACCGATTGAACATATCAAAAACCACGAGTTCTTCCAGGGAATCACCTGGGGCCCGGATTTGTGGAAGCGAAAGGCGCCTCGCCTGAAGGCGTATGTTGCACCCCCTCGCGAGCCCATCAAGCTGAACGGCGGTGGCGGCGGCAATAGCGAAGGGTATCCTCCGAGTATCAAACCAACCACGTCGAACACCAATGCGAGCTCCCGGGTCGTACCCCGATTGGTGACCGAATTACCGCCTCCGAGCCAGCTGGACATCGAATGGTCACCGGTTCTGACCAAGGCCAACGAGCGGATTCTGAAGCTGGGCAACTTGGTGGTTCTGTCGTCCCCGGCTGCCCACAGCCCCGTCTCCCGGCATGGAGGCGAGTACGAAGCCCCGCGGAAGTTCTCCCGCTTCTTTGGGGGCAGCACGACGAAGAAACGACAGCGACTGGTGATGGTGACCTCCTCGGGGCGAATCATCATGGCCGCGGCTGGCGGGGAGGAGAAAAAGACAAAGATGGAGCTATCCCTTCTGACGCCCGGCACATCATACCGGACCTCGTCCGATGCGAAAGGGTACTCTTGCTGGATTGTGGACACGGTACGCGATGGCTCTCCCCTTAAATTTTGAATGAACGGTTCTAACATGCAGGCATTTAGCGTGACAAACATTTTGTTTTCGAGGACCCCAAACCGTCGTCCAGCAACATGGGGACGACCGCCGTGTCGGCCCAGGAGTGGCTGGACAGCCTCGATCGCGCACGCGAGATGGCCCTTTTCCAGCAGGGCAATGGATCCTATTCCGACGACGCATTCCGGGATCTCTCGTCCGGGATGTCGAGCCACGCCAACACCCTGGACCGCAGCTCCGAGATCCAGCACGAAAGCGCGCCGTCGGGGCGCGCCACCCTGGTCAAGCATCAGAACACTGATACCGAATCTGTCAAAGGGAGGAAGCGCTTTAGCAGGCGTCATTCCAAAAATGGACTGGCGGCCGTCTTCTGAGCTGCTCCCTATCCTCGCAACCCCCCTTTCCTCCGGATTCTCTCCCCCAATCCGGCCCACTGTCCGCTGCGCAGGGTCGCAAACAAAATCTCCTCATTGTACTTGGAACATATTCCGTCCTTGCCTTCTGCTTGATATCCCCGAGAGTTTCCTGCGCGTGTGATTGGCGATATTTTCTTCGACCTCTGCCCCTGGCAGGTCCTGCTTTGGGCTACTATTCTTATCACCGGGATTCAGTCATGAACTTCAGCCGGCGACTTGCTTATTTCCTTTGTATGTTTGCATCTCTGTAAGACCTTTTCCTTTGTGATGTGGCTTCCGTTGCTTTGGCCTTGCATCTTCGCAATGATGAGCGTGTTTCCGTTTGAGATTGCTGCATTTAGATGGGAAGGAGTATGCATATATCCCTCATCTGGCTTTTCATTTATCTTTCTTTCTCGTCTCCACTTCTCTTCAATCTACTCCTCTTCCCATCATCCTCTCGCGATATATATGCGTCGCCTGTTGAGATAGACGATCTGAAGGTTGATCCGATCTCCTCGATGTCTGGCAGTACATTCTTATTACCCATCACACATGGTTCCTGGAGATTTCGTGTTTGTCATTATATCATTCGGGCTGTTTTTTACACTGAGCGCCTTGGGAGTTGAATTCGTTGCCCATTTCTTTTGGCTTTCTTTTTGTTGTTTCTTGTTTCCGTGCAGCGTTTTTCCATCCATCATCCATCACTCATCACATCATCCGATGGTTTCGGTTCTCAGTACCGATTCCCATCCTATCCCATCCCATCCTATCCTCTTCTCTTCTCTTCTCTCCTCGAGAGCGGTTTCACCACTCCGATGCACAGTCCATTCCTGCCACATAGTGTCCTCCTTGTTTTCCCCGCTGCCCTTCTTCACTCCATGGTTCTTTCATAGGTAGTCTTACGTATAGGTATACTCAGGAAAAGATCTGTCATCTACTATTAATTTCTTCGCCTACTTTTACTTCTCCGTTCGAGGTTCTTGTCTTACTCTTAGGTTTATTTGGGTTTGGGTTTGGGTTTGGTTACTGTGGGACTTCGTCGGCTTTTCATTCCTTTGCTTAGACTTACTTGTAATAGCTAGTATTATCTGATGTCTGTTTGTCTACAAGGTACCGATCCCGACCGATCGGCACCGGTATTGGCGGAGCAAGTCCATATTTACAAATAATAATATGTATGTATCTCGTTCTGTGAGTATGTATGTATGTATCTCCGAGCGCACACGGATCGGGTGGGGTTGGGTCGGGTAGGCAGACTCAGACGGCGGGAGGGAGTCTCGTAGTAAAGCAGGTCACTTATACACATACTAACCAAGGTACTACCTGGAAGTATGTTAAGCAGATAATGTTTATGTAGTATGTAGTATGTATGTACAAGAGTAAATGAATCTATCTATGTACAGGTAAATAACAAGTACTGCCTAGTACCGAGGTATCTGCCGTGTCTAGGTAGGAAGTAGTACCTGTATGTGTGTATGTGTGTATGTGTGTATGTGGGTGTAGTATGTACGGTAATATGTATGTGCCCACCTCACAGACGGCGAAAGGCAATCAATCTATATGAACAACCAATCGATCCTGGACTCATCTAGCACCTGAATCCAATCGAAATCATCATCTTCGTCATCCTCGTCGTCGTTATCGTTATTCACGGCAGTAGCAGCAGCAGCAGCAGCCATATTCCTTCTCAGATCCTGTTCCTCTCGCTTCTGGTCCTGTTTGCGCCACATCAGACTCAACACCCAGGCGGCATTCCGGACGTTCACGCTGGTGATGTCGTAGTACAGGGCCCGGAGTTTATCGAGCAGGAAGGGCCGTTGGGCGGGGTCGGTGCACTCGGCGCCGGCGATGAAGGTGGGCCAGATGAGGCATTTGAAGTGGGGGTCGGCGATGGGGATCAGGGCGATCTGCTGGATGATGAGGTGGGCGACGGCGGCGTGGTCGGAGGGCAGCCCGAAGTGGTTGGGGATAGTTGCGGCGCCGGAGCGGGGGCGGGAGAGCACGCGGCTGGCGTAGAGGTAGACGGCGGCTTTGTAAACGGTGGCGAGGGCGGTGCGCATGGAGAGGTCGGCGAGGTGGAAGCAGCTTTGCATCGATTCGGACCACGCCGCGGGGTCAAAGGCTTGGATGTGCTGGAGCAGGGCACCGGGGTTTTGGAGCGGGTTGGTGTCTTTGGAGAGAAAGGCGGAGGAGAAGGTCATGCTTGGTTGTTGGGTGCTGGGGTCCAGGCTGGAGTCGAAGTAGAGACCCGCGTGGATGAGAAAGATGACTTCGAGGAGGTACGCAGGGCAGCCGACCCAGGATGTCTCTTCGAGTCGTTTGAGGACTGCAGGCCCCATGGCGCAGGTGTAGAAGGGTTGCGTGAGGGCTCCGGGACGGGCGAGGGTGGATCCCATGAGTTGGATGCTGAGGGGAGGTGAGTGGGAGTGGAGACGGGGGGAAGTAGTTGGCTCACAGTAGGATGCCGTCGACCGCGAAATCTTCGAGCCACTTGACGACGCTGTGCCTGGGGGTGCCCTGCTCTTGTCGGCCCTTTAGGAGCTTTTTGGCGCCCTCCAGATGATATTTCCAGGCGCCGTCACCCGATTCGATGGCATCCATCAGCGCAAGAACCATGATTGCCGCGAGGGTTCGATTATCGTTTCGGAGGACGGGATCCTGGATGTCTTGCGACAGTTGCTGCAAGGCACGCTGTTTGAGCCCTAGGAAATGCTCGTAGACCTTGGATGGGGGGCGTTGGGACATGGAGCCGATCACAGCTCTCTCTACCTCTTCGGGAGATAGTACCGGATCAGTTGCAGAGGGGCCGTCGGATATCCATGGTGCCAGCGAGAAGTCCCCGTTGGCGAGAATGGCGTAATGCAAGGCCCCGGTGGCAGCAAGGACATGGGACAGAAGCGGAGAATCCCCGACAAGGGGGATCAGGTCTCGGAACGGATTTCGGGCTTCGGAGTAGAGCGTGAGGTAGTTGGCTAGGTTCTGGTTGACTTCGGGATGTTAGAACGGGAGTGGACAGGGGCCGAGCCGGCAACATACAATGCACGATGTAGAACCTTGACATCTGATTCAGGTCTCTGAACAACGGGTCCACGAGGCCCCAAGGTGCGGGGACGGTCGATGTAGCTCTCTGCAAGGCGAGCTGGGTGTCATCATCCTCCCATGGCGTGGTCTCCGAGACTCCCAGGACCGTCGACACGTTGTTTGGTGCGGCACGCCAGCTGGGATCAGTCGGCAACTCGGGGCCGATGTGACGGGGCGAATCGGCAGACGGCGGCGAGGTGTTGCTCGGCGAGGAGCTCGAATCGTCGGGCCCACGGTAGGACGGCGACCCCTTGACATCGTCGAAGCTGCGTCCCATCATCTTGCCCCGGCTGGCCACGCCGCCCTTGACCCAGACGAGGGGCTTCTGATACCCCAGACACTCCTTCCCCGCATCGCGGCACTTGCGGCAGGTGGGGAGGCCATTGTCGCAAATGATGCGGCGGCGGCGACAGGTGTAACAGCCCTTCGACATAGTTTGCGGGGTGTGCGCAGTGGACGGAGTCACTGGTCGGGGGGGTAAGACAATCGCGATCGGATCCAGGCAGCTCGAGACGAGTGTCTTAGCATGACACTCGCCATCGTTGGGGATGTCAAGAGAAGGCGCGCGGGGTGCGGGTTGAGACGGCGGACATGGGCGAGAGCAACGAGGGCATGCAGGGAAGATTCGAGAGACGAGGGGGTGAAGGAAGAGGACAACGGCCGGGGTAGAGAGTCGAGCAGTAGGAAAGGGAGACGAAGGAAGGAAAAGGATGGCGGCGGAGGAGGAGGAGGAGGAGGAGATCCTCGTCGGAAAACGGAAATGGAACTCGTCTCGATCCTCGGATTGGCGGGGGTGGGGCTGACTCAGCGCTCGGGTCGCCGCTAGCCCGGATCGGCTAGCGCGTCGGATACCGTCTCGTACGACTTTTGGGGGCCGATACAGAGGACAGCGTATACAATACGCAATACGCAATACGCAATACGTATACCTTAGGATTTGAAGCAGTAGGGCATCTAGACTTGGATAACTGTTTTTGATGTAATATTCCAAAGGTTATATTGTAGCACTGTGAGCACTGGAATGCTGTGGCGGTGTTGTGTCCTGTGTATAGATACTTGATACTGTAACTAACTAACTAGTTAGTTAACTAGTTATGTATTATCGGCTGACAAAGACGCATCCAATTGTGCAGCCGCCGCCAGCCAATGGATGTGAGGTGCAGTGTCTTTCTTTCTTTCTTTTTGTCTTTCTGATTGTGAGTGAGAGCGAGACTGAAACTGGAGGAGATCTGCCTCTGGCTGCTTTCTTTCTTCTCTCTGGACTGACTCCCTTCTGTGTCGAGCAATGTTCGTTCCTTGACCGGTTGTTTGTTTATCGGTCTCGGCTGTGACTCCTGCTGCACCGGATCGCCTTGGCTGCAGTTTCATCGCATCCGGTGGAGGTTGACCTGCCCCCCTCCTCCTCCTCCTCGTCGAAGTCCTCCAAGTCATCCTCCTCCATCTTCTGGTCCGTGTGGTTATCGCTGCGGGGATCGGCCACGGGAATCCCGCCCGCCACTCCCAAACAATCGTCTCTCCCGGATTATTCGCGCTCCCAACATTCCTCGCCGTCCAGACCGTGTCCACGAATTCCCGACCGGGGCGCGTGCTGCTGCTGCTGCTGCTCCTGCTGCTGCTGGACTTGAATGAACGGCCCACACACGGTACTGCAGCTCTCGTTGGCGTCTGGTCACCGCGCACTTCCCCTGACCGGACCATGTCCCCCAAGTCTCCCTCCTCCACCGTCACTCCCATCGAAATGGTTTCCCAGGCCCAGGTTCTTGATCGCTCCCTGCCCGCGCAAAGCGCTCCCTCCTCCGTGTCGCGCCATTCCCACTCCAGTCGCCGACACCGGTCCAGTCGCTCCCACCACGGCGGTGGCCTCACCCACCAGCCCCAGAACGACTTTCCGATTTTCACTCACACCGGCGACGTCGAGATCGTGATCCGCGCGGCCGGACAGGAACAACGCTACCTCCTCCATCGCTTGATATTGGCACAATGCTCCGGGTATTTCGAAGCCAGCACCCGCGAGGAGTGGTCGCGACAATCCTTCCCAAGGCCGCCGATCCCAGATACCGTGGTGCTGTCGAGGATTAGCGAAGATACCTCCTCGCTATCGAACGGCTCAACCCTCGCCCAGTCGGAGAGCGGAGCATCCGCGTGGTCAGAGAAGCGCAGGTGGAGATACGAGCTGGACTGGGCGAACAAGGCGGAGGACGAGGAACCTATCCTAGTACAGAAGGTCAGTATACCTTGGTTCTGATGCGTGCGAAATGCTGATTCGTGGACTTGTTTAGCCACCCAGCTTTTCCAGTGCCTTTGGATCCGACGTGGGACAGTACCCTCCCTCGGTGACCAAACCATCGAACACTCAAACCGGGTTCGTCCGATCTATGGCAAACCTGGCTGGAATGCAGTCCGTGGTGAACCTCCCACATCGATCGAGCATAGCGAGTGCACCGACCGACCCCATCGTTCGCGACTACGACAACCTGTTCCGCTTGTTCTACAACCATACGCCCATGATCAACAGTGTCAACATCGCGACCGCTTACTCGGAGTGCCGGTCTCTCCTCAACCTCGCCGATATGTACGATGCGCTGCCTGTCACTGGACCCCGAGTGGACCACCACCTGCTGGGGTTTGGCTCCCGGCTGTTCAAGCAAATCGCCAAGTACCCCCCGAGCTACCTCAAGCTGGGCTACCTTGCGCGCAGCCGAGTCATCTTCTCCGAAGCCCTCATCCATGTCGTGGGACAGTGGCCCTCCGCACTCCCGCACCTGCGCAACGGGCCATACTCCCCGCTCCCAAATTCCGTACTGGACATCATCGAGGACAAGGTGGAGGATCTCGAGGACCTGAAGGCGCGCATCGACTCGAAGCTCTTGCGACTGACCCTGACAACCTCTCGCGGCGAGCGCGTCACTCCGACCAACGCATACCTGGACTGGCTGGCCGTTTCGCTCTTCCGACAATGGCTTGTCGACAGCACGACGCCACCCCCAGCCCCCATTCTGAAAAACCCATCCAACGCGCATGCCAGCTCCAGCAACCACGGCAGTCGCGGGCCCCCGACCCTCAGCCACCGACCCGACATGACCTCCAAACCCGCCCCCACGTCCACCCCCCTGTCCACGGCGCGGGTCTACCGTCTCATCGGCTCCTCCTCCAGCCAAGCCTACCTCCCGCACGACGACCTCAAACGATTCCTCAAGGTCCACCCCACCCCTTCGTCAGAATCGCTCTACACGCGCGAAGTCCTGAAACGGTTCGAGCGCAAGATGGACGAAATCAAACGGCTGGCCCGCGAGATTGTCAAGCCGCTCATGCGCAATTTCCTCGAATTAGATCTGAAGGGCGCCGATTACGTCGAAGGTGGACTACCCTATTTGACCTGCACCAAGGTCGAAGACGAAGACATACCATGGGAATGAACGACCATATAACAACAGCAACGAAAATGAAAGACGAAAGATGAAAGACGAAAGACGAAGAAATTCCAGACGGCGCAACGCGATACTCACGACATCCACCCACTCATCCATCTACTTACTTTACGCATTATGCCTTCGATACCCGGATAGTTCGGTCACGGTTACAGTTTAAACTTCAGTTTCAGTTTCATTTTTTTCAGTTACGGTTTAAGAGATATGATTTCCTCCCTTGATGTTTATGCAATGTTTATGATATTATGTTTCCATGTTTATCCCCCCCCCCCCCCCCTCCCTCTGGTACCACTTATTTTTCTTCTTCTTTTTTTTTTTCTCGTTTGAAATAGTAACGAATCATGTCCTGAATGTGTCCACGATGTTATGAGATTATTTATTGGGCTTTGTGTTTTTTTTTTGTCCCCAATTCTAACTTCTTTTCTTTCCTACATTCATTTCCATTCCGCTTCGAGTTTTGCTTTCTCGGTTTCTAGGATAGGAGGTAGGTTGGACGTAGCTGGTTAGTTGCCTGCTGGGTAGGTTGGTCGGTTGGTTGGCTGGTCGGTTGATAGATAGGGATAGGTAGGTGATACCTTATTCAGGAGTTGGTTCCCTTTCCTTTTTTTCTCCTCTCTCCCCTTCTTATGGACTATCTTGGATTGATAGCTTCCCGATCCATCTATCTATCTACCTACCTACCGACCTACCTACCGACTTACCAACCTACCTACCATCTCTCAACCAAGAGTTTATCCGGCCATCATGCAACGGAGCTATTCGATGTATGATCGCTTTCTTTTGCTCGCTTGCTTACTTGCCTGCCTTGCTTGCCTTGCTTGCCTTGCTTGCTTCCGATCGTTGGGGCGAGGCACAATCGCATACGGGGTATCTAGAAGTCATAATAACCAAAGCTGTCTTAATCTTTCCTTTTATATCTTGTCCTATGACTGATTCCGTACGGAGTACATTACATGTGTACTTCGTTCGACCCTCCAGGTGAGATGTTGACTGTGGCTGGGCTGGACTGGTTCTAGAGGTCTTTCTTATTGGCTGGCTGCGGATGTACAAAGTGGTAGTCACATGACCTAAAAATCACATGATAATATAAATGACTAAGCTGTATATGACTAAGCCCAGAGTAGTAGTTATATATATCACATGATCAATATCACATGATCCTTAAGCATTATGGCACTCGTACTTCGTATATGGCCGGCCCCAAATCACTCGTTTTGGCGGGTTGTACACACTTCTACTTCACACGGTCTGGTTATGTGGCTGACATAGAACGGTAGAGTCGTGATAATGTACAATACCCAGGTAGGTAGGTAGGTAGGTAGGATACAACCACCTCCTTGGGTGGTCAGTAGTCAGTAGTTAATCTTACAATCATCAATCCAATCCAATCCAATCCAGTCGCATCCAGTCAAATCCATCTCAATGACAGATGATTGATTGATTGATTGAGTGAGGATGGATGGATGAATGGATTGATGGATGGATGAATCACCCCCGTCCAATAACATCCACCCCACCCATATAGTTCCTCAACACCTCGGGCACGACAACCACCCCGCGCTGCGCATCCCAGCCATTCTCCAGAATCGCAGCCAGCACACGGGGCACGGCCATCGCGGTGCCGTTCACCGTATGCGCGAACCGGGACTTCGGGGCCGGACCCCCGACCACACGGGTGCCCAGTCGGCGACTCTGGTAGTCTGTGCAGATCGATGCGGAGGTCACCTCGCCCCAGCCGGATTCTAGATCCGAGGTGGTAGCGCCCAGCCGCGATGGGAAGAGGACCTCGATATCGCGTTTCCGGGTGGCGCTGGCGCCGAGGTCGGAGGAGGGCATTTCGAGCACACGGCAGGGGAGGTTTAGGGCGGTGAGGATCTCGGTTTGGATGGCGAGGAGTTCGTCAAAGAGGGTGTCGGATGTGATGGCGTCGGGTTTGGGATCCGCGAGGTTGTCGGCCCAGGCGAACATCTCGACTTTGGTGAATTCGTGCACCCGGTACAGGCCCTTTGTGTCGACGCCGCGGGAGCCAGCCTCGGCGCGGTAGCACCGACTGGGACCGACGAGACGGAGGGGGAGCTCGGAGGCGGGGATGTCCCGCCCGGCTTGCATGGCCGCGAGGGGGATCTCGGCCGTGGCGGCGAGGGAGCGTTGCGGTTTGGATTTGTCTTTGTCGGCCTGCTCGATCGCCCAGATCTGTTGCTCGTTGTTCTGGTCGCGTGGCTGGAAGCCGCACGCTTCTGCGATGTAGGAGTATACGAGGGATGGCGGGGACACGGGTTTCCAGCCGTGGCGACGCGCGACGCTGAGGGAATATTGGATCAGGGCTTGCTCGAGCAGAGCGCCTTCGTTCGTGAGGAAGTACCAGCCCCAGCCTGTTGTCGTGGCGGAGCTGTTGAAGTCGAGCAGGCCGAGGTTGGTGCCGATTGTGACGTGGGAGCGGGCTAGGTCTGGGTTTTGGACCCAGGCTGGGGGGGAGTTGGGGTCGAAGTTGATGTAGTTGACCAGGGTCGGGTCGGTGCCGATCGGGGTGTGCGGGGAGGAGAGGTTGGGGAGGGAGAGGGCCAGACGGTGGATCTCGTCGGTGCAGGCGGTTTTGCGCGTGTTCATGGCGTTGGATTCATCTTTGAGGAGGGTGGCTTCGGAGCGGAGGGAGGGTAGGTCGTGTTCGACTGCGCCATCGGGGGTGGGTTGATTGGAGGTGCTGGCGAGCTTGGCGATGGCTTTCTCTATCTGCTTGATGCGGAGTTGCGAGGGTTTAAGGTCTTGATCGAGACCGCGGACCTCCTCGAGGAGCTGCTGGATCTTGAGGGGGTATTCGGCGTGGGATGGGTAGTTGCGGTCCACGCAGTTTTTGGAGTACAACTCGGGGTTTTGACGGATGTGTTTGACGTCGGGGGTGCGTTTCGGGGCTGTCGGGGGTCGGATTGTGTTCGATCGCCGGACCGAGGAGGAGAAATGACGCCGGCTGAAGAGCCGGCAATTGAGAGATACGTAGGGGGTTCTTGGTGGTGCCATTGGAGTGTGGTTGGAGGAGGAATGCGGAGGACAACAAGTGAAAAGTGATGAGGGGAAGACCAAAGCTCGACACCTCCGCTATTCCCGATCGGGCTATGGCCCACCCCCAACTGCCAAGCCTTTTTGCCCAAGTATGTATGGCATTTACATGTAAAAACAGAATTACTTAAACCTGTAAGGGAATTCAATTCAATTTCGATATATCCCCACACATCACAGCCCCAACTTGTGCTTCTTAATCCTCGCCCCAAGGCCCAGTACAATCAACACAGAAGCCAAAAGCACTCCCCACAGAGGAATGGACAAAACGTTCAGGTTATAAGTCGTCTGCGTCGCCGCTGCAACCGTAGCCAATTCTAGGAGCAGCAGCGTGTATCCAGAATGCCGGTGGTACTTGTACAGACTCTTCCCGCGGTCAACGCTTCCCAGGATCTGGACCGGGAGAAAATACTGGATGACGCCACCAAGCGCCTGCAGGATGATGAAGATGTAGGTGATGAGACCGAGGACGCCGTGCGGCGAGGTAAACCGGGCATGGTCCCCCTTGTTGATCTCGATGATGATGAAGGCGGAGATGAAGGCGATCACGCTGATGATCTGGATCGAGTAGTGGACGATGGTTCCTAGACGCTTTTGGTGCGCCGTCGTGGTGGGCTGGACGATGAGGGCTGCTTGGACTTGGAGGAGAAGAGCAGCTGAGTTGAGGAGCTGATGCAAGGGTCAGTGGTTGTGGTTGTGGATGAGAGCGGGGTTGGAGGGAGTGTTGGGTTGGCTTACTGGATGGGAAGAGAAAAAGATCACAGGGTGGGAGAGGATGCCGGTCCACACAAGGATGGCGAGCTGGCCAGGTTAGTCTCTTAGTGTGAAGCCGTGTAGAAGAGAAGTCTCACCATCCATATTCCGATTTGAGCAGCGCTGGCGGTACCTGGGGGACGTCAGCAAGACAGACACGTTGTTTTCGACCGGATGGATCTCGTATTCGCACCTGTGAAGAGGTTCTGGTAGATGCCAGCAGTCTCCCTCTGGGGGGTATTGCCTGGTGTAGGGAGCAACGGCGAGTCCTCGCGCTCCTCGATGGTGTCCGGATGTTCCTGGGGGATGCCCGTAGCTGAAGCCATGATGGCCAAAAATTCGATGAGGATGGTGACCACAAGAACGTGAGTCTGGAGGAGAAAGGGACGGTAAGGAAGGGGTTATATGAAAACCACAGAGAAATGACGAAATTGGGGGGGAGCGATTGTCCATCGGGTGGGGCGCTGGAAGGCCAATTGGAGGGGTCGGGATTGCAATGCTACCATGGTCAGGTGCGCAACCATCGCTTTTGTTTGGCGGGCCGGGCCTCTCGGTGATAGGAGGTTATTGCGTCCTCCCCGTCGGTCTCCGGCTGCGTATGGGCACAGCCCAGCGTGGAAGTATGTACAGGTTTGCATACCGGCTATGCTGGCCGGGCTTTGGTGACTTGTTTCGTATGGTAAGATTGGATCTATGGCCGAATCTGTTCACATGCGCTCTGGAAGGGCTTTTTGGGATAAGTATAGTAGTTAGTTAAGGTGTCTAAGAATTGAACCCGAAGGCTACTATCTACTACAACTGCAATGTACAAAGATCGGAGCCGTATAAGGGCGCGCTGATGATATCAAAAAGGTGATATCAACCGTTGGTAAACCAAAAGCAACTTTACAATCTATCTGACAGGGCTGAGTCTCCTATCGGATGTCTTCATATAGACAATGGTTTGAATCGTATTTGTCTAGGAATGTGTCGTCAAAGGTTATCGGATTAGGCCGTAGGAAACCCGAATCAAGATAGGACAGATGGACTGGACCTTCCCGATAGAGGGGAGCGTGCTTTATCCAAGAAGTTCAGAGATATCTCTGAGATGGACACACGGAAAACTTCATTTGGAAAACGGTTTGTCGCTGTCGGAGACTGAGGTCCCCCAGGGCCTTCACCCCCCCCCCCCCCAAGGCCCGCGAGAGATGGCTCGGCAGCTGGCGCCCATGGGAAGGTTTCCAGTGTCTAGGCCCGGAAAGTCAAAAATTCGTGGGTGAAACAAAAGATTTATCGGGGTGGGTGGCGTTGGCTATAAATAAGACTCTGTCTTCGATGGCAGTCATAGTGGTAATCCCCCGTCTAGTATTGCAAGGGACATGGGACTTACCACAGCCCAATGTGGGGGTTTCTCTTCTGTTCCTTGGAACTCTTTGGATAGTAATTGAATCTTATGGAAGCTGTTCTAGACCTCACTCGAAATATTGTAGGGAACCTCCTTCCCGTCTTTGCGGCCGACCTTGACGCGGATATGGGTAGGCTGGGCGCTTTCATGGCAGTCATGTGTTTCAATCCGAGACAAATCTCTCAAAAGCTGTACATGGAGGTACTGCAGGCTATAATTTGACCTTTTTTTGGGGTTATTTGGCTTGAGTGTGTACTTGATATATACTAATTTCCAAGTGGGTACTAACCTGTAGTGCCATATAAAAGGGGAGGTGATATACGCGCCCTAACTACTGGGCCTTTCTAATGGACTTCCGGTTTTGGAAGGTGAAGGGCGTGTTTGTAACCATCTTGCTGTGCGTTTATCGCCTCCTTATAGAAGTTACCCAGTTCTATATGAGGCGGACAGTAAGACAACGCGGTGATGGGCTTTTGACACGCGCGACATTTGGTACTTTTTTATGTACATAGTAAGACTGGTGCGATATATACTTTGATTAAATTATCAGCTCATCTGAATGAAGTCGCCAAGTATAGAAGAACTGACTAACCCATGTGACCCAGATACACTGACTTTGAGGACGTGTAACAATCATCTCCACGGCATATTCACGACTGACGTTTCCAATCCCGAACCAGGCCTCCCGACGACAACCTCCGCCCCAAGATTCTTGGGGTCCAGGCGCATTACAATATTGAATAGGGTAGTTATCCGCGAAATTCGCTCACGCGTGAAATCCTCCTGTCCACATATCGACTGCGGGGAGTTGTACAGGTCGGAGAATACCTTCTCCCTCAGCACGGTCGATACTAACCGGTCTTCGGAAAGCACGCCGCTGTCGATGACGCCGCGTGACAACTCCCGAACGCGTTCCAGTCGGATAGGCGAGCCTGACAGCCAGGGCGGTTCATAGACGAGGTGGTTTTCCAAAAAATGGTTGGTGTGAGTGACCATGCCGTACTCGTCTTCAGAGAGATATATGTTTCCTAGAGGTGAGAGCTCGAGGCCAAGGGAGACATCACTATCAGAAACCAAGATGTGCTGGCTGGACCCAACGCCTCCAAGAGACTCTAGCGTCCGTACTGCTTCAGCGACAGAGGTACTCTCGAGGCACAGACGAAGGGCAACATGGATTGGTAGCTTTGAGCTGATGCAAGGGTGAGCCCGGATAGCATTGAGGCATGTTCCAACACAGGCGTCATTGAAGCCGATTTTACCCACTATCCCAGCCTAAAGGAGTTAGCATCCCTGCTATTGTACATGGCGTGGTGGGTTGCAGACGCCAAACTCATCAAGTGCATGATGGAGATGGGCTTCTACAATCCATAACCCTCAGGTTCAATGTGCCAAAAAATGCGGGAAGGGGCGCGGATCTGATAAGGTATTTGGAACAAAGACTCACCTCTCCGACCATATAGATAGTCGGTTTTCCGGCTTGCTGGATCTCCATAAACGCAATATTCCTCTGCACCGCCGGCGCGAAATCCCAGTTTTGGGCGAGGATCCTGCAGCCATCGCTTTTCTTCCATGAGAGGCTCGTGCACCCATCCGTAAACTTCCCAAATGTGATCTCGCTACGACAGTTGAGCGTAACAATGTCTAGGATATGTACCCCCGCCCCGTCAGCAATGCCCTGCATTTCTTCATGAAGATGAGGGGTGAGTCGTTCGATTGTGGCGCGGAATTTTTCGGCATCCTCGCGGGCTTCGTCCCAGTTGATGTTGCAGGAATGGCGAAACATCTCATCGTAGACGGACATCTGGTCTTCGATCTGCAAGCGGAGGTGTCGGCCATGGCTGAGGCCGATCTATGGGCTGGTTAGAACGTGGGTAGAAAGGTGTAGAGAGACAAGTTCGAATTACCTCTCTGGGGGTCCCAGTGAGCAATAGTTTGGGAGGATCTGGGATTTGTAGATGCATTCTGAATGACGGACGCAGGAGTTGAAGGAAGAATGGCTGGCTGATGAGGGGGAGCCAAGCTGGTACTTAACAAAGGGCGGGAGAAGGAAGCCCCGCTCGTCCCTGCGGGGGAACCCGAGCTTGATTACTACGTATAGATAGGAATATCCATTAACTGCAGTTCACCCGCAGTTCATCTCCCTCTCATCATTCGTGTGCCATTGGAGTGTTGGAGAGTCCATCCATCCATATTGGTATCCATATGATGGCCATGGCATCTTTTTCTTGATCATCCCTTAACTGGCCCTCTCCTTCAACAAAGAGGTATTTGTTCCTCCAAGCACCCCGGCGCATGCACACCAACATGGTGAAGTCACACACTCTTACCTTGAAACTTGTCAGAATTCACTGCTCACCTCGACACAGCCCCTTTTGATGTGTTTGGCTGGCTCCGCTAGGACACCCAGAAACCGCAGTCATGATCCGCCATTTTCTTCTCCTCTCCTCTCCTCCTCACCCCGCAAAGCCCCCCCAAGTCCCCACAGACCTGACTCCAAGATGTCCCGAACTTCCTCCGAGATCCAGACCATTCTTGACTCTCTGCGAGCGATCCTGCAGAGACACACCAACTCGCAGGGGGTTGTCCACCGTCCCTACGGCGTCGACTGGGTGAATTTCGAGCGCCACGTGTACCGCCTGCTTGTCCTTCACGGCTTCATTCGTCCTGGCGATCGCGTTCCGAAGGACCCCTGGGAAGTCTTTCTCACCGAGTTTGCACCACAGGGAGTTCGCCGATCTCCTTACGAGGAGAGTAACATGTCGACTGCCTACTTCCCGACCTCCATCCTCGTGTCCTCCTCTCCCACGCAACGGATGGGAATCGGACACAGTTCAAACTTGGAACCGATTCGCCAGTCTCAGAGCCCCAGCATGAACCATGTGCGATTTCAGGAGGATGTTCTCGAGCGCAACGGCGCCTCCCGTCGCCTGCCCAGCGGCATTCCAAGATCCTTTTCCTAAACTGTGGACATGGTAAGGTGTGGGCCTTCGTTATGTTTGAGTCCTTTTTGACCGTATGCTTTAGACATTCCGCTGTGTGGCGATGGTATCGATATTATGGAGGTGACCGTGTTCACATACTGGGATATGGGGGATATGCATGCAGGTTCTGGAGTTATGTCAAGGAGTATTTCGTGGCGGGTCTTGTTGATATGTTCTGGCTTTGGAGTTTGTGTCTGTTCAGATGTGGGATCTTGGTGTCAGTGATTTTCTTTGTGCTGGGTGACTGTATTTTCCTGGGATCTTTATCCATACGGCTGTTGTTGTCTGTCTGGTTTTGACTGTTCCCCGGTTGGGTTTGATAGTTTTATGGCTTCGTAAAGGGGTGTCTGGGACTCTTGTTCTGTTTTGTTCTCTCAACCAGGCGTTAGGGGGCTTGGAAGTTAAAGACATAGAAAAGAATCAAAAGATGAAGGTATTTTATGAAATAATGTGAGATGTTTAGTCGCTGGCGGGCGTTGTATCCCAAGTGCTGGCCTGGGGGGCATACTGGGTATAGAAGAACGGAGATGGATCTTTATCTTTAAGATTGAATTAAAGGCTGGGTCACTCTCTTGCTTAGTAACTCTGGAAGCAAGACATCCGTGGGTGTATACCTCGCAGTGAGTTGAACTATGGTGACTACAGTGGGACCATTGGCTGTCTCTCATTCAATCTGGACAGAGACTATGGTTTATTCCTGAAACAAAGTAAAATTTAAAACACGCAATGTTCAGTGCATGCCAGAACTTCCACTAATCCTCCAATTTGTGGGAATTTCCCCTTCAAGGTCCTCTGTGTTTGAAGTGAAAAGACCTAGAGCAAAAGTGAATGCTGCGAGCCACAATCCTCAGGCAGATACTTCCCCCCTCCTCGCCCTTTCTTCGACCGCCCCAACTTCTCTTTCTCTCTTCCATGCTCCCACATTCTTCTCTTCTTCTCTCCTTTTGCATCGCCATCCGTCTATTTTATTTCACCTTTCTTCTAAATCTACCCACCATGAAGTCTGGGCAGCTAGATCAACCCTCGCAGAGCATGGACTCTCCCAGTCGGAAGACAGATGGTTTTGCTTCTCGAACCACGACGTCCATGGAGTCAAATAGACACGACGAGTGCCAGTCTACCGAGGCCATAGAGTCGCTTAGCAGCAAAGCGGATTCAGACTTCCATCAACAGCTCACGGATTCCGAGAAGCTAGACCAAGGCCCACTGGCTGAGATTCTGGATCTGCCCACAACTGCCTTTGTTTCGATAACGAAGTCTTCAAAGAAATCGGAGAAACATGATGAATACCCACCAACCAAAGCTATGGAGCCAATCGACAGCGAACCGGATTCATCGTCTCTGAATCTACTGCTCAAGGATTGTGAAGATTCAGACCAAAGCCTGTTGGCTGAGAGTGTAGACTCCTCTATCAGCAATACAACTGCCTCTACTTCTCTTACGTACCCGGTCATAGAATCAGAGAAGCAATAGTCGTGCCCACCTACTGACGCTACGAAGGAAGTCGACGGCAAAGCAGATCCATACTGAAATTATGCTGAGCTGGCTGCCAGATATCTCCAGGACCACGGCATCTCGCTTGTGGAGTATGGTGAGCAGTTGGACGTGCGATTGGGGTACCCAGCTATGGTTAATGTAAGACCTCTCTGTATCGTCTCCCATCTGTGTGTGTCCATGTTCAGACTATAGAATGGGCGGTGCCCGATGAACAACTGTCGCTCGCATCCAAGACTGTTGCAGAGAATGAGCTTTTCCCTTTGGAAGGATATTCGGCGCAACTAGCAAGTATTGTGGGGGAATGGGAAACCACAGGCTTCATTCATAGTGTTCTTGATGGCAACAGACTGTCACCGCGTATACGACTTTACCCTCTCTCCTTTGTGGGCCTCAAGCTCCAAGACTCCTATGAAGCTACGTTGTGCTTCGGTTCGCAGCTGAAGGCCTGGGTCCCTAAGCCCGAAAAGTACATATATCAGCATGCATACTCCACAGCAATTTAAATACGAAGATCATGTCACTCTTGTGAGGGTAGGGAGCGAAGTTAATCAAGTTTTTTCGCTCCGAGAGCCATCCAAGAATGGTCTAAATATCGTGCAGATCGTACTTGGCCCTGGCTTTTATGTAGACATTGACCAAGCTTACCAGAATCCGCTGGCAGCGAGCTTGTAATTTTGTAGTTTAAATTGACCCTGTTACATCGGTGGCTTTGCACTGACGGCTCAGTTTTAAGGCGACTAGCACAATCCAATGCAAAACAACACTTCTTCGGTTTGTGTGCTGTTGCAGTCATCCAAGTTGATTATAGCCAGCCGGCCAGGTTTCTGGTCAGAAACGCAGTGTTGGTCACTTCATGATTCAACACATATCTAGATCTTTGATCATTCTACTCTGTTGTTCCATACAGGACCAACGCAGATCTCTCAAGAATGATAGATATACTTTGGTAGATAGTTGTTGTAAAGATGTACTACTGTATAATGAGACATATTTTTGCGCTTTAACAAATCTCAAGCCCCCGTGACGCAATGGTAGCGTGCCAGCCTTCTAAGCTGGAAGTTGCGAGTTCGACCCTCGCCGGGGGCTGTCTTTGTTTTCCCACCCATAGTTTTTTTTTTTTATGTACTAAAGTTGATGTTGGAAGTTTACTGTTTGTTTATCTTACTAGTACTTACTACTTTACTCATTTTGATGTCGTACAACGCATATATATAGATAGGGACTACACTACAGTTTATTTGAAATATTCAAATATATATATATAGTTGTAGAATAAGACAACTTCCTCCACCCACAAACTCCATTAGCGAGTATAACGAGAGTTCAAACACTCATTACGGCTCTGGTGCCTACCGACCCATAAAAATCGTAAAAAAGCAGCCCCCGGCGAGGGTCGAACTCGCAACTTCCAGCTTAGAAGGCTGGCACGCTACCATTGCGTCACGGGGGCCTCATACTGCCGAGCAAAAATCGGAGGCGCTCACGTTGCCAATGTGAAGATCAAATCGCCATCCTTGCTTCTGAAGGTCGAAAATGGCCTTGAATCACTGTCAAACAGTCAAACAGCTCGCCATCCATCGAGCCTTTGTGGGGTGGCAATGGAAGAAAGCGTATAGTACCATGAAGTAGATCATCTGCCAGCGCGGCGGGGCTGGCTCCTTCCATATTCGGCTGATCCTTTCTGTCTCAACCCCCGCCCTCTTTCTTCTCAGTCCTATTCGCCTTTGAATCCCAACAACTTCCTCGCTTTTCTCCTGGGTGGCCACCTGTTATGCCCAGGACTGGCATACCGACCTGCGTCGGTCCTGGCAGCTTGGACTGGTGTTGCAGGATGTCCTGTCAGCTTGGCCCAGACGCGTCGGATCTGTCGGTGCCTGCTCACCAGGACAGCAGCATTGTCGTTGAGGGCAAGGTGTTCACTCACAATGAAGAGCTTCAATCCAAGGCAACCCCTTGGTGAGAGAGCTCATCCATTGGTCGATGTCGTGTGCAACCGCTATCTGAATTGCTTTTGTTTGAGCTCCCAAGACAAGGCGAGCCACCATTGCTTCTTTGCCTTCGACTAATAGGGGCAATAGTCACTAGTCCTGCCTCGTCCGGCTTCTTATCTCCGAAGGCAACTCCAAGATGGCCCCACAGCAAGAACATCGCTGCAAGGAGTAAGCTCCTCTGGCCAGAGCAGCGACATGTGTGTTGTACAAGCAGCTCGGGCCACCATGGCGTCCACCACAAACACATCGCCGTGTAACCGCAGCAAGGCCATTGTTGATGATCTAAACCGGTCAATGCAGGATTTCGTGAGACACTGGCATCATGGCGAGGTGTCCCCTTTATCCTAGGAAGGTAAGAACTCCTCCCTACAGTTAGCATCACTATGACGTGCATGTGGATGAGGTAAGAGGTATCAATGCGGATTCCTTTCTCGAGGCTAACAAAATATCTCATCGGCTCAGGGTTTGTCTTGAGATGAACTGGCGTCTGGTACATCATCTCGTCCTCGCATGTTTCAATCACCGTCGCCCAAAGGTGCAACCAAGCTGGCTCTGTTGACGGTCGGGCAGTTGTCGGTCACAATGCTTATGATGCATGGCGTTGAAACCACGCATTTGAAACCAGCAGATACCACTTGATTGACATGTTGTGGACAAAAGAAACAAAACATAAACCCCCCTCCCATTGGATATCATGTGACAGTGACAGGATCAATGCCGTTGGGAGTGACCTGCTCCCGACAACGGGATTTCCCAAGTGCTGAGACGACTTTTGCGGATCCGCAGATGGGGCTCCTCTGTATAGCTGTCCAGCGCTATCTCGGTACATAGACCGCCCTGTATCGGTGAATCGGAGAGATTGGACGCCGAATACCAGGTGCGTGCTGTTAGATCTGCTGTGTCCGTACCACGGCATCCATGGTCGCGCCCTCGAAAATCAGCGGCATTTAGAGTTGACAGCAGATTCTACTTCTTCTGGAAGCCCCGTTCCCGGCTGTCACTTGTGTCACGACCGATATATGCTCTACCGCCCGAGTCGCCCCATTACTACGTCAGGAGCGGGACAATGGGGCCAGGTATACTTCATGGGCTCTATACAACTAATGGCGCCCTCGGTGGCCTTGTTGCCGCCCCAGTCATTCTTTAAATTGAGAAGTTTACCGAGTATGATCTAATAGACCTCGTTCATCAAACAATTGTCACCAGCATGATTTGCCTCTTTCACCTGCACCTTACTGCCTCAATAGAAAGTTCCTTCACTTTTCTTGATTTTCTTTTGGAGGTGCAACCGTTTTCAATCAAGTATTTCAGCGCGACGCGATTGGCGATCAACGATGTGACGTTGAATTTGTCGGACATATTGGAGCTGAGCGGGCTCAATGCAACGGCTGCTTAGGTTGTCTCTGCACGACGGTAATATGCTCAGCGTACATGGGAGATCGATTAATTTACCGGCTTTGAAGACAGAACGCTGCCTGGTGTCTTACCAACCAGCACACCCCGGCCATACCATCGTCAGGCAACCAAGAAAGAGAGGTAGCAGCATTATTAGCCACTTGCTCTTTACGCCTGATCAGATACGACATTCTCTAGTACTGGCCGCCACTATGCATGTCCTGGATCGGGTTCAAGTGCTGTCACCTCCATCGAGCCAGCGTATGGTCTGTGCAGCTGTGAGGGATGTCCGGTGGCATCTGAAAAATGTGGCTGAGATTTTAATGACATGACTCGTATACAGGTGTGCTCAGTGTCAAGAGACCGACTGTATCTACAACTCTGAGGGCAGGTGGTCAGGACTGACAGCAAGGGACCTGACATTGACTTATGGACATTGCCTGGCTTTCTTGGACAGTTCATACATGACTAACAGTGTTTACCGTGCTCGATAAAATAAATTCAACATTAAGGTTCTTATCTGGGCATGGCTTTTTCAGTAACACTACAGCTTTGATCTTTGAGTACGGAGCCTCTATCATACCCTAATATGGCCCAGGCTACTAAGTCGAGGTCACAGCCTTTGATCAAGATTGTGGTTGCTCACGATCTCAATCACTAGACGACCCGGGGTCTCGCCAGCTGCCTAGGGACCCTCGCCACACGTTACGATAGAGCAGGGAAGACCTGCCTTGATGATCACCAACCGATCCATGGGGTGGCAGGCCCCCTAGACCCCGATCTTTTTATACCCCAGAGACGATCGCAACACACCGGGAAGGAGCCCGTTGGCTGCTCGGATCCGCATGATCAACAGACACGGATGGAGGCATGAACTATGCATCTGAATGCAGGGAAAGGAGAGTCCTGTTTTCCAGATCCACCCGATCCAACGGCGTCTCAGGGACCAAGAAGTTTGGCCCGCCTCGTTTTAACGGGCCGGTTAGATATTAGATCCGCAGAGCATCTTCCCGCCTTGAACTCAAACTGGCAGGAGATGGACAGATTTTCGCAACTGCAGAGATCACGGACTTACCTTTCATTCGGCATCTGTGCCCATGATTCCCACGGGTGTCACACAACAACGCATCCAGCGGCTACATGCATATTTTTTCGGAACAAACCACGAATCGGGGATTATTAGGGGAAATCAAGACTTTGGACAGCCCCTAAGGGGGGACTTTGAAGACAGAAGCGTTCCAGGTCAAACCTTGCGTCCATTGTAGCGGCCGAGCACTTGGCAAAGTGCAGGTCTCCTCTCACGATGAAGGGGCAGAGGGAAAGGGGGGGGGGTCGATGCGGCTTGATCCCCTCGGCCGGATAGCGGGTTGTTTAGGGCTTGCTTCTCAGGGGCGAACGATTTTCTCCCCCTTTGGCCCCCTTTGGCGAGAGTGTAACAAACGGGTCGCATGGCCTCGGGTACGGTCACGGCCGACAGTCAAGTGTCAAGTGTCAAGTGTCAGTAGGGTTCCTGTGTGTTTGCAGCTCCCTACATATGCACGAGCACCTCAGCAACGGGGTCGGTCGTCAGTGCGGGCCTGGATTTTCTGGGTAGATCGATACTCACCGACCTGGGATAGTACCCCTAGAAAGGAGAAAAAAAAGCAACCCGGGAGTTCTGCAGGGCATCGACATCCCACTCTCCAGACCGACTCTGGTTGCGCCGGTGTCATCCTGAGGGTTCCACAGTCGTCCAAAAGGGGAACAAACGAAGCCCCTCGTTCGCCAGGGGATTGGCCTTGAGGCATAATCACGAGATGGCCGACACCAACGGACTGAACACAGATAGACAACACAACACATACGGTGAGAAATTTATAGAAACATAGGGCCATCGGTCCTTCTCCTCTGTTCCTCAGAGTCATGGGCAGCAGGTGCACCTGATGATATCTTGGTATCACCTTGTGGGCTGCCACCGAACATCCTGGGGGAGGGGCGATATATTAAGATAAAGACCAGGACACCTCGGCATCTGCTCAAGAAGCACGCTGAGCTTTTTCTCATTACTTTCGGTGGCCTGTCTCCCATCTTCTCAAGGGATCCTCTGCCACTGGCTTTACACTTCCTCCCAGACCCCACAGACCAGGTCGGGTTCGAGCTTCGGGGCTCTCCTGTCACCAACCATACCCTCACTGACTTCGACTCTTGAGCCTAGAGCAGCAGCCAATCCACTCGTTTTACAGCCGTTCAGCGATCTTCAATTGCCTCTCGCTCCACCATGCCCCCGAAGGCCACCCATCCAGCTACGCTGCCCGAAGCCCGCGGAGTCAAGTACGACGAATCCGACATGGCGCTCTTCCATGCCAAGCTTTCATACCATTCGACGATCGACGACCGGCTGGCGACGAAAGACCCGAATCTGATGTCCATCTCGGAACATCAAGCGCGGATCCTGAAGCGGTGGGAGATGCTGAAGCAGGTGGAGAAGGAGATGAGCGAGAAAGGCAAACTTCTGTCGCCGGCGGAAAAGAACCAACTGGCGCAGTACGAATGGCGATACCGGAGACTGGAGGAGGTCGCGACGACGAGCACCAGATAGGACAGGCCGCGTTTTCTTTTTATAAACATCATCACGAAAAATCATGGGGTGATAGCATGACTGGCGTTAGTTTAGATGTAGATTTACGCACCGCATGATTGGGAACTCGATTGCCCTGGAGAGGGCGGGGGGAGAGATTGATCCGGTCCTCGAGGGAAAACTTGTTTTAATACTTCATCCTGAGATTGTTGTAATTTTTTTCTTCTTTCTTTCGCCTTTGTTGTTTTTGTCGTCTGTTTTTTTTTTAGTGTGCTTACTCGGCTGTTCTGCCGTGCTGCTGCTGCTTCTTTCCAAGCCCCCGTACGCCACCAGGCCTCGAGCCGAACAAGCTCACTTACCCTGTCCACAAGGTGTGTGTGTAGTGACACCAAATAATAATAGTTCGATCCCTTCCCCTCCCCTCCCCCTCCCCCTCCCCACCTCCGAGACGTCACGCATGTAACATAGTCCGACCGTCCAGTCGACACACGCACACACTGCAACGGTAACTTGAGCAGCTCAGTGTATCTGTTGGACGCGATTCGATTCGATTCGATCCATCCAGCTGCCGTCCTCACTCCTTCATTCATTCAACCTAACAAACGACCTGCCGGCCGGCTGGTCGGTCGACCATCCCATCGACCACCCTCGCACCGCCTGATGTGCCACATTGGGCACGCGACATGCGACACGCCGATAGGTAGGTAGGTAGGGTTTTGTATGTTTGGGGTCGGAAGAGGGCGATGATCGGAGACCTCCGAACTGCCGGGAGATGGTGGGGTGGGTGGGTGCGGGCCCAACCGGGAGTTGAATGGGAGGGAGGGTCTGGGGAGTCATTTAGTCGTTTAGCGATGAAGTAAGGGGAGGGAAGGAGGGGTGGAGGGGAATGGACTGGAATGAGTGAGAGGGAGGGGGTGATGATAAGAGGAAATAAGAAGAGAAGAGAAGAGAAGAAAAGAAGAAGAAGAAGAAGAGCGACGAACGGTGTTGACAAGAAACCAAAGAGGAAGGCACGCGGCATGAAGTGATAAGATCGAGTAATCGGCGGGGCCTGCCTTATCGTCTCCTCAGGCTGCCCTCTGCTTTCCCCTCATCGCCAACTTACTTAAAGCCTCGCTGCTCTTCTCTTTCCTCCCTCGAGTCCGTCTCTCCCATTGTCCTGCCATTGAACTACTTCCACCACCCACACATACCACCGCCACCATGTCCGACGACTCCTCCTACATCCCCGGCCCCGAGATCGACGCCGTCTTTGCGCACACGACCAACCTGGCGTCATCGGCCCTGAACAGCACCGTCCTCGCCTGCTCCAACGACTACTTCGCCGCGGCCTCCAACCTGCTCACTCCCACACCCCCCATCAACCGCCCGGGCGTCTTCATCCACACCGGCGCCTGGTACGACGGCTGGGAAACCCGCCGCCACAACCCAGCCCCCTACGACTGGGTCGTCATCAAGCTGGGCGTCTCCAGCGCCGCCATCCAAGGCGTCGAGATCGACACCGGCTTCTTCGTCGGCAACTTCGGCGAGAAGGCCGAAGTCCAGGGCACTTTCGCCCCGCACGCCCCGGATTCCGAGCTCATCGACCCCAATTACACCGGCTGGTCCTCCATCCTCCCCGCCAAACCGTGCGGGCCCTCCCAGCGTCGCGCCTGGAAAGTCCCCGACTACAACCCCCTCTCCCCGAAGCCCTACACCCACGTCCGTCTCCTCATGTACCCGGACGGCGGGTTCGGTCGTCTCCGTCTCTACGGCCACGCTATCCCCTCTCCCCTCGCCACCTCTGCCTCTGCCTCTGCCTCTGCCTCTGCTCCGGTCGAGGAACTCTCCTCCGCCCTCCTGGGCGGCCTGTCCCTCGCCGCTTCAGACCAGCACTACACCCCGGCCTCGAACCTGCTCCTCCCCGGCCGTGGAAAAGACATGGGCGATGGCTGGGAGACCGCCCGCTCCCGCGCCCCCGGCCACGTCGACTGGGCCATCTCGAAACTGGGTCTTCCTGCCGCTTCCGTGTCGAAGGTCGTGGTCGATACCAAGGACTTCAGGGGTAACTTTCCCCGCGCGGTCAGAGTCCATGGCCTTGTTGCGGCCGGAGAAGGTGATCAGGCGGTCGTCCCTGCGCATGATCATCCCGGTTGGGTGGAGCTGGTCAAGGGCGATCGCCCCTGTCAGGCTGATACGGAACATGTCTTCGAGGGCGACGATTTGGTGAATGGCGGTCAAGGATTTACTCATGTGAAGTTGACCCTGGTGCCTGATGGCGGTGTTAAGCGGTTTAGGGTTTTTGGGACTCGCGCGGTCTAGATGGGATGAGAATGAGAGTGGATTTGTGGTGGTGGGGGTGGGTGATGGGGAAAAGTATCACGACTTGGGGGGTTTGTTTCTTTTTGTCTATAGCCTTTTTTTGGGATTATTTACTTATTATATAGTTGCGGGTTTAATAGTGGTACTATATATGGACGTGAACAATGAATTTTCTTCTTCTAAAACTTGGTATATAACATAGATTGAACTGATATTGGGGATCTAGAGCTGGGAATGGGATTATGGGGGACTTGTCAGTAGATCTTTTTGTCTTTGAAGGGGTGGGAGGTTGAGAGTACTAGAGGGGAATAAGTTTATATTTATAAATACTAATGGAAAATTTAAGAGAGGAGAAAAGAAGAATAATCAAAAGAAGATAAGAAGAGGAAGGAAAATAAAAGCTCTAAATAAAAACAGCAGGCAAGCAGGCAAGCAGGTAGGATTGATTGAACCTCTCCTTCCTAACCCAACCTAACCCGATCCTTCCATGAGAACAGCGACTAAGCTCACTAACCAAACCAATTAACTAACTAATAACCAGTGGAGTATAAGGCAAGGCAATGTAGGCAGACAACAACACAAGAATATACCAATCGAGCAGAAAGAGATGAATGCCCCATTTCCCCACACATACTTACATGCATACAAGACCACGCATGGAAACGAAAATGGAAATGGTACCTAGGTAAGGTAGAGTGGTAGGTAATGATAATAGTAACGGTAATGCCCGAATGCGCAACTGCCACTGCAACGCAACGCAAGACAACACAACACAACACAACACAACACAACCTCAACTTCCATGGAACTGAGTGGGCGTTAATGGTATCATCAATCAAATCATATCATATCCTTCGTCATCATCGCTAGTAACAAAATTCGGACAGAGACAGAAGAGTGACGCAGAGACAGGAAGTAGTAGTAGTAGTAGTAGTAGTCAGTCAAGTCAGTCAAGTCAGCCATCCTGTCGTTCTGTCCGTCCGGCCCCGTTCGTTCCCATCCCCTCCCTCCCTCCCCTTTCCCGTCTGATGCTTTTCGTGGTGGTATCTTGTGGGTATTCAAAGCACACTGTATATGGAATATGTATCCCTGTTCGAAGGAATCAACTCGACTGTTCTCGCGACGCCAATTGTGGAAAGGAGTGGGTGGAGGTGAACCCATCCGCACTCATGCAGGGAAGAGGGGATCGCCGTGTCTACGGACGCAAGGCACGCAGGAGGGGAGGGGGTCACGAATGCATCTCTTTTCAGCTCTCTTCTCTTCTCTTCTCAGGGTATCACCTAATAACTTGCGAAATCTAATTTTCTATCGGCCTGCCATCCTGCAACTGGGTCTCCTCTTCGGCGGTCAACGTGATGACCTGACCATTGATATTGGGCGAGACGGAGTGACTCTTGGGGGTACCGGCCTCGGTGCTGACGCTCCCGCGCTCACGATGCGCCAGGCGGGTGCGCGTGTACGTCGGCACGGGGGCGAGATACTGATCGAGCATCTCGCTGAGGATGGTGGAGCGGACGGGTTTGGGGAGGTAGTTGTTCATTCCGGCGCCGAGACACTTCTCGCGATCGCCCTCGATGGCACTGGCCGTCATGGCGATGACGAGCACTTCGTTCACGTTGGGGTCCGGGTCCTTCCGGATCTCGCGCGTCGCGTTGTATCCGTCCAGCGTGGGCATTTGCACGTCCATCAGGACGACGTGGAATGGGGTGCCGTCGCGGGAGCGCGACCGGAGAGCGTCGACCGCTTGTTGCCCGTCGCTGTACGCTTCGCATTGCAGGTTGAGGCCCGTCACGAACTTGACCGCGATTTTCTGGTTGATCGGGTTGTCTTCCGCGATGCAGACCCGGATCTGGTCGCGTGGAACCATCGTCAGGTCGCGCGCGATCGGAACGGGGGCCTTGTTCTCGATCTGGCTGGGAATCTTGGATTTGGCGGCCTTGGCGATCGGGTCTTTGACTTTGTTGAACGCTAGGTGGAAGGTCACGGTTGTGCCAACCCCGGAGGTCGAATCGAGCCAGATAGCGCCGCCGAGAACGTCTTCAATGATCGCTTTGCAGATGCTCAATCCCAGCCCGCTGCCGCCGTAGGACCGCGCCGTCGAGTTGTCGGCTTGCGAGAATGGTCGGAAGAGCCGCGACTTTTGCTCTTCGGAGATGCCGATTCCTGTGTCCGATACTGAGCATTCGAGACGGATGCGTCCCTTGCCTTCCCGGGTGACCCGCGCCTTGACGGTTACAGAGCCCTTGGGGGTGAATTTGTAACTGTTGCTGAGAAGGTTCATGAAGATCTGATGTAGGCGAACGGGGTCGCCGAGGACCACAAGGTCCGGTGGCACTTTGTCCAAGTCCTCGATGGTCTCCAGACCTCGATCCCGATGCGTGTAGCGAAGCGCGCGAACCACCTCCGATATCGTTTCTCGGATGTTGAGCGGGACGGTGGATATCTTCATCTTTCCTGCCTCCAGCTTGGAGAAGTCCAGAATGTCGTTGATCAACGTCAGCAGCGTGTCGGCACACACCCGAATCGACTCCACGTATTCATCCTGCTCTTTGTCCAGTCTTGTTCCCTTGAGGAGTTCCGAAAGGCCGATGACGCCGTTCATCGGTGTCCGCAGATCGTGGGAGATGTTGGCCAAAAAGACGGACTTGGCCTTGGCGGCGTCTTCCTTGAGTTTGACATTGTGCTTCGCTTCAGCCTCGGCCACCTTGGCCTTTTGCTCCGCCTCGCGCGCCTGAGCCAATGCCCGCTTCTGCGCCTCAACCATCGAAGCGTTTGTGGCACTGACTTTGCGGACTTCCCGGAAGAGTAATGCATTGGAGAGCGAGATGCCGATCTGGTTGCAGAGCAAGTGCAGTACCACGACGTTTCGTTGGGTGAAGGAATTCGGCTTCCCTTCAATATGGATCACTCCGAGGAGATGCTCCGCCTGCATGATCGGCAGTGCGATGACTGACCTTCCGAGGGGATATCTGGCTTGGTAGGCCTCGTTGACGTTCGAGAAACGCTCGTCCTCCAGAACATTATGGACCAGAACTTCCTCTCTCGTGCGCATGACGTAGTGAGGGATCTGGTGGGCCATCTTATCCTCAATCTCGGAGAACGGGAGGCCATCAACAAACGATCGCTGTCCCTTCTCCAGGTCTCCGGCCGCAGCCACCGTAAAGTGGTTGTCGAAGTTGGTCGCAATGACTGCGGAGTCCGAGCCATTGCAGGATTCCAGCACGATTTCAATCATCTTCGTCAACAGCTTGTCGATCTGAAGTTCGGACGACATGACTTGACTAGATTCAAGTATACTTGACAGGTCGATGATATCTGCTCCCGGTCAGAAAACAAGCAGCTTATCCAAAGGAAAGCACCGAGCTTACCGAGGCCAACTCCTGAGATATCCAACGAGCGTTCACCCGTAGTGACGCCGTTTTGCTCTATCCAACGCTGTTTCCTATCGTCTTCATCCATCGCTGGTGGTACACCCATGTGTTCCTGTCCAGTGTTGCGATTGATCCCAAGAAGTGAGTCCACGGTCTGACAGCCAACATCGACGTTTCTCGAGGACGTGGCGGTTTTCAATAGCCACTCGTGTTTCTCGGTCAGCTGCGCTGCCTTGCCCACGGCACTTATCGCGGCCCACGCGGCGATGGCGTCCTGCATTACAGAACGCGCCGCCCGCTTGGCGCCACGTCGGATCAAGAACTCTCCTAATTCAAGGTTAGCCAGGGGTTAGAACGTGGGGGGAGGGACAAAAGGCAAGAGGATATCGTGGGGGGAAAGATAAGCCCGGTGTACATACCATGCAGTTCGAGAGCAAGAGCTTCCTCCAGCGGCCACCCATGAATCTGACAGTGATCGATCGCAGCCTAGCCATGTTAGCATTTTTCGAAACAAAGAAAAAAGAAAGGAAAGTAAACGAAAGGAAAGGAAAACAAAGCTGCCGCGCTTACCTCGAAAGCTTGAATGGCCGAAGTGTGATCATTCCGCACTTCGCAGATCAAGGCCTCCAATATCAGCGACCACATCCCGTAGTTTGCATCACAGGCACTTCGCGCAACGTCAACTTCGGCTTTATAATTCAACACCGTCTGCAAGCCTTCGTCGAGATACCCGCGAGCAGGGTACTCGTTGTGGAGCGTCAAGAGGGACAGTGCGAGATAGAAATAAACGATGTATGAGACACGCGCAGACCACAGTCTGGGCATTGTATCCATCATGTGCATTCCCACTTCGATGGCTCGAGTGTGATGCCCGTAAGCGAACAGGGGAATCATGGCCAGTCCCCAATAGATGTCGCGCGGTCGGTCGGCGTTACTGGCATTATTGTCAAGGAAAGCAATATACTCATATGTATGGTGATGCTCATCAGACATGATAAGGTCTGCATAGCGGCAGGATGTTTTCCCTTGTAGAGCGCGCGCTACTTGTCTATAGGCATAGTTGTTAGCTAGTTCGTTTCTTCCGATGCTTTCGATGCAGTGTAGAAGGTAGGATTCTGATGCTCACCTCACTGCAAGAAGACTGGCGCCACCACGAGTATCGTTTACCCAGTCAGGGATGTCTTCCGGGCTTTCATTGCAGAATGCCTCCACCTGGGCCATGTCATGGCCCAAGAAAAGCCTCGTCATTGCCATCGAAGAGAGACTGATCAGTGTGATGTACGGATCACCCATCGAAAAGGATGTCTCGACGGAATTCTCAAGAGCAGGGAGCGTCGATGACAGCGGAACCCGCAGGTGACCCACATACAGGTTATGCACAATAGAGCCCCGACTTTGGGTCCACGGCTCCGGGCACCGCTCAAGGAGAGTGAGCGCATAATCACTCAGCTTCACAGTCAGTGCCAAGTCCCGGAAGCGACTGAAGGAGATCATCGCAAGATGCGAGCAGCCTATAGATATCTGTACGAAGCCACCCTTGAAGAGGTGGAGGTTCATCATTTCAATGGCCATCCGATAGAACGTCAAGGCATCATCCCAGTATGTGACAGCCATAGCCTCGGCCATGACCTCTCCGATAGTTATCATGTCAACGTCCTTGCTGACAGGCTTACGGACAATCGCCTCCAGATCTGCCTTCTCGAGATACGCGCCGAGGTTCCGGTATGCAGCGTCGCATTCCTCGTAGGTTGTGGGCTCTCGGAGATGCACGCCAAGCTCTTCCAGGCACGTAAGGAGCGAGTCCATCGAGCGAAGATGGTTGCCCATCTGGGCATATATCTTGGCCTTCACGATCCACGCCCGTGATTTGCACACGGCGCTCTTCCCATGTTCGAACACTTTGTCCAGGAGATCCAAGGCCTCGGTATTGTGGCCTTGAGACCATGACATTTCAGCTGTGGCAATATGCAGCCGCAGAGTTTCGCGGTAGTAGACATCGGTGTTGTTGTCATCCCAGGGGTCGTCTTGGAGGAAGGTAATGCAATGGCGGAAATACCAAAGCGCAGTAGGTCGCGCACCCGATTGCGCAGCAGTCTGGGCAGCGTCCCAAAGAATCTTCCTATATTCAAGCCGTTCAACGACGCGGGATTTGATTATCCGGGAAGCAAGAGCCACGTGTCGTGCCATCGCATAGCGACTGCGTCCGTCGTGGTAGTACTTCATCATGGCTTGGGATATGATGAAATGCATCTTCTCGACATTTCGGCCCTCGGTCAAAGACAGGGCAGCTTGCGAAAACCGATCGTTGACAAACCTGAACTCATCATCCGTCTTTCCGGGAATCATGAGGTTCGCTTGCACAAGATACTGCAAACCAACGACCATATCGGCTTCCGTCTGTCGTATTAGATTTGCATTTTGCGGGCATGTGAGATCCACAGCTTCGTCGTCCTCGCTGGAATACAGGAACTCGCTGGTAAGGAGCTTTTGTACCAACGAGAACGCGAACGGACTTCCCAGCAAGGCACCCCAGACCATGATGGACCTGGCCGCCGGCGGGATCTCCTGAAGACGCCTCGCAATGAATCCCAGTCCCAGCCCTTCGCCGTACCTGGGTGCCACAAACTCAGTGAAGATCCGATCCAGGTCGAACTCCCAGACAGAATTTTTCCATGAATACCAGATGCAGTTCTTGCTGTAACAGGTTTCGAGCATCATGCGCACGAAAAACGGGTTGCCCATGCTCTTTTCCTGGATAACGGCGGCGAGGGGTGTTAGCATCGGGTTGGGCGCTTGATGCATCGTAGCTGCCACTACTTGCATGATCTCTTCTTCTCCCAGTGGCTTGAGCACAACTCTGGTCACGCTGGGATTTGCAGACTCAAATAGCGACTTGATGGTGTCGGATTCTAGTTCTGATTTCCGACTCGTGAGTATCAGAACGCAAGGCAATTTCGCTTTCACAATGTTCATGATCAATTCAAGGGTCTCGTCATCGGCATAGTGTAGATCGTCCACACATGCACATATCAACCTGTATTGAGACAGGGTCCTCAAAATCTCTAGGAACGTCTCCATCAACCGCATATTCTTTAACGCTGCATTGGAAAGAAAGAAATCCACAGAGCTTTGTCCCTGATCGAGACGAGGCAGTGCGATACGCTTGGATGGTTCGCCTTTCGTAGAGACTTCTTTGAAGATATGCTGAGCTGCGGAAAGCCTGGGCGAAATCTGCTTATCGTTTCCCCCAGAGGACATAAGCTGCTCGGGGAGCTCCAGGACGCGATGTAACGTTGGCCACATCGGTCTTAAGGCTGTGCGGATATTGTTGTGGTACTCGGTGGTCACATCGCGTTCAGAGAATATTTGTCGAAGAAGACTAGCCAAAATCTTGGCAAAAGGTTCAAACGGGATCCGTCTAGCTCGATCCAGACGAGCTATGCCAATGTAGCCAAGTTTACGGATGGCCGGCTGGACGCGGTTCAGAAGATCCGTTTTCCCAATGCCTGCGGAGCCGCTGATGGTGATTATCTCGCATTTTCCGACGCGACGAAGTTTATGTGCAGCCTTAGGTCTGGTTACCGATCCCAGAGACTCCCCGTGGCTCTGCGTGCTGGTACCCACAGAAGGACTATCCCTGTCTCCATTATCCCACGATGCCCGAGACTCCACCGGGCTCTTGGCTTTGCCCGATGAGTTTCCAGGCTTGGGGGTTGAGAGAGAAGAATCCGTGCTATGCAAGGATTCGTGGGTTGACACACGTCCTAGGTTACAAGGGGCACCGTTGGACGCTGCCCTAGAGGCAAGATTGAAGGACTCTGAGTCGCTGGAGGCCGATGCAATTTCAAAGCTATCAACACGGCCGTCTGACATGGAGGAGTTGGAACCAATGCCGCTGGAGGTTTGCGCGGCTGCCCTCGCATACGCAGAGTGTTGACGTCTGGAGACCTTCTCGGCGACACTTATAATCTTGTCATATTCTTCTCGCCGACCGAACATCCGGGAGGGTAGTGTAAAGAAAGACGACACATCACGCTGAGCAATCTGGAATTCTTTCAATGCCTCGCTATCGCCATCTCCGAGCAGTTCGGATATTTGCGCCAAATCACGCTTCACAGAGGATATAGTATGGTACCGCTCATTGACCGACCTTTGTGTCATCTTCTGGATGACCGCCGAGACGGCATCGGGCACATCCATTCTCTTCGCTGAAACCGGTGCAAGCTTTTTCCCGAGGACATTCTGGACGACTTCGACCGGGTCGCTTCCTGTGAACGCCGGTTTGCCCACCAACATTGTCCAAAACAGCACTCCTAGCGCATATATATCAGTCCGGCTATCAGGTTCAGTGGGCATTCTTCCCGTCTGTTCCGGCGCGATGAACTGCAGTTTGTTTTTGACACCCAGCTCTCTTGAGAGAGACGACCACCCCTCGCTCAGTATGTTGTCGAAGGACCTTGCGCCATTTCCCGTGTTGGTCAGCTTCACTAGCCCCGTCTCGCGGTTGAAGTGGAAGGCATCTCCGCGAATTTCGCCGTGCACTGTCTTCAGGCCATAGTGTAAGAGTTCGAGGGCATCACATGCGCCGATCGCGAAGTCGAGGAATACCGCAAGAGATACCTGCTCGCCGGGAGTCGGTTCGTTGCTGTCGGGCCTGCCGCCAACTGCAAACCACGCGGGCCCGAACGCGACCATTTCCTGCATCATGTTCGGGCCAGGCGATTCGAAAATGGCGACGAGTAGAGGGCCGACATCACCGGGGTCTGGCGGAAGGCGTATGAGGTCTATAGGGCGTATCGTATGGTTGCAGTCCGGATCCGAGGTCTGTACAATCGATCTAAGCATATGAAACTCGCGCTCAAGTCTCACGACGTGAGACGAGACCCGAGCCACCACTGGGATCCAGATTGCCTCGTGATCGATGCGGGACAGCGACAGCTCGCTACTGGATTCGCTTAAGCTGCTCCTCCAGTGATGCCGAAACGGGGGTCGGGATTCGGTGCGCGGGGAATTGCGAGCCAGGCTCGATGGGCCCGACGAGGTCGCGGCGGGTGTGGAAACGTCCGACTCGGCGGCATGACGAAGACCGAAAACATGCCAGTGGTTGTATGTCGAATGGAACGGCTCGACCGACTGATCCCATGTGTACCCGGGCAAATGTGCCAGCCGCTCGAACAGTCGTGCCGGTGGGAGCGGCAGATCGTCACCCAGGATATGGCTGTCCTCCATCTCCACCGACTATCGCGATATCCTAACAGGGTCGGCCTCTCAGTTCACGGCCATAGATCGGACGGCGTTAGTGAGTAGATAGTCGCGTGTGTTTGAGGCGGATGGTCTGTTGAAACAGGGGGGGCAGGATTCATAGGGACGAAAACGGTTCAATCGCCAAGGATGGTGGAGGGAGAGCGAGGCGCTGCCCCCTCTTTGAGATGCAGGGAAACACCCACGGGTTCGAGAATGCGACGCGGGCACCGGGGGTCGAGGGAGTAACCGGAGGGAACGGATATGGTGAAACGGGTGTTTCAGAGACCAGCTGCCAGCACCTCCACCAGTCAAGGAGCGTGAGGTCGCAAGCAAGCAAGCAACTTGGGGATCAGCTTGGTTTCTCAGTCCAGGCGAGAACTTTGGTTGGGGGGTCGGGGGGGGGGGTTTGCGGGCCTGAGGCCGTGGGTTTTCCTGAATAAGCCGGTCTTAGTCAGCTGCCGTTGGGCATCACGAGGGCTGTTCCGGAGCGGGAGATCAGCCGTCGTGCTTTCGTGCCAGAACCAGCACGAGCAGCCAAGTAAATAGTAGGCCGGAGTAGGCTCTGAGCCGGCCACCTGAACTCCTGAACTCTCGTCGCTCTCTCGCCTCACCTCATCTCACCTCCATCACTCTCGCCGTCTCCCTCCCCTGGACCACCATTGTGGCTACAGGTGCCATGATCCAAGCTTGGGCACTAGTCGGAATATTCGGGTGTCACGCTAGATAGCGGATTCATCATGCGCACCAACCACGTTTATACACGGCTGTTGATGAGGTGCAGGACTGTGAAAGACAGAGAAAGAAAAAACACCTGAAGGACAAGGAAAGAGACGGACAACGGGCTCAACAGGGAACCCCAGACGGACCGTCATGCTCAAGTCATGGGTGTATCATGTCGATGTGGGTACCAAAACCACCCATTACGTAGCGTCGATACTCGATATGCTGGAAACACGAGCGGGATGGGAGATCCGAGAAGTCAAATGGAAATGATCCCGATATGGCTGCATTGTACCTGAACTAGCCTCGCTGCCAATCAGTCGAACACAGCATCATCCGACATGCCCGAAATAGATAGAGTATGTTACTCCGTGTCGTTCAAGGGGGACGACCGGTTCCATGATCGCTGAGAGGGCCAACCCGATCCGACCGGGCGAGCAAACAACCACCACCAAGACTATCTATGTATGTACTTTTACTTGCCTACTGACTGACTAGGGTAGCCTGGCTTATCAGGAGATTCCAATCCTCCCATGGTATGACATGATCGTTCGGAGAGAATCAGAAACAAAAAACCCCTGATCCTGAGCATGTGGAGGGGCCAAACCACCACTTTTTACCCGGAAGTTCAAAACAACAGCTCTCCAGGTGAGAACCATCCTATGAACACTAAGAGGTTCCATTATTCGGTGGTAACGGATTTAGTGAAACTAAAAAAACTTAGAGTGTTCAAGTAAGTTGGCTTAAAGATTTCTAGAAAAATCAGTGCGGGACAAGGATAACCTTGTTCCTCTGACCCCTTAAAACATACTTATTTCCTGGAGTTATCAACAGCCGCCCAGCCCAGCCTTGTCTCTGATAACCGGTGGCCTTCCATAAATATCTCCATGCTACATACAATACTGCTACTAGCAAAGCTAATGCTGTAAATTCACTGGCACTGCGTAATGGTGTCCCCTATGCATCTGAGGTCAATAAATGCCATGATGTCACTTTTCGAGAGGTTACACAAGATCCAAGGTGCGGTGTGCACTAGGTACCACTAACTAACTAAGCGGTTCTTCATTATCGCCAGGCCGGCCGACTGAAGACTGGTGGCGTTATTATGATAAGAGAATGGCCCTCCTGGTTATTTGTTTCATGCTATCTTTCTACTACACTCCTGCAAGATGTGCCCGGGCTTCTTGTCAGATCAGACAAAATTCCAGAGCTTGGATTCCACGGTCTGGAGAAGACATTTGATGGGGCCTCAAGGCGTTATTACTTCCTCAGAACACATCGCAATAATTACTGTGGTTCAAACATCGAGATAAACCTGGTATTCCGTGTGCATGGGGGTGCTATCAAGCCCTCGGAGTTGCATGGCAATCCATACCAAGATGGATGGCGCCAAGCACCGTTCGGATGCTATGTACTGGTAAAGTCATGAACGAAGGCCTGTCCTGTTGTCTCACGATCTCTGTCTGCGTAATACTTAAACGGTATGCGATAGACCTTGATAGTCCTAATCTGGAGTATGCTCTCCGTTATTGCGACTTCTTGTGACCCCAGAAATTCAAGTTCGAAAACGAGTGGGTGGCTGCTGGCTGCTGGCTACAGGTACATCATGACAGGGTTCCCCCGCTGGCGGACCCCCGAACGTGATTGCATCCGTAGAAGCCCCAGTAAAAATGGGGCTGGAAACGGATGCACAGGGCGAAGATCGCAATCCGGTTTAGCCTCATGACCGTGACCTTGAAACCTGCGATAAAACTCCATGCCAGTAGGAGTTTCAGTCCGTTTCGCGTCCCGTGTCTGCGAGGCCATGGAAGAAAGAAGAGTCGCAAGGCGCTTGTTCGGACCCATAGATTCGGGGAGAATCGTCGAGGGATTATTATTATTAGTAGGCTGGCTTAGTGATTGCAGCCAGTAGTATTATTAATATTGGTCGCTCTCCACTAGTAATAGCGATAGTGCTTGACTGGTGTAGTTGGCCATGCAGTGGCATGGTCAGGCGGCGTGTCTTGCCACGCTGCAGATAACCCACCTACTAATAGTAAAGGTATTTCGATTAGTCGGGTATTACAGGCTTCCCGTACCAGAGTTGGCGAGCGAGATGACATGGAGGGATATTTAAAGACCAACCACTGCGAAGCGAACATGGATGAGAGATGGCCCTCGCTCCAATCACTGCTCGCCATCCACCCGAAATCTATATGGGGTGCAGGACTGCAGAGGGCTAATGTGGAAGAGTACCTAGAGTAGTAGTCAGCCTCCGTACCCATGGTACTGCCGCTGGACAGAACACCCCGATGTCGTCATCCTCTGCTACCCGTGATGGTAAGGGGTGTCCATAAATAGGCAGGGATCCTAACGGCGAACATTCCTTCGCCGCGCTTGATCGATAGATATGCTCCGACCGACCTGATGGACTGACAGACAGACAGACAGACAGGTGCACACTTCAAACCGTTTCGTAGTTGGAACACCTGTCTCCTGTTTGACGGTCTCGACACCCAGTGTCTCATAGGCCATGTTTTTGTTTACCTGCCTGTCGATTTAGAGCTGCGCGACGGCGTACCTCCCGTACGCCCCTGGGGCTGCCCCAATTACGGAGTAACTCTGAGTGGTGGCGGAAAAAAGGATCGTTGTGCGTGGTGTTTATCAAGAACCCGTGGTTCTTCTGTCCTGCGATGCAGTCATGGCTGGCACCCACCCCTATACCGCATTGGGACTAGGACCCTAATAGGGCGATGGTCCCGGTGGACCCCCCAATATGATTATGGGGAGCTGGGAACTTGGCGATAGAGTCTGCCCGGATCAACACCCAAGCAATTGGCCTTCCCGTGATATCGGACCTCGGTATATATTACTAGATCGCCCTTATTTTTCCCAGCTTACCTTACCTCCCTCATGAAAAGGAGCGCATTCCATCCACCGACTGGCTCGGAGCTAAAGACCGACGGGATCGTGAGGCATCCAACTCTGCTGGATGACACATCTCGCGTCGCGTAACTAGTTAGTTAACTAGCGTGCAAGAAGAAGGCCGAGAAGCACCGGTCCAGAATTCATTTTACTTTGTGTGGAAAAGAGAACCACTCCAGCTTGTTCCCTGGTTACTGCTAGGATGGACAACATAATCCAACTAGTACGGAGTACCTAATATCCATATCTTGCGACCATTCAAGGAAAAGGAACAAGGAACGGTATCTTCGCGGACGCCGAAAGGGTGATCATAGCTTCAAGAGTAGGTCCCGCAAGCCCAGAAGAGGAGGCTCTCAAGCCGCCTGAGTTCTGGATTGGTTCCCCCATGAAACTTTGGAATGATGGCGTCTGGGGATATAGCGGTCACATGGAGATAATAAGCATTGGGACTGCCGCCTCTGCCTGCCATGATCCATCGAATGAACGATTTTGTTGAGGAGTGATATGCCTAGTTGGTAAGCATGTACATGCGTACTCTGGGAGCCTGAATTATGCAGGACTCAGTACTCTGTAGACTGCGTAGACTGAGTACGGCGGTTTAAAGTTCATGTCATGGACTGTAGGTGTCATAGTGGTGGCGGGGGGAATGAGGCCGAGGATGGATGCCCTGGCACTAGTCTTGTTCGGTGATATCATGTGACATGGGAGTCCGAGGGTGCCGGCAAGCGGAAGGGATGTGGCTGTATGGCGGTCGTACTAGCAGTAGTGCCCCCGATTCATCGCTGTTACCAAACTCAGTAACGGTTAGTACCGGTAGTAGCCTCACTCCCTCCCTCCCTCTCAGTAGTAGTAACCTCCCCCCCCCCCCCTCTGATGAAATTTGGGTGACTTGGAATCCATCTCTCCGTCTCCAGTCTCCCTCTCTGACACTTACCCTGTACCATGTTGCGTTGCTCAATAGTGGCGGACTATCCTACTTCCCTTCCGGCCTTCCCAATTTTGCTCGCCGTTTCCCTCCCATCTCCCTCGCCCACATTCTAAGGACTGAGGAGGTATTGCCTGACGGTCTTTTTGCCAGCCATCCCGATCCAACATCACCTATTCTTGTGCTTTCTTGAACAGCCAGCATCGCGCGCTGCTCTCCCCTCTCTACCCCTCTCTCCCAAGGCCTGCCCTATCTACCTCTTCGCTAAGTACTAGGCAATACCTACCGCGGGTTCGGCCAAAACGACCCCCCCAGGGCCAGGCTACGTCATAGGCTGGACACCCCCGGAGACGGACCATTTCCATCCTTCAGCACAAATCGTCGATCTGCTGGGTCAGTCCGTAGCAGCAGTAGGAAACTCCTCTGCTCCAGCGCTCCGGCGTGCTTCTAAGGCAAGGTCAGATCAGTCGAACCTTCCTCACCCTCCGTTCCTCTTTATCCTCCAGTCCTCCTCCCTCACCACCACGCCCTCCGCTATACACCGCTTTAGTCACCCTTTCCTTCCCTAACTAAACAACCTTTTTTTGCTAAAACCTTTTTCCCTCTTACACATTCTTCCCTCCCTCTCGTGCCTTTCCCTTTTGATATCCTTTTCTCCTCCTCCTCTTCCCCCCCCCCCTCCCCACACACAGAAGTTGCCCATTTCCACTTGGTTTAATATCACCGGGGGCCTTTTTTTGTTTTACTCTTTTTCTTCGCTGTTATTTACCCCCCCCCACATTTGGCTTTCCTGTTTCTAAGCCACCGCCCCTTTTCCACCGCATTACTTTCTTGCGTATTGTGTTTTTTTTTACCCTTTGATATACACCCTCTTGCGTGAACCACTTTTTTTTTTCTTTCCAACCCTCCTCCCCCCCCCCCCCCACACCTTCATTATTCCTGTCTCTGCTACCCCGGTCTTCCCCTGCCCTGCGGCCTACAAAATTCACCCCATCGCGGACCAGTTTGTCCGAGAGATGAGTGCCCCGATTGGCTCCTGTGGAGTTGGATTCGCCCAGGAGAATTGATTGTTTGACCGGCGGTGGAGGGAGTTTAGGATGGGGGAAGTTCGCAGCATGAGGACAACTCCGCTTCCATCGCCGGCCGAGGCCCCTTCGCCTATCGCCGCACCTCACTCCCACCGTCGAAACTCCTCCCAATCAACTGGTTTTATTCCCATTCAAAATGCTGGATTTTCAGTCGATGCAGACGCGATTTCGGAGAACAGTGCCTGGAATGCTAACTCTCATTCTTGTCCTTTGTCGCATGAGCAGACAGCGAACGCGTGCCATATCCAAACCCCCACGAAGAAAGACAGCCCTGAAGCGGGCAAATACCCGGAGGACCAGGGTCGAAGCTTGCAGACCCTCAGAGAGCTCCGCCGGCAGATGGAAGAGTTGCTTGTGTACCAGCAGATGCAACAATCACAGAGCCAGACCTCATCGGCCAATCGAGAAACCCCGCCGTCGCAAACGGACCCTCTACCAAGTTCTCCCGGATCGACAAGAAAGAAGCCTCTCAATGTCTCGTTTGCCAAAGTCACTTCCTCCTCGGGAGAACTTCCTTCGGCCTCTTACTCCGACTCGACCGGCTCTGGCGGCACAATAAGAGCCGTAGATACCCCCGAAAACTTCCCTTCACAAACTCCGTCCTATCCGTTTCCGAGAATGCAGACGCAACCCACGTCAAGGCCGGCGCAGCCTACAGCGAAACCCACGCAGGAATCCCCGATAAACCGCAGTGCTTTCAAATTGACACTTCCGTCCGAGAAGATGAAGATTCATATGGCGTCGTCGAAACTCGCAGAGGAATCGCAGCCGACAGGAACAGATACACAGCACTTCCAAAGTGTTTTTCTCCCGCCCAATTACAAGAGCGTGGTCGAGGACCCAAATTATCCCAGCCCGAATTTATATGAGCTCACTTTGCGATTGAATGCAGATCCGGGTCTCGATGCGTGGTGGACGAATGTGGTCCACATATTACAAGCGCACTATGGAGCTGAGAGGGCGTCGCTAGCCGTACCGGGTGATGCGACAGACCTGGAAAACGTTCCATGGGGTCAGAAAGCGGTTTTCGACCGGAATATTGAGACGGAGTCGCAGGCTCGGCATCTGTACGATGGAACGACGACAACGCGAGACGATGACCTAAAGGAGAACAAGGACGTGTCGAGGAGGAATGAAGTGTCTGCTGCGGAAGCGCTTGCGAATGGTTCGAGCGCAAAGTCACCAAAGCGCCCGTCCCTTTTGTCGCGACACTCCTTCGCTGGGTTTGGCAAGGAGAGAAAGAACCACAATTTGCATGAAACAGATGCGCAGCACCTTCGGGGTCTTAAGGCCCCGTCTAAACCGGAGAACAAACGCACGTGTACCATCGAAACCCCGGCTGGAACGGAACCGGAGCAGTCATCCAGGCCGCTGAGCTCTTCGCAGAACAATCTTCGACAGGCCGTCTTTCCGATACCAAGACCCCTGGAGGTGGAAACAGATCCGCTTGTCAAGCGAACTGGCGTGGTGAAGTTGTTCGGACGAACAGAACCCGTTGTTCTGACTCGTGAATATTCACAGGGTTTGGCGATTGATGAACCTCATTGCGAAACCCCCGAAGACAGGATTCAAGTCACGCCCACCGCCGAACCCTGCGGCAATCAGCCACCGCACACAGTTCCCGTATCCAACCCCACTGTTCTTGGTCTCCAGGGAGAGCGGATGCCGGCAATGGAGTTTTTCGACGAATATGAACAAATACCACCATCACCCTGGTCGCAATCTCCAGCGCCTTCCCCAGCACCTCGTGCTCATGCGGAACAGAACCCCTTCTTTGTGAGCCACGCTGTTGATGAGGAAGCGTTCGCAAAGCATCCTCCGCCTCACGACTACTCCAACCTGAACCCATTAGAAGCCATTGGTGTCGACATGGCCAAATCTGTGGTCCATATCCCGCTTCTGCACGCCGGACGCTCCAAGCAAACATCACCATCTACATTACGATTTCCCGTTGCAGTGATCTCAATATTATCACCAATAATGCCCTATCCCTCGAATCTGAGAAAGTCTTTGGCTTATCTCATGCCTCACCTGACGACCTCGTTCTGTTTAGCTCAACAATATAGCCAGCTTGAGCGCCAAGTGACTTCTCGACTCGAGGCTCCTCGATACGGACATCTTCTTGGTCTCGGTGGAACATTTTCAGATGAGAGTAGTGAATTGGAGCTTGTCGCTGGCCTCAGCGGTCATGTCCATTACACTATAGGGGATGATGGGTCTCTTTCAGCACGTGCCAGCCTTTCTAGCCCCGAAGAAAGATCAAATTCGGCGAAACTTAGCCCTGCTGTACCCGGGATCGGTACACCTGGATTTGACTTGAGCACTCTTGGAACGGGGGCACACATTGATACCAATGAGTCACCCGGACTGACCACGAGAGTCGGCGGTGACGGCGTGGACAGCTACTTCAATGTTCAGCAGTCGAAGCACATCCGAGACGCAATTACTCAGCACCGGAATAGACTGTCAAAGGCGAAACAGAACGTTACTACCTCAACTCCTACGTCACCTGGGAAGTTCCTCGGAAATCTTCCGATGGATGAAGAACTGGCCACGCAGGTTCAAAGCCCGACAGGGATTTCCCCATCGCAGGATATCAGGGCGCCGCCGGTTATATCGCCGACGCAGGCCTCTTCCCGCCAACCGTCAGCGAACTCCTTCTACGCTCATTTGCAACGCGAGCTCCCACGTCCGTTCACCGATACTGTAGCACAGCTGATGCTGAACTCAGTTCCTCTTCACCTCTTCCTTGCCAAGCCCCAGAGTGGTGAGGTTATCTGGACAAATTCGAAATTCGATGCTTACAGGAGGAGCCAACCCCAGGAGCAGAAGCTCAGGGATCCTTGGCAAAACATCCACAACAGTGAGCGGCAACAAGTGTCCCAGGAGTGGGCTAATGCTCTACGGACTGGGTCTCAATTTACGGAGCGAGTGCGCGTGAAGCGCTTTAATGACGAGTCGGCTTATCGCTGGTTTATTTTCCGTGCCAACCCGCTTCTGTCTGCTACAGGAGAGGTGCTGTACTGGATCGGATCATTCCTTGACATACACGAACAGCACATTGCTGAGTTGAAAGCAACACAGGAGAGGGAGAAGTTTGCGACTGACGCTAAATACCGAGCATTTTCCAATTCCATCCCGCAAATAGTGTTCGAAGCGACTGAATACAGGGGTCTCATATTTGTCAACGAGCAGTGGCACCTGTATACCGGTCAGAAGCTTGAAGAAGCACTGAACTTTGGCTTTGCAAAGCATGTTCATCACGATGATTTGGAGAAGTGTGGCTTGCTTTCACTGTACCTCTCCGAGGCACAGAAAAATGGGAGCGCCACTGAGTCAGGCGAGGCAGCTGCGGAAGGGACAACGTCCAAGGAGAAACAAGTTGGCCATGGTGTTACACCTGCATTGGAGGACCTTGTAAGACGCGGAGTTGCCTCTGTACAAAGAGACGAAAATGGACGTGTCTTCTACTCGACAGAAATAAGGATACGGTCAAGAGGTGGGGATTTCAGGTGGCATCTTGTTCGCCTGGTATGTGTCGAAACGAGCAGCTTTGGCAGCGGAGAAGCCTCGTGGTACGGAACTTGCACCGATATCAACGACCGCAAGAATCTCGAGCGGGAGCTCAACAAAGCTATGCAGCAACTGAACAACCAGATGGAATCGAAAACCAAATTCTTCAGCAACATGTCCCACGAAATCCGAACTCCACTGAACGGCATCTTGGGCACCATTCCCTTCATTCTCGATACCCAGCTGGACACCGATCAAAGGCGAATGCTTGACACGATCCAGAACAGCTCGACCAATCTACGTGAACTGGTTGACAATATTCTAGATGTTTCCCGAGTGGAAGCCGGGAAAATGTCGCTAGTTAACTCGTGGTTCCATGTACGGTCTGTGATTGAAGATGTTATCGACACCGTTTCATCCCGAGCGATCGACAAGGGTCTCGAGATCAACTATCTGATGGATGTTGATGTCCCCCCTATGGTAATTGGCGACAGGTTCCGAATTCGACAAGTCCTCATCAATCTTGTTGGCAACGCCGTCAAGTTCACTGCCCAAGGAGAGATTCACATTTGCTGCTCAATTTACCATGATGCTTCTGCGCATATCAAGAGAACAGAACTTCTGCTGAACTTTGATGTCGTGGATACTGGAAAGGGCTTCAGTGCGAGAGACGCGGAACGTCTGATGCAGCGATTCAGTCAGCTTGGGCAGAATGGATCGCAGCAGCATGCGGGTAGTGGTCTTGGATTGTTTCTGTCCAAGCAGCTTGTTGAAATGCATGGCGGCAGGTTGACCCCTAGCAGCAAGGAGGGTCAAGGTGCCAAATTTTCGTTCCATGTTAAAGTGGACGCTCCGCCGCCGCCATCTCCCGACGAACCTCGAAGTCTTCAAAACATCCCCGAGAGCCTTGGACCGCAACCGAAGCCTAGTTCACTGAAAAAGCTGCTCTTTTCGAAAGAGTTGCTTGACAATAAAGGTCTGGACTCAGCCGAACTATCATCCGCTCTCGAATCATCACTCTCGAAGGCCCGAATCAACACAGACACTTCACGTCTCCCATCGAGCACTTTGTCCAACCGATCATCCTTTTCCTCGGCCCTCCCGACTCCTGATCTCAGCTCGGTGGATCCTCTGGCTAAGGTCGACACTTCCAAACCCACCCCAAGCCAGACCAGCGTCTCTACTCCGGGTCTACCAGACACAGTAACGCCCGACAGCGGTGATGCTCCGCCAGTGATTCAACCTTCTCCGCCACACACGGAAGAATCTCCCACGCCCACCCAGCCGACAGAATTAAGTACTGGATCGGAAGCAAAGCAAACGTCAACCGCGTATTCTATACTTATCCTGTGCCCCTTGGATAATACTCGCAAGGCTATCAAGCAACACATTGAGCAGGTGGTGCCCCTGGAAGTTTCTTTCTCTATCGCCTCGACGCCAGATGCTGAAGATTGGAGAGACTCGGTGAATGACGACTCTCTTTCGAAGCTCACACATCTAGTCCTCAATTTGCCGAGTGTCGATGATGTTCTAGACGTGATTCAATATGTTTCAGAGAGTGATCCGGCTACCGCCCCGACTCTCGTCATCATATCGGATCTTTACCAAAAACGACAGATTAATACAAAGATCAAGGAGCTGGCATCTACTGGGAAGCGTGTATATACAGTGCCAAAGCCGGTCAAACCCTCCGCCTTCTCCGCCATCTTCGACCCCGACAACCGACGCGATCTGAGTAAGGACAGGAACCAGGACATGGCAAGAGAGATCAACAATAACTTCAAAACCATGTCCAAGATGGTGAAAGAGGTTATTGGGAACAAAGGCTATAGGATATTGCTCGTTGAGGACGATGATACGAATCGCATGGTAGGCCCCCTTGCATTGGTTTCATTAGCATTCGCCTCTGACACGTGACAGGTGATGTTGAAATACCTCGACAAAATCAAAGTTATGGCGGAGACAGCTACAAATGGCCAGGAGTGCACAGAGATGGTATTTTCGAAGGAACCGGGATACTACTCCCTCATCATAGTAAGTACATGAATGTCTCACCGATTGTAGTCGATTTGCTCACCCTCACAGTGTGATATCCAAATGCCGATCAAGAATGGTTATGACACATGCCGTGAGATTCGTGGTTGGGAATTGAAGAATCACTACCCCCAAATACCAATCATGGCCCTTTCAGCGAATGCAATGACGGATCAAATCGAGGACGCTGCACGGGCCGGTTTCAACGACTATGTCACCAAGCCCATCAAACACAACGACTTGGGCAAGATGATGATGGGGCTTCTCGATCCCAACCGACCTTTGCTTCTCCTTCGCGACCGCCTCAAGGCTGACCAAGAGGCTATTCGCCACGAGGAGTAAGACAGCCTGCCTGTTTTTGTGGATACCTTTATCGACCAAGAGGCGTTTGACGGGTTTCTTCTACTATTAACCATCGGAATGCGTATCTCTGCGGTCTTCATTGTCGGCCGTTTTGTGTCATGATGTACTTGCTACACACTCAGTATTGTTTTTCTCGATCTTGGGATGGGGTTCTTGGATTGGCAAGAGCCATCGGATGGGAAGGCGCCTGTGGATGATTTCAAGTTTTCGCTTTTGCTTTCTATGAGTCTACCTATTGCTCTCTTCCTGGTTGTGGAATTCCTACGCATCTGCATTCCGCATTCAACGTTTGATTGATTGATACCTTTCAGCATCACGGGGCCGGACTTTCAGGCTTGTTGTTGTTCTTTGGACCTTCGACCTCGTTTCATGGCGTCAGTTCTCGGATTTTATTGAGCAGTTCTCTCTCTCTCTCCATCGTCTTCTTCCTGTGAAGCCCTGCTCCCCGTTCCGCGCGTGGCTTCCCCCGATACCAGCTTTTGAGCACGACTTTTTAACTTCTGGAATTGTATTTGCAGATAACAGAGCCTTTTTATTACTCCTCCCTCCATATCCCACCCGCCCCTTTCTCCTTTCCTCCCTCTCACTTCCTTCCATCCCTTCCTCCCACTACCTCTATCTATCTTTCTCTTCCCCTGTGTTGCTCCTTTCTTGAGTAGTAGATGTTCTCGATTCCTCTTCCTTATAGTGATATACCCCCGCCGCCCGGGCTAGTTAGCTATAATATCTTTCTTCTTTTTCTTTCTATCTCCCTTCCATGCATTTCGGGATCCCCAGATTCGTTCGGCTTGCTTGGTTAATTGATCGACTAATCAATTCGTTGACGGTTGGATTGGATCAATGGTGTGAATTGAATTGAATTGAATGGATAGGTTGTTGAATTTGGTTAGCATGACATAGTATGCATTTCCTCCCTGGTTTTTCGTGAGACGATGGAGTCTGTACCCCCCCCATTCCATTTTATTTTATCTTCTTTTCTTTTTTCCCTTTTGTTTCTATTGTCGGCATATGGACTGGACTGGAATGGAATTGTTGATTACTCTACTCCACTCCACTTCACTTCACTTACATCCTATCTATATCTTTACGTCATATCATACCTTTATTTTACTCTTGACACTTTAGTTACTCTTACACTTTACTCTTTACACTTGATACCCCCTGCGCCTGGAGTACGCCTCATTGCATTACATTGTCTTGCATCACACCACACACATTACACCACATCGCATCGCATCGCATCAAAGTATGGTGCCGTGGTGTCGTGGTGTCGTGGTGCCGCGATGCTTAGGGAAAGGCTTCCTCCTTCCGATCGGAATAGAAAAGTAGAGTAAGTCTGTCAATATTATCATTATTGCCTAAGAGGCATCCAAAAGAGGGAAGGTGTCATTAAGGTAGACTCGCAGGTGATTTATGCGAGGAGTACTGTACTTATTGGGTTGGTTGTCTGGCAAGGTAAGGGGGTTTTTAGGGGGAAGTAAGTCGAAAGAATACGAAGGAACGCAGGAGAGATATATACCTAGGAGGGAAGGAAGTACGGCTCGCTTGGAGGTGAACACTTTCAAGAATGTATTCTATTGGGTGTGTTCGGCTACTGTCGGTCGTTCCTGCCTTTTACTGAACTGAGTACCTACCTTTCTGTCTTGTCTGTCTGCCTGCCTGCCTGCCTGCCTGCCTGCCTCAGGCCTACATCTACATGACCTTGCCTACCTTAACCTACCTACCTACCTTGGCCGATCTGACTCGCGCAATGGTGAGGCGAGAATATACCTTTCCCTGTAAGAACCAGTGAACTTGTCAGGTGAGCAAGCGACATTGTCAGTGAACCCCATATCCCTTCCTTCCCGGCCCTGGCCTGACTGACTCTTCAGATCATGTAGTCGACCCCCTACGGTCTCGTCTAAAAACTCCGAAAGGGCGATTCGTGACTTCCCACTTTCTCTCTACTTTTCCCTGTGCAACCTTTCTTCCGGGGGTCCAGATGACAACGACTGCTTGCTTGGCTAGAAGACGGAGACGGAGACGACAGTCGTGCAATGGCGCAGTGGGAGGCGGAAGGCTTGCTCGATCCCATTCTCCGCTTATGGCGGTAAATGTCTGGAGGTATGTGGTGTGGTGTTGAGATCGTCTGACTTTGAGGGTTCCCTCCCATGACTTCCCATTGGCATCGTCATTCCCGGGGCGTGTACCTCTTTGGGGCTGTCTCGGGCTTTGCGAGTCATCGGAAGGTATGCGGCCTCGAGTTGTCTCGCCGGGACCTGAATGAGCGAGGGGTCAGGTATCTTTCGAATCTTCTCACCTGGGATTTTACATCGCCTGGTTCTGTTTGCAAGTCCGGTTTTCGATCTGACGGCAGTTCATATCGAGACTGGAACACTTGCATTGGTTTAGGCGGAAACCATGCGGTTCGTTCCCTTGGGGGTCATTTGCGGCTGAGCGGTGTCTTGTGAGGGAGGTATGGGGGACCCGTGGAATGCAAACGAAAATGGTCCAAGGGCGATGTAGGAAAAGAAAAGACGAGCAAAAGAAGATTACACCGGACAATGCAGAGGTGCCAAAGGTAACACAGTAAAAAAATGAGAAAAGAAACCCATCTCTCATTCAGTGCCACTGGCTCGAGACAGCTTCAGATTGGCGAGCGCCAACGGAGGGTGGACGAGGGGCTTGTACACGGATGACGTTGACATTTCGTCCCATTCTGAATGGTAGCCAGCAGCTTGAAGATCGGGTGCCTCAAACGATCCAGGCAGGAGGTTCGAGGACAGTCGGGTATGGATTCCGTAGACTCATAGGTGACGGGCAGTCTGTAGTAATGTTGGTGCCAATACCCAACCCACTATGTTCTGGAAAGGGCGACGAGGGGAAGAGAGGAGGGGGCCCAATGGCCAGAAGGGATGTTCGGTAGTCAGCGTCATGATAGTCTAGTCGGGGCCAACGGCCGACGAGCTGTGATGTGGCGGTGAGCGAAGAAGGGCGCGAGCAAACGGACGGCAGGCGAATGAAGGGCCTCGCCAGTTCGCAACCCCACATCCGCTGCACTCCCTCCACAATAGAGACGTGACTTAAGTACACCTGACACGGGCCTCGTCTGCATCGGTGGTTGTTGGGCACGGTGGCCGCTGCGGGGATAGTTGGTCGTCGGTTGTCTCTTGTCTCACGACCAAAGCGGCCATAACCCGGCCTGCATCCAAGGCATCCTATCCTAGCCTTAGCTCGATGCAGCCGATGCAGCGAAGACAAATGTCGAACAGCCTGTTGCATAAGCCTGGCCGTCCCAGGCCCGCCCGTGCAGCCGGCCTCGAGCCGCGGGCCCTCAAGAAATTGGCAAGTACTTAATGCACCTGGTTGTCAGTGAGGTTCCATTCAAGTACAGAATATATATCGCAACTCCGAAGAGGGATATCAAAACTCGAAAAGAAACAAACCCCGGGCCAAGGAAAAAGAAAAGAAAGACAAACAATAATGTTCAAAACAAAAAAGCACAATTGCGAGCTTGTACAATATCGCCTGCCTTTGCGTTGGGCTTCTGTGTTACCCGGTAATCCGGTCGGGCTGATGGGCAAAGAGAAAAAAGGCTTTTTTTTCCCCTGGGGGCCATCGACCCGGGATCTGCTGCGTCTAAACGATTCCGGTGGTGTTCAGGCATGCTTGGGAGAAAGGGCCAACGAAAGTCCGGCCAGTCCTGTAAGGCAACAGTCTCACAACGAGATGAGGTAGCAAAGGTCGTCATAGTAGTCGATATTGGACGATCGACTGCCGGCCTGTCGGTGGATTTTCCCGTGAACCCGCGTAGATCCTGAGTGGTGTTCGCAACCCAGTCGGACATGGGCACTGTGGAGGCATGCCTTGTGTCTCTTCGATCAACCTACCAGCGCAGGGCGTTTGTCCCGGAATGGCTCTTGCGTTTTGTTTTGTTGTTTTTTTTTTTTTTTTCGTTTTTCGTTTTTCTCATCCCCTCCTCTTCATCGCATCTTCTCTTTGGTCACCCTTGTACCTCAAGATAATCAGTTCGGCCTTTGGGTATCAAGGCTATGGCTGTACTTGGTTCCAAGTAGAAATCCATCGGGTTTGCCTGCGGTGACCCATCATCCCAAAGCCTCTGAAGGATAATCCCCTTTGCAACATGCACGACCGTCGCGCTGCTTTTGCAGAGGCCCACTCTGCCCCAGTCGGCGTCGAAGTTCCACGTTGGCGGCGTCTAGAGCGCTTGCGGCCGTTGGGGTCCCGTGTGCCGGCCTTCTTTCGTTGCCAGACGATATTTTCATGCGCAAGGAAGCAGAACAGCCAGCCGCCGATAAGCGGACTAGGAAGCCCTCGCAGGATCCGGAATCCTGGATCGCTTTCGTCCTTTCGCCTTTCGCACGTCATCTGTTCGGCACAAGGAAGGAACCCTGTCCGTTACACGGTTTCCTTTCCTTTCAGGGGCCAATTTCTGCCCTGCCGTGCCACTCGAGCGATCTTGGGTTGCTGGGCCGAGATAGTATGACCGTGAGGATTTGAGAAACGCAGCGCCGGTTCTTTGCGCATCCTTCGTGTCTCCTTTAGTCTTTTTTCTTTCTTTTTACCCCCACCCCCGGTCCCCCCAAGCATATGCAGAGATGTCCAACGCCAATCTATAATCCTCGACTCCGGCCTTTCTCTGATATTGCAATTCCTGTGATTTCGTCAGCCCATGTCTTGATCCATTGCAAATCTCCGTGCCTTGCAGTTTCGACTCATATGATGTTGGGTTAATTCCCGACGCCCCAAAAAAATCAGATCAATGCAAAGGACTCACGGCGTTCTCTTCCCCGGAAATGCTTCCCAGCCCGATGCTTGTATATTTGCCAACACAACACCATTTGAATGACAGGACGCGCGGCGACAAGTGAGGCTTTTGACCACGGATCGTCAAACTAGACATGACGAACCAATCCCAATTTCTCAACAACAACGGCAATATACTTGGTAAGAAACAGCGATTGGATGTCTCATGATACGGCGACTCCGTAGTCACGCAACTCTTATCACACTCGGCGGTTGCCCAGTCGAATGAATCCTAGGCCAGCCTTAACTGCAGCGCACAAGCTTTCCCAGCCACCCAGCCTCCTGATATTGACGAGGGCTGATGGCCACGGGGCCCCATGGACGGGACGGGGAGTAATGCAGGACGAAAAAAAAGGTAGAATAGGCAGCAATACCCCCAAGTCCCCAATCAGACAGGTGAGAGAGAACGGAAACAAGACAACTTGATAAAGAAGACCCCGGTGGGAGAGGAGCCAAGTAATCCCGCATATCCGGCGAGGAGCAGATCTAAGGTCATATCTGAGCGAGCTCATGCCATCAGGCGCCCCTTTTATATATCTCTGATGCCCGCACTAGCCCATTTCAACCCGAGGGAAGAGATTTGGACCCGAGGAAAACTAGATGCCCGAAAAATTGCCACGGGAGGGCGGACTGGGGGGTGAGTGGAGGAGGAATGAACGGGCTGGACCAGTCTCCGGCCATTCACCAATCTTCCCTAAATTTCGTCTTCCCAGCCAGAGCGGGGTCGATTCGGAAGAAGGAGCGAATTGGCGGCCAGAAATGGAGGGACGGGCGGAATTGGGGGGTTGGGATTGGAGAGACTGGAGGAAATGGGAGGGTGAGGGTCGAGGGGGGGTGGGAAGAAAGTCCCCCGGAATGGTCCAATGCCCAATGGATCAATCGCCCATCCCATCCTCTCCCCTCCCCCCCATTCGATTGAGGTCACCGTCCTCGTCATGGACCTTTCCGCCGGATGGAAGACTCTCCGGTGAGGGATATATAAACCCTCTTCTCTTCCTTTGTCCTCTTGTTCTCCTCCTTCTTTCTTTTCCATCCCTTTCCAAGTTCTGCTTCTATTTCAATCCTGCCATCAGATCCTCTCCGGTGACCTTGCCTCTTACCCCTTGACACTTCCTTCTTGATAAGGGTGCTGATCCTCCTCGGCTCTGCTTTGCCACTTGACCAATTGTTGTCCTCATTCCATCTTCTTCTCACTGTTCACTGCTCGCACGCGAGAGATAAGACATCCCACAATGGCGACCCATCACTACCAGGCTCCTTCTCTTCCCATCAACGTCCCCTCCAAGGCCCCGGCCCTAGCCAGCTTTCACCCCATCAGCAGAGTGTCAGGATCTCCTCCTGAGCTCTCCGATACCAGCACCACCGTCGGCAGCCGCACCTCCGCCGGGTTCAGCTACGGCTCCGGAAGCATCAGTGGCGATTATGAGTCCAGTTCCGCCTCGTACTCTGGGGTGGACGTTGTCGACGTTCTGAACGACCGCATGCAGGATGTGTTTGACCCCACGCCACTGGATAGGGGATTGGCGATGCAGGCCCAAGCGTGAGTAGTCCTGTTGCGAAATTTGGTGGAAATTGGTTTTGTGTGCCAGTCAAACTCGCATGGCTTTCCGGACCGGGGTGGGCTCTCAAGGACATCAAGCTGACAGCAGTTGAACAGCTCCGGTCAACTGAATGCTAAGCAGCGAGAGCTTCTAGAGCTGCAGGCTCTCGCCCAGCGTCGCTTGAAGGGTGTTCGCTCCACGTTCAACGAGGGGATCAAAGTTGCTCGGGAGACCAAGCGGGATCTGGAATGGACCCAGAAGCGCGTAAAGTGAGTCTTGCAGTCTTCACTTTGGAACCTCATGCAAGATCCACACGACGATAGTCAACGGATTCCGCCCCGCCGACGGGGTGCACGTGTCCGCCGCGCTCCGCCGTCGAGAACACTCTTGGCATTGTGGCTGCAGACGAGCAAACGAATGATGAGTCTGATGCTGACGGATTTCGAAACACTAGTGCCTTGAAAACAAAAGCCGAGAATGCGTATCCCGAAGAATATCGGCGAGCGTCCAAGAAGTACACCTTTGCCGATTAAGACAACCGAACTCCAGCCAGCGGGTCGATCTCGTCCGCAGCGCCATTTCTTTTCTGTTCGCAATTTGGGAGGTACACATTTGGTAAAGATAGCGACAGCTACCTCTTGGGTAAAATCGTTTTGCAGGTTTTGGTTCAGGCGTGCTTGGTCAATGGGTTGATATCTTGGTACTGCTGAGATATTTGGGATGGTACATGTTGCTTTTTCTCAGGCGCACTTTGTATTTGTGAATGCGGCATATTTCAATAATGCGCCAGATACGATGGAATGCATTTTTCATTCTCAGGTTTCCCGTGTCCTGGATCATTCAGCAGCTGCGGACGAAGTCCTGGTTTATCAAGGTGCGTGCGATCCACGTGCAAGGGTGCCCACCATTCGCTCGGCCTGGACCCGCCGAATTGATAGCGAAGGTCACAATCACGCCACAGGCCGGCTTGTGACAAACAGGGGCTCAGTCATGTGCCAGTCCCGGAATCTCACTTGATCACCCTTGGCGGGATGGACTCGGGGGATCGTGGCACGGCCCCCTGAGGTATCCTGCTGTGTGCATGCCAGTGGAACTGGGGCGCAGGCAGCATTCCAAGCAACGCATACCACCCGTGGAAAGCTTCTCTGGAGTTCAAAGATCTTACCATGTGAAAATGCCCAAATGTGGGCCAGTTATGTCATTGTCACGACTATCCCCTGCTGACTGTTCAGCATCCCCCCCCCATACCCCACCACACTGGAGGAGCGGAACCGGCCCACTCCGCCAGCGGACATGCTTGTGCCGCCTGCTCCGCTCCACCCTTTATTTCGGGATGCCTTTGGCTGCCGCTTTTGCGCGGAAAACGGCCGCTCTGCCACGACCCGGGTCTGGGGCGTGCAGACGTCAAGTCGCGTGGTTCCTGCATGAGTGCCGGGCTAGCGTAGCGTGACTGTGTTTGTAAACGTGGCAGATGCAAGCTGGGGGCTAGTGGAGCATCCGATGTACGTGTAGTAGCCGGTCCACGCACAAGGTGTGATGTCGTGACCCCGAACACAGGAACTGGGGGTAGTATCCCGACCCGACGCGTCACTTCAACCGAGACCCTGGTCCTAGTCAGTAGTGAGGCCAATGAAACAGGTACTGATTAGGTTGTTAGCTTTCAGAGATATCAGGAGGGGTAAGGGGAGGTAAACTAGCTCATCGAACGCGTGGAGTGGAGTAGACGCCTAGTCTATTGGACAGAGCACCAGAAGAATGCAGTCTAAGAATATACCCACACCAAGGATAAATAGATCAAATAGCCCGACATGTGGAGATTGGGGGCGAAAGCGAACAGGAGGCAATGAAGTTATGGAGGGAGGAAGGACGGTGGTAAATAAGTAGGGGGATAGTGCTCGGTCACTGCCCCTGAAATAGGAACCTGCGACAAAAGAGGAGTCGGACCATCCATCGCCAAACCAGTGTCGTCATACCTGCCTGTTCAGCGAGGGTCGAGGAAAGAAACGGAAAGAGCGCACTCAAGATTGTGTCGTAACTAGTAACACTCTAATGTTTTCTTTCCCTTGTTAAGCGAAATGGACCTGAATCCACATATGTGTAGATGTTTTCTTTTTCTGGGCCGGAGAGGGAGGTTGCGTTGGGCGTGGGATTGCAGGGTCAGGGGCACGGGGAGGAGGATCTATATTTGGATCTGGACTACTCGACCATGGACCTCTTGTCTACCAGCTCGTCAGACTTCAGGACGCAGTACAAGTATGGAATTGATGATGGAGCGTAAGGCTCTAAGGTATGATTGTACTCAAGTTGACATGACTTTGAAACAAGTCTGTTCATACTATCAGCTTTATTCCAACCGCCCTGTTATCGTCATGCCGAGTGGGTGCTTTATAAACGCATAGCAATCTGTAGCCACTAGCCCACTGCCCACTTTGTATTCGCGACCCATGTGATTTTAACCATCAATCTTGCCAGATCTCATCCCTTGTGTTCCTTGTGTGATCCTTCCATGTCCAGTACCTTGCAAGTACGATCGATCTTAGGACCTCGGAAAATCCACCAGGTACAACGAAAGACGCATTAAACAGATCAAGAAGTTTAGTCATCCCCTAAAGTCAAGCCCTTCCGTCAATAACTAATTCGTGGTACCGTTTGAATCTATATTACGGAACGAATCAGTCATCTTCCAACACTATCTGAGAAGCAACACGAAGCCTCACCAGTAGCGATCAAGGAACGAAGTCAGAATAGGCTTCATGTTGCTCCACGGATTTTCAATGAAGCTCGGACGGAAGTAGACCGTAGCCTTGCCTCGGTTCTTCATTCCACCAGACCACCTGGCTAGCTCATTTGCCCGGAAGCGAACGCCAGTCGGAGTCACATAGACAGTATCGGAACGGGATCTGTGCTGGGCCTCCGGAGATCTACTCTTGTTATGCTGCTCCAGTGCTCGAGGTGTCACTTTAACAGCAGGCACCGCTTTGCTAGCAGGCACCGCTTTGGTATCAGGCACCGCTTTGGTATCAGGCACCGCTTTAGTAGCAGGCAGCTCTTTGATAGCAGACGTCACTTTGGTAGCAGGCGTCGCTTTGTTACCAGGAATCACCTTGGCAGCAGACACAGACACATTGTTAGACCGATTGCTCGCAGCCACGGTCGGCTTCGCATAGTGGCCTGGACAGAGAGAAACAGACGGTCAGAACTAGACTATCAGAGAGAGAAGGGAAACGACCACACTACTCACTGTTGTTCGAAACCTTGCTCCTGATAGAGTCCTGCGAATGACGCTTTGAGTCCACTCCAGCCGATGGAGGTCGAGCATCACCAGACTGCTTGTCGGTAACTTTGACATCCGCAACAGGAGGGGCCGTCTTGTCAGTCTTGTCAGCCTTGTTTTCCTTGCGGGCTGGAGCGATGGGAGTGCCGTTTGTGTCGTCGCCCTGGTTGGCCTGCGACTTCCATTCTTCGAAGAGGGACGATGTACGAGGCTTGAAGCGACGGGGGCTCTGGTCTTGGGGTGGGCTGGCCACGGTTTGGTGCTGGACCGGGGGGAAGTTCATCTGAAGAACGACGGACTTGGGGAGAGTGTAGTGTTTCAGAGTCTCAGGAGCCCATTCTTGGATGTGTTCCCACTCTCGCAGGGAGATCTCTCTTTTCAGGATCTGCTTAGGCTCAGTAGCACAGGACATCATGATGGGCTGTTTGGATGAGTGGGATTATGGAGAAGAAAACGTGATGGGGCGAGCGTTTAGTTAAACTGAAGGAGAGAGGTGTGAGGAGTGAGAGGTGGCTGGGTTTATAAAGGGAAGGTGGGAAAAAAGAAGTTAAGAGAGACTACTTCACAGTACAATGGGCGGTTTCCTGTGACTGAATTGGAACCTCCCCCCCAAGCCACCACATCAAGGGACACACGCCCATTCATCTATTATCACATGCCGGACGAGCACTGCAGTATACAGTGAATGACCATATTATTGTCATAATTAATACCTGCCATTCAGATATACATGTTAACTAGCCAATGTAGTAAAGATATACCGGAGAATTCACTCCTCCGTCACCATCAAAATACTTTAAGCAAAAGAACGCTCCTCTTCCATCGCCCTGTTAATGACGCGCACAAAACGTCCAACTTTGTCCACATCCTGCTTGGCCGTCTCAATGCCAAGGAGCACCTTCTGCACACCCACTCCAATAGTGGTGTTATCATCTGAGATGCTACCAATGCCTTCGAGCGCCTGTTCGACTTCTTGATCGTCGAATGCCTCGGACTTCTTCATGATGTACTTCAGCTCCTCGTAGGTCATGACAGTGGGTACCCTAATGTCGGCATTGAAGGAGTTATACAGGTCCAGTTGCTTCAGCACGGCTCTCTCTGTGGTGGTTGCCAGAACCAACAGTCGCCTTCCCTTCGCAGGCTGCTTCCTCAAGAAAACCATCAAGGTCTGCAAGATAGTGTTGCTAAAGCGAGGGCCGATAGGAACCCACTCGATGAGTCTCTCAATGTTGTCAACGACAACCACACTCGTCTGACTCTTGTAGGCATCGTCGAAGATTTTGCTGATGTGTTGGACCTTGGCCATCTCGCTGAATCCAACCATGTCTTCGGGGCTAATCAGTTTGATGAAGGGGAAGCCGGAATCGATGGCGATCCGAGCTGCAAGGGCAGTCTTGCCACTTGCGGTGGGACCGTGCAGCAGGACAGAGAACAGGGGTGTGGATTCAGCATTGCCAACTTGTTTCACGAAAAGCTCTCCCTCCTTCATGATTTCATTGATTGTGGGCGAGAAGTGGATAATGCCGTACTGTATGCGGCTCGACAGCTCCTCTTCGGAGACACCGAAGGCAGGTTTAACCTCCTCAAGTGCATGGTGAAAGTCAGCTCGGTTGACCTTCATGTTCACAACATCGTCACTGATGCTAGCCATCGTGCCAACTTTGATATGCCGGGAAAATGCGAAAGAGGACGCAGATTTGACCAGACCAGCAATCTCAGCACCGGAGAAGTTCTTGGTCATCAAGGACAGCTCGGGCAGATCAACGTCATCATCCATCACATCGTTGTCCCGCATCTTCTGGGTGTGGATCTTGAGAATCTGGGCTCGACCGCTCTCATCGGGGAGAGAGATTTCCATATGGACTTCAAGACGGCCAGGACGCAACAACGCTTCATCGATCATGTCTTTCCTGTTAGTCATACCGATGAGCAGAATGTTGTTGAGCTGGTCGACACCATCGAGCTTGGAAAGTAACTGGTTCACCACACTGTCGCCCACGCCGGTACCACCACCTGCTCCACTGCCACGTTGCTTACAGACAGCATCCAACTCGTCAAAGATGATGATGTGCAGGCCACTTTCTTCACCCTTCTCCTTGTATTCCTTCTCTGCATCCGCGAATAGCTTCCGGATGTTCTCCTCTGACTGACCAACATACTTGTTCAGCACTTCTGGTCCATTGATGACCTTAGGCTCCCTGGCGTTCAACATCTTCCCAATTTGTCGAGCAATCAAAGTCTTACCCGTTCCCGGAGGCCCGTAGAGCAAGATACCCTTGACGTGCTGGAGTCCGAGCTTCTCCACCAGCCCCGGGGGAAAGATACGCGATGCGAAGGCACGACGGAAAATCGTGCTAAATTCGGAATCAAGACCACCAATTCCCATGTTCTCAAACTTGAAGTCAGGTTGAATGATGGAGTTGGCCGCAGGTCGGCGGTTGGAAGGTTTCAAGTTGATGCCAGTACGGGCGTCCTTGAAGAAGGTGACCTGAGAGTGGCTCGTAAGGATCCCCCTGGCCGTAGGATCCGTCTCAACGTGTCCACCGTTAGGATCGGGTTTCCCGGAAGACAGATCCACCCGCTGAACAGTCTTGACAGTCAATAGAAGGGGGATGCTCCGGTGATCCATGAGGATCTTCTGACCCGGGGAGAATATTTGGTTTTGGAAATTCTACGCCAGTTAGTAACTAATTTCTGTTCAACTGGGACCAAGGGGACGTACCCTGATCACGGCATTGCCCAGCTCGTCTTGGTCGTAAGGGGTCTCGACCCTCTTTTTCCCAGCAAATCCCACTTCGATGTCTGTAGAGCCGACGTATGCTTGTCCACCCCCGCTGAACGGATCGTATATCTGCACCTTAACAGCATCCGTGAAGGCAACACCAGCCCATGTCCGCTGAGGATCCGACATGCTAATATGTCCCGGCGGGAACCCGTCCAGTGGGCGAGCGGAGAAGACATAGAGATCGTTTATAAGAAGCAGGAGGTCACTGCCATCGCGATGGGGCGGGAATTCCTGGGTCGAAACGGCAACCCTAACCATAGTCAGAGAGTGAAAAGCTACAGAACTCTAGATATCCTCAACATACAAGTTGCCGAACGTATACGTATTATCCGGGCTCTTTGCGGGTCGTAGCGTCCACGCCTGGCCGGAGCTCCCGGGCTTCTCCCTATACTGATCTCTCGGAGGCATATGCGGGGGTCTCTGCGGCGAGGCACCGTATCCAGCGGGACTATATTCCAAAGATCACATCAGCCACCGTGAACTTGTGACAGCTTGGTGTGACGTTCATACCTTGCCCCAGGCCTGGGAGCCTGGTTGGGGTCCGAATAACCGTCCCCTCGAGAGGGGCGGGCGAAAGGGTTCGGAACAGAGGGGCGATTAAACATCTTGTACCAAAGGAAAGTGAGCGGTTAAGACGAAAAAGTGCGGGATGTGTAGTCAATGCCGAGGAGGGCGCATGCAGTTGAGCGTGGCGAGGACGATGCGATGCTGCCGGCAGCTGTTGCGTTGAGTCAACGGATCGAGAGGCCAGATAATTAGATACTAGAGAATAGTATGTGTGTATGTTGTGATGACGCAAGAACCGATACCGGGTATGGACAGGAAAGTATATTGTTTGAAGGAAAGGTGGCAGGAAGCAGTGGTAAGAAGAAAGAAGATGACTTGACTGAGGGGAGCTCCGTTCGCGACACATGGACGTAAGGTACCGCCCGCCCGCCTGCTGCCTCCGTCACCCCGTGCTGGGCCCCCATTCTTGTCGGCCCGCCCACCTCCGTCTTCGCCGACCGGTCTGGATGACGCTGCGGCTCCCCACGACACCAGGCCTACTCTACCAGACACCCTCGACGCTGGACGCATCCACCCGCCGGCACTAGAAGCATAAATTCGAAATGCCTCTGTAAGCTCAGCTCCTGCCGCTCCTTTTTGACACCCAACATGCTAACAAAGACCCCTTCCTTAGTCACCTCCTCGGCAAGAAGTCATGGAACGTCTACAACCAAGACAACATCGCACGCGTCCGGCGCGATGAAGCACAGGCCAAAGCGCAGGAAGAGGAGGAGGAGCGTCGCATGCAGGAGGAAGATGCCGAACGAAGGATACAAATTCTCCGTGGGGAACGACCCTCCACCCCCCCTCCGCCACCCCCGGCGCCGTCCGCCTCCCACCGAGATAAGAAAGACCCCGCAGATAATGCAGGGAGAATCAGAAAGCGGAGACGCATTGCAGGGGAGAACGACACGGATAGGGATATCAGATACGCGCGGGAGGATGCACAGTTGGTGCTGGCGAAGCAGGAACAACACCCCCCGGCTCGTTCAAGCGACGCGCCGCTTCACGATAGCACTGGTCATATCGACCTCTTTCCCACAGAAAAGAAGCGCAAGCCGGTAGAAAAGAATGCCGAGGCGGAGAAAGAAGCAGCTGAAAAGCAGCAAAGGTTTGAGGACCAATACACAATGCGATTCTCCAATGCGGCGGGCTTTCGACAATCTGTCGGCCAGGACCCCTGGTACTCATCTTCGCAGCGCGAGGCCATGGCACCAGAGTCTATTCCTAGCAAGAATGTGTGGGGTAATGAGGATCCCCTAAGGCAAGAAAGAGAGAAGGCTCGACTGAACGCCAACGACCCTCTCGCGGCGATGAAGAAGGGTGTCCGCCAGTTGAGAACGGTCGAACAAGAGAGGAAGAGATGGAATGAGGAGCGAAGCCGAGAGCTAGAGTCATTGAAAGCTGCAGAGAGGAGCCGATCTCGTCACCGCAGCCGAAGGTCGCTGTCCCAAGATAGCCTGGAAGATTTTAGGCTTGATGCTTTACCAGGCAAGCGTCGGGAAGACAGGGATCGGACGTCTCACCGACACCATAGGCATCACGGAGATAGAAGCCGAGCTCACTCGGATGGACGACATACTCATTCTAGTTCACGTTCCCATCGTCACCGGCATGACCGGCACAGTCGAAGTGGTGACACAAAACGCCATGGTGCAGATTACAGGGTGAGACACGAACCGCCGGAATAATGTGCTCAACGTGGTTCCGCTCCGCATAATGCCTTTATGAAACAGTCTTAGATACATTTTACGAGACGAAATTAGGGGAGAATGCTTTCACGCTGATCATGAGATTCTTGATTGAAGTGGTAAAGAGCCTTCTATATGAGTCTAAGGCGCAAAGAAAGCACCCGGTATTTATATGTCTATGAGAATGCACCTAGGTGTCGCATCTCATTGCAGACTCCACTGCTGGGCACCCGTTTCGGCTTCCTGGGCCTCCCAGTCGATGGTAATGTTCAAAGAGCGGGATTTCTCTCCTCTCTTCTGGTAGCCGACCTTTCCTGTGATGGTCTGCCCCTTCTTGAGGGGAACACCTCTCTTCTTCTCGCGGTCCATCAGGCAGATAACTTGCTGCCAATGCGTCTCGGTGTCGTAAGGTCCAGTGGTAAAGGAGACAATGCCCTTCTTCTTCATTTCCGAAGGTACGGCATCGTCGGCGATGGGGGAGTCCCTGGAGGGCATAAAGAAGATGTCAAACCAGATGGCCCAACCATCGAGTTCGTCAATGTCCTGGTTGAGAGTGACCTGGAACTCCTTCAGGAATGACAGCTCATCGACAGTGATGGTGTGCAGAGGGAGGGGAAGGAAAACTGAAGAGTCTCCGGGGATAGAGGATGGCCCAATGACACGGACCATAGCCTCCTCGTGGATTCCCGTGAGCATGCTTGTCATGTTGAAGCCATACACGCTCTTCCAGAATGAGATGTTCGACGCGACGAATTCAGAGTCGGCGAAAGGAGCGATACGCAGCGTAGCGTGCGACGGGACCATGAGTCCATCAGGTGCGAGATACCGGTCACGAGCGTAGATGACCGAGTCAAACATGGCCTCGAACAGAAGGCCGTATCCCATCCATTCGGAGATGATGATATCAACCTGCTGGACTGGCAAAGTGACTTCCTCGATCTTGCCACGGATACACCTAATAAAGCACGTCAGAAATAGGACCTGTCGGAATGCAGCGGCTGAGAACATACGTGATCACATCGCCAAAGCCGTTCTCGTAGATGATTTCCTTGGCCCTATCGATGATGTTGGAGTTGTCGACCGAAATGACCTTTTTGGCGCCAGCCTTGGCACAGAACATGGACAGGATTCCAGTTCCGCAACCGACATCAAGAACAACCTTATCCTTGAAAAGGTGCTTGTTCTCGTACACGAAATCGCGGTAAGAATCAGTGCGGATGGTATCTTTAAGCATGGACTCGTGAATGCCTAGAATGCAGCATATTAGCGAGGGCTTTGACATCTGTGAGACCAAGGAAGCCATACCGTTGTAGGAGTAGGACGTGAAGTAATCCGCATCGAGTTCTTCAATCTTGCTGGCGGGCTTCTGGGCCGCCGAACCACCAAGCTTCTCATCTTCCTTGGCCAACTGTTCTTCCATCGATTTCTGCACAGCGTCTCTGTACTCGGAGAACTGGGTCTGCAGACGTTCCAGGTCCTCCTGGAGCTCAATCACCTTTCTCTCGGCATCGGTACCACCGGCAGATTCGGGAGTCTCATCCTCTATGTCATCCAGACTGTAGAGGAGAGCGTCGTCCTCCAGCACGGGCATCAGATAGATCTCATCTTCGAACTTCTCGGCGGAAGACACATCGGGGGAGGCGTTGCCCTCCTTGACCTGAGACCGGATATAGTTGACCAACTTGATAGTACCCAGAAAATCCAAACCTGGTGGCGAAAAGCGATATATTAGCCATTGCACATGTCAATCATGGGATTGCCCGATTGCTCGACAGAAAACAGACATTATCGGGCATCTGGAGCAGAAGGAATACGTCATATTGAGTTGAGTTGAAGTGGTTACACACCGAACTGTTTTTGGATCTTCTGCAGGTCAAAGTTATACTTTTCCTTGGTCTCCTTCAGCATCGACCGCACGTCGGGATAGACCTTGTCGGAGAACAGGCCAACGACGGGCTGGGTCTCATCATCAGGTTCGACATCCTCCCAGCCTTCCTCATTGCTGGAGTCCGAGTCATCGGAAGAGACGGAGCGAGCATCGTCGTGAGCCGGGATGCGCTCAGTTGGAAGGGCGGAAGCCGACATGGTGCGACGGCGGGGAAACAACACCGATTGAGGCGGGCTGCTAGGGTGTGATGGAGTCCGTGGTGCGAAGCTTCAAGACAAAGAAGCTGGTCCGATCGTGGCGTGGCAGAGATCGGGTAATAATAAGATAGAAATTCGAGTCCAAATGCTGCTGAGATCTAGAAGAGGGGGTTGGAGTAGGAATTCTGCCTGGAACAGGTTTAAAGAGGAAAAGCCAACAAAAAAAAAAAAAAAAAAAAAGTTGCCCCGCCTGTTGGCTCTGGCGACGGTGTTACCGTGTTTATCCACCTGACGGGCCCAGAACTGCGATAAGAGCCTGAGGCCGGCGGCTTCCCCGCCAACAGCGTCACCGCTTGCTTTCCTTCAGCTCTCTCCAGCTCTTCCAGCTTGTTCGTCCACCATCCATCCAACCCCTCCAGGGAGACTGTTTGCACTGTTAGCAAGCTTTTACCGAAATCAATCTGTCTCTGCAATTTTCTGTACAACGCCGGAGATCTAGTGTGCTGCGCTACCCTTGAGGAGCCCGCGTCACGTCGTTTTCACAGTGCGCCCTGCTCCCGGTTCCCTTGACGATACAAACAAAACAACAAGAATGGCTTTCTTTTTCAACCGTGGCCGGACCCGCCAGCCTACGGAAATTGCCAGATCGATTAAGGATCTCCTGGTGCGACTGCGAGAGTCTCCAGCGACTGCCAAGGTGTGTGACTTCTTTGTTACCCTGTGTTGACACTCAGTGCATCCCGCCGCGTCCGCCCCAAAAACAGAGAAGCTTACCGTTTTTGTTCCCATGTAGGTTGAAGATGAACTGGCGAAGCAGCTCTCTCAAATGAAACTGATTGTCCAAGGAACGCAAGGTAGTCGGATTTGCTCTGACCAAACAATACCCCGCCGGTGAGAGAGCGTCAACTAACATGAGGCTGCTTCCAGAAATCGAAGTATCCCTGGACCAGGTGCAAGCCTTGGTGCACGCCACCCTTCAAGAGGATCTGCTCTATGAACTGGCCCGAAGCCTTCATTGCCTTCCGTTCGAGGCTCGCAAGGACACACAGACAATATTTTCCCATATCCTCCGTTTCAAGCCCCTCAACGCAACCCACGCCGATCCGCCTGTCATCTCCTATATTGTCCATAACCGACCCGAAATCATCATCGAGCTTTGCAATGGATACGAGCACAGCCAAAGCGCGATGCCGTGCGGTACCATTTTGAGAGAAGCATTGAAATTTGACGTGATCGCGGCAATCATTCTCTATGACCAGTCGGCGGAAGGGGAGCCGGCCATCCGGCTCACGGAGGTTCAACCGGGTGTGCCTCAAGATGGGTCCGGTGTATTCTGGAAGTTCTTCTACTGGATCGATCGTGGCAGTTTTGAACTGAGTGCCGACTCTTTCACAACCTTTCGGGTAAGCGACTCTTGCCTTCTTGTATTCGCCAGGCGTAACGCTAATGTGACTGCAGGAGCTCTTGACCCGTCATAAATCTATTGTAACAGGCTATCTGGCCACCAACTTTGACCGCTTCTTCTCCCAATTCAACGAAGTCCTTGTCCAGTCGAGTTCGTACGTCACCAAGCGCCAGAGCATCAAGCTATTGGGAGAAATCTTGCTCGATCGCACCAATTACAATGTGATGATGGCGTACGTTGAGAGCGGCGAGAACCTCAAGCTGTGCATGAAGCTGCTACGAGACGATCGGAAGATGGTCCAGTACGAGGGCTTTCACGTGTTCAAGGTATGTGGGCGAATCCCACCCCCCCTTGGAATGCCAGGAGCCACGCCTGTCTGACAATGGATGCGATGCAGGTGTTTGTCGCGAACCCGAACAAATCGATCGCGGTGCAGCGAATACTGATCAACAACCGCGACCGGCTGCTGAAATTCCTGCCGAAGTTCCTGGAGGATCGGACCGATGATGACCAATTCACCGACGAGAAGAGTTTCCTGGTCCGCCAGATCGAACTCCTCCCCAAGGAGCCTGTCGAACCGACGCGGTCGACTCGCGAGGCCTCTCGATCCGGTGTCAACACGGCTACTGTAGCCTGAGATTAGACGGGTTCCAAGCGGCGACCATTGGCAGGGGCTGGTCAATCATCCACTACCCCGTGTCATTATGCTCTTTCCCCCTGCTTTCTATTGTTGATTATTGGGCTGCTTAGGTCCTTTGCGGCGGACTGTGTGCACTGCGTGTACGCTAGGCCTCTGAGCCGCTTGCATCGAGGGTCAGCTGGATTCTGGCCTTCCGGGAGTTACAGAGAGTTGATATCTAAGGGAAATTTAAGTTGAATGTGGAAGCTGGAAATGGAAACGGGAAGAGGGGGGAGGGGAGGTTGGGGGTTGGGAGTGGGGGACGGATAACGAAAAGCAAAGGAACAAAAAGGAACCAATCCTTGCATGTAGATAGATAGCATAGCCAATGTAGATAGTTTGTGGAAGTGGATCAGAAGCTTTGATGGCTAACATCATCCTTGACACGAAACACGCCGGTGCAGTTGAGGTTAGATAACTAGTACTAGTAGAGTAGTCTAGCACTACGGAGCACTCCGTCGACAGACAGACACTTTCTTCGCTCCAGGGGGGCGATTCCATTGCGAAAATCCAGAATCCCGACGCACCGGCGGCCCAGGTCCCCCAGGACGATCCTGCTTGCTGGCCCATCCGGCGCATGAGGGTGAGGGCGGGAGTGTTTTGGATGGGGGTAGATGATGAAGATCCGAGTCTGAAGCTGAACCTAATCGGATCAGCCTTCAAGCTTTGATGGGAGCCCCAATTTCCAGTCCCGGTGGTTTGTGCGCAACGCCGCAAAGAGCCGATCAAGCGGTAGAATCTATCTCCTTTCTCGCTATCATTGTGATTGAACTTTGCTCGACCGTTAGATATCTATCTACGTCTGGACACGGGCATAAGCAGCCTGCGTCCCACGATATGGAAGGCCTTGACTGGTTCGATAAAGGGAACTACCGAACGGCCCCCCCTGAGGCGTACGTACTACTATTATTATCGCGCCCTCCACCGGCCGGTGTTTGGCGGTTTGGCGATGCAGAATTAACCGCGTGAAGATCCACTGCTGCGTGGCCCTCCCGAGGAATTAAATTATCACTAAATTAATTCCAGAGTGGAGCGCAAGCCCCCCCTTCGTGATCCCTCCCTGCCTTGAAGGAAGTTGGTGTTGGGGATTCTTGCTGACTGCTGATGGACAAAGTTTGAGTCGAGGATGGAATGGTTAAGAAGGAGATGTTGGAAAGTGGTTGAAGAAACTTGACCCGACAGACAACGTTGAGTAGGGTAACTAAGTAATAAAGTCAGTAAGTGCTGAGGGTACCTGAACTGCACACCGTCGGGGCCCATGGTTCTTCTGCTGCTTCAATTCTCCATTCCTCTCCACTTCCCACTGCCTCTCCCGCTCGCTAACAACATAAACAACGACGGGGCTAACCTCCTTCTCATTGGGGATATGCAGCATTCATTCATCCATTCATTCATTCATTCATTCATCCATTCAACCAGGTCAGCCATCCAGCATTATTGCACCAGCCAGATAACCTTTCATCGTGACCACCCATTCCGGCACCTCCCCTACATAGAATTCCTGAAGCTTGTCCTGCCGCCAAGCAATCCCCCCCCCCAGGAGCCGCGGTCCAGCCCTCTTCCTCTTACGTTGGTCCCAAATTTCCCCCTCTCCTCTCTGCTCTCCTCTGCTCTGTTGGGGGCGGCCATGGTTTTGCGCAGGAGACCTCTTTCCCTCACTGTCATTCCCATTCCTGCTCCGTCCGCTTGTCGCATATTCTGAATCCTCCCTGAATCTCCCTGACTCTCCCCCGAATTTCTCCCAATTCCAAATCCGCATCGTCTCTGTGACACCTCCGCGCCAGGCTCCAATCCAGATCCGTTCCTTTGTCGCTACAGATCTCCCCCGCCTCCCTCCCTCCTTCTCTCCTCCCTCCCTCCCTCCCTCCCGCCCTCCCTTGGTTACGCCTCGCCCTCCCACTTCGTCGCCCACGCCGCTCCCCTCTCCCACAAGCCTCAAAAGGCCTTCGCCATACTCCCGAATCCCGAATCCGACAGAATCATCGAATTGGGCACAAGCCATGCCAGGATAATGGTGGATACGCGATCCGCCCCTGTACCTGCCGCCGTCATGTCCGAGTCCACCTCCACCATCCAGACCGTTCCCTACGATGAAACCGTCGCCGCAACCGCCCCTATCACCGTCCGCTCCGCCTCGTTCCCTATCCCAACCGACTGTTCGTCGTGCTCGGAGGAGAAATCGACCAGCGCATCGTCCGGGAATGCCTGGGACCAGCCAGCGCCCACGCTGTCGCAACAGGCCAAATTGAGACACCGGTTCACCGCGCTGCCCGAGGCTGGGACCTCGACCGTGAGCTTGCGCTCGCTGCGCAGCAGTATCCCCAGCATCATCGTCAACGATTCCGCCTCCCGCCCTAGTTCCCGTCCCGGGTCTCGTCCGGGGTCTCGATGGTCTGAACGCAGATGGGGTGGCCTAAGAGGCAAGAAGTCGGGCGAGTTCGATAGAAACGAAGATACACCCCCGGTGCCTCCGATCTCAGCGTCCTTCAATGGCATCGCGTTGGATATTCCGAATTCCGCTCTCGATGGTCTGGGACCGCAATCGATGCGGTTCTCCAAGCGCGGAAGCCTCATCACCGACGAGGAAAGACGCCTTTTACAACAGCAAATCGATCAACAGGAAGCAAGACAACGAGAAGCGGCGCGACAAAATCAGGGAGGTCAGCAGCCGCAGCAAGTGGAGAATGAGCCAGCATCACCAGATGTTGCTCTGTCGGAGCACACTGGCACAGATAATGAGAACTTGGACGCGCCGCAAAGGCGCTCGAAACCGGTAACGACCCTCCGGGTCAGACAAAGCGCCATGGCAAGCAGAGCGATCTCTGCGGATGAAGATATGTTGTCGCGACGAGTGCGACTCATGTATGAGAAAGGTGATGATAATGTCACAGACTCGGAGGTAGCCAGGTCCATGGCCATGGACAACGGCGTGTTGTGGGAAGATGGCGCTCCGACCAGTATGGATACCTCCCGTCTCTCTGGACCCAGCATCTCTGGGACGGATACGAAGAGTATCGTGTCATCCGTTGGCCCAGACAGTGCTCCCGGTATCAAGAGAGAGGCTCATGAGCTCGCGGGGGGGATTGAGTACTGGCAGAATATCAAGGCCGGCGACGTGGATCGCTACGGCTTCATCCGTTCGCCGACATCCAACTCCAATGAAGGAATCGACCCCAGTCCGATTCAGCGGGTTTCTACCAGCCTGCTGCTTGCTTCCGAAACACCGCGGCGCAAACACTCGATTCGGCCACCATCGGCGGTAGGAGGCAATCGCCCCTTTTCGGGCTTTGCAGGCCGCTCCCCAACGCGAAAGCTATCAGAACTTTCGGGTCGCCCGACTTCATCGCACAGCATGTTTGCTTCGCCGCTGATGCGACGGTCGACCTCGCGGTTCCGTCGGGCAGCCAACCACCTCCCCCATAATCGCGACCGACGTTTCAAGGACGAGGCCAGTGATATGCTCACACTCCCAACCAATGCGGTAACGCCCGGTGAGAGACAGGATGCAGCAGCTGCCCGCGCGGCAAGAAAAAAAGAGTGGGAGAGAGAAGATAAGTGGACGAAAATGGCCCGGCCTATCAGGAACACGGACGGAGGCGGCATGCTGTTCGAGTTCGACACGACCAGCTCCAAGTTGATTGAACGGACATGGAAAGGCATTCCGGACCGATGGCGAGCAACCGCCTGGTACGCCTTTTTGAAATCCAGCGCCAAACGGCACAACGACAGCCCTTCGGAAAAAGAGCTTATCGAGGCCTTCAAAGAGTTCCAACTGGTCTCGTCGCCGGACGATGTCCAGATTGATATCGACGTCCCCAGAACCATCACCAGCCACATCATGTTCCGCCGCCGTTATCGCGGAGGCCAACGGCTGCTGTTCCGCGTGCTTCACGCGATGTCCCTATACTTCCCAGACACGGGATACGTTCAGGGAATGGCAGCCCTTGCCGCGACGTTGCTCGCCTATTACGATGAGGAGCACGCGTTCATCATGCTGGTGCGACTTTGGCACTTGCGGGGTCTGGACCGTCTCTATGCCTCTGGCTTTGCCGGTCTCATGGAGGCTTTGAGCGACTTTGAACGAGAATGGCTGGAGAAAGGAGAAGTTGCGGGCAAGTTGGTAAGTGATAGAGCCATGAAGATTCTACATACAACACTAACAACTGCAGAATGAACTCGGAATCCCCCCAACTGCATACGGCACACGGTGGTACCTGACTTTATTCAACTACTCCATCCCATTCCCGGCCCAACTCCGTGTCTGGGACGTGTTCATGCTCCTCGGCGACGCCGAGGACCTCACCGTACCCAGCTCTTCTGGCAAAGGCAGCAAGAAAGAGGGGGCGCACGTCAGTGCCTTCGGGAACGGACTAGACGTTCTGCACGCGACATCGGCGGCCCTGATTGACGGAATGCGCGAGATCATCCTTGAATCGGACTTCGAGAACACAATGAAGGTTCTCACCAGTTGGGTGCCCATCAAGGACGTGGAGCTGTTCATGCGCGTCGCCAAAGCAGAATGGAAAGTCCACCGTCGGAAAAAGTCATCTTGACCTGCAACCCGACCAAAACCTACATATAAAAAGAAAAGAAAAAAGAAAAAAGCAAAAACACCGAAAGATACCATAAACCCAACAACGTCCGATGTGATGACCCACCCTTACAGCGCAGCGTGGACTATGTCTCCACCAACCACCATCACCATCTATAATACCATACCCATCCACCGACCTCCCCGACCTTTTCATGTTCAGGTCCAGTTATACATACACGCATACACACCACCATACCCAGCTACTATAATCACAGGCTGTCCGGACCACACCGGTGTTTTGGTCCGGATCCCCTTTCCCTTCTTACGATTCGACCAGACGATTCTTGATGACTGAAACAAAAGTCGTTTTGTTACCCTTCTTTCCTTCATCCTCCTTCCATTGCCCACATATACCATTTATTTTTCATGGACGTGTTTTTACGGCTCACATCACGATCGATACCACTCCCACCCTCCTGCTTGTCTTGTCTTGGCTCTTGACTGCTGGAGACTATGAAGAATCCATATACTACCTACTACCTACTGTCTACTGTCTACTGTCTACTCATCTAGCTGCTTACAGCGAATTAAACTATCGCTGATAGAAGCGATGAATCTTAATCTTTAACTGGTCGGCACAGACAACCCCTGAGGTGGAGGCAACAAACAAACAAACCGCAGTTCAGTTGACTGATTGACCGATAGACTTTCTGCCTGACTGCCTGAAAGAACACTCGCCCACCCTATGGAGTCCTGTCCTGACATCCACTCTCTCATCCCATCTACAATCATTCACCTGGTACATCTACACCATTCGCTACATCCTATCAGACGACCCATCCATTCGTCCCGCCAGTACAACCATCATAATCATCACCATCGTCATCACCATCGTTCATCCCTCAATTTCCTTACCTGTCTGCCACACACTATACACTATACCACATCACACCTGACCACCTCGTCTCATCTCATCATCAATACCTCCATCATACACACATTCATACATCCGTCCATCCAATCCACCCATCCTTATTTTCGTTCTTTTCCGTCAACGTCCATCTACCCATCTACCCATCTACCCATCTACTCATCTACTCATCTACCCAGAAAGCATCGTTGACTTGACTTGACTTGGCTCGACTTGACTTGTCCCTGATACCCCTTCTTTCATGGCCGTTTCTTTTTGTTCCGTCTTGTTTTTCTGTTTGTCTATTTGCCTGTTTGGTTTGTTTGCATACCATGCCACACCACACCTCTTCTCCTGTGAGGTTTGTCTGGCATCGCATCGCATCGCATCGCATCGCATCGCATCACATCGCTGTTTTGAATTGAATTGTCGGCGCTTTGCCGTCTTATCGTCTACCTGCCTGGTCTGCATCTGCCTGTGCTCCGTCCGTCCGTCCGTCTCTTTTGTTCTTGCTGTCTTGCAGGATGGGGGAATACTGGACCCATCTCGTGACTGACTGACTGACTACCTGTCTCTCATCACCTTGATTATTATTGTTATTATTCTTGATCCATTGATTGACTTTCTCATGGAGGTCATGTGTTTACCTAGGTACTTACTTGTACGTCTGTCTACACAACCAACTACTATATCTGTATCTATGTAGCTAGCTAGCTAGCCTCTCGTCTCGTCTCGTCTTATCTTACTTATCTTATCTTGCCTTCTACTTTAGTCCCATCTGTATCTGTAATAATAGCTAATCATCTGGACAGTATCACGATCAATAACATAGTATCATAGTACTCAAGCTACTACTATATATATATAATTAACGGACGGTTGTTCTCGCATTAAATTAAAACACAATTAATTCACTTCATTCTACAAAAGAGCAAATCATACAACAGTGGTATCAATGGGTATCTCCCCAGACTATTGAACAATCCCGTCAGCCCAGCTGCGCGGATGACGAAACTCCCAAATGCATAAAGATCCCCCGCCCGACAACTGCCGTGAGGATTGATTGATTGATCGGTCCATGCGTGGATCCCCCAAAAAGGCGTCTGGACAGGATCATATCCGCACGCAAGTAACAAAAAGCTATGCAATGAAAAAATGGCCATGCAAAATTCCAGTGCGACGGAGAACCCTCAGGGCTGAGAAGTAAAAAGTGACGACCGTCGTGTCATCGGTCATCTTTTAATTATAGCCCCTGATATCAAATATTCGTCTATGCGGAGGGTTGAAAATGCAAAATGTCGCTTCTCGCGATAAGTATGCGCAAAAAGAAAGTGGGATAAGGAAATCGGAGGAATGACAAATGGAGCCCAAGTTCTCGGGCTACTATTAAGACCTGACCTGAAATGCGAGTCTCTCGTGAGGGCCATCACCAGGACTATGCCGGGTCTCTCTTCTAAGCCCCGTAGCGTGCATGTCGCTCGGGTCGGGCTGTATATGGGCCGCTCGGGATGAAGTGACACTGTCTTCCGAAGCGGCTAAACCGTCACTGCGTTCAAGTTCGTTCGCATGGCTTTGTCCTTTAGAGCTATCGTCGTCCACGGAGAAGGTTGTGCACCGTGGAGAATGAACAGGGCTGGGCCCTCGACTTGGGCGTTCCCGTTTCACGTCCGCCGTAGGAAAACCATACGATGCGGATGAATCACCCGGCTGCGACGAAGCTGTGTTGTGACGCATCAATGGCATTGTTGCCTGATCCCCAGGGGTCGGTGATCCTGGCTGTGATGTCTGTGAGAAGCTCGGATGGGAGTCGGCAGCATGGGACGAGGGTAGTGGAGCTGGCTGGTGTGGACCAAAGGCTTTTCTCTTTCGTCCTGGAGAAGTCTGAGGCTCTAAGCGACGAGGGCCCGGTGCAGGTCCTGGCGATTCTTGTCGAGCTCTCCCCGAGGCTGCGTTGGCCGGTGGCTGACCCGGAGGCACCCAGTGGTGAAAGTAGAGAGACGGTGGGGATTGGCGGGCTGAAACATCTGACTTCCCCGGAAGGGGCTGAGTCGATGGGATGGAGGATCCCGGGGCATAGTGCACATTGCTTAGGTTGATGGACTGTGAGGGTTGCAGTTGCGGCTCACCGGGGTTCATCCGAGGGATCGCGGCGATAGGAAGGCGAGTATCCACGGGGGCATTGGCCACCGGGGGCCGACTAAGCGGTTGCTGGGTGGGAGAGGCTCCCACAACGTGCAGCGGCTGGGATAACAGAACCCCAGGAGGAGGCACTGTCTGGTGTGTCTGGTGATGCGTCGGCGGGCCGACGTAAGCATTCGCAGGCATGGTGCGGGAGTCTCGACGGACATGCGGAGGCCGGCGCTGGGCATGTGGTAGAACGGGCATTTGGGGGGCGGGTCCGCGAACGGCCGGGGGTTGTTGCGATAGATGCTGTTGGGTCAGTTCCAGGACCGACGGAGGCAGGCCACTCGGATTGATGCCGGCAAAGATGAGCGGAATCATCTGCGGCGGAACGCCGGCCTGGAGGGAATCGCGAAGCATGCTCTGCTCGACCCTTCGCTGCTCGAGGCGCAGGGTCTCCTGACGGGTCTTCTCTTCCTCTTGCTTCCTCCGGTCTTCCTCAATCCGGGCATGGAGCCACTGGCGCATGGACTCGTCGGACGTTTGCCATTGGCCCGGGGGCGGCGGAAGCGGTTGGTTCATGGCAGTTCCGGTCACATTGGCGAAGCCCACACTCGGCGGCGGTAGGGTCAGGGCAGCGGGAGGCGGCAGTCCACTGCGCGAGGAGTCCATGGAGCGGTCCGCAGACGATCTCGGAGGCGCCGTGGCCGCCGGCAGGTCAGGCACGGAGGGCGGGGGAGACCGTGGGGTTGGAACGGACTGGCGGACGATGGAGTACTCATGAGGACCTTTAACCCCGTTCTGCGAGGGCTTGAGCGTGAGCAGCATGTCTCGAGGGCTCAATTGGGCCACGGGAGATGCAGGGGAGAAGGAGAACGGGCCGGAAAGAAAGAATAGCAATAATCATGTAATGATAATAACCGAGGGCGATGACAATGACGACGCAGAGCAGAAAAGTGACAGCAGGAAGGAACTAAGTAGCGGAGATAGGCAGAAAGATAACAGTACTAGATCGCGATAGATCAAAGCTCCACCAGATTAAACCAGGGTGATCGACACGCTTGTACACGAAGAAGGAGGGGAGGGGGGGAGAAGGGGGGGGGGGTGATGCGTCAGGAGATCCCAAGCGAGGTAGTAGGGAGCAGAGAATTGATGCGCAGAGGCATCTTCTTCTTCTTGTTGTTGGCCTTGGGAGATCGACGGGCAGGAAATAGTAGATGAGAAGATCGGGCGAGAGCGAATGGGCTGGATGATGGATCAAAGGATCGAACAATGGAGGATCAACAAGACAGCAGACGAAGACGAAGACGAAGACGAAGACGAAGAAAGGAAAGGAAGAAAGAAAGAGAGAAACCGCGCAACGTGACCTTCCCAACTCAGCAGGAACGGGGAAGCCATCGCCATTGCCCAAACAGGGAAGCACCCAAACAGGCAGGAAGGATACACTTACCCAATCAAGACTGGTCCCCGCGTGCGCTAGCCAGATCGGGACTCCCACACAGGCCGTGTGCTGTGTCTGGTCTGCCTGAGGACGCAAGGCTGTCAGGCCGGCAGACTGGCAGGTGTCAAATGGCGGCGGCGCCTGAGGAACCAACAGGCACCCACAACAGACTGTCAGACACAAGACAAGACAATAATGAACAATAAGAACAGTTCGTCGAGCAAAAGAAGAGTCAGGGTTATCTTGGTAGTGCTGTCAGGAACACTGCTCCGGACTAGTCAGCACATAAACCAACCTATATAATCAAGCCCTGCGCAATCCCCTCCGCCAAGTGGATTCATTGCGTATCGCCGGCGCTGGTGATGACGACTCGCGACTCCGGCGACTCGTCATGCCTTCGGATCCAGCCAGGGCTAACGCGCCACTATCGAGTTGGCTTCTCTCTCCAGTCCGAGTCTGGCTCGTCTCCCGCTCAATCTGGCCGTGTTTCATTCCAATCGCGGGCCTCTCTGCCGTCTTAAGCCCTCAGGTTCTCAACAGGTCTGCAGTCAGCAGAGCGAAATACACCGGGTCGGGTTCTCCCTACGAGGCTAACCCGCTAAACGAGGGCTAGTCTATTCTCTAGGCCTAGATCTCCGACCCCTCTGATTATCATCCGATAGATATCTACTATTTATCACGGATTCGTTCTGCGCCCACCGTTTCCCTTCCCGTTGGTTTCATCTCCGTCTCGTCGCCATCCTCTTCCAGTAATCCTCATGCCCATCGCTATCTCCTCCAGATGGCCGGTCCGCCCCTCACCCGGTCAGATTCGAAAACGGTCTCGATCTACTCTTACGATCCACCTGCCGTGTCTTGACTCTGGAGTCTTCTATATCTCCGTTGATTCGTGATGCCCCGTTGGCCTCCCCCCTCCGCGCTAGCTACATACATGGCACAAGGCATGGACGCGCGCCAGATGGGAAATTCAGTCCTGCTTCCAACATGCACCGCAGATCAAAAACCTATATACTAGAAATGCAAACCCTGGGTATCGCGCATCCCTATTCGCAATACCATTTGCCGGCCTCGATTATCTCTCTCTCTCTCTCTCTTATCTCACCCGTCACGGTCGAACCGACTCAGCACCTCCGGGGGTACAGTCGGGATGTACTTGCGCGCGCGCTCCCGGTTCGTGCCACCCCATCCCGCCCCGTAGCTGATCAGCATATCCGTGCTCGTGGGCAGCGAGAAGGGAAGTGTCAGGGACGGATCCAGGAATACCGCGTTGCTCCGCTCTTCCATCCACGCGGACGCTGCCGGTCGCGCAGACGCCACGCTCGACCCCGGCGATGCGACAGAGGCCCGTGTGGATGCTTCGGGCGAGGTGGCAGCCTCGGACGCCGTGGATGTGGGAGGGGTTTGCGGACGTCCATCGGTCGGTTTTGTGTCCGGCGCGGTGGCCTTCCGCTTGGCCTCCTGAATCTTCGCCTGTTCCCGAAACAGCAGTTCCGGGTCTCGCTGCAGGTCAATCAGGAACTTCATGGCGGGCTTCGTCAACCCCTTTTCCCCGACTTCGGGCCGATAGGACTTGACCGCATGCAGGAGCTGGGCGGGGGTGAGCTGTTGGAGTTGGAGGAGGGTCGTGACCAGGGACTCGAAATCGTCCCCGAGCGATGAAAAGCATTGGAGCCATTGCAGGAGCTGGATGACCGGGGCAAGGTGCCGGCGCGCGGCGTCCATGGTGCTCTCCCCGGTGCTGTTCGTCGACCCGTTCTCAAAGTGTTCGGGATGTCGGTTGTTGTTGCGCGCCCAGTCCTCCAGGGTCGACACGTTCATGCGGATCTGCATGGCCTTGGTCCGCGCCAGGTAGCGTTTGGTTGACTGGATGCGGTTGAAGGTCTCCGCCCCGAGCCAGTACAGGAGCTGGGATATAATCTGCGTGGTGATGACGGAGTGCACGTCGTAAAGGTCGAGGACAAACAGGGTGGAGGAGAGGAGAGAAGTGATGTTGCGTGGGGAGACCTGCGCCCGCCGTCTTGGGGATGGGGGTCGAAAGCGCTTCTCCGCGGGTTCGGGGGCTTTGGCCTTGGACTTGGAGCGGAACAGCTTCCACTCGTTCTGGAAATGGACGTCCTCCAGGCCCGGGATCGTTTCGTGATCCAGCATGGCCGCGTCGAGCACTTTGTTCATGCGGCGCTCGGCGTCGCGGATGATGAGGATAAAGATTTCGTTGACGAGTTCGGCCAGATGCAGCTGGAATTCCACTGTGGCTTCCACCAACTCGCCGTCCTTTTTCAGGTAATGTAGCAGCAATGTCGCGTTCGACATCCAGAACGCGAGGATCGTCATATCCCACTGGTGGCGCTCGACAACGTCGTTGATCTTCTCAGTCGCCGAGACCAGAAGCTTTGCAAGCAGTTCGGGGCTCGCATGGTAATGGGCGTATCGCGCACTGAGAAAGAGGAGGTTGGCGGGGACGGGCTTCTGCGACGGCGACCGTTGGGGCGTCATGTTGGTGATGATGATGCTGAGAATCCTTTCGAGCTCGCTCTCCTGGAAGACGAACATCTGGTCGTTCAGGCATCGATCCCACACGAACTCTTGTTGCTCCTCTTCCAGCTCTTCTTCATCTAGAGACTACCACACACACACACACACACACACCGTCAGCCAAAGCGCCCCGCACTCGGGGCATGCGTCGCCGCATCACTCACATCAAACTTCTCATCAATCCCCAGGCTCGACAGATCCACCTCAAGGTTAATGGCGCTCTCCTCCATCATCATCCGCCGTTTCATCTCGTTCTCTGCAATCTCCTCCTCGAAGCGACCGTGCCCGAATCCGGAATCGTAGAAGTCGTCTTCAATCGCGCTCGGTCCAAAGTGATACCCATTCTCATGTAGATACTCGGAGATCTCGCTTCCGGGTTGCGCAAAGTCGAAAGCGGTCCCTCCAGACGAGGACTTGATATCGGGCGATGCGCCATGGTCGAGAAGAATCTTCGCGATTGTCTTATGTCTGTTCGTCATGGCCCACATCAAGGCACTCCACTGATTGCGGTCCTGCTGGTCAACACGGGAGCCTGCATCAAGCAGCGCCGAGACCACATCCAGGTGTCCCTACGGCGAGTGTTAGCATTGCGCAGTCCTTTCCGCCACCCAGCCCACCCACAAGCAACGAGTAACAAACAACAAGCGACGGGTACAACGTACAAAACAACTCGCATATATCAAAGGCACTGTGCCCTCTTCATCGGGCATATTAACATCCACGTAATCCTGTGCCTGGCCTTGCACCAATCTCCGCACACGATCCACATCGCCATTGCTGGCGGCCATATTCAAACTGCGCTGTAGAATATCCTTCTTCTCGCGATCCGATAGCTTCTCATCCGTCGCGATCGCCTCCTCGTCTGCGCCTAGCGAGTCCACTTCCCGGTGGGCAGCCTGCGCAGCAAGCATCTCCATCAGCCGGGCATCACTATCCTCCAAGCGAGCCGTGGTGGTCGACTCGTTATCGTCGTCGGCTGCGGCGGCCAGCCCGCGCCCATACTGGGCCTGGAGATTATGTTCTTCGTCATGCGAGTGATCGTCGAGGGCAAGGCTGAAGCTGAGAGGCTTCGCGGCGATGGGGGTAGTGAGGAATTGGGATTGACCTGCGTAGTGGGGGGGAGGAGGGAGGGGAGGATCAGCCATCTGTGCATGTATGATAACTAGCTAGGTAACTTTTCCCGCAATGACGACATTCCGATCGCGCCCTCTGCACGTGTCCCAGGCATCATCCCATGCACGTCATAAATGAGAGGTGTCATGCGCGACCGGTCGGCAAGCCAGCAGGCAGGCAGACAGGAAAGAGAGACGGGAGGGCAGGGGGAAAGAAAAAGAGGCCGCGCACCTTGCCAGGCATCGTACATTTCCGTCTCGGACTGGATGACGGGGACGGAACGACGGTCGTCCAGGGACTTGGGCAGGTCATCGGGGAGACCACCGGGCATGATGAGGGACCTGCGGTTGCGGTCGGAGGGAAGATCAGGCAGGTCGGGGTCGCTGTGGTCGCGATCGAGTTCGTCCGACGCCCCGCGGGGGGAGCCGGAGGCGTCCATGGCGATAACGTCAGGAACCAACAAAGGAGGGAGGGGGAGCACTCGGACAAAGGAGCGGTCGCTCTCGCTCCATGGAGGAGGGAGGGGACACGGGGGACACTGGAAGACAGGCTAGCGAGCTATCCTGGAGGCGGTGGAATTGGAGAGAGCCGAGAGGGGGGGGAATTAGTCGACGGTGAGTTAGGCAGTAGCAGCAGTACGGAGTAGTAGTGGCGGGACACGGAGGAGAAGAAAGACGGAGACGGAGGGAGGGAGTGGCAGGAGATTGGGATGTTCCTGGCCGGCTCTCGCCCGTCGTGAAACTCGCCCGCTCCACTTTGCATCATCCCCAGAGACGGACCGATTCGATTCAAACAGAGTTTATTATCAGAAACAAGCCCCCTTCCACAGGGGCCAGCTGGCTTCAAGAATATCAACGCTACCTCCATCCCCCAACTATGCAGACATTGCTTCATAACCCCAGAAATGCAAACCCAATCCCCCAGTTCCCAGTTCCAGTCCCAATTCTTCCCATTCCCCTTCCAGAATCAAAACAACCCCCCCCCCCCCCCAAACGCAGGCAAATGCAATAATAATCATAGTGTACACGAAAATCACATATTCCACCTCCTCCTCGTCCTCGTGACGCCCCAAAATGTGAGTCTCATCGCGGATATCTCGGTCGCTGGTAATCATAGACAGGTGCAGGGGTATACTGAGGGTACTAGGTAGTAAGTATACTTGCAAACAAAACGGAAACTCCTCTTATGCAAAACTGATCATGCTTCCTTCCCCTCTTTTTTTTTTTTTCTTCCCTTTCTCCGCCCTCCCTCTCCATTCCTTTTCTTCGTTTCTAGTCCAATTGTTTGCTGCGACTCTGGACCTCCTCTTCCGAGAGCGATGCAATCCAAAGGCAGCGTTCGATGACGCCCTGCATGGGCTCAAATCGGTACCTGGTGCTCGCATCGATCAGCCGTAGCAGGCTCTTGACAATCTTGGCCGTGGTGCGGTAGCGCTCGAAGTTTATCAGGGACTCCCCGTCCTGCGTCGTCACCCGCGCGGGCTTTTGGGCATTGTATGTGAGGTCATGGACATAGAGGCCTGCGGTGGATGTTTAGCAGGGGATTGCCCCAACATCTGCAAAGGGACCTCCATTGGAAACTTACCGACAAACGGGATGCAGCCCTCTTGCGCATTCGCCGTTTCCATCTCGAGGCGGAGGTCATGGAAATTGCGGATCGGCTGGATCAACGACTCCATGTCCTTAAGTAGGCGCTGGTCAGCCTGTGATACCAATGCCCAGGTGCCCTGGAGGCGAGAGCAATCCGACGAGGACAGGGCAATGGCGATCTGTAGCATCGTGGCGTAGTTGCACATCCTTCGGGCGTGGGCGGCCGTGTGGATGAACTTGGCGATTGTGCGTGCTCGTTCGTGAATGTCTTCGGTGAGAACAATTTCCGAAAGCACCCATCTGACCATCAGGTTGAAGCGTCCCACAACGAGATCGATTCCTCGGTGCTCTTCCTCCGTAAGGAACTGCGCCCAGTTCAGCGTCGAGGGCGAGCCGCTACTCCAACGCATATCAACCAGATCCCTCCAATCCACCTCGCTTAGAGCAGCCATTTCCACCAGGGTCAGTTGCTGAGCAAGGACGTGCGACTCGCAGGAGAGAACGAAAGGCACGTGCTCGGGTCCGGGGACCTGGAGTCGTTCTGGCAGCTTGCGGCATTTCTCGGACTGGGAGAGAACATCGCCGGAGACTTGCTGCATGTTGATAGATCGGTCATTGTTTTGTTCTGCCATTTTGTTCCTCGGAGAAGGGTCTGGCGTTAAAGGTTGGGCCTGGAAGAGCACCGGATTCAAGGGGGTAGTCCACGAGGCTATAGAACGGGTGTTCTGAATAGTCATTGGGGGGGAAGGCGGGTGGTGGGCGAGGGGATGAGGTGGAATGCCGAGCGATGACCCGCTCATTCGGTGGGTATCAATCGAAAGGCGTTGCTCGGCAGCTTCACGCGAATCAATCAGGTCAACCGAAAGCTCGGATGATAAGCCTGAAAGACGACCCGTATTCTTCCTAGATCCCGAGGGGATTACAGGCAATGTTGAGCCCCGTGGGATGCGCCTCATACTCTCCGTCTCTTTCACGATGTCAATAGATGGGTGCGAAGATTCCATGTCAGACATATCTCGGCTCGAGAAACTGCTGGGGTGAAAGCGAGACGGTCCAGCTATGTGAGATGACGGACGGCTCGTCACGGGTTTCTTCATCGACTCATCGCTCAGTCCTCGCTCCAGAAGTGGTATCGAGCTGTACGAGTCTTCTGATTCTGCAATTGAATCCGAGTATGGTCTATGAGGAACAACCCGCCCCTGGACTTGTGAGTAAGTTAGACTGTTGCCGATGAAGGTTTGACGTCTCCCAGCGGCAGCATCCAGGCCGGTGCGGTTGCCCTGCCCGGTATGCGCATAGCCCTGAAAAAACACTTCCTCCTCGCGGACCCTATTGAGGACCTGGCTCTGGTGCGGCTCTACTGGTCCAGCAGCAGAATCTTCGCTATCCATGGCGGTGGCGCCTTGCCATTTCCCTTCAAGCTTCAACAAGGTCGACTCAACGCCCCCATCGTCGTCGTCTGGAATCTGCGCGAATTGCGCAATGGCGGCCTCGAAAGAACGCCGCATGTTCTGGGATGAATGAGTCGTCATCAAGGAGAGGCGGGGATTTGGGGGGACAAGGGACGTTTGGGGCCGCGAGCCAGGATTTTCAACTCGCGTGACAGCTGTCTCGGCGCCAGAACTGCGGTAAGTGATATCGGAGACAAAGGAGCCCGAGCCAGGCCTGGATGGAAGGCTACCCCCGTCTCGCATTTGACGCAAGTCGCCGCCCGGTCGCCTGCGCAGCGTTGGCCCCGCGGGTCTGTCCACATGCTGCTGCAAGCTCTGCTGGGGGAGAGGAGGACCAACCTCACTGCCCATGGTGAGGCGATGTTTTGATATTCCGCTCTGGAAGGAAGCATATTTGCGCAGACGTAACGCAGGAGACGTTCTCTTCCAGGAATTCGACATGCGCTCCACAGAATACGACCTGCGCGACGCGGAGTATCCAGAAGGACGCTGCGAATACGAGGCCCGGCTGGCCGGGCCTGACTCAGAGTCGTCGAAATAGATTGGTAATGAGTACTCGTCGCTCATCAGAGTTGACCTTGGGAATGGCACCTGCGATGAAGGGGCTCTCATCGTCACAGGGGACGGTTCGCCTTCCAGGAACCCGGGAGGCTGCTCGAGCCCTCCATGTGACCCAGGGATGGCTCCCGACATAACAGGCACGCCCAGCCCAGTGCCGTCTACGATGACAATGGATTCACTACCCGTGGTAGCCTGACTTTGCGCTCTCCCATGACCCATTATAGAGGCATGTGAATTGAGGTTCCCACCATCCACACCGGAGCCTGGTTGTGATTCAGTGGACAGGGAATCTGCCTGTGCATCGGCTTGCTCAGCCACGGCAGTGCGGTATTGCCGCAAAGCCTCGTCGCACAGCATGTCAATTCTCAAAGGCTTTTTCACCGCGGCGGCAGTCTTTTTCCCCTTGTAGAAATCAGAGCCGAATGCGACGTTGTTTGGGAGAGCCGAAGTTCTCCCGGGCATCAATGATGTTGTATTCCCGTTCATGGCGCGCGATAGGCTACCATTTCCACCATGACGACTATTCAGCGCTCGGCGGATTGAGCCGATGATTGTCTTCATGCCAGAGGGGGAGGAGCCGGGTTTATTGATTCCATACAAGGTGCTTCGACGCTCCGGGGCTACGTCCTTGGCAGATGACGGCAGAGGAGGTGACGGGGGTGCCATCATAATGGTATAGGACTCAGCCGGGGGGTAAAGTTGCCCACGTATCAGGCTACCGAGATTGAATGCCTCCTGGGAGATTGGGACCTGTTGCTCGGGTTTGAGTAAAGAGAGGGGCGCTCTGCCGTCGCGAACAGAATCGGAGAAACTACCACTGCGTTTGTGTGTATGCCCGTGATATGGATAGCGGCGTGAAGCAAGGGGCGGAGGAGGATACGGGTCTCGCGGAGAAGAAGTTTGCTTCAGGGACAACACAGGCACTGGATGGGGCGCCTTGGTATGGACAACAGACAATGAAAGACGCTTCGGAGACTTTGGGGGCAAGGAGCAAGAGGCCGCCTGGAGGCTCCGGTCACTCTCTGCTGAAAGCGGTACACTCTTCGTTGTATTTGAGGAATTGTTTCGGTTGTGCTGAAAGATTGGACGAGACTGCGTGCCCGTAGGGGCAGCTTCGACGGCGCTTCTGGTACGCAAAAGGATCGGTAGGCCATCCCCACTCACTGTCTCCAGTAGGCTCTCAGCCTCATGGCCACCAGGGAAAATAGCAAGATCTGGGCTTTGGAAGGCATCCTGGCGATCCGTCAAGTTCCAATACAATGAACACTTTCCATACCAGCATCGCTTGAGATCAATCAAGATTTTCAGATCACTCATTCCGCCGTTGTGTCGGGACTTCACAGCATCGTACATACTGTTGATGGTATCACAGAAATGAGCGCGCAGTTCGTAATCTGGAACAAAGTCATCCACAAAATAATTCAGAATCCAATGTCGGAGCGCTGCGAAAGTGCGAATACGGATAATCCTTCCATCGTCCTGGAGGCGATTGATTGCCCAGCGTAGCCGAGCGAGAAGAAGTGCCAGGAGAGTACCAGCGGAGAGATAGGAGCGAAACGTGAGAAAGAAATCCGATACGAGCTCATAGTCCATGAAGGAGGCGGAGGATATCTGTGCGACAATCCGAGCCGGAGTGGCAGCACTGATGTCCTTGGTGCCTGGAGCATAGCGAACTACCGACTCGTTGTCCATTTCCGACACCAGAGCCTCGAAGATGGCCGGCTCAATGGGCTCTTTTGGCTCATAGAAAACCGGGCTCTCGCTGATAGCGGAACCCGACGGTAATTCAATGGCACCCGCCCCAGAAAAGACAGAGCCAACAAATGAAGGTCGGTCCGGGTTCCCGAAATAAGCATCGGATGCCAGGGTCCCGATCCAATGCCCTCTCGGGAACTGGGAGGTGCGTAAGTTGTCCGACGTTGAAGTCCTGGAATAGACAGACGTATGCAGAGCAGTATCATCATCGAAAACAAATCGAGGCAGGTCCAAGGGGTAGGGAGGTATTGCAGCTTCCACAATCCGATTCGATGGCTCATGGGCAGTCTTCGGTCGGTCATCCGGTCGATCGATAAAGATACGGAACTCCCCCGCGTGACCTGCACGCGACTCCGACCGTTGTTCTGAGATGGTAGAGAACGAGTGCGCTTTACGGGGCCGATGAGACAGGCGGTGGTATTGCGAACGCGCCGACTCGGTATTGACCGAGTCGCCATCTTCACAGCTTTCTTCCGGGATGAGGTCTGGGCCCAGCTCGGAGAACTGCGAGTTCGACCATCTCGAAGGTTCATCGCCCTCGGGACCCGTGCGTCCATGCGAAAACTTTTCTTGTCTGGCCTGGTTCGGCAAAGGGACAGAAGGCGCTAGGAAGGGTTCTTTCATCGATGGGTTGCGAATCGGCCTGGGGGATCGAGACAAGGGGTTAGCAATCTGCCCATGACGAGTAACATCTTGGGGGGCGAGGTCATTCTATCTACTCCGTACCTGAGGAAGATCTTCCCATTCTGGCCGACATTTCCCACGGTGAAGTGGTTCGGTTCCCGAGCTCCTACGGACGCATCGCGCGGCGCCTGAGAGATGTCGGGTCGCTTGAAGGAACCCTTTCGCAGTAACTCGTGGCTGTCCTTGACCCGCAGTAGTGAGGCCGCCATCCGCTCCCGGGCTGTTCTCGAGCCAATGATGGGGGATTCCTTGGTGTTTCTGCCGTGTGCAACCGTGTGGGCGCGTCGTAGATCGGTTGTCGCATGCTGGGTATCTGCATTCTCTGGGGCGTTGACCTTGTTGCCGGACTCGATCCATGTTGAGATGCCCATCGGCAATTGACTAGGCTCATTAGGGAAGGTGTCCCAGGATGTTGAGCCCGACTCCATGGCGAGCATCTGTGGAGAGATGCGGCTGCTACGCCTTGTTCAACCAGCGCGTGTTCTTTTTCTTTTTCTTCTGGGCACCGGGAGGTTCCGAAAATACCCTTTCCACCCACAGACCGGCAGGAAGCCTTCGCATTCACCGGTTTCGGCGAGCTAGAAGGCAAGACGAGACAGGGACAGCCCACGCTGGGATCGCAATATGTGTTTGCGACACGACATGACCAGGGCCTGTACAAACCGGTAGTTCTTTGCTGAGCGTGACGACGATCCACGTCAGACAGGCATTTGGAAGAATTGATAGCAGGAGCACGAGAGAAATGTCGATCGAACCGGTTCGGTAGTGGAGGGGGGAGGGATGTTCAGGCAGGACGCTCGGGGCAGGGAACAGGAGGTTCGGGAGGATAAGAATAGAACGGAGGCAGGTCAAAGGAAGCGAACCAGGAAAGAAGGCGAAGAGGGTACTGGTCCAAGGGTAGAGGAGGAGTGATGGGATGTGTTAATGAGGTTGATGGTTGTTGATGTTGGTGGTGATGATGATGATGATGGTGATGATGATGATGATGATGATGGATAATAATAGGTCATGAGCCAGGGTAAATAAAAGATTAAAGAAGCGCAAAAGAGTTGGAGGTGGAGGCGCGGTGGAGAGGGCGAGAGTGAGACGCGCGCAGAATCCGGCCTAGTCGGGCCAGGGAAGTTAGGAACAGGCTGGGACCGTCTGAGGCTAGCAGTCCGTCACTTGCCTTAGTCCCGGTCGGGTTCCAGCAGTGCGGAACCTCAGCTGCAGCTGCAAGCTGCTGGAATGGAAGACAGGAGAGTAAGTACTCCGTACTTACTGACTGACTGACTGTACTGTGTAAGAAGGATGAGGGGAAGGGGTCAGAAGGAGTAATCATAATAATAATAATAATAATACTCGTGAACCATGGATCCTACCCGGCCATAGCATCATTGCAGAACTGGCAGAACTGGGCAGTAGATACGATACAAGTACTTAGTCCGTCCTCGTCCTCCCGCCCAGGATCGACTACTCGGCTCCGTAGGCAGATCCAGGAGGATTCAGGTTCATCCTTTCCCTTTCCCCTTCCCCCCTCCTCCTCCTCCTCCTCCTCTTCTCCTTTTCTGCACCCCCCAACAAAGGAGTCCGGACTGCCATCGGTTTCAATCAACCAAATTTTTCGCAGGCATCAAATGTCGGTCAGCTGATAGTCGATCGACCATCAGATCGTGAGACGGTAACATCCACCAAGCTAAATTAGCCCTCCTGGCTGTGGTACGGCGGAGTACGACGCTGTAGTACTTAGTCTAGGGGCTATCATCTATCTACATAGTACGGAGTAGTGACTACTCCTACGTACTCCGTACTAAGTAGGTACTACCACTACTAGGGGGTATCTAGGGAATATCTATGGACTATGGGGATAGGTCGACGAATGCGCTGTACTAGGCACTTGGAACTTGGAAGATCTCAAGTCATCGGGAAAATCTCAGGGCTGGACCTTGAGGTCATGCGATCCCGATGCTCGACGGTCCGGGTGGGCTCAATGGGACGGACTAAGATGAAGATATATTATGGACTCGTAAGTAGGAGGAATATCCCTCATCGATCGATGTACCCATCCCCATCGTACGGTTATAGGTTTATCAGATATAGCCGTGGTAGCTCGGTGCTCTACTACCCCATACGAACCCTCCGCCCTTGCCCTAACAAGATCGGAGGAGGGCCGAGGGATGAGGTAACGATCACGGAATAGATAGATAGATAGATAGATAGATATCTTGACCTCCACCAGGTTCAACAACGTCAACGAGATACGTATTCTCCTGGTCAAATGACACGGATCGGCAGCCGTGCATGCACTTCCAGGTCGATACGAGACCGTCGATCGGTCAGAATCTCCAGCTCGAGGCAACGATACACAGTACTTCTGCGCTTTCCTACACACACACACACAGACGGAAGAATCGGGTCGTGGCTTTTTACTTCTTCCGAGCTCCCGCCGAGCTTAACTACTGTACTTGCGACGGGCTTCTTGACTCGTCGTCGTTGCTGGCATACACCTCTCGAGCTATTTTTACTTACCCACTGACTTGCCTACATACCCTTTCTCTCACCTCCCTATCTACTTACTCCCTAGCTATCCTTTTTTTTTTTTTTTTGTTTTTTTTTTCCGACGGCAGAGCTCGGCTTGGGCGTTACGTAGGTGAGTACGGAATACTAATCTAGGCATTACCTAGATAGGCACCAGTTCACGGTTGCCAGGTACCCGGGGTTGGCAGTTACATAAAAGGGGGCAAGGCACGAGGGGGTCTAGTATGAAAGGGAGCAAAAGGGCAGGGGAAAAAGTGGAGCGAGGAGGAGATGAAATGAGGTACCATCTGCTTCCATCATCTGGTCCATGATCCATCTGGTCCATCTTGCGTTCTTAAAAATGGGGATGGTCGAATGGGAAGGGCCCTTTTGCCCTGAAAGAAACAAAGGCTTGGTGGGCAGGGGGGGGGGAAAAGGGAAAAGGGGGGGCAGGGCAACCAGGGATCACGATTGGATCGGACATGCATGCAGGCGTACGTTGGCCGGGCCATTCGGGAGCCGTTAAGTGCCAATGACCGCCTCGAGGAGGAACGCCCAGTGGGGACTGGGCTGTCTATACAGTGTAAACTGTAAGACAGCGAAGGTACAAGTCCTGAGTTCTGTCTGAATCCTGACAGCAGGCGGTCTCTTCCCCTTCCGGGCACTGTTGGCGTTGCCCAGTGGCTGACCGTTGCGGCGGATCCCCGGCCGATCGCCGGGCTGGTCGCTGCTGTAGCCCCCGGGATGGGCTCCGCGGCTGAGTCCAGCTGAACGGGAAAAATTCTGTCCCCCGGTCCAAGGCCTCGGTCGGGACGAGTAGGAGGTGCACCTGAAATGCAAGGGTGTGTAGCAATGGCCAGGCAAGCAAGTGAACACTACAACTTCTTTCAGTGAACCGGGGAGGGGGGCCAAGTAAGGAAGGTACAGTCCAAGGACATCTTTCAAGGTAGGTAGGTACGGGGTACAGTGAACCCAAAGACAGACAGACGGGCGGATGAGGCAACAGGACATCACTGCAGAATTGGCTCTGTGTGGGGGAAAAGCAAATCAGAGTCCGCACGGATTACTTCTCCTTGCCTTGCCGCTGAGTGGAAAGTCTCCCCGGGCGCTGCAATTTCCACCTCTATCTATCCATCACTGCCCGTGGGAATCGGGCAATTTGATGCATCCATCACACACCACGCACACATCATAGCACCAGCCCACAACCCGGTCTAGAGGACAAACTAAGTGCAGTAACCCTCAACCAGGATGGATCGCTCTATCCAGATCCAGTTGCGGTCAGATCACGGCCTGCCTAATTCAAGGCTGATCGGGATCTATGTACATTACATATCTACTATCTAGTACTATCCGGATTCTTGGTAACACGGCCGAATGTCAATCATCTCCTGGGAGCCCCTCACCTTGTCCAGAAGTTTATCTTGGCCCGGCCAGACCTGCCGTTCATTTGCTCCTGCAGGCGCCTCCACTCCTGCGGCCTTCTGTAAAAGGTACTTACCAACCAACCTTGACGGCAGTGGGCACAATGGGCTCCGTTCCGACTGCCTGCCTGGAATCTGGATAGGTCGCAATACGCAAACATCCTGGCCCATGACTCATGGGTATGGACGCTGTGAGACCCAGTCAAAAGAATCGCACGGTCCAGGTAGCACCCCGGGGGGGGGAGGGCAACAGGTGATCAGTCACAAGGTGTCTGTCCTGTCCTGGTACACAGTGCATACCCTATCCCATCAGTCTCTGGAGGTTGATGGTCAAGTCCTGTCATCGTCCTCCAAATGTCAAGTGTCAAGTATCGACAAGGCTGATTGACCAGGCAACTACTTACCTACATGACGCAGCTACTTGGCCTTCAGGGTCGGGGATGCTTGCCCTGTATAAGACGATACATCAAAGCTTGATGCCTATCTACCCACCTTGACAGAAGACTAACATGGTCGCTGACACCTGTGCGGTGAGTATCATCCCGGAAGTCCATTTCAGCCCTGAACCCACACCGACTCGAGCACCTCAGTCATCAGGATGATGCATCTGGATGTAGTACTCCGTATCATTCCGCTTATCCCTCGCCCCGACCACACCCACGGATACAACCTCCCGCACTTACGGAGTGCTCAACAGCGCCTTGTTGCATGAGCGTACATATCTTAGTACGGTGTACACGTCGCTATCGGGGAGCTATCATTCGTAATAGAGGTGACAGGGGTTTACCAACAATTGTAGGCTGTTGTGCAAGAGTGTCTTTACCTGCTCAATATCTAGTGGGTCAGCTGGAAGACTTCATCCATAAGCCATGACTAACCCTCAGGTGGTATATTCTGGTTCAGTTCGGTGGTTTGCTTACAGATGGCCCCTCAGGCTTCCTTTGTTGCAGAACGGGTCACGGAGGGGTCCCCCCTATCATTAATCCAGGTCTCTCTGGCAAGGAGTAAAGCTCTCTTTGTCTGGAAGGAAACATCCGATCCCCTTTATCAGCCTTGAACTCTTGATCCAAGCTATAGCAGGTCGAAACTGAAATGGTCCCTGCGAACTGACGGACGTTTTCTCCACTTTTCCATGCCCCAGATCCACTAAGACAGAGGACAGGCTATCCCTGTAGCATCTGGGGCGAACATATCCAGGTCGGAGATGTCCGATCCATGAGTAATCGATGACAGACCGCTGCGGAAAAATGGGAATTTCCCGTTGGTGTCTCTCCAGGAGAGAGACCATATGGTCCTGACGGTAATATGGCGGGGATTATTCCTCTTCACGCTCTAAATATGGGCAGTGAATGTCAGGAAGACCACCGAGGCGAAAGGAGAACCCCCGGCTCAGGGCTTCCTCGGAAGGCCTGACACAATGTTCTCGAGGGCGAGCTGCCTTCGAGGTCGCTCCATCCCCGGCAGATACTGTGAACAGTCTTTCCAGGCTGAGCCCGGTCAGTGGGAACAAAGGGACTCCGAGTCAACCTCTTTCTTGGCCCTTTTCCTTCCAAGGACAATGGGATTCTCCGATGTGCTTCATGGTGGCTCTTACAGCCAGCCTGGACCTTATACAAAGGTCCCGAGGTCGCAAACAGCCGATAGCCCAGCGCTTCCTGAGTGACGCGTCGAGACTTCTCGACTCAAATCTACCTGCCAGTGAATCAATGACAGGTCTCTCTTCTCGGCAATTGCCCTGAGTTGCTCTGCAGCATTGATTACTTCCATGATCGGAAGCGTTGAACAAGATATGGAGTCATCCGAGGACCCGGCACTTTCTGGGTCATGACTCGGGACTTCTCAACTCGAACCTGCCTGTGAATGAGCTAACGATTTTATCTCTACAGGACTTGACCTGAGTTGCTCTGCATCACTGATTATCTCCATGCTGGGAAAAAAAAAAAAAAAAAAAAAAAAAAAGGAGCCGCCCGATACACTCGAAACAGAAGGCATGTCTCATTTTACAGAATGGATATAAAGATGGGACTCAGGAACGTCCTCAGACTGTACTACACATATGGGCCAGCCGGTCTACAACACCTTTCACGCTTACAACCAGTTCGAACTGCGTTCTACTGTTTTCCCCTCCGACAGCCTTCACAGCTTCTCTAGGGAGAAGCTGCTGGATAAGAACCAACCAAACATGCAGAGTACCGACGCAACTCAAGATGTGGTGCCCAGCACATGTGTTCTTCCTCCTGAATTGCTGCTGATGATTGGGAAGGAAATCAATGACGTTGGAACGATATGTACTCTAACTCGATGCTCCAAGCAATTCCATAAAATATTCACGGGGCTGATTTACGCTCATATTGACCTGACAGACTTGAGTCGTGACCCTGAGGAATGTTGGGAACGTTTAATTCGGCTGATTTTATCCATCCGTCAGAACCCAGCTCTAGCAGACCTGGCTCGCCGCTTAGATCTCGCGGTCGATTTCGAGGAGCGTTTCGGTGCATATCAAAACCTGGTGCTCATGAAGACCAAAATGCATATGTCCATCATTGGCGCCGTTGTGGACGGATATGGCAGCCAAAGCGAGAGTTCCCAGAGTTTGGAATCCCTAAAAGGTTTGAAGCCAGATACATTTGTGTCCGTTTTGCTCAAATATCTGAATCGCCTGGAGGTTCTCGCCATTGACAACGGATCGATGTACGTTCTTCAAGATCTTTTCAAGAAAGCAGCAAGTCGGCAGGACCCATTTCACGTGTCTCCGCCGTTTCCCTTCTTGCGAGAGGTGTGGTATCATCATCCTTTGGACCCTAGCATTTTCGAGATAGACGATAACTGGATGGACATGAGGAACGCATTGCCTCTGTTCTACCTTCCCGCCGTTAAGAAGGTGACCGCGTACAATGTTCACCAAAGCATGCACCCGGATCCTATCGCATTTGAGACACCCTCTGTCCCCCATGCCACACGTCCTGTCACTGCAATTGACATCCGGGGAGCCCAGAACATCCGTGGAGTTCCCGCCTGGATTGCGGCATGCGACAATCTCGAGATCTTCAAGCTGTCCTACGGGTTGTATACCCCTTACAACATTAAGAATCTTTCATCGCTAGCGTATCAGACATATACTCATTCCCTAATATCTCCAAGGCAGTGCGATATTAAGCAGCTCCGTGGATATCTCTTACCATGCAGGCATACGCTGAAAACCCTCTCGTTGACTTATGAATCCACGTGGCAGATTTCCCGGGATTTCGCCCTTACACGGCGACGCCTGGAAGACTATCAGACCGAGGAACCCTTTGGGTCCTTCAAGGAGTTTGAGGTGCTCGAAGAGCTTCATATACGCCATTGGAACATCATCTCGCAGGTTCACCCCCCGGTGAACCTAGACGACTATCCCATACCTTTCTTGGTCGAAGATGGCTTGGAGAACCCGCCGGCGCCCAGTGACTTCAACTCGGACTCAGACTTGGACTTGGACCCATCATCGGACTTCGACGTTGACAGAGCCTTGGCCTCGTGCTCGATTGAGGAACAGGGTGTTTACGTGGACCCCGATGTAGAAAAGGACCAGATCGAAACCCAGGAGATGTGTGCCGAGGACGATGACGACCATTGGACAGCCGATGAATTCCTGGGTGAGATCCTACCCAGTTCGCTCAAGCACCTCTGTATCCACGAGATCGTGAACCGCCAATTCTTCCCTCTTCTCTCGAATCTGGGCCGCCTGGTGGATGAGCGAGATACCTACGTCCCGCAGCTGGAGAAGATCGGGTTCGAGCTGAGTCCGTGCAAAATCAAGGACTTGTTCGACCCCGAGAAAAGATTCACGGCGTTTGTGGAGAAGTGTGGGAGGAAGAATGTGCGCGTTTCTTTTCATGGGTTGCCGGCGAGGTGGGATCATGCGCATTTGTTCCCGGAACGTGTTCGCTAGGTAGGGTGGATGGTGATGCCTTTTTGGGGGGTTGTTGGCGTATCTTGGTAGGTCTGGGAGTATAGGTGTTTGGGATTGTAAGATTATCCTTTTCTTATATAGTTCGAATTGGTATTGTTTTCGTTTAAAGTCTCATTATTCTGTCAATATTATATAGTACTTTCGGGGATTTTTTTATATTTGTTAAAGTATTAGAAACAGTGCTGTTTACACCATACTGAGTATATAAGTTATATTCCTGTATCTAGTATATATCAGAAAGAGACATCTACCCTATCTCGAACATAAATCATTTCATTAAGAACAGAGTTTTCACTGTGCCGTGTCACAGTCGCATCGAATAACTAACAACCGAGGCCACTGCGCAGGTTTCATAAACTATTTCCACAATCTACAAGAGAAAATTGCAGGCACTTTAACCACCGTATGGATCCCGTAGGAAGCCAGCATTTCCCGGATTTGATGTCAAAATACCCCCTATGACTGAATACATCAGAACCAGGACCTATGTAGTCCACCACACATTACTATTCATCATTAGCATTATTATAATCTCTATATCTCTTTTCTAGTTAGAATATCTCACAAATGAAATGAAATGAGCCTTCTCCCCTATCTACTCCACCCGGAACCAGGGTTGTAATTATTCCCATCCCCAAATTCGCCGGCAGTAATTCGATGACGCTACCTTAGTTAGTTCTGCGCTTCGTGGATACCGTACTTAGAGTACCGCGCATCTAGCTCTCTATACTCCAAGCACTGTACCCAGAATGCGTGGCAGTGTCACGTTGCCTTCCCAGAAGGGTTGAATATGTCACAGCATTCCTGGGTATCTCATCTCATCTCATCCGATCTCGGTTTTCTATCCGTTTTAGCGAAGATTCGCCTGGAGATTTTGTAGCCATAGCAAATGAACAAACAATGCCCACAAAGAAACTATATATATCCATCCAGGGCAGTCGCACATCGCCCCATCATGGTATGTTGTACCTAGGTAGGTAGTAGCGAAGATAGGTGGTCGATATGCTTTGAATCACCCGCTGAAAATGTATCTTCAATCGGACAAGTTATCGACTCCGAATCGGAAAGGGATTATTTTCGGATGGTTCATCTGCAAACACCAAGATTAGATTAGTAAGATTTTTTTAAATAAAAAGAAGCAAACAAACAAACAAACAAAGAAGTGAAACAAAAAAAAAACCATAAAGTAAACAAACCGTGGGGGCCAAACCCAAATAATAATATGACGTACAAGGCATCAAACACCAAAAATAGTAAGCGGCGGAGAGGAACGACAGGGTCGCAAACGCAACATAGCTGGCCATGTAGATGAATGCGCGTTTAGCATTCTGGCAACGGCAAGGGTGTGGTGCTGGAGACTCCCTGTCGTCGATGTGGAAGGTGGTACAGTAGTCATCGGGATCGTGATTGGTGGTATGCTCGTCGGTCAGCAGTCCGATGTAGGGCTGGTATTTCTCGATATCGGAGGACCAATCATTGCGACTACTCCTGCTGCTGCTGCTGGGGGTGATGGTGGTTCTGTCCTCCAAGTCCGGGTCACTGTGGGGAAGACGGTCAGTCAGTACTAACTATCAAAGGTGGATGGATGGTTGCGTCTTGCTTGGATGTGGCTAAATACCTATCTACCTATCTATCTATCCGTAGTGGCTGAGGTACTTCGGGAGAATGTACATATGTAGGTAGATAGGTAGATAGGTAGATAGGTAGATAGACAGGGTAGTCTGACCGGCGGACGGGCGGGAGGGGCTGAACTGACCTCTTCGTTCTCAGGGGGGACGGGGATATGCCGCTCTGCATGCCACTCATCTCACCAACCACATGTACAGGGAAGACGCAGTCAGCTCGGGATAGAGTTTAGTGCGTAGGATCCTTGGGTGACCGGGGGGCATGATTTAGTAGAGGTGGTAGATAGCAAGTAGCATTGGGGTTCGAATGACTGTGAATAATGTTGTTCCCCCTTCACACCGGCACTTCCGAGGCGATGCCGCGTTTCAGTCTAACTTTAGGGATGTTGGGAAGGGGATGGGGATAGGGCTGAGTCAGCGGGTGCTTGTGCGGATGGAACCTGAACTAGTTTGGTCATTTAGCTGCTTAGCATAAAATGTGCCTGTTTTTAGGGGGATGATCAGGCAATTTGGTCGTCATTCAGGGGACCAGAACAGAGTACCAAGGTGAGCCAGAGGTAGAATACACGGGGGTTTATACTTGGAGACGGGAAGGAAGGGGGCAAGACTCCTCCGAGATGTTGTTAGACTATTAGTGCTGTTGCTCCGTGTATGATCCTGGATGATGTTTGCCAAGATGCCCCGTGGCCGGCTTCCTTCGCAGGGAATTCTAGCCAGCGGACGATGGGCGGATGGAATGCACATGGTCAGAAGCTCAAAGCCTGTCCAACCTTATGTGATGATGAGCTTCCAGTCACTAAGCGAGCTTCTTGATTGTTCAATCATCCTCATGGTCGTTGACCGGCACCTTATTCTCCGAGGATCTGGACGACGGCCGCATATTACCGACCGTAGCTCGGTTGTAACCTTATGTTAATTTGGCTCGCGTCCAACCATGGTTCAGCAACATGGAACATCTTCGTCTCGGGCGAAATGTGAATAGTCACGGGATTATCTGACGACCATATGAAAATGGCGATGCCGTGGAATGCAGCCTCCTAGCAAGGCCGTGGATTCTGCTGCTCGGCACGTATTCGACTCGAGACGAGATGGATGCCCCACAGAAAGCCAAACCATATGATCTCGTATCACGGAAAACCATCCATTTAAGGTTACAGCGTGAAAGAATCCCCATAATCGAAAGACCGAAACCCAAGGCAGGAGACGGGTCCTAGATAGGTAGTATTTACCGACTTCCATGGCTTTTTTGGATTCACAATAATGATTCGTAATCAAACCCTGACCGGGTCCGCAACAGACGTTCGGTATTTCAACGCCTAACGGTACCTAACATCGAGATCCACCGCTCGTTACCGTGCCTGGATAAGGTACTGATAGTCTGATGGAGACCTTCCACTTTCAGGTTCAACATGGCAGCTTCACTGACTTTTCGGGAAGCCGATTGACAGCCCGAATGAAAGCCTGACAGGCAGCCATGGCCACTGGCCAAGCACGGAATGCTGCCAGATGCCATGTCAAGACTAATGCTATCCACATTCTACTTACACTGGGAGGCGGCAAATTCTCGCACAAGCTTCGGCATTTCTTACAGCTCCCATATGGAGTACGGGGCTTCATACTCCGGGTACAGGTCCAGTCTCAAGCTTTCCTAATGATTGGACCATCAAGCAGCGGTGTCCATCCGAGATGTAAAAGTCAAATTGCATGTTTTGCGTCCACCTTTGGTCGATCGGCTTAGGTAAATGCGCTGTATAAAAGGGTGCCATGCCACGCTGCTGTCACCTCGTATCACTCTGCTTGCATGCATGTGATTTGCCCAGGATCCAGTTCGCTTCGAAGGTACAACCGACCTATACGGGAGCAATGTGGTCGCAATATATTCGGATTGGCGGCGACAATCGCCATTCATTGGGTGCTTATGGGGGTTCTCCATCATCGATGAATGAAGATCGCCCGGCCAAGGGTCGCATCGCAGGGTGAGGTCTCGGGAGTGCAGCAGGGACTGGAGTAGTGGCTGGATCATCAGCCTTGGCCTGTTTGTTTTGGGAAGGACCCCCTCCGAGATTGTGATTATAACTCCCAGTTGGTACTGGAATTTAGATCCAGGCTGGCCGTTAGAACTTGGAACTTGGACCTTGAAAGAGGAGAAGGCAAACCCCGGTCTTGGTCTCAACCCCCTCCCCGGAATAGAAACCACGCGATATCCGGCCAGTCGCCGACCGGCCGTCGCACATCCGACCAATGACAGGCCGGGTGCCATGCATAGTAGCCATTCGGAGACCGGGGGGGATATGCGTTGTTGCCGTTATTACGACGGAATCGGTCGAAGACCCTCAACCAACCTTGAACCACTGAGCCTGCAGTGGACTGTGGAGTCCTCGGAACGTTGGTGTAACTGGTGACTGGTGAATGATGACTTGGTAGCCAGAAGGGGGGGGGTAGGATGGAAAAGGGGTTCACGCTGCAAAGTGAGCAAGATTGTCAGCAAAGACTTGATTCCCCGTAGCTGATACTCCGTCTTAGGAACAAACGATATATATAGACCAGACATGGCAGACCATCAAGTAGTTGGTGATCGGTTGGCGAACGTGTCCTCCTTGGTATTCAGGCAACGACAGCTGTCAATAGTCCGCTCTGGTCTATGGTGTACTCCGTACACTACCTAGATAGATACTCCGTACGGAGACGGAGTACCAGTGCCACTGCCATCGGAGGAGTTCAATGCGTCCTGTCAAGACTCCGCTCTGGGTGTGTGGGGTCGTGGATGGGAAACTCGAAACTGGTGAAACAGACTAAGAATCCTCCCACCGCGCAGAAAGGGAAGGGAGGGGGACAAGCACGTGGCTGGGGCGCGCAGCCAGTGCCCGGTACTGTACAGCGTACCGGACCGGAAAAAACAGCCTTGATACTGTCTGCCGTACGGGCCTCCGTATGAGGCGTTCGGGTCGTATGTTTGTCCCTGCCTGAATAAGTACTAGAATGTACTAACTAGTATGTAAGTACCTGTAGATGTGCTTATCAGTCGTGGAGTATCCCTGATTCCCTGAACAATCAGGGCGAAAATAGATATTCTCATTGCGATAGTCTCAAAGGGAATAAATAATAATAATAATAGGTAGATACCTAGAGGGATGGCTTGTTTGCCTTACTGGCTGCTCCGTAGTATCCATGTCGCAGATCTCTCGCGCACCAACAGAGTAGGTATCTATCCATTAGTACTACGGAGTACTGCGAAGAGACTCATCCTGTTTACGAGCCCGCCAGAGGCTAGAATCAGTGTAGATTCGGGGAATTATGGATAGCTATGCGAGCTAAGGGAGCTTACTATTGTCTATCATCGCTGAATGCTTTCAGCCCCATTGAGGGACGAGGCTACTTATTGTCCGATCCATGGTACGTGTCCCGCGAACCGGCCCAAGGAAGTGTCTACCCCGTCCATACAAGGTAATCTCTAACGACGATGGGTTTGACCATGCCTCTTTCTTCAGACAACTCAGAGATTATCCTGGTCCTAGGGAGTAACAAGGCACCTCAACCCCAGCGCAGGAAAATGTACCTATCCGGCCACGGCCCCTATCCGCGCTGTTGATGTGCAACTGCTGGAGGACGGCTATTGTTTCGTCTTGGCCCAATGCAGAAAGATTTTCGAGTTCCCACCCGGACGCAGTCGCGCGTCTCGAACAAGGCAACGAATGCGGTTCACGGACACTTGCTAGATAACACCTTCGGGACCATCGCCTGTGTGTGTAGCGGCATCTATGACCTGCAGGAACTACGGCGTACGATAATCTGGGATCCTGGATAGCGTCAGCGACCCGACCATGCATATGACACGTCTCGCAGGCTCGCAACCAAGGTCAGCCCGTGGGATGTGTCTACTCTTCACCTGTTCGGCTTCGCGGGACGCCGGGGCCTGTTACCCGTGTGAGCGAACCCAAATAACCGCCTACCGCAGCGGACAGCCGACATCCAGTCATCCACATCCACTGATTTTATTGATTGACGTGCTGGCAGCTGAGGGGCACGACTGTCTAGATACTTAGTGTCTTGACTTTTGACTCTTGAACCTACCCCTGCCTTAGCGCCTCAGTCGGCGTATTATTGTTCGGCGGGCAGATGAAACCGGAAACCCGGAAAGGCAAGAGGCCCACCCGGCGCGTTCCTAGAAAGCCAGCCAAGCCAGTCTTGCCAGCGTTCCCACCTGGCGCCGCCGTCTGTGTCTGTCTGTCTAGTCTCTATCCAGATAGATAGACTTCGAGCACGGATCGTGACACCATGACAGATCATGGTACCTATCGCTTAATAGAGTTTCGCGACGCATGGCCTTGACCCAGGCGCGCATTTTCCCGACGGGAGGGCGATGGATATATCATGCTAGCTAGATCTTGGTTCCCATATGGTGATGGATGCATCGCAAGATTACCGGAAAAAAAAAAGCAACCATGCCACCATCGTCCAATAATTAGGCCACCAGATATTCCTACAATGCCATTATCGCTCAGCGCTTAATGATCCCGTTTACCAGCGGGATTTGAATGGTGGCGATGGTTATGGAGGAAAGTCTCCCGATCTTGCAGGCATCTAGAAGCCTCTTCCATTGACAGGTACCTCACGTCCTGTTGGCTCGAGTGGCCTCCCTGTGAAGGAGGTCATGATACCCACTTACCACCCTCTGCCAATTCAGGCCCGTGATGAACTGTAAATAATCATGATGATCTCTCAGGACCTCAGGCACTAGCTTAACTCAATTTCCCGGATTCTCCTGGTTCGCGGAACCAGCTACCTGTCTATCTAGTACCTGGCGCGTGAGCAAGACTATATCCTTAATAGATCCAACGATCGAAGGCCAAGACTGTGGACTGTCAAGCGCACTTCAACATCAATAGTACATACCTATGCACCTAGAAGGTCACAAAGTGAGCTGTCGGTACTTTTGTACGGAAGTACCGTGGTACTCTGTAAGTCTAACAAACAGAGAATAGAGATAGATTCCAGCCGGTTGCAGACCCCCAAAATCCCATCCGGGCCTCGTACTTTGTACGGCGGGGCCAAAAGGTCGACCCCTTCTCTCGAAGCAAACATTCGTCGATCGGTGCATGCCGATGCGTCGGATTCGTGCCTCGTGGCGTCGTTCGCTTGCATCCATGGATGGCTTGGCAGGCGCAGAAAGGGTCGGTGGGAACTGAACCCAAGACGGCCATTCGCCCGAGGACGAGGGCATCATCATAAGTAATCGACGACTACGGCCCCAAGTAATAACTGTAACTTATATTAAAGATCAGGAACAACCTGGGGCCAAACAAAGAGATAATGCGGGACCGTGAGAGGATTGCGATCCTGCTCATCCTGTCTATATTAATGCAGATTAGCCCGTCCACAGTCGACGGCATAAGTATAGCATTAGTAGAAAACACGGCACGTGGGAGGGGGTTGTCCAAATTGTCGTCAATACGGAGGACTCTGAACCTAGTAAGCGGGTGCATGGGGGATGCGTCCAGGGAACCCATCATTAATATTTCTCGACCATTGATTAATTTCACCGGAGGGGGGTGGGCCCAAAGAGGAAGGATTGAGGGCCAATCTCCATGATTATTGATTGTCAAAATGGTCAAAATGGTAAAAACGGGGCCCGGGGAGGTCAAACTCAACGGGGAGGCCGGAGCTTGAGTCAGGTCAAGTAACCCAAGGTAGGGAAGGCCAGGCATGAAAGTACGGGTGTCTGCGCGTGTAGGTGTACGGTCAGGTCAGGACAGGACGCCATCCATACGCCCATACGGGCGCTGTACACGGGGGGGTTTCTGACTAGCCCGACCTTATTCTCCATCAATTCCAATCGGCTCGAAGCAGGCTAAGAGCGGACGAAGAATCACGAATGGATTTCCGAGGTGGATCCGCGTCGCGTTCGCACGCCAGTCACATCCGCTCCCAGGGCGCCGTGACTGTGAGGTTGCCCGGAATGGGGAGAGGCCAGCCTGCCAGCCTGCCAGTCTGGCCGTCTGGCCGTCTGGCAGCAGTCTGGAGCCTTGGAGGAAGCTCCTTCCCGTGATGCTATCAGCGACTAACAGGGCACTAGTACCAGACGCTAATGCCGGTCGCGGTTAGCCCCGGTCGTCGCTGCTGCCGCCCGGAAATCTTTCGCCGTACCATAGATACCCCCGGCGTATTACGGGTCCCGGTGTCAGGACTGCTAAAGTCCCCCAGCAGGATGACTACGCCGGACGAGGAACTAAGCCGACTAGCACCAGCGACCTCAGCACCTCACCCACTTCTGCTGGCACCGTGGCCCACCCCGATCGGGCTTGATTGAATATCGAACGAATTGCGCGACTCCCTCCGCGGCCAACATTCCCACCATTCACTCCTACTCTATAGCCCTGCGATCTCTCCCGCATCCCTCCCCCCTCCCTCCCCTCTCGCTCTCCTGCTCGCTTCGCTCTTTCACTCCCTCCCCGGCTTGATATGGCAGGCATGCACCCGTCTGCATCCCACTGAATCCCTCCCCATCCTTCCCCTCACCTGAGCCTCTGCGGTCAGCATCGTCGTCCACCGCTACAAAAGGGGCGCTTCGAGACAGTCACCACACCACCTTCGTATATCTGCCGCGCTCCGGGATCTTCGGTTCATTCAACCCCCTCCCCCGACAGCCTGCATTCCTTATCAGAGCCTCGATCGAGACGTCCTGCGGACCTCCTCAGTCTCAACGATCCCGCCTCGGTGAACGACACAGCCTGGCTTGCGGAATAGCTGAGCTATCTAGCCCGGCTTGCTGATTGGAAACTCCGTCGCATACCCTTCCTCGACTCGACAGCTATCGAGCTGCACCGCCCCATACCGAGTGCGCCACTCGTCGAAGATCCGAGGCACCGTTAGAAAATACGTGGGGGATATTTGCGACAGTTGTGGAACGACTTTACAACCTCCGGTGAGCCGAGAGGATACTAAGCCTTAGGAGAAGGTATCGACGTACGTACAATATACAAATGAATCTCCCGCTGGAGACATTTGGTGGCATGTCCTAACTTGCGCGATGCGGCTATAGTCGGGATTGAGTTCTCAGTCATCTTTGGGGTTCACTGTTCTAGGTAGGCTTCGCCTTTGCGTTCTCCCCAGTCTTCATTTGCCAAGGTTGGGCCTCGGACTTTGGTCGGCGTCTGATGTCTTGAGGCGAGCCTTGTGTGTGGTTGCCTACGCAAGTCTGAGCGCATCTATGATTCGGACATAGAGTTTACTGGTGCCAGTGTCTATGTTGGGCGCAAACGCCTCTGTGTAATCGATTGCTGATGAAAAATTTAGCCGGATATATAACAACATCCTCAAAGATGGGTTGCATGAGTTCAAAGCCCGTTGATTCAGCGGACAAAGATGCCATCCAACGAAGTGCCAGGATAGAAAAGGTCCTGAAGAACGATAAGAAAACGATGGATCGGACCATCAAGATTCTCCTTCTCGGTATGGATTCAGATGATTACCCTCTTAATCTTGCTTCTTAACCATAACGTATGCTCATGGGGCTTCTTTCAGGTGCCGGAGAATCGGGGAAGTCGACGATTATAAAACAGATGCGAATTATACACTCGGGTGGCTTTCCTGAAGATGAGCGTCGCCAGACACGTGCGGTGATATATTCCAATCTCATTATTGCATTCAAAGTCTTGCTGGACATTATGCGCTCGGAAAGCATCGATTTTCAGCTGGGAAGGACAAAGGTAGTTGCAACTCAACTCAACAACTTCTCCATTCTCCAAGGGAAGACCCCGCCGTTCCGGTGCATAGACTGACCTGTGAGCGTTTTTACCAGCCATTGGCCGACTTTGTCGATGGACTCGAGCCCGATGTAGGCTCCGATGAGGCGTTCTCAGACCCGAAAGTTCGCGATGCGTTAAGAGTCATGTGGGATGACACGGGTGTTCAAAAAGCTGTCGCCAGGGGTCATGAGTTTGCGCTTCATGATAACTTGCATTAGTGAGTGCTGAAACTCCTTTAAAGGGGCGGAGGGCAGGCTAACTAAGATTTTTCAGCTTCTTTGACTCGCTTGACCGAATATTCACTCCTGGGTGGCTTCCAGATAACCAGGACATGCTGCAGGCTCGGTTGCGGACAACTGGAATTACAGAAACTCTGTTCGAACTCGGTCAAATGAACTTCCGAATGATGGATGTTGGTGGACAGCGATCCGAACGGAAGAAGTGGATCCATTGCTTCGAGGGTGTTCAATGTCTTCTTTTCATGGTGGCCCTATCTGGTTATGACCAATGCCTTGTTGAAGACCAAAACGCCGTAAGTGCCTGCCCCCTGATTCTTATTCCTTCGCAAGACCCAATCTGATCTTTTTCCCCAATACAGAATCAAATGCACGAGGCAATGATGCTTTTTGAGTCTTTGGTCAATGGCGAATGGTTCAAGCGCAAACCCATCATCCTGTTCTTGAACAAGATCGATCTTTTCAAAGGGAAACTCCACGTTTCACCCGTGTCCAGCCATTTCCCCGACTACAATGGCTTGGATACGGACTTTGATGCGGCGGCGAGGTACTTCGCAGACCGTTTCCGAGGAATCAATCGGATCCCGGATCGAGAAATCTACATCCATTACACAAACGCCACCGACACGACGTTGCTGAAGGCAACTATGGATTCGGTGCAGGACATGATCATCCAGAAGAACCTCCACACCTTGATACTATAATGTGCGAACTTCGGAACGATTGACTTTCATGCGGACTTTTGCAAGCGCAAGACGTCGACAACACCCATACCCTCTTCCGCTACTCAGCCATCGTCTGATTCCCTCAAGCGTCCTCCGGAGCACGCTTGCCTTCACTCCTATGTTTCCTATATATTCCGCAATCTCCCTCTGTACGTCCTTCCTCATCGACACTTCTGCGTCTGAGCTTCCCACTTTTCAAAAGCTTATACGTCTTATCCGGTTCAGCGACGGGTGCATTTTCCTATATAATGCAGATTGATACCATATACCATGTGTTGCTTGCGTCCATGTCTGCGCCTTTAGCCGCACTTAACGAACGTTTTCATTCATTCTTCTGGGTTGGGTCCCCTTGTTGGTTTATCGGTGAACCCCCTTCGCCTTCTACTATATGTACCTTTTTTTGCCCCCCTCCTCCCCCCCTATTCTTTATATACATTTTCTTCTTGCCATCTCTGCAGCTTTCACTTGATCCGGGTGTCCTGCGTTTTTTTTCGGTCATCAACCCGCCCCATTCTAGTATAGCGTCACCTTTCGAAGGTTTGGCTTAATTGAGCGCGCGTGATAGTGACCAGATTAATCAAACACCGCCATATGGGTGGCCTATTTCTTTCAAACCGTGATAGTTGTGGATCAACTAGGTTGCTTCTTTCTGTATATGTCTCCCAAGTAGCTCAGTAGCGGTAGCGTTTACTATACGTCGTGAGAGTACGGAGTAGCTTACTAGGTACCGTACACCCGAGGGCGCCTGGGTCACATGACCCAACGGTATAATGCCTGAGGCGGGAGGGCGTTACATAATCAGCCGAGTTCCGCATGATCGGCTTGCTCAACTTCGATTTCGCCTCTTCGTTCCCGACCATCTTCGACACCCCAGCTTCTGGGCTCTACACAAAATGCTGTCGTCCTCTCTGCGCCGGGCTGCATGGGCTCCCATGGGGCCCATCGCCGGTATATCTCGCGCGTCTAGTCAAGCTCTTACTACCTCCGCGAACGGCCTCATCGGCTCGACACATGTGCGTCAACGCCGATACTCCTCCTCGTCCTCGAAGCCTAGTGATGGATCTAATAAAGTCGATGCTTCCTCTCAGACGCCTGCCAAGGGAGTAAACTCTGCAGATAAGCGTGAAGGAAAAGCCTCTAGACGGCGAAGCAAGGACAGCAACGGTCGCAATGCTTCCAAGCAGCAGACAGCGTTTTCCCGACTCCCCAGTGTGCCTTCCACCCAACACCTCCAGCCACATGGTGAGTGCTTTGATATCCCCGCTGCGTTCGGTCCACAGCACCCTCTTTTCGCGAAACATCCCACGCGCTGACTCTTTTCATCCCCTCTAGATGTCCACGTCGCGTCGTTTTTCTCCATCCACCGACCCATCTCCGTCTCCACGACCATCCCTCCCACCTCCACCCCCGAAGCTTTCGACGCCATCTTCACCGCGAAGAAATCGGCCAAGCCCGAGGTGGACGATATTATCTTCACCCTCTCGTCCGCTGTCGACTCCATGGAGGACCCGGCCCACCACGCAGGCGCCGAAGAAGAGGGCTCCCTGCACTACATCGACATGAAGGGCAACGGCCTGCCCGAACTGAAAGTCTCCGTCGACGAACTCATGAGAGGCCTTCGCCCCTTCCACCCCCCGCCGCCGCCTGAGCCGAGGGCCGCGAGCGTGGAGATCCAGGACAAGGAGGACGAGGGAAAATCCACCCTTTTAGCCCTCCACCAGTTGATCGACGCCAGGATTGCCGCCTACGAGGCCCACAATGGGCCTCTACTCCCGGCTGATAACATGGAGGCCCCCGGTGCCATCGGCGAGGCCGATGCTGTCGTCGATGTCCCCCACAACTCCGGCACCACCTACATCGAGCGTCTGCGGAACAACAGCACCATGCACGCCATCAGCACCAGGAGACGGCGTAAGTTGAAGATGAAGAAGCACAAGCTCAAGAAGCTGCGGAAGAGAACGAGAACCCTGAGACAGAAGCTCGAGAGGTCCTGATTGAGGTCCTTAGCTGTTGTTATCTGCTACGCTACCACTACAATCCCAATTTTTCTCTCTTCTTTCTTCCTCTTAATCGCCCTCCCTCCCTCTTGATCTTGCCACAGGTGTCTTCGTCGGCAGTCCTTCTAGACTCTCACCTCACATGATCGCTTGGCTATTTATCTCTCGCTTTGCGTTCCTGCGTGTGTATGGCTGTGCATGTTACCTACCATATGCCATGCCATGCCATGCGCTCTCTAGGTTCTTATGGCGTCATTTATCCATCCCAATTTCTTTTCCGCTTGAATATTTTAACCTCCCGTTGCATTACCTCTCTCGATAGACAGTACTATGTTACATATTGATCTTTCATACCTGGCTTTTCTTTTTTGGTCCAGCTGAATATCCTTATTATTCACGCTATTTCTAAATATACATCCTGCTTTCTTGGGTCCTGGTTGTCTGTTATTGGATTTGTCTCCTCGAACGTCGAAAATAATCCGTAGAGTATTGTTTCTGTCTGAAAAGGTTGATTTTGACCGTCTGATTATTTGTAAGTATATCTATCAGGTTTGTAGTGGGTTTCCTACGTGGAGGTCAGGTAAGCAGGCAGATGTAATACATACACTGCAAGGGAGTCATACGATATATCAGTGACTGATCGATGCCTCGTGATGGACTTCGTAGTCGGTCATCCGCTCGATGATATCGAAAGGATTGCTCAGTATGGATAAGTGTTTGCGTTTATGTGATACAAGATAATATAATATGAGAACCTCTCTTAAAATAAACGGGTCGCGTAAGAGGCATAAAAGGACGCCAAGGAAGGGGGGAGAGGGCCCAAGCTGATCGAAGAAGGGAAAAGCATTGCTAAGGAATTGATTGCTCAGTAAGAGCAACAACAACAACAATACAGCAACAGGAAGAACAATTCCCATAAAGTACAAATTTCAACGACGACCTAAAAAAGCCATGCAATGTATCTAACACAGCTTTCCACCCCTGTCCTAGTCTACAATCTTGGCTAGCACACACACACATCGACATAATATCTTGTCCTTTGATATGAGGGGGAAAGAGAAGAAAGGAAAAGAAGAAAGAAAGAGGGAGATGCATATAATCTAATGTCTTCCTCTCTCGTTTCCTTTCCTTCTTCATCTCCCTCCCTCCACCACCACCACCAGTCAACCACTTTCTCCACGCTCCTCTCCCCAGCTATCATCGCGACAATGACGGAAAAAGTCATTGTCTGCCAAAAATAAAAATGAGAACATAAGTCAAAATAACCACATCACGTTAATGCATGTTAAGCATGAGCAACCCGGGCTCTTCACTTCGTAGACGAGAAAAATGGGCGCGAGGATCTCGTCGGGCGGGTGTTCACATGGGTCATTTCACGGAGACGAGGAAAGGTCCCTTTAGCAGGTGGCGTCGATCCTCGAACGGGAGTTCATCAGAAGGGCAACGATGAGACCGTACAGACCTGCGAGAGTAGACATCGTTAGACAACCTGGAACAAACTCCTTGCGCTAGGCATCAGCTTACCCAGGACTTCAGCGAAAATGAGAATCAAAATCATTCCGACGTAGAGACGGGGCTGTTGGGCAGTTCCACGGACACCTGCGTCACCGACGATACCAATGGCAAAACTGAAGGCCACGGGGTTAGTTTCAATGTCAACAAGAGGCGAAGGACCGCCGATAAGAGGTGGAACATACCCAGCTGCCAAACCAGCCAAACCGACGGCGAGACCTGCTCCCAGCTGGATGAATCCGGTGTACAAGGGGACCTTCTGGCCCAGATCGTTGGCAATCAAGACCGACACGACCAGACCGTAGATACCAATGATACCCGCCATGACGATGGGGACAATGTCTGTAGTGATCGCCAGTTAGAAACACGTGTGCTATGGGTCTTAAGATGATAGTATCTCCGGAGTCATTAGCTCTGCGGAGCTCCCAACGTACTCTTGACAATCAGGTCGGGCCTCAAGACGGCCATGCTGCAAACACCGACACCAGCCTTGGCAGTTCCATAGGCAGCTCCGAAGCAGGTGAAGACAATAGCGGAGGTGCAGCCCAGGGCGCCAAAGAAGGGCTATATAGCTCGAATATCAGTTATCTGAGCACACATCCTCTCTCTCAGAGATGTGTTTTGCCGGTTGATGCCGTCGAACCCAAGCTAACCCAAGGGTCGCATGGAGCTCGAGTTGTGTCATCGGCGAAGGTGGAATTGCGAGAGACTTACCGCGTAGACGGGGCTAAGACGGTCAAAATGTCAGCATATTCGATCAGAAAGGCATCCCAGTCCAGATGGGGTCCAGAAACCCCGGTCCCAATGGGTGGAATGTCGGGAAAAGGAGTCGGCGTGGTGATTACGTACCAAAGCTCGGTGGCCATTTTGACGGATCTGACGGCCTTGGGGGCTAAAGAAGATGGATTGACGCTATAGAAAGAGCCGAAGGAGGCAGGAGAGGGGAGGGACAGGCCGCGTTGACAGCGATGGGATGATGCAGGAGGCTTGAGGGAGCGAGACGGAGATGGAGGCGTGAAGGCGAACACGCTGGTTGCTTCGGAGAGGCTGACCGACCACCTGCGCGGTCACCTGACCCCGCCTTGGCGCCGTGCCGTCCCGGCAGCGTTGACATCAGCACCCCATCAACTTTACGACCTCGACAACATTTACTGGACATACGAATTATTGATGTCTATACACATTTGACATTCCGAGGCTAGAATTATCTCTTCGCCATTTCCACCCAATATCCAGGAATATCAAACTTGGCCCTCGATTCTTGCGCCGCGTCGGCAACCTCCGCTCTACTCACCGCTTGCAAGTAGGTGATAGCTCTCTCCGATAGCGCCCTGAGACGCGACTACCAAGTCCTTCTCCACGGAATCGGTACCTTGTACGATAGTCTCGGCGTCGAAAGCAATGCTAAAGAAAGAACAATACGCTTCCATCTTTGGACTCACATCCTGGAACATGATCAGTTTCTACATATCAAGCACATATACTTTCATCGAGTTAGCTAACTAACCAACATCATCGAGACCAAATGACACGACTGGCGGTACCGGTACTGCAACGCTAACGCAGCCATTCATTGAACCAGTGAACCGCCGCTCTCTTCGCTCTTGCCAATTCCGCTTTCTGCAGCTCGTTGTTGAGGTTCGCTCTCGTAGCAAACCCATGAGACATCCCCGGGAAGTAGACATATTCATACGGGACTCCCAGACTCGGGATCACCCGGTTGCAATACTCTTTCAATTCGGGTGTCAAGTACTGGTCATGCTCTGGCGCCAGGATCTGGGCCGGAGTCCGACATGCAGCGATCTCTGCCTCTGAGAGAAACGTCGGGTGTGCAGTGGAAATGCAACTCAACAACTCGGTGCCGTGTGCTGCAAGCTGGAAGACGGCCCAGCCGCCATAGCAGAACCCGATGGCGCCGACCTTGGGATATGCGTCCTTCAGGGCCCGGGCACACGCGAGGATCTCCGGAAACCGTTGCTCTTTCGTGTTCCGGGCAATGAACGCAGGTATATCGAACGCCGCTCTTTTCTCGGGGTCGTCCATAACCTCGGGTGACACGATTTCTCCGCCAAAACTGTTTCGTTTATGGTTTGTGTTCCAGTAAGTCGGGCGAATATGGGTTTGGAACAAGGGGTTTTGAGAATTTGGGGGGGGGGGGGAGTAACCTACAAATCTGGAAGATAGACCGTAGCATTGGCCTCTTGGGCGTAGTGATCAGCTAGAAGCCGCGCATTGGGTAACGTCCATCCAAAAACATCGTGGACTATCAGGATGGCGGCCGACGTGGAGGTGCCGGTCACGTATGTCTGGTTGCCAGCCAGCGTGGTTTCAGAACCTACGGGGGTTCCGTCCCACCGGAAGCCGGTCTTGCAGGCGTCGCAGGTCATGATGCACGGTGGTATATGTTGCCGAATGGGTGAAGAAAGGTGATCGATTCAGACGGATCATAGGCAATCCCATGTATCAAATCTGCATATGGCCAGGCTCTATGTACGAAAGTAAGTAGTAGCAACAAAAATGGGCGATGATCCACCAACTGACTCCTGTAGTGGATATAAGGACATAAAGGGTCTCGGGGGTACTGCTGGAGTTTGTTTGAAGTCGCAGAGCCTAGAGAGGAAATCCCACATTAGGCATACTTATCTGTGTCTCCGATCTCGGGCATCCCAACGTGGTTATTGGTTACTCCGTAGCTGTGATGGATATCTAGGTGGAGCTCGCAATGTTAAACTGTAAACACTCGACACTAAAAACGCCTCCGGACTCCCGGAACCGATGTTCATCTGAAGTCTGATCTTTAATGCAGAATTGTATAGGAGACAGGGTGGTAAAAAGTCCCCCTCAGTCCACTTATTTCCCGTCTATACGGACGCGGAGTGGCAAAGCGAATAGCCGGTCGAGCAATGCGGCGAAGTCCTCCTTACCACCCCTCCTCTCGTGTTATTTATGGCTTTACCACGCCTTACCTTACTCCTAATCGCTCGGAGTCGATGGACTAGGAAAGGCAATAACGATGCTCCAGGTAGAGGAATAAAGCTGGACATTCTGATAAGGGGCGGGCCCCGTCCACGTCTGTCAAGAACATTGCAATCGCGGGGGGGGGGGCCAGGAGTCCCAGGTAGACTGAAGCTAATGTACCATTTATCTACAGGACGATCAGTACACCAGGTTGAAGATCAAAAACTGGACTGTCAATCTCCTGGTGAGATCTGAGCAGAATTTGATGGAGTGGGACTAATATGCACTGTAATGCCCCCATTTCTCGGACACAAGCCATGTGATTATATTACAAACAATCTTGATAAATATGGTTGGTAGGCGCAAGAGCGTGTACACTCTTTCGTACCAGGTCTTGGTGCTTCCCTGGTCGCCACTGGAATTCTCACCGGCTTCCTCTATATCCAGACATATGTTGTTGATGTCTACACAAAATATGCGGCCAGTGCGTTGGCTGTAGTGGATTCTTTTCGGTGCTTGGCGGGTTTTGCATTTCTTCTGTCTGCACTATATGTATGATATAACGAACTCCTCTAAAAGCATATAGATTTATCTAATCCGTGGTTGTTGCTGATGTGGCGCCTTGTAAATAACTGGTCGTTTAAGGTTTAAGAATGGATGGAACTCTTATCATTTGGCGAAAGACATCGGATGGCGTACATCAATATCCCGCCATCCCCTGTATCACGATCAGCGGGATTCTCATTAACACGAACGATTATCGATCATCGCGATTTCTCCCGCGATGATGTATTCAGCCATCGATAAGATACGTCGCACATGGCGGTTAGGATTCTGCTGAAACGTTCCCCAAGGCAAGATGTTCAAGGCACGGGGGCGCGTCGAATGATATCATTCTGTGCCGGCAGGAAATCGAAACCACGCTACTCCAATAACCATGATGGGTGGACCGGCATTTGTCCGGCCCCCTGCAGCCTTTGGATTCGCAGGGTGAGCCGTAGGGCTGGGTGGCGGCCCACCAGATCCATGCTGCATTCCATCCATACCCCTATTCCCTCGCTGGTACTAGGGCGCCTCCGTAGTCTGATATCGATTCTTTTTCTTTGTTTGGGGCCTCCGGTAGTGTGGTACGAAGTGTTGGGGACCAGGTACTTCGTCCCACGTTCCACTCAACCGTGCAGAAATAGAAATAGAAGTACTATAGTGATAGCAGTCGAAGCTGAAGCCCAGGCCGACCGGGCCTTCGTTTTGGCTCGCCAAGAACTCAGTTCAGGCAACAGAATAACACCCGGACAAAGGGAAGGCGGAAAGGCAAACCAAAAGCGCCTGAAGGGCAAGGGCGCAAGGCGAGAGCGCCCAAGATTGGGTTGAACGAGAAGCCGGCGCGAAATACCCTTACTTAGTGAATGCTCAGTTGTGTAACTGACCGAACTGAACCTGCACCGCCTCGGTGACAGCATACTACTACTTAGTTAGGCGGCATGATTCGCGATCATCCGTTTTTGTCGGCCACCAGCCACGAACCGGAGGCTCGCAACGTCGATACGACGCAAACCTCACCCGTGGGCCAATCACTCCCAGCGGCCAAGGCCAAGGCCTCAGCCACAGCCAGCCGGAAAACCGTATGACGTAGCGCTCAGCCATGAGCCCCGAGAGAAGGATCAGCGGCATCATCATCATCATCAGCATCATCGCCGCCCTCCGCCCCGGTTTATTGCTATTATCGCTAGCGGCGATTGGTCTTTTTCATTACCTAAAGGCGCTCCCGCGATTATCAAGGTACCGGCAGACGTGCTTTACGTAGTAGTAGACACTATACACAGTAGACTAGCTGGCGCAGAGCCCTTTAGGCCATTTCGCACCGTTCCCCCCGAGTGGTGTTTGGCGGAGGGCAGCTGCTTGATTTTGCCGCCCAGGATTTAAAGAGTCCCGGTCCCGCTCCCTCCCTTCTCCTGACTTTTTTTTTTGTTGCTTCCATCTCCTCTGCTCTACTACGATACCACCTTCCATCACCTCCTGTGAACCTTTTCAGTCCAATCTTTTGAAGAGATCCCTTCTTCCCCCAACTCACCATGCCTTTCACCGCTTCGTAAGTCGTCTCCTCCCTTCGACGTCATCAGCCCCGAGCGAGCGAGCAGTTCCGGCCCCTCCGGCCTGGCGGAGCTGGCCTGCGGTCGCCCGAACTCCAAGCTACTGAAGACGAGGGCCTTGGAGCATGATGGATCGCTAACCGGAACGGAACCACAGGGATATCTGCAAGATCATCTTCGCGATCATTCTTCCCCCACTGGGTGTCTTCCTCGAGCGAGGATGCGGTGCTGATCTCCTGATCAACATCTGTTTGACAATCCTGGGTTGGCTCCCTGGTGTCATTCACGCCTTGTACGTGGTCCCTTGTGCAAGTCATGGTTGCCTAGGAGTTGGAGGCTAACTAGCGCGTCCTTTAGCTATATTATTTTCAAATACTAGACCGACCTCCGCCCTCCTTGCTATCGCTAACATCGCTCGCTCGCTTCGGTTCGGATCTTCTGGCCTGGGGGATCGCCTCGTCCTACGCCTGTATCCCATCCAACGCACCATTTGCAATCGAACGGGTCTCGGTGATGTTGTCAGCATCTTAACTGTCGTTCCGCGGGCTCCCGACCGAGTCTAGCCTAATGCAACCCCGCCAAATTAGCGTCGCCATTGGGTGGATGTGTGGCATGCTCAGTGCGACGTGTGATTGAGACGGGGTTTCTTTTTCGTTTTTGCTCTTTCATTTGTCTGTCTGCGTGCTTTCTTTGCTTCGCATGATACCAGCTCATCGTGATACTGGGCTTTGTTTTTTTTATTTTATTTTATCTTATTTCCTGATGGCAGTGATCACCTCTAATGAATGATGAATGTCACAATTCTTGATTGAATTATTCCTAATTCCAACGTGTAGCTGCTTATGATATGGTACTAGGTACTAGTTATCTCCTAAGCGGGCAGTAAGCTGCAGCATGGGTGGGTATGGGGAAATCGGATTTGCCGACCGGGGGTTTGGCACCAGCCCTGGATGGATTGTGTCACCCAGTCCACACTAAAGAAGTCTCCCCTGGAAGAGGTCTCGGAGACTGTCTCAGCAGAGTTGGATAATTAGTCGGATGGTTGAGTAAACAGGATTAAATGGACCGCCTGGGCCCTGAGGCCCCCAAATCAGCTGATCCGACATCAATCCCGCCGGGCTTCTTTCCCACCCGCAGCTTCGGCGCCAACACGGCGCGTATTCCACCGCCATTGTCCATCTCGGGTCCAACCAGATGCTGTGGCAGCCCTCCTGAAGAACTTCATCTGTTGGCCATGGCAGCTGCGTTTGGCACTATGCGGCCGTGTTTCAGCCAGGCGCCTATAAGGGCCTTGGTTTCTCTATTTCGGCCTCAGACCTCCATGGGTTCACCTGACAGCCACTCAGCGCCATGACACAACGTGGGCTTGACGCCCATGACGGCAGCATGTCGTGGATCGCGCTGGTCCCTGAAAGTTGTCTCCTTATCGCCGTCGGTCTTCGTCGGTTTCGATGCTTGCTTGGGGTGATTCTGAACGTTTCCACTGTTTGGGTACCGCATGTTTCTTGCCACTTTCTGCCCTGGACCCCCTAAGATGATATTCTACTCTCATCAATGACTTCGGGGGTAGGCTTTGGCTGCATAGTGTTGACATTCATGTAGGTAAGTCAAATACCTACCCTACAGAATGCCCCTCGTCTCAGAACTCATTGGAGTGGGTTCAACCGCGAAGCGACAGTCGACTAAATAGCTGACCGTGAAAAGGCTTCTACAAGATGTTATTATTTCCCGCTGGACGGTCATGCACGATAGCACTGTCCCTCTTTTTATGCCTCGTAGATGGTTCTCAGACAACCCTCTCGACAGCATCTGCAACGTCCCTGTCCATTCCGATCCCGAGCTGTGCTGCAGACTGTGTCGAAGATTTCATATATACTAATTACCCGAAGGATGCGTGTCCGAAGAGATGGGATCTCGATTGCCTGTGTCGGACGAATACGACGAGCGGCTATACACTGGGGGAGGCATCGTTCCGCTGCAGTCTTTCTATGTGTTCGATGGAGACAGTGTTTCGCTCTGACCTATATGATATTTGCGACTCCGTGCCGGGAGCTTTGCCGCGAACTCATGCTACGATCACTGCTACAGTTATGCCAACGGCAACACAAACGCAGGAGTCTACCACGACTACTGAGCCCTCCGATACTAGATCTAGCTCCACCTCCAGCTCTCCTTTGACCCTCAGTTCAAGCTCCGCCTCCACCTCTACTTCCGCTTCCAGCCACAGCTCTATTTCTACTCCGACTTCCAGCTCGAGTATGACAACTTCGCTCACCTCGTCTACTCAACATAGCTTTGCGACCACCGAAACCTTCCGGGTTCCCTTGACGGCAACCACTCCGCAACAGCTCCCCACAAGTACTGGAAATACTGGCAACACTACCAGTGGTGGTCAATCGGCATCTACGTCGGATAAAAGCAGTAAGCTCGATGCCGGCGCGGTTATCGGGGTCTCAATTGCATCTGGACTTTCTGGATTTTTCATCGTCGGAGCCATCATATTTCTTTGTTGTCAGAAATACAGACGTCAGCACCAGGAAAAAGGTCGTGATTTTTTCGAGATTGGGGGTGTTATGTCAGAGCCCCCAGATTTTGCGTTTCCACCAGTACGGCCGACTGGACCCCGACCTATGCCTCGTGCACCAGACAGAGACTCTGAAACCTCTAGGTTGATCACTCCGTTTGAACCGAGGTCACAGACTCCAGCAGTTGTCGTCACTGGACCGGAAAGTCGTCACAATGGTAGTTATATGGGGGGGAGTAGTACCGACAGGATCGGCTTTGCGATAACTTCTAATTCTGATGTTGAAGCTTCGCTGACTCAATCATCCCCACGCACGGTCTCGGACCTGTTACCGGATAAACCATCGTTTGGGCTTTATCCAGAGCCGCTGAGATGGAGTCGTCAAAATAAGCCACGACCAAGCAGTCATGCCACTTTATTCGAAGAGGACGCTCTGAGGCCGCCGGGCTTTATAGATGCTCTCGACCAGTACCCGAATATCCCGAGTTCATCAAATCCATCCCAAAGAGGCTGGCCCTACAATCGGGTCCCGATGGCGGGATTACCTGCAAATCCCCGTGCGATGCTGCACGGCTTTGGGGAGGGTCAGGATGGAAAACTTGCCATGAGAGGCCCGAACTACTATGGAAAGATGCCTGCTTATACAAACTCCGGAGAAGTACTCGAACCTCCGAGTCCAATAGACGTATATGGGGGCCTACTTCACTCACCTGTCTTGGATTCGAGTGATTATGCAAATGATACCCGGCAAGATCGCGCTGCAGACCATGCGAGAGCTGCCGGAAAGCCTTCATTCCCCAATGCTGCCCGTCGTTTATTCCAGAACACAGACGCGAACGGTAGCTCGCCTTACGATATAGACGACCATTTCGAAGACGTCGACATCGACGACAAGACCCGTGCTCGCGAGTCCCGTCATTCCGGTAGTTTCCGCCCGCTCACACCGGTGCGGGAAGTGAGGACGCCGACGCACGAAGCCCCCAGATGGAACTGGGAGCTTGCCGCTAGTGACAGTGGCCCTATGGGTCTCCCTCGCATGCCGTTCTCTGGAGCGATCAACCCCGGCCAAGAGATCGTGTCCCGCCCTCGGATTGTGGGACGAGACGATATCAAACGGGTCCAAATCCGGCGAGGCAAGCCCCAACCTGAGGGCCTTAGTGCACCATACTCCCCCGATGACTACTGGCCTGGTCAGGATTCTGGCTATAGATCTGAACCTCGTGCATGCATGCAGTCCGCTGATTCTACGCGGTCCATCGAAAGCATGCGAGGCCACATGCCCAAGAGGAAGCCCACGCCATCGGAACGGAATCTGACACCGTCGCGTAGCGGCTCCGATCTGATCCTGCGCGTGGATTGAACGGCATGCCACACCGTGAAGTACTAAACCAACTGCGAGTGGCGGATTGGAATGTGCTTGGAATGTGTTTGTTACCTATCTCCGTATATATAAGAATGGGCGCGTTGCTTTTTTGTGTATGATATGGTCTCTCTTCTACCTTTCTTCGCTGTGTATGAATCTGTCCATTCCTTTCTTTCTTTTGCCATTGGTGTACATATGTATTGGAAAAGGGTGGAGGGGGAGACGATCATGGTCGGATCGGACCTAGGCCATGCCAACCGCATGCTGCGATGGGTGCTCTCCAGCCTCCAGCCCCGCCGTCTCATGCACCGCACCCGATAACACCGTGACGTTGGCCGTGAGTCAGATAAGACTGCATCCATCTTGCGAAAGTCACGCAAAGCCCATCAGGAGTCCTGCAGCAGCCGCCCCAACCTTGGGGATAAATCTCTCCATCCGGCCGAGGGCAGGCAGCACGGTGGCCCGATTATACTTTAGCCATGGAAACCGGCATCCCGCCCATGTGAGCTCTGCTATAGGGGGTATAACTATGCTGGGGGAGAGACAGGTTGAGTGGATACGGTACAGTACAGACACAGGGAAGGACAGTGCCGCCATGACGTCAGAGCGGCGATCAACCCTTTGGGGGATGACTGAGGCAGTGAGGCAGTGAGGCAGCACTATTACCAGTTACGATGACTTTGTTGACTTGCGGTAAAGTACTACTTGGCTTCAAGAAGGTAGAACTAGTTGAAAGTACCGGGCTGGAACCCTTGGTATCGACCACCCAGGAGGCTTAGGGTGTAACATCCTTGTGGGTTGCTTCGCACTTGGTGTGGTGGCTGAGAAATTCATTGCTGGGACGCGACTAGGAATGTAGGGACATACATTAGCCTTCCTGCTCTGGCCAGTGCTGATGCGGTGATATCGATGGCTTGCAGGCGCGGCGTCAAGACCCAGGTGATTCTCGGGGGTTATTATTGGTGACCGGCGCTGGTATCCCGCCTGCCTTAGTAAAATGATTCTCTTCCGTACAAAGTAGGAGGAAGTTCAACGGAGGAACCACTCCCTCAGACAGCCGGGCGGTATTGTTGCGGTAAATTGCGGTAAATTGGGGTAACGGGCATGGTAACATCATAGCCTCGTAACCCGTGGTTGACGTCCACCGCATCTCGTCCTTCCTCATCCTCATTCATTCTTCGCGTCCACTTACTCTCCTCATGAGATCAGTCCCAACTTGCTTGATAATGCAAAACCAAACAAGCTTGTCCCTCGGGTGAAGGACGAATGATTTCACCATGCGTCCTCGATGGTGAACAACCCCCCTCCCCCCAGCCTGATGGTCCCCCCCCCCACACCTCCTGCCCCGGGATGCTTCTGACTGCCGACTCGCCTGGCGCCCTGACCGTGACCCGGAGCGAATCAGCGCGCCAGCCCCCACCATCATCATCCTTCATTGTCGGGGTGCATCGTGCATCTGGCATGTCCTGACTCTCCACGGCCAGACCTGGGTTGCGGTGGGGCAGCATGGCGACGCGCTGCAAACCGCGAAGCCACACTGTGTGGCCTTGAGCCTTTCCTCCAAACGCGGTCGATGACGGCGCCACAGGCTGCATCACCCAAGGAAGATTCTTCCAGGCTTTGCCCACCGCTTGCAGCCTGTCTCCTATAAAAATCGCCCTGGCATCGAACGTCAAAAAGTCTGGGGTGACCCTCTTTTTTTCCTCACCACCCTACCCCACCTTGATCGCCCTCATTCGCATCCCTCATCCGTGAGCCATTATTCTACGGTGTTCTGCGTTCCAGCTCCTGCCAGGAACAAATATATAAGCGTGTTACTAGGAAGACTGTACTCATTGCATTCCTGGAACGCATTGATCTCTTCTAGTTATCTTCTTATAAAATAAAGGCTGTTCTATTGATTTCTACACCTCGCGGCGAAGACAAGTTCCCCTGAAACGACCTGCTTCGTGATCGATCGGTCTCGTCATAGTGACTGTTGACTGTTTCTTGTTCTTCTCAGACCCACATTGCGATCCACCTTCACATCATCGCCACCCCACATTAACCATGACCACTACTACCGACGGCTTCGGATCCCAGAAGGTGCGCCGGCTGTCGAGCCTGGACGCCCGTCGGGCCGACTTATATGGGAGCCCCAGTGTCTCCATCCCTCCTAAACATCTCATGGCCTCCATCCTTTCTCACAATACAGCAAACGAAATGAAAATGGCAAAGCAACAACTTGGGGGGGAGATTTCTTCTGATGATATTTATCCTCATGTCGCTACTCCTAGCTCGGAGAGGCCCCCCACCACTGCAGACGACTTCGCCTTCGCCTTTGATATCGACGGAGTCCTGATCAGGGGAGGGAAACCCGTTCCTGAAGCCGCTGCTGCTCTGAAATATATCAATGGAGAAAATCCGTATGGAGTCAGTGTGTATGTATATAATGCCGTTTGCCTAGCAAACATGTGCTGACTGATGTTGCCAGTCCCTATATCTTCGTGACGAATGGTGGAGGCAAGACAGAGGAAGAACGATGTCTGGACCTTAGCCGACAGCTCGATCTCGAAGTCTCCCCTGGCCAGTTCATCTGTGGCCACACCCCGATGCGGGACATGGCGCAAAGATACAACACCGTCCTTGTCGTCGGTGGGGAGGGTGAGAAGTGCCGCATTGTGGCAGAAGGCTATGGCTTCAAGGATGTTGTTACTCCCGGAGACATCATCAAGACCAAGCACGACACGACACCCTTCCGGAAGTTGACCGAGGAGGAATACAAGAACTCTCGCTTCCTGGATCTTAACAAGACGAGGATAGAGGCGATCTTTGTTTTCGCCGATAGTCGAGACTGGGCTGGCGACCAGCAGATCATCCTGGACTGTCTCATGACGAAGGATGGGAATCTTGGAGCCCGGTCCGAAACCCACAACGAGGGCCCCCCGTTGTTCTTCTCGCATAACGACGTGGTCTGGTCCACCTCGCATGACTACACACGTATCGGCATGGGAGCTCTTCGAGCGTCCCTGGAGGCGCTATACAAAGCCGTCACCGGCAAAGAGCTCTCCACTATCGCCTTTGGCAAACCGCAGATTGGTACATATCAGTTCGCCATGCGGCTTTTGCAGGAATGGCGCAAGGACTACCATGACATCAACAAGCCGCCCAGCACCGTATATTTCGTGGGCGACACCCCCGAATCGGACATTCGGGGCACCAATGAATTCAATGAAATCAGTGACGCCACCTGGTACTCGATCCTGGTCAAGACAGGAGTGTACCAGACCGGCACCCCATCATATCCGCCCAAGCATACCTGCAACAACGTTCTAGACGCTGTCAAGCACGCTGTTGAGCGAGAGATGTCCAAGAAAAGCAAAGGGGGTCTTATCGACGATGCGGATTCCGGCATTGGCGCTGATGTCGCGCCCCTGCGCAACTGATTCCAGAACCTAGCCACACAACCAACTATTTTTACACAACAACAATAACAACAATCAAGAAGATCCTCCTCTTTTCAACTCGACTCGACCGGACTCGGCTCGTGCAAAAAGCTTTTCTTCTGATTGACTGGCAATTATATTTTCCTTATTTATTTACTGGTATTACAGTCACTCTGTTCCACGTGACTGCCAGATTATGATTCTTATGTTTACAATACTTTTTATCTCGGCCAGGACTTGACTTGTGTTGGTGATGTGATGTGATGTGATGTGATGTGATGATTCTCATGTATGTTGGGATATGGATATGATGCGATGATAGAAAACCCAGATACCCCCAAGGCATACTGGAATGTAACCGATCTAGGATATACTAGAGACTAGATGAATAACATTGAATATTGAGATTGCATTTTTGGCTGCTTGCATGGGTGGATATCTCCGCAGGGAATAGCATCCATCACTGAACGCTGAACCTGATAGTAGTAGTAGTACCTTAGTAACCTCGCTGTTTAACTTTGGGGCCTTCTCAGCTCATCTATGTAATATTGATAATCATGACCTTTACATAATACCCACCCCATAACAGTAGGTAGTTTGAACTCACCACCACCTAACATCTAGAGCAGAGTTCTCCCCTTCAATCCTGGTCTCGACATTCAACTAACTGAACCGATTGAACCGATTGAACCGATTGAACCGATTGAACCGACCAAAGACAAACACCGTTCCTGTGTAATTCTGATACTCAGCCCAACTAGGAAAGACAACCGAGATCCAGGTAGGCAGGTAAGCAATGCCAGCGAAACCCAATCGGGCAAAGCATCATCATCGTCATCATCCACTTGTCCACTTGTTCACTCATCCGTCCAACCGTCTATCCGTCAGTCCACTCATCCACTCATCCACTCATCCACTCATCCACTCATCTCTGTTGTCTCTCGTCTGTCATCTGTTGTCTGTATCTAATGTGTATTATTAGACTGCCAACCTTCCACTACCTTAGGTACTGTGGGAGCGCCCCGGAAAGCCCCGCCAAACGACACCGGATCGCCCCAAACAGGCAACTCCGACGTAAAGCCCCAACCCAAGTCAATTTTCATTAAGGTTAAGGGAGCCTCGCTCAGTCCCCCTCAGCCTCCCCCCCTCAGCCCCTATCCCTCTCTGTATTGATGCATGCGCAGCGTGGTATCTGCGTGGCTGATGTCATTGGTGCGGTGTGGTGCGAGTGAGAAGGATTTGGGTTACTGTGTATGGAAGGATGGGTTCGAGATTATGGTAGGTAGGGTTGTATTCTACTATTTATTTGGTATATACTACCATTGTCTGGAAAGTGGAGTTGAGGGGTATGTGGGGGTGGGTACAAGTCAGCCTTGTGGTAGTTGTGCGGTGTGTGCGTGTGTGCATGCATGAGTCTGGGGTGCAGGTGAGATGTCATGTCATGTGGGACTGGGGAATTGTGGGGACAGACGGGGGAAAAGTGGGTATTAGGTTGGGAAGGGAGCGGTGGTGACTGGTGAGAGGTGGATTATCTTGTGTGTGTGTGTGTATGTATGTATGTATGTATGTGTCTGGAAGTGTCAAGCGGGGTGAGTAAGTTCTTGTTCTTGATGTTGGTCTTGTCTGGATGATAGATAAAATGGGGTCTGTGAGAGTGGGTTAGTTGGCTGTCTATGAGGTGTTTGTGCATGGTCTATGATGAAAGGAGCGTTGGGGTGAAGTCTATATTGCGATCGGGACGTCGATGTGGGTATCGCGGCGACACTTGGCCGTCTGTTTGTTGACTGGACCGGTCCATCGGGGTTTAGCCTTTCTGGCAGTGTTTGGCCGTCATCATATCTCGAATACCTGATCCAGCCAATGCTTGATGACCAGCTTGCCTTCGTCGAATCCCGCTTTCTGCACCCGCACGATAATCGCAGCGTGGCTATGGCGGTGGTTGTGGATGTAGACCGGGTATTTCCGGAATCCCACGGAGTTGAGCGACTTGATGATGGAGAATTGAGCCGGCGTCAATGCGAGGGTAGGGAATTCCTGCCCATCTTCACCGTCGCTGTCACTGGAAAGTAGGGGCTCTGAGGCGCCGTCTGAACTCCCGTCGCGGATCGATGCGTTAGTCTTGCTCTCGACAGCCCGCGCTTTTCTTCCAGACAATCGTCGTTTGCCTTCTTCCGGACTGATATCGTCCATGGAGAGGTAGTCTGGCTTATGTCCGGCACCTGCGTGCTCGAAGGCCTCTTCTACGGCATGGCGGACCCCGCTGGCAAAGACGGGGACGCGGTAGCGTCCGAACGCCGTCCCCAGTATTCCCTCTTCGTGGAGACGGATTCGTCGCTGGCTGCGGAAGGTCTGGATGGCGGAGTTGAGGAGATAGAGGGGGAATCCGATGAAAAGAATGGCGGTGAAGAAGAGTCCAAAAGGGATCTCGGTGACGAGGCGTGTAAGCTGCTTTTGTGCTTGAGATAGGAGCGGCGGTGACTCTATGCGCTTCTTCGGTGACAGAATATGTACGTCGGGGTCGATTACGACCGAATTGTAGCCCTCCACGTAGTTGATATTGACGGCCTCCAGGTCCTCGAATGGGTTGGTCGTCGAGAGAGATGTGGTGTAGTAAATCGTAGACCTGTCGTTCACAACGTTCGCGTACAAGCTGCGATGCCGAAACTTCTCCAGGGCTTTTATGAAGATACTTTCCGGATCAGCCAGCACGCTGAGCAGTGGCTTGCCCGAGTCCCGGAACGAATCGATCAGAAACAGCTGCTTCCCTGACGTGGATATAGTTAGGGGTCCCACGTTGTTCCAGAGGAAGCCCCAGGTGCCCTTCAGAGGATTCCGGACGCCAACATGTGGTGATACAAACGTGGTGAAGTTGACGGGCTCGAGCTTATCGAGCCACCCCCGAGCATACAGCAGCCCGAGGGCGTATCGCGCCACCAGACCCCCGAGAGAATATCCGACCATGCTCAGTTTTGTGATATGATGTCCCGCAGCCGCCAACTCCTCCAGCGCTTCCTCGACCTCGTGTGCCACGCGCTCTCCGCCGACCTCGATTCCATCGTAGGTGAAGTTCCCGGCGTTCCGCTTTGCAGCGAGGATGTGAAGCCGGTCCTCGCTGTATCGTTCCCTCAACGAGGAGGCGACATAGTTCAGATGGGAAGGGTTACCCCAGAGTCTAGAGTGAAAGACAGCGCACACATCAGCGATATTCTTCTGGTATAACAATGCAACAGCTTTGTCTCTCACCCATGGACAAGAACGCAGAGATGATCGGCATTCCGGGAAGTCTCGGCTGGCGTCCGGCCGTTATCGAGCTCCATGGCTAACAGTCGAGGTTCGGGTCAATATGCTGTGATGCTGTATGAGTGATTTTAGTCTGCTTCGTCAACATCGTCTAGGGGGCTGACAGGGTATTTAAGCAAGCCCTGCGGTGGTGAGAATCGAGGCTGTGTATCTGCCTGGTCGCTGTCGCTGTCAGATTGTAGCTTCCACCGCTGGTGCCTTAGTAAGCCACGATAACTACGGAGACGTCATCGAGTACCTGCCTGGAGAAACCCTCCATGACCAGTCGGAGGGAGAGGTTAGTACGACACCGTGGGTACGACATGGCAGCCTGCTGCTATTGAGCGACCGCAGTGGAACCGGAAGAGAGAAACAGCTGGATAGATAGATAGATAGAGGGGGAAGTTGGGTGGCTGCAGAGCTGCCCTGCACAACCTGCCTTGCAGCCCCGATCGCCGGTTTGCACCGTTTGCACTGCTGCTTCATCCCAAGCTTCAGCAGCGCAACTTCGACTTTGTCCTTCCTCGGTTGTCGCCTCAACCACAGGAGCTTTGCCTCCTTGCCCTCTTTTGCGATGGTCTAGTGCTCTGTTTATCCCGACAGCCTGCTATATACCCGGAAGTCCCCCGGAAGGGTCACCCTTGACCGAGTACTGACACCCCAATAGTTCTTGGCTACACGGCAGTGGCCGGCTATCTATTTATCTGTGTCAGGCACAAGACTCGGATCAAATTGTTGTGTCGACGATCTAGTATCCGAACCTTTACAGCCCTTGCACACCTCTGTTTCACCATATAATCCTACCCTGAATACCGTCCACCAGGAATGCAGGACATGACTTCATATATCTGACTTATGGTATTATCGTCTATCGTTCATCTCATCTATAATTTGGAACCTCTCATTTGATCTCTATACCACCATGTTCGCGCCCATCGGCTTGTTCAAGGACATACCTTGTCCTCAAGGTCAAAGCTGCTCACTCTTGACCTGCATGTTCTCTCACAAGGGAACCAGCTCCTCTTCAGATGCACCCAAAGTCTCATCGAGCGACCTTGTGCCGACGCTCAATAGTGAAGCTGCTTCAAGTAAACCGATTCCTGCCAAGCCTAAGGCTCAAGTTATCAGTGAGGAAGGCAAGAGCAAGGTAAACAGCAAACCGTCACCCTTGCCGAGAAAAGAAGCTGCCAGTCAAATGCACGCTTCAGCAATCCCTCCAAGCAAACGATTACAATCAAATGATCGAACTCCTGTCAGGCTTCAATCCCTGTCCAGAGAGGTAACTCCTCCATCAAAGGCAATCTCAACGCCAGCGAAGTCAGGCGCGACGACCTCGCAAAAACGCCGCCCCCCACGACAGGCCCCACGGGAAAGCCTGAATCCTCGTATGCTGACAAAAGCACCTGCACCTCATGGCGTTCGATTGTCCATACTCACGAAATTGCACGCTTCTATGTCTGCCCAGAATGACAAGATGGCCAAAGACAAGGATGGCCCGGACAGATATCTTGTCCTGACCCCGAATGAGCTCATCACGATGGCCTTGGATGAAGAGGAGAAGACCGCAAAGGAGAACCCGAGCATATATTCCAATATCGTCAAACTCCGGATTGTCAAGCTTTCAAAACTGAGCAAGGAAGACTGGGCCAAAGAAGTGAAGGCCCATCTGAATGAGCGATACTATAAGATCGGGGCTGAGCCTGAACCGCCAAAGCCGAAAGCTTTTACGACTGGTTTGAGCGCGAAGGAGGAGATTACGCTAGCGAAAAAGCTAATCACCCCGCTGGAAGGCCTGGAAGAGCACGGCTACGTGACAAAAGCGCCAACGGATGCGGAGGTGGAAAGTGCCCGGAAAGGCGTTCTCGAATCCAAGGGATGGGAGAAGTGCGATCGCTGTGGGGGGAGGTTCCAGGTATTTCCCGGTCGTCGCGAGGATGGATTATTGACGACCGGGGGCCAATGCACATACCATCCTGGGAAAGCACTTTATCCACCGAAGAAGCAAACCGATCACATTACCGGGCACAGAGAAGCATATTTCTCTTGCTGCAATGAATCATTGGGGACTTCTTCTGGGTGTACCAAAGGCCAGACCCATGTCTTCAAAGTCTCAGAAACTAAGCGCCTCGCCTCGATCCTTCAGTTCGAAAAGACCCCAGCACAGCCAGGAAAAGGACCACTGCCGCCAGTGTGCTTCGACTGTGAGATGGGCTACACGACACTAGGACTGGAGCTGATTCGGCTCACCGCTGTTAGCTGGCCCAAGGGCGAGGCACTCTTGGATATTCTGGTCCGACCCATTGGGGAAGTCTTGGATCTGAATTCCCGTTTCTCGGGCGTCTTCCCGGAACATTACACAAGAGCCATCCCCTACGGCACCGCTGATTCCCAGACGAATGCATCGACGTTGGAGGATGGGGAAGTAGACTCACCCCCTTTGCAAGTGGTTGACTCGCCCGCCACAGCCCGCGCGCTGTTGTTCGAATATCTACAGCCCGATACACCGTTAATTGGGCATGCCATCGACAACGACCTCAATGCCAGCCGCATCATCCACCCGACAATCATTGATACGATTCTGCTCTACCCGCATCCACGGGGCCTGCCCATTCGTATGGGGCTGAAAGCTCTCACCAAACGGCACCTGGATCGGGACATCCAAACCGGAGGCAGTCGCGGCCACGATTCGAAGGAAGATGCAGTCGCGACAGGTGATTTGGTCAGATTCAAGGCGGCAGAGACTTGGAAGGTACTCAAGTCCAAGGACTGGCGGTTTGTCAACGGGCAGCTGGTGCCTCCACCCGGCACCGCAGATGCAGCGGCAGATGGGAAGCTGGGAGCCGGAGCAGGGCAGAAGCGGACAAGCTCGGCCTTGGGCGATTGACAGACATGAACAGGCAGTGCGATGCGAAATAGTTCTTACAGTGATACCCATGTTATCTACGCTGGAAATTGTACGATCATCTACGGCGGACACATTTTTGAGAGTCGAGTGATAGATTGCTCTATTCACATATCTACCAGTCATAACGTCATGAGTAGAGGAAGCCATGACGAGCCAGTACGGTCGAAGAAACACCACCTTCTCAGGCAAGGCATTCCTCGGTGCCATCCCAACTGCGCCACCGCGGTATAGGATCCCTCCCAGTAGAGCATATCTATACCCAAACCAGACTCCAAGTGACAACCCTCAATTCAGATATCGCTCCCATTGTTGGTAACCCCCTGATGCGAGCGCACCGCAAGTCCGATCATTTTTCGCTTTTTTTGGTTGTTCCGGAAGGAGGAGTAATTTACTCCTCATCCTCCTCACCCTCGTCGTTGACGACGTTGTAGAAGCGGAGCTCGTAGACACCCTTGGAGGTGGAGACAACGCGGATCCAGTCACGGAGCTGCTGCTTCTTCAGGTACTTCTTGGTGCTGTTGGAAACGGTTAGCGCCAACATCCTCCGATCGAGACCGTCATCGAAGTATAGGCGAACTCACAGGTACTTGAGGTAGCGGCCGGAGAAGGGGATGTGAGAGACAACCTCGATCTTGCCATCACCGGACTGGGAGATGACAACCTTGTCACCGAGGTTACCGACACGGCCCTCGACCTTGACGCGGTCGTGGAGGAACTTCTCGAAAGCAGAGAGGTCGAAGATCTTGTCGCTCACGGGCTGAGAAGCGTTGATGACATACTTCTGGGTGACCTTCTGGGCCTTGCGACCGCGAGCCTATTGACCGAAAAAAAAGCCAGGGATTAGCCTACTGTTCCATAATGTCGGAGCCCCAGGGTGCAGTAGTCCATGATCTTCAAGACGAAGGTTTTTCTTTTCTCCCGTCTCGCGCGATTGCGAAACGGCTCATGGATACTGACACCCTTACGGGGGAACAGCAAAGCAGTTTGTGGAATGAAGACGTACAGTGATGGGGGCCATTGCGACTGGTGGGAGGAGGGGTTTTTTGGGGGGGTGATAGAGAGGGATTAGCTGGTCGCAAAGAGATGAGTATCCTGCGCCTGAGGGAGAGAAAATGTCGAAGGTCGAGGGGAGCTGCTGCTCTCGGGCAAATGTGTGTCACTAGTCCGTTTCGGGTAGGGGAATAGGGCTGTCAACGTTGATTAGGGCAACCCAGCATCATCTGACCGTCTCGCAGACACGGCCAATCACAGCCGGCTGAGTCACCGCGTTGACTCGCTTCTGGCGACACTAGCCCGCTAGCGGCGCACGGACCCGCTAGCCCCTCGTATAAATACTTCCCGCCGCCCGCAATCTTTAGAATTTTTCTTCTTTTCTTTTCCAGCTCTCTTTGCCTTTTGGCTTAGATCAAGTGTAGTATCTGTTCTTTTCAGTTTAATCTCTGAAAGTGGTTCTACGGACCACAACTTTGATTATTCTTCTTTTTGGATCCTGTGGCGGGACCCCTGTGCTTGCGCATGTCCTGCCACACAGTGTCATCGGGCTTACACTACCCCCGATCGACGCGAACTCTTTTTTCATCAATTTGGTCGGCTTGTCCGGCTGGTTGGAGAAGAAGGTTGTAGATAATTCTCTAGCTTCGTATCTCTTGTATGCGAAATGGAAGGCAATCCTTAGTAGGTAGCTTGTCCTCTTCAATTCCAAGGTTAGATATACACCGCCGAATTTTCCAGAAACACGCAGTTCGACGTCACCCCGCGCAGCTTTGTCCTCGTCCACGTGATAGTTGAACCTCTACGTCTCTCAAGATACGACAAAACAACTCGTTCCCGTACCACTGTAGCTAAGCAAATCAGCCACCATGGGTTCCGTCGTGTTGCCGCATTTGAGCACCGCCTGGCACGTCGACCAGGCCATTCTCTCCGAGGAGGACAGACTGGTGGTGCGTACCGCGACCAGCCATGCATGCATGGCGTTGAGCGCAGGCCCATCCATCATGCTAACTGCTACTTACTCCAGGTCATCCGATTTGGTCGCGATCACGACGTCGATTGTAAGAACCATCCATTCATTCTCTTCCTCTCCCAGATGGCGGGGGTGGCATGCTAATCTGCCGGCAGGCATGCGCCAAGATGAGGTGCTTTTCAAGATCGCTGAGCGGGTGAAGAGTACGTCGTGATTCCTTTCCTTTCGTTTCTATCGGAGATGGCTTTGCTCACGAATCCAGACTTCGCGGTCATTTACCTCTGCGACATCGACGAGGTGCCCGAGTTCAACACCATGTACGAACTCTTCGACCCCATGACCATCATGTATTTCTACCGCAACAAGCACATGATGTGCGATTTCGGAACCGGTAACAACAATAAGTTGAACTGGGTGCTCGAGGATAAGCAGGAGTTGATCGATATTATCGAGACCATCTACAAGGGGGCCAAGAAGGGTCGTGGTCTGGTCGTTAGTCCCAAGGGTGAGTTTTCCTGCTTGGACTGTTGCAGGGTGGGATGTCTTGACTGACGGGGTTGTAGATTACTCGACGAGATACAGGTACTGAGCTGGGTGGGCGTGTTGTGCATGGGAGGTTTCTGCCTTCTGCCTGTGTTAATGATATGAGTTATGAGCGCGTGGACTTATTAGAAGGCCTTGGATTCTAGTTTGAGTTGAATGTGAACTTTGAGGGTCTGCTATTTGATTTGATACATTTGGTGGGATGGTCGTAGCCTCTACGTAGTGCTGACTCTTGTATTTATGGAAATCCAGAAATGATACATTCAGAAAAGTATCAAACTGTCATCACGAAGTTGGTACTCCAAAAGAAAAAAATAATGATAATAAAAATAATGAAAAAAAAAAAATTAAAAGCAGTTTTGCTGGTCTGGACCATCTCCATCCACCCTCTGCCCAGCAGCAGAGATATAAATCTCCAGCGCAGCCAGCAAAACGCGGCAGAATCGCCTCGCCCCCCCACAATTTCTTCAGCTTTGTTTCCCTGACGTAACATCCAACAATCCCCCCATCCCAGCCCATCAGCAGCACCCATTTACCCCTGCCAGATCACCTATCTCCAGACATCCACGATGATCGACCACGCCATCTTCGAGGACCTCCAGACGAAGATTGACGAGGAGGCCCGGGTTCGCGATGTAAGTCCCGTGCCGAGCCACGCCCGACTCCCCGCGAAAAAGCAGCGGCTTGTTAACACAGCCATGCGGCGTCCAGGATCTCCATGATATTGTCCAGACTCTGGCGAGAAGGGGTATGTTCGCGCTTTATCTGCCTTAATTGATATTCTTGAAGCTGGGAGACGCGTCACCCTACTAACTGACCATCACGCATCGTAGGGCGGTCCACCCAGGCTATCCTCTCGAGAGCCCATTCCACTCCGACTGACCAGCGTATGTTTCCTTCTTCTTCTTCTTCTTCTTCTTCTTCTTCTTCTCCTCATCTAGCTCAATAGACAGACCGCCTAACATGAACAGTGAAACCCGTCCTCGATGACGCGACGAAGGAAATTATCGCGCAGAGAGACGAGGTCGCCCGTCTCAAGACCGTCGCCGACAACCACCCGTTCTACAAGTACAATGGGCTGTGGACGCGCGAACTGCAGAACCTGGTGAGAATCGATGATTCTTCCCTGTCGCCAGTACTGGCGGACAGACTTCCCATTTGCGCACGCGCATGCTAAGAAAGCCAGGTCTCGTCGATCGAGCTCTGCGCCTACCTGGGCGGATTGGAAGAGTACAAGACCAACAGCGCCGCTTTGTTCCTGACCATCGAAGAAGTTGGGAAGTTTCTGGGCGGTATGTTCCCCGTCGCTGGGTCATTGGATATGGATGTTTCGTTCCAGTTCTAACAGTCTATCTGCAGTCCCCGTCAACCTGAAGGAGCAAGATGCCTTCCATCTCACTATCGAGGAGTATCTGCTTGCGCTGATTTCGATGGTCGAGGAACTGGTGAGTCTTCCCGTCTCGTGCTGCTTGTGCTGCTTGTGCTGCTTGTTCTGCTTGTTTGGTTCTTAACTGACCATCGTAGTCCCGTCTTGCGGTCAACTCGGTCACCCTGGGTGACTACAATCGGCCCGTGCAGATTGGCAACTTCATCAAGGACCTCTTCGCCGGGTTCCAGCTGCTGAACCTGAAGAACGACATTCTGCGGAAGAGGAGCGATGGGATCAAGTACAGTGTAAGTCCCCCGTCCTGCTTTATCGATTATTGAGTAAAGCGCTAAAAGATGTATCTATCCCTGCAGGTCAAAAAGGTGGAAGACGTCGTCTACGACCTCTCGTTGCGCAATCTGATCCCCAAGGGCAGCGCCGCGGCTTAGTTATGCGCACGCGCACGCGCACGCGCACAAGGAAGGAAGGGGGAGCATAGTTCACGACGGAACCGTCAACAGTAGTTAAATTAAGACATGAGTTGATATGACATGACACAATCCATAATAATGGCCTTCGAAGGGCGTGTTGAATCGAGCAGAACAAACAACTGTTCCATACAGGAAACATGAAACATGGTATCATCATCACCACCACCACAAACACGATTCCCCATCCCGCGTGCTTCTCCTATCCCCTCGCAGTATTATCAATCCTCCCCCACCCCTCAAGCCAACTTAGCCTGCTCCTGCTCCTGCCCCTGCTCCTGCCCCTGCTCCCCCTCAGCCCCCTTCTTCGCCGAAGCCAACGTACCCGCCTTCTTGGCCTTCTCGATCTCCTTCACGATCGGCTCCTGCAACGACTCCGGCTTCGTCAGACTAGCCCACCGACCCACGACCTTCCCGTCCGCCGAGATCAAGAACTTCTCGAAGTTCCACTTGATGCGCTTGAGTCCCAGCAGGCCGGGCTGCTGCTCCTTCATCCACGTCCACACCGGGGCCGCCTTATCGCCATTCACGTCCAACTTGCCCAGAACCGGGAACGTCACTCCGTAGTTGATCTGGCAAAAGGACTGGATCTCGTCGTTCGAGCCCGGGTCCTGGCTGCCGAACTGGTTGCAGGGGAATCCGATGATGGTGAAGTCTTCGGGGTATTGAGTCTTCAGGTCCTGGTAGAGTTTCTCCAGGCCTTGGAATTGGGGCGTGAAGCCGCATTTGGAAGCGGTGTTGACGACCAGCACGACTTTGCCGGAGAGGGAGGTGAGGGGGAAGGCGTTGCCCTTTTCTGTTGGTGGAGGGGGTTAGCGGGCTTGCTGTGCAGTGCAGTGCGTGGTTTGTGGGGTGGGAGACGGGGAATTGATGATGCTGGGGATGAGAGGAGATGAAAGGAGACGAGAGAAGAAGAGTGTAGGAGATACGTACTGTCGACGGGCTCGAAGTCGTAGAATGTTGTCGCGGAGGCCATGGTCGCGATGGATGATGTCAGAGGAGGTTTGGGAGTAGTGAGGCGGAGTGTCTGTCGCGGGGATGGCGAGGAGTGCGCCGCAAGACGGGTAGTAGTAGTAGTAGTTGTTGTTGTTGTAACAGTGGATGTCGAGAATGGAGTTGATCCAGCAGCGAAGGGACGCGCCAGTAGATAAGCAGTTGAGGACGCAAGTCTCGACCTTGGGGATGATAAATCACGAACTGGGATGGTCGATGACAAACGCATGGTCCTGCCGAGGAGAAGAGGGGGGACACAGCACAGCGCACGGGACCGTACCGCTTTCTACTATCCCCATTATTATTATTCTGGTTGCTGCCAATGCGACAGCCGGGATCGAGAGGTTCCGGGCCCGATGGCAGTGGTGGATGTCATCATCGCGCGCGTGGGCGGGTCGATCGATGCGTTTCCGGACGCCGAGGCATTCAAATTATGATTATTCCAGCCATGCGAATGGCTGAATGGCTGGATGGCTGGATGGCTTTGTTAATGTTGCGGTGCAGAACCGTTGCGCTACCGGGCCTTTTACTGGTTTGGGGTTGGCCTTTTCTGCTGGCTGAGAAACTATTATTTCCTTCGATGCTGATTTGCGGCGCGTACGGGGTGCTCGGTTATGCAGGGCCAGGCAGAGGGATGTGCTGGGGATGGCTTCATCTAAAGAATTCCAAATATTTGAGACAAGTGGATCCGTCTGTCTGGCAACGTGATTTCGGGCTTGGATAGAGATTCTCGCTAGTCTCTCAAGCCAATTGACCACCAACTCTATCCTCACTCTCACGTGACAGTCTGATGTCGGCAGTATGATTGTCGTGGTGTATGCATTTTTGCTATATGCATCCAATCATGCAATCATGCAGGTCAAAGGTTCACAATCCACCGATCCATCTTAGACCAAACCCCCAACCTGAAGCCCCAAGGTGGACGTACACCCCCCCCCCCAGCAACCACGGTACTCTCCAGACAAGCGGCTCGCCTTCTCCCACGACGAACATCCGGATTCCGGGCTCCATCCGTCTGCCTCATCCGATCGGGCCTGATCCGTGATCAGAACCACCCACAGCCGCCCGCGATCGAACTGATCGCAGAGTCAGACAACCCAATCCAGTCCAGTCTAGTCCAGCCAATTCCAATGCAATAATTTCATCGCGAAGGACATTATTGCCCAGCCCGCGATACCTCCTCTCCGCAAATTATAGACCGTAGTATCTACTAGATACTCTCTGCACTTCGTAAACATTGTTTTCGCTCGCTCGCTCGCTCGCTTCCTTGCTTGCTCGCTTGCGTCGCAGTATTCCTCCCCCTGTCGGAACTTGGGTATCATTTCATTGCTTGAAAACCGGAAAGTAAAACTTCATTCATTTCTCATCCTCATCCTCCTCCATCTCCAACACATCCACGTCCAATTCCTCCATCACCCCTAGAATCACCCCCAGACTCTCCATGAATCCGTTCACCGCGACGCGCAGCATCCGATTCGTCGTCGCGCGGTAGATCGTCTCCAGCACCGTTTTGGCTTCCTCGTCCGAGGTCGCCGCTTTGTTGGGGGTTGTGAGCGCGAAGCTCCGTCGGACGAAGGGCGAGAGCTCGGTGTCGACTTCGAGGGTGCGGAGGGCGGAGGAGGCAAGGCGGTTCGTTGGGAGGGGGAGGTCGATTGTGCTAGAGGGGAGGTGGTGTGTTAGCGAGTGATTGGGATGGGATGGGACGGTCGCGATTGATATGCGATGGGGGAGGGGCTTACAGGGTGTAGGGGAATTCGGAGTCCGAGGTTGAGGGCTGGGGAGTGGCCATTTTGGGGAGGCGGGAGGTGTGAAGGCGTGAAGGAGGGTGTAGAGGGGAATGGTAGGTCAATTGCGAGTATTGTACTTCGTATAGCGCAGCGCTTCTGAGAAGATTGAGCTTGCTTGAGGCGAGGCGAGGCGGGGCGGGGAAGAGTGGGATGTGCGATAAGGCGTGAGTCAGCATTGCTGCCTCAGGCATACTTTGGGCAGGTCCTGTATCGTTGACGGGCTTCGGGGTGTGGTTTGGTTTCAAGATATTACAATTGTGCTGGTATCACTATATACAGTACAAAGGCTCCTCCAGATAAGGTGCTTCGAGGACCAAGAACGCAATGCTGGAAGAACAATGAGGTCGCCTCACGGAATCATGAAGTTCAAGGATTCCATGACGTCTCTCTAGAAACTGTACCACCTCTTTTGGATGGTGGTACTGGGCGAAAGATCTGGCTACCATTACAAGAGAGCAAGGGCGGCCTGGACGTTGACGAGACTCCCTAAGGTACTGTCAGCAATGCTCTCTCGAATCTCTCTCGAGGAAACTCACCAGAGACGTTGAGAAGGCTCAGGACATTTTCAAGACCGGCAGCATCCAGGTCACCTTCAATGGGTCAGTCAATATTATTGAAAAGACAGATTTGGAGCAACACTCACCGCTCTCAACTTTGTCAACGATGTTCTGCGAAAGAGTGGTGAGGCTGTCGCCGTCACGCTTAACATCGACCTCTGCTATGGTGTCAGTTGCCACAAGTCCCACACGATCAGTCAGACACGTACTAGCAGCAACGCCGGCAGCAACCCCACCGACAGTATTCACGGCATTTCCAGCCACAGCCTTGACGGGCGCTGCGACATCTACGACGGTGCCTGTAAGGTCGCGCTTGCTGACAGGAAGCAGCTCGGTCAGCTGGCCCTGGATAGTGGAAAGCTCTGTTCGCGGGATTAGTCTTTGTGTCGAATCAGTAGTTCAGAAAGCATACTGGACTTGACCTCGGTGAGATCGGTGGAGTCAGTAACGCAGCCAAGGAGGTTATCGACAACGTTGTCGAGGTTTCCAAGAACACCCGTGAGCTCAGTCAGGGTGGACTGGACAGTAACCTCAACGCCACGAGCCGGAAGAGCGGCAGCAGACACAGTGCTAGCAAGAGCGAGAGACGTGGCGATTCCAGTGAACTTCATGGTGGCGTATTGGATTTTGATCTTGTGAAGCAAAAAAAATAAGGAGCGTAAGGTTGTTTTGGCAAAAGAGCGAACGAGGGTTGGAAAGGTCGAGAGTTATTGACGATAATGAGTGAAGTGGTAGGCAAGAAGAAAAGAGGAAGGTCGCATGCTCAGTTATATACAAATTCCCGGCATAGCTCATCTTTCATGACCTGTGATTCAGGGGCATTGCGCGCACAAGACGCCTGTCGAATCGAGTCAGTCTGGTCTCCTATGGAGTTGATAATATGGGGATCGACATGGAAATCCAATGACACCACCCCGCTGTTTCAAGCCGACGACTGCAGTGCTATTAAGCTCCGTGAAGGAATCGCTACCAGCTCATGTGCTGCCTGCGAGAACACTACAGCGACATAAGATGTTGAAGTGCTATACATGAAGGGAAGAAGGAAGGTCAAATGGCCATGGTATATTGTTTTGTGGTTGAGAGTAGATCAATGTTATATGGCATTGGCTGCTGTCAATTGTTCGGAAGATGTGCAGGTCATCCCAAAAACCCCAATTTCGGGCATGAAGCGATCGGCCCCCAGATAGAACGGATTTGACCTGCCCTGTTTCCGTTTTCCATTTTCCAAGGATAGACTGTTGATAGCACAAATCCTGCAGTGACCCACACCATGTGCGGGGCAATGTCAATGAGGTTGGCGGCAGACCGCCCGCTTCACGCGTGGACAGCACGAACCTCCGCTGGTAGATAGGCAGCAAAAAAGGACTCGGTCGGAGATCTTGCGGGGCTTCCTGGATATGTACTGGTCCGGATGATCTTCACTAGGTCAGTTCATCAACAGTTTTAAATGATGATAGTCTGCTGTTAGCTCGGACTTGACGAATAATTTGTTATCCCATCATGACACACTCAGTTTAAAGACATCAAGAACGGTGACTTCTGTTGTATGATAAGTTCAAGCTGACCAAGATGTAGGTTTCAAGTCTGCCTCTTGAGGATGAAGAGCAGTCGCATGGAGGAAGGATTAGGTTGGCGGCAGTGGTTGCCGGCTAAGCATCCATCCATCCCTGCCGATCTTCTCCACCCGCTAATTCTTCAAGAACCGTTGATAGAAGCTTCACCATAATAATGGTTCCCTCAGGACTCCTTTCAAAGGAGCTAGCCTGGTGAAGATATTTCCCTCCAAGTCCCAAGTATGAAAATGCCTAGACTGCAGGGAATTTTGTCCCTTCTGCATGTTATCTTCCCACCAATGAAACAGGGTCGAGCCAGAAGCATGATCGATAAGATAGCTCGATCTGTCAATAGTGGCATGGAAGATATCGTCACCTGCATCGTTGGCTGTTGATCTCTCCGCAGTCGTAAGAAGCCATACTTCGTTGTCCTGCAACCCTGTTGCACACATGTTCTAATCCCGTCCTCGGTGTTCATGATGGGTGACGTCAAGAAATGTGGCGATCAGGGGTAACAGAGACTGCGTAGAAGGCCTTCCCTCTTAAGCGCAATAGTCATTAGTCCGGTTGTGGTGCGAGTATGCCAGATACATTTGCGGGTCAGGCGTTGGTATAGAGATCAACCGGTGACCGGAACTCATTGAAATAGGGGAGCCCATCCTCTGCCTTGGGGAACCCGGGAGAGCATGTAGGACCTGTTGTTGGTGGTTCTCCTTTTCACATCATGATGATGCTGTACTTTGTATTTCAGTGCAGGTTAGTGGCAAGTATATGTCGTACTACTGCTGGCTCCAGCCGAATGCTTAAAGGTTGCCCGCAGTCCTCGTATCGGGTAGCTGAACACCTGTGCCGCTGGTATATATATATTCTACCCGGGGAACTGGTAGCAGCCAAAGTGGCTGGGATGTCTGTGGAATTGACAAAACCCAGCAGTGACCACATGAGGCGCACAGCTCGAGCTTTGTTGCAGGTTCTTGCAGCATCCCGAGACGATTGGGGAATGGAGAACTGCCGGGGGAGGTTCAGGTTGGAGCGACAACAACAACAACAAGAATAACAACAATGGCGATGGCCACAACAAACAAAAGCCACGGGGCTGGGCCAACGGTGTGGCTGGTGCAGCCGATGTTTGCAGTGTTTGCTCGTGGGGAACCCCTGTCGGCTGACTAAAGTCGACCTCCCGTGACAAACGCGGCCTGAGGCATGACAGGTTGTCGGGTCAACAGGGCGCGCTAGGCCGGATCGGGCGGGGCACAACATAACAGCAGCCAGTTAGCGTGCATCGCAGTTGCCCCCAAACGAGACTCATCGGCCTCGAGCCTATCCTCTTCTCGTGCCGCCAACTTTTCCTTCGCCTCTTCTCCTCTTCTTCCCCTCACCCTCACCCTCGCCCTCGCCTCTCCCCCGACAACCCCTGCCAGGCTTCCTGTATATTTTCCTCCTCCCCTCCTCCCTGGGTCTCGCTCTCGCTATCCTTACCCTATCCGCAGCCGCCTGTTATTAGCATCCATCCATCGCCTTTTTCTTGGGAGCGTGACCAGACCAGACCATGAGCTTTTAGTTCACCCGTGGCTTTGTTTTTATCCCCTCGTCGTTGACAGACCAGCGATACTCCCATCCATTGCGGCATTGCACCTCTGGACAGACTCCTATCGTCCAATCTTTCTTTCCTGCCAATCCTCTGATTGTTATTGTGCCCCGTCACGGTTATCGGCAATTGTTTTGGTTGCCGCATCGCCACTGTCAACATGTCTGCAAACACCGGCTACGGGCAGGTGATCGAGTACATCCAAGGTGCGTTTGCTCTCACTTCTTATCAATGCTTGGGTCGACAGCAGACGGCCCAGGAGCGCTCCCAGTGTCGCCCTCAATGGCTTTTCAACGCGAACTAACCACCCGTCAAAACAGATCGTCTCTACTTGGCCTCCTATGATAACCCCCCCGATGCACGCACCCCATTCCCTTACCCTGTGGAGCAACCGAGATCTCCTAGCAAGCGGTCCGCGCGTGCTCAGCCGAGTACTCCCAGCAGCAAGAAGCGAAGCCCCGTGTACTTCACGGTAGACGACGTCCTGCTCTACAACTCTTTCCATGCCGACTTCGGCCCTCTTCACATTGGTCACCTGTACCGGTTTGCAGTCCATTTCCACGAAATTCTCGGGGATTCTGGGAACAGCGATCGTGCGGTCGTCTTCTACTCCAAAACCGATGCGCGTAGCCGTGCTAATGCCGCCTGTCTCGTCGCGTGCTACATGGTTCTCATCCAGTCCTGGCCCCCGCATCTGGCATTGGCCCCCATTGCGCAGGCCGATCCTCCCTACATGCCTTTCCGCGATGCCGGATACAGTCAGGCGGACTTCATCTTGAACATCCAGGATGTTGTCTATGGTGTGTGGAAAGCAAAGGAGAAGTCACTGTGTGGCCTGAGGGACTTCAGCCTTGAAGAGTATGTCTCACTCGCAATAGAGTACGTTGATCATGCTGACTAGTTTCCAGTTATGAGAAGTTCGAGCGCGTTGATATGGGAGATTTCAACTGGATCACGCCTGACTTCCTCGCCTTTGCTTCACCACAGCACTCGCCCATCGCCCCTATTGCTACGAATACTCCCGAATATGCTGCATTGCCTTCGACCATCTCGGAAGTTCTCGCTTCCAAGTTACCTCTTCCTTTCAAAAATGTCTTGGCCCACTTTTCGTCCCGCAACGTCGGTCTGGTTGTTAGATTGAACTCGGAGTTATATTCGCCATCTCACTTTACCGCCATGGGTATTACTCATGTCGACATGATCTTCGAGGATGGCACCTGCCCTCCTTTGCCTCTTGTCCGCCGTTTCATTAAGATGGCACACGAGATGATCACGGTGAAGAAGAGGGGTATTGCCGTGCACTGCAAGGCTGGCCTCGGCCGCACCGGCTGCTTGATCGGTGCCTACTTGATCTACCGCTATGGGTTCACTGCGAACGAGATCATTGCCTTCATGAGATTCATGCGTCCTGGTATGGTTGTCGGGCCGCAACAGCACTGGCTGCACCTCAACCAAGGCTCGTTCCGCGAGTGGTGGTTTGAGGATTCCATGAAGGAGAAGCTTGCTCAAATGCAGGCGACGCCCATCACCCCCGGACGGCCGTCCACCAGGCAGCGTGCCAATGGACCTGTTGCCACGCCTCCGAACAACGGTCACTCCAAGCGCGCCGCTCTTGGGGAAATCGATCACAACGAAGGCGGTGGTGCCCAAAGTGAAGAAAACCTTCCTGCACCAACTCCTGGACAACCTCGGAAATCCCACAGGAAAGACTCTCGCCACCACCCGTACGCGCGCACCACGTCTGGTTCCCTGCTCGTTGAGAAAGAGGGCAACAAGAGTGGTGACCACAGACATCATCGCATCAGCACCGACAGCAGCGAAAGCGAGGAGGAGGTCCAACTCCGGATGCTGGCTAAGCGTTCCTCCAAGTCCCCCGTGGCATCTCCCAACCAACGATCCGTCAGCTACTCCGCCACAGTAACAGCAAGTTATACCCTCAACGATGACGACCGCGAGAACTGGGGTGATGCTGCGACCTATGCGGCACCCAAAACTCCCAGCAGCAAGACTGGCGCAGCCATTGCAGTGACCAAAGTTCGGACGAGTCCGAGGCGTGTTACGGACAGCCGGAGCGACACCAAGGGTGTCCGCAAAGCTAGTGGCCGTGTTGGCAGCACCGGAAGCCCCACGCGCGTGAAATGAAAGCTCTAGTATCGGCGCGGGTCGTTTCTTCTCTTCGTACTTTGAGCTTTCAGATATCCTTTTCGCCGCGCGTTCACTTCTCTTCGTTGATGTTACCGGGATATAATGTGTGTATAGTCCTGGGCATTTTTCTTACATTACCACCTGTTCTTCTTGGCAATTCTCCGGTGTGTTTGTGGTGTTAGGTCTGGCGCAAAACTCATGGGTCTGGGTGTGTTACGGCGTTCGGTTGTCCTGTTGATGGTTGAATGATCTAGAGTGGTCTGGAATACATCGAGTCTTTGACTGGCACATTATGTTACACGTGCAATGACTGCTGTCGGCTCCTAGGGCCGAGGTAGCGATGTTCTGTTGATCAAGCCGTGTTTCTCTGTACGTATACATCTACGTCGGCATGACAGATTTGGTTACGAGCCTGTTTCATATTCCACCTCCATCTTGTGTAAATGTGTAGCTGTATCCTGCCATCTCAGCGTTGATCGTCACAGCATAGCATACTGTTCCTATGTTCCTAGACAACCAACTAGACTGATAGTCCCACGTCTGCCGTAGCAGTTAGGGCTGCAGATAACAACCACCAAGGCGATTAGATCCAACTTGCAGCCATACCGACAATCCTATCGATAAGACCTGCCAATTGTGCTTGATCATATCCTGATGTGATCCCACAAGCAAGGTCGCAAGCCACAGCCGAGGCAGGGGCTATCGTTATCACCTAACATGCACAGCATTATCTGGTGGTTATGTTAAGTAAGCCTGTTGCTTGCTTCCAAAAGGAGTACCACATCCATCTACTCGTCCTCCGCAAGGCTAATATAATAACCAGATGAATTCCGGACTGGCGTTCGGAGGTCCTTGATGAGTGTAGTGGATACCTATCACGACTCGGTTAAAACGTGACCCTTTCAGGTACCAGTTACGACGGAGGAGTTAGACGACCCCCGAAGCCTATTTGTTTTGCGATACGGATCCCAGATTATGCAGTGTCACTAAGTGGCTCTAGCATCCTGCTCCTCTGCTGGGAGGATTGGTCACGGATAGATAAGACGAGCCGGAACTGGAATGTTCCTTGGGTTCATGCTTGGTGTATGTGGAACTTGATACTCGGCGAGAATAGGCACTCAATTCGGTCGATATTCCCATTGTTTATCGTGATTTCCACTTCTTTATGACACCGAGAGGGATGGGACCTGAAACTTCGAGGCTTTTGTAGGCTGTCGAAGGGCTTGCACGCCACTGAGTGGACAATCTCGTAGCCTAGTTGCCGCAGCAGCTATGCTCGGTGCGGTGCCTTGCTAGAGGGCGAACCTGGACTTTTGCTTGTCGACATATCCAGGTCCCGCCCAATATTCAGAACTGTCTCTGGTCGATATGTTCAGGTCAACAGGCTACTTACTCAGCAGTTCCGGACTCATTATGTTGGTATGTTGATCGAATGGATTCCGATTCGGATGTGATGCTTGACCTGGAGACTGAAGATGCAAGGTCCAAGGTGTATCTGGCGGTGAAACTATATGATATTAGCTCCTATGACTCTTTGCGGGAAGCGAAAGATGGCTATATATTGATTAAAAATAGAGGTGACACAAGGCCCGGGATATCAAAAGAGGGGAGGTCACATACTAGAGGTAGTCATGCTTTCACTACCGGTCGTCGGGGCATCACATGCACAATAATGGGGAACCAGATCACCCCAATAGGAGTATGATGCAGTGGCCAGTGGTAGTACAGACTATGGCTCGAGCTCATAATCATCCGCTTCTGATGGAGACTCGACTTCCTGAACAGCCCAAGCGATACATTCATGCCAATCCGGAGGTAGCGCCTGACGGACAGCATCCACCGTCTGTTTTCCCCAGCCCTCCATCCATATGCTATTCCCCATCCAGTGCAAGGTGATGGCGTGGTTGGCCAGAATAGCCAGCGCCAGAGGCTCCGCAATGCGTACCATTGCCCAAAACTCAGGCGGACACACCGCTGGGAAGTAGGAATGCGTCATCTTCTGCCGTCGATACATGATAGTCATTGTGAGGGTGTCGCGTAGGGTTTGAATGGCTGAAAGATATATGCCGGTGTGAGATCCCGCGAAGGGCGTTGCGGGGATGCGTTGACGGAGTTTGCTTAGCATGTCTTCGATCACAACGGGGAGCCTTCCGGTAAAGACGAACGGGTAGGGTAGCATCAAGACGGACCAACGGCTCTGTTCTCGGGCCTCATGACTGGGTTTGAGCGCGATGGCTGACCCGCGGACTAGAGTCAACACTTGGTGGATGTTTGTCAGAGGATCCTCCATCGACTTCGAAGAACGCTGGATCCCAAACGAATAGAGTGCGACTACACAGGAGAAAGCGAAGACGGCATCATGATTCTCATACGTTATGTTTGACAGATGCGGTCGAAAGAGTGCGACGCCAAGATCATGGTGGCGGATGGCCATGACGGTGTGCTTTTGTTGTGAAACCCCACGGAGAGCCAGATGCAGTGCACTGATGCTGAGAAGACCGTGAAGAAGAAAGTCGTGCTCAAAGGCGAGCTCGGTTACCCAATCTCCCCACATCGATTGATCGCGGTCGCCGGGTAAGATGATCTCGGTGATGCTCTTCGACGCGTGCAGGGCATAGTGGCTCATCAGTCTCAGTCGCTCTCGCTCCGAGTCCGTGAATTGGAAGTCGACGGTGGACTGTTCCGTGCCGGCTGTGGACATTGTAATCGACTTGACATCGCTCGCTGAACGACTGCTGTGCTCATCGGAGAGGCTTGACGGGGCTGGCTGGGTGGTGGTCGACATTTCCGGGCCGGGATGATCCTCTTGAGATTCCGGTGTATGCTTGGCTGGAACGAAAAGCCAGTCGGATGGCTGATCAGCCAGCGAGCAAGCCGATCCTATCCTACTGCACCGGCCACACCGCGGCCTCTGCTCATCGCACTACCTCGTGCAGCGGTCAGCATGGGCGAGGCAGGAGACAGTGTAACCCAGCCCAACCCAACGCACCTTTGTACGATTCCTCTTGCACAGCAGGCAGCCGTGGCGGCTCTTCTTGTGGAATCGCCGTTGGGACATGATCCTAGCTTTTGGAACGGCCACGGTCGATCGAGTCGGTCTTGAATCACCCGGGACAATCTAGGGGGATGACGCGGTAGTAGAGCCCGAAAAAGAAAATTGCCGTCCCAGCCATGCCTCGAGCGAGAGGAGAGAGCAAGGCGAGTCGATTGTGGATGGAGATAAGAGGTGTATTCCCCGAGCCAGAAGTGGGGAGAAAACAGAAGGAGCGACTCGGCAGGTGGAGTCCTGCCGCCCGCTAGTCCCGATCCAGCATTTTGTACGCGGTACGGTCTGTAGTTCCCTGTAGTTCCCTCTGCTCCATCTCTGGATCTCTTACTTCACCTTCCATCGCGGGGTCCCGTTTCGGATTTGGGATCACCGGTGTTCCTATCCCCGACGGTGTTCAATTGCATCCCCCCCCCCCCCCCCCCCCAACCACCGGCTTTGTAGGTTGCAGTATATAAGCTCCTCTAGGAGCCCAGCTCTGCAGCCCATTATTCGAGTCATTCTTCCTCCCTCACACAGACTACCCCGTTCACGATGGTCGATTTGAGCGTCGCACGCGCCGCGAACGCGACCTTGGTTCAGAGCCAGCCCTTGGTCGCAGTCTTTATCGGTGGCACCTCAGGCATCGGTCACTACACTCTTCGGGCATTGGCGACGGCCGAAGCCAATGGAGGGAAAGGCTTCCGCGCGTACATCGTGGGCAGAAACGCCAAAGCTGCCGAGGAGATCATCGCAGAATGTCGTGGCATCTACCCGGACGCCCAGATCAAGTTTGTCAAGGCCGACGACATATCCCTGATCCAAGCAGTCGATCAAGCATGTGCGGAAATCATCCAATCGGAGGAAAAGCAGAGCCAGGACCCACGGATTGACTATCTGATGCTGTCCCAAGGCGGGTCGATCTTTCTTCCAAGAAAAGGTATGCTCACAAGATCGGTCGGAGTTTCGGTTTCATCATTTCTAATGGTGCTGCAGACACAAAAGAAGGACTCGACGTGACCATGTCCCTGATGTACTATTCGCGTATGCGGGCCATCACCAAGCTGCTCCCCTTGCTTCTCAAGTCTACCCTTCCTGCGAAGGTCGTGTCGGTATATGCGGCAGGATACGAAGCGAAGCTCTACCCGGACGACCTCTCCCTCCGCGACCTGTCGCATTACAGCTACTCACAGGCCCGGTCACATATGATCTACATGCACACGTTGTTTCTGGAGAAGCTGGCCGAGCAACACCAGGGTAAACTCAGTCTGATGCATATCTTTCCCGGTCTGGTGCTGGGACCTGGCTTTCAGAGACCGGACTTGCCTCTCTGGTTCAGAAGAGTGTGGCGCTGGTTCTTCGTTCCCATCCTGGGGCCTCTGCTGACCGTCTCTCCCACGGAGTGTGGCGATCGGATGCTGAGCCTCGCGTCACCTCGCTATCCACCCCAGGGCACGGAGTCTTCTGGCGCCACGGACAAGGTGGTTGTGGGGACAGATGGTAAGCCGGGGAGTGGTGCTTACTCTCTTAGCCGGAAGGGCGAGGCGATGAACATCAAGAAGGCCTATGAGAAGATCAACAAGGACGAGATGAAGAAGAAGGTCTGGGATCATACCACAAAGGCTTTTGAGGTCATTGAGGCAGGAGAGGTTTTTACCGATTGAGCTATCCCCAAGACTGACGGATTCAGTCATTGCAGCAGTCTCTGGCCGGTTAATTAGGAAGGGCTTAGGTGATATTTTATGTGTGTACAAAACTTAATGTCTAATGGCAGACTGAGTTAACAGATTGACGGCAATGTTGAATCTCATTTCTGTACCAGATTGAGACCTCCTCAGCTCCAGGACCTGAAACTTAAACTAGTAGAATGTTGTACCATTTCTGCCCTATACACAATTTACAATCGTAGCCGTCAAATCCGGCCCGGCCCGGAGAGTCCGACAGCTCCGCGGAGAGTCCGTCCATACCAGGCACTAGCTTCCAGACAGTGTCGGGATAGCATTCTGCTATAAAAGCCAGTCCTCTTGCAGCCATTGAATATTCTAGTCAAGGTACCCAAGCCGAAAAATCATCAAGTTTCAACCCTTAGCCAACACCAAACATCATGACCAACTCGTCAAACCCCGACCTCGTCGCCCTGAACTCATTGACGCTGGGGACCAACATGCCGGAGGTGACTCTACCCGATGGCAGCAAAGTGCAGACCGGGACAGTCGGGTAAGCAAGCAATCCTCGAGTTTATCGGTGTCTCCCCCCTTAGCTGTTCCCATCGTGTGGTTGCCGTGCTCATGCCGACAGCTGATGGCTCTAGAACGCTGTTGATCAACATTCGAGCGTATAACAGGGCTTATGCCGTGGGAGATCATGCCCAGATGGAGACCCTCCAAGCCGGGCTAAAAGCTGCAGTACCGCTGCTGCAGAGAGTGGGCATGTTTGATCTGTTCCGGCCGGAGGAGTGGATCGCAGGGGAGAATGAGGGGCGGAGGCTGGTGGGGAGGATGTATCAGGAGTTGGTGGAATATTCTGCCTGATGATGTGGGATGTGTGCACCGTGTTCTATCTTTGTGTGTGAGTGTAAGATTAGGTTCAACTGCAATGAAACGCCTGGTCGACCAGGGAGGGAGTAGATGCAGTGTGGAGAAGGGAGGATGGAAAGTGGAGAGTGGGGACTCGGCGATAAGCTGCTGCCAGGCCAGGCGGCCAGGCTCCCAGGCTCCCAGGCTCCGAGGTCGCCTTCGGCTCGGCGGACAGATCGGCCCCGTCTTCAATTTTCCCTCCCTTCAACACGTCGCGTCAATTCCAGCGGCTCGCATTTTCCTGTCAAGACATACCTCTCTTGACTGGTGCATGCCTGCCAACATGTCAGCCTCCGACCAGCTCGGGCGCCAGACGCGATCACCCGCCGTCCGTCGGAACGGGTCCTTGCAGTCGTGCGAGCCGTGTCGCAAGTCCAAACAGCGCTGCGATCATGGCAGGCCCGTCTGCGCCCGATGCACCACGAAGAAGATCGCGGCGAGATGTTTCTACCACCCCGCCCCCATGACCAAACAAGCAGCCGCGCGCAGGGCGGCCTTTCCCCCACAGTCTCAGGGACTCGCCCAACATTCGAGTACTACGTGAGGATCACAGAAGCATTGACCTACCGGACTGGGAGGGTTTTGAGACACCTTTCTAGTCCGGTGGCCATGTTTGTGATCAATATGCTGACCCTTTTATAGAGACACAAGCCCGGCACTGACCCTGGATAGCGCGCAGCCACCTCATGCCCCGATCGAATCACCCGCAGCTTACCCTGGTTACTTGGGGTCGACAAGCTACACGGCGATTCTTGCTGAATATCGGACCGAGCTTGCTCTTGAAGCAGAGGACAGTACCGTGTCTGACCCATTTGCCCGGTCAATCGACCCTGGACGCCTCCAGTCTGGATTGAAGTTGCTGAAGCTGCTGCACAACCTTCGGATCTGCGACAACTTGCTTCGAAGATACTACTCCCGGGTCCTGGTGGCCGTCATCCCAGAAGTCATTGTGACCTCCATTATGCGCTCCATCCGGGATATTCTCGACAATCTCGATACCGGGCAGGATATGGAAGGTCAGCTCGAAGACCTAGTCGGCAAAATATCGCAAAATACCTCCAGACCATTGTCGACCCGTGGTTTGATGACGGTGGAACAGTATTGCGCAACGTTTACCGGTGGGAACCTACGCTGGGAAGCCATTGGAATTGTCTTTGCGACTTCCGGAATATCACTCATGTCTACACCGGACAGCGACCCTGATCTGAACCAAGTTGCGACAGATAATCAGACTAGAGATAGACTCCGAGCTCAGCTTGTCGAAGCTAGCGGTACATGCCTGAGCCTTTGTGACCAAGCGTCTTCGGTTAATGAGCTGTTGGGCTTTTGCCAGTACAACGACATGGCCCTTCTTACGCATCACTATGGTGACTCTTGTGAGGAACTCTGGCTTGAGCATAAGCATCCACTGGCTAACGTGTGATAGGCTACCAATCCTGGCGTCGTCTTGGTGACCTTTCTGCCACTATATATGCAGCCGGACTGCATCAGGAAATTTCTCAGCCCGACGACTGTCCCTTTTTTCTTCGCCAGTGGCGAAGAATGTGCTTTGCAGCTGCCTTTGCGGCAGACAAAAATGTGGCTACGTTCGTGGGACGGCCCCCATATATCAATCACCGCTATTGCACGCTTGCACCCCCGCTAGATGTCAGTGAGCCAAGGCTGGTCGTCGGTGGGGATGCTCTAGATCAATCGGTCTCAGAGCTAGATAACTCGGGATGGGCAATCACAGGAGATATTAACCGAGTAAGTGTTTTACGTCTCCGATTCATCTTCGCGGTGTTTAGGGAACAAGCCCTTGAGATAGCCTTGGGGACCAGTGAGAACTGGGATCTGGTTCAAAAATCTACGTAAATGACTCTTTCCCATATATACGGGTAGCGCCTCCTGACGTTTATAGTCAAATTATCGAGAAAGCGCGAGAGACTTGGGAAGCGTGTCCCGCTCGTCTGCGATACGACGCTCCTGGACAAAAGCATGCCGAGCCATCTCCTCTGTCCTTCACGACGCTTCACATCTATTTAGATTATCTATATACCATTTTTCTTCTCCGGCGGACTGTCGTGAAACGGACAGACACAGAGAAGGAGGCTCTCTTCGATACATCGAGACTGATACTTTCCATCGTCATCAAAGCCAACGGCGACCAGGATTCCGTCCTAGACTTGAGGAGACACCATGCTTGGGTTGTATGTCACGGTCCGCGTTTTCTATTGCTTGTACCGGCAAGGCTGACCTGCCGCAGCTGCTCTACTACGGCCTCCCTAGTGCCAGCGTCCTCACCCTCGAGCTTCTGCACCAGAATCAAGGGATCGGGACCTACTCTACCGTGCTACCGCGTGCCGAAACGATTCGAAACCTGAGCGTGTTCGTATCGTGTTTGTCCTGGGTCGCGCGACCCGGCCACGGCAACTATCACACGTGCAAGGCCGTGGAGAAGAAACTCTCTCATATCCTCGACCAGATTCTCGACCCCCAACCCATGGCGGGCGACCTTTTCAACGACGCCACCTCGGGCTTGTCCAGCTTCCTGGACTGGTCCAACCCCAACGGCTGGGACTTCACCTCGGAGTATCTCGACGCATTTACTCTGTGAAGAGACTGGGTCATGTAAACGTAAGGGTATCGCATTCATCACAGGTCATAAGTCATGACAAATTATCTAAATATATCGACCAGGCCAACCCCTGGAAGTCAGGCGTCATGCAAGAAGAAAGGCAGTCAATGCGGTCGAAGCTCCAAGCGGGTGGAGTAAGATGGAAGGACCTGGCGGAAGGCCAACGATCGCAAATCTTGATAGCGACAAATATATGGCGGGAGAGGCAGCGGGTCCGAGGGGGGCGTAAGACGAGGCAGATCATACCATCCAAACGAAATCATTAGTGGGATGCGATTCTTGGACGTAATAGGCTCGGTGGCAGAGGGGGCAGTTGAAGTGGTCCTGCAGATACCACTTTTCGAGACACTCCCGATGGAAGACGTGCAGGCATTTGAGTTCGTGGATTTCCTGGCAGCGCAGGACGGATTCCAGGCAGACGACACTGTCAATGGCAGCGAGAGTGCGCTCGTTAGTGGATGCATTCGTGAGAGCATCACAGCCGACAGCGCCGCGCAGCTAGCTGCACGTACCAGATAAAGTCCCCGTCCAGCCCTTCGGCGGGCAACAGGGGCCCCTTAGCCCGCGACCACCATTCTTCGAGTGTGCGCGTGGGGGACACGACATCCAGTTTGCGCAGCTTGTCGTTGGAGTCGCCCTTGCTGCTGCCGCTGCTGAAGACCGGCCGGCGATCGCGTCGGTTGATGAACAGAGTCAAACTATGCAGCCGGGGGCGTCAGTTGGGGGGGGTGCAACCAGGGCTATGGTAGTAGTTCCCGACTAAACCGACCAGAGGACCGACACGTACAGCAGACACATGATAATCAGAGTGGCTATTCCGAGTCCAACGCCCAAGACAATGGCCATGTGGTGGTTCACCTGGGGGGATTTGTCGTCCGATGCCAGCCCCATGCTCTCCTCTATCGTCTCTCGTCTCGCTTCCCTCTTCTCTCTCTTGTGAGGGGGGGGGCAATGGGCGCCTGAACGCGAAACAGTTGGCCTCGATGGGAATTGAACCAAAACAGAACAGTGCATTGGATGCGGGGGACCCGGTCACTTATAATTGATGGTCCAGGGCACGAGCGCCACACGTTGTGCCTCTGATCGTCGTCACCTGGCGGGGTAGGAAGTGCGACTAAGTAGGGTATAATGCGCCAACCATGCTATCAGGCCATCCCGAAGCCATCCATCCATCTGATCCCCCGGGGAGACCGTTCATTTCCCTCCCACGGTCGCTCGCTCGAGACCGACCGAGCATTCGGCGAGTGGTTCGGAATGAGGGGGTTTCGGTCCAAGAGATCCTTAATTTGAACCCCCGGGAAATGACCGCCTGTCGCCAGCCATGCCATCCATCACCACGACAACAATCGCCTGTCTACTTATCCCAGCAGACCAGGCCAGGCTCAGAGAAAAGGCACCCGGCTGCCTGCATTCCCAGCCGGTTTCGCTCTCGCAGGTCATCCGGCTGCGCCCCTCACTAACCCTACTACGGAGTACCACCACTACTACCTAACTAGTAGATAGTAGTTAATGTACTACTGTCGGTTACCGCCGAGGCTCAGCAGCACAGTCTAAACGTCCCCAACATGCTGCTAACCCAACCTTACGGCCGGGGCGATCGCTGCAGGCATGTATGTATGGGTGATGGCTCGACCGCCGTGCTTTCTTTTGCTTTTGCTTTTGCGTTGGCTCCTCCCTCACTAGCTTCCTTGGCGGGTGGTGCAAGGGAGGGGTTTTCCGTGCATGGAGGTGGTCGGGTGAGCATGACCTGGGTGGCGGTCGTACTAGTCGATGGTGAGCCAGCAGACCAGGTGGTCAGGCCATCTCGATGTCGTGTCAGGTCACGCCACGGCCGAGGATCCACAGAGATCCCCCGGATACTTAGCGACAGTCCCCCCCCTAACGAGCTATGACGCAATTTGCGCTGCCGTTGTCACTAAAAAGCTACACTCTGCCGAGTTATTCAACCCCTCGTATCGTGACCGACAACCACCAGCACCACATCCAACATCAGATTTGAATGTGCAACGGTGCCCACCATCCCAGTTGCGGTTATCCTTTCCGCCGTCACACCCCACTGCTCCACCCGCCCCGACCACTCCGCCCAAGGGCAGCACGCACCACGACGGGTGCACCACCGTCGAGCCTCTCAGCATAGGCGCGAAGTCGTCCGCTCGGGGGAGTTTCTGCCTGCTGGAATAAGAGCGGAAGCTGAGCCGGAAGCATCGCTCCAGACAGACCACCGCATTGGAGATCCTCCAGAACAGTCCGAGAGGTATGTAGGTTGGAATGACGCGTTAAGCTGAAATTGAAATAGTAAATCATTGAAGCCCATGCATGGTATTGGAGAACTGATTATCCCGAACACTGGCATTCACGAATCCAATGCAGAGGCCCTGACGCTCCAGGTAGTGGGCAAGGAAAGCCTGACCATAGTACAGACTGCAAGGCAAGATAACTCGAGAGATACATTTCTTGCTACAGATCCGCCATCCGTCTCAATTCATCCGCCACGGTCCAGACAAAATTCCGTTTCAATGCTAGGCTCCATCGCTTTCGTATCATCTTCCTCCACCTCCCTATTTTCGCGATTGGTACAGGCGAGGCCTTGTAAGCAAGCTAGGGTTGCTCGCTGATATCAGACCCAGTTCTTTCGGTGCTGCCGCGACGATATCACCAGACCATTTTGGCCTTCGTTTGATTTCGCTTACCCAATATACTTGAAATCGAGCCATCTTCAAGCGTTCTTCTGGCTCCACAAACACCACAATAGGTTCCCGGAACGCGATCTCCATGAGGACAATCCCTAGGCTGTAGATATAGTGGCTTTTACTGATTCGCAACAAGCCTCGTCGCGAATCGAGCTGGTCCGGATGGACACACCTGTTCAAGTCTCCAATTCCAGGCACCGTCCCCTCTGTTATATCTGCGCGGATTTCTCGGCCACCCTCCCTCCCGGTAGTCCGGTCGGGCGTATTGCCAACCGCTGAAGTACGGTCGTGTCAGATCAAGATGGCCCTGTTGGTTTTGAAAGAAGATCACATTATAGCCCGATATATTCCGATGAATCCAACCGGCACAATGAAGCTGATACAGGGCAACTGAGAGGGTGGTAGCGAGTTTTAATCGGTCATCCAGGGTCGGGCTCGGCGGTTCGTTGGACTGATATGCCAGATCGATGATCGTTCGGAGACTGATGGGCGGCGATGGAGCTGCATCGAGGGGGAGGGCATAAACAAACCCCAATAGCGGGTGTGAATTGCCGTCGAGTGTCCATCGGCAGGAAGGAAGATAGCGGTATATCGCTCTCTGTGAGGGTATGTCCAGGACTGCCTTCCTCCCAGTCTGGATAAAGCCCTCTGCTCCTGCCCCACAATTGCAAGCGCATCCGTTGGATGCGAAACCCCAAGTCCATACCGCTGGCTGAATCTGCCGTGGACAGCACCTGTTGGATGCATTCGTATTCAGCAAGGCATGTTTGAAAAATGGGACCAACAGACGCAATGGTGATCGCAAAGCTTATCGGGTCCATGGTCTGTCAACGGAGCTGTATCTATCTCAGGTGAATACCTCTCCGAGAACCGTTGCTCCCGATCCAGATCCCATGCATTATGACGGGTGGATGCTCGTTGTTTGAGATTTACGGATACCGGAGGTGATTTGCCGTGTGAAGAAGTGTGAGGTTAAGGTTCATGCAGTCGTATGCTTTGAAGAAACTAATTTAGTAAAATAATTGGCACTTGTCACATCTCATAGCTGGTTTATCCACCCATCCATCTACCCATGCAACCTTCATACCCACCGTTCTTTACACCGTATGCTCCACATTCACCACCGTTATCCCCGTCTCTTCCACCTTCTCTGTCTCCGTCTCCCCAGACCCTGACCCCGACTTCGCCACATCCTCAGGCAACATGCCCAGCGCCCGCCCCCCGAACAGCAGGTCAATCTCCTCCAGGGACTTCTGGTTCGTCTCCTTGAAGAAGAAGTAGATCGTAGGCAGCGTGATGAATAAATCTGCCGGAGATTAGAATTAGCCAGTTGGTCACACTGCCATTCCCAAGCTCGGCAAGATTGGATCTCAAGGGAAAGATGGATGAATGGATGGATGGATGGATGCACGTACTCCACACCGCGAAGATGATATAGAATTTATACTGGATCTTGGCCAGTGCGATGGGCGAGACCTGGCTCCAGAGGGTACTGACGGCCCAGTTCCCGATGCCTGTTGCGAAGGCGTTGCCCCGTCCGCGGATCTGCATGGGCATCACTTCCGCCATGTAGACCCTGGATCATGTTAGATTAGGTTAAACTTCCAGAGGGGTGTTTGGTGGGTGAGGAATATGTCAAGGGGAAGGGAGGGGAAAGGGAGGGGATAAATCTCACCAACTGCACGGCCCGAACGACAACGAGAAAAACACCGTAATCGTAAACAGAAAGAACACTCCCCGATACTGTATCCCCGTCTCATCCCGTCCAGGTTCTGTGAGTACAGAGCCGCCTCGCAGATCAGGGCGATGGCGATGGCGACTGTCCCGAACATCATAGGCCTTCGGCGGCCGACCCGGTCGAGCAGAAACACGATGAAGATGAAGTTGGTGATGGGGCCGACGCAGTTGTAGATGCCGGCAACCAGGGTATTTCGGTTGCCGGTGATGCCGAGCGCATTGTACATGATTGTTTGGTAGTAGCCGATGACGTTGACGCCGGTCATTTGGGTGAAGACTTGGACGAGGACGCCGTGGCTGGTTTGTGGATTAGTGAGGGATCACGGACCTCCCCAGGGTGGAGGGGAGGTTGGGGGGGGGGGGGGGGGGGGGGCGCACAGTAGTCGGGTCCGCCATTGTGGGACTTGGAACATGATCAACCATCCTGGTGCGGTGAGGGCTTTCTCGGCCTCGATCGTGGTTCTAATCTCGGTGTACTCGGTTTGGATCCAGTCTTCGTTGGTGCCGTCGAAGTGCAACTTGCGGAGGATGCGCATCGCCTCGTCGTACTGGCCCTTTTCGACCAGGTAACGGGGGGATTCCGGCATGAAGAACATGCCGATGGCCAGCAGCAGGGCGGGGACAGCCTGGAAGGCGAGTGGGAATCGCCACTGAAACTGGCTGGTTTCGGGGGCATGAAGGGACCCGTAGCCGACCCATCTGACCTGTCAGTGGGGTTGGGTAGTCGAGGATGGAGAGGGAATGAGATACATACGTGCTGACAATGTATCCGATGCCGACCATCTGCTGAGCCAGTCCGACAATCAACCCCCGGGAGCGAGGATGGGCAACTTCAGCTTGGTAGACCGGCACGGACATCGACATGAGCCCCACGGCCCATCCAGCCAGGATGCGACCCACGAGGATCATGGCCAGATTCTTGGCGGAGGACTGGAGGATAGCGCCGACGAGACAGATGAAGGCGCCCATCTGGATGGTGAACCTTCGTCCGAAGCGATCCATCGTCAGGCCTCCCTGGAGGGAGCCAATGCAGGCTATCCTGTTAGCCTACGGACAGACGCGGACAGGACGACATCTTACCTCCCCCCGAAAAGGTGCTGTTAATGGCTCCGATAATGACGGAGGTCTGGGTGGTGTTGAAAAACTTGAGAAAATTCGGTGATTCGATCACGTCGGTCATTACACCGCTGTCATAGCCGAACAGGAAGGACCCCGTGGCTGCGAATACGGCCAGGGAGAGGGTGAAGGAGCGGCCCATGTTGAGGTCTGAGGATGTATCTGATGGGCTCTCGGACCATACGCACGTATGGGGCACGAAAAAAGCAACGTGGGCTGCAAGGGAGCTGGCTGGCTAGTATCTGAGAGGGCGGAACGGACACGCATCACCGGGGCAAGCGTGGGTGTCTATATACTCAGATCCGGTGGGATGGACCAGGATCGAGGCAAGCTCCGCTTTGACCCTCGCGACAGAAAAGGCGGGCCAGGCAGTCTGCAGAGGAAAATCCGGGGAGGCCGAGGCCAAGCTAGCAGCACGCCGGCCCTCGCTCGCCTTGCATCGAGCGATCACTGCCTTCTCCACTGGCCAGCCTGATTGGCAGGCGGCGGGCAGTCCGTGCATGGCGGTCGCGGGACTGACCGTCTGGCACTGGCGATGACACCGGAGAAGGATTTTGCCTTAATAGCAGTCGTGTGCGTGGTGGAACCAATAGGGTAATAATTCACGTTGGGGATCGGATGGGATGGCTAAATCACCGCTGATGCTCGTCCGGGGTAGCGGCCCAGATCCCCGAGGCAAAGAGCCATGTCCCCCCGGCTGTCCCCCGACTGACAGGCCACGAACAGGCCACCGGTTCTAGGCCGGTCTGGTGGGAGGTTCGATCACCAGGCCGTTGCAACGCAGGTTGAAATCGGACCTGCTCCTTTAGTGTCAAACCCAGTATCATTCAGTATCACGGACTAAGATGCGGGGTAAATGGATAAAAGTGGTTCTTGGATCTCCGCAACGGCGATCGGATTAAGCCTCATCTGGCTGGAGGAGGCCAAATAGCCGGGATTCATGCCCATCCCAGCAGATCCGTGTTGGGCCGGAAGATTGGTAGTTAATATGCAAGACCTTGGGGGGGGGGGGGCGTAGAGGGCATCTCTCGATTGCTGGAATCCAGCCGGCCAAGCGCCAGGGATCCATCCAGACTCGGGGGGAGTGGGTTGTATTTACACCAACGAGAGCATCCCTCGGGGGCGGAATTGGCTGGACACTCCGCCATCGCTAGAACGGGCTGTCCCTGGCATGGCATGGCATGACATGTTCCCCAAAGGCACTGCCAGGACGCTCTCGAGATGAACCCAAAGAATGGCTGCCTACATTGGCCAGTGACCTCACCTGCATCCCACAGCTTCGCTCCGAGTGAAATCAGGAGCTCGAGCCGTGTAGAGCAAGAGCAAGAGCAAGAGCAAGAGCAAGAGCAAGAGCAAGAGCAAGAGCAAGAGCAAGAGCAACAGTAACAGCAACAGCTCTTCAACACCGTGTGGTTTGAGCCATGGACGATGGTGGTGTCGAGAGAGCAAGTCAGCTTGAAGAAGAGATCGAGCCGTGTCCGATGACGTCATCCTACACGGGCAGCGCATCGGGGATTTTTGGGGATTTTTGGGGATTTTCGGGGATTGTCGGGGATTAATGCTTGTGTGCCTGACGGCCTGTGGCTGTCCCTGTCCCCGTCGAAGAATATCCATCCATCCATCCAACTACACTATACCAACCAAACAACGGCAACCAACTCTCCTGGAACATTCCATCTCGTGTTCTGGCCCGCTCCAGCCCGGACCCGCCGGCCGGCCACCCTCTCACCCTCTCATTCATTCATCTATCGTCTCAATTGAAAGCTGAAGCTGAAGCAGCACTTGCAATTGTGCGCCATCCCCACCATGGCCTCCCTCAGTCGCTCCAACACCATGCCCTTCTCGTCCTCGTCCCCCGCTCAGATTCGTTCATCCGCCCGCGCCAGCCCAGCCTCGACCTGGACCGCGACCTCCTGTCCACGCGCGGCCAGCGCCTGGGGGGTCTGATCCGTCGCCGCTCCCTCTCCATCCAAAGCTCCGACGGCTTCGATGAGCTGGACCGCTCCGATGAGGTCTTTCGCCCGCCCTTCGAACGCGCCCGGCGCCTCATTGGCGACAACAGGCCCATCTATCGCTGGTAGGAGAGCGAGTGAGCATGGATGGATGCGGATGCATCCATGCTGGACCCGAAGTCGCCAGTCACCCCGATGCTGACCGATCCCAACTTAGGCAGACGTACTATAAAGATCCGGCCACACTGAAGGCCCTGTCCAAGCCCATGTACACCCTCCCCATGAACTTTCCAGCCTTCTGCTGCCTGCATGGGCATGCTCGATTTCCTCCCCCTACCCGACTAACCCACCCCACACCAGGCGCGAGTATTACGAGCGCAACAACGACCTCATCGCGCAATACTTATACATCGACCGGCTGCTGGATTCCTCGCTGCCCCATCGTCTCATTGTGGATTATCACCAACCCACAGACCCCCCGGATTCGATCGACGATGGCCCGCGGTCCTATGGCGCTGTCGGCGACAACGCCAGGGCCGCAGGCAAGATCAAACGGACGCCGCGCAATCTCTATCGCATCCCCAGTGAGAGCTCGCCACTGCTCCCCTCGCCGCCAGAGGAACGCGAACGCACCCCGTCGCCCTCGTCGCCCCCGGAGCTCATGCCCGAGGAGAACGAGTTCGTCGACAGTGGCGACCGCATCGTCACCGTCGCCATCTACGTCAACTTCGTCGCCAACATCCTCCTGCTGGCCGCCAAGATCGTCGTCATGACCATGACCAGCTCGCTCTCCGTGCTGGCCAGCTTGGTCGACGGCGCCCTCGACTTCCTCAGCACCGCCATTGTCTGGGTCACCACCACCCTCATCAACCGGCAGGATCGCTCCCGCTACCCCATCAGCCGCCGGCGGCTCGAGCCCCTCAGCGTGCTGGTCTTCGCCGTCGTGATGGTGACCTCCTTCGTCCAGGTCGCCATCACCTCGGCCGGTCGCCTGCTCTCGACCGACCACGCCGTCGTGCAGCTGTCTGTCCCCTCCATCGCGGTCATGGCCAGCACGGTCATCGTCAAGCTGATCTGCTGGTTCTGGTGCCGTCTGATCCGCAACTCCAGCGTGCAGGCCCTGGCGCAAGACGCCATGACCGATGTCGTCTTCAACCTGTTCAGTATCCTGTTCCCGTTGAGTAAGTCCCCCCCCCGAAACCTTCCCGACGACAACGCTGATTGATGCAGTTGGCTCCTTCACCAACACCTGGTTCCTCGACCCCCTGGGCGGTCTCCTTCTCTCCCTGTACATCATCTACAATTGGAGCGCGACGGCGAGCGAGCACATCGGGCACCTGACGGGGACGGCGGCCTCGCCCAAGGACCACAGCATCCTGCTGTACATGACGATGCGGTTCTCCAAGGTGATCCTCAAGATCCAGGACCTGAAGGCCTACTACGCGGGCGACAAGCTCAACGTGGAGGTGGACATTGTGCTGGAGCCCAAGACGCGGCTGCAGGACAGCCACGACGTGGGCGAGAGCCTGCAGTACATGGTGGAGAGCATCCCCACGGTGGACCGCGCGTTCGTGCATATCGATTATGACCCGTGGAATATTCCGAGTCACATGAACCAGGTGGAGCGGTGAGATGGCATGTCACATGGATCTTTGGGATATTTACCGTGTTGGACATGATTATCTGGATTGGAGCCTGGTGGTGATGTTTTCTTTTAGAAGATAGTTGGCTGGATGTCTAGTAGTGGTTGATTTGAGGTCTCTATCGAGACCGGAACAAAATAGGTCGACTTGAATAGTTGATGAGATCTTGAGACCTCCACGATCTGTAACAGGCATGAGTAGAACAATAGATCTTGTTCAATTTCCGCATGCATGCCAAACCATTTCCCCCTGCCCCGGACACCAAAGATCTGGACTATCTGAAAAAAAAAAAAAAAAAAAAAGATTTATATTCTAGCTACCAAATCTACTTTAGATACTATATCATATCCACCCCAATGTTTTGGACATGGCGGAACGCCAGTATATGTTCCCGCGACTGAGAAACATCAACGTCAACGTCACCCACAACACCGCAATTTTCGATGTCCCACTACCGACTCCAGACCAAATGCCACGGTAGCAATGCAGTTGCCGTCGCCTGCAGCTGGGATGCGCCTAGACGAGAGCGGCTTGGCCTCAAGGTAGACAGTCTCTTCACGTCCTCTGGAAGGAGTAAAGTCGAGTACTCCGTACGGCAGGACGCGTTGGCGGGCGGCCAGATTCCGCCGGGCGGGTGCCTGAGGCGTGCGTGAGTGAGGACCGAGGGAAGGAGGTCCCGTTTGATATGTGAAATTGAGAAACGAGGGACTTTACTTGGGGAGCTGGCGGTGGATTGTAGGTTGGAGGGAGGGTAGTGCCAGGAGCCCAATTGATAATATCGTTGATATAACTACTACTAGTTCCTGACGACCGCGTCCGGAGGGTTTGGGGGGAGCAGCTCGTGCGGGCGGACGCAGGAGTGCAAGTAAAGTACGGCAGAGTACGGCAGAGTACGGCAGAGTACCGCCGTAATACCAGCCCGCCCGCGTCCACATCCGCGACGCGATGCTGAAAGGCGTCTTGCCAGTCTTTTTCCTCTCCCTCCTGCTGCTCCCTTCGCCAGTCTCTCTGTCGGTCGGTCGGTCTGTCTGTCTGTCTGTCTTTCTGTCTTGTCTCTCATTCAATCAATCTGTCTTATCCCCTTCTCCTCTCCCTCTCCTCCCCCCTCCCCTCACTCTCCCTTGATCCTCCTATACCTAACACCACACCATGTCCGATCCCGAGCCCTCCTCTCCGCCATCATCAGCCCAACCCGCCGACTCGACCGCCGCCGCCGCCCTCAACTATGCCTTCCTTGTCCACTCCCAGAAGACCCTGACTCAGAACCTCCCCCCACGCGTCGACAACAAATTGCTGGCCCGCCAGAAACGCCGTCGGACCAGGTATGCTCCTCCGACCCACTCCCCAGCGGTGATGTCGCTAACAAAGAATGCTGCGTGGTAGTCCCGAAGACCACGCGATCCTGGAGACAGAGTACCAACGGAACCCCAAACCAGACAAGGCCGCCCGCGCCAGTATAGTCAGTCGCGTGTCGTTGGGGGAGAAGGAAGTCCAGGTATGCCCGCGGCAGTCGACGCCGGTGAGATGATATCGATCTGTTGGCGTGTATTAATGCTCCATTGGAAAACCCCCCAGATCTGGTTTCAGAATCGCCGTCAGAACGATCGTCGGAAGTCCAAACCCCTTCAGCCTCACGAGCTCCTCGCACCGCGGTCCGACGCGTCGAAGCCCAGTGGAAGTGACGAGTCCCTACCGACGGAACCAGGGTCGTCTAGTGGCACGGAGCAGTCGGAGGAGAATAGCCAGGACCAGATCCCCGCGACCCAATCGTCCGACAACAACGCGTCGTTCGACTCGGACCTGGTGCACGGAGACAAGAATGACCTGGAGCAGCCGGGCCTGAGCTCGCAGACCAGCCTGGCCGTGACGGAACCCATGGAGGATTCGCAAATAGCGCCGCCCGAGACAATGCCCGAGCCCGAGTCGACGCAACCCCAATCCCTGGAGGAAACACCGCCGCTCGACGAATCATTGCAGAATTCCGTCAAGAGAAAGCGCTCCTTCTGCGAGAACCGCGGGAGCAGGCCCTCGATGCCGGAAGCGTCGACCCCGGGCACGGCCCACGATGTGAAGTCCCCGCCCTCGCTGCGGATCTCGCTCTCGTTCGATGGGGAGGCCATGGTGCGCAAGGAAGACGAACTCACCCCGTCGCCCCCGAAAGGGCGGAACGCCCTCCGCATCGCCATGTCGTCGGACGGGAAGGCCGTGATCCGCGCGGACGGCGAGCCCTCGCCGTCCAAGAACCGCATCTCCATGTTCTCCGCCCGCAAGCCGCGCTTTGCCGGGCTGCGGCGCAGCAGCAGTGCCGTGGCCTTCAGTACGCCCCGGGGCGGTCCCACGGAGGCCGAGCGACTCTTCGGCCGATCGCGCGACCCCCGCAACTGGGAATCCTTCTTCGATACCGATGCCAGAAGCGCCCTGTCGACCCCGACCAGCGCCCAGAGCGCCCCCAACGCGGGCTCCCCCGGCCTCTTCCGCGCGCGCGGCCAGCGGTCGCTCACCCGCAGCCTGTCGGCCAGACATGGCAACGCCCTCCACCACGCCCACTCCCACTCCGACTACCTGAACACCCCCGTGCCCAAACCCTCCGGCGAGAAGCGGCGGAAGCTGTCGCGCACGGTCTCCTCCCTGGGCCGCCTCGAAACCGGCCGCGCCCTCGGCAACCGAACCCCCCACACGGCGCCCAACTCCAAAGGGTACTCGACGAAGGAGGACGGCGACATGGAGTTGCACTGGGGGGACTCGGATAAGGAGAACTGGATCCCGGGGACGCGAGTCTCCCACGTCCGTCGACGCGCCACCTCCCAATACCACCCCTCCCGCCGCCCGGTGCTCAAGGAGGCCAACGGCGGGAAAGCCAGCCGGGAGTCGGGGTCGAGCGGTCGGTTCCGAGGGCCGCAGTCGCAGTCGCAGTCGCAGTCGCAGTCGCAGTCGCAGCAGCAGGAGGGGGCCAAGGAGGCGCCCGAGGTGGATGCCGAGGTGTCGGCGTTCATGAACGGTGGCGGCAGTGCCAGCCAGGAAGAAGACCTGGACTGTATCCAGGGCCTCCTGTCGCTGAGCCAGGGGGCCTGGAGATAAACCGATGATTGATGATCGGTTTGATTACGAACCTTTCCTTTGTACCTTCTCTTCTTCTTCTTCTTCTTCTTCTTCTTCCCCTTCTTGTTCCATACTCCTTTCTGTTTTCCTTTCTCTCGTGCCAGCCAGCCAGCCAGCGGTGATTGCGTGCATGATGCTCGGTTGTGATGATTATGTTGCCTGGAAGGGGGGGGTGGGGGTTTGCGTGCCACTCAGGGGCCTTTGTATTGATGACGAACCCGGTCCCAGCCACCGAAGATATCCCCACGCTATGAGTAGTAGCCTAATAGGACCAAAATGGACGATGACGATCGATGAGCCAGCCGATGTTCGGAGGGGCAGAGAGATAAGTGGCTGCGGGGAAGAGATAAGGACCCACGAAGGAGGGGTTAGTGTCGGGTAGAGTGTAGAGAGTAGATAGTTGGAGGAGGAGGAGGAGGAGGAGGAGGAGGAATGATCGCTGGGGAGACAAGGAAAGGAAGCAAGGCGGGGCGGGTGGGGTTCCTCAGGCACGGGCAGACAGACTGACATCCCCACCACCCTGCTAGTTAACCTGCACGTCCCTTTGTCCCTTTTACCCCGTGGTTCTTCCCCCCCCCCTTATATCTGCTGGGCAATTCATCCACGGTACCGCCGCCCACTGGCGCCACATCCACCACTCCCTCCTCGCTCCCCTTCCCTTTGTTCTCCTTCCCCCCCCCCCCAAAAAGACCACCCGAACCTGTCCAACGGCCCTCCTGATTGATTCGATCCCCTGCTGGGTGTAACCGTTCTATTGTTGCCCCGCTTCCTGTTCTAGAAAGAAGCCGGTCAGACTGATACACTGATATCATTCACGCAAGCCTTTGACCAAAAGGACATCTAGTCCTTGCGCCAGTCGCAGGCAGAAAGCAGAAAGGCTCGTTCTCCATCAGCCCATCGCCATGGGCAAAAGTCCTCACGTGGCGGTCATCGGAGCTGGGCTCGCAGGCTTGCGATGCACCGACATCCTCCTCCAGAACGGGGTGCGGGTGACGCTGTTCGAGGCCAGGAATCGTGTAGGGGGCAGGGTGTGTGTCTCTAGATGCCCCTTTTTGTATCAAAGATCACGGCACTGACCCCGAGCAGGTGCACCAGGAGAAGATCCACGATCATCTGATAGACATGTAACCTTGGCCAACCGTTGACGACTCCCTGACGTCGATGCTGATCATCCCAGGGGCCCCAATTGGATTCACGGCACGGGGAAGAACCCGATCGCGGCCGTCGCAGAGGCAACGGGGACCGTCCTCGAGGACTTCGAGGGCAATCAAGCCGTGATTGCCGCGGACGGGCAGGTGGTGGACGATGAGCTGGCGTGCAAGGTCTCCGAGGTCCTGTGGACGACCATCGCCAAGGCCTTCGAGTACAGCAACACCCACAAAGAGACCATCCCCGCGGATCGAAGCCTGCTGGACTTTCTCCAGGAAGAGGTCGACAAGACCGATCTCAGCGCCGAAGAGAAAGCCCTCTGCATCGAAACCAGCAGGTTGTGGGGCGCGTACGTCGGCGATCCCATCGAACGACAGAGTCTGAAGTTCTTCTGCCTGGAGGAATGCATCGATGGCAGTAAGTCATTCCCCCCCCACCCTTCCTCGTCCTGTACTGACCACCCCAACCCAGACAACTACTTCGTGGCCTCCACATACAAGGACATCCTCAAGCACGTCGCTCGGGCTGCCCTCCAGCACGCCGACATCCGCTTCCACCAGCCCGTCGTGAAGATCGAATCCGACTCGCGACCCGATCTCCAATCCGCCGGCAAAGTCACCCTGACCACCGCAGGCGGCGAGTCCTTCCAGTTCGACGAAGTGGTGGTGACCTGTCCCCTCGGCTGGCTGAAACGCAACAAGGCATCCTTCTCGCCCTCCCTCCCTTCGCGTCTCCTGCAAGCCATCGACAGCATCTCCTACGGCCGCCTGGAGAAAGTGTACGTGACCTTCCCCCGCGCCTTCTGGCACGCCGACCCCAAACCCGAGACAACATCAAAACCCTCCAGCTTCGAGAACCCGACCTTCACCCAGTTCCTCAACCCGGACTATACCCCCCACCCCGACAACATCCTCTGGAACCAAGAATGCATCTCCCTGGCCGCCCTCCCCGCTTCCTGCGCCCACCCCACCCTCCTCTTCTACACCTTCGGCCCCTGCGCCACCTACCTCGTCTCCCAACTCGCCCACCTGCCCCCCTCCCCCTCCCCAGAATACACCTCCTTCCTCGACAACTTCCTCCGCCCCTTCTACTCCCGTCTCCACGGCTACAACCCCTCCAACCCAGACTGCCAACCTCTCGCCTTTGCCGCCACAACATGGCAAAATGACCCCTACGCCGGAAACGGCTCCTACTGCAATTTCCAGGTCGGGCTCACCCACGGAGACCGCGACATCGAGGTCCTCCGCGCCGGGCTTGGCCCGGACCGCGGCGTCTGGTTTGCGGGCGAACATACCGCGCCGTTTGTTGCGCTGGGGACCACCACCGGTGCGTATTGGAGTGGGGAGCGCGCTGCCGGCCAGATCTGTGCGTTGTATGGCCTGGGGAGGTTGGGCATTGGGTTGGAGAGGGATGATTCGTTGCCGTCTGCATTGCCGAAGGGGCTTTTGTAATGCCTTTTCCTTCCTTCCTTCCTTCCTTCCTTCCTTCCTTCCTTTCTGTATCTCTTTGACCGGCCGTCTCTTTTGCCTCTCTCCCCCCTCCCTGTCCCCTGCGTTTGTCTTTTATGTGTTGCTGTTGGATATGGAGTTGGAGATGGAGATGTGTTTCTTTAGATGTGATTTCTTTTTGAAGGATAAAGGGGGGGGGGGGGAGAGGGAAGAGGGATTGTTATGCATCGCTTTGCTTGGAGAGAAGAAGGTATATACGTTTCTGTACGCATGTGTGTGATGGTTCCCTTTCATTTCCTATCCTTTACCCTTCTTTTGGAGGTATATAAATTTCTTCTAAGATGTGTCTGGCTTGCTACATTTTGCGTTGCTTCAATGTGTCTACATACTTGCTTGCTGTATTGTCTGAAAGATAACTTGAGACATTTGCTGCATGGCGTTGAAGATCTCCATTCGAGCTGCATCTACAGGTATATGAAGTATGAGTATGAGTATGAGTTTGAGTTTTCATTTCATTTCGGGCAAGATGTCTAATTGTTTCTTCATCTTGGTCTTGGTTTGGAAGACATCCATGTGCGTATGTATCTACGGATCGCATCGCCGGATACAGATAAAGGAGACTGGTTACACCCTTGCTAAGCATATATGATTTGCAGTATCGCACACCTGTTGAACAGTATTTACACACACACCGGTCCGCTGGGAACAGGCGCGGGATGTCGCATCCACAAGGTAGGTAGGTAAGTAGTACAGGAGCAAAACACACAAGACCGACCCATAAGTGCAAGACGCAGAGCATAGACAGGTAAGTAGTAAAATAAGACACGAAAGTAAAACCAGCGAGAGGGGGAGGGGGGGAGATCAGATGGCGGTATCAGGATCAAACAAATGCTGGATGAGTCCCCCCCCCCCCCCCCGTGCGTGCATCAAGCAAAAGCACCATGCGCCGTGCCGGAAAACCCAAGATATGTAGGTAGGTAGGAAACTTGACTGGGGAGTATCGACGAGCCTGCGCCATCCTCATTCTCTCCCGAGCAAGATCTAACGGCAAATGACCGCATCGCAGTGAACACAAAAACCAGGAGAAAGAAACGTGGGTATTTCCGAGCGGACGCCAGATACAGAGCGACAAAGTGCAACGAAGAACATATGATTCGGACTCTCTCTTTCCCCCTTCGCAAAATGGGGTTGATTGGCTACAGTGAACCACGCGTATAGTGTTTGTGTTGGTGCCTTATGTGTAAGCCGAGTTGGTTGGTCGCGACGCGATGACGGGGAGATGGTGATGCTTCATGCCCATCCATACCGCTGCATCGATCAGTCTTCCCAGATCGTTTCCAGATCCAGATCCTGACGTCGCTCGGCTCCACAGACACTCCAACGCTTCCGTTTATCGGCTCGGGCCCCATAGCCCCCTGCACCGGGTCGCAGGGTCGTCAGGCCGTTGGCCGGCCCCGACAAGTCGGACGCCCCGCGCCGGCGGTTTCCACCGCTAGCTGCCTCAGCTTCATCCGCTTTGTCTGCGGCGGCTTCCAACGCCGCGATCCGGTCCGCTTCAATGGCTGCGGCTTCCGCGTCGGGGATGTCGGGGATTGTTTCCAGGGACGAAATGCTGGGGCTGCGGGATCGAAGGCTCGTGGGTGTCGACGGGATGGAGGATGTCGAGGACGCCGAGTAGCTCGGGTAGGATTCGTTGAATCTGGTATTGAGCACCACGGGGGAGGAATGCGCGGAGGGACTGCCCATCGGCTGGCTGGACGAGCTGGGCGGCTGGAAGTGCAGGGGGGACGACGGCCGTCGACGCGCGGCCCGGGGGAGGGTGTGCGAGAAGACGGGGGAGGCCGGGCGGTAGTCGGCGTGGGATGGAGGGGAGGCCATTGTGGTATCCAGTTCCGCGTGCTCTGCGATGGTTTCCGACACGTTCAGGGGCATCATCCTGGGCTCGAGGCTGTCCCCGGTATTTACCTGCAAGGGCAAGTAGCGCCTAGCCGCAGGATCCGCGGGGGTGGTCGGAGCCCCGCGACCATTGACGAAGATATATCTCCCCCGCGAGTCCAGCCCCGGCGAGGAGTGAGCGCGCGTCATGGCGGGAATGCCTGGGACCTCGATCATGGATCGCGACCGAAAGTGGGAGCGGGAGAAGGGGAGGCGAGTCGGGGTCTGGACGGGCGGGACAGGGCCCGGGGTGAGAGACAGGGTGATCATGACGTTGTCGCTGCATTTCGCCTCTTGGGGGGGTTCTGCGGACGCGGCCGAGTCGAGGGAATCGGTCGAGCCGGCGCGACTGGGGGGAAGCATAATGCCCTCGGGGGGTGGATGTGACGCTTCCATATCTGTCTGCAAACAGGGGAGTCGGATTAAACCGGCCGCATGCTGATGCGTTGATGAGGTCTCCAGTGGACGATGACCACAGGTTGCAAGTTGGACTGGACCAGGAAGTGTCACTGTACCGAATGCGCGTCGGATTTGGATCCGGGCTGGGGGGAGGGGGGGACGGGGGGCGGTAGAGTGGAGAAGAGGAGGGCGGCGCTCAGGGGGCGGTAGTCAGCGAGAAGGATAAAATTTCCTCGCCGTCTGGTTGATAGGCGCTGGATGTTGCTGCAACCTAAGCCCAAGGTAGCAAGTGGGGGAGGGGAGGAATGGAGGGGAGAGAATGGAGAGGGAGAAGGAGAGTGGGAGAGGAGGGCGGAGGGAGGAGAGGAAAGAAGGAAGGGAAAGTTGAGTGGTGAGGTCAAGAGTCCGAAACGAAAGGTTCGATCGATCGGCGCCGACACGAGGGAGAAGCTGCCCCAGGCCCACTCGGGCACCTGACTTCTGCTACTGTTACTTGCGCCTCACCAACTCTCCTCCCTCCTCTGCCTCTGCCTCTGCCTCTGCCTCACGCTCTCGCTCCTCCACCCACTCCAACCCACTCCGACCACTGAGTCGTTCTCCCTCGCTCTCCCCTCCCCTGATTGTCATCCCGTCCCCTCCTCAGCTGCCGGAATAGCCCCCCCCCCCACCCCAAGAACCAAACACCCGATCATGACGCCGGAACGGTCCCAACGCGTCATCTTGCGAGAGAGACTGGCTTCTAGAGATCCCTGTCCCTGGGAAACCAGCGACAAGGGGCAAGGACGGCAACTGCATCAACAAGACTGATGCGTGCCCGTGGCCAAAAGTCTGGGCCGGCCCAGACATCGCGAACGCTTCCAGAACCACCGCACTAATGTACGGCAGGCTGCATGTCGATGGACATGGCCCTGCTGAGCCACCCGGACGCTCCGCCCTTCGGCCTCGCCGTGGCAACAGATCGAGGGCTCTCCTGAACACCATGCGTGTAGCAATTTCAATTCTACCGACCTTGTGTCGCCGGACAGACGGACATTCCCGGTGCTTCACCCCGAAACTCAGGATCAATCTAGACCCATACTCTCATTATAATTATCTCCCAAATCTATTACAGAACTTCAAGTATGCGGACATGGCTGCATGGTATCGTGCCATCCGAAAAGCCAAAGAATATACTACCACCTCCGGTGCCTCCATCGCTTGAAGGCACCGAAGAACAGCCGGCAAAAGGAAAATAGGAAACAAGCGTGTGCTAGATCAAACAAGGTCAACGAAAATCACATAAAAGAGCGTATCTTCGGGTCGGCGGAAGGAGCGGAGAAAAATGAAAAACCGTGACAACGATCTCAGTGGTGGCTGTCATCGTGGCAGATTGTCGTCTCCTTCTTTCGCACGTATACTTCTCGCACAATGTCGCCGGCATAGTCCTTGATTTCCCAGTGACCAATGCCATACCGTTCGGGAGCCCTCCTAACCCCGCGCCCACCACCGCCAATGATCAGGTTGCCGGGGCGATAGTTGGGGTTGACCTGCATGCGACGGAGAGCGGAGACATGGATCTGAGCGTCGTCAGGGATGTCGCGCACCTCGCCACAAGGCAGCGGCCACCGGATCGGTTTCCACGAGCCGTCCTTCTGCAAATCCATTCGTCGAAACGGGAGGTACTCCATCACCCTCCATGAGAGGACGGAGAGAGCCGTCAGTCCGTTGCCAAAGGACAGACAGTCGTGCAGCGAACCCTCGGTGCTCGAACACAGCAGTGCCTCCCGGAAACGCCGACTGGACCCGGAGGCGTCCTTTCTGGACTCATCGCCGGCCAGTCGGTACGTGTGCTGGCTTTCATCCCCGTAGTCGTGAATCGAATCCCGGCAGAAATCGTGGCGGTTCCAGTGCTCGCGGATAGGGGAGTAGTCCCCATCGAATTCCTCGGCGCATTCGAATTGTTTAAGTTTCCGGGGTTCGAACTGCAGCCCGGCCTTCTTCGCCTCCTGGACCATCCACACCAACGGGGCGTGGCTCAAGGGCCAGTCCTCGCCTTCGGCGAGTTTCCAACCCCCTCCAATGTCGGCATGGCCGCCGGGGAACCAGACTTCTTGAATATCCTGCCTGGTTTCCTCGTCATCCTCTTCCAGGTGACTGGCTGTTCCTGGAGCCTGAAGAGACAGCTGCCCTGATTGCCCGCTCCGGATGGAATTCAGGTCCTCAGTAGACCTAGTGGGAATAGGAACGGAGAAGCCAATCTTCTGGTCGGGCACCGTCAGATTCGATGCCCGGTACCGGGGGCCGGCATGGAGGTCTTCATGCGAGCCATTATCACTGCGGTAAACAGACTCGGTCTCCGGGTCGTGTCTGGCGGGGTGGTTGGCAGGAGGATCCGCGTTATCCACATCGTCACTGTTGACCTGCAGCACGGGCACGGTGCCATTCCCATACCGTTCCATGGGGTGCCGGAGTTGGTGCAGGTACTGTCGTCCCCGGTCCCGCTTCTTCTCGTGCCATGGTTTCGCCTCAGAGATCAAATCCTGGCGGAACTTGGCCCGCCGTTCGTCGATGCCCACGGCGTGTCGGATGACTCGAGCGGAGCTGCGGGCAGTGTATGGGAACTTGCTTCGTTGCATCCATGCGGACTCGAACCGGGGCACACTGTTGACCGTATCGAACAGGCCCATGAACCGGATCCGGCTGATCGGTCGGCTGAACGTTTCGCGGAAGGCTTTCATGTAGCGAAATAGGCGCTTCTTTTCCTCGCGTTCTTCATCGTTGTCCCCGCGGCGCCGCTGCCACTTCGCGAACGTCTTCCACGCAAATCGGATCAGCTCCTCGTTTCCGGCCTCGAGTAAGCCGATGAAATCGAGCATCTCCGCCAGGAAACGCGCAATGTAGGCGCCCCGGGAGAAACCGATGAAATAGATGTCGTCCCCTGTTTGGTAGTATCGCATCAGGAACTTGTAGCCGCCCATGACATGCTCATCAAACGAGGAGCCGACCGCAGAGTCCTTGGCTTTCAAGTAGGCCGATTTGATCCTCTGGATGCGCCCATGGCTAGAAAGCGACGTGCTCGTCACATAGGTCCCGATGCCGGGCTGGTAGTAGTGGAACTGATGGGGCTTACTGCGATCGAGCATCTGCGATCACGACAGAGTGCATCAGGTGAGCAGAACCGGTCGTGGCAGGAGGGCCCCGTCGTGGAGGGCGGCTGGGATGTCACTCACCCGAAAGATCTTCAGGACATTGCTGTCGGACGAGTCGCCGCAGAATTTGTTCCCGGTGCCGTCGAAGCACAGTACAAAGTGTTTCGGCCCAGGCGCGGGGCCAAAGGGTGTCGGGGTGGCATCCATGGTCTTCTCTAGAGGCAGGACAGATAATCACGATGCAGGTTGCTCGGTCGCTGTCCGCCCACGGGGTGGAAGAAGCTGGTCCGTCGGCCTAGGGAGCCGTAGTCTCAGGATTCAGCGGGCGGATATACCGATGGTCGCAGCGCAGTACAAGCGGGTTATGCAAGAAAGACAAAGCCCGTGGCCCTAAGTATGTTGTGGCCCCTCCGCCAGAGACGGGCACGGGGATGCTGTGACACCCCCTCAAAGTCAGGATTTGAGTTCCTGCAGCCTCGGATTCTCGCCTGCGGTACTCCGTACGTCAAGGTCGAATCCCCTGGGTGGAGCAGGAGGAAGGTGGTTGGTGGATGCCGTGCGCCAGCCGACATTCCTCGCCCAGGTCCTGTCGGGGAGGTTCGTGAGGGCGAGGGGAAGCCCGTCGCGATCCCACCTTTGCTTTTTTCCCTTCCCAGTTCCCTCCCCCTCGTGCCCCCCCCCCCCCCCTGCCCGCCGTCAGCTGCGGTTCCAGCGGCCAAGGTTGCTCATGCATGCTTAGTGGGAGTCTCACGAGCACTACGACCCAGTCGAGTCCGCCCGGGAGACCTGATGGCCGGACGCATGTCAAATTAAGAAACTGCAGCGATCCTGCACGTCCCAGAGGTGGGCTCAGGTGCCATGGAGTCTATCTCGGGCGACGGGGAGGGAAGATCCCAGCATGGCTCTTCATCTCCAGAGTACGGTAAATACGACCAGTGATGTGCCGTGGCGCGCGACACTCCAACGCCGACAGACGATCTTTGCCGACTATTTTCTCGGGTGGAGACATGAGCCGGTCCATACCGATATCGAACAGGACGCCTTACAATGCCAACCTGTTACGGCCCACGGGTGGCGGTCGGCCACTTTCATAGATAGGTACAGCGCCAGGACTTGCTTGTTTGTGTGCAATGGTGCATGCATTCTTATTTCCCGGAGACTCCAGGACCTCCAACCACGACGATGAAAGGGGGGTCCGGGAAGAATCCGGGCGAGCTTGGCAAGCAAGGGGTGGACTGGAGGATAGCAGGTACGGAGTACGAAATAGATCATACTAGTGCGTGAGAGGGGGGAGTGATTCCCCACCACCAGGGCGGAACCCAGAGGCCGAAGGACCAAGAGGGCAAGGCGACAGGGATGGGAGATGGGATGGGGAAGCAAACAAGAAAGAGGCGGTTGAGACAGACCACAGCACAGGCACGCCCCCACCCAGCCATACCCAAGTACTAGATAGCATACGACCTGTGCGGTGCATGGTATGGCCACCTACCTACCTAGTATATAGGATGATGCGTCGAGCTACCCACTATTTACCCATGTAGGGAGGGACGTACGTGTAGCAATCAATGTACGGCGTCCTGTGTACGGTACGTGATTGGGTCCTCCGTCCTATCAGCCAGGCTTAGTGAGAGAGGGCTGTTCGCAGAAAGTGCAAAATCTGCCGACGACGGGACCAGCAGCCCGTGCAACCTGGGAGACTGGAATAATGAGATGGCAGTGGGTTGCCCCTAGCGAGTACGGATTGGGGGGGGACCAAAGCGTGAAGATTGACTGGAAAAAGTCAAAGCCTGAGGCTTTCCGCCGAAGAGACGAGGCAGGGTCGGCGGCCTGAGGTGTCGTCCGGCAGTGGGGCGCTTGACGGCGGGCTGGAGCCTGGGGCCGCCAGGCCGACGAACCACTCGGACGCTCCCGATCGTCTTCCCGTGGAAAGCCCGGCGGCCTCTTCCCTCTTCCCTCTTCCCTCTTCCACCCACCCATATCGACTGACTATCGAGTTGGCCCCCCCCCTGCAGAGGCTGAACTGCCCATCTTATGCCCAGGGCTTGCTGCAACTTTCGCTCATCGCTTGGCCCAGACCAAGTCATCCCTTAGCCGGTTTCCCAACCAGCCAGCCACCGGTTTCAGCACTCAGCTCCCCCCCCCTGGCCCCCGATCGGCCTGGACGGTGGGCTGGAGGGACTGGGAGAAGCCCCCCTTGGAGGAAGACGAGGAGGAGGGGAGAGAGAATAAGCATGGACCTCATACGTTCCTCCCTTTCGGCTTTTTTTCCCTTTCTCACACGACCGACTTGCTGACGCTGAAAGTTACGGTGAACTTTGAAGAATTCAGACTTTGAGACCCCCCCCCCCCCCAATTCCTCGTCAGATCGATCGGGACGGCTATCGATGGGGCAGTATCTAAGTAGTCGCTTGTGTGACGAGCACCAAGCTTGGAATGGCGGATCCACCCATGAAGATCTCCCCCCCCCAGCCATCCAGCTCCCTGTCCACCGCCCAGAGTCCCATAATAATAAATAATACTACCCACTATTCTATCCCACACCACGTCGTGCCACGGCCACCAGAAGACGGAATGCCCAATTCGTAGTAGCCAAAGGCTTACCCAGGCTCAAGGCAGTCCCATGATGCAGAAGGTAAACTCGCTACGTGCTGTTGGCCTCGTCCAAGATTATATTCTCCGACCAGCAGAACGAAAGATGGATGGCGCGGCAGGGATTGATCCCAGGTAGGCAAGCATGCAGTAACTCGTCGCCTGCATTATGGAGCCCCCGCGCAGAACACCCGCCAGTAACAGAGCCGAACCTACGAATGCTCGCCAAAGTTAAATGAGGATGATGATCCATCCCATCCATCGTCATCCCGTGTTGCGAACGCGTGGGTACCCTACCTACGGTCTGTCCCCGATTGGACTCCGCCGAAATCGCTCGCGCGAGGATGGACGCCAGGACGGAGGCCTCTCTCTTCCCGCCGGGTGGAATCCTGGCGCTATGGCCAACCCAGTCACTCAAGGGAACCCTCCAAGTCACGACACGACGTCTTGCGGTCGCAGGGAGAATGAGCGAGGGCGGACCGGGCCAATCTGAAGGTGGATTACCCGGTGAGCCTGCCTAGCGTGAGAGAGGGTCCGCAGTGTGGGCCCTCCGCTAGTCTTGAACTGGGATGTCAGGTTCTCAAGCCTCCGTCGACAATCGACAATCGACCCGAGGTGCGCATGAGTGTGTGAGAGCATCGCGCCTTCTGATTATTGAGCTCGACGGCTCCACTGCGCAGGTCGACAGTGGAAAAAAAAAAGATGAAAATATACAGAGTACGGAGGACTGCGTATCGGTGTATCCATTTTGGTATCTCGCTCCGTGCTGGGTCCATTGCAATGCCGTCCTGCAATTGGCATCTTGGAGCCGAAGTGGGGACAACCCTTTCCAGTCCCAGCGCCATGGGGCCGTTCCCTCGCCTGAAGATTATTGCTGGGGTCTCGCCACGGTAAGTATCGACCTATACCGAAGTAGGCTAACTCTGCTCACGGCCATCACACCCCGGTTGATCGGCGCTGCTGAGGCCATTGAGTGCTCAGGAGCTGAGATCGTACTTTCAGGTCTCTGTTCGGTGGTCCGCTATCCCATTGAGCAAGCTGGACCAAGCATGTGCATGTGCCAGGTGGCGACCACATCTGCATCTATCCCTACTCTTTGCCAACGCCTCCCTCGCCTCCGGGATTTGGGGGTACATGCAGGCAGTAATGCACATCACGGCCTTGATCCTGCATCTATCGGCGTAGACAGATTGGCTGATATCACAGGCCATCTTGGACGGCTGAACCACGTTGCCCCCCCCCCCCCCCCCGCCCCTTTACACATTACTCGGTCAAACCGATGATCTGCACCCTTCCGGAGCAAAAGTTCAGCTCACCCAGGCGCCTGCCTAGCTTTGCGGGGCTGGATCGATAGATCAGTGACATCTTCGATACGGTACGGGTGCTAGTCGCCGTACAGGCGGCGGTCCTTAATCGGATTATTACAATTGTCGTCATGGGGATTCGATAGCTAGTATCCACAGGCTGGCTCGCACGGTTGGTAACTCGATATGCCCCATGCACAGTCTGCCTTCAAACCCTATTCTTCCGACGGATCGCAAGCTGGTGGATTTGCTGTTGCTCACCACCCCTTCCTTATCTCTCTTTGCGACCGCTGCCCTCCTCCATCTTCTGTCCCCATACTCCGTACCATTGCCTTGTTCACATTCCTTTAAAACTTATCCGGTTTAACTTAATCATAATGTTGCGCAGGTTTTCTTCGACGTTCAAGAAGTCGAAGGGCGACCCCAAAGCGGACAGCGACCCGAAGCCGAATGGCGCGCAGGTGAACGGGCAGAGGCGCCAGTCGAAGGTGCCGACCCAGAAGCCTTTGCCCGAACAAAGTCATAGCGATCGCAATGACAAGAGCGACGATGGCGTGCCGGTGTTTGAGAAGTATGCGCAGGTGTTGCACGCTTCGCGACGGCCTTTGCCGAACCAGACGGGGGATGGTACCTACCTAGAGCATGAGCACCCGGGTAGCCTACTCGGGGATCTCAAGTCTTTGGGCTTCAAGGATGTCGGTACGATGAAGGACTTGATCAAGACGAAGGCCAAGGGAGAATACATTGACGACAAGACCATGCTCATGGAGCGGATCATCCAAGTAAGATTCCCAGCTCTGGGATAGTTTCTCTTTGCGACATGCTAACAGACTTCGCTCTCAGCTCGTCAGTGGACTCCCCAGTAACTCAAAGACTCGCACCGATCTTACCAACGCATTCCTGGACGAGCTATGGGGCTCATTGCCCCACCCGCCTCTCTCGTGAGTGGACGTGGAGTAATCAAATGGAGGATAAGTCATTCTAACGCTGTCGCTAGATTTATGGGAGAAGAGTTCGCCTATCGCTCAGCCGATGGTTCTAACAACAACCCCACCCTTCCATGGCTGGGAGCTGCTAACACGCCGTATGCGCGCTCGATTGCCCCGTTGACGATTCAGCCTGGGGGTCTTCCGGATGCAGGCCTAGTGTTCGATTGTGTTTTCGCGCGCCAGAAGTTCAACCCTCACCCAAACAAAGTCTCCAGTCTGTTCTTTGACTGGGCGTCTCTAGTTATTCACGGTTTGGACCCCGCCGAACACACGGCGGCGTATTGCTAACACAGAGTAGATATTTTCCAGACCGACTACAGAGCTCCTCATGTCAACAAGACATCTGCCTACCTTGACCTTTCCATCCTGTACGGTGATAACCAGGAGGACCAAGACCTGGTCCGAACCTTCAAGGATGGAAAACTCAAGCCCGACACATTTTCGGAGCAGCGACTCCAGGCTTTCCCTCCGGCGTGCTCCGTCATGATGGTCATGCTGAGCCGATTCCATAACTACGCAGTGGAAGAGCTTGCAGCCATTAACGAGAACGGTCGCTTCAACAAGCCCCGTCCCGGCCTCTCCGAAGAAGAAACCAAAAAGGCCTGGGTCAAGTATGACAACGATCTGTTCCAGACCGGACGACTGTGTGCATACCACCATCCCCGAGTCTTCAGAGACTAACAGATTACAGGGTTACGTGTGGTCTCTTTATCAATATCACTCTGTATGATTATCTGCGTACCATCATCAACATGAACAGAAGCAACAGCACCTGGTGCTTGGTAAGTTTGGAGCCGGGGCATTGGATAGGTCCGAGTCTAACAAGAAACAGGATCCCAGAGCGCAGATGGAGGGCGGAAAGGCCACTCCTTCCGGTCTCGGTAACCAGTGCTCCGTGGAGTTCAACCTCGCGTATCGCTGGCATTCTGCTATCAGTGCCAATGATGAGAAATGGACCGAGGAGGTCTACGAAAAGCTCATGGGAAAGCCTGCTGCGGAGGTTTCCATGATGGAGCTGTTGAAGGGAATGGCTAGATACGAGCAAGAAATTCCCAAAGATCCTTCCAAGCGCACATTCGCCGATCTCAAGCGCCAGGAAGATGGAACCTTCAAGGACGAGGACCTGGTGACTATCCTGGTCAATGCGATTGAAGATGTTGCGAGTAAGTTCGACCCCATGAACGAAAGATAATGGATTGCTGACGGTTGTAGGTTCTTTCGGTGCACGGAACGTGCCAAAGGTCCTGCGGTCTGTCGAGATCCTGGGCATCGAGCAGAGTCGGAAATGGAATGTGGGCTCCCTCAACGAGTTCCGGAAGTTCTTTGACTTGAAGCCATACGAGACTTTCGAGGAAATTAACTCTGACCCTGAGGTCGCTGACGCGCTCCGTCACCTGTACGAGCACCCGGATTACGTCGAACTCTACCCCGGTATTGTGGCGGAGGAGGCCAAGGAGCCCATGATTCCTGGTGTCGGTATTGCCCCGACCTACACGATCTCCCGAGCGGTGCTCTCGGATGCTGTTGCACTTGTCCGTGGTGACAGACACTATACCGTGAGTCTCCCCCGCTGTTTGCTAGGTTCTGTCGCTAACGTGGATTCAGATCGACTACAACCCCCGGAACCTCACGAACTGGGGTTACAATGAGGTTCGCTATGATCTCAACACCAACCAGGGATGTGTGTTCTACAAGCTTGCGACACGGGCCTTCCCGCAGTGGTTCAAGTCGGACTCGATCTACGCGCATTACCCGATGACCATCCCGAGCGAGAACAAGGTCATCATGAAGAACCTGGGTCGCGAATCTGACTATTCTTATGATCGACCGACTTATACCGAGCCCACAGCCAATCTCCTGTCTTATCCTAATGTGAAGTTGGCTCTTGACAACCACAAGGAGTTCCGCATGCTTTGGGGCGGTATCGCCCCGCTTCATGCTGGCAAGGGGGGAAGCGATTTCTGGAGCCGGTCATTCGATAACGACCAGTGGCGGAAGAATCTGAAGGACTTCTACGAAGACGCCACCTTGAAGCTGCTCCGCGAGAAGTCGTGTACTCTGGCAGGCATCAAGCAGGTCGATATTGCAAGGGATGTTGGAAACCTGGCCCCCGTGCATTTCGTATCGAAGTTCTTCTCCCTGCCCTTGAAGACCAACAGCAACCCCCGAGGTGTCTTCACCGAGCACGAAATGTTCATGATCATGGCGGTTGTCTTTACCTCTACCTTCTTTGATGTTGACCCGTCCAAGTCCTTCCAGCTCCACCACGCGGCACGCGCTGTCGCTCAGGAGTTGGGCCGGATTGTGGAAGGCCACGTCAAATCTATCAGCTCGCCAAGCTTCCTCTCCAGTCTCATCGACAGCTTCCGCGATGACCACAATGCACTGAAGGACTACGGAGACCAGCTCATCAAGCGCCTCTTGGAGAGTGGTCTGGGAGTGTCCGATGTTACCTGGGGCCAGGTCATGCCGGCGGCCGTTGAGATTGTTCACAGCCAGAGCCAGATGGTAATTCCGGACAGTACTCCCTCTTGTCTCACCCGGCTAATGCTTCCATAGTTCACCCAAGTCATCAACTACTACTTGAATGAGGGGAGGCAGTATCTTCCGGGAGTCAATCTCGCCGCCAAGGAGGACACCGAAGAGGCCAACGACAAGCTCTCTCGCTACTGCTTGGAAGCCATCCGTCTGAATGGAAACCTTGGAACTTTCCGCGTGTCTCAAAACGACGTGTGGATATCCGATGAAAGCGGCGACCACGAAATCAAGGCTGGCGAGAAGGTGTTTGTTGGCTCGGTAGGTTACGTGATACCCCCTGCATCAATACATTGCTAACTCTCCCCAGGTCAAGGCCAATCGGGACCCGACGGCCTTCCCGTCGCCCAACGAAGTTCGCCTGGACCGTCCCCTGGCGTCCTACCTCAACTTCGGCACCGGCCGCGAGAGCGGGCTGGGCAAGGAAGCCAATCTGATTGCGGTGACCGCGATGGTCCGGGTTGTCGCCCGTCTGGACAATCTCCGCCCTGCTCTTGGGGCCCAGGGTGTCTTGAAGAAGATCCCTCAGCCGGAGGGATACTCGTTGTACCTGCGGGAGGACTACGGAAGCTTCTCCCCCTGCCCAACCAGTGAGTGCCCCGTTGTCTCGTTCATCCAGTCTTGCAGTTGCTAACCCGGATCTCGCGACAGCCTGGAAGCTCCACTACAACGGCGACGTGCCCGCCCCCAAGCGGCAGGTCACCACCGTTTGAGATGTGTATGACTCGAAACCATTCGTTTAGCCGAGACCATCGGTGTGATGTGTCTGTTTTTCTTTGAGATATCCTTGTCGCTTTATGAGAGAGTGATCTCTTCCGGTGTACTCGCTACTGTTCGATAATCCCATTTGTTACATCATGTAGTCCCAGCGTATTCTTCTGGTCAATTGCAATCCGTTCCTGGCTACGCCAGACTGTAGACTCGGAATTCGGGAATGACATTATGGCAGATCCGTAAGTCTTCCTTAGCGCAGGGCAGGGTGATAAGCCGTCTTGATCGGACATGCACAGGTACCCCCCATTCAGACACCGTCGACTGCTCAAAACACCCTTGCAGGCCATCCCCGTCCCCAGAGGTATATCGAAAACCCCCGTACAAGCTATCGACTGACACATAATCAAGCACATGGAAATTCACACTGCCATTCCAGATCCACATTCCACGGCCGCAGCCTACAGTGCGCATCACCCGATATCCAATTTCATGTCGAGAAAATGGGGGCTCGTTTGACCATCTGGCTGAAGACCTGGAGGGCGGTTTCGGGTTCTATATATATACGTTGGTATCGATTAGCCAGGCAGTCAGCCTCGTTACGCCCAAATAGAACGAATCTCCGACACGACACCGATAGAAAGACCGAAGCGAAAAGACCTACGATAATACGGCACCTCATGCCCAGCCTCGAACACACGCAGGAAGGTGAAGTTCCCGGCCGACTTGTACTCGCCCCTGCCCACGCCGTCCACCGTGTACGACTGCAACGGGGCCCGGCGGAAGGCGTCCTGCTGCGAGAAGTTGACCGCGTTGGCGACGGCTTGCACCCCGAACCAGTTGCAGATCCAGTCGGCGTCGCCTGCCCATAGCAGCACGTTGATCCCCGTTTGGACGACGTCGGAGAGGGCGGGGAGGAAGCTGCGGGCGTCTGTCATTTATTTATTCATTCATTAATATCATCGGTTATCATCAGATATAGGGACTAGGGGTATTGGGGAGGAAACGAGAGCCGGGGGGGGGGAGGAATCATACTATCTCCCGTATACGCGAACTTGTCAAACACACCCTGCGGACACTCCTGGTACGTTGAGCGTGCCCCAATGGCGTTCCTGACCGTCTGGTTGTGGAGATAAACCGAGTACGTCGACGGGGGGTCCGGATCGTCCGCGGGCCTGCGGATATCGTAGACGTCGAAATCGCCCGACGCAACGAGAGGGTCATCGACGACGGCGGCGCAGATGGCATCGGCCTCGCGGCAGGCCTCGTCCGTCGCGGACGCGGTGCAGTTGTCCAGCGCGGGCGAGCAGTACCGCCGGTAGTTGGCGCCGTAGTCGACCGCCGCGGTCACGTTGATCAGCGCCCGGTAGCTGTTCAGCAGCGAGTACGTGATGTACGAATATTCCTGCGTGCTCGAGTCGAACCACCCGTTGTTAATCCCGAGGGAGACCAGCTGGATGGGTTCCCCGGTTAGGGTTTGGGAGGCGATGGCCCTGTTTTGCGCCTGGATGTATTTCGCGAATGCGGGGCCGTAGTGTCCACCATATGACTGATCCGGCGTTATTTCTCTTGGGTATGATGGAAGAGGAGAGAGTTGAGTCACGAAGGGGAGAAGAGAGAAGAGATACCTCCGTGAATAGGTGAAACTCCCGGCTTTCGTACTCCGGGAAGTGCGTGTAGAAGGCCTGCAGCAACTTCCAGACATACGGGGCGGCGGACACGGTGCTGTCGACGGGGTCGTTGCCGAAGGAGAAGCCCACCCCGATGGGCTGGTCGATGTAGAGCATGTTGGAGTGGTTGTTCCAGCTGTACGGGTTAAGCGACGGGGTGGTCTCGTTGTGGACGAAGCGACAGGGGCCGTTCTCCTGGAACAGGCCGATCATGGACGAGCAGCCTGGGCCTCCGTTGAGCCAGGCCGTCAGGGGGGCCGTCTCGGGGTTCTGGCGGGCTTCGAAGAACCTGATGCCGTTCAGACCCTAGATATTGGGATTGGCGAAGGGAGGGAAACACACCAGAAGAACATGTTCATGTCCTCGCCCACGGAGAGATAGCCGGAATACTGCCTCACCCCCGGAGTGGTCTCGCAGATGCCCGAGTTCGCGACGATCTCCAGCGACGAGTTGGTGGCTGCATGCTCGTAGACGGTGTAGTTGATGCCGTGCTTGACTACGGATGAGACGGCATCCCGGTGGATATGATCCGAGCCATGCGTTACGGCCTGGACGGCCACGGAGGCTGGCAGCAGCCAGGAGAGGGAGGGCTTCATGGCGGGCGTGCACAACACCCGGGGACTGAAGTGGGGGCCATGGGCCCATGGCTATATAGGGCCGAGGAAGGAGACGACAGATGTCCTATTCGAATGTCCGTCAATAGCCAGGCTGATTGAATCCGGCCAAGGAGTGAGAGACGGGAGGGACGCCACGGGGATTGGGCTGGTGGTGCTCTTTGTTGGCATTCCGGATGTGGTGACAATGACTTATATTAGGGCAGCCGTCGAGGGTGACATCCGCACGCCTTCCCGCAGGAGATGGCAGGGACTGACGAGGGACAGGAAATACACCGGCGTGTGACTTCAGTCGGATGATGCTGACTGACACCTGACAGCTTGTGTCTTGTCTGGCAGTGATGCGTGACGGGGGGTGGGAATGTGCCTTGCCTTTTTGGTTGGGGGTGCATCTGATTATCCGCATGAAGAATCTTTCGGGTGGGTCTTCCATTGCACTCACCAGGCCATGCTTCATCCGATATTTGAGGTTATTCATGGGGCAGATGCATAGCCAACAATGCCAAGCGACTTCATTGATCTATCTGCGAGACGATACAAGGGAGGTCGTGACAGAAACACACGAATTCGACAAACAGAACGGCAGAGTAATAAGACTAGACTATCAGCCACTTTATCAGGTTTTGTGTTTCCTTGACCCATCGCGAACAGCAGAAGACACCACAGAAGACACAAGAACAGGAACGCAAGCCCGAGACCTTGAGACCAAGTCATCAATTTTCGTGTTTCCCTATCGCATTATTGAGTTTCAACAGCAAAAGACACATCGAGCGCAAAACACAACCCCAAGTCATCCACACCACATTATTGATATTTTCCTGTTCGTAATCCCCCAAGAACACCAGAAGAACATCAAACGCAATCACAATCCCCGATTTTCGGCATATCCAAGCAGAGTAGGATGCCCAACAGCGTCAGCAGCAGCCATGCCACCCACGGATGGTCCGTCTACTCCTCAACCTCCCGTCCAAAGACCCGCTTGACACAATCGACCAAATCCTGACGATCCACCACAAAGTCAGGAGGAAGGCCGCACATCATCGGATCGACATCAAACAGCGCCTGGGTATAGAAGCGAAGCGGCTCCCCGTACGCGCGGGTCTTGCCGATGGTGATGCGACGGGCACAGTACGGCTTCTGGTCGAGCGGCGACTGCCTGGCGAGGGGGGGCATGGCGGCGAGGGCGTGGAACCGATCGGCCTCGGGGACGCGAGGGCCCTGGGCATCGGGCTGCGCGAGCTGCCACTGCTCCACATGGAGATCCTGCGTGGGCTCGTCGACCAACAGCAGCAGCACGGTCCGGACCCCCCCACGCGAGTGCGCAAACCACCACCGCACCTCGTGCTGCAGTTTCTTGCGGCAGCCCTCGAGCCCGGCCTCGATCACCAGGGTGGGCCACTGGCCGGGGACCGGGTGGCCGTGCGAGATGCGACTGGCCGGGTACCAGCACAGGTCGGGATGCTTGACCGAGTCGGCAGTCGGCTGGAAGGCCGCGTCGGAGAGCGCCCGGCCTGCTGCGGCGTTGGCGCATCCATGATGGAGCGGCTGGCGGAGGATCTCTTGGAGGAACAGCTTCGGGGCGATGACCTGCGACGCCGTGGAGAGGACCTTCACCAGCCCGGTGGTGCCCTCGTACATGACGCGGCAGTCGCCCGGCAGGAGGTTGCTCGCCAGCAGGCTCTTGTCGTGGGCCGTGAGTCCCTCGATCACGATGAACTGGTTGCAGTTGCGAGGGTAGGTCTGGCGTCGCATGGCGGCCATCAGGGCCTCGAGGCGGCGGAGGGTCGACCAGGCGAAGTGCTGGGGGGCGACGGTGCCGTCCGGCTGGATGTCGCGCGAGGCCGAACAGTGGAGGACATGATGGTCCCAGGGCACGCCCTCCAGCAGGTTGCGCTTCTGGACCTGGCCGGCTTCGAGGAAGGACCCTTCGTCCTCGAGCTTGCTTTCGAGCTTGGCCAATGATTCGGACATGATGAAGATGAACCGTCAAGTTGAGGAAGATCAACCGCTAGGATGAAGAAAGGGAGAGATGGGCGAGGAGAGAGGAGGAGAGAGGAGGAGAGAGGAGGAGAGAGGAGGGGAGGAGGGCATTTATAGATGAGAAGGGGGTCGGTCTTCTTCGAGGGCGTGAATCAGGGTTCACAGGATTCACGACGCTGGCCGTCAGAGTGATATCGCGGGGAAACAGGAAACAGGAGGGCAACCGTGGCTCTGGGATCAAACTGCAATCCGGCAGATTGAGTGTCCAGTAGGATCCATCAGAGAGATACAGTGACCGTCTATCAAAGGTATCAAAGGTGGTGAGTGACTGACTTGATTCCCCTCCAACCAGGCTGACTATGGCATCTGACATCATGATAGAATCGAAAGCCAGGAACAGTGGAAGAGTGCACGATACACGGCAGCCTAGAATATCAGAGCCACCTGGACCGGCCATCGAAACCGCACCTTCACCTCACACTTCTACCATTCACCCACAGGGATATATCTGGTACCTGGTATTGCTTGGTCGGTGATAACTTTACTTTTCCCCTATTCCCTAACATTCTGTCGGTCGTTCCAAATCCATCATCCCGCACATCAGAGCTCTACTCTCTGGTAGTGCCACTTATCCTCGCCCTTGATTTCCCCTTCACTTTCAAGTCAACGAGTTGTATATCGCGTGATTAGAAAATATACTGGATTAATTTCTCCCCCCCCCCCCCCATCCCCCCCAAGGCTATCAACAATCTTTTACTACATAGCCCCCCCACAGTCACAGGTAGAGAGTATACAAAATATTCCATATCTCCCGGAGGCAGTAGATATATAGTATCATAAACCCTCGAGTATTTCTCTAGGATGCTCGCACCTCTCCCGCATCCCTCTTCCGTGGGAGGAGGTGAATGTTAACAGTTAGAAGTCAGTCAGGGTTTGCCCCCACTACTCAGCCTGCAACCCCCATCTTTTGACTCGCCCAATAACAACAGGATCAATAGGTCAAGAGATAGATACGGTCTGTCTGTCTGCCTGTCTGACCACAATAGCCCTCACCTCCCCTGGAAGCCTTCTAATCTTCTGATTATCGCCGGCAACAGCCGATCCACGGCCCGCCAGATGGGCGACGAGCCCGGATACTCCCACGTCGCCCCGACATAAAAGGTGTTGCGGTGGCCCTGCAGCCCGTTCAACCGATCATAGAACCGGCCCTCGATCGCCTCGCGACTGACCGACATCTCGAACGGGCTGTGGTCCGCAAACGCCACAAACCGGGGCTCTTCGTCGTCCTGCCTCTCCCTCCCCAGCACGCGCAGGATATCCTCCCCCACGGCCTGCTGCACCTCCTCCGCGGACCTGGGCTCCTCGCTGACGTAGCTGACCGTCACGATGTCCGGCACCGCCGTTGCCGCGACCGAGAAGGTACAGGGCAGCCGGGGGAGGCCGTAGGGGGTGTGGGCGCCGCGGTTGAGGAGCTGCAGCCCCGAGGGGTAATGGGGGACGCGGACCAGGCCCACGTAGTAGTGGCCGTTGAGGAAGTGCCCGAAGAGCGTCGCCTCGTGGGCGTCCAGGTCGAAGCCCTCCAGCACCGGTCCCTTGGGGGGCACCGCCAGGATGGTCAGCGCGGCCTGGACCGTGACGACCTGCTCGTCCTCCGTCTGCACCGTCAGCTCATGGCCCTGGCCCTGGCCCTGGCCCTGGCCCTCATCCCCCGTCCGAGACGCTGCCACCACAACGCTCCGCAGCAACACATCCCCGCCCAGTAGCCTCAACGCGGCCTGATACAGCTCACTGCTGCCATGCCCCGAGGCCTGCAGGAACCCCTGCCGCAGCGAGGTCACCAGATCCAGCGACATGAACTTCAGCAGATACACGGCGGGATAGTCGAGCCAGGAGCGCACGCCCTGGGTGTACAGGCTGATGGTCTCCATGACGGGCCCGAGGTCGTATTTCTTCGCGAGCTGCCCAAACGACATGAGCAGGTCCTCGGGGATGTCATCAGGCAGGTTCCATCCCTCCGCCAGGTAGGGATGCCGCTGCAGCACGGCCGTGTATCTGGCCAGCGCCTCGGAGGCGTTGCCCGGGTTGGGGGCGACCGACTCGCCCGTGCGGAAGTCGATGCGCTGGAGGATCCCCCCGACCGGCATGCTGCGCGAGAGGGACACGTTCAGCTGGGCGAAGAAGTCGACCGTCTCGCTCGAGTCCTGGAACAGGGCGACCCCGAAGTCGATGGGCGTGCCGCTGCCCGGGTCGATGTACGTGTTCGTGTGGCCGCCCAGTCGGCCCTTCGCCTCGATCACCACCACGCTGATGTTCTGCTGCCGGAGGCGCATCGCCGTGTATACCCCGGAGGCACCGCCGCCGATGATGCACACATCGCGGCTGATCGTCTCGGGGGGGCGGGCCTGACTGGTGACGTGGGAAGGGCAGAGCGGTGCGAGGAAGAGGGAGAGGAAGAGGAAGCGGAAGAAGAGGCGGGCGGTGGGGACTGTCATGGGGGAGCGCATGATGCCGTGGTGGGTTAGGGGGATGCTGTAGGGATTCGGTCGATGGCAGGCCCTCCCCTCCGTCCCTATAAATACAGATCCGTGCGACGTGGAGGGAGGTGGGCTCAGGTTACCTCTGCAGTGGCCAGAAGACCGGATCCTGGTTGACCAGCCACACGACGGGTCCCTCCAGGTCAGGTAGCATGGGCTATCCCGGCTGTGCGAGCATCATTTGGAGCTGGGACTGGTCCAGGTGGTCGAGGTGGTGGAGGGGGGGGGGCAATTGGGGCACGGCTCGGTGAGTATAGAGTCTAGGGTTGTACCAGGCAGAGGAGGAGATTCGGGTAAACGGCACTCGCTGTTCACAGTATGAGCCACTGACTATACAACTATACACGATACACTATACACTATACACCATACACTATACATTGCCCTCGCGCCCCCGTTACCATGTCCTCGACACGACGGCGCTCTCGCCAATCCCTCTCCCCCGGTCCAGCAGCGTTCCACCCGATGGGAAGTCGCCTACGCGCACTTGCCGCTGACACAAGTGAGGCTGCCCGAGCAGTCGTTCTCGTTCTCGCAGGAGGCCCCTGGGGATGTGACGTTAGTGTAACCGTGTGTGCACCACCCGAGGACGGAGTCTTACCGGCACAGTGGCCCGCCCAGGAGCAGATGGATGAGGACGAGCCGGAGCTGGAGCAGTAGCTCGACGCGTCGGCGTTGCTGTAGGTGTCGGAGGTGTGGCAAGTGTCATCTGAGAACAGGGCAGCGGCTACCCTTCGTCAGTACGACGGACACAGGCTCGGGCAAGAGGGACGTACCGTTGACGGTGTAGGTGCTTGCCGGGTTGACAATCACGGACTGGGATGCACTCGGGGTCAACGCATCCTCGCACCTGATCTGCGTTTCACCGCCGTTGACGGTGCTGGAGCCCGTCCAGACGTCGATGTGATGCTTGCCCTCCTTGTAGTCCGTGGCTGACTGGCTTAGCATGGCTTGGCTTATGAGAGGTGGAGGGCCCATATGGACATACTGCACTGCTCACAGACGTCCTCGAGCCGGAGGTATTTGCGCAGGTAAGGGAGATAGATGATCTCGCACTTCTCGAACTCGCCCGGCGCGGTGGCAAAGGTCAGGGGGTCGTCGTACGTGCCGGTGCCTGAGTTGAGGGGGGGGGGGGGGGTTAGTGGTCTGGCTCGAAGGGAGGCTGGGCCAGGACATACCCCCGGCAATGTAGTCACGGCCACCACAGTTATACGCCGTCTCCGCACTGGCAGGGTCGTTGTCAGGGTATCCGTAGAAAGTGATCTCGTAGTCCGTCTCGACCGTGCAGCTGGCGGCGACGGCGGACGCGAGGCCGAGAAGGGCCAGACCTTTGCGCAGGGTGAAGTTCATTGTGTATGGAGGGTGCGCTGGCGAGTCTGTCTGTGTTTCGGGTCAAAGAGCTGAGGGAGCTGGCTGTTTATATGGTAATGAATCTGCGGGCCATCCGTCCTCTTCCCGGTCTCGTGTGGCCGGAGCCCCCAGGGCTGAATCGTGAAATGGGCATTTGCCATGCGATGCTGCATGGGGCTGGTTTCAAAGTGAGTCCACGGAATCCTTCCAGGAGGATTCCCTGATCTGTACCTCTCTGCGCGGCTATTCCAGCCGATCCTCACCTTCTGGGGGGAATGTGACCTCCCCGGATGACATCTCACCTCGCACCCACCGGAAGGATACTCGTTCGCCATGCACGCAGCACACAATATATTGCGCTCATTGAATGGCCAACCCAATCCTCTCACCGCGACGCTGGTGGAAAGTTACCCGACACCAGACAAAGTGCGAAAGGGGATCGATCGGGGACGAGATTTGGGGGCCAAATCGGATCCGATCCCAACCCTAGCTGGCCCCCGTTGACTTCCGCCTATATGGCGTTTGGCCCCATTCCAGGGCTATTTTTGTCGAGTTCCTGCCTTGGTATGGCCGGGTCCGTGGTTCCTTGCCCAGGAACCGTCGTTCAATCCGATTAGGTCGTGTTCCTGCATGATCGGCCATGCTTGCCCTCCAACCCCCACATGCCTTTCCTGGCTTATCTCTGCGGATTGACCAAGGATGCCTCGGGACTCTTTATCCTGCCGCGGTCTTTCATTCACTCTGGTGTCGACAGAATGTGCCCGCAATGGGGCCGGATAAAGCAAGATCCGGCTCAGCACTCAAGTCAGCAGCATCAGGCTAAGTGGCTAGTGGCATTGGTGTCTAAGACATTGTTCCTCGGACTAGGAATGGAAGCAGGTGAGAATAGCCGACAGCCAATTGGTGTGTTGGAAGGTGATGTCTGCTGCCTAACGTGTAGAAGGGGTTTGCCATGTCCCAATCATGGATTCGTTCTTGGTGCCTACAATATCCCATGGAGATTCGGCGGGGGGGCAATGTGATGCCCTGATAGACAAAGCAAGGGCAAAGCAAGTCCTTCGTGGAGAAGGCTTGTATATGGAATTGTGCCTACATCAACGGCAACATTGATTTCGTCATAATGGAGATTGTTTTATTATGAATAGAAAGCTGTACCAATGAAGTAATCAGATCTTCAAATGTCTTTTCGATCTCAGGCCACACATATCTCTTTCTAGCCAGAAAAAAAAAAAACATCAGTTTGGAACCGACTTCCGCCCACAGCAGGGCATCCAACTCTGCAACGACCGCTGAAACACCGTCTCGATGGCCCGACAGTTCAACACCTCCGGCGCATCCTGCAGCGCCCGTCGCATGTTATCCCGGCCATACTCGGGCATGTGCTCCCACACCTCCCAGCGTGTCTTCTGGTCAAACACCCGTTCGCGCAACATCGGCGTCAGCGGCTGCATGGAGTCGCCCACGCGCCCCGACAGCGCGTCCACCCATTGGTCGTACGGGATGGCGCGCATCTGGTAGGGAGACAGCTCGTTCAGCAGCTCGAAGCTGCCGTTCGTGCTGATGGCGTCGTCCAGATGCGGGTGGACCAGGTTGTAGGCGTGGCCCAGGCTGCTCAGCTTCGTGGAGATGTGCAGCATCGCGTCCACGACGAAGTCCACCGGCACGAACTCCTTCCGCTGCCCGGGGAGAATCGGATACAGGCCCATGTCCATGCAGGTCATGAACAGCCGCGAGATGAAGTCGTCCGGGTTGCAGATGCCCGACTCGCCCAGCACGAACCCCGGCCGGTAGATTGCGATGGGGAGGCCCTGGTCGATGGCGGCCCAGACGAGGCCCTCCGCCACGTACTGGCTCTGCGAGTAGCCCATGTCGTAGGGCAACGCCGCGACATGCGCCGCCGGACGCTCGTCCTCCGGCAGCAGCTTCGCGCCCGTGACGTACCCGGTCGGCCCGTACGAGGTGATGGTCGACGAGTAGTGCAGGGCCTTGGGGCGCCGGTGGGTGCAGAAGTCCAGGATGTGGACGGTGCCCAGCACGTTGGGCTGTCGGTGCGAGGCATACGGGGCGACGTAGCTGACCTTGGCTCCCAGATGGAACACCACGCTGGACCACTCGGCATACGCGTCATACTCCTCGGGGGACAGGCCCAGCTGGGCCTGGTCGAGGTGGCCCGGCAGCGCGATCACCTTGGCCATGTCGGCAGAGAGGCTGTACTTGTGCAGGGCTTCCTCCAGACGACGTCGCGCCGAGGGCTCGTCCTCCGCGCGCACCAGACAGGCCACCTTCTCGACATCTGAGCGGCGAGCCAGGGCCGCCAGGAGGAAGATCCCCACGAAGCCGGTCGCGCCGGTCAGGAAGATGCGTCCCTCGTCCGGCCAGTTCGGGACGGTGCCCTCGATCGGCCGCAGATGCTGCCCCAGGGTGGAGTCTTGCAGCCACGCCTGCTGCTCTTCCTGGATGGCCCGGTCGTCGCCGTTCGCCTGGAGATCAGTCACCAGATGCGTGAGCTGGTCGAAGCTGGTGTTCTCGTACAGCTGCTGCGATCGCAGGGAGACGCCGAAGGCCTCGTGGATGCGGGGGATCATCGTGGCCGCCATCAGGGAAGTCCCCCCCATGGCGACGAAGTCGTCCTTCGCCTTCAGATGGTCGACGGGGAGGCCGAAGGCCGTGATCCAGATGCGCTCGAGTCGGGAGGCGACGTCGCCTGGCTCGTCCGCGCCGTTGCCCTGGAATGGGGGGGCCTCGTCCGCCTGGTCACCCTTCGGCTGCGACCGCTTGAGTCGCTCGCGATACCGTTGCTCCAGCGTCTTTCGATCGGCCTTGCCCGTGGGCTGGAGGGGCAGCACGTCGATCAGCTCCAGGCGAGGCACCATCAGGTGAGGCGCCTGCTCCATGTACGACTTCAGGATGACCCCTGCGGAGATATCGGGAGAGGACGGCACGCAGTAGGCCAGCAGGAACTCGCCTCGATCGAATTCTTCCGGTTTGATCTTGACGACCACGGCAGCACTGACGAGGCTGGTCTTGAGCAGCGTGGACTCCAGGGCCTCGAGCTCGACCCGTTGCCCGCGGACTTTGATCTGGTTGTCCTTCCGTCCGAGGAAGTGGTAAAGGCCCGCCTCGTCCACGCGCATCAGATCTCCCGTGCGATACATGGGCGTCTTCCGACCCAGCTGGGGCACCTTGACGAAGCTCTGGGCTGTCTTCTCTGGCTCCCCGATGTAGCCTCCGGCCACGCAGACACCGGATATCAGGAGCTCGCCAGCCTCGCCAGGCTGGACAGGGCTCAGGTTGTCATCGACGAGGAACACATCCACGTAGTCAAAGGGCCGACCGACGGGGATTTCGCCCTTCCGGGCGTCCTCCTCCGAGACCTCGTGGTACATCATATAGACGCTGGCTTCCGTCGGGCCGTACGCATTGATGATACGCCCCGGGGCCCCCGCATCGAAGATGGACTGAATCGACCGGCAGTTGATCGCTTCGCCACCCGTGACCAGTACATCCAGAGTGGAGAGCGCGCCCGGGCAGGCGTGAGCCATGATGGCGAGGATGGAGGTTGGAAGCTGCAGGAGGTTGAGCTCCTTCTCGGTGATGAAGGAACCCAGGGCAGTTGGGTCGAGCACGACGTCCATCGGGATGACCACCATCGTCGCTCCGTTCAGCAACGATCCCCAGATATCGAGGACGCACACATCGAAGATGATATTGCATGCATGGCCCACCCGCTGCCCTTTCCGGATCACCTGCCTGGGGTCGAGGCAGAGGCTGATGACCCCCTCTGCGAAGCCCTCCACCGCTTTGGGCTCGCCGGTCGTCCCGGAGGTGTGGAACACAAAGGAACGCGCGCGTGGCCCGTTCCGAGAAGGGGAGAGGACCGACTCTGGATCTGGAATCATCCGGTGGTCGACGACGAGGTGCCGGAGTGACGGCAGCCGGTGCTGCTGTCTGACATCCGTGACGACGAGGCTGGTTCCGAGCTTTTGCAGCATCCGAGTCAACATCTCGTCGGGGAGTCTGTTATCCAGCGGAACACACGCCCGGCCGGAGTATATCACGGCGACCTGTGACACAACATGGTCCAGGCTGCGAGGGGCGATGATCCCAACCGGGGCCGATTCTCCCTGGCTGAGGCTGTTGATCTGGTCACCCAGGAAAAGTGCCTTTCGATCGAGTTCGGCATAGGTGAGTTGATACCGGCCATGTTCAACGGCCACGGTCGAGCCACAGACCTCGGCCTGCTGATGAAGGCGTTCAGCAAGGCCCAGGTCTGCGTCTGGGTTGGCTTTATCGGTATTCAGAAATGGGGACATGATCGAGTTGTGAGTTGAACAGGGACCGCACCACAGCGGCAGATGCGGCGAATATATCGTCAATCTGCTTGGCCTTGCCCGGTCCACAAAACCTGCTTCGGACTCGGAAGAACTGCAGTATGAAGTCAAATTCGGCCAGCTGACGCTTCGGCAGTGCATATCATTCTTGGTCTGCGTGGCCCCTGCCGCGGCAGGAATAATTGTCGCAAGACCTGCTGCCCCAAGAGGCATGATGGGCGCGCATTTAGCTTTCCTGCGCATCGGGACCCTTCTTCCAGCCACTATGCTTGTTCTGACAGGTACCCACCCTGATGGTTTAGACGTGCCAAGAACGGGTCTGGGGCAACAGGTCAGGCTGAGCCCGATAGAACGGTCAAAGCGCATACAGAAGGGTAAAATGGTCCCTCGGGGTCTCATGGGCGATGCAATTAGTGCCTGGGTCTGGGTGCGCCCTGACGTCAATTGGCGTTGGTATGGTGTTGATCCCCTCCGATGTAAACTCTGCACTTGAGTCGCACTGACCGTCTCGGGTATGAGACGTATGACAGATAAGCTTAGACCATCAAGATGCAGATCATGGAGAATGATCCGCGTCGGACCGTGGGGAAGCTCCTATCGTGTTGGAGATGCCGGTGGCGGATGATGCAAGTCCATGCACTGGATGCTTCGAACTCTATCCCGAACCTGGCAGCTAGCTGCAAGGCAACTCAATCTTGGAGCTTAATCTCAACGCCGATGGTAGATCTATCCTCGGACCCCTTCCATAATCAACACCACAGTGGGTAGTGCGCTGGTTGGTGGTGTAGAAAGCCGAAGTGCTCTGGACCATGGACCGTCACTGCCACTGACTGCCAGCAATCGATAGAAACATGATTGTTGCCCTACCCAGCCCCAAAGGTTCCTGGAGTCTAATCGCCCGGAACCGGTTTGATGCCATCGGCCAGCTCGTCAGGAACATCCAGAGGGTCTGGAGTGTCCCCTGCTGAGACTATGACTAGTCCTTCCCCAGGTCCCTGGGCGAAGAGGTTCTCCGTTTGCCTCAGTGGGCCGAGCATCTCCTGCGACGGAAAAAGATCTCCCCTGCACCATGTCCAGCCACGCTGAACTCCGCAGATCAATCCTTCGACAATGGTAAACGGTCATTGTACTGTGCATCACACGCATGCGCGGATCGACCGCGAAGACGGCATTGAATCTACCGGGCCAAATGAGCATGTCTCCGCGGAAGGTGATCGCCGTGAACAGTGTGGTGTCACTGGTGGGGGAATCTCCCCATGATATTCTGGCAACGAGGGCATTCGACCCATGAGTATACGCGGCGTCCAGCAGCTGACCCACCTCAGGTGTCCAGGGAACCGCCGTCACTCTCTCCCTTCTCAAGAGCCACCATGGCTTTGTTGTGCGGGCGCTCACTCGCTCCCCACAGTCCGAGAAATCGAAGGAGCTGGCCTGTCTCGGCGCAGAGGTTGTCCAGACGCATGGGTTCCATGACGAGGCCATGGCCAAAGCCTTCTCCGGCGTTTGGGGCTTCTGGCTCAACACACACCACCAGGACCCGGTCAGTAGATCACGGACGAGGCTTGAGTGGGATAAAGGGCTGCAGCTGGAGCGGACCATCAGCATGGAGGAGTACTTTGTCGAGCGCTACGGGGGATGACCTCCTTCGATGTCTCTACCCAGTTCCGTCGTCAGGAAGCAAATGAGATCCTGATTAAGACAGTTTTCCCAACACTCGCCTGATTGTCGAATGTAGCCCTGGTAATTCCCACCCATCTTGCCGTCTCGGGGCACACCCATTGTAGTCGAGTGCGTTGGCTGCAGCGTTCACACGTAGCAGTCACCTCCAATCCAACCACTTGCTAGAATGAAATTCCAGACCAGAAGTTTCAGATGCCCTGTACGGTCAAGATCGTTGCAGTGGATTCCATTCATCATCCTCGACCCTCCCCCTGGGCAACTGGGGCAGCCCGATCGAGAATGTGACCCTGAACGAGAACTCCATCTTGACCCTCATGGCGAATGGCAGCGCGCAGGCCGATCCCATCCGGTTCCTGTCGCAGGTGCGAGTGGTATCGGATGGTGAGACGAACACTTGTCCAGAGTGACAGGATCTTCATTCACTGACACCCCCAGCAGGCACAGTGACAGCCATCCAGAACGCATCCACCGTCGGCGACCTCTTCTTCGACACGGAGACCTCCTTTCGCTACGCCACGCGACCGGACTGGGAGGCTGCACTCGGATCGAAACTGGAGGCAGCTGTCAGCTCTGGCTATGCCACCGTCAAAGCCAACGCGAGCGCCGACTACGCAGCCCTATTCCAGCGCGTCGACCTCGACTGGGGTTCATCTCCCCACCGACACGCGCCTGGTAGTCTACCGCAGTAACCCTAACGCCGGACCCCCCCGGCCTACCTGCAGGGCCTCTGGAACCAGAACTACGACCCGGCCTGGGGCGGCGGATACACCCTCGGCGTCAATCTGGAGATGAAGTATTGGCCGGCCCAGGTCACCAACCTGCCCGAGACCTTTCCCTCCCCCGTTCATCGACCTCATGGACGTCATCCACACCCACGGCCGCTGCGAAGGCCTTCTTGGACTGGCACATCACGCACGGCAGTGGTGATACGGGGTGGGGTGGTCGCGGACGTGGACGATGAACCTGTAGGCGCGGCCGTTCGACGGCGACCAGGTGTGGAACCACACACGGATCTACTTACCTGCAGACGTTTCCCAGTCCGAATCTGTGGAACACGGATTCCGGACCGGACACGGGTGTTCCAGATCGATGGCAACTTCGGGTTTGTGTCGGGCATCGCCGAGATGTTGCTGCAGAGTTATGTCAAGGGGCTGGTAGCCAGGGGGAACTTCGTGGTGGATATCCGCTGGGAAGGGGGTGGGGGTTGGAGATTCGAGTCCAGGGGGGAGAGCAGTTTACGGTCAATGGGGAGACATATACAGGCCGGATTGACGCGGTGGTCGGGGAGGTGAATACGGTGGCTCTTGCCACGTAGGCAGGCTGCTGCCAGAGTTTGGCAATCGGTATCACAACGCTTGCAATCACTGTCGGAAATTATATACACTCTTCATCCCAGTCCATCTACACTGCCACCTCCATGAACCCCCCCGAGCTCTTCACCTCATTATGCGAAAAGCAGATCCCCATGAACTTGACCATCTCGGCCGCTACACTCCCGTCAGTATCCAATCAAACCCGCAAAAGATCAAAACTCACGAGTTATCCGCTTCGCGGTGGTGTCGTTCTCGTCGACCCCGTTGTTCCGGGTATACTCCAGCACCAGATCGACGCGCGGCCGCCGGGCCTGCTCGTATAGGGCCAGCCGGGAGGGGATGTCTGCTGGAGAGGTCCCGAGGGGGAGCATCACCGCCAGCGAGACCGCGTCTTCGATGGCCATGGCGCCGCCTTGGCCCATATCTGTCTTCTGTCAGTCTCTCCGTCTCTCTCTCTCTCTGGATTGTGGGTAGGGAACAAACAAGGTTGGAAAGGGTGAGCAGCATCGCCCAAAACAGCAGCCCGTCCGCGCACCCACGACGGGAGGGACTTCATATCGAACAACTCCCACACTTTGAGATCGTCCTTGGCGCGATCCGCCAGCTCGCGCACTTCGGGTCCGAAGCTGGAGAAGCCCGCTACCAGGGCGTCTTTGCTGCCGGATGCTTGCCAGCCTGGGATGGTTAGTATATGGGTATCTGAGGGGGGGAAGGGGCATGGGTGGATCGGTGGATGGGAGTGGAGGAGACATACCCTCTGCGGCAGCCCCTGCTTCCGTCGTCGGGAGAAAGGCACACAGGTTGAACATGCTGTTGTCCGAGCAGGGATACGCCACCAGACGGCGATCGGCCCCGGCCCACTCGATGAACACGCCCGGGTCACGCACGATGTCCTGCGTGGCGGGCAGATGGCGCAGCTCCTCGGTGGGGAGCAGCCAGCGGAAGCAGGACTTGCCGGCGGGGAAAGGGGGAGGGGGGTTCTGTCCGATTTCGCTGCGGACGATGGACTAGTCTGTCCGTTAGTGGTGGTGCTTGGGAATCTTCAAGGAGAGTTCAGGGTGAGCGAGCATGAGGGGGTGTGAAGGAGAGAGATGGAGAGATGGAGAGATAGGGAAGGTTCGTACATGCAGTCCGTCGGCACCGAGGAGGACATCAGCCTCGAAGCGGTCACCGGTGTCGAGGGTCACGGACGGACGGGGGCTGGTGATATCCATGGCGACGATCCTGCAGCCCATGTGCAGGGTGGCCGTCTGCAGGGCACGCTGCTTGAGGTGGTTGTGCAGGTCGACGCGATGGACGAGGTACCATTCGGCCTGCCATTTCTGGCGGATCTCGGAGAAATCCTTGTGGTACTTGAGGTTGCCCAGGTGGTCGTAGCGATTGATCTGCAGGAGTGAGTCCCGGTACACTATTTTTTTTTATTTTGGGCAAGGCTATCCCATGCATTGCATAGGCAGGGAGTGTACCTGCTCCAGCAACGTCCCCCCAAACTCCTTCGGGTCAATGTCCAGCCAGTTCAGCAGCGCCGTGCAGTTGGGAGGCACATGGATAGCCGCTCCGGCCTCGCGGGAGAAGGTGGATTTTTCCAGGATCTGTTGATCAGCCGCCGTTCGAGAGAGGAGAAGGGCGAGAGGCGTCACTATACCACGACATGATGGCCCTGCTTGCCCAGGGCAATGGCGGCCGTGAGACCCCCGATGCCCGCCCCCACGATCAGGACCTGCAGCGGTCGGACTTCAGGCGCGACGACGGTCATTGTGATGTTGATGCGGCTTGTCGTGTTGGGTTCTGGGTTCTTCTTCTTTGACCATGGAGGCCGACGGCTTTTAATCTGCAACGGGAGCGTCAGGGGAGAGAGAGACCGAGAGACCGAGAGGACGAGATGAGGGTGGCCGGGGATGCCCTCGGGGAATTCCTCGGAGATAAGCGATCCGTCGGGTTTCGCAGATGAAGATTGAGGGAGGTGGAATGAAATAGTTAGTTATCCCTCCCTCTCCACTTCCTGTCGATCCCTGCTCGATTCGAGTCTGCAGACGCAGCACGGCTTCGTCACTCGGATCGGTCGGGTCGTGGCCTTGAAGCCATTCCTTTCCTCGATCTGGCTTCCACCACCACCACCACCCCGAAGTAGATACTAGAGGCAGTCCGTAGGGTTTGCTCCACACTGACCGCAATGTTTCATGTTTCATCTCCCAGGAATAATCCCTCAACGCCAAGACGATGAGGGATTTCCGTTCGCTCGTCCGGTCAGCACGGCGCCCTCCCAGGACGGATGATGGGCCGATCCGTTCCCGAGGGCTTCCTGGTGGTGGTGGTGGTGGTGGTGGTGGTGGTGCCCTGCAGATGACATCTGATAAGAGGCTGTCCGACCAACACTGGCCGTTCTACGGCAGGGATTATTGCTGCAGGCTACTAGTTTATTCACGGCTGAATGGGCTCGGGTTTGGTCCAATCCGAAGTGTCGACGCTGCTCGAGAATATATACCCGGCAACCCTAATGTGGCTTTATTCACTTGGCCACTTAGTTCAACCTGCACGAGGCCGAATGATACTTGCATGCAAAAGTCTCATTAAATAAATGAAGTCATGTGTCGTTATCTACAGACCTTTCGAGTCACGGTATCTCACAGCTTGGTAAGCCTCTGTCATCCGAGCCGGATTCAGTTGGACACATGGCCGCATCCCCACCCGTCAGACGTGGTATTCTCACCCCTATACAGATTCTCCGAAGGCATTTGTTCGAACACAATCCACACCATGGTCAGCCAGCAGCCACCCTTAGGTCCCTATACCCGGTCATTGCCGACAGAGACAAGTACACATCCGCACCCAGCATCCATCCAAATCGAGAAGCAGGGGTCATCACATCGGAAATCATGACTTTTCGTAAGCATAACCCGAAATCTATCCGTCCATCGTCGTCGATCCGCTCAACCCCCCCCCCCCCCCCCCCACGCAATCATGTGTCATGAACAAACAGAGCCAGACTTGGAGGAGGAGCACCCTCAGGTAACGTGGTCTTTCTCCTCCTCCTGGGGAATGCGCACCCAGGTGACCGTGATAAACGCCGCCACGAGCTGGCATCCCAGGGCGAACCACCAGATGGCCCGCGGCCCTTGCAGCCCGACACTGCCGTCCGCCTGCGTGTCGACGCGCGTGCCGATCGCATCGGCCAGGCTGGTGATGATGGCGGATGACAGGTTCTGATTCGTCACCAGCAGACTGCCGGCGCTGCCCTGGAAGGAGCGTGCCACCGTGCCCGTGATGAAGATGGAGGCGGCGGCGAAGGCCAGGTCCGGGCCGAAGGTGACCAGCGAGATGCCCGGCAGCGACAGTTCCCAGTACGGCGTGCCGGCGGACTGGGGCAGGAAGAAGGCCGGGCCCATGGTGAAGGCCAACATGGAGACGGTGTAAATGTAGTGGCCCGGCACCAGATGGAGGGTCCGACTGACCACCCAGGTGGCGACCACCCCGAAGATGGCGTTGGGCAGATGGTACAGGGCGACATCGAGGGGGGAGGCGTGCTGGACGCGCAGCCAGAACTGGATGGCGTAGAACTGCCAGGCCCCGAAGTAGGAGCCGAAGCCCATGAAGTAGGCGATCATCAGCGGGGTGAAGCCCTTGGTCGCCCACAGCCGGGTGGGGATGAGCGGCCGGGGCACGGAGCGCTCCACGATGAAGAGCGCGAGCAGCAGCACGATGCCCACCCCCGTCAGCCCGCAGGTGTACCCGGACCAGTCCGTCACGCCGCCCTGCGTGAGGCCGAAGAGCAGGCACACGCAGCCCCCGATGGCCAGGGCCGCCCCCAGCCAGTCGAACTGCCGCAGCGAGGGCACCTCGCCCCCGGCCGTGTCGGCCACGGGGCGCAGCGGGGGGATGGAGACGTAGGCCCCGACGGCGCAGAGGGCGGCGATGAGGGCGTTGCAGCCGAAGATCCACGGGAGGTGATGGCAGAGCAGGCCGCCCTCGAGGGCGCCGAGGGAGAAGCCGAAGGGGGCACAGGCAGCCATGGCCGAGAAGACGCGGGTCTTGCGCACCCCCGGCTTGTACACGCGACCCAGGATGCTCATGCTGCCCGACACCAGCACCCCGATGGCCAGCCCCTGCATCGCGCGCACCACGAAGAAGAGCCCGTACCGCGATGGGGCGATCGAGAAGGCCCCGACGATGTTCCATCCACTCAGCCAGAGGAAGGCCCCGACCATGAGATACTTGGGCGGCGTCAGATCGGTCAGCGAGCCGGACACCACGACGGACAGCCCGTTGGCGACGTTGAACGAGCCGACGAGCCAGGGCAGCGAGGAGTTGGTGATGCCGAGGGCCTGGCGAAACTGCAGCTGCGGCGCCAGCACGTCGCCCAGCAGGAACGAGAACAGCATCAGCCCGGCCGAGCACACCATCACCAGCACGATCTCCGCCCCGAGGCTGCTGATCTCCGGCGGGCGGCCCTGCGTCTGACGGGGCGGGGGCGCGTCTTTCTCGGGGTCGTCGCCATCCTCCCGGGGGGCGGGAGGGAATTGATGGCTGCCGGGATGGGGGAAGGAGAAGGAGGAGCGCCGCGAGATCTGGACCGACTCGAGACCGGTCTGGGTCACTTGGATGCCGGCGACCTTTTCCTTGTCATGGTGGTCGGGGGTTGGGGATCGGGATGCATCCCGGGTCGGGTAGGGCTCGGAGGGCATCACGGCAAGGGACCTGACCTGGGAGAGCTGGGCGGCACGGGCATCTTGCTGGCTGCATGGGCCGGCAATTCCACTTATACGATGTCGGGATATGGTCTCCGGGGCCTGTGGTATCTATACTCTATAATAAGATCAGGCTCGCAGAAATGGGCAGCGACACAGCGGCCGGTTCAGGGCTAGCGAGAGAGATTTTTGACGGGGGTTTCCACCGCTAAGCCGGCGTCCCTCGCCGTGGTTTGCGCGTTGGCTCTGCCGGTGGATCCTCCTGATCCATGGTTGATTGATCCACGGCCGATCCTGTCAGTCGGATTTCGGTTTCCAGGCTGCTTATCTGGGATGGGATGCCTCTCTCACTGCGTGGTGGTGTTGCGAGTGATCGACAGGGTCTTCAGATCGTCATGGATGAGACGGAGGCAGGAGGCAACAGGGCTGGTGAAGACGGAAGCACCTGGGATCATATCACGTTCCAGTTATGAGATTCAATACCCAGAAGTGCCTTCCTTCCCTCCAAACCACGACCATGTCTCGCCGCCTATCAGGGTGAGATTCTCCACCATCTGTCCGCGACTGCACAACAGGTGATGCTGCATTCGGAAGGAGCTGTTCGACCGGACCGGTAGCTACTAGCTAGATAGATATGTCGGGAGCAATCTGGTTTTTTTTTTTTTTTTTTACTTCCGAATCATCAGGTTGCGTGGTTGAAGGGATCCCCTCCCGATGCTCCCCTGCCGCGGACAACAAACCCCCGCGCGGCCAGCGACTGGACTGTTGCCCCGCTAGTTGGTACTAGACGGCCTGCACTAGACTGCATTCACTGCTAGGAAGATTAGCCAGGTTAGTAAGATTAGCAAGATTAGCAAGATTAGCAAGATTAGCAAGATTAGCAAGCCGAGTCCGAGTCAGAGTCCGAGGAAGCCCCTCTTTGTCTTGTGGACAGCTAGATATCTAACTATCTCCTCTGTTCCCTCTTCCACCCTCCCCACCTCCAAACCTAAGCCCTACTTCTCCCCCCCCCCAAATCCCGCTCATCATGTCCTCCCTCGAAGCCATCGGCATCCTCTCCATCGGCGAGATGGGCCTGGGAATTGCCCAGTTGCTCATCGCCCACAACTACCGCGTGCTGACCTATGCGTCCGATCGGAGGTGTGCCTCCCCTCTTCCCCTCTTCCTCTCATCTTGAGCCACCGCAATTCTGACTGAGATCCCTCCCCCCCCCCCAACAACAGCGAGGCCACGCAAAAACGGGCCTGGTCGGCAGGCATCGAACTGCGCCCCTCAATGCAAGACCTCGTCGACCAGAGCGACGTGCTGCTATCGATCGTCCCCCCACGCGATGCCCGCCTGACGGCCGAACGGGTCATCGCCGCCTCGTCCGCGCGCCCTGCCGTCCGCGACACCCCCCTCTGGTATGTCGACCTGAACGCCGTCTCGCCCCAGACGGCCCGCGAGATCGAGACCCTCTTCACCGCGGCGGGCTCGCATCTCCGCTTCATCGACGGCGGCATCGTCGGCGGTCCGCCCCGCGAGCTCCCCGCCGACGAGTCGCGCGATCAGCCCGCCTGGCACTGTCCCAGCCTGCTGGTCTCCGGGCCCGAGAAACTGCCCGATGACGTGCTGGCCCAGACGTTGAACATCAAGCATCTGGCGGATCGCATCGGCGTGGCGACCGGGCTGAAGATGTGCTTCGCGTCCTTGACCAAGGGGTTCTTCTCCCTCGCCATCCAGTCGTTTACCACGGCCCATGCGCTGGGGGTGTTGCCCGACCTGCGCGCCTTGATGGAGGAGTATAACCCCCAGGCGCTGAAGATGGCCGAGCGGGGCGTCGTGGGGATGCCCTCCAAGGCGTACCGCTGGGTCGGCGAGATGAAGGAGATCGGCGATACCTTCCGTGAGGACGGGGGGTTTGACAGTGATCTGTAAGTGGTGTGCTCGCCCCCCTGTGGGAGAGAGTGTGGGCTGATCAAGCAGGTTCTACGCGGTGGCGCAGGTCTACCAGTCGGTCGCGGACGACCCGGTGCTGGGCCTCGAGAAGCCCGGCGATCGCAAACGGGGGCAGACCGTCGAGGACGTGGTGGAGTGTCTCAACAAGAGCCTGAAGGTGAAGACGGAGTAGGATGCTGTGTGGTGGGGAGATATACGCATACGCCGGATGGCATGACTGGATGATATATGAATGAGTTCTGAGCAGTTTCCCATCATCTGTGGCGATAGTGCGTGCACAATATTCTGAGCGAGACTACCGATGAAATGGAAGATCAGTGTCATGGGGTCTGGAACCATGTCAATTCAGGACGACGAGGTGTAGATATCTTCAAGCTGCAAACGACTACAAAGGATATAAGTATACCCTACGTCTCAACACCCAACAGCGAATCATATAAAATTCATCAAACCAGAACACCCAACGCCTCCCCATCCATCATCAGACCATCCACATATCCCTTCTCGACTACCAACAGACATAAGTTAACTCTTGTGCACCCATCCCCCAGCTACGCCTTCACATCCTCCACATGGCTCGATCCTCCCCTCTCCCCCTCCTCCCCTTTCCCCTCCGGTTTGTCCACCTCGTTCGCCTCCACCCCGGGGATGCGCGCGTTCGGGTCCTCCCGGTCCCAGTCCTTGTTCAGCTGGTTAAGGGGCATGAGGATGAGGGTCAGGGTGAGGCAGAAGATCACCTATTGATGACTGTTAGTATCGACCCTACTCGCATCGGGACCACGTCCTCGCGGGAGGAGAAGGAGACGAGAGAGAGAGAGAGAGAGAGAGAGAGGAAAGAGAAAGACTGACGATGCCCACCAGGATCATCTGCGTCCGCGCATAGTTCGGAGTCCCATCCGCGGTCGGAAACCTCTCGCCCAGACTCGTCTCGATCGTGGGCGCAATGGACGACACCGCATTGCCGATGTTATACGCCACGCCCGTAAAGGCCGCGCGGATGCCCGGGTGCGGACACAACTGCTGCAGCATATTGCCCAGATTGCCGATCGCCGCGCCGTAGAAGAACTGCAGGAAGAAGGCGCCCAGGGCGAGCAGGTTCCAGCTCGTGGGCAGCACCCACAGCGGCAGCCAGGGGGCGATGAGGAGGCCCGAGACGAGGGCCACCCATTTGGCGCTGAACTTGTGCGCGAGGAACCCCCCCACCACGCCGCCGAGGATGCCGCCGATCTGCAGGATGCAGGTCACGTAGGTCTCCTGGTGGATGTTCAGCTTGCGTTGGGTGACCAGGAAGGTCGGGTACAGGTCCATCGTGCCGTGGCCCATGGTGGCCAGGCACGAGGTCAGGCAGCACGCGTAGATGAACGCCTTGTAGTGGTAGCGCAGCACGTAGGTCACCTTCTTGAGGAAGGGGAGGTTGCCACCCACGGCAGCCCGGGCATCCGGGGCACTGTCGCCGCCATGCTCCTCGTCGTGGCGCGCAGTGGCGACGGTGTAGTGGGGGGTCAGGGCATGGACGATCAGCACGGGCACCGTCAGTCCGGCACACACCCAGAACAGGGAGCGCCAGCCATAGGGGTCTGCGTCAGACGGTCAGACAGAGCGAGACACAATGCAGAAGGAAGGGGCACTTACTCATCCCCAGATGCAGCCCCGAGGCAAACAGGTAGCCCGCGGAGAAGCCCTGCTGGGTGAAGCCGGCCACCACGCCGCGGGCCCTCGCCGGCACGGCCTCCAGCACCGTCGCCATCGCCAGCCCGTACGTGCCCCCGTAGGAGACCCCTGAACCATGAGCAAAGACACAGGCATCCGGTGAGGAAGGCCTTACCAAACAGGAGCCGGAATCCGATCAGCTGCCCGAAGTTCTGCGAGAACCCCGTGGCCACGGTGAAGCCGCACATCAGCACCAGATCGACCAGCATGGGGATCTTCCGCCCGTACTGGTCGGACAGGATGCCAAAGATCACGGCGCCCACCGCGCGCGACAGCATCGTCGTCGTGTTGGCCTCGGACACATTCGTCTGGGCCACCTTCAGGTAGTCGGCCACGTCGCTCAGCACGAACGGCAGCGCGTAGTACTGGAGCGACCCCAGGGTCCAGCAGGCCCAGCAGGTCAGCCAGATCAGGGCCTGCACGGGCTTCATGTGCAGCGTGGACGCGATCTCCCGAGGGAGCGCGGCAAGAGAGGCAAGGAGATTCATGGTGCAGTGGATGGCAGGCAGGCAGAAGGGATGGTTGAGAAGGACTCCATTCCCCCCATTCCCTCCCCCCGGAGCGAGGCTCTGTTTATAGCCTCAGCCTGCCCAGACCTGACATCCCACTTGGCTTCCCCTTGGCGCATGGGGTACCCCAGAGTTGCGGGGATGGATCCAGGGTCCCAGAGGCTGGTCCGAGCTTGACTGTGTTGTCATGACTCTCGGCTGCAGGCTGGTCAGCTCGTAAAGTTTCAGTCCCAGCCGCCGGACAGAGCGTCTCCTGGGGTCAACACAGCAGACGGCCGGAGCGATATGCACATGATTCGCGCCCCGAAGCCACTGGATGCCGTGGGATACGGCCTATTCCCCCATCCTGCCCCTGTGCATGCCGGCCTCCGACGCCCTTGCCAGACTCATAGCAGGCCAGATATCAACACCGGAAGCCCCCGACACCCAGCCAGGGTACGAGCCCGTCACGGTTCGTCCAAGTACCGAGCCCACTCCGGGGCTCTAGACCATGACTGCCGATCCCCCAGCGCGCTCCGCATGACCCCCCCCCCCGGCAGGGATGTTCCCCACGGGGGCTGATCCTCCATGTCCCCCAGCCGGGTGGTTCACGGACGACAATGGTCCGTCGACGGAGGCTGGCCGGTCCGAGGCTGACGGAATGGAGCATCAAGCTCCAGCGAATGATGTCACGGTCCTGGGTGGGAAGGGGGGGTCTGGAGGGCACATATATGGCTGCGTGCATGCATGTTGTTGGGACTCAACAGTTCCATCCATCAGTCAAAGCCTCATCCTGAGTCGTCTCCCTCTGCTCTCTCCTGCATTCTTCCCTTGATCGATTGCGCACATTGTGCATTGCATTGGCCGGCACAGTCCCACGGTCTCCTAACGATCCCACCTGCATCATGGCGGAACTCGTCCCCCCCAATGCCTGGGACACGCACATCCACGTCTTCGACCCGGAGACCTTCCCCTATGCCACGCCGCGGTCGTACACGCCCCGGGCGGCGCAGATGGCCGAGTACCCGACGGCCGTGACGGGGTGCCGCAACGTCGTCATCGTGCACGCCTCGATGCAGGGCACGTCACCCGCGCCGCTGGTCGACACGCTGGCCAAGCAGGCGCACCTGCCCGGGTACCGGCTGCGCGGGCTGGCGACGATCGACCCGGACAGCATCACGGACGAGGAGCTGGACGCGCTGCACGCGGCCGGGGTGCGCGGGGCGCGGCTGCACGAGATGGCCTGGGGCCACGGCAAGCAGAGCGGCGGCGGCGACATCATCCGCAAGGTCACGGCCCTGGCCCATCGCCTGGGGCGGCTGGGATGGGCCATCGGCATCTTCTGCCCGGTCAGCGCGTGGGCGGCCATGGCCGACACCATCCGCGGGCTCGACCCGCGCATCCAGATGGTGGCCGACCACTTCGGCGGCACGTTCCCCGGCGAGGAGCACTCGCCCGAGTTCGCCACCTTCCTGGAGCTGATCCGCGAGAAGCGCGTCTGGGTGAAGGTGTCCGGGTTTGAGCGGCTGTATCACGGCCACGCGGGGGGCATGGCGGCCCTGCAGCCCATCGCGCAGGCGGTCATCGCGGCGGGTCCGGATCGCATCGTCTTTGGGACGGACTGGCCGCACACGCAGCTGGGGGTGACGCGCAAGGGCAAATCCGACCAGCAGCGACTCGAGGAGGTCGAGGGGTTCCGTGAGGTACCTGATGCCGAGCACATCCGGACGTTGCGCGAATGGATCCCGGACGAGGAAACCTGGCAGAATTTGTGGGTCCACAACCCCGCGCGACTCTTTCAGTAGTTGGTGAGATGGGGGGGTGGGGGGGGGGGGGAGTTAGGGTTACGAGGATGAGGCGGCGGAGGATGATGATGATGATGATCGTGGTGTTGTATCTACCTGGGGTACCGTCCCGATAGTCCCCGCGATGGAGATGCTAGGAGGGGCAATACATGTATTTCTTTCCGCGTAGCTAGTCCCGGTTCCTGGCATAGCATATATGCTGCCTATTCTGTGCATGAGAGCTGCTAGTGTTCATCGTGGTGTTGATCATGGCCGATCAGGCGGGGTTTTACATAGCCGGCCGAGGGGCGCTCGTCATCGCGCCCCAGCATGACTGACTGACAGGCTGACATCGTAAGGACCCCCCGACCCCCCCCCAACATCTCCATCCAGCCCCATTCATTCATTCTTCTTCATTCTTCTTCATTCTTCTTCTGGTCTCTCTTATCTATCCCCCTTTTGCAACCCGGATCCAACCGATCCAACCGATCCAACCTGTCCAACATGTCCAACCTGTCCAACCTGCTCATCTTCGGGGCCACCGGCACCATCGGCCGCTACATCACCGACGCCATCGTGGCGGCGCGTCCCTCGTTCGGCCGCATCGCCATCTTCACCAGCCCCAACACCCTCCACTCCAAGCCCGACCAGCTGGACGCCCTCCGGCGCCAGGGGGTCGATATCCTCGTGGGCGATTTGACCAACCGCGAGGAAGTCCGGCGGGCGTACGAAGGTACTATAGGGTCTATCTCCACTCAATCATCACCCAGGCTCCAGGCTCACAGCCCACAGGCATCGACACGGTGGTGTCGGCCCTCGGTCGTGGCGCCATCGCAGCCCAGATTCCCCTCATCCAGCTGGCGAACGAGACCCCCCACATCCACCGCTTCCTCCCCTCCGAGTACGGCACCGACATCGAATACGGCCCGGCCTCGGTGCACGAGCGGCCGCACCAGCAGAAACTCCTGGTGCGCGCCGCCCTGAAGGAGGTGCGTCCGTCGCTGGAATACGCCTACGTGGTGACGGGGCCCTACGCCGACTTCCCCTTCTACCTCGGCCGCTCCACCCGGTGCCCCCAGGCCGGCACCTTTGATGCCCTCGCCAAGCAGGCCGTCCTGCTCGGCGATGGCACTGGCCGGGTGAGCCTGAGTGCCTGCGACGAGTGAGTATTGCTCCCCCCGCCCCCGGGGAGGAAGTGGTGGTGTGTCTGTCTGGGTCTGTGGTCGCATGCTAACCGTCGTAGTGTTGGCCAGTTCGTCGTCCACGCCCTCACCCACTGGGACGGAGCCCGCAATCGCGCCCTCAAGCTCAACTCGTTCACCACCACCCCGGCCGACATCCTGGCCGAGTTCGAGGCGCAGACGGGCGCCCAGTGGACGGTCGAGTACACCTCCCTCGACCAGCTACGGTCGCTGGAGCGGGAGGCGTGGGCCAAGGAGGCCCCCGAGGCGACGGGCTGCACGCTGCGGCGCATCTGGACCGAAGGGGGCACCCTCTACGACCGCCGCGACAACGAGGACATCGGCGTCACCGAGACCAAGACCCTGGGCGAGCTGGTGACGGGCTCCATCCGGTCCCAGGTGGAGGGCGTCCCCTCCCGGCATTGATTGACGGGAGAGCCGCCGGGCAGCATGTGCATGTAGTTATTGTACTTGATTATGTGTTATGTTGTAGTGAATCTATGCCTCATCTCCTCAGGACAACGACCGCGAAGACAGCACCGGCGCCAGCACCGCCGCAAACTGCTCGTAGGCCGCGAAGACGATGCCGCCGCTCAGCACCAGCCGGCCCAGGCGCATGGTGCTGCCGCGCCAGAAGCCGCGCACGCCTTCCTCGCGCAGCAGCTCGGCCATCGCCTGCGACATGCCCGGCTGACCCATCCCCTGCACCCGCGTCTTAACCGTGTCGAAGGGCTGCGTGGCGTACACGGTGATGGTGCCCGCCAGCGAGCCCATCAGGAAGGTGGTGACCCCGTTGACCGGGATGGCGTAGTCCTTGCCCGTCTCCTTCAGCCAGTTGTAGGACCCCATGCGCACGGCGGAGGTGGCGGACTGCTTGACGGTGGTGGGGATGAGGCCGCGATACAGGCCGCGCAGGCCCTGCTGCGAGACCAGCATGTAGGTCCCGTGCAGGGCGCCGCGGGCTTTGCGGGGGCCCTTGGCGTCGTCGATTCTGTGTGACCCGGCGGTCTCGATCAGTTGATTGTTCCCTCTGCAGGCTCATCGGGGGGGGGGACGCACAAGGCCGTCTTGATCCGCTCGGTCGGGGTCACTGCCAGCACACTCTCGAACCCACCGGCCACCATGCCCGCCAGGATGCCGTGGGCCGGGGACAGCCGCCCCGCGTCATCCACCAGGCGGTTCTTGATGGCGTCGAAGCAGAGGAAGCGCACCCCGGCCTTCAGCATGGTCCCCACGACCAGACTCGAACATCCCGTATAGAGGGCCCCGAGACCGTCGGTGGCGACGACCTGGCGGAGGAGGTGGACGGGGTTCCGGGGGGCGGCGCGGTCGCCCAGCTGCAGGCGGGTTTTGGCGAACTCGAAGGGGTAGGTGGTGGCGGCCTCGACGCCCCCGGCCATGCCGCCGGCGAGGAGGGAGACGAGGGGGGGATGCGCGGCTGGCCGGAGACGCGGGTTAGCGAGGAGAGACAGCGGGGAGAGACAGTGGTGGGTGAGGGCGAGAATGAACAGCAGTACCTTGTCCTTGGGAGGCGGCAGGCGCTCATTGTGGGGAGGGGAGAGATGTGTGGCGGCCATGATGATGATGATGATGATGCGGTGGACTTGGATCCCACGGTCGCATCCCTTTTGTCGGCAGTTATCTAGTTCTTGGAACTGTCATCCCTGCTTTCTCCATCTTCCCCAGAGACTGCTGGATCGTGTTGTGTCTGGAGCCCCGGGGGGTTGGCCTCCGTGGGATGGCACGCACCCATTGTCGACGGGCGATGGCGGTCACGCAGACACGGACCGGACGCGGTCGGTCAGGGTTGAGTCGGAGGTCCGAAGAATGATGACGGAGCGAGCCATGTTGGGCTGGCAAGGGGGGAGGTGGAAGGGGAGGGGGAGGTGGAGGTGGAGGTGGCGGAGTGAGTGGGAGAGAGACAAGAAGAGAGACAAAGACAGAACAGAGTGGGGGGGGGGAGAGAGAGAGAGAATGACTGAGTGAGTGACATCACGGGATGATCGGAGCCTGGCGGAGAATGACGGCCCGTCATGGTCCGTCGCCGCTAGTCCGCAGAGGGCTAGCGCAGCATAGCCGGAGACCCGCCAATCAGCATCCGGCACAACGTGGTTAGTCACCCTCCTGCGTCCCAAACAGGAACGACACAACGACACAAACCGACACAACTCCCCCCCCCACGCTGCAGCCCAGACCCTAACTCGTCCTTGTAACTTCCCCAGTGATCTGTCCTGTTCCTCTCCCCCCCCCCCCCCCCCGCACATGTCAGATCGGGGCTGCCCCATGCCCCTGTCCCAGACTCATTCGTTTGTTCCTCTGGGCTCTGCTCTCCGGACTATTCGACTCCATCTGTCTGTCGGTCTGTCTGACTGACTGACTGACTGACTGACTGACTGACTGATTGACTGACTGCCTGCCTGCCTGCCCGCTCGGCCATGTACGGCCATGAGTCCCAAGCGCCAGTCCTCCCCCATCACCACCCGCGCCTGTCAGTTCTGTCGGGTCCGTAAGATTCGCTGCGACAACCTCAAGCCCACCTGTGGCTCCTGCCAGCGTCATGATCGCCCGTGTGTCTATGTCGTCGACCCACCCCGGCAGAGGTACGTATCCCCGTCCCCGGAACCCCAATCTCCTCTGCTCATCCCCGTCTCCCCACCCAGACCCTCGCGCGCCCTCATCAACGCCGCCCATCGCCAGCGACGCGCCGCCGAGAGTGTGCTGGTGGCCCTGAAGATGGCGGACCCGAGTGCCCGCGCCGCCCTCCTGGACGCCATCCAGGTCAAGGATGGGGCCCTACTGCAACTGCCCCCAACCGCCACGCTCCCCTCCGCCTCCGCATCTTCATCCGCATCCTCATCGGCATCCGCATCAGCATCCGCATCCGCATCCGCCCACGTCCAGCCCCAATCCCAACCCGTCATCGAACCCGGCCACGCCTCCAACCCGTCCATCCCGTCCAGCACCCCCAACGACGAGGAGCTGCACGACACCACCTCCGAGGACGAGGAGTACGATCCCACCACCTTCCTCTCGCGCGACGAGTGCGGCACCGTCGGCATCTTCGGGCCCTCGTCGGCCCTGCACGCCCGGAGTCCCGCCGGCCTGGCCGACGGGGGCCCAGCAGCGGCCGAGCCGGATCGCTACCAGCTGATCGCCGAGGCAGCACTGCAGCGCCAGCGTGAACCGGATCTGCGGCGGTTGGCGTCCATCGGCGGCATCCCGGCCGAGCTGGCGCTGCATCTGCTCGACCTGCACTGGAACCGCCAGCATCACACCTTCCTGGTCACCTACCGCCCCGCCTTCATGCGCGACCTCGTCACCGGCGGCCCCTACTGCTCCGACTTCCTGCTCAGCGCCGTCTTCGCCTGCTCCAGCAAGTTCTCCGAGCGCCTCGAGGTGCGCGAGGACCCCCGTCGGCCCGAGTCGGCCGGCAAGCAGTTCTTCGACCGCTGTGACCGGCTGCTGGCCGAGCAGGCGCTGCTGACGCACTCCAGCATCCCCACCATCGCCGGCCTGCTCATGCTGGGCAGCACCTTCAACGCCCGCGGCCAGGTGTCCAAGGGCTGGCTGTACACGGGCTTCGCCCTGCGCATGGTCTACGACCTGGGCTTGCACCTGGACTGCCGCGAGGTGGCCGCCAGCCCCGAGGACATCGAGGTGCGCCGCCGCGTCTTCTGGGCGGCCTTCATCTGCGACAAGCTGCAGAGCCTGTACTTCGGCCGCCCCTTCACCATCCAGCTGCGCGACGCCCACGTCTCGCGCGACTTCCGGGACACCTTCGAGGAGAACGAGCTGTGGGCCCCCTACGTCGACCCGCAGAAGCCCGACCGCTACGCCCGCCCCCAAGCCCCGACGCGCATCCATTCCGTCACCGTCTTCCAGCAGCTGTGCGCCCTGTCCAAGATCATGACCCGCATCATCGACCGCTTCTACATGGCCGGCGCCCCGGCCCCCCAGCCCCAGCCCCAGCCCCGCCCGCACCTGGACCGCATCGACCGCCGTTTGGCCGCCTGGTACCGCAAGCTGCCCGCCGATCTGCAGTTCGAGCCGTGGGCCGACGACGGCCGCGGCCCGCCGCGCATCGTCGCCCCCAACGCCATCATCCTGCTGACCACCTACCACGCCCTGACCATCCTGCTGCACCGCCCGTTCGTGGGCAGCGGGCCCCTGCGCGTCGAGGGCCCGCCGGCGGACTCGTGGGAGCGCTGCCTCACGGCGGCGCGCAACATCACCAGCCTGGCGCTGGCGTACCGCGCCGCCTACTCGCTGCGGCGCGCCAACTACATGCTCAGCTACGCCGTGTACGTGGCGTGCACCATCCACGCGCGCAACCCGGCCATCCGCGAGAGCACGCGGCGCCACGAGGCCTCGTCGCCGCTGACGGTGTGCCTGCGCTGCCTGGACGAGCTGGCCATCCCCAACTGCGGCGTGTCGGCGCCCGCCCAGATCATCCGCCGGCTGATGGAGGCCAACGGCATGTCCGTGCCGACCGGTATGTCCCTGCCCGGAGCGACGGCCGGGGGAGTGTCACTGACGGTGCCAGGCTGCGACCCGGCCACGCAGGACCCCTTCCAGGTCGACATCAACCTGGACTTCCAGACGTTTCCGGGGCTGGACTTCAGCCCGGGCCGCCTGGAGCACGACAGCCAGCTGTCGGGGTTCCAGGACTTCAACCACCAGGACCTGGATCTGCTGTTCGGGTTCATGAACGAGCCGGACGCGTCGATCTTCAACGGGGGGGTGCCGTACGGGCCGTGAGGAGTACTTCTACTTAGACATCTAGACGTGATAGATTCGATTCCCTGTCCCCTGCCGGGCCCTCCCCTCCCCCTTCGTATTTCTCCCCCGAGCTTCTTTGAATGAAAAATCACGAGACACATGCATTCAATCTAATCTGGGTCTCGATACCACCCAGCCAGCCGGACATTCCAAGAACCCGCTATGTACAGCAACACCGCTCCGCACCCCCCTGATTCCCTCCTCTACTCCAACACCGCCGGGTCCTCCTTGACGGCCTGGTCGTAGTACGGCTGGAACGCCAGCCACATCTTGCTGGAGTTGCCACTCTTCTTGTGCGTCATCTCGGCCTCCTCCTTCTGGATGTACACCTTCTCCCAGCCGGGTCCGGCGGCGGCGTTGGCCATCATCTGGGCGTGGCAGCAGCGGTCCAGCGCGATGAACAGGAAGGCGGCCTCGTCGACGGTGCGGCCGCAGGTGATCATGCCGTGGTTCTGCAGGATGACGCTGCGACAGGTGGGGCCCAGGGCCGTGGCGATGCGGGCGCCCTCCTCGGTGGAGAGCACGGTGCCGCCGTAGCGCGGGTAGACGGCCAGGTCGTTGTAGAAGCGCAGGGCGTCCTGGTAGAGCATCTCGATGGGGCGGGCGAAGCACGAGAAGGCCTTGCCGTAGACGGAGTGGGCGTGGCAGGCGGCGTTGAGGTCGGGACGCGCCTTGTGGATCTCGCTGTGGATGGCGAAGGCCGGCCCGTTGATGGGATGCTGCGCGCCCCCGGGCAGCACCTCGCCCTTCTCGTTGACCAGCACCAGGTCCGACACGCGGATCATCGAGAAGTGCATGCTGAGCGGGTTGATCCAGAAGTGGTGCGGGTTCAGCGGATCGCGCAGCGAGATGTGGCCGGCGACGCCCTCGTCGAAGCCCTGGCGCGCAAACACCCGGAAGGCCACCGCCAGGTGCTGCTTCTGGTACTCGCGCTCCTCCTCGGGGCTGGTGAAGTTGGGTGGGGATCGGATCACGACCTTGCCCTCTTTGTCGCCGAGGAAGTGGACCTCGTCGAAGAACCGGTTACCGGCGGGGGTGGTGACGTGCTGGCCATTCTGCGCGTTTTGGGTGTCGGTGGTGGTGGTGGAGGTGGTGGTAGTGGCCATGGTGGGATGGGGATATGATATATATCAGATGTATATATATCGGGGATGTAGGGTTGGGGTTTGGGGATTCTTTAGGGTTGCAGTTGCACGGGTGATGTTGTTCACAGGGAGGAGGGGGTAATGTGGTTGTTGGCAGAAAACAGGAAGAGGAATTACCCAGCGATCACTGTCATTTATAATGCCACACCATGAACGAATTCCCGAAAGCAAGCAAGCAAGAAAGAAAGAAAGAAAGAAAGAAAGAAAGAACGAAAGAGACAAGACAGATCTTGTCGGAGGCAAACGGGCGACGGAGATCGACTCTCCGTCGGACGGAAAGCGTTTACCCGCCCGTCTCGCCCGCAACGCTTGGGGAATTCTTCCCCCCGCATCGGTGATGTCAGCAGGCAGGCAGTCAGTCCAGATACGAGGATGTGCGATGTGCGATGGACGTGAGATGCGAGATGCGAGAGAGGTTATTATGCATGTCGATCCCCCCCCCGCGGACGACACTACCTCCCCTCAATCTCCAAGTCCAACCGTCCAACTCCCTAACCCCCTAACCCCCAACAGCACCACACATCACCATGAAGGCTGTGGGCGTCCGAAACGGCAAAGGCAACGCGGATGCCCTCTTCATCGAGGATGGCATCCCCGATCCTGTCCCCGTCGGTAACCGTGTCCTCGTCCGCATCCGCGCCTTTGGCCTCAACCGCATGGACATCATGCAGCGCGAGGACCGCTACCCCTACCCGCTGCTACCGGAGTCGGGCAAGATTATGGGAGTCGAGTTCAGTGGGATTGTTGAGGAGAAGGGCCCGGAATGTATGTAAATGTGTCGGAGGGGTGCGGATACGGATGCTGATGCTGATGCTGATGATGCCAGGCTCGGATGACTTTAAGGTCGGCGACAAGGTCTTCGGGCTGGCCTACGGAGGCGCCGTAGGTGCTCTCTTCCTGTTGTCCCACAGCCTCTCCAGCTGATCCCGCATAGTACGCGCAGAAAATCGCCGTCTCCGAGAAGATGCTCATGCATCTGCCCGCTAACCTCGCCTTTGAGGAAGCAGCTGGCGTCCCTGAAGTAAGACCCCCCCCCCCCCTAATCCCCGGACGGGAACCCTGCTCACCCCCAACCTCCTCCAGACCTTTTTCACGGCCATCCAGGCCGTCCACCTGGTCGGCAACCTCCAGCCAGGCCAGTCGGTGCTCATCCACGCGGGCGCCTCCGGGGTCGGGCAGTCGGCCATCCAGGTGGCCAAGGTGGGCGGCGCCTCGCAGATCTTCACCACGGCGGGCAGCGACGAGAAGTGCCAGCTGTGTCGCTCCCTCGGGGCCGACTTTGCCGTCAACTATCGCTCGGGGGAGGACTTCGCGGCGGTCGTGCAGCGCGAGACGCACGGCCGCGGCGTGGACCTGATCGTGGACCTGGTGGGCCGCGACTACTTCCATCGCAACATGGCCTCGGCGGCGATGGACTCGCGCATGGTGCTGGTGGCCGCCCTGAGTGGCAGCAAGGTCGACGACTTCGACCTGCGTGCCCTCCTCAACAAGCGCATCTGGCTGCTGGCCACCACCCTGCGCACCCGCGACGCCGACTACCAGGGCCAGCTGCGCGACCTGTTCTGCGAGAAGATCCTGCCGCACATCACGGCCCAGGAGGTCCGCACGACGGTCGACAAGGTGTATCCCTGGACGGAGGTGGCGGATGCCCACAAGCGGCTGGAGTCGAATGTCAACGCGGGGAAGATCATTTGCATCGTGGAGGAGCGGTAGGGTAGGGGGATGGGTCAGGATGTACGCGTGAACGGCAGATATGATTCCCTCAAAATGCAGTAGTGAATGAATTATGTGACTTCCAGCCCCTGCCGGTGGCCCGCGGGGCATCCCAAGCTGCTCCTACATTCTCTCTGCTCGATGTAGACCGGACAGACTGCATGGGAATCCAATGCGGGAGAGATGGTGAGGGAGTTGAATATTGGAACCGACGAGTTACAGCACGCAGCTCTATCATCACTCTTGCCTTTTCTGCGAGCCTGTTCCTACTCTGAATGAAAGCAGTCAAGCTGCATCGTCTTTTACGAACATTCCGAGATCGGTGCAAGGCAGCCGACAAAACGTCCATACAAACAGATCGGTAACCATAAGCTTCCCCTTTGGCCCCTGGCGACGTCTCTCATCGACAGCCCGACAGACGAGATATCCCACCAGTGGCGGATTCTACATCTACTGCTCAGTCTGCGCGCGTTTTTCCGCATCAAGACGATACACCACCTTGGTCGGTTCATCCTCATCCGACGACGAGGCGAACTTCCGGTCGAGGTCCTCCAGCTCCATCCGCTGCGTCTCGGGGATGAAGAACCACCCGAAGACGAACGACACGGCCGCCAACGAGCCGTAGATGAACCCGAGCTTACCCCCAATATCGACATGGCCCGGGGTGTCGGCCGTTTCAAGATACGGGTACGAGAAGGTGACCGCGAATCTGCAGAGGTCAGCATCCAGCGTCTCAATTTGTGGGAAGGGGAAGGACATACTCTGTCAGCAGCTTGACCGTGTACGCAATCTGCAGGGTCATCTCTCGCAGCGGTGCCGACGGAAGCTCGGCTCCCAGCACGTACACGAGGGGAGCCCAGGCCAGAGACCAGCCGAAGCTGTAGAGCAGCAGCATGGCCACAATGCCTTCCTTGGCCCCCTTGTTCGAGGAGTCGGCGGTTCCCAGCCCGCCCATCGTCAGCAGCGAGGTGGTCTCGAGGAAGGCACTCGTGTGGAACAGCATCCTGGTGCCGTGTTAGCAAGGTTATGTCCCGAACAATGCGCGCCCCCTGCCTCAATATGCGTCCGGGCTACGAAAAAAAGGGGTGGGGAATGAAGCTCACCTCCGTCCCACGACATCACTCAGGCCCGTCGATATGAGCAGAGCAAAGATATCCACGGCGTTCGTCCCCAGCGTGATGCTGAACGCGTTCACCGACTTCAGCTCCTTGACGAACACGGTGCCATACTGCGAGGCAAACGCCTGTCCCGACGCCTGCTGGAAGAAGTTGGCCGCGACCACCACAAACGTCCGCATCCGGTTGGTCGGGGTGAACAGGTCCTTGAAGCGCCTCTTCTGCATCTGCGCGGCCACCTTCTGGGACAGTTCCTCGAAGTCATTCTGGATGTCTTGGAGGGAGGCGCTTTCCGGTCGCAGCCGGGTCAGGGAGGTCAAGGCGTCCTCCTGTCGGTCACGCAGGAGCAGCCAGCGTGGCGATTCCGGGGTGAACCAGACCAGACTCAGGACGATGCATGGCACGATGAGAATCAGCCCGAAGGGGATCTGCCACGCCGAGTTGTTGGTGATGCCCGATGTGCCTCGCGCGATGCCCGTGACCACCAGTCCGCCGATCTTGATGCTCAGCCAGTATAGCACCCCCATCGCACCACGGATTCGGCCCGGGGCCAGTTCCGCCAGTGCGGTCGGGATCACGGCCATGGTCATTCCTAGGTAGATATCTTCGGACGGTGAGCCGTGATGATATTGGGTTGGAGGAACAGGGATGTACGCACAGTGCAACGCTCGACCCGCCAGCAGCTGGCCGATGGTGGTGGAGCTGACGACCACCGAGGCACTGCCCAGGGCATACAGGTTCATGGAGAAGATGCACCACCGTCGTCCGTAGGTGTTGCTGATGTAGCCACCGAGGAACACCCCTATCCCGTTGGCGTCAGTGCCCAGTGTCCCCCATCTCCTCGGAACCAGATCCAGCGACCGACTCACCGATGATCTGCGTGCCCGCCTTGATGCTGTTGTACAGCGAGGTGTCCAGCGGGAGCAGCTTATACTCCTTCTTCTTGGCGTTGTAGGACCCGAACTGGTGGGTGAAGGCGTCCATGGCCTGGCATGACGAGAACGCCTGGTCGCTGAAGCCGTAGTTGAAGGCCGACAGGGCCAGCACGAAGGTGGTGAAGATGAGCATGGGACTCCATCGCCGGGGGGTGGCCATGGGGGGCGAAGGGAGCAGGGGAAACAATCAGATCATCAGATAACGGATAATCAGATCATCAGATAATGGCGAGAGGCGTGTTTTTATACCCGATGGCTGGGGGGGAGGAGGAGGAATGGAGGGGAAACCTCTGCTGGCTCCAGTGCTCGCCAGTTCGACCAGGCGAATCGGGTAATTTGGCTTATTTGGACTCGTCCTGACTCGACACTACAGGGCCCGTGGGCACGAGTCTCTGCTTTTTTACTTTTTTATTTATTTTTTTTTTTTTTAACCTGGAAAGGGGAAATGGGTTTCTTTAGGCGTTCAGAGGAATCTCACCCTGACCCGATCGGAGAACACACACAGACACACAGGGTGGGTGTGGGATGAAGGAGTGGATCCGCGATGCTTTTTTTGGGGACCGGCTGGGTCTTTTCCCCTCCGGCAAAACCCGGGCTGTCTCCCTCTGCCGCGGCGACAAGCTTTTTCGGTCTTGGCTGTAAGGCTTGGGCTCAGGGTGTCGCCTTGTAGGGCCATAGGGCTATAGGGCTAGCCAGGCCCGGACTTGGCTCGTCCCACCAAAACATTCATTCTGTTGTTGTGTCGGTCCAACTGGGAATTTCCTATATCTAGTCTTGACACATTCCAGACCCGCGGCGTCTTACCTCGACGGATGACACGAAGGACCGGAAAACAGTCGGCAAAACCAGCTGGGGGGGGATTCCAGCCTTCCAGCTAGCGTGGGCGATTGTCGACGCGCCAGGGCCATCAGCTCCGAGTTCTCCTCCCGGCAACCCGCAACCCCAGGCGTGCTCAGATATACCGCTCGCCACCCCCTTCGAACCAGGGGGTGTGGTGCCATTGTCATTTGTTATCATTTTCATATTGCGGGCTGGCTAGCTAAGCTCGACAGACATCTGGTTGCTGCCTCGTGTTGCCTGCCCGAGCATCGGTTGGGCTGCTTATCTTCGGCTCCCCACGGCGGGCTCAGGACTGAGGGCTGGCAGGTATCTCTATTCTAGACTAGGCTCGGTGAGTCAATCTAGCGGACGACAACTGACAAGGGATGAGGGGATTGGGGATTGGGGATTGGCATCTGCCACCCTCGGGAAATTTTCACCGGTCCATCCATAACCCTGGCTAGCTGCCATCAACCCCCCCCCCCCCCCCCTAGTCAAGGTTGCTCCATGAGTGTTTCCCCTCTACTTCCCTTGTTCCGGGTGCTTGCAGGAGTGCCTCGATCTCGTGCAGGCTCATCTCATCATAACAATCAGGGGTTTCTGCCATTGCGCACGACTTCGTGTGCTTCGTGGGTGTCCTACATTGTCCCCGTGCTGCTGCTGCTGCCTGCCAGCAAGTCGAACGCCGCACGCGACAAAATACCTGGGTCCCACGGGGAAATGCATCTGGGTCAGCACTAGAGGGGCAGTAGTGAGATTGCACTAGCGAGATAGAAAGAGGGGGTTCTCTGATCCCATACACACAGCGTCCGCACACATGCCGCGGCGTCCTCGTCTGTCTGGACACTGGAACTGACCACAATCAGCCCATGAGATCCCATCGGTTCTCCGGACACCTCCGCTCAAGATCCTGGATTTCGTGCGTTAGGTCTGATTTCCTTGCTAGTCGGCACACTCCCCTGCACCTTGCATTCTGAGTAGGTACGCAGTCGATGTAATCCATCCTGCTCCAGACTTCGCGCATAACTCGCGTTTGTCTGAGCTCGTGCCAGTTCTCAGGACGGGCAGACCCCCCCGGTCGTGCATGTCGGCGTGCTCAACTTTAATGTGAGTACTGATTGTCCATGGAAACAACATGGTCTAGCTCACAGATGACCTACGCCCTCTCCGTCACCCACGATGACTACCCGCTGTCTGGTGCCGAGTCCCGCGGTCATGGGTGCTTGGTATGCGGTGGTTCCTTAATACTCCAAAATTAATGATTTTTGATACAACGAACTCAGGCCAAGTGGCAAACCCACCAGAACGCAGTCATGACACTGCTGTCCCTGCCGCCATAGTCTCTGGTATGCGGAAGAGATACCACGTGTTGGTAACTGTCGATTCTAGAAAAAGAGTCGAAATACGTCCGCCTGCCACGCATATCGTTCACGATGACCTACCAGCCCATCACCCGTCCACATCCTTTCCGCCCATAACTTCTTCTCCCCCCTACACACATCCAACACGCCTCGCAAGTGTCGAAAGTCCAGCAATTAGCAACGCGGTCCCGACCTGCCATTGTCCTACATCTTACGTCCTGTCCGAGTCCGAGTCCAACAATCCGCCCGACGCCGTCACGCCCACACATCCCCGCTGTTTGTCGAACCCAAGGCATCGGTTGGTGAACAAGGTGTAGACCTGTCGCCCAGATTCTGGTCGCTTCGATCTGTAAGAGAGCCTCCGAGCGATGAGGGGTTGGGAGAGGGCGCCAATCCCGGTTTGCGATCTGACAGTTGTCGGGACATGCGGCGACCTTTGGAGTGGTTGGAAAATAATCGTTGTGGGGTGATTTGTTGCTGGTTTAGCCAGAGACCGGTAGGTCTTTAACCGGCCCAAAAAAGTGTTGTGAACCTTGGATGGCAGGAGACAAGCAGCCAGCCATCTCAAGGAGATGAAGCCGAGGGGGGCGGGGTTCGTTCCAGGCCCAGGGGGCATTGCCACCGAGTATGGCGGACTGATGAGACCCCAAGTCAATGTTATGGATTTTGTAGAAGCTGGACTCGTTCAGGCAAGGGAATTTGCTGGACGTAGAGGGGGAGCTCCCTCGGAGACTCAGCAGTGAATGCGATTGAGTGAGTGAAACGCCCACAACACACATTCTTGCAATTCAACCTCCATGATATTTAACACTATTACCTGGCAATCTGCAAATATTTCCGCCGGCGAGAGGGTTCCCTGCCCACGTTACGAAGTCCCAGTCCTTCGATGCCACGAGGCCATATGCCCCGAAGCAGCTGTCCTGCAGCTACAGGAAAGCCCTGCTCTCCGGCCTCTCCGCGTCAGGACCAAACAGCCACTCGCGACGACGTCGATACCCCCAAAAGATCGCACTCGACGACGAATCCTATCGCATGGCCTCGTCCCGCTGGCGCTACTCGTCTCCGTCGTCGATGTGCAGAATACACTGGTGCTGTCGTATCTTCCACAGGATCAGGCACGCGCGAGGGCTGCGGATGTGCTCGTAGCGGCTCAACGCCTCTGACAGCTGCGTGGCCTATGATCAGATCTGCAGTACACTGCCGATTCTGCGCCGTGGTGGCCATTGGGATGGTGAAATCGTACGAGGTAACGTGTTGGTTGGTGTGGATGGCGATGCCTGCCCGGGTGGCAGCCGTGAGCAGACTGGCGTGCAGGTCGGCTCGATGGGCCAGGTAATACCGCGTCCCGTGGCTCTTGACGATGCCATCGAGGGGGATTTTGGTGATAGTCGAGCCATCCTCCCAGCGGACAAAGTGGTATCGACGGCAGGTGGACTTCTTTAGCCTGGCGAGATTGATTCCCCAGCGTCGAAGCAGTCGCGTGCTATTGGGGGGAACTCGAATGCCACCACCGGCTGATTCAAGAACAAGAAGATACCGTAGCACATGCAATATGACCGGCCATCGAGAATGCTCACCTCTCGGAACTCTGGGGAGGAATCGATGGCCGTCACCCGGTGGCCATCGTGTCGGAGCGCCAGTGAAGCGAAAAGGCCTCCGAGGCCAGCACCCACGATGGGAATGTCAAGCTTCCCCAGCGATGGAGACATCGCGTTCATGTTTGAAAGGTCTTATAGGATCTCGATCGCCGGCTTATTTTCACGGCATCCAGGCTTCATGGCTCCCTACGAGGGGAACTGTTTTGTATGCCGTCCAAACATTACACTCTGGCGTGGGGGAGAGGGGTTCGCCATCGTCGCATTGGGGCGAACTGCGGATTCACATAGCCGCAGTTGCAGCGGCATCGTACACCCGATGAAGAAGAAGAGTCACGGATTATCATACCTGGACGTACCTGCAACCACCGCAAACCAGGAGCGGATGGGACTGTGGTGACACGCGTCCTCCAGATCCAGTCCATCCAGCCCATCCGAGGTTCGGGGGCTTAAATCCGCTGGCATCCCCTGCCCCAGCTTCTCCGCATTTCCCCTGCCGGTGGAAGGCAGATTGGGTTCTGATCGTCGTTTTCTCTTCCTTGCTGCCTGCCTTCTTGGGTCGGCTACCGTAACCCGCTCCTTCGTGGCCATGGACAAACCCCTGGACCGGGCGTCGAGTCCGTGAAGTGCTGCGGAAGCGTGCTTCCCTCGGCTACGACCCCCTGTTGGAGGGCTGTCTCCGGAGATCGAGGTTCCCAGCCACCAGATAGTAGCTCCATGTGATAGCAGAGCTATGGCAGCCGTGGTCTACACGGGTATATAACGCCGGGTGTGGAACTTCCTCGGTTTCCAAGTAGAGCGACTGTGGGATTCGACCCTTTCCATCTATCAATGCCCCGTCCTCGGCTGTACTCCCTGGCACATATTACAATGACTTGATCATCTATTTCACGCTTCCTGGTCTGTTCCAGATTATCTCAGCAAGGCTGAAAAGTGTCCCAGCCCGAGCTGACCCTGCATGGGAATGGCAACAGAATAAATAACCCCGCCATGAACACTGAGTGTGCGAATTCGTGTTGTGTGACTTACGCACGACACATCTTCAACCATACGGAGGTTTACGGTAGTCTTGCACAGGTTCGATGAAGCGATCCATACTGGTACTCTTTTTGGAGATCCGGCTCGTCTCAGTAACCGTGACCCCGCGAATGGTGACACCATATCGCCTTTGGTCTCTTGCGAGATACGGGTAGCATTCCTGCCGACCTTTCAGCACCCAGGACTGGACTGGAGCAACTTGGAGCAACTTGGAGCAACCCCTCGGCAGTCTGCATGCCGCTTTCTTTCGCATCCATGTCCCCACGCGTCCTTGCGATGTGACTCGTATGTAAGAACAACTACGGACACCCGGGACGGCTCCGACTGAGATGCATTCAATGGCAGCTTTGTTCCTAAGGGTGTCAAATCTTTTCGGACAGAACCCGGAACCAGTCTTGACGTCGGGTGGCAGGCACTCGCCACGGTCCTTTGTGGCTCCGATGCAGGCTTGGGGGGGGGACACTACGGATATAGTCAGCGCCGTACCTGCATACCGCGGGTGGGGTTAATCCGGATGTGAGTCAGATCCAGTGAGAGCCTCGCAGAAATAATTATTCTGAGAGGTCGCGAAGCCGATCCCGGGGATATGGACGATGCGCCCACGTGGCCGGGCAGGCTGAGCGAGCGGTTGAGCCTGCAAATCCAGACCGGGCGGTCCCGTCGGGGAAGCACTAGGCGACGAGCAAAAATGAGTCAGGACGGAGGACGGCGGACGGCATGGGCAGCTGGCCGCGTTCCACGGCTTCGACGGCTTCGACGGCTTCCACGGCTTCGAGAAGCGGAAATCAGCAGCTTCTTCTCCAGCCTGCGTTTGGCCCGGAGTCGTGCCCGTCGCCCCCGAGCATCCGAGAGGCTAGCCGGATGCGGATGGGTGGGCCTTGACAGACGGCAGTGATTGGTGGTGGGGGGGTGGAATGCAGAGGCTGCAAGTAGGGCTTTCCGGTGGCGTAACCCTCAGAGACAGACTTGCCCGCGGATAGATTCTTCACAACGGCACGGGTGGCTTCGATAGCGGGGGAATTCGCCAAAGCTGCGTCGGCTGGCCGGGTTGCTCTAGCAGTATCGTACCGTGCTAGGCATCTAAGGTTATCTGCTATCTGCTCGCTGCCCTGGAGCTAAAGGGATCCTCGTAGCTCACACCCGCTCGCGGAGAATCTAGGGCTGGCTAGGGGAGGATGCTAGTCATCCTGCAGCGGCCGGGCCTTGCTTCCCCATCTCTCTCCCCCGACCCGCGAACATCAGACCAGATACATACCTACCTACAAGAAGCGACGCCATTAGCAATCAGCAAGCCTGCCCGAGGAAAGCGACGGTGGTTCGTGCAGTGGTGCGGCCGGTGGAGCCACAGGACGAGCCCGACATCGGCGCAGAGGCAAACGGGCAGCAGAAATTGCTGTAACTCGGCCGCTGATTTGCCAGGCCGCGCTTCCCATTAACTAACAAAAACCTCCTCGCCACGGCGTCAATGCGTTTGTTCGCCCACCATATAACTTCTCCTCGCCCGACGGACTGACAACTGAACTGACCCTGACGACTTTCCCTTCTTCCCCTCCTTCATCACCTTCTCTCACCGCGGATTTCAACCCCGTGGAACCTCTCCTCCCCCCCCCCCCCCCCTCTTCCTCCGGAAAGTCATGTCCCCCGCCGATATCAAGGACGTTGAGAATGGGCCCGGTCCCATCGTCGAGGAGGATGGCGCCACGTGGGAGAACGAGCACGACCTGAAGGTGCCGTCCGTCGAGAAGGACCCCTTCGGCTCCGAGGCCGTGGGCGAGGTGCACTACAAGACGCTGGAGTGGTGGCAGTCGGGCGTCCTGATGATCGCGGAGACAGTGTCGCTGGGCGTCCTGTCGCTGCCGGCCACCGTCGCGGCCATCGGCCTCATCCCCGCCGTCATCCTCATCGTCGGCCTGGGCATCGTCGCCACCTACTCTGGCTACGTGATCGGCCAGTTCCGCGCCAGATACCCCTTCATCCACAGCATGGCCGATGCGGGCGACGTCCTGATGGGTCCCCTGGGCCGGCACTTCATCGAGGCCGCCCAGCTGATCTTCTTCATGTTCGCCTCCGGCAGCCACCTGGTCACCTTCACCGTCATGATGAACACCATCACCGACCACGGCACCTGCTCCGTCGTCTTCGGCGTCGTGGGCCTGGCCCTGTCCTTCGTCTTCTCCCTGCCGCGCACCATGAAGAACGTCTCGTGGTTTGCCATGACCTGTGCGTATCCCTCGCTGCATCCTCCTCCTCCATCAAGACCCGTCTGGCTGACTCCCTCGCTCTCCACCCAGGTTTCGTCAGTATCTTCTCCGCCGTCATGATCACCATGATTGGAGTCGGCATCGAGCGCCCCTCCCATGCGCCCATGCAGCTCACCCGCCCGACCACCTTCGTCAAGGGCTTCTCCGCCGTCACCAACATTGCCTTCGCCTACTGTATGTGCCTCTCCGTGGATTCGGGCAGCTCGAGGCCAGGCCTGGACTAACCCTCTCCCTCGATCAGGTGGCCACCCCGCCTTCTTCGGCTTCATCGCCGAGATGAAGCACCCCAAGGACTTCCCCAAGTCGCTCTGCATGCTCCAGGGCTTCGAGATCATCCTCTACACGGTCGCCTCCGCCGTCATCTACCGCTACGCCGGCCAGGACGTCAAGTCCCCGGCCCTGGGGTCGGCCGGCCCCGTCGTGCGCAAGGTCGCCTACGGCGTCGCCATCCCCACCATCGTCATCGCCGGTGTCGTGCTCGGCCACGTCGCCATCAAGAACGTCTACGTGCGCATCTTCCGCGGCACCGATATCATGCACACGCGCAGTGCCCGCAGTATCGGCGCCTGGATCGGGCTCGCGGCGGCCTACTGGGTCATTGCCTGGATCATCGCCGAGTCCATCCCCGTTTTCAGCGACCTCGTCAGCTTGATTGTAAGTGTGCCTCGTTCGCGTCCCTGGCCTGGTGTGTCCCGTACTCATATCTCCCGACAGAGCGCCCTGTTCGCGAGTTGGTTCTCATTCGGCCTCCCCGGCATCTTCTGGCTGTACCTGTACCGGGGCCAGTACTTCACCACGTGGCGCAGGACGCTGCTCACCCTGACCAACGTGGGGCTGTTCCTCATCGGCGCCACCATCTGCGTGTGTGGCCTCTGGGTGTCCGGCCTGGCCATCCACGACGACACGGGGGGTGGCAGCTTCTCGTGCGCCAATAATGCCTGAGAGGGGACGCCCCGTGTGACTGCTCCCGGTGGGCTGTATATATGATAGACTTGTATTATAGTATAGATTTATGTTTAATATTATACCCCTCTGCATGATTCTGCAATCTGAATCTGAACTCTTCTATCCTTGTGCAGAGTTGTGTGATGTTTGGTCGGGGATCAAGCAGATCCCCCTCCCATGATGTCGTTGCAAGGACTTCTATCCATTGACTCGCGGTGTATCAGATCTTTGCAAGCTACCAGCCCAAAACCGTCAATAGACTATTCAGGTAAATCCCTCCTCCAAATCGCTCATATATATGTCTAGTACACATCGATAAGCGTGGAACTGAAGGTGGACAGTTCTGGCGAAAAAGTATATATATATCCGCGGGGAGTGAACCACCTGGAGACATTCCCGTCTCAACAGCCATGACGCAGTTCAAAAAGGACACCAACACAAGAATATCATATGATCCTGATGAAGAGCAGTCATCACACAAATCCAGGAAAAGCTCAGCGTGACGTGATCCTTGAGTGGGCAGAATTACATCACCCTCGCCACAGTTGCCGCTGTCCACCAATCAGGCAAGAGGGGCGAGAAGCCCGCGCACAACAGACAAACCTTAGTCAGCAGCACAAGTCACCAGTTAATGCAGGTGGCAATGTATGCCACGCGACGATCACCATCAACATTGCATTACACTACACACTACACGACACTCCTGTACAAGTCTACCAATAAGAGGTGCCATGATTTACCCATCGGGGCACCATCTGCAGAGGGAGGTTCGGAAGACCCCGTGTCGATCAGACTTGGGGACAACAGTTGGAGGTTAAATACAGACAGCGAAGAGAGAACCAGTCTCTTCCTCTCTCCCCCCCCCCCCACCAACTCCAGAATTGCTTGCTATGTACAGGGTGTGTGGAAAACACGTTAGACCAGGTAGCTGGAGTAGTAGCTGGTGCACTCGTCGTCGATGGTGTCGTCGGCCAACAGGGCCGAGACCTGGGTCTTGTTGCTGCTGGCCAGCATCAGGAACTCGTTGCTGGTGGACTTGGGCCAGCCCTGCTCCTGCAGGCCACTGGCGGGGTCCTTGGCGAAGGCCAGCCACAGGTCCTGCATCTTCTCGCTGACGGCGGTCTCGAACTTGGTGTCGGCGCCGAAGATGGTGGAGGTGCCGAAGATCATGGGCAGCTCGGAGGTGTGGTAGGCGCCCAGGCCGGGCGACGGGGAGATGTTGGTGAAGTTGCCACGGTACTGGTAGCGGTACGTCGTCAGGCCCAGCGACTGGCGGTAGCGCGTCGAGTAGGGCACGGGGCACTGGAACCCGGACAGCGTGATGGCCTCGGCCATGGCGTCGTCCTGGCCCCCGGCCAGGATGGTGCCCTCGTTCAGGTTGGAGCCGAACAGGGCGGGCTTGCTGCTGAGGTGGCCGCCCAGGTAGCGGGCCGTGTAGTTGTTGAAGACCACCTTGTCGTCGATGAAGGGGGCGAAGGTCAGGCTCATGCCGCCGGCGCCGAGGAAGTCGGTCAGGTCGGTGGCGGACACCTGGCGCAGGCAGGCCAGCTCGTGCGCGGCCGAGCCGGTGCAGTTGAAGTTGTCGGCGACGGTGCTGAAGTTGGTGCCGGCGACGTCGGTGGAGCGCGTCGAGACGGTCAGGAAGACGGAGCCCGAGTCGGCGGCGAAGCCCTGGACGATGGGGTCGTCCGGGTAGGCGAAGTTCAGGATGTCGACGCTGCCGGCGCCGGCGCTCTGGCCCCAGAGCACCATCTGGTCCGGGTCGCCCCCGAACTGCGCGATGTTCTGCTGCAGCCACTCGACGGCCGCGCGCTGGTCGAGGATGCCCAGGTTCTGCTCGCTCAGCCCGCGGGCCGCGGGGAAGCCGAACAGGTTCAGCCGGTACTGGATGCTGACCACGATGTGCTCCTGCGAGCGCTGGATCCACTGCGAGGGGATCCAGGCCGGCGTGTCGGTGCCGCCCGACGTGAACTCGCCGCCGTAGATCCAGATGAGCACCGGCAGGTCGGTCTTGCCGTTGTTGGGCGCCCAGATGCTGAGGGTCAGGCAGTCCTCGCTGGTGCCCCCGGCGATCAGCGTCTCCGGCGCGAACTGGCCGAAGGGGCTCATCGCCGTCGAGCCCTGTGGGCAGGCCGGGGGCATGCTGGTGGCCACGATCACCGAGCTGCTGTCGTTGAGCGCCTGCGGGGGCTCCCACCGCAGGTCCCCGACGGGCGACTGCGCAAAGGGGATGCCCAGGAACTGGCGCACATCCGGGAATGAGCTGTTCACGCCACCCTGGACGAGACCACTGGAGGTCGTCACGCGCAGGGAGCTGCTCCCCGTCGCGGCCGCCGCCACGGTGGTCGCCAGCAGGCTGACGAGGGACGCGGCGATCTTCATCATGCAATGAATGACGATCGGGGAAGAGTCGATTGGAGAGAGAGACGAATTGAGCGGAAGGGATCACCTGTCACCCCGGTTGGGTCAAAGAGGGACGGTGAAGACGGGAAAAGGGAGTGAAGGGGCGGGATGATCTACCTCATACCGTCAGGAGCAGGAGGAGGGGGGGGGAGCTGCCTCTTATAGCCGTCGTCTCTCAACTCGCGAGTCATTGTGGGGGGGGTGGCATCCGCCCAACTCATCAGATAGGCCAATATCCCCGGCATCTGCGGCATCTGCTACACCTGCTACACCCTTGGTTCCCACCCGAGACTACCATGACACTGAACCGACTCACACTAACAGAGTCGAAGAGCCGAGCGTGCGCGGTAGGAGGGGAGGAGGGGGGGGGGGGGGAAGGGGGACGGGGATGGTTCCACTTGGCCTGACCCTGAGGAACGAATGACAGCCTCCACCGATGCTGCAGGAACCAGGACCCCTGCAGATGACGCCTGCCCCGACGGTGGCCGTTGGATGTGTCAGTGACCTGCAGGACGTCTCCGAAAGGCTGACGAGGAAGCTCCATCGAGATCCGAGGACGTATCCTGTTCGTCTCCCAGAATCGCACCGAGGGGGCATCACCCCCCCCCCCCCCCCCCAAGTTGAGTCGTACGCACCGTATGGCTGGGCACGTTTCAAAAGCCCCCCGCGGACGAGGTTGTCACAGCCCGCCCACCGGCTTGTTTCGACTTTGGACTGGGAGACCCTGGCCCCGGAGGGGCTTCTGCCTCGGATAAACACTCTCCCTGTGAGAGGGACGCCGCGCAGACCGGTGGCCTGGTGGCTGAGGGCTGGGGGCGTTATTGGCGGGCCAATCTCGAAATCTTCCCCACACGATGGAGACCAGGGTTGCAGAACAAGCTTTCGGATCAGATGAAGAAGTCGTCACGGGTGCGGCGTGCCTGCCTGGCGGTTCCAGATTGAAGGCTGAGGACTTGGTGTGTGGTGACGAGGCGCGCGACGGAGGATGATCCCTTGCCGCATTCCGCAAGGCATCAAACGAACGGCTGGTAAAGTTTATTCCCTGACGAACGGACGAAGAATCCGGTCATCATAATCCCTCACCATGCGGGAGTAGTAGTAAGTAAGGAAGTAACTAGTCTTGTCACGGCTGCGGGAAACGCAAGCTTAATCTCGGGGGGGGGGAGGAAGGAGGGTGGGTCGGATACTCGGCACATCAGGAAATCTCGCGAGCATCCATCCATCTCTTCTTCCCTCTTCTCTCTTCCCTCGGACCCTCCCTCCCCCAGAGACGTGTATCCGGGACTCATGGCGGTTGCCGCCGGAGGGCTGGCACCCACAAGGATAGTTAATGAACAGACTACCCCCATGGAAGCACTTTCTGGGAGAAAAGGAGAGGAGAGAGGAGACAGACCTCCCTCCAGCCCTGTTGGACTGGGTTAGGAGAGGGTGGGTCCTCCGGTCAGGGTCCGGGTCCGTCTGGGTCTGCCTGCACACTCTGCAACCACCATCAGGGATCCCGTTCCGTCCCACGGGCAGGATTCGGACACCGGGAGCTTCCCACTGCTGTCATGGCGTGTATTCCCCCAAGGATAGTTCAGTTCGTACGTAAGTGTGTAGCATCGCCTACGCTCGACTGGGACTAGGGGGCTGGCATGCACGCAGGAGAGGTACGTATGCAAATAATTGGAAATAATAATAATCATCATCATCATCAATATGGGGGGGGAGGGGAGGGGATGTTCCGTCTGGCGCCATCTTATCTTTTGGGGAACGGTCGGAGCTCCGACCCGCTCGGAGTCGGATGGTCCGGCGGACCTGTTTCCAGCTTGGAGGGTATTCACGGCTTTCTCTTTTTCTCGGATTTGCAAGGGGAAAAAAAGGGGGAAAAATAAAAAAAAGAGAAAAAGAAAAAGCAGGAAAGAAAGAACACAAAAATCCACAAGCCCGCCAGCGCCTCTTTTGACCGTGGGCAACCTCCTCCACCCCCGGCTACACCACCCCAGAAAAGCCCGAGTCGCCCTCATCTCGGGATATGCTGCTCAAACCATGCCACCGCCTGGCTGAAGGCTTGCTCTTTGGCAAACTTCTGACGCGTCTCGCTGAGGTCGCAGCGCACCGCAAAGCCGTGCTCGACATCGGAGAACAGGTTGATCTGAAAGGGCACGCCCAATCCTCCCAAAATCGCCTCGCTTGCGTGACGCTTGTCCGCGGTGAACACCGCATCGGTGACTGGGCAATGATTAGCCTTGGAAGAACCGATCCGCAGATGCCTCACTCACTCGCCGCCGCGATGCTCAGGGGTCCCTCGATCCTCCGCAGCTCGTCCACCTCCACCCCGGTCGGATGGGCGATGAAGCCGGCGTCCAGCTTCCCGGACTGGAGATAGCGACACACGTACTTGCCCCCGAAACAATACCCGACGCCCCCGATAAGCTGGCACCCGAGGGTCTCCCGCATCGCCGTGAGGATCCCGTCGACAATCGGATCGACCCGGGGCGGCAGGTGGTGGCGGTACCAGTCCCAGATGTCAAACGTGATGGAATAGTAGTTCAGGGGGATGGGGTCGCCGGCGAAGAGGTCCGGCATGACGACCAGGTAGCCGTGGGCGGCGAACTGGTCGGCCAGCAACTGGGCGTTGACGAACCGGTGGCCCATCGCATCGGTCAGGAACAGGATGGCCTTGTCCGTCGCACGGTCGGGGGGGTAGGCGAGGTAGGTCGAGACTGGGAAGGTGATTATTATTCGAATCATGGTTGAGTTCGGACACAAAGGCAGGGCTTACGGACCGTTGGCAACCTCCCGGATCTCTCCCCTAGGCTCACCCTCGTGGAAAACGCCCACGGTGCAGCAATGGGCTGGTGGGTGGGAAGTCATGGCGACTCTGAGGATACTGTGTCCAGGAACAGTGTCGATGATCAGTTTGGCAAGGGAGCGAGACGGTCTTTTATGCCGGGTCCCTCCAGGCAGCGAGGCGCTGGCGTCACCCTCCCGTGCCGTGGTGCAGGCAACGAGCCTCTGGCGTCACCCTCTCGAGGCAAATGCCCTCGGCCTGGCCCGTTCCATTGCCATGGTGCTGACTGAGTCTGTGACCCGGGCACTGAACCCCGACTGCTGGGGATGAATTGGTTGCATCCCGACCAGGCTGTACTTATGCCCTAGTAGTTGTGGCGGGCGCCTATCGCGCAGCCGCCCGTCTGGAGGGCACGTACCAGCGGGATTGTCCTGTAAATGTGGAAGTACCCGGGTCAGTCCATCATCATCATCATCATGCCTTTGAATATCATCTCCCTCGATATCCGCCACGGCTGGGTGGACGAACCCACCAGGCGCGGCACATGGAGCATCATCTCCGGCTGCCTGTTGACCATCCTGCCCAAACTCCCTGCGCGACCGAGTACAGCTGGCCTCGATCGGGGTGCTGGGACCCGAGTTTATCCTCATGTTGGCCCTGGGCCAGTGGTCCTCCGCGCGGGCGTCAGTTGAGGTGCATAACATCGGCTGCCGGGGCCACCACTCCAGATGGCGATTGGACAGCCACTCACCCAGCCAACAGGACTTTGCACGGGTGAGGATGGCCAAAGCCACGCGACCGGATCCCTGGACCCTGACGCTTGCCTTCTACGCGGATATGGGGGAATTCTGGCTGGACAGCCCGGGGATCGAGAGAGAGCCTTCCCCGTCAGTTATCGAACACCCACATTGATGTTATCCGGTCGGAGGGTCGAGATTCTTCCCGCTGCACTGCCTGTCTGTCTTTTGAGTGAGGGAGGTAACCCACTGACCGGATCGCCAGCGACAACTTCCCCGTCACCGATCGAATGGCGGACGGCATCGCGACCCCCCGTGCTGCTCCTCTCTGGCGCGATGTCTCTGGTCGCCTGGCACTTCCCCTTCCCGGCCCCGGTGGAACACCTCCTTTGGCGGATTGTGAGCATCTACAACCTGCTGTTTACGGTCCTAGGGGGACTGCACGCGGGCTACTGCAACAAATGCCTGCTCACGAAGCTGTGAAACATCGACCCGTCCCAAGATCCCCGTAACGAGGTGCCCCTGCGCGTACTACTGCCGACCTCGGTGCTCTGCGCGCTGTACTGCGTAGATCGAGCGTATATCCTGACGGAGGACTTTGTCGGGTTCCGCAGCTTGCCGGCCAGTGCCTTGGAGACGGTCCGCTGGTCTGACTACGTCCCGCATCTATAGATACATCTGGGGAGGAATGATGGAGGGGAATGTGTTTGGACGGCGTATAGACTGACGGGAAGATGGAGGTGTTTTCCATTTTGGTGGATGTCGGGGATCGGCCCCCACCCACCAATCTGACCGGCGGCTAACCATCTATCTAGTGCTATCTGCCGTGTACCTATAGGGGGATCTGCGGGTTTCCACCCCCCTGTCCGTGCGGGCGCCTGGAGAAGGGGAAGTATCAAGTGGAACGAGGGCTTGGCATGATAATAGAACAAGATTTAGCCCTTCAACTCTTGATCAACCTGGATTAGCTTATATATAGCTCTATATATAACTTTATATATATTTGATTATTATTTAATTTTATATTTATATAGTCTAACTGCCTGCGCAGCAGTATTATAAAATCAGATCTTTATTATATTATTATTCTAGATCTAATAGTTATAAGCCCAGTTAGTCACTCTATTTAATTATATTTTATATTATTATTAAAAGAAGCTCTTAATTAAATTATTAAATTATCTCTAATTAATTAAATTAATTAATTAATTATATTTTCTAATTAGAAAATTATAAAGTTATGTAAACAAGCAGAATAATAGATATTTTAAAGATTTTTATAATATTAAAGATATTATATAACTAGAGAGAATAAATTAAAAATATTAAAGCTATAGCTAGAATATATTAGCCAGATATTTAAAAATATATTAATCTAGATTAGAATATATCTATATCTATAAATAAAAAAATATTTATCTTAATTATTATTAATATAATTAATAATAATCTTCTCAGAAATATCAGCAAGAAATTATTATATAAAATTAAAAAAAAAATTTATAAAAAAAAAAAATTATTATCTAGTTAATACTCAAGATAATTAAGAAAATTAATCTTATAATAATAAGATTAATTATTAATAAATTTAATTCTCTGATTTAAAAGATAAAAAAATTATAAAAGAAATTTTAAATTCTATAAAAATATTTTTAAATATTAGATTTAATATTTTAAGATAATTATAAATAATATTATAAAAAAATCTGCAGTAATTTATAATATATTAATAGAGTGACTAACGGCCAGGTCAGATCAGGTTAATTGGAATTTTTATACCTAACCGCCAGGTTATGATCAGATTAAGAAAATTTTTATATCTGACCGCGGTATAGTTAAAAACCGGGTGATTAATTATTTTAATTATTCTTAATATTAAGATTTATTTACTATATCTTTTTAAGCTCTAGCACGGTTAAGATATATTTAGATTAAATAATTATTAATCTGGCTATTTTTATTATTGTCTAAAAGTATATAAAAAGAAGCTTTTTAGATTAAAAAAATATAACTAAGAAAGAAATTAGTATCTTTTTTATTACTATTTATTAGAAATAATAAGAAAATTCTAGTTATATTAATAAAATTTAGCTTTTTATAAAATTATTATTCTTATAATAAAAAATATATATAAAAATATATAATTATTACTCTGTTTTAGTTATATATCTTAATTATATTATAGAATACTAGAAAAATTATATATTAATTATTAATTAGAATATTAGAAATAAATATATTATTTTTATTCTATTATTTCTCCTGGATCAGGCTATTCTTAGATTTATAGATAAGATATAGCTCAAAGAGTTATTAATAAAATTAAAAACTAACAGACAGTTAAGAAGATTATAGATAATTAGATTATTAAGATAGAGCAGGTTAAATAGATTAAATAGATTAAATAAATTAAATAGATTAAACAGATTAAACAGATCAAACAAATAGAATAAATAAATAAAATATATTAGATCTATACTGTAATATTACAGCTCTTATAGAAGATTTTATAAAAGTTTTTTATAAATTTTTTCTATAAATATCTACTTTCTATTCTAGTCTATTATATCTTAAATAGTTTTATTTAAAAAAAGAAACTATTCTATAACTTTAGACTTTAAATATAAATTTCTGCTTATTAAATTTACTAAAATAAATAAAATACAGCGGGTGCCTTAGCTGTATATTAAAATATAATAAATTATATTTATATAAAATTATATCTTAAAATAAAATAAACTGTCTTTATAGAGTTTTCTATTTTTATTTTTTTATATCTATTATTTGCAGAACAGCTTTAGAATTATAGATTAATTATAATTATTTAATTTATTTTTAAAAAATATTATTAAGTCTTCTTCTTCTGTTTTTCAGATCTTTATAAATTATAATAATATCTAAACTAAGATAAGCTTCTTAAGTCAGATCTTTTCTTCTTTTTTAAATCTTAAGATTATATATATTATAAGAAATCAGAAGATTATTCTATATTCAGCTCTTTAAAAAAAACTTTTTATTTTTTAGAATTAATAGCAGAAGATAATCTTTTTTAAAGACTATATATAAATTAAAAAACTACTATTTTACTTCAGTTAAGAAAAGTTATTAATAATATAAAATAACTTTTAGAAAGATATATTATTTTTTAATAGAATCTTTTATATTTATTATATTATATATCTTTATATTTTATAATATTTAGAAATTAAAAACTTAGAAACTAGTTCTATAAATTATTATCTCTGTAAGAATTATAAAAAGAAATTATTATTAATTATATCTAAGCAAATAATTAGTTAGATACTAAGTAAAGAATTATTATAAATATTTATTTATTTTTTTAAAATAAATCTTTTTTAATTATTATCTTTTTCTAGATTTTTATAATTTATAATAAACAGGATTTTCAGAATTAAGTTCTATATTTTATAATTATTTATTGCCTACTATTCTGAATTATTAAATATATTTAATTTAAATAGATAATTAATCTTACTGCTTTATTTCTCTACTGAAAATTAAGTCTTTTTAATTAAATATAAATTAAAGAATATTTTATAAAACTATCTGAAGAAATATATATATAATTATTATTAAAGTTTCTAGATATTAGACAGATATTAATTATAGTAGACTACTAGATTAGTTCTAATTAGAAAATATTTCTTAATTTAATTAAATATTTCTTAATAAAAAATATAAATTATTATAAGATTTTGCTAGGCTTCTAACTAATATCTAAATCTTATATTAATAAAAATCTAGTTATAATTATTCTATTAGTCTTGTATAAATATAATCTTATTTATTAATTATTAGATATAATAACTAATAATACTAGTAATAATAATATAATATTTAATATAATCTTAGCTGAATTTTAAACTTAACTTAGCTAGAGTATTTAGTTTTATAATATTTTAATTAACTCTGATTTTTTAAAGATTATTTAAAGTTAATATTATATTTTCTGTTTTACTTATATAATTTAGTTTATAATTAATATTTTTCTGTGAAAACTTCGGATTAAGATCTTGAACAGTACTATTAAATATATATAAAAGAATAATAATAAAAATCTTAAAGTCTTTTTTAATATTTTAAAAATTTTTAAGAAGATATATTCTAAAAGCTGTCTATAAAAAACTAATATAAAATCTTTTTTTATAAAGAGCTTCTAGAAGTCTTCTATTAGCTAGTTTATTATATTAATTCTTAATTATAGATTCAGAAAATTATATAATTTATAAATATAAGTTCTTAATATTATAAGAAGTTCTTATTTATTTAATAACTTAAATCTGACTTAATCTATTATCTTTTTTTTAACTATAAAATCTATTAGAACTTAATCTATCTTATAATTTATTAGATATTTAAATTCTATTAAGTAATTAAAAGTTTTATTCAGTATTATAAATATAATAATATTAATTATTTTTATTTTATTATAATAAAATAAAAATAAATAAAATATTTTCTTAAGCTTCTATATCTTTTTTTTTTTTTTATTTTCTATCTCTTTAAGAATAGTAGATCTATTATTTATAAGATTTATAATATTTATAATAATCTTTTTAATTATCTAAATTACTTAATTAATAGACTAAAAAGAAAGTAGATATTTTAAAAAAAAAAGATTCTTAAGAATTTATATAATATATATTAAAAACTCTAAAAATATTATTATTATATCTATTAAATAGAAGACTATATTTATATAATTATAACTATTCTGAACCCGATATTAAAACTTAAAAAGTTTAAAAAAAATATATAATTAAATAAGAATATTAACTAATATTATAAATATTAAACTATCTTTAAGAAAATATTCTCTTTCTATTTTAGTTAAAATCTAATAATTAATATATTATTAATAATCTCTGGATTATTATCAGATCTGGATAAGATTTTTTATAGTATTTTTAAATATCAGAGATTCTTATTTATAATTAAGATATACAAAGAACTTAAGATATATCTAAATATTAAAAATATATAGCTTCTTAAGATATCTTTAATTAAATTAATATAATTTCAGATATTATAAGATATATTAATATTCTTGCTTACTAAAAATCCTGCTATAATTAGTTTTTTATTCTTTATTAGATAACTAGAGATTTTTTTTTGATTATAATTAATAATATCAGTATTAAATATCTTTTTAATAATTTTTAAAATATCTGCTACTATTGCCAGAGCTGTCTTAATCTTAATATAATTAAAGCAGTTATACTTTAAATATATATTAATTATTTTATTATAAGTAAGAAGTATCAGAATATACTTAATAATCTTAATCTAGATTTAATTATCTTTATATTTAAGAAGTAAAAGAAGAATAAAATAATTATTATTTTTTATATTAGTAAGAATAAGAATATAGATAATCTTAAAAATAATTCAAAGAATAAATTATTATTAGAATTAAAAAAATTAGTTTTATCTGAGTCTTTAATTATTATATATATTTAGATAAAGATAGAGACCCGGTCTTTATAATTCTTATATTATTATAATTATTATCCCGAATAGTATAAAAAATAAATATTTTATATTTTTTTTATTTTTTCTATACTAGATTCTGTAAAAGTTTTTTCTAGAATATAATATATTTTTTAATATAATTAGTTAAGCAGATCGAGCAGTAGACTATATTTAAAAAATATTATTATATTTATACTATAATTAAATATATATTATATTTTATATATTATCTATATAAAAAGAATATATATATTATAAATTAATCTGTGATTATTAATCTATTTACTATATTTAATTTTTCTGACCGGCAGATATAAATAGTTATAGTAATAATTATATCTTAATCTGATCTTAACTATATAGTTAAAAATTTTTTATATCTTAATCTGACTGTCAGATTATGGCCAGATTAAGATTAAGATATAATAGTCAGGTTAAGCCACTCTATATATTAATATAAAAATATAATTAAAATATTAAATAAGATTATTATTAAAGCCAAGAATCTTAATATAATTAATATATATAAAATAAAAGAATTATTAGATTTTTTTTAATAATAATAAAATATATAGAAGCCTGAGCAGTATCTAAATAATTTAGTTTATAAAAAAATAAGAAATTCTTATTAAAAAAAAAATTAATAAATTTTCTGAATATATTAAAATATAATTAATAAATCAGAAAAATATATATTTTATTCTAGATATATTTTAAAAAGTCAGTAATATAATTAAAAAAGATTAAATAATTAAAAAAAATCAGAAAAAATTAAAACAGCAGAAATAATTTATCTTAAAAAATTATTTTTATAAAATAAGATATTAATTTAAGAAGTATTATTATATTATTAAATTATTATATTTATCTGATTAGATTTTAAAGCCAGAGATTATTAAGAAGATTTAATAAATAAAAAAAGATTATTTATAATAAAAATAATAATAAATTAAATTATTAAAACAGCTCAGAAAGATAATATAAAAAATAAAAAGATAATTATATTAATATTTATTAAAAAAAAGACTGATAATATTATATTAAACAGAATTATATAAATTATTAAAAAGACTTTTTATTATCTATATAATTTATAAATTACAGATACAGAAATAGATATTTATATCTATAATAATTAAAACTACTTTATTAAATACTGCACAGTATTATTAGAATTATTTATATATATAAATAAATTAAAGCCCTTAATTCTAGAATATAGTATAGTTATTATAAAGATATTAAAAAATAATAATTTAAAAATATAGATTAATCTATAAGAGATTATCTATATTTCTAGAATATATATTAATATTATCTTTATAATAAGAATAAACAGGACAGATATTTATTTTTATTAATATATAAAATATCTAGAAAATTAGACTAAAAAAAAAGTCTATATTTATTATATATTATTTAATCTAGTAATTATTAAATATAATTTTTAAAAAAAAAGAATTTATTAAATAAGATTAAAAAATAAATTATAATACTAGCAGTAGCAGAGAATTATATTATTAAAAATAAAATAATAATTAAAAAAATTTAAAAATCTATATTAACAAAGCTATATTAAATAATAGTTATTAAAGAGATCTAATATAATTATCTTAGATATATATATAAAGATATTATTTAATATCTTAAAAAATTAGCTAATTATATTAAAATTATTAAAGAATTAATAGAAATCTGCAAGATATACAGACTTAATAAAATAAATAAATAAATATTAAGATAATTAATAATATCTACTAAAGAATTATTTAAATATTTTTATTTTAATCTAATCTTTCTTAATTATACAGTAAATATTAAAGAATATATTTTTTATTTTATTAATAATTTAATTAATTATTATATTATTAGTAATATTATTAGCAAGTAAGAAATTATTAATATAATTAGAGAATTAATAAATTAAATAAAAAATTAGTTTAGATATATATTAAAAATTATATTCTTAGATTAAGAAATATTTCTTACTGACAGATATAAAGAATTATAGAATAAGATTAGTTTTTTAAAAAATAAATTAATTTATAAAATATCTGAGCAGAATAGCAAGATTAAATAAGTAAAGATTTTTTTAATAAAAATAATAAGATTAATTTAGATTAGATCTAGATTACTAATTAATCTCTGGCTATTTTTATATATAATTACTATATATATCTTAAATTAAATATCTATCTTAAAAAATAATATATTCTAAAAGATTTTATATAAGTTAGTATATAGTAGAGTGGCTTAACCTGACCGTTATACCTTAACCTTAACCTGGCCATAACCTGGCGGTCAGGTTAAGGTATAAAAAATTTTTAACCGTACGGTTAAGGTCAGGTTAAGGTACAACCGTCACTATAACCGTTTATACCTGCCGGTCAGGAAGGTCAGGTATAGCAGGTAGGTTAATAACCGCAGGTTAATTCGTAATATATACATCCTTCTTACATAGATAATATACAAAGTGTAATATATATTTAATTACAGTATAGACATAGTAATATTCTTTAGATATAGCCTACTGCTCGACCTGCTCAACCGGTCGCCTTAAGAGGTATACTACACTCTGGAAAAGGCTTTTACAGAACCTAGTATAGAAGAAATAAGAAAAGATACAGAATATTTATTCTTTATACTGTCCGGGACGGTGATCATGATGGCGTAGGAATTGTAAAGGCCGGGTCTCTATCTCTACCTGAGTACGTGTGATAGTCGAAGACTCAGGTAAGGCTAGTTCTCCTAATTCTGATAATAACCCATCCTCTGGGTCATCTTCAAGATCATCTATATCCTCATTCTCACTAATATAGAAGGTAGTAATCACCTCATCCTCCTCTTGCTCCTTGGGTGTAAAGATGATCGAATCTGGATTGAGATCATCAAGCATATCCTGATACTCCTCACTTATAGTAAAACAATCGATACACATTTGAAGCATAACTGCTTCAATTATATCAGGATCGAGACGGCTCCGGCGATAGTGGCAGATATCTCGAGAACTGTTGAAAAGACGTTCAACACTGACACCATTGGTTGCGACCGAGAGGAAATCTCTAGCTATCTGGTAGAGAATAGGAAACTGATCACGGCGGGACTTCCAGTAAGCAAGAATATCAGTATGCCCTGTAGTACCTGGAATCGTATTAGTTCGATCGAAGATGTCTTAAGAAGCTACATACCTTCAATATCTAGATATGCCTTAAGTTCTTCGCACGTCTCGACGAGAGCTGGATATGGGACAATCTTCCGATTCTTCGCGACGCGTGTAATCTCGAGATTTGGGGGAGGAGGAAAGATCTGACTTGAGAAGCTTATCTCAGTTTGGGCATTATCATGGTTTGTAAAGGTCTGAGAAACGGAAGAAGAAGGCTCGATAGTATTCTCTGAAAATAAACCAGATGACTGCAATTGACTCATGATTCTGAAGCTGTTCTGCAAATAATAGATATAGAAAGATAGAAGCAGAAAACTCTGCAAAGGCAGTTTGTTTTGCTTCAAGACACGACTTCGCGTAAATGTGATCTATCATATTTTAACATGCAGCTGAGGCGCCCGCCGTATCTTATTCATTTCAGTAGGCCTAGCAACCAGGAATTCATATCTGGAGCCCAGAGTTATAGAATAGTCCCTTCTCTTAAACAGAGCTGCTTAAGGCATAATAGACTAGGGTAGAAAGTAGATATTCATAGGAGAGGTCTGCAAAAGGCTTTTACAGGATCTTCTATAAGAGCTGTAGTATCACAGTGCAGACCTAGTGTACCCTGTTTACCTGTTCTACCCGTTCGACCTGTTTGACCTGTTTGACCTGTTTGACCTGTTTGACCCGCTCTACCCCAACAACCCGACTGTCCGCAACCTCCTTAACTGCCTGCCAGTTCCTGATCCTGTTGGTAGCTCTTCGAGCTACATCTTGTCTATGAACCTGAGGATAGCCTGACCCAGGGGAAATAGTAGAATAGAAGCAGTATATTTATTCCCAGTATTCTAATTAGTAGTTAATATATGGTTTTTCTAGTGTTCTATGATATGATTAAGGTGTACGGCTAAAACGGAGCGGTAATTATATATCTTTACACATGTTTCTCGCTGTAAGAACAATAATTTTATAAAAAGCTGAATTTTATCAACACAACTAGGATTTCCTTATTATTTCCGATGAATAGTGATAAAGAAAATACTAATTTCTTTCTCAGTTATATTTTTTTAATCTAAAAAGCTTCTTTTTATATACTTTTAGGCGACGGTGAAGATGGCCAGGTTAATAACCGTTTAACCTGGGTATACCTTAACCGTGCTAGAGCTTAAAAAGGTATAGCGGGTAGGTCTTGGCGCCAAGAACGGTTAAGACGGTTAACCGCCCGGTTTTTAGCTATACCGCGGTCAGGTATAAAAATTTCCTTAACCTGACCATAACCTGGCGGTTAGGTATAAAAATTCCAATTAACCTGACCTGACCTGGCCGTTAGCCACTCTAGTATATAGAATAAAGTTCTTATTAAATAATCTTAGAATAATAGATTATAAAATATATATATAGAAGATTATAATATTTAAACTAATTAAATTAAAATTATATATATAAATTAGATTTCTTATAGACTTTAAAGTCTTGAATATATAATTTATCTGAAATTCTTAAAATAATAAAATAATAATAAAAAGAGATATTATATTTAATAAAAATTATTTCTATAATAAAAATAAGCTATTTTCTAAAGATATACTGATTATTAATATTCTGAAAAAATTAATAAAAATATCTGATATTAATAAATTTATATATATTTTTAAAAAAAAGAATTCTAAAGCTGATAAAAAAATATTAAATAAGTTTAGTAATATTATTTATTACTAGAATTATATTATAAAATTAAAAATAAAGCAGATAGTTTATCTGGATTAATTAGAAAATATTATAAAAAAGAAAATATTAAATAGATTATAAACTTCTGAAATCTATAATAATATTTTATTAATATTTAATTTAATATTATATATATTATTAGAAAAATTCTTTAATAATAAAAATTATAAAAATATTAATTTTTTTAATTAATCTTTAATTACTGAATTAATATCTAGATTTATAAAAATATTTAAAAATAATAAAATAAATTAATTAGAGATCTTAGATATATCTAGCAGCTAGTTAATAAGTTAGTTAAAATAAAAAATAACAGAGATATTTTTAGAGTTATAAATAATATTTTATAATATTATAAATAATATCTCTACAGATAATATTATTATAGATAAATAAAAATAAATATCTTATATAGATTAAGATATTTATTTAATATATATAATAATATTAAATAATATCTTTTATAGTATATTCAGTACTGCTGTATATAATATTAAAAAAAAAAAAATTTATATAAAAAAAATTTATTAAAATTATTAAAGTTTTATTATAAATTAAAAAAATATTTTTTATAAAATAAATTTAAACAGACTACAAGAATAGAAATTAATATTCTAATTAAGAAATCTATATAAAAGATAATAGATTAATCTTTAAATATATAAGTTTTATTAATAAAATAGATTTTTATATATAAATATAATATAGAAGATTATTTAATTAAATATAAAACTAGAATCTATATCAGAAAAAATCTATAAATAATAATAAAAAAAAATATAAGCAGTAATTCTAGAAACTAAAATTTTTTAAATCTTAATAATATTAGCTATTATATTTAATCTTAATATTTAATAGTATAATATAGTTAATATCTTTTTTAATATAATTCTTAAAATCTTAATATATATAAAGATATCAAACAGCTTTAAAAATAAATATAAAAAAATACTTAAATTAATCTAGATTTTTTATAAACTTAGATATTTATTATATTTTTAGCAGAAGAATTTAATTAAGATTTTTAAAAAACTAGATTTAATAATATATAATAAAGATTTATATCTTTTTATAAAAAATAATATAATTATAATATTTTTTATAAATAATATAATTATATTTTATCAGCTAAAGTATACAGCAACTGCTGATTATATTATTAAAGAAATAAAATAATATTATAAAATCAGAAAGATTATTAAATCTAATATATTCTTAAGAATTAAGATTATATATAATTAATTTAATAAAAAAATATAATTATTTTAATAAGTTTATTATAATTATCTGATCGCCTGATATTATCTTAATATAATTAAAAAAAAAAAACTCTAAATAAAAAAATTAAATTAAAATTATATAACAGAGAGATTATAAAGAGTTAGATTTTTAATTATTTATAAAAAATTAGATCTATATAATTCAGTACTATAATAATATATCTTAATATTTTAAAAATAATATTATATTTAATTAAATTTATAATTAATTCTAGATTAAAATATTAAAAAATAATAAATTATCTATTTCAGTATCTCTGAAATATATAAGATAGATATATTTAATATTTAGATATTATTAAAAATAAGAGAATACTTTCTGAAGAGAATAAAAAAAAAATATAATTAAAATTATTAATAATATAATCTATATAGATCTTAAAGATTAGTAATTCTTAAAAAATTATATATATTATTTATATAAAAGATCTGTTAATTAGCAAGTAAGTAAATAAAAAATAATAATTATATTAATAACAGAAGCTAAGTTACTTATAATATTAAAAATTATAAAAAATATATTCTAATAAAAATATCTCTTTAATATTATTAAATTTAATTTTAATTATATTATATTAATTAATTATAATAATCAGTAAATACTTCAAATTCTAATTAATAAGAAACTTTATATAATAATCTGTCTTTATTATATTAATATTTATTAATATTAACTTCGCCAGAAGATTTAGAATAGTTAAATTAATATATATTAATAATTTATAGACAAGATAATAGCTAATAGTTTTATTAAATTATTAATATCTTAAAATTATATAAAATTTATTAAATTATTAAAATTAATTAATCAAGCTAATTAGCTATCCCATTACTAAAATTATTATATTTAAAAACTAATTTAATATTATATTAATATTTTGCTACTAGAAATTACAGTCTTTGCAAATTAAAAAAGATATATTAAATAGAATAAAGACTTAATATAATAATAAAATAAGATTTAGCTCTTTAATTCTTAATTAATCTAGATTAGTCTATATATAGTTCTATATATAACTTTATATATATCTAATTATTGTCTGATTCTATATCTATATAGCCTAACTGCCTGCGCAGCAGTATTATAGAATCAGATCTTTATTATATTATCATTCTAGACCTGACAGGAAGAGACGCACCACCCACTGCGCGGGGGAATGGGCCTTGCGACGAGCGATCCCCTCTGCTGGGCAAGAGACCGCCAGGGATGTCCCCGGATGCCGGATGCCGGAACTCGTCAGCAGCGGCCCTCGCCCGGATCCTCCTGGGAACTGGGACTGGGATGGGGATCAAGGACAGCGACGAGGGCACGTGGGGGGGCACTAGGCAGCCGCTGACACGGAGAAGGGCTGTCAGCCCCCCATTATTGCTTCTGCGTCTGCAGCTGCAGCTGCAGCTACATCCGTGCATGCAGTGCTGATGGCAGCCGGACGCGTGTGACAGACATGTCAGCGTATTGAGAGTCCCATTCCCGTACAAAAGGCGCCGCCTCCCCGCCCACAGGGGTTCCCGTCTTCGAACTCGAACATCATCACCCTGTGATACCACACGCCATCCATGGGGGACACGACAATAGATCCGGCCGCTGCCCTGGCCGCCTTCCGGGCCTCCTGTGCTCAGCAGGGTCTGTTGACGCCCCGGGACAGTCTCGCGGACGGGGATGTGTCCGACGGCCTCGACGATGATGCCACACTCCTGTATGCCCCCCCCCCCCCCAAAACCGGCCATGGTGCGATGGCCCGTTAACCGAGGTAGACGGTTCCTCGAGGCGCGCAAGATGGATGCCACCGCGGCCCTGCAGCAATTCCAAGAAGCCACCCAGTACCGGACCGACAAGCGCGTGCTGCGGGTCTATGACTTGATCTCGGTGGAGGACCACGACGAGACGCGGAAGCTGGTACGAAAGACCGAAAAAACCCTGCCGTGCGGCGAAGAGGAGATCTAATGCTGTGGAGGGTGTAGTATCCGCACTGGACGGGCCGTCGGGACCGACGGGGCATGCCCTTGCTCATGCTGGATGTCGTCCACCTGAACGCGGCTGCCATGGCAGGCTGGCGCAAAACCCGCGACACCAGCCAGGCCAGCCAGACCCCCTCGATCGTTCCGGACATGGCGCAACGGGCGTTCGTCCATTTCGACGGACTGACGCGGTGTGTGCTGCCCCTCTGCGCGGCCGTGCGCGATCGATCCGACGGGCCCGTGCCCATCACCAGGTCCGTGTATGTCGTGGATGCCAGCACGGTGTCGATCCGGCAGGCCTGGGATCTGCGGGACTTCGCCCAGGAGATCAGTGGCATGCTGGCCACCTGCTACCCGGAGACGATCGACCGGATCTTGGTGAGTGATGGTTTACCTAGCTTATGGGGCTGGGGCTAGGGCTGGGAACGTGGATGGCTAACCCCGACCGCGCCACCAGGTGTGTAACATCCCCTTTTTCTTCGCCCGCATCTGGAGCTTCATGAAGCGGTTCATGGACCCCATCACTGCCGCCAAACTCGTCATGTTGCCGTCCGCGGACGTGTATCCCACTCTGGTGGGACTGATCGACCATGAGGACATCCCCCGCCAGTTTGGGGGCGCGTTCAACTACACCCACGCCATGCTGCCGGATCTGGATCCGGGCCTCCGCCAGAGGCTGTCGTGGACGGACCCTACGAGGGAGGAACTCCCACCGGGGCCGATCAAGTGGATGGTGAACAGCCAGGGGGAGAGACGCCTCGTCGCGACCGGCACGACTGACGGCCTGCAGAGAGCCGAGGAGATTGCGGTCCTCCATCCCGTCGAGTCGGCGTCGGCCTAGGGTACTTCAGTCTGCCAGTCGGGTCCCATCGCGTATGCCGATTAGTGCGACGTCCCCCGGGGAGAGACACATGATATTGATCGAAAGAGTCTAGTCTAGAACATAGCCGGCTATGCAGGATGATGGACCAGTTTTAGAACGCCCCGTGATAGAAAATAGATGCTACAATCAGATCGCCCGCTTGCCTCCCCATTCCCACAGCTGACAGATCGTAATCGCCAGCCACAGGCACACCTGGAAGAGGGTCATGCCCGTGCCGACCCACAGGATCGGCTCCGAGTTCAAGTACTCGCCCAGATCGATCGTCGCCAGCACGAACCCGGTGATGGGGAAGACCATGCACCACCAGATCTGCTCGAACCGGATCGTGCGATGCCACAGCGACTCCAGCATGCTCAGCGCCCCCATGCCGAAGAGAAAGAACGCCAGCGTCCACAGAAACAACGAGGCGGCCACCGCGACCACCAGCAGGACGTCCGCGGTCCGCACGCTGGACGCGGAGCTGATGTAGTGGGTCGGCAGCTTCTCGACCGCGGCGGCGGCCATGCTGATCATGGCGATGATGGTGAAGCTCGGGGGACCGACGGCGATGAACATCTCCGGGCGGTGCGCGGGGATGGGCAGGCCCTCCGTCCCGACGGCGGAGCAGCTCTGCACCAGCACGACCAGGAACATCAGGAAGCCGAAGCCCTGCATCGTGGTGCCGCCAACGAGCATCGGGATGGCCTGGGCGGGGGCCTGGTGCGGCGCCAGCACGCCGGCCATGGTGCCGCTGAGCATCGGGGGGAAGTAGGGCAGGACGTTGACGATGGGGTAGTGGTCGGCGGGGGTGGTGCGCGTGTAGGGGATCCACCAGCCCAGCACGAGGGCCAGCAGCAGCGAGACGCCCGTGTAGACCCAAAAGAGGGCGTTCAGGGTCAGGATGAGCCACCGACCGCAGTGGGGGGTGCCGTAGTAGGAGGTGTTGAAGATGATGGTGGCGAAGGCGAGGAGCGAGATGGGCGCGAAGAACAGGTCCGGCGGCTGCTTGATGTGCAGCACCCGCGCGGCGAACGAGGGCGGTCCCTCCCACGGTTTCGATCCCTCCGGGGGCACGGCCGCCTCCAGGAGCAGGGCGAGCGTGATGGCCGTGTAGAGCACGAGGTCGACGATGAAAATGATGGTCCCGATGGTGGGGAGGCCGTGGAACTGGTGCGGTGTCTGGTGCAGCAGCACCGCGATCCCACCCCAACTCAGCGAAATGGCATACCAGCCCCAGGTCACGGACGAGGTGACCCTGCGGATCGGGGAGATCCAATGCATTTCCTTGTGAATGCGATGCGATGCGATGTGATACGATACGGTGTGGTGTGGTGTGATGTGGTGTGGTGGCGATGATGTATTTATTCCGAAGGGGGAAAGTAGGGCTGCACACGGAGGCGCTGAGAGAGAAAACGAACAGCAGAAATTGCCTCCGTGGCCCGACTGCACAAAGTATATACGGCCAAGATCCGATCCTCATCATTCCACCGGCCAGGCACATCTGGTCTTGGTCCTGGACGTCGGAAGGTGAAGGTAGTGACGTCACCAGCCATGGCATCATGGTCGCCCTGATCCTGGGATAGTTGGAGTCCACGTTGGCCGCAGTGGAGCTTCTCGGGGATGGCCCGATGCCTGGGCACGGCCGATGACACGCTCCTGGCGCGTCCGCTGGGTCGTTATTAGTGGGTTGACAATGCAATTATTCACCATACGAAGAGAGGAACAAAAAAAAAAAAAAAAAAAAACGAAAGGACCATGCCTTGGCCAGGAACCAGGTCTGGCCATCCCGACGGGATGCAGCCGGGACGAGTGGATGGAGGATGGATGATGGATGGATGTATCCCGAGAATATGTTCAGATTAAGACTTCACACAGAATATAGACACGCGAGAGCTCCAAATGATTAGAAATACACAATGCTGGTCCGGTCCTGTCAGTATTCCCCGACCATCACTCCAGAATATACGATCTACGTCCCCGTCTGCCGAATCACCCTCTCACCACCAGCACCACCAGCACCACCACCACCACCACTGCCACCATCACAGAATCCAGTCTGGTGATCCGATTCATTTAAATTCCTCCCCGATTACTGCACGGTCTTCTCCCCCTGATCCTTGCGAGAGAGACGCAACCGGCGCGCCCACTTCATGCGGCTCTTGCGCATCGCCCGCTCCGTGCGCTCCCACGGGTAGTTGACGGGCGACTCACCCCCGGTGAAGATGAAGAAGTCGTACAGGAAGGCCCCCATGAACGAGCCGCTGAGTGAGCCCACCCAGGGGCCGTAAAACCAGTACGGATTGGTGAACAGATCCTTGCCGTAGCCCAGCGCCAGCAGGGCGAGTCGGGGCCAAAGTCCCGGCTGGGGTTGAAGGCGGCGCCCGTCTGGTAGGCGAAGGTCAGACTCAGGGTCATGATGAGCAGGCCGACGATGAAGGCGTTCATGCCGGCGCCCGGGGGCGCGTTCTGATCGTCACCCAGGGCCAGCACGACGATGGTCAGGATGGCGGTGCCCATGAACTCGTTGAAGAAGGCGGTGCCGGGGCCGATCCAGGTCTCGCGCTGGCTGGTGACGAAGCTGGTGATGATGTCGGTGGTGGGGTTGGACTGCAGCCAGTGGTGGATGGACTCGTAGAAGACGCCGTACGCGGCCAGCGCGGCGCAGAAGGCGCCCAGGAACTGGGCGGCGAAGTACTCGGGCATCAGGCGCTTGGGGAAGCCGCGGTAGAACCACAGCATGACGGTGATGGTCGGGTTGAAGTGGGCGCCGGACACGCCACCGGACACGTAGATGCCCAGCATGGTGGCGAAGCCCCAGGCCCAGTCGGTCGAGTTGGGGTTGCCGGCGTCGGCGAAGGTGACGGCCAGGTCAGCACAGAACCCGACGAAGAGCTGCACGAAGACGCCCAGCGCCTCGGCCAGCGCCTCGCGGTGATGCGTGCGGATCACCGACCAGGTGGTGTGGTTGTTGTGCACCTCGTCCTCCACCAGCTCCTGCACCAGCGGGTGCAGGTCCTCCGGGTAGGAGGCGTCGATGTCCTCCAGATCCGGCAGATCCAGGCCGTCCATCTTGGCATCATCGTCAGCCGGGTACTCGGGCGCCTCGGGGACGGACGGCAGGGGCTCTTCACTGAAGTGCGGAGGGTCCTCGTGGGTCTCGCTGGTGGCCGGGGTGCCGCCCTCCTGCACCGTCGACAGGTTCTCCGGGGGCAGGTCCCAGGCCGAGGGGCGCCGGATGCGCGACGACGAGGTGCGCGACAGGCGCGAGCCCCGGACGGAGGTGCCGGCCTCGCCGCTGAGGATCTTGTTCATGAAGTTGGCCTCGCGCTGCAGGCGGGCGTCCTCGACCTGGGCGGCCATCTTGCGGGGGTCGGTGGTTTTGGCGATCTGGCCCTGCTCCAGGTCGTTGGGGTCGACGTCCAGCCCCAGGCGCTGCGAGTTCTCCGCCGGCAGCTGGGCGTTCTGGCGCGCCTCGATCAGCTCCTCCTTGGTGGGCACCATGCCGGACCGCACCACGCGGGGCAGCGGCTTGGCCAGACCCCAGATGGGCTTGGAGTTGGCGGGCTGCTCGTACGAGGGGTTGAGATCGCCGTAGCCCGGCTGGACGAAGGGCTCGTGGGCCAGGCGCATCTGGGGGCTGTCGTCGGGGCCGGCCATGGTGAACTTGCCCTGGGTGCGCTGGGCCAGCGTCGTCCGGGGCGCCAGACTGGGCACCAGGCTGCCGCTGCGGCGCGAGGCCATCGAGCTGCGGCGCCGGACGCCCTCACTGTCCTCGCGGCCAGACGCCCGGCGCGTGGGCGAGACGAGATCGGGGTCCCCCGCCGTCCCCCGACGGGTTCGGGTTGGGGACATGGGCGGCGGCGAGGTTGCATCGGACTAGATATTCGAAGAGAGGGGGGGGGGGGGAGGGACACGGTCAGCGCACGGCAGAACCGATATATCCAGGCCACTCAGATCGGACTTACCCTGGCCCGTGGGCGTCTCGTCTCCCTGTCGTCCATCGTGCAGGGGAAGAGGAACTCTGCTTGGTTGGGGAATCGTTGGGGAATCGGGAGGAAACCCTAGGCTTAGTCGGCGGGTGTGGGAGAGCAACTACTGTGCCCGGGGGCGTGGACGTGACGGAGATTGAAATGTCCGCCGGGGGAGATGTGCCAGGAACAGATCGTACGCAGTACGAAAGGGGAAGTGAGAAGGGGGAGAACAGGAGAGGAGAGCAGGAGAGATTTGCAGGTCAATAAAGACGGCTAACCCAGAGGGGGTGGTGAAGCCCTCTCTCCTCCCCCACCCCGTCGGTTGGCCATGCCCGAGACCGCCAGAGACAGGGAGACAGGCCGACAGACTGACAGACTGACTATTGAGGACCGAGTCGAGGATGGGACGGAGGGCGACCGAGGGCACACACACACACAGAGCGAGAGACACAAACACACACCCTCCACCGCGAGGAGGAGAGACGCAATGGGCAGGCGTGTTGATGCGCCAGATCGACAGGCGCATCCGGTTCTGGAGGGGTGGAGGGGGGGCAGGCCATTGAGACGATGAGGGCTGGCGTCATGGGTGGAGCCGCGCTCGGGCAGTCGGAAGGAGAGAAGGGGAGATTGTCAGAGTTTTGCCAGCAAAACAGGGTTGGGGTTCCTGGCGGGAACCGCTGGGTCGTTGGCCACCGGCTGCCTTACCCACTTGGTGCCCTCTCGTCGGCCCCGCTGTGACGGCCTGGGGGCTCCCCTGGCCCCGATGCCTCGGCCCCCATTGGGCAATGGCCCCTAAGCGAGTCCCCATCGATCAAGGATCGATCACGCCGGTCTCAAAAAGGGGCTTGCTGGCTTCCACACAGTTGCTGTGCCGGCCTCCGATCGGGGAAGGGGAAAGGCCTGAGGGACTCCCACCCCCCCCCCCTCCCAGATGGACGGGACGATATATCTCGATAGTGCACGATGACCCTCGCTATAGCACCCCAACTATAGATAGAGCCAGATGGTATCACGATCAGGATCAACTGCGGGATATGGTCGTCAATATTTATCTAGGTCTGGTGGTCCACGGGGGTGGTGTCGGTGAGTTATTCGGTGACATTGCCGATCGCACGGCTTGTCTCAGCCGGCTTCAGGGCTTGTTTCTCGCGCGAGTGACGCAAAGTCCCCGGTTGGAGAAAGGCTTGTTTGGCCCACGCCAATGGGGGCACGCTGGTCCGGTCCACTGGCTGGGACGCTGTGTCCCGTCAGCCATGCAGAGTTTGCGTCGTCTCGTAGTATGATGATGATGATGATGATGATTATTATTATTATCCCCTGGACGCACACAAGGTCCAACGGGCGGAAACGTCCGAAATCCCGTCGCAAACCCAGGCTGCCTGCAGCCGGCAACGAACGTATGTGGCGTCCGCTGGGCGATGGGATATATGTATGGTAGGGAAGATCCACCGATGATGGTGTGGCCGGGAGAGTGTTTTCCGCCAGAACTAACCCGACATCCAACAACAGCACACCCGACGGACAACCGATCCTTCCCTTTGGAACTCGGTGCCGTCTGCGGCTGGTGATTGGCGATCGCAGAAAACCTCGAGGGAAGCCCGGGGAATGGGTGTGCAGGGGTGAGGGTGACGCCCTCTTGCCCGCACCATCACGACGGACACGACCAGAGCCGTCCAGGCGACGGCGGGCGATCAGAGGGCCGTTGATGGCCTCCTGACTGGGCCTCCCGGATCGCATGGCGTGGGCAGCGAGGACCGTTCGCACCCGCGCAGGGGGGGCACGGACCGGTCGCTGCAGAAGTCGGCCGCGCGGAGGGATCTGGAAGTCATCTCGGGGGGGGGGGAAGGGGGCATCGACGGCAGAGCAGGCGGGCAGTCATCTTCAGAAGGTCGCCATGGATCGATCAGGGGGACCGCGACCAGACCAGATTCACACCACGTGAACGACTGACTGGTCAACGGGTTGGATAACACGAGGAGCACGAGGAGTTCCAGAAACCATATTGATCAAGTCCGGGACGTTCTCGACTCCATCCCTCTATCCAGGTTTGTCGGGTCCAATGGGCATCCGTGGCTCTTCCTGCCCTGACAACCTGGGCAAGCGAACGTGTGGCGCGGGACACTCACCATGGGAGGCTCATCCACATCCATCGAACGGAGAAACCGCAAATGAAGAGGGATGGATAGAGGATAGAGGGAGGAATCAGACGAACAGAAGAACAGGCTGTCCTGGGTGTTGTCCCCCAGGGAATACGCAGTGGGGCAGCCGGTCGCCCCTTGCATCCCTCCATGCCGCATTCATCCTGGGACACCCCGTCTCGCCCTTCGTCCGGGACTACTTCCTACAATGCATGCCGCGAAAGACAGATGGCGGATGGGCACTACGCCAAAGGGGGCCCTCCCCAGTGCACGTCTTCGAAAGGAACTCCCAAAGGGGCGTTAAATGTCCGGATACGATTGTCTACTCGGGAACCCACCCGGCCTCCCACTGTGCTTGGATTGAAACTGATGCCTACCAGTACATCTCCTTGATCCTAGCGAGACCGTCGCGGTCCTTCCGGGACGTCCGAGTTACCCCTGGGACGACGGGCAGAAGACCACCTTCTCGCCCGAAACGCCCACTTTATTCAGATCCAGCGCCTCCTCCACCGCATTCAAGCCCCCGGCGACCACGCGCGGCCGGTTGGGGATGAAGAGGCCGTGGGCCAGGTATTCCGTCAGGTGGCGGGCCAGCGGCTCGCTCAGGTACCGCAGGTAGGGGGCGCTGCCGAGTCCCAGGACCTGCTTGATGCCCACCCGGGGCGCCCGCGACTGACCCAGCGCCACGGCCTCGGCATCGACCCCCTCGGGGCGGACGGTGTGCACCGTGACAACGTGGCCGTGGGGCGTCCCGGTGGCCTGCAGGATCTGCACGCCCAGCACCTGCGTGGAACGGATCGAGATGGCGTCAAACACAAAGCGGAGCGGGAGGTCGCCGATGGCCGTGGCGAACGAGGGGGCGTCCGAGTGCTTGCGGTCGATCACGACGTGGGCACCGAGGCCGCGGAGCCAGGGGTGGTTGGCGGGGCTGGCGTTGGTGACGATGCGGTCGAAGCCGGACAGGCGGGCCAGCTGGATGGCATACTGGCCCACGGACGAGGCGCCCCCGAGGATGACGATGGCCTGGCCCCGTCCGACCTGCGCGCCGCCTGCGTCCCACGGCGGGGGCAGCCCCTGGCCGTCGGTGTGGTAGAAGGCCGTGACCCCGGCCACCGTCGCCAGGCTGATCCCGGCCGCCTCCTCGTCACTGACGTGGTCGGGCGTGTGGGAGACGAGCGCCGCGGGCATCTTGCAGAACTGCTGGAAGGTGGAGGAGTCGTACGAGCCGACGATGCCCTGGAAGAACACGCGGTCCCCCGGGGCGAAGCCGGCCACGTCGGGCCCGACGCTCACCACATGGCCCGCGGCATCCGACCCCAGCACGGCGGGGTACTCGCTGATGAACGCCTGGTAGTCGCGCATCTTCCAGTCGACCGGGTTGACCGCCGTCGCGGTGATCTGGATGCCAATCTCGCCCGACTTCACCGGACCCAGGGCGCGGTGCGTGATGATGTGCTGGGCGCCTGGCTCGGGGACCACGGCGGCTTTGGAGGAGAGCGGGTAGGCCATGGTCGAGAAAGGTCGCGAGGGCGTTTTAGGGCTGGGATCCCGTTTGAGGGAAGTACAAAGCCGTCACAGTCTGCCGACCAGCCAGGTATCAGAAGTAGTAGTGGTAGTAGTAGTAGTGGTGGTAGTTGTAGTAGTAGTTGTCCCCAGGGGAGGGAGAGCTGATCGATGTCGTCGGACGGCCCGGGATGGACCGGGCCAGACATCATCAGCCTGACGACATCCACTCGTCCACGTGCGGGCAAAGCTTGGGATAGTCAGCAGCCAAGATTTCTCATCTGACTTCGTCACTGGCTGGTGCCAATGATACTGCCTTTTTTTCATGCAGTCTACAGTCCTCTTCGCCCTCCCGAATACGCCTGCCAGAGTCCCATTGTCCGGGGTGGTTGCTCGAGACTTCTACAAGAGGTGGTGGGTTTGTTTCCCCGCCCTCTCGGAACCAACTATATATCACGGCTACATCTCAGCCCTACTATAGCAGGAAACAGCAAGTGGACCCGACTTGACATTCCAGCCTAGGGTTGCGTTACTTTATTTCCGGTGGGTTCTTGAGAATAACCATCTGGCAGGAGTGAACCATCTGGCAGGAGTGGATGTTGGATCAAGGCGTTGAACCCACACGCCCAGGCGGCTGTCCCGGTTCAACCCTAATCAAGTACGTCTACGCTGCACGACTCACACGACCACGACGCGGGGTATGCTCGACAAGTGGATTCCAAGAGTGACTCTCTAAAGAAGCGGAAATCTAAACAACAACCTCGCCATCTCTCCCGTCTCTCACGCCTTCAGCGTCACCCCGTCCCAGAACGCCAGCGCCCGCGCGATGACGAGCTCCTGCTGCTCGACGGCCAGGTCCGAGTACAGGGGCAGCAGCACGACCTCGGCCGCCGCCCGGGTGGTGACGCGATCCTCGCCGACGAAGCGGCCGACGCGCTGGCCGAAGGGGGAGGAGTGCAGGGGCACGAACTGGGGCTGGGTGACGATGCCGCCGTCGGCCATGTACGCGATGAACGCCTGGCGGCGGGCGGCGTCGGCCAGGCGGAACCAGAAGACGGCGGCGTTGTGGACGGCGCCCTCGGGCACGACGGGTAGGCGCAGCACGCCGGCCTGCACCAGCGGGGCCAGGCGCTTGTGGTAGCGGGCCCAGAGGTGGCGGCGGTGGGCCAGGATGTCCGGGGCGGCCTGCAGCTGGGGGTACAGGAAGGCGGCCTGGATCTCGCTCATGGTGGCATTGATGCCGACGTCCAGCCAGTGGTAGACGGGGACCTCGCCGCGCAGGAACTGGCCGCGGTTGGTGCCGTGCTCGTAGATGGTCTCCGCGCGCGCCGCCAGCGAGGCCTGGTTGACCAGCAGGGCGCCGCCCTGCCCGCCGCTGGTGAAGACCTTCTTCTCCTGGAAGCTGATGCAGCCCAGGTGGCCGATGGTGCCCAGCAGCCGGCCCCGGTACGTTCCGCCGCACGCCTGCGCCGCGTCCTCCACCACCAGCAGCCCGTGCCGCGCCGCCAGCGCCATGATGCCGTCCATGTCGCACGCGATCCCCGCGTAGTGCACCGGCACGATCGCCTTGGTGCGCGGCGTGATGGCCGCCTCGATCAGCCGCACGTCCACGTTCATCGTGGCGTCGTCGAGGTCGACGAAGACGGGCACGGCCCCGTGCACGACAAAGGCGTTGACGGTGGACACGTAGGTGTAGCTGGGCACGATCACCTCGTCGCCGGGCTGCAGGTCCGCCAGCAGGGCCGCGATCTCCAGAGCCGAGGTGCACGAGGTCAGCACGAAGGCCTTGCCCCCGTCGGGCATCGAGGACTCCAGCCAGCTCTGACAGAGGGCCGTGTATTTGCCCTTGCCCGTCAGGGTGCGCGTCGTGAGGGCATCCTGGATGGCGGCCATCTCCCGGCCCGTGACGGTCGGGACGGTGGTGGGGATGACTGTCTCTGACATGGTCAACAAGAAGAATAATGGATCTATCAGTGACGAGACGTGCAGGGGGGGATGGGTGGGGGAGAGGGGAGGGGGGGGGGGGTTGTGGTGCCCTGGTGGGGGTCCCGGTATATGAGCTCAGGGCCCGCCTGTTCCTCCCCCCCAGACCGACAGGATGGACAATCTCGAAGAATGCATTTGGAAGGCCATCGAGGGGGAGGGAATACGACGTGTCCAAGCGTCCCGGTCCCCTCCCCCTTCCTCTGCGATGCAGCCCACATCAGCGCTGACTGACCAGGACGCGCGAGGGTAATTTTCAAATTTGGCGGTACACGCAAGGTATGAGACCAGACCCGCGGACTGGGCACTGCCACTAGTACGACCAGGTATCCATGCAGCCTGCAGCAGCACCCGGCAGGGAGCCAGGAGGAAAGGCCCACCCCTCACGTGGGCAAGGAACATGAATCCTGTCCTAGTCGAGTAACACGATGATCTTCCGAAATCCAATCCATGCCGGTGTTGTATCTTTTTACATGTGGGAAGCTAGAGCATAGCCACCAGCCTGCGCTGCCTGCTTTCAAGTGTACTATACTATACTACGGAGCTCGCGCTAGTTTACACCTGTGGTATGGGTTTCACTTGTCGCAGATCTCTCCGACCCATCCCACCGATGCGCCAACAAGAACTGGAGTGTTGTACCGATCAAGTTGGGATAAATCGTTATCAGTGGATGAATGGAACCGAGATATATGTCCGACGGGCGTGACTGGGATATTCCCAGCATTCCAGATGCGGGAAAATTACACCACCGCGCAGATTGGAGATGTACTGGCTCGAGTAAGTGACTCTTCTTAGGGGTTTCCCACGGGAGCAGTGAATGATACCCCTAGTGACGGGCGATTGCGTGGGGCCAGACGTCGGGGCCAAAGTGGTGCGGCCTAGCCATGGCTACCCGGCCAGACCGTATCCGTTGTGCGAGCGCCAGGGCCATCCTGAATCGCGCATGGGCGGGTCCCTGATGTCTGAAGGGACAATCGATCCGGACCCGAGTCCTGGAGCCTGACAACGGCCCGCCATTGTCGGTCACGGTCCAGGATAAGATCGTCCGTCGCTTCGGCACTGACATACCGGGAGGAATGGGCGCTCAGGAGCGGATGCAAGGGGGCAATCCGTGCGGCGACGGGGCCCAGCGCCCCTAGAACCGCCCTGAAAGGCTATTTAAGGACTCGAATCTACCGTGGTTCACTGCCGAGATGAGACACCGTATGGATCGCCTTCCCATGCCCGTGGAGGTGCTGGTCCAGCCGGCCAGGGTCCCCCCAGATGTCCCCGCCCCGGCGAGTCAGTGAAAAGGTCGACTTACCGCATTGGATCAGGAGGTGTATGGATGCCATCTCCGACCCTGAGTCTAGATTTCTTGTTGCATCATCCCTTTTTGCTTCTTTCGTTCGATCGTCAAACCTGATTATGCTGGTCCAACACGCCCAGACATGACAGCCAGATAGGGATATGACGCACCAATACGAGACCCCATCGGTACCTGCTGCATGCTTGCCTCTCGCTGCACCCAGACGAACGACCTTCCAGAGAGACAGCCATCCCTACCTTTGGACAGGAGAGTTGTACATTCTCCCGCAACACGTTCGAGGGAGTTACGCCTCCCCATGACATAACATCATCATGCCTGGATGGAACGACAGAACGCTACCCACATTCCTCTCCTGCACTCCGGGCAGTTTCTGGCGATGGGGATGTATGGCCTAGCGACGCTCAGACTCGGTGGGCAAAGTGCTTTTCTGTACGACACTTGGAACCGCCAGAGGGGAACCATGACAGGTTCTCGGGTCTGGTAGGGCCGGTTGAGACCGATCGGCATATACTCGCCGAGGATGACTGGGCGAACCCCCCCCCCCCCCCCCACCACCCCCCATCTACATGGCTACGCATCTATCGACCGTGACGTTACTCTTGGGGCAAGCTTCATGCAGAACAGTGCCAATTCCATTCCACTATCTCCAGCGTCCGAATGACACATAGGAAGTTTCTCTAGCGGGCAGCAAAGCCAGAAATCACCGTCAACTCCTCGATCTGCTCCGGGCCATCCAGCAGTTGCTTCTCGTCAAAGGTGGAGTACATGCTCTGCAGCCAGGAGCGCTCGTGGTGCACCTCCAAGGCCTCCTTATTCGCCCATCTGGGTGTCGGCAGTGACCTGGTGTCAGCGATTATGCCGGGGGATGGAATCGTCGGGGGACCCCAGAGCAACGAACCTTTCGATCACCTTGAACTCGATGGTGCCATCGGGGCGCTTGCATTCCGTGAGGAGGAAAGTGAAGCAGGTTTGTTCGACCTGCTTGACGTTGTGGGCGGTCTCACAGAGGATCTGACGGAGCTGGAAAAGTGGTCAGCGACAGGGTCCCTCTTCCAGATCAGGCTCCAGGGAGGGAGGGGGGGGTCTACCTCGGCCGTCTTCCCGGGGGCGGGTCGTAGGGTGGCGATGAGGTTCACTCCGGTCATTTTGTGGGATGTGTATATAGAGATCGATGATCGATGCGGTGGGAGACGGTGGGATGTAATCCTGCGGTAGAAGGGAAAGGATCTCCCAGGCTTTTAACTCCCCCCCCCCCTCCCCCTGGCGCTGGTGCGCTGGGCCGTCGTTTGGTAGGCGTAAGGCGTATTTTTTTCGCACCCGGCCAGTTGGCCGCACATCGCATTAGGGCATGCGTCAGGGCGCTTGGGCTTGGGCATCGACAGCACGCCGCGCAGGCCGCGCGAACGTCGATCGGGTCCGATGCGGGATTTTTCACCTGATCCTGGAGCGACGATTCCCTTGCGACGCGACGACCGGATCGCCTAAGCGTGCAGGCGGGGGGTGGGACGAGGCTGGGCGCTGGTCGAGGAGTATAACAGCCGAGGCCAGACAGACGGGAAGGGCAGGCCTCCCTCCCTCCAATCCCCACACAGCCTGGCTGCATCCAACCTGCCCTCTCCCCTTCACCTGCTCTCCTCGGCACCACCACCGCGACCATGGTCGGAGTCAGGGACGTCACCGAGTTGATCAACAACCCGCCGTTTGAGCTGAGCGCCGCGGACAAGGAATCCCTCCTGACGAGGGAGGAGGACTACATCCCCCACACATGGGAGGAGATCAAGCAGGTCATCGGTATGAATGCGATCGATGCGTGTACGCCCGTTCCCTCGCCCGTACTGACTTCCGGCACAGCTGACGGGGACATGTCCGTTTTGAAACGAGGCCCTACCGACCTGCGCAACTACATCCTCTGGACCCGCGACACGCGGGCCAAATACGGCTCCGCGACGAACTTCATCCTCCACGAGCGGCTGCAATGGGGCACGCCGGTGGACGGCAAGCTCTCGTGCCTGGACCCGGTGCCCTTCGCCAACCCGGCTGACTATCGGGTCCTTCGCAACGACTGGCCCTACGGCACCACCCCGGATATCACCCATCTCGTGGTGTGGCTGCGGACCCCACTGGCGGTGGACGAGGAAGGGGATCCCACCCCGGAGTCGCGGCAGCGCATCACGGACTTCCTGAAAAAGACCTTCGGCGTCTCGGGGGACGGTCAAGGTGACGATCGCCTGCTTTGGTTCAAGAACCGGCAAAAATGGCAGAGCGTGCGGGCCATCGAGCATATCCACGTCCTCCTGCGTGGCGCAGACGATGCCTTGATTACCAAGATCACGGGGCAAACCCAAGACGATATGAACTGCCGCGCCTACGTCCCCGAGTGATGTGGTCGCATCCGGGTCCTTCGACTATCTCTGGTCCATCTGGAGAAGACGACAGGGAGGGGTACATTGCCTGGCTCATCCAGTGGCGTCTGAGGTTTCCCCGCAGGGTAACAGATGCCGTCATCGGAACAGCTCCATAGATTCTATTAGAGGAAATTAAGATTAAGAAATGCCACCCGGGCTTAGCCACTGATTCGAACCCCAAGGGCGTAGTGATAGATCCCGAGGATGGACGCTGCTCAGAGTGCATGCGGACGGAATCCCCTGGAGGGAGCCCGTGAGGGCCAGACAGGTGCGTCTTGATCCGCAGCCAGGATATGGCGCAGCCCGCCCTCCCCGGGGACAATCCAGGTCGAGTCACGTATCCAGGTACCACGGACGGCGCGGCACACCGTCAGATGCCAGAGCTGTCGGGGCTCGCATGATGGACGACCGACTGGCATGCAAGGAGGAGACATCGCCCGTGGCAGGAATGGCGACGAGCCCCGCGGAGGCGGGCTGATAAGCCCGCCCCGGGCGAACCCTGATTCCCCTCGCCTTCCAGCCGTCGGGCGGCGATCCATCGCTTAGGGCACTCGAAACAGCAAGTGCTGGGCTTCCCTTGCGCGAGAAACGATAGGAGAGGGAGGATGGGAACTGATGGCGGGCCCCCTCCTGCATTCTCCGTCCATGCATGCCGGCCTGTCGTCCGCTCCTCCGACATGAAGCGGCCCTCGCAACGATCTGGCCACCCACCGTCGACGGATTGCCCTGATCGTCGCGCCCTGGGATTGCGCTTCGTGTCCTGGGATGCCCCGGGACTCTCACGTGTCGAGACGGTCACCGTGGAGTGGCTAGGAATCCTGCGCACGAAGCGCATTCTCTCCGAGGCCTATCAGCCTGCACGGTGCAGGGGCGTCAATACCATTTCCTCTTACGTACCGCGAGCGAGGGACGGACAGGAAGGGTGGAAAACCGGTGGGAAAAAAAATGACATTCGACCACACAAGCCCCCTCCCCCTACAAACAAACACGAAAAAAAGCAAAATGACAATACCAGACCGCCCCAAGGGTGAGCGGCCGAGCAGAGGCAAGGACTATATAATGGACGGGGGGTGGACACGACAGGGGTCACTTGATCGGTCAGTGGTGTCGCCCCCGGGATCTGTGTTTCACTTATAGAGGCTGGAGATCTTCGTCCATCGGGTGCAAGCTTTAGGCAACATCATTACCCACGACCGTCGACAGGATGACCGTTCAGCAGCTAAGTCTCAATGGGAATGGTGAGGTGGGCGAGAATGTTCTCGCCAACGTGAAGACCATCTTGGTCACTGGGGGGGCCGGCTTCATGTAAGTCTCCCTCTCCGGTCCGGCGTCGGCAGTCTACCTGCAACGCCCGCTCCTCCCCTCCCCCGTGAGAGATCCGGTGCTGACGTGAGGATGGATGGAATCGCAGTGGCGGCTGGTTTGTTCGACACATGCTCCGCGTCTACGGGGAGAGATACACGGTCATCTGCTTCGACATCCTCGACTACTGCGCGTCCAAGCGCAACATCCACCCCGTTGAGCACATGCCCAACTTTCACTTCGTCCAGGGCGACCTCTGCAACCCCCGCGACGTCAAGGCCGTCTTCCAGCAGTTCAAGGTGGATGTCGTGGTGCACTTTGCCGCCAACTCCCACGTCGACCTCTCCTTCGTCGACCCCATCTCCTTCACCCAGAGCAACGTCGTCGGCACCCATGTGCTGCTCGAGGCGGCCCGGCACTGTGGCACGCTCCGCCGCTTCATCCACGTCTCGACAGACGAGGTCTACGGGGAGAATGAGCCCGGGCAGGACTTCGCCTTCACGGAGGAGGACCGCCTCAACCCGACCAACCCGTACTCGGCCAGCAAGGCGGCGGCCGAGATGATCGTCAACGCCTACCTCCGCTCCTTCCACATGCCCATCATCATTACCCGCTGCAACAATGTCTTCGGGCCGTACCAGTACCCTGAAAGTGAGTTGGAACAAGATGCTGGGGGGGAGGATCGGTTCCGTGGCTAACCCGTGCGGTAGAGCTCATCCCCAAATTCGCCACCCTCATGTCCCACTCGAAACGCATGACGCTGCATGGCAACGGCACTACGATGCGCGGCTTTGTCTTCGCCAGCGACGTGGCGCGCGCCTTCGATCTCATCATGCACCGCGGGGCCGTGGCGGAGACGTACAACATCTCCTCCAGCAAGCAGATCCAAGTGCGAGACGTGGCGGACAAGATCCTGCAGTGGTTCCACCCGGGGTACACGGGTCCGACGGAGCAGTACCTGGAAATGGTGCAGGATCGACCGTTCAACGACCGCATGTACTGGACGGACGACTCCAAGCTCCGGGAGCTGGGGTGGAGTGAGCAGGCCTCCTTCGACGATGCGTTAGCGGTCACCCTCCAGTGGTACCGCGAGTACGGCGAGGTCTTCTGGCCCAAGGCGGAGGCGGCCATCGAGGCGAATGGGCTTCCCATCTGAGCAGACAGCGCCGCGAGGGGGGCGAGGGGGGAGAGGGGGGGGGTGGATGGAATATCATTCCGGGAACTAATTTGCACAGATGGGTTGACCTTCGAACCGCAAACAACAAACGGCAAACTCATCACCCACTCGGGTTTGGCGGCGCTACAGTCGCGGGGGGCCAAAAAGGCTGGGGCGAGATCTACTGGCGATGGATGTGTCTGGGGAGGACGGGGTCTGTCTGATATCCACGCTGGGCGTGCCGGGCTGCACCCGCAAAGAGGCGCAGCCATGGAGAGAGCAGCATAATATTATCCCGACCAATCGAGGAACTTGACCCCTTTCCGTATCTCCCGTAGTTCCCGTTGTTCGGCGGGCCAAGAAAAAAGAGAAGAAAAGAAAAGAACTCTCCCCCACGGGCTCAGCCGTCAGGCATGGTCAGGCGCCGGATGCATCTCGGTCGTGGTGCGGATGCCTACCCTAGCACAGCAGCGTCCAGGGCTTGCCATATTTGTCATGGTAGATCGGAAACTGATTCCCAACGGAATGCATTACGTAGGAAGTTCGATATCCCCTGTCGATGTGTCCTGTGTTGCCATCTCCATCTTTGCATCCCTGCGTAGACGGTCAGTCTCGCGCGTGGTGACTGTGCAGGGACGCCATCGGGCCGATTGGGAAGGCGAGCTAGGGCTTGCATGGAGGATGCGAGGCTTCCCAGCAAAGTCACCATCCAAGGCCTCTGAAACCACGCCGTCGCGGGGGGAGAGCCCTTCCGCCACCAGACCTTTGTACACCCCGAGTTGAATACATATAGTATATATATCTCGCCTCATTTTGCGACGAGCCAGACATTCCCGAGATTCGATCAGGGCCGCCCCGGTATGATGCAGTCGTCGGAGGATCCACATTCGCCGCACCCAGACGGGCCAGGGTGACCACCAGCAGAGCTTGTCCATGTCGTGGGGGTAAAGCTGATCGACTAACGTTGACGATGGCAAGGGCCTTTCGTCATGCGGAGGGATTCTGTTGCCACTGATGAGCAGAAGGACCGATAGGACCCCTCCAGGCGTGCGGACAATCCAGCCAGCTAGCCCTACGCCACCCCGGAGCTGGATGGCCTCTGACGTATGTCTACGGGGCATCTACCCTGGTCGTGAATAGCAAACCCTAACGGCGGTGTGCAGTGAGAAAGAGATATATATCCGGGAGACTATAACCCATGCAGCAACTTGCCTGCACTCTAGATACACCATGCCACTGTACACAGCTGTAGACGCTGTCTGCATCAACTACCAGGGCCGCCATCGGGGAGAACTCGACAGAGACCCTGCGGCCAGCCCTCCCGATTTCCAGATTTCCCTTCGCCACCCGCCGTCCGTCTTTCAAACCGCAGACCATGCGCGCCGTAATAAACCCTAATAACAACCCACAAAACCCTTAATAGCCCCCCCCCCCCCCTCCGCAGATACCTGCTGTTGATCCAGGGGGAGCTTTTCAACGCGTCGCTGGTCAGCCCGCAGCGGGTGTTGGACCTGGGCACGGGGACAGGGAGTTGGGCCATCGACTTTGCAGAGTACCGGAAGCCCCTCCCTCCCTCGTCATGGATTGTGAGCCTAGATAACTGACGCCCTCTGGCTCGGGGGAGGTAGGAAATATCCCGCGGCGAAGGTGGTGGGCAATGATCCGAGTCCCATCCAGCACCCGCGGGCCCCCCTGAACGTGGAGTTTCTCATCGACGACTTCGAGAGCGACTGGGTGGAGCAGCCCGACACGTACGAGTTCATTCACTCGCGCGGCCTGGCCGGGTATGTTCTCGCCCCCTCTCCTCTCCGATACCACCACATCTGGGTCTGACCGGTTGTTCCCGGCTGGGGCGGGTGGGGATCTGTAGATGCGTGGGCGACTGGCACCGGCTGTTCCGGCAGGCGTACACGCCCCTGAAGCCCGGGGGGGACACTTTGAGCTGCAGGAGAGCGCGGTGTGGGCCTGGAGCGACGACGGCAGCCTGCGCGGGGACTCGCCGCTGGCCGAGTACGCGGGCCGGCAGATCGGGCGCGCGCTCAACATCTTCGCGGACCTGGCGCGGTGGCTGGGGGCGCACGCACGGGTTCGAGGAGGTGCGCGAGGCGACGTACCTGCTGCCCTTCTTGCCGTGGCCGACTGTTCATGCCTATACCAAGATGTCAGTCGGAAACCCTTATTACTCATGCGATGTGTAGTGTGGTGGCCTATGGACGGAAGCCTCGGAGATGAACGGTGATAGAGAGCCCCGGAGGGATGACAGGCCTGCCGCATTGGCATGCATGCATGTATACTTACTACCTAGTCTTTTTCGTTTTTCCTGTTGCGTTGCTCTTGACTCCGTCCTCCGCTCGAGTCTGCAGAGAGCCTGGCCGTACTAGATATGCATGTAGAATGGACGGCCGCGGTCCACCTTCCTTCCTTCCTTCCTGCCTTGCCTGCCTGTCATCCACCCCCCTCCCGCCTTCGCCCGACACGTTACCCAGCACCGGTTCTGCGGGCGGTGCTGCCGCAGCTGTTTCATCCAGCTGCTCGAGGACGACAGCAGCGTGTGAGGGGAGGAGCCATCCTGGACCGTTGTGTATGGATTTCACTCAGGGACGATCAGGTATATTGGGGGGGGGATACTTGACCCGGGCGGGGCAGTGGCCTGTCCGTCACATGCCCCTTGGTCGACGTTCCAGGATATAGTTAAGAGCTTCCTGCTGACGTGAGGCGTCGTAATCGGTGATCCTGTCATGTCAGCCCTTCCACGGTCTTCCATCCATTCAATCGGGGGATGAGGGGAACCCTGGCCACGCAACGGCGCTTGAGTGGCTGGCGCGGGAGGGACTGCATCCCGCGCGGCATCCGTGCCTCCCTCCGATCTGCATGGATGCGGTGATATAAATCCGGACACTCCGCAGCCCCCCCGGATGATGTTCGAGATCTGCTCGCCTGCCATCCACGCTGCGCCATGGCCGACACGCCGCTTCCGCTTCCCAACCCCAACCGCTACATCACAGAGAATGCCCCCGACGGTAACTCGTTCTTCTCCACCGCGGTGGACGAGTCCCTGCCCGTCCTGAACGATCTCCGCGGCGCCCTGATCCGGCTGGGCTACACCACCGACCCGCCCCCCGCGGCGCTGAGCCATCCGACCGATGTCGCCCGGTACGCCGCCAGCCTGGCCGACCCCCCGCCCCTCGTGCCCCTGGAGGGGGGCGCCCACGTCTGGTATATCGACACGCCCCCCGGCGGCGAGAGCCCCCTGCATCGCACCGTGAGCCTGGACCTGGTCATTGTCCTGGCGGGCGACGTCGAGCTCAACCTCTCCGGCGGCGAGCAGCGTCGGCTGCGGCCGGGGGACCTGGTCGTCCAGCGGGCGACCCTCCACAAGTGGCGCAACCTCAGCTCGACCCAGTGGTCCCGCATGATCGGCATCGTCTCCGCCTGCCAGCCCGTCGAGACCCCCAGTGGGCCCCTGGGCGAGACCTTCTTGAGCCCCTGAGCGTGGCGCGACCCCCACGGACAATGCGGCGGATCCGATATGCTCACAGCGCTCGGGGGAGAATCCCGCACGGTGTGCTGGGAATTTAACTGGGCTTGTAAGCCATCTCAGTAGAGATAGCCTCCGATCAATGTTTTTCCATTTTATAAGCACTTTAACTATTCCTCTTGAGCAGTCCTTGCTGTATTCTGTTTGTCAGACAACCGCCTCTCATATATATAGAACAATATAAATCAGTGTCTATAGCTATCCAGTCACCCAGTGTAATAAAGATAGACGCTAGTTGTGATAGATCTACTTGCGATGTGGATGCCTGTCAACCAGATAGCAGAAGAATATAAATATATAGTAGATCTCTATCCTTAGTATAGGTACTAACTACAAGGGTTGTGTTATCACCAGGGTTTAGGGTTTAGGGTTTAGGGTTTAGGGTTTATTAGGGTTTAGGGTTTAGGGTTTAGGGTTTAGGGTTTAGGGTTTAGGGTTTAGGGTTTAGGGTTTAGGGTTTAGGGTTT